TGAAAACGCTGGAAACGCTGGAAATCATCAAAAATAGCCATTTCCAGCATTTTCAGCGCAAAATTTCAGCCTAGAACAATATTTTCAGGGTTCCCGAAAGTCTAGTGAAATTGTTTTGATCCATTTCGAAACAGTTTTCGGAACCCTAAAAAATCTCAGAAAATTTTTCCAGGCTGAAATTTTGCGCTGAAAACGCTGGAAATGCTGAAAATTGACAATTCCAGCATTTTCAGCGCAAAATTTCAGCTTAGAAGATGATTTTTGGGTTCCCGAAAGTCTAGTGAAATTGTTTTGATCCATTTCAAAAAGCCCCCAGGTGCCCTAAAAAATGTCAGAAAATTGTTCTAGGCTAAAATTTTGCGCTGGAGACGCTGGAAATGCTGAAAATCGACAATTCCAGCATTTTCAGCGCAAAATTTCAGTCTAGAATAAAATTTTCAGAGTTCCGAAAAGTCTAGTGAAATTGTTTTGATCCATTTCAAAAAGCCCCCAGGTGCCCTAAAAAATGTCAGAAAAGTTTCCCAGGCTTAAATTTTGAGCTGAAAACGCTGGAAATGCTGAAAACTAACAATTCCAGCGTTTTCAGCGCAAAATTTAAGCCTAGAAAAATTTTCGCCCCGAGCATTCCTCGAACCCTCGCCCTCTCACTCCACATTCAAACCTCTAACCGCCTACACCATAACTCATAACTCACTCGAATAGTCATCGAAATCAAAACAGCGGCGCGGAGGCAAGCTTGCGTCAACGCGTTGAACGCGCATTTCCGCAACAAACTTGGAAAATTGATCGAATTTGGATAGGGAAAAATGTTGCAGTGATTGTAGAAGGTGGTGCCGAAACTGTAGCGAAGAAGACGACGATCGTGGAGTTTGTGCAGGTAGTTGAGAGGATTTATAGCCTCTATCAGCTGAAATTCAAGAATTTTGGGGATTTTCAGCGTTTTCAGCGCAAAATTTTGATCTAGAAAAAGTTTTCAAGGATTTTTGAAACTTCTCTGAAATGGATCGAAACAATTTCACTAGAGCTTCCGGAACCCTGAAAATATTTTTCTAGATCAGAATTTTGCGCTGAAAATGCTGGAAATGACCATTTTCAGCGTTTTCAGCGCAAAATTTCAGCCTAGAACGATTTTCCCGGCATTTCTTGGGTTCCCGATAGTTCTCTGAAATGGATCGAAACAATTTCATTAAACCTTCCATAATCCAAAAAATTGTTTCTAGACTGAAATTTTGCGCTGAAAATGCTGGAATTGACCATTTTCAGCGTTTTCAGCGCGAAATTTTGATCTAGAAAAAGTTTTCTGACATTTTTTCGGGATCCCGAAAGTTCTCTGAAATGGATCGAAACAATTTCACTAGAGCTTCCGGAACCCTGAAAATATTTTTCTAGACTCAAATTTTGCGCTGAAAACGCTGAAAATCTTCAAATTTCAGCACTTTCAACTTTTCCAGCTCAAAATTTTGATCTAGAAGAATATTTTGAAGCATTGGAACCTTCTCTGAAATGGATCGAAACAATTTCACTAGACCTTCCAGAATCCCAAAAATTGTTTCTAGACTAAAATTTTGCGCTGAAAATGCTGAAAATCTTCAAATTTCAGCATTTCCAGCCCCAAAACCCACCTCATCAATATGAATCCTTGTATTATTGGTCAAAAGTTTCCTCTCCTCATGAAATTCGGGCAGCCAGTTATCATTTTCAGCATAAAATTCGCGACTGGAAAATAACAGAGCCAAAGATCCGAAAAACATTGAGATCAGGAACGTTTGAATGTAGACTGTGGAAATTCGAAAATAGCAATGAGCCCACGATTTTTCCTGCTCACCGGATAAGCGCAGCATGTTTTTGTGCATTTTTCTGGAAAAATTTGGGAATTTTTAAGGTTTTGGGGGAGATTTTCACGCTTGAAACGCTAAAAATTACTGAAAACTGATAATTTCAGCATTTTCAGCACAAAATTTCAGTCTAGAAAAATATTTTCAGGGTTCCGGAAGGTCTAGTGAAATTGTTAGGATCCATTTCAAAACAGTTTTCTGAACCCTAAAAAATCTCAGAAAAGTTTTCCAGGCTGAAATTTTGCGCTGAAAACGCTGGAAACGCTGAAAATAGTCAATTCCAGCATTTTCAGCACAAAATTTCAGTCTAGAAAAATAATTTCAGGGTTCCGGAAGGTCTAGTGAAATTGTTGTGATCCATTTCAAAAAGCCTTCAGGAACCCAAAAAAATGTCAGAAAATTGTTCTAGGCTGAAATTTTGCGCTGAAAACGCTGGACACACTGAAAACTGATAATTCCAGCATTTTCAGCACAAAATTTCGGTCTAGAACAATATTTTCAATGTCCGGAAACTCTAGTGTAATTGTTCTGATCCATTTCAAAAAGACCCCAGGGGCACTAAAAATTGTCAGAAAATTGTTCTAGGCTGAAATTTTGTGCTGAAAACGCTGGACATGCTGAAAACTGACAATTCCAGCATTTTCAGCACAAAATTCCAGCCTAGAAAAATAAATTCAGAGTTCCGGAAGCTCTAGTGAAATTGTTAGGATCCATTTCAAAAAGCACCCAGGGGTCCTAAAAATTGTTCTAGGCTGAAATTTTGCGCTGAAAACGCTGGACACACTGAAAACTGATAATTCCAGCATTTTCAGCACAAAATTTCAGTCTAGAAAAATAATTTCAGCGTTCCGGAAGCTCTAGTGAAATTGTTAGGATCCATTTCAAAAAGCCACCAGAGGCCCTAAAAGTTGTCAGAAAATTGTTCTAGGCTGAAATTTCGCGCTGAAAACGCTGGAAACGCTGAAAATAGTCGATTCCAGCATTTTCAGCGCGAAATTTCAGTCTAGAACAATATTTTCAGAGTTCCAGAAGCTCTAGTGAAATTGTTAGGATCCATTTCAAAAAGCCCCCAGGGGCCCTAAAAATTGTCAGAAAATTGTTCTAGGCTGAAATTTTGCGCTGAAAACGCTGGACACGCTGAAAACAGTCAATTCCAGCATTTTCAGCACAAAATTTCAGCCTAGAAAAATATTTTCAGGGTTCCGGAAGGTCTAGTGAAATTGTTAGGATCCATTTCAAAAAGCCACCAGGGGCCCTAAAAATTGTCAGAAAATTGTTCCAGGCTGAAATTTCGCGCTGAAAACGCTGGGCACGCTGAAAATAGTCAATTCCAGCATTTTCAGCACAAAATTTCAGCCTAGAAAAATATTTTCAGCGTTCCGAAAGCTCTAGTGAAATTGTTGTGATCCATTTCAAAAGGGCCCTAGGGGCCCTAAAAATTGTCAGAAAATTGTTCTAGGCTGAAATTTCGCGCTGAAAACGCTGAAAATCCCCAAAAATCGCATAAACAATAGAAAATCGCAAATAAATTGACCTAAAAAGATAAAAATTATGATTGAAAAGTGGATTTTCCAAGGGAAAAATCTCTCTTTCATTTTTGTTTGCGGCAAAAAAAAGGGCAAGCTTCATCTCTTTCCAATTCTGTGTTAACAACAATAAGAAAAAGTGTCCTTGAATTTTTTCCGCGCGGAAATCTATTGCGCAACACTCACATAATCATAAAAATCTGGTTTTGGATCCAAAAAAAAAATTTTTGTTTTTTTTTTTTTTTGAAAAAAAATTCTCATTTGACGAATTCTTTCATTGAAAAACAGTCTAGTTTTTCAGAAAAATTTTTTTGAAAATTTATTTAAAGGGAGGTGACACGTGGCAACAACAATAAAACAAAAAAATTTAAAAAATTTTATGGGAAAAATAATTTTGGATAGAAATTGGATAGAAACTGGATAAGAGACCTGAATGGATTTTTCGGTCAAACTAAACTACAGAAATCGATTTTTTATTGGCTTACAAGCATCTGAGAGGAATTTCAGCATTTTCAGCGTTTTCAGCGCGAAATTTCAGTCTCGAACAATTTTCTGACAATTTTTAGGGTCTCTTTGAAATGGATCAGAACAATTTCACTAGACTTTTGGACACTGAAATTATTTTTCTAGACTGAAATTTTGCGCTGAAAATGCTGGAATTGACCATTTTCAGCGTTTTCAGCTTTCTCAGCGCAAAATTTGAGGCTGGAAAAGTTTTCAGAGGTGTTTTGGAGATGGATCAGAACAATTTCACTAGGCTTTTGGACACTGAAAATATTTTTTCTAGACTGAAATTTTGTGCTGAAAATGCTGGCATTAACCATTTTCAGCGTTTCCAGCGTTTTCAGCGCAAAATTTCAGTCTGGAACAATTTTCTGACAATTTTTAGGGCCTTTTGAAATGGATCAGTACTATTTCACTAGACTTTTGGACACTGAAAATATTTTTTCTAGACTGAAATTTTGTGCTGAAAATGCTGGAATTGATCATTTTCAGCGTTTCCAGCGTTTTCAGCGCAAAATTTCAGCCTAGAACAATTTTCTGACAATTTTTAGGGCCTTTTGAAATGGATCAGTACTATTTCACTAGAGCTTCCGGACACAGAAAATATTTTTTCTAGACTGAAATTTTGTGCTGAAACTCGTGAAATTGCTGAAAATCGCTGAAAATCAACATTTTCAGCGTTTTCAGCACAAAATTTCAATCTAGAAACAATTTTCTGACAATTTTTTGGGGCCCTTTTGAAATGGATCAGAACAATTTCACTAGACTTTTGGACACTGAAAATATTTTTCTAGACTTAAATTTTGTGCTGAAACTCGTGAAATTGCTGAAAATCGCTGAAAATCAACATTTTCAGCGTTTTCAGCGCAAAATTTCAGTCTAGAAACAATTTTCATGGTTTCCGAGTAGTATAGTGAAAATGTTGGGATCCATTCCCTAGAAAATTGTTCTAGACTGAAATTTCGCGCTGAAAATGCTGAAATTACGCATTTCAGCACAAAGTTTCAGCTAGAACACGGAAGCTTAAAGTCCAAAGGTTCTTCCCACATATTTTGTTACGAAATCAATCGAAAATTGTCAAATCGAATCATAAAACATAAAACCCCAGCCAAAAATCCAAAAATTCATCAAAAAAATGAAAAAATTGCTCATTCTTCTTGCCACTATTCAATTGTGTTCTACAACACAATTCAGCGTGTCAACTAACTTCACATGTAACCTCGGAGGATCGCGAAAAGTTCAATTGGGAATCTGGGAATCGGATTTTGCTGGCGTCAAAGACAATAAGATCGGAGTTGATGATCTAGATTTCAAAGCTTTTGGAACAAGTTCTGTTGAAGGACAAACATCGAAGGATCATCCAAGTGATGAGGTAATTTTTCAGCAAAAACTTCCACTAAATTAATGTTTTTTGCAGAAGGAATTCTTCATTTACGCGTGGATTTATCATAACTGCACACCTTCAGGAGAATCAGAATGTCTTTACAATTATTTGGGAAGTTCGAATCCATCTCTTGAAAAAGTTGAATATAAATTTTCGGCTAATCTGAGCAATAGTACACTCCAGAAATGCTCATATTACCCAAATCTTTTGAGTCGTTATTCTTAATGTTTTATTTTGATAAAAATGTTTCATTTCAGTGATTTTCAGCGTTTTCAGCGCAAAATTTCAGCCCAGAGAAAGAGTTTTTGAGATTTTTTGAGGGCTCCGGAAACTCTTATAATTGAAAAAATTCACTAGACCTTTCGATACCAAAAATTCATTTTCTAGACTGAAATTTTGTGCTGAAAATGCTGGAATAGACCATTTTCAGCGATCTCAGCATTTTCAGCGCAAAATTTCAACCTAGAACAATTTTCTGACAATTTCTAGGATCCTTTTGAAATGGATCAGAACAATTTCACTAGACTTTCCGGACACTGAAATTATTTTTCTAGACTTAAATTTTGTGCTGAAACTCGTGAAATTGCTGAAAATCACTGAAAATCCATACTTTCAGCGTTTTCAGCGCAAAATTTCAGTATAAAACAATTTTCTGACAATTTTTAGGGTCCCTTTGAAATGGATCAGAACTATATCACTAGAGCTTTCGGAACGCTTAAAATATTGTTCTAGACTGAAATTTTGTGCTGAAAATGCTGGAATTGACTATTTTCAGCGTTTGCAGCGTTTTCAACGCAAAATTTCAACCTAGAACAATTTTCTAACAATTTTTAGGGCCCTTTTGAAATGGATCAGAACTATTTCACTAGACTTTTGGACACTGAAATTATTGTTCTAGACTCAAATTTTGTGCTGAAACTCGTGAAATTACTGAAAATCATTGAAAATCCATACTTTCAGCGTTTTCAGCGCAAAATTTCAATCTAAGCCTAACCTACGCCCGAAAAAAGGAAGAAAATAAGAAAAAAAAAACTATTTATGAAAACATGATTTAGAGAAGTAGAGTAGATGAGAGAGTGTGGAAAATGAAGAGAGAATTAGACATAGATAGAGAGGAAGGAGAAGTATATTATTCAAAAAAAGTAAATTATTAATTGAGCAAGGAAACAAACCGCAACGAAGAAACACAGAACATTTTTGAGAGAGTGCAAGACATGACATTTTTGTCAATAGAGCGCACTTCCATTTTTACTTTTATTTTCTTGTTTTTCTTTTTTTGTCATCGCGTTTTTTGTTGTTTTTCGATGAATTTGAATGAAACTTGTTGTAAAATGCATATTTATCGATTTTTCCACTAGAAATAACACAATTTCTGTTGATTTTCGATAGTTTTACACTAAAATTGGTGCTAAAAAAGTAATTTTATGAAAAAATGTGTTTTCTTGAATTTTTCTTCACTTATTTAACTTTGATTGATTTTTATTTTACAGGAAAACACGTCAGCGAAGCGAATATTAGTTGAATTATTTGGAATTTTGAGGAAAATTGGAGGAAAAGTGAGTTTTTCTTGAAAATTTGAAGTTTTGAGTTTGAACAACTCTAAAAATATTTGCCTAGACTGAAATTTTGTGCTGAAAATGCTGAAATTGTTATTTTCCACGGATTTCCAACAGTTTTAGCGTTTTCAGCGCAAAAACTTGACCTATAAGTGATTTTTCTTCGCTTGCGCGCAAAAAATTTTTATCAATTGATCAAAAGGTCAAAAAATATGTTCCGGGTTCAATGAGATCAGAATTTTGTGCTGAAAATGCTGAAATTGTTGAAAATCAGTGGAAACTGACAGTTTCAGCGTTTTCAGCACAAAATTTGAGTCCGGAAACCGGTTTTTTGAAATAAATTGAAGAAAATGCTTATGGCTGCAAAATCCAAGTTTTTAGATCAGAATTTTGTGCTGAAAATGCTGAAATTCGTGGAAATCAATGGAAACTGACAGTTTCAGCGTTTTCAGCGCAAAATTTAGGTCCGGAAACCGGTTTTTTGAAATAAATTGAAGAAAATGCTTCTGGCTAGGCCCTAAAAATCTCTGAAAAACGTTTCTAGGCTAAAATTTTGCGCTGAAAACGCTGAAATTCGTGGAAATCAGTGGAAACTGACAGTTTCAGCGTTTTCAGCGCAAAAATTCAGTCCAGAAACCGGTTTTCTGAAACAAATTGAAGAAAATGCTTCTGGCTATAAAATCCAAGTTTCTAGATCAGAATTTTGTGCTGAAAATGCTGAAATTCGTGGAAATCAGTGGAAACTGACAGTTTCAGCGTTTTCAGCGCAAAATTTGAGTCCAGAAACCGGTTTTCTGAAACAAATTGAAGAAAAAGCTTTCCAGGCCCTAAAAATCTCTGAAAAACCGTTTCTAGGCTGAAATTTTGCGCTGAAAACGCTGAAAATAGCGTCAAAAGCACAAAAATCAAGCCTTGACCTGAAAAATGTTCCAATTGAACCCTGAGAGATCAACAAAAAACCGATTTTTTTCGATTTTTTTTGGCGGGGAGGCTGACAGTTTCTCTAACCCGATTTATTATTTTATTTTATTTTTTATTTACCTTTTATCATTTTTTTTTTCATAAAACAAAAGTTTAATTATTTTCTCTTATCTCTTTTTTTTGTCTCAAATAAATATATACTTTGCCTAACTTCTCACACAAATTTGATAAATAAATTTATTTTCGACCGAAAAAAAATTTGAAGATGCGATTTATTATTGGCCTGTTTTTGTGTCTAGTTTGTTCTCAAGTTTCATGTGTCAAGAAACTTCTTCTAATTCAAGCTGTAAGTTTTTTTTCAGCATTTTCAGCGCAAAATTTCAGCCAGGGAACAATTATTCAGGATTTCGACAATGAAAACTTCCCATTCCATTCCAGAGAGTCCTAAAAAAAGTTCAAAAAAACATGCTAGCCTGAAATTTTGCGCTAAAAACGCTGGAACTATTAGTTTCCATTGATTTTCAGCGCTTCCAGCATTTTCAGCGCAAAAATTTGACCCGGAAATAATTTTTATATAATACTAATCGGTTGAAAACATGTTCCAAACTAGTTCCAGTTCCGGGTTGAACGAAATCAGTTCTAGATCAGAATTTTGTGCTGGAAACGCTGAAATTGCTGAAAATCGGAGAAAATCAATATTTCCAGCGTTTTCAGCACGAAATTCTGGTCTAGATGAATATTTTTGAGCAGTTTTTTGCAAAAATAATGAAAAAATTTCATTGCAGTTTCAGAACTCAATGAAAATTGTTCTAGATCAGAATTTCGTGCTGAAATTGCTGAAAATGAAGAAAATCAGCGTTTTCAGCGTAAAATTTCAACCCAGGAAACTTTTTTTCTGAAAAAAATTGAAAAAAACGGTTTCATCTGGGTGGGATCGATCCCTTGACCTTCTGCGTACAAATCCAAGTTTCCAGATCAAAATTTCGTGCTGAAAACGCTGAAACCCTCGAAATCCCACAATTTCCAACCATTTTTCCAGATTTATCGCCATGGTGAACGCACACCAACCAGTATAATGCCCAACGATTATTTCACAGAGGAAAAATGGCCGGGCGGTTTTGAGCAACTCACTTTAAAGGGACAGCGACAACACGTGGCATTGGGGAAACTTGTCCGCGAGAAGTACAAGGATTTTTTGCCGGAAATTCCGGATCATCGTCAGATTTATGTTAGATCTACGGATACTGCGAGAACTATCAAAAGTGCTATGGCTAATAATTTGGGAATGTATCCAAGTGGGTTTTTTTAAAAGTCCCTAAGGTCCTTAAAAGGCTCTTAGACTCTAGGGCTCTTAGAAGCTCAATTAAAAAAATCTAATAAAAAAAAAGAAAAAAAGTTTTGCCGCCAGCAGGGGTCGAACCTGCGACCTTGGGCTTATTAGACCCACGCTCTAACCGACTGAGCTATGGCGGCCACATTTTCTCGCCGTCTAAATTGTCTATTCATTTTTCGTGCGGCGGTCTAAAGTTTCTCTGCGCTCTCTCACTTTCGCACACTCTCTTCTCTTGAAATTCGTCACAGATAGTGAAAATATTTGCATTTTTTCAAAAGATCGTGTTTGGTGAGCACTCTGAAGCTAACCTGAGCAATATTAGCAGCTGAAATTGCTCTATAGGTCATGTTTGGTGTCAAAATGGTCCTCAAGGCTAACCTGAGCAATCAAATTGTTCCAGAAAACGAGTCAAACCCCCTGTGGCCTGATGAACACCTCATCCCAGTCTTCAACACTCCCCGACCAGAAGACGACCTACTTTTTGCCGATAATCCGTGTGAACTACACGACAAAGTTTGGCGCCTCGCCAAAACCATCCCAAAGGTTCGAAAAATCCTGGATAAACCCGAAATCTTCGCAAATCTCACCGAATTTATGGGCAAAAATGTGACGGATGCGAATTTCTGGGAAGTTTGGTCGGCAATCAAATGCGAGAAAGAGGCGTTTCCGGATGAGTTTGAGGCGCGGACACCGTGGTATAATGAGGATTTGTGGCAGAAGATTTTGAAGATTAATCGTGGAATTCAGGATTTTCAAGTTGGCAAGGGTTTGGATGGTAAGTACAAGAAATTTGCCGTCGAATGAGACCCCATGAGCTCAGGAATCTAAGCCACGCCCCTTTTTGCAAGCCTCGCACAGTTTTCCCTGGCTTATGAGGTGTCTTTCGACTCTAAATCTCAAGCCCCGCCCATTTCTGCAAGCCTCGCACACTTTTTTTCCCAGGTATTATCCTTGAAAACTACGATATCGGTAGAACTTTGAAATCTCTTCGAATCGGAACTTTGCTCAATGATCTCAACGATCGAATGATCGCAAAAGTGACGTGTAACATGAGCAATGACACGCAAAAAAGTGCCACGTGTCAAAAACTGGACCCGCTGAAGTTTCTCGCCTATTCCACGCATGACACTACGATCTATGCGCTGTATGCCGCTTTGCATTTGGATGAGTTGCGGTTTCCGGAATACGCGGCCGCGCTGTACATTGAATTGTGGCAGGAGACGGAAGCGGATCGGCAGACGTTTTTCAGGGTGAGATTTGGAGCGTTTTGATACCGAATTTGATGGGTTTGGGGAATTTTGAAGGTTTTTGGTGACCCCCCCCCTGCCTTTAAGGGGGGGGGGGTGACTTTTTTCTGAATAGGGTCATGTTGGGTATCAAAATGATGCGCTGAGTGTTCTGAACCTAACCTGAGCAATGAGGAGCTCTGAAATTGCTCAGGTTACTAGAAAGAGCCCCTAAAAGCGGGGGGGGGTCACTTTTTCCTTCAAAATCATCCGAAATATGTCATGATGGGTGTCAAAATGATGCCCCGAGTGTTCTAAACCTGACCTGAGCAATGAGGAGCTCTGAAATTGCTCAGGTTACTAGAGAGATACCTGGTGAGCCCCTAAGGGCGGGGGGGGGGGTCACCTTTTCCTTCAAAATCATTAAAAATCGGTCATGTTGGGTATCAAAATGATGTCCAGAGAGTTCTGAACCTAACCTGAGCAATGTGGAGCTCTGAAATTGCTCAGGTTACTAGAAAAATACCTGGTAAGCCCTTAAGAACGGGGGGGGGTCACTTTCTCCTTCAAAATCATCCGAAATATGTCATGTTTGGTGTCAAAATGATGCCCAGAGTGTTCAAAATCTAACCTGAGCAATGAGGAGCTCTGAAATTGCTCAGGTTACTAGAAAGAGCCCTTAAGAGCGAGGGGGGTCACCTTTTCCTTCAAAATCATCAAAAATCGGTCATGTTGGGTATCAAAATGATCGCCAAGACCTCCCCAATCCAAAAAATTCCAGATAATCCACTACCGAAACGACACGGACACTCTGGACAACGTGGTGACTCGAAATATTCCCGAATGTTTCGACGATTTTTGCGATCTCAGCATTTTCCGCAATTATTCGCTCTACTATCAGCCGGATCGAGTCAGAAAGGAGTGGTGTGATATTTCCAGTTTTTCACCGAAAATTTTTAATTTTGCGTTTTTTGCCGGGTTTTTGTTGTTGTTGATTGTTGATTGAATATGAAAAGAGTACTGTAGATCGCTGCGGGACCCGGGGAGGATCATTTTGAGTCCAAACAACCCCTTGTTTGGTGTCAAAATGATCCTCCCTGGGTCTCGCAGCGATCTACAGTACTCTCAAAAAAACTTTATTGTGGCAGGTTCTCATCGAGACGATTGTCCAATTTGAAACTCAATCCAGTAAAATTTGCAGACGGTGTCCAAATTGGCACCGTTTTGAAACGTCGATACACATTGCCAAAACCGTCTGGATTATCCATACAATTGTGATGGATTATCAAAACTGGCTCGTATTCGTTGTCCTAGGAAAAACTGGGAGGTTTTTAGTGAGTTTCAGCGTTTTCAGCGCAAAATTTCAGCCTAGAACAATTTTCTGACAATTTTTAGAGTCCCTGGAGGCTTTTTGAAATGGATCCTAACAATTTCACTACAGCTTCCGGAACTCTGAAATTATTGTTCTAGACTGAAATTTTGTGCTGAAAATGCTGGAATCGACTATTTTCAGCGTGTCCAGCGTTTTCAGCGCAAAATTTCAGCCTAGAACAATTTTCTGACAATTTTTAGGACCTCTTGGAGGCTTTTTGAAATGGATCAGAACAATTTCACTAGACCTTCCAGAACCCTGAAAATATTTTTCTAGACTCAAATTTTGCGCTGAAAATGCTGAAACTCACCAAAACCCCATCTCCCCCATCAAATGTCCCTTTAATACTAAAATTGTGCGAAACACCCGACGATTTTGTTCCCAAAAATTTCGATTTTATCAAATCCGAACTCAAATACGTGGCATCTTCCTCGATAAGATCGATTTTGGCCCGAAATTCCGAGTTCAAATTGCATTTCATTGAACCTTGAATGTAGATTTCAGTTGATGAAGTTAGCGAAATCAGAAGGAATATCGAGAATATCGGGAAAATCATGATTTCTGTACAATTTTTGATCGAAAATTCACATTTTATTTGATTGAATTAGGGGTTTGTCATGCAAATCGGTGGGAAATTCAAATTTTTCAAATATTTTTGTATTATCGGAAATCGCATCGGTACCACGCGCTCCACCGAAATAAACACGCAACGCAGACCGCTTCGCGCCACAACACACACACAAATAAGGGAACGATTCAAATTCCCTCCCTTTTTTGTGTGTGTTTTGGCGCGGCGCGGTCTGCGTTGCGTGTTTATTTCGGTGGAGCGCGTGGTACCGATGATATTTTCGATAATAGCTGAAAAGATCTACAGTACCCAAAAAAAAATACACTTTTTTATCTGTAAACTTTATTCTCAAGAAAAAACACCGTGTGATTGATTTATTGGAACAAATTGGCGATGATTGCAAAAACGGCGGCAACAGCGAAATGTGCTCCGAAGGCGCTCGACTTCTTTGGTGCTTCAGTCGAATTTCCAGAGGCTGGTGGTGCTACTGGTGGTTTTGCTTCATCGGCGAAGGTACTGACGGCTAAGGCGGCGATCATCAAAACGACAAGGATACTCGCGGTTCTCATGATTATTCTTGTTTCGTTTTATAGACAGAATAAGTGTTATGAAATTATGGTCTAGGTACTTGGGTTTTTATAGCGTTTTAGGCGACGTCAGCTTAAAAGATCTTCGTGGCAGATAACATATGTGGAAGTTCACGTCAATATTTGAATTTTAGTTAGTTTTGGGGAGAAAGTGTTTATTTCTTGATTTTAATTTTATTTTCCCATCTCACGCGGATAATCTACTGTAGGTTTTTTTTGGGGGGGTCTCACAGCGAAACGGTGTGTTTTAAAGGGACATACACTCGCGCTGGAAGACTCAAAAAACGAACAAAAGTACTTTAAAGGAGCATACACTCGATCCGCTCGAGCCGCTTACGCGGAAGAATCCGCCTACACTCGCGCTAGCGCGCTCGAAAAAAAAATAATCTACCGTAGTTTTTTCAAAGGCGCAGCACTGCCAAACTTGTTGTGTGTCTCGCCGCGCTACAAAACTGATTTTTTCTTTTCTTTTTTCCCCTGTTCACCGGAAATCATTTTCTCTCTCGGTTTTTGGCCGTTTTCCAAAGCCCATAATTATTTTTCATGTTTTTCTCGAAGTTTTGAAGGTTGCTTGAGATGGTCTTTGAAGTTTTGCATTAGTTTTGTTGAGATTTGACGGGTTTTTCTCATTTTTTTGTGTTTTTAATCCTTTTGTTTCGTTTTTTTCACTCAAGGAGACCTAAAAATCAAATTTTTGCTTCAAAAATCCCAAAAAAAATCAAAAATCATGTGAAAATTCGTTATTTTTCATCGCAAAATGTGTTTCTGACTCAGAATTTGTGACAAATCGGGTTTCCATAGTTCCGAACTTAACAATCACGATTTTTCAGTCGAAAATCATGAAAAATTCTAATTTTTCATTTTGAAAATGTGGGAAATGCTGAAAATCGTCATTTAGAGCACGATTTCACGATTTAAAAGCGAAAAAATATCAAAAATCTGTATTTTCAGTCTGAAATCATGGTTTTTCCTAACCCCAGACTGAAAAATAACGAAAAATCTGATTTTGATGCTCCTGAATCAAGAAAAATGGCGATTTTTGAAGTCCTGTATCGAAAACTAATGAAAAATCACGTTTTCGTGGTCCCAGGCCGAAAATGCATGATTTTTAAGTCTAAGATCGTGAAAATTTTATCCGGGACCAAAATTTCAAGCTTTTCCAGCTCAAAATCATGAAAAATATCTATCGGGGCGAAAATTCATGAAAAAAACCAAATTTTTGTGGTCCCGGGCCGAAAATTCAAGATTTTGAAGCCGAAAATAATGAAAATGCTCATTTTTGGGCTCGTAGACCGAAAATTCACGGAAAAACCAAATTTTTGTGCTCCCAGACCAAAATTTCAAGCTTTTCCAGTCTAAAATACTTTGAAAATGTAAACTTCATGATCCCAGAGCGAAATGTTATGAAAAATTCAATTTTCTAGGTTCCGAACCGGAAATTCAAGCTTTTCTAGTTCAAAATCATGAAAAATATCTATCGGGGCGAAAATTCATGAAAAAAAAACAAATTTTCCTAGTCTCAGACCGAAAATTCAAGCTTTTGAAGCCGAAAATAATGAAAATGCTCATTTTTGGGGACATAGACCGAAAATTCATGAAAAAACCAAATTTTCTAGGTCCCAGACCCAAATTTCAAGCTTTTCCAAACCAAAATACTTTGAAAATATAAACTTCATGGTCCCAGAGCGAAATGTTATGAAAAATTCAATTTTCTAGGTCCCGGACCGAAATTTCAAGCCTTTCCGGTTTAGAATCATGAAAAAAATCTATCGGGGCGAAAATTCAGGAAAAAACCAAATTTTCGTGGTCCCGGACCCAAAATTCAAGCCTTTCCGGTTTAGAATCATGAAAAAAATCTATCGGGGCGAAAATTCAGGAAAAAACCAAATTTTCGTGGTCCCAGACCCAAATTTCAAGCTTTTGAAGCCGAAAATATTTAAAAATGCCTATTTCTGTGGTCCCAAACCGAATAATCGCAATATTTCCGTTCCTCCACCAAAACTCATAAAAATCTCAAATTTCCTCCGCTACTTTTCGTACTAAATCAAAATCTGCTCTTTTTACAACACCCCAACTCAAAGTTTAAAGGAACACATGTTGTATATTTATTTCTATTTAGCTGACCCCCATCTCCCCTTCACAAATCGTCTCTTTTTCTGAGAGAGAGAGCCTCATCCGCCTCCGTCTCAAAAACCCCAAGCCAAGCACCATCCGAAATATTGATCGTTTTTTTCTGTGTGGTTGTCTTTTCGCAGCCGCACACTCGACGAAATAGTATAGAGATTTAGAAGAGACGCAGAGAAGCGAGACGTGTCCGACGCACCATTTTGTGTCTGCGTCTCTTACTCTTTTGAGTGTGTGTGTGTGCGTGCGTTGTTGGACTAGCACTAACTAGGAGGAAGAAGTGTGTATGTTATTATTTTTATTTATTTTTTGGGTTTTTTTGTTTTATAGATGTAGTTTTGATGGTTCCGGTGCTGAAAATTCAAATTTTTCATTGTTTTTTAGTCTAGATCGGTATTTTCCATCATTTTGTGCTTTTTCTCCAAGAAATCTGTGGTTTCACAAGTTTTTCACTGAAAACTTCTAATTTTTTGTCGTTTTTTGGTCGAAAGACCTAATTTTTCGCTCCAGGACTTCAAAAATCCTGTTTTTTCGTTCTAAGATCTTAAAAATCCTCGATTTTCCCTCCAGGACCTCAAAAATCCTGTTGTTCTGCTTTAAGGCCTTTAAAATCCCAAATTTTCGCTTCAAGACCTAGTTTTTCATAATTTTCATCGAACAATTGAGATTTTTCGTTCAAAGACTAGAAATCATAGATTTTCGCTTCAAAACCTAAGAAATCTTGATGTTTTCGCTCCAAGACCAAAAGTTGATGCACTATCTATCTATCTACAGTAAACTTTTAGCTCAAAATTGCTTCATTTCGGCAAATATTCTCATTTTCACCGCTTTTGAGCCAAATTTTGATTCAAAAATTCTACTTTTTCAAAACCAAAAAAAAATACGTTTCAAAATTTTGATATAATTTATTATCAATTTTTTTTTTCAATAATCTTAATTCTACTTCTGAGAATAAATCAAAGTCAAAATTTGGATGAACATTTTGAAACTAATTATCGATTTTTGAATCAAAATTCGTGGAAATTTTAATGCACTTCCAATAAGTGATAGAGTACAAAGTTTAGAAAATTTCAACCTACTTTTTCATAATTTTCATCGAACAATTGAGATTTTTCGTTCAAAGACTAGAAATCCTGTTTTTCCGCTCCAGAAACTTGAAAATCCCAAAATTTTCGCTTCGAGACCAAGTTTCTCATAATTTTCATCGTACAATTGAGATTTTCGCTTCAAAATCTAAGAAATCTTGATTTTTTCGCTCCAAGACCAAAAGTTGGTGCACTATCTATCTACTAAATATGTATTTGCTCTGGGAATCGCTTGTTTTTCCCCCATCGCTTGCTCTCTTTCCTAATTGGTTTGGTTCTTGAGGTTATCTATACTTATTTATATGTACATAAACATACACATTTTTGGTCTATTTGTTTTTGCTCCGCAGAGCAAAAAGTTGATTAGAGAAGACGAAATGTTGCTAAATTGTACGATTCTTCGCTGCAAGACCTAAAAATTTCCATAAATTTGCATTATTCATCATTTTCGTGTTGTTTTGACCAAGAATTATCGATTTTCCCACAAAAAATCACATTTTTTTTTTCGAATAATAGCTCTTTGTGAGCTAAAGAGCCCACCCAACCCGCTCTTTTTTTTTTGTAACACAACAAAAAGGTCAGCAGACGACCTTTCTTTCTCTTTCTCTTTCTCCCATCACTTTTTGAGTTGAGTTGGGCTAAGTTCTGGGTGGTCAGACACGCGTCACTTTTTTTATTATTATGATTAAAAGTGTGCGTTTTGGGGAAAATGTTGCATTTTTAGTTACTGAAAAATCGATAAATTTCTAGTTTTCGACCCGATTTTTCTGAAATTTTCGAGTCCTAATCGGGTTTTTCCAATGTTTTCCTAGTTTTTGAGTCAAATTTCGTCCTACAGGCCAAATTTTCTAGTTTCAACTCGAAAAATCGATAATTTTCTAGTTCTGGAACCAAATTTCGTCTGCTAAACCGAATTTTCTAGTTTTAGCTAAAAAATATCGATTTTTCTGAAATTTTCGAGCCCTAATTGGTTTTTTCCGATTTTTTCCTAGTTTTTGAGCCAAATTTCGTCCGCCAGACCAAATTTTCTAGTTTGAGCTGAAAAATATCGATTTTTCTGAAATTTTCGAGCCTTAATTGATTTTTTCCGATGTTTTCCTAGTTTTTCGGCCAAATTTCGTCCGCCAGACCTAATTTTCTAGTTTCAACTCGAAAAATCGATAATTTTCATGGTCTGGAGCCGAATTTCGTCCGCCAGACCAAATTTTCTAGTTTGAGCTGAAAAATATCGATTTTTCTGAAATTTTCGAGCCCTAATTGGTTTTTTCCGATTTTTTCCTAGTTTTTGAGCCAGTTCTGGAGCCGAATTTCGTCCGGAAGACCAAGTTTGAGCTGAAAAATATCGATTTTTCTGAAATTTTCCTAGTTTTTGAGCCAAATTTCGTCCGCAAGATCTAATTTTCTAGTTTCAACTCGAAAAATCGATAATTTTCACGGTTTTATGTTCGGTAAAACTCGAAAATTCTGAATTTCGGCAAAAATTCACATGTTCCTTTAAATTTCCCGCCATTGCTCATCTTAATTTCTATGTTTTTTTTTGAAAATGAAAAATTTTGAAAATAAAAAATTCCACGCGAATAAATATTATTGTATGACACATATTTTCGAAATTTTTCATTTTCAAAAAAAAAACTGAAATTCAAATTAACATGAGCAATGTGGAGGGAGTTTTAAAGGAGCATGCCACGTGGATGATATTTTCAGAGTTTCGGATGATTTTCAGCTGCTGAAATCGTGAAAATTATCGATTATTTCGCTGAAAAAACGTTTCCGCCTCATTTTTGTGCTTTTTTGCTCATTTTTGTGCTCTTTTTTGCTCAAAAAACATATAAATCGATGCATGTTTCCAGGGGAATCCAAACACAACAACAAAAACAGCGCCTAAATAAGACCCGTCTTATTTTTGCTGAAAAAATAAGAACAAAACCAGCTGGTAACATCTGAAGACTAAGAAAAAGAAGAAGAAGAAGAAGAAATTTGAGACAAAATGACTGATAATAATGTGAGTTTTTGGGGATTTTTCATGGAAAATTTGAGGAAAAATGATGCATTTTAAGCTGAAATCTGAAAATTTCGTTTCTGGTCAAAAACAGTGCCAAAAACATGATTTTTGGCCAGAAATCTTTGATTTCTAAAGGTTTCCCTAAGAGCTTCTAAGGTCTTTAAGCTTTCTAGAGCTCTAAGGTTCCTAAAGCCTCCAAAATTCAAATTTGGTCGATTTTTGACCAAAACAGTGACAAAAACATGATTTTTGGCCAAAAAAGTGACAAAAACATGATTTTTGGCCAGAAATCTTTGATTTCGAAATTTTCCTAAAAAGCTTCTAAGGTCTTTAAAGCCTTTAAAGGTTTCTTAAGGTTCCTAAAGCCTCCTAAATCCGAAATTTGATCGATTTTTGACCAAAAACATACAGAAAACATGATTTTTGTCCGAAAAAGTGAAAAAAAACATGACTTCTGGCCAGAAATTCTTCTAAGGTCACCTAAAGCTCTTTAAGATTTCCTAAGGTCTCTTAAATCCCGTAAAGGTTCCTTAAACCGCTTCTAAGGTCTTTAAAGCCTTTAAACGTTTTTTAAGGTTCCTAAAGTCTCCAAAATTCAAATTTGGTCGATTTTTGGCCAAAAACATACCGAAAACATGATTTTTGTCTTTAAAAAAATGAAAAAAACATGATTTTTGGCCAGAAATTCCCAATTTTCATTATTCTTACAAAATTTTTAATTCTGAAGTTTTCCTAAGAGCTTCTAAGATCACCTAAAGCCCTTTAACCCTCCAAAATTCAAAATTAGTCAATTTTTGGCCAAAAGCATACAGAAAATATAATTTTTGTACCATTTTCAACCTTGAATTACAGGAATCCGCTCCAAATGCTGAACAAGCCGCCGCCGCCGAACCAAAACCAATAAAAGCGGAACGTGTAAATGGTGTTGTCAAATGGTTCAACGTCAAAAATGGCTACGGTTTCATCAATCGAACCGACACCAACGACGATATTTTCGTCCATCAAACCGCCATTTCTCACAATAATCCCAATAAATATTTGAGAAGTTTGGGCGACAATGAAAAGGTGCTTTTTGATATTGTCGAAGGATCGAAAGGATTGGAAGCGGCTAATGTGACTGGACCTGATGGTGGACCGGTTCAAGGATCGAAAGTGAGTGATTTTTGGGGGTTTTCGGTGGAAAATTGTGAAAATTTGATGAAAATTGACCTAGAATCATTGATTTTGAGCTGAAAATCGTGAAATTCAATCAATTTTGACCTAATTTCATGTTTCTTGGTTCAAAATTTTGAATTTTGGTTTTAAACATTTTGAGCTTCTCAGTTTTAGCCAGGATTTTTGATTTTCAGAAATTTTCAAAATTGATTTTAGGCTCTTTTTGAAGCCCTTGAAATTCTCTACAAAATGAGCCTAAAATTAATTTTCGAAAAATTCAGAATCTCTGGATTCAGGCCGGATTTTCAGCCAGAATCTGGAATTTTCAAAAATTAATTGTAGATTCATTTTGTAGAGAATTTCAAGAGCTTCAAAATGAACCCAAAATTAATTTTTGAAAAATTCAGATTCTCTCTGGATTCAGGCCGGATTTTCAGCCAGAATCTGAAATTTTCAAAATTGATTTTAGGCTCTTTTTGAAGCCCTTGAAATTCTCTACAAAACGAACTATAACTTGATTTTTGGAAAATTCAAATTTTGGCTGAAAATCCGGGCTGAAACCAGAAAGAATCTGGAATTTTTTGTGCAAAAAATCCACGTGACAAAGCTTAAAAATCTGAAAATTTCACTGAAACTTTGAAAATTCCAAAATTTTCCAGTACGCCGCCGACCGAGATGGCGAAAACCGTGGACGCGGAAGAGGTTTCCGCGGACGACGCCGCGGCGGAGCTCCACGTCACGATTCCGGCTCAGCCCCGCAACAAGGTGAAGCGGAAGCCGGAGGTCCACGTCGCGGAGGTCGCGGCGGTGGACGCGGCGGAAGCCGCCCACAACAAGACGGCGGCGCTGAAGGCGGCCAACAACAAGAAGGTGGACGCGGAAGAGGTCGCGGAGGACGCGGACGCGGAGGACGTGGCCGCGGAGGTCGCGGTGGACGCGGAGGTCAACAACAATCGGAAGCCTAATTTTTCTGACCTATCTACAGTACCCCCCTATATTTTTCCTCTCTTTCTCTCACTATCTCTCTATCTCTCTCTCTCTCCCCCATTTTTTTTCATTTTCCATCAGAAAAATTAAGTAATTAAACCTATAATCAAAAAACTACAGTACCCCTGTAGCTTTTTAATTACTGTAGTGTGCATAATATTCGTGACAACTCTCACTACCCTTTAAATACCGTACACCTACCACAGAAAACACCCTATATTTATTTATCACCAAAAGTTATCGATTTTTTATTTTTTCTACAGTAATCTCTCTCTCTCTCTCTCTCTACTATTATATGAAAGAATGAATGTTATGTGACAATTTTGCGGAATTTGCAGTTCAAGTACTGTAGTTTTATATTTAGAGGTAGATTACTGTATTTCTAAAATTTTGTAGATCAAAATTCGCGATTCGAGCGGAGCGAGTGTATGTTCCTTTAAGTTTAGCTACAGTAACCCATGTTCCTTTAGAAGACTGTAGCCAAAAATTTGGGAATTTGCAGTTCAAGTACTGTAGTTTTCTGAATCTAGCTGAAAATCCACGTTTTCGGACACCAAACAAGTCTAGGGTTACTGTAAATTTTGGCGCCAAAAATTCGAATTTTTCGAAAATTTCTAGATCAAGGATTACTGTAGCTGAAACGTTTTTTTGAATTTTTTAAATTTTTAGCGCGAAAAAAAAACTACCGTGGAATTTTTTTCCAAAAAATTTGAGATTTCCAAAATTTCTTGAATACTCCGAGCATTGCTCATATTAGGCCACAAAACATGAATTTTTCCCGTATAACATGAGCAATCCTAAAATCACACGGAAACGAGTTAGTCGAACTTCTCATCGGCTCCAAATCGATGTTTATTATTTGAATATGAAATTATTAAAAATATGATCAAAAAAAATTTCAAGGAAAAAAATTTCAAAAAATTTTGAAACGTATTTTTCCCGGAAATTTTTTTCTGTGAAACATTGATCATGTTTGGGCTCAAAAATGCTCCGAATTTCAAGGAGAGTCTGAAAATAAAAAAAAATGATCTGAAAATTTGAATTCAGGCTGAAATTTGGGTTTGAATGATATCTCATAAGCCTAACTTTTGAAAAATTGAATCTTGGCTCAAAATGCTCCAAACTTTTCAAATTTGAGCTCAAAATGCTCCGAATTTCAAGGCAAAGCTGAAAATTTCAGAAAATTCATCTGAAAATTTGAATTCAGGCTGAAATTTGGGTTTGAATGATATCTCAAAAGCCTAACTTTTGAAAAATTAAATCTTGGCTCAAAATGCTCCAAACTTTTCAAATTTGAGCTCAAAATGCTCCGAATTTCAAGGAGAATCTGAAAATTCCAACAATGAGCATTTTTACACCCTACAAGCCTCGGCTCCGCCCACTTTTTGCAATTTTGCGGCAGGGTTTTTCTTGAGCCTTATTTTGTGCTGTGCAAAAACCATGCGGCAATTTTGCAAAAATGGGCGGAGCCTAGGCTTATTTGATATCAAAATGAAGCGCTTAACATGAGCAATCCAATTTTTGGCGCCAAAAACTACAGTATAATAATTTATTCGATAAATTACACGGTATTCTCAGCGTATCCCGGTGAAATTCTGGGCGGTGGGCAATGTTCGCAGGCTCCGCCCACTCCAGTAGCCCCCGTTGCTCCAGGAGCCCCAGGCTTGCCAGGTTTCCCGCGGGCTCCCGGTGCTCCTGGAGCTCCAGGAGGCCCTTGAGCACCGCGCATCGCTCTTCCCGGCTCTCCCATTGGGCCTGGGGGCCCGGGAGGCCCGGGAGCTCCCGGCCGGCCATCTGCAGCTCTCTGCGGACCTTGAGAGCCGCGCGATGAGCCTGGTAAGCCTGAGGGGCCTTTCAGGCCTGGTAGGCCTGGCCGGCCTGCTTCTCCTGGACAGCCTGGAGGGCCCGGCGCGCCTTTGATGTTGTTGGTGTTGCCGGGAATCCCGTCGAGACCACGATCGCCTGCGGGACCCTGAAAAGTGGATTTTTGGGGTACTGTAGGTTGATTTTCCCGCGCGAAACCCGGAAATTTGAATTTTTCACCGTTTTCTGGTCAAAATGAGTATAAATATGACTATTTGGGTCTCGCAGCGAAATCTGGGGTACTGTAGGTTGATTTTTAGCCGCGCGAAACCTAGAAATTTGAATTTTTCACAGTTTTTGACCTACAGTACCTCAGATTTTGCTGCGAGACCCAAATTATACTCGTTTTGATAAGAAAATGATGAAAAATTCAAATTTCTACATTTCGCGGATAAAAAATGACCTACAGTACCCCAGATTTCGCTGCGAGACCCAAATAGACAAATTTATACTCGTTTTGACCAGAAAACTTGGCTGAAACCGAAAAATTTCAGAATTTTTCGCCTACCTTAGGCCCTGGAGGCCCGATAGGCCCAGTTTTCGCCGGCGGACATGTGTAGCAAAAATCGTCGACTCTCGGAATCACCAATCCCTCCAGCGGGTCATGGCCAGGAGTTCCGGGAACTCCCGGCTCGCCATCCTCTCCATCTCGCCCCGCCATTCCAGGCCATCCGGGCGGCCCGGGCGGCCCGTAAATACAAAAAGCCTGGGCCTGGACGCGCGGCGCCGGATATCCGTTGCCACAATTCGGTCCGATCGGTGCCACGTGGCATGCATTTGGCACCGCCTGTTGACACGTGTCCTCGATACAGTAATCCAGGAAATATTGGCGTTTTTTGCGCGGTCTTGCCACGTTTTTGAGAATTTCCAGATCCGTCAGATGGTCCCAAAGATCGTGCGATTTGGAGACGCAGAAACGAAGGTCGGACGAGAATTCGGACTGCAAAAAATACGGTATTTAAAGGCGCATAGCTGAATTTTTCATGAAAAGACCCAAAAATTCGAAATTTCCAGAGTTTTCCGGTCAAAATGAGTACAAATATGACTATTTGGGTCTCACAGCGAAATTGGGGTACTGTAGGTTGAATTTTTCAGCCGCGAAATCAAGAAATTCGAAATTTCCAGAGTTTTCCGGTCAAAATGAGTATAAACATGACTATTTGGGTCTCGCAGCGAAACTGGGTTACTGTAAATTAATTTTCAGCCGCGAAACCTAGAAATTTGAATTTTTCACCGTTTTCTGATCAAAGCGAGTATAAATATGACTATTTGGGTCTCGAAGCGAAATTGGGGTACTGTAGATGATTTTTCACGCGGTGAGACCCGAAAATTCAAAATTTCCAGAGTTTTCCGGTCAGAAACAGTATAAACATCGCTATTTTTTGAAAATTTCGGTTTCGCACCAAAATTGGGGTACTGTAGATGATTTTTCACGCGGCGAGACCCGAAAATTCGAAATTCCCAGAGTTTTCCGGTCAGAATGATTATAAACACGATATTTTGGTCAGAAAATCAAGAAAAATTCAAATTTCTAGATTTCGCGGCCGAAAATTCACCTACAGTAACCCATATTTCGCTGCGAGACCCAAAATCTTGAAAATACTCATGTTCATACTCATTTTGATCAGAAAACCGTGAAAAATTCAAATTTCTAGATTTCGCGGCCGAAAATTCACCTACAGTAACCCATATTTCGCTGCGAGATCCAAATTGTCTTGTTTTTACTGATTTTGATCAGAAAACCGTGAAAAATTCAAATTTCCGCGTTTCGCGGGAGCTACAGTATTCCAATTTCGCCGCGAGACGCAATTTTCATGAAAAATTGCAAATTTCCACCAACCTGAACCGCATAAATCTGCTGAAACACCAAAAATGCGCCCAACGTCCCAACCACAATCAGAATCACCGAAAAAACGATCGAAAAAAATGTGATGATTCGAAAAATGCGAATTTCCTCCTCATCTTCGTCCATTTTCCAAGAAGAAATCCAGAAAACTGGGGAAATTATTGAAATACTGTGTAAATAGATGTTATGTATTATTGTTTGGTTTCTCTCTCAAGTGCTAACCAGTTTCGAAATCTCGAAAAACTTTACGAAAAACAATGAAAAATAAGTGGTTTTTTAGGTCCTGGAGCGAAAAATTCTCTAAATCTTTCACATTTTTGATATTTCAGTGTTACAATTCAATTTTCAGATTATTGGATTCGAGTTATATGCAATCTACCAAACAAAAAATTTTCAAGGAAAAAAATTTCAAAAAATTTTGAAACGTATTTTTTCCAGGAAATTTTTTCTGTGAAACATCGCCCATGTTAGTGCTCAAAATGCTCCGAATTTCAAGGCAAATCTGAAAATTTCAGAAAATTCATCTGAAAATTTGAATTCAGGCTGAAATTAGGGTTTTTATTTGTCGCTTATTAACTCTTTAGCTTCTTTTTTTTGCTCCAAATTCGGCCAATTTCCTATTTTTTCGTTTTTTTTTCAGCAAAAATTTTAGCGAAGAAATGGAAAAAGAAACAAATTTAAAAAATATAGTTGAAAATGTGTTAAGAAATCTAACAGAAATTGTGTCATAATTCTGTTCAATTGTGAAATATTTTAAATCAGAGGAAAAGGCCAAAAGCTTTTCAACAATTCTCAAAATCTTTCACATTTTTGATATTTTAGTGTTACAATTCAATTTTCAGATTATTGGATTCGAATTATATTCTATTTACCAGAATGAAAACATAAAAACATCAGCTTTCGGTTTCGACAAAAAATTTCAAAAAATTTTGAAACGTATTTTTTCCAGAATTTTTTTCTGTGAAACATTGCTCATGTTCGGGCTCAAAATGCTCCGAATTTCAAGGAGAATCTGAAAATTTCAGAAAAATAATTTGAAAATTTGAATTCAGGCTGAAATTTGGGTTCTTATTTGTCGCTTACTAACTCTTTAGCTTCTTTTTATGCTCCAAATTCGGCCAATTTCCTATTTTTTCGTTTTTTTTCAGCAAAAATTTTAGCGAAGAAATGGAAAAAGAAACAAATTTAAAAAATATAGTTGAAAATGTGTTAAGAAATCTAACAGAAATTGTGTCATAATTCTGTTCAATTGTGAAATATTTTAAATCAGAGGAAAAGGCCAAAAGCTTTTCAACAATTCTCTAAATCTTTCACATTTTTGATATTTTAGTGTTACAATTCAATTTTCAGATCATCGGATATGAGTTGTTTGCAGTTTATCACAATGATCAATTGCATAATCCACTTTTGATTATCGCTCTAACTCGACGCAGGAATATTCCGTTTGACATCCTGGAACAATCAAGAATTAATTATTATTTGAAAAATCCAGTAAAAGTTTGTGTTATTTGGAATACCATGAGTCGCGATATTCCCACTTTCACAGATCAAGACGACGATGATTATAGCGACTTTCAAACATATCGTGATGTAAGTGTAAACAAAATCAAACACAACAGCAACTGTATTTTTTCAGCAATTGAATACAATGGAAATCAGTCCAATATTCAAAGCGCTTATAGATGGGAAAGTTGTGAGAAAAGAATGTTATGAGTTCATATTTTCATCCGGTATTGAAAGTTATCGATATCGGGAAAAATTCATGAAATCGATTGAAAAAACAATACAATCGAAAACCACAGCTAAACAGCTCAAATCGCTGTTTAGCGACTTCAAGAAGTCACAAAAATGAAGTGTTTCAACATTTTCGGCCAAAACTTGTTTTTTTGAATAAAGATGATTTTTCTCAAAAAAAATTCGAATTTTCCATGATTTCTGGGGTCATTTGGACCCAAATTTCATAACAAGAAGAAAAAAACAACAAAAACAAATGGATAGAATTACTGTATGTTCCTTTAAAATTCGCATCGTTTCTACAAATGACAAATGACATTTTGGCACCCAACATGGATAGGTTTTAGAGAAATTTAATTTTATTGTTGTGGTCATTTGTTTTTTTTTTTTTTTGAAAATGGATAATATCAAAAATATGGCCCTTTCGCGAAGCGGGGAACTTTATTTTATCGGGTAAGTTCGACTAAACTGAAGATGTTTTATAACTATCCATATTTGCAGCTCAAATTGCTCATCGAATTGGAAAAACTCCCACAATTCCAAATGGAGGAAATCAGATAAGTATCGAATCGGGTAAGTTCAACTAAAAATTTTGAAACGTATTTTTTCCAGAAATTTTTTTCTGTGAAACATCGCCCATGTTACGGCTCAAAATACTCTGAATTTCGAGGAGAATCTGAAAATTTCAGAAGTCATCTGAAAATTTGTATTCAGATTGAAATTTGGGTTAGAATAATATCTCAAAAGCCTAACTTTTAAAAAATTGAATCTTGGCTCAAAATGCTCCAAACTTTTCAAATTTGAGCTCAAAATGCTCCGAATTTCAAGGCAAATCTGAAAATTCCAACGAAATAATCTGAAAATTTGAATTCAGACTGAAATTAGGGTTCTAACATATTTTTTTTTCTGAATTTTTTGCGTGCGGTTTTTCGTCGCTTACTAAAATTGAGATGAGATTGTCTCAAATTACAGTGTATTTTGCATATTTCTTCACACAGGCTGAGTTTTTTTCCAAAATTTCATTTTTTGATAAAAATTCGAGCAATTTTGTAGCACAAAAATTTAATTTTAATTTTTTTTAATATGAAAATTTTAAAAAGATCATCAAAAAAAATTTCAAGGAAAACAATTTCAAAAAATTTTGAAACGTATTTTTTCCAGAATTTTTTTTTGTGAAACATCGCCCATGTTAGTGCTCAAAATGCTCCGAATTTCAAGGTGAATCTGAAAATTCCAACAAAATAATCTGAAAATTTGAATTCAGGCTGAAATTTGGGTTCTTATTTGTCGCTTACTATTTCTTTAACTTCTTGTTTTGCTCCAAATTCGGCCAATTTCCTATTTTTTCGTTTTTTTTCAGCAAAAATTTTAGCGAAGAAATGGAAAAAGAAACAAATTTAAAAAATATAGTTGAAAATGTGTTAAGAAATCTAACAGAAATTGTGTCATAATTCTATTCAATTGTGAAATATTTTAAATCAGAGGAAAAGGCCAAAAGCTTTTCAACAATTCTCAAAATCTTTCACATTTTTGATATTTTAGTATTACAATTCAATTTTCAGATTATTTGATATGAGTTATTCGTCATCTACAACAATGAAAATTTGAAAAATGCATTGATGATTATCGCTCTTACTCGACGCAGAAATATTCCGTTTGATATTATGCGGATAATCTCAATGCGTTGAAACGTACAAAAAAGGGAAACGCGAAACATATTTTTTTGAAAAAAAAATGATGTTAATTCATGTTAAGTGACTTCAAACAGAAGCATCTCTGATGTTTTTTTCGAAAATTTCCAACTTTCTGCCGCCAAAACTTATGCGATTCAGAAGAGTTAGAGATGTTTCCTGAATAAATATGATATTTTCTCAAAAAAAATTCGAATTTTCCATGATTTCTGGGGTCATTCGGACCCAAATTTCATAACAAGAATAAAAAAACAACAAAAACAATATAACAACAAAACAGATGGATAGGATTACTGTATGTTCCTTTAAAATTCGCATCGTTTGTACAAATGACATTTGGAACAATTGTGACAATGTATGTAGGTTGGTTTGACACATTTTGAGCATTGATCACAGTGGCGGAATTTTCCGGTTTCCTGGAAATTTTTCGAAATTTTGTGCTGAAAATGCTGAAATTCACTGAAAACTGATAATTCCAGCATTTTCAGCTCAAAATTCTGATCTCAAAATGTTTTCCTGAAATTCGGCATTTTTCGGACAGCTTGAGATAATGGAGCACAAACTTTCAATAAGATCAAAATTTCGCGCTGAAAATGCTGAAACTGTCAGTTTTCAGTGAATTTCAGTAGTTTCAGCATTTCCAGTGCAAAATTCTGACCTAGAAAAATTTTTCTGAAAATTAAGAGCAGGAAATGGATCAAAAAATTCTAATAAGACTTCCAGAAAATGTTTCGAGATTAAAATTTCGCGCTGAAAATGCTGAAAATCACCATTTCCCTCGAAAATTCCCCTAAAACTCACAATATTCGTGCAATTTTCACATTTTTCACAATGCTCATTCGATTTCGTCACCCATTTTTGGCACGGCGTACAATATTTATAGTCGGGAGCCAGAAATTTGAGATTCATTGATGGTTTGGGCAAATTGGTGAATATTCGAACAATCGTTTTTTCGGGATAACTGTAGAGCTTGTGGTTACTGTAGGTGACCTGGAATAAATTGGATATTTGAGGCGTTGCTAATGTTAAAACTTGAAAATACAGGGGTTTTAGAGCATTGCTCATGTTTATGAGAAAATCTGGAGCATTTCAGCGAGAACTTTTATTTTAGACATTGCTCATGTTAATTGACGTGCGATACAATTCGAAAAGCAGCTATTGGTTGCGACTAAACATTTCAAAAAATTTTGAAACGGATTTTTTCTAGAAATTTTTTTTGTGAAACATTGGTCATTTTAGTGCTCAAAATGCTCCGAATTTCAAGGAGAATCTGAAAATTTCAGAAAATTCATCTGAAAATTTGACATCAGCTTGAAACTTTGGGTTTTTCTGAGAAATGAAGCATTGATCATGTTAATTGACGTGCGATACAATTCGAAAAGCAGCTATTGGTTGCGACTAAACATTTCAAAAAATTTTGAAACGTATTTTTTCCAGATATTTTTTTTGTGAAACATTGCTTATGTTAGTGCTCAAAATGCTCCGAATTTCAAGGAGAATCTAAAAATTTCAAAAAATTCATCTGAAAATTTGAATTCCGGCTGAAATTTGGGTTTGAAAGATATCTCATAAGCCTAACTTTTGAAAAATTGAATCTTGGCTCAAAATGCTCCAAACTTTTCAAATTTGAGCTCAAAATGCTCCGAATTTCAAGGAGAATCTGAAAATTTCAGAAAATTCATCTGAAAATTTGAATTCAGCTTGAAACTTTGGGTTTTTCTGAGAAATGAAGCATTGATCATGTTAATTGACGTGCGTTACAATTCGAAAAGCAGCTATTGGTTGCGACTAAACATTTCAAAAAATTTTGAAACGTATTTTTTCTAGAAATTTTTTTTGTGAAACATTGGTCATTTTAGTGCTCAAAATGCTCCGAATTTCAAGGCAAATCTGAAAATTTCAGAAAATTCATCTGAAAATTTGAATTCAGCTTGAAACTTTGGGTTTTTCTGAGAAATGAAGCATTGATCATGTTAATTGACGTGCGATACAATTCGAAAAGCAGCTATTGGTTGCGACTAAACATTTCAAAAAATTTTGAAACGTATTTTTTCTAGAAATTTTTTTTTGTGAAACATTGGTCATTTTAGTGCTCAAAATGCTCCGAATTTCAAGGCAAATCTGAAAATTTCAGAAAATTCATCTGAAAATTTGAATTCAGCTTGAAACTTTGGGTTTTTCTGAGAAATGAAGCATTGCTCATGTTAATTGACGTGCGATACAATTCGAAAAGCAGCTATTGGTTGCGACTAAACATTTCAAAAAATTTTGAAACGTATTTTTTCTAGAAATTTTTTTTTGTGAAACATTGGTCATTTTAGTGCTCAAAATGCTCCGAATTTCAAGGCAAATCTGAAAATTTCAGAAAATTCATCTGAAAATTTGAATTCAGCTTGAAACTTTGGGTTTTTCTGAGAAATGAAGCATTGATCATGTTAATTGACGTGCGATACAATTCGAAAAGCAGCTATTGGTTGCGACAAAACATTTCAAAAAATTTTGAAACGTATTTTTTCTAGAAATTTTTTTTTGTGAAACATTGGTCATTTAAGTGCTCAAAATGCTCCGAATTTCAAGGAGAATCTGAAAATTTCAGAAAATTCATCTGAAAATTTGACATCAGCTTGAAACTTTGGGTTTTTCTGAGAAATGAAGCATTGATCATGTTAATTGACGTGCGATACAATTCGAAAAGCAGCTATTGGTTGCGACTAAACATTTCAAAAAATTTTGAAACGTATTTTTTCTAGAAATTTTTTTCTGTGAAACATTGGTCATTTTAGTGCTCAAAATGCTCCGAATTTCAAGGAGAATCTGAAAATTTCAGAAAATTCATCTGAAAATTTGAATTCAGCTTGAAACTTTGGGTTTTTCTGAGAAATGAAGCATTGCTCATGTTAATTGACGTGCGATACAATTCGAAAAGCAGCTATTGGTTGCGACTAAACATTTCAAAAAATTTTGAAACGTATTTTTTCTAGAAATTTTTTTTGTGAAACATTGGTCATTTTAGTGCTCAAAATGCTCCGAATTTCAAGGCAAATCTGAAAATTTCAGAAAAATAATCTGAAAATTTGAATTTAGCTTGAAATTTGGGTTTTTCTGAGAAATGAAGCATTGTTCATCTTAAAATTTCAAAATTTTGTATCTAAGATTCGAAAAAAACTCACGCGATAATCCGACATCCAAAAATCATCATGCAAAACATATTTTCGAATAAAAATCGGCAAAATAATCATTGAATAGAAATTCGACCGTACTTTTCCCGTCTTCTCAAATCGATCCTTCATTTTATCGATTGATTTTAGGAGAGGTTCCATGAAAACACCGAATGGTGGATCGACTACCAGAATGACTTTGGTGGATTTCTGGAAAAGTCGAAAATGAAAATTTGGGCATAGGTTCCCCTGCGCGGGAGCCAAAATCATCCAGTTTTGCTCATTTTTTCATGAAAAATGCTCAAAAATTGGTAATTTTGGGTCCGGCAAGAGGAATTTCAGAATTTTTTAAAATTTGGGCATAGATTCCCCTGCGCGGGAGCCAAAATTACCGATTTTTGCTCATTTTTTCAAGAAAAATGTTCAAAAATTGGTGATTTTGGCTCCGGCACGTTTAATTTCGAAATTTTTAATTAGAAATGACAATTTTTAAATTGCCACGTCATAGGTTACGCCAAATTTAGAACTTTAGGAAAAATTCAAAATTTGGGCATAGGTTCCTCTGCGCGGGAGCCAAAATCACCAATTTTTGCTCATTTGCACATGAAAAAATGCTAAAAATTGGTAATTTTGGCTCCGGCACGTTTAATTTTAGGTTTTAGGTCATTTTTTCCATCAGAGACCTCAAAAAACTCCATAATTTTCTCCTCCGAATTTTTGTCATAAAAATGATCGACCAACATCGAATACTGTGCAAATTGTTTGGATGGATAAAATTTGGCGAATCGTTTATCGTAGTCCAACATAAACACATTTTTCGTGGGATTTTTCGCGCGAACCGTCTCGAAAATCTGCAAAAAAAATTTTTTTTGGAGGTGAAAGGTCCGGGGATCGAGCCACACTGGGGGCTTTTACGAACCCTCGGAGCTCCAAGGCACAAAACTCCGTCGACTCCCGAATTCTCGATTGTGCTAACAATAACATCCAACGATTCTTGAGAGAAGAAGAATTGCTGAAATTATTGGAATTTTCGGATTTTCAGCTAGAAACATCTGAAAAGCCTACAGATTCTCCGTTTTGCTCATCGAGAGGTGGTAGAATTTGTGTGGGATATGACAATTTTTGACGATCGATTTCGGCGCAGACGCAAGCGTGTTTATTGGCGAAAACATTGATGCAATGCTCGCAATAGAGTACGGTGTCTTGGGGAGAAAATGAGGCAAGGCTGGAAAAAATTGGACGATTTTTGATGGGGAAAATTGGAGAACTACCTTTTAGGAATCTGATTATATCCAAAAATCGTCTTCTTCTTCTTTTTCTTCTTCACATCCTCCTCATTTTCAGCCGAATTTCCAGCTTCAGCTTCATCTTCAATGAATTCTCTAGTTTCCTTATCAAAATTCTTGCGAAAATCACAAAGTTCCGCTTTATTTCGATAAACTGCGCACGCAAAATACACCTCATCCGGTTTTCCCTCGTCTTTTTTCTCGAACAACAAACACGGACCATGATCGCATTTCGGAACTTTGGCTAAATCATCGGCCGGCAGGATTTTGAAGAATCCACGTTTTCTGAGCGTCGCGGGACCATTTTCAGCGGGTTTTTGTTGTTGTTGTTGGGGATAGGGATAGAAGCGCTTTTTGGTGTTGTTGGCTCGGCGAGCTTTGAAAATATTGTTCTTCTTTTTTTGGTTCTGGAATCGCAGCTTGCGGTCCAGAGCCTTCTTTTTGTATTCTTCTGCGTGAACCATTTCTGGAGGAAAAAAAAATGAAAATTTGGGCATAGGTTCCCCTGCGCGGGAGCCAAAATCACCAAGTTTTGCTCATTTTCACATAAAAATGCTCAAAAATTGGTTACTTTGGGTCCGGCAGGTTCATCTTCAAAATTTTTTGAAAATTTGGGCATAGGTTCCCCTGCGCGGGAGCCAAAATAACCCATTTTTGCTCATTTCTCAGAGAAAAATGCTCGAAAATTGGTGATTTTGGCTCCGGCAGGTTCATCTTCAGAATTTTTTGAAAATTAAGAATTTGGGCATAGGTTCCCCTGCGCGGGAGCCAAAATCACCAAGTTTTGCTCATTTTTTCATAAAAAATGCTCAAAAATTGGTAATTTAGGGTCCGGCAGGTCTATCTTCAGAAGTTTTTGAAAATTCAAAATTTGGGCACATGTTCCCCTGCGCGGGAGCCAAAATCACCCATTTTTGCTCATTTTCACATGAAAAATGCTCAAAAATTGGTAATTTTGGGTCCGGCAGGTTCATCTTCAGAATTTTTTGAAAATTCAAAATTTGGGCATAGGTTCCCCTGCGCGGGAGCCAAAATCACCAAGTTTTGCTAATTTTTTCATGAAGAATGCTCAAAAATTGGTAATTTAGGGTCCGGCAAGAGAGATTTCAGAATTTTTGAAAATTTGGGCATAGGTTCCCCTGCGCGGGAGCCAAAATAACCAAGTTTTGCTCATTTTTTCATGAAGAATGCTCAAAAATTGGTAATTTAGGGTCCGGCAGGTTTATCATCGGAAATTTGTGAAAATTTGGGCATAGGTTCCCCTGCGCGGGAGCCAAAATCACCAATTTTTGCTCATTTTCACATGAAAAATGCTCAAAAATTGGTAATTTTGGGTCCGGCAGGTTCATCTTCAGAATTTTTTGAAAATTAAAAATTTGGGCATAGGTTCCCCTGCGCGGGAGCCAAAATCACCAAGTTTTGCTAATTTTTTCATGAAGAATGCTCAAAAATTGGTAATTTAGGGTCCGGCAAGAGGAATTTCAGAATTTGTGAAAATTTGGGCATAGGTTCCCCTGCGCGGGAGCCAAAATCACCAATTTTTGCTCATTTTCACATGAAAAATGCTCAAAAATTGGTAATTTTGGGTCCGGCAGGTTCATCTTCAGAATTTTTTGAAAATTCAAAATTTGGGCATAGGTTCCCCTGCGCGGGAGCCAAAATCACCAAGTTTTGCTAATTTTTTCATGAAGAATGCTCAAAAATTGGTAATTTAGGGTCCGGCAAGAGGAATTTCAGAATTTGTGAAAATTTGGGCATAGGTTCCCCTGCGCGGGAGCCAAAATCACCAATTTTTGCTCATTTTCACATGAAAAATGCTCAAAAATTGGTAATTTTGGGTCCGGCAGGTTCATCTTCAGAATTTTTTGAAAATTAAAAATTTGGGCATAGGTTCCCCTGCGCGGGAGCCAAAATAACCCATTTTTGCTCGTTTCTCAGAGAAAAATGCTCAAAAATTGGTTACTTTGGGTCCGGCAGGTTCATCTTCAGAATTTTTTGAAAATTCAAAATTTGGGCATAGGTTCCCCTGCGCGGGAGCCAAAATCACCCATTTTTGCTCATTTTTTCATGAAGAATGCTCAAAAATTGGTAATTTTGGGTCCGGCAGGTTTATCATCGGAAATTTGTGAAAATTTGGGCATAGGTTTCCCTGCGCGGGAGCCAAAATAACCAAGTTTTGCTCATTTTTTCATGAAAAATGCTCAAAAATTGGTAATTTTGGCTCCGGCAAGAGGAATTTCAGAATTTTTAAAAATTTGGGCATAGGTTCCCCTGCGCGGGAGCCAAAATCACCCATTTTTGCTCATTTTTTCATGAAAAATGCTCAAAATTTGGTGATTTTGGGTCCGGCAAGAGGAATTTCAGAATTTTTGAAAATTTGGGCATAGATTCCCCTGCGCGGGAGCCAAAATCACCAAGTTTTGCTCATTTTTTCATGAAAAATGCTCAAAATTTGGTGATTTTGGGTCCGGCACGAGGAATTTCAGAATTTTTGAAAATTTGGGCATAGATTTCCCTGCGCGGGAGCCAAAATCACCCATTTTTGCTCATTTTTTCATGAAAAATGCTCAAAATTTGGTGATTTTGGGTCCGGCAGGTTCATCTTCCGAATTTTAAGTTTAGGGGAAAATAATGTTAGGTTACAAAACCGCATAAATCATTTTTAAAAAATCACAAAAAGATAACATTTGTTTATTTCGCAAGAAGAAACTGTTAAAAGTATACATATTTCGAATTTAGCCAGAAAAAGAGCGTACTAAACAGCTAAAGAATTTTTAAAGAAAAAATTAGGGAATTTAGAGGGAGAAGACAAGTTCGAAGGCTTTAGTGATTCCAACATCATTGGTGTTGAAGTGAAGAAGTCCGGCGAGCAAAAGCACAGTGATGACGTAAACTCCAGCATGCGCAGCTTTGGCCGCAGTCTCACCAATAACAAAAGGACGTGCATAATCGTAGACAACACCTTGAACACCCCAATGAATATGAAGAGTCAAAGCGATTGTCAAAAGAGCATCAGTAACTGGACCATGAATGAAATAGGCGGCTGGAATGATTGGAACCATACCGGCGGCGAAATAACGCTCGAATTTGAAGTGTCCTGAATGATCGTGAACTTTGCTGGCTCCGTCGTTGAGAGTTGTGGCTGATCTGATGATCATTGTGTTGAGACGTGGAGCTGAACGGGCGAGGAGGAGAGATTTTTGGAATTGAGCCATGTGACGAAGAGCGGCCATTTCTTCTGGAAAATTGGAGATTTTCTGATCATTTTTATGTTAAATTTGCTGAAAATCTTGAAGTAGTAAAGTTTTGTCATGAATTTTGGAGAAGTTTATCAGATTTTCATGAGAACAGCCTTCAGAAGCTCCTAGATCATCGGAAATATTGATTTTCCCATGAGACCTCACCAAAACCCCATTTTTCTTCAAAATGCATCATTTTCAAGCGAATTTTATATCAAAATGATTCCGACAAAATGCAAAACCTTTAGAAACCTAGAAAATATGAATACATCCCTAGATTCTAGCAAAAAATCGTTAAAAACAAGGAAAAACCCAATTTTCCCTCTCTAAAAACGGATTTTCCTTCAAAATTTTCATTTTCTAACAAAATTTACATCAAAATGTTCAGAAAAACATGGAGAATATTGAGAAATCAACGAAAAACATTGGAAACGCCTGAAAATCCCGCAAAACCCCGAAAAAACACGCGAAAAATGAAAAATCCATCGGCGGCTCAAACAACACTCCGCCAATGACGCAAATGCCTGTTGTTTAGCCAGGCGCATTTTCAAAATTTGCACGTTTTTTCAGAAGACGAAAAAAAACCACGTGGAAATGCGAACTGGAAAACTGGAAATGAAAATGAAAAAAGGGAAACCCGCAAAAATATTTCATTCAACAAATTTCACGTGGAATTTCCATTAAAAGTGATTTTAGTCAGAAAATCATTCAAAATTTCAAGTTTCGCCGCGTACAGTTCCCCAATTTTCGCTCCAGGACCTATTTAAAAACCAACCACTTGATTTTTATTGTTTAGATTCTAGTTGCCAAGTTTAAGCCATGAAAATTTTCAAATTTGGAGCATTTTCAGAGCTCGCAGAGCACAAAAATTATTATTGATTTATTAGTTTTTGTTGTTTTTTTCTTCTTGTTATGAAATTTGGGTCCAAATGACCCTAGACACTTCGTTTCAGGGCTAACAAATAGAGACAGAGAGAGTGTGTAGAGTGCGAAAGAAAAAACCGCGAAATTTAATAAGGCTGGCACCCAGCCAACTGTTGGGTCCCGAAGCGATGGTCCATGAATTCTCATTTTCAAAAATTTTTCGGGGTTTTTTGTGTCTGCGTCGCGTTTTCTCTATTTGTTCGTCCCAACACAGGACTGAAACGAAGTGTAGAAATCATGGAAAATTCGATTTTTTTGTGAAAAAATCATATTTATTCAAAAAACAAGTATATTTTGACGGCAGAAAGTTGAAAATTGTTGAAAAAAAACATCAGCGATGCTTCTGTTTGAAGTCACTTAACATAAATTGACATGATTTTTTTCAAAAAAATATGTTTCGCGTTTCCCTTTTTTTGTACGTTTCAACGCATTGAGATTATCCGCCGTTTCTCTTGCCATAATGTTACACAAACCTTAACTGGATTTTTCATCCAAAAATTAATACGGGATTTTTCCATAATATCAAACGGTATATTTCGCCTCCAGGTTAATGCCACAATCAACAATTGATTTTTCAAGTTTTCATTGTGATATATAACAAATAACTCAAATCCAATAATCTGAAAATTGGAAAAATTTCCAGTTTCTCCAATTTTTCTGTTAGATTTCTTAACACATTCTCAACTATTTTTTAAATTTGTTTCTTTTTCCATTTCTTCGCTAAAATTTTTGCTGAAAAAACGAAAAAATAGGAAATTTGCCGAATTTGGAGCAAAAAAAGAAGCTAAAGAGTTAGTAAGCGACAAATAAAAACCCTAATTTCAGCCTGAATTCGAAATTTCAGATTTTTTTTTGAAATTTTCAGATTCTCCTTGAAATTCGGAGCATTTTGAGCACTAACATGGGCGATGTTTCACAAAAAAAAATTTCTGGAAAAAATACGTTTCAAAATTTTTTGAAATTGTTTTCCTTGAAATTTTTTTCGATGATCTTTTTAAAATTTTCATATTAAAAAAAATTAAAATTAAATTTTTGTGCTACAAAATTGCCCGAATTTTTCTCAAAAAATGAAATTTTGGAAAAAAACTCAGCCTGTGTGAAGAAATATGCAAAATACACTGTAATTTGAGACAATCTCATTTCAAATTTAGTAAGCGACAAATAACCCACGCAAAAAATTCAGAAAAAAAACATGTAAGAACCCTAATTTCAGTCTGAATTCAAATTTTCAGATTAATTTTCTGAAATTTTCAGATTTGCCTTGAAATTTGGAGCATTTTGAGCCAAGATTCAATTTTTCAAAAAGTTAGGCTTTTGAGATATCATTCAAATCCAAATTTCAAGCTGAATTCAAGTTTTCAGATTATTTTTTTCTGAAAATTTCAGATTCTCCTTAAAATTCGAAGCATTTTGAGCCCTAACATGAGCGATGTTTCACAAAAAAAATTTCTGGAAAAAATACGTTTCAAAATTTTTAGTTGAACTTACCGATACTTATCTGGTTGATCCATTTGGAATTGGGGTTGTTTTTCTAATTCGATGAGCAATTTGTGCTGCAAATATGGATAGTTATAAAACATCTTCAGTTTAGTCGAACTTACCCGATAAAATGAAGTTCCCCGCTTCGCGAAAGGGCCAAATTTTTGATATTATCCATTTTCAAAAAAAAAAAAAAACAAATGACCACAACAATAAAATTAAATTTCTCTAAAACCTAGCCATGTTGGGTGTCAAAATGTCATTTGTCATTTGTACAAACGATGCGAATTTTAAAGAAACATACAGTAATCCTATCCATCTGTTTTGTTGTTATATTGTTTTTGTTGTTTTTTTCTTCTTGTTATGAAATTTGGGTCCAAATGACCCCAGAAATCATGGAAAATTCGAATTTTTTTTGAGAAAAAATCATCTTTATTCAAAAAAACAAGTTTTGGCCGAAAATGTTGAAACACTTCATTTTTGTGACTTCTTGAAGTCGCTGAAAAGCGATTTGAGTTGATTCGCCGTCGTTTTCGATGATAATTTAGTTTCAATCGATTTCATGAATTTGTTACGGTACCTATAACTTTCAATACCGGATGAAAATATGAACTCATAACATTCTTTTCTCACAACTTTCCCATCTATAAGCGCTTTGAATATTGGACTGATTTCCATTGTATTCAATTGCTGAAAAAATACAGTTGCTGTTGTGTTTGATTTTGTTTTCACTTACATCACGATATTCTTGGAAATCTGTGTAGTCATCATCGTCTTGATCTGTGAAAGTGGGAATATCGCGACTCATGGTATTCCAAATAACACAAACTTTTACTGGATTTTTCAAATAATAATTAATTCTTGATTGTTCCAGGATGTCAAACGGAATATTCCTGCGTCGAGTCAGAGCGATAATCAAAAGTGGATTATGCAATTGATCATTATGGTAAATTGCATACAATTCATATCCAATTATCTGAAAATTGAATTGTAACACTAAAACATCAAAAATGTGAAAGATTTAGAGAATTTTTGAAAAGCTTTTGGCCTTTTCCTCTGATTAAAAATATTTCACAATTGAACAGAATTATGACACAATTTCTGTTAGATTTCTTTCAAAAAAATAGGAAATTGGTCGAAATTGGAGCAAAAAAAGAAGCTAATGAGTTGGTAAGCGACAAATAAGAACCCCAATTTCAGCCTGAATTCAAATTTTCAGATGAATTTTCTGAAATTTTCAGATTCTCCTTGAAATTTGGAGTATTTTGAGTACTAACATGGGCGATGTTTCACAAAAAAAATTTATGGAAAAAATACGTTTCAAATATTTTAGTTGAACTTACTGATCTTTTTCTACTCACTTTTGCATAATAATTTCCGAATGTGTTTTTAAATTTCTGTCTGCTGATTTCCTCCATTTGGAATTGGGGTTGTTTTTCGATTTCGATGAGCAATTTGAGCTGCAAATATGGATAGTTACAAAACATCTTCAGTTTAGTCGAACTTACTTTATAATAACTATTGCCTTTTTTGGCACATAAAGCCAACTGCTCAAGATTCATATTGATCAAAAATAGAAGAATATTATATTGATAAAAAATGGATAAATCAATCAATCAATCGGTTGGCTTTTTATAGTGAGTTGGAAAAAAAAGGTCACGCGAAAATTGAAAATTCACTATTTTATAACTTTTTTTGTTTCGATTGTGGGAAATCACGTAATCAGAAATCGGCTCACTTTTCTCCACTCGAAAAAAGGTGGAACTATGTGGATACTGTAGGTCCCCATGGGTTTGAAAAATTGCAAAGGGATTTTAAAAGTGAACATTTCTAACACAAGTTTTTTGGGAAATTTTTTGATTTTTAACTTTCAAAAAATTGAAACTTGATTTAGAGTTGACCAAATTACTCGATCAAAACATCTAAACGAAGCAAAAATGATTTTTTTCCAACTCACTATAAAAAGCCAACCGATTGATTGATTTATCCATATTTTATCAAAATAATTTGTGGTATCAAAAAAAAAATTTCAAGGAAAAAAATTTCAAAAAATTTTGAAACGTATTTTTTCCAAAAATTTTTTCTGTGAAACATCGCTCATGTTAGTGCTCAAAATGCTCCAAATTTCAAGGCAAATCTAAAAATTTCAGAAAAATTCATCTGAAAATTTGAATTCAGGCTGAAATTTGGGTTTGAATGATTTCTCAGAAGCCTAACTTTTGAAAAATTGAATCTTGGCTCAAAATGCTCCAAATTTTCTGAAATTGCTCATATTAGAGCTTGAAATGCTCCAAATTTCAAGGCAAATCTGAAAATTTCAGAAAAAAATCTGAAAATTTGAATTCAGGCTGAAATTAGAGCTCTAACATTTTTTTTTCTGAACTTTTTGCGTGGGTTATTTGTAGCTTACCAACTCATTAGCTTCTTTTTTGCTCCAAATTCGATTCGATATTTATAGTTGTAAAGTTCCTAAGCCAATGTAATGTATTTGAGATACTCTGATCTCTTATGTGTTGTATTACAAGATGCAGTTCTTACTGTAGACAAGGCTAGACAGTAAAGTCTTTATTATGAAAGAAAGAATAAGAAATTAGTTCCCGTTCTATACCTCCAAGAACTTCCTAGAACTTCCGGATTATACTCTAGACGGTCTTCTTTTATACACAGGCATATTAGATGGCACAAATAGATAACCCAAATGACGTTGCACGTTCACGTGTATATCATAATCATTTCTATACACAACAATAGTATTTATCACCATGAGAAGCTGAAGAAGAAATATTCCATTCGAAACGACTCGCATAAAGTTAACGGAATAAATGATTAATTTTGAAACGTATTTTTTTTCGAATTTTTCTAAATTTTTTGGCTTTGAGAATTCACGTGAATATTTTTCTAAAACTTAAAATAAAGTTTCGCTCCAATTCCAAAAAATCAGTTTGGCCTTTTTTTTCTTAAAAAGTGAGAAAGTTTTTGAATTAACATGAATAATTATTTTCAACTTATGTATACAATTTGAGAGAAAATAAATAGATAGATAAAAAATTGGTTGATTTAATAAATGATTCCCATTTGGTCCCATGAAGCCAAAATAAGTGGAAAAATTAAGAGGAATGAGATGTGAAAAATTAGGCAAGGTCCCGTGTTTTCAAAAAAAAAGAGAGAAACGATTCAACTGTATTTTTTCAGAAATTAAATTCGATCACCGAAATCCCAATTTTCACCAAACTGGTTGATAAAAAAAAGAAATTTCTGAAAATTCCAAATGTTTTCTTAGAAATCACATCATGTTTCCTACGCGGCGAGACCTGAAAATTTGAATTTTTCATAAATTTTTGAACGAAATTTGGATACTTTCGCGTTTCCCTTTTTTTGTACGTTTCAACGCATTGAGATTATCCGCCGTTTCTTCAATCAGAGCTTAGCATTCTTTTCTCACCACTTTCCCATCAATAAGAGTTTGAAAAACCTCACTGATCTCCATTTCATTCAATTGCTGAAAAAATACAGTTTTCAGATTCCCATTGAAATTTGGAGCATTTTGAGCAGTAACATGGGCGATGTTTCACAAAAATTCCCTTTGGTATTTTTCAAGCCCATGGGGGGACCTACAGTATCCGCATAGTTCCACCTTTTTTCAAGTGGGACATCATACTATCGGGTAAGTTCGACTAAACTGAGAAAGATTTTTTGTAACTCCATATTTGCAGGTCAAATTGTTAATCGAATTAAAATCGAATCGAGTGAGTTCGACTAAAATTTCAAAAAATTTTGAAACGTATTTTTTCAAGAAATTTTTTTAAAGAAAAATTGCCCATGTTAGTGCTCAAAATGCTCCGAATTTCAAAGAGAATCTGAAATTTTGAATTCAGGCTGAAATTTGGGTTCTTATTTGTCGCTTACTAACTCTTCAGCTTCTTTTTTTGCTCCAAATTCCTATTTTTCTTGAAAAATATATCATTTTTTCTCAGCAAAAAAAATTTGAGATGATTTTGAGATCCGCGCCTGTTTCTTAGTGTTTGCTTTTTCTGCCAAACCAAAAATTCTCTAAATCTTTCACTTTTGTGATATTTTAGTGTTACAACGTAGAAATATTCCTTTCGAAACGACTCGCATAAAGTTAACGGAATAAATGATTAATTTTGAAACGTATTTTTTTTTTCGAATTTTTCTAAATTTTTTGGCTATGAATTCACGTGGATATTTTTCTGAAACTGCATTTCAACGATTCAGAAATGTAATTGAAAACAAAATCAAATATAATAGCAAATGTATTTTTTCAAAAATTAAATTCGATCACCGAAATCCCAATTTTCACCAAACTGATTGATAAAAAGTAAAGCGGAAGGAAGCATATCAAGTTTATGAATGCTATCGAATCAAATCTCAATGCGTTGAAACGTACAAAAAAAGGGAAACGCGAAAAATATTTTTTTGAAACAAATTTTATACCGTAGTTCTTTCGCCCTCTCGTTAACTTTTTCTGTAATAAAATCTTCTTTTTCATAATTTTCTGATCAAAATGCGCTGAAAATCGTCGAAAAAACCTGAGAACACGCTGATTATTTCGTCACTTTTGGCCGAGGAAACCAAACCGGGCAGCTAGACGGCCAGGCTCCGCCCACTTTTTTTCTAAATTTTTTTTTCGTTTTTTTTGTTCAGAATTTTTTTGAAACACACAATTTTCTCAGCTCTCAGGCCGTTTCACCGAAAAAACGAACGATGGAAACGTAGAGAATTACATTGTGATTCTTTCATAACTAAGAATGAGCTTTAAGTCAGCGAAACCATGTACTTATTAAGCCCTAAGTAAAACTTCTCATTCTACAAGGTTTTTGAAAATTTCAACTTTGCAAATTAGAGTATTTGGGTTTATTTTCCTATTTCCATCAATATTATCTACATTCGGCGTCGTTTAGGGTGTTAAATTGCGATATTTAGAAAAAAACATAAAATGCCGTGTTGAAAAAATGAATGTGCGCTCTAGCGAACACGGGGCCGAACTTTTTCCATTGACGGCCAAATGTCACGAAATAATCAGCGTGAGAATGAAAAAAAAACAACGACACTCCACTGTTGCCCGCGGTTTAGCCACGCGCATTTTCAAATTCTCATTTTCCTTTTTTTATCCCGCGTGTTCCAGAAAAATGGATTTAAAGCGAAAAATCAGTGCCGAATCGGAAAATGATGGGAATTCGGAGAAAAAGCTGAAAATTTGGTTGTCGACAAGGAGAACGCGAAGAAATGCAAGATTTTCATGTTTTGACAAGGAAATTCGACTTGGGAAAGGGGTTTTTGTGAGTTTTTTGATTTTTAGATGTATTTGGGTGGTGTGCGATGAAGCGCAGTTTGATTTTCATGAAAATTTTAAGGGGTTTCCTGCGATATTAATGAAAATTGACTGAAAACTTGAAAATCTTGATTTATATCATGCAAATTCGCTCTATTGATAATTTTGGGCGGTCTAGATTGTCAATAGAGCAAATTTGCATGAAAATCTCCAATTTCAACCAAAAATGTGCATTTTTCCAGGCACCGTTGCTCATTTTTCGCCATTTTCGATGGTCACGCTGGTTCGCGAGCCGCCCGATTTTGCCAACAAAAAATGGAGCACGAAATTAGGCAAAGATTAGAAAAGTGTAGGTAAGTGGGGCTTTGCCACGTGGCAATCTTGTTTCCTAACTGAAAATTGTGGATTTTCAGATGAGAAAAATCCAAACCCTTTCATTTTCAAAAACAATAAAGAAAAACGAGTTTTGTCGTCCAGCGAGCGAGTATTTTAGGGTTTCAAGTTTGCATCATACGTATATTTCAATGGTGGATAAGTCCATTCGGCGAGTTTTGTGCAATGAACAGCGAAACTGTATTGGCATCTGTAAATAGAAACATCTCAATGATTTGCTAGGAAAACAAAGCTATTGAACAAACCCCCAGTCATGAATCCAGTTTCCTTGATAAGTATGAATCGTGGTGCAATATTCAGCAGAACCCTCCGGTTGCTCAGGAAAAAGTCCGTCTGGTTGCAAAAATTTCATGCCATTTTCCGTTGTCATTTTATCATCGTCATAGAAAATGCGCGAAATGTGACAATTAGTACCTTCTGCACCATTAGCATACCGACATTCTTGACGTTTTTTGAGTCCAAGCCAACCGGTTCCACTATCTACAAAACATTTTTTGTATTTTCATCAAAATCCAGTTAGCAAATCAAAACTCACTCTTAATTTTCATCATCTCGTCGTGATCATTCCAGCCGCCCAAATATGCACCACGTTTTGCGCAAATTTCTCTCGCCTGCTCACGATTTACCGATTGTTCGATTCGAATATGACAAGCACGTGTACCATCAGTTCGTTCAAATGTCCAAAATCCTTGTGGACAGCTCGCCATAGTTGGTACACCACGAAACATGAAATCGCACAAGAATGGAGCGGCTTTGCGGCGAGTTTGTTGGAACATGTAATTTGTGTCGTCATCTGATTCACCACGAACCAACAAATATACGGCTAATGCGAATTCTTTAGGGCTGGCATTTGTCTCACACAGGCGACACTGTGATGTATCATAATCTCCACCATATAACCATTGAGTCTTCTTTTCACCGCAGTGAGTCATATTTGTGTTTGGTTCTTTCCACGCACTTGAAGCTGAACACCACCAATAAGCATATCGACACACACGAAATGGCGCCAAAAACAGCATATTTTCCTTCAATCGCCCAGCAAGAACTTTCATCTGTGTTTTGGTTGGATCGAAAAGTTTGGCATTGCTGGGATCTGCTAACGCACTTAACGATGCTTTGCATTGATTTTGATGATCTTTGAATATGCTGCCATGTCTGAAAAAACGAATTTCCTCAAAACAACCGGAAAAAACCCTAAAAAACTGAAAAATAAAAAAAATGCACAGCTGATTTGTGTGCTACCGTATTTCGGTGCGTTCTTGAAGCGAAGAGTCAATTTTTTTCATTTTTTATTTACGGAGCCTAGTTTTTTTTTCGTTTTTTCAAGCTATTTTGGCTAAATTTCAGAAAAACTCACATCATAAAATCAGGCATTGGATGATTGAAGGTGCGCCAAGCGACAAATTGCCCACTTATAACCGCTGGATGAATAAATGGCTGCCAAATTTTGATTTTTGCACTCAATGACATATAGGTATCTTCGGGAACATATTCGCAAATCACCATGGCTAAATCATCATCGCCGATCTTTATCAAACTGCCATATCGAACATTGAAAAACTCCGAAGTCAAATATGAAACAGCATAATTGGGACCAGTGTCGAGGGAAGCTTCGATGAATCTTTGACCTTCTGGTGCAACTCTTGCCCAGACTGTAGTCAAATCTTCGAAGAAATGTTGAATCCAATCTCCAAGTTTGTCATCGGTATGAAAATAAAGCGAGTGTTCCCGCGAATTTCCCGCCGAATCTCTACACATTTTCTCGCCTTCTTGGTATGTTTTGGCGTGATGGAACATTTTGTAGCATTTTCCGCGGATTTGAGTGTAAGCGGGTCGACAGATGAATAGATTTTCAAAGTCGCATTGAATAAAGCCGTGGGTGTTGCGGCCGGATTTGGTGAGATGAAATGGTCCGAGTGATTTGCATGAGAGTTCAGCTTCTGCGTCACTGCTGGCGTAGATCCCGGCGAAATTCGCTTCTTTACATTCTTCACCTTGGGTTAGAATCTGGAAAATACATAGAACATAGGATGCTATGACGTGGCAAGGATCTACTCACCCCATTAATCGGATTATGATAGACTAGTTGTCCGCCAGCATAACTGCAGAAATCTGCGAAACTCTTGTCCACAATTTTCATCTCGGCAGCCAATCCCACTCCAAATCCAACGCATAGCAAAATCAGCAGCTTCATCGTTGAATTATGATTCTCCCCGAGCATTTGCCACGATTTAAATAGCCCTCCAAATTGGGTCAGGTCAAATGACGTGGCGGGTCGCGGCCCCTGTGGTATAAAATGAGAAGCGGAACGGGGGAAACGCTCATAAATGCTGCTGGCTCTTCTCTTTCCGCTTGCTTCCTTCGTCTACGCGGATATTCCGCCTGCTGAACTGCAGAACTTCAGCGCCACCATTGATGTTCTTGCTGGCACCTTCGATGCGGTGAATTCGAACGATGGATTTGCCACGTTGGCATCGATTGCGTACACAGGAGATGGGTCGACTCCGAGAAGCATGATGGAGATTCAATTTTCCCCGCCAGAATTTTGTCAAGCTGTGAAGATTTGCGTGACAAAAAAGGTGAGTTTTGAGAAGACCAATCCGCTGAAAATCGAATCGGAGTATTGTGAGAAAAATTGGATGACATATCAACCACCGACGGGAAAGATCGAGGTGTTTTTCGATGGAAATCTGATGTTTCAAGGGTTTACCGGTGAACTGAAGTGGAAAAATGGCAATTTCTCATATTCGGATGGCTTGTTTTGGACCACCAAGTTGTATAAGACGAAGAGTGCGGTGTTTGGTGAAAAGTTGACGCAGAAGATGTTGGTGATATTCACCAACAGTCGACAATGTCATCCACAAGTTCGGGTTGATGGGAAAGCGAGTCGAGTGGATTTTTTGTTGTCGCAGTGAGTTTGGGGGTACTGTAGATCGCTGCGGGACCCCTGGAGGAGAATTTTGAGACCAAACAAGGCTAGCGCGAGTGTATGTCTCTTTAAGTTTAGCTCGTGATGCTTTCGAGTACTGTAGATCGCTTTGAGACCCCTATTCTAGAATTTTGCAGTTCGGGTTACTGTAGCCACTAAATTCACTAGAGAATTTGAGTTACTGTAATTTCAGCCGAGTAAAAAGCCTAGGTTGCAGTTCGGGTTTTTGAGCAGTTTGGCGCCAAAAATTTGGGAATTTGCAGTTCGGGTTACTGTAGTTTTAACTTACTTTGATACTTTGATGGTCCATTATATCAAGCCATAATCATTGATCATAACTGTGAACCAGACAGCTCCATTGTGAACGATCTTGAGCCATTCGTGACCAGGGAATTTTGCTGGATATTATCCCGATCCTTCTTCTTCTGTCTCCACCGAGACCCAATAAATTTTGGTTGTGATTGTGGACTTTTGCTGCTTCTTTGATGTCGTCCACCCAGCGCTTTTTTGGTCTGCCTTTCCTTCTTGGATACTTATCTGGGAAGTCCGACAGTGTTATGATTTTGCAATATCTAGTCGGAGACATGCGCGCCACGTGGCCTGCCCATCTGATTTTTGTTTTCATAATCAAATTTGTCATATCTGGCGGATTACCGGCTCCAGCTTGCACCCAAATGTGGTTGATTGTTCTTTGAATGATTTCGACATCTTTGACCTTTGTGTTCCAAGTTTCTGCACCATAAATTGCAGCTGCAACAACACTTTGTTTCAGCAGTTGATTTTTTCTGGTCATTCCAATTCCACTCAACGCTTCGGCTATTCCGTGATAAGCAGCCCACGCTGATCTTTTCCGATTTGCGATTTCGGAGTCCAATGATCCGTCTTTCATGAAAATGCGGCCCAAATATTTTATCTGATCAACGTCTTCCAGTCTTTCTCCCCGGACCACAATGAACCTCTTGTCAGCTGCTTCATTTCGCAACACTTTTGACTTTGAAGTGTTGAATAATAATCCAGCTTCTTCACATTTCTTGGCGATGTTTTCAGCGCGTTTTTGGGCATCTTTGCTCGATGTATCGATCAACACCAGATCGTCTGCGAATAAAAGTCTTGAGATATACTGCCCGTGGATTTTGCACCCATAGTTTCCATCAAGGTCGTCTTCCGGGATCGGGTCAGCTTGTCTCAACAGATGATCCAACGCGATTGAGAATAGTGCTGGTGAGGATGAGTCGCCTTGACGGACTCCGCGTTCCATCGCAATTTTCATCTTCTCTCCGAGTACTGTTAACTCTCCGATTCCGACTTCATTTGCGCCTTTAATACACTCCAAATATTGTGGCCAGAATCCAGTTTCAATTACACTTTCTTGCACCGAATTCCAATCAACTGAGTCGAAAGCCGCCTTGAAATCGATGAACGTCAGAATCAATGGAAGCTTGTACTCATGACTTCTTTCCCACAAGATTGAAATCGATTGCAAATTGTCACTGCATGATCGTCGTGGTCTGAATCCGTGTTGACTTTCATCCAAGGTTTGTTCTGATTTGCCCATTAATCTTGAAGTCATAACTTTTGTGAAGATTTTACCAGGAATCGATAAAATCGATATTGGCCTGACGTCTTTTAGATGTTCTGGGTTTGGCTTTTTCTCAATCAATTTCAATCTGATGTTGTTCCAATCATCTGGTATTTCATCGTCGTCGATTATTTTGTTGAACGAATTAGTCAGACATTTTGCCACCAATTCTCCTCCATATTTTATCATATCCGCGCCAATTCCATCCAGGCCTCTGGCCGTGTTTACTTTCAAACTGCTTATTGCTCTCATAACTTCTGAGTTAGAAATTGGTAGTGGATTTCTGGTGGTTGATTGGATTTTTGTTGTTTTTGGACCGGTGCGTTCGAATTGTTTTTTGAAGTGGTTTTTAACAGCTTCACGGATTTTTGATCGATTCGAAGTTCTTGATCCATCTTGAAGAGTCAATCTTTGAAACAATTCCGACTTCTCTTCGATTCTTTTCTTCATCTTTTTCACGCTGGTTCTTTTGGCCACTGCTTCTTCAATTTTGCGACATCTCCAGTTTTCCAGATCTTTTTGATAGGATTCCCGAGTGATCTTACATATTTCTCGTTTTTCAAGAGCGGTTGCTTGGTTTGACGCCAAGATTCTGAATCTTTTCTCCAATAATTCACGAGTTTCTTGAGAAATCCTTGATTCTTTTGGTGTCGGAATTGAAGTGTGTTTTGCACATTCTTTCATAGTTTTGATGAGGTTACTGTAGTTTGCGCAGGTTGAATCGAGATTTGAATCGAGAGATCTTAAATATTCCAATTTATCTAGTTTCACAACTCGATCCATTCTTTCTCGTGGTCGTCTCAATTTTCTGGATATGTCTCGATGTGCTACATTTATAGTCAATCTCAACAATCGATGGTCGGATAGGTTGTAGTTGGAGTTGAAGGTGTTGATGTCGCGGATCATAAATCGTCTCGATTCTTTTATCATGAAATAATCAATCATCGATCTGGACTTCTCGTTTGGGCCTCTCCAGGTCCAATATGCTGATCTCTTCTTTTTGAAATGCGTGTTTAGTATCGCCAATCTTTTTGAGTTCGCGAAATCAATAAGCGATTCACCATTGTCGTTTCTTGTGATGGTTTTCAAGCCATATCTTCCAACGGTTGGGTGCTCTTGGGTAGATGTTTTCCCAATTACTCCATTGAAATCGCCACATACAATCCGAACCCAGTTATCTGCTACGCTGTTATAGGCTTTTGACGCCATTTTGTAGAATTTATCGACTTCGGTTTGTTTGGCGTTGTTAGTGGGTGAGTACATATTGAATAAAGCAAGGTTTGTTTCACCGATTTTTAGCTTCAGAATGGCTACTCGATCCGAACAGCTCACAACCTCTACTACTGATCTTCTGAATTTTTCTTTATCCAGAACCCGAGACCTCCGACTTTTTTGTTGATCATTTCGAGGAATATAAATTCATTTCCATCTTCTGTTATCAGTGAACATCCTTTGCTCATTCTAGTTTCCTGCAGTGCGATAAAATCACAACTAGAGTAGTTTGCCAAGTTGTTTTCAGCCTCTCTTTTCGATTCATTTGCCAAGGATCTGGTGTTGTGTGATCCTAACTTCAGACTCGATTTTTGGAGGTTTTGGCTGTTATTCCGTTTCCAGCGGCACCCCGGCAGCAACTGGCGCCTCCTCGGACTGGATGCCTTGAGCCCTTCGGAGGTTGATCGCCAGCGTAAGATCCATCCAATTTTCTATATTTTTGCTGTCTTTTGGAAATTGATGCCCAAATCCAGGTAACACGGGTTTCCAGCCCGGTTTTGGCCAATCAGCACCTTCATTCGATCTTTCCGGCCGAAGATTGTGGGCTTTTTTGTTGTCCTTTGGCCATAATATTGTAGAGCTTGATTGCATTGATCGAAATGCACGTGACAATAATATGTTTCCATCTCGAACCACGTGGAGGCGACAAACATGACGAGACTGGGCAACCCTTTGCCCGAAGAATTCTCACCAATCCACAATGGCGCCAAAATCAAAACCTTCTACACCAACACAGCAGTTCAGAACTCAGCACGGACCATCGACTATTTTCCGCAACTCAAAGCTCTAGCCTCCATCAAAACCGCGCAAGGTCAAATCGAATTTCGAACAAGTCTGGCGGGTGGTCCGAGTTCGCGCATCTCTCAAATCTCCGTCATCGAAGTCGACAAGAAAATCAATCAGAATCTGGGAGCCGGCGATTTGCGCGAGGATAAAATATCGATTGATTTGAGCGATTGTCATTGGTTGAGATTGTGGTTTGCCAAAGCGGATGCCACGTGGCAAAAATATAATGTGGATTTTGAGCCGGCGAATTCGATTGATTTCTTTTTGAATGAGGGATTTGTGATGTTGCCGGATAGGGGTAGGTTACTGTAGCTGCAAAATCCACGTTTTTTGACACCAAACAAGCCCAGGGTTACTGTAGTTCAAATTTTGTAGATCAAGGATTACTGTAGCTGAAAATCCACGTTTTTTGACACCAAACAAGCCTAGGTTTACTGTAAATTTTGGGCTAAAAATTCGAATTTTTCAAAAAATTTCTAGATCAAGGATTACTGTAGCTTTTTGAAATCTTTTTTTTGAATTTTCTAAATTTTTAGCGCGAAAAAAAACTAACCTGGAATTTTTTTCCAAAAAAAAAAATTGAGATTTTCAAAATTTTCTTTAAAAAAAAGGGCTTCTCCGAGCATTGCTCATATTAGGCCACAAAAAATGAATTTTTCCCATATAACATGAGCAATGCTCGAAATTTTGCAGAAAACGCTGCAATGCTTCCAACTTCCTCAAAAATCTCTCAAATCCACCTAAAATCCCATGGAAACGAGTTAGTCGAACTTCTCATCGGCTCCAAATCGATGCTCCATCCGATAACCTTCAAAACCCCGATGCTCAACTCGGCCGACTTCAAAATTTTCCTGATCCGCGCTCCGAAATGCGACGCCGTCTTCCGGATGACGCCCAAATTCACTCGCGGAAATTTGAAGATTTTCAACAATTTCCAACTTTCTGGCGCCAAAATTTATGCGATTCAGAAGAATTAGAGATGGATTACAGAAACTTGTTGATGTTTTTTGAATGAAGATTTTACTCAAAAATTGAATTTTTCACGCGGTGAGACCCAAAAATTGGAATATTTCGTGAAAATTTGGGTCTTGTGGCGACAAAAACTTTAGAATCTCATTTTTTAGAGAAAAATGGGTCTCGTAGCGACGAAAAATTAACGAGAGGGCGAAAGAACTACGGTATATATAATTTTTTTTCAAAATAAATATTTTCCGAGTTTCCCTTTTTTTGTACGTTTCAACGCTTTGAGATTTGATTCGATAGCATTCATAAACTTTGATATACCAGACGAAAATATAAAATCGTAAATTTCCTTCCGCTTTACTTTTTTATCAACCAGTTTGATAAAACTTGGGATTTCGGTGATCGAATTTAATTTCTGAATTTCTGGGAATGGATAAAGCTGGAAATTTGGAGCATTTTGATGTGCAACATGACTAGGTTTGCAGATTTTTGGGTTTTGGGGTCTTTTGGAGCCCTGGAAATGCTCCAAAATTAAAGTTTCGTTGTCCGAAAGTTGGGTCACCATTTTTAGAATGAAATTTGAAGCATTTTGATATCCCATAAGATATATTTTGTGAAAAGTTTGAAGCATTTTGAGCCAAGATGCAATTTTTCAAAAGTCAGGCTTTTGAGATCTCATTCAAACCCAAATTTCAAGCTGAATTCAAGTTTTCAGATGAATTTTTTGGAATTTTCAGATTCTCCTTGAAATTTGGAGCATTTTGAGCACTAACATAGGCGATGTTTCACAAAAAAAATTTGCAGGAAAAAATACGTTTCAAAATTTTTTGAAATTTTTAGTCCTCGTTTCGCGAATAATACTAGTTGTTCAAAATCCATAATTTTCAATAAAAAAAAACAAATGACCGAACCACAAATATTTTTAATAAAAAAGTGGATAAATCAATCAATAAATCAATCAGTTGGTTTTTTTAGTAAGTTGGAAAAAAAATCACGAAAAAATTGAAAATTCACTAATTTCCAATTGTGGGGCAATTCAAATTTTTTCATTTTCATGGATGTACCTTTTTTTTTAAAAAGTATAGCATTTTCTCTTCGTTTTGATGTTTTGATCGAGTAATTTGGTCAACTTTAATCCAAGTTTCAAATTTTTTGAAAGTTAAAAATCAAAAAAATTTCCCAAAAAACTTGTGTTAGAAATGTTCACTTTCAAAATTCCTTTTGTGTTTTTCAAACCCATGGGGGACCTACAGTATCCACATAGTTCCACCCTTTTTCGAGTGGAAAAAAGTGGACCGATTTCTGATTGGTGTTCTGATTGAATTGAAGAAATTTTGTCGGAAAAATGGAAAATATCGATGATTTGGAGCTTTATGCAAAACGCGCAATTTCATATTATAGACTTATTATCGGGTAAGTTCGACTAAAAATTTCAAAAAATTTTGAAACGTATTTTTTCCAGAATTTTTTTTTCATGAAACATCGCGCATGTTAGTGCTCAAAATGCTCCGAATTTCAAGGAGAATCTGAAAATTTCAGAAAATTCGTCTGAAAATTTGATGTCAGGCTGAAATTAGGGTTCTTATTTGTCGCTTACTAACTCTTCAGCTTCTTTTTTTGCTCCAAATTCCTATTTTTTTCTTGAAAAACACGTCAAGTTTTTTCAGCAAAAAAAATTGAGATGATTTTGAGATCCGCGCCTGTATTTTAGTTTTTCCTTTTTCTGCCAAACCAAAAATTCTCTAAATCTTTCACATTTTTGATATTTTAGTGTTACAATTCAATTTTCAGATTATTGGATATGAATTGTATGCAATTTACCAAACAAAAAAATTTTCAAAAAAAAAAAAATTTCAAAAAATTTTGAAACGTATTTTTTCCAGAATTTTTTTTCATGAAACATCGCCCATGTTAGTGCTCAAAATGCACCGAATTTCAAAAAGAATCTGAAAATTTCAGAAAATTCATCTGAAAATTTGAATTCAGGCTGAAATTTGGGTTTGAATGATATCTCAAAAGCCTAATTTTTGAAAAATTGAATCTTGGCTCAAAATGCTCCAAATTTTTCATATTTGAGCTCAAAATGCTCCGAATTTTAAGGCAAATCTGAAAATTATCTCAAAAATCAGCTTTTGGTTGTGGCAGTAAAGTGAAGATGCAATATACCATTTGACATATTCGAAATGACTCGCATAAAGTATTGGAAATGCAACCCGGTCGATGTTGTATCGATTTGGTCCGAAATGTCTCAATATATACCCAATATAGTGATCAACTATAGAGATTTCCAAGAATATCGTGATGTAAGTGAAAACAAAATCAAACACAACAGCAACTGTATTTTTTCAGAAATTGAATGAAATGAAAACAAGTGAAGTATTCAAAAAATTGATTGATTGATGGAAAAGTGAAGCGGAAGGAGATCTCAATGCGTTGAAACGTATAAAAAAGGGAAACGCGAAAATTATTTTTTTGAAAAAAAAATGTTATACCGTAGTTCTTTCGCCCTCTCGTTAACTTTTCGTCGCTACCAGACCCATTTTTTCTAAAAAAAAAATGAGAAAATTTTTGAATTAACATGAGCAATATTCGAAATTTTCTTCAGAAAACACTGCATGTTTCCTACTTGTTTTTTTCCCTTAAAATCTTCTTTTTCATCATTTTCTGATCAAAATGCGCTAAAAAATCGTCGAAAAAACCTGAGAATGAAAAAAACAACGACACTCCGCTGTTGCCTGCAGTTTAGCCACGCACATTTTCAAATTTTCATTTTCTTTTTTTTCCCGCGTGTTCCAGAAAAAATGGATTTAAAACGAAAAATCAGTGCTGAATCGGAAAATGATGGGAATCCGGAGAAAAAGCTGAAAATGCTGGAAAATGTCATTGCCTCTTTTGGTTGTCGACAAGGAGAACGCGAAGAAATGCAAGATTATCATGTTTTGACCAGGAAATTCGACCTGGGAAAGGGATTTTTGTGAGTTTTTTGATTTTTAGATGTATTAGGGTGGTGTGCGATGGAGCGCAGTTTGATTTTCATGAAAATTTTGAAGGGTTTTCGGCGATTTTCATGAAAATTGACTGAAAACATGAAAATCTTGATGGAAATCATGCAAATTCGCTCTATTGACAATTTTGGGCGGCCCAGATCATTAATGGGGCAGATTTGCATCATTTAAACCTGCAAATTCGCTCTATTGATAAACCAGACCGCCCAAGATTATCAAAAGAGCAAATTTGCATAAAAATCTCCAATTTCCACCAAAAATGTGCATTTTTGCAGGCACCGTTGCTCATTTTTCGCCATTTTCGATGGTCACGCTGGTTCGCGAGCCGCCCGATTTTGTCAGCAAAAAATGGAGCACGAAATTAGGCAAAAATTAGAAAAGTGTAGGTAAGTGGGGCTTTGCCACGTGGCAAACAAGTTTCCTAACTGAAATTAACGGATTTTCAGATGAGAAAAATCCAAACCCTTTCATTTTCAAAAACAATAAAGAAAAACGAGTAAATAATTGTCCGAGTATTTTAGGGTTTCAAGTTTGCATCATACGTATATTTCAATGGTGGATAAGTCCATTCGGCGAGTTTTGTGCAATGAACAGGGAAACTGTATTGACATCTGTAAATAGAAACATCTCAATGATTTGCTAGGAAAACAAAGCTATTGAACAAACCCCCAGTCATGAATCCAGTTTCCTGCATGAACGTTATCATTATGAATCGTGGTGCAATATTCAGCAGAACCCTCTGGTTGATTCCAAAGAAGTCCGTCTTGTTTCAAAAATGTCATGCCATTTTCCGTTGTCATTTTATCATCGTCATAGAAAATGCGCGAAATGTGACAATTAGTACCTTCTGCACCATTAGCATGCCGACATTCTTGACGTTTTTTGAGTCCAAGCCAACCGGTTCCACTATCTAAAAAACATTTTTTGTATTTTCATCAAAATCCAGTTAGCAAATCAAAACTCACTCTTAATTTTCATCATCTCGTCGTGATCATTCCAGCCTCCCAAATATGCACCACGTTTTGCGCAAATTTCTCTCGCCTGCTCACGATTTACCGATTGTTCGATTCGAATATGACAAGCACGTGTACCATCAGTTCGTTCAAATGTCCAAAATCCTTGTGGACAGCTTCCCATAGTTGGTACACCACGAAACATGAAATCGCACAAGAATGGAGCGGCTTTGCGGCGAGTTTGTTGGAACATGTAATTTGTGTCGTCATCTGATTCACCACGAACCAACAAATATACGGCTAATGCGAATTCTTTAGGGCTGGCATTTGTCTCACACAGGCGACATTTTGATATATCATAATCTCCACCATAAAACCATTGAGTCTTCTTGGTACCACAGTTAGTCATGTTTGTGTTTGGTTCTTTCCACGCACTCGAAGCTGAACACCACCAATAACGATTTACACATACACGAAACGGCGCCAAAAACAGCATATTTTCCTTCATTCGCCCAGCAAGAACTTTCATTTGTATTTTGGTTGGATCGAAAAGTTTGGCATTGCTGGGATCTGCTAACGCACTTAACGATGCTTTGCATTGATTTTGATGATCTTTGAATATGCTGCCATGTCTGAAAAAACGAATTTCCTCAAAACAACCGGAAAAAACCCTAAAAAACTGAAAAATAAAAAAAATGCACAGCTGATTTGTGTGCTACCGTATTTCGGTGCGTTCTTGAAGCGAAGAGTCAATTTTTTTCATTTTTTTATTTACGGAGCCTAGTTTTTTTTCGTTTTTTCAAGCTCTTTTGGCTAAATTTCAGAAAAACTCACATCATAAAATCAGGCATTGGATGATTGAAAGTGCGCCAAGCGACAAATTGCCCACTTATAACCGCTGGATGAATAAATGGCTGCCAAATTTTGATTTTTGCACTCAATGACATATAGGTATCTTCAGGAACATATTCGCAAATCACCATGGCTAAATCATCATCGCCGATCTTTATCAAACTGCCATATCGAACATTGAAAAACTCCGAAGTCAAATATGAAACAGCATAATTGGGACCAGTGTCGAGGGCAGCTTCTATGAATCTTTGACCTTCTGGTGCAACTCTTGCCCAGACTGTTGTCAAATCTTCGAAGAAATGTTGAATCCAATCTCCAAGTTTGTCATCGGTATGAAAATAAAGCGAGTGTTCCCGCGAATTTCCCGCCGAATCTCTACACATTTTCTCGCCTTCCTGATATGTTTTGGCGTGGTGGAACATTTTGTAGCATTTTCCGCGGATTTGAGTGTAAGCGGGTCGACAGATGAATAGATTTTCAAAGTCGCATTGAATAAAGCCTTGAGTGTTGCGGCCGGATTTGGTGAGATGAAATGGTCCGAGTGATTTGCATGAGAGTTCAGCTTCTGCGTCACTGCTGGCGTAGATCCCGGCGAAATTCGCTTCTTTACATTCTTCACCTTGGGTTAGAATCTGGAAAATAGAACATATTATCGATACCACGCGCTCCACTGAAATAAACACGCACCGCAGACCGCGTCGCGCCACAACACACAAATAAGGAGGGAATTTAAATCGTTCCCTATTTGTGTGTTGTGGCGCGGCGCGGTCTGCGTTGCGTGTTTATTTCGGTGGATAATCGGATGCTGAGCTATGACGTGGCAAGGTCTACTCACCCCATTAATCGGATTATGATAGACTAGTTGTCCGCCAGCATAACTGCAGAAATCTGCGAAACTCTTGTCCACGATTTTCATCTCGGCAGCCAATCCCACTCCAAATCCAACGCATAGCAATATCAGCAGCTTCATCCTTGAATTATGATTGTCCCAGAGCATTTTCCACGATTTAAATAGCCCTCCAAATTAGGTCAGGTCAAATGACGTGGAGGTCGCGGCCCCTGTGGTATAAAATGAGAAGCGGAACGGGGGAAACGCTCATAAATGCTGCTGGCTCTTCTCTTTCCGCTTGCTTCCATCGTCTACGCGGATATTCCGCCTGCTGAACTGCAGAACTTCAGCGCCACCATTGATGTTCTTGCTGGCACCTTCGATGCGGTGAATTCGAACGATGGATTCGCCACGTTGGCATCGATTGCGTACACAGGAGATGGGTCAACTCCGAGAAGCATGATGGAGATTCAATTTTCCCCGCCCGAATTTTGTCAAGCTGTGAAGATTTGCGTCACAGAGAAGGTGAGTTTTGAGAAGACCAAGCCGCTGAAAATCCAATCGGAATTTTGTGAGAAAAATTGGATGACATATCAACCACCGACGGGGAAGATCGAGGTGTTTTTCGATGGAAATCTGATGTTTCAAGGGTTTACCGGTGAACTGAAGTGGAAAAATCGCAATTTCTCATATTCGGATGGCTTGTTTTGGACCACCAAGTTGTATGAGACGAAAAGTGCGGTGTTTGGTGAAAAGTTGGCGCAGAAGATGTTGGTGATATTCACCAACAGTCGACAATGTCATCCACAAGTTCGGGTTGATGGGAAAGCGAGTCGAGTGGATTTTTTGTTGTCGCAGTGAGTTTGGGAGTACTGTAGATCGCTGCGGGACCCAGTGAGGAGAATTTTGATACCAAACAAGCCTTCGAGCGGAGCGAGTGTATGTCCCTTTAAGTTTAGCTACAGTATCCCATGGTTTTTTAAATTACTGTAGATCGCTGCGGGACCCAGCGAGGAGAATTTTGAGACCAAACAAGCCTTCGAGCGCGTTAGCGCGAGTGTAGATCAAAATTCCGCAAAAGCGGTTCGAGCGGAGCGAGTGTATGTCCCTTTAAGTTTAGCTACAGTAACCCATGTTCCTTTAGAATACTGTAGCCAAAAATTTGGGAATTTGTAGTTCGAGTACTGTAGTTTTATATTTAGAGGTAGATTACTGTAGTTTTCCCAAGTTTTGTAGAGCAAAAATTACAGTATATTTACAAACCAAGCCTAGGATTACTGTATTTATGAAATTTTGTAGATGAAAAAATTACTGTAGCTGAAAATCCACGTTTTTGGACACCAAAGGGTACTGTATACCAAAAATTCAAGATTTTTTCCAGGAACATGGGCAACCCTTTGCCCGAAGAATTCTCACCAATCCACAATGGCGCCAAAATCAAAACCTTCTACACCAACACAGCAGTTCAGAACTCAGCACGGACCATCGACTATTTTCCGCAACTCAAAGCTCATAGCTCCATCAAAACCGCGCAAGGTCAAATCGAATTTCGAACAAGTCTGGCGGGTGGTCCGAGTTCCCGTATCTCTCAAATCTCCGTCATCGAAGTCGACAAGAAAATCAATCAGAATCTGGGAGCCGGCGATTTGCGCGAGGATAAAATATCGATTGATTTGAGCGATTGTCATTGGTTGAGATTGTGGTTTGTGGCCAAAGCGGATGCCACGTGGCAAAACTATAATGTGGATTTTGAGCCGGCGAATTCGATTGATTTTTTCTTGAATGAGGGATTTGTGATGTTGCCGGATAGGGGTAGGTTACTGTAGCTGAAAATCTACGATTTTTGAAACCAAGCGAGCCTAGGTTTACTGTAGATTTTAGGCCAAAAATTCGAATTTTTCAAAAATTTCTAGATCAAGGATTACTGTAGTTGAAAATCCACGTTTTTTGACACCAAACAAGCCCAGGGTTACTGTAGTTCAAATTCTGTAGATCAAGGATTACTGTAGCTGAAAATCCACGTTTTTTGACACCGAACAAGCCCAGGGTTACTGTAGTTCAAATTTTGCTGCCAAATTTTGTAGATCAAGGATTACTGTATCTGAAAATCCACGTTTTTGGACACCAAGCGAGCCTAGAGTTACTGTAGATTTTGGGCCAAAAATTCGAATTTTTCAAAAATTTCTAGATCAAGGATTACTGTAGCTGAAAATCCACGTTTTTTGACACCAAACAAGTCTAGGGTTACTGTACATCGCACTATTTTTGTGGAAACTTCAAAAATTCAAAAATTTTTAGGGTTACTCCGAGCATTGCTCATATTAGGCCACAAAACATGAATTTTTCCCATATAACATGAGCAATGCTCGAAATTTTGCAGAAAACGCTGCAATGCTTCCAACTTCTTCAAAAATCTCTCAAATCCACCTAAAATCGCACGGAAACGAGTTAGTCGAACTTCTCATCGGCTCCAAATCGATGCTCCATCCGATAACCTTCAAAACCCCGATGCTCAACTCGGCCGACTTCAAAATTTTCCTGATTCGCGCTCCGAAATGCGACGCCGTCTTCCGGATGACGCCCAAATTCACTCGCGGAAATTTGAAGATTTTCAACAATTTCCAACTTTCTGGCGCCAAAATTTATGCGATTCAGAAGAATTAGAGATGGATTACAGAAACTTGTTGATGTTTTTTGAATGAAGATTTTACTCAAAAAATTGAATTTTTCACGCGGTGAGACCCAAAAATTGGAATATTTCGTGAAAATTTGGGTCTTGTGGCGACAAAAACTTTAGAATCTCATTTTTTAGAGAAAAATGGGTCTCGTAGCGACGAAAAATTAACGAGAGGGCGAAAGAACTACGGTATATATAATTTTTTTTCAAAATAAATATTTTCCGCGTTTCCCTTTTTTTATACGTTTCAACGCATTGAGATTTGATTCGATAGCATTCATAAACTTCGATATACCGCTCGAAAACATGAAATCGTAAATTTCCTTCCGCTTAACTTTTTTATCAACCAGTTTGATAAAACTTGGGATTTTGGTGATCGTATTCAATTTCTGAAAAAATACATTTGCTATTATATTTGATTTTGTTTTCAATTACATTTCTGAATCGTTGAAAATCAGTTTCAGAACAATATCCACGTGAATTCTCAAAGCCAAAAAATTCGAAAAAAATACGTTTCAAAATAATCATTTATTCCGTTAACTTTATGCGATTCGTTTCAAAAGGAATATTTCTACGTCTGTTTACTGAAACAACCAAAAGATGTGATTTGATATTTTCATTATGATAAATAGAATATAATTCGAATCCAATAATCTGAAAATTGAATTGTAACACTAAAATTTCACAAAAGTGAAAGATTTAGAGAATTTTTGGTTTTGCTGAAAAAGGTTGTTACGTTGTCGTTTATTCTGAACTTCGAAAGGATTTAAGTGGTTAAAAACCACTTTTTACAAACAAGAAATAAGACAAGAATTTGAAATGCAACCGATTTATTGATCGAAAATCATTTTATAATAAGATGGAGACGGTTTAAGATCGTCCAGAGACAAAACAAACTACTAAAGAACATTTTGAGCCAAGATTCAATTTTTTTCAAAAGTTAGGTTTTTGAGATATCATTCAAACCCAAATTTCAAGCTGAATTCAAGTTTTCAGATTATTTTTCTGAAATTTTCAGATTCTCCTTGAAATTTGGAGCATTTTGAGCACTAACATGGGCAATGTAAAAATGACCGAACCACAAATATTTTTAATAAAAAATGGATGAATCACTAGAATCGAATCGGGTAAGTTCGACTAATAATTTCAAAAAATTTTGAAACGTATTTTTTCCGGAAATTTTTTTTTGTGATACATTGGTTATGTTAGTGCTCAAAATGCTCCAAATTTCAGGGTGAATCTGAAAATTTCAGAAAATTCATCTGAAAATTTGAATTCAGGCTAAAATTAGGGTTCTTATTTGTCGCTTACTAACTCTTTAGTTTCTTTTTTTGCTCCAAATTCGGCCAATTTCCTATTCGTGCTGTTTGTGTTTATGAGTCCCTGATTACGATTTCCAAGCCAAAAGCTTTCCAAAACCTTTTTCTGCCAAACCAAAAATTCTCTAAATCTTTGACTTTTGTGATATTTTAGTTTTACAATTCAATTTTCAGATTATTGGATTTGAGTTATATGCAATCTACAGAACAAAAAAATTTTCAAGGAAAAAAATTTCAAAAAATTTTGAAACGTATTTTTTTCAGAAATTTTTTTTGATGAAACATCGCGCATGTTAGTGCTCAAAATGCTCCGAATTTCAAGAGGAATCTGAAAATTTCAGAAAATTCATCTGAAAATTTGAATTCAGGCTGAAATTTGGGTTTGAATAATATCTCAAAAGCCTAATTTTTGAAAAATTGAATCTTGGCTCAAAATGCTCCAAACTTTTCAAATTTGAGCTCAAAATGCTCCAAATTTCAAGGCAAATCTGTGACCCGGTTTCAGTTGTGCCGTAAAAATTTATGCGATTCAGAAGAATTAGAGATGGATTACAGAACTTGTTGATGTTTTTTGAATGAAGATTTTACTCAAAAATTGAATTTTTTCACGCGGTGAGACCCAAAAATTGGAATATTTCGTGAAAATTTGGGTCTTGTGGTGATAAATCACATACAGTACCCCAAATTTCGCTGCAAGACCCCAACATGATGTTCACACTCATTCTGAACCAAATTTCATAAAACAAAAATGGGATTTCGAGTATTGCTCATGTTAATTCAAAAACTTTCTCATTTTTTAGAAAAAAAATGCCGAGTGTATTTTTTGGAGTTGGAGTGAAACTTTATTTTAAGTTTCAGAAAAATATTCACGTGATTTCTCAAATCCAAAAAATTTAGAAAAATTCGAAAAAAAAATACGTTTCAAAATTAATTATTTATTCCGTACCAAAATTAAACATTTAATTATTTTTGTTTTTTCTTAAAATTACTCAAAATGGATTCTCCTCCGTGGTTCTTGATGAAATTCATCAAATTTTAGCTGAAAATGCTCCACAGTCTGAAATTTTCAGAAAATTTGAATTCAGCCTGAAATTCGGGTTCCAATGATATCAGATTTTCCAAAAATTTTTGAATTTTTGCTCAAAATGCTCCAAATTTCCTGAAATTTATCAAATTTGTACTGAAAATTCTCCAAATTCTATGGAAAATCTGAAAATTTCAAATTTTCAGCACAAAATTTCAGCCTGAAAACGCTTTGGCCTGATATTTATTGTCAAAATTTGAAAATTTGATATTTTTTTTCTGAAAAAAATGTTCTAAACCCAAATTTTGTGCTGAAAATGATGGAAATGCTGAAAATTTCTGGAAAAAATCGGAAATCGTAGATTTTGTGGATGGGAATGGAGAGAGCTGGAAATTTGGAGCATTTTGATGTGCAACATGATTAGGTTTGCAGATTTTTGGGTTTTGGGGTCTTTTGGAGCCCTGGAAATGCTCCAAAATTGAAGTTTCGTGGTCCGAAAGTTGGGTCACTATTTTCAGAATGAAATTTGGAGCATTTTGATACTCCATAAGATATATTTTGTGAAAAGTTTGAAGCATTTTGAGCCAAGATTCAATTTTTCAAAAGTTAGGCTTTTGAGATATCATTCAAACCCAAATTTCAGCCTGAAATCAAATTTTCAGATTATTTTGTTGAAATTTTCAGATTCTCCTTGGAATTCGGAGCATTTTGAGCACTAACATGGGCGATGTTTCACAAAAAAAATTTCTGGAAAAAATACGTTTCAAAATTTTTTGAAATTATTAGTCGATAATTTGCAAATAATACCAATTGTTCAAAATCCATAATTTTCAATAAAAAAAACAAATGACCGAACCACAAATATTTTTAATAAAAAAGTGGATAAATCAATCAATCAATCGGTTGGCTTTTTATAGTGAGTTGGAAAAAAAATCACGAAAAATTGAAAATTCACTAATTTCCAATTTTGGGGCAATTAAAATATTCTCATTTTCATGGATGTACTTTTTTTTAAAAAGTATAGCATTTTTGCTTCGTTTTGATGTTTTTATCGAGTAATTTGGTCAACTCTAACCCAAGTTTCAATTTTTTGAAAGTTAAAAATCAAAAAAATTTCCCAAAAAACTTGTGTTAGAAATGTTCACTTTCAAAATCCCTTTGGTGTTTTTCAAACCCATGGGGGACCTACAGTATCCGCATAGTTCCACCTTTTTTCGAGTGGAAAAAAAAGGGTCGATTTCTGATTGGTGTTCTGATTGAATTGGAGAAATTTTGTCGGAAAAATGGAAAATATCGAAGATTTGGAGCTTTATGCAAAACGCGGAATTTCATATTATCGACTTATTATCGGGTAAGTTCGACTTAAAATTTCAAAAAATTTTGAAACGTATTTTTTCCAGAATTTTTTTTTCATGAAACATCGCCCATGTTAGTGCTCAAAATGCTACGAATTTCAAGGAGAATCTAAAAATTTCAGAAAATTCGTCTGAAAACTTGAATTGAGTTTGAAATTAGGGTTTTTATTTGTCGCTTACTAACTCTTTAGCTTATTTATTTGCTCCAAATTCGGCCAATTTTCTATTCGTGCTGTTTGTGTTTATGAGTCTCCGATTTTCCAGGCCGAAAGTTTCCCAAAACCTTTTTCTGCCAAACCAAAAATTCTCTAAATCTTTCACATGTTTGATATTTTAGTGTTACAATTCAATTTTCAGATTATTGGATTCGAATTGTATGTTTTATATCAAACAAAAAAATTTTCAAGAAAAAAAAAATTTGAAACGTATTTTTTCCAGAATTTTTTTTTGTGAAAAATTGCTCAAGTTAGTGCTCAAAATGCTCCGAATTTCAAGGCAAATAAAATATTTTTCGCGTTTCCCTTTTTTTTTACGTTTCAACGGATTGAGATTTGATTCGATAGCATTTATAAACTTCGATACTCCACTCGAAAATATAAAATCGTAAATTTCCTTCCGCTTTACTTTTTTATCAACCAGTTTGATAAAACTTGGGATTTCGGTGATCGCATTTAATTTCTGAAAAAATACAGTTGCTATTATATTTGATTTTGTTTTCAATTACATTTCTGAATTGTTTCTTTTTTTTTTTGAAAACACGGGACCTTTCCTAATTTTTCACATCTCATTCCTCTTAATTTTTCCATTTATTTTGGCTTCATGGGACCAAATGGGAATCATTTATTAAATCAACCAATTTTTTATCTATCTATTTTTCTCTGAAATTGTATACATGAGTTCATAAACTTCAGAATCTCATTTTTTTAGAAAAAAATGCCAAGCGGATTTTTTGGAGTTGGAGCAAAACTTTATTTCAAGTTTTAGAAAAATATCCACGTGAATTCTCAAAGCCAAAAAATTTAGAAAAATTCGAAAAAAAATACGTTTCAAAATTAATAATTTATTCCGTTCCAAAATTAATATTTTGTTTATTTGTTTTTTTTCTTAAAATAAATCAAAATGGATTCTCCTATGTGGTTCTTGATGAAATTCATCAAATTTTAGCTGAAAATGCCGCAGATTCCAAGGAGAGTCTGAAATTTTCAGAAAATTTGAATTCAGCCTGAAATTCGGATTCTGATAATATCCGATTTTCGAAAAATTTTTGAATTTTGGCCCAAATGCTCCAAATTCTATGGCAAATCTGAAAATTTCAAATTTTCAGCACAAAATTTCAGCCTAGAAACGTTTTGGCCTGATATTTGGTGTCAAAATTTCAAATTTTGGTATTTTTTCCGAAAAAATTGTTCTAGACCCAAATTTTGTGCTGAAAATCATGGAAACCGTGAAAATTTCTGGAAAAAAATAGGAAATCGTAGATTTTGTGGATGGGAATGGAAAGAGCTGGAAATTTGGAGCATTTTGAGCCAAGATTAAATTTTTCAAAAGTTAGGCTTATGAGATATCATTCAAACCCAAATTTCAAGCTGAATTCAATTTTTCAGATTATTTTTTTGGAATTTTCAGATTCTCCTTGAAATTTGGAGCATTTTGAGCACTAACATGGGCGATGTTTCATGAAAAAAAATTCTGGAAAAAATACGTTTCAAAATTTTTTGAAATTTTTAGTCGAACTTACCCGATTATTACTTTGTAATAACTATTTCCTCGTTTTGCAAATAATACTAATTGTTCAATATCCATAATTTTCAATAAAAAAAAACAAATGACCGAACCACAAATATTTTTAATAAAAAAGTGGATAAATCAATCAATCGGTTGGATTTTTATAGTGAGTTGGAAAAAAAAATCACGAAAAAATTGAAAATTCACTAATTTCCAATTTTGGGGCATTTAAAATTTTTTCATTTTCATGAATGTACCTTTTTTAAAAAGTATAGCATTTTCTCTTCGTTTTGATGTTTTGATCGAGTAATTTGGTCAACTCTAACCCAAGTTTCAATTTTTTGAAAATTCAAAATCAAAAAATGTTCACTTTCAAAATCCCTTTGGTGTTTTTCAAGCCCATGGGAGGGACCTACAGTATCCGCATAGTTCCACATTTTTTCGGTTAGAAAAAAATGGGCCGATTTCTGATTACGTGATATTTTGCCACAATTGAAACAAAAAAAAAATATTGGTGGATTTTTGGAATTGGAGTTGAATTATTTGGTGTTCTGATTGAATTGGAGAAATTGTATCGGAAAAATGGATAATATCCAAGAGTTGATGTTATTTGCAAAACAAGGAAATAGATTCTATAAAGTAATAGTCGGGTAAGTTCGACTAAAAATTTCAAAAAATTTTGAAACGTATTTTTTCCAGAATTTTTTCATGAAACATCGCCCATGTTAGTGCTCAAAATGCTCCGAATTTCAAAAAGAATCTGAAAATTTCAGAAAATTCATCTGAAAATTTGAATTCAGGCTGAAATTTGGGTTTGAATGATATCTCAAAAGCCTAATTTTTGAAAAATTGAATCTTGGCTCAAAATGCTCCAAATTTTTCATATTTGAGCTCAAAATGCTCCGAATTTTAAGGCAAATCTGAAAATTATCTCAAAAATCAGCTTTTGGTTGTGGCAGTAAAGTGAAGATGCAATATACCATTTGACATATTCGAAATGACTCGCATAAAGTATTGGAAATGCAACCCGGTCGATGTTGTACGCTTATAGATGCCAAAATCGTGAGAAAAGAAGTTTACACTTTCATATTTTCGAGTGGTGTTGAGAATTATCGGTACCGTAACAAATTCATGAAATCGATTGAAACTAAATTATCATCGAAAACGGCGGATAATCTCAATGCGTTGAAACGTACAAAAAAAGGGAAACACGAAAATTATTTTTTTGAAAAAAAAAATGATATACCGTAGTTCTTTCCCCCTCTCGTAAATTTTTCGTCGCCACGAGACCCACTTTTTTTTCTAAAAAATGAGAAAGTTTTTGAATAAACATGAGCAATATTCGAAATTTTCTTCAGAAAACACTGCATGTTTCCCACCTGTTTTTTTTGTGATTGTTTTCTACTTGTTTTTTCCCTTAAAATCTTTTTTCATCATTTTCTGATCAAAACGAGCTAAAAATCGCCGAAAAAACCTGGAAATGAAAAAAAAACAACGACACTCCGCTGTTGCCTGCAGTTTAGCCACGCGCATTTTCAAATTTTCATTTTCTTTTTTTTTCCCGCGTGTTCCAGAAAAAATGGATTTAAAACGAAAAATCAGTGCTGAATTGGAAAATGATGGGAATCCGGAGAAAAAGCTGAAAATTCTGGAAAATGTCATCGCCTCTTTTGGTTGTCGACAAGGAGAACGCGAAGAAATGCAAGATTATCATGTTTTGACCAGGAAATTCGACCTGGGAAAGGGATTTTTGTGAGTTTTTTGATTTTTAGATGTATTAGGGTGGTGTGCGATAGAGCGCAGTTTGATTTTCATGAAAATTTTGAGGGTGTTCCGGCGATTTTCATGAAAATTGACTGAAAACTTGAAAATCTTGATGTAAATCATGCAAATTTGCTCTAATGATAATTTTGGGCGGTCCAGATCATCAATAGGGCAGATTTGCATCATTTAAACCTGCAAATTCGCTCTATTGATAATCCAGACCGCCCAAGATTATCAATAGAGCAAATTTGCATGAAAATCTCCAATTTCCACCAAAAATGTGCATTTTTCCAGGCACCGTTGCTCATTTTTCGCCATTTTCGATGGTCACGCTGGTTCGCGAGCCGCCCGATTTTGTCAGCAAAAAATGGAGCACGAAATTAGGCAAAAATTAGAAAAGTGTAGGTAAGTGGGGCTTTGCCACGTGGCAAACTTGTTTCCTAACTGAAAATTGTGGATTTTCAGATGAGACATTGGGAGATATGCAAAAATCGATGAAAATGGTGTTTGTGGAGGCGTTCAGGAAGGTCGATGAGGAATTTTGTGGGAAAGCGAAGACCGAGTGAGGATTTTTGACCCGGAAAATGCAAATTCGCTCTATTGAACAACAAAAATCTGAAATAAATGTCGCAAATACGCTCTATAGCAATTTTGGCGCCCAAATTAGGTTTGGAGCGCATTTGCAGCTTTGAGATGGACTTTTGAATTTTTGAGAAGGTGCTCTAGTTGTTCATTGGAGCGAATTTGCTTTTTTTTAATTATTTTTAACGCAAAAATGATGAAAATGCAACTGCGCTCTAATGAACAACTGGATAATCAGTGAAAAATTCAAATTTATCAAAAAATATATGGGTTTTGACGTCAGAACCTCAAAAATCGACGTCTAAACCGATTTTTGCGCTAAAGTGATGGAAAATGCAAATGCGCTCTATGGAACAACTAGAAAAGCATAAAAATTCGAATTTTCCCATAAAATAGCACTAAAATTGCAAATTTCCGGGTTTCTGAGTTAAAAATGCAAATGCGCTCTAATGAACAGTTAGAAAATCAGTGAATATTTCAAATGTATCTAAATCTCCGATGTTTAGCATTGAGACCGCCAAAATCCACGTCATAACCTAGAAAATCACTAAATTTTGTCAAAAATCCACGTCATAACTCATTTCTATCACTAAAATGATGAAAAATACAGGAAAATCAGCAACATTTTCAAATTTTCTAGGTTTTGTTGTAAAAAATGCAAATGCGCTCCAATGAACAACGAGAAAATCACTAAAATTTTCAAAAATCCACGTCATAACCACATTTTCCGCTTTCAGGAAGCCTGTATGGAAAGACGGCACCACAGCCACAACAATGCTTTTGCTCAACGAAACGCTCTACGTGGCAAACATCGGGGATACGCGTGCGATTGTCGCGCGGCGCAAATCCGCCGCCGCCGCTTCCGCTTCCGCTTCCGCGTCTCCGCAACAACTCACCGCCATCCCCCTCACCATAGATCACTCACCAATGTTGCACGCGGAACGAATGCGGATACAAGCGCAAGGCGGATGCGTCAAGGATGGAAGGGTGAATGGTGTGATTGAGGTGTCGCGCTCGATTGGTGATTTGGGCTTGAAGAGCGCGGGTTTGACGAGTTTGCCGGATTTGAAGAAGTTGACGTTGACCAAGGATGATTTGTGAGTGGTTTTGGGGGAAATTTGGAGGTTTTTGATGTAAAAATCATGAAAAATGGCCTAGAATTGCTCTAGATGGCTAGAAATCCAAAAAATTACCCTCAAATTTGGTCTTTGACCTGAAAATCATGAAAAATGGCCTAGAATTGGTCTAGATGGCCTAGAAAACTAACTATTCGACTTTGGTGGCCTAGCAATCCAAAAATATGATTCTGAAAGCCTAGAATTGCTCTAGATTGCCTAGAAATCCAAAAAATTACCCTGAAATTTGGTTTTTAACCTGAAAATCATAAAAAAAGGCCTAGAATTGCTCTAGATGGCCTAGAATTGCTATAGATGGCCTAGAAACCCAAAAATTCGACTCTGGCGGCCTAGAAATCCAATAGCTTGATTCTGATGGCCTAGAAACTCAAAATTTGGGTTCTGGTGGCCTAGAAATCCAAAAATTTGAATTAGTAACTAGAAAATCATAAAAAATGGCCTAGAATTGATCTAGATGGCTTAGGAAACCAAATATTTGATTCTGGTGGCCTAGAAAACCAAAAATCCGAATTGGCAATCTGAAAATCATGATAAATGGCCTAGAATTGCTCTAGATGGCCTAGAAAGCCAAAAAATCCATTCTGGTGGACTAGTAATCTAAATTTTTACTTGAAAATCATAAAAAACGCCTAGAATTAGTCTAGATGGCCTAGAAAACCAACTATTCGATTTTGCTGGCCTAGAATTGCTCTAGATGGCCTAGAAACCCAAAAAGATGATTCTGAAAGCCTAGAATTGGTCTAGATGGCCTGGAAATCCAAATTTGTGATTCCCGTGGCCTAGAAAACCAAAAATTCAATTTTTGTGACCTAGAAATCCAATTGCTTCATTTTGGTGGCCTAGAATTGCTCCAGAGGGCCTAGAAATCCAAAAATTGGATTCTGGTGGCCTAGAAAACCAAAAATCCGAATTGACAATCTGAAAATCATGATAAATGGCCTAGAATTGCTCTAGATGGCCTAGAAACCCGAATGTTGGATTCGGGTGGCCGAGAAACCCAAAATTTCGAAATTGATAGCCTAGAATTGCTCTAGATGGCCTAGAAAACCAACGATTGGATTCTGGTGGCCTAGAAACCCAAATATTTGATTCTGGTAGCCTAGAACTGCTATAGATGGCCTAGAAAACCAAATATTGGATTCGGGTGGCCTAGAAATCCAATCGCTTCATTCTGATGGCCTAGAAATTCAATAACTTCATTCTGATGGCCTAGAAATCCAAAAATTCGACTCTGGTGGCCTAGAAATCCAATAGCGTTATTCTGATGGCCTAGAAAACCAAAAATTGGATTCTGGTGGACTATAATTGCTCTCGGTGGCCTAGAAAACCAACCATGGCCTAGAAACCCCAAAAATCTGCAATTTTCACAAAAAAAATCGTCATTTATTTACAAAAATATACAAAATTTGTCAAAATCCATCAACACTCAAATCGAGTGTCCCTCAATTTCCGAAATCGAATCCGGCAACGACTTTCCCCGCGTCTCCGGAAGACACGCGGAAGCGGTAAACGCGGCAGCAAACGCCAAAAACGTGAACGGCACAATCATACACCAACTACCGTACCTTTCGACCAGAAAAAATGCGATAAATGAGGCGAGAATTGCGCCGAATCGCGCGATTGTCGAACAACAACCGATTGCGGTGTTGCGGATTACGGTAGGGAATAATTCGGAGGTATAAGTGTACATTACGGTGTAGGCGGTGGTGACGCAAGCTTTTGCGGTGAGAATGAAACTGACGGCCAGGAAATGGGGAACTGCAAGGATTTTGGATGAAAAAAGCCGCAATTTGACCCCAGAATCGATTCAGGGCTCAAAAATGAGCCCGGAATTCAGTTTCTGATGAAATTTTGACGCTGGGAAGGGTTTTGAGCCGAAAATGAGCACAGGATTTGAATTTGGAGCAAAAATTAAGGGTCTAGAGGTTTTTACAGTCAAAATTAGCCCGGGAATTAATTTTCTGGTTAATTTTTACCCTGGGAAGATTCTAACATAGAATTTGAAGCTGAAATTGGTTTCAGAACGAAATTTCGACCCCAGAATCGATTTTGGCGCCAAAAATGAGCCCGGAATTCAGTTTCGGGTGAAATGGGAGCTAAGATTGGTGTCTTGACTAAATTTTGTATCTTTGTATGAAATTAGGTGATTTTTGAGCTCAAAATGCTCCAAATTTCAAGGGGAATCTGAAAATTTCAGAAAATTCATCTGAAAATTTGAATTCGGGCTGAAATTTGGGTTTGAATGATATCTCATAAGCCTAACTTTTGGAAAATTGAATTTAGGCTCAAAATGCTCCAAATTTTCTGAAATTTCTCATGTTTGGGCTCAAAATGCTTCGAATTTCATAAGAAATCTGAAAATTTCAGAAAAATTCATCTGAAAATTTGAATTCAGGCTGAAATTTGGGTTTGAATGATATCTCATAAGCCTAACTTTTGAAAAATTGAATTTAGGCTCAAAATGCTTCAAATTTCCTGAAATTGCTCATGTTTGGGCTCGAAATGCTCCAAATTTCAAGGGGATTCTGAAAATTTCAGAAAATTCATCTGAAAATTCGAATTCAGGTTGAAATTTGAGTCTCAAAGATATCTCATAAGCCTAACTTTTGAAAAATTGAATCTAAATTCAAATTTCCTGAAATTGCTCATGTTATAGCTCAAACTGCTCCAAATTTCAAGGGGAATCTGAAAATTTCAGAAAATTCATCTGAAAATTTGGGTTCGAAAGATATCTCAAGCTCAAAATGCTCCAAATTTAGTGAATTTTGGCTCATTTTCACCCCCAGAACTTGCGCTAACTCACTATATTCCTGAGCCAACCAATTGCTCATCAAAAGCAAACCAGCCAAAAATATACTTGCACTAAATAATCGCCTTCTTCCAATCCTATCAATCAATACAAAAACAATAAGTGAAGCTGGAATTTCAACCAAAGAACTTGTGATAAATGTGATGAATAGACTTCCACCACCAACATCTGATTTCATTGATAAACCGTAGTACATCATAGTAACAACTGGCCACATTAGGAAGTTAGCCAAAGTTCGTTTTCGCATTTGGGGAGTTCGAAGAAGATCGTAGACTCCGAAGTTGTTGGAGGATTTTCCTGATTTTTGGAGCCCGGAACTTGCTCCAGATGGTTTTTCGATGAGATCTATCCAATTTGATGGGATTTTCTTGTGATTCCAATCTGCCGCTCGGCATAGAACCTGGAAATTTGAAATTCCGCGTGGCCGCTTCGCGGAAGCTTCCGGTTTACACTCGCTTCGCTCGAAAGGGGAATTTCAAGGGCTGCGAAATGAGCTCAAACTTGATTTTTGAAAATTTCAGATTTTGGCTGAAACTGGGAAGCTCTGAAATTTTCAGAATTTAATTTTAGGCTCATTTTGCAGAGAATTTCAAGGGCTTCAAAATGAGCTCAAACTTGATTTTTGAAAATTTCAGATTCTGGTTGAAAATGAGAACCTCTGAAATTTTCAGAATTTAATTTTAGGCTCATTTTGTAGCGAATTTCAAGGGCTTCAAAATGAGCCTGAATTTAACTTTTGAAAATTTCAGAGCTTCTGAGTTTTAGCCCGGATTTTCAGCCGAAATCTGAAATTGTTTAAAATCAAGTTTGGGCTCATTTTGTAGAGAATTCTGAGAGCTTCAAAATGAGGCTAAATTTAACTTTTGAAAATTTCAGATTCTGGCTGAAAATCTGGGCTAAAACTGAGAAACTCTGAAATTTTCAAAATTCAAATTCAGGTTCATTTTGTAGAGAATTCTGAGAGCTTCAAAATGAGCCTAAATTCAAATTTTGAAAATTTTAGATTTCGGCTGAAAATCCGGCCTGAAACTGGGAAGCTCTGAAGATTTCAAAAATCAATTTTAGGCTCATTTTGTAGAGAATTTCAAGAGCTTCAAAATGAGCCTAAATTGAATTTTTGAAAATTTCAGAGCTTCTGAGTTTCAGCCCGGATTTTCAGCCAGAATATGAAATTTTCAAAATTTGATTTTAGGTTCGTTTTGTAGAGAATTCTGAGAGCTTCAAAATGAGTCTAAATTTAAATTTTGAAAATTTCAGATTTCCGCTGAAACTGAGAAGCTCTGAAATTTTCAGAATTTATTTTTAGGTTCATTTTGAAGCACTTGAAATTCTTTACAAAATGAGGCTAAATTTAAATTTTGAAAATTTCAGAGCTTCTGAGTTTTAGCCCGGATTTTCAGCCTTAATCTGAAATTTTCTAAATTCAATTTTAGGCTCAATTTGAAGCCCTTGAAATTCTCTACAAAATGAAACTGATTTTAAATTTTGAAAATTTCAGATTTTGGCTGAAAATCTGGGCTGAAACTAAAAAGCTCTGAAGCTTTCAAAATTTAATTCTAGGCTCATTTTGTAGAGGATTTCAAGGGCTTTAAAATCAGCCTAAAATTAAAATTTTAGCCCGGATTTTCAGCCGAAATCTGAAATTTTTAAAAATCAAGTTGCTCCAACCTGATTAGCCTCATCAAATTTCTCCTTCGAAACCAGCCACCTCGCAGATTCCGCCAACATCCACCAATACGAAATAAAAACCAAACTCGGAATCGCAATAGCCGCATGCAAAAATCGATAATCCAAAATGAAATAGGCCAAAACAGCCAGCAAAACACTTCCGAGACATGTGAAAATATTTGAGGTGACTGAGACCATACTACGGTATTTTGGACCGACTAATTCGATTCCGAGAACTACGGCAACACCGTAGATTCCGGGTTGAGAAAATCCGGTGCCGGCTCTGAAAAAATTGGAGGTTTTTGATGTAAAAATCATGAAAAATGGCCTAGAAACGGCCCGGAAGGCCTAGAAACCCAAAAATTCCGATTTTTCATGAAATTTCGAAGATTTTGGTATTTTTCTACGGATTTCTAGGCTTAAGGTTAGCCTAGCCTCATTATTTCGCAAAATTTCAAGATTTTTGATGTAAAAATCATGGAAAATGGCCTAGAAACGGCCTGGATGGCCTAGAAACCCAAAAATTCCGATTTTTCATGAAATTTCGATGATTTTGGTGATTTTTCCGGATTTTTTAGGCTTATTCAGCCCTAAGGCCTTAAAATAGCCTAAAAGCCCCTAAAAATGACCTTAAAGCCCCTAATAACCAGATTTTTCGTCTTAAAGCCTTGAAATTGGCCTCGAAGCCCCTAAAAATGGTCTAAAAGCCTCTCAGATCGAATTTTTGTCATAAAAATTACCTTAAAGCCCCTAAAATGACCCTAAAAACCTTCCTTACCCGAAATTCCCCCTGCCAAAATCAAACTATCAAAATTGTTACACATAGTTTTTGATCTACCCGAATTTGGTCATTTTTTTACAATGAGAGATATTTGTCACGTTTCTTTTGCTTTATGACATCATTGGAATTTTTTTGAGTACTGTAGGGAAAAGTTCCCAGCGGGGTTCGAACCTGTGACCTTTTGAACAGTAAAAATCTCGAAAATTATATGGAAATTCAGCTTTTCTAGTCAAAAATCAGAGATTTTTGACAAAAATTCATGTTCCGACCGTTCCTCGAACCTGTGACCTTTTGAATAGTAAAAATCTCGAAAATCCAGCTTTTCTAGCCAAAAACAAAAATTTTAAAAGTTCAAAAAAGTTCCCACCGTTCCTCGAACCTGTGACCTTTTGAACAAAAAAAAAAAAATATTCAAAATTTAGCTGAAAATCCAGCTTTTCTGGTCAAAACAGCTATTTTAAAAGTTCAGAAAAGTTCCCACTGTTCCTCGAACCTGTGACCTTTTGCACCAAACTCACTTGAATATTGTGTAGATCCACCAAGTTGGCGCGAAAATCAGTACTGTAGCACAAGTCACTTGAGTCACCAGGCAAATGAATAGCACCTTTTTTCGGCCAATTCTGAAATTTTCACAATTTTGGCTGAAAATTTCAGCATTTTCAGCTGTTTCTGGTCAAAATTCACGAATTTTTCACCAATTTCCGCGCGGAAAACTCACCGATCCGCCAAAATTCCGCACGAAAAGCTGCCGATCATCTGACCGATGAAATAGAGGCTCTGAACGGTGGCCCGAATCCACGAATTCGGTCCGGACATGTCCCAGCGGTCCGAAGCGGAATAGGCTTCTTCTACGCAGAAGGTGGTGATGTTTTCGAGGCAGCTGCAAAAAAAATAAAAAATTTAGTTCCGGCCGGGTGGGGCTCGAACCCGTGACCTTTTGATCAATGAAAATCATTTTTCTGATCAAAATTTGATGAATTTTCCGAATTTCGCCATTTTAACTCACGTTTTCCGAGCCGCAGTTACGATAAATGTCCAACTCATCACGTGCATTGAGACAAACATCATTGGAATGCATATGAGAAGAAATTGGATTTGTTGAAATCTGAAATTCAAAATTTTTGGCGCCAAATTTGAATTTTTGACCCAAAATTCGGAATTTTTGACCTAAAATTCGGAATTTTTGACCTAAAATTCGGAATTTTTGACCTAAAAATTCGGAATTTTTGGCCAAAAATTTCCCAGTTTTTGCAAAAAAACAAAAAAAATTTCGTCACACTATTTGTATCAACCAATTAATCATAAACGGGTTACTGTACAGGGTTTCATTGAAAAATTTTCTTCCAAAAAACATTTTTCCCTTGTTCCCAGGTACAAAGTATTATGTACACATACTGTCCTTTTTTTCTAACAAAAAATAAAAGAAATCTGGTTTTTTTTCGCAAAAAAGTGCATTTTTGATAAGATTTGGGGATCCCCTGGGGGGAGTGTGCGGAAATGACGCGAATTTTCGGGTAGATCATGAAATTACGGTCATTTTGAGGTACAGTAACCCTAGGTTTTCTTCTCGAGACCCAGGAAATCTTGTAGATCACAAAATTGCGGTCATTTTGAACTACAGTAACCTATGGTTTTGGCGCCGAAAATCCACGTTTTCCTCTCGAGACCCAAGAAATACTGGTAGATCACAAAATTCCGGTCATTTTGAGATACAGTAACCCGGGATTTTCGCGCCAAAAATCCACGTTTTCCTCTCGAGACCCATTTACTTTTGTGATCTACATTTTGATCTACAGTAACCCATGGTTTTGGCGCCAAAACTATAGGTTACTGTATCTCAAAATGATCGTAATTTCATGATCTATATCTTGACCTACAGTAACCCATGGTTTTGGCGCAAAAAATTCACGTTTTCTTCTCGAAACCCGTGAAATTTTGTAGATCACAAAATTCCGGTCATTTTGATCTACAGTAACCCATGGTTTTGGCGCCAAAAATCCACGTTTTCTTATCGAGACCCAGGAAATCTTGTAGATCACAAAATTCCGGTAGTTTTGAGCTACAGTAACCCTAGGTTTTGGCGCCAAAAATCCACGTTTTCCTCTCGAGACCAATGAAATCTTGTAGATCACAAAATTCCGGCCATTTTGAGCTACAGTAACCCATGGTTTTGGCGCCAAAACCTATAGCTTACTGTATGTCAAAATGACCGTAATTTTTTTGCCCCCTTTTTTGACTTACCTTCCAAAACTGCCCAATTTCTCAAAAATCACATCAACCTTGATTTTTCGACTCGAATTTTCCTCGAATTCCACCACAATAGCTTCATTTTTCGCACTAGAAGCTGAAATTTTTGACATTTTCAGCCAAATTTTGAGATTTTCAGCAAAATTTGAATATTTTATGATAAATATGAAGTTAGGATAAGTGTCTAGCTAGAAATTATCGATTTTTTTTTGATCAGCTGTTTGATCAGCCTAGAAAATGAATAGAATAGAATATCTATTCTCACTTTTCTTATTTATCATATATTGAAAATATCTTGTTTTCTGTACAAAAAAAGCCACGCCCCCTAAGCCACGCCCACTTTTTTTGGCGCGCAAAAATTTTGGAATTTTTTTTTGTGGTCTAGACAATGGGAAAATTTTGAATATACATTTGTTTTGTAGTTATGACGTGGCAAATTTTGAGAATTTGTGGAAGAATTTCGGAAAAGAATATGGAAATTCTGAAATTTTCAGATTCTCCTTGAAATTCGCGAACTTTTGAGCCGAAACATGAGCAATTTCAAAAAATTTGAAGCATTTTTTAGCTGAAACTCAATTTAAAAAAAAAAAAAAAAAAAAAAAAAAATTTCAGCCTGAATTCAAATTTTCAGATAAATTTTCTGAAATTTTCAAATTCTTCTTGAAATTTGCAGCATTTTGAGCTCAAGTTTCACCAAATTTCGAGAATTTTGAGCTGAAATTCAATTTTTCGAAAATTAGGCTTATGAGATATCATTCAAACCCAAATTTCAGCCTGAATTCAAATTTTCAGATGAATTTTCTGAAATTTTCAGATTCTCCTTGGGATTTGGAGCATTTTGAGCTCAAGTTTCACCAAATTTCAAGAATTTTGAGCTGAAATTCAATTTTCAAAAGTTAGGCTTATGATATATCTTTCAAACCCAAATTTCAGCCTGAATTCAAATTTTCAGATGAATTTTCTGAAATTTTCAGATTCACCGTGGAATTTGACGCATTTTCAGCCGAAATTTGACCTACCTACAGTACTTTTTATGACATCATGAAAACAAAAAAACACGAAAACGTGACAAATATTTCTTTCTTCTTTTTTTGTACTACAAATGACCGTTTATCATCAATTTGTAGATCAAAAACAAAAAAAAAAATTTAATAGAAAAATTTTTTATCATTTCACCACGTGAGAAAAATTGGACTTGATGCAAGTTTGATTTTTTTTGTTTCATCGTTTTTGGGCGGCGAAAATTGGACATTTTTGATGAAAATTTGAAAATTTTCATTTTCGCCCCGAAAAATGATGACGTGGCATTTTTAAGACCTGTACCAATAAATGATCAAAAAAAATTTCAAGGAAAAAAATTTCAAAAAATTTTGAAACGTATTTTTTCCAGAATTTTTTTTGTTGACAAAATTGCTCATGTTTGGGCTCAAAATGCTCCAAATTTCAAGGAGAATCTGAAAATTTCAGAAAATTGATCTGAAAATTTGAATTCAGGCTGAAATTTGGGTTTGAAAGATATCTCATAAGCCTAATTTTTGAAAAATTGAATTTAGGCTCAAAATGCTCCAAATCATCTGAAATTGCTCATGTTAGAGCTGAAAATACTCCAAATTTTCTGAAATTGCTCATGTTATAGCAATTTTTTTTATATTTTTTTAAGGCGCCAAAATATGATGACGTGGCATTTTTTGGTCGTCATGAATTATGCAGATCAAAAAAAATTTCAAGATAAAAAAATTTCAAAAAATTTTGAAACGTATTTTTTCCGGCAAATTTTTTTTGACAAAATTGCTTATGTTTGAGCTGAAAATGATCCGAATTTCAAGGAGAATCTGAAAATTTCAGAAATTTCATCTGAAAATTTGAATTCAGGCTGAAATTTGGGTTTGAATGATATCTCATAAGCCTAATTTTCTGAAAATTCGATTTTTGGCGCCACAATTACTGTAGTTCTGATTTGTTTGCGATTTTTAAACTTTTATCATTTGACCAATGTTTTTTTTGTTTTTTCGGCGAAATTGGCCGAAATTGATAAAAGTTTACGATGTACCCAAAAATTCCAAGTCTTATGGCCAAAAAAATGTGAAAAAATGTACCCGAAATCGAAAAATCACCGATTTTTGGCCTGAAATTCAAATATTTCCAGATTTGCTGTCATTGCTTGCGATGGATTGTGGAAATCGTTCAGTAATCAAGAAGTTATCGATTTTGTGCAGGAAAAAATGGAGAATTTGAAATCGGTGAGTTTTTTTTGGCAAAAAATTGCGAGATTCGAGAATTTTTGAAAATTGCTCATGTTTGGGCTCAAAATACTCCAAGTTCCCCGGTGAATCTGAAAATTTCAGAAAATTCATCTGAAAATTTGAATTCAGGCTGAAATTTGGGTTTGAAACATATCTCATAAGCCTAATTTTTGAAAAATTGAATTTCAGCTCAAAATGCTTCAAAAATTCTGAAATTGCTCATGTTTAGGCTCAAAATGCTTCAAAAATTCTGAAATTGCTCATGTTAGAGCTCAAAATGCTCCAAATTCCAAGAGGAATCTGAAAATTTCGTCTGAAAATTTGAATTCAGGCTGAAATTTGGGTCCAAATGATATATCATAAGCCTCATTTTTGAAAAAATTGAATTTTAGCTCAAAATGCTCCAAATTCCACGTGGAATCTGAAAATTCCAATTTTTCAGCTCGATCTGGAATTACAGCCAAACGAAAGTCGAGAAGAAGCTGAAATTCGACAAATTTCCGATTTCTTGGCTGCCGAAGCTGTGAGACGAAAATGTGGTGATAATGTATCGATTATTATTGTGAAATTCTGAAAATTCTGGAATTTTCAGCGCTGAAAATGCTGAAAATCAACATAAAAGCATTTATTTCCATCTAAAAGTGTCACAAAAACCCAAAAACAACCCGAAAAACCAGAATTTCCCTTCCCCAAAAAAATCAATCAATAATTTCGATCAATATCGAATCAATCGATAATCATAGACTAATCTTCTGGGCTCAGAATTGCTGAAAATCTTGAAATCAAAACGTTTGTTCGAATTTCCAGTAGTTGTTCCCGGATCCAAAGAAGTCTTGAAGATAGTTTCTGATAAAGCAAACGGTCGAATTGATGGATGATTATAGTAGTTTTGTGGCCGCAGATCACTGAAATCGTAGATTTTATGCATCGGAATCGAGAGAGCTGAAAATTTGGAGCATTTTGATATGTAACATGACAAGGTTTGTTGAATTTTTGGGCTTTGGAGCATTTTCAGAGCTCGCCGAGCAAGTAATCTAGAGTTTCTGAAGATCTCATGGGTTCCATTGGATTCCTCACTGAATTTGGGAAATTTTGAGCCCAAACATGGATATTTTTTGAGAATTTTTGATTTTGGAGCATTTCCAGGGCTCGCGGAGCACAAAAATGCTCCATAATTATAAATTCATGAAATCTAGAATGTGGGGTGTCAAAAATCTCCAAATTACCCGCTGCGAATCATCAGACACTCGAAACCTCGTGTTCTCCGAAATTTGGAGCATTTTTGTGCTCCGCGAGCCCTGAAAATGCTCCAAATCTGAAAATCATCCGAAAACAATCATGTTTAGGCTCAAAATTCTGGAAATTTCATGGAAAATTCGGAAATCTGAGACTCGAGCTCTGGAATTTCCTAGAAGTCTAGTTTTGAGCTCGGCGAGCCCAAAATCCCTTTTTACAAAAAAAAACAATTTTTTTTTAAATTTTTTCTGACGCAAGTATTAAAAGTACAAATAATTGAAGTTTTCGAGCTACAAATTTTTTCTTCGAAATTTTTTTTTGAAAAAACTCACCTTGTGTGAAGAAATATGCAAAATATACGGTAATTTGAGACAATCTCATCTCAAAAATTGTTTGTTTTTTTTTGTCTGAAAAAAAATTTATGACGTATTTTTCAAGAAAAAAATTGGCCGAATTTGGAGCAAAAAAAAGAAGCTAATGAGTTAGTGAGCAACAAATAACCCACGCAAAAAAATAGGAAAAAAAATGTTAGAACTTGAATTTCAGCCTGAATTCAAATTTTCGGATGAATTTTCTGAAATTTTCAGATTCTCCTTGGAATTCGGAGCATTTTGAGCCCTAACATGAGCAATTTCAGAAAATTTGGAGCATTTTGAGCCTAAGTTCAATTTTTCAAAAATTAGGCCTATGAGATATCTTTAAAACCCAAATTTCAGCCTGAATTCGAATTTTCAGATGAATTTTCTGAAATTTTCAGATTCTCCTTGAAATTTGGAGTATATTGAGCTCAAACATGAGCAATTTTGTCAACAAAAAAATTGGAGGAAAAAAATACGTTTCAAAATTTTTTGAAATGCTTTTCCTTGAAAAATTTTTTCGATTGGCATATAAAATGGGGATAAAAATTTTTTGGCGCCAAAATTTTTTCTTCAAAAAAAAAATTAATTTTCTGACCGCAAAAAGTTGTTGGAAACTCTATGAGGCGAAACAAAAAAGCCTAATTTTTCCAAAAGAAAATTAATTTTTCTAATTTTCGAGAAACTCGAAAAAAAATGAAAAAAAAATGCGTTTTTTGGTGAATTATTCATGGAAAAAGTAATATTTTGAACTTTGCGAGGGAAAAATTGAGAAAAACAGGAAAAATTATGATTTCTAGACGGTTTTATGAGATGGCATGGGAAAATTCGAATTTTCTAAGAAATTTGCAGATTTTTGAGCCCAAACATGGATATTTTTGAAGAATTTTCAGGTTTGGAGCATTTTCAGGGCTCGCGGAGCTCTGAATCTTGAGTTATAACAAGTAACAGGAACTGGGAGTACGATTTCCGAATTTCTCAGAAGATTTGCGGATTTTTGAGCCCAAACATGGATATTTTTGAAGAAATTTGAAATTTGGAGCATTTTTGTGCTCCGCGAGCCCTGAAAATGCTCCAAATTCAAAAATTTTCTGAAAATGATCATGTTCGGGCTCAAAAATCTGGAAATTTCATGGGTAACTCGGGTACAACATTCACAGAATGTTTTTTCCAGATTTTGAGCATTTCCAGAGCTCGCGGAGCACAAAAATGCTCCAAATTCAAAAATTCTTCAAAAATAGTCATGTTTGGGCTCAAAAATCTCGAAATTTCTCAGAGAGCTCAGAAGTCGCATTCCTAGCTTAGAAAAACTTCTAGAATTCAAGTTTCAGTGCTCGCGGAGCCCTGAAAATGCTCCAAATTCAAAAATTTTCTGAAAATAGTCATGTTTGAGCTCAAAAATCTCGAAATTTCATGAAAAATTCAAAAAATCGGCTGAAATCAGCGTAGCATTTCGAGAAAATGACAAAAATTATGACTTCAAAAAAAAATTTCGTGCAAAAAATCGAAAAAATAAAAAAAAACTATATAATCTGGGGGCTCAGGCTCCGCCCCTTTTTGCTCCTACATTTTCTAATTTATTTTTTTTCGTGTGTCGGGGAACCTCCAGGGAATTTCACGGATTTTCAGAGCACATTCTCTAATGAGGCGAGAGAGTGCAGAGAAAAAGGAGAGTGTGCAGAGAAGCAGAGAAAAACCCGGTTAATTTAATTCTATTTTTGTCGTCTTTTGTTAAGGAAAGGGGAGTTAATGAAGGAAAATTGCGATGACGTGGCAATTTTGGCGCCAAAAAATTTGAAAATTTGAATTTTTGACCAAAAAAAATTGAATGAGGGGAAATGAGTTGTAGGTGGAGGTTTCCGGTCATGTTTTTTCGGGAAAATTTGCAAATTTTCAGGGCTCGCCGAGCACAAAACTTGAGAGCTTGAGAGCAGAATTTTCGAATTTCTCAGGGAATTTGCAGATTTTTGACACCAAACATGATATATTTTGGAGAAATTTGGGTTTTGGAGCATCTCTGTGCTCTGCGAGCTCTGAAAATGCTCAAAAAATCACGATTTTGAAGGTCGCTCGGTTTTCAGCAGGAAATTTGAAGATTATTGACATCTCACGTGCATATGCTTCAAAATTTTGAGTTTTTGAGCATTTTTGTGCTCCGCGAGCCCTGAAAATGCTCCAAATTTTGAAAATTATGGTTTTTTAGTTGGCCGATCATTTTCAGCAGGAAATTTGGGAATTTTTGACACCTCACATGTCTATGCTTGGAAATTTTGATTTTGGAGCATTTTTGTGCTCCGCGAGCCCTGAAAAATGCTCCAAATTTAAAAAATTCATCAAAAATTGTCATGTTTGGGCTCAAAATTCCGGAAATTTTCTGAAAAATCTGAAAATATAGCTTCTGGCTCCCAAAACCTGCTGGAATTCCAGATTTTTTCGAAAAAAAAATGAAAAAAAAGTTTATTTTTTCGGGTTAAATAAATTAATCAATCCTTCCAGAAAATTCGCCTCTTTTCCCACGCCGCCAACCAGTTTTTTGTCATTCAACGTCAAATTTTGGCCCACATCAATGCCCGTCTTCTCGTCCACACCGAAACTTCCACTTCCACCATAAGTTGAGCCGTTCACCAAGGCCTCGTCGGTTCCTGGAACAATTTTGTGAGTTAGGGTAAGTTTTTTTGGGTTCTCCATAAAATTTGAGGAATTTTGAGACCAAACATGGGTATTTTTGGATGATTTTCAGATTTGGAGCATTTTCAGGGCTCGCGGAGCACAAAACTGCGGTTTTTAGGAAGTTTGAGGGCTCAAGACCTGGATTTTCAAATTTTCCACAAATTTTCAAGATTTTTGAGCCCACGCATAGTATTTTTTGAAGAATTGTGAAATTTGGAGCATTTTCAGAGCTCGCGGAGCCCAAAAAATGCTCCAAAATCAAAAATTCTTCAAAAATAGTCATGTTTCAGCTCAAAAATCGTCAAATTTCCTGGAGAATCTGAAAATCCTGGTCCCAAGCTCCCAAACTTCGTAAAACTCTCGTTTTGTGCTCCGCGAGCCCGGAAAATGCTCCAAAATCAAAAATTCTTCAAAAATAGTCATGTTTGAGCTCAAAGTTCTGGAAATCTTCCGAAAAATTCGAAAATTCCGCATTTTTCCCCGCAAAAAATGTTTTTTTCCGAGAAAAATTGAATTTTTCCGCTTCACCGCTGAATAATTGATCAAAAGTCGTTCTTGAGACAATTTTTCTCAATTTTTCTCATTTTTCCTCTAGTTTTTTTTGCGAATTTTTCAGAAAATCTGAAATTTTCAGCCCAAACTTACTGTCTAGCTTAAAAGTTCCATTTCCGGTAGTCAATTTGAAGTCACGTCGACCTCCCCAGCCAAAAAGGTTGAAATTTTGATTTGAGCCAAGTTCGAGCTGCAAAATTTCAGAAATTTTCGGATTCCACGTGGAATTTGGAGCATTTTGAGCTCTAACATGAGCAATTTCAGAAAATTTGGAGGATTTTGAGCCAAGATTCAATTTTTCAAAAATTAGGCTTATGAGATATCTTTCAAACCCAAATTTCAGCCTGAATTCAAATTTTCAGATAAATATTCTGATATTTTCAGATTCCTCTTGAAATTTGGAGCATTTTCAGTACTAACATGAGCAATTTCAGAAAATTTGGAGCATTTTGATATGAAATTCATTTTTTCAAAAGTTAGGCTTATGAGATATCATTCAAACCCCAATTTTAGCCTGAATTCAAATTTTCAGATGAATTTTCTGAAATTTTCAGATTCCTCTTGAAATTTGGAGCATTTTCAGCTATAATATGAGCAATGTTGAAAAATTTGGAGCATTTTGATATGAAATTCAATTTTCCAAAAAGTTAGGCTTATTCTAACCTAAATTTCAAGCTGAATTCAAATTTTCAGAAAAATTTTTCTGAAATTTTTAAATCCCTCTTGAAATTTGGAACATTTTGAGCTATAACATGAGCAATTTCAAAAAATTTGGAGCATTTTGATATGAAATTCAATTTTTCAAAAGTTAGGCTTATGAGATATCTTTCAAACCCAAATTTCAGCCTGAATTAGAATTTTCAGATGAATTTTCTGAAATTTTCAAATTCCTCTTGAAATTTGGAGCATTTTGAGCTCTAACATGAGCAATTTCAGAAAATTTGGAGCATTTTGATATGAAATTCAATTTTTCAAAAGTTAGGCTTATGAGATATCTTTCAAACCCAAATTTCAGCCTGAATTAGAATTTTCAGATGAATTTTCTGATATTTTCGGATTCCGCGTGGAATTTGGAGCATTTTGAGCTCTAACATGAGCAATTTCAGAAAATTTGGAGCATTTTGAGCCTAAGTTCAATTTTTTAAAAGTTAGGCTTATGAGATCTCATTCAAACCCAAATTTCAGCCTGAATTCGAATTTTCAGATGAATTTTGGCTGAAACTAACCTCTCCCTTCTGATTTTTAGCAATCTGAAAATTTCCAAATGGAAGTGGAATATTGAATTGCGCAAAAATTTGGGTGGAAAATAATAGAAAAATTGCGAAGAAAATTGGGAATTTTGTCATTTTCGGGGCCTTGAAAATGACCAAAACCGGTCATTTTAAAGGGATTTTCGGATTTTATGGTTGATTAGTCATGTGGAAAAGGTTGTTATTGTATAAATTTCATTTTATTGTTTGTTATCTGGGAAAACCCGATTTTCAGCATGGAAATAGCTGAAATTTCAAGAGGAATCTGAAAATTTCAAAAAAATTCATCTGAAAATTTGAATTCGGGCTGAAATTTGGGTTTTAATGATATCTCATAAGCCTAACTTTTTGAAAATCGATTGAACTTGGGCTCAAAATGCTCCAAATTGTCTGAAATTGCTCCTGTTCGGGCTCAAAATGCTCCAAATTTAAAGAAAAAAAGCGTTATTCAACATTTATTCAAAAATCAACTCAAAATCTCAATTATTTCTCGGAAAAACCGGATCGGTTTTTGGAACTGTTCGAAAATCCGGACGTCCCTTAGTAGCTGTATCAACTGGTCCATCTCCAGGTGGAATTTCTTGAGCTGGTCCACGTGGTGTACTAACAGGAACTCCAATTGCATTTGCCCAATTTCCTTCATATCCCCTAGCCACGTGGAATTGATCGCCAACTTTTCCATCAACAATACGACGAGCTGGTTTATCATCCGACATTTTTCGAATTAAAAATGATCAGATACTGAAGTTTTCATTCTTCTCAGAGCTCATTTTATACTGTAAATTATGGGCGGGAAAAAGAAAAAGAGCAGAGATGATATTTGTAATAAAAAAGATAACTAAAGTAATAAAATGACTCTATTAAACAATTATTTGTCACAAGCACTGATTTTGATAAGAAAAAGCATATTTCGAAATTCTACTTGGAATTTGGAGCATTTTGAGTTAGATTTTCAGAAAATTCAGAAAATTTCGAGCATTTTGAGCCCGAATTCAAATTTTCAGGTATTTTTTCTGAAATTTTCAGATTCTCCTTGGAATTTCGAGCATTTCGGGCTCAAAAATAAAGTTTTTAGCGGCAAATTTTGAGTTTTCGAATTTTTCTTCAAAATTATTTCTAGGCAAAACATTCCAAAATATTTTGAAACGTATTTTTTCCGGGGTAAATTGTCTCATGTTTAGTCTCAAGATGTTCCAGAAAATTTATCTGAAAATTTGAATTCAGGCTGAAATTTTGGTTTGAATGATATCTCATAAGCCAAATTTTTGAACAATTGAATTTGGGCTCAAAATGCTCCAAATCTCAAGTAGAATCTCAAAAATTCCTCGAATTTGTCATCCTGATATTTCGAAATATGTTTTTTCTTATCAAAATCAGTGCTTATGACAAATAATTGTTTAATAGAGTCATTTTATTACTTCAGTTATCTTTTTTATTACAAATATCATCTTTGCTCTTTTTCTTTTTCCCGCCCATAATTTACAGTATAAAATGAGCTATGTTAAGAGAGAAAACTTCAGTATCTGATCATTTTTGATTCGAAAAATGTCTGATAAACCAGCTCGTCGTATTGTTGATGGAAGAATTGGTGATCAATTCCACGTGGCTATGAGATACGGTGGAAAATTTGAGCATGCAATTGGAGTTCCTGTTCAAACACCACGTGCACCAGCTCAAGGATATCCAGTTCCACCTGGACCAGCTGATATAACTTATATGCACCGTCCGGAAGGTCCTCCGAGAAAGAAATGAGATTTTGAGTTGATTTTTGAATAAATGTTGAATAACGCTTTTTTGTTTTGAAATTTGGAGCATTTTGAGCCCAAACATGAGAAGTTTCAGAAAATTTGGAGCAAATTGAGCAAAATTTCAATTTTTCAAAAATTAGGCTTATGAGATATCTTTCAAACCCAAATTGAACCTGAATTCAAATTTTCAGATGAATTTTCTGGTATTTTTAGATTCCCCTTAAAATTTGGAGCAATTAGAGCCCAAACATGAGCAATTTCAAAAAATTTGGAGCATTTTGATATGAAGTTCAATTTTTAAAAAATCAGGCTTATGAGATATGTTTCAAACCCAAATTTCAGCCTGAATTCAAATTTTCAGATGAATTTTCTGAAATTTTCAGATTCTCCTTGAAATTTGGAGCATTTTGAGCTAGAATTAACCCCATTAAAATTTCAAAAACTATTTTTTCGAGCTAATTTTTTCTATACGCAAAAAACTTCAAATTGCTCATTCTCGGGCTCAAAATGCTCCAAATTCCACGTGGAATCCGAAAATATCAGAAAAATCCATCTGAAATTTTGAATTCAGGCTGAAATTTGGGTTTTAATGAGATCTCATAAGCCTAACTTTGGAAAAATTGAATTTTACCTCAAAACGCTCCAAATGTTCTGAAATTACTCATGTTAGAGCTCAAAATGCTCCAAATTCTAAGGTGAATCTGAAAATTGTAGAAAAATTCATCTGAAAATTTGAATTCATGCTGAAATTAGGGTTTTAATGAGATCTCATAAGCCTATTTTTTGAAAAATTGAATTTAGGTTCAAAATGCTCCAAATTTTCTGAAATTGCTCATGTTAGAGCTCAAAATGCTCCAAATTTCAAGGAGAATCTGAAAATTCCAGAAAAAATCATCTGAAAATTTGAATTCAGGCTGAAATTTGGGTTTTAATGATATCTCATAGGCCTAACTTTTTGAAAATTGAATTTTAGCTCAAAATGCTCCAAATTTTCTGAAATTGCTCATATTATAGCTCAAAATGCTCCAAATTTCAAGGAGAATCTGAAAAATTCAGAAAAATCATCTGAAAATTTGAATTCAGGCTGAAATTTGGGTTTTAATGAGATCTCATAAGCCTAATTTTTGAAAAATTGAATTTTGGCTCAAAATGCTCCAAATTTTAAGGAGAAGCTGAAAATTTCAGAAAAACATTGCTCATGTTAGCCCGCCCATTTTTTTTTCTTGACGAAAAAAAAAACATCGCAGGTGCAATTTTTTTGCCGGGTATCTGTTGTTTATATCTATGATTCGCACCAGTTGCCTCCCTGATTTTTTTTCTCTCGCCGTCTGCCACTCTTCTCATTTATCCACACTCTCTCTCTCGCGATTTACGCGAGAGAGTGTGTGGATTTGAGAGAGCGGGCAGAGAAAAATGTAACAGAACTCGAAAAATTCTCGAGCAAAAGATTTGAGTTGAGTGATTTTTTTTTCGAAAATGTTTTTTGGCGCCAAAAATTCCACGTGGCATTTTTGGCGCGAAAATAATTGTTTTGAATTTTTGAATTTTTAATTAGGGTTACTGTAGTGTGACTAATTCTGTGACCTTTATGAATATTCATCAAATTTTTATGGTGGATTTTATTTTTCTATCAAAAAAATTTGAAACCTATTTTTCCCCGCGATTTTTTATTTAGAAAATTCCTGATTTTCGGGCTCAAAATGCTCCAAATTCCAGGGGGAATCTGAAAATTCCAGAAAAATTATCTGAAAATTTAAATTCAGGTTGAAATTTGGGTTTGAATGAGATCTCACAAGCCTAACTTTTGAAAAATTCAACTTGGGCTCAAAATGCTCCAAATTTTCTGAAATTGCTCATGTTAGAGCTTGAAATGCTCCAAATTTCAAGACAAACTAGAAAATTTCCAAAAAAATCTAAAAATTCAAATTCAAATATAAATTTTCTCGTTCAAAAGTACCCACTTGAAAAATATTTGCAAGAATATTTTATGAGCGGAGAAATTCATACTCTTTTTATTTATTTTTTGGATTTATTCAGTATAATAATATCTTTTCTCTCAATTTTATGAATATTTATTTTTGCCGCCAAAAATTGAGAATTTTCTATATGTGTGAAGTTTTTTTCACAAAAACAATGAAAATTTGGAGCATTTTGAGCCAAAATTCAATTTTTCGAAAAATTTGGCTTATGAGATATCATTCAAACCCAAATTTCAGCCTGAATTCAAATTTTCAGATGAATTTTCTGAAATTTTCAGATTCCTCTTGAAATTTGGAGCATTTTGAGCTCTAATATGAGCAATTTCAGAAAATTTGGAGCATTTTGAGCCAAAATTCAATTTTTCAAAAATTAGGCTTATGAGATATCTTTCAAACCCAAATTTCAGCCTGAATTCAAATTTTCAGATGAATTTTTCTGAAATTTTCAGATTCTCCTCAAAATTTGGAGCATTTTGAGCCAAATCTTTCAACTCAATCTTTTTTCCAAAAAAAAAATTATCAGATTTATTTTTTTTTTCAAAATTTCAACTTTTTCAGAGCTCCGCCCACTTTTGGCGCCAAAATCTGCCACGTCATCACACCAATCAAAAAATGGCGCCAAAATGACGAAATTCTCAACACGCTGTGTAATAATTGGCCTAATTTGCCTAGCCTTCATCTGTCTACAGTACAACTTCCTGTTCCGCGTCTATTTTCCGCATCGCGTCCGCACCTTCCGCAAGCCGCATCCTGACGCATTGATAATTGGAGTGCGGAAAGGCGGAACGCGCGCGCTTCTGGAAGCGCTGAACCTACATGAAGCGGTGCGGATCGTCCGCAAGGAGACGCATTTTTTTGACGCGAATTATACGCTCGGCACCGGATGGTATGCGGAACAAATGCCGCAAGTGGATGCGGAAGAACAGGTGAGAATTCCGCGCAGAATGAGTATAAACATGATGGGGTTTCCGCAAGCTTCCGCGTAGGCGGAAAGTTTCCGCTCACGCGGAAAAAATCATGTTTAGACTCATTTTGACGCAAATTTCACGAGGATTTCAAATTTTCGGGTCTCACGACGACTACAGTACTCTAAAAACCCATTTTTTGCAGATAATCATTGAAAAAACGCCGGGTTATTTCACGTCAAAAAATGCACCAAAACGTGTACATCAACTCAACCCCAAAATGAAGATAATTCTCATTGTCAGACATCCGGTTTTTAGGACAATTAGTGATTTTACTCAGGTACGGTAGGGAACAATTTTCAGAGAATTCCAGCATTTTCACGATTTTCAGCGTGAAATTTGGGGCGGGAACTTTTTTTGGCTGAAAAAATTTGAATTTTTGAATTTTCGCTCCAAATTTCACGTTAAAATGTTCCTAGACTGAAATTTTGCGCTGAAAATCATGAAATTGATGATTTTCAGAAATTTTCAGCATTTTCATGATTTTCAGCGTGAAATTTGGGGCGGGAACTTTTTTGGCTGAAAAATTTGAATTTTTAAATTTTCGCTCCTAATTTCACGTTAAAATGTTCCTAGACTAAAATTTTTCGCTGAAAATCATGAAATTATTGATTTTCAGATAATTTCAGCATTTTCATGATTTTCAGCGTGAAATTTGGAGCGGGAACTTTTTTTGGCTGAAAAAATCTTTTTTTTTTGATTTTGACGTCAAATTTCACGTTAAAATGTTCCTGGACTGAAATTTTGCGCTGAAAATCATGAAATTGATGATTTTCAGAGAATTTCAGTATTTTCATGATTTTCAGCGTGAAATTTGGGGCGGGAACTTTTTTTGGCTGAAAAAATTTGAATTTTTGAATTTTCGCTCCTAATTTCACGTTAAAATGTTGCTAGACTGAAATTTTACGCTGAAAATCACGAAATTAATGATTTGCAGAGAATTTCAGCATTTTCAAGATTTTCAGCGCGAAATTTGGGTCAGGTACATTTTTTTTGGCTGAAAAAATTTGAATTTTTGAATTTTCGCGTCAAATTTCACGTTAATATGTTCCTAGACTGAAATTTTGCGCTGAAAATCATGAAATTGATGATTTTCAGAAATTTTCAGCATTTTCATGATTTTCAGCACAAAATTTGGGTCAGGAACTTTTTTTCTATGGAAAAATTTGAATTTTTGATTTTTCCGCCAAATTTCACGTTAAAATGTTCCTAGACTGAAATTTTTTGCTGAAAATCATGAAATTATTGATTTTCAGAGAATTTCAGCATTTTCATGATTTTCAGCGTGAAATTTGGGACGGGAACTTTTTTTGGCTGAAAAAATTTGAATTTTTAAGTTTTTTTCTACAAATTTCACGTTAAAATGTTCCTAGGCTGAAATTTTGCGCTGAAAATCATGAAATTATTGATTTTCAGAGAATTTCAGCATTTCTATGATTTTCAGCACAAAATTTGGGTCAGGAATTTTTTTTTCTGAAAAAAATTTTTTTTTTGATTTTGACGTCAAATTTCACGTTAAAATGTTGCTAGACTGAAATTTTGCGCTGAAAATCATGAAATTGATGATTTTCAGAGAATTTCAGCATTTTCATGATTTTCAGCGTGAAATTTGGGACGGGAACTTTTTTGGCTGAAAAAATTTGAATTTTTAAGTTTTTTTCTACAAATTTCACGTTAAAATGTTCCTAGACTGAAATTTTTTGCTGAAAATCATGAAATTATTGATTTTCAGAGAATTTCAGCATTTTCATGATTTTCAGCACAAAATTTGGGTCAGGAATTTTTTTTTCTGAAAAAATTTGAATTTTTGATTTTTCCGCCAAATTTCACGTTAAAATGTTCCTAGACTGAAATTTTGCACTGAAAATCATGAAATTATTGATTTTCAGAAAATTTCAGCATTTTCATGATTTTCAGCACAAAATTTGGGTCAGGAACTTTTTTTCTATGGAAAAATTTGAATTTTTGAATTTTCGCGCCAAAAAAAAAACTTTTTTCCAGGTTTACTACAACAAATTGGAGCAAAACAAAACTCTGCCAATTTTATCGATCGAAAGTTTCAAAATTGATGAAAAATCGGGAAAAGAGGTGATAAATTTGGACTACAAACCGGTGTCGAATTCACTTTATGATGTGCATTTTGAAAATTGGCTCAAATATTTCGACCTCAGTCAGATGCATATTGTGAATGGCGATGTTTTTCGAGCAAATCCGTTGAATGAGGTGAATTTTTGACGGAATTTGGAGCATTTTGAGCCCAAACATGATGGAATTTTGATTTTTGAGCATTTTCAGGGCTCGCGGAGCATCAAAACTCGAGTTCTAGAGAATATCCTGAGCTGAAACCGAGTTTTTCGAGTTTCTCATGAAATTCGAAGATTTTAGACACCCCACAAGGCATAGTTTGATGAAATTTTGGTTTTGGAGCATTTTCAGGGCTCGCGGAGCAAGATATTAAAAGTTCTAGAAAGAATCGTGAGCTCGGATGGAAATTTTCGAATTTTTCAGGAAATTTCGAGTTTTTAGACACCCATATTTATATGGTTTTGGAAATTTTCAAATTTTGTGCTCCGCGAGCCCTGAAAATGCTCCAAAATCAAAATTTCATCAAAATGTGGCTTGTGGGGTGTCAAAAATCTGGAAATTTCATGGAAAAGCTGAAAATTTGTGTTGGAGCTCTTGAAATGCACTAAAACTCTAGTTTTTGTGCTCCCCGAGCCCTGAAAATGCTCAAAAATCGAACTTTTTGAAACCTAGGCTTGTGGGGTGTCAAAAAATGGCAGATTTTTGCAGCTCCGCCGTCTTGAAACATTCCTCCAATTGCCACGTCAAATCCAAGCTTCTCAACTCCATTTCGACCGCAAAAAAGGTTTTTTCTGCTTCGAAAATCTCAAAAAATCGTCGAAAATTCATTGTTTGGGACAATCGAAAGGTCGAAAACATCGAGAAGTTTCGGAAAAAACGCAAAAAAAATTGGCCGATTTTTTCCGGTTTCATAATTTTCAATTTTTTCGACTTGTTAATAGGACTTTTTCATGGGATTTATAGAGGGAAACGGGTTTTTTTGAATTTTTTTTAGAAAAAAAATTAAAAATCAATAAATCAATAAATTTTTCATATAGTACAGTACTTTTTTTGAATTTATTTTTTTTTGAAAATTTTTTTTCAGCTTTTTTTTTCGCAAAAAAATGTTCCTAGACTGAAATTTTGCGCTGAAAATCATGAAATTATTGATTTTCAGAAATTTTCAGCATTTTCACGATTTTCAGCACAAAATTTAAGTCTAGAACAATGTTTCTCACAAAAAACCACATTTTTCAAAAAAAAAAAATCAATAATTTATGTACAGTAACCCGTTCAAAAAATCTACAGTACCCCATTTTTCATTTTTTCCACATTTCATTGAGTAGATCAAAATGTGTATCCGATTCTTTTTCCATTTGTCGACTTGGACGGCTAGCGATTACTGTATGTGCCTTTAAAAAATTTGAAATTTTTTTTTTGGCGCCAAAAACTTACCGGAGGTGGTTCTAATAATGTTTCACTTTTTTCGTCTTCTTGAGCAGCGAAGAAAAATGGCAAGGTTCTTCTGGAAAAAAATTTGAATTTTTTCGGATTTTTCATGAAATTTCCAGAATTTTGACACCCCACAAGCCATATTTTCATGAAATTTTTTGAATTTGGAGCAATTTCGGGGCTCGCGGAGCACAAAACTAGGATTTCAAGAGCTCCAACACAAATTTTCAGCTTTTCCATAAAATTTCCAGAAGTTAGACACCCCACAAGCCATATTTTGATGAAATTTCGATTTTGGAGCATTTTCAGGGCTCGCGGAGCACAAAAATCAAAATTTCTCATAACCATATGAACATGGGTGTCTAAAAACTCCAAATTTCATGAAAAATTCGAAATTTCTAGTCCCAGCCTTTGAAACTCGAGTTTTGATGCTCCGCGAGCCCGGAAAAATCAAAAATTCAAAATTTTTCATAGAAAAAAATTTCTAGACCCAAATTTTGGGCTGAAAATCAAGAAAATGCTAAAAATTTCTGAAAATCAATACCTGGTGCTAATCCTCAATTGCTTGCTCATAAAAATCGCGACAATCGGAAAAATCACCGCATAAATTGGCAAAATCAGCAAAACCACTTCGCTGAACGGCGCAAAATCGATAATCCACGTGGAATTCGAGGAATTACGGTAGAAAATTGCGAAAATCAACATGGATCCCAAGCCTGAAGAATTTTTGGGATTGCTCATGTTAAGAGCTTCAATTTGAGCCATAACAAGCCTAGATTTAGGATTGCTCAGGTTAGGAGGGTCATTTTAAGCCTAAATATGATATTGCTCATGTTAGGAGCATCAATTTAAGCCCAAATAAGCCTAGGCTTAGGCTTAGGCTTATTTAGGCTCAAATTAAAGCTCTTAACATGAGCAATATCAAATTTAGGCTCAAATTAAAGCTCTTAACATGAGCAATCCGAAAAACCGCCTTACCTAAAAGTCCCAAAATGGCGTGCAAAGTAATGGAGGGAATAAGAATTCGCATAACTCGAACATTTTCCTGTAATTGATATCGTTCCGACAAAGAATGCATCGCTTTATTGACAAATTCGTTGACTTGACGACGTTGATTCGATTGAAGAAGAAGGATGAAGTAGATTAGGGTGAGCAATTCGAGAGATGACATGAAGCAGAGTGAAAAGACCTGCAAATTTGGAGCATTTTGATATATAATATGAGCAATGTTTGGGAATTTGGAGCATTTTGAGCCCGAATTTGATCATTTTTTGAGGAAAACGAGCATTTTGAGCCCAAAAACGATAATTTTAAGCACTTTGAGCTTTAAAATGAGCAATGCTATAGAATTTGGAGCATTTTGAGCCCAAACTTGCTCAGGAGCAAAAATAGGCTTATGGGGTCTTTATCTAACCCAAATTTCAGGCTGAATTCAAATTTTCTGGAATTTTCAGATTCACCGTGGAATTTGGAGCATTTTGAGCCCAAATTTCAGAACATTTGGAGCATTTTGAGCTCTAACATGAGCAATTTTCTTCCAAAAAGTTTATAGGCTTATGAGATATCTTTCAAACCCAAATTTCAGCCCGAATTCAAATTTTCAGATATTTTTTCTGAAATTTTCAGATTCTCCTTGAAATTTGGAGCATTTTGAGCCCAAACTTGCTCAGGAGCAAAAATAGGCTTATGGGGTCTTTATCTAACCCAAATTTCAGGCTGAATTCAAATTTTCTGGAATTTTCAGATTCACCGTGGAATTTGGAGCATTTTGAGCCCAAATTTCAGAACATTTGGAGCATTTTGAGCTCTAACATGAGCAATTTTCTTCCAAAAAGTTTATAGGCTTATGAGATATCTTTCAAACCCAAATTTCAGCCCGAATTCAAATTTTCAGATATTTTTTCTGAAATTTTCAGATTCTCCTTGAAATTTGGAGCATTTTGAGCCCAAACTTGCTCAGGAGCAAAAATAGGCTTATGGGGTCTTTATCTAACCCAAATTTCAGGCTGAATTCAAATTTTCTGGAATTTTCAGATTCACCGTGGAATTTGGAGCATTTTGAGCCCAAATTTCAGAACATTTGGAGCATTTTGAGCTCTAACATGAGCAATTTTCTTCCAAAAAGTTTATAGGCTTATGAGATATCTTTCAAACCCAAATTTCAGCCCGAATTCAAATTTTCAGATATTTTTTCTGAAATTTTCAGATTCTCCTTGAAATTTGGAGCATTTTGAGCTCTAACATGAGCAATTTCAGAAAACTTTGAGTTTCTTGAGCAAAAATTCAATTTTTCAAAATTTAGGCTTATGAGATATCTTTCTAACCCAAATTTCAGCCTGAATTCAAATTTTCAGATGTTTTTTCTGAAATTTCAGGTTCCCTGTGGAATTTGGAGCATTTTAAGCCCAAACATGAGCAATATTTGAAAATTTGGAGGATTTTGAGCCCCAGGAGCAAAAATAGGCTTATGGGGTGTCTTTTCGAGCCCAAATTTCCGGCCCAGTCCAAATTCCAGGCCCAAAAATCACTTACAGCAGTTCTGGGGTGCGAAACATAGGCCGTACAATAGTGCACAAATCCGTGATCGCTTCTCAAAATCACCGAAATCGTCGCCAATCCAAAACACACGATCCATTGTATCACCACAAGTACTCGGCCCAAAAATCGCGATTTTTCCGCTTCATAGGTACGGTATTGCCACGTGGCATAGCTGCGCTCAATGGCCAATACAATAATTGCGCATAGCGTCGCGTAAATCGATAGCACAACCGGAAAGCGGAACGCGGCACATTTCCGCGCGTCAAAAAGTAGATCGCACGGCGTTTCGGCGCGGAAATGCGTCCAGATTTGATGGAAGGCCATGAAGTTGAGCTGAAGGCAGGCGAGACATGCGGCGAAGGCGAGAGACGCCAGAGAAACGCGGAGATTCGGGTGGAGATGTTTGGAGGTGGAGCTGAGAAGGACATAGATGAAGAGGGAGGTGGAGATGGTGCCCAATGTGCAGAAGAAAATGTGGAGCAGGCGGATTGTCTGGAAGGTTTTGGGGGATTGCTCAGGTTAAGCGGAGCATTTTGAGACCAAACATGATATTGCTCATGTTAAGAGCTTCAATTTGAGCCTAAATTTGATATTGCTCATGTTAAGGGCTTCAATTTGAGATCCAACAAGGTTAGGCTCAGTTCTAGACTAGATTTTAGGATTGCTCAGGTTAAGGGGAGCATTTTGAGACCAAATATGGGGTTGCTCAGGTTAAGGGGAGCATTTTGAGACCAAATATGGGGTTGCTCAGGTTAAGAGCTTTAATTTGAGCTTAAATATGGCATTGCTCAGGTTAAGGGGAGCATTTTGAGACCAAACATGATATTGCTCATGTTAAGAGCTTTAATTTGAGCTTAAATTTAATATTGCTCATGTTATCCCTAGATTTTTGGATTGCTCAGGTTAAGAGCTTCATTTTGAGACCCATAACCTTACGAGGTATCAAACTAGAGCTCTTAACATGAGCAATCCTAAAAATCCACTTAAATTCAGTATTGCTCATGTTAAGGGCTTCAATTTGAGATCCAACAAGGTTAGGCTCAGTTCTAGACTAGATTTTAGGATTGCTCAGGTTAAGGGGAGCATTTTGAGACCAAATATGGGGTTGCTCAGGTTAAGAGCTTTAATTTGAGCTTAAATTTGATATTGCTCATGTTAAGAGCTTCAATTTGAGCCCAAATAAGCTTATGAGGTATCAAACTAAAGCTCTTAACATGAGCAATCCCAAAAATCCACTTAAATTCAGTATTGCTCATGTTAAGGGCTTCAATTTGAGCCCAAATACGGTATTGCTCATGTTAAGAGCTTTAATTTGAGCCTAAATTTCAAAAAATTCAAAATTTTTCAGAAAAAAAAATTTCCGCCTCAAATTTCGAGCTGAAAATCATCAAAATGCGGAAAATCAATAATTTCATGATTTTCAGAGCAAAATCTGGGTCTAGAAAAATTCGATGTATCATTGGAGCTTCAATTTGAGCCTAAATATGATATTGCTCAGGTTAAGAGCTTCAATTTGAGCCTAAATATGATATTGCTCATGTTAGGAGCTTTAATTTGAGACCTCACAAGCCTAGGCTTATTTAGGCTTAAATTAAGGCTCTTAACATGAGCAATACCGTATTTGGGCTCAAATTAAAGCTCCTAACCTGAGCAATATCGTATTTAGGCTCAAATTAAAGCTCTTAACCTGAGCAATACCGTATTTAGGCTCAAAATAAAGCTCTTAACATGAGCAATCCTAAAATCTACCTGCATAAAAGCATTTGTGGTCGCCTGCTGAGCCATCTGACAATCCTGATGTGTGTAGTTGAAAATTGCGACGGATTTTAGAAATTGCTGAAATTTTTGGCATTGCTCATGTTAAAAATGAGAAGAAAACTCACATTTGTTATTAAATTCGTGTCCATTTTGATATTTTTTGTGAAAAAATCGTAAAAATGAAGTTTTTCGCGCTGAAAATGGCAAAAATTCGAGAGAATAATAGGATTAGTTTAATACTTTTTGAAAAAAAATCGAAAAGATATTAAAAATTCGTGAAAAAAAAAAAGTTTTGAGCTAAAAAATGCAGAAAAATGAGATGTACTTAGCCAAACTTCTCCTTTTTTCCGGCTCTTTTTTCTCACAAGCCAAAAAAAATGCACAAATTGTTTAGGCTTAGGCTCTTTTTTGGTCAAAAAAGCAAAAAAAGAAGAAAATTGATACACATGCCTTCTTTTGGCCAAAAAAAAAATAAATAGCCTAATTTCCGTGTGATTTTTTGTTTTTAAGGACAACAAAATAGAGTGTAGGCGTTTTTAAAGGGACATTTTGGGTCTCGCAACGAATTTTTCCAATTTTCAAAGATTTTTTGAGATTCAGCAGATTTAGAGCTTCAATTTGACACCAAACATGCTTAGGTTTGGAAGAAAAAATTAAAAAGGTGCATATGGGATTTTTAAAGGGACATTTTGGGTCTCGAAGGGAAAATTATGAATTTTCAGAGATTTTTCGAGATTCAGGAGAATATTAGCTTCAATTTGACACCAAACATTCCTAGGTTTGGAAAAAAAATTTTGAAGGCGCATAGGGGATTTTTAAAGGGACATATTGGGTCTCACAGCGAAGTTTTCCTATTTTCAAGGATTTTTTGAGATTCAGCAGATTTAGAGCTTCAATTTGACACCAAATATGGCTATGGAATATTAAAGGCGCGTAAAATTCTTGAAAAATTCTTAAAGGCGCATGGCTTGGGTCCCACCACGAAAACCCGTAAAATCGCTCAAATCCGGGGAAATTTGGTGTTTTTCAGAGCAGAATTTTATGATCTACAATATGAAACAGGTCTCGAAGCGATAAAAATTGAATTGAGAGTTTAAAGGCGCATAGTTGGGGTCCCGCCACGAAAACCGTTAAAATCAATGTTTTCTGGTCAAAATTTTGCGATTTTCAAGAAAAAAATATTGTTTGAGCTGAAAAAATCCGGATTATTTTCAGATTTTCAGCAGAAAAACTAGAAAATTCTCAGATCAATATAAGAAACCAAGCGAAGTTACTCAATTATTTAGATAATTTGGCTAATGCAAAAAGCAAACTCACATTTTTCTTTTCTCTTTTTTTTTCTTCGCCCACACTTTTTTCCTCATTTTTCATGTGGAGCACACAAAAATGAGCAAAAATCGATGAATTTTTGCATACCAGTTGGATAACAAAAATTAAATATTTTATAGTCAGAGAAAAATATGTGGTTTTAAAGGGACAGAATGGGTCTCACAGCGAAAATTTTGAATTTTCAGAGATTTTTTGAGATTCAGAAGATCAAGGGCTTCAATTTGACACCAAACATGCTTAGGTTTTGAGGAAAAAATTTAAAGGTGCATATGGGATTTTTAAAGGGACATTTAGGGTCTCGCAGCGAATTTTTCCAATTTTCAAGGATTTTTTGAGATTCAGCAGATTTAGAGCTTCAATTTGACACCAAACATGCTTAGGTTTTGAGGAAAAATTTTAAAGGCGCATATGGGATTTTTAAAGGGACATTTAGGGTCTCACAGCGAAAATTTTGAACTTTCAAGGATTTTTTGAGATTCAGAAGAGGATAAGCTTCAATTTGATACCAAATATGGCTATGAAATATTAAAGGCACACAGAAATCTGGAAAATTTCTTAAAGGCGCATAGCTTGGGTCCCGCCACGAAAACCCTTAAAATCCATCAAATCCGGGAAAATTTGGTGTTTTTCTGATCAGAATTTCGAGCCCAACAAGATACAAAAGGTTTCGAAGCGAAAAAAATGGAATTTAAAGGCTCATATCTTGGGTCCCACCACGAAAACCCTAAAAACTGGTGTTTTTCTGAGAAAAAAGCTGAAAAAATTATACATTTCCAGTTTTTCAGCCAAAAAAAAACAGAAAATCTTCGGCTGTTCTGAAAAATAAAAAAAAAATAGTGGGTAAATAAATAAACAGCCGTGGAGCTCCTGGAATGAAATTGGATTTTTTGATGAGCAAAAAAAAAATGAGGTGGCCATAAATCTTGGAGCGAAATTTGAATCAGCCACTAAATTTGGACGAAAAAAGAGCAAAAGATCAGGATTTTGCAGAAAACAACACAAAATTCAGGGTTTAAAGGCACATATTGGGTCTCAAGTGGAAATTTTAGGGTTTTCAGGATTTTCTGGAGGTCTAGAGCTTCAATTTGACATCAAACATGGCTAGGATTTGAAAAAAAAATTAAAGGCGCATATGGATTTTTTAAAGGCACATATTGGGTCGGCGAATTTCCCCAATTTTCAAAGATTTTTTGAGATTCAGCAGATTTAGAGCTTCAATTTGACACCAAACATGCCTATGAAATTTTAAAGGAACATTTAATTCTTGAAAATTTCTTAAAGGCGCATAGCTTGGGTCTCACCACGAAAACCCTTAAAATCCCTCAAACTGAAGGAAATTTGGTGTTTTTCTGATCAGAATTTTGAGCCTAACAAGATAGAACAGGTTTCGAAGCGAAAAAACAGAAATTAAAGGCTCATAGCTTGGGTCTCACCGCGAAAACCCTTAAAATCCACGTTTTCCGTGGAAAATAGGTGATTTTCCACTCAAAATTTAGCGCTCTTCTCGAAAAAATCAATTTTTTTAGTTGCCAATCAATATTTACACTATTTTTATTAAAAAATTCTCAAAACTCACTGTTTCAGCACAGCTTTTCCATCAATTTCATCTTCGATTTGAATTTCTCATTGATTTTCTGCAAAAAAAGGGTCTACTTGTTGTAAAAACAGGGAAATTTGCACCAACCGTTCGAAAAACACATTTTTCCACCAAAACTAGAAAATTTGCAGTCATTTTTGAAGCGGTGCAAAGAAAAACGCGTTTTTTCCCCGAAAAAAACAAATGTGAAATTTTCTGCGTGCAAACACCACGACGCACAAATGCACACATTCTCACACACAGTAATACTTTGTGTTTTTTTTTTAATTTGGGGTCTTCTTGACCAGAATTTCAAGCCTTACACGATACAATTCAAAATTTAAAGGCGCATAGCTTGGGTCTCAACACGAAAACCCTTAAAAGTGATTTTCGACCCGAAATTTCGGGGAAAAATCAATGTTTTTTGGGTTGAAAACTTTTGATTTCCAGCCAAAAATTTCCTGTTCTTCCGCCCAAAAATCATTTTATTTTATTACACACAAAATAAATAAAAACAAGCGAAATTGGGTCAACTGACGAATTAAGTACAAGTTGTAAAAATTTCGGCCAAAAAACCATATAAAAATCTTTTTTTCCGCAATTTTTCTTGATTTTGCCGGAAAAAAATGTTTCAAAAAATATCGATTTTTCTACTAGTTGTTGTCTTGATTTCCAATGTTTTGGTGAGTTTTTTTTTGAAAATTCGGGATTTTCTTGAAATCTGGAGCTCCGAAAATGCTCCAAATTTGAATTTTTCTCAAAAATCTGCCTTTTGGGGTGTCCAGAAGCCCCAAATTTGAGTTTCAGAGCTCTCGGAGCTCCCAAAATGCTCCAAAACTCAAATTTTCTCAAACCTAGGCTTGTGGGGTGTCAAAATGCTCCAAAAATCCAAAAAATCTCGAGTTCCAGAGCTCTCAGAGCCCCCAAAATGCTCCAAAACCAAATTTTCTCAAACCTAGGCTTGTGGGGTGTCAAAATGCTCCAAAAATCGAAAAATCTCGAGTTCCAGAGCTCGCGGAGCTCCCAAAATGCTCCAAAACCAATTTTTCTCAAACCTAGGCTTGTGGGGTGTCAAAATGCTCCAAATTTCCAGGCGGACATGTACGACGACGATTCGGGCCCAATTTCCGAAGATTTCGACACCCAAATTTGCGGCAAAAATGAAGTTTGGATGATTTGCTCGTCGTGTGAGCAGCAATGTGGCTCGGAGCCAAACATGGCGTGCCCAAAAGTGTGCCAGCCGGCTCGTTGTCAATGTCCAGCACATAAAGGATATAAGCGAGATGAACAAGGAAATTGCGTATTTTGCCACGTGGAAAAATAGGCCACGCCCACAATTTTATGCGGTAGCAAATGAAAAAATGATAAAAATTTTACTTTTTCTTCTTATCCTCCTCTTTTTCCTCTTTCGGTTGTCCGAGCTTGAGTTCGCTGAAAAAAAAGTTGAAATTTTAAGCCACGCCCCTTTTTTGCAAGTCTGGCACAGTTTTTTTGAAAATTTTTGGAACCTAGGCTTGTGGGGTGTCTAAAATCCTCAAATTTCACGAAAAATCCGGGAATCCTGGTCCCGAGATCCGCAAGTTTCTAGAACTTCAGTTTCAGAGCTCCCGGAGCCCTGAAAATGCTCAAAAATTCAAAATTTTCAAAAGATAGGCTTGCGGGGTGTCTAAAATCCCCAAATTTCATGAAAAATCCCGGAATCAGGGTCCCGAGATCCGCAAGTTCCTAGAACTTCAGTTTCAGAGCTCCCAGAGCCCTGAAAATGCTCCAAAATTCAAAATTTTCAAAACCTAAGCTTGTGGGGTGTCTAAAATCCTCAAATTTCATGAAAAACCCGGGAATCCTGGTCCCAAGATCGGCAAGTTCCTAGAACTCCAGTTTCAGAGCTCCTGGAGCCCAAAAATGCTCCAAAATTCAAAATTTTCAAAACATAGGCTTGTGGGGTGTCAAAAATCCTCAAATTTCATGAAAAATCCAAAAATTCATATCCCAGCTCTTGAAAATGTTTAGAAAGAGCTCCCAGAGCCCTGAAAATGCTCCAAAATTCAACATTTTCAAAACATAGGCTTGTGGGGTATCAAAATGCTCCAAATTTCATGAAAAATCCAAAAATCATCGTCTCAGAGCTCCCAGGAGCCCTGAAAATGCTCCAAATTCACCAACCTTTTCACAAATCTCCTTATTCTCATCCAAATCTCTTTGCAATTTTCAATATTATCGTGTGTTCCACCCGGGACCCATTCAGGAGTGACACGTGTCACAGCACGTTGACATATCAACTTGCCGTGCTCAATTGGTACAGTACGATCATCTTCACCGTGAATTACCAGCACAGGAACATTGACATCGTGAATCTGGAAAAAAGAGAAGAAAAAATAGGCTCCGCCCACAAAACCGCGCCGCAACCGGAAAATGGGGTTTTTGAGGTCTCGCCGATCATTTTGAGTGTAAATATGACTAGGCTCCGCCCACAAAACCCTGCCGCAATCAAAATTTCATTAAAAATCACAATTTTCAGTGAATCTCCTTAGGCTCCGCCCACAAAACCATGCCGCAGCCTGAATTTTATTAAAAATCACCATTTTCGCCTAAGCTCCGCCCACAAAACCATGCCGCAGGCTAAATTTCATTAAAAATCACCATTTTCGTCTAAGCTCCGCCCACAAAACCGTGCGGCACTCAAAAACCCTCATTTTCAACCATTTTTCCCCGCATTTTCCTAAGCCACGCCCACAAAACCGTGCCCTCACCTTCTCACAAACCCGAAATCGATCCATACAACAACTTTCGGCCTCGATATTTCCAGGCCGGCCCGTTAAATGGGCCATGACACGTAGAATTGAGGCTGGCGGGGCTTGGAGAATTACACCAGCCGGTTTCGGGTCGAGACCCATTTCGAAGAGGCTTACTGTAGCCGCCGAGCCAATCGAATAGCCAAGAAGAACAATTTTATCAGGTTGGACTGTGAGGAGAATGTGCTGCAAGAAAAATGTGCATTTTTTGGGATTGCTCATGTTAAGGCGGTCGTTTTGAGTCTAAATATGGCATTGCTCATGTTAAGAGCATTATTTTGATATTACTAAAGCCTAAGCTCCGCCCACTTTCTGCAATTTTGCGGCACGGTTTTTGAGAAATGTAATTTTTAGGTTCTAGAAAAACTATGCCGCAAAATTGCAAAAGTGGGCGGAGCCTAGACTTGTAGCGATTTAAAATAATCAGAAAACTGTGCCGCAAAAATCAGGTATCAAAATAATGCTCTTAACCTGAGCAATGTCATATTTAGTATCAAATTAGAGCTCTTAACCTGAGAAATGCTATATTTGGTATCAAATTGAAGCTCTTAACCTGAGCAATATCATATTTAGGTCCAAAATAGAGCTCTTAACCTGAGCAATCCCAAAAAATACCTCATAAACCGCTCTAACATCCGCATACATATTTTGTTCGGACGGAAATCCTTTCGAAATACCGTAACCCGTATAATCATAACTATACACATCACAATGATAAAATCTGGCCAAATCGACAAAATTCGGAGTTCCGATGAGATGATCCGATAGATCGGAACCATTTGGATGCGAGTAGAGAATTGTGAAACGGGCCGGACCATCGGGACATTTCACGTGGACACACGGGATTTTCTGGAAGCATTTTTGGCTGAAATTCGTGATCAGGCTGAAATTCGGGTCATTTTGATAGTAAATTCGAGATTTTTGGTGGAAAATTGATATGAGCAATGTTTTTCTACAAGAAACCTGAAGCTTAACATTAGCAATGCTCAAATTTCCTTCAAAATTTAATATGAGCAATGCTCCATTTTAATGAAAGGTTAAAATGAGCAATGCTCAAATTTTCATTTAAAAAAATCGATTTCTAATCTGAGCAATGCTCAAATTTTCATCAAAAAATCAATTATTAACCTGAGCAATGCTCACATTCTCTTCAAAATTTAATATGAGCAATGCCCTCCATTTTTATTAGAGTTTAACCTGAGCAATGCTCAAATTTTCATTAAAAAATCAATTATTAACCTGAGCAATGCAAAATTTTCATTAAAAAATCAATTTCTAACCTGAGCAACGCTCAAATTTTCATTAAAAAATCAATTTCTAACATGAGCAATGCAAAATTTTCATTAAAAAATCAATTTCTAACCTGAGCAATGCTAAAATTTTCTTCAAAATTTGATATGAGCAATGCTCAAATTTTCTTCAAAATTTAACCTGAGCAATGCTAAAATTTTCTTCAAAATTTAACCTGAGCAATGCTCTCCATTTTTATGAGAGTTTGAAATGAGCAATGCACAATTTTTATGAGAGTTTAAAATGAGCAATGCTCAAATTTTCTCCCAAATTTAATATGAGCAATGCTCCATTTTAATGAGAGTTTAACATGAGCAATGCTCAAATTTCCATGAAAATACCCACATTTGGTGTCTTTCAGCGCGAAATTTCACGAAAAATCCAAAAATTAACCTGAGCAATGCCCAAAATCACTCACATTATTCCTACTTGTCCTCAAAAAGAATCCCTCAACCTTCTGAATATCATCAGCACACGGATGTCGCATTCCAACATGATATCTCACATCCAGCTCACCTTTTCGAGCATTCCGAATCTTTTTCACCTCATTTTTTCGTTTCAGTTGGATGATGACGTCATCAGCGTCGTGGACACGCATTGGTTCCCAATTTTCGGGTGGAAGGAAGTAGAAATAGTCACATGGTGGAGGCCAGAAGGCAGCCTGGAAATGAATTTTGGAAAATTTGGAGCATTTTTGGGGCTCTGGGAGCCAGATTTTCAGATTTCTCATCAAATTTGGAGATTTTAGACACCCCACAAGCCTAGGTTTCGATAAAATTTAATTTTGGACCATTTTCAGAGCTCCGAGAGCTCTGAAACTAGAATTCTAGAGATTTTCAGGATCTGGGAGCCCAATTTTTGAATTCTTCATGAAATTTGAAGATTTTACACACCCCACAAGCCTAGGTTTCGATAAAATTTAATTTTGGAGCATTTTCAGGGCTCGGGGAGCTCTGAAACTAGAATTCTAGAAATTTTCAGGATCTGGGAGGCAGATTTTGGAATTTTCCATCAAATTTCAAGATTTTAGACACCCAACAAGCCTAGGTTTCGATAAAATTTAATTTTGGACCATTTTCAGGGCTCGGGGAGCTCTGAAACTAGAATTCTAGAAATTTTCAAGAGCTAGAAATCAGATTTTCAGATTTCTCATCAAATTTCAAGATTTTAGACACCCCACAAGCCCAAGTTCAGAAAAACTGTGCGAGGCTTGCAAAAAGGGGCGTGGCTTAACGATTCTCTCCAAAAAACCGTGCCAGACTTGCAAATTTCATCGGATAAATTAGGCCAAGCCCCCAAAACCATGCCGCAGGTCAATTTTGACGAAAAATAGCTCATTTTACACCGTTTTTTCCCAAATTTTTGCCAGGCCACGCCCACAAAACCGTGCCGCAGCCAAAAAAGAGCCAACTCACATTATGCACAATACAACAACACGGCGGACAACACGCCACGCAGCAAACTCGCTTCATTCGGTGTACTGTAGTTTTGAGGCCCTCGAAAAAATCGGTGATTTTGTAGAAACGACCCATTGGGCAGACGCAAATTCGCTGGATTTTCTTTTTTCTGCAAAAAAAAAATGGGGTTTTGGGAGGATTTTCGGGGCTCCGAGAGGCCCGGGACCATGATTTTCAAATTTTTCATAAAATTTGGAAAATTTAGACATCTGACAAGGTTAGGTTTGAAGGAATTTGAATTTTGAGCATTTTCAGAGCTCCGGGAGTTCTGGAGATTTTCAGAAGCTGGGACTATAATTTTCAAATTTTTTATGAAATTCGGGAATTTTAGACACCCAGCAAGCCTTTGTTTTGAATTTTGGAGCATTTTCAGAGCTCCGCGAGCTCTAGGCCTAAAAATCATCAATTTTCAGCCAGAAAACTCGATTTTTCAGCAAATTTTGATCAAAAACTCACCGATATTTCGCGATTTTCTTCAAAAATCTCTTCTCGTCTCGAATTGTCCGATTCGCTTCATCAACTTCCTCTTCTTTACTTTTCGACTTTTTTCTCGAGTGTTTTCGCGCTGAAAATTTTCGATTTTGGGTCAAAATTCAACGAATTGCTCATATTAAACCAGAAAAATCGATCTTTGGCTCAAAAATCCTTGCAAATATCAGTTTTTTGGTCTAAAAATCGATAATTGCTAATATTAGGCAGTTTTCAATGATTTATAGCTCAAAAAACTCCAAATTTTTCAGATTTTTTCATATTTTTGGTTAAATTTGGCTGAAAATTCATAGAATTGCTCATATTAAATCAGAAAAATCGATTTTTGGCTCAAAAATCATCAGTTTTTTGGTCTAAAAATCGATAATTGCTCATATTAGGTAGTTTTCAACGATTTATAGCTCAAAAAACTCCAAATTTTTCAGATGTTTCCTCCAAAAATCCCAAAATCCACTCACAATATTTTTCGCGCTTCGAAACATCCAAAAATATGCCAAACCGTGAGCTTCGCGGCTTTCTCTTCGAATCCTCTTTTTTCTGCTGCTGATTGGTTTTTGGTGGAGAAGATGGTGACAATGGTGGTGAGGTTTTCTGGTGTCTGCACGATTTTGCTGGTGCATTTGGTGGCGGCGGCGGTTTTGAGGTGGGTTTTTTCGTTGGCTCCGAAAGCGACTGAAAAAATCCGATTTTTGCGCGAAATTTCGGGGTTTTCAGGTGAAAATTTGATCTCTGAACGATTTCAGGCTATTTTAGAGCAAATTTGCATCATTTTCCAGCTTTTCCCGCTCAAAAACGCGCATTTTAGCCGGAAAACTGGGAAAAATTTAAAAAAACCAAAAATTGTGAATTCAAACAACGCGGCGGGTCTCGCGGCGATGAGACAGAAAACGCGTGTGCAACTACGGTAGCACACACTTTGAACTGTGTCTTTTTTCATTTTTTTTGAAAAAAAAAAGGGAAATCTTGAATTTCAGCCCGAAATTGAGGGTTTCAGAGGAGCATATTCGCTCTAACAACAATCTCGAGCAAATTTGCATCATTTTCCTTTTCTTTCCCGCTCAAAAACATGCATTTTAGCCGGAAAACTGGAAAAAAACGAAAAACTCAAAATTCAAACAACGCGGCGGGTCTCGCCGCGATGAGACAGAAAACGTGTGTGCAACTACGGTAGCACACACTTTGAAATGTGTCTTTTTTCATTTTTTTGAAAAAAAAAGGGAAATCTTGAATTTCAGCCCGAAATTGAGAGTTTTTGGTGTGAAAAAAGATTTCGGGGTTGAAAATGATGGGAAAATCGATTTTTTTCGAGAAAAATCCCAAAATTTCGAGTTTTTTTGTAATTTTGTTATGAAAAAGTGCAGTTTTTCGGCTTGTTTGGTATCAAAATGAAGCTCCTAACATGAGCAATCCCCCCTCAAATTTACCTGTGTCTTATCCAAACTCGCTTCCCGCTCATCGGCAACCTTCTCCTGCGTCTCCTCGGTCCGCCGTGACGTCAGCGTTTGCGTGGCGGCCACATTTTTGCGCGAACTATCGAATTCCGCGCCGCCTCCGCCAGTGATTTTCGTCAAATTCTTCCGCGTCGATTTATTTTTCACCCTCAATTTTTCGCTCATAAATGATTTTTGCGTTGCTAACTAACAAAGATATAAAAATGAGGTGGTTTTGGTTGGATTTTCTGGCGAAAAAATTGGGTCACGTGAATATTTTTTTTTAATTGTTTCTGAGAAACCGTGCCGCAAAATTGCTTCTCTTAAAATTAGGGTTTCTAGGCCAAAATTAGGGCCTTTTTCTAAAATTAGGCTTCCTAAGCCCAAATAATTTGTAGATCCAGAGACTTTGTATCTAAAACCAGGCTTTCTAGACCAAAAATGCATGGTTTTCAAGCAAAAACGGGCTGAAATAAGGCTTTCTAGGCCTAAATTTTAGCTATTTTTCTAAATTTCAGGCTATCAGGTCCAAATTTGAGCCATTAAAATGTCAAGTTATTGATTTTTGCTAAATTCCAGCATTTTATAGTATCTAAAAAAAAATAAAAATGTCGTGCAAAAAAATTAAAAGAAAAAAGAAAATAAAAAACATCTCTCTCTCTCTATCTCTAACCCTCTCTCTCTCCATTTCCCACACTCTCTCACCCACGCTGCACAAAAAATAATTACGGTAAACAACGCGCACGCGGAGTATCGTTGTTTTTCTTTTAATTTTTTTTCACGACATTTTTATTTTTCTGGGTTTTGAGTGCGTTTTTTTCAGCGCTGGTGCAAAAATCAATAACTTGACATTTTTATGGCTCAAATTTAGACCTGATAGCCTGAAATTCAGAAAAATTGCTCAAATTTAGGCCTAGAAAGCCTTATTTCATCGAAAAGCCCGTTTTTGCTTGAAAACCATGCATTTTTGGTCTAGAAAGCCTGGTTTTAGATAAAAATTTGGGCTTAGGAAGCCTAATTTTAGAAAAAGGCCCTAATTTTGGCCTAGAAACCCTAAAAAAGCCTATTTCAGAAAAATGACCCAAAATTTGGTCCAAAAGCCCTCCAATTTTTATCCAGAAACCATGATTTGATTTCCTATAGCAAAAATTAAACTCCGCCCATTTTTCTGTGCGGCATTATGATTTTTGTCAATTTTTCTGTTTCCCAGAATTTCTTACGTTTCACAAATCCAATTTATTAATAGTTGGCAGAAATTTCAGCTGAAAATTCAAAATTTTCAGGATTTTTGAACCGGGAAAGTTGAAAATTCAAAATTTTCAGGATTTTCGACCCGGGAAAGTTGAAAATTCAAAATTTTCACAATTTTTGACCCGGTAAAGTTGAAAATTCAAAATTTTCACAATTTTTGACCCGGTAAAGTTGAAAATTCAAAATTTTCACAATTTTCGACCCGGGAAAGTTGAAAATTCAAAATTTTCACAATTTTTGACCCGGTAAAGTTGAAAATTCAAAATTTTCACAATTTTTGACCCGGTAAAGTTGAAAATTCAAAATTTTCAGGATTTTTGACCCGGGAAAGTTGAAACGGGCTTTCTACCCAGATTTTTTTCGTTACATTCTAGACCTAGTTGATATTTTGGCTGAAAAATCGAGATTTTCAGAATTTTTTGAGCCTGGGAACTGAAAATTGAGCACAAGCTCATAATTTCAGCTGTGGGGCTGAAAATAATTAATAAAAATCATTGCGTGAAATGACACTAAAAAATTGGTCATTTTTTGAATTTTTTCGCCTAGAAAAATGGGAACATGTTTTTCGAAATGGGAAAATGAAATTGAATATTCTGGTGGAATTGGCTGGTTTGATCTACCTGTTGATGTCAGAAGATTATTAATCGATTCAATGGATTTTGAAGCGAAAGCAAGATTTTCACAGTGTTCAATAGAATGTTATGAAGAAGTTAGCGAAAGTCGAAATTTTATCAGAAGTATTGAAATATGTGATGGAAGAGAAGGGAATAATCGGATTATTGAGATTTTTGTGAGTGGAAATCGAAAAGAAACGTGGCTTTTCAGAATATTTGAATTATCTTCTGGAAATGTTGAAATTCGTTGCATACCACGCCCAGGGTGAGGCATTTGCACGGCGCCAATAGAAAAATACGGCAATTCACCTCGCCAACTTGAGATTTTCTTCAAAAACAGCAAATTTTTGCTAGTTTTTCCGTAAAAAAGTCGTATTTTTCAGTCAAAAAGGTTGTTTTCACCTCGCCAAAAATTTTCAAAACCCACACCGCCAATTTTTAAAGTTAATTTGCACGAAGCTGGGCGTGGTATGATTCGTTGGCAACTTAATGAAAATGAAATTATATCTCGGAAAATATTTGAGAATTCGAATCCGATTGATATTGTTTTGATGTATTTCAATGATATTTTGAAGAAAAATATGAAAAGTTTGAAAGTTCTTGCAATTTACATTGTAAGTTGGTTGCTACGAGAAAAATGTTTAAATTTGATTTTTATTTTTTAACATCGAAAGATCAATTCACGAAAAGTCGAAAATGATGAAAAATTTTTTTATTTTTCAAGATTCTGCAGTGATTTCTGATTAAAATTGACCTTGGAATTCACTTTCCAGAAGGTTTTGCTGATTTTTGGTAAAATAAAAAAAAAAATTCATAAAATTAAGCAGAATAGGGTTCTCGAAGCTTATTTTCATCAGAAATCACTCCAGAAGCTTGAAAAATATCGATTTGTCATCATTTCTGGCTGAAAAACTCGAAAATTTGGCTGAAAAACTGGCTGAAAAAATCGAAAAAAAAAAATTTTTCTGGATAAAAAATAGGGCTTTTGGACCAAATTTTGGGCCATTTTTCTGAAATAGGCTTTTCCCAAAATTAGGGTTTCTAGGCCCAAATTTGTATCTAAAACCAGGGCTTTCTAGACCAAAATGCATGGTTTTCAAGCAAAAACGGGCTGAAATAAGGCTTTCTAGGCCTAAATTTAAGCAATTTTTCTTAATTTCAGGCTATCAGGTCCAAATTTTTTATTTTTTCTGGTTTTTGAGTGGTTTTTTTCAGCGCTGAAAATGTTATTTGGTATATTTTTAATATAAATTACTGAATTTTAAAACTAAAATGTTGGAATTTAGCAAAAATCAATAACTTGACATTTTAATGGCTCAAATTTAGACCTGGTAGCCTGAAATTCAGAAAAATCGCTCAAATTTAGGCCTAGAAAGACTTATTTCAGCCCGTTTTGGCTTGAAAACGCATTGCTCATATTAAATATTATTTTTGATTTGACTACCATGAGCAATGCTTCCCCCCAAAAACTCTTGGCTAAAAAATCGAGGCATTGCTCATATTACCGGCTGAAAATATGGAAATTAATCGAAGTTTTCACGCAAAATCGCCAAATTTTTGCAGAAATCCTCGAAACACTCAAGAAATTCCACCTCGTGACCTCGAGCAAATTAAGCAAAGAATTGCTCAAATGGCAATGATTCTACAAATGCTTTTGATTCTGAGAAATCGACAACAAACACTTGCTATTGATCAATAAATTCGATTTTTTCATGATTTTAGCCATAAAAACCTGGAAATTTGGAGTTTTTTGAGGCCGAACACGATGAAAATAAATTCGAAAATTCACTACGGTAGCTTTAAAGGCGCACAAATCTCGCGGCGAGACCAATTAAGGGAAAAAGCGGGATTGCGGAGCGTCGTTGTTTTATTTTTTAATTTTTTCGCAGGAACACGTGATGACACTAAAAAATTGGTCATTTTTTGAATTGTTTCGCCTAGAAAAATGGGAACGTGTTTTTCAAAATGGGAAAATGAAATTGAATATTGTGGAATTGGCTGGTTTGATCTACCTATTGATGTCAGAAGATTATTGATCGATTCAATGGATTTTGAAGCGAAAGCAAGATTTTCACAGTGTTCAATAGAATGTTATGAAGAAGTTAGCGAAAGTCGAAATTTTATCAGAAGTATTGAAATATGTGATGGAAGAGAAGGGAATAATCGGATTATTAAGATATTTGTAAGTGGAAATCGAAAAGAAACGTGGCTGTTTAGAATATTAGAATTATCATCTGGAAATGTTGAAATTCGTTGGCAACTCAATGAAAATGAAATTATATCTCGGAAAATATTTGAGAATTCGAATCCGATTGATATTGTTTTGATGTATTTCAATGATATTTTGAAGAAAAATATGAAAAGTTTGAAAGTTCTTGCAATTTACATTGTAAGTTGCTACGAGAAAAAAAAAAAAAAATTTTTTTTTTTAATTTTTTTTTTCAAAAATGATGACAAATCGACTTATTTTCAGAATTAAAAAAAAAAATTTTTTTTTCATTTCTGAAAATAAGTCGATTTGCCATAATTTTTGAAAAAAAAAATTAAAAAAAAAAAAATTTTTTTTTTCGTTTCTGAAAAAAAAAAATTTTAAAAAATTTTTTGAAAAAAAAAAAATTAAAAAAAAAAATTTTTTTTTCGTTTCTGAAAATAAGTCGATTTGTGATCAATTTTGAAAAAAAAAAATTTTTTTTTTCGTTCCTGAAAATAAGTCGATTTGTCATCATTTTTGAAAAAAAAAATTAAAAAAAAAAAAAAAATTTTTTTTTCGTTTCTGAAAATAAGTCGATTTGCCATAATTTTTGAAAAAAAAAATTTTTTTTTTTTTTTTTAATTTTTTTTTTAAATTCTGAAAATCAGTGATTCACATTTTTCCAGGACGATTTTCCTTATGATCAAACCAATATTCGACATTTGAAATATTTGAATCAATTTTGAAAAAAAAATAAAAAAAAAATTTTTTTTTTCGTTTCTGAAAATAAGTCGATTTGTCATCATTTTTTGAAAAAAAATTAAAAAAAAAAAAAAATTTTTTTTTTTTTTTTTTTTTATTCTGAAAATAAGTGATTCACATTTTTCCAGGACGATTTTCCTTATGATCAAACCAATATTCGACATTTGAAATATTTGAATCAATTTTGAAAAAAAAATAAAAAAAAAAATTTTTTTTTTCGTTTCTGAAAATAAGTCGATTTGTCATCATTTTTGAAAAAAAATTAAAAAAAAAAAAATTTTTTTTTTTTTTTTTTTTATTCTGAAAATAAGTGATTCACATTTTTCCAGGACGATTTTCCTTATGATCAAACCAATATTCGACATTTGAAACATTTGAATTTGAATACTTTGATACTTCAAAAAAACAAGCACGATGAAATCGATCCGGTTTATAGTGATTTTGTTGATTTGTCCACAATGCGTCGTGTTGAACATCTAATCGAAATTCCGCGTTTCCCATTTTGCTGCTTATTGAAACTGAAAGCAAGAAATAGACGAATCACTCATCCCTCTTTCAATATCAATAGTTTCAAGGATTTTCTGCACGATCTTTTGATTGCCGAAAATTATTATGGAGGATTCTCGAAGATTGTGTTGAATTTGAAGGGCGGAATTGGACGTGAGATACACGGTTCTGATGTTTTCCCTGAAATTATCAAAGAATATACAATGTCGGAGTTGATGGAAATCAGAAACACCGCATTGGGTGGAAAAATTATGAAGGGATATATGCGAGAATCAAAAAGGCTTGAAAATGGAATACATTTTATTGTTCTTAATGGATATAGTTTTGATTACAATCACATGAGAATTGAGAAATAAATTTTTTTTTTTTTTTTTTTAACAAGCGTGATTGTGAATGCGTTAAAGGATTAGAGCAACACTTTTGTATAAGAAGGCTACAGGGTTGTTACAAAAAACGGGCTCCAGCCAGCCAGGCCCCGGGCCCTTCTTGAGGTTCAAGGTCGGGCTCTAGGCCCGGCCATTCTAACAAGCCTGATTGTGAATGTGCAAACACTTTGACCGACAATTGTGTGCTACAGTACCCCTCGCAACTTTTTCTCAACAAATTGTTTCACCAATTTTTTTCGTCATCATTTTTTTGTGGAAAAAAATTTTCTGAGCTGAAAAATCGAATTTTTTGACCCTGGAAACTGAAATTTTAAAATTTTGTGCTGAAAATTGAGCAAAAGCTCATAATTTCATTCAGCTTGGCTTGGGAAACGTAAAAAATTCTGGGCAACAGAAAAATTGACAAAAATTATAATAATGCCGCACAGAAAAATGGGCGGAGCTTAATTTTTGCTATATGAAATCAAAAGGGCTTTTGGACCAAATTTCGGGCCATTTTTCTGAAATTAGGCTTCCTGGACCAAAAAATACATGGTTTTCAAGCAAAAACTGAAGAAACGTGCCGCAAAATTGCAAAAAAAGTGGGGCGGAGCTTCGAATAATTTATGAATAAAGAAGATATGCGATTATTTCAAAAATATCACAAAAATCAATAATTTTCTCAAGAATACGGTAGAGTATTATTAAAATCCATGCGAAGTTGCTGTAACTTGACCCTCAAATCCTCCTCTTCCTCTTCTGTATTCTTAACCAAATCGATTTGATCAGTTGAAGAGGATTTTCTGGAAAATTTCAGATTTTTCTGGAATTTCAGATTTTTTTGGCTGAAAATCAAAGATGTTAGTAGAAAAAATCAAAAATTTCAACAAAAAATCGATAAAAACCTGCGATTCAACACGAAATTGCCACGTTTTTGACTCAAACTTCTGAGAAAAAATTTTTGAATTTCAAATTTTCGCGCCAAAAAATTTTTTTTTGGCGCCAAAACTTTTGACCCACCTTTGCTGACGTAATTCGCCTTCAAAACCACCGCGAATTTCGTCGATTATAATTGCGATAAAAGTTCGCCAGGCTCTTGAAGCTTCTCGAGTTTTCTGCAAGCAAAAAAAAGGTGTGCCAGGGTTGCAAAAAGGGGCGGGGCTTGAGTTTTTGAAAATTTTTGATCTAAAATTTGTCATTCTTGGGCTCAAAATTCTCGGAAAACCCTGGGAAACATAGTCTGATTATTTTTGAGCTCTGAAAATGAACCCAGAGTGCGGCACAGAAAAGTGGGCGTGGCTTAGGGGTCCCTTAGGTACTTTTTTTTATCAAAATTCTCCAAAATATATGATTCTTGGGCTCAAAATGCTCAGAAACCCCTCCTGAACATGATCTGAGCAATTTTGAGCTCTAAAAACTGATACAACTCGCGGCACAGAAAAGTGGGCGTGGCTTAGGGGTCCCTTAGGTACTTTTTTTCAAAATTCTCCTAAATATATGATTCTTGGGCTCAAAATGCTCCAGAAACCTCTAGAAAAACGATCTGAGCAATTTTGAGCCCTGAAAATGAACCCAGAGTGCGGCACAGAAAAGTGGGCGTGGCTTAGGGGTTCCAATTTTCAAAATTCTAGAAAACACGTCATGTTTGGGCTCAAAATGCTCAGAAAACTCTCAGGAACACGGTGTGAGCAATTTTGAACTCTAAAAATTGATACAACTAGCGGCACAGAAAAGTGGGCGTGGCTTAGAGGTCCCGATTTTCAAAATTCTCCAAAACACGTCATGTTTGGGCTCAAAATGCTCCCCACGACCTTCTGAGCCCGAAAAAAAGAGCCCCAACTCCCTACCTGAACACTCTCGTGCGTGCAAACGCGCTCCATCGCAATCTCGCCCAATTTTTCCCAAATATCACTCGTAAAACTACAACTTCGATTCAAAACGGCGTGCGCCGAGCCGATTTGACGAATTTTTCGCATACATTCCTCTTCGTCGTCGAAACTCGTGAGAATTTCGTCGAAAAATCTGGAAATTTTCAGATTTTTCTGGAATTTTGACTGAAAACATGGTGTTTGGTGTCAAAAAACGCGAAATTTCACGAAATTTTCGAATTTTCGCGCGAAAATTTGATCTACCTTGTCAAAAGTTTCAAATGCACATCCAAAGTGGCTCGATTGTCCTCTTCTTTGTTGAAGGCGTCGACCAGAGCGGCTTTATAGAAAATCTGAAAATTTTTTTGAATTTGGCTCAAAATTTGGAGCATTTTGATATACAGTAAGCCTAGGAGTACTGTAGAAAATTTAAAAAAAAAAATTTGAATTTTTCAAAAATCCGCCAAATTCTCAATAGAGCGCATTTGCCAATTTTCAACGTAAAATTTGAATTTTTCAATTTCCCGGGGTAAATTTTGGCGGGAAATTTGAATTTTCAAAGGGTTTGGGGTAAAAACATCGATTTTTGAGGTTTCTGGGTTCATTTTCAGCCTAGGGTTATTGTAGATCAAATTTTGGCGGGAAAATTTAATCTACAGTAACCCCAGGCTTATTGTATATCAAAATGCTCCAATTTTGGCGCGAAATTCAAATTTTTGCTCACCTGCTTCACTTTCGGCGACGCAATTTCGAGCTCCAGGAAAATTTTTCGAAAAACTGCGGAGCTTTGAGATTTCAGGATTTTCCACGAAGTTGTTAGGGCTTGTTTTTGACCAAAACTTAGCGACGAAATTGTACCAACTGCTCCTGAAATTTGGGATTTTTGGCTGAAAATTTGATGAAAAATGAGCCATTTTGAGCTGGAAATGCTCAATTTTCAGCCAAAATCTGAAAATTTTCAAAATTCAATTTTAGGCTCATTTTGTAGAGAATTTCAAGAGCTTCAAAATGAGCCTGAAATTAATTTTTGAAAATTTCAGATTTTGGCTGAAAATGAGCATTTTCAGCTCAAAATTGCTCATTTTTCATCAAATTTTCAAGATTTTTGCTCAAAAATGAGCAATTTTTTCAGATTTTTCGCGCCAAAAACTACCGTACCCCATTGTTGTTGAACCAGACTCGATTTTTGTGACATTTTCTCTGAAGAGCACAAAATGAGCACACAGAAAAATGAGCAAAAATGAGATGAAAATTAGGAATTCATGAAGTTTTTTAATGGCTTGGGGAAGAAAAATGGGAGGAAAAAATTAATTTTTTTTTTGCTCTACTCTTACTACTCTCGTAAAACAACGAGAGAGTGAGAGACGCAGAGAAAATGCGCGATTTTCTATGAAAAATTTGAATTTGGCGCCAAATTTAGAGCATTTTGATATACAATAAGCCTATGGTTACTGTAGATCAAATTTTGGCGCCAAAATTTGAATATTTAAATTTTCACAGGAAATTTTGCCACGTTTTTTTTAAAATTTTATTTTGGCGCCAAAATTTTTGCCACGCCATCAAAAATTCCAGCGAAAAAATTTCGTAAATAACAAAAAAAATTTTTTTTCCAAAAAAAAAAAAAGAAATAAATCAGGCCTATTACTAGAGCTCTAAATATAAGCTAGGCGATTTTTCAAAAAAAAAAAAAATTTTTTTTTTGCGCGCGAAAAAAGTCGCGACACAACTTTTCTTTTTCTAATTAATTACAAATGGCAGGCAGAAAAGAGCATAAAAGAGCAAAAATTGGATGAAATGACGTGTTTAAGGGGTTTCCGCGAGCTTCCGCGAGTTTCCGCAAGCTTCCGCGGTCTACACTCGCAACGCTCGGGGCGAGCTGCTTTTCAACGAAATTTGACGCGCTTCCAGAAAGGCGTGGGTAGCTCAGTGGTAGAGTGTTTTGCTGGTGTTCGAGAGGTGCCGGGTTCGAAACCCGGTCGGAACTTTTCAATTTTTTTTAAATTTTACAATTAGGTCCATTTTAAAGCTCTTGAAATTCTCTACAAAATGAGCCTAAAATTAATTTTTGAAAATTTCAGATTTTGGCTGAAAATTGCTCATTTTTGAGCAAAAATCTTGAAAATTTGATAAAAAATGAGCAATTTTGAGCTGAAAATGCTAAATTTCTGAAATTTTCAAAAATCAATTTTAGGTTCATTTTGAAGCTCTTGAAATTCTATACAAAATGAAATTTTGAAAATTTCAGATTTCAGGCATTCTAGGCTTTTTTAGGCCAAATTTTAGGCCCGGCCCGATTTCAGGCCTAATCTTACCTCCACGACGCGTCGATTTACTCCTACTACATCCCTTCTGAGTTCCACGTCTTGAAAGCGAGCTCGAACCTGCAAAAACAAGAAAAATTTCAAAATTTTGGCAGTCAGAAGGTCACAGGTTCGATCCCGGGTGCCCGCGAAAAATTTTTTTTGAAAATTTTTGGAATTTTCAGGGAAAAACTCACCATCTTGCATGGAATACGATCTGTCATATTTTCGATATTTTTTCATCATTTTCTGGTGAAAAATTCGGGATTTTTTGGTTCACCCAGAAAAAAATGGTTAGAAATTCATGGATTTTTGCGGGAAAAATTTTTTTTCGAAAAAATTTGCGCAAAAAAATTAATCGAATCGGAAAAGGAAATATTATGAAAAAAAAATAGAAAAATTTTTTGTTTGGGTTTTTTTTTTTTTTTTTGCTTTCTATACATCATCAAATGAGATGCACAAGAAAAATGAGAATAATAATTTTTCAGAGCAAAAAATACTGAAAACACGTGATTTTCAGATTTTCAAAGCCGAAAAACTCACTTTTGTTAGTGACACGACACGATTGAGTTCGACGGAAATTGTAGGGAGAAGTTGAGAGATGATCGTCCATTTTCAGCTGGAAAATTATCGATTTTCCGAGGAAACCTGGATTTTTCAAGAGTTCAGAGTACGATTTTCGAAATCCCCGTGAAATTTCGAGTTTTTAGACACCCATATGCATATAGTTTTGTAAATTTTGAATTTTTACCTATATGACCCCCCTAAGCAGGGGGGGGGGGCATTTTCAGAAATCTTTGATTTTCAGAAATTATAATAGTGATTTTTGAATTCCTCGTGAAATTTCGAGTTTTTAGACACCCATATTCATATTTTTCTGAAAATTTTGAAATTTTACCTATATGACCCCCTAAGGAGGGGGGGGTACTATTTTCAGAAATCTTTGATTTTCAGAGATTCTCATGGATTTTTTTGAATTCCCCGTGAAATTTCGAGTTTTTAGACACCCATAATCATATTTTGCTGAAAATTTTCAATTTTTGTGCTCCGCGAACCCGGAAAATGCTCAAAATTCAAAATTTTCAGAAAATATATAAATTCGGGTGTCTAAAAACTCGAAATTCCACGAGGAGTTCGAAAATTCACATGAAAATCTCTGAAAATCAAAGATTTCTGAAAATGCCCCCCCCCCCCCCCCCTGCTTAGGGGGGTCATATAGGTAAAATTTCAAAATTTTTAGAAATATATAATTATGGGTGTCTAAAAACTCGAAATTTCATGAGGAATTCAAAAAATCACATGAGAATCTCTGAAAATCAAAGGTTTCTGAAATTGTTACCCCCCCCCCCCCTGCTTAGGGGGGTCATATAGGTAAAATTTCAAAATTTTCAGAAAAATATCAATATGGGTGTCTAAAAACTCGAAATTCCACTGGGAGTTCAAAAATCCACATGAGAATCTCTGAAAATCAAAGATTTCTGAAAACGGTACCCCACCTCCTGCTTAGGGGGGGTCATATAGGTAAAATTTCAAAATTTTCAGAGAAATATGATTATGGGTGTCTAACAACTCGAAATTTCATGGGGAATTCAAAAATCCACGTGAAAATCTGAAATTTTCAGCAAAAAAAACCAAAAAATTGGCGAAATCCGATACATGCACTTATTCACAAAATATTCTAGAATAATAATTTTTCTGGTGTGCTGTGCCTACCTTTTTGAATTATGCACATAAAAAATAAAAAATTCCCTTTTTTTCGAATATATAATTCTAGGGGAGGGGAGGTATAACCTATAATTTTCAGTCAAAAAAAAAAAAAATTTTTTTTTGAAATTTTCTTACTGTAGATCAATTTTTCGCGCGAAAAAAGTGTCAAAAACTGGGAAAACGCGAAAAATCACATAAATTCTAAATTAGCTGAAGCTAAAAAGTGACGCGAAAAAAAAATTTTTTTCGCAGAATTTTTAAAATTTTCGTGTCGGATTTCTGATAAATTATTTAGAAAATTGGAAAAAAAAGTTAAGGAACTTTTTTTTTCAAAAATTTCGCGCTGAAAACCTCAAAAAACACTGAAAAAAAACAAATTGAAATTAAAAAAAAAAAAAAAAAATTTTTTTGTCTCGAAAAAATTCCAATTTGTGTTGACTAAGCCTAGAAGGCTAATTAGAAAAAAAAATGTTTTTTTTTCTATTTTTTTTGCCTAAGCTTAGCCTAAGTCTGGAATTAGGCTAAGGCTAGAAATTCGCGCGGGAAAATTTTGGCTGAAAATATTTTTCTGAAAAAATTTTTTTCGTGGGGTACAACAATTGTAGCTACATACAAATTTGAAAAAAAAATTCAATTTTTTTCCCAAAAAAAAAATCCACGAGCTACAGTACCACCTGGTTTTGGCGCGAAAATTTGATCTACTTATTGTATATCAAAAAACTCCAGAATGAGCCCAGAAACCTCAAAAATCGATATTTTTACCCCAAACCCTTTGAAAATTCAAATTTCCCGCCAAAATTAACCGCGGGAAGGTGAAAAATTCAAATTTTACTTTGAAAATTGGCAAATGCGCTCTATTGAGAATTGGGCGGATTTTTGAAAAATTCAAATTTTCATTTTTTTTTAAATTTGATCTACAGTAACCCTAGGCTTATTGTATATCAAAACGCTGCAAATTTTTGCGCGAAATTCGAAAAATTCAAATTTCCCGCCTCAAAATCGCTCGAAATTTGTGAATTTTTGGCTGAAAATCCAGGAAAACACCAAAAATCACCATAAAAAAGCAGAAAAAATGGAGAAAATCGTCGGGAAGTCTCAAATAAATCAGGCGGAAAAAAACAAAAAAAAAAAAATTTTTTTTTTTCGTTAGCGACATGAAAAAAAGCGGGGAAAATGAAGAATAGAAACAAAAAAAAGAGGGAAAATGTGATTTTTGACGAATTTTTTGAGGGCATGGCCTAGGAATCCGAAGTTAGGCCATCAAAAATCGATAATTTCACCCCAAACTCTTTGAAAATTCAAATTTTCCGCCAAAATTGACCCCGGGAACTTGAAAAATTCGAAGTTTCATCTAGAAATTCGCAAATGCGCTCTATTGAGAATTTTTGAATTTTTCAAAAACCCGCCAGATTCTCAATAGAGCGCATTTGCCAATTTCCATCCAAAAATTTGAATTTTTCAAGTTCCCGCGGTCAATTTTGGCGGGAAATTTGAATTTTCAAAAGATTTGGGGTAAAAACATCGAAATCAGCTTCTGATGGCCTAGAAATCCAGAAAATTTGGTTTTCTAGGCCACCAAAGCCTGAAAATCGATATTTTTGGGTTTCTAGGTAACAAAACCTTGAAAATCCGGTTTCTAGACCAAAAACCAATGAAAAATATGAATTTTCTTGCCTAGAAACCCAAAATCACCTTCTGGTGGCCTAGAATTCCAGAAAATTTGGTTTTCTAGGCCAGCAAAGCCGGAAAATCGATATTTTTGGGTTTTTAGGTTACAAAACCTTGAAAATCGCGTTTCTACACCAAAAACCTGCAAATTTGCTGGCCTAGAAACCCAAAAACCGCTAAAAATTGGATTTCTAGGCCAGAAAAGCCTAGAAAATCCAAATTTTCACCCAAAATACCCCAAAAAGCCACCCATATGCTATAAACCTAATCAAATTTTGTTTCATCAAAAAATTTTCTTTTTATTCTGGTGTTTTTCAAAAAAAAATGCGCAGAGCAACAAAATTAGAAAACAAAGCAAATTAGCGGTGCCTGAGGGCTCTCTCACAACTTTTTTCGTGTTTTTTTTGAAACAAAAAACTTTCGGAGACAAAAAACAAGAAAACAAAAGACATTTATTGAATATTTAAGGCTTCACCTTCTTTTTGTACAGGAAAAGGGGCCCTGGGGCCCCCAGGGGGGCCAAAAAAGCCCCCAAGCCCCCCGAAATCAAATTAATCGATCAAAACTTGCTCCGCCAACACTTTCAGCTCTCTATGAATCGCCTCCAATTCGATTTTACACCTCTCCTGCCTCTTCTTCACGTCCTCTTGCTCCTCTCGCAATTTTTTCGCTGCCAAAGCTTCAGCTTCATCCAATTTCAGCATTTCCAGTTTTTCGCGATCATGAAGTTGTTCCAACTCGAAATGCAGTGCTGCATTCAACTCTTCCTCCTCGCTTTTCGCGATTTTCAGCGTTTTCAGCGAGGTTTTGAGGGTTTGCGCGTGGTTTACAATGGCGTCCACATTTCCATCCATTTCCAGCAATTTTTCAGTGGTTTCATGGGATTTTCCCTGGAATTCGAGGAGTCTTAGCTTCAGCGCATCGATTTCTGCTTTTATTGACATCTGAAACGTGGAAAATTACTGAAAATCCCAGGAAAAACGGTGAAAAACAAAAAAACGAAAAAAAAATAAAACACATTTTCAAACACCCGCTGTTGGGTCTCGCGACGAACAGCGTGTCCCTTTAACCAGTGTGTGTAGCGTTGCTTGTCGAATTACGCTGCGGTGTGTCTTGAACGTGTGCCAAGTTTTTTTGCATTTTCAAATTTTTTGCGTTTCGCGGCATGGAATTTGAAATTTTTTTTAGCGGGTTTTCAAAAATTTCCATTTTCCTCCATGTTTTTCTTAAGAAAAGTGAAGAAATTATCGATTTTTAGGCCAAATTCGCTTTCATAATCATGCCCGATTCGCTGCCGCGAAGTTCGCGTCGCAGTCGAGTGCCCAAGCGATATTTGGATGATGATTATACGCCGACGCAGAGTGTTGCGGCGAAACGCAACAGAAGTTCGACGCCGGCGACGCCGCTGGCGGCAACTCCGGTCAAAAATTCGAGGTTGGTATTGATTTTTTGGCGGGAAATGGTGGAATTTCACGTGAAAATGTGGAAATTCAATGAGTTTCATGAAAAATGATGAAATTCCGAGTGAAAATCTGAAATTTTGGCTGAAAATGATGATTTTTCACTGAAAATCCACGTTTTCTAGCTGAAAATGTTGATTTTTCTGGAAATAATGGAAATCTAGCTGAAAATCTTGAATTTTAGCTGAAAATGAAGGGGTTTCACTGAAAATCCCCATTTTAAGCTGAAAAAGAAGCTTTTCTAGCTTAAAATGAGTCAAAAACCTGAAAAATCATACAAAAAGTTGTGCATCCGGCGTGGCTCGAACCTGTGACCTTCTGGACCGGAAAATCTCAAATTTTAGCTGAAAATCCAGGTTTTCTAGCTGAAAATATTAATTTTTAACTGGAAATCTTTTATTTCAGCTGAAAATCAAGATTTTCTGGCCAAAATTCATGTTTTCTGGCCAAAAATCGGAAAATTTGAACAAAAAACCTCGCACCGGGCGTGGGTCGAACCTGTGACCTTTTGAATCGAAAAATCTCAAATTTTAGCTGAAAATCAAGCTTTTCTAGCTGAAAATATCAATTTTCCACTGAAAATCTCAATTTTTAGCTGAAAATCAAGATTTTCTAGCTAAAAACTATACAAAAAACATAGTTCCCAGCGGGACTCGACCCTGTGACCTTCTGGACTAAAAATTTCAAATTTTAGCTGAAAATCCAGGTTTTCTAGCTGAAAATATCGATTTTCCACTGGAAATCTGAAATTTTAGCTGAAAATCAAGATTTCCTGGCCAAAAATCAAGATTTTCTGGCCAAAAATCGAAAAAAATTCCACAAAAAGTCTTGCTCCCACTGTTCCTCGAACCCGTGACCTTCTGATCCAAAACTGTTGATTCCAGATCCTCCCGCAAATCCACCACCGCCACCCAACAAGCTACCGTATCTTCCGCTTCCGCTTCCGCACCGCCACCGGCCAAAAAACCGCGACGCAACACGCGCGCCTCTCAAAAAGCGGTCGTCGAAAAGATCTACGAGGAAGCCGATTCGGAATCGGAAGATTCAGAAGATCTCGATTTTCCCGAGCCGAATTTCGATGATTTTGAGGCGGAAGATGAGATTTTAGAGGGATTTTCAGATGTTTCAGCTGGAAAAAACGTGGCTGAAAATGATCAAGATCAAGAAATCTACCCATGGATCGATTTGCCGGCGGAAGAAATTCCGAAATTAGAGCTTCCGGAAAGCTCTGCGGACATTCCGCTTCCGCGAAACCTGATTTTTGACGCGATTGAAGCTTATGAAATTCTCAGATCACATCACAGGACACTTAGGCTAACTCCATTTTTATTCGAGGATTTTTGCGGGGCGCTGATATCACAGAATAATAGTTGTTTGATGGCTGAGATTCATATTGCATTGTTGAAAGTTGCATTGAAATCGGATGATGAGGAAGGAGTGCATTATAGGTAAGGTTTTTTGGCTGAAAATTTGCTAAAAATGATTATTTTTGAGCTGAAAATCGTTATTTTTGATGAATTTTAAGCCTAGAAACGTGAAAAATCGATAATTTGAAGCTTGAAAGTGTTTTTTGGCTGAAAATTTTGAATTTTGGACTGAAATTCATCATTTTTGATGAATTTTAAGTCTAGAAACATGAAAAACTAATAATTTGAAGCTTAAAAAGTGTTTTTTGGCTGAAAATCTTGAATTCTAGGCTGAAAATCGTTATTTTTGATCAAGCCTAGAAACGTGAAAAATCGATAATTTGAAGCTTAAAATTGTTTCTTGGCTGAAAATCGTGAATTTTAAGCAAAAAATCACGATTTTTCATGAATTTTAAGCCTAGAAACATGAAAAATCGATAATTTTAAGCCCTTTTTCGCCAAAAATGAGCAATTTCGCTCTATTGAGAATTTGGCGGGATTTTTGAATATTTTTCCAAGCGAAAATTGGCCATTTTTCGTTTTTTGAGGCTTAAAATGAGCAATCCAGTGATTTCCAACTAATTTTCTATGAGAAATCCATAATTTCACCTTGAAACCCTGTGAAAATTCAAATTTCCCGGCAAAATTGAGCGCGGGAACTTGAAAAATTCAAATTTTTCCACGAAAATTGGCAAATGCGCTCTATTGAGAATTTGGCGAATTTTCATGAAAATTCAAAATTTTAGAAAAACCTGAAAAAAAAAATTTCGTGCCAAAACGTGACCTGATGACGTGGCAAATTTTTATCAAGAAAAAAAATATTTTTCACCTCATTTCTGATTTTTCAAATTTCCCAAAAACCCGCCAAATGCTCAATAGAGCGCATTTGCCAATTTTCAGCCGAAAATTTGAATTTTTCAAGTTCCCGGGGTGAATTTTGGCGGGAAATTTGAATTTTCAAAGAGTTTTGGGGTGAAATTATTGATTTTACGTGAAAAATTGGTTGGAAATCACTGGATTGCTCTTTTTAAGCCTCAAAAAACGAAAAATGACCAATTTTCGCTTGGAAAATATTCAAAAATCCCGAAAAACCGCCAAATTCTCAATAGAGCGCATTTGCTCAAAAATTCGAATTTTTCATGTGTCTAGGCTCAAAATTATCGATTTTTCATGTTTCTGGGCTCAAAATTCATCAAAAATCATGAATTTTGGCTCAAAATTATCGATTTTTTGCTCAAAATCCGATTTTTCCAGTGTAAACGATACCAACAACGCCATCAATCTAATATTGCACCATTTGGACCCTTTAACCTATGGTGAAATCCTTCGATTATACATTGAAGCCTATCCAGGAGTTGATGAAAGTGTGCTAGAAGCCGTGAATGCTCCAAATTATCCGTTTGTTGGATTCGAGCCAAAATTGGTGGTCATTTTGTTCATGTGCTATCGATTTTTGTATTCTTCGGAATATCGGAAAGTTGTGAGCAATTCGGGAGGATTTAAGGTGAGTTTTTTGCTCAGAAATGCTCCGAAATGAGCCAAAAATCATGAAAAATGAGCCATTTTGAGCCCGGAAACTGCAAAAATCGATAATTTTAAGCCTAGATTCGAATTTCCCGCCAAAAATTGATTTAAAATTCAAATTTTTGAGCAAATTCGCTCTATTGAGAATTTTTGGTTAACATGAGCAATACTTCAAATTGATATGTAAAAATACCATTGAAAATGCTCTGAATTACTGTACCTCCCTTTAAAAATCATAAAAATCGCTTCAGGACCCAGAAAAGTATTGTATCTCCCTTCAAATTCACCTACAGTACCCTTTGGGGTGAAAATATCGATTTTTCATGAAAAACAGGTCAAAATGAGGGGATTGCTCATGTTAAGCCTGAAATTCTCAATAGAGCGCATTTTCAACTAAAAATTCTATTGAAAATGCTCTGGATTACTGTACCTCCCTTTAGTTTTCACCTACAGTACTCTAATTTGCTCTAGGACCCAAAAAACTGTAAAATTCTGAGGGGTTTCCCATAGAGTACTGTACCTACCTTTAAAAATCGGAAAATTTTGACAAAAATGCAGATTTTCGGATTTTTTGAGCTAGAATAGTGATTTCTGACTGAAATTCGTGATTTTCAGTGTTTCTAGGCTGAAAATTCAGAAAAATCTGAAATTTTTGAGCTAGAAAACTTGTTTCTAGTAAAAAATCACAATCTTAATATGAGCAATCCCAGAAAATCTCAGAATTGCTCATTTTAAGCTCAAGAAACCATAGAAAAATTCAAAAATCCCCCAGAACCCGCCAAATGTTCAATAGAGCGCATTTGCCAATTTTGGGCTCAAAAATTTGAATTTTTCAAGTTCCCGCAGTCAATTTTGGCGGGAAATTCAAATTTTCAAAGCTTTCGGGGTGAAAATATCGATTTTTCATGAAAAATTGGTTGAAAATCACTGGATTGCTCATTTTAAGCTTAAAGTACAAGAAAATTCTCAATAGAGCGCATTTGCTTTGAATTTTTGGCGGTAAATTCAAAAATTCAACGGTTTTTCAATGAAAAATGACTGGATTGCTCATATTAAGCCTAAAAAATTCATTTCTAGGCTTAAAAATGGCCATTTTCAGTCAGAAAAAGCTCATTTCCACCCAATTTTTTTGCAGAACGAGGAAAGTTGCCGCGTATGCGGAAAATCTTCCGCGCGGATCGTCGGATGCTCAAGATGTGAAGCGAGTTTCCACCCCGAATGCTCATCTCTCAAACCATTTCCCGAAGTTTTGATCTGTAATTTGTGCACACAAAACGCGGCGGTGAAAGGTGTACAAGATGCACGACATTTTGACGAGTGCATTGAGAAGGAGCCGTTGAGAATGAGCCCGATTGGAAGGGATCGACATGGAAGGGTTTATTGGTTTGTCGCCCGACGTGTTTTTGTGTGAGTTTTTTTTTGAGAAAATTCGAGAAAAATGCTCCAAAATGAGCCAAAAATCGTATTTTTTGGTGAAAAATGGCTCATTTTGAGCCCCGGAACATGATTTTTGACCTAAAATTCATAATTTTCGCTTAAAAATTGATGATTTTAAGCCTGGAAAGCTTAACATGAGCAATCCCCTCATTTTGACCTATTTTCTCATGAAAAATCGATAATTTCACCCCAAACCCTTTGAAAATTCAGATTTCTCGCCCAAAATTGACCCCGGGAAATTGAAAAATTCAAATTTTCACTCTAGAATGCGCTCTATTGAGAATTTGGCGGGTTCTTGGGGGTTTTTGAATTTTTCTATGGTCTCTTGAGCTTAACATGAGCAATACCGCGTTTTTCTGTCATTGCTCATGTTAAGATTGTGATTTTTGGCTAGAAACGAGTTTTCTAGCTCAAAAATTTCAGATTTTTCTGAATTTTCAGCCTAGAAACTCTGAAAATCACGAATTTCAGTCAAAAATTGAATTTGGGCTAAAATCTAAGGTTTCTAGGTTCAAAAATCATAAAAATTCAAAATTTTGGCTTCAAAAGTCATATTTTCAAGCTAAATTCATATTTCTAGCTTGAAATTTCAGATTTTTCTGAATTTTCAGCCCTGAAATCAAATTTATCCTGAAAATTATGTGTTCTAGCTTAAAAATCATGAAAATTCCAAATTCTTACTCTAAAATTCATAATTTTGAGCAAAATTCATATTTCTAGCTTAAAATTTCAGATTTTTCATAATTTTCAGCTCAAAAATCTGTAATTTTCAGTCCTGAAATCAAATTTATCCCAAAAATTATGTGTTCTAGCTCGAAAAACCCCAAAAATCACAAATTTTTGCTCTAAAACTCAATTTTCAGCTCAAATCCTCAAGAAATCTGTAATTTTTCGAATTCGGGCTGAAATGTGAGGTTTCTATGTTGAAAAACCATGAAAATTCAGAATTTTGGCTCCAAAAATCATATTTTCAAGCTAAATTCATATTTCTAGCTTGAAATTTCAGATTTTTCTGAATTTTCAGCCCTGAAATCAAATTTATCCTGAAAATTATGTGTTCTAGCTTAAAAATCATGAAAATTCCAAATTTTTACTCTAAAATTCATAATTTTGAGCAAAATTCATATTTCTAGCTTAAAATTTCAGATTTTTCATAATTTTCAGCTTAAAAATCTGAAATTTTTGTGTCTAGGCTCAAAAATCTGTAATTTTCAGTCCTGAAATCAAATTTATCCCAAAAATTATTTGTTCTAGCTCAAAAAGTACTAAAAATCACAAATTTTTGATCTAAAACTCAAAATTTTGAGCAAAATTCAATTTTCTAGCTTAAAAATCATGAAAATTTCAAATTTTCAGCCCAAAAATCCCCAATTTTCAGCCAATCTGAAGACGAATCCACTGAAATCCACTACTATTCAACAGTTCCCCAATTATATCAACTCCTCGAATCTCTAGATGAAAAATTCTACGAAAAATCGCTTTGCGCATTTTTTCGCAAAAATATCGATGAATTTTTGGAGCAAATGACCCAAACTTTTGAATTATCTGGAGAAAGAATTGAGCAAATTGTCAAGGAAAAAGTGGCCCGAAAAGTGTATTTTGAACAATTGCCTGAGATGTATTTACAACAGGATAATGGTGAGCTGGTTTTTGGGCTGAAAATCGATAATTTTAAGCCAAAATTCATCAATTTTGGAGCATTTTGAGCCCAGAAACATGAAAAATCGATGATTTTGAGCTAAAATTCATCATTTTTACCCATTTGTCATGAAAAATGCTCCAAAATGAGCCCAGAAACTTGAAAATTCAAATTTCCCGCCAAAATTGACCCCGGAAACATGGAAAATGCGCTCTATTGAGAAGTTGGGCTTAACATGAGCAATCCCCTTATTTTTGAGCCATTTTTCATGAAAAATTGAGTTTTCAGCATTGCTCAGGTTAAATTTTGATTTTTTCCATGAAAAATCGATAATTTCACCCCGAAACCTTTGAAAATTCAAATTTCCCGCCAAAAATTCACCCCGGGAACTTGGAAAAATTCAAACTTTGTAAGCAAGTGCGCTCTATTCAGAATTTAGGCTTAACATGAGCAATATAGTGAATTTCAGCCAAGATTGCTCATTTTAAATTTGAAATTGTGGATTTTCGAGATAAATAGCATTTCTCATGTTAATTTTCAGGTTTTTTTTTTAGAAATTCTGGATTTTCAGAATTTTGAGCCAAAAATGTAAAATTGTCTGAAATTTTCAGATTTTCTTAGATTTCTTATTGAAAATCCAATCATTGCTCATATTATACTCAAAAATTCCCGGAAACCCTTCTCATTAGAGCGCACTTGCCAATTTTCAGCAAAAATTTGAATTTTTCAAATTCCCGCGCTCTCAATTTTGGCGGGAAATTTGAATTTTCAGAGTTCCAGGGCTAAAAATTCCTTGAAAAGATGAAAATTAACCCAAAACCGTATTATTAACATGAGCAATCCCTAAAATTCACGAGATTGCTCATGTTAAGCCCAAATTCTCAAAAAGTTTTTGAAAAATCGATAATTTTAAGCCCGGATTGCTCATGTTAGATTTGGAGCAAAAATCTTGAAATTTCAGAAAAACTAACATGAGCAATGCTTGAAAAAAGCAAAATTTCTCATGTTAAGATCAGGAAAAATTCAAAAATTCTCAATAGAGCGCATTTGCTAATTTTCACCTAAAAATTTGAATTTTTCAAGTTCCCGGAGTCATTTTTCGCGGGAAATTTGAATTTGGCCTTGAAATTATCGATTTTTAATGCATTGCTCATGTTAATCCACATTTTTGCAGTCAAAAGAATGTCATCAATTCTGTATAGTTGTCGTCAAATTGCCTATCTCAAACAAGAAGCCGAAATGGCTGTAAAAAAAGAGGAGGCTGCTGAAAATCCGGTTGAAAATCCGCCAAAAATCCTGTCTGAAACACTTTTGGGAATTCACGACGCGAGATTAGTCAACACATTTTGGAGCTGTGGAGTTCAGGAGGAGGCACTCATCGATTTGTATGTTCAAAATCACGGCGACGCCCAGATTTTGGCGGAGAAATTTTGGCGAATGGGCGATGCGAAGTGTGATGATAGGTTTATGTGAGTTTTTTCGGGGGTGAAAATGAGCCAAATTTCGCGAAAAATGCTCAAAAATGAGCCTGGGAGCCTGAAATTTCGATTTTTCATCAAATTTGGGTTCTAAAGACACCTTACACGCCTAATTTTGGTTAAAAATTGATTTTTCAGAAAATTTCCCATCATTTTGACATATTTTTTATGAAAAATGCTCAAAAATGAGCCTGGGACCCTGAAAATTTGATTTTTCGTGAAATTTGGGTTCTAAAACACCTTACACTCCTAATTTTGCTTAAAAATTGATTTTCTGATCATTTTGACCTTTTTCCATGAAAAATCGATAGTTTTAAGCAGAGCTGGGACAAACCGTAAAATTGATTTTCAGTTCAGTGGGTTGGAATTCATATTTTCTCCCGCTAAATCATTAAATCTCATAAACATCATCAGGGAGTATGATTCAAAACTTCAAGCCTAAAAAAATCAGCGAGAGATAACGACCGTAAAATTTCGTAAAACGTAAAATTTTCCCAGGTGTGGTTTTAAGCCTAGATTTGAGTTTCCCGCCAAAAATTGACCAAAAAATTCAAATTTTTGAGCAAGTTCGCTCTATTGAGAATTTTTATACACCAATTTTCATGAAAAATGGCATTTTCCTAGTGTAACATGAGCAATCTTGTGATTTTTGGATGAAAATGGATATTTTCAGCCTGATTGCTCATATCAAACTCGAAAAAATCGGCTGAAAAATCATACCATTGCTCATATTAGAGCTAAAAATCCATAGTAATAGTTTAATATGAGCAATGATCCAAAAATTTGAATTTTTCGATTTTTGGCTTGAAAAAGCTCAAAGTTTAACATGAGCAATGTTGATTTTGGTCTAAAAATCTCGAAAATTAAGTTTTCTAGCTCAAAAATCCCCAAATTTATTGATTTTTGGCTCGAAATTACTATTTTAAAATGAGCAATGCTATTTTTCATGAAATTTCGTGTTTTTTAGTTGAATTTGGTCGAAAATTATCGAAAAACTAAGTTTTCTAGCTCAAAAAATCATATTTTTAATATGAGCAATGCTATTTTTCATTGAAAATTGTAGATTTCATGATTTTTAGGTGAAAAACCTTAAAAATGCACTTTCCTAGCTCAAAAATATCCAAATTTCTCGAATTTTGGCTCAAAAATCCAATTTTTAACATGAGCAACGCTGTTTTTCATTAAAATTGAAGACTTCTTGGTTTTTAGGTGAAAAACCTTAAAAATTCACTTTATTAGCTCAAAAATATCCAAATTTATTGATTTTTTGCTCAAAATTGTAATTTTAATATGAGCAATGTTGATTTTGGTCTAAAAATGTCGAAAAATTAAGTTTTTTAGCTCAAAAAATGCCCAAATTTAATTTCAGGCTCTACAAAAACTTCTACGCTCAAAACGAAATGTCGGAAGGCTTCCACGCGCGCAAAAAAACCCAGGATCGAAAAAAGTACATGTTCTCGAAATTTTCGTTCCACGAAGACGCGAATTTCCAATTCGACTGGACAATTCCGCGCGAAAAATCGACGATTTTCGGCCCAGAAATGATTTTGGAAAAGATCCTGGCTTGCACCATTCAAAAATTCGCCCGAAAATTACCCTTAGCCCTAATGCACCGAAAATGGCGCAAAAATCTGGCTCCTTTCGAGCAAAAATTGGCGGAATCGCGAAATTTTGCGGATTTTGCACAAAGATTGCTGGAATTTGAGATGGCTATTCGAAAAACGGTTTTTGTACCACAATATTATAATGGAATTGGACAGACGCGATTTGAGAGAAGTACGGTGGAGCAGAGAGATTTGGCGGCTAAAGAATTCCAGAGAGCCAAAAAATTGGAAGTGGTACGTGTTTTTTAGCTGAAAATCTTGAAAATTTGGTGAAAAATGCTCCAAAATGAGCCAAAATTCATGAAAAATGCTCCAAAATGAGCCCAGAAACTTGAAAATTCAAATTTCCCGCCAAAATTGAGCCCTGGGAGTTGGAAAATTCGCTTCATTGAGAATTTAGCCTTAACATGAGCAATCCCCTCGTTTTCAATCAATTTTTCATGAAAAATCGATGTTTTTTGCATTGCTCAGGTTAATTTTTGAATTTTTCAGGATTAATATGAGCAATCCACCTGTTTCAGACCAATTTTTCATGAAAAATCGATATTTTCACCCCAAAACCAATGAAAATTCAAATTTCCCGCCAAAATTGATCCTGGGAACTTGAAAAATTCAAATTTTAGCTCAAAAATTAGCAAATGCGCTCTATTGAGAATTTGGGGGATTTTTGAAAAATTCAAATTTTCATTTTTTTTTAAATTTTTGAAAATTCAAATTTTGGCGCCAATATTTGATCTACGTAATGCTCATGTTAATTTTTGAATTTTTCAGGATTAATATGAGCAATCCCGTCATTTTTCATGAAAAATGCTCCAAAATGAGCCCAGAAACGTGAAAATTGAGCAATCTTTAAAAATCGATATTTTCGTAGGATTGCTCAGATTAAACTCAAAATAATCAGTTTTTTGCGTCAAAATTCGAAGCATTGCTCATATTAAATTGAGCCCGGGAAAGTGGAAAATTCAAATTTTAGCTCGAAATCTGAAGCAAATGCGCTCAATTGAGAATTTTTGGCGCCAAAAAATTTTCAAAAAAAAAATATTTTTTGCTAATTTTTTTTTCACGTGACCCATGTATTTTTTTTCCACGTGGAATTTTGCCAAAACCAAAAAAAAATCATTAATTTTTCAATTTCCTCTCATTTCCAGGATGCTATTCAGAAAGAATTGGACGACTCATTTGTCCGTGTGAACTACAGAAAACCCAAATGGCCAAACACGTATTTGATGCGACAAAAAGTGAGTTTTTCAGCTGAAATTCGAGAATTTCAGCCAGTTTTGACTGAAAATGAGCTAAAAATCATGAAAATTGGAGCATTTTGAGCCCAGAAACATGAAAATTTGAATTTCCCGCCAAAATTGACCCCGGGAAGTTGAAAAATTCAAATTTTTATCCAGAATTTAGCAAATGCGCTCTATTGAGAATTTTGCGGGTTTTCATTAAAATTCAAATTTTTAGACGTAAATTTTTCGATTTTAGCTCATTTTTCTAGCTTAACATGCTGAAATTCGAGAATTTCAGCCATTTTTGACTGAAAATGAGCCAAAAATCATGAAAATTGGAGCATTTTGAGCCCAGAAACATGAAAATTTGAATTTTTAGCTTGAAATTCAGCAAATGCGCTCTATTGAGAATTTGGCGGGTTTGCATTAAAATTCAAATTTTTAGACCTAAAATTATCGATTTCAGCTCATTTTCCATGCTGAAAACGCTGAAAATCATCATTTTCAGCGCAAAAAAATCAATAATTTTCCAGGGTGAATTCTACAGAAATGCCGGAAAAGGTGGAATGGGCGGTTGGTATTGGATCTCGGCCAAAAGACCACAAAAACTTGGCGATGTGCCAAAAAAGCCGAGTTTAAAGGAGCAGGAGGCGAAAGTGTTGGATGAGGTGAGAGACGCAGAGGAAATTTCGAATTTTTCTGGTTTAACATGAGCAATCTGAAGATTTTTCACAGAAATTTGGTGGGAAAACGATAATTTTATAGGATTGCTCATGTTAAGCTCGAAAATTAGGTTTTTGAAGTTAAGAATTAGTGAATTACTCATATTAAACTCTGAAAATTCGACTTTTTGAGCTGAAAATTAATAAATTGCTCATATTAAACTTTTAAAATTCGGTTTTTATGCTGAAAATTAGTGTATTACTCATATTAGACTAGAAAAATCCAGTTTTGTCTATAAAATTATAGGATTGCTCATGTTAAACCTGAAAAATTCAGAATTTTGTTCAAAATTCATATCATTGCTCATATTAAACTTTTAAAAAAATCGATTTTTATGCTGAAAATTAGGGTAGTGCTCATATTAGTCTAGAAATTTCGAATTTGAATTACAAAATCATATAATTGCTCATATTAAGCTAGAAAAATCCAGCTTTGGACAAAAAATTCATAGCATTGCTCATTTTAATCACTAGAATAAGATCATTGCTCATATTAGTCCTAAAAATCCAACATTTCTATCAAAAATCATAGAAATGCTCATATTAGACCTGAAAATCCCTAAAATTCAGCATTGCTCATATTAATACCCCAAATTTTTCCAGGAACAACAAAAATCCAACCGCAAAGCCTCAAATCTTCTCAAAATCACGGAAAAACTCGGAAAATTGGCCGAAGCACGCGAAAAACGTCGAAAATTCGACGAAAATCCCGAACTCGGCAAATCCTACAAATTTTCCACGTGTTACGCGTCAAAATGCGCGGGAAAATCCGGAAATTCAAATTTTTCGTGCTATTCCCCAAATTGTCGCACGAAATATTGGGAAAAAGTGGAGGCGGCAGAGAAACGAGCCGAATTGCGAAGAAATCGTGTTGTGGGACAAGAGTTGATGTGGGATATACCAGAAGTGCAGACATTTGGATCGAAATCGGATAGAAAGAAGCGGAATTTGTTCATTTTGCAGAAAAAGTGAGTTTTTTGAGCGAAAATGCTCCAAAATGAGCCCGAAATCATGAAAATTGGAGCATTTTGAGCCCAGATTCGAATTTCCCGCCAAAAATTGACCCTGGGAACATGGAAAATGCGCTCTATTGAGAATTTTTGCTTAACATGAGCAATCCAATCATTTTGACCATTTTTTAATAAAAAATCGATGTGTTTTGCATTGCTCATGTTAATTTTTGAATTTTAAGGCTTAACATGAGCAATCCAATCATTTTAATGAAAAATCGATAAAAATTCAAATTTCCCGCCAAAAATTGACCCCGGGAAGTTGAAAAATTCAAATTTTTGAGCAAATGCGCTCTATTGAGAATTTTGGAGTTTTCCAAGAGAAGTACACGGATTTCACAGTATTTTTATGAAAATCTGTGTAGTTCTCTTGGAAAACGCTGAAAATTCCAGATTTTCAGCAAAAAAATGCTAGGATTGCTCATGTTAGATCTGGAGACAAAAATCTTGAAATTTCAGAAAACCTAACATGAGCAATGCTCGAAAAAAGCAGAATTGCTCATGTTAAGCGCAAGAAAAATTCTCAATAGCTGAAAATTTGAATTTTTCAAGTTCCCGGGGTCAAATTTGGCGGGAAAATCAAATCTAGCCTTAAAATTATCGATTTTTGTGGAAAAATTGATCGGATTGCTCATGTTAGAGTGAAATTGGCCATTTCTGACCAGAAATGGCTCATTTTTTAGGTTTTTAGCCCCCAAAAACCCGATTTTCTTCCAGAATTCTTCGAAAACTGTGTAAAACTGGTGGATGTCAACAAATCTATCTCCCAGGCTTCTCCCTAGCCGGAAAATCCAATCCGTCAGTCTGGAATTATCCGGCCCCCAGGCCCTGTTTTGATCTTTGCTGGAAATGGCAACTTTTGAATGCGAAAAGCCTGCACGCCGTCTCGTTGGCCCTAAAAATCCTGTGGACCACAATTCGATGGTCCGAAATGGATCCGGATGATACGCATCCGGATCGACGCGTTGTTGTCGATCATCCGACGCATGATGAGAGACGGAAAGTTATTTGGCATCATGAAATGGGACCATTTGGACAGTATGAGAGGTTTGTTCTTCATTTTTAAGCAAAAATTCATGAAAAATGCTCCAAAATGAGCCCGGAAACCTCAAAAATCAATAATTTTAAGCCTAGATTCGAATTTCCCGCTGAAATTCACCCCGGGAACTCTAAAATTGAAGCAAGTGCGCTCTATTGAGAATTTGGGCTTAACATGAGCAATCCACTCATTTTGAGCCGAAATTTATCATTTTTGGTGCATTTTGAGCCCGGAAACCTCGAAAATCAATAATTTTAAGCCTAGATTCGAATTTCCCGTCAAAAATTTACCCCGGGAAGATGAAAAATTCAAATTTTCACTGAAAATTTGAAGCAAATGCGCTCTATTGAGAATTTGGGCTTAACATGAGCAATCCCCCTTATTTTTCAAGCATTGCTCATGTTAGTTTCTATGGAATTTTGAGGTTTTCGTCAATTTTTGGCCTCAGGAGCTCGAAAAGTTGATTTTGCCACGTCATAGCTCATTTTTAGCCCAGAATTTGAATTTTCTATTGAAAAATCTTGGAATTAACATGAGCAATGCTGAAAAATTGATAAAAATTGACACGAAAAATTCAAAACCCCCTCTGAATCCGCCATATTCTCAATAGAGCGCATTTGCGAATTTTCAGCTGAAAATTTGAATTTTTCAAGTTACAGGGGTGAATTTTGGCGGGAAATTTGAATTTTCAAAGGGTTTTGAGTGAAAATTTCGATTTTTCATGGAAAATGGGTAAAAAATGACAGGATTGCTCATTTTAATCATGAAAATATCAAAAATTAACATGAGCAATGCTGAAAACTCAATTTTTCATGAAAAATGGGTCAAAAATAAGGGGATTGCTCATGTTTAGCCCAGATTCTCAATAGAGCGCATTTTCCATGTTCCCAGAGTTAATTTTAGCGGGAAATTTGAATTTTCAAGTATCTGGGCTCATTTTGGAGCATTTTTCATCAAAAATGGGTTAAAATGATGAATTTTAGCTCAAAACTATCGATTTTTCATGATTTTTAGCTTAAAATTGAGCATTTTTGAGCAAAAACTAACATGAGCAATGCTATTTTTCATTACAGATACCTTATGGAAATCGAAATCATCCCCCTGTACAATGATGATCTTTTCGATGAAGAAGATGACGCGTGGAGTGCGAAAAAAGAGCGAGAAGGAAAAAAGACGGGAAAATCGACGCGGAAATCGCGCGGATTCAGCGACAAAGCGGCAATTTCCGGAAGCGCGACGCGTCGCGTCCCAAAAGAGATTAAAAAAGTCTGGTTTGATGGGGTGGATTTGAAATTGTATGAGATTCGCGACTATTGGAAGCTGGTGATTAAAGGAGAAGAAGATGAGGAGAGACGGTTGGCACCGCCTCCGCCGCCGCGGAAATTTGCCGCGCCTGGTTCCGCGACGGCGGCCGCGAAAAAGCAGGCGGATTATTTCAATAAACATCCTGTGGGAAGTGTTGGAGCGACTTTGGTGCATAGTATGGCACAGTTTCGAGCGCTACATAGCAATGCGGGAAAGACTAGAAATTCTGTTGGACAACCCATGCATCCGGTGAGCATTTTTGGATTTTTTGAGCTCAGGAGCTCATTTTAGAGCTAAAATTCGAGAAAAATGGAGCATTTTGAGCCTAGGACCTTGTTTTTGAGCGAAATTCGAGAAAATTGGAGCATTTTGAGCTTCTGGGATGATTTCTGAGCCGAAAATCATGAAAAATGGAGCATTTTGAGCTCTGGAGCTGATTTTTGAGCAGAAATTCGAGATTTTTAGGTCTGGAGCTAATTTTAGAGCTGAAAATCATGGGAAATGGAGCATTTTGAGCCTAGGAGCTTGTTTTTGAGCCGAAAATCAAGAAAAATGAATAAATTTGAGCTCTGGACCTTGTTTTTGAGAAAAAATTTGAGATTTTTAGGTCTGGAGCTAATTTTAGAGCTGAAAATCATGGGAAATGGAGCATTTTGAGCCTAGGAGCTTGTTTTTGAGCCGAAAATCAAGAAAAATGAATAAATTGGAGCTCTGGACTTTGTTTTTGAGAAAAAATTCGAGATTTTCAGGTCTAACGCTCATTTTCAGCTAAAAAAACAAGAAAAATGAAGAATTTTGAGCTCTGGAGCTCATTTTAGAGCCGAAAATCATGAAAAATGAGCATTTTGAGCCCGGGAGTTAGTTTTTGAGCAAAATTTTGAGGTTTTCAGGTCTGGGGCTCATTTTTGAGCCGAAAATCATGAAAAATGGAGCATTTTGAGCTCCGGAGCTAGTTTTTGAGCAAAAATTCGAGATTTTTGAGTCTAGAGCTCATTTTCAGCTAAAAAACAAGAAAATTGGAGCATTTTTGGTTGAAGCCCTTATTTTTAAGCAAAAATTTGAGATTTTCAGGTCTAGAGCTCATTTTAGAGCCGAAAATCATGAAAATTGGATAATTTTTAGGTCTAGAGCTCATTTTCAGCTAAAAAACAGGAAAATTTGAGCATTTTGGCACCGGGGCTAAATTTAGAGCAAAAATTTCGAGATTTTCAGGTTTAGAGCTCAATTTCAGCTGAAAAACAAGAAAATTCAGAATTTTGAGCTCAGGAGCTGGTTTTTAAGCAAAAATTCGAAATTTTCAAGTCCAGAGCTCATTTTAAAGCTAGAAATCATGGAAAATGAAGAATTTTGAGCTCCGGAACTTATTTTTGAGCCAAATTGCGAGACAATTTGCTCATTTTAAGCTTGGAGCCTTCAAAATTCAAATTTCCCGCCAAAATTGACCCCGGAAACGTGAAAAATTCAAATTTCCAGCCCAAAATCGGCAAATGCGCTCTATTGAGAATTTTCGCCAATTTCCGGATGAAAATTTGAATTTTTCAAGTTCCCGGGGCTAAAATTATCGATTTTTCATGGAAAATAGCTCAAAAAATGTGATTTTCAAGGCATTGCTCATGTTAACATCAACAAAAATATTTTTTGCAGTCACACCATCTCCACCCGTCACAATTGGCCGCCCGTATCGGACCACCACCAATGCCACAACCACGTCGCCCCCCGCAAGCCCCGCCCACAAATAATGGCAATTTGCCAAAATTGGCACCGCGCCAAACCTTTGCGCCACCGAAAATGATTCCGCAAACGCATCCGCAGATCCGCAATAGCTATCCGCTTCAACATCCGCAGGATTATCGATTTTCTCAACAACCGTCTACGTCACGAGCTGCGGCCGGAAGAGATTCGCTTCCGCTTCCGCAGCCGCCTGCCGCGGCTACAGTAGCCTACCGTAATGTACAACTCGCGCCGAGACCCATCCAAGCAATGCGACAAACATCGAATGGTTATCAGTTTGCGGAAGGAGCGATCCGCGGAGGCGGAAGGAACGGAAATCCGCAACCGCAACCGCAACCCACTACGATTATCAGAAAGGTTTATTATAAAACTGTTGAAGTGAGTGAAAATGAGCCAAAATTTGGGATTTTTAGATGAAAATGGGCCTAGAAACGTGAAATTTAGCCTAATTTTGGTCATGGGACGAAAAATTGGTCTTGAGACGATTTTTGACATCAAAATGACTAGATTTCATGAATTTTCATAAAATTTGGGTCTTGGAGCGAAAATTTGAACAAAATTTTGTTTCTAGAGCGAAATTTCCGATATTTTGAGCCTAAGAACGTGAAATTTAGCCTAATTTTGGTCATGGGACGAAAATTTGACTTATATTGGGCTCTGAAACGATTTTTCACCTTAAAATGACTAGATTTCATGAATTTTGGGTCTTGGAGCGAAAATTGGTCTTAAAACGGGTTCTGGAACGATTTTTGAACCGAAATTCGAGAAATTTTCGATATTTTGAGCCTAGAAGCGTGAAAATCATGAATTTTCGTCCCAGGACCAATTTTTATGCAATTTTCATGTTTCTAGACTTGAAAACCTCGAATTTTCGTCCCAGGAATCAAATTTAAGGTTAAAATCCAAGATTCAATGAAAAATGAGCTCAAATTTGGGATTTTTGAGCAAAAATGAGCCTATGAGCGTGAAATTTAGCCTAATTTTGGTCCTGGGACGAAAAATTGATCGGAAATTGGTCTCGGGACGATTTTTGAACTAAAATTCAAGAAATTTGAACTAAAACTGATCTTGCCACGATTTTTCGACCTGAAATTTTGAAAATTTCGATGAAAATCTGGTTTTGGAACGATTTTCAGCGTAATTTTTGATGAAAATCAGCTTTTCCTATTGAAATTTACTCAAATTCACACGAAATTCCAATTTTCAGCGAACTTTTAACTGAAAATTTGAAAAAATCACCAAATTTTAACCTAAAATAATTTTTTCACCTAAAATTCAAGTTTTACCCCCGAAAAACTCGAAAATTCCATAATTTTCCCTCAAAACATTCAAAATTCCATATTTTCCCACGTATTTCAATCAAATTTCCCCCTGGAAAACCCCAATTTTCAGCCAGAAATCTGAAAATTCCCATTTTCGCCCCAAAATTTGTTCAAAACAAGCAAACGCGCTCCATTGAGAGAAGCGAGCCGCGACGCGTCACGAGACGCGTTGCGGTTTGTTTTCATTTTTCTTTTTTGCGAGCGTCTTTTCTGGGGTTTTCCCAGTTTTTCAGAGTTTTGAGCTGAAATTCAGGGGTTTTTGAGATTTTAAGATGAAATTCATATTTTCAGCCGGTTGGGGAACCACATCAAACACCAGAAATGCGTCGAATGGTCGTGCAACAACCCAAAAATCCAGGATTAGCTGGAGAAGAAGCGATTGGTGCAAACAATGCGTCAGATGGTGATGAGCCTCCACCAATCATCCCAAGATATGATCAGCAGCCACCAATTCGACATGTCTATCAACAACAAACGCAGCGGATTATTCCGCAAGCGGCGCCGGGCGGAAAAGGACCGGTTATCGTCATCAAACGAGCCGCCAATGATCCTGGAACGAATGTGGTGATAAGACAGGCGATTCCGAGTGGTGGTCGAATTGTGCAAGTGCGAAATGCTGCGCCGTCCGCAGGCGGTGCGCGAGTTATGCGAATTCAGCCGGGCGGATTGGCGCCGCAACGCGCATTCGTCACACCGAATACGCAGATGATTCAGAAGGCGCGGATTGTGCCGCGCGGTGGAACCACCATGCAAATGGCACAACAACAATTGGTTGGTGATTTTGGGCTGGGTTTTTGGGGAAAAATGGCCTGGAAGCTGATTTTTGGGCTGAAAATGCGATTTTTGAGCTCAAAAATCGCCTTTTTGTCCCAGAAATTGGTTTCCTGACTCTAAAATACAAAAAAAATACAAAAATTTCTGGATTTTAGACCTTTTAAAGCCCCCGGGCCTTTGTTAGGTCGAAAAAAATCCGATTTTTGGTCTAAAACAGGCCCCCAGGCCTATTTTAGACTGAAAATCAGAGAAAATCTTAAGTTTCTGCATGTTTTTGCTGTTTTTCTGTCCATTTTTGTTCAAAACTTGAAATTTTGCAGGAAACCAACGATCTGCAGCCAGAAGAAGAGCAAATCCAGCAGGAATTTTAATTTTCTCGAATTTCCCCGAGTTTTCCCTCCCCAACCGGCTTTTCTTGAGAATTTTTACCATTTTTTGAATATTTTTGAACATTTTTCTTCCCCGGGTCATTTTTTTATACAATTTTTTATTATTTTTGCAATTTTCCCCTTTCCCCCCTACAAAAATCAATATTTTTCCATATTTTTCCGTTTTTTTAAGCTAATAAATTAATTTTTGTCCCAAATTTAAAGGATCATCGAAGATTTCCCACCAGCACGGCACAAAAATCGCAAATTCCAACAAATCCGGCGAAAAAAGTGACGACTTATCGGGATTTTATGGCGAGTCGAGGATATTTGGACTCGTCGCGATATTTGTGAGTTTTTGAGCCCAAATTTGGGATTTTTGGCTCATTTTGAGCTGAAATTGGGTCCTGGAGCGAAAATCTGAGCCCGGAATGCGTTTTGGCGCGAAAATTTGAGCCCGGAATGCGATTTTTGGCGCCAAAAATACTACAGTACTCTTCGAGCTACAGTAATCATTCAGAATTTGCAGAAAACTAGCTACAGTACCTTTCAGAATTCGAAAATTTTCAAATTAAAAGTTTTCGCGCCAAAAACTACAGTAATCCACCTACAGAGCAGATTTTCACCGGATTTTACTCCTACAGTAACCCTAAAGCTACAGTACCCCTTCAAAAATTACCTTAAAAGCTTCTAGAGCTACAGTAATCTAGGTGGCACCCTAAAAATCAAAAATACTACAGTAACCTGGCTACAGTACTCTTCTAGTTACAGTAACCCTCAAACTACAGTAATCCAATTTTTTGTCGAAATTAACTTGAAAATGCTCAAAAATGAGCTAGAAAACTCGGATTTTTTCCCTACAGTACCCATAAAGCTACAGTAACCCAGCTACAGTACTATTTTTCAAACTTTAATTTTAGGATGCCAGCCCAAAGCTACAGTAATCTAGCTAGAATCTCTAAAAAGCAAATTTACAGTACCCCATTTGAAACTACAGTAATCCAATTCAAAATGAGCTAGAAAATTCGGATTTTTCCCCTACAGTACCCCTAAAGCTACAGTAACCCCCACGATCTAGAAATTTTTCAAAATTTAATTTTAGGATTACAGTAACCATCAAAAAGTGCTCAAAAAGCTAGAAATGTTCAAAATTGTCCAAAAATGCTCAAAAATGAGCTAGAAAACTCGGATTTTTTCCCTACAGTACCCCTAAAGCTACAGTACCCCCCGCGAGCTCAAAAATTTTCAAAATTTAATTTCAGGATTACTGTAACCATCAAAAAGCTAGAAATGTTCAAAATTGTCCAAAAAATGTCCAAAAAACGCTAGAAACCTCAGATTTTCACCGGGAAAAATCGGGCTACAGTATCCCTAAAGCTACAGTACCCCCGCGAGCTCAAAAATTTTCACAATTTAATTTTAGGATTACAGTAACCATCAAAAAGCTAGAGATATCCAAAAAATGTCCAGAAAACGCTAGAAAACTCGGATTTTCACCGGGAAAAAGGCTACAGTAACCCTGGAGCTACAGTACCCCCCGCGGTCTCAAAAATTTTTTAAAATTTCATTACAGGATGCCGGCCCGGCCCCTTCTATTACCCTTCGAATTCAACGAAGAAGAAGAACGTGAAATAAGTGAGGCAATAGCTCGTGAAGAAGAATTGATGCGATTAGAAGAAGAAAATAAACACTTGGGAATTATTGGAAGCGGAATTGGCGGAGTCTCGTCGGATCCCATTAAACAACATCCATATGTGTCGAATTTGTTGCCGTCGATTTGTGATTCGCAAGGTTTGGAGCATTTTGAGCCAAAATTTGGGAATTTTGGTGCATTTTGAGCCATTTTCATGAAAAATGCTCCAAAATGAGCCCGGAAACCTCAAAAACCACTAATTTTGAGCCTAGATTCAAATTTCCCGCCAAAATTAACCCCGGGAACTTGAAAAATTCGAATTTTACGTTGAAAATTGGCAAATGCGCTCTATTGAGAATTTGGAGGATTTTTGAAAAATTCAAATTTTTATTTTTTTTTTCAAATTTGATCTACAGTAATCCTAGGCTTATTGTATATCAAAATGCTTCAAATTTTCAAGCAAATACGCTCTATTGAGAATTTAGGGTTTAACATGAGCAATCCCCATATTTTTGACCAATTTTCGATGAAAAATCGATATTTTTCAAATTTCCTGCAAAAATTGACCCCGGGAGCTCTGAAAATTCAAATTTTAGCTTGAAAATGAGCAAATGCGCTCTATTGAGAATTTGGCGGATTTTTGAAAAATTCAAATTTTCAATTTTTTTTCTAGGCTTATTGTATATAAAAATGCTTCAAATTTTTTGAAATTTTCAAATTTAGCGCCTAAAAAAATCCACGTGGCATAGAAAAATTCGAAATTTAAAAATAAAATTTTTCAGACGACAAAATCATCAAGCAAGTTTTGGACGTGATGTTCAGTCAAGTTTGCCGCTGGGACAAACAATATGGATGGTCGAAAATACATTTGAAAAAAGCCCGCCAAAAAACGGACACCGAGAAGATACAGTAGGTTTTTTTGGGCGCGAAATTTGAAAATTTTGAAAAATTTGAAGCATTTTGATATAAAATATGCTCAGGGTTACTGTAGATCGAATTTTGAATCAAAATTATCGATTTTTTTTTTGAAAAAATTGGAGCATTGCTCATATTAGCTCAAAAATAACCATGTTTGGACTCAAAATTATTGATTTTTTGCAATTTTCACTGAAAATTTGAGCATTCCTCATATTAGCCCAAAAATACTCAAATTTTAACTCGAAATTATCAAATTTTTGAATTTTTCAAGAAAAATCATAGGATTGCTCATATTAGTCTGAAAATAATCATGTTTTAACTTAAAATTATCGATTTTTTGAAATTTTCATCGAAAATTGGAGCATTGCTCATATTAGCTCAAAAATACCCATGTTTGGACTCAGAATTATTGATTTTTTGCAATTTTTCCAAAAAAATCACCCAAAATCCTTCCAGACTTCGAAAAATTCGAATGAATCAACGTGAAATGATCCTGGCTGAACACATTGAAAGATTAAAAAAGGAAATCAATAAAAGACGCACGAAATTGGAGAACGAAGCGGAACAACAATGCGGAATGTTGACGCCGTGGCGGAAAGCGCGCTCCAGACCGTCGAGAGGTGAATTTGGGGGCCGGGAGGGGATTGGGGGCCGAAAATTGGACCGGGATGAGTTTTGGGGCCGAAAATGATCCCGGGAAAAGCTTGAGGGCCCAAATTGAGCCCAGAATCGAGTTTGGGGCCAAAAATGAGCCCGGAAGAGCTTCTCGGGTGAATTTTGAGCCCAGGATGAGCTTGAGGGCCTAAATTGAGCCCAGAATCGAGTTTGGGGCCAAAATTTGGTCCCGGAGCGAAAAATCCTACTGTAGATCAAATTTTCCCGCCAAAAATCATTGGATTGCTCATATTATGGCCTCAGCCTTGTTTTTTACATCAAAATTCATAAAATTGCTCATATTAGCCTCAAAATTACCTCTGAAACTCGTTTAGACGCTATAAATCCAGATTTTCGAGTTTTGGAGCCAAAAAATGATCCCGAAGCGAAAAATCTTACTGTAGATCGATTTTTCCCGCCAAAAATCATTGGATTGCTCATATTAGAGCAATTTTTCAATTTTCGGGTACAAAATCTGGCCCTGAACCGAAAAATCCTGCTGTAGATCAAATTTTCGCGCTAAAAATCAATGAATTGCTCATATTAGAGCAATTTTCGAATTTTCGGGTTCAAAATCTGGTCTTGAGACGAAAAATCCTACTGTAGATCAACTTTTCCCGCCAAAAATCATTGTATTGCTCAGATTAGAGCTCCGGGCTCATTTTTGACCCCAAAAATCCAATTTTTCGAGTTTTGGAGTCAAAAAATGGTCCCGAAGCGAAAATTCCTACTGTAGATCAAATTTTCGCGCCAAAAATCACTGTATTGCTCAGATCAGCTTTAAAATGACCCAAACACCGATTTTGTGCTCGAAAAAGCACAAAATTGCTCAGATTAGAGCTCCGAACCATTTTTTCATGCCAAAAATCCGTATTTTCGCGTTTTAGAGCTAAAATTCGGTCCTGAAGCGAAATTCCTACTGTAGATCAATTTTACACGCTAAAAACTACCGTATTGCTCATATTAACCCATTTTCCCATCGCATAACGTGCCAAATTCAAAACATCGTGATGACTAATAAAAAAAAAGTGACCAGCGGTCAACAAAAAGGCGAGAGAGTATGCAAATTTGAGAGAGTGCGCAGAGAAAAGTGATGTCATTTTTCGGAGAGGCGAGAGATAGTGAAAGTCTGGAGAGACCCAGAATATTCGAGAAAAGGGGCGGAGCTTTGGGGTTTATAGGCAAATTTTTGCGGTTTTTCGAGTCTAAACAGTCTGCTGAGCCTAGAAAAGCCTGAAAAGCCTATATTTTGAGCCTAAGAAGCCTATTTTTAAGGCCTATTTTCAAGCCTAAAAAGGCCTATTTACTAGCCTAAAAAGCCCGATTTTCGAGCCTAAACAAGCCCGAAATGGACGATTCGGAGCTGTTATCCGAGCTCGAACTCGAAATCCTACCACATTTCCAGTCAGCCGACTACGACTGGAAATTGTTTGGATATTTACTAGAGTCTGGAAATTCCAGCCAAAAATCTGAGCACATTGCTCAGATTAGAGCTCCCGAAAAAGTGCCGACCATTGGAAAAGATGGAAGAAGGAAGCGGAGAGGTTGGTTTGGATTTTCGCGCCAAAACGTGGCATTTTTTGGCGCGAAAATGTGGATTTTTGAATTTTTCCGGGGATTTCGAGCGTTTTCATACCAAATTCGGCGTGGAAGAGTTTTGATGGCCTAGAAAACCAAAACGCATGTTTTTTGGATTTATAGGCCATAAAAATTGATCTACAGTAAGAATTTCGCTTCAGGACCTTTTTGAATCTAAAAATATGGAAAATTAGCGCTAATATGAGCAATCTGATAATTTTTGGAACTAAATATTGATCTACAGTAGGATTTTTCGCTCCAGAACCCAAAAAATCCTGATTTTTTTCGTTCCAAGACCAAATTTAAACTCAAAAATTTGAAAATTGGCTCTAATATGAGCAATCTGGTCATTTTTTATCTAAAAATCTCAATTTTTGAGAAAAAATATGATTTTTGGCTCCGAAAAATGATCTACAGTAGGATTTTCGTTCCAGGACCAAATTTAAACCCGAAAATTGCAAAATTGCGCTAATATGAGCAATCTGGTCATTTTTTATTTAAAAAATCTCAATTTTTGAGAAAAATGGCGTTTTTGGCGCCAAAAATTTGATCTACAGTAGGATTTTTCGCTTCAGGACCTATTTGTGGACTCAAAAATTTGATCTACAGTAAGAAATTCCACGTGGGACCCGAAAAGCCTGGTTTTTTAATGAAAAATTGGATTTTTTCGCGCCAAAATTTGATCTACAGTAAGAAAAATCAATATTTTGCAGCCACCAAATCCTCCTCAAAATCCACTCAAAACCCACACGACTACGGTATTTTGGCGCGAAAACAGGTGATAAATCCGGCGGATATTTCATTGGGCGGCGACACCTTCGACTACAGTAGTAATCGCGAAAAACGCCGGCGACGGGTTTCGACACGAAGTGCCACGTCGACAAAAGAAGGCGCGAAGAGACGCAGACAGTCAGAGAGTCAAGAGGAGGGTGCGGCAGAGAAACGAGAGACAACATTGGAAGAGGGAGAGGTGGTTAGAGACGCAGAGGAAGTGGAAGAAGAGGAGCCGAATATTGATCGAGATGGTCTGCATTGTGTTTGTCAACAGCCGTATGATGAGAAACGGTGGGTCTTGTGGCGATTTTAAAGGCGCAGGGGTACTGTAGGCGTTTTGGCGCCAAAAATTGGATTACTGTACGTTTTGGCGCCAAAAAAATGCGATTTTTTGACACCGAATTCGATGTGATCTACAGTAATCCGATTTTGAAGGTACTGTAGGTTTTGGCGCGAAAATTTGCAACATTTTGATATACAATAAGCCTATGGGGTACTGTAGATCGAATTTTGGCGCGAAAATTTGAATTTTTTTGGGTTACTGTAGATTTCAAAGGAGCATAGCTCACTGAATAATCAAACTACAGTAACCCGAGAATTTTAAAGGAACATAGGATTTTTTTTTTGAAAATTACAGTAACCCTCAGCATTTAAAGGAGCATAGATCACAAAAATTGAAATATAGTAACATTTTCTCTGATTTTAAACGATCATGGAGAGTTTCTACAGTAACTCCCGGGTTTTGTGGCGGGAAATTTTTTTTGAGAATTTAAAGGACCATACAGTACTCTCTAACCTTTCATTAGGCTAAAAAACATTGCTCATATTAGAGCTCCAATTTAAGCTTAAATAAGGCATTGCTCATGTCAAGCTGAATTTTAGGGCATTGCTCATGTTAAGAGGAGCATTTTAAGACTGAAAATGGCATTGCTCATATTATACTCAAAAAATCGGCATTGCTCATATTAGAAGCTTAAATTTGGATTAAAACGACATTGCTCACGTTAAGAGCTTTAATTAAGGTATTGCTCATATTAAGAAGATCATTTTGAGACAAAATAAGGCATTGCTCATGTTAAACTCAAAAAATCGGCATTGCTCATGTTAAGAGCTCCAATTTAAGCTTAAATAAGGCATTGCTCATATTAATAAATTCAATTTAAGCCTAAAATTCCGCCATTGCTCATGTTAAACTCAAAAAAAAATGGCATTGCTCATATTAGAAGCTTCAAATTGGGTTAATTAAGGCATTGCTCATGTTAAGAGGATCATTTTAAGCCAAAAATTCCCCGATTGCTCATATTAAACCCCATTTTTTCTTCCAGATTCTATTTGATGTGCGATTCGTGCTCCAAATGGTTCCACGGCGATTGTATGCAAATCAGTGAGAAACGCGCTCACCGCATGGAAAGTTGGAACTGCGCGGAATGCGCGGAAAAAGCCGCCGCGCGGCACTCCGCGGAAGCTGAAGCCACCGGTCCGCAACTCTACTGCGTCTGCCGCAAGCCCTACGACAACACCAAATTCTACGTGGGCTGCGACGCGTGCCAGGGCTGGTTTCATCCGGAATGCGTCAATATTACGCAGAGCGCCGCGGAAGCCGCCGCGGAATACATTTGTCCGGAATGCCGCGAGGAACAACTGCAACAACAATATGAGAGTGATGAGAGTGAGACGAGCTCGACGAGCAGCAGTTTGCAATTGAAGTAAGGGCATTTTTGAATTTTGGAGCATTTTGAGCCCAAAATTCCGATTTTTCACAAAATTTGGTGAATTTTGACACCAAACATGACCTATTTCTGATAATTTTTGAATTTTTCACCAAAGTAGTGAAAATATGTCAGGATTTTCGACATCCCCAGAGTAGGAGAAGGCTGACATGATTTTCAACCTGAAATTTGAATTTTTCATGGAATTTGACGCTGTTTGACACCAAACATGACCTATTTCCGAAAAATTCAAAATTTTTCACTATGTAGTGAAAATATGTCAGGATTTTTGACAACCCTAAAGTAGGAGAAGGTTGACAGGATTTTTGACATGAAATTTGAATTTTTCACAAAATTTCCTGTTTTTTGGTACCAAACATGACCTATTTCTGATAATTTTTGAATTTCCCCCAAAAGTAGTGAAAATATGTCAAGATTTTTGACATCCCTACAGTAGGAGAAGGCTGACAGGATTTTTGACCTGAAATTTGAATTTTTCACGAAATTTCCTGTTTTTTGACACCAAACATGACCTATTTCTGATAATTTTTGAATTTTTCACTATGTAGGAGAAATATGCTAGGATTTCTGACAGCCTCAGAGTAGGAGAAGGCTGACAGGATTTTCGACCAGAAATTCGATTTTTTCATGAAATTTGGGGCTGTTTGACACCAAACATGACCTATTTTCTTGAAATTTTGATTTTTTTCACTATGTAGGCGAAATATGTCAGGATTTTTGACGCATTGCTCATATTAGCCTAAATTTTCGCAATTTTCAGACGCCACGACTACGAATTCGTCATGAAATTGTTGGAAATTCTGATGGAGCATCGAATGAGCTCACCATTTCGACATCCCGTGAATTTGGACGAATTTCCCGATTATTTGCAAATTGTTAAGAAACCGATTGGTGAGTTTTTTGGGTTTTTTGGGCGCCAAAATTGAAATTTTTGAATTTTTCATGAAATTTGGGAAATTTTGACACCAAACATGACCTAATTTCGAGAAATTTTGAATTTTTCACTACAGTAGGGAAAATATGTCAAGATTTTCGACAACCTTGAAGTAGGAGAAGGCGGATAGGATTTTTGACCCGAAATTTGAATTCCTAATGAAATTTGGGGAATTTCGACACCAAAAATGACTTTTTTTGAAGAAGTTTGATTTTGGTCAAAAATCCTGACATATTTTCACTACTATAGTGAAAAATTCAAAAATTATCAGAAATAAGGCAAGTTTGGTGTCAAAAATCACCAAATTTCATGAAAAATCGGATTTTTATGTTGGAAATCCTGTCAGCCTTCTCCTACTCTAGGGATGTCAAAAATCCTGACGTATTTTCACTACTGTAGTGAAAAATTTGAAAATTATCAAAAATATGCCATGTTTGGTGTCAAAAAACAGGAAATTCGATGAAAAATTCGAATTTCTGGTCAAAAATGCTATCGGCCTTCTCCTACGTCAAAAATGTTGACGGATTTCTCCTACTCAAGTGAAAAATCCGATTTTCTTCAAAAATAATCATGTTTGGGCTCAAAAATCACCAAATTTCATGAAAATTTTGAATTTTGGAAAATTAGAGATCAAAAATAAAGAAAAATTCATCTAATCATCAATTCGACGTTTAATAAATGATACAATTACAATAATCAAACCGGCGAGAAGAAAATTGGCCAATAAATACAGTAGGATGTAAAATATTACCCATAAATGATCGTTTGAATGTAAATTTGATTCATCCACAAATTCTTCTGGTTCTTCTTCTTTTTTGAGTCCAAGAATTTGACGAGCGCTGAAAATTTCAGAGATTTTTGACCAAAAATTTGAATTTTTCATGAAATTTGGGGCATTTTAACACCAAACATGACCTATTTTCAAGAATTTTTAAATTTTTCACTATAGTAGTGAAAATATGTCAGGATTTTTGACAACCCTAAAGTAGGAGAAGGCTGACAGGATTTTTGACTAGAAATTTGAATTTTTCATGAAATTTGGGGATTTTTGACACCAAATATGGGCTGTTTTGAAGAAAAATGATTTTGGTCGAAAATCCTGACATATTACTCCTACTATAGTGAAAAATTCGAATTTTATCAGAAATAGGTCATGTTTGGGCTCAAAAATCCCCAAATTTCATGAAAAATTCAAATTTTTGGTTAAAAATCGTATCCGCCGTCTCCTACGTCGAAAATCTTGTCATATTTTGCCTACTATAGTTAAAAATTCAAAAATTATCAGAAATAGGTCATGTTTGGGCTCAAAAATCCCCAAATATCATGAAAAATCCGAATTTTCGGTCAGAAATCTTATCGGCCTTCTCCTACGTCAAAAATCCTGACTTATTTTCACTCCTGTAGTGAAAAATTCAAAAAGTATCGAAAATAGGTCATGTTTGGTGTCAAAAATCCCCAAATTTCATGAAAAATTCAAATTTTGTATCTGAAAACTCACAATTCCTTAATAACCATCACTAAATTCGGATCAGCAACCTTTTGATGAACATCGAAATTTCTCAAATACGGAATATTCAAACTGACATATTCCTCGCTTTTTGTGTTATCAAAATGAATTCCAAAAAATGTGTGATTTTTGTACAAAATCGATTTCTTGAACTTATCGTAAATTCCACATTCATCAACCGCCGGAAATATGAAAATTAGAGTAATTTGTCTCCAATTTTTGCCTACAGTATCCTCCTTTTTTTTAATATCTTCAAATAACAATTTTTCGAGTTCAGCACAATCTCCAGGTTTCTTAAAATCATGATTATATTCCGGACCTAATCTGATTGCAAATGCGCCTCCATCATCCATTGAGGTAGTCACTCTTTCATCCACCTTATAACCGAGACTTAGGCTATATTCGGTTTTTATCGGTAATTCACACAATAGTTGCTCGATTATATATGTGGCTCTTTGTCTCTACAAAAATTCGGGGCATTTTGACACCAAACACGACCTATTTCTGATAATTTTTTAATTTTTCACTATGTAGGAGAAATATGCTAGGATTTCTGACAGCCCCAGAGTAGGAGAAGGTTGACAGGATTTTTGACCCGAAATTTGGGTTTTTCATGAAATTTGGAGCATTTTGACACCGAACATGACCTATTTCTGATAAAATTTGAATTTTTCACTATGTAGGAGAAATATGTCAGGATTTTTGACAGCCTCAGAGTAGGAGAAGGCTGACAGGATTTTCGACCGGAAATTCGAGTTTTTCATGGAGTTTGGAGCATTTTGACACCACACATGACCTGTTTTGGAAAAATGATTTTGGTCAAAAATCTTGACTTATTTTCACTACTGTAGTGAAAAATTCAAAAATTATCAGAAATAGGTCATGTTTGGTGTCAAAATTCCCCAAATTTGATGAAAAATTCAAATTTGAGGTCGAAAATCCCACCCGCCTTCTCCTACTTTGGGGTTGTCGAAAATTCTGACATATTTTCACTACATGGTGACAAATTCAAAAGTTATCAGAAATAGGTCATGTTTAGTGTCAAAAAGCCTCAAATTTCATGAAAAATTTAAATTTGAGGTCGAAAATCCTATCCGTCTTCTCCTACGTCAAAAATCTTGACATATTTTCACTACATGGTGACAAATTCAAAAATTATCAGAAATAGGTCATGTTTGGTGTCAAAAAGCTCCAAATTTCATGAAAAATTAGAATTTCTTGTCGAAAATCCTATTTTGCACACCCATTGCTCATATTGAACTTACATCACGTTTATTTTCCTGTCCAGCAAACAAGAACCAAATCCAGGTTGTATTGTATTTTCTATCCAGTATAGCCGCATTTTGACATTGTGGTGAAATACCGTGCAAAAAACCGAGAAAATATTGAAATATTATAATATTGATACAGATTTTGGTTTTCATTTTTGTTTTGGACAAATTTTCAAAAATGAATGGGCGGTTTTTCGAATTTTCCACGTTTTTTTTCGGCCATTTTTTATAGGTCACGTTTTTATTTTGGAGAAATTTTGAAAAAAAAATGTTTTTTTCCCGGGTTTTTCTCTCTACAGTAATCCGAACTGCAAAAAATCCTGGATTTTGCAGTTTGGATTACTGTGGTTTGAGCATTTGCAGAAAATTTTGCAGTTCGGATTACTGTAGCTAAAAATAGGTCATGTTGGGTGTCTAAAAACTCGGAATCTTGTGGAGAATTTGAATTTTGGGTCGAAAATCCTGTTAGTCTTCTCCTACTTTGGGGATGTCAAAAATCCCGACATATTTTCACTTCTTTAGTGAAAAATTCAAAATTATCAGAAATAGGTCATGTTGGGTGTCAAAATTCGCCAAATTTCATGAAAAATCCAAATTTCTGGTCGAAAATCCTGTCAGCCTTCTCCTACGTCAAAAATCTTGACTTATTTCTCCTACTTTAGTGAAAAATTAAAAAATTCTCAAAAATAGGGCGTGTTTGGTGTCAAAAAACTCGGAATTTCATGAAAAATTCAAATTTCTGGTCGAAAATCCTGTCAGTCTTCTCCTACGTCAAAAATCTTGACATATTTTGCCTACTTTAGTGAAAAATCAAAATTTATCAGAAATAAGTCATGTTGGGTGTCAAAATTCCCTAAATTTCATGAAAAATTCAAATTTCCCCTCAAAAAATCGCAAATTTCTTCCAGATCTCTCACAAATCTCATCAAAAGTCGAAAATTTGCAATACATGTATATGCGTGAATTCGTCGCGGATGTCAATCAAATGTTCGAAAATGCCAAAAAATACAATCCGCCCGATCATGCGATCTTCAAATGCGCCGAATCGATGCAACAAGTTTTTGAGCGAAAATTGCGCGAAATTCGCTTGGAAATGACGAAAATCCATCAAAATGACGCGAATTTTATGCGAAATCGCCTGAATTCTGAAAGTCATCATACTTTGGAAGGAAGTTTGGATATTGAAGCTGATCAATTGTTACCAATTGGACCCAATGCTTTTGAATATGAGGATTATTTGGCGAATTTTGGCGAAAAATGAGCCTAGAAGCCTTTTGGGGGCCTTTTTGAGCCCGAAATTGTGATTTTTGAGCAAAAACTGAACCAAAAATCATGTTTCCATGAAAATTTCGAGCTAAAACAGGCCTATCTTCAAATTTAGGCCCTCTCAGGCTCTTCTAGGCCTATTTTTCATGCTTAGGCCTAATTTTAGGCCTTTCCGAGCCTAAAATTCATATTTTTCAGCAAAAATGAGCCTAGAAACATGTTTCTATGTAAATTTTGGACAAAAACAGGCCTATCTTCAGTTTTAGGCCCTCCCAGGCTTTTCTAGGCCTATTTTTCATGCTTAGGCCTAATTTTAGGCCTTTCCGAGCCTAAAATTCGTATTTTTCAGCAAAAATGAGCCTAGAATCATGTTTCTATGTAAATTTTGAGCTAAAATAGGCCTATGCTTATTTCAGGCCCTCTCAGGCTGTTCTAGGCCGATTTTTCATGTTCAGGCCTGATTTTAGGCTCGTTCAGGTTCATTTTCACCCCAAACCCTCATTTCCCCCTTTTTTTTTTGAAAATAATATTTTTTTTGTACAATTTGTTGATTTTTTTTTGGCTAATTTTAATTTTTTGAACATTTTTTGTATATGTGCCTTTAAAAAGAGTACTGTACCTCTCATTTTTTCTTTGTTTCTTTATATAAAGCATTTTTTCCACCATTCTTGCCTAATCTGTCAGAAATCCTGGCGTATTTTGCCTACTTTCGAAAAAATTCAAATTTTCAGGAAAATAACCCTTGTTTGGTGTCAAAAAGCCCCAAATTTCACGAAAAATTTGAATTTGTGGTCGAAAATCCTGTCAGCCTTCTCCTACTGTAGGGATGTCAAAAATACTAGCATATTTTCACTACTTTGGTGAAAAATTCAAAAATTATCAAAAATAGGTCATGTTTGGTGTCAAAAAGCCCCAATTTTTTTGAAAATTTCAAATTTCTGGTCGAAAATTTTGTCAGCCTTCTCCTACTGTGGGGATGTCAAAAATACTAGCATATTTTCACTACTTTGGTGAAAAATTCAAAAATTATCAAAAATAGGTCATGTTTGGTGTCAAAAAGCCCCAATTTTTTTGAAAATTTCAAATTTCTGGTCGAAAATTTTGTCAGCCTTCTCCTACTGTAAGGTTGTCAAAAATCTTGACATATTTTCCCTACATAGTGAAAAATTCAAAATTTATCAGAAATAGCCCTTGTTTGGTGTCAAAATTCTCCAAATTTCATGAAAAATTCAAATTTCTGGTCGAAAATCCTGTCAGCCATCTCCTACGTCAAAAATCCTCACATATTTCGCCTACCCATATGTTTATGAGCATTTTTTTTTCACTTTTTGCAAAAAAAAGAATTTTTTTCTTGATGAAAAGAGCAGAGAGATATCGATTTCATAACAAAACACAACTGGCCTCAATTATTTTTGCTCCGAAAAATTTTATTTTCCGGAAAAACCCAGAAATGTTGACATTTCTGCCTTATCTTATCAGAAAAATTCAAATTTTTCGAAAAAAAAATTCATTTTTTCCGCGTGAACGTGACATTTTCCCGCATTTTTGACCATTTTTCAGTTCGATTTTCGAAATTTTTCAAAAAATGTCGAAAAAATTCGATTTATGGTTGCCGGCCGGTTCAAATGGTCATAGTGTTTCGGGAGATCCGATGGGTAGGTGAAATATGTTAGGATTTTTGACGTTTCTTTGAAAAATTTGAATTTTCATGAAATTTGGGGAATTTTGACACCAAACATGACTTATTTCTGGTAATTTTTGAATTTTTCACTATAGGTAGGGAAAATATGTCAGGATTTTTGACAGCCTTACGGTAGGAGAAGGCGGATAGGATTTTTGACCAGAAATTCGAATTTTTCATGAAATTTGGGGCTTTTTGACACCAAACACGATCTATTTTGAAGAAAAAAAATGTTTGGTCAAAAATCCTGACATATTTTCACTACTATAGTGAAAAATTCAAAAATTTTCAGAAATATGTCATGCTTGGTGTCAAAATTCCACAAATTTCATGAAAAATTCGAATTTTCCCAATTTTCAGTGAAATTTTAATTTTCAGCCAAAAAAAAACTGAAATTAATTTCAGCTCATCACATTTTCATGCGATGTCTTTTTCACGCAAAATTCGACGAAACTCTGAAATTCGACGTTAAAACTGTGAATATCAATAAGAAATCGGCGGAATTTTTGAAGGTTGGTGAATTTTTCGTGGGGTTGTCAAAAATCTTGACATATTTTGCCTACATAGTGAAAAATTTGAAAGTTATTGAAAATATGTCATGTTTGGTGTCAAAAAGCCCCAAATTTCATGAAAAATTCAAATTTTTGGTCGAAAATCCTGTCGGTCTTCTCCTACCGTAAGGCTGTTGAAAATCCTAACATATTTTGCCTACTATAGTGAAAAATTTGAAATTTCTTCATGTTTGATATCAAAAATCCCCAAATTTCATGAAAAATTCAAATTTCGCGCTCAAAATCATGACGACCTTCTCCTACGTCAAAAATCTTGACAAATTTCACCTACTTTATCAAAAAATCCCATTTTCAGACCGGAATTCGTCGAATTCCAGCCATTCAAACCTGTGAAGCTGAAATTTTCGAAACCGAAGACGAAATTCTCGATTTTCTCGAAGTTTTCCCGCCAAAAAGAGCTGATGACGTGGAAGCGGAAGAAGTGACGTCACAGATTTTCGCAAAATTCGCGCGATTTTTGAAAAATGTGGATAAGAATGTGGAGAATTTGCGGCAAGAGCTCGAAAAATTGGAGAATTTTTTAAAAACAAACCAAAATTTTTTGATTTCTCAAAATTTGGAGCATTTGGATTGTTTGGTCTTGACACGATTGCATTCGATTAAAATTGCCGCGAAATTCTTGAAAAATTTGGACATTTTTGGCGGAAATTTCGGAAATTGTGAAAAATACCTGAAAAACGGCTATGAATTGGAGGAATTTCGGCAAAGTTGCCCCGCGGATCAAGAAATTATCATACATTGGAGTGAATTGCATGATGCACCGAAATTGGCGCCGAAATTACGCGCCGAATTGGCGAGAGAAGAACCCAGATTCAGTTTTTGAATGAATTAAATAAAGTTTTTCCCGATTTTCAGCATGCTTTTTGGAGTTTTCCCCGTAAAAAACAGCCAAAAATCAATATTTAAAAAAAAAAAAGAAGATCGCGACGAGACCCAACGGCTGTTTGCAATGTTCCTTTAAACCGTACCCTGGCAAGCAATCAATAAATTTTTTTATTGAAAAAAATTCGGCCAAGACTTGGGAGAAGTTTAATTTTTTGCAGCTCGGATTACTGTGATTCGAGAAATTTCAATGTTTTTGAAACATTTTTATTCACTTTCAAAAATTTGTAGAAATATTTTTTTGTTATTAATTTCAATTGAAAATGAGAAATTAAAAAATAATAATAATAAAAACGTGAAATTCTAAATTTCTGAAAAACGTGGAGGTCAGTGGAAAATCAGAAATCAAATCAGTATTGGTTTTGACAAATCAAAACAACTGCCTGGATTAATCAATTATCGCCCAAAAACTAAAAATTATTCATGAATTCTTACGATATTGCTGCATGTATTATCAGCGCATTTGTCATTATTGGTCTGATTGCAGTTTTCGTCATATATGTCTTTTGGAAACGTTGTCGTAAATGGTTTGCAGTTTTCCCAACGAAAAAAGGACACAAGATCGGTTTCTCTATTGGTCATGGTATCCTATTTGGTTTGTCTGTTGTTTATGTTGCTACCGGAGCTTATTTGGATTCGAATTCGGATGACACTATCATCGAAAGTCGACGCTTGATTCAGGAAGTCAAGAATGAGGCAAACAGTGAGTGAAATAACTCATTTTGAGGTGTTAAAATGAGACAAATTATCATTTTCAGTTCTAAACACACTAGCTATCAACGCCGAAAAGAAATTGAGTCATATTCCAAAAATGTCAATGGAGGATGCGATCAACAAAACCCTAATTTATACAACAATGGAAAAAGATCTTAAAAAAGATTTTAGTTTTGACTTTCCTGAACGATTTAATTTCTACCAATTACTCATAGTGAGCAAAAGATTGGAAGATGAACAAGAAAACAAAACTACCTGTGAACCGATTCGAGAAAAAATTTCAATGCCCCATTATCGTATTAACAAAATCGATGATTTTTTTCCTTATTTGAGACAGGATCATATAGATTATCTTGAATATTTCCAAAAGAAAATGAATGCTGAATATGACAAAAGAGCGAATGAATTGGACAACGAATTGGAGAAGATGAACAAACACGGTGGAAAGATCAGAATGGTAATTTATTTTTATTTTAAAGGCTGTCAGACAGCTATTCCGGTTGACGGAGACCACCCACGAAGCCTCTGACTTTAACTGGTCTAAACTTGAATCAAACAAAAGATAGAGATGAAATACTGTGAAAATATGAAACTTCAAATCTTTCTGTGCAAAAGTGCGTCGCCGTGTTTGCACACACACAAATCCGCTTGACGTGGGGGCAACTTGAAATTTTGAAAAAACAAGATTTTCTCAGCTCGTATTAACTTTCATGATTTCGGAATTTTTTCACTGGTTCGTTTCATAATAAACTATTTTTGACACTAAGCTTTGAGGAAAACCGGAATAATTGTTTAACTGCCTTTAAAAACTTGTGTTTAAAGGGGTTGTCCTGCTACAGGGAAACTTAGGCTTAATCGATAGAGCTAAGGTGCTCCTGAAACATTCCATATTTTATTTTGATTTTAGAGCGAGTTTTCACCATTTTATTCATGTTTTTGTTAGGTTTTAAGGTTTTCGTGCATATAAAAAACATGTGTGCTCTTCACACACATAATTTATTTGTGTGTATTTCTCGCGAAACACATTTTCTAACATTTTTCAACTATGGAAAGTGATTTTAATCAACTTTAGGCTTGCTTATAGTTAGTTTTAAAAAGTGACGCACTATTGCGGACTTGATTTTCGACGTAGAAGGACAACCCCTTTAATTATCTTTATTTTTTAAGCGTTTGACAAAAGATTGGAAGACTGCTGTGGTTCAAATTGGTCGTGTTGTTGATAGAAAAACCAAAAAAGTGGATGGCCAAGAAGTATCCAATATTTTAAGCAATATTGGATTATGGTATATTCCACTTGGTGTCATTCTTATTTTCGTCATTTCATCAATTTTACTCCAATTCACAGATGAGAAATCACGAAAAAACCGATGTCTTTTCATTCTCACTCATATCATGTTCTATGTAATTGTATTGTTGACTTGTACTTGTGCTGGTTACATCGTTCATAAAGCTATTGTTGGCAAGAATGAAGAATCAATTCCTGAAGTACACCCGAAATTTTTCGATTTCCAAATTCCTTTATACGATGGTCATAAGAAATCGTCCTTTGAAATTCTCTCAAAATCGTCTGGAAAATTATTCGATTTGCCAAATGATGATATTCTGATTGGAAAAATTGAATTTTTCGACAACTTGGAAAAGGAACTAGTGCAAGATTTGGAAAAATTGAAGCAGGAGGAAGAATGCAGGCAGAAGAATTTCGAAAAAATCAGCAGTGCAATAGATGGTTGGAATTATATTAATTATATGGTCAGCCGTTTAAATGACATAAAATCTAATAATGTGAAGGAATGCGATTCGTCTCTACCTGTTATTGATGCTTTTTTGGCCGAATTTAACAAAACTGAAAACGTTACCAAAACTATCGAAATTTTGACGGCCAACTATAGAGCGTGGGAGAGAATGGGAGTTGCATTGAGAACACTTGTGAAACAAAAATCGAAAGATCTGAAGGATTTGGTGGAAAAACGAAAGGCGGATATCAATGTGAGTTTTCTAGAAGAAAGAAAATATCAGAAAACGTTCAGAATAGTCGAAAAATTACTAAATCTTTCAGGAAGGAATCAATATCTTGAGCATCGATTGCAAATCAACCATGGCAACAATGAACAAAATACATAAGATTGGAACTGCTCACAATGTTGATGAAAATAAGAAGGGTATTATGATATTGTTGAGTTGCTTTGTTTTGCTGAATCTATTTGCCTGCGAAGTGTCGTTCCTTTACACTTACCGCAAATTTGGGCCTGACGAATTAATCATTATTTATGATGGTCGATTGGCGTGGATTGAAGGAGTTTTGAAGAGTGTAAGAATTTTTTGAATTTTAAGAAACCTATCAATTGTTTTTTTCAGTCCTGCGCATATTTTTATGCAAATTATCGAGAAATCGTTTCGAAATTGAAAATCACCGAAGTCTTGATGGAAAGAGATGATTTAGTAAGTGCTGAGGACGACGAAGCACGACTAAAATTGATATATTTTTCAGAAACCTTTCGAATCGACACTTCGTTGTTATTTACCGTGCATCAAATCTACACGTGTTTTATTGAAAAATATGAGTATTTACAAATATTTTGTGCATGCAAATTATATTCCGTTGCCAAATGCCGAATTACAAAACGACGGTTGGAAAAAGAGCAAATATATAGCTGCGAGTAGTCCGGTTAAGGAAGGCATTTTTTTGTTCTTACACATGTTGTACAATGAGAAAGTGAGTTGTCTATAGTTGTTTATTGATTTTTCTCAACTACTAACTGATTTAGGTGAATGTTGTATTGATGCTGTGTCGATTTGTTGAGGATGGACACGAGGAATGTGCCCAATATTATTCGGAGAAACTGGGAAAAACTTTGAGTTTTGGTGAATATTCGATGAAATTGGTTGATATCAAGAAAAGCGCATTCAAAGAGTTTACTTGGCGAGTATTGGAATTGAGTTGTGGAACAGATAAAAGAACTATTAATCATATTCAATACACCGAATGGCCGGAAAACTCTATTCCAGAAAACCCTCAAAGTGTTTTGGCTATGATGAATGCAGCAAGCGATTTGTATAATGATGCACCGATTCTTGTTCATTGTAATGATGGAATTGGCCGTACTGGCACATTAATTGCAATCGACTATATCTCGGAATCACTCAAATCGTTTGCCGATGTTAGTTTGATTGAAAATATGCGACAATTGAGAAATCTGAGATATGGTTTTGTTGGAAACGCCTTCCAATTCTTGTTTCTGTACCATGCTTTGCTCAGAAAATTCACAAAAGTTAGTTTCATATTTTTCCCGCAATTAATTAAAACATGATGTATTTCAGGATGAATTAGTTGCTGACGAACGATGTCAATGCTTTTATATCGATTATGAGCGCTTTAGAAGATCACCGGAATTCAAATTGTGAAAATGTTTCGTCATTTTAGTTGCTTAACGATTATGTCTTACTCGTTTTATAAGTTATTATGTATCAAAAAGAAACTTTTAAATATTTTAAACAGGCGTGTTCATTTTGCCTGCCTGCTTTTCGCCCGGCGACGTTTTGTGCAGGCGAGGCACGCCTCGCCTGTTTTTCGAAAAAAATAAAAAGCACGCCTCGCCTTCGCCTGCCTTCGCCGCGGCGAGAAAACGCGTGTGTGTTGTCTGTTTCATAAAGAAACGTAATTTATTTGCATGAAAAACGATTAATTGTGATAATTTCACCCATATTTTAACGTTATGTGCTAAGATTTCTTCTGAAACACATTATTAAGGTCAAAGAAGTGAAGAAAAGAGTCATTTTCACTGAAAACCTAGTTTTTTTACCCAATTTGTGAAAAAAAACTGTATTTATAAACATTCAATTTCAGCAAAATGTTTTTGTAAGCTTAGAAATAAAAATATATCGCCTTACAGTTACATGAGAACATTTGAACGATATGTTTTCCATCTAAAAATAGCTGTTTCGTTTCCAAATATACTTTTTAGTGAAAACTAAAGCAAAATCTTGATTGAAAATGTTGCTAATAGGTAGCTGAAACCCCGCCGACAACCGAATTTATGACAAAATCGAAGAAAATTTAATCTATTCTCACTTGCAAAATGCAACTCGCCCGGCGAATCGCCGGGCGACGCCTCGCCTCGCCTTGTGCGTTGAAAAATAAAAAGAGGCACGCCTCGCCTTCGCCTCAATAAAAAAGGCGACGCCCGGCGTTCGCCGGCGAAATGAACATGCCTGATTTTAAATCACCAAATTGCTCATTTTTGTACTCGAATTTTTCTAAAAATACTTTCTGTGAATGAATCTTGCGAATGAAATTGTGTTTCTTATTTTCGATTGCAACGCTCTAGAATTATCCTAACTCAAAAATTCGTTTAAGATCAGCGAAAATATTCAAATTTGCTCAAAAAGCGCAAAAAACACTATTTTCTAGTGAAAACCCCAATTTCCAGCCTCGAAACTCCGATTTTCTAAAAATCGCAATGCTCTACTTATTAACCAAAATCAAAAAATCAGTGAGAACATTGAAATTTGCTCATAAAACCGCCGAAACACTAACTTCCAGTGAAAATTCAAAAAACCCACATTTTCAGCCTAGAAACCAGGGTTTTCAGTAAAAATCTGCAAATCTCAATGCTCTGCACTTTCGCTAACTCGAAAAATCTTTGAAAACTTGAAAATTTGCTCAAAAACACAAATTTCCAGTGAAAACTCAGAAAACCCCTATTTCCAGCCGTGATTTTAGTGCAAATCTGTGAATCTGAAAACTCCGGACATTTACTAACTCGAAAAATAGAGAAATTTGCTTAAAAACAGCCGAAAACACTAATTTTCACTGAAAACTCGAAATTCCCTATTTCCAGCCTGGAAACCCGGATTTTCCAAGCAAAACCCATGGAGCCCAATGCTATAGACATAGCTGAACTTGATACAACACAAGAAACTTGTAAAACACTGAGTATCATCAAAAATAGGTGAAAAACACAAAAAAACAGAAAAAAAATTATTGAATGCTTGGCAGGGTACGGTTTAAAGGAACTTTTCTGATATCAAAAAAAAAAGAAGATCGCGGCAAGACCCAACGTATGTTTGCAATGTTCCTTTAAACCGTACCCTGCCAAGCAATCAATATTTTTTTTGTTTTTTTTTCTGTTTTTTGTGTTTTTCACCTATTTTTGATGATACTCAGTGCTTTACAGCGTTTCTTGTGTTGTATTAAGTTCAGATATGTCAATAGCATTGGGCTCTATGGGTTTTGCTTGGAAAATCCGGGTTTCCAGGCTGAAAATAGGGGATTTTCGAGTTTTCACTGAAAATTAGTGTTTTCCGCTGTTTTCAAGCAAGTTTCTGTATTTTTCACCCACTTGGTCTGTTTTACGAGTTAGTAAATGTCCAGAGCGTCAGATTCACCGATTTGCACTGAAATTACGGCTGGAAATAGGGGTTTTCTGGGTTTTCACTGGAAATTTGTGTTTTTGGCAGTTTTTGAGCAAATTTTCAAGTCTGTTTATTTTCACCAAGTTTTGAAGATTTCTCGATCTCACTTAGCTTATGCTAGTCTAGCCAAACACAATTTCATTGACAAGTTTTATTCACAAGAAGATTATTTACAAGAGACAAAAGTATTTTCGAAAACATTTTGTGTACCAAAAAAAGCAGCGAAAATGGTGATTCAAATTTTTCCGAGTTTCTTAATTCTAGCTTTCTCTTCTTCGGTTTGCTCTGGTGGATTGCGTCTGAATTGTTCATAATCCGAAAAGAATTCTTTGATTTTCGCTGGCGCTAACCAAGTCTTGCTGAAATATATCGTTTTTATTTCCGGATTTAATTGTAGATAATAAAATTAAACTTACATTGTGGAACAATTTCATCAAGGCAGCATAGAGAAATACAAATTGAATTGCGGTATAAACCGACGATTCCCTCATATTTCTCAATTGTCGCAAACTTTCAAACAAAGTTATATCGGCAAAACCTTGGAGGATTTCCGAGCAAAAGTCGATGGCAATCAATGTTCCAGTACGTCCAACTCCTGCACTACAATGGACAACAATTGGTGCATTTCCCTGCAAACTTGTTGCCGCACTCATCATTGCCAAGACAGTTTCAGGATTTTCGGGAATGTGGTGATCTGGCCATTCGGTGTAGTGGAATTGATTGATGGTCCTTCTCTCTTTTCCACAACTCAATTCCAATACCCGACATGTATACTCTTTGAACGCCGTCTTTTTGATGTCAACCAATTTAATCGAATATTCACCGAACTTCATTGTTTGTTGCATCTTTTCCGGATAATATTGAGCACATTTTGATTTTCCATCTTCCACCAATCGACATAACATCAATACAACATTAACCTAAATAAGTTAATCAGAAAAAAATCAATACATAATAAGACAACTCACTTGTTCAGTGTATATCATGTGTAAGAACAGCTCGATTCCTTTTTTCGTTGGTCCACTCGCAGCAATATACTTAGGCTTACGCTTTCCATCAACTACCTGGGCATTTGGCATTGTTACAAAATTGGCGTGCACCAAATACTTGCTCGAATCCTTGTTTTTCAATAAAACTCTTGTATTTTTAACGAGGTCTATCGATGGATATCTGATTGTTGAACCGAAAGCTATCTGAAATAGGCTTGATATGTTTTGAAACTCCGTTGACTCCGTTGACTTACAAGTTCTTTTCTTGTCAATTTTTCCTCATGAATCAACAATCTTTGAACTAATTCCTCAAAGCTGTGATAAATCTCGGCACAAGTCTGTAAATAAAATAGAATAAATAGTTTTTTTTTTGTACAAAGTTCTTACTTTCTTCAGAACACTTTTAATCCAATCTGGTCTTCCATCCTTTCTGATTAATTGACCTGCTACAACCGGAGTGGCGGCAAATTTGTTGTAAGTGTGAAGGAACAAAACTTCACAAACAAAGCAATTCAACAAAACAAAGCAGCTCAACAATCCAATAATTCCCTTCTTAGTTTCACCATCATTTTTTGCTGTTTCGATGGTATTGATCTTGTTCAATGTTGCCATGGTGGTTTTACAGTCGATGTTCAAGATGTTGATTCCATCCTGCAAAATCATACATTATTTCCTTATAAATTATTTTTTGTTATCAAGAACTCACATTAATATGCGCTCTTTGTTTTTCCATCGAATCTTTCATCTCTTTCGAAGCTTGTTTCACAATTTTTCTCAATCTAACAGACATTTCTCTCCACGCGTTCATATTTGTCTTCAACATTTCGAAGGTTTTTACAAGACTTCCAATTTTGTTGAATTCGGCCAAAAATCCATCTATAGCAGGGATAGACGAAATACATTTGTTCGCGTGTTTAGATTTTATGTCCTTCAAATTGATGATAAATCGTTCAATACTCTCCCACGAATTCAACAGACTTCGAGTATTCTCCATATATTTCATCTTAATTTCTTCCTCCTGCTTAAATTTTTCCAAATCTTGCACTAGTTCCTTTTCCAAATTGTCAAAAAATTCAACGTTTCCAATCAAAATGTCATCATTTGGCGAATCAAATAATTTTCCAGACGATTTTGAGAGTATTTCAAAGGAAGATTTCATGGTACCACCGTATAAAGGAATTTTGAAGTCAAACAATTTCGTATGTTCATCAGAAATTGACGATTCATCCACATTCTTGCCAACAATAGCTTGATAAATAATGAAACCAGCACAAGCACAAATCAACAATACAATTACATAGAACATGATATGAGTGAAGATGAAAAGACATCGGTTTTTTCGAGATTTGTCATTTGTGAATTGGAGTGAAATTGATAAAATAATGAAAATAAGAATTACACCAAGTGGAATATACCATAATCCAATATTGCTTAAAAGATTGGATAATTCTTGGCCATCCACTTTTTTGGTTTTTCTATCAACAACACGACCAATTTGAACCACAGCATTTTTCCAATCTTTTGTCAAACGCTGAAAAAATAAAGATAATTAAAGCTGGAATATGCGAAAAACCCAAACGAGCGTACGCAATTGCGCATCAATTCGTGTGTTTGTGAAAAGTGTGTGAATTTGGGTTGTTTCACATTTTCAACGGAAACCCAACATTTTGAACTGTTGAGAGATATTATATGACTATATTAGTATGCAATTTTTTTTCGATATTTTGCTCATCTTAATTTTGAAATGTGATAAACAGACTGAAACTACCTAATTTCAAGACCTTTCATTACTAAATACGTAGAGAATCTTCTCCTTTTTTATCAAGCGTTTGTGTTCAAAATCTTTTTTGACTAAAATTAAAAAAAACGCAGAAAATTCAATTTTCCGGCTGTTCACTAGAGCGTGTTTGCTCCACACTTCGGCCAAGTCGTGGCTGGCCAGAGTACAATTTTTTGAAAAATCTGAATTTCAGTTTTTAGAGGACAAAAACTGAAAAATTCATAATTTTTGTACTGTAAAAAGTCAGCGTACAATTTTTTATTGTGGGAACCACGATTTTGGCCGAGGTGTGGTTTGCTCACTTGATACATACGAGAACGCTAATGTGTTCCTGTTATTTTTTCTCCGATGTTAGCTTTTCTTGATTTTTTCAACAAACGAGTTTTCTCGAAGTGTAGCAAAAACCCGGAAATAAGGAGAACTTGTATTTCTTTCGCATTCTACCTTCAAACACATTTTGAGTACGAAAATGAATTACCATTCCGATGTTTTCACCGTGTTTTTTCATCTTCTCCAATTCGGTTGTCAATCCTTCAGTTCTTTTCTGATAATCAGTATTGATTTTCTCTTGGAAACTTCTGAGAAAATCCATTAAATTCTCTTTCAAAACTGGCAGTGACTTTTTGACATTTTCAAAAAATGGATAGGTCTCTTTCGAAACCTCACGAAATTCCTCACAGGTAGATTCACTTGTTTGTAGATCATCTAAAGTTTTGCAAACTTTTAATAACTCGTGAGAATCATATGAAGTGGCCGGAAAATCAGTGCTGGTTCCATTTCTGAGAAGTTTCTCAATATCCGAAAAACTCAGTGTTTTTTTGATCTCATCATCCGTCGGCATTTTTGGAACATCTCTCAGTTTATTTTCGGCATCAATGGCAATTGTGTTGAGAGCTAAAAATGGTAATTTGTCTCAATTTAACACCTCAAAATGTGTTATTTCACTCACTGTTTGCCTCTGTCTTGATTTCATGAATAATTTGGCCATTCGGATTTTCGGTAGTAGTGCCTTGCGATTTCCAACCCAAAAAAACTCCAGTAACAACACAAGTAGCAGCCAAAACAAATACGATAACATGAGCAATAATAAAACCGATCTTATGTCCTCTCGTTGGCATCTTTGAAAACCATTTACGACAGCGTTTCCAAAACAGATACATCAAGAAGACGGCAATCAGACCAATGATTACAAATGCGCTGATAATACATGCAGCAATATCATACAAATTCATAATTTGTAGTTTTTTGGGCGATTTGGATAATTGATTATTCCATGCAGTTGTTTTGATTTGTCAAAACCAATACTGAATTGATTTCGGATTTTCCACTGACCTCGCCATTTTTTTTACGTTCTTCAGAAATTTAGAATTTCACGTTTTTATTTTTTTTCTTTTAAAATTTTTCATTTCAATTAAAATTAATAAACAAATTCGGCTGAAAACGTCAGGACTACAAAAATTACTGTAGTTTCAAAATTGTCCAAAAATACTATTTTTTTGATCATTTTTTTTTCGTTCAAAAATTTGTAAATCTGGAAGAGCTTCCAGTTTTACTTTTTCATTTTCGAGCCAAATTTCATGTTTTCAGTCTAAAATTGATTCGAATTCATTTGTTGAGCATATTTTGAATATTGTCTTCGAAAAATACTATTTTTTTGATCAACTTAGGCAATTTTCGTTAATTTTTCGTCCAGACTCTGATTTTTCTTGAAAATTCACACGAAGTAGGTGAATTCCGTTGTTTTTTCAGCTAGAAATTGGATTTTCAATGAAAATTTACATAAAGTAGGTGAAATCCGTTGATTTTTCGGTCAGAAATTGAGCTTGGCATGAAGTGGGCATTTTTCGTTGGTTTTTTCGTCCAAAATACACTTTTTCATCAATTTTCACTTGAATTAGGCGAATTCCGTTGATTTTCCCCCAAAAAACCCCGCTTTACCTCGAAAAATTTTTGCACATTGTTTTGATTTCGGATTTTCCACTGACCTCGCCATTTTTTTTACGTTCTTCAGAAATTTAGAATTTCACGTTTTTATTTTTTTTCTTTTAAAATTTTTCATTTCAATTAAAATTAATAAACAAATTCGGCTGAAAACGTCAGGACTACAAAAATTACTGTAGTTTCAAAATTGTCCAAAAATACTATTTTTTTGATCATTTTTTTCGTTCAAAAATTTGTAAATCTGGAAGAGCTTCCAGTTTTACTTTTTCATTTTCGAGCCAAATTTCATGTTTTCAGTCTAAAATTGATTCGAATTCATTTGTTGAGCATATTTTGAATATTGTCTTCGAAAAATACTATTTTTTTGATCAACTTAGGCAATTTTCGTTAATTTTTCGTCCAGACTCTGATTTTTCTTGAAAATTCACACGAAGTAGGTGAATTCCGTTGTTTTTTCAGCTAGAAATTGGATTTTCAATGAAAATTTACATAAAGTAGGTGAAATCCGTTGATTTTTCGGTCAGAAATTGAGCTTGGCATGAAGTGGGCATTTTTCGTTGGTTTTTTCGTCCAAAATACACTTTTTCATCAATTTTCACTTGAATTAGGCGAATTCCGTTGATTTTCCCCCAAAAAACCCCGCTTTACCTCGAAAAATTTTTGCACATTGTTTTGATTTCGGCTAACTCTTTTCATCATAATACAATATAAGTGTGTGTTTTTGTTTGTCTCTCCTTGAAAAGAGCATGCGTAAAGTTTACACAAAACTTATTATAGTACACTTATTGTTTGTTGTGACTGTGATTTTCGGGTTTTGCACAATAGTAATACGCACTTGAGATGATATTGAGAATAAATTTGGAATTTTGAGCGAAATTTGGGTTTGCAGACGTAAATTTCAAGCTAAAGACCTATTTTTCTCGAAAATTTGAAATTTTTAAGCGTAAGAACTTCCTTAAGACCAAAATTTTCAGAAAAATCTGATTTTGTAAGCCTTGGGATCATTTCTGACTAGATTTTCAAGTAGAAACCTCTCAAAGGTCATTTGTAACTGAAAATTTGAATTTCACACAAGGCAATCAGATTTTTGACATTTTCAAGCTTTAGAGCTTTCTATGGTCAATTTTCGACCGAAAATTCAAAAATTCGAGTTTCATAAGCTTCTAGGGTCAATTTTTGACCAAAAATTCATTATTTTTCATTCAAAAAACCTCTAGGAACTTGTTTTTGACCGAATTTTCATGAAAATTCTGATTTTTCAATCAGAAAGCTGTTTTTCGTCCGTTTTTTCTACGAAAGTCCTATATTTTGAATCTAAACACATCTAGGACCTGAAAAATTGGATATTTCAAGAAAAAAGCCTAAACTTGATGCTTCTATGGTCATTTTCGTTCAAAAATCCCAAATCTCGGTAATTTTTCACCCAAAACCCCTTAATTTTCTCGATTTCCCCCAGTTTCTCACCATATGGTGAACTTTATTGCACCCCCTTCCCAGTCACAAAATTGGGTCGTAAAACGGGGTGGAAATTTTCATCTGTTACCAGTTTTTCGCTCCGAAATTCGCCTTCTTAATTAAATTTTCTGTCCCCCTGTCGCATTTTTTCAATCGAAAATTCATGGAATTTTTTAATTTTTCTCCCAAATGTTTGCTTTTGAACAAGAGAAGTTTCACTTTTTGGGGAGAAAAAAGTGAAAAAATTAATTTTTTGAGTAATTTTGGACATTTTTGAAGTGGTCAAGTGGTAATTGAGAAGTTTTTGGTTGAAAATTGAAAAATTCTAGTTTTTGCCAATTTTTCTAACCTGAGCAATGCCTCAAAATGTTGATTGATATGAGCAATGCCGAAAATTTCGAACAATTCCTGTTTTAGGCCATAATTTAGGGTCAAAAATCTGATTTTAACTGAATTTTGTACGTTTTTTAACCTGGGCAATGTCAAAAAATTGAAAAATCGGCATTTCAATTTTTGAGCTCCACTCTAAAGTTATAAAAATCCTCAAAATCTTATTTTTCATGGGATTTGAGGTAAACAAACGTATTTTCATAACCTGAGCAATGTTTGAGAATTTTACATTGCTCAGATTATGCGATTGCTCATGTTATTTAAAAATTAGCGCCAAATCTGTGTGTTTCCCAGACCCTAAATCTTAAATCCGATAATAATACGTAACGCAGCCAGATTTTTGGTCCCATTCTATAATATTTTCGCTCACTTACTACACGGTCATTTATCGCCTGTTAATCCGCTCCACCTTTCACTTTTTCTTCTTCTTGTGTTCTTGTTTCTTTAAGAAATGAGACCAGGCAAAAAAATGGAAGAGGAAAAAGTCATTATGAGATTATCCGGAGGTCAATTCAAATGTTATTATTATTTATTTATTCGTTTGTTCATGTTTTTTGTATTTAGAGGAAGAAAATGGTGTCAGATTACGATTTGTGAATTTTTTGACCTGAAATTCGCAGAAAATTGAGGTTTTCTCGGCGAAATTTGGAATTTTCAATGAAATCTGATCGAACTACGTGAAAATTCGTACTTTTCCTCTAAGTAGGTGATTTCCGTTGATTTTTCGTCGAAATTTCGATTTTTCTTGAAAGTTCACATGGAGTAGGTGAATTCCGTTGATTTTTTGGTCAGAAATTGAGCTTGGCATGAAGTAGACAATTTCCGTTGATTTTTCGTTCAGATTCCGATTTTTTTTGAAGATTTACATAAAGTAGGTGAATTCCGTTGTTTTTTACAGTTAGAAATCGGGTTTTTAATGAAAATTTACATAAAGTAGATGGATTCCGTTGATTTTTCGGTCAGAAATTGAGGTTGGCATGAAGTAGGCAATTTCCGTTGATTTTTTCGTCCAAAACACTTTTTCATCAATTCTCACTCAAATTAGGTGAATTCCGTTGATTTTTCGGTAAAAAATTCCACTATAGTCTCCAACCTCGCCCAGCATTGCTCATATTAGAACTCACGTGCTCCTTCACAAAATAACATTGCTCATATTAAAAGCAAAAGATTTTCTAGCATTGCTCATGTCAATTCACACCTTCTCAACTACAAATCCACCATATATGATTTTTGGGTGTGAACCATGTTTTTGGCACCTATTCAAGATTTTTGGCAAGATTTTTGGTGTCAACACCCAATTATTGTTATTGCACCACGCATGAAACAATAATGATGTTATATTATTAATAATTGCCCTTTTTTTCGCGCATCACCCTTCACTTTTTTGGCGGCACTTTTTGATCTACACACTTTCCGCTTATTTTATTTTTTGTGTATGGGGTTTGTGCAAAAACCAAAAAAATATTTTGGCATGCAAATATTATTAAAAATAGTAATTGTGATTTTTGGCTCCAAAATCCCACATGGCAAAATTCAGGTTTAAAGGAACATGTTCGTGTAGCATGAGCAATAGTTTTTTGAGCGATTCTTGAATAACTTCGGATTTGTTAAAGACAGACGATGTTTAGTATGAGCAATGCATCAAATGTTGGTTTTGAGCTCTTTAATATGAGCAATCTCCAAAATTTTTTGATTTTCTTAAATTTTCAAAGTCGCATTGTCTTTGAGCTCTTTAATATGAGCAATCTCCAAACATTCTTCTTTTCGGTCATTTTTCAAAGGTGCATAGCCTTTAGGCCCTCTAAAATGAGCAATCACCGAAAATTTTCGATTTTCTGCAATTTTCAAAATCGCATTGTCTTTGAGCCTTCTAAAATGAGCAATTCTTCTATTAGCTCCTGTTCTTTAACATGAGCAATGCCTCAAAATCTTAATTTTTCAATTTAAAAATTGAAGTTCCACGTGACACCCTAAATATTTTTTGTTCAACAAAAAAATTTGAGTTGGGCATTTCCGAATAAATCTATTTTTGGAAACTATGCACTATTCTAATGTTTTTTCGAAAAAAGGGAGTTTTTAGTAAAAAATGTCAAAATCACACTGAAAAGTGTGATTTTGACATTTTTTTTGCATTTCTAGGCTAGAAACTTGGGATTTTTCACGATTTTCCCCCAAAATCGGACAAAAAGTAGTTGTTTACCAGATTTACCGAACCAAGAATTAATTAATTAATTTATCTATCTCTTCCTAATCGTACATTATCACCCCGCTCACTCAAAAAATCTTCTTTTTATTTTTGTCGGGACGGGAGAACTTTTTTTGTTTTATGACCACTAATAAATTTGTTTTTGGTCGGATGAAAGAAAGAAGATTATTAGTTGTAGATGTAGTTCTTCCCCTTCTTCTTTTATTTATGTGATTATCATCAAGGTTTATGGGTTTTTGACAAATGACACGGTTTTTTGTGGTGAAAATCGTTGATTTTCGGCTGGAAATTGTGATTTTTGAGGTCAAAATGAGCCCTGAGCTCGAAAAAATAAACTAGACACTCTGAAATTCGAATAAAAACCTGAAAATCCTGGGAATTTTCCGGTTTTTATTGGAATTTCAGCGGAGATGCGGAAGCTATGCCCAAATTTTGAGCTCAAAATGGGCTTTGGAGCTTGCTTTTGAACCCTAGTCAGGTTTAGGGCTTTTAGCACGATTTTCTGGACCTATAAGGCTTTTTCCATGAAAATCTGACTGAAAATGAGCCCAGACCATGTTTTTCGGGAAATGTGGGCCCAAATCGGACCATGGAACTAGTCCCGAGATTTTGAAGCCCATTTTGAAGCCTAGATTAGATTTCAGGCTTTTCGGGCAAATTTTAAGCCAGAAATTTCAAGATTGCTCAATTTGAACTCAAAAATTCCGAGGTGTTCTGCTCAAAAAAACTATGTTTTTCCAAAATTCCCTTGTGAGTTATGACGTGGCAACAACTTTTATCCTACAGCCTCTGTCATCCCTAAATAACCACAGACTTTTTTTTGTCTGTCGCAATTACATAACACCTAGGTTTTGGGGTGATGGGCGATAAAATCTGGATATACCCTTTTTTTGGGTGATTTATTTACGAACCCTGTAAAATTTAGGGGGACCCTTGTAAATTTTTTACCCCAAAAAAAGTTTCTTTTTGAGGCAAATGTCGAAATTTTGATGGGAAACCCATTTTTGGGCCGAAAAAAAACCTCATTGTCATAAAAATTTATGAGCGCTTTCGAAACTTTTACTTTTTTTTCGGAAGCGGGGCCTTTTCTTTTTTTTTTTTTTTGACAAAAAAAGGTCCTTTATCTATGATTTCGTCTTGTTGTTGACAAATCATAAATATTCTTGTTTTTTGGGCCGAAACAAATAGAATAATTGCATAAGATTTCAAAGGGCGGCTCCAATTATTTTGTTTGCACAGCAACAAGACAAAAAAGATTAGGAAGACCCAGCATAAATTAGGGGGGAACACGTTTTTTTGTTGAATTTTTTGGTTTAATATGAGCAATGTTATGAATTTTTGGTTGAAAATTTCATAGGGCCAAAAATCGTCCGAAAAACTTGAAATCTGAATTCAAATTTGGGCCTAAAATTTAGGAGAAGAGTCCAAAGTTCAGTTTAGACTTGAAATTGCCACGTCATAGCTCAAGTGAACTCTGAAATTCGAATAAAAACCTGAAAAATCTAGAAGTTTTCAGGTTTTTATTGGAATTTCAGCGGAGATGCGGAAGCTATGCCCAAATTTTGAGCTCAAAATGGGCTTTGGAGCTTGCTTTTGAACCCTAGTCAGGTTTAGGGCTTTTAGCACGATTTTCTGGACCTATAAGGCTTTTTCCATGAAAATCTGACTGAAAATGAGCCCAGACCATGTTTTTCGGGAAATGTGGGCCCAAATCGGACCATGGAACTAGTCCCGAGATTTTGAAGCCCATTTTGAAGCCTAGATTAGATTTCAGGCTTTTCGGGGGGGAAAAAGGCGTTAAGCTGTTATTCCTCTTCCTCCACTTTTCTTCCTTGCTTTCCTCAAACAAAAGTTTGCTGAGCCTCTATTAATTCGCATTTCGTGTGTGCTCCGCGAGCAGCATTTTTCCTCGAAATTTGTCTTCTTCGAATTAAAAACGAGCCTCGAAGAAGGCTCTACTAAACCTGAGTTCCGCTTTTGATCTTGTTTTTCCTTCGATTTGGCCCATTTTGGTTCAGAAATTAGAGATTGCTCATTTTAAACTCAAAAATTCCCTAATTTTTCCCTAGGTTTTGAGCTATGACGTGGTAGAACCCAAGTTCTGATAAATTTTGGACGTTGCTCATGTTAGGCTAATTTTTGCTTCAAAATTTTTATCGGTCATCTTAAGATTAGTCAGATTTTGATCTACTATTGGACAAAATTGAGTATTGCTCATGTTAAATTCGAGATTTCATAGAGAAAATTCCAGACATTTTCTTGAGGAATCTGAAAATCTGAGTAATGTCGTGGCAGAACTGAGTTTTTCAAAAATTATGGATTTTTTTGCTAGAAGTAATAGAATTGCTCATATTATTCTTGAAAAAGTTAAGATTGTTACATCTTCCTTTTAAAAAATACTCAAACTCTTTTAATTATGGAGCATTGCTCATGTTAAACCGCATTTTTTGTTAGAAGTCATAGGCTTGCTCATACTGCAAAAAAAAACCAAGTTTTCAAGCAAAAACTTGAAAACCCCAAGAAAAACAAAGCAATTATTTGCTTTTTCAAGAAAAATACAAGAAGATCATCTTTTTGCGATTTTTTTGTGTATGAAACCGGAAAATCTCGAATTTTCTGGGTTTTTTGTGGGGAAAAGTTGAACTTTCGCAGATTTCCCGCTCAAAATCCAATTTTCCGAACCTTTTTTGAGCAAAAACCAACTTTTCTGAGCTCCATTTAATAACTCTAACAATAGAGGTCTTTCTCCACAAAAAATGGAGACACCAATTGACATTTTTTGACTCATTTTTTTTTTTGGCTGACTACTAAATACCAAAAAAAAATAGTGCAAATATAATATTTTGTGGGACCTTTTCAAAATGAGTCACTCGAAAAAAAACTTTGTTGCATTAATGTTTTTGGTCATTGGGGTGGAAATTATTGTGATGATTTTTACATTTTTGACAAAAAATTTGTAAATTTTTGGCGGGAAAACTACATTTTCGCAATCCTGGAATTTTTGCGTTAACTGACTCTAGATCAAATAATCTTGCCACGTGGCATACCATTTTAGTTAATTTATTCTCTATCTAATTAATTAACCTCCTCTCTCTCGATAAATTTTTGTTTTATCAAATTAAAAATGCAAATTGATTTGATGTGATTAATAATAATCACAAACAGTGAAAATACATAGAATAATCACTAAAAGGATTTTTACGCTACGCTTTCTTCTGTTAATTGCTGCGATTTTTATAGGCGGGCCCAAAATATTTGAATTTTCAGGCTCAATTTTGAGCTATATTTAAATTTTCAAGTGAAAAATCCACAAATTTGCCACGTCATAACGAAAAATTCCAAATTCTAGGTCGAAAATCAGCATTAAGCCATAAAACCAAGTTTTCCGGCTAACAACAGCATTGCTCATGTTAAGCTGTACCTACTTTTCCATCTTCGAAGTATTTTTTATACATACAACAATGAAAAGGCGAAAAAAAGTGGGCGGAGCCATATTTTCTAGGCTCCGCCCACTTTTCCTTCTCCCCCCTGTCTAATGTTTTCCCTTCTCTCTTTTTTCTTGTATGTGTGTTTGAGAGATGACTGGGTGTATTCTTGTGTTGGTGTCATTTTTAATTGGTTTTTTGCTGGGTGTGGGAACCGCTTTTGGGTGTTTTTTGGGATTTTTTAACCGAAAATCCGATTGTTTTTGAATTTTACCTTTTTTTTGAGATGTTTTTCTAGCTTTTTTGTGCAATTCCCATTTTTTTCCAGATTTCACACATGAATTCGACGAATTGATCGACTTAGCCTAAATTATATTACTAAACATTTATTATTACGACACATTTTCTACAACCCCAGAAAAATGAGAGGTTTAATACCAATCATATTTTTTCTCACTACAACAACAATTTCAATTGCTCAAGGATATCAGGGTGAGTTAGACGAATTTTGACACAAAAATAATAATAAAAATTGTCCGCGAGAAGTACACAAAAATAATAATATATGCATGAGAAAAGAAGAATAGGATAGGAAAAGACAATACAAATAGGATGGCTCAATGAGCACACGGTATTATGAGCATTGTTTTTTCTCGAGAGCGTGGAGCATGATATTTGAGACGATTTTCATGATCTGGCTGGGTTTTGAGGTGAAAAATTGGGATTTTTGAGCCCGGGAGCGTTGAATTTGGGATTTTTGAGCTTCCCAGGTTGAAATAGGGGAATTTCCGACTTCTGAGATCAAATTTTGACGAATTTTTGAGGTTTTTGACGTTCCGAGGTTGAAAATTGGCGATTTTACGACCCAGGAGTCGAATTTTTGACAATTTTTCGCGCTGTGAACGAATTTTCACCAAATTTCGTTCCCCAAACAGGTGTTTACCATATTTTTTCGCATTTTTCGACTTCTGGGCACTTTTTGGACAGATGTTCAACAGTTGTAATCACCTCTCTATAGAAAATAGGGGTTTTAGCCCTCTGGGTTGTTTCTACATGGTTTCTGGACCGTCCTACCTCGAAAAATTAGAATTTTTGACCTTGTGACTCAAAAATTGTCAAATTTTCCAAGTTTCTTGCAAAAAGTGACCCCCCCCCCTCTTCCTATATCAATTTTCCGCAATCCATCAATTCCGCACACCTTTTCCCTCCTCCCGAACACAAATTCATCAAAAAGTGTCCGTCTATTTTCCACCCAAAAACAAAACTGAGTGAGTGAGCACAACAACTGCTCTTTTTACACCTAGAAAGTGAAAATTTTCGCTCGAATTTCTTCGTCCCAGGGATAAATTGGAAATTAGTTAGTCAAAAAAGACGGGGAGGTCTTCTACAACATGGAGTAAATTACATATGCATTTCACAAAATTTTATTTTATTAGCACCCTCCCCGACACCATGGCGCCAGCCATAATAATTGAATAATAGAGGGTGCCCCATGTAAGAAAATGGGATAGGAGAAGAAGAAGAAGGAACTGGTTACTTATTTACTTGCAGCCAATTAAACGGAAAATGGACGTTTCAAACTGTCTTTGTTATTGTTTTGGGGGAAAAATTGGTTTTTTCACCATTGAAATCCGAAAAATTGCGAAATTTTGAATTTAGAGACGAAAAAATGGGGATTTTTGAGCTTCCTAGGTTGAAAATTGCCAATTTTCGACTCAGGAGATTAAAATAGAGCGTTGCTCATCTTAAACTTTCTCAAACTTTGAGTTTTCATTGGTAATTCTCATGTCAATCTTTTTTGGTTCGAAAGTTGGAGCATTTCTCTTGAAAAATCCAGTTTTTGACTATGACGTGGATTTTTCTGTCCGAAATCGTGAAAAATTGAACCTAGTTTGTTTTCTCGCTAAAAATCATAGGATTGCTCATATTAATCATGAAAAAGCCAAATTTTCGCCCCAAAATTGCCCTCTTCTCCTCGAGAACTACACAGAGACACGAACCAATCTAATTTATTGTTTTTTTCCTCCAGTCGCCCTCAAATTTCCTTCCGATGAGGTGGAAAAAAACATGAAAAAGATTCAATGAATAGATTATTGTTGTTGGTTTTTTTTGCTTTGCTTAGTTGACCGATAAAATCTTCAAAAGAATTAGGCGCACGAAAAGAGGGCAGCGACAAAGTTTGGAGATTTTTTTTTTTGGAAATCTCTTGGTGGCTGTAAAGTGATCCCCTCAGCACACCTTTTGTCAATCAAAAGAGATGAAATTTGACACCACGCAAAGTGTCAAAAAAACTGGGAGGGGAATATCTTCTCATCTTTTTGGAGGAAGATTTTTTGGCAGCTTTTATGTAAATATTGAAGAGGGGTCACTTATTACGGTTAAAAACAGTAGAAATCAGGGGTTTTAAGCCTAGGAAGCTTGTAAGGGACAATTTAAGAGGTTTTGAGCGGAAAAGGTGACCCCCCTAACTTTCTGAAATCAGGGGGGGGTCACTTTCTGCTAAAATATTGATTTTTCATGGTTTGGACTTGGGAAATTGTGGAATTTACAGTCGGAAACGGTAGAAACTGGGATTTTTGACCATGGAAGGTTGTTTTGCCCAAATTTCGCCCAAAACCAAAAATTCCTTTGCTTCTTCTTCTATCTATACACACAAAAAGCACTCAATTATTCATTAGAATGAGATGGGAAAAGAAAGTTTTCACATATTTTCGTTTTTTGGAAGACACAGAAGAGAAGTGAGGGGGGATTAGTGCATAGAGCATATACTTGAGCTCTTTTTCGGACATTGCGCGAAAGAAAAAGTGGAGGGGGTTGTTTTTGGAGGAAAATCTGGGGAATTTAAAGGCGCAGGGAGTTTTTCTGGGATTTTTTTGGCCAATAATCACATTAGAAAGACTGTCTAGGGTAAATTTCCGTCATTTTTTGGTCATGTGTACTTCTCGCGGACAAAACATTAAAAGGAACATACAGTAACCCCAGCTTTTTCCAGAAGTCCTATTCGATTTGGCCAAAACGACAGGAGAATTGCATTTTGAACAAGTTTCATTGCGTCACGAACGAGAAGATGTGGTAAGTCACTTTTTTAACCCCAAAAAAAAACCAATTTGCACTAAAAGTGTGTCCGAAACTCGATTTTTCGTCCATTTTCAACAGAAAAATTGGATTTTTTCGAAAGGATATGTATATATACATATGTATATACACAAACAAGTCATCAAGCTTCGGCTTTTTTTGGCCTCATCAAAAAAAGCGGCGGAAAAGTTTTCGGCTCTCCTTTTTTGGGCAGAGAGAGGAGAAACAAGATGTTAGTCACCATCGAGAAATTCCCATGGGTCAATTTTTGGCCATTTCTATTCATCTCAATTTTTTGTTGTTGTAGTACTATGTTGTTATAACAAGCAGAAAAGGAAAAACACATAGTATAGGGCAAAATTTTGGGACCCTTGAGTTACAGGAAGTCTTGAGCGGGGCTTATTGGAATTTCTGGAAATTAAATGCTTCTGAAGCCCAAATTCCGAGTTTTTTCACGATTTTCTTAGTCAGAAGCTTGGAAAGTACACAATTTTGGTCCTTAGGACAGTTTTCACCCAATTTTCAGCTTCTAGAGCCCAAAATTCAAATTTTTCACAATTTTTAACCACCAGAAAGAAATAGGTTTCAAAATTTTGGTATAATTTTGCAACATTTTTGATAACTTAGTTATTTTGTGCAAAATTGAATCAAAAAATTTGGCAAATCCCATTCTGACTACTGTATTTTTTGCCGAACGCTACGAGACCTTATTCCCGCCACCCCAAAAAGGTGTTAAAAGCGTGCCTGCGTGCTGACCTTGATAATCTACTACTCCTATATCCTCTTGTTGCCCCCGCGCGCGCAAAAATCCATTAAACAAATAATAATATGTAATTTTTCGCATCTTCTATCCGGTCATGTGTAAAAATCAACCTCCCCCCCCCCTTGAAAAAGGAACATTGGGGGGGGGGGGACCCTTCAAAAATAACATAGACCTATAATTACCCATCTAACAGGTGTGTGTATTTGGAATTGGATTTGAAACATTGAAACAACAAGGGCTTTTCATGCATAAAACATTTTTGTGTGTGTTGACAAATTGGATAAGCTTGGGATTTGGGTGTTGCTCAGATTAACAAGTGACCCCTTGAGAACTGGGTGGTAGTATGAAGAGAAAATTGGGATGTTTTGACCCAAAAGGTTTAAAATAGGTCTGGCCAAAATGTTACCAAATTTCGGGTTCCCGGCTATTTGTGGTCCAAATTTTTGTGTTAAAATTCCGTTCACGCTCATCTATCTCACTTCCAAACCCACTAACATCATATAAATATACATATACACATGTTTAATTCGATTTCCCCCGCTCTCCTTCCATCTCCTGTGGTCAAATTAAATGACCACACCAAAATAATCCCATTAGTCGTCGTGTCGCCTCTTCTTAGGCTTGTTGTGAAAGGCGGTGTGCGAAAAAAGTGAGAACAACTTCAATTACTTTAGTGTACAAGTGGCTCAAAATTGAGCCCTTCTCCTTGACATATGATGGAAAAATTGGGATTCTTTGAGTAAAACTGGATTCCTGGCTGAAAATACAGTCCCATATTTAAAAGAAGGCTCTTGGCTGGCACCATACGGTATTACGGTCAAGAGGAGGAGTTGCGCAATATCGTAATTGATATTTTGAGAGGACTTCTTCAAAAATCAGTGACCCAGCTTGAATTTAAGGGGCTATAGGGGGTTGGAAAAATTGGAAGCCTGTAGTTTTGGTTGAGCCTAAGCCTAACTTTTTAACTAAGCCTAACGTTCCGGCTAAGCCTAAGTGCTAGACTCTCAATTCCCACGAGAAACACAGTATCTCCTTATAAAAGGGTGTGAAAAATGTATTTGTGTGTATCTAGATCACCAAATATTTGCCTTGCCATTGTTTTATCGTATGTATATGCAGATTTGTTTTTCTTCTTCCCTATTCATAGAATATGTTATATTTACTTGGTGCCTTCACCATTTGACACCCACTTTGCACATATTATATTCCAAGAACAATAGGTTGGGGAATATAGATACAGTAGTTAAGATATAGATCTATATCTATATGGGGCACTTTTCCAGATTTTCTGGCTAAAAACTTGGGCAGACGGCAGGCAGGAAACGGGTTTTTGAGTGAGTGAAGTGAAATGATTATTATTATTATTATGATTTTTATTATTATAGCGTACGGAAGGCAGAATGTGAAAAAAAAAGTGGATGTGTTTGTATGCATCGCTGAATTATTAGTAGTTTTATGCGTTTTGTTCTGGAGGGGGAGAGATTTGACAAGTTTTGGGGATTTCGGAGGGAAAAATTGGAATTTTCAGCGAATTTTAGCCTGGGACAAGGTTCTGGTAGATTTTGGGATGAAAACGAGGGAAAAGGTGACCCCCCTGGATTTTTTAAAAGGGGGGGGGGGTCACTGAAATTTCAAAATTTTACTAAAAATAGCAGGTTTGGTATGAAAATGCTCCAAATCCCCTCTGAATCTCAAAAATAAGCATAAAATTATGTGTTGGAGCTTTCTAGAACCAAAAATGATAGAAAAATCGAGTTTTTTCACAAAAATAGCATATTTGGTATGAAAATGCTCCAAATCCCACGAAAATTTCTAAATTTCAGGCTCTGAAACTGCTCAGCACGAAAATTGAGAAAAAGGTGACCCCCCTAATTTTTTTTGCTCAGGGGGGGCACCGAAATTTTAAAATTTAACTGAAAAATAATAAATTTGGAATCAAAATGCTCCAAAAGGCTTCTAGATCTCAAAAAAGACTGAAAAATCGAGTTTTTTGGACGAAAAAGCATATAATCCTCTCAAAACTCTTAAAATTCCGAAAATCTATCAAATTTTGTTTTAGTGGATGGAAGAAACTTGGCGCAACCCGCTGGCTTCTCCCGACGATAAACACGTAAATCAACGCGCGTTCGTCACCTGCAACTATGATATGATCAACCCGTCAAATTGGCTTTTCACCCATTTTATTGGTGTCAAATCCGCGCGAAGATTATACTTGGAACTCTTGTTCAATACCAGAGATTGTGATCAATACACAAATCCAAAATCGTGCAAAGAGACGTTTTCGGTTTATATGAAACAGTATAAAAGTGGCAGTGCGAAAAGCCAGGAGGACAAAATCGATCGAGAGACTTTTAATGCCGAAGGAATGGATTGGTAAGGGTTTTGGGCTGGAAATTTTGGATTTCTGAGGTTTTGGAGCTGAAAATGAGATTCTGGAGTGAAAATTTGAATTTTAGCGCTTAAAATGAGTCCGAGATCAAGATTTTTGGATAAATTTGAATTTTCATGGTTTCGGCTCCGAAAATGAGATCAAAAACGGAATTTTTACAAAATTTTGAATTTTTCCTTGCCACGTGGCATTTTTCGTTCAAAAATTCAAAATTTTCAATATTTCTACATGCCACGTGGCATTATTCGTTCAAAAATTCAACATTTTCAACATTTCTACATGCCACGTGGCATATTTTATACCAAAATCCCCCAATTTTGCTCCAAAATGCTCATTTTTGGCCCTCAAAACAGCCCCAACCCTCAAATTTCATGAAAAATTCAAAATTTGCAGGCAAAACATTGGTCGACTTGCACGAAGTAACCTAAATATGACCACCGAAACTCTCGCCATCGCCCTGGACCCAAAAACCAAAAATGTCCGTTTCGCCTTCGAGGAACAAGGAATTTGCCTGTCACTGCTGAATATCAAGGTAATTTTTGAGGGGGGGGGGGTCCCGCCACGAAGAGTACTGTAGAATTATGTTATTATAGGATTAGGGATGGTTGTTATTGTTGTTATTATTATTAGTAATGACGACCTTGTCATTGCTAATTATAATTTTTGGATTAATTAGTGGTTTAGGGGACCTTTAAAAATCCAGAGTACTGTAGATTTTTTTTGTCGCCCAAAAAAAACACTTGATCCATTTACGGATTCACACTTTTTTCGAAGATGATCCACTCACTGGGCAAACAATTGCACTTGAGCAATATAGATAGCATTTCAAGAGTGTTTTTTACACGCCCTACCACACACTTAATAATGACCAAAAGTGGAACGGATTTAGTGGAAAAATGGTAGGGAAAGTGGTAGGGACCAGGGGGAATTGAACCCAGGGTGAAATTTGCGATTTTTTGAGTTAGCGCTCATGGGGGATCGAACCAGGAAGGCTAACTTGATAGCTAGAACTTTAACCAGCTGAGCTATTTGAAACACTTGTAATCAAAAAATGTTCGCGCTCAGCCGGGAACGAACCCTTTACCTATAACTCTATAGCACAGCAGCTGGGAGGTTTAAGAACGGTTGATTAACGGTTTATAAACCAACTTTAATGAAATTTAATCAACGAAGTACCAATATTTAATCCACGGTTGATCCCCGTTGATTAACCGTGGATTAAATCATGAAAATTTTCAAAATTTTTGAAAATACTTAACACCCAAAAAAGTAGCCGGGAACCTATTTTCATCGATTTGGGTAATTTTCAAAATTTAAAAATTGGTTAATCCTCGGTTCATTAACGGTGGGTTAAGCGTTGGTACTCCGTTGATTAAAAGCAGTTTTTATCAACCGTTAATCAACTGTTTTTAAACTTCCCAGCTACAGTGTAGATAGAGCTTTAACCAGCTGAGCTATACGAAAAAAATATTCGCGATAAGTCGGGCTCGAACTTTTGACCTATAACTCCACATCTTGTTCTCTAACCACCCGAGCTACCTCTGCACCAAATTTCCCGGATTTTTTTGGTTCTGCAAAAGTTCTTGAAAAGTAGCATTGCGTGTTCAATTGCAAAAATTTTAATAACACATTTTTTCGAGGAGGTGCGATTAGTTTTTCTCAAGAGGTGCGCGCGAGAAAAAGTTGTTGAAGTGGGTCGCCAAAAATCTTTTTTTTTGTTTTTTGTTTTTTCCCGAGACAAAATGACCAGGGGCTAGTTTTTGCCTGAAAAAAACTTTTTTTTGGCCAGAAAAACAGAGAGTTATGGTAACTAGATGACCCTGGACACAGAATTGCGCAATCGCAAATTTTCCGGTTTTTTTCTGGCAGCAGGAAATGTGTGTATAATATTACATATCGAACAATAACATTGCTCAATATTTGATTGACAAGTTGGGCTAAGTTCTGGCAGTCAGGCAGGAAGGAAACAGAAGGCACCTGTTGTTTATCTTGTCACCTTTGCATTAATACATACAAATTGGGGTGGACACGTGGAATTTGAGGGGGGGTTTCTGCGCGGAAACTGGGGGATTTTCAGCCGGAATTTGAAATTTTCAAAATTTAAATCTAGGCTCACTTTGTAGCGAATTTCAAGAGCTCCGAAATGAGCCTAAATTCAAATTTTGAAAATTTCGGAGCTTCTCAGTTTTGACCCGGATTTTCAGCCGGAATCTGAAATTTTCAAATTTAAATCTAGGCTCATTTTGTAGAGAATTTCAAGAGCTGCAAAATGAGCCTAAATTTGAATTTTGAAAATGTCAGAGCTTTTCAGTTTTGACCCGGATTTCCAGCCGGAGTCTGAAATTTTCGAAATTTAATTCTAGGTTCATTTTGGAGAGAATTTCAAGAGCTTCAAAATGAGCCCGAATTTGAATTTTGAAAATTTCAGATTCTGGCTGAAAATCAGGGCTCAAAAGATGCTCGAAATGTGTTTTTACCGTTTTTAGCTCTCGGACCTTCTAAATCACGATTTTTTGAAATTTTCCAAGTTAGCCAAGTAGATTTTGCGAAAAATCCCGATTTTCTAGCTCAAAAACTAGGTTAGCCGAACTTTTTTGAAGGATTTTGTGACCCCTGACTAAAAATGACGAAAAAACGGTATTTTGTGTTCAAAAAACCCATTAACCTCTCCTTTGGGGTTCTCAAATTTCAGCCTAACACTCTGTAATTATGACCCCCCCCATCCTTTTTAGTACCTAATTTAGCCCAACTCTTCAAGGTCGCACTTTTTATGATGCACTTTTTTGAAAATGTATCATATAATAATAATATTAGAAGAAAACTCGTTTTGTTCCGGAGAGCGCGGTTCTCTTTGAACTCTTCAAAGAGTTTTTGAAGCGGGGCACCACACCAGGTGTTGGATGATATTTTCTTTTTCATCTTCACATATGTGTGTGTGGTGACTGGCTGGCGATTATGTATTTGTGACAAATTTTAATGGGTTTTCGGAGAGATGAGGTTTTATGACATTGTTTTGGTGTGAAGGGGGGCGATTTTTGGAGTTATCTAGATTTTTTGGGGGGGGGGGAAGTCGGGGGGCCCACCTTAGGGGGGTTACAAGACGAAATTTGGGAACTCAAAGGGAATTGGCTAAGCCTATGACTTTAACTAAGCCTAAGCCTAAGGTATTGGCTAAGCCTAAGCCTATATGACTTTAACTAAGCCTAAGGTATTGGTTAAGCCTAACACTTTTGTTAAGCCTAAGCCTATGACTTTAACTAAGCCTAAGGTATTGACTAAGCCTAACACTTTTGTTGAGCCTAAGCCTATATGACTTTAACTAAGCCTAAGGTATTGGCTAAGCCTAACATTTTCGCTATGGATAAGTCTAAAAAGGCGTCCTCCTGTAAAATGTTAAAATTTTTGGTCAGGGTCACTAATTCTTTTTAAAAAAGTTAGCTTAACTCATTTTTGAGCAACTTTCCCAGCTATTTTCGAAATTTCTCCATTTTCCCACCACCACAACAATACACAAAACTAATTTATGTAACTTTTTGTCGAACACGGTGTTTGGATTTGACCTCGAACATTCCATTTTTGCCTCTCACTGGGAAGCGAAATTTATGCAAAAAACGGTACGCAAAACACATTCAAAACTGTCTCGCGTCATGTTGCAATTTAATTGCATTTTTTGGGGCAGGAATAAGGTCGAGATTGGGAAAATAAGCGAAATTCGACAGGGGGACTGATTTTTAGTCAGAAATTTGGAGAAAATCAGAAAATAGGGACAAAATTGGACAAAAACAGCCATTTTACACTATTTACAGTAAAAATTGTACAAAAACAGCGTATTTCACCCAATTTCCAACAAAATTGTACAAAAACAGCACATTTCACACAATTTTCAACAAAATTGTACAAAAACAGCATATTTTTCACCAAAAACCCAAATTTTCAGGTCTACTACAAGGTTTGCGACGAATTTTCGGATGGTTTGGTCCATTTCAGCCCGCATGTTACCGGGCCCAAAGAATCGGATATAATTGAGATGAATGGGACGTGTATTGAAAATGCGTCGAGGAAATTTCAAGGAGGTGCGTTTTTTCGTGAAAATTTGGCGAAAATCACGATTTTTTGACCCTAAATCACGATTTTCGGCCTTAGAAACCCCCTAAAATCGAAATTTTCAGTCGAACTCCGCGGTTTATGCATGCCAACTGGACAAGCCATGAAAACATCAGGCGAATGTGAATGTGACGCGGGATTTTCGCGAAATTCCGATGAAAAATGTGAAAGTAGGTTTATTTTTTGCACCCCCTGGGGACCCTTAGTTCGCCTAACTTGACAGATGGGATTTTCCTTGAAAATCCCATTATTCGAAAAAATCACATTAGATTATCATTTTTGGCCACCTGCCAAAACAGCAGCTCTAAAACAATGGTTTTAATATTAATACATATATGACCCCCCCCCTGTAATTTTATGACCTAATATGAGCAATACCGCCAAAAAGCACTAGGAATATGGTGTGCCGCCGAGCCCTTTAATTATCAAATTAGAGCGAGGGGGATAATTTGGGCCGTGCACTTTCCGGTTTTTTGACACCTTTTAGTCTGGTGGGGTAATTGGAGGAAAATATGGGGATTTTTAACGGTTTTGGATGGAAAAATTGGTTTTCTGATGATATTTTTGGGCTCAGGGGGACCTTTTTGGCTCAGGAGAGCCTATTTTACAGGGGGGTCTACTTTTTCGTAAAATATGGAAAAATAGCTTCCCCGGGATGGAAGTTTGTCAAAAATTGGGGATTTTGACGAATTTTCAGCTAGAAATTGATTTTTAGGTTCAGAAGCCACTTTTAGCAGAAAATTCTTCAAAAATTCAAGTTTTCGATGGATTTTCAGCTAGAAATCGTATTTTCAGACCCAGAAGCCTCTTCTAGCTGAAAATTCATCAAAAATTCAAGATTTTTGATGAATTTCTAGCTCTGGAGCCTTCCGAAACCTCCCAAAATTTATATTTTCGAAATTCACTTCAAAAAAGGTCACCCACTAAACAAACACCGTGCTTCCGTATCATAAAATTCAAATTAGCACCTGTAAAAAGGCAGGGAACCTTTTGTGCGTTTGGGTGTGTATGGTGACACCTGGTCTCGGGGGCCTCTTGACTCTTTTTGTGTATGTTTTTATATCCATCCTCCTCAACATGCCGTGCGCTTTCGAAAACAAAAGGAAAAGGGGCAATTCAAATGAAACCATAATTTTATGGGGTCACGAGATGAGACAGGGAGGAATCGGCTTTTTTTTGAAATTGAAAGCTATGAGGATGCGATTTTGGGCTGGAAATTGGCTTTGGATTGAGATATAAGTCGAAAAATTGGGTTTTTCGTGAAATTTTGGGTCAAAAACCTTAAACTTACTAGAAACTTAGGCCTTAGTTCGAAATTCCAGGGTTCTCAACCCCAAAATTTGATGAAATACCCAATTTTTCGACCTATATCTCAAGCCCAAGCCTATTTTTTTCCAAAAAAAGATGGGCCTATCAAATTTCTCAATATTTACCCAAAACCCATCCATTTTTCACCGCTCTTACCGCCAAAAAAGCAGGTGAGCCAATACAAACACATATTTACGTTTACTGACACCCCCAAGGTCGCTCCCCAAAAGATCTAAATCTCGAAAGCCCCCCAAAGAGTTATCGTAACTTTCAATCAAATTAGGTCCTTTTACCTTTCCCCGCGAAAAATTGGAAGAGGTTCATCAATCAAAGTTTGGCTTACTTCATAGATTTTCGGGTTTCCCCCTCCAGAACATCTGTCAATTTTCATGACATAAGAAAATTGAGAGGGGGGTTTGAATATTGATGAGTTGAAATTGGATTAATTTATGATGTTCTTGGGAAAAGTGGACCAATTTTTTTTTGAAAAATAGGCCCCCTGGGCTGAAATTTAGCTGAAAATTGGGTTCCCCTTCAAAAGTTTGCCCGTTTTTAGGTCAAAACTATAATTTACTACGATCAAATCACATTATCTCAAAAACCAAAACTTTTGTTCGTCTCATCGTATTCACGCGATTACGCAACTGCGCTCATCCTTATCACATTTCGCCTTTTGATAATAGACCGCAATTTGCGCAATTCCTTTTATTTATTATGATTAGAAGACAAAAACTATATGGAGACAAATTATTATCTGATTTGATCGTGGTAAATTATAGTTTTGACCTGAATATGGGGAACTTTTAGGAATTCGAAGCGAAAAATGCCTGTAAAATCAGTATTTTATTGAGATTTACTGATTTTTGAGCTCTGAATCCTGAAATTGGCTTCAAAGCCTCAAAAATTCACTACTCACTATTTCCCTGAAAAATAGGTGGAAAATCGCAGATTTGACAAGAAAAATCACGATTTTTACGAAAAATGAATCGAAAATCACAAATTTAGCAAGAAAAATCACGATTTTCATGAAAAATTGACCTAAAAACCTTCAAAATTCATTTTTTCGTGGGATTTTCCACCAGAAACCATTGATTTTCATCATTTTCCATCATTTTCATCCCCTGCAATGTGAATTTCATCAAAAACTGCCCCAGAAGCCCAAAAATCCCGATTTTAGGCCCGATCCCCCGTAAAAATACACAGAGCCGTTTAAAGGCGCAGCAGCGATATCTCGCAGCGAAGAGACGTTTTTTTTTCATTTCGAAAAAAAAAATTGGTTTTTTTCGGGGTTTTTTGGGTGAAAATTGTTGAAAATCGGCCGTTTTTGGCTGGAAAAAAATAAAATTGAGCTAAAATTTCGAAATTTTTGGGTGAAAATGGCTGGAAAAGATTAAATTGAGCTAAAATTTCGAAATTTTTGGGTAAAAATTGTTGAAAATCGGCCGTTTTTGGCTGGAAAAAAATAAAATTGAGCTAAAATTTCAAATTTTCAGCATGTCCACCCAACACCTTCCGCGAGAAAGATGCCGCACGTCCGGAATGTCAAGCGTGTCCGGAAAATTCATTCTCCAAACAAGGCGCGGAATCCTGTCGCTGCCGCAACGGATTTTTCCGCGCGGACGACGAGCCCAACACCGCACCATGCTCACAACCACCATCGAAACCTGTCAAACTTGCCGCGTCCGCAGTTTCCGCGAGCTCCGCGCGCATTTCCTGGGATGAGCCGGCGAGTCTCGGAGGCCGTGCCGAAGTTTGGTATGAGGTTCAGTGTCGAGGAGATTGTTCTGCTGTTCAGATGACGCCACCTGGAGATTCGAAACTTTCTGGAAGATATGTTCAGATTAATGGGCTCAAAGCCTCGCAGGATTATACTTTTTTGGTTTTTGCGAAGAACCGCGTGTCTGCGAAATCAGCGGACCCCCTGGGGAAGAATGCCGTGATTGACATTCGTACCAAAACCGAAGAAGAAGATGTGGCCCCCGTTGCTCATCTTAGAATCGATGCCGCGCAAGCCGACGCAATTACCATAAGCTGGAGCGTGTCTGACGCAAGCTTTCAGGAATTTGAGGTGGAAGTTAGGCCAAGTCTAAAGGCCGCACGGGCTTTTGAGACCCGTTCTGTTAACACAACTTATACCACTTTTTCGGGATTGAAAGATGAAAATACTTATACATTTCGTGTACGAGTAAAAGATGATTTGAGATGGAGTGAAAGTATTGCCTATCAAAATGGCCGGGGAATTGTCCAAGTGAATTCGAGCCGGGATTTAGCAGGTGCGCAGGATTTTTTGGATAATGCCGGAAGTGCGTTGCTCATGGTAATCGCTGGAATTCTGGTGGTTATCGCCATTGCGCTTTGTATGATTCTGATGCAGAAACGCACGAAGAATCGGAAGCAGATGAGCGATTTGGATGTGTTGGATACGTATAAACAGGGTTGGTTTTTTTTTTGGGGGGGAAATCTGAAAATTTCAGCTTTTTTGGCGAAAATCTGAAATTTCTAGCCTTCAGGAGAGAAAATCTAGTAATTTATGAGAAATTTCAAAAGTTTTTCTATTATTGAAAAAAAATTCTGAAAATTTATGGTTTTTCACTAGGAGATCAGCATTTTTGACCAGAAAACCTGAAACTTTGAGTTTTGGCGCGAAAATTTGAATTTTCTCGCTAATATGAGCAATTTTTGAATTTCGAGCTGAAAATCAAATTTTTGAGTCTAATATGAGCAATCCTATGAATTTAGATGAAAAATTGAAGAAAATTTCTAATTTTGAGTTTAGCATGAGCAATCCTATTGATTTAGGTGAAAAATTGAAAAAAAATCTTGAAATTTTCAGTTTTTACTCTTGAAAATCGAATTTTCAAGCTTAATATGAGCAATCCTATGAATTTAGGTGAAAAATTGAAGAAAATCTCGAATTTTGAGATTAATATGAGCAATTCTATGAATTTTGAGCTGAAAATCTTGAAATTTTCAGTTTTTACTCTTGAAAATCTGATTTTTTGCCATTTTTAACCAAAAAACCCGAAATTTCGATGATTTTTGAATTTTCTAGCTAATATGAGCAATTCTATGAATTTTGAGCTGAAAAACTTGCCGTTACCCGAATTTTCGACCTGAAAATCGAATTTTTGAGATTAATATGAGCAATTTGAAGAAAATCTAGAGTTTTTATATCAAAATTGGTATGAGCAATCCTTTACGCTGTTTTTGGCTAGAAATTGTTCAATTTTGAGTTTAATATGAGCAATCCTATAATTTTCACACAAAAATCTTCACTTTATCACCCGAAATTTCTTTGCCACGTCATAGCTCGATTTTTCCGCGAAATTTGGAATTTTCTCATTAACATGAGCAATCATTCCATTTTACCGACAAAAATCTGTTTTTCTATCAAATTTTTGGGCAAAAAATCCAATTTTAAGCCTAATATGAGCAATAGCTTGATTTTTTAGCGCGAAAATTTGAAATTTGATATTTTTCTAGCTTTTTCTGCTTTTTCATAACTCCCTTTAGCTTTGTTTGTTTTTTTTCTTGTGATTGTTTGTGCCAAAAATTATTTTCCCCTTAGAAATTTTAGGTTTTAGGCACCAAAAAGTCCACCATCCTCCACCATTTCGAATTCTTTTGCAGATTCAATGACACCCGATTATCACACCACATCCCGTCACCATAATAGCCATAATCACCAAATGATGCACCATCATCAAATGTCAGTAGCTGCAAATAATTCGAATTCACCAAATGATGCTCAGAGAGCTGCGAAAAGTAGGTTTTTTCTTTGGTTTGGAGCATTTTTTGTTGTGAAGTGATATTTTTTGAGTGGCTGCGCATTTTGGGGGAAAAATGGGGATTTTTTGAATATTTTTATGAAAAATTTGGTAAATTTAATGGAAAACTACACGAATTTGCGATTTTCTGAATATTTTCATTTGAAAATTGAAATTTTCAGTGTTTTCTCATGAAAATGGCTGAAAATTGCGATTTTTCGATGTTTTTACATGAAAATTACTGAAAAATTGAAATTTTCTGAAGGTTTCTGTCTGAAAATCCTAAAAATTTAGAGTTTTTGATCAAATCTGATGAAAATTGTGATTTTTTAAATATTTTTGTATGAAAAACATGAAATTACTGAAAAATTGAAATTTTCACCAAAAATCAATATAATATTGCCACGTGGGTTTTATTGAAAATTTCAAAAAAAAATTACGATTTTTGATGTTTTTCCTATGAAAAATGATGAAAAATAGGATTTTTTCAATATTTTTGTCCAAAAATTGCAAGTTTTCAAGTTTTTCTGATGAAAAATGATGAAAAATAGGATTTTTTCAATATTTTTGTCCAAAAATTGCAAGTTTTCAAGTTTTTCTGATGAAAAATGATGAAAAATAGGATTTTTTCAATATTTTTTTTCAAAAATTGCTAAAAAATTGAGATTTTTCAGTGAATGCTCCACTAATTCCATTTGGCTCACCGATTTCTCAACCACCACCGTATTATGGAGGATGTCAGACGACTTCTGGCAAATATAAGACCTATGTGGACCCGACGACTTATGAAGATCCGTATCAGGTAAAATTTTGATCTGAAATTTGGAAAAATCGTGAAAAATAATGGATTTTGATCTCAGAATTGAGAAAATTGATGGATTTTGAGCTGAAAACGTGAAAATCTGGAATTTCTAACTGAAAATTGAAAATTTTGATGATATTGCTCATATTAAACTCATAAAAATCCCCCTTAAAAAGCTGAAATTTGAGCAAGGCTGGAATTTTTGTTAATATGAGCAATATTTGAGAAATTTCCAAAACCATTGCTCATTTTAAGATGAAAAATCGATTTTTGCTAGAAAGCTGACAAAATTCAGCCTTTTTTGAAGCCTAGAATTAATTTTAGGCTTAAATTTTAGAATTAGGACATTTTTAGGCCGAAAATTGAAAGAATTGCTCATGTTAAGTTGAAAATCCGTTTTTTGCTCCGAAAATTGAAACCATGGACCAAATTTTGACTAAAAATTGAAGTTTCGGCTTCAAAATTTCAAACATTGCTCATGTTAGCCATTTTCAGGCTGAAATTCTTTGAAAAATAGAAATTAGGCTAACTCGAATCTGAAAATTAGCCAAAACTCACCAAAAATTAATTACATTGCTCATATTATACGAAAATTTTGAAATTTGATCAATTACAGACCAAAAATTCATTTTTTCCCGCCAAAATTGAAAGCATTGCTCATGTTAAGTTGAAAATTTGGTTTTTTCTCCAAAATTTAAAACCTAGCACTCTCATAGCCCAAATTTTGCCTGAAAATTCAAATTTCCCGCCAAAATTGAAAGCATTGCTCATGTTAGCCATTTTCAGGCTGAAATTCTTTGAAAAATAGAAATTAGGCTAACTCGAATCTGAAAATTAGCCAAAACTCACCAAAAATTAATTACATTGCTCATATTATACGAAAATTTTGAAATTTGATCAATTACAGACCAAAAATTCATTTTTCCCGCCAAAATTGAAAGCATTGCTCATGTTAAGTTGAAAATTTGGTTTTTTCTCCAAAATTTAAAACCTAGCGCTCTCATAGCCCAAATTTTGCCTGAAAATTCAAATTTCCCGCCAAAATTGAAAGCATTGCTCATGTTAGCCATTTTCAGGCTGAAATTCGTTAAAAAATAAAAAATTAGGCTAACTTGAAGTCAAAAATCAAAAATTAATTACATTGCTCATATAGACTTAAATTTCAAAAATAGCTCATTTTCAGGCCAAAAATTCATTTTTCCTTCAAAAATCCCAAAAAATATACCATTTTCAACCCGAAAATGCAAAATTTCCAAATAAAAGTCAGCCTAACTCCCCAAAAACCCTCTAATTTCCAGGCTCTCATCGAATTCACCTTCGACATCGACCCTCAAGATGTTTTCATCACCCAAGTAATCGGAGGCGGCGAATTCGGCGATGTTTGTTTAGGAGGATTGGCCAGAACATCAGCGGCAGCAACTAGGAAAGGAACTTTGAAGTCACCTCAAGAACCATACGAAACCGTAGCGATTAAGACCCTGAAATCGGGCTCGACACCAAAAGCCAAGGCCGAATTTTTGACGGAGGCCACAATTATGGGCCAATTCTCACATCCAAATGTTATCAGGCTTATTGGAGTTGTCACTCTGGCTGAACCGGTTATGATTGTTGCGGAATACATGCAGAATGGAAGTTTGGATCAATTCCTCAGGCAGATTGACACTAAGGGTGAAAAACTGGCCTGGGAGAAGTTAGCCGAAATGCTCTATGGAATTGCGTCGGGGATGAAATATTTGACAGATATGGGATATGTTCATAGAGATCTAGCTGCTAGGAATGTTCTAGTTGATGTTGAGCTCAGGTGTAAGATTGCGGATTTTGGACTCTCCAGGGGGATCAGTGGAAGCGCGGAGCCGGAATATACTACCCAGGGTGGCAAGATTCCGGTACGCTGGACTGCCCCGGAAGCCATTACCCATAGGAAATTCACAGCTGCCTCGGATGTTTGGTCATTTGGAGTTGTAATCTGGGAAGCGCTGAGCTATGGTGAACGGCCATATTGGGATTGGACGAATCAGAAGGTGATAAGTGAAGTTATGTTGGGATATCGGCTTCCGCCACCGATGGATGCGCCAATTGGGATTTATCGAATTGCACAGTGGTGTTGGCGGTTTGAAAGGCATGAGCGGCCGAGTTTTGCGCAGCTTTTGGCGCATTTTCATAAGCTTATCCTGCAGCCGGGTTTGATTGAAAGTGATTTGGGAGAAATCGGAGGAAAATCTAGGAGCCAGACGAATCTTTATGGAACGATGAATTTGCCCAACCCGCCACAACAAGCCGCCCCAATGCCGAATTTGGATGAGTTTTTGAGGTTGGTCTGGGGTTTTGGGAGGGAAATTTGGAGCAAAATGGGGCCTGGGAGGGATTTTTGGACCTAAACTAGGCTCAGAGAGGTTTTTTGAGCAAAAATTGAGCTCTGGGAGCTTTTTTTGAGCAAAAATGAGCCCGAGGAGCTTTTTTCTAGTGATTTTTTGTTAGAATAAGCTTTAGATGTGATTTTTAACGATTTTTGAGAAAAAATACCTCCAGGGGCCTTTTTGGACTGAAAATTGTGGTTTTTTGAGCAAAAAATGAGCTCTGGAGCCAATTTCTGGACATTTTTGAGCAAAAATAGCCTCAGATGTGATTTTTGACAATTTTTAGCCGAAAATAGCCTCAGGAATGATTTTTCAAGAATTTTTAGCCAAATTTGATCTAGGAAGCTTTTTTTGAGCGAAAAATTTGGATTTTGGACCTAAATTAGGCCCAGGAGCTTTTTTGAACTGAAAATTGTGATTTTTGAACCTAAACCAGGCTCAGGAGTGATTTTTTGACCAAAATTTGGCTCAGAAACTGATTTCGGACGGGAAAAAAGGTTTTTTAAGCACAATTGAGCCCTGGGAGATTTTTTCTAGTGATTTTTAGGCTAAAATAGGCTTAAGAACTTTTTTGAACTGAAAATTGTGATTTTTGGACCAAAATTTGGTTCAGGAATGATTTCTGTGTAAAAATTGAGCCCAGGAGCCAATTTCCAGCTATTTTTTAGCAAAAATAGCCTCAGATGTGATTTTTGAGCAAAATTATGCTCAGAAAGCGATTTTGGGTGAAAAATTGAGCCCTGGGACTCATTTTTGAGCAAAGTTGGCCACAAAATCATGTTTTTGAGCTACAGTACTCCAAACTGCAAAAAAATCACGACTTTTTGCAGTTCGGATTACTGTAGCTGCAAATTTCATAACATTGCTCATGCTAAACTCAGAAAATTGCAAATTTGGGCTCAAAATGCTCCAAATTTCAGGGCATTGCTCATATTAGTAATTTTCATAGAAAATTGAGCATTGCTCATGTTAAACTCAAAAAAATCTTATATTTTTGCAGACAACTTGGCCTAAATCACGTCTACGGTCAACTGGTCTCCAACAACATTCATACAGTAGCCGATTTGGCCCAAACCTCTCATCTGGACCTTTTGGCCTGCGGCCTAATATCCCAAGAATGTTCGCTAATCCGAGATGGCCTAAATGGACGGCCCGGTCCGCCGGCGCGGACAGCTTCCGCGCGGACCATTTCCGCACGCAGAGATGAGGGATTCTTTGTGTAATGTTCCTTTAATTTAGCTACAGTACCCCGGGTTTTTCCACGTTTTTTTTGTCTGTAAATTTATTGATTTTTGTCTCGCCCCGATGATGCATTTTTTTCCCGCCAAAAATTTTTTTTTCAAAATTTTTCCACATTTTTTTCCCTCCCCTAATAACACACAAAATACTGGTATTTTCCCCCATTTTTTCCTTGATTTTTCCCACAATTTGTTGAAATACTGTGATATTGTACATTTAATGAATTTTTTCGAGTCTAATATGAGCAATCCCCATGAAATTTGCAGCATTTTGAGCACAAACACGAGATTTTTGGGTTTAATATGAGCAATGCCGCATTTTGAGCTGAAAATTGACTAATATGAGCAATTTGGAGCGATACAGTAACCCGGACTGCAAATCTTATCGAATTTTTGCAGTTCGGAGTACTGTAGCTTTTGAAAATAGCTATTCTTGTTGAGAAATTCGATTTTAACATTATTTTTGAGCTACAGTAATCCGGACTGCAAAAATTCGAGATTTTTCAATTTTTGCAGTTCGGAGTACTGTAGCTTGAAAAATGTGTGATTTCTGAATATTTGACAAGTTTTTTAGCTACAGTAACCCGGACTGCAAAAAAAGACAAGAAAATCCGGAAAATTCTTCAAAAAACAATGAAAACAAGCAAACGCGCTCCAGGGCACACTCATCCGTGTACTTCTCGAGGAGGATTCAATTTTTTTCGATTTTTTTTTTGTTTTTCCTGGTTTTTGCCTGTTTTTCACGGGATTTTGTGGGTTTTCAAGAAGGGAAAGAGGAATTTTTTGAAAATTTGTGAGATTTGGAGCATTTTGAGCCAAAACTTTGGGATTTTGGGCTGAAAATCATTGAAAATCTGAAAATTTTCGGACTTTTAGGTGAAAAAGTTCATTTTTGTCATATAGCAAGGAAATATATCACAGCAAAATCGAAAAATTGAAAAAAAAATTTGAAAAATTTAGAAAGGATCCTCAAACATTTGCTCTTGCTCTTTTGGCTCATTCGAACTTGCCGTGTTCTCGATTTCACTTTGTTTTTCCTGAAATTGAAAAAAAATTGGAATTTAGGTGCCACGTGGATGCTTAAAATCTGAAATTTTCGAAAAAAGAGCTTCAAAACGAGCCTAAAATTGATTTTTTTCAGAAAAATTTCAGATTTTGGCTGAAAATCTAGACCGCAAGCTTCCGCGAAGCGGCCACGCGGAAAGGAAAATTAGAGAGTATGGGATTGTGAGAGACGCAGCAACAAAAATAATCCGTGGGGGAAAAAAAGAAGAAAAAAAATTCGAAAGTTCCGGGCTGGGCTCGAACCCGTGACCTCTCGAACACCAGCAAAACACTCTACCACTGAGCTAGCCACGCGTCTAAGGATGCAGCGTCAAATTTCGTCGAAGAGCAGCTCGCGAGCGAAGCGAGTGTAGACCGCAAGCTTCCGCGTAAGCGGCACTATCTTCCGCGAAGCGGCCACGCGGATAGCTAGAGAGTGTAAACCGCAAGCTTCCGCGAAGCGGCAACGCGGAAAATTAGAGAGTATGGGATTGTGAGAGACGCAGCAAAAAAATAATCCAGGGAAAAAAGATGAGAAAGAAAAAAAAATTCGAAAAGTTCCGGGTGGGGCTCGAACCCGTGACCTCTCGAACACCAGCAAAACACTCTACCACTGAGCTAGCCACGCTGCTGCGGATGTAGCGGCGAATTTTGTTGAAAAGCAGCTCGCCCCGAGCGAAGCGAGTGTAGACCGCAAGCTTCCGCGTAAGCGGCACTATCTTCCGCGCAGCGGCCACGCGGATAGCTAGAGGGTAGTAGACCGCGAGCTTCCGCGAAGCGGCACTATCTTCCGCGCAGCGGCCACGCGGATAGCTAGAGAGTATGAGACGAGCGAAGCGAGTGTAGACCGCAAGATTCCGCGTGAGCGGCACTATCTTCCGCGCAGCGGCCACGCGGAAGCTTGCGGAAGCTCGCGGAAAACAAATCACTAACCTGTATCTTCTTCTTCTTCCTCTCACTCTGCTCGACATGTTGATGCGGAGCGAGTGCCTTCTGGCTCTGCGCATTCCGCTGCTTGGCTCGCTCCAACTCAAAACTATCCGTCATCTGTGCGATCATAATCTGAAAAAAGCGCTTCCACACGTCGTGAACCTGTGCCGGCTGATAATTTTGGACGAAGCGGACTTTCCGCTGCTCTCCGCCGCCTTCCGCATTGTTATTTGGTAATTCTTGTTCGCCGGTCAGATACGGTATTAGGCGATGGATGAAAATGTTGATGACTATGTCGAAGTAGTTTTTGTTCAGCTGATTTTGGTTTTCTTCGAGAAATCTGAAAATTTTTGGCTGAAATTCTGGAATTTTCGCGATTTTTCATGAATTTTGAGCCCAAACAAGGTGTATTTTGCTAAAAAACTCGGTTACTGTAGTTGAGTACTGTAGGCCTTGAAATTCCCTTCAAAATGAGCTCCAACATGACTACTGTAGCCCACAGTACTCCGAACTGCAAAAAAAATCACGAATTTTCGAAGTCCGGGTTACTGTAGCTCGCAAAAATTCTTCAAAAATTGCAAATTTTTCGAGCTACAGTACTCCGAACTGCAAAAAAATGACAAATTTTGCAGTCCGGGGGTTACTGTAGCTCAAAAAATCGCAAATTTCTCGAGCTACAGTACTCCGAACTGCAAAAAAATGTTAAAAATCACGATTTTTGCAGTCCGGGGGTTACTGTAGCTCAAAAACCTGTTGAAAATCCAATTTTTCGAGATTTTTTTCTTAGCTACAGTAACCCTACAGTACCCCCAAAACCTACAGTAATCCAGTGATCTACAAAAATTGTGGAAACAATTCCTGGAGGGTTACTGTAGCCTACAGTACCCTACCCATGTTTGGTCTCATTTTGAAGGGAATTTTGAGGGCTACAGTATTCTTAAGGGTACTGTACCTACAGTACCGTAATTCACCCAGAAAAGGTGCCAAAAACATGAAAAATGCATCATTTTTCATGGGATTTTTTTCTACAGTAACCTTGCATTTTTCTACAGTACCCCTACAGTACTCTGAATGCTTAAAACTTTATTTTCAATAAGGATTTCCCCTAATTAAAGACCAAAAAATAGCGGCCCTTATATTTGAGTGAAATAGCCTTGTTCGAATAGATGTATCTTTTAATCTTCTCATCATTCACAATCACCGACCATTTTTCCGCGTTCTTTTCCGCTTCCGCGTCGTTTCCGGAAGCTCCGAATTTGGTTTTGCGCAAGAATTGCGCGATCGCTTTTGCCGCCTTGAAATTGTTGGATTTGTGATGTTGGGCGTAGGTTTTGACCGCCTCGACCAGCTCTTTTTTCTCCGATTTGCTCAGATTTTTCAGGCTCAATAGTTCGGTACTACGGTAGCGCCGCGTCGATTTTTTGGCCTCCGTCGAGATCAAACTAGACACGAAAAATATGGCCAAGAATAGGGAGAAAATCGAGATTTTTCTCATTTTTTTTGCGGATGAAAATTGAAAATTTTTGAATGATTTTATAGTGCACGGCATTTTAGGGGGGGGGCGTCACATTATTTTAATTGGAAATTTGATTAAAATAATGGTATGTGACGATTTCTTAGCCAAAAAAAAGGAAAAATGCCACGTGGCAGGGTTTCTGGGTTACTGTAGCTATGAAAAAATCCCAAAAAATGATGTATTTTTCATGAAATCAAGGTTTTTGGCACTTTTTTGGAATTTTATCCAATTTAGGGTACTGTAGCTACAGTACCCTATTCTAGTCAAGAATACTGTAGCTCTACGAAATTCCCTTGAACATGAGACCAAACATGGGTAGGGTACTGTAGGTAACCCTACAGTAAGATTTGGAGAGTTAAAAAAATTGTTTCCAAAATTTCTGTAGATCACTGGATTACTGTAGGTTTTGGGGGTACTGTAGGTGTTTTGCTATTTTTTGGTTTTCAAGCATTCAGAGTACTGTAGGGTTACTGTAGCTAGAAAAAAAATCCACGAAAAACCGAATTTTCAACAATTTTTCGAGCTACAGTAACCCCCGGACTGCAAAACTTCGTGATTTTTAACATTTTTCTTGCAGTTCGGAGTACTGTAGCTCGAAAAATGTTCAAATTTTCGAGCTACAGTAACCCGAACTGCAAAATTTGTCATTTTTTGCAGTTCGGAGTACTGTAGCTCGAAAAACAAGCAAATTTTGAACAATTTTTTGAGCTACAGTAACCCGGACTGCAAAAATCGTGGTTTTTTGCAGTTCGGAGTACTGTAGCTCAAAAATTTTGCAATTTTTGCGAGCTACAGTAACCCAAACTGCAAATTTCTTCATTTTTTGCAGTTCGAAGTACTGTAGCTCAAAAATGTGCAAATTTTCGAGCTACAGTAACCACCGGACTGCAAAAAATCATGAAAAATTGGATTTTTTGAGCAAAATACACCGTGTTTGGGCTCAAAATGCGTCAAAAATCGTGAAAAATTCAAATTTTTCACAAAAATTCAAGTTTTTGAGCAGAATACACCGTGTTTGGGCTCAAAATGCTCCAAAAATTGTGAAAATTTCAAATTTTCCTCCAAAAATTCAACTTTTTGAGCAAAATACACCGTGCTTGGGCTCAAAATGCTCCCGGAAACTCACTGTTGCCTGACATGACTCCTTCCAGTCTTTCGTACCAGTTGCCAGGCTCCCGTCAAATTTTCCGTATATCCCAACATCGACGTCAATTGATCCAACAAATCGGCGAATCGTGCCACGTGGCCACCGAATTTCGGCATTTTTAGCATCTGCGATCGCGGCGCCCGATCCACCCCAAACACTTTTTTCAAATCCGGTTCGATGTCGTTGACAATGTCCAGGAAGATTAGGCCCACAATTTCTTTGGGCTCTTCGAGCCGCTGCAAAAAAATTGGGGTACTGTAGGTGGGTACTGTAGCCCTCGAAATTCCCTACAAAATGAGACCAAACTTGGGGTACTGTAGCCTACAGTAACCCTTGAAAAAAAAAAGTTCCAAAATTTTTTTGTGGATCAGATTTTCTTCAGCCAAAATTCTGGGTACTGTAGCTCTCTCGCTTCTTACTGTAGGTGGGTACTGTAGCCCTCGAAATTCCCTACAAAATGAGACCAAACATGGGTAGGGTACTGTAGCCTACAGTACCCCTCTAGAAAAATTGTGCCAAATGTTTTTCTAGATCACATTTTCTAGGAGTACTGTAGCTGCTACAGTAACCCATAATTTTCTACAGTACTCTTAAGCTTGCTCTTCAACAAAATATACCTACAGTAATCCTCTACAGTACCTCAAAATCTACAGTAATCCGGTGATCTACAAAATTCTGGAACCCATTTTTCTAAAGGGTTACTGTACCTACAGTACCCATGTTTGGTGTCATTTTGAAGAGGATTTCAAGGGCTACAGTACTCACCTACAGTACCCTAGAAAATTCTGATCTACAAAAGTTTTGGAACTTTTTTTGGCACTATTTTTCAAAGCCTCTACAACTCTCAGGTTACTGTAGCTACAGTACCCATGTTTGGTGTCATTTTGAAGGGAATTTCAAGAACTACAGTAATCACCTACAGTACTTCTACACAAAACTACAGTACCCCGAAAATTCTGATCTACAAAAATTTTGGAACTTTTTTTCAAAACTCGTTTCACTAAAGGATTACTGTAGCCTAAAGTACCCATGTTTGGTGTCATTTTGAAGGAAATTTCAAGCTCTACAGTAATCCTACAGTACCCCCGCCATCTACAGTACTCCTCACCTGAAACGTGTCCCTCAAACAAGTCCTGTCTTTTTTCGATAAACCAGTGTCAAACGGATTTTCGGTGTCATTTCCGACCCAACTTGCGCCAACTTGCGTCTTTTTCTTATTCGGCGCACAAATCGACGCACCCATGACTAGACTCTAGTTTGTGGAGACGAAACTAGACTCTAGTTTGACAGGTTTTCGAATAAAACTAGACTCTAGTTTGACAATTATTGCATTATACTAATTCGAAGCTGAAATTTTGCTGAAAATGACAAAAAATTAGAGGGTGAGAGAGTGAGAGACGCAGAGAGCGAGAGAAATGAGTCAGGAGGTGTTTTTAGTAATCTAGAGGCGCTGGTTCGAGCCACGGTGGGTGCGGAACTTTTTTCTGGGCCAGAATTCCACGTAGATCACGATTTTCACATCGAAATCTTGAGAATTTCAGTTTTACGTGCTGAAAATCGTGATCTACGTGGAATTTTGAGCCGGAAACATGGGATTTTTATGGATCTAGAGGTCCTGGTTCGAGCCACGGTCAGGGCAAACATTTTTTTTTTTGAAAAATAAGTTCCCGGGACCAGAATTCCACGTAGATCACGAATTTCAGCATGAGAACCGGAAATTTTCAAGATTTCAAGGCGAAAATCGTGATCTACGCAAAAAATTGAGCCAAAACTCCCCACGTCACTTCCGCGATCAAAAAAATAATTTTTCCCCGAAAATCCAATTTTCCCCCCACCTAATTTTCTGCGTAGATCACGATTTTCAGCTGGAAATTGGCTGAAAATCAAAATTTCGAGCTGAAAATCGTGATCTACGTGAAAATCTACCCCGGTAGAAAAAAAATAAAAAAATTCGCCTCGACCAGGGCTCGAACCAGGACCTCCAGATCAATAAAATTCCCATGTTTCCGGCTCAAAATTCCACGTAGATCACGATTTTCAGCATGAAAACTGCGAATTTTCAAGATTTCAAGGCGAAAATCGTGATCTACGTGAAATTTTATTGATCTAGAGGTCGTGGTTCGAGCCACGGTCAGGGCGAAATTTTTAAAATTTTTTTTTAAAAAGTTCCCTGGACCAGAATTCCACGTAGATCACGATTTTCGCCTTGAAATTTTGAAATTTTCAAGATTTCCGGGCGAAAATCGTGATCTACGCAAAAAATTGAGCCAAAATCTTGTTTTTCGAAAAAAAATGATTGAAAAACAACCGATTTTTGTAGCGAAAATTTGTGGCTACAGGATTACTGTAGCGCTATTTTTATTTTTTTTTCTAAAAAATTGGAATTTTTGGGATTTTCGTGGGGAAAAATCGATAAAAGTGCAAAAACAGCTGATTTTTCACATTTTTTTCGGGTAAAAAGGGAAAAAAGCGAAAAAAGACATAAGAGAAAGCTGAAATTTGATTAGAAGTGAAAAATGGGAGAAAATTGTGCGTTGGTTTCTATAGAAACTCGTGTCATTCACTCAAAAGCAGCAAAAAAACCCTTAAAAATACCCACAATTATTATTATTATGATTAGGCAGAAACTCGGGGGAATTTGGTCAAAAAAACGGAGAAAAATTGGGGTTTTGCTGAAAATTTGACTGAAATTCTGGAAAATTCGAACTCAGCGTGAAATTTCGAGTTTTTTGACACCAATTTTCGAAATTTTCCAAAAATTTTGAAATTTCACCTTAAAGGGGCTGAAAATTGAAGAAAACTCGGGGTTTTGCTCAAAATTTGACTGAAATTCTGGAAATTTCGAATTCAGCGTGAAATTTGGAACTTTTTGGACACCCATTTTTTTAGGATTTTGCAAATTTTAGAAAATTTTGATGCCCCCCCCCCCCATGATAAAGGGGGGGGGGGTACCCTTTTCGGAAATGTTTGATTTTCAGAGGTCCCCATTGAGATTTTCAGCATCCTCGTGAAATTTCGAGTTTTTTGACACCAATTTTAATATGGTTTTGAAAAAAAAAATTCCGCACCCACCGTGGTTCGAACCAGGACCTTTAGATTACTAGTGCAAGGGTATGAATAAAATAGTGAAGAACTCAAAAAAAAAACGCTGTGAAACACACATTTTTGAGAGAAAAAACCGAATAATCAATGAATGAAAAAAAACAAATGTTTATTTTTCCGCTAAACAAAGGGCAGAGTGGAGTGTGGAGTGTCGTAGTGGAAACTTGAATTTTATTTAAAATTTCGAAAATTATATAAAAATGGGTGTTTAAAAACTTGAAATTCCACGTGGAATCTGAAAATCACAATGGGAATGTCTGAAAATCGAAGGCTTCTAAAAATAGTACCCCCCTTATCATAGGGGGGTGATCAAAATGTTCTAAAATCAACAAAACCTATAAAAATTAGTGTCTAAAAACTCGAAATTCCACGTGGAATCTGAAAATCACAATGGGAATGTCTGAAAATCTAAGGCTTCTGAAAATAGTACCCCCCCCCTTATCATAGGGGGGGGGGTATCAAAATGTTCTAAAATCAACAAAATCTATAAAAATTGGTGTCTAAAAACTCGAAATTCCACGTGGAATCTGAAAATCACAATGGGGATGTCTGAAAATCAAAGGCTTCTGAAAATAGTACCCCCCCTTTTTTTTTGAGGGGAGGGTATCATAATGTTCTAAAATCAACAAAACCTATAAAAATTAGTGTCTAAAAACTCGAAATTCCACGGGGAATCTGAAAATCACAATGGGAATGTCTGAAAATCAAAGGCTTCTAAAAATAGCACCCCCCTTATCATAGGGGGGGGGGGTATCAAAATATTCTAAAATCAACAAAATCTATAAAAAATGGTGTCTAGGAACTCGAAATTCCACGTGGAATCTAAAAATCAACATGAAATTGTCTGAAAATCAAGGGCTTCTGAAAAAAACTCTTCATTTTTGACTAAATAAAACACAATTTTCTTTCAAATCAATACATAATTGTCGATTTTCAATCTTGTTTGACAAACGAACAAATTTCATATGATAAATATCCTCCGGAACACCAGGATTTGTATAATTTTCGATAATTTGAACATAATCATCGAAATTAATATCAATTTCTTCTAAATTCAATATAATATTATCGATTTGTTGATCAATTAAAATTTCTTCAATCAAAAAACATCTCAAAAATCCATCAAATTCATTCAACGAAAATTTCGGATTATTTAATTTCCGTGTTTTTGATTGGAATTTAAACAATGAATTCAAAAGTTGAATATTCGGAATCACGACATCATTTCGAAAACGAGAAATTGTATCAGAATTCACAAATCCACTTGAAATCGGATCAATTCCATTTTTATTCTTGAAAAGTGTCAAATCTTCGAGTTCTTGATGTTTCAAATTATCGATATTCGATTGATTATACGGAAAATCGTCCTGAAAAATAAAATCTAGGTTTTTTCAAATTGTTTATTTCAAAACTCACAATGAAAATCTCAATAGTTTTCAAACTTTTTGTATTTCTCTTCAAAATACAATTGAAATATCGCACAACAATTTCAATCAAATTCTGATTTTCAAATGTTATTTTCGAATGAATTTCAGCATTCAACCACCAAACAACTTCACAAAATCCAGTAGATTTTTTTTCCATCAAGAAAATCCATAGTTCATCTTTCGCATATACAAAAATGCCAATACTTCGATTTGTATTTCCAATTATAATTATTTTATCGACATAATTTCGACTTCGCGCAACTTCTTCATAACAACCTGTTGAACATTGTGAAAATATTGCTTTCGCTTCGAGACCCATCATATCAATTATCATTTCTCTTAACTCAAATGGCAAATCAAACCATCCTGCTTGAAATTCTCTAGTTTGACATTGTGAAATAGAAGAAGATTCTAGTTGAATATCCTTTGGTGATAAACTAGAGTCTAGTTGTTTTTGTTCCTTTCTTGAACAGCACAAACCCATTTTCTAGGCTAATAAATTTACAAAATACCCCCTCGGAAAATTTTTTAGCACAGAAAAACCATGGGTCACGCGTAAAATTAAAAAAAAAATTTTTTTTTGTTTTTTTCGAATTTCCGAATTCTAGAGACCTCGAAACGTGAAATGCCAAAAATAGTTTTAAAAAATTCCAATTTAGTGCGTGACCTTATGTACATTACGTGGAAATAAGAGCATTTATCAGAAAATCACTATTTCGATTATCTCGACTACTAGAATCTACTAGTTTACCTACTCTTTGAAATGGCATGTGCTCGTGTATTGGATTCACTAGAAGATGTTAAAGGAGCGGTGTGGTTAGTTGAATGAAATTAAATTTTTTTTTTCATATATGCATTATTTTTAGGGCGATATTATGTTTCAAAGCGATGGATAACCTTTTCAAAATCTTAAAAACTGATCAGCGAGAAGGATTATGTTTCGAAATCCGCGATTTTCGAGTGGGTTTGATAGCTACGGGATTTTATTTCAAAAAAAAAAAAAAAAAAAAAAATTTTTTTTTTTTAAAAAGTTTTTTTTCCAATCATGAAATTCCTAAATCTAGTTATTTTTAGGTGTTTATTAAGGCTGGAAGAGGTGGAATCGAATTCTGTAAGGGTTATCCATCGTCCAAAATTCCGCAATTTTGTATCATTCCGCAATTTTGTATTATCAACATAACAGACGACATTTCACCAGAAGTTGTCGTTTTGGGTTGGGTGAGTGATTGAAATATGAAATTTTGAGCGTATATTTCGACATATTTCAGATTCCAATGAATCTAAGTTGGAAAATTCGAGAAGTTAAAGTCGATATTAAATGTGGAATCGAGAATCCTCCACGAATCTGGTTTGACAGACTCGGCGACTTCTTTGGTAACATCCACATCGACTCTCAATCCCGAAAACATCAGCCTAATCACTGTAAGTGTAAAAAAGTGCTTTATTGGAAACAAAAAAAAACAAGTTCAGACAGGTTCTTGAACGGAAATAGTAGGAAAATTAGGAAAACGAATGAAGATCAATAAGAGAGTGAGTTCAATAAGGTATTTAAAGGGCCTAGAAGGGTATTTTTACCTAACAAATTCCAGTTTGCTCTGATCGGAGAGAAGGGTAAAAATCAAAGAAACAGGATTTGGTGGCGATATTGGATATTGGGAGAGAATGTAGTGAAAGCGCTCGGACAATCGGCCATTTTTGTTCAAGTCAGAAGAAAAATTCTGAAAATCTCGATGACACAATCACAAAAATTAAGGTAAATTCAATGGAAAAATGCGCTTTTTAAAAAACTTTTTATGTTTCAGACATATCCAAAAGTTTTCACCTACGCATCTCGTGGAATAACAGAATACAATTTCGAGATTTCCTGATTTGGATTGGAATATGCTTTTTTAAAGTGAGTTAATTCATTGATTTAATGGACGCTGGACGAAAATTGAATTACAGATTGCAGAAACCTAGAAAACAAATCGATTGAGGAAAACGATGATGAATAGACCCGCACAGTAGCTACTACTCCACTTGAATGAATAAACCATTCTTTGAAAAAAAGTTCCGCACCCACCGTGGTTCGAACCAGGACCTTTAGATTACTAGTGCATAGTACAAGGGTATGAATAAAGTAGTGAAGAACTTAAAAACACATTAAAAAAAAGGTAAAGGTAGATCCGTATTCGAGCGCCTATTAGGACACTGCGGATCAGACGATTCGGACACGGAGTACGGGTGGTGTACGTCTATAGGCCATTTTGGGGAATTTAAGTCACCCTGTTGCCGCAGGGGACCGATTTACCTTGCGTAGCAGGCCTGTGCCGGAAATTTTCCGAATTTTCCGAATTTCCGGATTTTTCGGTTTTTCACGGAAAAATCAATTTTCCGATTTTCCGGAAAATGTGCTCGGAAAATCCGGAAATGATCTCTAGTAGTAATATTTTCAAAATTGCCTAAATTTTGGAAAATTTTCTCATTTTTTTTTCAATTTTTCAAATTTTATTATTTTTTGAACGTAAGACGTCTCAAATAGTTACTAAATTACCTGTGAATAGAAGAATTGTAGATAAAAATAAGTTTTAGTGCCAACGTAAGGCTGGAAATCGAAATTTCAGACTTTGAAAAATTTTCCGAATTTTCCGGATTTCCGGTTCAAAAAATCAGGAAATTTTCCGACTTTCCGTTTTCCGGGTTTTGATTTTCCGGCACAGGCCTGTTGCGTAGCGAACTTACGACTGGGTGGATAGAGGAGGAGCGGCACCGGGGATCGAACCCGTGACCCTGAGATCGCCAGCAGCCAACCACTACCACTGAGCTACCTCACCCTCTTTTTGAAAAAAAGTTCTTTCCGCATCCACCGTGATTCGAACCAGGACCTTTGGATTACTAGTACATAGGACAAGGGTATGAATAAAATAGTGAAGAACTTGAAAAAAACGCTGTGAAACACACACATTTTTGGGAGAAAATCGATAAATAAAAAAAAAACAAATTTTCCGCTAAACAACGGGCAAAGTGGAGTGTCGTAGTGGAAGTTTAAATTTGAATTTTATTTTATTTTTTTTTTGAAAAAAAATTCAGACCCGCAAAAGTTTTTTTGCAAAATGCAAATGGGTCTCGAAGCGATTGCCGCGCGAATTTTCAAATATTCGTTTTTTTGTTGCAAAAAAAAAACCAAAAAATCGAATTTTTCGCATTTTTTCAACGTGTTCCACGTGGAGACACGATTTTTCGTCGCGAAAAATCTGGCATTTTCAGCATTTTTTGCTGCTGGAATCGATTCAAGGTGAGTTTTTTGGGGGTTTTTTCCAATTTCTTGTACTTTGCACTAAAAACCATAAAATGTATGGTTTTTTCTGAAAATTATGTGATTGTAAATAAAAAATCGAGGGGTTTTTTCACGGTGTTTTATTTTTGATATGATAATAATATAATAATTGATAACTAATCATTTCTCTTGCAATTTTTCCCCCAATTTTTTCGGCCACCGCAAAAATTGTTCGCTTTTTGTTTGTTTAACCTCTTGTTTCTTGGGTTTTTGCGCAAAAATCGAATTTTTCACTCAATTTCTCGAAAAATTTCCGCTAAAAATCTTGGGGACTAGGTTTTGCATAGTGTAAAACCTAGTCCCCGAGTATTTTGTTTGAAAATTTGAATTTTTCGGTTTGAAATTTTGTAATTCAGCTAGAAATCTGATTTTTACATGAAAAATTCAAATATTTTCACTAAAAATCGTAGGGACTAGGTTTTGCATGGTGTAAAACCTAGTCCTCGAGTATTTTGTTTGAAATTTCGAGATTTTTCGGTTGGAAACCTTGAAATTCAGCTAGAAACCTGGTTTTCACATGAAAAATTCAAAAATTTTCGCTAGAAATCTCGAGGACTAGGTTTTGCATGGTGTAAAACCTAGTCCCCCCTATTTTGCATGGAAATTTGTGATTTTTTAGCGAATTTTCAGCCAAAAATGCTCGAAAAGCTGAAATCTCGTGCAATTCGTTGGCTCGAAGACAATCGTGGCCTTGTTATCGTCGTTTTTTGCCTACCAGCCTCATTTCTCTTCGATCTATTCATCCGATTTCGAATCTTCCTCTCCCGATCGATTTTTTCTGCACAAAAATCGTCGTCGCACGAACATCGAGTCGAGGAAATCCGAAAACGTGTGGAGACGTGGAAGAGTTTGCCGAAGTCGGAGCGGAAATTGATGTGTACGGCGAGACCGAATTGGTTGAGCCTGTCGACGACGTTTTTCGATAAGGTACGCACTTTTTTGGGCCGGAAAAAATGCTCCGAAATGAGCCCCTGACGCATTTTTACTAGTAGCTGCAGAAAATGCGCCAGTAAATTCACTACTGACGCATTTCTCATTGCAAAAAGGTCGCGACCTGGCCAAATTCATGAAATCTAGCTTAGATTTGCTGAAAATTTCAGATTTTCCTTGAAAAATCTGAAATTTTCAGCCAAGCTAAGCTAGATTTCATGAATTTTGCAGGTTGCGGAGATGCGGAAGCTATGCCCAAATCTGCAAGCTTGAAAACCTTGAAATTCAGCTAGAAATCTGATTTTTACATGAAAAATTCAAAAATTTGCGTTAGAAATCTCGAGGACTAGGTTTTGCATAGTGTAAAACCTAGTCCCCGAGTATTTTGTATGAAAATTCAAAATTTTCCGGTAGGAAAGCTTGAAATTCAGCTAGAAATCTGGTTTTTACATGAATAATATTGAAATTTGCACTAGAAATCTCGGGGACTAGGTTTTGCATAGTGTAAAACCTAGTCCCCGTGTGTTGTGTATGAAAATTCAAAATTTTCCGGTAGGAAATCTTGGGAAACTTGCAATTTAGCTAGAAATCTGGAATTTTCAGCCTCTGTATTTTAAATTAAATTTAAAACCCATAAAATTTATTAACGTCTCAAATTCACAACACAAAAATCGCTGTTCTATTTTCCCGTAGCCATAGGTACACAATTAAAATATTGATAATTAGGAGCATAAGGTGGACAATCACAATAATATCTTGGAGTTGTGCCAACATAATCCACCAATCTCACCACACGACATGTATTATAGTAGTAGTAGTTCTGGGCCTGACTTCTACGGCCGAAGAGGAGCCCGAAAAGGCCTCCGCCACCTCCGCTATGACCATGATCGTTGTGATCGAAGCCGGTGAATGGGCGATAGCCGAATCCATTTCCGCCGTGTTTGTGATCGTGATCGTGGTGATTATGACCGCCCCAGCTGTGATGATCGTGGTTATGGTCCCCGTGATCGTGCCCACCGTGATCATGATCCCCGTGGTCTCCACCCCGACCTTCTAGGCTTCCTGAAAATCAGATTTTGAAGTTGCTGAGCTATTCAAAGCCTATAGATCTTCTAGATCTTCTAGATCTTCATCAAAATCTGAAATTTCAACTTTACTCACCCAAAACCACCAAAACCAGCACGAAAATCAACATTTTTTTCTGATCTGATAACAAAAAATACGAATTTCGTCAAAATTTTTGTGTAAATATGTTTTTTATTGATCAAGGTCAATCAAATTAGCGATCGAAAACCACGTCATTTTTTCGCAAAGTTTTTTTTTGCCACGTGACTAAAATTATTGATTTTTGCAAGCCTCGCACGGTTTTCTAGAAGCAAAATAAGCTCCGCCCCCTTTTTTGCAAGCCTGGCATGGTATTTTGAACTCACCCATCCCAGCCATCAAGAAAATCAAAGAAATTTTGAGCATTTTTGACAAAAAATGATAAAAATTTGTTGAAAATCAGGTTTTTCCACACAAAAATGAACTTTTGAAATTCGAAAATTGAAAACAAAACAAAAAAATCACGTGAGATTGGGAAAATCTAGTTTTTTGTGGAATTTTGATTAGAAATCGGAAAAATTCAAAAATTAGTGATAGAAATCTCGGGGACTAGAATTTTCGGCAATTTTTGAATGGGATTCCCTGAATGGGGCTAATTTTCAAAAACAGGGCTAAAACAGTAAAACTGAATGGGGTCCAAAAAATGTGTCTGAATGGGACCCGCCTGAATGGGGCTAATTCTCGAAAGTAAAAAGATAATCTGAATGGGACCCGACTGAAAGGGGCTAATTTTTAAAAATAAATAGTTTTCTGAATGGGACCCGACTGAATGGGGCTAAAAATCAAATAAATATTAGAAAAACTGAATGGGACTCCGTTCCGTTTAGTCAGTCGATTTCCGGATTTCCGGACTCTTCAAAATTTTGAATTGCGTTTGATATTAAGTTTTAAAGTTTGATTACTACTTTTCTGAAATAGTAGTTTGTTTTTTCATGTGTTTATCACAATTTTATTCCTTAGGGTATTCCCAAAATGTTTGATTTTGAAGAATAAAATTCCGGAAGAATTTTGAAAGGAGCTAACCTACAGGTAACCTACGTAAAATATATTCCCAATGTATACATTGGGAATATATTTTTATGCGAAATTTAATTTTCTCGATTTCGACATGTAGTATTCGGTACGTGGGTTTGAGCTTCTGGTGCGATGTTTTTGCATTATCAATAGGTTTTTGGTTCTCATTAGCCCAATTAGAATTTCAGAATTATAAAACTTGCAGCTTCATATGAAGTATGGAGCTTGGAACTAAAAAAAAATAGTCCGAATTTCCAATTAAGATCTAAATTCCGTCATTTTTTCTGTATCTCACTCATTCAGCCCTTAAAAGATGTGTCTCTCAACACAATTTAGGAAAAAAGTTGTATTTTGGCAAGGTGGCTTCCCAAAAACACCACATTTTGACACATAGGTGCGAAAAATTTGAATTTTACTAGGACAAACGGCAAACTAGAAGTATTGTAAGCAGGTTCGAAAGGAAACATTAAATTTTTTTACGTTAGAAACTGGAAAAAATACATTTCCAGATTTATTTATATCCTAATATTTATGAAAAATTAGCTATTTTTCAAAATCGTGTTCTCCGGTTTTAAGATGAAATTTAAGGGTTCTTCAGAATTAAAAAAAAATTAGGCTTTCAATCTATATACGCTATTGATAAACAAACGAATGTAGTAATCAAACTTGAAAACTTAATATCAAACGCAATTCAAAATTTTGAAGAGTCCGGAAATCCGGAAATCGACTGACTAAACGGGGCCCATTCAGTTTTTCTAATATTTATTTGATTTTTAGCCCCATTCAGTCGGGTCCCATTCAGAAAACTATTTATTTTTAAAAATTAGCCCCATTCAGGCGGGTCCCATTCAGACACATTTTTTTGACCCCATTCAGTTTTACTTTTTTAGCCCTGTTTTTGAAAATTAGCCCCATTCAGGGAATCCCATTCAGAAATTGCCAGAATTTTCATAGTGTAAAACCTAGTCCCTGAGTATTTTGTATGGAAATTTGAAGTTTTTTGATTAGAAACCTCGAAATTCAGCTAGAAATCTGGTTTCAACATGGAAAATTCAAAAATTTGCGCTAAAAATCTCGGGGACTAGGTTTTGCATAGTGTAAAACCTAGTCCCCGAGTATTTTATATGAAAATTCAAAATTTTCCGGTAGGAAAGCTTGAAATTCAGCTAGAAATCTGGTTTTTACATGAAAAATTCTGAAATTTTCACTAGAAAGCTTGGGGACTAGGTTTTCCATCTTGTAAAACCTCGTCCCCGAGTATTTTGTATGAAAATTTGATATTTTCCGGTAGAAAAGCTTGGGAAACTTGAAATTCGGCTAGAAATCTGGAATTTTCAGCCTCTGTATTTTAAATTAAATTAAAAACCCATAAAATTTATTAACGTTTTTCAAAATGTTCTATTTTCCCGTAGCCATAGGTACACAATTAAAATATTGATAATTAGGAGCAAAAGGTGGACAATCACAATAATATCTTGGAGTTGTGTCAACATAATCCACCAATCTCACCACACGGCATGTATTAGAGTTAGCATAAGAGTGATAATTGTTATAGTATGGCCGGTAGCCACTGTTGTAGCCATAATACCGTGGGCCTCCACCGCCAAAAAGTAGGCCGAAAAGTCCGCCACCGCCGCCTCCGCGGCTGTGGAAATCATGATGGTCATGGTGGAATCCGCGTCCGCCCCAATTGTGAAATCCTCCGCGAGAAGGTCCGCCGCCTCCACGGCGACCTCCGCCGCCTCCGCGGGGACCTCCGCCTCGACTACCCCCGCCTCCTCGGCTTCCTCCACCACGTCCACCGCCTCCCCGCTGAGCGTCTACTGAAAAATTATCGATTTTTGAGGTGGAAATCGGATTTTCTATCAGATTTCTCATAGAATACTTGATTTTTGACTCAAAAATTAGAATATTGAATGAAATCTAGGTCAATTTTCAGCAGGAGATAAGATTTTGACCTTAAAATTTGAATAAACATTGATTTTTCAAGTTCTGGGCTTGAAAAACGTGCTCTAGGTCATTTTTCATGGGAAAATCAGGATTTATGCTGAAAAGCTAGTCTAGATTCTGAAATTTAGGATAAATCGATCGGTTTTAGCAGAACTTAGTCTAAAATTTGCAATTTTTATGAAAAGTTCAAATTTTCATACAAAATACCCGGGGACTAGGTTTCACACCATGCAAAACTTAGTCCCCAAAATTTTGTATGGCAAATTTTCGAATTTTTCATGCGAAAACCAGATTTCTAGCTGAATTTCAAGGTTTCTAACCGAAAAATCTCGAATTTTCTTACAAAATACCCGGGGACTAGGTTTTACACTATGCAAATCCTAGTCCCCGAGGTTTCCAGTGCAAAATTTTTGAATTTTTCATGTTGAAACCAGATTTCTAGGTTTCTAACCGGAAAATCTCGAATTTTCATGAAAAAATACCCGGGGACTAGGTTTTACACTATGCAAAACCTAGTCCCCGAGATTTTTTGTGTGAATTTTTCAAATTTTCCACCCAAAAAACTCACCAATCATCACCAAAACCGCAAATACAATAAACAAGCCAAAAATTGAGATTTTCATAGTAAGTTAGCCTAACTTATCCTGTCTTATCCCCCAAAAAATACTTGCTTTATATATGCAGCTATTTAATTTGATGTTTTGATTCGCCAAACTTTTCCTATCATCTTTTTTTTTTTGGCTGCAAACGAGTTCAAAACAGCAGCGATTTTCCGACCAAACTACACACACATATTTTTCGCGGGGAATTTCACGAATTCGGCTAACTTTGTTCATCTTTTGCAAATTTGATATCAGAAATGTTGAGACTAGAGATTGAAAACGTGACATTTTTGAAGCCAAATTTTCGGCCTGGAAGCGATTTTTGAGCTCTGGAAGTCTGGAAATAGCTCCTGAGCTCAAAATTCGGGTCTAGAAGCGATTTTTGAGCTCTAGAAACCAAAATTCTGCTCCTGAGCTCAAAATTCCGGTCTGGAATCGATTTTTGAGCCCTTGGAGCCAAAAAACTGCTCCAGAACTCAAAATTTGGGTCTGGAACAGATTTTTGAGCCCTGGAAGCCAAAAAATAGCTTCAGAGCGCAAATTTTTGGTCTAGAATCGATTTTTGAGCTCTGGAACTGTGAAACTTGCTCTCTGGCTCAAAATTTTGGTCTAGAAGCGATTTTTGAGCTCTGGAAGCTTGAAAATAGCTCCAGAGCTCAAAATTTCGGTCTAGAATCGATTTTTGAGCCCTGGAAGCCTAATAATAGCTCCGGAGCTCAAAATTCGGGTCTAGAAGCGATTTTTGAGCTCTGAAACCTTGGAAATAGCTCCAGAGCTCAAAATTACGGTCCAGAATCGATTTTTGAGCCCTTGGAGCCTGGAAATACCTCCAGAGCTAGAATTTTTACATTTTTGAGCTCTGGAAGTCTCACAACGGCTCCCAAGCTTTAAAAAAATCAATAATCTATTTGCAGACCGCCTGTCATCAAATCCCCATCGATCTACACGATGTTTTATCGCTAGACGAGAAAAATCTGACAGTAACCGTCGAGCCAAATGTAACAGTTCGTGAAATTTGCAAATACCTAATTCCACGTGGCTATACACTTGCCGTAACTCTCGAAATTGGCGACGCAACTCTGGGAGGATTAGCATTTGGAGTTGGAATGACAACATATTCACACAAAGTTGGACTATATCAAGAATCAATTTTGGAATATGAATTGGTCACGGCTGATGCTGAAATTCTGAAAATCACCAAAAATAATGAGCACAGTGATTTGTATTGGTGTTTGCCGTGGTCACATGGAACACTGGGATTTTTAGTCGGGCTGAAATTGCAGATTATTCGAGTTAAACCGTATTTACATATGAAATATGTGCCGGTGAGTGCGAAAATTTGGAATTTTCAATAAAAATTCTGAAATTTTCATATTTTCTCAATAAAAACAGATTATTTTCTACCAAAAATCTTGAAAATTTGGAATTTCTCATCATTTTTTGACTGAAAATTGTACAAATTTGAGAATTTTCACTTAAAATTGACTAAAATAGTGATTTTTTTGAGCATTGCTCATATCCATCCTGATTTTGGCTCAAAAATTTGACGAATTTTGAAGAATTGCTCATGTTAACCTTTTGAAATCCCGATTTTTGGCATAAAAATTGAAGCGTTGCTCATGTTAACTTTGATTTGGGGTTTTTGGTTCAAAAATTCAAAATTTTCACTAAAAATTCTCCTAAAAATGTTGAAAAATCTTTGAAATTTTTTATGATTTTTACTGAAAATCTGCTTCAGATTGAATTTTTCCAGTGAATTTTGGAGCATTGCTCATGTTAACCCTGGTTTTTACTCAAAAATTCAAGATTTCCATGTAAAATTTTAGCATTGCTCATGTTAACCCTAATTTTTTCCACAAATATTCAAACTTTTGGTTGAAATTTTCAAAAATTCGAGTCTAATATGAGCAATGCTTCAATTTTCAAGAAATCCATCATTTTAAGATAAAAATGAGCAATTTGTCGGATTTTTGGGCATTGCTCATGTTAATCTTTTGAAATCCCGATTTTTGGCCGAAAAATTTCATGAAAAATGAGGCATTGCTCATGTTAGCTCTTGAAACTCTGAAAAATTCAAGAAATCCGTGAAAAAACTCAAAATTGTTCAAATTTTTGAGCATTGCTCATGTTAACCATGATTTTTGGCCAAAAATTCAAGAATTTCATTTAAAATTATAGCATTGCTCATGTTAACTCAAAAATTGTCACATTTTTGAGCATTACTCATATTAATCCAATTTTTTTTTCCAGTGTCACAGTCAAGCCGAATATTGCTCAAAAATCATGGAATTCTCTGGAGCCAATTCTGGAGATCAAAAAGTCGCAGATTATGTGGAAGCCACGATTTATGACAGGGAAAATGCGGTGATTATGTTGGCAAATTTTGTTGGTGAGTATTTGAGGGTTAACATGAGCAATGCCCCGAAAATTCGCTAAATTTTGAGCAAAAATTTGAAATTTTCGAGCTAATATGAGCAATGCTCCAAATTTTTTACGGAATACTTGAATTTTTGGATCGAGTTACAAAAGTTTAACATGAGCAATGCTCAAAAATTCGAAACTTAGCCAAAATTTTGGATTTTCAAGCTAATATGAGCAATGTTTCAATTTTGCTTCATTGCTCATATTAAAATTGAGCATTGCTCATGTTTGTTGGAAAAATTCTTGAAAAATTCGAATTTTAACTAACATGAGCAATGCTTTGAATTGGTAAAGTCAAGCATTGCTCATGTTAGCTCAGATTTTTGAGAGCAAAAATGCTAACATGAGCAATGCTCTAAATTTTCTAAAAAAAAAACATTATAATGAGCAATTCGTGTTAATTTCCTTGAAGCATTGCTCATATTAGCTTGAAAGTGAATTTTTAGAACATTGCTCATGTTAACCTGGATTTTTGGCTCAAAAATTGAGGGAAAATTGACGCATTGCTCATGTTAGACTCAAAAAATGATGAATTTATTTGGAAAATTGAAGGATTGCTCAGGTTAACCTTTAAAATACTCAATTTTTGGGCCAAAAATTTAAGATTTTTGTGAACAATGAGGCATTGCTCATGTTATCCTCGAATTTTTGAGTATTTAAACCAAAAGTTTGAATATTTGAGTAAAAAATCAGGTTTAACATGAGCAATGCTAAAATTTTACATGGAATTCTTCAAATTTTAAGCCAAAAATCAGGTTTAACATGAGCAATGCTCCAAAAATCACTAGAAATCAACATTTCCAGTAGAAAAATCTCAAATTTTGTCATTTCCAGACCTCGAAAATGTGCCACTTCTCACAAAATTGTCCAAAATCAACGATGTTTGCTGGTGGTGGAAACCGTGGTTCTACAAACACGTCGAAACTTTTCTCTGGCTCGAAAATGGTGGCGAAGAATATATTCCCCTCGAATCATATTTGCTCCGCCATAATCGTGCCATTTTTTGGGTTCTGGAAAGTATGATCCCGTTTGGAAATCATCCATTGTTCCGCGCGATTTTCGGATGGTTGTGCCCGCCAAAACCCGCGTTTTTGAAGTTTACCACGACTCAGGCGGTCAGGGAAATGACTTTTGCTAAGCAGGTGAGGAAAAATGAGCAAAAATCCAGTTTTCTACGTGAAAAATGAGCCAAAATGATGATTTTTTGGTGGAAAATAGCAAATGCGCTCTATTGAACTATGCATTTTTCGATAGAAAATTCAAAAATTGATATTTTCTCATTAGAGCGCATTTGCTATTTTTCATTGAAAAAATGAGATTTTTCAAAAAAAAATCTAATTTTCAAATTTTAACATGAGCAATGCTCATTTTTACTTTTCATTGAAAATTTTGAGAAAATTGGAGCATTGCTCATATTAGCGCGCAAAATTTGCACAATTTTTTGAGCATTGCTCATGTTAACTGATTTTTCGATAAAAATTCAAAATTTTTGAGCATTGCTCATGTTAAATCCAGATTTTTCCATTGAAAATAGCAAATGCGCTCTATTGAACAATGCATTTTTCGTTAGAAAATTCAAAATTTCTAGGAAAAATGAATATATTTCAATAGAGCGCATTTGCAATTTTCGCAAAATTTTTGAAAAAAAGCAAATGCGCTCTACCGAAATATCGATTTTTGCAGGTTTTCCAAGATATTGTAATGCCATTGGACACGCTGAAACAACAAGTCGACACATCCATCGAACTTTTCGACACTTTTCCGCTTTTGGTCTACCCGTGCCGAATTTATGATCACAATTTAAAGGCGCAAGGACAACTCAGAGCACCGGAAAAGCGAAAATTGGTGAAAGGTGAGTACTGTAGGCCGAAAAATGCGTTATTTTGACACCCAACATGCCCAGGGAGTACTGTAGATCAAATTTTGGCGCCAAATTTGGTCCTGACACGATTTTTGGGAGTACTGTAGGCATGTTGGGTGTCAAAATGCTCCAAATTTCGCGCGCCAAAAACTACAGTACCCCCCTCATTCAAATTTTCCAGGCACCAACTACGCGATGTTCAACGATTTGGGAGTTTACGGAACTCCGGGACCCGTCAAACGCCGTGAACCCTACAATCCCACGTATGCGATGCGAGCCATGGAGAAGTGAGTTTTTCACGACGGTGTTTGGGTTACTGTAGCGAAAATTTGCGACATTTTGAGACCCAACATGCCTAGGGAGTACTGTAGGCTTTTTTTGGCGCCAAAATTGGTCCTGACACGAAAAAAGGCATGTTGGGTATCAAAATGACGCAAATTTTCGCGCGCCAAAATTCCTACAGTACCCCAAGGGATTACTGTAGTTTTTTAGCGCCGAAATTTGCGTCATTTTGACACCCAACATGCCTAGGGAGTACTGTAGATCGAATTTTGGCGCCAAAATTGGTCCTGGCACGAAAAAACTTTCTACAGTACTCCCTAGGGATTACTGTAGTTTTTTTTCGTGCTCTTTGGGTTACTGTGAATGCCAAAAATGCCTACAGTGATCATTTGGGGTACTGTAGGAGCATCATTTTGACACCAAACATGCCTAAGGCCTACAGTATCCTTTAAAAACGTGTCAGGACCAAATTTGGGGTCTACAGTACTCCCCAGGCATGTTGGGTATCAAAATGACGCAAATTTTCGCGCCAAAAATCTACAGTAACCCAAAATCCAGATTTACACGAGATGTTGGCGGCTATTCATTCCTCTACGCCGATATTTTCATGTCAGAAGCGGAATTTGAGAAAATGTTCGATTTGACACTCTACAATCAGGTATGTTCATTTAATAGTACTACTACAGTAACCCAAATTACTGTAGGTTCGCGAGAAATACAATTGTGACGGGGCGTTTCCGCGACTCTACGATAAAGTCAAACCGGAAATCGATGTGATTTCAATTGGACAAAGTTATGCATCGAAGAAGGAGGATTAAAAGGAGTACTGTATGTGCCTTTAAATTTTGATTACTGTATGAACCTTTAAATGTTTGGTTTTTGGAAAATTGCACAATTTATAGCTGAAACCGAAGAGTTTAACATGAGCAATGCATCAATTTTCAAAAATTTTCTTTCATTTCTTCCATTGCCAACTGAATCTCCAACATTTTCTGAAAATTTCTCGAAAATTTTTCAATTTTTTTCTAATATTTTTGACCTACCTTCTTCAATTCGTCTTTCATAATGTTTAAAAGACGTACTTTTTCTTGAAGCCTGAAAAAATTTAATTTTTTTTTTCAGCAAAACTTGAAAAATCCGAAATTTTGAGGGTAAATATGTGAAAATTGAGCAATTTTGAGCCCTGGAGCTTGGAAATCTGAAAATTTTGGAATTTTCAAACATTGCTCATGTTAAATTTGAAAAATCCGAAATTTTGTGGGTAAATATGTGAAAATTGAGCCCTGGAGCTTGAAAATCTGAAAATTTTGGAATTTTCAAGCATTGCTCATGTTAAACTTGAAAAATCCGAAATTTTGTGGGTAAATATGTGAAAATTGAGCCCTGGAGCTTGAAAATCTGAAAATTTTGGAATTTTCAAACATTGCTCATGTTAAACTTGAAAAATCCGAAATTTTGTGGGTAAATATGTGAAAATTGAGCCCTGGAGTTTGAAAATCTGAAAATTTTGGAATTTTCAAGCATTGCTCATGTTAAACTTGAAAAATCCGAAATTTTGTGTGTAAATTTGTGAAAATTGAGCAATTTTGAGCCCTGGAGCTTGGAAATCTGAAAATTTTGGAATTTTCAAGCATTGCTCATGTTAAAATTAAAAAATCCTTTAAAAATCTGATTTTTATGGTCTCCGGGTCAAAATTGAGCATTTTTCATGATTTTTGGCTCAAAATTCACAGAAAAATTGAAAAAAAAAAGAACTACTCACCATTTTTGGCCCTCTTTCAATTGATTGATTTGAATTATGATTCCAGTCATGTTTTTTCGCAATCTCTTATTTTCCAATCTCAATTGTGCTATGATGTTTTGATTATCCATTATTTCTGCAAAAAAATTTTGAAAAATCCGAAATTTTGTGGGTAAATTTGTGAAAATTAAGCAATTTTGAGCCCTGGAGCTTGAAAATCTGAAAATTTTCGGAATTTTCAAGCATTGCTCATGTTAAACTTGAAATTTGAGCCAGGGACCATTGAAATTTGGATTTTTCATGAAATTTGGGCTCTAAAAACACCCCACAAGCTTAATTTTCATGGAATTTTGGATTTTTATCATTTTTTTAAATTTTTCTGTGAATTTTGAGCCAAAAATCATGCAAAATTGCTCAATTTTCACAAATTCATCCACAAAATTTCGGATTTTTCAAGTTTAACATGAGCAATGCTTGAAAATTCCAAAATTTTCAGATTTTCAAGCTCCAAAGCTCAAAATTGCTCAATTTTGACCCAGACACCATAAAAATCAGATTTTTCAAGTTTAACATGAGCAATGCTTGAAAATTCCAAAATTTTCAGATTTTCAAGCTCCAAAGCTCAAAATTGCTCAATTTTCACAAATTTACCCACAAAATTTCGGATTTTTCAAGTTTAACATGAGCAATGCTTGAAAATTCCAAAATTTTCAGATTTTCCAGCTCCAAAGCTCAAAATTGCTCAATTTTCACAAATTTACCCACAAAATTTCGGATTTTTCGAGTTTAACATGAGCAATGCTTGAAAATTCTTTAAGGATAAGGTAAAATCATCAAAATTAATGAAAATGTCATAAAGAAAAACAAGAAAAATGAAATAATAATAACAAAGAAGATATGTATAATAGAAAAATTATCGATTTTTCATAGTGCGTCCCTTTTTTGGGGGCCGCGCATTCTTTCCCAAACAAAACATCAAAAGTTGTGTGATTTGGGAAGAAAAAAGGAGTACTGTATCTGTATGTGCCTTTAAATTGTTGTTGAATTACTGTAGATTCGCTTCGAGACCCCAAAAATCTTCGAAGGAGTACTGTATGTTCCTTTAAATCGTTAATTTAAGTGATTTTATTGTGAGATCCTTCAAAAATACGTATAATATGAGCAATGTTATTGATTTTCCTCTTCTTCGTCGACAAAAAGTCGAATTCCTTTGGTTTCCAAGAATTTCGTGATCAATGTTTGATCTACCATTGCTGACAATTGATCTGAGCCATCATCGCCTCGAGACCATCTGCAAATTTTGCAATGCGGCACGGTTTTAGGGGCGTGGCTTATTTTTCTCTTGGAAAAATGCTTGATTTTAAGCCTAAATATGCTGCGGCACGGTTTTAGGGGCGTGGCCTACGGTTTTTTGGTTGAAATTTTGAGTTTAACATGAGCAATGCCTCAAATTTCACCGGGAAAAATAGACCACGCCCACAAAACCGTGCCGCATCATATTTAGGCTCAAAATGAAGCATTTTTCCTGGGGAAAAATAAGCCACGCCCACAAAACCGTGCCGCATCATATTTAGGCTCAAAATGAAGCATTTTTCCTGGGGAAAAATAAGCCACGCCCACAAAACCGTGCCGCATCATATTTAGGCTCAAAATGAAGCATTTTTCCTAGAGAAAAATTAGGCCACGCCCACAAAACCGTGCCGCATCATATTTAGGCTCAAAATGAAGCATTTTTCCTAGAGAAAAATTAGGCCACGCCCACAAAACCGTGCCGCATCATATTTAGGCTCAAAATGAAGCATTTTTCCTGGGGAAAAATAAGCCACGCCCACAAAACCGTGCCGCATCATATTTAGGCTCAAAATGAAGCATTTTTCCTGGGGAAAAATAGACCACGCCCACAAAACCGTGCCGCATCATATTTAGGCTCAAAATGAAGCATTTTTCCTGGGGAAAAATAAGCCACGCCCACAAAACCGTGCCGCATCATATTTAGGCTCAAAATGAAGCATTTTTCCTGGGGAAAAATAGACCACGCCCACAAAACCGTGCCGCATCATATTTAGGCTCAAAATGAAGCATTTTTCCTGGGGAAAAATAAGCCACGCCCACAAAACCGTGCCGCATCATATTTAGGCTCAAAATGAAGCATTTTTCCTAGAGAAAAATTAGGCCACGCCCACAAAACCGTGCCGCGTCATATTTAGGCTCAAAATGACCGCAAAAACACCAACCTGATGACCCGATGATCCTTGAATTCCACAATTTGTGTTCTTAATGCGGCATCAGTCGAAACAATGAAATCATCGCGGGCCGAATTGAACAAATCCCAAAAATTCACCGCTTTTTTCGCCGGGTAATAGGTGCGGAAGAATAAAATGAACAATTTTTGCGAGTTTGCGGCGAGCGATTTCCAGAATACATCCAATGAGGTGACGGTATGACACGATTGCTTGAATTTCGCGTCGAGACCTGTGAAAATCGGGGTACTGTAGATGGTTTTGGCGCGAAAATTTGCCATTTTTTGACACCAAACAAGCCTACAGTAGGCAAAAATCGCTTCAAGACCCAAAATTTTAAATTTTGGTGAAAATTAAGGTTTAGGGTTCAATTCAGGATTTTCTTGTGAATTTTTAGAGGATTTTTAGGGTAATTTTAAGATTAAATTTAAGGTGTTTTTAAGGTCATTTTAAGAGAAAAATTCAGACTAATGTTTACCCTAAAATATAGGGTATTTTAGGGTATATTTTAAGATGATTTTAAGGGTTAAATTAAGACCTAATTTGGCCTAATTTTTACCTTAAAAATAATGTAATTTAAGGTCAAATTTGGGGTATTTTTAAGGTGATTTTTAGGGTAAAACCAATATTTTTAGGCCAAAATCTCACCCAAAATCCTCGAATTTCCATTAATTAACTCCTGTAGTGGCATTTCGAATGTATTTACAGTCAAATGCAAAAATTTCAGCGTCGACAATTGTCTGGAATTCCAGACGAAAGTTGAATAGACGTGATCGACAGTAGCGCATAATTTCACAGATTTCGGGTTGTGCAGTAGAGCGCAAATGGCCTCTTGTTCATTTCTGCAACAAAAATTTGAATCTGAATTTGAAATTTTCAACCATTGCTCATGTTAAACTTGAAAAATCCGAAATTTTGTTGATAAATTTGTGAAAATTGAGAAATTTTGAGCCATCGAGCTTGAAAATCTGAAAATTTTCGGAATTTTCAAGCATTGCTCATGTTAAACTTGAAAAATCCGAAATTTTGTGGGTAAATATGTGAAAATTGAACAATTTTGAGCCCTGGAGCTTGAAAATCTGAAAATTTCGGAATTTTCAAGCATTGCTCATGTTAAACTTGAAAAATCCTTTAAAAATCTGATTTTTATGGTCTCCATGTGAAAATTGAGCATTTTTCATGATTTTCGGCTCAAAATTCACAGAAAAATTGAAAAAAATGATAAAAATCTAAGATTCCATGAAAATTAGGCTTGTGGGGTGTTTTTAGAGCCCAAATTTCATGAAAAATCCAAATTTCAATGGTCCCTGGCTCGAATTTCAAGTTTAACATGAGCAATGCTTGAAAATTCCAAAATTTTCAGATTTTCAAGCTCCAGGGCTCAAAATTGCTCAATTTTCACATATTTACCCACAAAATTTCGGATTTTTCGAGTTTAACATGAGCAATGCTAGCTACAGTACCTCCAATCAGCCGCCTCAATATTATCAATCAATAAAATCAATTGTTGATCGGATTTCGAAATTTGCCGCGAAATTTGACGTGCCCAATCCACCGTAGACAATCCTTTTCCCTGCAAAAATCGAAAAATCGAAAAATACGGTAGATTTTGGCGCCAAAAAATCGACCTACCGTAATCCCGAGCTTCAAATTCGTGTTGATTTCGGCCAACATGATTTTCGGCGTCGATTCTTCGTGCGTCGCGTCGATTCGCATCCACGTGAATTTTGAGAGCTCAGAGTTGGCGAAACGAGTTAGCACATCTCGTTTTGAGCCGATCCCGTGAATCTGGAATGAAAATTTGGGGTACTGTAGTTTTGGGGCTAAAATTTAGAGTATTTTGAGACCAAATAAGCCCTTAACATGAGCAATGCTCAAAAAATACAGATTTCTGAGCAAAAATCGAATTTTAGGTCAAAATTTTCAGAACTTGAAGCTGGCGAGCTCAAATTCATCCATTTTTAGTTCAAAATTTCAAAATTTTCAAGTTTAACATGAGCAATTGTTAAAAATTCCAGATTTCCAAGCTCCAGGGCTCAAAATTGCTCATTTTTCTTGAATTTCAGCTCGATATCTTGAATTGTGCAGAATTAACATGAGCAATGCTCGAAATCATGGATTTCTATGATTTCTGAGCAAAAATCCAATTTCAGGTCAAAATTTTCAGATTTTCAAGCTCTCGAGCTCAAATTTATTTATTTTTGGTTCAAAATTTTCAAGATTAACATGAGCAATGCTCAAAAAATCCAAAAATTTCAGATTTTCAAGCTCCAGGGCTCAAATTTGCTCATTTTTCTTGAATTTTATCTCGAAATCTTGAAATTTGCAAAATTAACATGAGCAATGCTCAAAAATCGTAAATTTTCAGATTTCCAAGCTCCAGGGCTCAAATTTGCTCAATTTTCTTGAATTTCAGGTCAAAATCTGTCATTTCTCGAGTTTAACATGAGCAATGCTCAAAAAATCCATAAATTTCAGTTTTCGAAGCTCCTGGGCTCAAATTTGCTCATTTTTCCTGAATTTTAGCTCGAAATCTTGGATTCTGCAAACTTAACATGAGCAATGCTTAAAAATTCAGATTTTGAAGCTCCTGGGCTCAAAATTGCTAAATTTTCACGATTTTCAGCTCATTTTCAGCCCAAAATCGCTCACCAACAAATTAAATCCGGCAGCCAAATACAATGTCCATTTGCTCATACATTTCTCGTCCAAATCGTCCAAAAATCGTTCGGATTTCAGCGATTCGTTTTTGGATTGGATGAAATCGCGCAATTTCGCCAGATCACAATCCAGATTTATCGATTTTTCAGCGGGGGCCGCTGATTCATCGTGATTTTCATCGCTGAAATTGGGAAATTCGAAAAATTTGGGTTACTGTAGAATTTTTGGCGCGAAAAATGGAACATTTTGAGTATAAATAAGCTGAGGTACTGTAGATAGAAAATTGGCGGGAAAATTCAAAAAATTTCGGGTCTTGAAGCGATTTTTTCCTACTGTAGGCTTGTTTGACATCGAAAAAATTCAAATTTTTGCCCAAAACCATCTACAGTACTCCAAAAAATCGCTTCAAGACCCTGAAATTTTGAATTTTTGGTCTTGAAGCGATTTTTCCTACTGTAGGCTTATTTGATGTCAAAAAATGTCGAATTTTCGCGCGCAAAAAATCTACAGTACTCTAAGAATCGCTTCAAGACCCAAAAATTCAAATTTTCGCGCGCGAAAAATCTACAGTACTCTCAGAATCGCTTCAAGACCCAAAAATTCAAATTTTCCGGCAAAAAATCTACAGTACTCCAAACATCGCTTCAAGACCCGAAAATTCAAATTTTCGCGCAAAAATCGCTTCAAGACCCGAAAAATTCGAGCCTAGGCATATTTATATTCAAAATAACGCAATTTTCGCGCGCAAAAAATCTACAGTACTCAATTTTCGGCGCCAAATTTAAATTTCCCACTCACATCTCATCTCTCCTCCTCATTCTTCCCGTATTCATCCTCTCAGCCGCCGATTTTCCCTGCATAAAAAAACTCTCCAGCGCCGAATGTGCCAAATCGCCCGTCTCGTCCCTTTAAACAAAAAAATATTACTGTAGGCGAGTACTGTAGGCTCTACAGTAACCCACTGAAAAGCCTCGAATTTCTCGATTTTCTTCGGCGAACCGCCATTTTGAGTCGTGCTTGATTTCGCCAAGCGTTTCACCATTTTTGGCTGAAAATTTGTCTGAAATTCTGGATTTTAAGAGGTTTAGAAGAGAAAATTGATGGAATTCAACCGTTTTAGCGAAATTTTCGCTTTAAAAAGGCTAAATATCACATTTATAGTCAAAAAAATCAATAAATTATGTGTTTCTGGGGGAAAAATCGTGAAAAAATCAATATTTTTACTTCAAAAGCGACCATTTGAATTGCTTGTTGGCACTTTCGATGAACGACATTCCAACAGACGAGAAAGATTGGTCGGAGAAGGAGACTTCATCGGATTTCAAGGCGCATCGGCTCACAATTGATGGAGCATCGGTTTCGAGGATGATTCTGTAAGAAAATGCGCATTTTTTGAGTCTAAACAAGCCTGGAGTTAGGCTAAGTCTGAATTTGCGGTTTTTTGAATATAAATATGACTATGTTCCTTTAAATTTTCGAAAATACGGTGTTTTTGAGTCTAAATAAGGCCATGTTCCTTTAAATTTTCAAAAATACGGTATTTTTGAATATAAATATGACTATGTTCCTTTAAATTTTTGAAAAAGCGAGTTTTTTGAGTCTAAACAAGCCTGGAGTTAGGCTAAGTCTGAATCTGCGGTTTTTTGAATATAAATATGGTTATGTTCCTTTAAATTGGGTCTCGACACGAGATTACGGTATTTTTGAGCTAAAAGAAGGCTATGTTCCTTTAAACTTTCAAAAATACGGTATTTTTGAATATAAATATGGCTATGTTCCTTTAAATTATGAAAATACGGTATTCCCGTCATTTTGAGCCTAAATTCGGTCTCGACACGATGTTTTGAAGTACTGTAGATTTTTCCCGCCAAAAATCTACAGTACTCCGAAAATCTACCTGAATTTCGGCCCAAGACTCAAAAATTTCCAATTTTGGGTTTAAATAAGGCCATGTTCCTTTAAATTTTCAAAAATACGGTATTTCCGTCATTTTGAGCCTAAATTCGGTCTCGACACGAATTCTTGAAGTACTGTAGATTTTTGGCGGGAAAAATCGCCAAGAGACCCAAGAATTTTGGGTCTAGAAGCATTTTTTCGCGCCAAAAATCTACAGTACTCCAAAAGACCCAAAATATGCATGTTTGGTGTCAAAATTCCGCATTTTTCCTCCCCAACATCCCAAAACCCATCAAAAACCTACCCCTCATCACAAATCTCATCAATAATGAGCATTGCGGTGTCCATCGCATCAATCAAAGCCTTTTTCTCGACATTTTTGCGCAAAACCGTGGAAACCGAATCATACAAGCAAGTGAGAACACTCTCCAAAATCAGCTCATTTTCACGTGTGCTTCCCAAGACATAAAAATATAAGTCGACGTTGGTGCGATAAATACATGTTACTCCATCGAGCAACAAGATTTCGGCTGGAAAAATCGATAATTTCAGATTTTTTTGCGGAAAAAACTTACACGATGTGTTTCTGCTTGTTTTAGAGAACATATTCTTCTCAAAAGCTTTCTGCTCCTTCACCGATCCAAAATTTTGGTGGTCATAATACTTGGCAATGATTCGATTGCCATCCTGGTCCAAAATCACGATTCCTTTCACACTATACAACGAAGTCGGGTTCTAAATACATTATTTATAGCACATTAATCGAGTTTTGCTAACTTACCCCATCAAAATCGGTCATTTTCGACGTGAAACGCTGAAAAATCGATAAGTTGGCTGGAAAAAACAGAAAAATGGAAATGGGCGCGCTCGTAAATCGACACATACGCGTGGTTCGCGACGAGACCGATGGTCGAGTTTTGTTTGGTTTTCTCGGCCCTGTATTTTTATTTTTTTTCGTTTTTTTTTTGTTTTTCGGCCGAATTCGGGGAATTCGGGGGAAAATCGCGATTTTTCCAGATGGGAAAGAAGCAACATCAATCCGACAAGCTCTACCTAACACATTCTGAATGGAAAGCAATTGGAGGGCACAAAGATGACACCGGAACACGCCTGCAAAGAGCACAATTCAAAAGATTGCCAATAAATCATTGCTCATTGTCGCTGATCCCGTTTGAAGATCCAGTTTGCGCGAGATCTGGCGAAATCTTTGATCTATCGCATATTTTACCATATATCAAAAAATATGGGAAAAATCCATGTACTGGGAAACCTTTGGCTTCCAAGGATTTGGTTCATTTGAAATTTGACAAAGATGCCGAAGGCAAATTCAGATGTCCAGTGACTTTTCGGCAATTTACTGATTTTTCACATATTTTGGCGATTGCTACAACTGGAAATGTTTATTCATCAGAAGCGATTCAGGAATTGAATCTGAAACGGAATCATTTGAAGGATTTGCTCAACGATGTTCCGTTTTTACGCACTGATATTATCGATTTGCAAGATCCCAATAATTTGGAGAAATTTAATATGGAACAATTCCATCATGTCAAATTGGACCTCAAAACATCGGAAGAGTTGAAAAAAGAAAAAGAGGCGATGAAAAATCCGAGTTTTTTCATTCGAAAAATGAATAATGAGTGTAAAGAGGCGTTGGAGCAATTGAATAAGGAATATGTGCCGAAAATGAGGGAGGGAGAAGCGGATGAGACTGCGGATACGTTGAATGCAGCGCATTTTAGGTGAGATTTTGGGCTCGGGAGGGTTTTTTGGGCCGAAAATCGGAATTTTTGACGAAAATTGGACTTAGAAACATGTTTCTAGGCTGAAAAATCGATTTTTGGACCAAAATTAGGCCTAAAAGTCGATTTTCAAGCGGAAAATCGGAATTTCTGACCAAAATCAGGCCTAAAAGTTGATTTTCAAGCCGAAAATCAGTTTCTGGGCCAAAATTAGGCCTATAAGTCGATTTTCAATTGGAAAATCGGTTTCTGGGCCAAAATTAGGCCTAAAGAAGATTTCTGGACCAAAAAAACCCTGAAGTTGATTTCTGGACCAGAATTAAGCCTAAAACCTGGTTTTAGGCTGAAAAATCGATTTTTAGAGCAAAATTAGACTGGTTTTTTTGGCTACAGTGAGATTTTCACTTTGAGACCCAAAAAATCATGAAAAACTTCAATTTTTATGTAAAAATATTCAAAAATCACCCAAAATAAACCCAAATTCAATTTTTCAGTCAAGGAAAAGTCGCTCAAGGCTTCACCTCAACAATAATGGCACCCGTCACCAATAATAAGGCGGCTGTTTTGAACGATGATATTGTCAGATATAAACGGGTGCAGAAAAATGGATTTGTGCGAATTGTCACCAATTTTGGACCGCTGAATTTGGAATTGTGAGATTTTCGGGGTTTTTGGCGGGAAAATGAGCCGAAATTTGTGAAAAATGAGCAATTTTGAGCCCTGGAGCTTGAAAATCTGAAAATTTTGGAATTTTCAAGCATTGCTCATGTTAAACTTGAAAAATCCGAAATTTTGTGGGTAAATTTGTGAAAATTGAGCAATTTCGAACCCTGAAGCTTGAAAATCTGAAAATTTTGGAATTTTCGAGCATTGCTCATGTTAAAAATCCGAATTCCATCAAATTTGGAATCAAAACCCATGAAAATCCCAAATTTTCCCTATTCATAAAAAAAATGAAAATTTGAATTTTTCAACAAAACGGGAGAAGTTCAATGGAGCGCATTTGCTGTTTTTATTCAATTTTTGGCGAAAAATCGTGATTTTCATGCTCCTGGGCTCATTTTTCATGGTTTTTGGATCAAAATGGAGCATTTTGAGCATTGCTCATGTTAAAATTCCCCAATTTTCTTACAGATATTGTCAAAAAGTGCCGAAAACCTGCGAGAATTTCATCTCTCTCTGCTCGCGCGGCTACTACAACAATACAAAATTCCACCGGCTCATCAAAAATTTCATGCTCCAAGGCGGCGATCCGACGGGAACTGGACATGGTGGAGAATCCACGTGGCAGAAGCCATTCGAAGACGAATTTGTGTCGGGATTATCGCATGACGCGCGTGGTGTGCTTTCGATGGCAAATAAAGGGTCAAATACGAATGGCAGTCAATTGTGAGTGGTTTTAATGGAAAAATTGGAAAATTTTGAGCATTTTGAGCCCGAATATGGTCTTGACACGAAAACTTTGGGTTACTGTAGCGTAATTTTGACACCAAATCGCTTCGAGACCCAAAAAATCGCGAAATTTTGTGGGTCTCGAAGCGATTTGGGCTCAAAATGCTCCAAATTTCAAGGTACAGTAACCCGCAGCATGTGGGGTATCAAATGGACGCAAATTTTCGTGTCAAGACCATTTCCGGGCTCAAATTCCACGTGGCAACCACCTACAGTACCCCCGGAATTTTTGCAGTTTCCTCACATTTCGCCCCTGCAAATATTTGGATCGAAAACACACGATTTTCGGGCGATTAGTTGGTGGCCAAGAGACATTAACAGCAATTGAGAAGGTCGAAACGGAAGAGGGAACTGATGTGCCAAAAATGGTACGTTTTTTTGGGTCTCGACACGAAATTACGGTATTTTTGAGTCCAAATATGATTATGTTCCTTCAAATTTGGAGATTACGGTATTTTTGACTCTAAATATGACAATGTTCCTTTAAATTTGGGTCTCGAAACGAAAATACGGTATTTTTGCGTCCAAACATGACTATGTTCCTTTGAATTTGAAGATTACGGTATTTTTTACTCCAAACATGACTATGTTCCTTTAAATTTGAAGATTACGGTATTTTTGAATGTAAATATGACAATGTGCCTTTAAATTTTTGAAAATACGGTATTTTTGAAAAAAATATGAATATGTTCCTTTAAAATGGGTCTCGACACGAGATTACGGTATTTTTGAGTCCAAACATGACTATGTTCCTTTAAATTTGAAGATTACTGTATTTTTAGATTTTAAAAGGAACATAGTGTTATATATACCTTAAAAATACAGTAATCTTTAATTTTAAAGGAACATAGTCATATTTATATTCAAAAATACCGTATTTTCAACATTTAAAGGAAGTTAACATTATTTATATTCAAAAATACCGTAATCTCGTGTCGAGACCCAATTTAAAGGAACATGACGTGGCAATTTCAAAAAATTCCGAATTTTCAGCCAGTAATGTTCATGCGAGCCGAAGTTTTTGTCGATCCATTCGAAGAAGCGCAAAAAGAAGTCGACGCGGAACGAGCGGAACTCTTGCGGAAAAAGAAGGCCGCGGAACCTTGCGCGTCGGCGGAAAATGCCGCGCGCAAACCAGTGGCACAAGGAACCGGCGTCGGAAAATATATGAAAAGTGTGGCGGAAAAGCGGAAAGGTGCGGAAAAAGCGGCGAAATTCGAGGAAAATGTGCCGATTGAGAGGAAAAAAGTGAAAATTGTCAAAAGTGGTCTGGGCGATTTTTCAAAGTGGTGAACAATGAAGATTTTTGAATTAAAACTTGAATTTTGGGAGCGGGAAAGTTGAAAATTCAAATTTTTTTCAGTGATTTTTTGAAAAAAATTTGAATTTTTTCAGCTAGAAAACTTAGAAATTGACTTTTTGAGCAAAATATGGTCTTGCCACGATCTACAGTACCTCAAAAATCGTGCCGGGACCATTTCCGGGCTCAAAATGATCCAAATTCCACGTGGAAACCATCTACAGTACCCAAATTTCGCGCCAAATTCAAAAAAAAACTTCTCAATATAAATAAATACACATTTAGTAGCAGCAAAATCAGCCTGAAAGATAAAAGTTATACATAAAAATGAATTTAAAAAATAATATAAAGATAAAGCTGGGCGGATTACTGTAATTTTCAGCCAAAAAATCTGAAAATTCCAGATTTTCAGATAATAAATAAATAATTTAGGCTTTTAGTTCTCCACGCGACGCAACAGCTGCGCAGATTTCTCTTGTGATATCTTCTTTGGCTTCGATTTCGGCGGCGGTTTCTTGGGTTCGAAGTTCGGAGATCACCTGGAAGAATTGGGGAATTTTGAGGGTCTCGACACGAGATTACGGTATTTTTGAGTATAAATAAGGCTATGTTCCTTTAAGTTTGGAGATTACGGTATTTTTGAGTCCAAACATGACTATGTTCCTTTGAATTTGGAGATTACGGTATTTTTGAATGTAAATATGACTATGTTCCTTTAAATTATGAAAATACGGTATTTTTGAATGTAAATATGATTGTGTTCCTTTAAAATTGAAGCTTACTGTATTTTTAGATTTTTAAAGGAACATAACATTATTTTAACTCAAAAATATCGTAATCTCGTGTCGAGACCCAATTTAAAGGAACATAGCCATATTTATATTTAAAATAACCGTATTTTCACGATTTTCATGAATCTTGGCTCAAAATTCATCAATTTTCACGATTTTTGGGTTAAAAATATCGATTTTTCCCATTTTCACCCCAAAAACCCGCCTACCTGCTTAGTTTTTCCAAAATACACCTCATTCATCGTGTGTCGCATTTTCGACTCCTGATCCTCAATCATTTTTCCCATATTTGCCACGTGCGAATTTTGATCATTGACCGGAGCATCACATTCGAATTGTCTAGTCAGCGAACCGCCCAAATTCATCATTCCACTCGCGGATTTTGTAGTTTGGAGCCAGAGCATTATTGTGGATGTGAGTTTGTAGTGAGCTTGGCGAGCCTGCAAAAATTTGGAGCATTTTGGAGCAAAAATGAGCTCTGGAGCTCAATTTTAAGCCAAAAACCATGAAAAATGAGCTCTGGAGCTTGAAAATCACGATTTCTGACTAAAAACAGCAAATGCGCTCCATTGAACTTCTCCCGTTTTGTTGAAAAATTCAAATTTTCATTTTTTTTTTAATAAATTAGGAAAATTTTGGGATTTTCAGGATTTTTAGCATGAGTAATGCTTGAAAATATCGAATTTTCCAAATTTTCAAGCTCCAGGGCTCGAAAATTATTGATTTTGAGCCAAAAACCATGAAAAATGAGCTCTGGAGCTTGAAAATCACGATTTCTGACTAAAAATTGACAAATGCGCTCCATTGAACTTCTCCCGTTTTGTTGAAAAATTCAAATTTTCATTTTTTTTTCTGAAGATGAATTTTGCTGGATTTCAGCTTAAAACGTTGGATTTTGAACAATTTCGAGCTAAAAACCTCAAAAATTTTCAAAAATTCCAGACTGAAACAAGAAAAAGCTTAAAATTTGGCTGAAAATCCAGAAAAACTTGAAAATTGCATGTTTTTCTGTAGTCTACATCGAAGACGTATTGAAAACAATATTTGAAAATTAATTATACAAAAATCTTGAAACGTATTTTTTGCTGGCTCAAAAAATTGATCAAAAATCAAGATTTTCAGCACATTTTTGACTAATTTTAGAGCTCAAAATCATAAAAATTGCTCGAAAATGAACAATTTTCATCCATTTCTGATCATTTTTCATGGTTTTCGAATCAAAATTGATCAAAAATCAAGATTTTCAGCATATTTTTGACCCAAAACTCACTCTTTCAGTGATCTCAACAACATGAATCGAATCCCAACATCCATCAATATTCTTTTGTCCATCACCCTCCTTCTTAATCAAAACAACACCAGCAAAACCGCCATCCAAATCCCAAAAATACACCGACGACACTCCGCCCTCGAAATACAAATCACGATAACATTCGAAAGCCGCATTCGCGTCGATTTCCATTTGACGACGTTTTTCGGATGGTAGTTGACCGTCTTCCAATGGTGGATCATAGGTGTTACTCCATGGTGACCTGAAATTAAATTTGCGTCATTTTGAGATCAAATTTGGGTATTTTTGGGTGAAAATTACAGTTTTTTGAGGGTTTTTGGATCATTTTGAGCTCAAAAAGGATGTTTTTCTGATGTAAATGATGATTTTCAAGGTAAATTTGAATTTGCCTCATTTTGAGACCAAAAATCATTGATTTTCAGTGAAAATTACGTTTTTTGGATCATTTTGATACCAAAAAGGGTGTTTTTCTCATGAAAATGAAGTTTGATAATGTTTAGGCTGAATTTAACCACTTTCAGACCATTTCGATACTGAAAATTGCTAATTTCAGCTGAAAATATAAAATTTCAACAAAATTTAACAATTTTAACTGATTTTCCATGTGTAATTCCTTGAAAAACGTGAAAAATCCGATTTTTCATCATTTCTTGAGCAAATATGCTTTTCAAAATGGCCGGAAATCGAAAATTTGGGATTTTTGGAAGGAAATTTGGATTTTCAAAGGTTTTTGGGACATTTTGACACCAAAAATTGATAATTTTAGCTGAAAATATGAAATTTCAACAAAATTTAACGTGTAATTCCTTGAAAACGTGAAAAATCCGAATATTTCATCATTTCTTGATCAATTTGCTTCTCAAAATGGCCGGAAATCGAAATTTTTGTGAGTTTTCAGGAAAATCCAGTGAATTTCACAAGCTGCTAGCAAAAATTCACCGATAACTATCGCCATCTCGATTATAATCGCACAACAAGTATTGTTTGCCAGTTTCGCGATCCGCCGCAATTTTCAAAGGTTGATCAATGGTGCCAAGCAAGTCATCCACCAAATGCGGGCACAAATCGATGAGATCTGTCAGGTTTTTGTCGCAATGTTGTGGTGGAAGTCGACGCATCAAATCCAACGCGCAATCCAATTGTTGCTCACCCTAAAAACCCGCAAAATATGGAGAATTTGTTAGTTTTAACACTCACCATCTTTTTCCTCGTCAAAAATTATGCTAGAACCGATGAATCAGCGAAAAAAGTGGAAAAAGGGGAGACAAACAGAAAAAAGAAAAGAAAAAATCGATTTGCTACCGTAGTGCGTTCCGTCAGGCCGGGTTGTTCGTCGCGAGACCCGATAAACAAAGAGAAGTTGGCTCGTTGCCAGTTTCTTTTTATTTTTTCGAATTTTTTGAATTTCCCCGTTTTTCCCCGTTTCCACGTGGATTTTGAGGTTTCAGGTCGTCAAAATTGGCGCGCGACACAGCAAACGTGACAAAGTAAGATCTAAAGTGAGTGGGACATGCGGGAAACGGGGATTTTCGGGGGAAAATCATGGAATACTGGGTTTTGCAGAGAAGCGCAGCAAGAACTCGCGAAAAGACTATGAAAAGATCGTCTTCGATGCGCGAAGAAGAGGATACAACGAATGTGCAACAAAATTTGAGTCAAAGAACGGTGAGCTCGGATTTTCCATGATTTTTGACGAATTTTTGCAATTTCGGCAAGATGAAAGGCATATAATGTGTAAAAATGAAGATTTTTTGATTGAAAATCTGCAAAAAAATCCAATTTCTTGGACAAATCAACGATTTCAAAGCAAAAACCAAAGTTTGTCGCACAAAAACAAAACAAAAAGTGTCGTTTTCTCTGCGTCTCTTCACAACCAGCTGTTGTTAGAGAGATAGGGCACAGCGCTCGGCAGCAAATTTTTCTCATTTTCAATCACTTTTCCATCTCCCCCCGCACCTTTTCCCTATTTTTCCCTAAAAAACCAAAAAAAATTCAAATTTCCCGCAGAACAAGCCGCCTCCCTCGAAACGATCGGTTGATTTGGGTCTCGAAGCGATGAATATGAATGGTACGGTAGATTTTGGCGCCAATTTCGAATTTTTGAATTTTGCAGGAAATCATGAGACGGAGAAGTGCCACGTGGAGAAGATGAGCGATGCGGACGCGGAACGCGTCGCGGTTTTGGATTTTGGCGCGCAATATGGGAAGGTGAGGCGAAAATTCCACGTTTTTTGACACCAAACATCCCCTACAGTACTCTCAAGGGGTACTGTAACTACTGTATTTAAAGGAACATTCCTCAAATGCTCTTTCTACAGTATTCCAAAGTTTAAAAGAACATGAGAATTTTCAAGCTACAGTAAGCTTCTCGAAATTTTAAAGGAACATGCTCCTAAATGTTAGGAGAACCTACAGTATTTCAAAGGAACATGATGAAAGCAGCGTACAGTAATCCTTAAAGGAACATAGCCCAAATTCACTACCTACAGTACCCCTCATCTTAAAGGAACATCCCCATTTTGCAGGTCATCGATCGACGTGTCCGCGAGCTCCGCGTGCTCTCCGAAATGTTCCCACTCAACACCACCGCCAAACAATTGAAGGAACTCGGCGGATTCAAGTACAGTACCCCCCTACAGTACCCCTGACCTACAGTACCCCCCATTTTTTTTTTTGCAGAGCCATCATCATTTCGGGCGGTCCGGCAAGTGTCTACGCGGCCGACGCGCCACAAATCGATCCCGAAATTTTCACGTGCGGTTTGCCGGTTTTCGGCATTTGCTATGGATTTCAGGTACAGTAATCTTCTTGTCAGGGGTACTGTAGCGGCGAAAAATTTGCGATTTTTTGAATAAAAATTTGGGGTACTGTAGATTTTGGCACGAAAAATTGAGCTACAGTAACCCGAATCCAGTCAGGACCCATAGCTTGTGAGGTGTCAAAATAACCGTAATTTCTAGTACGGGGTGACACATAATTATTTGTGCATCAAAAATTCCATATATCTCTGTTCAAAAACAACTAATGATCTTAGATGTTTTTTTTATTTTTTTCCAAACAGTACTAGTTTAAAGTTTTTCATTCGATTAGTGATACATTTTTCATGTTTTTTGAATATGCACTTCGATTTGAGTTAGATCAGGTTGCGCTCTGTACGCACGGTTGAGCAGATGTTCATTGAATTTTACATTGTATCAAAGTATCCGAGAAACTATTATTGCGTGGATTTTATTCATATATGGTTAGGAAACACCCAAAAAAATTTTTGGCTCCTGACATCACGTACAACAGTAATGAGCCCATGTAATGAATTTGCACAAAAAACAAGAAAAAAGTCCAATTTTCACATTTTCCTGATAATCAAAGTATCAAATCGTTTTACAAATGACTTCGATTTTCTAAAAACACAAAAACATATCAGAGATACGTTTCTAGTTTGATTTATAACCATTCTCGGTCAAACATATACATTCAGAGCCGAAATATGGTTCTAAAAGCTGATTTTTGAGGTGTTTTGGATTTCCTTACTGCATAGTACCAAAAATTATTTTAACAACAAGTCTGTAACTGTAAAAAGACTAAATTTGATATCAGAAATAATATTTGAGCGCTCAACTATGAATATGACAACAGATACAATCAGGCTTTTCAGTGAAATTCAGAATTTATCGAAATTGTGCAAACTGCGTACATGAGGTTTTTCAATGTTTCTTCAGTCGACCTAAATTCAAATAAAATTGGTGAAAACTCTCTAAAACTTTTCTGGTGTAGTTTTTATTATATTTTTCAAATTTTCCAACGTGGAAGTCACGTTTTCCACGCTTTAAACCAAGTTTATAGAGCGAAACATGATTTTTGGGGATTTTTCGTAGATTTTCAACATCCGCATAAGATCTGGGAATAATGAATGATGATCAACTTTCATTCAGTGAATTTTATACATTTTTATACACTGAAAAACATCAAAAAATAATATCACATCTATAAATAACAATATCGTTATAAAATACTGATACAAAAACTAGAGGTTTGTAAAAAAGGCAATATCCGAAAAAAAATCACCCTGTAGATCAAGATTTCGGCGAGAAAAATTGAACTACAGTAACCCAAATCCACTCAAGACCCATTGAATTTGGTTTCAAAATTACCGTAATTTCTAGTAGATCAAATTTTGGCGCTAGAAATGAAGCTACAGTAACCCAAGACCCATCATGTGGGGTTTCAAAAAAACCGTAATCATCTGTAGATCAAGATTTTGGCGCGAAAATTTAACCTACAGTAACCCAAGACCCGTCATGTGAGATTTCAAAATTACAGTAATTTCTAGTAGATCAAATTTTGGCGCTAGAAATGAAGCTACAGTAACCCAAGACCCATCATGTGGGGTTTCAAAATAACCGTAATCATCTGTAGATCAAAATCAACTATATTTTGCCGCCAAAAAACCTACAGTACCCCCCACATTTCCACCCAAGATCCATTGAATAAGGCCCAATTTTTGCAGCTTCTCAACAAATTCGCCGGCGGTCGTGTTTCGCGCGAGCAAATTCGCGAAGACGGTGCCACAAAAATCGCCATCAACAAACACGTGGCACTCTTCGAAGGCCTGTCGGATTGCGAACAAGTTCTGCTAACTCACGGCGATTCGGTGGGCGAGGCAAATGTTGCGCCGAATTTCGAGATCATCGCCAAAAGTGGGCAACATGTGGCTGGAATTGCGGATGAGAAGAGGAAATTGTACGGTGTGCAATTTCATCCCGAAGTCGATTTGACTATTAATGGCGGAAAAATGTTTGAGAACTTTTTGTATAAGGTTGGTGAGGTTTTTGGGGTGAAAAATGCTCGAAAATGAGCCCTGCAGCTTGAAAATGCTCATTTTTGAGCTAAAAATTAAGAAAAATGACCCATAGACCTTGAAAATCACGATTTTTGACTAAAAATAGCAAATGCGCTCCATTGAACTCTTTGCTTTTTGTTGAAAAATTCGAATTTTCAATTTTTTTTCTTTCTCATGATGAATTGAGCCATTTTTCACTGAAAATTTGGAATTTTCAGTCGAATTTCGGGAAAAAAAATTACCCGAAAAAAATACGTTTCAAAATTTTTGTGTAATAAATTTTCAAATATTTTTCTTTGATTGGAGGTTGTTGGGCTCCAAAAAATGAAAAAATTTTTTGAAAATCGAAAAAATGATTTATTGCTCATGTTAAATTCCCAGAAATTCCAAAATTTCAACAAAATCTCAAAAATCATCATAAGAAAAAAAAATTGAAAATTTGAATTTTTCAACGAAACGGTGAGAGTTCAATGGAGCGCATTTGCTATGTTTAGCCAAAAAATCGTGATTTTCAAGCTCCGGGGCTCATTTTTCATGATTTTTGCTCCAAAAGGACCATTTTCGAGCTCCAGGATCCATTTTGCTTAATTTTCAACTCAAAATCATATTTTAGCCCAAAATTCAACATAAGAAAAAAATTGAAATTTTGAATTTTTCAACAAAACGGTGAAAGTTCAATGGAGCGCATTTGCTGTTTTTAGTCAAAAATCGTGATTTTCAAGCTCCGCGGCTCATTTTTCATGATTTTTGGCTTAAAATTCATCAAAATTTTCATTTTTTGGCTCAAAAAATCGCAATTTTCTTCCAGATCGCCGGATGTCAAGGCAAATACACAATGAAATCTCGTGAACAATCTTGCATCGATGAAATTCTCCAAACAGTTGGCGATAAAAAAGTGTTGGTAATGGTGTCTGGCGGAGTCGATTCGACAGTTTGTGCAGCACTTTTGAATAAAGCACTAGGAGCTGAAAGAGTTACAGCAATTCATATTGATAATGGATTTATGAGATGGAAAGAGTCGGATGCGGTGGAGAAATCGCTGGCCGATGTGAATTTGCCAGTTTTGAGATATAATTTTGGATCGACTTTTAGGTGAGGTTTTTCAGGGGAAAAATGAGCCAGAGAGCTTGAAAAATGCTCAATTTTGAGCTGAAAATCGTAATTTTCATGAAAAATGAGCCCTGGACCTTGAAAACCACGATTTTTGCTTAAAAATAGCAAATGCGCTCCATTGAACTTTCCACTTTTTTGTTGAAAAATTCAAATTTTCATTTTTTTTTTCAGCTAAAAATTGAATTTTGTTCTGGGAATTCGAAAATTTTCTAATTTTCTGTAACATGAGCAATGGTTTTGATCAAAAAATTTCATTTTTTTCAATTTTGCATAGAATTTCTGAATTTCCAAGTTCCTGGGCTCAAAAATTCTCAAATTTTCAGTCAAAACTTGAAAATTTGTCTGAAAATTTGCTTTTTTTCAAGCTCCAGGGCTCATTTCAGCTCAAATTGCCCATAACATGAGCAATGTCAAATTTCAGGTCTCAAAAATAAAGAGCGTTGCTCATAATTAGGAATTTTAGCTGAAATTCCAAAATTTCAACCTAGAAATCTATTTTCAGCCAAAGAAAAAAAATTGAAAATTTGAATTTTTCAACAAAACGGGAGAAGTTCAATGGAGCGCATTTGCTATTTTTAGTCAATTTTTGGCCAAAAATCGCGATTTTCAAGCTCCGGGGCTCAATTTTCTTGATTTTTGAGCTCCAGAGCTCAGTTTTGGCTCAAAAATCCCAATTTTTTCAGAACCTCAACCGAAAAAGGCCTGGAAAACGAGAAAACCCTGGATTGTGCAGTCGAACCGGAGCTCAAAAGAAGAATCATCGGAAACACGTTCATACGTGTCAAAGATATTGTAATGAAAAAATTGAATTTGAAACAGGAGGACTATTTTCTGGCGCAAGGAACGCTGCGACCGGATTTGATCGAATCCGCAAGCTTATTGGCTTCCGGACACGCGGACACTATTAAAACGCATCATAATGATACGGAATTGGTTAGAGAGTTGAGAAAAGCTGGAAGAGTTATTGAACCGTTGAAAGGTGAGCTTTTTTGGGCTGAAAATTTGAAAATATCACAAAAAATGATGAATTTTGATACCGAATATGCTTATTTTCGGCCGATTTTGTTAATATGAGCAATTCTTCAGAAAATCCACGTATTTTGACACTAAAAATGGCTATTTTTGGCCAATTTTGTTAATATGAGCAATTCTTCAGAAAATCCACGTATTTTGACACTAAAAATGGCTATTTTTGGCCAATTTTGTTAATATGAGCAATGCTCTAAAAGTTTGCGTTTTTTAAGCCCAAAAATCATTAATTTTTGGGTGTTGAGACGATTTTCTTACTGTAAGACTCAAAATTATCGATTTTTCACTAATTTTTGCGTCTTGAGACGATTTTCTTACTGTAGGACTCAAAATTATCGATTTTCACTCAAAAAATCACTAATTTTTGGGTCTTGAGACGATTTTCCTACTGTAGGATTATTTGGAATGAAAATAACGCATTTTTGGGGCTTAAAGACACACAATCCACTAGAAATGAACAGAAAATGAGTTTGTTATTCTTTCATAACACCTTTCAAGTAATCGGAATTCATAAAAATCAAGAAAAAATTTTGAGTCTGGCAAAAGTGAAAAAATAAAATAATTGTTTTTGAAATCGCTCAGCCGACGGAAATTTGGAAAGTGTGTGCACACAGTGTGTCGCTAGAGCGCACATGCTGGTTTTGTCGTTTGAAAATAAATGCGGGAAATCTGTTTTTTCCAGTGGCTGATGTGTCTTTAAAAGCCTACAGTACCCTAGGGCCTAAGCTTAGGCTTGTTTAGATTCAAAATAACGTATTTTTAGCGCCAAAACCATCTACAGTACCTTTTTAAGGTGAAACATAACGCAAAATTATCGATTTGCAGATTTCCACAAAGACGAAGTTCGTGAATTGGGCAAAGATCTGGGCCTTCCCGAACATTTGGTCCAACGACATCCATTCCCCGGCCCGGGCCTCGCAATTCGCATTTTGTGCGCCGAAAACGAATATAGATGTCAGGATTTCGAGGAGACGCAGAGACATTTGGCCACAATTTGTAATGTCAAATATGATGCGAGACCCGAATCGAGACAAGTTGTCAATTATGTCAAACAATTGTTGACGGAAGATGAGAAGAGGATTATTGATCGAGATCAGGTTGGATTTTTGAGCCCTAGAGCTTGAAAAATGCTCTTTTTTAAGCTGAAAATCATTGAAAATGATGAATTTTGAGCCCTGGACCTTGAAAAATGGTCAAAAATAGTTTTTTCGAGCGAAAAATCATGAAAAATAACCCCTGGGCCAAGAAAATCCCGATTTTGAGCCAAAAATTGACTAAAAAAAGAAAATGCGCTCCACTGAACTTTCCATTTTTTGTTGAAAAATTCAAATTTTCAATTTTTTTTGAAATTTTAAATTTTGGATCAAAAATTGGATTTTGAGCTTGAAATTGAGCAAAATGGGCCCCGGGAGCATGAAAATGCTCATTTTTGAGCAAAAAATCATGAAAATTGAGCCCAGGAGCTGAAAAATCACGATTTTTGATTAAAAAAAAGCAAATGCGCCCCATTGAACTCTCACCGTTTTGTTGAAAAATTCAAATTTTTAGTTTTTTTTTTGGCCCAAATATGATTTTGAGCTCAAAAATCGAGAAATTTCAGATTTTCAGCTGAAAATTCCTTATGACATGAGAAAAAAATTGAAAATTTGAATTTTTCAACAAAACGGGAGAAGTTCAATGGGGCACATTTGCTATTTTTAGTCGGAAATCGTGATTTTCAAGCTCCAGAGCTCATTTTTTATGATTTTTGGCTCAAAATTGAGCTCCAGAGCTGATTTTTGCTCGAAAAAACCCCAAATTTTCAGCCAAAAATCAATATTTTTTCCAGCACGAAATAATTGCAACAACTCTCCTTCCGATAAAAACCGTCGGTGTTCAAGGTGATTCGCGAAGTTATTCATATGTTGCCGCACTTTCGACAGATCAAAGACCAATTCCATGGAAATCGCTTTTCATCTATGCGCAATTGATTCCAAAAATATTGCATAATATTAATCGGTAGGTTTTGGGTGAAAATGGGTGAAAATCTGAAAATTTTGAGCAAAAAATCATAATTTTTGACCAATTTTGAGCTATAAATCATAAAAAATGAGCCCTGGAGCTTGAAAATCACGATTTCTGACCAAAAATAGCAAATGCGCTCTATTGAACTTCTCCCGTTTTTTTGAAAAATTCAAATTTTTATTTTTTTTCCAAATTTTTTGTGGATCAGATTTGACATTGCTCATGTTAAATTTTCAAAAAATTGAAAATTATCGATTTTTTCCATGTTTAGAAAGTCCACAAACTAATATGAGCAATGCTCTGAAACAAAAGCCACGTGGCAAAATTTCGGGGATTTTTTTTATAACATGAGCAATGCTTCAAAGGTGAAAAAATCATTGCTCATGTTAGAACCTTAAAAAATTGAAAATTTGAATTTTTCAACAAAACGGTGAAAGTTCAATGAAGCGCATTTGCTATTTTTACTCAATTTTTCGCTAAAAACATGATTTTCAGCTGAAATTTTCAGATTTTCATTAAATTTTGTATCAAAATGCTCCAAATTTTCCAGAATCGCCTATGTTTTTGGTCCGGCCGTTCATATGCCTGTGGAAAATGTGACCCGAACCCATTTGGTCCCACCAACCATCGAAAAACTTCAAATCGCCGACAAAGCCGCCACAGATGTGTTGTTCGGACGAGTTCGAGCCGACAATTTTGTGAAATTGCCCGATTTGGGACACAAAGTTCAGCAGGTAGAGGATTTTTTCGAAAATTTGATGAAAAATGCGAGATTTTGAGCTGAAAATCATGAAAATCTGAAAATTTTAACCCAGAAATCGAAAATTTGCGTTAAAAAATAGGCATTGCTCAGGTTAAAAATAATTTTAGGATTTATAACATGAGCAATGTTTTAAAAATCAGAAAATTCAAAAATTTGCCATTTTTGATGAAAAAATCCACATTTTTAAGCTGAAAATCAAGAAAATCTGAAAATTTTGATCCAAAAATCGAATTTTTCCAGAAAATTTGAAAAAATTTCCGTTAAAAATAGGCATTGCTCATGTTAAAGAAATATATATTTGAATTTTGGCCTAAAAATTATAGAAAAATTTAAATTTGGTTTTAACATGAGCAATGTTGCCAAAAATAGCTCTTGGAACCATTTTTAGCCCAAAAAATCACATTTTTCATCAAATTTGGCTCAAAATTCATCATTTTCAGCCAAATTTTCACTATTTTCAGTCAAAACCCTCTTTTTTTTTGCAGATGCCAGTCGTAATGATTCCAGTGGATTTCGATCGCGACCCGAATACCCAAAGAAATTCCTACAAACACTCGTTCGTCCTAAGACCATTCATCACTTCGGATTTTATGACTGGAATTGCAGCTGAGCCAGGAAAACACATTCCAGAACAGGTAATTTTTGGGATTTTCACGTTTTTTTAGCCAAAAATCATTGAAAATGAGCAAAAATGAGCCCCGGAGCTTGAAAAACACGATTTTTTGACTGAAAATAGCAAATGCGCTCCATTTCAAATTTTTATTTTTTTTCTTGTGATGAATTTTAAGCAAAATTTGTGAAAATCTGAAATTTTCAGCTATAAAAAGAATTTCAGCATGAAATTTTTTAAAAATTTGAATTTTCCGTAACATGAGCAATGGTTTTGATCAAAAAATTTCATTTTTTTTCAATTTTGCATGGAATTTCTGAATTTCCAAGTTCCTGGGCTCAAAAATTTCAAACTTTCAGTCAAAACTCGAAAATTCGTCTGAAAATTTGTTTTTTTCAAGCTCCAGGGCTCATTTCAGCTCAAATTGCCTTTAACATGAGCAATAACAAATTTCTGGTCCCAAAAATAAGGAGCATTCCAAAATTTCAACCTAGAAATCTATTTTCAGCCAAAAAATTTAATAATAAGAAAAAAAAATTGAAAAATTTGAATTTTTCAACAAAACGGTGAAAGTTCAATGGAGCGCATTTGCTATTTTTAGTCAAAAATCGTCATTTTCAAGCCCCGGGGCTCATTTTTCATGATTTTTGGCTCAAAATTGAGCTCCAGAGCTCATTTTTGCCGAAATTTTCAGCCAAAACCCCGATTTTCAGACAATTCTCGAAATGGATTATGCGATTCGCTCAAGAGTTATCGGAACATCTCGTGTACTTTTGGATTTGACGAGTAAACCACCAGGAACCACAGAATGGGAATAATAATCTTGAATTTTTTAATTATCATAATTAAAATTAGGCCACGCCCCCTTTTTTTCTCTCAATCTCTTCTTTCTTAATAATTGTTTCTTCTTTTAGAACTGGTAGAAAATCCCTGTTTTTTTTTAATTTTTTAATTCATCTTAGCCCATTTTCAGGCGAAAACTTTCGGGTTTTTCTTTTTTTCGACGAAAAAAATCTTAATTTTTTATTGTTCTTTTTTTTGTTTTTGTGAAAAAAAATCATTTTGTTGTGAAATTTTGGTGGATTTTAATAGAAAAATCAAGAATTCTCGATTTTTTGAGCCCAAATTCGAAAAATGAGAAATTTTGCGTGTTTCTCTGCACTCTCTTATCTCTCGCTTATCAATTTTTCTATCGATTTTTCTTGTTTTTGAGAGGAATCATGGAAAATCTGGCGGTTGTTTTGAAACAAAGACCTGGTGAGTGATTTCTTTTGGAAAATTTTAAATTTCAGCCAAATTCTGATTTTCAGCAGGAAATTTGGAGAATTTTGAGCCCAAACTCTAAAAAAATCTGAAAATTTTCAGATTTTCAGCTAAAATTCATGTTTGGGCTCAAAATTCTTCAAATTTTCTGAAAATTAAGGTTCCAGGTTCGAAAAATCATGAAAATTTCAGATATTCAGCCAAAACCTAGGTGAAAATTTGAATTTTTCGTCAAATTTGGAGAATTTTGAGACCAAACTTCGAGAAAATCTGATAATTTCAGATTTTTTCAAATTTAGGCTCAAAATTCTTCAAATTTTCTGAAAATTAGGGTTCCAGGTTCGAAAAATCATGAAAATTTCAGATTTTCAGCCAAAACCTAGCTGAAAATTTGAATTTTTCATCAAATTTGGAGAATTTTGAGCCCAAACTCGAAAAAAATCTGAAAATTTTCAGATTTTCATCATTTTTGGGCTCAAAATGCTCCGAATATCATGAAAAATTCGAATTTTTCAAAAAAAAATTCCAGTTTTTTTTCAGGCGAAAATTCTCCACCAACTTTGCAATGTTTTGACGTGGTTTCCACGTCGAAACCCGAAAAAAATCACCGAAAATCAATGTATTGTGAGAAGTTTGTATTTATCAGTGGATCCGGCTCAGGTAGGTGTTTTTAAGGTGGAAAATTTGAAAATTTTGAGCGAATTGCTCATGTTAGCCTAAATTTTAGTGAAAAATTCAAGAAATTGGAGAATTTTGAGCCCAAAAACACAAATTTCCACCTGAAAATTAATTTTTGGCTGAAAAAGTTCAGATTTTCAGCTAAAAATTGCATGTTTAGACTCAAAAAACTCGAAATTTTCTGAAAAATCTGAAATTTCCCGCCAAAATCTGCAAGCTCCGCCCATTTTTGCAGCGTTGCCGCATGAATATCTCAACAGGCTGTGATTATCTACCCGAATATCAATTAAATGGTCAAATCGACGGTTTGGAAGGAGTGGGCGTGGTCGAAAAAGTGGGCGTGGCCTCGGAATGCAATTTTGCGGCAGGCGATTTGGTGGTGCTCAATGAAAATTCGAAAAATCCCGGAAATTTTTGGCCGTGGGCCAAATATTTTGTAAAAGATTTGGAGGATTTGAAAAAGGTATTTTTTTGGCTGAAAATCTGAAATTTTCAGCGCAAAATTTGATTTCAGGTCGATTTTCTGGCTCCCGGAGCATCCGCCTCACTTGTTTTGAGCTACTTTGGTCTGAGCTCGGGAATCACGGCGATTTGTGGAGTCTGGAATAAGGTGGGGCTGAAAATCTGAAATTTTCATGATTTTTTAAGCCTGGAATCCTTAATTTCCAGAAAATTTGAAGAATTTTGAGTCCAAACATGAATTTTAGCTGAAAATCTGAAATTTTCAGATTTTCATCAAGTTTGGGCTCAAAATTCTCCAAATTTGATGAAAAATCCAAGTTTTCAGCCTGGAATCGATTTTCAGCTAGGTTTTAGCTGAAAATTTGAAATTTTCTGAAATTTTCAAGCCTGGAATTGATTTTCAGCTCAAATTTGCGATTTTTTGAGACCAAACATGAATTTTAGCTGAAAATCTGAAATTTTCAGATTTTCATCAGGTTTGGGCTCAAAATTCTCCAAATTTGATGGAAAATTCAAATTTTCAGCCTGCAATTGAATTTTGGCTTAAAATTCGGGATTTTCAGCTCTGGAAAGTGAAAAATTTTCAATTTTCATCAAGTTCGGGTTCAAAATGCTCCAAATTTTATGAAAAATCCAAATTTTCAGCCCTGGGAACTGAAATTTTCAGATTTTCATCAAGTTCGGGCTCAAAATGCTCCGAATTTCCCCATTTCCAGGCCCAAATCTCCTCGCAAATCCCACAAACTTTGGTAATTTCGGGAGCCGCCGGAAGTTGTGGAACTCTAGTCCACTGGTCCTGGGAGGTTGACCAAAAATTGACCAAATTTTGGCCAAAAACGAAAATTGGTCGAATTTTGACCAAAAATTGATCAAAAATATTTATTGGCCAAAATATTGTCAGAAATTGGCCAAAAAAATTGGTCGAAATTTGGCCAAAAATCAGTGAAAATTTTAATTGTGAAAAATTTCGAAAATCTTAATGTTGTTGGGCAGACATGTCGTTTTGCGGCTTTTGGTGAAGTTAGGTTGATGAATTTCGTTGTTTTTCTACTGATGAATCAATAAATAGGAGTAAAATACTTCGTTTGGTGAATTTTGGCGCCACTCACACCAATTTCACCATTGACGCAAATTTCAGCCCCAAATCTTCAACTAAAATCAGTTTTGACTTATCTTTGAAGCTATTTTTACCAAGCAGAGACCTATCTCGAATCTATCAGTTGTATTGATCGATCCCCGATTTATCAAGAACAAGGGCTCAGAGAAATCAGAAGTATTGGGTTCAGGGGCAATAATTTCCATTATTTTTTTGAAAGAATATTGTTGTGATAGCCATCAGCTTCGAAAGAAATAACACCAGTGTTCCAAAAATCGTGCATTTTTTCCCAAAAAAACGTGAACTCAAAAACTTCCACGCATGGAGATGATTTTTATATCATTTTACTCAGCGTGAAATTCTGAATCGAATGGTGCAAACTATTTATCACCAAACACTACTAATTGGTGCGCGAAAACAATAGATTAAAGGCGCACATATTTATGCAATGTGGTCCTGCAGCGAAATGTGTGTGCGTACTTCTCTCGGACGAAATGCACGCCACCAAATTTTTTCTTTTTTTTTCGTTTTTTTGTGTGTTGCCCTACTTATAGAGAAATTGATTGTTCACGACTGCTAATAAGATATAAAGCTTGTTCCCCGACTAGGATCTACCAGCAAAAGTTTTACCAGAACTTTGAAATTCACATATTAAACTTGAATTTAGGCCAAAAAAACAAAAAATTGGTTTTCTTTGAGTTTTAGATTTTTTTATCAGAACGGGGCTGTTTCTCAATTTGACAAGTTTCCAGCAACATTTGCATGAGTTTCTATGTTACAATCAGAAGTGTCTCAACAGCCGGTAGATGGCCGTCGGGGTTTTAAAAATCTGATTCTTATCGATCTTATTTCGCAATATTGATATTTCTGCTGTTTTTAGAAACTACTAACCAAGAAAGAATGACTACTGCTCTTGCTGAGACTACCAACACGACCGGAGAAACCACTGTTCCATTTGAAAATGTCAAGACCACCACTAATGAAGAAGCAACTCGAGTCCAACTACTACTGAAACTTCCACCGCTGCCACCAAAGAGCTCACTGCCGAGGAAAAGTCAGTTTTTTTTTCTTCTGAAGAATTTTAATCAAAGTTGGTTCTTATTTCCAGGACTACATAATTGAAGAACAACTTGACATCTAAAAGCGTCATTTGTTGACAAGCGAATTCAGCATGGGTGCTGATCTCTTGAGTTTGGCTTCTCAACTTGCGTAAGTTTTGAAATTTTCATACATTTTCTATTTCTATGCATTTCAGTGGTAAACTCTTCGGAGACGACAGCGAACAATCATTTGAACTTTACTTCTACTATGGACAAGCCCTTTGGATAACTTGAAGATCAAGTTTTCTCAAATGCCATGACTAATTGCCAACCGTAGAAGAAGGTGATGCCAACAACGATTCAATCGACGAGGAACAATATGGTAATCCGGATAAATTGTCAGAAAAAGGACGTGAGCGAATCAAGGAACAAGTTGACAATGCTCTTTCTGCTGGTGCAGAGAAAGCAGAAGTATTTGTCGAAACTGATGCAATTTTTATTGTTTGTAAGGTTCACAAACTGTTAGGAGTCTGCGATTGCTCTAAAATTGACTTTCTTAGGTCAAAATTTACATTCTTCCGAGCACAAGCCTCCAACTCTTTTCTCTAATTAGCTAAAAATGTTTTTCAATGAAAATTAAAGTTCATAATATAAGCAGATTCCTAACAGTTAGAACCATTTTTTGTTTCTTTTTTGTTCTTTTCAATAAATTTTTGTTAAAAAAATGTGTTTTTGATTTGAAAAAGTTGGGAAAAATGATCAAAAAATGGTGAAAAATTGGTGGGAAAAAGTTGAAAAATTGACCAAAAAATGGTGAAAATTTTTTGGTGCATTTTTGGTCAATTTTTGTTCAAAATTTTTTTGACCAAAAATTGACCAATTTTGGTCAAACTCCCAGGACCAGTGTCGGACAAATCGCCAAAAACATCTCAAAATCGCACACAAAAATCATTGGAATTTGCGGAAATCCCGAAAAATGTCGAATTTTGACCGAAGAACTGGGTTTCGACGTGGCTCTCGATTATAAAAACCCGCGAAAATCGATTGGCGAAAGTCTTGATGAGATTTTAAAGGGACATGGTGTCGATATTTATTGGGATAATGTTGGGGGAGAGATTTCCGGATCAAGTTATTGCTAGGGTGAGTTTTGGAGCAAGATTTGGAGCATTTTGAGCACAAAAATCGTGATTTTTGTGCAATTTTGAGCCAGAAATTGCTATTGCTCATGTTAGAAAAAATTTCAAAAAAATTTTATAACATGAGCAATGCTTCTTAAAATTCCACGTGGGAGTTTTTGAGTCATTGCTCATATTAGAGGAATTTTCAAAAAATGCAAAAATTAGCTCAAATTTTTGTTATAACCTGAGCAATGTTTTCAAAATCCACGTGGAATTTTTTAACCCAATAAATACGGTATGTTCCTTTAAAGGCGCCTTTTTCTTCGAAATTTGGGCATTGCTCATATTAGAAGAATTTTCTAAAAATTCAAAATTAGCTCAAATTAATTTATAACCTGAGCAATGCTTCCACGTGGAAAATTTCGACCAAAAATTAACTTTTAAAGGAGCATACCGTACCACCCAAGCATTGCTCATATTATAAATTGATGAACTCCAATTTTCAAGGAACATACCGTACCATTTTTGACTTTTTGAAAAAAAAAATGCCCAAAATTTTCCAGATGAATCCAAAAGGTCGTGTAATTCTATGTGGTCAAATCGCCGTGTACAACACCGATCTACCGTATCCGCCACCAATTCCCTGCGAGACCCAAAAAATCCTGGAAACCCGCCAAATTCAAAGGGACAGATATCTGGTGTTGAACTATAAGAACGATTGGCAAAAAGGCATTGCTCAGCTTAGAAAATGGATGGAAAATGATGAGATTCGGGTGAAAGAGACGATTTATGAAGGATTGCAAAATGGACCGGCGGCTTTTGTTGATATGATGAATGGAAAAAATGTGGGCAAAATGTTGATAAGAGTTTGAGAATAAATTTTTTTTTATTTTTTTTTGGAAAATTCATGATTTTTTGAGCCCGGAAATGTTTTTTTTCAGAAAATTTGCAGAATTTTGAGCCCAAATTTCTGAAATTTTCATTAATTTTGAAGCCTGCAAACCTGTTTTTCAGAAAATTTGCAGAATTTTGAGCCTAAATTTTCAAAATTTACTGGCTGAGTATCAAATGTGCAAGGTACGCAGCGAAATTCGATACTCAGCCAAGCTCACAAAGTACGCAGCCAAATATCCTTGATACTCATGTAACATAACATTTCCTATGTACATCATTAGATACTCAGTCAAGTACGTAGCCAAATTCTCCTAAGATGAGCAATGTTTACCCAAACAATGAGGATTTTTGAATTTTGTCCGAGAGAACTACACGGGAGGAGAAATATGGTGGTTTTTTGGTTGGGTAGGCAAAATTCAGTGTTATTTTTGGTAAAGTAGGGGAAATATGGTGTTTTTTTGGTCGAAAAGTGGATTTTTGATGAAAAATACCTGAAAATAGGCAATTTTTGGTTGAAATTTGATGAATAGGCAAACTCCGGTGTTATTTTTGGTAAAGTAGGGGAAATATGGTGATTTTTTGGTCGAAACGTGGATTTTTGATGAAAAATACCTGAAAATAGGCAATTTTTGGTTGAAATTTGATGAATAGGCAAACTCCGGTGTTATTTTTGGTAACGTAGGGGAAATATGGTGATTTTTTTGGCCTTGAAGTGAAAAATACCTAAAAATATGAAATTTTCACTCAAAAATCCCCCAAAAACACGGCATTTCACACTCGAACACATGTAAAAACTATTTAACACCGCTTTTGAAGAGAAAAAGAATAAATGTGTTTCTTTTTTCTCTATGCGCCTTTGAAGTTTTGCCGCCAAACAACAAAAACATCCTTTGAATAGATATACAACAAAAAATCTAATTTAAATTGCATTTTTTCGTGGGAACATTGAGAATTTGCAGGTTTTTGGGTGAAAAATTACAAAAATTAGGCTATTTTTCAGTAAAAATCCACTTTTCGATCAAAAAATCACCATATTTCTCTTACTTTACCAAAAATAACACTGGATTTTGCCTACCCATTGAATTTTCATCAAATTTCGCCTATTTCTAGGTATTTTTCATTAAAAATCCACGTTTCGACAAAAAATCACCATATTTCCCCTACTTTACCAAAAATAACACTGGATTTTGCCTACCCATTGAATTTCAACCAAAATTCGCCTACTTTTGGGTATTTTTCATTAAAAATCCACGTTTCGACCAAAAAATCACCATATTTCTCCTACTTTACCAAAAATAACACCGGATTTTGCCTACCTATTGAATTTCAACCGAAAATTGCTCACTTTAGGGTATTTTTCATTAAAAATCCACGTTTCGACCAAAAAATCACCATATTTCTCCTACTTTACCAAAAATAACACCGGATTTTGCCTACCTATTGAATTTCAACCGAAAATTGCTCACTTTAGGGTATTTTTCATTAAAAATCCACTTTTCGACCAAAAAATCACTATATTTCCCCTACTTTACCAAAAATAACACCGGATTTTGCCTACTGATTCAATTTCAACCAAAAATTACCTATTTTTGGGTATTTTTTCATTAAAAATCCACTTTTTGACCAAAATATCACCATATTTTACCTACTTTACCAAAAATAACACCGGATTTCGCCTACCCAACCAAAAAATCACCATATTTCTCCTACTTTACCGAAAATAACACCGGATTTTGCCTACCCAACCAAAACCCCACAATATTTCTCCTCCCGTGTAGTTCTCTCGGACAAAATTCAAAAATCCTGCACTTTTAGTCATTGTTTGGGGTAAACATTGCTCATTTTAGGAGAATCGGAAATTGGCTGCGTACTTGACTGAGTATCTAATGATGTACATAGGCAATGTTCTGTTAACTGAGTATCAAGGATATTTGGCTGCGTACTTTGTGAGCTTGGCTGAGTATCTAATGATATACGCAGTCAAATTTCATGAAAAATTCGAATTTTCTATCAAAAAACGTTCATTTTTTCAAAAAGACACATCAAAAATTCACAGAATTTCATGAAAAAGGCAAAATATTCACAGGTAGATCAAAGGGAACGAAAAGGAGGCAAGATAAAAAATTCAAAATTTAAATTTTGAGAAAAAAAATTATGGAATTCGAGGTAGAATTTCAGATTTTCTCGAATCGACTGAAAAAAAACGGTGAAATGGGGAAAAGCAGGCGATAAATCTGGAAAAAAAATGATTTTTTTGTGAAAATTTGAATTTTGGCGCGAAAAAATCCACGTGGCAATTCCAAGATTTATTAAAATTATCGATTTTTGTCTGAAATTGAGGTCTGGAGCTTGGAAAATTGTAAAAAATCATGAAAAATGAGCCCCGGGGCTTGAAAATCACGATTTTTAACTAAAAATAGCAAATGCGCTCCATTGAACTTTCCACTTTTTGTTGAAAAATTCAAATTTTTAATTTTTTTGTTACAAAATTGCCCAGAAATCCCCAATTTTTTCCCACCAAAAACCATTTTTTCACATTTTTATTCATCAGAAACACCAAAAAACCAGTTTTTCTTGGGCTTTTTGTTCGACTTTCGCCAATAAAATCATCCCATAAATTTGAACGATCACACCATGCAAAAAATGCCATTATTGGTGTGAGAAAGAAGAGAAAAATGGAAAGTTTTGCAAAAAATGTGATTTTCTGGTCAATTTTGAAGGTTTTAATGTGAAAAATCAGGAAATTTCAAATAAAAATCGTTACTTTCAAGCTCCAGGGTTCATTTTTGGCTCAAAATCATCATAACAAAAAAATTCGAATTTTTCAACAAAACGGTGAAAGTTCAATGGAGCGCATTTGCTATTTTTAGTTAAAAATCGTGATTTTCGAGCTCCCGGGCTCATTTTTCATGATTTCTGGCTCAAAAAATGAGAATTTTTCAAGCTTCAGGGCTCATTTTGCTCAATTTTCAGCTCAAAAATCATAATAAGAAAAAAATTGAAAATTTGAATTTTTCAACAAAAAGGTGAAAGTTCAATGGAGCGCATTTGCTGTTTTTAGTCGAAAATCGTGATTTTCAAGCTCCAGGGCTCATTTTTTATGTTTTTTGGCTCAAAATGAGCATTTTCAAGCTCCAAAGTCAATTTTGACTAAAATTTCAAATTGCCACGTGGATTTTTTGGCGCCAAAATTTGAAAATTCAAATGTTTTCCCAAAAAAGCAACTCACAAGCTAGACGAGATCGATAATTATACAACAATTCGAAAAATTTCGCAAAAATTCATTCCAAAAAATCGCCGGCTCCAATTCGAATCGATTTTCGGCGCGGCGGCGCCGATTTTTTGGCGGGCGGTGAGGATACTGTAGTTTCGGGGCTGAAAATTCGAGATTTTTGACCTAAAAATCACATTTTCAGCCAAAAAACTCACCGAAATCCACGTTTTTGGCTCAATTTCAGATTTTCGACTTCGGCTCGCATCAGATTCGTCTCACTTTTGCGTTTTCGAATCGGCATGAAGGCTGGAAGAACAATTTTTTGGTTTTCTAGGCCACGAATTCGTTGGGGGGACTAGTTTTCCACAAAAAAGCTCGGCCAATGGTGATTTTTCAAAGTTTTAGAGCGGAAAACCTTCGAAATCATAGTTTTCTTGTGGAATTTGGTTTTCTAGGCCACGAATTCATTGAGGGGGGACTAGTTTTCCACCTCAAAAACTCGGCCAGGGTTGATTTTTCGAGATTTGAAGCGGAAAATCTTGAAAATTCAACCCGGGGACTAGTTTTCTTGTGAAATTCGGTTTTCTAGGCCACGAATTCATTCGGGGACTAGTTTTCAACCTCAAAAACTCGGCCAGGGGTGACTTTTCAGGTTTTTGAGCCTAAAAACGTTCACAATCATAGTTTTGTTGTGAAATTTGGTTTTCTAGTCCCCATTTTTCGCGACCTTCTAAATAAACATTATTTACTACCTATTTTTTGTCTTCTTTTTAGTGTCTTATCAAAAAATTAATCAAAAATTGCGCAATTTGGCGAAAAAAGTGCCGAAATCAATCTTGACTATTGCGCAATCAGCCAAAAAACAAAAATATACGTATAATTAGCAGGATTTATCGTTTTTTATGAGAAAAATTCAAATTTTTTGTCTAGATAGCCATAAAAAGTATCGAATTTCATTACACACGTGTTGTTTTTGTTTATATTTGCTTTTTGGATGAGAGTATCATAGAGTTAGGTTATATAACTAGCTCTTTTTACAACAGACACCAAAAGGTCGAAAAAGAGCTCAAAATTTGACGAAAAATGAGGCTGGCCGAAGTTTTTGAGGTGAAAAACTAGTCCCCGGACTCGAATTTTGTGATTTTCATGTTTTTCAACCCAGAAAACCCATTTTTCCACCAAAAATCACACTTACTAGTCAATTTAGTTTGTTTCAAAGCCGCCTGGCTTGCACTGCGTGTAACCGGCTTCTCATAGCCACCGAAATTCAAATTTGAAGTCGATGCAATTTCCTCCGCAGGCTTCTTCTTCAAAATCCGTTTTTCGCGATAAAATTGCGGCATTTTTTCGGCGCAAACCGGTTCGAATTCAAAATCCCCAGCTCCGGTGTCAATGGGAACACCGAGCAAAAAATCGAAATTGTATTTGCGCGCGTCGCGATCGTAGATCTCTTGGAGATCTCGCTTCATCTGCTTCGTAACCTCTTCCTGGTTTGGAACGCCGAAAAGGCAGCGAGCGACGCGTTTTGCCATTGCTGAAAATCTTGTGAATTTACACAGGAAACTGTCATTTTTCATCAAGAAAAGAGAAATGTTGCAAAAAAACGAGGAAAACATACGAAATGCGGGAGACAAAGAGGTGTCTGGTTATCGATCGATAAAATGAGAGAAATGGGCAAGTTTTTCGCCGTCTTCCCCCATTTTTTTCTCAACCAGCTGGACATAGAAATGGAAAGGTTTACGTAACGAAATAGAACAACACGCAAAACGCTTTGTTTTTGGCAAAAGAGAAAACAAGTGCGAAAAAAAAAGAAAAAAAGGTGAAAATTTCGAAATTCAAATTTTGGCGGGGGACTAGAAAAATGTTCGTCCGCACGGGGGTTTGCTGGAATTTCAGAGAACCCTGCATGATTTCGAGGCTCCCTAGGTTTTCAAATACGCTGAAAAACATAGAGATGGTTAGAAAATTGCCTACTCCAAGGGAGACACGGATTTTCAGCAGGAATTTCAGAGCGAGGACGAGGCTTGGGTTTCTAGTCCGCGCGTGGTTTTTTATTTTCGAAAAATTTTCTTTTTTTTCGGGGAAACGGGGAATTTCGAGGTTTTCGCCGGGAATCGAGATTCCAGGTGAGTTCTTAATGCTTTTAATAAAAATCTGAGATAATTTTGAATATTTTCCAGGTCGCGGAACTTGGAAAAAGGGATTTTTGCCATGAAAATCGCTATTCCATCAAATTTGGGCTCATTTTGAAGCTCGAAAACTTTTAAACCCCTAAAAACTGTACTAATTATTTAATTCCCTCTTATCAAACTCCTTTTCCTATTCTCGTGCCAAAAAAAAACTGTTTAATTACCCTTTTTCATTAACAAAAAACATCTAACTGATAACGTTTTGGAAATCGGCCAAAATTTTGCGTTTCCTCTTCTGAAATTCAGATGTTGACAGGTGTCTGGTGAAAATTGCGTAAGATTGCGCGATAGATGAATGAGGTGTCGAGATTTTTGCGCAACAGCTGGTCGAAAAAGGTCAAAAGGTCGTGCAAATCCCTGCGATCTCAAATTTCAAAGGAGGAAAACTTCGAAGAGATCGTAAACTTTCCGACTCGCTCTACTTATTTTACAATCTCTTTTTTTTTTTGAAGAAAAAAGTGACCGCCCGGGAGACGATGATGACCAATAATAAAAATAAACACTTTTTGATGTTTGGCGGCTTCCGTTTGGCGTAAAATTTGAAAGTTTCCGGTTTTCGCAAGACCCCCAGACTTTTTCCAAGCAAAAAATAAAAAAAAACCATGTTATCACCCCCAGGCATTTTTTCTGATAACGCTCCACTTTTCTGGGCACATAAAAAATGTCTGGACTGCGGGTGGTCTTGCTAGAGATTGTGGGAATTTGAGAGACGCAGATGAGATTATCGCAAAAAGTTTGGCAGTTTTAGGGCCAGACGTTTTTTCAATGAAATTGAAAAATTAATTAACTAAATGACTAAGAAAAAATGGCCGAAGGACCTGTAATTTTCTGGAAATGCTGAGATTTTCAGAAAATTAAAGGTCCCGCTGAAATAACAAAAATGAAAAATTTCTAAAAACCTGCCGGATCTGTAATTTTCTGCAATTTCCGGCTGAAAAAGCTGGGAATTTCAGAAAATTCCAGCTCCCGCGCAGGGGAACCTATCGTCAATTTTTTTTTGGAATTTAGGTTTCATAAAGTGCTAGAAACCTGCCGGATCTGTAATTTTCTGAAATTTTCAGCTGAAAAGTTGAGATTTGCTGAAAATTTACAGCTTTCGCTGAAATAACAAAAATGAAAAATTCATCGAAAAATTGCTAGAAACCTGCCGGATCTGTAATTTTCTGAAATTTACAGCTGCAAAAAGCTGGGAATTTCAGAAAATTCCAGCTCCCGCGCAGGGGAACCTATCGTCAATTTTTATTTGAAATTCAGGATTCATAAAGCGCTAGAAATCTGCCGGATCTGTAATTTTCTGCAATTTCCAGCCAGAAAAGCTGGGAATTTCAGAAAATTCCAGCTCCCGCGCAGGGGAACCTATCGTCAATTTTTTTTGAGATTTAGGATTCATAAAGTGCTAGAAACCTGCCGGATCTGTAATTTTCTGCAATTTCCATCCCAAAAAGTTGAAACTTTCAGAAAATTCCAGCTCCCGCGCAGGGGAACCTATCGCCAATTTTTAATTTGATTTTTAATTCAAAAAGTGCTAGAAACCTGCCGGATCTGTAATTTTCTGCAATTTTTAGCTGAAAAGTTGGGAATTTCAGAAAATTCCAGCTCCCGCGCAGGGGAACCTATCGTCAATTTTTTTTTGAGATTTAGGAATCATAAAGTGCTAGAAACCTGCCGGATCTGTAATTTTCTGTAATTTCCAGCCAGAAAAGCTAGGAATTTCAGAAAATTCCAGCTCCCGCGCATGGGAGCCTATCGTCAATTTTTTTTTTCACTGACCCCTGCCTAATCCCTCTTGCTCTCAAAAAATGTTTGACTCATATTGACCCCCCTCTTTTCTTATACAGAGGGCATCTTTTTATGTACCTACCGCCCATCATCTACAATATGTACATACACATAAATTAATAATTATAAACATACCGATGCGGCTTTTGCCTTTTTTGGACCCTATATGTTTAATATGGGGGAAGTCAATGAAAAAAAAGGAAAGGAAAGTGCAGGTGGTAAACATGATGGATTAGAGGGATGAGCCGCGAAAGCTAAGGCTAAGGCGGTAATTATTTGGTGACAGGGTGGCAGCTGAAAAAGTTGACAGGGCGGCAAGGCGAGTTAATGAATATTAATCATGTTTGTTTTGTTTGTTACGGTGTCTTTTTTGTTATTGTTGTTTTCCGGCTGGCGGCATGGTTTTTGATTAGAAGTGAAACAAAAAATGAGCAAAATTTTATATTTCACGTGGAAAATCGATTTTTCAAGCTAAAACGACCCTGCCGGATCTGTAATTTTCTGCAATTTCCCGCTGAAAAAGCTAGAAATTGCAGAAAATTCCAGCTCCCGCGCAGGGGAACCTATCGTCAATTTTTTTTGAAATTTAGGATTCAAAAATTGCTAGAAACCTGCCGGACCTGTAATTTTCTGAAATTTCTAGCTGAAAAGTTGGGAATTGCAGAAAATTCCAGCTCCCGCGCAGGGGAACCTATCGTCAATTTTTTTTTTTAAATTTAGGGTAATTTAGCCTAAATTCAACGTTACGGCCTAAAAATCACGAAATTTTCGGAGATTTCGAATAAAAATACGCCAGAAACATGCCGGACCTGTAATTTTCTGCAATTTCTAGCTGAAAAGTTGGGAATTTCAGAAAATTCCAGCTCCCGCGCAAGGGAACCTATCGACAATTTTTTATTTGACTCTCTCTTCATAAAACACTCATCTAGCCATTTAGCCAGCCCATTACACAATACTTCCTCGACTCGACCTTCTATTACACAATACCAACCAGATATCCCATAAATCACATTTGAAGTGCAGTGCAGTGCAATGCGAAATTATTAAAATTATTAATTGCGGTTTTCCTCCTCCCATGGAATTTTGTGACCTTGAAACCACATTCATTTTTTTCTTAACAAAAAAGGCTCTTCTAAACTCAATTTAGGCCAAGTCGTAAACACATCAAACGAATTGGGTAAAGATAATGATCTTCTTCCCCGGGCGCCTAGAGTAGATCAAATCAAATCAGATTTATGTGCCAACCGCAAATTGTGGGAACCCTTAAAGGGACAAGGATACTGTACTGTACTATAGAATTCAGAATTCTATAGAAATTTCAAATAATACTCATCTACATATATATCTGCATAATAATAATAAGGGGGATGAGAGGCTCGTGACCTTTTGACCCTTCTCATTTTGCACTGTGTGTTACAACGATGCGGATATATCCCCCCTATATATTTGTATTGTTATTATACATATGTGTGAAAAAAGACATTATTTAGGGGGGATTGGAGCGTTTTGCGCTGAAAATCAACTGGATCTTCATTTTCAGCCAGGAAAATTGATCTGAAAATGGGGTTTTTTGTGGAAAAAGTGACCCCCCCCTAAGGATGACAACTTTTCTGGAATTTTTCACGATATTTGCTTCTACATCGAAATTTCGCGCTGAAAAACATGGAACTGCTCAAAATCAGCTAGATCTTCACTTTCAGCCAGGAAAATTGATCTGAAAATGGGGTTTTTGAGGAAAAAGTGCCCCCCTCTCTCCCCTAAGGAATACCACTTTTCTGGAATTTTTCACGAGATATCCTTCTAGACCAGAGTTTTGTGCTGAAAAACAGGGAATTGCTCAAAATCAGCTAGCTCTTCATTTTCAGCACGAAAAACTCGTCTTAAATGTGGTTTTTGAGGAAAAAGTGACCCCCCCCCCCCAAAGGGGGACTACTTTTCTGGAGTTTATAACAGGAAATGTTTTTCCAGACCAGAATTTAGTGCTGAAAATGACAGAATTGCTTGAAATCAGCTAGATCTTCATTTTCAGCATGAAAAATTGATCTTAAACCGATTTTTGTGAGTAAAATTTGCCCCCCCCCCCCCCCCCCAAAGGGGGATAACTTTTTTGGTTTTTTTCACGACGTATGTTTCTAGACCAGAATTTCGCGCTGAAAATTATGGAATTGCTTTAAATGAGCTAGATCTTCATTTTCAGCACGAAAAACTCGTCTGAAATGTGGTTTTTGAGGAAAGGTGCCCCCCCCCCCCCAAAGGGGTACCACTTTGCTGGAATTTATCACAGGAATTTTTTTCTAGACAAGAATTTTGTGCTGAAAATCCGTAAACCACTCAAATTCACTGATTTTCAGCGCAAAATTGGATCTCTAAAATCCCTCCTCCTTAGGGGTAGGGCACATCGAGGCCCATTTGTCGGTTTACAGTTGAACCGTTCAAAAAAAGGTCTCCCCAGGGAGTCTTAAACCAGCTGTCTGGTCGGCACCTCATTCAAATAAATCATATTGATAGACTGTCGGCTTCTCCTTATTCCAATTTTTGGGTCAAACACCCCCTAGATACCGTATTGTTGTTGTTGTTGTTAATTTCAAAAATACATCGTCCTTGATAACATTTAGATATTACGTAACTCGGGGGCTATTCATTTAGCGATTGCGCAACGTGAATTTTGTACCTTTTTAGAGATAGATAACGAACATTTTTCGTTTCGTCGTAGACCTGTCAAAAAAGACCCTTTTTGGCATCATTCCAGAACTATACACGTATAACAAAAAAATTTTTGTTCACAATATTTTAATGCTCGCCCGTTCGTTTGAAAGTGTGTGAGATAAGTCGTGTTATCAGTTAGCTTCATACAGAAAGACAAAGTGAACACTTATTGCTGTCAAAAAAAGTTATGGCTTTTAGAGAGAGGTGATAAGGAGAGAGTGTGGGGAATGTGGAGGGTATTAGACGATAAGTTAGGTAGAAGAGAACTAAGTTGGGTGGTTTGGAAGAGGAAAATGAACGATAAAAGAGGTATAGGAGGTTTCTAACAAGCACTGGAGCCTTTTGGAGGTTTCTGTCAAGCACTGGAGCCTAGAGGTGGATCAGGGCCAAGCGGTGAGGGCCTACAGAAAGTATGATGTGAAGGAGTGAGGCCTACATGAGATATAGAGGCAAGGAACGTAGCCTTTAACTTTTTCGACCTTCAAGCACTGACTCCTAGAGCCTCTAGCTTTTAAGGATCAGTTCCTCCACCTTCTATAATTCAAGGGTTGGCTCCTACACATCCTATGAGCTAAGGCCCGACTCCTACACTCTCTAACGCCTAAGGGCTGGCTCCTACACATCCTATGAGCTAAGGGCCGTCCCCTAGAGACTCTAGCTTCCAAGGGCTGGCTCCTACACATCCTATGAGCTAAGGGCCGTCCCCTGGAGACTCCACAAGTGCCCGCTCCTATCTCGATTCAAATTTCGACCTTGGCACTCGTCCAAAACCACAATTTTCTCTGTGTGGCCACCAGCAGAACAGTTGTTCAATTTGCTGCTGCCCCGGAAATAATTGCACTCAAAAAATGTGTCCCTCCTGTATAGGAAGGAGGCTATATGTTACATACTTATCCTGTGAGTACTTAATTGTCTGTCACACCAACTGTTGTGGGGTGAGAAGCACTTAGGCTAAGTCTAATTGTGCTAGTCACATTTGGTGACATATGTGGATATGTGGTGAAGATTTTGTGGAATGAAAAATCATATTTATTAAATTTTTGGAAAAAAATTCAGCAATTGATCAAAAATCACAGGGATTGGCCCAAAAATTGGGGGAAAAATTCAAAAATTTTTGGGGGAAAAATAGAAATTCTCATTTTATATATATATAGGACTAGAGAATATGAAGATTTGAATAGACTAGAGTCTAGTCTAGGCGTTGGGAAATGTCGAGTGGGTTGTGGATTTGGGTGATGTTGAGGTGGATTTCGGCGATCGGGCGATCTTTTTTCGGCAGATTGGAATGTAGTCTGGAAGAATAGTGGTTTTGAGAGGTATGAAAAGGCCTGGGAGGCCTGGAAAGCCTTTGGAAGCCTTGAGAAGCCCTCAGAAGCCTTTAGAAGCCTTTGAGAACTATTAGAAGCCTTAAGAAGTCTTCAGAAGCCCTCAGAAGCCTTTAGAAGCCTTTAGAAGCTTTTAGTAACTATTAAAAGCCTCCAAAAGCCTTAATAAGCCTCCGGAAGCCCTTGGAAGCCTTCAGAAGCCCCCAGAAGCTTTCAGAAGCCCTTGGAAGCCTTTAGAAGCCTTTTATAACTATTAGAAGCCTTCAGAAGCCTTTGGAAGCCTTCAGAAGCATTGAGAAGCCTCAAAAAGCCTCCAGAAGCCTTCAAAAGCCTCCAGAAGCCCTCAGAAGCCTCTACCCGATGCCCCAAAACCTTCTACTCACCAGTAACTTTATTCTGCCGCTTCTTATTATTCTTTGGAGTTAGGCTAACTCGTTTGCTCTTCGGCACCGGCTCAAAATCCATCGATAAATCGCTCTCCGAACAACTAGACACGTTGAAATTCATCTCACCAGATCTACTAACTTCATTCGACCAATCAACGAGTTTCGGACTAGCCGAACATCCGATAGAACTTCCAGAAGACGACGCTGACAGCGATTTACTTCTGTAGAATTGTGGAACTTCCGATTCGCTGACGATTTCGTAGACGAATCCCGATGTTGACGTGGAAGCTTCATCGATCAGCGGACAGCCGAGCTTGAAATCGAAACCCCATTTTTCGGAATCGCGTCGGGCGACTTCTTCCAGCGCTGAATGCAGCCATTCACGAGTTGAGGCTTGTTGCTCGAGAGTTGGACGGGTGAAAAGGCAGCGGCGGGCGGATTTTTTGATCGATGCTGACATTTCTGGAAATTTGAATTTGTTAGGAGGCTGGGGGAGAGAAAAATACGAAAAATTGTAAAGGGAGGGGGGTGCCGGGGGTCTCCCCCGGCGATAGGAAAAATTGGAAAGGGGGGGGTCGCCGGGGGTCTCCCCCGGCCACCTATGAAAAAAATTCCAGATTTTTTGACTAAGGTTGGCGGGGGAGACCCCCGCCGACCCCCCTATTCAAAAAATCTACAAATTTTTAACCAGGGGGTCGCCGGGGGTTAGCTAGTTAGTTAGCCTAACTCACAAATATGTACATGTACATATAAAATTCAAAAAAGCCACCAAGCTAAGAGAAAAGGAAAAAAAAGTGAAAGTGGTTTCTTCTTGTCTCTCTCGCAAGACCTCACCAGCCACCAACCGCAATATATAAATAAAATACACCACATTCAAATCCACCCTCCCTTTTTTCTTGGGTGAAGGCCACGCCCTCCTGCCTGTCTCTTTGGTGAAGAAGGAGGAGGAGGGAAAAGTAATAATTGCGGGTTGAGAACACGAGAAGAATCAAGGGGGCGTCCGCTTTTTTAAAGGGGGGGGAGGTCAAAAAAGGTGGATCGGATTACTCTTTAGACAGGGGGGGGGTGTTTACTTTGAGGAAGTTTTTGATCTTGAAAGTTCGAGGGTGAGAGAGATTGGGAATTGGGGAGAGAGTGCAGAGAAAAAAAAACATAAATCAGGAAATTTTTGTGCTGAAACTCTTAAAAATCATGAATTTATGAGAGATCTAGGAGAATTTCAGCTACAAATTGCTCTAGGCTAGAATTTTGTGCTGAAAATCATGGAGCTACTGAAATCTGCTCATTTTTATGATTTCCACGAGTTTCAGCTCAAAATTTCAATTTTTGGGCTCATAGAACGTGATTAGGTGACCCCCCCCTGAAAAAGCATCAAATTTCTCTAAAATCGAAATTCAACCTTTTCTTATCAGAATTTTGTGCTGAAACTCGTGGAGCCACTGAAAATCAAGAATTTCCACGAGTTTCAGCTCAAAATTTGAGCCTGGGAGCAAGAAAATTGGAAAGTTTCCAAAAATTTTTATCAAAAACCGCCTATCAAAAGAGCAACAAAAAAAGCGAGTTCTGTCACCCGGCGGGCTCACAAAAGCCACGTGTAATATGAGCCTAATCCCCCTGTATAATATCCATTATAAACTTTTCATCAAAGGTGGAGGTGCACGCTCTTTTGGCGGGAGGTAATTTGACCTCCCTGGTATAAATAAAAAAATTTTTAATTAACAAAAAACCACGGTGTAACATCCGGGGTGTCACCCTGTATTTTTTGGTGTGACACACCATTTTTTATAACATGAGTCATGCCTGTTTTTGTGTTATTTAACAAACAAATAAAAAAAAGGGAAGATTTTATTTTTTTTTATCAAAAAAAATTTTGTTTGTTTTTTCTCAAAAATCGTATAGTTATGGGAACAGCACGGTGTTTTGATTTTGTTTTTTTGGAAAAAAATGTTATTGGTTGTGAAATCATCAAAAAGGTTAGTTATGAGATAAGAAAAATTGAAAGAGTACTGTAGGTGCTCCTTTTTGTGCAGAAAATCATGAATTTCTGAGTTTTCCAGAAGTTCTGGACTCAAAATTTGGATTCTGAGGGTTATAAAAGGTATAAAACCATAGAAAACTGTTCCCGGCTGAAATTTTGCGCTGAAAAAGCTGAAAATCAAGAAATTTGAGCCTGGAGCTCAAAAAACCTTAAACAATGTTCAAAAATTCTCAAAAATCTTCAAAAAGCCAAAAAAAAATCCACAATTTCACAGAAAATCGGCTAATTTCAGGCGCAGCTCAAAATTTGGACCTAGAAGCTCTGAAAAACCTAGAAAACTCGAAAAATGCACATTTTTCCACTTAAAGTTCTAGATTTACTGAAAATCAGCTAATTTTAAGATTTCCAGACCTTTCAAGCTCAAAAATTGGACCCAGAAGCTCTGAAAAACCTAGAAAACTCAAAAATTCTTCAAAATCAGCTAATTTCAAGGTTCCCAGACTTTCTAGCTCAAAATTTGGACCTAAAACCAAAAAAAAATACAAAAAATGTTTCAAATCCCATAAACAAACATGACCCCCCTTGCCACAAAAAAAACAATTATTTATTTGTGAGCTCGCCGAGCTCACAAAATCGATATTTTTCATATTTGTTTTGTTTTGGTGGGTGCATATGGGTTACGAAAAATAAGACAGGGTGGTGGTGTAATAATAAAATGTGTGCCAGCCGGTGTCCACTCAAAAATGAGCATCTGTCCACCCTGGTTACAAAATGGCTGGGTGCAATTAAAAAATTGGGCAAAAAAAATAAATAGGGAAAATACACAGCAGCAAGAGAAACAGAAAAGGGAGGAAAATGAGACTAGAGGGCGCTTGAGGCGGACGGCCGGAGGCTCCGCCTCCATTTAGGCTCCGCCCCCACTTCTTGGCAAGCGGCCAAGAATTGAAGTGACGAGAAAGAACTGATGATAAGGGGGGAATGTTTTTTGGGAGGCAGAGAATTTTTTTAAAAGAGAGATGGGAACTTTGGGAGGCCCCGGAAAGGACCTAGAGGGGGCCTAGGGGGCTTTGGATGAAGCCTGAAAGCCTATTGAAGGCCATGGAGGGTTTTTAGGGAGCTTTGGATAGGCCTAGAGGCTTTTTAGGGGACTTTGGATAAGCCTGAAGAGCTTTAGAACGGCCTAGAAGGTTTTATGGAGCTCAGAATGATTTTGGATAAGCCTGAAGGGATTTAGAAGGCTCTGAAGGCTTTCAGGGGGCTTTGGGAAGGTTCTAGGGATTCTAAAGTGTCTTCAGAAGCACCTATATGGCGAATTTCAGGATGCCTTAAAAGCCTTAAGGGCCTTAAGGAACTTTAGAGGATTTTTGTTGGAATCTGGAATCTGCGAAAATATTCTCCAAATTGCAGAATGATTCTGGAAAATTTTTTTCATTAAAAATTTTTTCGAAAATTCTAGACCTATGCCACGTGGATTCTTTCTAATGAGCCCAAATTTTAAATTTTGAATTAAAATCCACGTGGATTTTTCCTTTCATAATTTTTGAGATTTCGGAAAAGTTCTGGAAAAATTTTTTTTTTCAAAAAAAATGATGTTGAGTTTCAAAATTCTAGAATAATTCCACGTGGATTCCAGTGAGCCCAAAACTTCAAAATATCAAATTTTCAAAAATCCACCTGGATTTCTCCAACTCACATAACCTTGAACTTCTTGAGAAAGTTCAGAAGAATTTTTTCTATGGATTTTTTTTCTAAAAGTACACCTTTTATTGTGCCGTGTGCCGGTTTGTATCCCCCAGCTTTTATTCAAATAAAAATAAATTTCCCACAAATAGACAAAAGAAGTTTAGAACCACCTCCTCTCAGCGCCAAAATCGAACACGGTGTTCTAGGAGCGAAGAAAAATGCGGTCAAGATTGATTAATTACACGATGTGTCAGGGGGTTCGAAACCTAACTGACTGACTAATTTAATTTTTGTCTGCGTCTCTACTCTCTCTCGCCGAGAGATGATTTGCCTAGATAGTTAATTTCACACAAATTTTATTCGTGAACAATTTGCATAATCACAATTTTATGACGGGGGGGGGGAAAGGGAGGAGAAGCTAGGAGGAGTACTGTAGGGCACCGAAATTGGCACATTTGAATTTTATGGAGGTTGGGAGAACGATGTGTCAAGCAGTGGAGCCTTGGGAGACATTTGAGATTCTCAAGGAGCCAACCCTTGACAGAATTCTGGAAGCCCTTAAGCAACAGCTCCTTGACACTAATCTCGGTGTTGTCAAGCACTGGAGCCTTGGCAGACACTCGAGATTGCCTAGGGGCCACTCCTTCACAGATACCTAGAAGCCCTCAAGCAGCTGTCTCTTGTCAAGACTTCTAGTCTTCAAGGATGCGCGCCTAGTCATCACAATATGCTCCCAAGCAGCCAGCCCTAGACCTCCCAAAGCATCTCCAAAGGCTCCTTGACTAATCTTCTTCAATTTCCCGTGCACATATAAATAATCGAATTACTGTTTTTTTAGTGCAATTTATCATAAAATTGATAACAATTTTATTTGATATGCTAATTTCTGTATTTATGACTCTGATGTTCTCACAGTTAGAGGAAGTATAGAAGAATTATGGTTTTTTGTTTCCTGGGACAAAAACTGCGATCAAGCAAGCAACTCTAGACAACGTGTCAGGTTTCTAAGCAGCCACTTCTTGACCTTTCAGAGTTTTCCCAAGGTTCGGCTCCTACACGTCATTCTTAGCTCCCAAGCAACCACCCCTAGACTCTCTAAAGCTTTTCCAAGGCTCGGCTCCTACGCGTCACTTCTAGCCCTCAAGCAGCCACTCCTACACATCAAATCCATTTTCAAATTACGCGCGCGCGAAAAAATGTTTGGCATTTTGCCAGAGGGAAAATCAGCTGCGCGCCTCAAAAAATGTTGCAAACACACACATTTTTTTTGAAGATGAAGATGAAATCGAAATTTTTTTTTGGGCGCCAAGAAAAAAATAGTGTTTTTGTGTCCAAAAACTGGTTTTTTATGCCATTTGGGCGCGCGCGCCACTTTTTTACTTGGCAAAAGACACCTGTTTTTTGCTTACTTTTTGTATCAAAAAAAAAAAAAAAAAAAAAAAAAAAATGGGGCCCACAGATGGTGCAGGTGTGGACATTTTTCTAGATTCAACAAAAAATCGAGAAAAAAATTCCACGAAAAAAATTTGGACAATGAAAATGTTGCGAAGCTTCTCATATCAAAGGCGCAATCTACAGTACCCCTGGCTAGAAAATGTGACTGGAAAAATCATATGATTGATTTGGAAAGCGGGTTTCGGCTTGGCAAATTTCCAACAAAAATTGTTGAGGGGTGGACAAGCAGGCAGGCCTAGAGAACCCTTCTGGCAAGCAGCCACGCCTTGAGAACCTCTCTGTCAAGCAGCTGCGCCTTGAGAACCCTTCCCTCAAGCAGCCACGCCTTGAAAACCCCTCTGTCAAGCATTCACGCCTTGAAAACCCTTCTGTCAAGCAGCCAAGCCTTGAAAACCCCTCGGTCAAGCAGCCACCCCTTGAAAACCCTTCTGTCAAGCATCCACGCCTTGAAACCCATTTTCAGCTCAAAAATCGTAGTTTTTCTCCCATTTTTCCCATCTGGCAATATTCCAAAAAAACTTTTTTTTTCAAAAAAAAAACATTTTTCGCGCGCGCGTGGTGTAAAAGATGAGAAAAAAGCGAAAGAAAGGTAATAAATTGCGGCGGGCAAAGAAAAAAAAGAGAAATGACATAAGAAAAAGACAGAAAAACAAAGTAACATGATAGGAGGAGAAAGTTAGTGGATTTGAAGATTTTTGGGGGTGAAAATGGGCCGAAAAACTTGAAAAATGGCTGAAAATGAGCTGAAATTCAGATTTTTTAGCTCTAGATTACTTTTAGTCTTGAAATAGGCTGAAAATTCATGAAAAATGATCTAAAATAACCTAAAAATCACATTTTTCAGCTCTGGATTACTGTAGGAAAGTTTTCGGCTGAAATTCTTCAAAATTCCAGAGTTTTCTTGAAATCCAGAATTTTCAGAGCTCCCAAGGCATCAACCCTTGAAAGACTAGCTGTCAAGCAGCCGTTCCTTGACGATTATTGTTGTCAAGGCGTGGCTGCTTGACAGAGACATTTTCAAAGCGTGACTGCTTGACAAGAGCTATCTCTAGGCTCCGTTGCTTGACATAAGCATTCTCTAGGCGTGGCTCCTAGGCAGAAGTATTTTCAAAGCGCCGCTGCTTGACAGAGGTATTTTCAAGGGGCCGCTGCTTGACAGAGGTATTTTCAAGGGGCCGCAGCTTAACAAGAGTCGTCTCTAGGCGTTGCTCCTTGACAAATGCTATCTCTAGGCGCCGCTGCTTGACATAAGCATTCTCTAGTCTCCGCTGCTTCAGAGAGACATTCTCAAGGCGCCAACCCTTGTCATCTTGAAAATCTAGCTGTCAAGGAGCCGTTCCTTAACATTTTTTGTCTAAATTTTCAGCATTTTCAGATCGTTTTTTTGGAATTTTTTCAAATTTCGGTAAATTTTCCACTTCAAAACCGCGAAAAAAAAATGAATGTCAAGGTTTCAATTTCAAACTAATAATAATTCCCAGGCAGTCGGGTGGCCTTGGGTGTTTTTTGTCGCCAAAACACCGAAAAGTGGGTATTAATAAGGACGAAATCACCAAAAAATACACCTTTTTGGCAGGCCGCCAAGGGTGGTAATAGGAAAAAAAAGGAAGGACAAATCGCGGCTTTTCAGATCAGAATCTCTAAAATCACAGATGACCTCAGATGATTAGAAAATAAGAAAAATAAGGGAGAAAATTTGGGTTTGGGCAAATTTTTCAGGTGAAAAATAGGTTTTGATCTACAAATTCCAAATTTTGGCCCCAAAATCTACAGTAATCCTAGGCTCATTTGGTGTCTAAAAACGTGGATTTTCAAGTACAGTAATCCTTGATCTACAAAATTCAGAAATTCCGAAATTTCTGGCCCCAAATCTACAGTAACCCTGGACTTATTTGGTGTCGAAATACGTGGATTTTCTGCTACAGTAATCCTTGATCTACAAAATTCAGAAATTCCGAAATTTCTGGCCCCAAAATCTACAGTATTCCAGAGAAATTTTTTGTTCAAATTTCCGGTGCCTGGAACCAATTATTAATCATTATTATATATTACAAATGTATAAAATGGCAATATTTGCACAGTCTAACAATAAATGGGGGGGGGGGGGAAAGTAGTTAGCATGAGTCATGACTTATTGGTGTACACGGTGTACACACCAATAAGTCATCAACTATCCATTTTTATTTGAAAATATGGGGAAACTGCAAGGGTTACTGTGGATTTTGGTGCCAAATATTTGAAATGTCAAAATTTTGTAGATCAAAAAATGAATTTATTTTGAAAATCCACGTTTTTTGAGACCAAACAAGGCTAGGGTTACTGTAGATTCCAAAATTTTGAAGATCAAAAACAATTTCGATCATACTGTATCTGCGAAAAAAAACTTCTAAAAATCGAAAAATTGCCACGTGGATTTCTGGAGCTACAGTGATCCTATTCAAATCGAAAGGTTACTGTAGCTGGAAAATCCACGTTTTTCGAGACCAAACAAGCCTAGGGTTACTGTAGGTTTTGAGAGCAAAACTTTATCCCTACAGTAACCCTGGGCATATTTTTATCTTCAATTTTTCGATTTTGTACTGTAGAAAAATCCACGTGGAATTTTTTTGAACTACAGTACTCTTGAGATAAAAATTTGATCTACAAAATTCGGGAAATCCAAATTTTTGGCCCCAAAACCTACAGTAACCCAAGGCATATTTGGTCTCAAAAAAGTGGATTTTCGAGCTACAGTAATCCTTGATCTACAAAATTTGGAAAAAATTCCAAATTTTTCTCGGAATTATGAATACAAAAAGAAAATTGATGCGCATTTTGCGATTATATAATTTTTTTGAATTTCCTCTCTGTGAGATAAACATCTTGAGATGGAGAAGAAAAATCGGACAGCAACAGATTTTTTCGCAAAATAAAAATGTGAAATGTATATTTACGAGTGACAAATTTGGAGAGAGGAGAACAAATTGAGATAAGCTAATTTCGAATTTGAGTTATGCGGAAATGACCAGGGTTACTGTGGATTTTAGGGCCAAAAATTTGGAATTTTCTATTTTTGTAGATCAAAAACTGTAGCTAGAAAGAAATCCACGTATTTTGACACTAAACAAGCCCCGGGTTACTGTAGATTTTGGTGCCAAAATTTTTGAAAAATGCAAAAATATGATGAAAAAAAGCCCAAAAAAGCCCGAAAAGCCCGGAAATTTCCCAAAAAAGCCCAAAACTATACATTTTCTGATATTATATCATTCAATTATGTTTCTTCTCCTCAATTTTTACCTGCTTCTGCTGATAAGAAACCAGAAAAACTCAAAAAACTAACTTTTTTTGGAACAAATTTTTCTCTGCGTCTCTGCACTCTCTCTCTCTCTCTCTTCCCTCTTTTTTGACGCAAATTTGTTGCGACAAAAAAGAGGTCAAAACGGAACCCGCGATCATAATCTTGCCTCGGGAATCTTTTTCTATTTTTTTTGAAAAAAATTGAGTCAAGGCCGACAAAAAAACCGCAAAGTATCTCAGGGATTTCTCCAGGGTTACTGTAGATTTTGGGGCCGGAAATTTGGAATTTCCGAATTTTGTAGATCAAAAATTACTGTAGCTTGAAATCCACGTATTTCGATACCAAATGAGCCTAGGGTTACTGTTAGTAAGGAGCGGCTGCTTGTGGTAGAAAATGTATGTCAAGGAGAGGTTGCTTGAAGGCAATCATAAATGTCAAGGAGTGCTTGCTTGAGGTGGAAAATATGAGTCAAGGCTCGGTTGCTTGAGAAGACATCCAGGCGTATAGAAGCCGAGCCTTTGGAGCACACTTTGAGAAGTCTAGGGATGGCTGCTTGAGGTGGAAAATAATTGTCAAGCAGCCGAGCCTTTGGAGCACAAATTAATGCCTAGCATTGCTTGCTTCACATTTCAATGTCAGGTCAAGGAGTCGATGCTTGAGAAGACAACCAGATGTATAGGAAAGGCTGCTTGAGGGACTATCTAGCTGTCAAGGAGCGGCTCCTTTAGGAGATATTCAGGTGTATAGAGATGGCTCCAAAAATAGATTTTTTCCAGAATTTCGTTTCAAAAATAGACTTTCAAAAAGTCTAGTCTCTAGACCCGTGAGATCCTCCAATGTTCCTTTAAAAACCATCTCCAAAACTAGATAATTCAGTGAATTCTGAAAAATTGAACACGTTTTTCATCAAAATCCATTGAAAAACATGCAATTCTTCCTCATCACCTTCGCAATTCTCGCGACTACCGTACTCCTCCAATTCCACGTGGCAGCTCAGGATGATGACGTCATCGTCGAAGAAACTGTTACTCAAGGTCCACGTTTGCCACGTCAACGTGATATGTTTGCAAATTGGAGACGTAGAACAGCGGCTCCACCTTCAAATTGCGATCCATTCCTTTTTTTTTGTCTGGGAAAATGAATTTTTGAGCATTTTTTGAGCGGCTACAGTAACCTACAGTAATCTTTTGATCTACAAAATTCCGGAAATCTTCTAGAGAAAACTACAAGGACTACTGTATCCATATTTTTAGTCTAAAAAGGTGTTCAGCTACAGTAATCCTTCTAGAAATTACAGTAACCCAATATTATTTTTTGATCTACGAAATCTCCCGAGAAAAATCGGTTTTTCACCCAAAAAGTGTCAATTAAACGTTGATTGACGTATTTTATTCGTTTTTTTTCATCCTATTTACATAGTCACACCCAATTACAGTAACCCAGAGGACAAATAAAAAAAAAAGGAATTTTGTGTTCCTTTTTTTGTGGGGGGCAATTCAATCCATCAATTTGACAGATTGATATGTGAACACATTTTTTTGTCTCGTTCAAAATCCCCTTTTTTTGACACTAAATAAGCCCAGGGTTACTGTAGGCATTTTCGCGCCTTTCTAAAAATTTTGTAGATCAAAAGATTACTGTAGGTTACTGTAGCCGCTCAAAAAATGCTCAAAAATTCATTTTCCCAGACAAAAAAAAAGGAATGGATCGCAATTTGAAGGTGGAGCCGCTGTTCTTCGTCTCCAATTTGCAAACATATCACGTTGACGTGGCAAACGTGGACCTTGAGTAACAGTTTCTTCGACGATGACGTCATCATCCTGAGCTGCCACGTGGAATTGGAGGAGTACGGTAGTCGCGAGAATTGCGAAGGTGATGAGGAAGAATTGCATGTTTTTCAATAGATTTTGATGAAAAACGTGTTCAATTTTTCAGAATTCACTGAATTATCTAGTTTTGGAGATGGTTTTTAAAGGAACATTGGAGGATCTCACGGGTCTAGAGACTAGACTTTTTGAAAGTCTATTTTTGAAACGAAATTCTGGGAAAAATCTATTTTAGGAGCCATCTCTATACATCTGGTTATCTCCTAAAGGAGCCGCTCCTTGACAGCTAGATAACCCCTCAAGCAGCCATCCCTAGACATCTCAAAGTGTACTCCAAAGGCTCGGCTCCTTGACAGTTATTTTCCACCTCACAATCAAGCAGCCGCTTTTTGACATCATTATTAATCTCAAGCATCGGCTCCTTGACAGCTAGGTTACCCCTCAAGCAGCCATCCCTATACACCTGAATATCTCCTCAAGCAGCCATCCCTATACACCTGGATATCTTCTAAAGGAGGTAGATTAAAAACTGGCGTCAAACATCTGCATCACATGGTTCCTAATCGGCCTACTGTCAAAATGCCGTGCAAAAATTTCCCAGATAAAAAATTTAGGGTACTTAAGGGGTGTCTTAAGGTCGCTAGGAAGCAATTGATAAAAAATATGCGATTTTTCGCGCTTTTTTTGGTTTTTGGTCTCGTGGCGGCGGATGATTCGAGTACTGTAGTCACCACAGTTGCTACGACTACTGTAGGGACCACTGGAACCACTGGAACCGGGGGAACCACAGCCACAACAACTGCAGGAACCACAGGAACTACAAGTAGGTTACTGTAGGGTTACTGTAGCTCGAAAATCCACGTTTTTTGACACCAAACAAGCCTAGGGTTACTGTAGATTTAGGGGGCAGAAATTCGAAAAATCCAAAATTTGATCTACAGTAAACTGGAGTACTGTAGTTCCACGTGTCAGAAAAATTGCCACGTGGATTACGGTAGCCACAGTAACCCAACCGAAATTGCCACGTGGCAAGTGTGTGCCCAAAATTTCATGAAAAATTCGAATCTGCGACTACTGTAGACTACTGTAGCCGTCCAAAATTATCGATTGATTTTTTGCAGGTGCCACGTGTCAAGATGCTCCTGGCGAAAATTGTAGTTTATACGTGTCAGTATGCAGTGATCCAAGATATTATCCACTTTTGAAAGGGTAAATTTTAATTTTTCAAATTTCGCGGCGAAAAAAACAGGCGGGAAATTCAAAATTTTGCAGAAAATGCGACAAAACTTGTGGTTACTGTGGCTCAGTTACAACAACTACACCATCTTCTACACCATGTGTCGATAATTCATCAAAGTAGGTCAAAAAAGCGCGTGTGCCACGTGGCATTACTACTGTACCAATTGTTTCAGCTGTGTGAATTGGGTCAAAAATGGTTTCTGCACCAATACATTCTACAATTGCACCCAACGCAAGCAATATTGCGCCAAATCTTGTAATTTATGTAATACTAGTTGTTAATAAAGGTTTTTTCGAGCATTGCTCATGTTAACTGCGAAATTTGCGGGTTTTTGACACCAAACAAGCCTAGGGTTACTGTAGCAAATTATAATGGTCCGAGAATTAAAAGTTATCAGAACTGGGTGTCGAAAAACTCGAAATTTCACTAGAAATTCGAATTTGCACATCAGATTTGCTAGAATTTTCGAAAATCCAAAGTTTCATGAGATTTCTGAACAAAAATGCGCTCAAATTATCAAAATTTCAGTTTATGAAATTACTGAGAAGAAAAAATAGGGGAAAAATAGAAAATTGACTAATTTCAGCCATTTTCCTTGCAGATTTTCATAAATCAATCAATAAAAAATAACTTACTATTCAAAATCGCCGGCCATTTTCCTTCTTGATCCTAAAGTATAAATACATTGTTTTCATGACTTTTCAACCCAAAAACTAACCTTTTTTCGTGGCCAAAAATGATTTTTTGCAACATTCGAGCCTGAAAAACGAAAAATTAGACGAAAATCATCATTTTCAAGGGTTTTCAGCTTCAAATTTCAAGAAAAACAATATAATTTCGTCGGAAAATTGAAAATAGCAAAAGTAATTGCAAAAGTTTCAAAGGAAAACACGAAAAAACACGGAAAAAAGAAAAAAAACAAAAAAAACGAATTCAAAAAAATTTTTCGCGCACATCAGCAGTTGCAAACACCGCGACGCACAAATGCACACAAATGTGTGTTGGAGGAAATTTTTTCTTTTTTTTTCTTTTTTTCGGGTTTTTCAGGGTTTTCAGGGTTTTTCCTTAGAAACTTGCTGTTCAAGTGAAAAACTTTTTGTTATTTTTCATTTTCAGAGGAAATTCTGTTGTTTTGCTTGAAATTTGAAGGGGAAAACCTTGAAAATGATGATTTTTTGCTAATTTTTTGATTTTCAGGCTCGAATGTTGCAAAAAATCATTTTTGGCCACGAAAAAAGGTTAGTTTTTGGGTTGAAAAGTTATGAAAACAATGTATTTATAGTTTAGAATCGAGAAGGAAAAAAGGCGGCGATTTTGAATAGTAAGTTATTTTTTATTGATTGATTTATGAAAATATGCAGGGAAAATGGCTGAAATTAGTCAATTTTCTATTTTTTCCCCCATTTTTTTTTCTCAGTAACTTCATAAACTGAAATTCTGATAATTTGAGCGCATTTTTGTTCAGAAATCTCATAAATCTTCGGATTTTCGAAAATTCTAGCAAATCTGATGTGCAAATTCGGATTTCTGGTGAAATTTCGAGTTTTTCAACACCCATCATCATATAGTTATGATAACTTTCAATTTTTTGTAAGCATTGCTCATGTTAACCGCAAAATTTGACGTATTTTGAGACTAAACATGCCTAGGGTTACGGTAATTGAATAACTACAGTAGTCCTAATCTTGTTTGGTGTCAAAAAACGTCAAATTTTCGTGAAATTTTCCATTTTTCACATTTTTGGGAAGAAAATATAGCATTCCACGTGGGTTTGATGAGCTACAGTAGTTTTTGGGGGAAAATGTGGATCAAGGATTACTGTAGCGCTGGAAAATCCACGTGTTTTGACACCAAACAAGCCTGGGATTACTGTAGATTTTGGTGCCAAAAAATTTGTAGATCAAGGATTACTGTATATAAAAATCCACGTGGATTTTTTTAAATATTATTTTTGAACTACAGTACTTCAATTGGATTACTGTAGAAAGAAGAACAAACATTTCTAGATTCCAAAAGTACAGTAACCTACAGTAGAGTATATTGATCTACCATAAGATTACAGTACTTATCCTGTGGTTACTGTAGATCAAAATTTCTGAAATCTACAGTACTTCAAAAAATGTTAAGGTACAGTAATCTTTTGATCTACAAAACCTGAAAATTCCAAATTTTTGGCCCAAAATCTACAGTAACCCTAGGCTTGTTTGGTATCAAAAAACCGCAAATTTCGCGGTTAACATGAGCAATGCCTGAAAAATCTTCATTTAACAACTAGTATTACACAATTTACAAGATTTAGCGCAATATTGCTTGCGTTGGGTGCAATTGTAGAATGTATTGGTGCAGAAACCATTTTTGACCCAATTCACACAGCTGAAACAATTGGTACAGTACTACACGTGACACGTGGCACGCTTTTTTGACCTACTTTGATGAATTATCGACACATGGTGTAGAAGATGGTGTAGTTGTTGTAACTGAGCCACAGTAACCACAAGTTTTGTCACATTTTCTGCAAAATTTTTGAATTTTCAAACTTCCCGCCTGGTTTTTTTTGGCGCCAAATTTGAAAAATTCAAATTTACCCCTTCAAAAGTGGATAATATCTTGGATCACTGCATACTGACACGTATAAACTACAATTTTCGCCGGGAGCATCTTGACACGTGGCACCTGCAAAAATCGATAATTTTAGACGTCTACAGTACTCTACAGTAATCTAGATTTTTCAATTTTTGATCTACAGTAACCCTAGGCTTGTTTGGTATCTAAAAACGTGGATTTTCGAGCTACAGTACTCACTTGTAGTTGCAGTAGGTGTAGTCGAGAGTACGGTAGAAGTGAGTACAGTACTACTACTGGATTCACCAAAAACTATTAAAGGCAAAAATGCGGCGAAAAAGAAAATTTGGAGCGTTTTTTGCATTTTAGGGTGCTTAAGGACAATTTTTAGGGGTGTGCGGTTTTATAGTAAAAATTTTCGTGTTATCAGTGAAATCATCATTTTTTGCTTTGTTAACCCCCCTGGGGGAGCCGATTAAAATTCACATTTTTTTCGGAAAATTTTGAAAAAAAAATGATGATTTTTCGCACTTTTTTGATACCAAATAAGCCTAGGATTACTGTAGATTTTGGTGCCAAAAATTTGGAATTTTGTAGATCAAAAGATTACTGTAGCTGAAAATCCACGTATTTTGACACCAAACAAGCCTAGGGTTACTGTAGATTGCTGGGGCCAAAAATTTGTAGATCAAGGATTACTGTAATATTATTTTTGAACTACAGTACTTCAATTGGATTACTGTAGAAAGAAGAACAAGCATTTCTAGATTCGAAAAGTACAGTAACCTACAGTAGAATATATTGATCTACCATAACATTACAGTACTTATTATGTGGTTACTGTAGATCAAAATTTCTGGAATCTACAGTACTTCAAAAAATGTTAAGATACAGTAATCTTTTGATCTACAAAATTTGAAAATTCCAAATTTTCGGCCCAAAATCTACAGTAATCCTAGGCTTGTTTAGTGTCAAAAAACCGCAAATTTCGAGATTAACATGAGCAATGCCTCAAAACTCTTCATTTAACAATTAGTATTACACAAATTACAAGATTTAGCGCAATATTGTTTGCGTTGGGTGCAATTGTAGAATGTATTGGTGCAGAATCCATTTTTGACCCAATTCACACAGCTGAAACAATTGGTACAGTATGACACAGGTGACACGTGGCACACACGCGTTTTTGACCTACTTTGACGCGCTATCCACACACGGTGTGTTGGGTTTGGTGGTCGTCAATTTTGGTCCACAGAATCCGCAAGTTTTGTCGCATTTTCTGCAAAAAATTTAAATTTTGGCGCCAAAATCTACAGTAATCCTGGGCTTGTTTGGTGTCAAAAAACGTGGATTTTTGAGGAGCTACAGTAATCTACCGTACCCCGACAAAAGTGGCTTGTAGTTTGGATCACTGCATTGCGAAATGTAGAGTTGACAGTTGACGCCGGAGGCGTCTTGACAAATTGCGGCTGGAAAAAATTTTGATCTACAGTATCTACAGTAACCCTAGGCTCATTTGGTGTCCAAAAACGTGGATTTTCCAGCTACAGTAACCTTTGATTTACAGTACTCACTGGTTGTTGGCACAGTTACAGTAGTCGAACTATCCACAGCCGCTGCCAAGCCAAAAATCAGCGAGAAAATTAGGAATTTTTGCATTTTAAGGTCTTTAAGATCTTAACGTCCTTAAGGTCTCTAGGGTCATATTTATACCAGTTTTTATCGCAATTTTTTGAATTTTCGAATAGTTAATCCGTTTTTTGTGTGGGTTTACCCCCAGGGAGGAAGTGCCCGAAAAATCATCATTTTTGTGCTTTTGAGCACAAAATAATCTCTAGTTTTACCCTACGCTAAGACCTTAAGAAGCTTAGCTGTAGGCGTCAAACTAGACAATTTTTTCTGGCAAACGATTTTTTTTGATCCACAAAATTTGGAAATTCCAAAATTATGGCCCTACAGTAACCCTAGGCTTGTTTGGTGTCAAAAAACGTGGTTTTTTCAGTGCTACAGTATGCCTTGAAAGCTACAGTAACCTCTGATCTACGAAATTCGAATTTTTGGAGCCAGAAATTCCTTATCTCAAGTTGCATCACCTTGAAAATCATCAAAAAAAAATGAAAATAATCCGATTTTTCCCCCCCCCAAAAAAAATTCCTGATATCACAAAAATCACTATTTTCCCCGAGAAAAAGAGCCAGAAAATGCTCATTTTTGGGCTCGAAATTTGGTTTTTCTTCGGGCTGAAATTAATTTCAGCAGGCCCGGTGGCTGACAAAGTCACCGATTTGCCCGGGCTCACTTTTCAACCGGATTTCGAACATTATTCTGGGTATTTGGCGGCGAGTTCCAGTCGATTTTTTCATTATTGGTGAGTAGTACTGTAGCTGGAAAAAATCCACGTTTTTTGACACCAAACAAGGCTCGGGTTACTGTAGATTTTGGGGCCAGAAATTTGGAATTTTGTGGATCAAATGATAATCCTGTTTTTTTACATTGAAAATTGTACATTGCTCATGTTAGTCTAGGATTACTGTAGCTGGAAAGAATCCACGTTTTTTGACACCAAATAAGCCTAGGGTTACTGTAGATTTTTTTGGGGGCCGAAAATTTGGAATTTCGAAATTTTGTAGATCAAAGATTACTGTAGCACTGGAAAAAATCCACGTTTTTTGATACCAAATAGGCCTAGGGTTACTGTAGGTCCGAAAATTTGGAATCTCAAAATTTTGATCCACCAAAAAAAACTCCAATAGGATTACTGTAGCAAATCCACGTGGCCAAAACAATTTTGCAAAATTCAAAAATTGTTTTTATTCTGTCTAGACCCCTGGGAACCCGCATGTCCCTTTAAAAACCAGGCCCAAAATCCGAATTTTCAATCTGAAAAATGCAATTTTGGCGGCTACCGTACTCCAATTAATCGTGGCGGGACCAATTGGGAAGAGTACTGTAGCTCCAAGTTTTTATAAGATGAGCAATGATCATGCTAACAGGAAAATTGAATGATTTTTAATGAATTTTTGAGCATTTTTTGATCTACAGTAATCCTAGGCTTTTTGGGTATCAAAATACGTCAAATTTTGCGGTTAACATGAGCAATGCTTGCAAAAATCTTCATTTTTAACAATTATAATAGCACATATTACAAGATTTAGCGCAATATTGCTTGCGTTGAGCGCAAGAGTACATTGTATTGGTGCAGAATCCATTTTTGACCCAAATCACACAGCTGAAACAATAGCTACAGTAAGAATTCCACGTGGCACGACCTACTTTTGTGAATTATCCACACATGACGCAGGAGATGGTGTAGAAATGATTGGGCCACAGTATCCGCAAGTTTTGTCGCATTTTCTGCAAAAAACGTGGATTTTTGAGCGAGCTACAGTAATCTACCGTACCCCTCCAAAAGTGGAATATATTTCGGATCGTAGCATTGACCGATGTATTGTTGACAATCGATTCCGGCTTCGTCGTGGCAATACGTGGCGGCTGGGGGAAAAATTTGAATTTTTTTGGCGCCAAAATTTTGATCTACAGGCTTATTTAGCTACAGTAATCTTTGATCTACAGAATTTGAAAATTCCAAATTTTCGGCCCTAAAATCTACAGTAATCCTAGGCTTGTTTGGTGTCAAAAAACGTGGATTTTCCAGCGCTACAGTAATCTTTTTGGCGCGAAAACTCACTGGTTGTTCCAGTAGTTCGAAAGGGATCTACAGTAGTGGTTGAATCATAAGCCAAACCCAAAACTAATAAGGCAAAAAATACGAATATTTGCATTTTTAGGAGAATTTCTTAAGGTTCTTAAGGCCCTTAGGGTCGTATTTATATTTTTTTTTATCAAGAAAAAAAAAACCGGGAAAATAATCCGCTTATTTTTCCTAGGGGGGAAGAGGGGTTTTTCGAACAAAAAATCCTCTTTTACCCTAAGAACCTTAAGGGTTACTGTAGATTTTGGAATTTCCATATTTTGTAGATACTGTAGCTGGAAAAAATCCACGTATTTTGACACCAAATAAGCCTAGGATTACTGTAGGGTTTAACATGAGCAATCATTTGACACGTGGCAAAATCTACAGTAACCCCAAGCATGTTTGGTCTCAAAATACGTGGATTTTCAAGTACAGTAATCCTTGATCTACAAAAGTTGAAAATTCCAAATTTTGGCCCCAAAATCTACAGTAACCCTAGGCTTATTCGGACTCAAAAAACGTGGATTTTCACAGGCTCACCGAATCCTCGCAAAACGCCTCAACAGCTCCACTTGTCCTCTGGCTCAACGGCGGGCCGGGCTGCTCAAGCCTAGACGGCCTGATTGAAGAGTTGGGCCCGTTCAAAATCGACAATTTCGGGCAAAACGTCGTGTACAATCCGTGGTCGTGGAACAAATTTGCGAATGTGCTGTTTTTGGAATCGCCAGCTGGCGTGGGATTTAGTTATAGCTTGGGTGAGATTTTTTTGGGCTGAAATTCTGAAAATTTTTGAGATTCTTCTGGAAATTCTACGTTTTTTGACACCCAACAAGCCTAGGGTTACTGTCGATTTTGGGGCCAAAAATTTGGAATTTCAAATTTTGTAGATCAAAATTATACTGTAGCTAAAAATTCCACGTTTTTTGACACCAAACAAGCCTAGGGTTACTGTAGATCAAAAAATGTTCGAAAAATTCATTAAAAATCATTCAATTTTCCTGTTAGCATGATCAATGCTCATCTTATAAAATCCTGGAGCTACAGTACTCTTCCCAATTGGTCCCGCCACGATTAATTGGAGTACGGTAGCCGCCAAAATTGCCATGGTGAAAAAGAAGAATTGCATTTTTCAGATTGAAAATTTGAATTTTGGGCCTGGTTTTTAAAGGGACATGCGGGTTCCCAGGAGACTAGACCCAATAAAAATATTTTTGGATTTTGCAAAAATATTTTTGGCCACGTGGATTTGATTTTTTTTGACACCGAATGAGCCTAGGGTTACTGTAGATTTTGGTGCCAAAATTTCGGAATTTTTAAAAATTGCAGATCAAGGATTACTGTAGCTCAAAAATCCACGTTTTTGACACCGAATAAGCCTAGGGTTACTGTAGATTTTGGGGCCAAAAATGTGGAATTTGAAATTTTTGTAGATCAAGGATTACTGTACTTGAAAATCCACGTTTTTAGACACCAAATAAGCCTAGGGTTACTGTAGGGTTTGGCGCCAAAAAATGAATTTTCAAAATTTTTGTAGATCAAAATTATACTGTAGCTCAAAAATCCACGTTTTTTGACACCCAACAAGCCTAGGGTTACTGTAGTTTTCAAATTTTCGTAGATCAAATAATCATCTAGATTTTTTTTTGGAATTTTTGATCTACAGTAATCACATGACGATTTGGAGTACTGTAGTTCAATATAAAAAAAAATCCACGTGGATTTTCACGAGCTACAGTACCCCTAAATTGTTTTTTGATAAGAAATTTCTGCAAAAATATTACTGTAGCTCAGGATTACTGTAGCTTCCAGATTTTTTATATCAAATTTTGCTCATATTAAACTATTTTTCATCAAAAATAGCTTGAAATTCATGGAATTTCATGAAAAATTCGAAACATTGCTCATATTAGCACATTTTTTATCAGATTTTTTTTTTGCAGATGGCAACACTACAGTAGCCGATGATGATGTCTCACTTCAAAACTACAATGCTCTCCTATCATTCCTCGTCAAATTTCCCGAATACCGTAGTCGTGACCTATTTCTGACCGGCGAATCCTACGCCGGTGTTTATATTCCAACTTTGGCTGTGAGAATTTTGGGGGACCCGAATAATTTTCCGAATTTCCGGGGAGTCGCAATTGGGAATGGTGCCCTCGATTTTCCGAATAACTATAATACGATGGTACCGTTGTATTATTGGCATGGAATTGTGAGAGATGGGTGAGTTTTTGGGCTAGAAAATGGTATTTTTTGGATTTTTGTGAGTTCTAGATGTGAAATTCGGATTCCTCGTGAAATTTCGAGTTTTTAGACACCCATATTCATATATTTTGATAAAATTTTGAAAAAAAGGCCTTTTTTGGGCCTTATAGGCCCTATATTAAATTTTCATCAAAACTATATACTTATGGGTGTCTAGAAACTCGAAATTTCACCAGAAACCTGAAAATCACCACCCTGATATCCGAAATTGTCTAGAAAATCGAGTTTCACATCTGTAGACTTCGAAAAATCTTAAAATTCTCATGAAACTTTGGATTTTTAAAATTTCTAAGAAGTTTGATGTAGAAATTTGGATTCCTTGTGAAATTTCGAGTTTTTAGACACCCATATTCATAAATTTCTGAGCACTTTTAGTTTTGGGACCATTGAGCCCTCAGAAGTGCTATTTTTTGAAAATCATCAAAACTATACACATTTGGGTGTCTAAAAACTCGAAATGTCACGGGGAATCCGAATTTCGAGGTCCTAGTTGCTGAAAATGTCAAAAATCCCAAGTTTCATGAAATTTTAATTTTATATCAAAAATATGAAACACGATTTTCTAGAAGATTTCAAATGTTCTTACGGCGATTTTCGGATTCGCCGTGAAATTTCGAGTTTTTAGACACCCATATTCATATATTTTGATCAAAGAGCACTTTTCAGGGCTCAATGGTCCCAAAACTAAAAGTTATCAAAACAATACACATTTGGGTGTCTAGAAAACCGAAATTCCACGGGGAATCCGAATTTTGTGGTCCGAGTTGCTGAAAATGTCAAAAATCCCAATTTTCATGAAAAATTTAAATTTTCAGTGAACCAAAAGCATGAAACACGATTTTCTAGAAGATTTTGGATGTTGGGATAGTGATTTTTGAATTTCTCGTGAAATTTCGAATTTTTAGACATCCATATTCATATATTTTGATCAAAGAGCACTTTTCAGGACTCAATGGTCCCAAATCTAAAAGTTATCAAAACTATACACATATGGGTGTCTAGAAAACCGAAATTCCACGGGGAATCCGAATTTTGTGGTCCGAGTTGCTGAAAATGTCAAAAATCCCAATTTTCATGAAAAATTTAAATTTTCAGTGAACCAAAAGCATGAAACACGATTTTCTAGAAGATTTTGGATGTTGGGATGGTGATTTCTGAATTTCTCGGGAAATTTCGAGCTGTTAGACACCCATATGTATGGTTTTGATGAAATTTTGAAAAAAAACCCTAATTTAGGGCCTTAAGGTCTCAAAACTAAAAGTTATCAAAACTATATGAATATGGGTGTCTAAAGACTCGAAATTTCACGGGGAATCCGAATTTCGAGGTCCTAGTTGCTGAAAATGTCAAAAATCCCAAGTTTCATGAAATTTTAATTTTATATCAAAAATATGAAACACGATTTTCTAGAAGATTTCAAATGTTCTTACGGCGATTTTCGGATTCGCCGTGAAATTTCGAGTTTTTAGACACCCATATTCATATATTTTGATCAAAGAGCACTTTTCAGGGCTCAATGGTCCCAAAACTAAAAGTTATCAAAACAATACACATTTGGGTGTCTAGAAAACCGAAATTCCACGGGGAATCCGAATTTTGTGGTCCGAGTTGCTGAAAATGTCAAAAATCCCAATTTTCATGAAAAATTTAAATTTTCAGTGAACCAAAAGCATGAAACACGATTTTCTAGAAGATTTTGGATGTTGGGATGGTGATTTCTGAATTTCTCGGGAAATTTCGAGCTGTTAGACACCCATATGTATGGTTTTGATGAAATTTTGAAAAAAAACCCTAATTTAGGGCCTTAAGGTCTCAAAACTAAAAGTTATCAAAACTATATGAATATGGGTGTCTAAAGACTCGAAATTTCACGGGGAATCCGAATTTCACTATTAGAACTATGAAAAATCTTGTTTTCCAGCCTCTACACCCAAATCACCGCTCATTGCTGTGGTGGAAACATCGAAACGTGCCCAATCTTCGACAGATTTCAAGATCAAGTATGCCGTGAGATGATAATTTCAGAACTTGATGCAACTAATGAGCTGAACATGTATAATTTATATGATGTTTGTTATTATTCACCAAGTGGAGCTGGAAAAAGAGCACATATTGAGAGATTTTTCCGGAGGATTAATGGGCTCCCGCAACGAAAGACTGTGAAGGTATTAGGCTCTGAAATCGAAAAATTTGAATTTCCCGCAAAAATTTACCCCGGGAAGTTGGAAAATTCAAATTTTGCTCATTTTTGGATGAAAATTTGAATTTTTCAACTTCCCGGGATCAATTTTAGCGGGAAATTTGAATTTTAATAAAATTTAAAGGAACATACCATATCTTCACAAGTACCTCTATGTGCTCAAACCAATAACACCTATATTTATTTGAATCGCGCGGATGTTCGGAAATCATTGCATATTCCGAGCAGTGTGCAAGTTTGGCAAGAGTGTAGGTGAGCATTTTTGAAGTTTCGGACCGCGAAATTCGGATTCCCTGTGAAATTTCGAGTTTTTAGACACCCATATGTTGATGGTTTTGATAACTTTTAGTTTTGAGACCTTAAGGCCTTAAATTAGGGTTTTTTCAAAACTATATGAATATGGATGTCTAGAAGCTCAAAATTTCACGAAAAATTCAAAAATCAACATAGCTGGATCGAAAATCTGCTAGAAAATCGGTTTTTGGTTCACTGAAAATTTTAAAAATTTATGAAACTTGGAATTTTTGAAATTTTCAGCAACTAGGACCTCGAAATTCGGACTCCCCGTGAAATTTCGAGTTTTTAGACACCCATATGTTGATGGTTTTATTGATTTTCAGAAAAGAGCATTTTTGAGGGCTCAATGGTCCCAAAACTCAAAATTCTCAGAACTATATGAATATGGGTGTCTAAAAACTCGAAATTTCACAAAAAATTCAAAAATCACCATCCCAACATCCAAAATTTTCTGATTTTCCAGCGACGACGTCGGAAATCACTACAAAGTCACACATTTCAACGTGATTCCCGAATTTCAAGCTCTAATCGCTGCTAAAAAACGCATTTTGGTGTATAATGGAGATGTTGACACGGCGTGTAATGTGATTATGAATCAACAATTTTTGACATCGTTGAATTTGACGATTAAGGTGAGTTTTGACGGGAAAAATGATCGATTTTCAGTCGAAAATTGAGATTTTTGAAATTTTCAGAAAATCTGAGTTAGAAATTCAGATTCCTCATGAAATTTGGAGTTTTTAGACACCCATATGTATATAGTTTTGAAAATTTTTGAAAATGAGCCCTTTTGAGCTCACAATGGTCCCAAAGTTAAAAGTTATCAGAACTATATGCATATGGGTGTCTAAAAGCTCGAAATTTCACAGGGAATCTGAAAATTAGGGCCAGAGCCTCTGAAATTTTCAAAAATCCGAGGTTTCATGAGATTTTCACAAGTCTCGAGACGTAAAATTCGATTTTCTAGACAATTTTGGATGTTAGGATGGTCTTTTTTGAGTTCCTGGTGAAATTTTGAGTTTTTAGACACCCATATGTTAAAGGTTTTGATGAATTTTGAAAATGAGCACTTTTCAGGGCTCAATGGTCCCAAATCTGAAATTTAGCATAACTATATACATATGGGTGTCCAAAAACTCGAAATTTTACGGGGAATTCGAATTTCGCCATGGGGACTCTTAGAAAACCACCACATTCCCACTTTTAATATCAGGAGAGCTCGAAAATATGCTTTTTTCAAAATTTCTCAAACCCCTATGATAATGGGCATCAAAATGTTCCAAATTTCACCAGGAATCCAAAATTTCTACTAATTTCCAGGGCGAAGCAGTTGTGAATGTTCCATGGCGCTACCCAGGTCAAACTGGCACAGCAGTCGCCGGTTTTCAGACAAACTACGTGGAAAACGTGGATTTTTTGACAGTTCGTGGAAGTGGACATTTTGTGCCCGAAGACAAGCCGAGAGAATCACAACAAATGATTTATAATTTTTTGAAACAGCGCGATTTTTCGAGTCCTATTGATTTTTAGACAAAATTTTCACTAAAACCTTCATAAAATCATTAGTTTTCAATATTTTTCAAAAATCTCTGAACCATTCTGAAGAACGTGTCCTAAGCTTTATTTTTCTAATTTACACCAACTTCTGAGCTCTGCTCCTAAGATCTGAAAAAATTGATTTTTGCTCAAAAAAATATATTTTTTTTGAACATTTTCAAAGTTTTATTGGTACAAAGTAAGGTAAGGTAAGTAAGTAAGTGAAGCAAAAATTAAAGCACAAAAAAAACAGCAAAAAAGAACACGCATGATGAAAAAACCCTTAAAAACAGGCAAGAAAAGAGCTACAGAAAAAAAATGAGCAAAAAAAAATTTCAAATTCAAAAAAAATCAATAACCGGGGCGAAAAAAACATCATGGTGTTGAAAAATTCAAATATTTTGTCGAGCCGGAGCCCCCGGGGGGCCACCGCGACCAATTCGGACCGCATTGACGTGGATCTCGCGGTGACGTGCGTTACGGTGACGATATCCCTCTTCGACGCTTCGAGCCATCTGAAAATTGTATTTTCTCGAGTTCTAGATGTGATTTTCGAATTCCTGGTGAAATTTCGAGTTTTTAGACATCCATATTCATATATTTCTGAAAAAAGCCCAATTTGGCCCCCTTCAGGCCTGAAAATCAAATTCCTCAAAACCATATGAATATGGGTGTCTAAAAACTCGAAATTTCACGAGTAATCCAAATTTGCAAGTCAGAATTGTTAGAATTCTCAAAAATCCGAGGTTTCATAAATTTCGGGGATTTTTAAAAGTTTCAAAGAATGAAACCCGAGATTCTAGAAGATTCTAGATGCTTTCATGGTGATTTTCAATTTCCTGGTGAAATTTGGAGTTTTTAGACACCCATATTCATATATTTCTGAAAAAAGCCCAATTTGGCCCCCTTCAGGCCTGAAAATCCAATTCCTCAAAACCACATGAATAAGGGTGTCTAAAAACTCGAAATTTCATTAGGAATTCGAAAATCACCATTTAAGCCTCTAAAATCTTCTAGAAAATCGAGTTTCACGTTGTTGAAATTTTGACAATTTCTGAAAATTTATGAAACTTGAGATTTTTGAAGTTTTCAGAGGCTGAGACCGTTTTTATTGAATTCCTGGTGAAAATTCGTGTTTTTAGACACCCATATGTATATATTTTGGTAAAAATTTGAAAAAAAGCCCTAAACTAGGGCCTTAAGGTTCCAAAATTAAAATTTATCAAAACTATATACATATGGGTGTCCAAAAACTCGAAATTTCACGGAGATTCCGAATTTTCAACTCACGGAGCCCCAAATTAAACGTACCTTGCGAAAAATTGGATAAAATTGGTAGGCCAAAAGAAAGATGAGGCAAATGGAGAAGAAAAGGATGAGAATTTGAATTGGGTTGATTTGATCCGAATTTTCCAGAATTTCCCGTTTTTCTAGTTGCAATTCCTGTTGAATTATCAAATTTTCAGATTCCGGAGAGGTATCTCCCATTATGAAACTGTACACAACATCCGTCTTGATCTCTGCAAAAAAAAAATTTTAATTTTTTCCTTCCGCTTTCACTCACGATCAAAATTGTCTGTGAACGTGATGTTTTCCTTAATATGAGCAATGTCGCGTGTATTTTGAAGGCTTGGATGGTCTTCCATGAGAGAAGTTGAGCAATCTGTCATGACTTCTGCAATGAAAATTGAATTTTTGCGGTCTGAGAGTGAGAAATTCGAATTCCTCGTGAAATTTGGAGTTTTTAGACACCCATATTCATATGGTTTTGATGAATTTTTGTTTTGGGACCTTAAGGCCTTAATTTAGGGCTTTTTTCAAAATATATGAATATGGGTGTCTAAAAACTCGAAATTTCACCAGGAATTCAATGAAATTGGTCCTAGCTTCTGAAAACTTTAAAAATATCAAGTTTCATGAAATTTAAAAACTTTTTACTGGATGAAAAACATGAAAACTGGGTTTCTAGAAGAATTTGAGTGTTGGGATGGTGATTTTTGAATTCCCCGTGAAATTTGGAAAATCCACGAAACTCCCAATTTCAGGGCTCAATGGTCCGAAATTCATGAATTTCTTCCAAAACCATATCAAAATGGGTATCAAAATGCTCCAAATTCCCCGCGGAGCTCACATTTCGGACTTACCATAACTGATAATCTCGCCTTTGCCATTTTTGGTCAAAATCTTAACAATGATGCAAGCATCATCGCATTTGACTCGCAAAAATTTGCCCTTTGAGCAGTCCAATCCTTTCATGTTCGGAATTCCCAATTGGCGGCCGATATCTGTGTTTTGATAGAGAGCTGCGAATTTTGGCTGGAAAAATTGGGGTTGATTTTGTGGAGAATTTCAAGAGCTACAAAATGAGCCTAAATTCAATTTTTTGAAAATTTCAGATTTTGGCTGAAACTGAGAAGCTCTGAAATTTTCAAAAACTAAGTTTAGGCTCATTTTGAAGCTCTTGGAATTCTCTACAAAATGATCCGAAAATTCCGCGCGGAAAGCATGCGGAAGCCTTGCGGAAAACTCACAAAATCCTTATCCATACACGCGTTGCAAATCTGATACGTTTTGATTCCATCCGGTTCCATCCGGATTGGTGTACTTCTCGCGGAGGAGAGCAAAACCAGCATCGCCCATCTGCAAAAAATTTGAATTTTGGCGCGAAAATTTCCCGCCAAAAATTAATGATGATGACGTGGCAAACATTTTGGCGCCAAAAGTTAAATTTGAAAAAAAAAAATTTTTTTTTGAGTTTCAATTTTTTGGCGCCAAAAATATTTGATAACGTGGCGAAATTTTAGCGCCAAAACTTACAGTAACCAGGCGATTTGTCCCAAATTCAATTTCATTTCGTCGAAATTTTTCGCAAAAAAATGACGAAAAGCTGAAAAAATTGGAAAAATGTAATAAAATTTCAACACAGGAAAATGAGATTTTTTATTAAATTTTTGAAAAAAAGGGGCGGAGCCTAGAAATTGCAAGAAAAATTTTGAATTTTAGTGGATATTCGATGACGTGGCATTTTTGGCGGGAAAATTCAAAAATTCAAAAAATTTCAAAATTCAGCTTGGGGTGCTCCTTTAAGAAAATTAAAAAAAAATTTTTTTTTCTTAAAGGAACCCTCCACGTGGCATTTTTGGCGGGAAAATTCAAAAATTCAAAAAAAATTTCAAAATTTAGCTGGGGGTGCTCCTTTAAGGAATTTTCGAAAAAAATTTGAATTTTAAAATTTTGGCGCCAAAACCGATGACGTGGCATTTTTGGCGGGAAAATTCAAAAATTCAAAAAAAAAATTAAAATTTAGCTGGAGGTGCTCCTTTAAGAAAAAAAAATTTTTTTCTTAAAGTAGCACTCCACGTGGCATTTTTGGCGGGAAAATTCAAAAAATTCAAAAAATTTTAAATTTAGCTTGGGGTGCTCCTTTAAGAAAATAAAAAAATTTTTTTTTTTCTTAAAGGAACCATCCACGTGGCATTTTTTGGCGCGAAAATTCTAAAATTCAAAAAATTTCAAAATTTAGCTTGGGGTGCTCCTTTAAGAAATTTTTTTTTTTCTTAAAGGAACCCTCCACGTGGCATTTTTGGCGGGAAAATTCAAAAAATTCAAAAAAAAAAAAAATCAAAATTTAGCTGGGGGTGCTCCTTTAAGAAAATTAAAAAAAAAATTTTTTTTCTTAAAGGAACCTTCAACGTGGCATTTTTGGCGCGAAAAAACCGTCTGGCCTAAAAATTTTCTAAAAACCAAATGTCTATAGCGAAAAGAGGAAAAAAGTGGGCGGGGCCTAAAAACCAAGCGAGCGAGAGAGTACACAGACTTGAGAGAGTGCAGAGAAAAACACCTTTTTTTCAGTTTCCCATCAACTACAGTAATCCTGACTCTAGAAAAATAAAAAGGTTAAGTAAATAAAAACCGGACAGGGAAAAATGGGCACTACAGTAATCCTGGGGCACATTTGGGACCAAAATTCAAAATTTTCAGATAAAAATAGGCCTAACATGAGCAATAGACCAAAAATACAGGTAAAATAGGTTTTTAGAAGACACTACAGTAATAAACTATAGTCTAGTTTGAGAAAAACCCAGAAAAAACAGAAAAAGTTCCCAAAAAAAAAAATATTGGCCAGCTGCCAAAAATTTCTCGGCGTCTTTTTTTTCTGTTTCGCGCGCGCAGAAAAAAAAGAAAAAAAAGTGCACTTTTATTTTTTGGCGCGAAAATTTTGGATTCAAAAATTTTCAAAAAATTGTCCAAATCAGCTGGGGATTACTGTAGTTCAAAAAATTGTCCAAATCAAAAAATTGTAGATTTTGCTCAAAAAATTTGTATTCACATGAAAAATCAATAAAAATAGCTCAAAAATAACAAGAGATCAAAAAATTAAGGGAAAAAGCGTTAAGGAAAAATTAGGGGAGAAAAATTTGAAAAAAATGGGTTAAAAAATGGGATTTCAGGTCAAAAAATGGGATTTTCAGCAAATTTCAGGTCAAAATTCATGATTTTCAGCGAATTTTGGCTTAAAATTCACCATTTTTGATAAATTTTAGCTCAAAATCCACCATTTTGGTGCAATTTTTGGCGCCAAAAAAGTGGGCGTGGCCTAGAACCACGGATGATAGGTTGGTGGCATTCTGGCCAAATGGTCCGTATTTTTGGCACGCGCAATTTTTGAGACAATATCGTCGCGGCGAATCCGCGCGTCTGCCGCATTCGTATTTTCCAATTTTTTGGTGATTCCATTGACATAGGTGTTGGTGGCGTGGCAAACGTAGATCTGCACAAAAAAATTGAAATTTTCGGGATTGCTCATGTTAAATTTCAGCTTTTTCTTGAAATTTGGAGCATTTTGAGACCTCATGAGCTTATTTTAGATGAAAATCTAAAAAATTAACATGAGCAACGCTGAAAAATTAGATTTTTGAGCTCAATGAAGCGCACTTGCTGATTTTTGAGTGAAAATTCGAATTTTCTTAGTCCCAGGCCCAAAATTCACCATTTTTCATGATTTTCAGCTGAAAATTACTAAAATTTCATGAAAAATCCGATTTTTGGTGGCCCAAGGCTAAAAATTTGCGAAAAATTCAAATTTTTATGAAAATTAGGCTTGTGGGATGTCTTTCGACTCCAAATTTGATGAAAAAATCGAAAATTTCATGAAAAATTCAATTCTCAACACCCTGGGCTCAAATTTGAGCATTTTTCTAGGAATCTGGCTCAAAATGACCGAAATTTCACGAAAAATCCAATTTTCAAGGTCCCAGGCTTAAAATTCACTATTTTTCATGAATTTTAGTTCAAAATGACTGAAATTTCATGAAAAATCTAATTTTCAAGGTCCCAGGCTCAAAATTGAGCATTTTTCATGAATTTTGGCTCAAAATCAGTGAAAACTTCAATTTTCAAGGTCCCAGGCTCAAAATTGAGCATTTTTAATGATTTCTGGCTCGAAAAAGACCCTAACTTCTTATTTTAATGGTCCCTGGCTCAAAATTGAGCATTTTTCATGATTTCTGGCTCAAAATGATCCAAAATTCATGAAAAATCCAATTTTGATGGTCCCTGGCTCAAAATGGAGCATTTTTCCCCAAATTTTCGCCCCCAAAACCTCTCACCTTCGAATCGCCATCAACATTATCCACAAATTCATCCCAAATCAACGGTTTCAACAGCACATCCATCTGTTTTCTCCACAAACACCGTGCAGTCGCAGCCATACTCCAATGCAAATCTCCATCTTGTGCAACACCGACAAAAGTGGCGAAATTCGGTGTCAATCGAAATGGCACTTCATGCGTCATATTTTTATCGACTTCGGCTAACTTGGTGCCTTTGGGTGGCATTTCAAAGCAATAATTCGAGTTGTGCAAAGTTCCGATATTTGCTGTTATCAGGATTTCGTCGATTGTCATTGGTGTTAAATTGCAATGAGTTTCGATGACTGAATTCACTGCCAAACTATGGATAAATTGTTTTCGGAACATGAAATACATTGTTTTATCCGGATATCTCATCATAAAATAATCGTAGAGAATTCGATTTGGAACCACGTCACGAAGGAAATCTCTGTAACGAAAAAATTAGGGGATTGCTCATGTTAAGATTTGATTTTTAAATGAAATTTGGGTCATTTTGATACCTCACAAGCCTAATTTTGATAGAAAATTCACCATTGCTCATGTTTGTTTTATTTTTCGGGGATTGCTCATGTTAATTCTCGAATTTTTCCACAAATTGAGCTTGTGGAACGTTTTTAAGGATGTTCGGGATTGCTCATATTATTTATTTTGTTTATGGAATATTTCTAGTTTAATTCCCTTGAATCCAGCTTTTTTCAAGGTTGCTCATGTTAAATTTTGAAAAAATCGAAATTCTGATCATTTTGAAACCTCACAAGCCTAGATTTTATCAAAAATTCACCATTGCTCATGTTACTAGGAAATTCCAGTATTTTTCATGGTTGCTCATGTTAAACTTCAGATTTTTGTGAAATTCATCTTTTTGAAACCTCACAATCCTATTTTCAATGAACAATTCAAATTTCCCGCCAAAATTGACTTGAAAAATTCAAATTTTCATTCAAAAATTGTCAAACGCGCTCCATTGAGACTTTTGGCGGGTTCTGAGGATTTTTAAGCGTAAAATAGCTTAATATGAGCAATCATGTTGTCACCTATATCATTCTCCCCCAAATTTCATGAAAAATCCAAAAATTCAGCATTGCTCATGTTAATTTTCAAAATTTCTCGCACCAAGAAAAAAAAACTTTTTGCACTTCATAAAAGTGCATTTTTTCCACTCGCGGGACACTTTTTTTGTTTTCCAAAATTGTAAAGAATCGAGAAATAGTATAGAAATTTGAGAGAGTGCAGAGAAATGCAGGTGTTGTTCACCATTCAACAAAAATATAAAAAAGTGTTTATCTTAATTTTTCGCGAAATTTGATGAAGAGGGGTCAAACTTTGGGGAAAAATGGGGAAATTTTCTGAATTTTTCAAATAATTCTCGAATTAACATGAGCAATGAGCAGAAAAATGCTCGATTTTCTCCCGGGCAATTTTACGTTTCAAATTTTAAATGTATTTTGGGGGATTTTTGGATTTTTGATACAACTAGGACAAGTTTACGGCCAAAAAATTCAATTTTCAATAAAACATAGGCTTTTAGAGCCCAAATTTAGTGCAATTTCAGTGGTCCCAAGCTCAAAATCCATCAATTTTCACGATTCAGAGCTCATTTTGGCTCAAAAATTCTGAGATACTCAAATTTCAGCGAAATTAGGCCTATGGAACCCAAATTCTATGAAAAATCCAATTTTCATGGTCCCAAGGTCAAAATTGAGCATTTTTAATACTATTTGACTGAAAACGACCCAAATTTCACGAAAAATCCAATATTTATGGTCCTTGAGTCAAAAATGAGCGTTTTTCATGATTCAGAGCTCATTTTGGCTCAAAAATCTTGAGAAACTCAATTTTCGATCAAAATTAGGCTTGTGTGGTGTTTTTAGAGCCCAAATTTCATGAAAAATTCCAATTTTGATGGTCCCCAGGTCAAAATTAGCCATTTTTCATGATTTTTGGCTCAAACTTGACTGCAAATCATGAAAAATCTAATTTTCTATCAAAATCAGGCTTGTGGGGTGTTTTTCGAGCCCAAATTTCATGAAAAATCCAATTTTCAGCTCAAAATCTCCCCAAAAACCCACTCAAAAATAATATGTCGAATATGATATTGCTGTTGATTTTGTTGATAAGTATTCTCAGCCGTAGGCGGTGGAATAGACTTGGCCGATTCACCAAATCGCTCATAAAACATTCGAATAATATCATCCGGTGATCCGATTCCTTCAATTCCACCCATAAAATAGTCATTCAAAATATCGATTGGATGAACAATTTCGACTTGATCAGCGAGATTTGAGATTCCACATTCGGGTGGAGAAACAAACGGCTGAAAATTGAGAATTTCTAGAAAAAATCCGGTGAAAATTGATGAATTTTGAGCATTTTCTCATAGAAAACTTGAAATTTGATAATTTTAAATTTAAAAAAAAACCAGAAGGGCTACGCCGGCTAACGCCGGCTCCTCCTTCTGGATTGTCCCGGCTTCGCGCTCAGTTTTTTTTATAGGTATAAAGTTTTTTCAACGGTTTGATTCTTGAAAACCGTGCCAATTGAAACAGGTGGAATGGCGGTTCCCGAGACGTGCAAAATTGAACTAAATCTCCCCGCCGTATTTTTTCATCTATGAAAATAATTTGCAGGCAAAGCTCAATCTGAAATCTGTTGCAGAGAAATACACTGTGTTTTTTTCTAATAGAAAAATGCAATTTCGAGGAGACGCAGACACTCGCTGGTCTCGACACGATGTGTGTCTGCCACACACTATTTCTCTCCCTTTTTCGACGAGAGATTTGTCTGCGCACGTTAAAGTCTGCGTCTCCCTCGAATTGCAAAAATAATACAGTGAATATTTCCCTGAAATCGTCTAAAAATACGACAAAGTCACACATAAAAAGGGTCCCCATAATCGGGGTGAGGGTCTTAATTTTTCTCAAAAATCTAAAGGGAAGGGTATCTAACTTGACCTAATAATTAATAATGCTAATAATTCATCAAAATTCCCAGATTAATACAAAAATTGCGCAAAAATGAGATGAAGGGGGGTTAACTTTGAAATTTTTTTAAAGCCCTCTCACTGAAACTCTAACTGAAAAATTTTGCTCGGGGGATCTATTTTATGTATGGACAAAGTTGTCAATTTTGAAAAATTAAGAAAGATTTCCACGAAGTTTCAATTTCACTGGTTAGGAATCATTGTCTCAAGTGTTTAATTTTTGACTCTAAAAGTGGGCTATCGAGTTCGTAGGTTTTTAGTGTACTGTAGATTTTAGGTTTTTGAAATTCAAAATTCGAGCATGAAAAATATTTCTTTGGAAAGTCTTGAAATCCTTTTTTCAATGACTTTCATTTTTTTGATATTGAACATCTAATTATATAGTTTTCAAAACCTCCTTTTTCGTCAATACTCCTTATTTCTTCTGAAAACCTCTCTTTTTTCCAAAAACCTTTCTTCTGATCGAAACCCCACAGAGTAATTTACTATCGAAAAAATATCAAGAATTTTTTGAGACCTGACATGAATTTAGGGGTGGGACAAAAAATATATGGAATCAACTCAAAAAATGAATGATTCAGAGAAAAATTATTCTCCTTTTTTGTACTTTTTTTCATTCGAATACAAATTTTTTACCTCCGTCTCAAAAACTAAACCACAACATTTTGAGTTCCAATAATTTCTATCGAGAGAGTTAAAAAAAAACAACATTTAATGGTTGTCCGAAAGTTATCCTACATGTTTATTTCTCCGGTGGTTCTCTGCCTTATTTTCTGAGTAAGCTTCTATGTTTAATCCGAAAATATAAGAGCTGTGGAAGAGAAAACCAAAATAGACTACGCCACCCTTTGATTTTTTCATTGAAATAGGAAATTTTTGTTTTTCTCGGCCATATCTGTTCTCTTCCAAGAGTCACAAAATTTTGGATTGACAATAATTGTTTGGTCTTAACTATATCGGGATTCCCAAACACACCGAACTCACTATCAAAAATTTACATCGAATTATTTGTTTTTCTTCTTGTAAAAGAAATTATTCAACATCTGAAAGTTTGAACAAATAATGCTTTTATCTACAGTAATCTGACTCACTTTTTTCTATTTATTTTTCAAACCGATTAGGAGTGGAGTAATAGCGAGAAATGATAAAAAATGTCCCGCTATTTAAGAATGAAATAGAAAGATCAGATAAGAACGTATCCTTTAATTTTTTTGGAATAAAAACGTGATCATTCTTTTTTACATGAAAAAAGTTTTGAATTTTCACGTGAAAACTCGCGCACTTCTTGAAAAATCGAATATTAGCGCCTCGATGGGAAAGAATTTGGGATCGAATGGTGAAGGTCCCATCAAAAATGGTCTTCTGGAAATTGAGAAAAGTCAAGCGACACATTTTAAAATCGAAAAATACATTGGAGTTTTCAAACTTTTGATTCTCCGCGCACCCACATACATTTTGAGAAAGAATGAATAGGAAGCGCATCGAGCTGCCAACATTTAGAAACTTTTTCTTTTTTTGATCATCAATTTTTATGCGCACAGTTTTGAGAACGGGATCCGGACACACTATTGCCAAAAAAATTTTCCCAATTAGTATATAGTAGATAGTAAATTCTTGGATTACTGTACCTTCCTTTAAAAATCATCTACAGTACTTCAAATCGCTCCAGGACCAAGAAAAATTCATTTTCTTCATTTTTGGCTAGAAATGTGTGTTTTCGCAGTGTTTTGAATTGAGGTACTGTACCTCCCTTGAAAAATCGTTCCAGGACCCACAAAAACGCGATTTTCTTCATTTTCAAGCTAGAAATTCGACTTTTCCGCGAATTTTCCACTGGGTTACTGTACCTTGAAGATTTTTGGCGCAAAAATGTTTGCACTTCATAAAAGTGCATTTTTTTCACTCGCGGGACACTTTTTTGTTTTCCCGAATTTGTAAAGAATCGAGAAATAGTATGGAAAAATGAGAGAGTGCAGAGAAATGCAGGTGTTGTTCACCATTCAACAAAAATATAAAGAAAAATGTTTTTATCTCAATTTTTGCACGGTGTTTTGGTGGGGGAAGTTTGATGAAAATGGGAAGAAAATTAACATGAGCAATGCTGAAAAATCAAAAATTCTCAATGGAGCACAATTGACAATTTTTGAACAGAAAATTTGAATTTTTCAAGTCCCCGCGGTCAATTTTGGCGGGAAATTTGAATTTTTCAGGAGTTTTAGGTCAAAATAGTCTGAAAATCATGAAAAACACTATTTTCAAGGTCCTAGGGTCAAAATTGAGCATTTTTCAAGAAATTCGAGCCAAAATGGTCCGCAAATCATGAAAAATCCAATTTTCCATCAAAAATGGGCTTGTGGGGTGTTTTTCGAGCCCAAATTCCACGAAAAATCCAAGTTTCATGGTCCCAAGGTCAGAATTGAGCATTTTTCATGAAATTTGAGCCAAAATGGTCCGCAAATCATGAAAAATCCAATTTTTCATCAAAAATAGGCTTTCAAGCCCAAATTTCATAAAAAATCCAATTTTCATGGTCCCAAGCTCAAAATCCATCATTTTTCTCGATTTCTGGCTCACCTGAATCGCCGCAATCTCAATCGCCCAACATTTTCGACTCGGTCGAATCTGATACATCTGCTGAATATTCAAATGCCTTCTAGCCGTTTCTCGATCTTTTTGCAACAAACAATTGACATGTGTGAATAATTGATCAGTTCTATTCGTTTTTTCGGGTTCGCGAATTGATTTTCGCAAATAGAATGCGCAAGTTTTTCCGGTTTGTCCTCGAATATTGAAACGACGCAAAACATTGCCGGCGCGAACTTCGATTTTTAATTTCGGTTCGAAACGCGAAACCATTGCAATGTATTGACCCGATTGATTTTGCTGGAAGGAATTTTGAGATTTTTGGGGGTAGAGGGGGATTTTTGAGGAGAAAACGGCACATTTTTGAAATTTTCAAGAAAATTGGAGCATTTTGATACCTCACAAGGTTGTTTTTATTTAAAATTCGGGATTGCTCATATTAGCTTCTGAATTTTGGCCAAATAATCCAAATTTCCAGATTTTTCTGGAATTTTTCATCATTTTGATACCTCACAAGGTTATTTATTATTTTCAGTGATAAAAATACCATTGCTCATGTTAAGCTCCAGAAAAAAATTCAATAATTTTTTAAGCACTAATTTACTTTTATAAATTCAGCATTGCTCATATTAGCCTCTGCATTTTTATAATTCGATTCGGAGCAAAAAAAACCAAAATTTTGGATTTTTCAAGAAATTTGGAGCATTTTGATAGCTCATAAGCCTAATTTTCTGTCAAAAATTCAGCATTGCTCATATTAGCTTCTCGATTCAAATTTGGAGCAAAATGATATCAAATGAGCCCAATTTTTTAATTCTTCAAGAAATTTGAAGCATTGCTCATATTAGGTTACCTCAAAATTCAAAATTCCCGCCAAAATTGACCGCGAGAACTTGGAAAATTCAAATTTCTAGCTGAAAATGGGCAAATGCGCTCTATTGAGAATTTGACAGATTTTCAGGTTTAACATGAGCAATTTCAGAATTTTCGAGGATTGCTCATGTTAAACAAAAAGCTCTATCCAAATTTTGTAGAACAAACTGTGAAAATTCCAATTTTCATCAAATTTTGGCTAAAAAATTCAAATTTTCAGGGAAAACCCGCCAACTTCTCAATAGAGCGCATTTGCCAATTTCTAGATGAAAATTTGAATTTTTCAACTTCCCGGGGTCAATTTTGGGCGGGAAATTTGAATTCTCAAGGGTCTGGGGGTAAAATTATCGATTTTTCAGGCTTTTGGGCTTGAAAATGGGCCTCAGGCCTATTTTAAATCATTTTTCAAGTTTCCGGGCTCAAAATATCGCATTTTCATCAAATTTCAGCTCAAAAATTTTGAATTTCTTTGGAAATCCGCCAAATTCTCAATAGAGCGCATTTGTCACTTTTGGGTGGGAAATTTGAATTTAAAGGGTCCCTGGGCCAAAATTAAGCATTTTTCAAGTTTCTGGGCTCAAAATTGCTCATTTTCCATGATTTTTGGCTCAAAATGGAGCATTTTCTTCGAAAAACAAAAACTCACAGCACTTGGTGGCATATTATGATTTCTAACTCTCACAACATTCAACAAATCATACGGCATTTCAATACATCCATTTCGATGTGAGAATCGCGATAAATAGGGGCTGGTGATTTCGAGAGGAATATGACGTGGCAGCGTTTGAGCACGACGTTTCAATTTATTGATCCATGCAATGCATAATTCGACAAATTTGAGCGGTTGAATTGCTTCAGTTGGTAAGGAGAGATTTTGAATGATTGTGGACGAGATTTCACGAACAAACTGCAAAAAATTCGGGAATTTTTGGATTTTTTGGTTCAAAACGTGAAAAAATTGGGGATTTTCTGAAAATTTCAGACATTTTTTAGGCCTCTAGAAGTTACTGTACTTCAAAAAATCACAGTTTTCATCAAAAGATTATGGTAGATCAAAATTTCGCTCCTAGGACTACTGTATCTCAAAAATTCACAATTTTCAGGATTTTTGAGGTCCCAAGGTTACTGTAGCTCACAATTTCACAAGTATTCAGGAAAATAGATCATTATCCATAAATTTATCAAATTTTTTGGCACTAAAAAATTACTGTAACTCAAAAAATCAGATTTTTTGAATTCCAAGGTTACTGTAGGTCATAAACTATATTTTTTCAGATTCTGGGATACTGTAGATCGAAATTCTGAATCTAAAAAGGTGGTAGGGTTAAAGTAGATCAATTTTTGGTGCTAAAAAAATTCTAGAGGGTTACTGTACCTCGAAAATTCACAATTTTTAGGATTTTTTGACTCCTGGGAGTACTGTACCTCAAAAATTCACAATTTTCAGGATTTTTAGATTCCAGGGACTACTGTACCTCAAAAATTCACAATTTTTAGGATTTTTTGAGGTTCCAAGGTTACTGTACCTCAAAATTGTGTGATTTTCAGGATTTTTGAGGTCCCAAGGTTACTGTACCTCAAAAATTCCCGAATTTTCAGGATTTTTCGACTCCGGGGAGTACTGTACCTCAAAAATTCACAATTTTCAGGATTCTTCGAGTCCAGGGAGTACTGTAGCTCAAAATTCCTAATTTTCAGGATTTTTCGAGTCCGGGGAGTACTGTAGCTCAAAATTCCTAATTTTTAGGATTTTTTGTGTTCGGGGGGTACTATAGCTCAAAAATTCACAATTTTTAGGATTTTTGGAGTCCGGGGAGTACTGTACCTCAAAAATTTCCGATTTTCAAGGTCCCGGGGTCATTTTTCCTCAAAAATTCCCCCAGTAGATCAAAAAATCCTACCGTATACTCATCCTCGGCGGGTAATTTCGAATCATCCGACATTCTCTTCACATCCTTCTCAAACAACAGAAAAACAGGCTTTTCTTCAGATGTTTGCTCATTTTCATAGAATTTCTCAAAATGCTCCAAATCCTGTGTCAATTTCTGACACCATTCTTTCATCAGAGCCAAAATGCGTGGAGTTAGGCAAACTTCATTGAAATTCGCGTCCATTTTTCCGGCCAAATCCTCGAAAATCTCATTTTTCAGGCAAATCGCGTAGCGAATATGTTTTTCGACCCAAAATTCGCGCATCTCATCAATTTCGCGCATCATTTTGTCAAATTCCAGAATATCGCTTCTTCGATATTTCAAACATAGCCGAATTAATCGAGTTAGGCTATCTTCGTCCAAAAATGACGTTTCATCGGTGAATTGATAGATTCGCAAATTTTTCTGCGTATCAATTTTGTCTTTTTTGATGGCTCTCTCAATAAGTTCGGCGGGTACTGTATCTCGAATATGATAGAAGACTTGCATTGGAAATGTTGGAATTATCTGGAAAAATTGGGGATTGCTCATGTTAGATTTCAGCTTTTCCTCGTAATTTGGAGCATTTTGAGACCTCATAAGCTTAATTTTCATAAAAATTTGAAAAATTAACATGAGCAATGCTGGAAATTCGTGAAAAAATAGAGCGCATTTGCCAATTTTTGGGTGAAAATTTTGAATTTTTCAACTTCCCGCGGTCAATTTTGGCGGGAAATCTAGAATTTCAGGTTACGGTAACTCTACGGTTTTTATGATGAACAATTGATATGAGCAATGCCGAAATTTTACCGAAAAACAGGATTTTTTCAAATTTTAATTAGCATTGCTCATGTTAGTCAAAAATCCATCAAATTTGGACTCAAAAACCCGAAATTTCGCAATTTTTCTAGAATTGCTCATATTAATCCCAAATATATCAAATTTGGACTCTAAAAACCGGAATTTTCGCAATTTTTCAAGTATTGCTCATATTAATCCAAAATCTACCAAATTTGGGCTCATGAAACCAGAAATTTCGCAATTTTTCAAGCATTGCTCATGTTAAACCAAAAATTATCGAATTTGGACTATAAAAACCGGAACTTCGCAATTTTTTTAGGATTGCTCATATTAGACCAAAAATTATCAAATTTGAACTCTAAAAACCAGAAATTTTGCTATTTTCTAAGGATTGCTCATGTTAGACCAAAAATTATCGAATTTGGACTCAAAAACCGGAATTTTCACGTTTATACTCAAAAAATCCCAAATTTTCGGCTCACCTTCACCAAAATATGCATAAATGGTGAATTTGGTGTATGTCTAATTTCCGTAATTAATTGCGGTATCCAATAAATCCAATTATAAACATTCAACGTGTGCAATTGTTGTCGAATAACACGACTCAGGCTTTCGGCCGAATTCGGTCCACAAATTGCCATATGTTTTGCCAACCACAGAATTCGAGCAATATATTTTCGAGCTTTTGGCTCCAAATCGACGCGAGCCGCTGTGAAATAGCAACAAATTGATTGACGACCGTAGTTGTTGACGGTTTCTTCGGTTACGCTGAAAAATTTCGAGTTTAAGATGAGCAATCATCAGATTTTCAGTAAAAAAAAACTCACTTTGCAGCAAAACACAATTTGTACAAATGATGAGCCCAAGACTTCATCAAATTCACCGTCACATTTGTCACCTGCATTTGTTTGAAATCGATTAATTGAGCTGCTTCGCTGAAAAAAAGAGAACTTTTGAATTTTTCAAAAAATTTGGGTCAGGAAGAGGACGATGATTGCTCATGTTAACTTTTTTATTTTTAAAATTAAATTCGGCTAAGTAAAACCTAAATTCAGGATTTTCCAAATTTAACATGAGCACAACTGTTCAAAAATCGAAAATTAACATGAGCAATGCTTGAAATTCAAGATTTTGATTTGAAAATTGAATTTTCATGGTTCCAGGCTCAATTTTGCTGAAAATTCTTGATTTCCAAGTGCCAGAGCTCAAAAAACAATTTCTGGGTCTAAAAATTGCAAAAAGCTCGAATTTTTAAGATTCAGGGCTCAAAAAATTTCGAATTTTCGAGTTCTAGGGCTTATTTTCTTTCAAAAATTTCAAATTTCAGCCCACCTAAAAGCCCGATCAGCCAAATGTCTTTGATCCAACATCGAATGCACATTTGCTCTTTGATACAATATCTTAGCAATTTGTTCTCTTGTCGCTTCATCAATTCTCACATCTTCCAAACATTCGATCGCTTCTAATAATACTTCTCTTCTCATATCTTCGTCTTTAATTACAGCTCCCCAATTTCTCAAATTCTTCGCGTAATCGCAAACTTTTTGATGGGAATCGAGCATTGGGAGCATTGTCATTGCGGCGATTCTGGAAAAATGGGAATTTCTGTCTGAAAATCTGAAATTTTGAACCCAAAAATCATCAAAATGAGCTATTTTGAGCCCAGAAACTTGAAAAATCGATAATTTCAAGCCTAGAATCCTGAAAATTCAAATTTCCCGCCAAATTGACGGCGGGAACTTGAAAAATTCAAACTTTCAGTCAAAAATTGTCAAATGCGCTCTATTGAGAAATGGGCGGGTTTTTGAGGATTTTTGAATTTTTAAAAATAGAATTTTGATAAAAATTGATTTTCTAGGGTTAAAATTCATGAAATTTCATAATTTTAAGTCATTTCATGCTCTAAAACGAATCTAGGGTCATTTTTGAGCAAACATCTGGAACTTTCAAGTTCCAGAGCTCATTTTCGAGCAAAAATAGCGATTTTTGGCTCATTTTCATCCCAGAACTCAAATTTTCAAGTTCCAGGGCTCATTTTCGAGCAAAAATTGCGATTTTTGGTTCATTTTCACCCCAAAACTCAAATTTCCAAGTTCCAGAGCTCATTTTCAACCAAAAATTGCAATTTTTGGCTCATTTTCACCGCTAACCTATTCATAACATCCTTAGCCGTCGTATGACATCCCAAATTTCTCGCAACCTTCGCAATCGCCAACTGTCCTTGCGCACTCGAATGAATCGGCAAAATCGAATGATTCGTAGCACCAGGCGGTACATTCAAACCCAATTTCTCCCAATATTCAAATTTTTTCAGCACTAAACAATGGATTTGGATTCTCCAATCATACATTTTTGCGACATATGATAACTCATCAGCTTGACACGGTGTTCTATTTCTCCAGATTTTTATCAGAGTTTTCATATCTTGTAGAAGTGATTGTTCAAATCTTGAATTCGGATCTTCAATTGCACATCTCAAATCAATCGATTCTTCAATTTCTCGAATTATATTCATTGATTGAAGGATTTTGGAATGAGCATATGAGACAACTTTGGGCAGAGCACGCCATTTTGCAATGTGGGTCTGGAAAATTAGATTTTCAGAATTTTTAGCTGAAAATTGAGCTGAAATTTCAGATTTTCAGTGAAAAATCGGTCTAGAAGCTTGGATTTTTCTTGAATTTTGCACTAGAAAATTTAATTTCCAGGAATTAAGTTCAATTTTTGGACCCAAATTTCAAGATTTCCAGACTTTTTTAGCTGAAAATGATCAAAAATTTTGGGACTTTCAGAATTTTTGTAATAAAATGGGTTCTAGAGGCTGAAAAACATCTGAAATTTCAGATTTTCACTAAAAAATCAGTCTAGAAGCTTGGATTTTTGAATTTTTCTTGAATTTTGAACTAGAATCTAAATTTCAAGATTTTCAGAATTTTTCAGAGCCCAAAAATGAGCTAAAATTTTGGGACTTTCAGAATTTATGCTGAAAATTAGGTTTCAGAAGCTGAAAAATATCTGAAATTTTCAGATTTTCAGTGAAAAATCGGTCTAAAAGCTTGGATTTTTGAATTTTTCTTGAATTTTTGACTATAAACTAAATTTCAAGATTTTCAGATTTTTCAGAGCACTAAAATTGAGCTGAAATCTCAAGAATTTCAGAATTTATGCTGAAAATTAGGTTTTAAAGGCTGAAAAAATATCTGAAATTTCAGATTTTCAGTGAAAAATCAGTCTAGAAGCTTGGATTTTTGAATTTTTCTTGAATTTTTGACTATAAACTAAATTTCAAGATTTTCAGATTTTTCAGAGCACTAAAATTGAGCTGAAATCTCAAGAATTTCAGAATTTATGCTGAAAATTAGGTTTTAAAGGCTGAAAAAATATCTGAAATTTCAGATTTTCAGTGAAAAATCAGTCTAGAAGCTTGGATTTTTGAATTTTTCTTGAATTTTTGACTATAAACTAAATTTCAAGATTTTCAGATTTTTCAGAGCACTAAAATTGAGCTGAAATCTCAAGAATTTCAGAATTTATGCTGAAAATTAGGTTTTAAAGGCTGAAAAAATATCTGAAATTTCAGATTTTCAGTGAAAAATCAGTCTAGAAGCTTGGATTTTTGAATTTTTCTTGAATTTTTGACTATAAACTAAATTTCAAGATTTTCAGATTTTTCAGAGCACTAAAATTGAGCTGAAATCTCAAGAATTTCAGAATTTATGCTGAAAATTAGGTTTTAAAGGCTGAAAAAATATCTGAAATTTCAGATTTTCAGTGAAAAATCAGTCTAGAAGCTTGGATTTTTGAATTTTTCTTGAATTTTGAACTAGAATCTAAATTTCAAGATTTTCAGAATTTTTCAGAGCCCAAAAATGAGCTAAAATTTTGGGACTTTCAGAATTTATGCTGAAAATTAGGTTTCAGAAGCTGAAAAATATCTGAAATTTTCAGATTTTCAGTGAAAAAAGGTCTAGAAGCTTGGATTCTTGAATTTTGGACTAGAACCTAAATTTCAAGTATTTCAGATTTTTTTAGCTGAAAATAATCTGAAATTTTTGGGACCTTCAGAATTTTTGTAATAAATTAGGTTCTAGAAGCTGAAAAATATCTGAAATTTTCAGATTTTCAGTGGAAAAATCAGTCTAGAATTTTAATTTTCCAGGAATTAATAGAGTTCAATTTTTGGACCCAAATTTCAAGATTTTCAGATATTTTCAGCCAAAAATCCCCCAATTATCCACGTCATTTTCAACTGAAAAAATTGTTTTCCCAGACAATTTGAGGGGCGTTTTTTCTCAAAACTTGTTATTTTTTCAGTCAGTCACGCAATTTCAGCCTAAAATTTTCAGATTTTCAGAATTCCAGCCAACAAAATGTTGTTGCGCGACATTCTAGAGTCAATTTTCCTAATCTACCTTGTGATTTCTGGAATTTTCGATGTGATTTTGGTGATGGCTTCGTGGAAAAATCGAAAAGATAGTAGGTTTGCTGCAATTTTAGGGCACAGAAAAATGGGCGGAGCCTAATTTTTGAGCTCTGAACATATTTTCTGTCAAAAAATCGCAAATTTTGGGCCCCTAGGCTTGTGGGATATCTAAAATTCGGAATTTTCAAGCCTAGGCTCATTTAGTACCAAAAATCCCGAATTTTGGGCCCCTAGGCTTGTGAGATATCAAAAAACTCCAAATTTTCAAGCCCAGGCCTATTTAGTATCAAAAAATCGCAAATTTTGGGCCCCTAGGCTTGTGAGATATCAAAAATCTTAAATTTTCGAGCTTAGGCCCATTTAGTATCAGAAAATCCCAAATGTTCAAGCCTGGGCTTATTTAGTACCAAAAATTCTAAATTTTCCATTCTAGGCTTATTTAGTACCAAAAAAACCGGAATTTTCGGCCCAAGCCAATTTCCAGCCCAAAAATCGCCCTTCCAGAATACCTTCCCCACTCCTACATTCTCCAAATCGCTCTAAACAGCTTCATCTTTCGAATCAGTTTTTTCGCCAACATGTCCACCGGTTTCCTACTTCCCGATACGACTTACAATAACTACCGTAATTCATACGGTGCCTATTTCACAATTTCTACAACCGGCCCATATTTATGGCAATTGTGCATTTGCGCTCTAATGACAATTCATCGTGTTTATTTGGTGTTTCGGCCGTTTAATACTAAAGTATTTTCGCATTTTCGAATTTTTGTTTATGGATTTTTTATTGAGATTTGTGTTTTTATATCACTTCTGATACCCTATTTATCAGGTTTGAACTTGAAATTTAAGCCGAAGGTTTAGGCTGAAATTTTAAGCCTGAAATTTAAGCCTAAGATTTAGGCTGAAATTTTTAGCCTGAAATTTAAGCCTAAGGTTTAGGCTCAAATTTTTAGCCTAAACTCAAGGTAAATTTTAAATCTAAATTTTGAGCTTGAAACTTTCCTCCTGAAACTCAAGCCAAACTTTAAACTAAATTTTAAGCCTGAAATTTTCAGCCTGAAATTTAAGCCTAAGGTTTAGGCCCAAATTTTAAGCCTGAAATTTAAGCCTGTAATTAAAGCTTAAATTTAAGCCTGAAATTTAAGCCTAAGCCCAAATTTTAAGCTTGAAATTTAAGCCTGAAATTTAAGCCTAAGCCCAAATTTTAAGCTTGAAATTTAAGCCTAAGGTTTAGGCCCAAATTTTAAGCCTAAAATTTTAAGCCCCAAATTATCCCATTTCCAGACTGCCGTATAAATTACAGCGAAAAGCTCATGTCCTTCATCTCAGCTTGTGCTCCAAATCGACATCCGATAACTCTTTTTCAAAATGTCAACACAATTTATTTACCAGTTATTTGTATGTTTATCAATTTTGGGCTCGTTTTTCATATGAAAGCATCTAGAAATTCATTTTATGAGAGAATTTCCGAATCTTTGGATTTTTCAAGAAATTCGGGACTTTTTGAGCCCAAACAAGCCTAGGAATCTGAATTTTTTAATTTTTCGAAGAATTTTGATATCCCACAAGCCATAGTTTTTGAAAATCAAAATTTTTTGACCCAGAAAATTCAAAAAATCCTCAAATCCCGCAAAATTCTCAATAGAGCGCGTTTGCAAATTTTCGGACTAAAAATTTGAATTTTCACGTTCCCGGGCTCAATTTTTGGCGGGAAATTTGAATTTTCTTGATGTTTAGGCTCAAAAAGTCCCAAATTTCATGAAAAATCCTAAATTCTTGGATTCTAGGCTTGTTTAGGCTTAAAAAGGCCCAAATTTCATGAAAAATCCAAAATTTCAGGTCTCTAGGCTTGTTTAGGCTCAAAAAAGCCCAAATTTCTTGAAAATCCAAAAATTCAGGTCCCCAGGCTTGTTTAGGCTCAAAAAGTTCCCAAATTTCATGAAAAATCCAAAAATTCAGGTCCCTAGGCTTGTTTAGGCTTAAAAAGTCCCAAATTTCATGAAAAATCCAAAAATTCAGGCCCCCAGGGTTGTTTAGGCTCAAAAAGTCCCAAATTTCATGAAAAATCCAAAAATTCAGGTGCCTAGCTTGTTTAGGCTCAAAAAGGCCCAAATTTCTCGAAAAATCCAAAAATTTGGGTTCCTAGACTTGTTTAGGCTCAAAAAGTCCCAAATATCATGAAAAATCCAAAAATTCAGGTCCCTAGACTTGTTTAGGCTTAAAAAGTCCCAAATTCCATGAAAAATCCAAAAATTTGGGTCCCTAGGCTCAAAAAACCGCCATTTTTCAGAAAAAGTCCAATCCGCCAACATCGAATTCATGTCAACGAAAACGATCGCAAATAACAAGCGACAAGAATTAACAATGATAAAACAGGCAATTTCGCTGACTGTCACTTTGTCATTTTATGAGATTTGTGCATTTTTGATGCGCAATTTTCCGGTGAGCCGCGAAAATTTCAGAAAATCCTGAATTTCAGGTATTTTTTGGTCTAAATTTGATTAAAAATCGAGAAAATCCTGAATTTCAGGTGATTTTGTAGAAAAATCAGAATTTTCAGGCTGAAAATCACATTTTTTCAAATTTTCAGCTCAAAAATCTGCAATTTTCTATACCGTACTCCAAAAAATGCAATCATTTATTTTTTTTTAAAGAAAATTGCATGTGAAAATTTTTTTTCTAGAAAAAAAATCAGAAAAATTTTCACACGCAATTTCAGATTTTCAGCAAACCAAAAATTAATTTCAGATTTGAAAATTCAAATTTAGGCTTGTGGGATATCAAAAATCGTCAAATTTCATGAAAAATCCGAAATTTAACATGAGCAATGCTCAAAATTTGAGGCTAAAATTCAATTTTTCAAAAAAAAAGCTTGTGGGATATCAAAAATCTCCAAATTTCATGAAAAATCCAAAAATTTAGGTTCCTAGGCTTGTTTAGGCTCAAAAAATCCCAAATTTCATGAAAAATCCAAAAATTCAGGTCCCTAGACTTATCCGATCTCAAAATTCGCCAAATTTCAGCCAAAATTTCCAGAATTTCTACACAAATCTCCCAGCAAATGTTCAACTTCTAATCGCATTTACTCGTCTCTACATTCTACTAACAATCGATTTTTTCGTCTATTTTGTGGAGACAAAAAGTGTGCGAAATATTATTTTAGCAATGTTTGGATTTAAAGGAAAAATTGAGGATGATAAAAATTCGAAAGAGGTTTCGAATCGAAGTTTTACTTTTAACACTAATTAACTTAAATTTTAATTGAAAAATGAAGATTTTGAGCGTTTTCAGGTTGAAAATTTTGGATTTTCAGGTTCTAACATGAGCAATGGTAAAAAATGTTGATAAAAAGTTTACTAGATCAAAATTTCATGAAAAATCCAAAATTTAACATGAGCAATGCTCAAAAACTCGATTTTTCAAGAATTTAGGCTTGTGGGATATCAAAATGCCCCAAATTTCTTGAAAAATTCAAAATTTAACATGAGCAATGCTCCAAATTTCCCCGCCCAAAAAACTCACATCCATCGCCTCCTGAACCGCCATTTTAATCTGTTCTTTATGCGTATTCGGTGCGTGTGGATCTCCATTTTTGATCACAATCAACATTGCATTGTAGATGGTGTAATCTGGATAGAAATCCGGTGGAATACATCCGGATATTTGATTTCGACATTCTTCGACAACATTCCAATCGGAAATGTGAACAGCGGCTGTGAGAAGATCGCGAGAATCTTGAAGTTCTTTGCCGTTTGCCATGTCGGCCACATTTTGCCATTGGAGAAGTTCAGAGCAGCAGCTGCAACGAAATTTGGAGCATTTTTGGGTCATTTTCAGCTAAAACTCATTAAAAATGCTCAATTTTGACCCAGGGACCATAAAAATTCAAATTTCCCGCCAAAATTGACCCTGGGAACTTGAAAAATTCAAATTTTTAGCTGAAAATTGGCAAATGCGCTCTATGGAGAATTTGGGGAAATTTCGAGCATTGCTCATGTTAAACAATGAATTTTGAGCTCAACTTTCATTTTATTGGAAAAAATCCGATTTTTGAATTTGTTTAAATATTTGAATTTTTCTGAAATCCGCCAAATTCTCAATAGAGCGCATTTGTCAATTCCCAGTCAATTTTGGCGGGAAATTTGAATTTTCAAGGGTCTGGGGGTAAAATAATCGATTTTTCAGGCTTTTGGGCTTGAAAATGGGCCCCAGGCCTGTTTTTAATCATTTTTCAAGTTTCAGGGCTCAAAATTTCCAATTTTCATAAAATTTTGGCTTAAAAAATTCAAAAATTACTCAGTAGCTGCAAAATTCTCAATAGAGCGCATTTGTCAATTTTTGAGTGAAATTTTGAATTTTTCAAGTTCCCGGGGTCAATTTTGGGCGGGAAATTTAAATTTTTCATCGATTTTCAAATCATTTTGAGCATTGCTCATGTTAAATAATGCATTTTGAGCTCAACTTTCATTTTATTGGAAAAAATCCGATTTTTGAATTTGTTTAAATATTTGAATTTTTTCTGAAATCCACCAAATTCTCAATAGAGCGCATTTGCTAATTTTCGAATGAAAATTTAAATTTTCCAACTTCCCGGGGTCAATTTTGGGCGGAAAATTTGAATTTTCAAGAGTCTGGGGGTAAAATTATCGATTTTTCAGGCTTTTGGGCTTGAAAATGGGCCCCAGGCCTGTTTTTAATCATTTTCAAGTTTCAGGGCTCAAAATTTCCAATTTTCATAAAATTTTGGCTTAAAAAATTCAAAAATTACCCAGTAGCTGCAAAATTCTCAATAGAGCGCATTTGTCAATTTTTGAGTGAAATTTTGAATTTTTCAAGTTCCCGGGGTCAATTTTGGGCGGGAAATTTAAATTTTTCATCGATTTTCAAATCATTTTGAGCATTGCTCATGTTAAATAATGAATTTTGAGCTCAAATGGCATAATTTTTCCATAGTTATTGGAAAATTGTGAATTTTCTAGCTTAAAAATTTGAATTTTTTCTGAAATCTGCCAAATTCTCAATAGAGCGCATTTGCTAATTTTCGAGTGAAAATTTGAATTTTTCAAGATTCCGGGGTCAATTTCAGGCGGGAAATTTGAATTTTCATGTTTCTAGGTCAAAAATCCTCAATTTTCATGATCCTGGGCTCATTTTCGACCAAAAATCGCCAATTTTCAAGCTCCAGGGCTCATTTTGGCTCACCTCGTATACATTCTCTGCCAATGATCATATTCTCGATCTAATAATGGTGTGATATGTCGAACGGGTTCGGGTAGCGGTGTTCCATTTTGTGTCAATTGTGTTGGTGGCGGGGGCGGAGCCAACGATTTCATTTTGAGCATTTCAAATGTTCGTGACATTGTATTTTCCAATAATGAGCCAGCGAGTTCAACTTCTCCCTGGAAAATTATAAATTATTGGAAAAATCGGGAAAATTTGGTGAAAAATTCAAATTTTTCTTATTGACAAAAATGAAGACATATCCAACATTTGGATCTAAAATTCCTGAAAATTTCTAAATTTTTTGAAACCTATTTCTCCGGGGCAAAAATTCCCGCGCTTCTTTTTGTGAAATCCCGTGAAAATGTGGATTTCTAGGGAAAAAAAAGTTAGAAAATCTGTTTTTTCAGACAAATTTTTCAGTAAAAATTGAGCTGATGTTTTTTTTCAAATTGAAGTATGAAAAATTGGATTTTCAGCTCAAAATTCATAATTTCTGCTCATTTTTAATAAAAAAAAATTTAACATGAGCAATCTTTTTAAATTTCACTTCTTAGGCCAATTTTGTGGTAAGAAAATCGGATTTTCAGCTCAAAATCCATCATTTCAGCTAGAATTTCATGATTTTTGACAATGTCTAGTTCAAAATTCAGAATTTTCAAATTTAAGGGCTTCTGGCTTCAAATTTATCACATTTGGAGTTTTTTCAAGTGAGAAACGTGATTTTTAAGGTATCTCACGGTGTTTTAGCTCAAAAATGAGCATTTTGGCTCATTTTCAGTGATTTTCAGCTCAAAGTTCATCATTTTCAGTGATTTTCAGGTCAAAATTCATCAATTTCAGTGATTTGTGTTTTTCGGAGCCCAAATTCTATGAAAAATCCAATTTTCATGGTCCCAATGTCAAATTTAGCCAAAAATCCAATTTTCGATCAAAAATAGGCTTGTGGGGTATTTTCAGAGCCCAAATTCTATGAAAAATCCAATTTTCATGGTCCTAGGCTCAAAATTCATTAATTTCAGTGATTTTCAGCTTAAAATTCATCAAATTTCCCCATTTTTCCCGCCAAAACCCTCACCAATTGCATCAAATGCATCGCTTTCATCGTTTCCGGCCTAAAAGCTCTTCTATCCCAAATCGCCGAAAATTGATCAAATTCTCCGAGCTCCTTATACAAATTCGCCAAACTTTCCAGGGTTTCAACATTGGCTGTAATTTCTCTGGATAATGGTTCGTTTACATTCAACATTTTTGGTATGAGCAATGTGGAATGCTCCAATAATTGTACTCCAATATGCCAACATTCGTGTTTTTTTGAGATGAATTCGATGAGATTTGATGGAATGGCAATTAGTGGACTGACTGTTTCGAGCCAAATTGCGAGCACTGATTTTTCGACTCCAGAAATATAGGAATTATGGGCACCGCTTCCCATGAATTGAATTAGCATAGCTGGAAAAATTGAGGGGTTTTGGGGAAGTTAAGGTAAGCTTAGGGTGATTTTAAGGTGATTTAGGGTAACTTGGGGATAATTTTTCAGGTAGAATTGATTTTTCGCTTCAAGAAATGATTTAAGATAATTTTAGGGTCATTCAGAGCCCAGATTTAACTAATTTTTATGAATTTAAGTGATTTAACTCAGGGGTAATTCTCGAGATTTCCAGCTTATTTCCAGCCAAAAAATGATCTAGAACTGATTTTTGCAGAATTGAACACAATTGAAAAGCTAATAACATTTTCAAAGTGTGTAACACATACCAGAATATTGAAACATAAAACATTCGGGTTTTCATCTATGCTTTTTTGTTGAGATTCTGAGCATTGCTCATGTTAGTTTTTGATGGAATTTTGCAGCATTTCTCATGTTAACATGAAATGTTCGAATCTAGGCTCAAAATGCTCCAAAAATCATGAATTCTGGGTGAAAATGCTCAAAATTTCATGAAAACTTGAAATTCGGGCTCAAAACTCAGAATTTTCTAAATCTAGGCTCAAAATTCTTCAAAAATCATGAATTAAAGGTGAAAATGCTCAAAATTTCATGAAAACTAGAAACTCGGGCTCAAAACTCAGAATTTTCTTCATTTTAGGTCTAAATTCTTCAAATTTTCTGAATCTAGGCTCAAAATACTCCAAATCTCCCAATTTTCATCTCAAAATGCTCCAAATCCCTTCCCAAACCCTAAAAAAAAAACCTCACTTCTCATCTCAAATCTCTCCTCTTGTGTCAACGATTCCCAAAAACTTCGAAACAAACAAATCCACATTTTCGACACAACTTTTGTGTCCGCAATTCGGAATGCGATATTCGAAATCGACTCAATTTTCTGGCCAAAATCAAAATTCGCAGCTTCTTCTAGGAATTGCTTTTGCTCTTCCAGTAATTGATTGAGTTTTTTGGTTTTTTCAGAAATATCTGGTTTGATTTCAGGTTGCTCTTCTGGAATTTCCAGCTCCATTGGTTCTTCTTTCGGTTGTTGTGGATCTATTTGAGTAGAAGAATTTGGAGGTTGATTCTGGAAAAATTGAGCATTTTAAGCTGAAATTTGAACAATTTTGGAGAATTTTAGTAGGAAAACTAGGAAAAATTACAATTTTTCGCTGAAGTTTTGAATAATAACATTTTGAAACATAAAAAATCCGGGTTTTTGAAATCATTGCTCATTTTATACATTTTCTTTCAGCTCAAATTCTGGTCTCTCAAAATCATCTGAAAATCAATTTTTGAAGGTTTCCGGGCTCAAAATTAGAACTTTCCTGGGTTTTTGGGCTCAAAATGCCCCAAACTTCAATTTTTTGGCTGAAAATCATCAGAAATCATTTTTTTAAGCTTCTAGGCTCCAAATCCATATTTTTCTGATTTTTCGGGCTCAAAATGCTCCAAATCTTATAATTTCATCATTTTTCTTGTTCCTAGGCTCAAAATTCATCATTTTTCTCGTTTTCGGGCTCAGAATGCTCCAAACCTCGAAAATTTTAGCTCAAATTCATCAGAAATCATTTTTTTAAGCTTCTAGGCTCCAAATCCATATTTTTCTGATTTTTCGGGCTCAAAATGCTCCAAATCTTATAATTTCATCATTTTTCTTGTTCCTAGGCTCAAAATTCATCATTTTTCTCGTTTTCGGGCTCAGAATGCTCCAAACCTCGAAAATTTTAGCTCAAATTCATCAGAAATCATTTTTTTAAGCTTCTAGGCTCAAAATCCATATTTTTCTGATTTTTCGGGCTCAAAATGGTCCTAATTCACCATTTTCGGGCTCAAATTCATCAGAAATTAGAATTTTTTAGTTTCTAGGCTGAAAATTCATCATTTTTCTCGTTTTCGGGCTCAAAATGCTCCAAATTCCCCATTTTCGGCCTCAAAATCATCAAAAATCATTTTTCTACGTTTCTAGGCTCAAAATCCATATTTTTCTGATTTTTCGGGCTCAAAATGCTCCAAACTTCAATTTTTTGGCTGAAAATCATCAGAAATCATTTTTTTAAGCTTAAAATTCATCATTTTTCTCGATTCTGGGCTCAAAATGCTCCAAAACTCCGAAATTTCAGCTCGAAACGTTCAGAAAATCATTTTTTAAAAGTTTCTAGGCTCAAAATTCATCATTTTTCTTGTTTTGGGGCTCAAAATGCTCCAAATCTCGAAAATTGTAGCTCAAGATCCTTAGAAATCATTTTTGTAAGCTACTAGGCTGAAAATCCATATTTTTCTGATTTCTGGGGCTCAAAAAGCTCCAAATCTTATAATTTCAGTTATTTTCGTCTTCCTAGGCTGAAAATTCACCATTTTTCTCGTTTTCGGGCTCAAAATGCTCCAAATTTAAAATTTTTGGGCTGAAAATAATCAGAAATCATTTTTTAAGCTTCTAGGATGAAAATCCATACTTTTCTGATTTTTCGGGCTCAAAATGCTCCAAATCTTATAATTTCAGCCATTTTCTACGTTTCTAGGCTCAAAATTCATCATTTTTCTCGATTCCGGGCTTAAAATTCTCCAATTTTCAAAAATTTTGGCTGAAAATCATCATAAATAATTTTTTAAAGCTCCTAGGCTAAAAATCCATATTTTTCTGATTTTTCGGGCTCAAAATGCGCAAAACCTTGAAAATTTTAGCTCGAAATCATCAGAAATCATTTTTTAAGCTTCTAGGATAAAAATTCATCATTTTTCTCGTTTTTGGGCTCAAAATAACCCTAATCTCTTAATTTTTGGTCAAAATTGAAGTTAACATTGAAAATTTGTGCTCCTTTTTTTTAAATTCATATTTTTATTGTTTTTAGACTCAAAATGCTCCAAAAATCCTAAATTTCAGCCCAAATGGCTCGTGAATTCATATTTCAAGCTTGTAGAGTTTCATTTTACCAAAATTGATGTTTCTGGGCTCAAAATGCTCCAAATTTCAAAAATGTTGGCAGAAAATCATCAGAAATCAATGTTTCTACGTTTCTAGGCTCAAAATTCATCATTTTTCTCGATTGTGAGCTCAAAATGCTCCAAATTCCCCATTTTCAGGCTCAAAATCCCCCCAAAACCTCTTCTCACCAATCCACATCCATCCAATCGTGCCGCCAATTCCAACGTATTCCAACTCGTCGCACAATGTATCATCAATACATGTTTATTCGCTGTTTTCGGTCCATTTTTCGCGCGTTTTTCCACACTTCTCAACATGCTCCAAAGTGCATGTTTGAGCCAAAAATATTGTCCGAATTTCGACCAATCTTGTTGTGTCAGAATATATCTCATTCGTTGAGCCAAATCAATTTGTGCCAAATGTGGCCACATCGATTCCCAGACTTGCAGAAACTCGTCGCGAATTTTTGCGTCTTTTGATGTTAGGCCCCAAAAGAAGCCATCCCACAAAAGTTGACCATTTTCTGATTTTCGGAATTCGTGAACTTGATAAATTCGAAGAACTACGGGCAGGAAATTGGCGATTAGATCTTTGTTTTCTCTGCAAAAAAATTGGGGGGATTGCTCATGTTAATACTTCTTGAAAACATAGAACATTTTTAGTTCATTATAATTATTCATAACAAAATATTGAAACATAAAAAATCCGGGTTTTTTTTTTTGAAAATGTTTAGATCACCTATTTTTTATTGCTTCAGATTTTTGATTTTTGATAAAAAATGCTCAAAAATTATCCAGAAAGCTCAAAAAATCAAAATTCGGGCTCACAAACTCAAATTTAGGCTCAAAATGTTCTCCCTGAGCTAGAAAAGCTCAATTTTCATCAAATTTAGGCTCAAAATGCTCCCCCTGAGCTTAAAAATCCAACTTTCATCAAATTTAGGATTGAAAAGCTCCTAGGAAGCTCAAAAATCCAAATTTAGGCTCAAAATGTTCTCCCTGAGCTAGAAAAGCTCAATTTTCATCAAATTTGAGCTCAAAATGCTCCTAGGAAGCTCAAAAACCTAAATTTTCATCAAATTTGGGCTCAGAAAGCTCCCAGGAAGCTTACGAACCTAGTTTTGGGCTCGAAATGCTCCGGATGAGCTCAAAAATCCAATTTTATCAAATTTAGGCTCAAAATGCTCCGGATGAGCTCAAAAACCTAAATTTGGGGTTAAAAATGCTCCAGATGAACTCAAAAATTCAATTTGCATCAATTCTGGGCTCAAAATGCTCCTAAGAAGCTTACGAACCTATTTTTGAGCTCAAAACGCTCCCCGTGAGCTCAAAAACCCCAAATTTAGCCTTAGAATCCCCCAAAAAACTCACTTAAACTTTGGAATCGCCTGTTGAACCCTCACCAATTGTTCCATAACAGTTTGTTTCGTAAATTCCAAATCCGTCGTCGAAATCATTTCTCCCAAAATACTAATACAACAATTAATAACCTTTTCATAATTCGTTTTCACAATTAATTCGGCCAAAACATTGAAAATGATAGCACTTTTCATATCCAATGATATAAATTCAATTCTCGGTCGAAGCAATTCCAAACTAAGACAAACCAATTCACTAACTCCTTTTTCTCGATATCCATCTTGACCATTCAAAACATACGATATATGTTCTTTGGCTGCTTTTTCAGTGATTTTGACAAAAAGTGGCAGGCAAACTGCATCAACATAACCAGGTTGATGTGTGCAAATTGTTCGAAGAAGCGAAAATGCCGTGTAGATATGGGAAACCGGCGAATTTGCGTGTTTTATTGAATTTGTGAATTGATCTGTGAGATATTTGCTGATGTATTGATTGAAGATTTCTAATTCTTCTAAGCCATTTACAGAAGATCGCGTTTTTTCGAAAAGCCGGCCGACAAGGGAATTGATGAGTTTGACGAGCTGAAAAAAATTGAGATTTAATATGAGCAATGTGCAATTTAAGACTGAAAATCTCAAATTTCGGTTCCAAATCATCCAAATCTCGTCACTAACATGAGCAATGCTTAATTTCATGGTTTTTGAGTAAACAATCATCAGAAAAACTGGAATTTTCAAGGTTTCTAGGCTTATTTTCACCCAGAAATCTCAAAAAAGCAATTAGAATGCTCTTCGAGACTAACATGAGCAATGGGTCATTTTTCATGAATTTAGGGTAATTCTAGGGCAAAATTCATGGTTTTTGGGTCAAAAATCATCAGAAAACTCAATTTTCCAGGTTCTGGGGCTGAAAATTGTCCAAAAATCCCAAAAAACATCTAGAATGATTTTTAAGTCTAACATGAGCAATGCCTTATTTTAAAAAAATCTAATTTAAAGTTTCTAGGTTAAAATCGAGACTAACATGAGCAATGGGTATTTTTCCATGAATTTTGTCTCGAAAACATCCTAATATGAGCAATGCTCAATTTTCCATGAATTCAGGGTAATTCTAGGGCAAAATTCATGATTTCTGGGTCAAATTCATCAGAAAACTCAATTTTCAAGGTTTTTCCCCATTTTCAACTCAGTAAAACCCTACCGTTCCCATTCCACTATTCAAGCACGATATAATCGATCTCTGCAATGGTCTCAACGTCTGCAAAAGCAACGATTTCGGCATAACACTAATCAAATTCAATATCAAATCCAAACTGAATTGTGCATTCGTACAATGCACACTATGATAATTCTGTCCATCTTGTCTTGCTGTTCCAATATCATTCGGCACAAACAAATATTTCTCAATTGTCGAATGTCTAATATGAGCAATCTCTCCCCAAACACACGGTTTTAGTGCGGCTCTTAAGAGTCCCTGACTTTTTTTAATCAATTCATGAGCTGTTGGTTGCATGTGTTGTTGATGAGCAACTTGTTGGAATGTGACACAGAAACGGACCAACATATTCACAATTTGATCGACGTGCTCATTGGAAATTGGTTTTTGGAGCACATCATCTTTTTCTTTTGGAGCATTTACTGAATTTTGAGCCGGAGCATCGGTTTCTTCTTTATCCGATAGTGATGAGCCTGGAAAATGGGGATTTTTTGAGGCACATAAAAGTGGGCGTGGCTTATTTTGCAAGCCTGGCACACTTTCAAAGAATTTTGCAATTTTGCGGCACAGATTTTTTTCCAATATTTTTTTAAATTTTTTTTTTGCATTTTTTTGAACATAGAAAAGTGGGCGGGGCTTATTTTTGCAAGCCTGGCACACTTTTAAAGAATTGGAATTTCGCGGCACAGAAAAGTGGGCGGGGCTTATTTTGCAAGCCTGGCACACTTTTGAAGATTTTTTTGCAATTTTAAGGCAAAGGAAAGTGGGCGGAGCTTAGTTTTCGATTTTTTGCAATTTCGCGGCACAGAAAAGTGGGCGGGGCTAAAAATACTATAGATTTTTAAAAATTTGCAAGCCTGGCACACTTTTTTCCAGGAATATTGAATTTTCAAAAATAAAATTGGGTTTTGCAGCGAATATCCTACTGTAGAACATAAATTTTGACTCAAAATTCTCCTAAAAGTCATAGGAAACTGAAAATCGCAATTTCAGAGCTCAAAAAAGTGGGCGTGGCTAAATTTTGAGCACAAATGGCTCAAAATGCTCCAAAACACCTCAAAATTGCAAGAAACTGATTTTAAAGTCAAAATTTCGAAATTTCGAGCAAAAATACCCAAATTTGATCTCAAAATGCTCCAAAACAGTGGGCGTGGCCTAATTTTGGCTCAAAATGCTCCAAAACCACCCAAATTTGGTCTCAAAATGCTCCCAAAATTCCCCACCTTTCAATTTCTCCAACATTTTATCAACTTCTTGCGCATCTTCAGCCGTAACCTGCGCTTGTGCTTCCAACTTTTGATTGCGCAACAAATCCCACTTAATGACCATTTCACAAACATCAATTGCCATTCGACGTGTCAGCCACGCGTCAACAACACTATTTGGCATAATTAGAGCACGTTGAACTGCATTCATTAGTGGAGTTAGAAGTTCGTGTCGAACATGGAAATAGACACGATAGTTTCGAATTATCATTTGGCTGCAAAAAAATCGGGTTTTTTTGGTGGAAAAATTCGAGAAAAACTGATAATTTTGAGCCAGTTAACATGAGCAATCGTTAAAAAATCTGTATTTTTCATAAAATTTCGCTTAAGAATTTGAATTTTCAGATTTCCAGGCTCAAAATATGATTTTTTGTCAAATTTAGGCTCAAAAATGCTCCAGATGAGCTCGAAAATCCAAATTTTGTGCTGAAAAAGCTCAAGATGAGCTAAAAAATTCAAATTTGAGCTCAGAAAGCTCCTAGGAAGCTCAAAAATCCAAATTTGAGCTCAAAATATTCTTAGAAAGCTCAAAAATCCAAATTTAGGCTCAAAACGCTCCAGAAGAGCTCAAAAATCCAAATTTTGTGCTATAAATATTCTTAGGAAGCTCAAAAGTTAAAATTTAGCTCAAAAAGCTCCTAGAAAGCTCAAAAACCAAATTTGAGCTCAAAATATTCTTAGAAAGCTCAAAAATCCAAATTTTGAGCTCAAAATATTTTTAGAAAGCTCAAAAATTCGAATCCGGGCTCAAAATTAACCCTATAAGCTTGAAATTCAGTACATTTCAAATTTGAATATTTTAATTTCTTCGAAAACCGCCAATTTCTCAATAGAGCGCATTTTCTCAAAAATTTGAATTTTTCAAGTTCCCGGGCTCAATTTTGGCGGGAAATTCGAATTTTCACGTTTCCAGGGTCAAAATAGAGCATTTTTCATGATTTCAAGCTTAATTTTAGTCAAAAATCCCAAAAAAAACTCACAAAACATGTTGAATATGCGGTAAATTGTGACATTCTTCAATCAGAACCTTCTTGACACTCGACAAAATCTGCTGATGTCCATCTTCCATTCGAATCGGTACAGCCGGTGTCAGAATATCGATGGCTTTTCGAATTTGATCGCGATTATCTTGTTGATAGGTTGTTGTGAGACATTGGAACACTTGAAGCACTATCTTTCGATTTATCGTAAATCGCTCAATTATATTTGCGAGGAAGAAGAAGCCGGTGAATCGCATTGTTGGATCTTGATGATTTGCCAAAGTTAAACAGGGCCATGCGAAAAGCATGAAAATTCGGAGGCGACCTCCTTGCTTTCTGCAAAAAATATTTGAATTTCTGTAGAAACCCGCCAGATTCTCAATAGAGCGCATTTGTCAATTTCTAGCTAAAAATTTGAATTTTTGAAGTTCCCGGGGTCAAATTTGGCGGGAAATTTGAATTTTTATAGGTTTCCAAGGGTGAAATTATTGATTTTTCATAAAATTCAAGTTTGTTAAAAAAATTAAATTTTTTGAAAATCCGGCATATTCTCAATAGAGCGCATTTGCCAATTTTTGTGTAAAAATTCGAATTTTCCCACTTCCCGGGTCATTTTTAGGCGGGAAAATTGAATTTTCATAACTCTTGAGGTATTTATGACAAAAATGAATGAGTTTCAGCCAATTTCAGACCTAAAAATGTGAATCCTGAGCCATTTTTGACTTTAAAAATCAAATTTTCTAGTTTCCCGCCGTATTTTTCATCAAAATTTGATGAAATATGGATTTTTCCACTTTTATGATCTGAAAATTCTTGAAATTGAGGAAAAACCAGCTTGGTATGTAGTGGGCTTTTGAGAGAGTTGGTACGTATATCAATTTTTGGCTCAATATTATTTTACATGAAAAATTATTGAAACCTAAAAAATCCGGGTTTTTTGGACCCGGAAATTTTGATAGAATTTTGAGCATTGCTCATGTTAAATTTGCAAATTTTGTGGGGAAAAATTGACGATTTTTTTCTCAATAGAGCGCATTTGCCAATTTCCAGCTGAAAATTTGAATTTTTCAACTTCCCGGGGTCAATTTTCGGCGGGAAATTCGAATTTTCTCCAAAAATTTTGAAAATTTAAGATTTCCACCCAAAAATTCCCGTTTCCAAACTAATTTTGGCTCAAAAATCTCGATTTTGGGCTCAAAAAATCCCAATTTTCAGCCCCAAAAAACTAACTCACTTATAATTATTATTATGAATATGATGTGAGGCGTGTTGAACAAAAAGTGTGCACAATTGATAGAACACAATCACCATTCCGTCGCTCAATTTTTGTCGATTCGCATCGATGACTTTTGTGAGGCGAGAAACCAGATTGTCCGGATCATCTTCATTTCCTTCTTCTGAACTTTTCGCTTCGCCGACAATCTGCAAAATTGGGGAAATTTGGGATTTTTAGACACCAAACAAGCCCAGGGATACTGTAGGTTTTGGCGCCAAAAATAGTTTCGAAAATTTCTAGATCATAAGATTACTGTAGCTGAAAATCCTGATTTTTAGACACCAAACAAGCCTAGGGTTACTGTAGAATTTGGCGCCAAAATAGGGAATTTTTCAAATTTTCTAGATCAAAAGATTACTGTAGCTGAAAATCCTGATTTTTAGACACCAAACAAGCCCAGGGGTACTGTAGATTTTCGGCGCCAAAAATTTTGAAAAAAAAAGGTTCCAGATGAATTTTTCATGCTGAAAACGCTGAAACGAATATTTTCAGCCATTTTCAGCTCAAAATTCATCAATTTCAGTGATTTTCAGCTCAAAATTCATCAATTTCAGCCATTTTCAGCTCAAAAAACATCAATTTCAGCTCAAAAACATCAAATTTCCTCACCAAATCCACGTCATATCTCTCAAAAGCCCATTGCAAACTCGGAATAATCAAATATTGTATGGTTTTGACGACACGCAAATCATTGACAGTTTTATCACGGTGTGTTTCGAATTTCTCCATTATTTTCAAAAATGCTTCTCGTCTCCATTCCAACGACATTTTTGGGATTATTTCGGTTTCCAGAAATTGGCGAACAAAACAAAAATCGGTGATGTAATTTCCGATGAAAACTGTGATCACATCGAAGAGCAATTCGAAATCGAGCGGTTTGCATCTGGAAAATTAAAAAATAACTGAAATATGGGAGATTCTCAATCGAGCGCATTTGCTAATTTGTGTTAGAACTTGAATTTTCCAAGTTCCCGGGGTCAATTTTGGCGGGAAATTCGAATTTTCAAAGAATTCAAGTTTGCTAAAAATTTGAATTTTTTGAAAACCCGCCCAATTCTCAATAGAGCGCATTTGCTAATTTGTATTAGAACTTGAATTTTCCAAGTTCCCGGGGTCAAAAATTAGCAGATTGCTCATGTTAAACCTTTAAAAGCGACCAGTATTCAGAAAAAACTCAAAAAATCCCAAGAAACCTCCAAATTCTCAATAGAGCGCATTTGCCAATTCCTAGCTGAAAATTTGAATTTTCCAAGTTCCCGGGGTCAATTTTGGGCGGGAAATGCGATTTTAATCATCAAATTTGGTTAGCTGAATGAAATTTCATTGTTTTTTTTTGTTGTGTGGGCGATATTATGTGTACTGACGTTAAGTAGACCACTGCGGGATATATAAAAATTTTGAAACATAAAAAATCCGGGTTTTCAAATTATTTTTCAAGATTCGCAATGGAGCGCATTTGACAGTTTCCGGGGTTAATTTTGACAGGAAAATCGATTTTTTAGAGCTCCAAGGTTAAAATTCACAAATCTAGCTCAAAATGGAGCATTTTCCTCAAATTTTGCATTAAAAATCCCCAAATTCTCAATAGAGCGCATTTGAACATTTCCGGGGTTCATTTTGGCGGGAAATTCAAATTTTCAAGTTTCTAGACCCAATTTTGGCCATTTTTCATGAAATCTAGCTCAAAATGGAGCATTTTTCATGAATCTTGGTTCAAAAATCCCCAAATTCTCAATAGAGCGCATTTGACAGTTTCCGGGGTTAATTTTGGCGGGGAATTCAAAATTTCAGGGTTCCAGGTGTGATTTCGGTTAATTTCCATGAAATCTAACTCAAAATGGAGCATTTTTCTCAAATTTTGGCTCAAAAAACCCACCTCAAATATCTCAAAAAGCAATTCACCACCATTTTCGGCACCTTATACTTAAACTTGCTCATTTTTCCAACCGAAATCACTCTCAAATCATCTTCCGTGGGGCTCCGAACAAAATATCGTTTCTTAAAATCCGACGAATTCCACAAATCTCTTAAAATTCCAATTGGCTGGTCATTTTCAGCAAACCATTCTGGATAAAATTTCGAAACAATATTAATGAGTGATAATCCCAAATACTCTCTGTCACAAATCGAATTTTCAGCCAAATTCTCTTCGGGTTCCAGCCATTCCAGATTTTCAGTCAAACATTTTCCAGCCATTAAATTCGTCATAAATTCCGAATTTTCAGTCAAAAATTTCCTCAGACTTTCAGTTTTCGGGTATTCGATGATTCTTCGAAAAAGTAGCCTTCTGGCGTCATTTTCGATGGATTCTGATGTGAAGAAGAATTCGATGATTGATTTTGGGAATCTCGAGATGATTTCAGTCACATCTTCCAGCCAGCCACGAATTAGCTGAAAAATTCAAAATTCAAAATTTTCCATCAATTTTGAGCTCTGAAGCTTAAAATTTCAAATTTTTGCTCGGAAACTTGAAATTTTTAGATTTTTCTGGTTTTTTGAGTTAAAAATTCAAAATTTTTCATGAATTTTGAGCTCTGAAGCTTAAAATTTCAAATTTTTGCTCGCAAACTTGAAATTTTCAGATTTCTCTAGTTTTTGAGTTAAAAATTCAAAATTTTTCATGAATTTTTAGCTCTGCAGCTTAAAATTTCAAATTTTTGCTCGGAAACTTGAAATTTTCAGATTTCTCTAGTTTTTGAGTTAAAAATTCAAAATTTTTCATGAATTTTGAGCTCTGCAGATTAAAATTTCAAATTTTTGCTCGGAAAACTTAAAATTTTCAGATTTTTCTGGTTTTTGAGTTGAAAATTGAAATTTTTCATGAATTTTTAGCTAGGAATTAAATTATTCGTTGAAATTTAATAAGAAATTCAAATCTTCTCGATTTTTCAAGTTTCAGAGCTTATTTTGGCTCAAAAAATCCAATTTTCCTCAAGTTTTCACCCCAAAAAACCCACATCTTGCGAATACAAATGTTCAAAATCCGCTGCAAATTTCGCAATTTCAATCGCCATTTCAACAGTAACAACTTCCGGATTCGAAATTCGCGCCAAAATCGAAACTATAATTGCAATTGATTCGACTTGATTCCACGATTCATTTTTCAGATTATCATAATCAATTCCTGGTTCTTCAATTGGTTCTTCATCTCGACCATGATTCAAATATTGTGCCAAATTTGGGTCCAATTTCCAGTTTGAAACGAAATTCTGGAAAAAACGAGGTTTTTGAGCTAAAAATCATGAAAAATCAATAATTTTGAGCCTAGAAACCTGAAAAATTCACTAAAAATGAGCAAGTGCGCTCTATTGAGAATTTTGCGAATTTTCGAGCCTAACATGAGCAATCCACGCATTTCTGAGCTAAAAATCATCAAAAATCGATAATTTTAAGCCTAGAAACTGTAAAATTTGCTAAAAATGAGCAAGTGCGCTCTATTGAGAATTTTGCGAATTTTCGAGCCTAACATGAGCAATCCACGCATTTCTGAGCTAAAAATCATCAAAAATCGATAATTTTAAGCCTAGAAACTGTAAAATTTGCTAAAAATGAGCAAGTGCGCTCTATTGATAATTTTTCTGGATTTCGAGCTTAACATGAGCAATCAAGCCAAATTTTCGATAACTTCAAGCCTAGCTCAAAATTCCATGAATTTTCCAGTTTCCCGGCCTAAAAATGCTGAAAATCCTGAATTTCAGCTCAAAAAATCACTCACAATCATATTTTGTGCCATATTTTTCGTCACAATATCTGGATTCAGCTCAAACATTCGATTGATTTTTCGCACATCACTCGGCTCAAAAATGACGTCATCAGCTGGTTGTTTATCGATTTTTTCAAGGGTTTCACGGCCAACTATTTTGAGCAAATTCAGGTGGAGGGGAAGAATCTGGAAAGTGGGTTTTGGGTAGAAAAATGAGGCGGGAAACTTGGAAAATTCAAATTTACCGCCAAAATCGACGGCGGGAAGTTGAAAAATTCAAATTTTCACACAAAATTTGCAAATTTAACATGAGCAATGCTCAAAATTTCCGGGTCCAAAAAACCCGGATTTTTTAGGTTTCAATAATTTTTCATGTAAAATAATATTGAGTCAAAAATTGATACATGTTTTTTTATCGTTCGCAATTTTCCTCAATTTCAAAAATTTTCAATTCCAATTTTGATGAAAAATAAGCCGCGGGAAACTAGAAAATTTGATTTTTAAAGTAAAAAATGGCTCAGGATTCACATTTTTAGGTCTGAAATTGGTTGAAACTCATTGATTTTTGTCATAAATACCCCAAGAATCATGAAAATGCAGTTTTGACGCCTAAAAATGACCCGGGAAGTGGGAAAATTCAAATTTTTGCTCAAAAATCTGAAATTTTCAGCCAAAACTCTCAAATCTCACCTCTCCAAGAGCTCGATGTGCATATTCACTAATCTTTTCGCCAATTTGATTCAAATCCGCTCTCAAAACAACAATCGCAAATCGCTCGAAATTTTTTTCGATCAAAATTTGATCAGCGCACAGGAATTCAGTTAGGCCATGTCCGTCCATCTGCAAAAAAAACTGAATTTTATTAATTTCAGTGATTTTCAGCTCAAAAATTCATCAATTTCAGTGATTTTCAGCTCAAAAACCAGAAAAAATCTAAAAATTTCAAGTTTCCGAGCAAAAATTTGAAATTTTAAGCTGCAGAGCTCAAAATTCATCAATTTCAGTCATTTTCAGCCCAAAATTCATCAATTTCAGTGATTTTCAGCTCAAAAACCAGAAAAAATGTGAAAATTTCAAGTTTCCGAGCAAAAATTTGAAATTTTAAGCTGCAGAGCTCAAAATTCATGAAAAATTTCAATTTTCAACTCAAAAAACCAGAAAAATCTGAAATTTTCAAATTTCCGAGCAAAAATTTGAAATTTTAAGCTTCAGAGCTCAAAATTAATGGAAAATTTTGAATTTTCAACTCAAAAACCAGAAAAATCTGAAAATGTCAAGTTTCCAAGCAAAAATTTGAAATTTTAAGCTTCAGAGCTCAAAATTCATCAATTTCAGTGATTTTCAGCTCAAAATTCTTCAAATTTCTCAAATTTTCAGCCAAATTTCAGCTCAAAACTCACCCTTTTCACATCCATCAATCCAGTGAATTTATAACAAGCAATTAGGCATTCCAACGACTTGAATCTCAAATATTCAACTTGTTCACAAATCGGAATTGGCGGCAAAAAATGGGCGGCACACGTTTCGCATTTTTTGTAGGCATGTCTTTGCATCAAATGATTTGTTGAAGTTTGTGATAAATCCAAAATGAATTGAACAAAATTCGTCCATTCTGCTTGTTTATTTTCAAAATTCAAAATTGGCGGCGAAATTGAGAGAAAATCGTATAAAACTGAGACACTGGCTGTGGATTCGGCAAGCGAAAGGAAGCTGCAAAAAAAGCGGTTGATTTGGGGGGCACAGAAAAATGGGCGGAGCTTAGACATCAAATTAAAGCCCTGCAAAAAAACCATGCCGCAAAATTGCAAAAGTGGGCGGGGCCTAGACAAATTTGGTATCAAACTGAAGCTCTTAACATGAGCAATGTCGTATTTGTGCTCAAAATAATGCTCTTAATATGAGCAATCCAAAAATTCAGCATTAAGGTTCAACTCATTACTCTTAATCTGAGCAATGTCAAATTAATGCTCCTAACATGAGCAATACCATATTTCCACTCAAAACAATGCTCTTAACATGAGCAATACCATATTCGAGCTCAAAATAATGCTCTTAACCTGAGCAACGTCAAATTTGGGCTCAAAATAATGCTTCTAATATGAGCAATGCCATATTTAGATTCAAATTAAAGCTCCCAATTTGAGCAATACCGTATTTGGGCTCAAAATGCTCCCCCTAACCTGAGCAATCTCAAATTTGGGCTCAAAATGCTCCCCTCAAAAAACTCACGAAACTTGCTCAATAGCTCTCCAAATATCCTTTTCAAAAAACGCGATAAACCGCGTCAAAAATTGAGGCATAGTCGTGTCCAATTGCGAAATCTTCTGACATTGTTCCAACAATTTCTTCATTTTTTTGCGAACCTCTTCACTTCCATTAAAATAGAATTTCGAGTAGGCGGCAATGAATTTCTGACAATTTCCGGCGCAATTTGGAGCATTTTGAGCCAAAAACTTCTGCTGAAGCTTTTCGAGACATTCCATTGCCAAATCAACACTTCCCGATGCAATTTCATCTACCGTACCCAAAATAATCTCAATCAAACTATCGATTATATCCTCAATGTTATCCTCGATGAATTTTCGCGGGTAATTTTTGATGATACATTGGAGCGCACTTGCTCCGCCCAAACGAGAAAACCAGGCTGGACCATGACATAAATTCATTATTCGTTCGATTAAATATCGACAAAATGGCACTTGGGACATCTGGAAAAACGGAAAAATTAGTTAATTTTCAAATTTTTCATGAAATTTGGGCTCTAAAGATACCAAATTGCTCATTTTTGACTAAAAAATTGAGCATTGCTCATGTTAATTTTCAAATTTTCGAGAAAATTTGGAGCATTTTGAAACATCATAAGCCTAATTTTCAAGAAATATTGACGATTGCTCATATTAATTTTTGCACAACTCTAACATGAGCAATGCTCAAATTTCACCGAAGCCTGGCTTATTTGGTATCTTTCGAACCCAAATTCAATGACAAATCAAGAATTTAACATGAGCAATGCTCAATTTTCACTAAATTTAGGCTTATGGGGTATCTTTCGAACCCAAATTTGATGAAAAATCCAGAATTTAACATGAGCAATGCTCTATTTTCACCAAATTTAGGCTTATGGGGTATCTTTAGGACCCAAATTTGATGAAAAATCTAAAGATTAACATGAGCAATGCTCAATTTTCACCCAAAAATAGGCATGTTCGGTATCATTTTGACCCAAATTTGATGAAAAACCTTACCAAATCAATATCAGGCAACGCAGCAGCACAAGTATCATTAATAACTCTCAAAGCAACTGTAGCCGAGTAGCAAAAATCCTTATTTGTGTCAGAAAACGCCAAAACCAATGCATCGATGAGAATCGCTGAATCCATGCATAAATCTCCAATTTCTCCCTGATTTTCTGAAGATCTCAACCAATTCGAACCATCTCCAACATATTCCAAAATTCCGATCAGAGTTAAATGTCGACAAATCGAGTTGAAGAAATTACGGTATTGAATTCGTAGATCGTCTCGAATAATGACACCGTAGAAAAAGATGAGCAACGTGTCAATGAACATTTTTCGATCGTTTTCACGGCGACATTTGAAGAGGGTTGTGGGTGCGCGAGAAATGTCGAAATTCTGGAAATTTTGAGGGTTTTGGCTGAAATTTGGCTTAAAATAGAGCATTTTTTTATCAAGTTTAGGCTCATTTTGTAGAGAATTTCAAGAGCTGCAAAATGAGCCTAAATTTAATTTTTGAAATTTTCAGATTTTGGCTGAAATTACCGGCAAAACTGAACCTTAGGATTTATTTTTTGAAAAATATTAAGCTTCTCAGTTTCAGTCCTAATTTCTAATTTTCAGCCAAAATCTGAAATTTTTAAAAATTAATTTCAGGTTCATTCGAAAGCTCTTGAAATTCTCTACAAAATGAGTCTAAATTTAAATTTTGAAATTCTCAGATTTCGGCTGAAAATCAGGACTAAAACTCAGAAGCTCTGAAATTTTCAAAATTTTAAATTTAGGTTCATTTTGTAGAGAATTTCAAGAGCTTCAAAATGAGACCAAACTCAAATTTTTAAAAATTTCAGATTTCGGCTGAAAATCTGGCTGACTTCCAGATCAATTTCAGGTCAAAAACCAGGTTTTTTAGCTCATTTTTCATGGAAAATCCAAATTTCCAGGTCAAAAATGAGCCCAGAATCCAAGAATTTAAAGCTCCGAGCTTCTAGATCAATTTCAGGTCAAAAACCAGGTTTTCTGGCTGAATTTTCATCAAAAATTCAAATTTCCAGTCAAAAATCCAAGAATTTAAAGCTCCGAGCTTCTAGATCAATTTCAGGTCAAAAACAGGCTTTCTGGCTCATTTTTCATCAAAAATTCAAATTTCCAGTCAAAAATCCAAGAATTTAAAGCTCCGAGCTTCTAGATCAATTTCAGGTCAAAAACAGGCTTTCTGGCTCATTTTTCATCAAAAATTCAAATTTCCAGGTCAAAAATCCAAGAATTTAAAGCTCCGAGCTTCTAGATCACTTTCAAGTCAAAAAACAGGTTTTCTAGCTCATGTTTCATGGAAAATCCAAATTTCCAGTCAAAAATTCAGGAATTTAAAGCTCCGAGCTTCTAGATCATTTTCAGGTCAAAAACCAGGTTTTCTGGCTCATTTTTCATCAAAAATCCGATTTTCCAGCTCATTTCCCCCCCCCCCCCCAATTTTTCCTACCTGACAACACTGCCGAATCCGTTCCAAAATCCTTTCAATCTGCCCCATTTCCAGTACAACTTTCGGTCCCAATCCAATCAACATCACCGATTTCGCCAATTCCATGAAATCTTTTCGCAATTCATAATTTGGCACAATCGGTGGATTTTTGCAGGATTGTGATAAAGGTTGCATTGCAATTGCGGCCATTATATTATTTGGAGTCGGATGATGTGGAATCACATTATGGCCTGGAGTATGAGCCTGGGCCTGGGCCTGAGCTTGGGCCTGGGCTTGAGCTTGCGCGTGAGCCTGGATCGCCGGATTTAGAAGGCCATTTTGACCTGCCGGTTCAGCTGACGAAATACTCGCTTTCATTTGATCCACTGCCAATTTCATGATTTCGTTTAGAGTTAGATGAATTGAAAGAGGCCCGTCTAGGCCCATTTTTGAGAATTCCATTGAGACATATGTTGGTTGAATCTGGAAAAAAATCGATATTGGTTTAATATGAGCAATGCTATGCTTTTTTACCCATTCTTGACGAAAAATCGACAATTTCAGGCCAGGGAACTTGAAAAATTCAAATTTTAAGGCAAAAATTAGCAAACGCGCTCCATTGAGAATTGGATGAAATTTTCAAGATTAATATGAGCAATCCCATGTTTCTAGCTAAATTTTTGATGAAAAATCGATAATTTTGAGCCTAGAATTTCAAAATTTGAAATGTCTTCCTGAAAATGAGAAACTGCGCTCTACTGAGAATTTGGCGGAATTTGAGGAATGTTAAAATGTTCAAAAATTATTTTTTTTTTAGAAAACCAGGATTAATATGAGCAATGCTATGATGTTTCATGAAAAATCGTGAATTTTAAGCCCGGGAACTTGAAAGTTCAAAATTTTCAGCCAAAAGTGGGCAAACGCGCTCTACTGAGAATTTGGCGGGGTTTTCAGGTTTAGCATGAGCAATGCTATTATTTTTCATCAATTTTTGATGAAAAATCGATAATTTCAAGCCCGGGAAATTGAAAAATTCAAATTTTCAGCCAAAAGTGGGCAAATGCGCTCCATTGAGAATTTTTGAAATTTCCAAGATTAACATGAGCAATCCTATGTTTTTAGCTAATTCTTCATGAAAAATCGATAATTTCAAGCCCGGGAACTTGAAAAATTCAAAATTTTAGCCAAAATTGCACTGTTTTGAGAAATCAGCGGGTTTCCAGGTCTAATATGAGCAATGCTATGATTTTTCATCAATTTTTCATGAAAAATCGATAAGTTTGAGCCCGGGAACTTTAAAAATTCAAAATTTTCAGCTGAAAGTGCGCTCCATTGAGAATTTGGTGAAATTGTAAGATTAACATGAGCAATCCTATGTTTTTAGCTAAATTTTGATGAAAAATCGTGAATTTCAAGCCCGGGAACTTGAAACATTCGAATTCTCAGCCAAAGGTGGGCAAATGCGGTCTGTTGAGAATTTGATGAAATTTTCAAGATTAACATGAGCAATCCTATGTCTTTAGCTAAATTTTGATGAAAAATCGATAATTTCAAGCCCGGAAACTTGAAAAATTCAAAATTTTAGCTGAAAGTGCGCTCCATTAGGAATTTGGTGAAATTTTCAAGATTAAAATGAGCAATCCTATGATTTTTTATCAATTTTTATGAAAAATCTCGAAATTTCGGCCTAGATTCTTGAAAATTCAAATTTCCCGCCAAAATTGATCCCAGGGAACTTGAAAAATTCAAATTTCTAAATTTAAATTGGCAAGTGCGCTCTATTGAAAACTGGGCGGGTTTTGAGGAATTTTGAAACTTTTAGAGCTATTAAAGCCTAATATGAGCAATCCTATAATTGTCATCAACCTTCTAGATTAATTTCATCTGATAAAATTCTCTATTTTGTTCAAAAATCATAGCATTGCTCATATTAAGTCTAAAAAATTCGAATTTTTCACTTTTGCGGCGTTAATTTTGGCGGGAAATTCAAATTTTCAGCCATTTTCCCAGACAAACCTCTCCAATTTGCACAAAATCCAAATCTTGTGGCTCATTTAACATTTTCCGATTGGCTCCACCAAATTTTCCCAGAATTCGAAAAGCGGCAGCTGTTGATTGGGGTTCGGTGGATGTTGCCACAACTTTCCATAATCCTTGCATAAGTGCTCCGCGAACTGGAGCCATGTGCTCATAGAGATATTCGGGTTGAAGATTGTCGACGCATAGTTCGAGGGTTCTGCAAAATTCAGGATTAGCTAAAAATTTGCAACTTTTTGAGCCCAAAAAACATGAAAAATCGATAATTTCAAGCCTAGAATCATGAAAATTCAAAAATTTTCGATTTTGACGCCAAATTTCACGGTGTAAACGCGGAGCATCGTTTAAAATTTGAAAATTGGTTATAATTTTCCGTCTAGAAATATGAAAATTCAAATTTCCCGCCAAAATTAACGCCGGGAAATTGAAAAATTCAAATTTTTAGCTGAAAATTGGCAAATGCGCTCCACTGAGAATTTGGAGGTAATTGGGAAATTTTGAATTTTCAAAAAACCTCATTCAATAGAGCGCATTTGTCAATTTCTAGCTGAAAATTTGAATTTTTCAACTTTTCGGGGTCAATTTTGGCGGGAAAAATCGCATTTTTGTAAATTTTTTCGAAGAAAAATCCTAAAACTACCAGTTTAGTGTTTTCCCACAAAATCTATACGAATTTTTTGAAACCTATTTTTCGGGGGGAAAAAAATTGAATTTTTCTAATCATTTTTGAGCACGGAAAAATTTAATTTTGGTTTGGAACTTGGAAAAATAAATCATTCTCAATAGAGCGCATTTGCCAATTTCTAGCTGAAAATTCGAATTTTCCAAGTTCCCGGGGTCAATTTTGGCGGGAAATTCAAATTTAAACAGGTTTGGGGTGAAAAAATCGATTTTTCAAGTTTTTGAGGTCAAAATACCCAATTTTCGGGTTTTAAACGATGCTCCGCGTTTACACCGTCAAATTTGGCGAGAAATTTGAATTTTTCATGATTCTAGGCTTGAAAATATCGATTTTTCGAGTTCCCGGGGTCAAATTTGGCGGGAAATTTAAATTTTCAAGTTTCTAGGTCCATTTTTGGTCATTTTCCACGTTCCCGGGCTCATTTTCATCCAAATTTCTCACCTCAATCCCTGCTGCACCAACGTCGGACTTCCATTCAACGCACAAACCAACGGATCCATCAAAAGTGGCAAATACGGTAGAAGCGAGCTAAGTCTAACAGGAACAGTTAGGCAAAGTTCAACGAAAAGTTCGCGCATTTGAAGACGATGTTGGCATGATTGAAGTTTATTGAGGAATTGGAGCAAATTGGGCAAAAGTGGTAGAAATTTCCCGTATAAAATATCATGTGCTCCACCGCCAATCGATCGAAAAAGTGCTCTGAGGAGCAAAAAATAATTCAATGGCTCTCTGGCTGAAAGTGCCAAAATTGTTGAATGTCTGATGAGATCTGGCAAAAATGGTTTGAGCATTTTTTCGCCTTCGACATTTGGATGATGAGTTCCGATGGCCGAAAATATGATTTTGAACAATTTCACATAAAGTGCCGTTTTTTCGTTGGAAACTGCTAGTTGTTCCATTCGGGACATGAGAAATGAGAGCATTATTGAGGCAAAATAGGGCACTTCGTTTCGAACCAAAAATGTGTTGACCATTAGTTGGAGGGGAACATTTCTGGAAAAAAATTGGGCATTTTTTGAGTCCAAATGAGCCTAGGGTTACTGTAGATTTTGGCTGAAATTTGGGATTTTTAGACACCAAACAAGCCCAGGGTTACTGTAGCTAAAAATCCCCATTTTTTGACACCAAACAAGCCCAGGGTTACTGTAGTTTCTGGTGCCAAAAATTTGGAATTTTCAAAATTTGTAGATCAAAAGATTACTGTAGCTGAAAATCCCCATTTTTTGACACCAAACAAGCCCAGGGTTACTGTAGTTTTTGGTGCCAAAAATTTGGAATTTTCAAAATTTGTAGATCAAAAGATTACTGTAGCTAAAAATCCCCATTTTTTGACACCAAACAAGCCCAGGGTTACTGTAGTTTCTGGTGCCAAAAATTTGGAATTTTCAAAATTTGTAGATCAAAAGATTACTGTAGCTGAAAATCCCCATTTTTTGACACCAAACAAGCCCAGGGTTACTGTAGTTTTTGGTGCCAAAAATTTGGAATTTTCAAAATTTGTAGATCAAAAGATTACTGTAGCTGAAAATCCCCATTTTTTGACACCAAACAAGCCCAGGGTTACTGTAGTTTTTGGTGCCAAAAATTTGGAATTTTCAAAATTTGTAGATCAAAAGATTACTGTAGCTGAAAATCCCCATTTTTTGGAATCAAATAAGCCCAGGGTTACTGTAACTGAAAATCCACATTTTTTGACACCAACCAAGCCCAGGGTTACTGTAGTTTCTAGCGCGAATTTCCTAATTTTCAAAATTTCCAGTTCAAAATATTACTGTAGCTGAAAATCCCTTTTTTTCACCAAACAAGTCCCGGGTTACTGTAGTCTTCCGCGCCAAAAATACCAATTTATTCAAAAAAACAAGAAATTTGATGTTATTTCGTCATCACTTTGATCATATTCGAATCCCGCCACGAAAACCAGGATTACTGTAGCGAAAATGGCCAAAAATAGTTGGAAATTCATGATTTTTATGAAATTTTTATCTGAAAATCATGTTTTATGCAAATTTCTGACTGGAAATCATAAAAATTCAAATTCTGGGCGTTTTTAACGATTTCCAGTCGAAAATCCGCATAAAAACATGCTTCCCGTGTGAAAATTTCATAAAAATCATGAATTTCAAGCTATTTCTGACCATTTTTGCTACAGTACTCCTAGTTTTCGTGGCGGGACTCGATTATGATGACCAAAGCGAATTAGTGGATAGTTCAATGATTATTGATTGAAATTTTGTGTAGGGGTTTTGGCGCCAAAATCTACAGTAATCTAATGAATTTTTGGGTGGAGAAAAAGAAAAATGAAGTATTTGTGAATGAATTTTTGATTAAAAATCTGGAATTTCAGCTTAAGGTCCAATTTTGCCTTGGAAAATGGAAATTATTTAGAATTTTCAGCTAGAAATCAGTCTGGAAATGTTGATTTTGTGAAAAGTTTTCGAATATTCCAGTTTTTTGACACCAAATAAGCCTAGGGTTACTGTAGTTTTTGGTGTCAAACTTTTGGAATTTTCAAATTTCTAGATCAAAAGATTACTGTAGCTGAACATCCAGGTTTTTCTATACCAAATAAGGCCAGGGTTACTGTAGTTTTTCGCGCCAAAATTACAAATTTATTCAGAAAAAGACATTTTGTTGTATATCGTCATCACTTTGATCATATTCGAATCCCGCCACGAAAACCAAGGTTACTGTAGCAAAAATGGCCAAAAATAGTTGGAAATTCATGATTTTTATGAAATTATCATCTGAAAATCATGTTTTATGCAAATTTTCTGACTGGAAATCATAAAAATTCAAATTCTGGGCGTTTTTAACGATTTCCAGTCAAAAATCCGCATAAAAACATGCTTCCCGTGTGAAAATTTCATAAAATTCATGAATTTCCATCTATTTTTGGCCATTTTTGCTACAGTACTCCTAGTTTTCGTGGCAGGACTCAATGCTGGCGGTGAAGAAATGGTCGATTTGACGAGCCGTGAAAATTATTGAAAATAAAAAAATTTCGAATTTTTCGCGCCGAAAATCTACAGTAACCCTGGGGTTGTTTGGTGTCAAAAAACGTGGATTGTCAGCTACAGTAATCTTTTGATCCACAAAATTTTTAAATTTTAGATTTTTGGACCCAAATTCTACAGTAACCCTAGGCTTGTTTGGTGTCAAAAAACGTGGATTTTCAGCTACAGTAATCCTTGATCTACACTTTTTAAAAATTCCAAAATTTTGGCGCCGAAAATCTACAGTAACCCTGGGGTTGCTTGGTGTCAAAAAATGGGGAATTTCAGCTACAGTAATTTTTTGATCTACAAAATTTTTAAATTTTAGATTTTTGGCCCCAAAATCTACAGTAACCCTAGGCTTGTTTGGTGTCAAAAAACGTGGATTTTCAGCTACAGTAATCTTTTGATCTACAAAATTTTTCAATTTTGAATTTTTGGCGCCAAATCTACAGTAACCCTAGGCTTGTTTGGTGTCAAAAAACGTGGATTTTCAGCTACAGTAATCTGTTGATCTACAAAACGAATTTTGGGTCAAAAAATCGCATTTTTCATAAATTTTCACCCAAAAATTCCAAATTTTCAGTCAATTTTCAGCCAAAAAAAACGCCACTTACCTATAGATTCTCGTGACAATCACATCCATATATTTGTCAAACAATTCGCGAAAAATTCCGTGATCGATTGTTGTAAATACATTGGCCAATGATTCGAGGGTTTCTTTGTCCTCTTTTGACCTGGAAATGGGGATTTTCAGAGGTTTTCGGGCTGAAAATTTCAGATTTTGGGTCAAAATGGGTCATTTTTGCTCAATTTTCATCAAATTTAGGCTCAAAAATCAGATTTTTCACCATTTTCAGCCCCAAAAAATCTCACAATTGATTATTTTTCATCGTCAAAATGTACATATCCATACACATTGTTCCATATTTAAGCAATCGTTCAAACAGATCCTTCTCTCTTGCCACATTATATGATGAAATTGTGGGACGAGTTGCGCGAAGTTGTAAGGTGGCATATTTGCAAGTTTGCAGAATGTATTTGACCAGATTTTTGGCATCAGTTATGCTGACTGGCGGGGAATTAGTCTGCAAAATTGGGGGATTTTTTCGGATTGCTCATGTTAAGATCATTATTTTGATACCCCACAAGCCTAGGCTCCGCCCCTTTTTGCAATTTTGAGGCATGGTTTTTTGAGGGGTTCAATTTAATACCAAATAAGGCATTGCTCATGTTAAGAGCATCATTTTGAGACTGAATCAGGTATTGCTCATGTTAACCGCTTCATTTTAAAGCTGAATGAGCCTAGGCTCCGCCCACTTTTTGCAATTTTGCGGCATGGTTTTTCTGGTTACCTAATGCCTGAAAAACCATGCCGCAAAATTGCAAAAAAAAAAAAGTGGGCGGAGCCTAGGCTTGTGAGGTGTCAAATTAAAGCTCTTAACATGAGCAATGCTGCATAGGCTCCGCCCATTTCGCAATTTTGCGGCATGGTTTTTGGGGGTAATCAGAAAATCATGATTTCTGAGCTCAAAATGCTCCAAATTTCTTGAAATTCGTGATTTCTGAGCTCAAAATGCTCCAAATTTCACGAAATTCGTGATTTTTGAGCTCAAAATGCTCCAAAATCCCGAATTTCAGCTCAAAATGCTCCAAATTGAAAAAATATATATTTAGATTTCCTGAACTTCATCCCAATAAATAAAATTCTCTCGATAAAATTTCAAAAAATTTTGAAACCTATTTTTTTCGGGGTAAATATAGTCAGGTGTGAAAAATTTGAATTTTTAGAGAATTTAGGCTGAAAATGCTCCGAATTTGATGAAAATTATGGTTTTTGAGCTCAAAATGCTCCAAAATTCTAGAATTTTAGCTCTAGATGCTCCGAAAGCACATTTTCAGGTTTCTGAGCTCAAAATGCTCCAAATCTCTCAAATTCAGGCTCGAAATGCTTCAAAAATCTTGAATTTTATGATTTTTGAGCTCAAAATGCTCCAAAACCTCCCAGAAAACCATATTTTGAGCCCTCAGATCTCAAGGTTTAAATTGCTCCAAAATTCTTGAATTTGAGCTCAAAATTTAGATTTTTCAAAGAAAATAGCTCCAAATGCTCAGAATGCTCAAAAATTCAAGTTTCCGGGCTCAAAATGCTCCAAAAATGCTCACCGCCGACAACGCGCTCAAAATCGCCTCCGGTGAATGCTGCTTTCCCTCTTTCGTGGGGCTCGGAAGCGGCTCAGCAATTCCAGTTGGTTTCTGGCACAATTCCAGCTCCTCAACCGAATCAATCGATAATTTTCGTGCTCTTTTCACAGGCGGTGAGAATGGTGGATCTTCAGGTTCCGGAGAATCGGCGAGGCGGGAGGACGCGGAAAAATCCGCATCGATTTCCGCGTTCCGCGTCGGCTCTTCTTCTTCTTCTTGCTCTTCCACATTTTCTTTCGAATCTCGTTCCGATGGATGATAAATATACTCCACATTTGGATCATCACATTTCTCAAACAGAAGTGGAATATGATAAATCGCCAACACTTTCAGCTTCGCAACCAGAGCTTCGAGAATATCAAAGAGCAAATCTCGAGTTGGCTCATTTTGCTGCTCCATTTTGGTGAGCGATTCGGTGACCGAATTTAGTAATCTGGCTGACATTATTTGAACTTGGGTATTTGTTGAGGAATCGTGGAGTTGACGGCAGAAAATGAATGAGACACTGGAAAATAATCGGGATTTTTTGGGGAAAAATTGGGGGAACTTAGGCTCCGCCCACTTTTGCAAGATGCGGCATGATTTTTGGAGCATTTTGAGCCCAAAAACTATGGTTTTCTGAACATTTTGAATATAAATTTGACTAAATTCAAGCTCCGCCCACTTTTGCAAAGTAGGGCATATTTTTTTGAGCATTTTCACCTGAAAATGCTCAGTTTTAAGCCACGCCCACTTTTGCAATTTTGCGGCATGGTTTTCTGAACATTTTGACTCTAAACTTGAATATTTTTAAGCCACGCCCACTTTTGCAAACTAGGGCATAGTTTTTTGAGCATTTTCAGGTGAAAATGCTAAATTTTAAGCTCCGCCCCTTTTTTTGCAAAATAGGGCATAGTTTTTAGAGCATTTTCACCTGAAAATGCTCAGTTTTAAGCCACGCCCACTTTTGCAATTTGCGGCATGGTTTCTAGATCATTTTCAGCTCAAAATGCTCCAAAAACCGCGCCGCAACTTGCAAAAAAGTGGGCGGAGCTTAAATTATAGCATTTCCGGGCTCAAAATGCTCCAAATTTCATGAAATTGGTGATTTTTGAGCTCAAAATGCTCCAAATTAAAAAAAAAAAACTCACTGCGTTAACATTTCAAACGTCAATTTTCCGCGCATATGATGCAACAAATCGGCCAACATTTGGTAGATGAAAGTTCTGAAAAATCAGTGATTTTTAGGTCAAAATTGGCTGAAAATCACGAATTTCAGCTCATTTTCAGCCAAATTCTTCAAAAAATCGCAATTTTCTCACCTCAAAGTGTCAATCGAAGTGAATCCGGTTCCCAAAAGTGCAGTTTCCGAAATCAATCTTGGCAACATGTCAAAGAAATTCATCCGCAAATCTCCAGATGTGAAATATTTCAGAGCTATCAAAACCTCTTTTCGAGCACTTATCAAATCTGCTGGACATTGTTCCAATAATTGCAAAACTCCATTGGCTAATGAATTACCGTGTTGTGTTATGACTTCCATAAACTGCAAGAAATTTGGGGCATTTTGGGGGTAGGTAGGTGGATTTTGGTGCTTTTTTCGACAAAAATCGGTAAATTTTGGTCTAGTAGGTGAAAATGGTGCTTCTTTTGATCAGGTAGGTGAAATCCGATGATATTTTCGTCAGAAATCGGTATAATTTGGTCTGGTAGGTCAATTCTGGTGATTTTTACACTAGAAACCCCCATTTTTCACCAATTTTCTCAAAATTCAAACTTACCGCCGGCACTTTTCCCATAATATTGACAAATGACAAAAATTTGCTTTGTGCCACATAAAAATCATCAGCCAACGCCTGATTCACATTCGTTCGATTTTCGCGCGGAAGTTGAACATTCAAAAAATCGAAGCCGTGTCTCATGAAATCCAGAGCTTCTGTTTGAACCGAGACTTTGAGATGTTGATAGAAGAAGACGACGAGCATTGGGATTTCTTGGAGACATTTGACTGATTGTGAAGCCAGGGGGATTAGAATGTACTGGAAAGAAAATTGGAGGTTTCGGAGTGAAAATCTGCGATTTTTAGCTCAAAAAATGGTCGGAAACAATGATTTTTAGGTTGAAAACATGATTTCAGACTAATTTCTCTGATTTTAGGCTGAAAATCTGGGATTCCAGACTATAAATTCAGATTTTTCATCAAAAATCTGCTCCAAAACTCACATTTTCCCAACAAATTTCGAAAAAGAAATTAGAAAATGCAAAAAAAGCCAACAATTCTTCTAGGTCACGTTTTCACGTGGAAATTTATTATTTTTTTGGAAAAAAAATTGAATTTTTTTCAGAGGGGAAATATTGATTTCTAGGGCAAAAATCATGATTTTCAGCCAATTTTCAGCTGGAAACTTTTAGTTTTCAGCTATTTTCAGCTGAAAATCACAATTTCTAGGTGAAAAACTATAATTTTCAGCGATTTCTAGATGAAAAATCGTCAAAAACCATGTTTTCTAGGTCAGAAATCATGATTTTCAGCCAATTTCCAGCTACTAGGTGAAAAATCATGGTTTTCAGCCTGAAAATCATCAATTTCTAGGTCAAAAACTATAATTTTCAGCAAATTATAGGTCTGAAAATTGTCAGAAAACAAGTTTTCTCATGATTTTCAGCCAATTTTCAGCTAGTAACGCTTAGTTTTCAGCCTGAAAATCATCAATTTCAGGTCCGAAAACGTCAAAAATCATGTTTTCTAGGTGGAAAATCATGATTTTCAGCCAATTTTCAGCCTGAAAATCATCAATTTCAGGTCCGAAAACGTCAAAAATCATGTTTTCCCACGATTTTCAACCAATTTTCAGCCAAACTCTTACCTTATCATCTTTCCCATTCAAAGTAACAGTCTGCGGATGAAAACAAGTCTTCAAATACTCAAAAATCAACTGTTCATCACTACAATTGGTGAACTGTCGTGAAACCTCGCGTGTAATAAACATATCACTATTAATTGAATGTTGTGTCAATTCCTGAATCATTTTCTTGAAAGTCGACATCAAACTCGAAACTTCATGTGAATAAGTCATTCTTCCATTATTCCTTCCCAAATCTATGATAATTTTGATGGCTAAAATTGCATTATCCTCATTTTCCACTGAAATTAGTCGCATCATTTGTTTCATGACTTCTTTTGAGTGTTGTTTGACGGCTTCAATGCTTGAAATCCTCAAAATTATCTCTAAAATCAGTTTTCTGAGTTGTTGGGTATTGTTTTCGGTGATGAATTGTGGAGAAGTGTTGCAGAAGAGGTTCAAAAATACGCTCATTAATTTATCGATCACTTTTTCGTAGGTGCTCGAATTGAAAACCTGCTCGATTTGTTGCCAAATTTCCTGCAGTGTTTTTAGTTTGACGTCATCGCGGATTTGTGAATCGTTGAGGCTGAGAATGCGATTTTCGAGGTCCTGAGTTATCAAGGGAAGAGGTCGGGGACCTGGGGGTGGAGCAATTTGAGCAACTGGTGGTGGTGGTTGTGGTGGAATTGCTGATGGTGGAATTGGTGGAGGAATTTGCTCATTTTGCTGCATTTTCCTGGGAAAAATTTAGTGCTTGATGTAAAAAACTCGAAAAATTGAAGAAAATTCGATTTTCCAGTAGAAAAACACAATTTTAAGACAAAAATCACAAAGAAAAACCATAAAAAATAAAAAAAATTCGAAAAATTCACGACTCTGCATTGACGCATTTCGTGTTGACCCGCAAAATGTAGGGTTGGCGCGAAAAATTAAGATTCAAATATTTTTCATAGAAATCTAGTTTTCGAGCTAGGAAAACCACGTTTTTTCACGAAAATTTGAAATTTTGTTGAAAATTCACGACTCTGGATTGACGCATTTCTTGTTGACCCGCAAAATGTAGATTTTGCGGGAAAACATGGGATTTCAAGATTTTCAGAGGGAAATTTGGGATATTCTTTGATTTTTCAACAGAAAACTTTGAAAAAATATGAAAATTTGATAAAAATTTGGTTTTGGAGCAAGAAAATTTGAAAAATCAAAGAAATTTTCTTGAAAATCCAAATTTTCCCGAATAAAAACCATTGAAAACAAAAAAAGTTAGAAAAATTCACGACTCTGGATTGACGCATCTTTTGTTGACCCGCAAAATGTAGGGTTGGCGCGAAAAATGAAGATTCAAATATTTTTCATAGAAATCTAGTTTTCGAGCTAGGAAAACCACGTTTTTGCACGAAAATTTGAACTTAAAGCGAAAAAACACAAGATTTTCGAAGAAAATAATGAAAAATGTTGAAATTCATCTATTTTCTCACAAAAAAACGTTATCAAAGCAAAAAGCCGAATCAAAACATTAAACTTTCCCAAAAAGCTTCTAGAAAATGCTTTTTTCTTTTTTTTTCGAAAAAAAAACAATTAATTAAAAATTTTCGCGCCAAAAGTTTACACCAAGCAATAAATCACTCGGGAAAATGAAATATCTTTCTGGCGCGCAAAATGTAGGAGGAAATGTATCTAGATTATGCGGGGGAAAAAGGGAATTCAATATTTTCAAAGGAAAAATTGGAAAATTTCATGGAAATCTGGTTTTTGAGCTGAAAATCCACGTTTTAAACACGGTAATTCAAAGTTTTCTGCTGTGAAAAATAGAAAAACCCCTAAAAATCTACATTTTCCTGATATTTCTATGAAAATTTTATTAGAAATCATAGTCAAAGGAAAATATTTGATTTTCATGCAAAACCTCTCAAAAAACACGCGAAATCTTCCAAAATTCCCCACCCACCTATTTAGAACCCGCAAATTTCATAAAAAACCACAAAAAATCAATGAATCACCCTGTAACCCCGTAATTTCCCGCCAAATTCCAAAAAACTCCCGCCAAAACGAAAAAAACAAAAAATTCAAATGAAAATCGCGACCGCGGATTGACGCATTTCGTGTTGACGCACAAAATGTAGGCCGGTGCGTTGTTGGCGCATTTCGCGTTTTTTTCCAGTTTTTTTCAGTTTTCGCCCGGGATTTCGAGAAAAACGAGATTTTCAGGGAGTTAAATGGGCGGAGTCATAACTAAGGACTCAAATCTCAAAGAAAATGCGTATTTGAAGAAGCTGAGCGGTGTGCAAACCTTTGATGACAACGATCCATTTTGGAACAAACTTTTGAGCTTTAATTTGAAATTTGAGAATGATGAGTGAGTTATTTTCAAAAGAAAATCTTCAAAAAAGCGTTTTTAATTTAGAGAAATCAATCTGGAACCATTTTTGGACGAACACTTGCAAAATTTGATGTATAACACCCAAAAAACCGGCAATTTTTCCGCATTCATCAGATTATTCCTAAGAAGAAGCACAGAACTGCGAGAATCAGAGCAATGTGAGAATAAGATCTATCTCTGGCAGACTTCCAACGCATTGCTCATCTTAAGATATATCGCGAAATTCTTGACGCAAAGGATGACAGAATCGGAATTTGTGCGGATTTTTTCAAAGGATTCTGGAGTTCAGGAGGATTCTGATGATTCAGAAAGCTCGCAGGGTTCTTCAGAAGCTCCAGAAGAAGAATTATATCAAAATACAGCTGAGGAATTTGTCTCAGAGCTAATTTCAATATTAAATAACCTGCCAGTCACTGAAAACACGCTGGCAATCCACGTGGAATCGGTGAGATGTATTATAACTCTTTTGAGCTCTCAAATATATAATAGCTCAATTGTCAACACTTCAATCATTTTTCGATTTTTTATTGATGGATTTTGCGCCAAAAATGCGGCGGCGCTGACAAAAACATTGCTTTCTAATTATTTATCGCATAATTCGGGTTATAGTATGGTTTTGGCGAAAGGACAGGAGAGTTTGGTGCTGGGATTTGCTAGTGAGTTGTTTTTGGGGCGGAAAATGAGCCTAAAAACTGAAAATTTGATGGAAATCCTGGTTTTTCAGCCAAAAATGGTGATTTTCACTGAAAAATGAGCCTAGAAACTCCAAATTTAGTGAAAATCCTGAATTTCAAGGGAAATTCGCCGAATTTTGGTTGAAAATGAGCTTAGAATCATGTTTTATGACCTAGAGACTCAAAAATTCATGAAAATTGTCAAAAGTGAGCCCAGAAGGTTGATTTTGACCCCAGAAGTCCAGAATTTCATGAAACTCCAACTTTATCAGCTATAAATCCGGGTTTTCAATCAAAATTTAAGCCTTGAGCTCAAAAATCCCGATTTTCCTCACATTTTCAGCCAAAATTTCGAAATCTAAACCATTTTCTGAATACTAGACATCTAGAAATGACCAAAATTTCAAAAAAATTGAAAACAAAATTGATTTTCTAGGCTATCTCGTTTTTCACGTTCCAAGAGAAGTACAAAATGTTTTTTAACTGAAAAATTCAAGTTTTCATGTTAAAAATCACAAAAACCTTCAAATTTTCACTAAAAATCCCCATTTTTCACCATTTTCCTCCCGAAATCCTCAAATTTTCTGCAGGTTCCGTATGGTCAATGGTTCAAATGGCGGCGGGTCTCGAAACGACCGAGGAATCCACCGAAAAACCGCCAATCACCCTGGGTAATCTCAGCGTTTTGCTGCTATTGAATCTGGCTTGTCATCAACCACTAAATGCAACAAATCCATTCAAAGAAACGTTGGCACTGTTCCAAAATGCGCAAGGTACGATGGATTTGGGCTGAAAATTCATGATTTTTGGAGCATTTTTGAGTGAAAATGACTGAAATTCTTGAATTTTGAGCATTTTTGACTTGGAAAACATAATTTTTAACCAAAAATGTATAATTTTGAACCTGAAAACGCTGAAAATGAAAATTCTACCTAAATTTTACTGAAATTTTTGAATTTTGAGCATTTTTGGCTGGAAATCATGATTTTTGGAGCATTTTGAGCCTAAGAATGACACCAAAAAACCGTGCCGCAAAATTGCGAAAAGTGGGCGGAGCCTAGGATTTTTGGGGCTCAAAATAATGTTCTTAATCTGAGCAATCCCTCATTTAGTATCAAATCAAAGCTCTTAACATGAGCAATCTTAAAATATATGTATTATAGTATATTTTAAGATTGCTCATGTTAAGAGCTCAAAATAATGCTCTTAATATGAGCAATATCTTGTTTAGATTCAAAAGAACCGTCCTAACATGAGCAATCCCATTTTTACACTCAACTTGAAGCTCTTAACATGAGCAATGTCTTGTTTAGTATCAAATTGATGCTCTTAACATGAGAAATCCCATATTTAGGCTCAAAAAATCCCATCTAACATGAGCAATCCGAATTTTCCAGAAGTCTCAACGCTTCCAACCCAAATCACCTCCTTCAAAATCGACTTCAATGGTCTCTATGATCGACTTTGTGCAACAGCAAATCAAGAATCCTCAATGCTCTTATTATACATGCTTTTACACGGCAATTCAGGATTTCGGAATTATGTTTTATCGCGAATTAATCTGGAGAATTTGGTTGTTCCGGTGTTGAGAATACTTCACGATGGAACTCGCGATAAAACCAACAATTCACACGTTTATTTGGCACTGATTGTTTGTTTGATTTTGAGCGAGGATGAGATTTTTTGCAAAATTATTCATGAAACGGTGAGATTTTTGGGGGAAATTTGGGGTTTTTTGAGCCAAAATCCATGAATTTCGGCTGAAAATGAGCTATTTTTGATCAAAAATTGATAAAATTCAGGTTTCTGAGCCAAAAACGATGAAAAATCTTAAATTTCTGATGATTTTTTGAAAATTCTGAATTAAACTCACAGAAAAACGTATTGCTCAGATTAAGAGCTCTAATTTGATATAAAATAAGGCATTGCTCAGATTAGTGGTCATTTTGAGCTCAAATAAAGCATTGCTCATGTTAAGAGCTCTAATTTGATATGAAATAAGGCATTGCTCATGTTAAGAGCTCTAATTTGATATAAAATAAGGCATTGCTCAGGTTATGAGCTCTAATTTGATATGAAATAAGGCATTGCTCATGTTAAGAGCTCTAATTTGATATAAAATAAGGCATTGCTCATGTTAAGAGCTTTAATTTAAACCAATATTCGTCGCATTGCTCATATTAACTTAAAAATCTGAAAATCCACATTATAATTATTGAAAAATGCAATTTCCAGCGAAAAATCTGAAAATCCAGACTGAAAATTGCTTAAAAATCTGAAAATTCAACGAAAATATATGAAAATTGGTCAAAAATGCTCATTTTTCATCAATTTTCACCCGGAAAATCACAAAAAATCCCCAAATTTTGGCTCATTTCCAGATAATCCACAATCCCTCCTGGTTAGATGTCGATTTCAGTGTCCGCGAAATCTCGCTGGGTGGTCTGACCGCTCTGGTTTTCATCCGAGTCATCCAAAAAAATGCCCTCAAAACCAAAGATCGCTATTTGCACACAAATTGTTTGGCTTCACTAGCTAATATGAGCTCGAGCTTCAAAAATTTGGCTCCGATTGTTTGTCAGAAGTTGATTAGCTTGTTGGATGTGAGTTGGAGTACTGTAGCCTACAGTAACCGTAGCGCTCAAAATTCCCTTCAAAATGAGACCAAACTTGGGGTACTGTAGCCTACAGTAACCGCTTAGAAAATTGATTTCTAAAAAAAAGTTCCAAAAATTTTTGTGGATCAAATTTTGTTCAGCCAAAATTCTGGGTACTGTAGCCGCCTTGCTTCTTACTGTAGCGGGGTACTGTAGCCCTCAAAATTCCCTTCAAAATAAGACCAAACTTGGGGTACTGTAGCTTCCTTGCTTCTTACTGTAGGTGGGTACTGTAGCCTTCGAAATTCCCTTCAAAATGAGGTACTGTAGCCTACAGTAACCCTAGATAAAAAACATTTTAAAAAAAATCCAAATCACATTTTCTGGGGGTACTGTAGTTGCTCTACAGTAACCCATAATAGTGTTCAACAATATACCTACAGTAATCCTCTACAGTACCTCAAAATCTACAGTAATCCACTGATTTTCACAAAATTCTAGAACTCATTTTTCTAAAGGGTTACTGTAGGGCCTACAGTACCCGTGTTTGGACTCATTTTGAAGAGGATTTCAAGAGAGCTACAGTACCCCCAAATATTTTGGCACTTTTTTTCAAACCCTCTAAAACTCTCAGGTTACTGTAGGGTCTACAGTAGTCGTGTTTGGACTCGTTTTGAAGCGAATTTCTTCTATATTTTCCAGATTCTCACAAAACGCCACGCAAAATTGGTGGAACAAATGAAGGAGGTCAGTAAATCTGAAGAAGGCGGTGGATTTTCAGCGAATTTGGTGAGTTTTTGGCTGAAAATGTGGGATTCTGGGATAAAAATCTGAAAATTAAACAAAAAACTGATGAAAATTCGAGATTTTTGGCCAGAAAAACAAAAAAAAACCTGAAAATTTCACGATTTCAGCTCAAAAAAGTCAGAAAAGCTTGAATTTTGGCTCAAAAATCCCCATTTCTCAAATTTTCAGCCAAAAAAATCAATAATTAAATTTTCCAGCACGAATTTCGACAAAAAACTGATAAAAATCTGAAATTTCAGCTTTCTCAAAGTTTTTTTTTCAAATTTCATGAATAGAATTTTCAGCAAGAAAAACAACATTTTTTCAATATTTCAGTAAAAAAATCTGAGAATTTCACGATTTCAGCTCAAAAAAGTCCAAAAATGCTGAATTTTGTCTCAAAATTCCCCGATTTTCTCAAATTTTCAGCCAAAAATCCCCGATTTTCAGCACGACGACATAACAGCTCTTGAAGAAGGCATTCGAACCCTTCTCGAAATCATAAATTCAACAATTTGCGGTGGACTTCGCCACAATTCCCATCTAATTTATAATATTCTATATCATCGTCAATTATTTGATCAATTCTCCAAACATCCAATGTTTCAAGATCTTCTAATCAATATTTCGGCAGTCATTGCTCATTTTAGTGCAAAAATGATTGATGTGAAACAAGGTGATGGAATTGGAATGTTGGAAATTATTGAGAAAGAGGCCAATGTTTGGAATACCGAAAAATTGGCCAAATTTCCCGAATTGAAGTTTAGGTAGGGCATTTTGGGGTTTGAAAGTGGAAAATTTGGGTTTGGAGTGAAAAATTGACCTAAAATTGACGAAAATCATGAAATTTTCGAATTTTGTGATCATTTTAAGCCTAAAAACCATGCATTGCTCATGTTAGAAAAATTTTCCATAAAAAATGACCTAGAATCAAATATTTCATAAAATTATGACCCTAAATTATAAAAATAATGAAAAAATGAATTTTCTATCGAAAATTTTGACCTTAACTTGATTATTTTGCCAAATTTTGATCCTAAAATTGAAAATTTCGAAATTTTCAACCTAAAATTGATAAAACATAGTATTGCTCATATTAATCGCTTCCTTTAAGCCTAAATTAAGCATTGCTCATGTTAAGATCCTAAATAATTGATTGCTCAGGTTAAGAGCTTTAATTTGATACCAAACATAGCATTGCTCATATTAACCGCTTCCTTTAAGCCTAAATTAAGCATTGCTCATGTTAAGATCCTAAATAATTGATTGCTCAGGTTAAGAGCTTTAATTTGATACCAAACATAGCATTGCTCATATTAACCACTTCATTTTAAGCCTAAATTCGGTGCATTGCCCATTTTAAAAAGTGGGGGCGGAGCCTAGGCTTGTTGGGTCTCAAAATGATCCAAAAAATCGTGCGGCAAAATTGCAATTCCCCATTTTTTGCAGATATGTGGAAGACGAGAATACGGTCGACTTTTTTGTGCCTTATATTTGGCGAATTTCCGCGAAAAACTCGGGAATCAATTTCGACGCGTCACGAATCAAATTATTCCAGGAAAATTAATAATTTAAAGGGACATATACAGTATTTATTGCTATTTTTGATGAATAATTTATTGATTTCTGGCCAAAAATCAAGAATTTTGGCTCAAAAAGGCAAAATAATTTATTTTCGGGTGCAAGAAATGTACAAAAATCACAAAAAAAATGGCAATAATTAAGAAAATTTTGAAAAAAAAAATTAAAGCTGTGGGAAAATTAGACAAAAATACAGAAAATGGGCGATTTTTGGTGCCAAAAACCCGGATTTTCATGAATTTCAGCTGAAAATCATGAAAAAATCAGATTTTTTAAAAAGTCAAAATTCCACGTGAAAATTTCAGTAAAAAATCCTGAAATGATGAAATTAGGCTGAAAAATCGGATTTTTGGCTCAAAAAAGCCGAAATTTTTCAATTTTTTGCTCAAAAATCAAGAATTTTGAAAAATTTCACTGAAATTCCTAAAAAATCCCAAATTTCAGCTGAAAATCATGAAAAATCAGATTTTTTTCAAATTTTGAAAATTCCACGTGGAAATTTCAGCCAAAAAACTTGAAATGATAAAATTAGGCTAAAAAATCCCGAATTTTTCAAATTTTTCACTGAAATTCTTCAAATTTCAGCTGAAAATCGGATTTTTGGCTTAAAATGAGACCAGAAACTTCGTAGTGGGGTCAAAAAATTCCAAATTTTTCAAATTTTGGCTCAAAAACCCGGATTTTCATGAGTTTTAGCTGAAAATGAGCCCAGAAACGCGAATTTTGGCTCAAAAAACCCCGAATATCACTTATTATATCCCATATGCAACAATTGATTCCCGCTCAAAACCGGCAAAATAATATCATCCATATTTGGGCACACCAGATTCTTCTCGAGAACTTGTCGTAACTTGGTTTCGATCCATTCGGAAACAGTGGATAGATCGATATTTCGATCGCCGACTTGCGGAATCGCGCGGATTTTGAAGATTGGCGCGCGGCGGAACGCGTACCAGAGGCGGTCGGAAGGCGGAGGCGGAATATTGCATGTCATTGGACCTTCGAGCTCTTCAACTTCAACGTTTAGCATTAGGGGAGTTGTTGAGACATCTTCGATTAGCTGCAACAACACATTGCTCATTCTAATTGGATTGCTCAGGTTAAGCGGGTCATTTTGAAACTAAACACGGGATATTTTCGGATTGCTCAGGTTAAGGGGATTAATTTGAGACCAAACACGACATTGCTCAGGTTAGGAGCTACAATTTGAGTGTAAATTTAGGATTGCTCAGGTTAAGGGGCTCATTTTGAGTAAAAAAAAATCGCATTGCTCAGATTAAGACCATGAATTCCAGCCTAAGCACCATTGCTCATATTAAAACCCCAAAATTCACCATATTGCTCAGATTAAGAGCTTCAATTTGAGCCTAAACATGACATACTTTAGGATTGCTCATATTAAACACGGCAGATTATTCTTGATATCAAATTAAAGCTCTTAACCTGAGCAATGCCATATTTACACTCAAAATGACTCGCCTAACCTGAGCAATGCCTTATTTAGGCTCAAATTGAAGCTCTTAACCTGAGCAATATCATATTTAGCGTCAAAATGACTTAAAGTAAGAACCTAAGACATTTTAAGTGGTTTCTTTTTTTTTTCAATTTTGTATTATCAACATATTAGACAACCATGCACCGGAAATTGTTATCTCGGGATTTCGAAACGTATTTTATGAGGGTTTGAGAGCCCGGGCCGCCTCAGGCCGAAAAAACAGGCCCTAGGGTTGTTTAGTCTCAAAAAAAGGCCCTTCAAAAACCCTGCCTTAATATTGCAAAAAGGGGCGGAGCCTAGGCATGTGCGGTCTCAAAATGCTCCAAAAAACCGTGCCCTACCTTTGCGACCGCTTGCAGCTTCACAGCTTTTTGAAAAAATGCACTTTGTGCCGCGCGTTCGACAATCGACAATATTTTCTTTCCAGTTCGCTCCTTTTGATTTCCATCTTGGTGATTTTTCGAGCCAAAATCCTCGTCTGGACTGCTTTCGGGACTTTCGGGAAGTGACGAGTCGGAATATCTGCAAAAAGTTTTTTTCACAGTTTTTGGAGCATTTTGAGACCCCACAAGCCTAGGCTCCGCCCACTTTTGCAAAATTAGGGCACGGTTTTTAGAGGGCTTTAATTTGATATCAAATAAGGTTAGGCTCCGCCCATTTTTTGCAATTTTGCGGCATGGTTTTCAGAGACATGTGCAATATCTTTTAAAAAAAGCTCTTAAGCTGAGCAATGTCATATTTAGGCTCAAAATAATGCTCTTAACCTGAGCAATATCATATTTGGGCTCAAAAAAACCCCGTTAACCTGAGCAATGCCATATTTTGGCTCAAAACAACCCCGTTAACCTGAGCAATTTCTTATTTACTAGCAAATTAAAGCTCTTAACCTGAGCAACACCTTATTTAGGCTTAAAATAATGCTCTTAACATGAGCAATGCCTTATTTGGGCTCAAAATGCTTCCCCTAACCTGAGCAATACTCTATTTGATATCAAATTGAAGCTCCTAACCTGAGCAATGTCATATTTGGGCTCAAAATGCTCCCCCTAACCTGAGCAATGCCTTATTTACTATAAAATTGAAGCTCCTAACCTGAGCAATGTCATATTTGGGCTCAAAATGCTCCCCCTAACCTGAGCAATGCCTTATTTGGGCTCAAAATGCTTCCCCTAACCTGAGCAATACTCTATTTGATATCAAATTGAAGCTCCTAACCTGAGCAATGTCATATTTGGGCTCAAAATGCTCCCCCTAACCTGAGCAATACATACCTGGTCACCTCTTCCGTCCATTTTTCCACCCTGGTTTTTTTCACTTGCATCGCTCCACTTTTCAATTTCAACAAATTCACACTAGTTTGCAGCACCAGCCGAATTCCTCCTTTGTATTTCATCTCAAAATCCACCCAAGTTCCCCATTCGTCGATTTTTGGCGTGTAAACTGCCGTGAATTGTGGGGCTTTTGTGCCGAATTTCAGCTCGCCGAGCTCGAGTTTTTCGATGAAGTATGGAAGCTGAAAAATGGGGGAATTTTAAGAGAGAAAATTTGGATTTTTCCTGAAATTTTGAGTTAAAATTTGAATTTTTTGAAGAATTTTAAGCATTTTAGATGATTCTGACAAAAAAAAATAAAAATTTGAATTTTTTGTGAGAAAACCAGATTATCAATGGGGCGCATTTGCCATTTTTAATTAAAAAATCGTGAAAATTTGAATTTTTGACCGAAAAATCAATGGTTTTCTCCTACTTTAGCTAAAAATTTGAATTTGTGAAAAACCAGCTTCTCAATGAGGCGCACTTGCTATTTTTGTCCAAAAAATTTGAATTTTGTCGAAAATCTCATCGGTTTTCTCCTACTCTCTGTTTTGTTGGAAAAATTGACGGATTTTGCCTGCTTCAGCTCAATTTTCACAATTTGAACAAAAAAAAAAATGAAATTTTGAATTTTTCGTGAGAAATCCAGCTTCTCAATGGAGCGCACTTGCATTTTTCACCCAAAAAATCACTATTTTGTCAAAAATCTCACTGGAAAATGCGAAATTGGGGAATTTCAGCTCAAAAATTTGAATTTTTGACTGAAAATCAATTTTTTGAGTGTTTTCTGGTACAAAAATCGATTTTTCATGAAATTTAAGCTTAGAAAATCGATTTTCTATTGTAAAATTAGAATTTTGGCCTGAATTCAAGTCAAAATCATCAATTTCAGCTTTCAAATTAATTTTTGATAAAATTTTAAGGCTGAAAATCAATTTTTGGAGTGTTTTAGTGTGGAAAAATCGATTTTTCTCAATTTTTCGGTCAAAAATGCAAGTGCGCTCTATTGAGAATCACCCGTTTTTCGTGAAAATTCAAATTTTTAAGTTGAAAATTTGAATTTTAGGTCATTTTTCTTGATTCTAGGGTAATTTTGGCTTAAAATTCATCATTTTTCATGAAAAAAAAGCCCGAAAAGCCCGAAATTCCAGGCCGAGGCCCGAAAAACTCACATGAATCGTGGCCAATTTTCCCTGAATCTTCTGCTTGACCTGTCGAACCCAAAATTCATCGCGACAAAAATCGAAAAAAATGCGGGTTGCCAGGATGTTCAAACTATCCACAAGGCTCGATGTTTCCGCGTGTTCCGCGCCGCTTTCCGCACGCCATTTCATATTTCCCAAGTCCAGCGAAATTGTCTGGCCTTTTTCGGGCCTCTCCGGGATTTTGGGCCCAAAAATCGTGCCAATCTCTCTAACGAAACCCGCATAATTCATCTGATATTTCAAAAATTCCGCATTCCGCGCCGAGCCGCGCGGAACCTTCCGCGTCTTTTCCGGAGTATTGAAAATGGCGTCACTGAAATCGGGAGAATCCGCGATCGCCGCTTCGATGGCCACAGATGTGCAAATCGATAAATCATCCGGTTTTATGTCATCCGGAAGGGAATTTGACGATTTTGAGTGCGGAAATTTGGGATTTTGCGGAGATTTGGCTTGAGCACACGCTTCGCGGAGCCTGGAAAAATTCAAATTTTGAAAATTGCTCCAATTTGATACCCCACAAGCCTAGGGCACACTTTTTGGAGCATTTTGAGACCCCACAAGCCTAGGCTCCGCCCACTTTTGCAATTTTGCGGCATGGTTTTTGTGGAGCTTCTACTTGATACCAAATAATGCATTGCTCATGTTAAGAGCATCATTTTAAGCCTAAATAAGCCTAAGCTCCGCCCACTTTTGCAATTTTGCGGCATGGTTTCTAAAAATTCAAAATTTCACGAAAAACGGGGATTTCAATAGAGCGCACTTGCATTTTTGATCGAAAAATTGAGAAAAAATTCAAATTTTTCTACTGTAAAACACCCCAAAAATTAATTTCAGGTCAAATATTCATTTTCAGCCTTGAAATTATATCAAAAATTAATTTGCAGGCTGAAATTGATGATTTTGACTTGAATTCAGGCAAAAATTCTATTTTTACAGTAGAAAATCCATTTTCTGAGCTTAAATTTTGTGAAAAATCGATTTTTTGGGTGAAAAATGCAAGTGCGCTCCATGGATAACCTGGTTTTTTGGTGAAATTTTCAAATTTTCAGCTACAAAACCTCTATTTTCAGCATTTTCAACCAAAACTCACAAATGAAACCATCGTTCTTTCTCCCGCGCGGCTCTAACAAACAAAAATATCGATTTTCCTCGATTTTTCGCCACTTTTCGCGGATTTCCATGTTTAATGGTCCCAATATCAGAAGTTGAGCATGCGCGGACCATTTTTCGCGGATTTTCAGCCAAATTTTCTGGGGAATCTGAATCGGTTTCTGGCGAATATCCATCGGTTGAGAAATCATCAAAATCATTGGAAATTTGCGGATTTGGAGCCATTGAAGCTGATCTGAAAGAAAAAAATGAAAATTTGAATTTTTCGTCAAAAATCTAGATTCTCAATAGAGCGCATTTGCCATTTTTCATCCAAAAACCGTGAAAATTCGCATTTTTGACCGAAAAATCAATGGTTTTCTCCTACTTTGGCTAAAAATTTGAATTTTTCTTGAAAAATCCTGGTTATCAATAGAGCGCATTTGCCATTCTTAATCCAAAAACCGTGAAAATTTGAATTTTCACTGAAAAATCAATGGTTTTCTCCTACTTTAGCTAAAAATTTGAATTTTTCGTTAAAAATCTAGATTCTCAATAGAGCACACTTTTTTTCCAACCGAATTTCACCTAGTTTTGTCAAAAATCTCATCGGATTTCCCCTACCAGGCAAAATCCAGTGATATTTAGCTTCAAACCAGAAAAATCAACGGATTTCGCCTACTTTTTGAAATTTTGTGATAAGAAAATGCAAGTGCGCTCCATTGAGAAAACGTTTTTTTTTTGAAAATTCAAATTTTTGGGTGTTGTCAAAAATATCACCGGAATTTGCCTACCCTAGGTAAAAATGGGTCAATTTTAACGATTTTTGGTGTCAAAAATCACACCGGACAACTCCTACCTTGCCATTCCCTGATTTTTGGCTCCAATTTCGACTAGCGAACTGCTCGAATGTGCGAATCGAATATAAATCGGATATTTTCGACTCCACCATCTTCTTCTCGCTAATCGTTTAGGCCTTAGTGATACCTTAGCGTCTTTAAGGTCATAAATCACTTGGGAAACCATTGAATGTTGGCTGGATTTAAGAGTTGGATCATCGTAGAACGCGTGTTTTAGGACGGCTTTTGCTGGGCGGCAGATTCGGAGCATTGAACCTGGAATTTTAATTTTTTAATTTTTTAGGATGATTTTAGGGTTCTTAGGGTAATTTTTGGTGAAAATCTGGGATTTTTAGAGTAATCTTAAGGGAAATTTGACCTTAAATTGAATTTAAAGCGAAAATTCAGGAATTTTAGAGTAATTTAAATGCTTTTCAACCTAAAATTTAACTTTTCAGGGTTCTTAAGGTAATTTAGGCTAAGTAAGGTCAAATTTTCAACGTTTTAACGAATTTCCCATCAAAAATTTGAATTTTCAACATTCCCGGGTTCGGAGTAGGCAAAATCCATTGATATTTTGGTCAAAACCATATTTTTAATGAAATTTGACCCGGAGTTGGGGAAATTTGGTGATTTTTAGGTTGTAAACCATAAAAATTTGAATTTTTCAACTTTCCCGGGTTTGGAGTAGGCAAAATCCATTGATATTTCGGTCCGAAATCAATTTTCAATGAAATTTGACCCGGGGTAGGGGAAATTTGGTGATTTTTAGGTCAAGTAGGCAAAATTCATTGATATTTCGGTCAGAAATTCAATTTTCATCTAAAAATTGAAGCAATGACAAAAATACCAACGGATTTCGCCTACTTTCAACACGGGAAGGTTGGAAAATTCAAATTTTGACTAAAATAGTCCAATTTTCATGAATTTTAGGTTAAAAACCTCGATTTTCAACATTCTGGGCTCAAAAAAAACCGAATTTCCCACCCAAATTCGCCTACCTTCAAGTCTGACAAGTACACTTGTGGCCGAATTCACATGATAATCCTGCGGGGAATATCGCGTCCGCAATTCATTCATCCAACCCTTATAAATCACACCGTCACTCAGGCCAAATCCATGATTTTTGGGCGGGGTCGAGGATGTCGGATCCTCGGCCGCGGCCGCGGCTTCCAAAACCTCATCCAAGTCCGAATTTTCCAGGAAATTTTCTTTGGATTTCGGCTCGGAAACGAAAAAATAGAGGAATCCAATAATAGTGATATAAATACCCCAAAAGAATCCTGTCAGAAAAACCGGATAGGTTAGAGTTAGCGCAACTAGTGAGCCGAATATTGCGATTCGGGCGCGGAAAAACGGCAAAACGCGACATTTGTGGATGAGCGATTGGATGAGGAATGGATCCGATGCATCGGCTGGATCGATGAGGAGAGGTTGCTGGAAAATACAGGGGGGTTTTGGGGCGGGTAGGTGAAAAACGGTGATATTTTTGACGATTTTTGAGGTAAAAATCATTGAAAATGGGGTATTTTGAGCTCAGGTAGGAGAAATCCGACGTTTTTTCTAGCAGAGACTGAATTTTCATGAATTTTAAGCTAGAGTAGGTGAAATACGGTGCTATTTCCATCAGAAACCAAATTTTCATTAAATTTGAGCCCATGTAGGCAAAATCCGACGTTTTTTCCGTCAACAACTGAATTTTCATGAATTTTAAGCTAGAGTAGGTGAAATCCAGCGTTTTTTCTGTCAGAAACCAGATTTCATGAAGTTTAGCCTAGAGTAGGAGAAAACCGATGGTTTTTTGGTCAGAAACCGATATTTCATGAATTTCAAGCTACAGTAGGTGAAATCCGGTGGTTTTTTGGTCCAGCAGGTAAAAATCCACGATTTCTTGGTCAGGTAGGCAAAATCCGACGTTTTTTTCTGTCAAAAATCGAATTTTCATGAATTTTGAGCCCAGATAGGCAAAATCCGACGTTTTTTTCGTCAGACACCAGATTTTCATGAATTTCAAGCTAGAGTAGGCGAAAAAAGGTGTTATTTCCGTCAGGTAGACAAAATCCGACGTTTTTCCGTCAACAATTGAATTTTCATGAATTTTGAGCCCAGGTAGGAGAAAGCCGGTGGTTTTTTGGTCAGAAACCGAATTTTCATGAATTTTGAGCCAAGTAAGGGAAAATATGGTGATTTTTGGTCTAGTAGGCAAAATCCGTTGATTTTTCAGACAAAAACTGGAATTTTCATGAATTTCAACCTGTAGTAGGTAAAATATAGTGTAATTTCTGTCAGGTAGGCAAAATCCGACGTTTTTTTCGGTCAACAATCAAATTTTCATGAATTTCAACCTGTGGTAGGTGAAGGATGGTGAATTTTGAGCTCAGGTAGGAGAAAACCGGTGGTTTTTTGGCCAGAAACCGAATTTTCATGAATTTCAACCTAGAGTAGGCAAAATCCGTTGATTTTTCCGTCAAAAACCGAATTTTCATGAATTTTGAGCCAAGTAAGGGAAAATATGGTGATTTTTGGTCTAGTAGGCAAAATCCGGCGTTTTTTCCGTTAGAAACCAAATTTTCATGAATTTTGAGCCCAGGTAGGCGAGAAAAGGTGTTATTTTCGTCTGGTAGGCAAATTTTAGTGATATTTTTGACACCAAGGGTCAAAGTAGGCGATTTCCATCAATTTTTCGGTCAAAAACTCACTTTTCTCTCCATTTTCTGCTCATTTCCCACAAAATCCATCGATTTTCTCGAAATTTCATCGGGCGAAATTTGTCCGCTTGTGGAATCGAGCGATTTCGCCGATCCGGAAATCGATAAAGTGTCGCAGGTGGTTGCGGCAGGCGCGGATTCTGAAAATTAGAGAATTTTTCCGCGCGGAAAGCTTCCGGACACTTACCGGAACTCGATTTCTTCCGCGTCACCAATTTTTGCGTCTTCTTTTTGGCCTTGTCGAAAAATACACCAATTTTACTTTGATCCTGCAAAAATTCGGGATTTTTGTCGAAAAAAACGTCGGATTTTGCCTACCAGACCGAAATATCACTATATTTTGCCTACTCTAGCTTAAAATTCATGAAAATCTAGTTTCTGTCAGAATTTCGCCTACCAGACTCAAAATTTCATGAAAAACCCCATTTTTCACCTCAAAACGTCAAAAATCTCACCATATTTCCCCTACAAACTCACTTTTTCCTCATTTGTACCTATGGAATGATGTTCGGAGTCGGAACCCTGCAAAAAATCGATAATTTCAGCTCGAAAAAATATTTTCAGCCAAAAAACTGACATTTTTCTTGAATTTTTGTAGAATTCTATGGAACATGTGATTTTTAATGCAAAATTTTGATAAAAAATTGATTTTCTTATCAAAAAACATGTGAAATCAGCAATTTTTGGCCAAAAACAAGTGAAAATTCAAAAAATTTCAAACCTTATTTGATTTGGCGCCTTTTTTCCGGTGTTCTCTCGTCGTCTGCGTCTCCTCTTGCTCTCTACACTCTAACGCACTTTCGACCCGTGGTTGTGAATTTCGTGAAAAACCGTATTCGTCATCTGAGGCCTCCAGAAGATCGTGAAGGCGAACGGAACCTGGAAAATTTGAATTTGGCGCGAAAAATGGGGTTGGGTGGGTGAAATCCATTGATATTTCCGACAAAATTGAATTTTTCATGAAAATTAAGCCCAGGTAGGTGAAATCCGTTGATTTTTCCGACATGAGCCAAATTTTCATGAATTTTGAGCCCAGGTAGGAGAAATCCGGTGATTTTTCTGTCAAAATCGAGTTTTTCATGAAATTTAAGCCTAAATAGGTGAAAAATGGTGATTTTTTTGTCTGGGTAGGCGAAATCCGTTGATTTTTCCGACATAGGCCGCATTTTCATGAATTTTGAGCCCAGGTAGGAGAAATCCGGTGATTTTTCCGTCAAAATTGAATTTTTCATGAAAATTAAGCCCGGGTAGGTGAAATCCGGTGATTTTTTGGTCTGGGTAGGCGAAATCCGTTGATTTTTCCGACATAAGCCAAATTTTCATGAATTTTGAGCCCAGGTAGGAGAAATCCGGTGATTTTTCCGTCAAAATTGAATTTTTCATGAAAATTAAGCCCAGGTAGGTGAAATCCGGTGATTTTTTGGTCTGGGTAGGCGAAATCCATCGATTTTTCCGTTAGAACCCCATTTTTCTGGTTTTGGTCGAAAATAACACCATTTTTTGCCTGCCTGTTTCAAGTTTCGACAGAAAAATCACCGAAATTCGCCTACCCAGACCAAAAACCTGTTAAGTAGGAGGTAAACGGTGTGATTTCCGTCAAAATTCGGTTTTTCATGAAATTTGGAGCCCATGTAGGTCAAATCCGATAGTATTTCCGTCAAAAACCAAATTTTCATGAAAATCAAGCCTAGGTAGGCTAAATCCGTCAAATTTTCTGTCAAAAACCAACATTTCACGCATTTTAAGCCGAAACAGGTGAAACTTCACAATTTTTCATGAAAATTTCAAATTTCCCGCCAAAAACCAACTTACCTAAACTCATTCGACTCATTTTTGGTGTCTAGAAAACCGCATCGATTTATTCATGTGCACATTTAACACAAAATCTCTGGTGGTCAGCTGCAAAGAAAAAGCACATAGAAAAAAGAAAACATGTAAGAAACAAAGCGTTTTGTGCCCAGTTCGCTGGAGCGCATTTGCTCCTTCAAGCACTGAAAATTTCTTGAAAAGTGCAAAAATGTGACTATTTGAACAGCTGATAAAAACAACCTGTTTTTGTCGGCGGAAAAAAAAAGAAAAGAAAAAAATTGAGCGTGGCCTAGAAAACCAGGCGGATCCTAGGCCATGCGCGTTTTTCAGAGGGGAAAATTGAGGAAATTTCGAATTTTGAGGGAAAATAAGATTTTTTTATCAATATTTCATCGCGAGATGCATGAAACTATCAAATTTATTAGGAAAAACTTGAAATTTGGCGAAATTTCAAGTTTTATTGCGAAATTTGTCGTGGGAATCAACATTTTCTTGGTTTAAATTTCGAAAACTTTATGAAATTTGGTGTCTAAAAACTCGAAATTCCACGTGGAATCTGAAAATCACAATGGGAATGTCTGAAAATCAAAGGCTTCTGAAAATAGTACCCCCCCCCCCTTATCATAGGGGGGGGGGGTATCAAAATTGTTTAATTATTGCGAAATTATGTAAAACTTGGTGTCTAAAAACTCGAAATTCCACGTGGAATCTGAAAATCAAAGAAATTTGTGACGACATTCGAATTGTAAACGTCATTTCTAACATATTTGATTTTTCAAAATGAACATTTTCTTGACCAGATTTTCACGTAGGTCACGATTTTCAGCATGAAAATGACTGCAGAGCTCAATTTGAGCCTTAAATGTTATCTTTATGAGTATTTTTTTTTAAATAGATAAAATCATCATTTGACATTTGACAAGTGATTAGAAATATTGCGAAATTCGAAAAAAATGCTATAAAACATGTAAGTATTTCAATTATCATTCGACTCAAAAATGTCTGACAGAATTATAAATTTAATTTTGAGTTCTCTTCCAAATAAAAACAAGGTAAGATTGTTTTTTTAGTTTACAAAATATACAACAACTTTTATTTTTTAGCAGCCAACAGCTATTCAATGGCTAACCACCAGCGCGGCAGGAGTAGGCTGCACAACATGTCAAACAGCAATCGGTGAGAGTGAAAGAGACGAAAAGATATTGAAATCGCGCGTGATCTACAGCGATTTACATTTGCGGGTCTAGGATTTGTGAAAATTAGAAATAGGCTTCAGCTTGACTTTTGAGAATTCATTTTTGAACTTTCAGTGTGCCACGCGACTAAAAGTCATCCTCAATTTTTTTCGAAACAAAATATGGTTAGCAACCGCAATTTCAAAAATTATGGATTTTCAGACCCACAAATTTTTAATGTACCTTTGATCTATTTTTCTCTAAGTCTTCTTCACTCTCACCGATTGCCAATTTTCATTGGGCTGACATGATGTGGCTGTGTAAGAACAAACTGCAATTTTCATGCTGAAAATCGTGATTTACGTGAAAAAACATGATTTTGAGCATGAAAATGACCGGAAATCAAGTGATAAATCTGAAAATGTTCAGGGAATTGGCTCAACAATCAAACATCTTTCATCAAGTGAAAAAGAACGATTTATTCGTGCATTGAAACGTGAAACTGATTCAAGCAGTGATGCGGAACTTGTTCAAAAAATCAGAACAACTATTAGTGTTCACGAGTTGAATCGGCTTATCGTCATATGTCTGAGAGAAACTTTTGAATAGATTTAATTTTAGAGTTTTTTTCTGTTTTCTTTTTCATTTTCTGCTCAAATTCATTAAATAAAATAACTTTCAACAAAATAAAAATAAAATTCAAAAAATTCACTACGGTAGCTTTAAAGGCGCACACATCTTGCGGCGAGACCACATTGCTCATCTTCATTTCAGGATAAATCAATCTCAATCATTATAATAAAAACATTCAGAATTACGCGACAAACGGGGAATAATCTGGACTTCTGATCCATTTTCCATCTGTAAAAAATCAAAATGTTTCTAATGTAAATATTTTGATTAATTAACCCACCCCATAATAATCGATAGTTTCATTGTCTTCCAATGGAATTCCATCAAACCCCATTGTCATTTTCGGAATATCACAATAAAATCCAATACATCGTGATTTCACTGATTTGATTGTGTCAGTTTTTCTAACTTTAATATAATGCGTATTGTTTCCGTAACAAGAAGTGAGAGAAGATTTCACGATGATTTCGATTAACTGCAAAAAATATTCATTTTTGATTGTGAGATTTTATTTTGAATCACTCACCTCTTGATCCTCTTCAATCTTCTCCAATCTCTCCTCAACTTTCTTCACAGCCTCCTTCCAATTCTCGAATTTCCCCGCATATTCCAAGATTTTTGGGCACATTGCGAAATCGTGAATCGCCTTGATTTTGTGCTCGATGTCGGGGTCGAATGGGGTTTTGTGAGCCCAGAGCAAAACTTCAGATTTGGTGAATCTTCTCGATTTTTGGGTGATTGTATAGATCAGGGCCGCGATTCTCGGCGAAAATACTTGGATTTTTTCGGTGTAGTATGGGATTTCAGCCGAACATTTTGAACGGCATCCGCAAGAGGAAGGTCTGAAAATATACTTCAGAGCGAAAATAACGCTTCGAAACTCACTCATCCTCCGATTTATCATTGATCTCAATTACTGACATACTGATATCAATCACATCCATTTTTTCTTGGAGAATATTGGACGCTACCTTCTCGCAAAGGTAATCAATATGACTGTTCTGTGTGTGGGCCTGTCCACTTGGGGATATTTATACATATTTACCTTACATACATAGCTGACCTTTTAAGGAGAGGGGAGGAGGAGAAGGATTGAACTTTCATATGGGAATGTGAATGCACGGTGTGGCGGGCAAACCGGGCAAAAGAAGCAAACGGGCGAGTGTATGCGGGAAAACGGGCAAATCGGGTAAAAGGAAAGTAAATTTTCAGTATTTTTCATGAAAAATCGATTTTTGACCAAAAGAATGGATAATAATCTGTGAAATTTCAGCCAAAATATCAACGAACCGGAAGGTCTTGAATGTAACAAAAAAATATATCTAAATAGAAAAAAATTACAGTAATTTTCGTGGGACCCCACAAAACTTTTTATATTTTGTAGCATTCAAATATATATATTCATGATGAATAAATCCATGTTCAGCAACTTTTGAGATATTTACAATTAGTCTTTTTTCGCTTTCTAGAAGCTTGAACCTAACCAATGTCCAACTATTGTTATTTTTGCTGATAATCAAATATTCGAATTTTTCAGATCGTCGTTTTCGAAACAGCAATTGTCGTGCCCGTTAGAACATATTCATATCGAAATGCTATGAAACGTAAAATTTTCGAGAATTGTTTCGCCATCATTTTTTGTGGAAAAATAAATGTTTCCTTTTTAAGTTTGTTAGATTTCAAAAATTATTGATCGAAAAAATGTTCAATGTTTGCCACGTGGCGTTTAATTGAATTTTTGAAATTTTTACATTTAATTGAATGTTCAAATATTTGTTAAATTGATTTTTTGTTGTTTGAAATTCTAAAAATTGTGAAAAATAGGGTTTTTGGTCTCAAAAAATCCACGTGACTATGAATTGAAGCTCGAATATTTCAAATATATATTTTTTCAATTTTTACAATTTTTAATGTGCTTTCAGAGCTCAAAAATCATTTCCAGACTAGAATTTTGTGCTTCAGAGCTATTTCCAGGGTTTCAGGGCTCAGAAATAGATTCCAGAGTGAAAATTCCAGCTCTGGGGCTATTTTTTAGGCTTCCAGGGCTTAAAAATAAATTCCAGAGTGAAAATTCGAGCTTCGGAGCTATTTTCAGGGTTTCAGAGTTCAAAAATTGCTTCCAGACCCAATTTCTGAGCCCTGGAGCTATTCTCAGGGTTCCAGGGCTCGAAAATCGATTCCAGACCCAATTTTTTCAAAATTCGGCTCAAAAACAAGTTCTAGAGCCGAATTTTGAGCTCTGGAGCAAGTTTTAGGCTTCCAGAGCTCAAATATCGCTTCTAGACTGAAATCTTGAGCTTGGAAGCTATTTTCAGAGTTTCAGAGCTCAAAAATCGATTCCAGAGTGAAAATTCGAGCTCAGGAGCTCGCTGAGAAGTTTTGAAAACATTTCCAATAACTTTCCTATTTTCACGCTCGCATTAACATTAAATATGTCTATAAAAAGCACATCACACAAATTCCAAATATCAAATCAATCATGAAAAAAACCATGATTGTGTTCCTTGTTGCTCTCTTCCAACTGGGAACTTCTTTGAATCCACGTAGAGAAGCGTTGAACTTCATGGCTTCACTTTCCAAGCATTACTCATTACGTGATCCGGATATTATACATCCAGAGTATCAACATATTAGCGGTGAAGATGGCACAACAATTCTTGGCACATACGGTTTGTGAGCAGAATTTCTTGGTTTCTAGAGCTCCGAAATCAGTTCTAGACCGGAAATTTGAACTTAGGAGCTATTTTCAGGCTTTCGGAGCTCAAAAATCAGTTCTAGAGTGTAAATTTGAGCGGAAATAGGAGCTATTATTTACAGAAAAAGAAGTTGCGAATGTGAAAGCATTCACCGAGGAAGACGTGAAAGTATATGCATACAACTACAAGATCGCGGCTGGAGCAAATATCGATGACAAACATTTTTGGAGTTCTCAAATTGCACAATTCACCAAGGATGGCCTACTTGAGGTAAAGATATATAGAAATAATAAGGCGCTTGGAACATTTGTGGGAAAAGCTGATGCGAATATTGAAGGCGGCTACAAATTTTATCGATTTTATTCGTATTTGGAATGATTTTTGAGATAAGATAATAAAGAGTTGCATAACAATACTTTTGACACAAAATTTCCTCAAAAAATGCTTCTCACGTGATTTTTTTGTTTTCATTTTCAAAAGTTCATTTTTGTGTCGAAAAAACCTGATTTATTCTAAAGAAAACAAGAAATTTCGAAATTTTCGTCAAAAATGCTCAAAATTTCTTTGATTTTCTTGGTGGCTGGGATGGGTGAGATTTCTCTATTTTCTTTTTTTAAATAATTGTTAATATTTTCAAATTTATCAAAAATTTTATCAACGAGCGCTAATTTTCTTCCCATATGAAAGTTCAATCCTCCTCCTCCCCTCTAAATAAAAGGTCAGCAGATATATGTAAGGTAAATATGTATAAAAAAATATCTCCAAGTGGACAGGCCCACACACAGAACAGTCATATTGATTACCTTTGCGAGAAGGTAGCGTCCAATATTCTCCAAGAACAAATGGATGTGATTGATATCAGTATGTCAGTAATTGAGATCAACGATAAATCGGAGGATGAGTGAGTTTCGAAGCGTTATTTTCGCTCTGAAATATATTTTCAGACCTTCCTCTTGTGGATGCCGTTCAAAATGTTCGGCTGAAGTTCCATACTACACCGAAAAAATTCAAGTATTTTCCCCAAGAATCGCGGCCCTGATCTATACAATCACCCAAAAATCGAGAAGATTCCCGAAATCTGAAGTTTTACTCTGGGCTCACAAAACCCAAGTCGACCCCGAAATCGAGCATAAAATCAAGGCGATTCACGATTTCGCAATGTGCCCAAAAATCTTGGAATATGTGGGGAAATTCGAGAATTGGAAGGAGGCTGTGAAGAAAGTTGAGGAGAGATTGGAGAAGATTGAAGAGGATCAAGAGGTCAGGATTCAAAATAAAATCTCACAATCAAAAATGAATATTTTTTTGCAGTTAATCGAAATCATCGTGAAATCTTCTCTCACTTCTTGTTACGGAAACAATACGCATTATATTAAAGTGAGAAAAACTGACACAATCAAATCAGTGAAATCACGATGTATTGGATTTTATTGTGATATTCCAAAAATGACAATGGGGTTTGATGGAATTCCATTGGAAGATGGTGAAACTATCGATTATTATGGGGTGAGTTAATTAATTAAAATATTTACATTAGAAACATTTTGATTTTTTACAGATGGAAAATGGATCAGAAGTCCAGATTATTCCCCGTTTGTCGCGTAATTCTGAATGTTTTTATTATAATGATTGAGATATCGTAAATTGTTTGAAAATTGAATAAACTGATTTTAAATGACATCTATTAGTTACAAAAGAATGGAAAAAGTAAGCGGCAGTTTTCTGGGTGAAAAAGCACACAAAAAATTCAAAAATTTACTACTTCAAATTCCACATGAATTTTTAGCGGGTTTTTTCTACAATTCGCAAAAAATGCATCAAGTTTCAATTTCATTTCAATTTTTGAAGATAAATAAGAACATTTCTTTTTAAAAATTATTTATTCGCAATCAATCATAAAAATATGCTGATGTAACTATTTGGGACCTGAAATCTAAGAGAATAGAAAAAACATTTATTTTTTCCACAAAAAATGATGGCAAAAAAATCCCGAAAATTTTACGTTTCGTCAAATTTTCAAATAATCGGACACAAACACAATCTGATTACGAAAAAAACGTCTTGATTTGCCCCCAAGTCCAATAAAAACCCATTTTTTGAATTTTTTGGATATAATTTTGGCAGTCACAGAAATTATAGTGAATATCAGCCGACAAATATAAATTGTATTTTTTTTGCTTGTTCAAAAACTTGACATATTCATTGATTTCCGAATCCGAAATTCTCTGAAATTCAAAGTCATCGAATATTCACATTATTTGAAAACTCACCGAAATCATATTTTTCAATGTTGAAGTGCGATCTTGAATGATTGTGATGGTTGCAGATGGATTGATTCGCCAACCATGCAGTATAATTTTCAAATTTGCTTGTGATAAGATATTAAATCTTATTGCAAGATGGTTCAATTCGAGGCCTAGCACTGGATGACAAATAAAGAAATAGAAATATGAGTTGAAGTACTGAAAAAATATTGTATTTTTATGTAACTTCAAATTCAGCCTACCTTTCATAAGTTCCGAATCGATTATACAATTTTTTCTTATCTTCATACGATAACATTCTTATTTCTGCAATTGGAACAGACAATATTTCTAATGCTGTTTCGAAAACGGCGATCTGAAAAATTCGAATATTTGATTATCAGCAAAAATAGGTTAGTTGATATTTTGGCTGAAATTTCTGCTTTGTAAGCTGAAAAATCGAGAGTTTCAGAAAGTTTTGACTCTGGGAACTGAAATTTTGAAATTTTGAGCTGAAAATAGAGCACCAACTCATAATTTTAGCTGTGGGGCTGAAAATCTCGAATTTTACGCTTTCAGAACTTAATAATGCCAAAAATTTCGAATTTCCGCCCGAAAATCGGGATTTTCAGCTCCCAGAACTAAAGAATGCTAGAATTCTCGATTTTCCACTCAAAATTTGAGATTTTCAGCCCCCCAGGTCTAAAAAATGCTGAAAATCTCGAATTTTTTACTAAAAAAGCTGAAAACGCTCAGAATTCCAAATTTTCAGCTCCCAGGTCTGAAAAAAAGCAGAAAATCTTGAATTTCAAGCTAAATGGCACATTTGCGCTATGCCCATTATTATAAAGTAACATTATCAAAAAAAAAATCGTATTTTTCGTTTTCATTTTTCATTAAAAGCGGCTTAAAATTAGAATTTTCAAAACTTTTGAAATTTTTACATTTAATTGAATGTTCAAATATTTGTAACAATGATTTTTTGTTGTTTGAAACTCTAAAAATTGTGAAAAATAGGGTTTTTGGTCTCAAAAAATCCACGTGGCTATGATTTGAAGCTGGAAATTTTCAAATATAATTTTTTTTTCAATTGTTTATATTTTTAATTTTATCTCCAAATTTTTGAAATTAAAGAGACTAGAAAAACATTTATTTTCCCACAAAAAATGATGGCGAAAAAAATCCCGAAAATTTTACGTTTCATCAAATTTTCAAACAAAAAATTGGAAAACTCACAAATTATTATTTTCCATTATTTAGCAGTCAAATTGGTTTTCACCGAAATCAAGAAAAAAATCAATAAAAATGGTGGATTGCATCATTTCTTGTCTTTTTATACCCATTTTTTGGGATACATGGAAAAATCACGTGGATTTGTTGGCGGCATAGTTTATCACGTTTCAGAAATTCAAAATATTCAGCAAAGAAATTTTTAAATTTGGTCCTTTTTTAAAAATTAAAACCATGTGAAAAACAACTTTCGAACTTCGCTTAAAAATCCAAAAATTTCGTTCAAAAATCATTTTATCAATGCAATTGATATAAAAAGGCATTGCTCATATTATAAAAATTATGGTTTTCTGTGACCGGGAAGACAATTTCAATATGATCGCAAATATTGGATATTATTGGACTTGGGAAACATATCGCTTTTTTCAATTTTTATCTAAAAATTTGATGAAACGTAAAATTTTCGGGATTTTTTTGCCATCATTTTTTGTGCAAAAAATTAATGTGGCTGAGTATCGAATGCTGAGTATCGAATGTTCCAGATACGCAGCCAAATTGAATATAGATAAAAATAACAACAGAATTTGACTGCGTACGTCTGAACTTTGACTGAGTATCTTTTATGTTTGCACCACGACTTCCCACATTTTTTGCTCCGCGCGACTTCCCAAAACTTGTCCACAAAATACAACGCCCATTTATTATAACACCATATTTGGTGCACAAAATCTCATTCTTCTTCTTCTTCTTCTTGTTTTGTTGCTATGGATTCTATTTCACGACGTGTTCCTTCACCACAAACACACCATTTCATCGATGATACAAATTCATTTCTAGTGCTTCTAATTATTATTTGGATGCTCATGTTTTTCACAGCACCATTTTTTCCACGTCGAAATCAACATCTACACGCTCATTGTGTAATTATTTTAGCGATTATCATGGCTGTTTACACGTAAGTTGTTATTTAGAACTTATTTTCAGCCCAAAAAAAAACACTTTTGATTTCAGCCATCCTCAATATTCTAACGAAATTTCCGAAATAATGCTTGAATTTCTCCAAAGTATGCTACCAATAATGTCACTTTATTTGCGTATTGAAATGGATGCAGCTGCTCGTAGATCAAGGCAAGTTCCTGCAACTTCACACGAGACAAATTATTAATTATCGATTTCCATCCGAAAAAATAAATTGGTTTTCTTGAAAGTTTTTACTTGTCTGGTTAGAGACAACGTGAAATAGAGAGATCACAGACAAAAAACCAATTTCATATTATCTCTTATCAAAATGGTTTCAGCATTTTAAAAGTGCCAAATTTTCAGCTTTTCAGCTGAAAATCATGAGAATCCTGGGAAAAAATAAAAAGAAAACAACGACGCTCCGCAATCCCGCTTGCATTTTTGTTTTTTTTTGTGTATGCTCGAATGAATGCAATTTTTGTCGCATTTTTAATCAATTTTGGAAAACGTCAACAAATATTTTTTATTCAAAAATTAAAAAAAAACTTATGATTCATCCACGAAGTTTCAAAATCAAATGAATTGTTGAAAGTAGAACATCAGGAGCATTAGGGGCAAAAAAGGGGCGGAGCGTATCGTGGGAAAAGCTGCAGCTGCTCCGCGAGAGAGTATGCAAATGTGAGAGAGTGCGAGGGGTGCTAACAAAATATGTTGATGATCAGATGATGAGCAGGTGGCAGTTTGATTGACAGCTTTGAACTTTAAAGATCATTATTCAAATTCCTGAGCATTATTCAAATTTCTGATCAAAGAACCAATCGATGAATAGGCAGGTGGTGGTGAGAGAGTGTGTAGACTGTAGAGAGAGCGAAATATTGCAGATGTTCGAGAAGAAGAAAAAAGTTTATCAAATTGAAGCCTCGAGAGTTGGAGAAAAAAGTTGGAAAAAGTATCATCATGTATATATCAATAGAATCGTCTCAACATGAGGAATCTGAATATCATATTTAAAATATTCATACTTTCAAATTTTTTCCCGAAGAAATTTGAAACTTTGAATAATTTAAATATTCATAACAATATGTATATCAAACGAATCGGATTCGAATAAAAAATAATTTTAACTAAGCCGGAATGTTTTAAAATAAATGTTTTAGTAAATCTACTGAAAGAAATGAATTTTAAAATTTATAAAAAATAAATAAATGTTTTAATTAAAATACATACAATAGAAGTTGAAATAAATAACTTGTTTTTTTGAAGAATAAAATATTTAAAATATTCAAAGTTTCAAATTTTTCCAGATCAATTTCGCCAAAGTTTTTTACAGCAATGTGGATATCAAAAAATCACGGATTGTTCAAGCACAACTAGTTTTAACAATCAACATATGAGTCACATAATAAAATTTTTTTAATTCTATTCCGAGTTTTCGAAAAATGAAATAAAACCATTGTTAATCATCCAAATCACTAATCATCCAAAATTACGATACTGGCGGGATACCAGCACCCCTGATCAGCAGGGTCATAAACAACTATTTCATTCCCATTTATATGTATGTTGTATCTGTAAAAATTTGGATTAAAAAAAAGTTTTGCAAAAAAGAAAAGACTTACCTTAACCTGTAGTAGGTTACCAATGAAATGTGATTTCCTTGGTACAGGAACCAGGTGTTCCCGGCTCTCGCCGGGAACACTCTTAATGAGCCGATATCGCGACCAGTGTGTCGCAGGTATCCTTGAAGATTATTATCCTCAAGGTGTAACATAATAGGGTATTAATCCCTATTACGTCTGGTGTTGAAACCGTGAGACTCCAAATATCTCAAGAGATCCATTTGGCTATGGAATGTGGTATTTTCTTACGCTTAAATAGTACATTTGCTGTATTAGACCACGCCCATGATATTAAGATACTCCTGATAAGTGCGCATTTTTTATAATAATAGTTCATCCATATGTTTATAATTACTCTGTTTACGAAAAAGATAAAATCTAACGTCATGGTGAGCAGCATTTTTTAGATATATTATATTTCGGTTATTAACTTGTCAGGTAATCTATTTAAAATACTTTTGATTGATGATAAAGTAAACTGTTGTTTTTTCGTTATAAGTTGTACGTATTTGAAAAAAATAACTGACTATCTCAAAAAGAATTCAAATTTATTTGAATTCGAATCCGATTTGAATAAAAAATTCGATAAAAAATGAGCAAAAAAATAAAAAATGAGCAATATTGTAAATCGATACTTCCCAAAACTCGCCCACACGCTATTTTATTTTATTTGTTTGGTGATGATGTTTGTAACAATAGTCATAGTTTGGTTGTTGATTTTGTTGTTTCGAAGAAGAACGCCGAATCCGGAAATGCAATTAGCCACAATTTTAATTGTTCTAATTGCATTTTGCTCGTAAGTTTTGTTATTTTTGAAAAATTCATGAAATTTGGAGCATTTTGAGTCGAAATATGGCTAAAATCATAGATTTTTGAAAAATTCATGAAATTTACACTCAAAAAATCGCAAATTTTGCAGAAATCCTCAAAATACCCGACAAATGTCTCGTCGTCAACTCGATCTTATCGAAGAAATCATAACCGGGATGATATTGATTGTACAAATGCTTCTGATTGAAAGAAATCAGCAACAAACACTTGCTATTCAACAATAAATTTGATTTTTTGTTGTTTTCATGATTTTAGCCTTAAAAACCTGGAGTTTTTTGAGGCCAAACACGAAAAATAAATTCAAAAATTCACTACGGTAGCTTTAAAGGCGCACACATTTCGCGGCGAGACCATTTATTTTTTGATTTTGTGCTCGATTTCGGGGTCGAATTTGGTTTTGTGAGCCCAGAGTAAAACTTCAGATTTGGTGCAGTCGACCGACTTTTACAACCCTACCGCCTTTGAAAATGGTATTTTTCCACAAAAAAATGATGGCGAAAAAAATCCCGAAAATTTTACGTTTCATCAAATTATTATTTTCATATTAGTTCCGGACCAAGCACTGGATGACATATAAAGAAATAAAAAATAAATTTTGAGTGGAAATTCGAGAATTCTAGCATTCTTTAGCTCTGGGAGCTGAAAATTCTGATTTTTGGGATTCAACTGGACATGGAACCAAATCAAAAAAACTTACTTTGATTGATGATTGTGATTGTGTCCGATTTATGATAGATTTGAGAATAAATAATTGTGAAAAAGAAATGTTCTTCAAAAAATTGCAATTAAATTGAAACTTGATGCATTTTTTTGCGAATTCTAGAAAAAACCCGGTAAAAATTCATGTGAAATTTTTGGGTAAAAAATCGAAATGATCAAATTTATTCGATGTCACGTCAAAAATTGAAATATAAAATTTCAAAATCTTTTTTTCAAATTAAATTCCAATTTGAAAAATTTTGAACCTGATTTTTATTTTTCAGACCAAATTACTTTTAGGTCTAATTTTAAGAAATTTAAAAATTTCAAAAATTGAAAAAATATATATTTGAAATATTCGAGCTTCAAATCATAGCCACGTGGATTCTTTGAGACCAAAAACCTTATTTTCCAGAATTTTTAGAGTTTCAAACAACAAAAAATCATTAATACAAATATTTTAACATTCAATTAAATGTAAAAATTTCAAAAATTCAATAAAACGCCACGTGGCAAACATTGAACATTTTTTCGATCAATAATTTTTGAAATCTAACAAACTTGAAAAACACATTTATTTTTCCAGAAAAAATGATGGCGAAAAAAATCCCGAAAATTTTACGTTTCATGATGAAACGTAAAATTTTGAAACTTTCATCAAATTATTATTTTCAAATTTGCTTGTGATAAGATATTGATTGAGTTCCGGACCAAGCACTGGGTGACATATAAAGAAATAAAAATAGCTGTTGAAGTACTGAAAAAAATATTGTATTTTTATGTAACTTCAAATTCAGCCTACCTTTTCATATGTTCCAAATCGAGTGAATAACTTCTTTTTATCCTCATAAGATAATTTTGAGCTTCGAGCCGCTTTTAATGAAAAATGAGAACGAAAAATACGATTTTTTTGGTGATAATGTTACTTTATAATAATGGGCATAGCGCAAATGTGATTTTCTGCTTTTTTTCAGACCTGGGAGCTGAAAATTCCAATTTTTGGCTGAAAATTTGGAATTCTGAGCATTTTCAGCTTTCTTAGTCAAAAATTCGAGATTTTCAGCATTCTTTAGCTCTGGAAGCCTAAAATCCCGATTTTTGGGCGGAAATTCGACATTTTTGGCGGCATTATTGAGTTCTGGAAGCGTAAAATTCGAGATTTTCAGCCCCACAGCTAAAATTATGAGCTGATGCTCTATTTTCAGCTCAAAATTTCAAAAATTTCAGTTCCCAGAGTCAAAACTTTCTGAAACTTTCGATTTTTCAGCTTACAAAGCAGAAATTTCAGCCAAAATATCAACTATTGTTATTTTTGATGATAATCAAATATTCGAATTTTTCAGATCGCCGTTTTTGAAACTGCATTGGAAATTCTTTTGGTTCCAATTCAAGACATGAGGATGTTATCGTATGAAGAAAAAAAAAGAATTTATAATCATATGAATGTTCTTATTTGAAAATTTGATGAAACGTAAAATTTTCGGGATTTTTTTCGCGTAAAAATTCATGTGAAATTTTTTGGGTAAAAAATCGAAATTTATTCGATTTCACGTCAAAAATTGAAATATAACATTTCAAAAGTCTTTTTTTCAAATTAAATTCCAATTTGAAAAATTTTGAACCTGTTTTTTCTGCAAAATGTAGCCTACAAGGCTACCGTAGTAAATTTAATAATTTATTATGGATGTGCGTCCCAAAAGCCGCTTTGTGCGTTGGAGCGCATTTGCCATCTTGATAAAGTGAACAGCATTATTTAATGAATGTCACACAAGTTTTTTGACCTCCTCGAAAAATCAAATTTTTTCGGGTTTCTGTGGGTAGATCAGAATTAGATCCATGTACAAAAAAATTTTGAAAGCTTTAATTTTTCTTTAAAAAATTAGATTTTCCGTGCGTCACTCGTCCCATTCACTCAATCTCTTCCTTCTCAAACACTCTTCGCATTCAACGACGCGCCTTTTTTTCTGAAACGAAAATGATATGGCTCTGACTAACTCAATCCAACTTACGCCAAGTAACACATCTCCAGCTCCAAAAAGCATACAAGAGCTGATCATATAACGAGAATTATCAGTTGGTATTTGTTTACAAATCGACATCCCAAAAAGTTGTCCATTTGGGCCAAATAATGGTGATCCTGCATCACCAGCAGCTCCATTTGATTGTCCCACCAAAAATACATCTGAAAAAGGAGGGCGCCTTTTAAATATGACAATTTTGACAAGAGAAAAAACCAGCACTGTGGCCGAGTGGTTAGCATGCGCGCCTATTATTGGGAAGACCAGGGTTCGACCCCCGATGCAGACTAATTTTTTTATTTTTTTTTTTTGAAAACGCATTTTAATGTACCTTCCATTCCAGTTATAATTCCTTTGCACCAAAATGGTTTTCGTCGATCATCAATTCCAATTTGAAAATATTCTGTGCCAGGATTTAGAAAGTCACGACTGGTTGGAAAATATGGAATATCACTGTCGATAACTTCGAAAACCACTACATCATATAATGTGCACTCATTGACAACTTTTACCTGAAAAAAAGTTAAGAAACCTTGCCAAAAAAAAGAAAGAAACCTTGAAATTGAGCTCGGGATTGCTCAAATTGTATAGTTGCAACGTGTCATCTCGCTTCAAATGTGCATGTCTTCCATTTCGAAATGATATGATATTCTTGTCATTTATAGCAAAACAACAATTGTGCACGGAATCTTCAGGTTTTGAAGTGGTGTACAGCATTTTTTCGATAATTTCGGAAGCGTAAGGAACGTTTGAGGCCATCGTGGTTAGCATGCGCGCCTAGTATTGGCGACACCAGGGTTCGACCCCCGCCGCCGACAAACTTTTTTTATTTTCGAAACAGGACGCCAATTGCTGCTAATGATATAAACAATACTACAATAATCCGTTCACACTCTGCGCTCTCTTCTATTTCAACACTCTCTCGTCGCACAACAACATGTTAGAGGGAGGAGAGACGCAGAGAAAATCTCTGAGCAAGGCGTTCTGCCCAGAGTTTTGTTAAAAATAAATTTAAAAAGTTTGTCGGCGGCCGGGGGTCGAACCCTGGTGTCGCCAATACTAGGCGCGCATGCTAACCACTCGGCCATAAATGTGTTTTTTTCAGAGATGATGTCTTCCAATGTTCCTTACGCTTCCGAAATTATCGAAAAAATGCTGTACACCACTTCAAAACCTGAAGATTCCGTGCACAATTGTTGTTTTGCTATAAATGACAAGAATATCATATCATTTCGAAATGGAAGACATGCACATTTGAAGCGAGATGACACGTTGCAACTATACAATTTGAGCAATCCCGAGCTCAATTTCAAGGTTACTTTCTTTTTCCTTCTTTTTTTTGGCAAGGTTTCTTAACTTAAGTTATTTCAGGTAAAAGTTGCCAATAATTCCACAGTATATGATGTAATATTTTTCGAAGTAATCGAGGGTGATATTCCATATTTTCCAACCGCTCGTGACTTTCTTAATCCTGGCACGGAATATTATCAAATTGGAATCGATGATCGACGAAAACCATTTTGGTGCAAAGGAGTTATAACTGGAATGGAAGGTATGTCTTTTCAAAAAAAAAAAAATTAGTCCGCAACGGGGTTCGAACCCTGGTCTTCCCAATAATAGGCGCGCATGCTAACCACTCGGCCACAGTGCTGGTTTTTTCTCTTGGCAAAATTGTCATATTTGAAAGGCGCCCTCATTTTTCAGATGGATATTTGGTGGGGCAATCTTCTGTTGATGCGGGATCACCATTATTTGGCGCAAATGGACAATTTCTCGGGATGACTATTGTTGAACAAGTGCCTCACGATGTTTCAAATCATCTTCGTTATATGGTCAGCTCTTGTATGATTATAGGAGTTGGAGATGTTGGAGTTGGCGTAAGTTAGATTAATAACCGTTAGTTAGAGCCGAACATTTTTTGCGTTTCAGAAAACAAAAAAACGCGTCGTTGAATGTGAAGAGTGTTTGAGAAGGAAGAGATTGAGTGAATGGGACGAGTGACCACCGAAAACCTGAGGTTCTTGGGAATTTTTGAGGCCAAAGTTCGAGATACGATAACCTTGGGGATTTTAATTTGATGACGTAGTTTGTGCCGAATTTTTCGATAAATTTGGTTATCATTATCATGATCAGCACAAAATTCTGACCCAGAAAATCATAAAATAAAAAATATTGCAGGCAGTCGGGTTCGAACCCTGGTGTCTATCTCAGAAATTCAAGCTTTTACCAATTCATCACATCTCACTTGCCACGCGCATTCTTTTTTTTTTTTTTCATTTTTCTCCTGTTTCCCTGGAGCAAACCTAGGCTTTATATACCTCAAAATGTTCCAAATTTCAAGACAAATATCTCACAATTTCAAAGTTTTCGAGAAATTTGGTTACCATCATCGTGATCAGCACAAAATTCTGACCCAGAAAACCCTAAAATAAAAAAAAATGTTCAAAATGCAATTTTCATCAAACAACGATACTCCGCAATCCCGCTTGCTGATTTTTTTCAAATTCAAATTTTGTTGAATCTCTCCTTCATTTTTTCAAGCATCATCTCTTTCTGTGATTTTGGTTGAGACGATTTTTGGGAAGATGATCCCAATCCTTGTCGATTATTTTTGATTTCAGTAGAGATCTGGAATATTCAGAGTTCATAGATCAATTTTTGAAGAAAATTCTCACGGGCTCAATATTTCCTTGTTTATCCTTTCCCAATCCTTTTCCCTCTTTCCAACCCATCGATTTCAACAATTTGAATCCGACATTTTCCGCAGAAATCGGTTTGGGCTCCAATTTTGGCGGCTCCGAGTTCCTGGAACTTGTTGGCATCTCAAACTTCCGCAAATTCTCAGCAATCGGTTTTGCCGCGCAATTTCCATAGGTCCCAAAATCCCTGGACCCTTGATCTCTTTCGATGTTCATCAAACTTGGACCCTCTGGTTTTTTCCGTCGAATCGGACCCGATAATTCGGAATTCGGTGTGATTCCATAAGAGTTCATCAATTTCTTCAATGTTTTTCGTCTCGCCAATTCTCCGCATATATTTTTGGCCTGGCCTTGGGCCTCTTGGGCTTCTGGATTTTGAAAAAGTCCCGGCTCACAGCCTGGACAAGTGTTTGAGCCAAAATGAACATGAATTTCGAATTTTTCGCCACTTATTTGTACAACATCTCCATGACAAATATCGACTGGTGAATCAATCTGAAATTTTTTAACCTGAGCAATCTTCTAGAGCTCAGAAATCCTGGTTTTTAGACACTAAATTTGCTCTAGGGGAATTTTTAACCTGAGCAATCTTCTAGAGCTCAGAAATCCTGGTTTTTAGACACTAAATTTGCTCTAGGGGAATTTTTAACATGAGCAATGATTCAGAGCTCAAAAATCCTGGTTTTTTGACACTAAATTTGCTCTAGAGGGATTTTTAACATGAGCAATGATTAGAGCTCAAAATTCTGATTTTTTGGACACTAAATTTGCTCTAGGGGAATTTTTAACATGAGCAATGATTCAGAGCTCAAAAATCCTGGTTTTTTGACACTAAATTTGCTCTAGAGGGATTTTTGACATGAGCAATGATCTATAGCTCAAATATCTGATTTTTGGACACTAAATTTGCTCTAGGGGAATTTTTAACATGAGCAATGATTCAGAGCTCAAAAATCCCGGTTTTTGGACACTAAATTTGCTCCAGGGGGATTTTTGACATGAGCAATGATCTATAGCTCAAATATCTGATTTTTTGGACACTAAATTTGCTCTAGGGGAATTTTTAACATGAGCAATGATTCAGAGCTCAAAAATCCCGGTTTTTGGACACTAAATTTGCTCCAGGGGGATTTTTGACATGAGCAATGATCTATAGCTCAAATATCTGATTTTTTGGACACTAAATTTGCTCTAGGGGAATTTTTAACATGAGCAATGATTCAGAGCTCAAAAATCCCGGTTTTTGGACACTAAATTTGCTCTAGAGGGATTTTTAACATGAGCAATGATTCAGAGCTCAAAAAATCCTGGTTTTTTGACACTAAATTTGCTCTAGGGGAATTTTTAACATGAGCAATGATTCAGAGCTCAAAAATCCTGGTTTTTTGACACTAAATTTGCTCTAGAGGGATTTTTGACATGAGCAATGATCTATAGCTCAAATATCTGATTTTTTGGACACTAAATTTGCTCTAGGGGAATTTTTAACATGAGCAATGATTCAGAGCTCAAAAATCCCGGTTTTTGGACACTAAATTTGCTCTAGGGGAATTTTTAACATGAGCAATGATTCAGAGCTCAAAAATCCTGGTTTTTTGACACTAAATTTGCTCTAGAGGGATTTTTGACATGAGCAATGATCTATAGCTCAAATATCTGATTTTTGGACACTAAATTTGCTCTAGGGGAATTTTTAACATGAGCAATGATTCAGAGCTCAAAAATCCCGGTTTTTGGACACTAAATTTGCTCCAGGGGGATTTTTCACATGAGCAATGATCTATAGCTCAAAAATCTGATTTTTTGGACACTAAATTTGCTCCAGGGGAGAATTTTTAACATGAGCAATGATGAAATTCCTGGAAAAATTAGCCGCTGAGCTCCAGAGGGAGCACCTTCTTCTCACAATTTTCAGGGCTCATTTTCTTGGCGCTCAAAAACTGATTTTCATAAATTTTTGAGCTCTAGGGTATTGCTCATGTTAAAAATTCCCCTAAACCAAAATTATTGTCCAAAAACCAGGATTTTTGAGCTCTAGGGTATTGCTCATGTTAAAAATTCTCTTCTGGAGCAAATTTAGTGTCCAAAAATCAGGATTCTTGAGCTCTGAATCATTGCTCATGTTAAAAAATACCCTAGAGCAAATTTAGTGTCCGAAAATCAGGATTTTTGAGCTCTGAATCATTGCTCATGTTAGAAATTCTCCTAAAGCAAATTTAGAGTCTAAAAACCAGGATTTCTGAGCTCTGGAGCATTGCTCATGTTAAAAATTCCCCTAAAGCAAATTTAGTGTCTAAAACCAGGATTTCTGAGCTATGGAGCATTGCTCATATTAAAATTTCTCCCCTGGAGCAAATTTAATCTCTAAAAACAGGATTTTCGAGCATTTTTAATTGCTCATGCTAAAAAACTTCCCACGGTGTGTTTAGTGTCTAAAAAATCAGATTTTTAAGCCCACCACATTGCTCATATTAAAAACTTACCTTCAAAACATTGGAATTACAAGAAACCACACAACTCTCTTCCAACTTCACAATCGAATAACAACCAATATCTTCAGAATAATTAATTTCCGCACATCTTTCAGGTAATAATCGATTAGTTAGCACAACTTCAGATTCCGAATCTGATCCAATATATCCACCACTTTTTGTTATAATAAAAAGTTGGCCATTTTTATCAATAATTCGGAGACCGGGAGCTTCATCAAATCCTTCTTCTTTCATCATTCCAATTCTCTCATCTGTATTTATCTCAACTTCTGATTCAGATTCTTCTTCTGAATCTTCTGAAGCTTTTTGATAAGAAGTTGTAGCTTGAAAATTCCCCGAATGCTCATCAAAAACCTCTTCTTCCTGCTCAATATTCTTCCATTTCCTTTTTCTCATCAAAATCTTCCGAATTTCCTCAGCAGTTGGAATTTTAACCACCGCAACTTCTTTTTGCACGGGATTTTCAACATGTTCAGCCTTCAAAACCTTGCCAATCACATTGAAAAGCGTCTCGCAAATATCAACATTTTCCTGGGTGAATTTTTTGAATTCGCCTTCTCCGATCGCTTGAATCGCACGTTTTCTATAGCCACTGCTACTCCATTTTGCTGAAAAATTGTATTTTTTCAAGATTTTTAACATGAGCAATGCTCCAGAGCTCAAAAATCCTGGTTTTTAGACAATAAATTTGCTTCTGGGGAATTTTTAACATGAGCAATGCTCCAGAGCTTAAAAATCCTGGTTTTTAGACAATAAATTTGCTTCTGGGGAATTTTTAACATGAGCAATGCTCCAGAGCTTAAAAATCCTGGTTTTTGGACACTAAATTTGCTTTAGGGTAATTTTTAACATGAGCAATGCTCGAGAGCTCAAAAATCCTGGTTTTTGGACACTAAATTTGCTTTAGGAGAATTTTTAACATGAGCAATGCTCGAGAGCTCAAAAATCCTGGTTTTATGGATACAAAATTTGCTTTTGGGGAAAATTTAATATGAGCAATGCTTCAGAGCTCAAAAATCTGTGTTTTCACAGATTTTGTCAATAATTCGAGCGAAGCGAGTGTAGACCGCTAGCTTCCGCGAAGCGGCACTATCTACCGCTTCAGCGGCCACGCGGATTGCTATGACATGAAAACCTTAATAAATTTTCGCATCATAGCAATCCACGTGGCCGCTGAAGCGGTAAATAGTGCCGCTGACGCGGAAGCTAGCGCTCTACACTCGCTCCGCTCGAAATTTTGACTTTGCCACGTCATAACTCATTTAGGAATTGTTTTCTACAGTTTTTGACAAAGAAATAGTGGTCGAAAGCTACTAGAAAATGTATATTTTTCACAAAAAAAGCTATCGAAACAGCTTACTCGGCTGACAACACTCCACAATTTCATACGAATATGTTTCCTCATTAAATCGATAATACGTCATTGTATCTCCATTATAATACAACATTGTATTAGGATCAAAATAATATCGAGTCTCCTTGGAATAATATTGTTGATATTCCTCAATCCATTCAAATCCTTCCGGTGCATTTGCATGAATTACTTCATTTGCTGTTTGTCGCAAAATATCCGCAATCGAACCCTGAAACCATAATTTTTTCCAGTGAAAACTAAGAGCACTCACCTCTCCAAATAAATCAGCCATTTTTATAAAACTAAAATTGGTTTTCCGGTGAGAATTTGGGTTTTGTGAAGAAAAATGCGAAAAAAAGAAAAAAACAAGCTGTGTGGGTTTACGATAAACAACAGGCATGCGGAGTGTTGTTGTTTTACTTTTATTTTTTTACAACAAAAAAAAATAGAAACGTGGCCTAGAAATATGCGAGAAAACGTGAAAATTCAAAGTAGAGCTCTCATTTTCGACAATTCCCAAAATGAAAACCAAAATCTGTATCAAAATTTTCATAATATTCATATTTTTGTTCGGAAATGCCAGGGGAATATCTCCCGAATGTCAAAATGCGCCTGTAAATGTCCAAAAATACAAAAATCCTTTGTTTTGGTTCATGTTCCCCAATGATCAGATGTATGAGAGTGATGTGGGTTTGAAACAGCGGATTTCTAGGGGAAAAAACATTTTTTCAGAGAGAAAGAGCGGTGTATATCCTTGAACTATTGATGTGTGAATTACCTGCAAATTCAAATTTTGGATATTCACTGGCTTACGGAGATAGTAGTAATCTTGGGCCTAATCCGGGTCCAAATATCAATAGAAATTTTTCAACTCTAATGCAAAACGCGTACACAAGTTATAATGAATCAGGAGATTTATGTAAATATTTTACGAAAAATTTGGATAGCATCAAAAATAATGAACCTTCAAATACATATCGTTATGATTTAATAGTTCTGATTTATATCTATCCAGCCATGGATAATTGTTCGATTTATGAGAATTTCAAAAAACGAGAATTTCGAAAAATCAAATTTTTCGCGATTCATTTCGATGATACGAAAAGTGATGATTATATCAGTTTGAATATTCAGCACTTGAGAAATTTTGATTTGGATCAGAAAATTGCGAGTGCCCCTTTCAGACAGGTTGTGAGAGAATTGTGAGTTTCAGTTTTTGAAAATAAAAAAAATGAAAAATATTCAGTTCTCGTAAAATTCTTGGATTCGAAGAAGAAGAAAAACCGGAAGAATTTGTGTATGTTCCACATTGGACTGATCATTTATGGGCACCATTTTATATTCTGATATATTTGCTGGCCAATTTTGGTCTCGTGATTTTTATTATTTGGATTATTTCTCGTCGAAAATGAATCTTTTATTGCTCCACAAAACGATAGAGCTGAAAATTTGGAGCATTTTGAGGTATATAAATATATATAACAATTTTGACAAGGGAAAAAACCAGCATCATGGCCGAGCGTCGTTTTGTTCGCTGGAGCGAATTTGCATTTTTTTTAAACTTTTTTCGAAAATGTGAAAAATGAGTTTTGTGACTTGTCATTTTCACGTTCACGTTTCAAAAAAAAAACTTTATTAAGATTCCGACTCATTTTTAGAAAATCCCGTTTGCACTCCAAAAGGTCTAACACGATAAATCAAATATTCCATCAAATACATCATTTTCGGCTTCACATAATGAAACGAAATCGCTTGATCTGAACAACAATTCGGTCCATATTGAAAAGGATACCAACTAAAATTCAAAAACCAAGAATCTCGTGGATCTGGAACGGGTTTCAACATTTTCTCCGGCTCAAACGCCATAAATCGATGTCTCCCTTCAGCATCCCGCGTATCCGCTGCTTCAACTCCAACATTTTCCAAACATTTCGCGATTTCCACATCTTCCGGACCATCATGAGATTGTGAGCAGAGAGTGCTGTTTGGAAGGGAGATTTCGATGAATTTTTGAAGAGCTGCACGACTTAGGATATATCCAGAACCTCCTGTGTTATATCCTCGCTTTGTGAATGGCTTGAATCGACAGCCGAAATGAACAAGATCGTGTGGCGATTTTGAAGAGAGAAAGGATTTCAGATTCTCCATTATCACATAAGTATCATCGTCAGCTTTCAAAAACCAGTCATAATTCTGCAGATAATTTTCCGGGTGATGATAAATCCAGCTAAACGCCTTTTTCGTCTTCGCCCACAAATAATTTCGACCTTCCGAAATATTCAGGTTTATTGATGGGAGCGTTGGATCTTCGGCTGATGACATAAAGACAAATCTGGAAAAAAATCAATGAATTTGGCTTGAAAATCACGAAAATCCCTTGAGAAACAGAAAAAAAAATATTTTTTTCGAAAAAACACAAATGTGTGCATATTGGCGTCGCGGTGTTTGCACACCGCGCGGCCCCGCGAAATTAATTTTTTGAATTTGAATTTTTGTTTTTTTTTCTTTTTTTTCAAAAAAACCAACTTATCACATCTCTTGATCCACGTGGCTTTGACATGCCGTGCACGACTTTCATGATTCTGCACCCCAGTCAAAATCCAGCAAAATATTCGAACTTTTTTCGCGATTTCATCTGAATTATGTGAATAATTATTGGCTTGTTGAAGAAATTCGAGAGCAACTTCAGTGCTACTGTTTGCCACGTCATAGCTCAAAAAGTCATCGAAGATTTCGAAAATGGATGAGTAGAAGAAACCGATCAGGACGCCAATTGAAGTTAGGGTAATTTTTTGAACTTGAGACATTTTTTATATAGTTTGTACAAAAAGTATAATGAATAAATAATACAATACATTTTTGAGAAAACATAATTTTATGTTAATTCGAATCAAAAATAAGGAGGAAAACGTGGTAAAAATTTGCAAGAAAAAAAAATATTCTCCGAGAGAAGTACACAATTTCCTCGGCCATGTTGGTTTCCTCGTCCCCCGAATTTTTTTTTTTGAAATTTTTTTTTGAAAAAATCATTTTGATCAGAAAACGGTGGAGAATTCAAATTTCTTAAACTCTTTATTCATCTATACATTCATTAGCTAAACTAAAAACCTCTTCTTCTAATTATTTCCTATTAGGCATCAAATTCAACTCCGTAGTATGTGTATATTCTCTCAAATGAACTGGTACTGTACTTGTCAACTCTACAGTCGCATTTGATCCTCCACAATTGTACTGCAAACTTCCACGAATATCGAAATAGCGATTCTGGGGACCTTGATAATTGAAAGCGTCGAAAACTGCGGAAAAACGAGTTTGACCGTGGTAGAGACGATATTCACCGTAGTAAGCGGAGCGGTTTTGATAGCTGGAAAATTTTGGGATTGCTCAGGTTAGCCATTTTATTCGGATTAGATTGCTCATATTAAACTCTAAAAATTTAATTTTAAAATATTTTTTTGAAAAAAAAAATTGCGAAATTTTCCTTTCAATCTTCAAATTCCTATAACATTGCTCATATTTAATATTTTTCAAAAATCTCTGAACCACTAGATTGCTCAGGTTAAGCTCTACAACTTGTCTTTTAATCTTTGTTTTTAGGATTTTCTAGCATTGCTCATATTAGTGTTTTCTAGAAGAATCGTGTATTTCAATTTTCAAATCACTATAACATTGCTCATATTAGAGATTTCCCAAAAATCTCAGAACTATTAGATTGCTCAGGTTAAACTCTTAAACTCACCCAAGTTTATGAAACTCTACACGTGCCACGTCATAACCGGGTTGCTGACAAAATAAATGAAAATTATAGAAGAATCTTGTGGCATCTCCGCAGCCAAAAATCGATAAAATGAGCAATGATGTGAAGATTTTTAGGAGGCTCATGCTCATTAAATGAAAAATTGAGAAATGTGGGATGAGGAAGATAAGCCGGGTCATGTGTTTCAGATATTTTCAGCGGCCGCAAAAAAAAAATTAGATGCCACGCCCACGATTTTCAGCAAAAAATTGATGAGACATCTGGAATTTTTCAGAGGTCATGGAGGATTTTTTGCGTGGGAGCACGGAAAGTTTAAGATGAGCAATGCCGAATTTTGTGAAAAAAAAATTTTTTTTCGAAAAAAATTTTCAATTGAATTTTTCTCCCGCACTCTCAAATTTTCATGAGAAACTCATAATTACAAATTTGTAGCCCTGGACTTGCCAAATCTTTTAGTTCAGAGATTTTCAAAAAATCTCTAATATGAGCAATGTTATGAGGTTTCAAAGTTCAGGGGCGTTTTTCACAAACTTTCACGAATTTCCCCTCATCAATATTCAAAACCTCTACGTCATTCCCTTATTTTTTGCGTCAGAATCAGACCAGAAACCCAAAAACTGTCAATTTATCGATGAAAAGTCATAAAATGATGTATTTTGTAGTATAAACCGCCTATATAAACAGTAATCTGATAAATAATATAATCATTTTCATTTTTCTTTATAATTTTCAAAAAATTTCCTTATCATCCTCGTTTTTTTCCACCCAAAATCATTCAAAACTCACAATTCCGACCAAAAAAACATGTTTTTCGAAAAAAAAAAGAAAAAAGGGGCGGAGTCAGGCGACACACAAAAGATAGCGAGGCGCGCTGCCTGCCAACTGTCCGTCGCGCTTTTTATTGAAAAGGGGAGAGATGGGGAGGTGAAAAATAAGGGCTATGAAGACAAGCTTAGGACACCTTTGGAGGACTTAGGTCCGCTGAAAAAAACACTAATTACGCCTTAAACCGAGCCTACCTTAATTAATTAATTAATTAAATTTTGATAAAGTTTTAATTTTTAGTAATTAAAAGCACTAATTAATTTTCATCAGACTAGACACATAGCATCAAAGTACAAGATCAAAAAATCTTATCTCCGTGAAATTTTGTCACAAAGTTGTACAAAAAGGTCGCGCCATATCAATTCACATTAAATATTTTTTAGGTATTAATAAATTAATTAACTAATTAATTTTCTTTCTCTGCCTTATCTTACGATTTTTGCAGTCAAAAAATGGCAAAAGTCAAAGGTGTAGTGTATGATTTTGGCGGAGTTTTGTTGTCGTATGATAATGTGCTGGGAAAATGGCACGAGATGTCGGAGGCGTTGGGTTTGGAGCCGGAAGTGATGCACAGGGAAGCGGTGGGCACTGAGTTTTCGAAATGGTTGGGTCCCGATAGGAGTTTGTTTTTGGGTAAGCATTGCTCAGGTTAGAGATAGCCTAAGTCAAGTTCTAGAAGTTTCTTTTGAAAATTTATAAGATTGCTCAGGTTAGAGCTTTTTCAAAAATCTCAAAACCAAAACATTGCTCAGATTAAGCTTCATAATAATGAATTGCCAAACTTTCTTTAAAAAATTCAAAAAGTTGCTGAAAATTTCGTTTTTTTCAAAAATTCATAACATTGCTCAGGTTAGAGCTTTTTCAAAAATTCCTGAACCAAAAGATTGCTCAGATTAAGCTCTCCAAGCTCATAAATTTGAATTTTCCTGAAAATCTCAGTTTCTTGCTGAAAATCTTATCTGAAACTCTTTGACAACAATTTTTTTCTCACAAACTTTCAAAAATTCATAACATTGCTCATACTAGAGCTTTTTCAAAAATTCCTGAACCAAAACATTGCTCAGGTTTAGCTCTACAAGCTCACGTACATTAACTTTCTGAAAATTTCAGATTCTTGCTGAAAATTTGTTTTGAAATTTTTTTGACATTATTTTTCCCCAAAACATTAAAAATTAATAACATTGCTCATATTAAAGCTTTTTCAAAAATTCCTGAACCAAAAGATTGCTCATGTTAAACTCTCCCCAAACTTTCAGGAACTCTAACCGTAGACGAGCTCGAAAACGGACTTTTCGTCGAATTTCTCAAGCAAAAATACGGCGAGAAGATCAATGCAAATGTTCAAGTCAGACCTTATTCGGAGTGTTTGAGGCCGCCAAATGCAAAGTTTGTGAGTTGGGCTAAGTCAGGCCTTAGGCCTAAGGCCTAAAGCTTAGGCCTAGGGCCTAAGGCTTAGGCTTAAGCCTAAAAGAACATTTTTGTAGCACGAAAAAATGGTGAAAAGTGTGGAGGTTCTTCATGAAAATGGTTTCAAAACAGCAATGTTGACGAATAATATGTTTATTGATGAGGTAAGTGATTTAGGGTTAGGCTAGGCCAAGGCTAAGGTGAGGCCTAAGGATAGGCTTAAAGTTAGGCTTAGGCTTAAGGTTAAGCTCAAGGATAGGCCTAAGAATAGGTTTGATCTGAGTCATCAGCTTAAAGTTAACTCAAATCTTAGGTCACAGCTTAATCTTAACCCTTACCTTTATCCCAACTTTGAGCTTAACTATACTCTGATTCAAGGTTAGGCTTTTAAGTTTAGGTTCAATCTGAGTTAACCCCTAATCTTTAAGGTTAAAAGCTTAAGGTTAGGATGATAAATCGGAGGCTTAAGGTTTGTAAATAACTGCTTTATTTCTCGATCAGAATACAATTATTAAACTTTATATTCGATAACTTTGAGCAATTTGTATCCTCCTTGCATTCCTGAATCAGGAATCATCAACCATTTTGTTGGGAATTGATTGGTTACAAATTCTTTCTCAACCAAAAATCCATCGGAAGTAAACTGAGCAATATGAGTATCCCAAAAATTTGCCCAAAAATTATTTTTGTTTTCCAAAGCTGCTTTGTATCCTTCTCCAAATAATTTCACAGATTCATCAGTTTGCCATTCTTTGATTTTCTTTGCTGAAAAATAATTTGCAATTTACATACAATTTTTGTCCGATTCAAACCTGTGATATCAATTCCGTTTGAATCGAGGTATTTGAAATCTGGATGAAATATGTCAGTGTCTCGCAAGCTCATATATTTCCAAAAGTTCAATGAATGTTTTTCACCTGCTTTTTGTGGTTTCAAACTTGCGATAAGTTGAAGATGAATCAAAAATACGAAACCAAAAATGAGGATCCTCATCATTTTTGCAATGAATTCTCAAATAAAAACTTCTAGCCTTTTATAGATTCCAAAAAATCCCATAAAAATTAATCAAAATCACATTATTATGCGGGCGTTTTATAATTTTTTGATGGAATTTTTGAATTTGGCAGGAAATTTGGAGCATTCTCATTTTTTGAGCTCTGAAATTCGTTGATTTTGAGATGAGTTATGATAAATCTTTTAAAAATTATCATTGGAGCGCATTTTCTTCTAGATTTTCTACAGTAACCCTGAACAATCTAAGGCTCATTTTGTAGAGAATTTTCAAGAGCTACAAAATTTTTTAGCTTTAAAAAATACCGTAGATTTACTTAGTTACTGTAATTTCAGTAGATCAAAAATATGTTCTACGAATTCCTTGAAAACTACCTTAACCTTAAGCCTAAGCCTAAGCCTAAGCCTAGCCCAAACCGAAAGCCTAAATCCAATTATTTCCAGGCCCACAATGAAGTGCGTCTCCCAATGGATCTCTCGCATTTCGACCAAGTCGTCGAATCGTGTCTCGAAAAATTGATGAAACCCGATTTGGCCTTCTACAGGCTGGTTGAGGCCCGTCTAGGCCTCTCGGGCCCGGATCTGGTTTTTCTGGATGATTTGGAGGAGAATCTGGAGGCCGCCAGGCAATTGGGATGGCGCACTATTAAAGTTGAGGAAGATGTGAGGCCGGCGATTCGAGAGCTTGAAGAATTGACTGGGCTCGAGTTTTAGATGTGTTTTTGTTGCATTTTGTGTCATGAATGATTTTTTTTTGATATTTTTTTCAATTTGAGCTTGAAATTTGGAGCATTTTCATTTTTTGAGCTCCAAAATTCGTTGATTTTAAGCTGAGTTATGATAACTCAAAAAAATTATCATTGGAGCGCATTTGCTCCCAGATTTTCTACAGTAACCCCGAGCAGTCTTGGGCTCATTTTGTAGAGAATTTCAAGAGCTACAAAACCTTGTATTTTATTTTTTGGAATTTTTTTTGATCTACCAACATTTTCAGAAAAACAAATTTTTCAAAAAATTATCATTGGAGCGCATTTGCTTCTAGATTTCCTACAGTAACCCTGAGCAATATTGTGCTCATTTTGTAGAGAATTGCAAGAGCTACAAAACCTTCTAGCTCATTTTTCATCCAGCTCAAAATTTGGGCGATTTTTTGATCCACAAAAATTTTTCCGGGTCCATTTTTCTCTCTCATTAGCATCGCTCCTCTTTTGGCCACAGAAAAAGTTTTTTGGAAAAAAAACTTGGCTCACAATTAATTTTGTCCACATTTTGTTGTCAAAAAATGTGGCTCGACGAAATTTTTTTCCGAAATTTTTTTCCAGAAAAAAAATGGGAAATTGCATGTGTGTTATCTGATATTTCGGCTATTTTCAATTAATTTTTTCTAGTTTTTTCAGATTTTCTGAAATTCTGAATTTTCCCCAAAAAATTTTTTTTTCCTTAAAAAAATTCCGAAATCCTACTGTATCTCTAGCTGTGACGTCACAAAATCATTAAAACCCCAAAAATAGCCCAAAAGAAGCATCTGGGGAAAAGTCCTAATTTGAATCTCTGCGTCTCTCATTCTCACCACTCTCTCGTAGGGCGAGAGAGTATAAAAATCGAGAGACGCAGAGAAAAACTTGTTTTTGTATAGTTTTGTTATTTTTTTTTTGTAAAAAAAAATTAGCTATATATAAATTTAAAGGACCTGGTCATTTTTATTTATTTTTTTGAAAATTGAAAATTAGCGCAAGAATTTTAGAGCTACAGTAATCCTTTGAAACTTTTGATCTACGGTGTTTTGTGCCGAAATATTAGAGCTACAGTAATCCTTTAATTAAGCTACAGTAATCCTTTAATGTTTGAGCTACAGTAATCCCTATTGATCCCTAATTCTGATATATTTTTTCGTTCCCCAAAATTTTGACCTACCTACAGTAACCCGATTTTCCCTTCAGATGAAATTCCTCTACAGTACCCTCCTACTAATTTTCTCAATCTTGGCAATCTGCCAAACGGCGCCGGCCACCGAAAAAGAACTTCGACGAATACTGAGAGGTACTGTAGGTCTGGCAAAATTCCAACAAAAAAAATTCTGAAATTTTTTTTTTTTAGAAATCACGGAGGCCAACGAGAAAAACGCGGCGTACGGTGTTTTTCAAGTCGTCCCATATTCCGACCGTCTTCCCGGATACGCCAATAAATGGTGATGCGTTTTTGTTTTTCGTGTGTGATAAATGAAAAATTTCATGTTTACCATTAAATTCGCCTAAAAATTTGGAGCATTTTGAGGTATATAAAGCCCAGATTTGCTCCAGGGAAGCCTGAGAAAATTGAGAAAAACGAATCCACGTGTCGAGCAGAGTTTGGCGTAGCTGGGTAAAGCTTTGATTAGTGGGGAAGAGACCAGGGTTCGAGACCCAGTGGTGACTTAGTTTTTTGATTGATATATTTTTCTAGTTCAGCATTTTACGCTGATCACGATGATGATAACCATTTTTTTAAAACTTCAACATTTTCAAAAATCTTAGATTTTGCTATGCAGTTATGAACATTGTTTTCGTCTTGAAATTTGGAGCATTTCGAGGTATATAAAGCCTAGGTTTGCTCCAGGGAAGCCTGAGAAAATCAAAGAAAACGAATCCACTCGGCGAGCAGAGTTTGGTGTAGCTGGGTAAAGCTTTGATCAGTGGGAAAGAGATCAGGGTTCGATTCCCGCTGTCGGCGATATTTTTAATTTTACGATTTTCTAGCTCAGAATTTTACGCTGATCAATTTCCCGCAATTTTCAGCCCTTGAAAACCCTTTCTTCTAAACTAAAAATCACTTTTTCTTGTTTTCGATGGTCCCAGGAACAAAGAACCCATCAATTTTCCCCAGGAAAAACAAAAAAGAAAAAAGTGCAATTTTTCTTGCGTGTGTAAAGTTTGTTTGTTTGTTGTGTGTGAGGATCATGTAACATGTGTTACACGGCATGTGAAGAGGAGAGCAGATTTTTTGGCGCCAAAAAAAAATTTCAAGAAATTTGGTTATCATTATCGTGATCAGCGCAAAATTCTGACCCAGAAAATCATAAAATAAAAAATATTGCAGACAGCGGGGCTCGAACCCTGGTCTCTTTCCCACTAATCAAAGCTTTACCCAGCTACACCACATCTCTCTTGCCACGTGGTTTCGTTTTCCTTGATTTTCTCAAGTCTCCCTGGAGCAAACCTAGGCTTTATATACCTCAAAATGCTCCAAATTTCAAGGCGAATCTAATGAAAATATTCATTTTCAAAAAAACTCAACAATTCATAAATTATTCATCTTTTCGTCGAGAAACTCCCTGCCATCTTGATCTCTGAAAATGTTCGAATTTTCAGCCGGAATTTCAGGCTGAAAAATCCTACCTTGAAAGTTTTTGGTCCGAAGCCTGGTGGTTTGGCGTGTAGAATTCCGGGCAAAGGCTCGGGGGCCACTAGAATCGGGCCTGGTGGGCCTACTGGGCCTACTTCCAGCTCATCTTGGGCCTCATCTTCTTGCTCGAAAAATCTTTGCGACTCGTCCTGGACCAGGCCTAAAACTAGGCCAAATAGACAAGCAGCTAATATGAGCAATCGCATTTTTTCTCAGCAAACAAAAATGAAAAAATGTTTTTCGAGGAAGTAAAAAAGTGAAAAATAGACCAAATGAAATTGAAGTGATTGACCTTGGTCCAAAATTTTTTTGTAACAAAAAAATATAAAATTTTTTTATTTTTTTTTCACCACAAGTTCCTTTGTTCTTTCGTTTTTTCTTGAAGCAATTAAAAAATTATTTTTATATCAAAAAAAAAATTTTAAAAAAACACCAGTTTACAGATTGTTTGTACATGTAATACAACTACAGTACCCCATCTACAGTACCACGAGGAAAAATAAAAATAAAAAAAATAGAAAATGCCTAAATGTGACTGAAAAAGCAAAAAGAGGATAATTTTCGGCGTGAAAAAATTTGGAGCAGGTAGCGGGGGTCGAACCAGGACCTTCAGATCGGGAAAATAATCTCACCACTGTGTTCAGCATGAAAATCTGTTCTAGAAAACCCAAAAAAACAAAATTCCTCGCGGGCACCCGGGATCGAACCCAGGTATCTCAAGCAGTAACTTAAGAGCTAACCAGTTACACCATCTCTCACATAGCTTGCTTTTTTCATAGAAAAATAAGCTTAAAATGCTCGGAATTTCACAGAGATTTTAATGATGATAATTTCCAGAGAAAATCTGAAAATTTTCAGGTTTCTAGAGCTCCTCAGAATTTTTAAATATCACCACGATGATCAGCACGAAATTCTGACCTAGAAAACCTTTCAAACAAAAAAGTTCGCGTGCACCCGGAATCGAACCCGGGTCTCTCCCTCACTAGCCAAAGCTCTAACCGGTTACACTAAACATTGCGCGTTTCGTGGATCAGTTTTTCGCGTTTTTCTCACGATTGCTCAGCTTAAACCTAGTGATGTTACCCCTCAAAATGCTCCAAATTTCACGCCGAATCTCCCTGAATCAACAAAAATGCAAAATTCACCAAAAAAATCAATCGGTCCACTCAAAATCGACAATTTTCTTCTTGAGATCCGCCAACAGCTTCAAACCGTAGTCATTCGAGCATTTTTTGTCTGCCACGTGGCGTCTACAGTAGCTCTTCTTGCACTCCTCACAATTCGCACATTCTGATACGGATTTGCACTCATCACACACTGATTGACGCCATCGAGTTTTTGATCTACAAAAATAGGTACTGTAGGGGGTACTGTAGGGGCAAGGGGTACTGTACCTTTCCAATTTTAACACGTGACCATTCATTGTTTCATGTTCTCTGACTTGATTCAAATTCATTGAGGTAGAAATTACGGAACCGTAGACCTGCAAAAAATGCGTCAGCACCTACAAAATTCACGTCAATCTCACCTGAGCTGGTAAAAATCGCGAAATTCGCAACTTTGTGAACACCGTGTTGCCTTCTGAAGCCAATCTTCTGATCAATTTCTGCACAACATCTTTTTGACAATGATGTTCGTAGGCGGCGATGAGCATTGTCAGAATTTCATCGGGTTTTAGCACTCTGAAATTTTTTCTTCCATTTTGAGCCACAGATTCGTGATCGGCGTGAAATTCTGCATCGAAAGACACCAAATTTCAAAAATGTTCACCGTGGGGATCGAACCCGCGACCTTTAACTCCATAGACGCGTGTTTTCCCCACTGCGCCATCTAAACACTTTCTCTAAATCTAGGAGTTATATAGCTCATTTTACTCAGAATTTCACGCTGAGCAACACTATGCTAAGCATTTTCCTTGAAAATCACTGGTTCGAGATCTAACCTCCTGGGAATTTTCAAAGAAAATGAATAGCACCACGAGAATCAGCGTGAAATTCTGAGCAAGAATATGGGTTTTTCGAAGAAAATTGAGATTTTGCATATTTGGTCAAGTGGGTAAACCATTTGCCTAGCAATTGAAGGGTCACAAGTTCGAACCCCCATGGGAACTTTTTTCATAAATAACTTACTCTAACTGTTGTCTGAGGATAAATTGCTGACAAGCTTCGATAATTGTCTCAACCTGATATTTATTTGATAATCTGAGCACCAGAGCAAAGTTTGAGGCTGAAAAAAATCTGGAATTTCAGAATTACAGCCAAAAACTTACAGTTAATAGTAGAAGTGTCATGTACAGCTCGCAAAAAACAATCAATATCTTTCGATTTTTCGTCGACGATTTCACGAGAAAGATCCATTTTCTCGAAGTCTTTACCGAAACACATCAAATTGAAGATCTGAAAAAATTATTTTTGAATTTCTGTTGATTCAGTGAGATTCAGCGTGAAATTCTGAGCATTTTAAGGGGTCACATCACTAGGTTTAACCTGAGAAATCGGGAGAAAAACGTGAAAACGTGAAAAACGCGGAGAGCGTTGTGTGGTGCAATGGCAGAGAGCTTTGGTTAGTGGGAGAGAGACCCGGGTTCGATTCCGGATGCCCGCGAACTTTTTTGTTTGATAGGTTTTTTTGGTCAGAATTTTGTGCTGATCATTATGGTGATATTTAGAATTTTCAGAGAGCTCTAGAAATCTGAAAATTTTCAGATTTTCTCTGGAATTTATCGTCATCAAATTCTCTGTGAAATTCTGATCATTTTGAGCCTATTTTTCTATGAAAAAAGCAAGCTATGTGAGAGATGGTGTAACTGGTTAAAGCTTTGGTTACTGCTCGAGACACCCGGGTTCGATCCCGGGTGCCCGCGATGTTTTTTTTTTGATTTTTATATGTTTCTGGGTCAGAATTTAACGCTGATCACGATGCTAATAAACATACCGGACTAATTCGACTCATCGAATCAGCATCAATCAAAAACGTCTCTTTTTGCACGAGAAGTTTGAAGGGTCTATCCACATTTGTTGTCGAAAAACAGTGCGGCTCATTTTGGTGAATCACCTCGGCAGCCATCTTTTTTCTGAAAATTTCAGCTTGATTTTCAGATTCAGCGGGAAATTTGGAGCATTTTGAGGGTAGATTTGTGGGGTGAAAGGTCAGGGGATCGAGGAACAGTGGGCGCGGATAGTTTTTTTGAGGAAAAAAGTTCCGGGGCTAATTTTGGACGTAGAGTTCGATTTTCTAGGTCCGAGGCTTCGATTTTCAGGTTTTTCATGAATTTTGGAGCATTTTGAGTATAATAATTACTAGTTAAAAGGTCAGGGGATCGAGGAACAGTGGGAGCAAACATTTTTGAAATTTTTTTTTGAAAAAAAAGTTCCTGGCTCAATTTTTTGAGCTGAGTTCAAAAATTAAGTTCTCAGAGCTTGATTTTCAGATTCAGCGGGAAATTTGGAGCATTTGCAGTATAATAATTACTAGGTGAAAGGCCAGGGGATCGAGGAACAGTGAATGCAAACTTTTTTGAAATATTTTTTTTTGAAAAAAAAGTTCCTGGCTCAATTTTTTCTGCTGAGCTCAAAAATCAAGGTCCTAAGGCTTGATTTTCAGATTCTCCGTGAAATTTGGAGCATTTTGAGGGTAGATTTATAGGGTGAAAGGTCAGGGGATCGAGGAACAGTGAGAGCAGAAAAAATTTTGGAAAAAAATTCAGAACAAAATGTTCCCAGGCTAATTTTTGACGTAGAGTTCGATTTTCTAGGTCTAAGACTGTGATTTTCAGATTCAGCGGGAAATTTGCAGCATTTTGAGGGTAAATTTATGGGGTGAAAGGTCAGGCGATCGAGGAACAGTGGGCGCTGATAGTTTTTTTGGGGAAAAAAGTTCCGGGGCTAATTTTTGACGGAGAATTCGATTTTCTAAGTCCGAGGCTTCGATTTTCAGATTCTCCACGACATTTTAAACATTTCCCAAAAATAAAATGTGTTCCAAAAGTTCGCAAAATTCCATTTTCCCGCGCAAAAAAATGCAATTTTCTTCTTACTCAATTTTTTTGCTGAAAAAAATTCAAAAAGAACACAAAATGTTTCACCAGCCAGAAAAATCGATAAAAAAGTGAAGTAAGGAAAAAAACCAAACCAAAACCCGAAATAAAAAGGAAAAATTGGTGTGAAGGACAAAATTTATTGTTTTTCTCTTCTTCTTTATGCAAAAAAGACTAGAGTCTAGTTTAGAAAATAGAAATAAAGGTTCAATGATCAAACTAGGTACAAAAATGTGTTGCTTTGTCAGGACTAGAGTCTAGTTTAAATTATTCAGAGAATACTGATCAAACAAGCTTTTCGCATGAATTTATTGAAACTAGAGTCTAGTTTACTATAAATATCAACGAGCAAACTAGACTATAGTCTAGTCTACATACAAAAAAATGATTCCGGCAATTTTTTTGGCGCCAAAAAATCACATAAAGTGCTACCTGCATGAAATTTGACACCCCTTTTTTGGGGCCCAGGTGACGTCACAATGAGCAATTTGTTTATATCAATTTTTCAGCTGAAAAGGTTTTGCTCAAAAAAATTTCAGAGATTTTCAGAGAAAAAATTAGATCAAGTGGAATGAGCTGAAAATTTGAACAAAAATTTTCAGATTTCTGATTTTCAGCTCAGAGTTTTCAGAAAAAACTGGAGATCAGGTGGAATTTTTTGTGTGTGTTTCGAAAAAAAAATCGGCGAAAAAGCTTGATGACTCGACTTTACACAAACAACATATGCTTTTGCCTCCTTTTCTCAAAAAATCTTTGGACAAATTTTTTCGAAACGAAAAAAAAAATTGAGAAATGAAAAAAAGTGGGATATTTTTGGCACGAGAAAGAGAAAGAAGAAGAAGAGGTCAATTTTGGCGCCGAAAATTCCACGGTTACTGTAGGTTTTGGCGCCAAAAAATATGAGATTGCTCATGTTAAACTTCATAGAATCTTCAAAAATATTGCAAGAGATACTGTAGAGGGATTGCTCATGTTAAAAATTAATTGAAAAACATTTCAATGTTGAGAATCTAGAAATTGCTCATGTTAAACTCTATATCAAATTTTCGAGTTAAAATGAGATTGCTCATATTAAAAAAACCTTGAGAACATTTTGGGAAATTTTTTGGCTACTGTAGGATTGCTCATGTTAAATTGGAAATTTAGACATAGCTCATGTTAATCTATCAAATTTTTGTAAATTCGAAAAATTAGGATATTGCTCATGTTAAACTTTTTTAAAAAATTCTTTAATTAAAAACCCATTGCTCATATCAAGAAAAATCCAGGCATTGCTCATATTAAACTCACAAAACCTTCCGCTTCTTCGGCGGCACAATCGCAATTTTTTTCACTTCCGCGACAAAAATCGCCGGCGCGACGAATCGCGGCAAACTTGCCGCGAGCGGCAGAATCCGGCGACACTTGGCTCGCGATTCCGATTTGATGAATGAGCAATGAGTGGATGTTGTGATGTCGGGAAGATTCCAATCGGGCAGCAAGAAATCGGGTTCTGGCGGAAGTCCGGAGTCTTGTTGGTCGATGGTGGAGAGATCGGTGGGGATTGAGATTTTGAGGAGGGGGTAGGCGGGTGGAGAATGATGCTGGAGATCTTGGGGAGCTTCGGAAGCCACTGAAGGTGGTATTGGAACATCTGGGGTTTCTTGAACTTCTGTAGGATCTTCTGAAGTTTGTACTTGAATTTCTAGGACTTCTGATGGAACTTTTGAAGCTTCCGAAGTTTGAACTAGAACTTCTAGATCGGCTTGAGCTTCGGTAGATGTTTCTGAGACTTCTGATGATTTTTGAACTTCTGTAGGATCTCCTGAAGTTTGTACTGGAACATCTAGAGAGGCTTGGACTTCTGAAGCAGATTCCAAACCTTCAGATCTATCTCCACCTTCTGTAGATTCTTCTGAAGCTTGCACTGGAACTTCTAGAACCTCTGATTCAGCTGTGACTTCTGTAGAATCTTCTGAAGCTTGCCCTGAAGTTGCTTGATCTTCTGATCCCTCTTGAACTTCTGAATCTGATTCCAAAGCTTCAGATCCATCTCTAACTTCTGTAGATTCTCCTGAAGCTTGCACTGGAACTTCTAGAAGCTTAGATCCAGCTATGACTTCTGTAGATTCTCCTGAAGCTTGCCCTGAAGTTGCTTGATCTTCTGATCCCTCTTGAACTTCTACCGATGGTTCCAAAGCTTCAGATTCATCTCCACCTTCTGTAGATTCTTCTGAAGTTTCCACTTTAACTTCTAGAATATTTGATTCAGCTGTGACTTCTGTAGATTCTCCTGAAGTTTGCACTTGATCTTCTGATTCTTCCTGAACTTCTAGAGCAGATTCCAAAGCTTCAGATCTATCTGAATCATCTGAAGTTTGCACTGGAATTCCTATAACTTCAGAAGTTTTCAAATCTTCTTCCACCGGAATTTCTAGAATCTCCAAATCATCCTCAACGTCTGAACAAACAAAAATCGAAATTTTTTTTTTCAAAAAAAAAATTACCTTCCTGAAGTTCCCTGGAACTTGCGCCAAACAAAACTTCGGCAAAATTCAGCGAAAAAATCATAGTAGATTTAGGCTAACTAAAAACTGTAGTAAAAATAGTAATAGTAGTGAGTTAGTGTAAATAGAACTGCTCGAAATTCGAAAATGTGTCTGCGCGGTGCGCAAAAATTTTTTTGTTTGTTTTACCTTTGAGCTCCGACTTTTTCACCGATTTTTGTGTAGTCTTTGAGCTTTTTGAGCACAAAAAATGAGGGGGTTTATTGATTTTTTAAGTGAGTTTAATATGAGCAATGCTATGGAAAATTATAGTTTAATATGAGCAATGGGTTCCTGAATCTTCTTGATTTTTTCGAAAAAAAAAATCGATTTTTGGAAGAGTTTAACATGAGCAACAACCATTCCCAAAAAAGGTACTGTAGAATTTTTGGCGCGAGAAAAATATTCAAAATTGAAATTTTAACCCCAAAATTTAAGATTTAAATATGAGCAATGTTTTTTTTTCAAAAATTCGTAATTTACATGAGCAAAACTCCAAAAACCCATTAAACATTCAAATTTGAATTGTCTAATAATATGAGCAATAGGTTATTCTTAACATGAGCAATGTTATTTTCAAAAAATATCTAATTAACATGAGCAACACCCCAAAAATTCACAAAAATCTGAAAAAATCGCGCAAAAAATGAAAAAAATGATAAGAAAAAGTTATACAATTATATTATTACACTGTATTTTATATTTTTATAAAAATAATTTTCAAGAAACCGGTTTTTTTGTTGAAAAATGGCAAAATCTATCATTTTATCCCAAAAATTGATAGAAAAATGGCCAAAAATTAACGATTCTCTCCAGAGAAAAAAAATTAGATAAAAAATTTTCGATGAAAATTATCATGTTTATGCGATTTTTTTCTGGGTGTTATCTAGAAAAATGTTATTTTTTCGGGGCAAAATTATTGAAAAAATGAAAAAAAATGGGGAAAAAGCATCAGAATTTTCAATTTTTCTAGTCACGCGACAAAAATACCTTTGGAATTTTAAATGTCGTAAAAAAATTCAAAAAAAAAGTAGACGTTGCTCATGTTAAGAACTAAGAGTTGCTCATGTTAGGATTGAATTTTGCAGATTTTTTGCCCAAAAAAACTCACATTTTGATCAACAAAGTCGGCTTGAGTTAGGCGAACTTGCATAATGTGCCACAAATTCACCAATTGCTCAAATATAAATGACCAAGTCCAAATTTTGTTGCCTGTAAAGAAAAAAAATTAGTTTTCCAAATTTTTCAGCCAAAAATGATGACAAATCGATATTATTCAAGCTTCTGGAATAATTTCTGATGAAAATTGACCTTACAGAAGGTTTTGCTGATTTTTCGTCGAAAAAATTCAAAAAATGAAGCAAAATAAGGTTCTCGAAGCCTATTTTCATCAGAAATCACTTCAGAAGCTTGAAAAATATCGATTTGTCATCATTTTTGACTGAAAAACTCGAAAAACAATTTTTTTCGTTCGTGAATCAATTTAAAACAAAAAATTTCCCACAAAAAAAAATATTTTTTGACCTATCTACAAAAAAATTTGAGGCTCACACACAGCTCTTGATTTTCAGAAAACCTGAATTTTGTCTGAATTTCTATGATTTCTAAATCTTTGGCATTTCATTTCAAAACAAAAACAACAACAAATATTTACAAACAATTATTCCTCGATCAATTTCCTGCATTTTTCCACAAGTTTCTGAATTTCTTCCTCAATTTCTTCAGAATCCTGAATTCTCTCAATCTCTCCTCGAATATTTTCCAAATAATCATCGAATTTGTCATCAAAACCATCCAATTCCCTCTTCATTTTTTGAATTTCCCCATTTTTTGGGTGTTTTTCCATGATTTTGTGGAGATTTGAATACATCGAATCAGTGAAACCATCATAATCCAGACTGAAAACTCGTTCCGAATTTTTGAGTTTTTCGTGATTTTTGGTTTGGATGATTGATTCTTTGAAGAACTCCTCGAAATTTCGCATTTTCTCATGGAGTTTCTGATTCTCTTTTGATAGATTTTCATTTTCAGCATCTCTCAATTTTATAGCGTTGCTGAATTTTTCGCGAAGCCTTTCATTTTCAGCATTTTTCAAGTTCAAATCTTCCTCGAATTTCATGCGGAGCATATGATTTTCTTTTGAAAGTCTCTCTATTTCAGTATTCTTGGAAATTTCAGCCAATTTTAGATCTTCTTCGAGTTTCAGACAAAGTCGTTTATTTTCAGAATCCTTCAATTTCATGTCTTCTTCAGATTTCTTACGAAGATTTTCAATCTCAACATTTTTCAATTGCAATTCTTCTTCAGATTGCTTACGAAGCCTTTCATTTTCAGCATTTTTCAAATTAATTTCTTCTTCAGATTTCAGGCGAAGCTTCTCATTCTCAGCATTTTTCAAGTTCAGTTCTTCTTTCAATTTCAAACGAATCTTTTCAATTTCAGAATCTTTCAGTTTCAAATCTTCTTCAAATTTCAGTCGAAGCTTTTCTAATTCAGCATCCTTTAATTTCAATTCTTCTTCATATTTCAGGCAAAGCATATGATTTTCTTCTGACAGTCTATCAGTTTCAGTACTGTTGGAAGCTTCAACCAATTCTGAATCATTTTCAGATTTCAGACAAAGCTTCTCACATTCAGCCACTTCCGATTCCATCTCAATACTATCTTTCTTATTTTCTGATGAGATTTTCAATTCTTCAGACTGTTTTCGAAATTCCTCGCTCATTTTTTCGTTTGATTCATTTACAAGTTGTCCGAATTCCTTTCTCAAACACACCTCATACAACACATAAATCGTTTTCCTCGTCATTTTATCTGCGAGCGAGTATACATATTCAAAATAATCGATATTCAATTCAAAAGGTCGCATCATTTTCCTTACATATTCTTTAACCTCTTTTTTCTTGTATTCATTTTTTTGAGGGACTTGAAAGATCTCCAAGTTTGGCTTATACTTCGAAAAGTTGTGTTTTGCTTCTTCGATTAATTCGGTGATTTTCCACAATTCAATTGCATGCAGCATATTATGAACAAACGCATTAACCTGTTTTTTAAACCATTCTACAACTTCTTTCAATGCATCCTCTTTTATATTTCGAAATAATTGCATATTTCGAATCAAATAACATAAAACTCCTATAAGTGCTTCATTACTTGCCTTGATAAGTGTCCCATAAGACGAAATCACCGGAACCAGAACCTTACGCGAAGTTATCACGTATCTCCAATTGACAATCTGTAAAAAATTGTTTCATTCGGGCTAATCAGATTTTTGGGTGAATCGCAGAATAGATCCCCACTAGTTAGACATATTATGGGTAGGTCCCCACCTTTTTATGGTCAGAAATCTTGTTGGTGGGGACCTAAAATCTAAAATTGAGTTACCATGTGGGGGCATAAAATGACAGTGGTGGGGACCTTTTTGCGAGATACCCTATGATCGGAATAAGAGCCCCCAACTCTATTAAAATTATCTGAAAATAGGCCCCCCACATACAAATATAAGTCCCACCCCAAATATAGATCCCCATCCAAAAATAAGTTCCCACATACTCATTTTAAGCTCCCACTTCCATTGAGTGGGGACTTGGTGGGGACTTTTACTTGTTGGTGTGGCCATACTTTGGGGTTGGGGCCTATTCTGCGATTCATTCAGATTTTTTTTTTGCTTGCTTACAGTTAATTCCTTTTTTGAAATGTCATAAGATTTTAGGAGTTCTTCCAATTGTTTCTCATTTATAAAACGGACGATTCCCAATTTCCTTTCCGCCTCCGATTCCAAGTCAATTTGAGGGTTCAAATTTTTGCGCAAAATTTTCAGAGCAGCTGAAACTTCGGCTACAAGATAATCATTATCCACATTTGTTGAAGCCGTGAAAATTTGAAAACATCGAACATATGGCAGCTGATATTTTGAGGATTTGGAAAATGGTTGGAAAACTTCGATGAATTTTTTATAAACTGCAATTGTAGTTTCGATAATTCGCACAATTTCCATATACGCTGCTCTGGTCGAACTTACATCAGTAATAAAATTCAACATCTTAAAAATGATTGTGAAGAAATATCTTACTGTATATACTATATTCATTTAGAGGGGGGGTAAGACCACAAAAAAAATTTGTCGCAAAGTTAAAGGCTTCCCAAAACTAGTAAAACCTCCAAGGGATTTTTTCTAGAAATTCATGGAATTTTTTCGGACCTTTCTAGGCCTATCGAGAAAAAATCCTCTGGGGTTTTTACTATTCAAAGAGGGCCCGATCTTTTGAGCAAATGAATTTTGTCGTCTTACCCACCCTCCCCTTAAATACAACGAACTTACTTTGATAGAAGGAATAAGAATTTTGCTCATAAAATCATCATATTTTTCAGCTTGCGCGCCAAAATATATTCGAAGTCCTTCAAACTCTTTATTTAGATCAACCTCTTCAGGAAAACTTTTTGAAAATTTATAATTCCTTAATTCGGTTTTGATTAATTCCCAAATCGAATAGTCAACCAATTCATAACAATTTTCCAAGTCTCTAGCAATTTTTTCGCTTAAAAAACAGTCGATCCAAAAGTGATAAACGGGTGTTGATATTACTTCCATTTCTGTATCAACATCAAACATGCAGAACATCTTAGCGAGATCGTTTTTCGAGACAAATCGTTTGCTTTTATCACTTGTATATATAATAGTCATATCATTTTTGTGAAAAGATTTGTCGATTTCACCAGGTTTATCTTTACCATAGCGGTAGAATTCAGGCGTGGCGCGTATTATTTCGAAATCTATTCTGAAATCATCCGATGAGTCGTAGAATTCTCCGATTCTTGGTGATTTCGCATACAATGATTGTAATATTTTATCGATAATTGGTTTATCCGATATTTTTGAATCTTCCAAAATTGTTCGCTCTTTTTCCGTGAGCTTTGGAACTATCTGAAAAAAATATTTTTTGAATCTAAAAAAATAATTGCAACAACTTACATCATCAAGAAGATTAATTGAAAGACATTGTTCCAGCTCCTTTGGTGTCCAACTAGTCATTCTAAGGAACGCCAATAATATTTTGCATCGAAAAAAGTGGTTGTAAAAAAATAAATAAACAAAAAAAATAAACCACGCCGCAAATTTGCAAAAACAACGCGCCGCACGGTGCCACTCTTCGCCCCGCCCACATTTTTTGATTTTTCGTCTTTGGTTGTGGTTTTTCACCGGGTTTTTTCGAGGAAAACCACTGTTTTTCAGCGTTGTTTTTTTTGAAGTTGAATTTGAATGAAAATTGAGAATTTTCAGATGGCGACCGCTGCGAAGGGCAAGATTTTGGCTGTGATTGGTGATGAAGACACTGTTGTCGGATTTTTGTTGGGCGGTGTTGGAGAATTGAATAAGGTATGGGTTTTTAGGGATTTTTCCGGAATTTTTGAATGAGAAAGCTAGTAAAGAAGAGGAACTTGATGGAAATTTCGAATTTTGATCAAAAATTATTAATTTTTATTGAAAACTTGAATTTTTAGTGAAAAATACTAGTTTTCTATAGAAAAACTTGCGAATTAAGATTTAAAATCACTATTATTCTTCTTGAAATCCCGATTTTTTGTAATTTCAAGTCAAAAATCTCAAATTTCCAGGCTCGCAAGCCAAACTACTTGATCGTCGACAAAGGCACATCACTTCAAGAAATCGAGGATGCTTTCAAGGGATTCTGCGCCCGGGACGATATTGCCATCATTTTGATCAATCAACATATCGCCGAACAAATTCGTTTTGCTGTGAGTTTTGGGATTTTCATTTGAAAATTCAAATTTTTGCTGAAAATCTTGAAAATTTCGCTGAAATTCCCGAATTTTGCAGGTCGATCAACACACTTCCTCAATTCCCGCCGTCCTCGAAATTCCATCCAAAGAAGCGCCATACGATCCATCAAAGGACTCGATCATGAATCGCGCTCGTGGACTTTTCAACCCAGAAGACTTCCGCTAACTCGACTTTGTTTGCAAAATGTTCCTTTAAAATTCTATTATCAAGAGAAGAACTATTATTATAGCCTAACTAACAATAACATTCCATAAATTTTGTATATAAAATTTATTTGCACCCGAAGAGATAAAAAACGTGACCTTTCGATCATTCCTATTTGTTATCCACGTGTTTTTTTTTTTTTTTTTGAAAAACAAAACAAAACAAAAAAATCCCGCCATTTTTAGTTAGTTATGCTTCGACAGGCGGCTCAAAAACTAGTTGGCGCGGTGCCAAAAAATAATTGTCTGGTGCAAACGCGCTCCGCCGCAATCCCGTTCGTTATTGATAATGAGGGAAAAGGCGAGCGAACTTATGATATCTATTCGAGATTGTTGAGAGATCGAATTGTTTGTTTGATGACACCGGTAAGAGATTTTGGAGGGCGGGAAATTTGAAAAAAATGTGCATTTTTACGTGAGATTTGGTGGGGAACATTGAATTTGACGCAAAAATGCACAGAAATTTCAAAAATCTGCATTTTCACGTTTAATTCGGTGTAAAATACGTGGAATACATTGAATTTGACGCAAAAATGCACAGGAACTGCAAAAATCTGCATTTTTGCGTGAAATTTCGTGTACGACACGTGGAGATCATTGGATTTGACGCACAAATGCAGAAAATCGAGTTTTCATCCAAATTTGCTCATATTTTAGCTCAAAATGCTCCAAATTTAAAGGAAAATCTACAGAAGCATGTTTAGATTCAAAATTACCGTTTTGAGACCCGAAAAATCGCGGCGAGACCCATTTCCAACCTAAATGGCTCATATTTGATCTCAAAATGCTCCAAATTTCATGAAAAATCTTATGGAACATGTTTAGATTTTAAATTTTCGTCTCGAGACCCAAAAAATCACTTCAGAGTCCATTTTCAAGCAGAACTAGCCATGTTTGCGCTCAAAAAGCTTTGAATTCCCCGAAAATCCAAATTTTTCGCTCAAAATCCTCCAAATTCCATGAAAAATCTTATGGAACATGTTTAGACTCTAAATTTTCGTCTCAAGACCCTGAAAATTGCTCCAAAGCTCATTTTCAGCTAAAATTGCTCATATTTGAGCTCAAAATGCTCCAAATTGCAAAAAAAATCTTATGGAACATGTTTAGATTCCAAATCATCGTCTTGAGACCAAGAAAATCGTGGCGAGACCGAATTTCAAGCAAAACTAGCCTTGTTCGGGCTCAAAATGCTCTAAATTTCCCGAAAAATCCCAATTTTCAGGTCGATGATTTCGTAGCTTCAGCCCTCATCGCTCAACTCCTCTTCCTCCAATCCGAAAGTGGCAAAAAACCCATTCACATGTACATCAATTCGCCAGGAGGCAGTGTAACCGCCGGATTAGCCATCTATGATACAATGCAAATGATAAGTGCACCAGTTGCCACGTGGTGTGTTGGACAGGCTTCTTCGATGGGAAGTTTGTTGTTGTGTGCGGGAGAAAAGGGAATGCGAGCGAGTTTGCCGAATTCCAGAATTATGGTGCATCAACCGAGTGGTGGAGCACAGGTTGGTGCTTTTTTTGGTCAAAAATCGGAAAATTTTCATGATTTTCAAGCTAGACAACGAGATTTTCATCAAAAATCAGCTAAAAATCGTAAATTTTCAGCCGGAAATCATTCCTGACTGAAAATTCGCGATTTTTAACTGATTTCCGATGAAAAAAGCTGGATTTCCATCAGAAGTTGGTGAAAATCCGTGAAATTTCGGTGAAAAAGCTGGATTTTCATCAAATATAAGCGAAAAATCGAATTTTCATGGATTTCGATCAAAACTAGGCAAATTTTCATGATTTTCAAGCTAGACATCGAGATTTTCATCGAAAATCAGCTAAAAATCGTAAATTTTCAGCCGGAAATCATTCCTGACTGGAAATTTACGATTTTTAACTGATTTCCGGTGAAAAAGATGGATTTCTATCAAAAATTGCTGAAAATCCGTGAAATTTCGGTGAAAAATCGAATTTTCATGGATTTCGATCAAAACTAGACAAATTTTCATGATTTTCAAGCTAGACATCGAGGTTTTCATCGAAAGTCAGCTAAAAATCATAAATTTTCAGTCAAAATTTGAATTTCGACTGAAAATTCGCGATTTTCAACTGATTTCTGATGAAAAAGCTGGATTTCCATCAAAAATTGCTGAAAATCTGTGAACTTTCGGTGAAAAAGCTGGATTTTCATCAAATATAAGCGAAAAATCGAATTTTCATGGTTTTCGATCAACATTAGGTGAATTTTCGTGATTTTTCAGCTAAACATCGAGGTTTTCATCGAAAATCAGCTAAAAATCATACATTTTCAGTCAAAATTTGAATTTCGACTGAAAATTCGCGATTTTCACCAAAGTTCTGATGAAAACTTTGATGTTTATATGAAAAATCACAAAAATTTGCCTAATTTTGATCGAAATTCATGGAAAATTGATTTTTCACTTATATTCGATGGAAATTCAGCTTTTTCACTGAAATTTCACGAATTTTCACCTACTTTTGATGAAAATTCGATTTTTGACTGATATTTCAGGGATTTTCAGCCAATTTTTGATAGAAATCCAGTTTTTTCATCAAAAAGCGCGAAATTCATAGAAAAATCGATTTCCCTCCATTTTTGAGATCAATTTCTTTATCAAAAACAAAAATTATATACAAAAAAGCATTCAATGCCGAAAATAGAACATATTTTCCAATTCCCGATCCAATTCAAAAGCAATGTTGGAAACATCCATATCCAAACCACCGTGATGCATTAATTGAGCACGTTGATTATCTTCGCATTGACGTTCGGCTCTGAAAAATGGAAAATTGTAGGGATTTTTACGCAAAAATCAATAATCAAACTCACTGATTAATCGAATAGGTCAAAAAATGGAAATCGTGTAAAATGAGAAATTCCTTCAAATCACTGGTGAGTTTCTGTAACTCGTCAGCCGCTCGAACCATTAATTGTGCCCTAACAACCATCTCATTCTTGGTCGTATAGAATTCCGACATTTTTCCTGTCACATTTTTGTAGGCCGCGTCGTCCAAATTCACTTTTGCCGCGTTTAAAATGTGATAGAAATTGTCGTTGAGCGAACGAATGTTGTCGCGAAGACGACGCTTGAATTCCTGCAAAAATTTCGGGATTTTTGACGAATTTTCACTAAAAAACCCTATTTTTCATGAAATCCCCATTTTTGCCCCGAAAAATCGATAATTCCTACCTGTATTATCAATTTCTTGGTGGCCACTGATCTACTCGCTGATTTCTTATTCGCTCCGCCAGCAACACCCGACATTTTCAACGTTTTCCGTGTTGAAAACCGAAAAAAATGCGAAAAAATAAAAAGACGCGGTGTACGCACACAACACACACAAGGTGACGCGCAATTGCACACAAATGGGGGGTTTTTGGTTTTCAAGGGAAATTTTTGGTTTTCAAGGGAAAAAAAGGTGTTTTGGGGGGTTTTTGAGATGGAAAACATGAATTTTGACTTAATTTTCTATAGAAGTGTTCAAATTTTCGCTATAAATTTGGATTTTGGCTCAAAAAAACCCGATTTTTGCAGGGAACCTGCTCCGATATCGTAATCCGCGCCGAAGAAATTCAACGACTCAAAAAACGGCTCAACGAAATTTATGTGCATCACACGGGCGCGAGTTATGAGGAAATTGAACGAACTTTGGATCGTGATCGATTTTTGAGCGCTCAAGAAGCCTTGAAATTTGGATTGGTTGATAAAATTGAAACGCATACTGGAAGTATGCCAAGTGATTAATTAGGTAATTAATTATCGATTTTTTTCGCATTAGAGAAGACTCCTGAAAATATTTGTATTCTTATTTTATTGATTGAAAACCTGATGGCAATGAAGTTTCACCTTTTCCACGTGGCAAAAAAAATCAATAAGTTTTTCTGGACTACTGTAATTATTAGCGCGAAAATTAATTTTTCTCAAATTTCGCTAGTATTCAGGCAATTCGATTTGATAATTAACTCTATTTGAAGATTCTGTCCCAGAAAAAATAATCAACCAAGTTTTCAATTTTCTGAAATCTAGTTTTTTTCTATTGAAAAACATATATGAAATTTGAAAAACGAGTTGAGTTGTCAAAAAATCAACGAAGAATAGGGGATAGTAAATCTGCAAGAAAGAACACGAATTTGCCACGTCATAGCTAATTTCTATTACCGTATTTATGAAATTGTTAATTGTCTCAGGTTCAGTGAAAACATTTTTCGCAAAATAAAAATAGAAAAATGGAAAACTGATTGCTTTCGTAATAATTAAACACAGATATGTTTTCTCTGGATGATTTTTTTGAATTGAGGAACGAATTTGAATAAATATATAAAAAATGGAGGAAAATATCAGCAAAAAATCGAAAAATATAAAAATTAAACTGCTAACAATTGACCATGTATCCTGATTTTCACAAATTTCGGAACGCAAAAAAATCCGATAAATATAACACCGCATAAGATAAAGCATATAAATTGAGTTGCCGGAAATTGATATAAAATACAACCAATGAATAACGCGAATTTCGGGAATTTTGAAATTCAGAGATTTTGGGAAAAAATAATGCAGGTATTTTTGAAAGGACAAAATGAATATTAGAAAATTTTCGATTGGAATTATTATTTGATTGAATATATAGACAATTATGAGCAAAATGATGGGAAAATATTCGGATAGAGATTCTGAATCTGAATTATTTGAAAATTTAATAATTATTCCTATCCCTAAGATTAACATCATATATTGTGAAATAATTGTGATTTGATAGATATGATTTATAATTATAAAAAGTTCTGTTGATTGATTGATTTTTATTAAATATTTAAATATTGGGCAGATTATGAGAATAGTTATGCAATAAATTGTTATCAATGCTAAATGAGTGGAACTCAAGGATCGCGATAAAAATATATCAATTAAATTGTCACTTGAATTCATTTTTCAGTTTGGGACAAACCAGGCTTGAATAGAATCAGATGCTTTTAACAGGTGAAAGTTTGAAAAGAGATCAATGCTCAGAAAAAAAAAGATCTTTTCGGGGTAAAAATCATACAAAAACCAACAAAAAAAAATGCAAAATCTGAAATTTTTTTTTCAAAATTTTAGGGCTGATTCGCAAACGAAAAAAAAAGTTTTTTTAACATTGAAAGATCAATTCACGTCAAAATTAGTTTTTCGAGTTTTTCAGCCGAAAATGATGAAAAATTGATATTTTTCAAGCTTCTGAAGTAATTTCTGATGAAAATAAGCTTCGAGAACCCTATTTTGCTTAATTTTTTGAATTTTTTCGACGAAAAATCAGCAAATCCTTCTGGAAGGTCAATTTTTATCAGAAATTACTCCAGAAGCTTCGAAAAATATCGATTTGTCATCATTTTTGGCTGAAAAACTCGAAAAACTAATTTTTTTTTGATTTTTCGTGAAAGAAAAATGTTAAAAAAAAACATTTTTCAACATTTTTTTGTTCGCAAATCAGCCCTAAACCAACAAAAAAAAAATAATTTTTTGCTCTATTTTTTTGATCTACCGTGCAAATCTGAATTTTTTTTTTACAATTATTTTTTTCTCGCAAAAATTTGAACAGCTGCCAAATTTTTCGAATTTTTCTCACAAGTGACGTCACGATTTTTCGAAAAAATCCCTCGAAAAATAAAATTTGCTATTTTTTAATTATGAATTTTTTTTGTGCGTAGGCGATTTTTTGTTTTCGCTTCCAGAAAAAAAGAGGAAATGAGAAATTTTTGAAATTAAATTTTTCGCGCGCGAAAAAATATCTAATTTGTTGGTGTTTTTTCAGTTTTCATTTTTGACAAAAAAAACTACAAAATTGGGGCTAGTGAAAGGTGTTGACGCGTTTTTTGTAGATCCGGGGATTTAGAGGTTGCTGACGCGTTTCTAGTAGCTTGGGATTCTTACTGACGTAAATTTTGTAGCTCATAATATTGCTGGCGTGTTTTTGGTAGCTCGAAAGGATAAGAGATTGCTGATGCTTTTTCTGTAGCTCTTAATTTTGCTGACGCCTTTTTTGTAGCCTGGGATTTAGCTGACGTCTTTTTTGTAGCCCAGAACGTTGCTGGCGTGTTTATGGTAGCTTAGGATTTTTGCTGACGCTTTTTCTGTAGCTCCTAATCTTGCTGACGCATTTTTCTGTAGATTAAATGTTTGCTGACGTGTTTTTGGTAGCACAGGATTTAGCTGACGTGTTTTTTGTAGCCCAGAACGTTGCTGGCGTGTTTTTGGTGGCCTAGGATTTTCGCTGACACCTTTCTAGTAGCCCTCAATTTTTTGCTGACGTGTTTTCAGTAGCTCTTAAATTTGCTGACGCTTTTTCTGTAGATTAAATGTTTGCTGACGTGTTTTTGGTAGCTTGGGATTTTTGCTGACGCATTTTTTGTAGCTCTTAAATTTGCTGACGTGTTTTTTGTAGGTCAGAGATTGCTGACGTGTTTTTGGTAGCCTAGGATTCATGTTGACGTGTTTCTAGTAGCCCTCGATTTTTGCTGACGCTTTTTCTGTAGTTTAGGAGTTTTGCTGACGTGTTTTCTGTAGCTCATAATATTGCTGGCGTGTTTTTGGTAGCTCAAAAAGATCGGAGATTCCTGACGCTTTTTCAGTAGCCTAGAATTTTTGCTGACGCTTTTTCTGTAGCCTAGGATTTTTTGCTGGCGCTTTTTCTGTAGCTCTTAATTTTGCTGACGCATTTTTGTAGATCAAAAACTCACTTCTCCTTGTTCGCAACATCGCAATTTTAATTTCTAATTTTTTTTTGCTAGCGCCAGGAACTGGCCAATTTTCGCGCGCCTCTAAAATTAGCTGCGTATTTTTTTTCGCGCGCGTTTTCCTCTCCTAAAAATTCTTTTCCTTGTTGTTTTTTTTCCCCCAAAAAGCCTGCCTGGCTAGTGATAAAATGGTCCCCAGGGTGTCCAAAAATTCCACGCGTCGCAGTTTTTTTTGGCGCCAAAAATTGTGTGGCGCGCTTTTTTTTATCACGAAAAATTTGAATAGAAATCCAGTTTTCTTAAATTTTTTTACAAAAAAAAAGAAAAAATTTTTTTTTACAAAAAAAAATTTTTTTTTTTTCTAGTCTTCTCATAATCATCAGCTTAAGCTAATATGATATTTGTCGATTTTTTGGTATGCGCCTTTAATTTTGTCCTACTGTAGCTCTACCGTACCTCAAAGTGTTTGCAGATTGAAAGAATCATCGATTTTTGGGCGGTCGATGAGAATCGGAGCGAAAAATCGGACAGGCACATTTTTACGGATGACGAAATTGGCGGGATTATTATGGTGGGTTACTGTAGGGGGAGGGGGAGTACTGTAGGGGGAGAGGGGTACTGTAGATCAATCTTATGCGCGAAAAACTCAGGGTTACTGTAGGAAAACTAAAAAAATTCAGCGCTAGAAATCCAGGGTTTTGCACGATTCAAATACGATTACTGTAGGTCAAATTTATGCGCGAAAATCTCAGGGTTACTGTAGATTTTTGAGTCTTAGCACGAATCGGGTTACTGTAGATCAAGCTTTTTTAAAAATTTTCTGAAAAATTGCCACGTGGCGTTTTTTTTTTCAAAATAAAGTGCTTTTCTCAATTTTTTTCCAAAAAAAAAATCTGGGAAAATTCAATTTTCTCTCCCAAAATCCTTTAGAATTTAAATTTAAATTTAAATTCTCCTTTTTTTTTTGAAATTTTTCGAAAAAAACTCGAAAAAATCACATTTTTGTTCCACTTTCTCTGAAAAAAATGAATTTTTTTTCGACAAGAAAAAACTGGTTTTGGAACCTCCCAAAAAAAAAGGAATTTTTTAGTGATTCATTTTGTTTCGAAAATTATTTTGTAGTTAAAAAAAAGTTTTGAAATTCATTTTGCCGCCAAAAATTTTGAATTTGAATTTGAACTTTTGGCGCCAATAAGATCCCAATTTCGAAAAATTCAAATTTTCCCTGTGACGTCATATTCTGTCATGAGCTCGGATTTTAATTACTACTACTCCATATAGCAGCTCATTTTTCATTTTTTTTCATTCAAAAATAAAATTTTCTTCAAAAAAATTTTTTTTTTTTGGTGGTGAGAAATGAGCTTTTCTCCAAACTACTATATAATAGAAGAAAACCCACTCTTTTTTTCAAAAAAATTTTTTTTCGAAATTTTTTGTTCCAAGAAATTAGAGAGGTTTCAATTTCGCTTCAGAAAAGGAAATGGAACTTTTTTGGTGTTTTTCTAAATTTAAATTTAAATGTTGCATTTTTTGGCGCGAGAAATTTAGGACTACTGTAAAAATTTGAATTTTTGCCCGCCACGTGGATTTTCTGAAGTTCAGATTTTGTAGATCAAATTTTGGCGCCAAATTTTCTTTTATTCAAAACTAGAAGTTAGTGCCACGTGGATTTTTGATACCCAAAAATTCAAAAAAAAATTTAAAGTCATTTTTGTCAGATTATTGTAGCTCTTATTTAATTCTGAAAAATTCCCAGATTTTTTTTTCAAAAATTCAATTCTGCCGCCTAAACTTTGGAATACTGTAGATCAATTTCAGGCGCGAAATGTTTTTTTTTCAAAATTTTATTTTTCCCCCCGACTTCGCCTAACTTCCAATCCACGTGTCTCGATCACAAAATGACGTCATCACATGAAATTTTTTTTATTTTTGCGCGGCGCCCAAAAAATTTCTGTTCCAAACAACTATTATCTTCTTCTTTCTTCTTCATTTCTCATCTATTATTATCATATTTTTTTATGTGTAAAAAAATTTTTTCCCTTTTTATTTTTCAACCATTTTTTTCGCTCTGAAAATCTGAAAATTTCAGAATTTGAAAAATGTCGCGTCGAATATTTCAAAAACTTCAGCGGAGCATTTCACACGAAATGAGCTCCTATAGTTCGCTGAACAAATTGATACCGCCAAGCGAGAGTACGGTGGGTTACACAAAAATCACGTCAGCAATTTTTGATCTACAAAATTTGCGTCAGTCAAATTAGGGGTTTAATTTGACAGCTGCAAAATATGCGTCAGCAAAGCTAGAGCCTAGATTTTAGGCTACAAAATTCGCGTCAGCTAAAGTTGATCCCAGATTTCGAGCTACAAAATATGCGTCAGCAAAGCTATAGTCTAGATTTTGAGCTACAAAATTTGCGTCAGCTAGTAAACCTACAGAAAAGACGTCAGCAAAAGTTAAGCCTTGTTTTTGATCTACCAAGTTCGCTTCAGCATCTCAGGGCTACAAAAAAGACGCCAGCAAATCCTGAGCCCAGATTTTGATCTACCAGAAATGCGTCAGCTAAAGTTCAGCCCATATTTTGATCTACAAAATATGCGTCAGCTAGTAAACCTACAGAAAATGCGTCAGCTAATGTTGAACCCATATTTTGATCTACAGAAAATGCGTCAGCAAAAGTTAAGCCTTGTTTTTGATCTACCAAATTCGCTTCAGCATCTCAGGGCTACAAAAAAGACGCCAGCAAATCCTGAGCCCAGATTTCGATCTACCAGAAATGCGTCAGCCAAAGTTGAGCCCAGATTTTGATGTACAGAAAATGCGTCAGCATCTCAGGGCTACAGAAAAGACGTCAGCAAATCCTGAGCCCAGATTTTATTCTACCGAATTTGCGTCAGCAAGTATACCTACAGAAAATGCGTCAGCTAAAGTTAAATCCAGCTTTTGAGCTACCGAATTTGCGTCAGCAAAGTATACCTATTTTAAATACGTCAGCTAGACTTTAACCTACCAAATCCGTGTCAACCATATTTGGTAGATCAAAAAACATCTGCTGGCGCATTTCCGGTGCCCCAAAAAATCACGAGCTAAAAAAGAGTACAAAAAACAGATTAGTTATATTTTTTTGACTACATTTTTTGTATCTGAAAAATTTTCAGTTTTCTGAAATTTTCAGTTTTTTTCTCTGAAAAAAATGTACAGCCAAAGAATGTACAACCAGCGATTTTACGGTCCAAGAATGGCCACTCAAACGCAGGTTTTTGTGTCCTGCGAGACTGTAGTTAGGCTAAGAAGACCGGTGAGTATTACTGTAGCTAACTAGAGTCTAGTTTGATTCGGGGCGGGAAAAACAAAAATTTGAATTTTTTCAGAATGGCGCCACTGTTGAGGAGGGCAAACCGCACGTGACGTCATCGTTATTACGAGATACAGGTTAGTGAAAGGGACATAATTGGCTGCGTACGCATTAGATACTCAGCCAAAGAAAGAGAGATTTTTTGGCTGCGTATCTTGGGCATTAGATACTCAGCCAGTTCATTTAATTTGACTGCGTACCTCAACATTTGATACTCAGGTCAAAATCATCGTCCAACGCACTCATTTTCACCAAAATTCATCCGGGTCTTTTTCGCTTTTCTCATTTTTGCTCTTCTCATCTCAACCTTTGCCATTGCCACGTGGTATCATTGGAAAAACGCACGTAAGTACACGCGTCGCGGCTACCGTACCCTCAATATGTTACTGTTGCAGCCTGCACATCAAAATCGTGTGTGATGACGTCATCGCGAATTTTGCAAAATATCGATTGGCAAACGTCGCCTTGCGATGATTTCTATCAATTCTCGTGCGGAAATTGGATAAATCAAAGTGTGAATCTGAAATTTGACTCGTGGAATATGTTGTATGAGACGCAGACAAAAGCACACGATAAAATTGTGAATGCGATTGGAAAAAGTGAGCCGGGAGGGATTTTTTTTGGAATTTTTGAAAAATATTGATTTTGAGCCGAGTTCTGGAGCTCTCAGGATTAGGATTTTGTGAAAATTAGACTCAGAAGTTCGAGAGGAATCCAAAACTTTTCGAATTTTCGAAAAAGCTTTATTTTGAGCCGAGTTATGAGCTCTAGAAGGGCCTAAGCTTGAAATTCAAATTTTTTTAAAGCTCCTGAACTTTCTGAGCTTCTAACATTGCTCAGGATAAAGATTTTCTATAGATTCTGATTTATTCAATCTCCATAGGTCCAGAGGAATCCAAAACTTTTCGAATTTTCGAAAAATCTCAATTTTGAGCCGAGTTATGAGCTCTAGAAGTTCCTGAGCCTAATAAAATTTAAAAATACAAATTCCCCGCCATCTACCACCGCGCGGGGACACCATTTCCCTCTCTGCGTCTCTCATAATCACCTACTCTCTAGCCCTGATCATAACTTGGCTCAAAATCAATATTTTTGAAAAATTCGAAAACCACGGGATTCCCCAAATTTTCTTCTCTAACCTGAGCAATTACAGTAATCGACGAGACGTTTCCTGTGCCTTTAAATTCGGGCGAAAAAGCGACGGCCGTTTTGTTCAAGCAGTGCACGGATTTGGAGAAATTGCAGCAAATTGGCATTTCCACGTGGAAACGATTTGTTGATGTGGGTTTTTTGAAATTTGGCTGCGTACGTTAGATACTCAGCGTCAATTTAGCTGCGTACCTTGCACATTAGATACTCAGCCAAACAGATTTTTCCAGGAAATCGGCGGTTTTCTACCGGAATTAATTTCGGGATTCCAAACACGGTACATTTCGGATGACACTGAAATCGAAGATGTAATTTTGACTTCGTTCAACTACTCAGTTTTTGCACTTTTTTGGGCTGGAGTTGAAGTAAATGAGAGGAATTCCAGTGAATATATCATTTCGGTGGGTTTTTTGGGGATTGCTCATGTTATAGTTTTTGAATTTTTCGAAAATTTGGATTTTGAGCCAAGTTATGATCAGGGCTAGAGAGCACGGGATTTTGAGAGACGCAGAGAGATATGGTGTCCCCGCACGGTGGTAGATGGCGGGGAATTTGAAAATTTTGAAATTTTGAAACTTCTAGAGCTCATAACTTTGCTCAAAATTGAGATTTTCGAGAAATTCGAAAAGTTTTGGATTCTACTGGAACTCACAAGCTTGAAAATTCTCGAAATTTTGGAAAATCCTGATTTTGAGCAAAATTAGGAGCCTAAGATGTTTAGGAACTTAAAAAAATTCGAAATTGAAGCTTAGGAACTTCTAGAGCTCATAACTTTGCTCAAAATCAAAATTTTTCAGAAATTCGAAAAGTTTTGGATTCTACTGGAACTCCCAAGCTTGAAAATTTTAAGGTTTCAGAAAATCTTCATTTTTAGCAAAATTAGAAGCTCGGGAAGGTCAGGAACTTGAAAAAATGCGATTTTTCGAGTCTTCTGACTTCTAGAGCTTGTAACTTTGCTCAAAATTGAGATTTTTGAAAAATTCGAAAAGTTTTGGATTCCTCTGGAGCTCCTAAGCTTGAAAATTCTCGAAATTCTGGGAAATCCTGATTTTGAGCAAAATCAGGAGCTCAGGAACTTCAGGAGCTTTGAAAAATTAGAATTTGAAGCTTAGGAACTTCTAGAGCTCATAACTTGGCTCAAAATCAAGATTTTTCGAAAATTCGAAAAGATCTGAGCTCCCAAATTCAAAATCTTGAAATTCTTCAGATCTACGAGCAAATGCCGCTCCTCCTCCGCCCCGAACTCTACACCTCAAAAATCGAAGTGACACCCGAGAAAATCTTCAACCGAGATCCCGAACTTCCACAAGTTCTACCCGTAATCTACGAAATCGCTGAAGACATCGCAAAACTTTTGAATTTCGACGTGGAAAACGAGGATGTGAAAATGATGTTGGCGAATTTGATACATTTGGATTATGCGATTACGGTTTCTGGAATGACGGCTTATAAGAATCAGAAGGATCGATATGAGATTGTGACGATTAATGATTTGCAGAAAATTGCACCGGTGGTGAGTTTTTTAAAGTTCTGAGGGCTAGGAATCTTGTGGTTCTGGAATTTTTCAAAAATACTAATTTTGAGCCAAGTTATGAGCTCTAGAAGTTCCTGGGCTTGAAAATCGGATTTTTTCAAGTTCCTGAACTTCCTGAGCTCCTAATTTTGCTCAAAAATAAGATTTTCGAAGCCGTGAAAATTTTTTAAGCTTGGGAGTTCCAGCGAAATCCAAAACTTTTCCAATTTTTTGAAAATTCTGATTTTGAGCAAAGTTATGAGCTCTAGAATTTCCTAAGCTTGAAATTCGAATTTTTTCAAGTTCCTAAACTTCCTGAGCTCCTAATTTTGCTCAAAAAGAAGATTTTTGAAGCCTTAAAAATTTTTCAAGCTTGGGACTTCCAGCGGAATCCAAAACTTTTCGAATTTTTAAAAAATCTCAATTTTGAGCCAAGTTATGAGCTCTAGAAGTTACTGAGACTAAAAAAATTTAAAAATACAATTTTCCCGCCAACGACGAGAGAGTGCATGATTTTTAGAGACCATCTACCACCGTGCGGGGACACCATTTCTCTCTGCGTCTCTCAAAAACCTGTGTTCTCTAGTCCTGACTTTTTGAGCTCATAACTTGGCTCAAAATCAAGATTTTTGAAAAATTCGAAAACCATCAAAATTTTCCAGATAAATTGGCGCTATTTTCTGAGCACACTTCTCGGAACTCAACTAAAATCCCACGAACAAATCGCTCTGAAAACCGGCGTCGAATGGATCGCAAAATTGTCGAGAATCATTGAAAATCTCAAACGGACCCGCGAAGGCGTGGCAATTGTCAAAAACTATGTGAAACTCAAATTGATCTTCTTCCATTTGTCCTATGTTTCGCCAAAGACAAATGATGGTAGCACACTTTGGGTGAGTTTGCCACGTGGAAAATCGTGTTCCTCGTTAAATTTGGAGTTTTTTGATATAATTTGGAGTTTTTTGATAGTCTAGGGTTTTGAATTTTTCAATTTGGCGCCAAAAATCCACCAAACCTTATCAAGTTGGGTGTCAAAATGCCCCAAATTCGCTGAAAATTTCAAAATTTTTTCCAGAATGCCGTGCGAATTTACAGCGGTGATCCGAACAAACGAAAAGAGTTTTGTATTCTGAGATTATCTGGAATATTTCCACTATCACTTCCATCGATTCTGCGAAAACTTGATGGAATTTCGAAAAGTGATGAGAATAAGAAAATGGTTGAGGAAATGGCTGAAAATATTCGGGTGTCCTATAAAAATGTGCTGGAAAATGGCGAGACGCTGAAAGATGAGAAGACGAGGGATTTGGTGGTGCAGAAGGTGAGCTGGGGCTCATTTTGAGTCAAAATTCAAAAAAAAAAATAAAAATTTGAATATTTCAAAAAAATGGGGAGATTTCAATGGGGCGCGTTTGCTATTTTTGATCAATTTTGGGTGAAAAATGGACGTTTTTCATGATTTTCAGCTTATTTTAGGCCGAAATTCGAAATTTCCACATTTTTAAGCCTAAAATTCGTCAGAGTAAAAAAATAAAAATTTGAATATTTCAAAAAAATGGGGAGAGTTCAATGGAGCGCGTTTGCTATTTTTGATCAATTTCGGCTTGAAAATAAACATTTTTGATCATTTTCAGCGAAAATTCAAGTTTTCTAATTGATTTTCATTGAAATTCTCAATTTTGAACATTTTCAGACCTAAAATTCATCAAAATAAAAAAAATAAAAATTTGAATTTTTCACGAAAACGGGGAGATTTCAATTGAGCGTGTTTGGTATTTTGATTGAAAATAAACATTTTTCATGATTTTCAGCTCATTTTCAGCGAAAATTCAAGTTTTCGAATTGATTTTCATTAAAATTCTCAATTTTTGGCTATTTTCAGACCTTTTATTCATCAGAGTAAAAAAAAATAAAAATTTGAATTTTTCAAAAAAACGGCGAGAGTTCAATGGGGCGCGTTTGCTTTTTTTGGTTCAAAACGGGCATTTTTCATGATTTCCAGCTTATTTTCAGCACAAATTCAAGTTTTCTACCCGATTTTCAGCGAAAATTCTCAATTTCCACGAATTTAGACCTCTTATTCATCATACCCGAAAAAAAATAAAAATTTGAATTTTTCACAAAAACGGGGAGATTTCAATGGAGCGCGTTTGCTATTTTTGGTTAATTTTTGATTGAAAATGGGCATTTTTTATGATTTTCAGCTTATTTCAAGCCAAAATTCGAAATTTCCATGATTTTAGATCTAAAATTCATCATAACAAAAAAAATAAAAATTTGAATTTTTCACGAAAACGGGGAGTGTTCAATAGAGCGCGTTTGCTATTTTTATTCAATTTTGGGTATAAAACAGCCATTTTTCATGATTTTTGGGTCATTTTGCATGATTTTTCATGGAATTTCTTAAATTTTCACCAATTTTGCCGCCAAAAAGCACCAAATCCCCAAAAAATCCAAATTTTTGCAGATTTCCAACGCCACAATTCACATTGGCTACCCCGATAAAATGCTAGATGACAATGAGATGAACCGAGAAGCCCTGAGATTAGGCTCCGAATTTTTCTGGTCCATGGTTTTCGGCGCCTCCACCGTATACCGTGAAAAATTGAACCGGCTCAGAGAGCCCGTGCAAACCGGTGATTGGCTCGACACATTTCCAGCAATTTCACTTCCCGTCCATAATCATGAGAGAAATATGATACAAATTCCGTTTGATGCAATGCGATGGCCGTATGCGGATACTGAACAGATGGAGTGAGTTAGCGCAAGTTGTTGGGTGGGAAATTTGGAGCTTTTTGATATACAGATGTCTGGGGGTTTCTTTTGATGGCCTAGAAATCCAAAAAATTAATTTTTAAGCTCATTTTTAGCCAAAACTCAAGTTTTCTATGATTTCAGACCTGAAATACATCAAAACAAAAAAAAATGAAAATTTGAATTTTTCAAGAAAACGGGGAGTGTTCAATGGAGCGCGTTTGCAATTTCGGGGTTAAAATTGTCATTTTCAGGAATTTTGGTTGATTTTCAGCCAAAATTCAGGGTTTCTAGCTAATTTTCATCAAATTTCCAATTTTTGAACATTTTCAGACCTAAAATTCATCATAATAAAAAAAAATGAAATTTCAAATTTAAAAAAAAAACGGAGAGAGTTCAATAGAGCGCGTTTGCAATTTCGGGGTTAAAAATTGACATTTTTCAGGAATTTTGGGTTAGTTTCAGCCAAAATTCAAGTTTTCTATGATTTCAGAGCTAAAATTCATCAAAACAAAAAAAAATTAAAATTTGAATTTTTCAAGAAAACGGGGAGAGTTCAATGGAGCGCGTTTGCTATTTTTGGTTCAAAATGAGCATTTTTCATGGATTTTCGGATATTTTCTAGTCAAAATTCAAAGTTTCTATGATTTCAGAGCTAAAATTCATCATAACAAAAAAAATGAAAATTTGAATTTTTCAAGAAAACGGGGAAAGTTCAATGGAGCGCGTTTGCAATTTCGGGGTTAAAATTGACATTTTTCATGGATTTTTGGATATTTTCTAGTTAAAATTCAAAATTTGCATGATTTTAGACCAAACATTCATCATAACAAAAAAAAATAAAAATTCAAATTTTTCAAAGAAATGGGGAGAGTTCAACGGAGCGCGTTTGCTATTTTTCATGAATTTTGGTCAATTTTCAGCCAAAATTCAATCAAATTTTGTGAAACACAGATTAGTTTCAGCTAAACATCACGGGAAAACACATGGCCTAGAAATCCAAAACATTTTCCTCTTCCAGATTCGCAAATTACGCCGGTGTCGGTTCTCAAATCGGTCACGAACTCACCCACGGTTTCGACTCGATCGGCCGTCTCCACGGCCCAACCGGAAATCTCGGCCACACCTCCTGGTACACACCCGAATCCGCCCGCGCCATCCTCCAAAAAGAGCAATGCTTCATCAATCAATACGCGTCGCTAAGCGGTGGCCGCGCGGCAGACGCGGCAAACGGTCTCTACGAAAATGTGGCGGATCATGTGGGGTTGCGTGTGACGTATGAGGCGTGGCGCGCGGCGGTTTCCGCAGAGCGCCGCGCGGAGAAAATGGTCGGCGGGTTGGAGGAGATGACGCAAGATCAACTGTTTTTTGTCGCGTATGCGCAGGGTTGGTGTGCGTTGAAGGCGAATTTGGTGAGAGGTGTGCATATGGAGGAGAAGATACGGTAAGTTGCAATTTTGCGGCACGGTTTTGGGGGCGGGGGCGGGGCTTATGCAATTTTGCGGCATACTTTTACCCAAATTTTCATTCCAGAATCCTGGGAAGCCTGCAAAATTCTCCCGAATTCGCCGAAGCCTGGAAATGTCCCGCCGACTCCTTCATGAACCCCAAAACAAAGTGTAATTTCTGGTAACTTTGATTTTTTTACCTCTTTTTTTTCTTTTGTCCCCTAGTCATTTATTGATCTCTCTTCCCTCCCAAAAACATTCCGAAAATAAAAATTTTGTCCTGTTTTTTTTGGTCGTGTTTTATTTGAATTTGAAATTGATACGTTATCAGTTTCATATAAAAAATGTCTTTTTTCTCCAAGATTTCTCTGGCATTACTCATATTATACTTTTATTTTCCCCTAGTTTCCCCTATAAAATGCTATCTGGGAAGCATTATAAAATCCAAAAATTTCAACACTCAATATCTGGAGATTATCGATTGCCCAACTTCGCTCTATTGCTACAAGTAAGCGCGGGAATTTCAAAAAATTAAAAAAAAACATTTTTTTTTCTCAAGGAATTTCACCTACGCTCATGACAACTATTATGCAGCAAGTTATAGTTGCGGTGATATTTATTGCTATCAACCAAAATGCGAATATGACGGAGATTCGGGAACTTGTTGTTGTACCACTGATTTGTGCAATTCACGGGGTTTTTCAAGTGTTTTCCTGGTTTTCATTGTGATTTTGGGAGTTTTCAACAGATAAATAATTTAAAAATTTTTTTTCAAAAGCTTAAAATCGCTGAAAATTGTGGGAACTAAAGCGGATTTTTCTACATACAGTTAAAATTTCAATTTGGCTGCGTACCTCGAACATTAGATACTCAGTTAACGGTTCAAAAGCTTTAAAGTTTTCCAAAATTCGAAAAAAAAATAATTCGAGGGCCGAGGAAACGGTGTACTTCTCTCGGACAATATTTTATCATTCTTTTCAATTTGACTGCGTACCTTGAACATTAGATACTCAGTTAACACATTTTGATTCTACAAAAATCTTTATAGCACAGGACGAGGAAAAAAGCGGGGAAATCATTCTTCAGTATCCAGCATCTTTGATACAAGAATAGTAAATTCTCTCAGAGCATCTGCGAAAAAAAAAACAATAATTTTAAAGTCGGAGGATGAGCCCCGGGGAAAAACGAGCAACTTACGAAAGATCATTAATCTTTTGTGTGTCATGTCTATATTCAATACAATACTCATTGGATCCCTGGTTATTCGGCTCTCTATCATTCCAAATTCCAGCAATAATTGTCGAAAATTCAGACGAATAGTATTCGAAACCAGGACTATCCCAAACCAGGATCTAAAAAACAAAACGATACTCCGCATTTACACTAGGTCACTCACATTCTTTTTGGAGCACTCTCCATCTCCAGCCGCAACCGGGCAATTGCTCCGCTTACGGCCGCCAATCCAAAATCTCGTATTATCGCGGAGCACCTCAAATTCCTTGGCTTCGACAAAAGTTGAGAGTTGCCCACCGATTGCTCGGCATGCAGTTTGAGCTTCATCAAACTTTTTCTGAAATTTTTTTTTTTTTTTTGAAATTTTTTTTTTTTTGGAAATTTTTTTTTTTTTTTTTTTTGAAAAAAAAAATTTGGAGTAGCTGCAAACCTTTTGATTGAACACCTTATGACAAACAACTCTTCCGCTTCCTCTTTGATACGTTTTCCATTTTTCTGGACATTTTGTGCGTTGCTGGATTTGTTTGACAAAAATCGAGCAGAGAATTGGGGCGTCTTGACGATTGTAGACTTCGGTAGTCTCGTAATTGTCTCTGAAGAATTTCGAGGTTACTGTAGATCGCTGCGGGACCCGGAGAGCATCATTTTGACTCTAAACACGACAGAAAATCTAGTATGCACCTTTAAATCAAGCTACAGTATCCCATGCCCTTTTAAAGTACTCGAAATCGCTGCGAGACCTTTGAGAAGATTGCTTAGAGCGAGTATGCGCCTTTAAACCTAGCTACAGTGTTCCATGTTCCTTCGAAATCGCTGCGAGACCTTTGAGAACATCGCTTAGATCGAATATGCGCCTTTAAACCTAGCTACAGTATCCCATGTTCCTTTAAAATACTCTAAATCGCTTCGAGACCTTTGAGAAGATTGCTTACAGCGAGTATGAGCCTTTAAAGTACTGTAAATCGCTTCGAGAACTTTGAGAACCCCAGAAAAAACTCACACAAGTTCAGGATAGGTCAAAAAAGTTCCCACTCTATCGGCACAATCATCTCTATGGTATTTCGCCGAAAAACTATAAAAATTTGTTTGCATATTCGCCAACTTTGTATCCGTATAGCAATAAAACGGAGATGGATTATTATTCGAGTGATGCAAAATCGTCATGTGTCGTTGATAATGTTGGTAACCATTGGACCAATATGGAGTCTGATAACAACAAACATATGTGGCTGCGTAGGCCTTGTTGAATGCGGATTTGAGTTTTGCCGATTCTTTCAACAATTTCATATTGTCTTTGGTTGGATTGAATGCGTTGATTGGAATTCTTCCAGCAATTGCAGCCATCGATTTTTTGCATTGATTTATTGCAAATTCTTTATCGCTGTTTTGATTCCTGGAAAAATATAAGGACCTTCCTTTAAATCAAGCTCAAGTATCCCCATGTTCCTTTAAACAACAATAAATCGCTTCAAGACCTTTGAGAAAATCGCTTAGAGCGAGTATGCGCCTTTAAATCAAGCTACAGCATTCCATGCTCCTTTAAAGTACTCAAAATCGCTTCGAGACCTTCAGACTCAGATATATGCGCATTTAAACACCACCTCACCAATAATTATAAGCCCCAGAAGTGCGCCAAACAGTCAACTCCCCACGCATCAAAGTCGGCCAATAGAATTCGCCCAACTTGGCAGCCTTATACCCAAAACTGGTCGGCGTCTCTTCGGGACGATAGAAGCACATGGCTTGCGCACGATGATTCGTCGGCATTTTGATCAGCGAACTCGGCCCAATGTTGTAGAATGTCGACATTCCATAGACGATCGCGTAGTTATCGCTGTCACCGGCGAATTCGACGCGATCTTTGAAATCGTCGCGGGGCTGGATCCAGATTGAGCTCATCTCGTCGAAATATACTGAAAATATGTGATTCATTCAATTTGACGTTAAACACGTTTTTTTAACTTTAAATTTAACGTAAAAAACGTTTTTTAATCCACGTGGCCGCTGAAGCGGTAGATAGTGCCGCTGACGCGGAAGCTTGCGGTCTACACTCGCTTCGCTCGAGCGGCAGAGCCGCGAGTGTAGATCGCAAGCTTCCGCGTCAGCGGCCACGTGGATTGCTATGATGCGAAATATCATTACGTTTTTCACATCAGAGCAATCCAGGTGGCCGCTGAAGCGGAACATAGTGCCGCTGACGCGGAAGCTTGCGGCTTACACTCGCGGCTCTGCCACTCGAAATTTCGAGCGGAGCGAGTGTAGACCGCAAGCTTCCGCGTCAGCGGCACTATGTTCCGCTTCAGCGGCCACCTGGATTGCTATGATGCGAAATTTCAGCCAGTTTTCATGTCATAGCAATCCACGTGGCCGCTGAAGCGGAAGATAGTGCCGCTGAGGCGGAAGCTTGCGGTCTACACTCGCTCCGCTCGATTTTGCCACGTCATAACTCATGTTTTACAGTTTTTGACAACAAAATCGTGAAGAGCTGCTCGAAAACTACGAATATTCCATTACGAACGTTTTTTAACGTTAAAAAACCAAAAAAGTGATTCACGAATCGTATTTTTATTCTTTTTTCACCATTTTCTCAACATAATTGTATAAAGTGAAGCTAAAACGCACAAAAATAGTAATTCCAGACTTTCTAATCAACCTAGAAGACAAATCAAGCCTTCAAAATCAAATTATTGATTTATTGGGAGGTGATTGTCTAAAATACAATCACCTAAAAGACAATCACCTCCCAAAAAATCAATAATTTGATTTTGAAAGCTTGATTTGTCTTTCAGGCTGATTAGAAAGTCTTGAAATCGAATTTCTGTGCGTTTTAGCTTCACTTTATTCAGTTGTATTGAGAAAATGGTGAAAAATGAATGAAAATACGGTTCGTAAATCACTTTTTCGGGTTTTTTAACGTTAAAAAACGTTCGTAATGGAATATTCGTAGTTTTCGAGCAGCTCTTCACGATTTTGTTGTCAAAAACTGTAAAACATGAGTTATGACGTGGCAAAATCGAGCGGAGCGAGTGTAGACCGCAAGCTTCCGCCTCAGCGGCACTATCTACCGCTTCAGCGGCCACGTGGGACATTTTCTCGTTTTTGTAACGTTAAAAACGTTAAAAACGTTGAAGAACGTTAAAAAACGTTGAATTTGACGTTAAAAACACTGCATAAAAGTCCATCTGCTCACATTCAAACCATCGAATCAAATCCTCATCAAACAAATCAACAATCTCACTACCAACTTCTTCACCACTCATTTCCAGATGCGTTTTTTCAGCCGCGCACATTTGTTGCGCATCCGAATAATGCACGCGTTTCGCCGACATGATGCGATAGCAATGTCCATTGATTTGTGTGTAGTCTGGTCGACACGTGTACACATTTTCGTAGGTGCATTCGGGTTTGTTGACATCGACGATTTCCGATTTTCTCACTGGATACGGCGCGAGATTTTTGCACAATTGCTCAACTTCTTCCTGCAAAAAAACTAGGTATAATTTGCCTGCGTACTTGACTGAGTATTAAATGTCACCTGTGTAGTCGTGACTCTCCATTTGACTTTGCACGTCAAACCATCCAAATCGCCACCTCTAGTCTCAAGCCCAGCCGTTTTGCCACAAAATCTCAAAAAGCTTTCGTCACGAATATCCAACTGGAAAGTGCGTGCAAAAAGCAAGAATAATAGGGCGTGTTTGAAGAGCCCCATTCAAGAAAAACTGATTTTTCGGGGTCTTCAACTAGTTTAAATAGTCACTTGCCACGTGGCAGGACATCACGGAACGCGGGAAAAATCATTTTTTCAAATTTCATTTTTTAAAGCTCATTAATATGAGCAATAAAGTACCTTTAAAAGAAAGAAAACGAAAAAACACACAAATTTTTTTGAAAATGCGATATTTATCAATGGGGCGCACTTCCATCTTTACTTTTATTTTCTTGTTTTTTTTTTCGCAAAATTTCTTGCATTCACCTATTTTTTGTTGTTTTTTCATGAATTTGAATGAAAATTGTTGTTGAATTGAATATTTTATGGAAAAATTTACAGGAGAAACGTCAGAGAAATGGTGGAAAGGAGAATTTGTGCATTTTGAGGAAAACTGGAGGAAATGTGAGTTTTTTTTCAAAAAAAAAGATTTTGAAAAAAATAGCTATAACATGAGCAATGTTTTCTAAAAGATCATTTGAACTTAAAATAAGGAGTTTAACCTGAGCAATCTGTATTAATGCTTTTTTGAGCTGAAAATCAAGATTTTTTTGCTCAAAAAAGAAAAAAAAGGATTGCTCATTTTATTAAATAAATAATTATTGAATTTGAAAAGAAAATGAAGAAATTCATAGCTGAATTATGAAGTATCAACAATTTTATTCAAAACTGAATATTTTCAATTATGCCTTATAGTCAATATAGTCATGAATGAGATATCCAAACTCGGTTCCATTTTGTTTTCTGAGCTTATAATCTACTTCTCTTCCATCTGTCATATTTCGAAAAACACCAATACGTGAATCCGTTTGAGACGGTTCCTCAAATCCGATTTTGGGAATATCACTCGGACCAACACCATTGAACAGAATAAAAGTTCCATTTTTCAAGCAATCGATAATCTCCTGTTTATCTCTTGGAGCTATTTTTGCAATCCAAAATTTTGGATGTTCATGGATGTATTTCGCAAGACCGTCGAAGTTCTTAGCATCGATCAGGGATCTGATCTTGGCTTCGAAGTTTTTGACAAGAACTTGAAGATCTTCGCAATTCGAGAAGGCGATGATGGTGAGAAAAAGAGGAACAAGGAACTTCATAGCTGAATTCTGATCCTTCTGCCAAGTTCCCCTGATGTTTTATAGTATTCTGAAAATATGTGGGAAGATTCGATTAATCGAATCAAATCATCCCACACATTCTAGCTCAATATAAAAGAAATTCTACAGTTCAGAAACAATATCAGAATTCAGCTATGAAGTTCCTTGTTCCTCTCCTTTTTCTTCTCACTATCATCGCCTTTTCAAATTGCGAAACCCCCGCGGAGATCGTCAAAAACTTCGAAGCCAAAATCATCTCCATCCTCGCTGCAAAAAATTTCGATGATTTCGAGAAATACGTTGATATGGCTATTGAATTAACTACCAATGAAACGAACAGAAGAACAATTGGGATTCGAAGGGAAGATCTTATCGGTGGCTTGAAAAATGGGACTTTCACTTTGTTCAAGGGAATTGGTCCAAATGATGTTCCAAAAATCAAAAACTATGATCACATAATTGAAACATATCGGAATTTTACAAATGGACGAAAATTGAGATATAGGATTGATAAGACAACGTCTAATGATCTTGGATACATAATTACAATATATTACGATGTTAACGTATAATTTGGGTTCATTTTTTGATAAATGTCGTTATTTCATTGACAGGAATTCAGAAAATATTGAGTTTTGAAGCTATTATTGAATTTTAGAAGGACACGATTTGATTAAAATTGTTTTTTGATTTTTTTGAACTCGGAACTTTTTCGGCTAGAGCCCCGCAAAAAAATCCATCCATCATCTTACATTAATTTTTATGATTGCTCATCTTAAAGAGATATTTGAATAATTATTGGAAAATCAATTTATCAACACCAACCCCTAACACCCAAAAAAAAAATCTACAGTACACCTGATATAGAACTCTCAGAATCAAACGATTGCTTAGATTAAACATGATTTATTTGAAGATTAGTTAACTCCTCAGAACTTAGCAGAACTTTTGTAGTCAAAATAATGATTCATAAGATAGCCAAACTCGGTTCCGTTTTGTTTTTCGATCAAGTAATTGACGTGTCTTCCTCCTGTCAAATTTCGATCAACATAAATTAGACTGTTTTCTTCATATGCTTTGATTTCTGGAATATCTTTGGGACCAACTCCATTGAACATCACAAATGTTCCATTTTTCGAATAATTGATGAAATCTTGTTTTGGACCTCCTTGAATTTCATTTACTCTGAATTTCATATGATCTGCAAGATACTTCGAAAGACCATCGAAGTTTTTAGCATCGATCAGGGATCTGATCTTGGCTTCGAAGTTTTTGACAAGAACTTGAAGATCTTCACAATTCGAGAAGGCGATGATGGTGAGAAGGAGAAGAACAAGGAACTTCATGACTGAATTTTGATTTTTCCCTGAAGTTCCCTGATGTTTTATAGTATTTGCGAAAATATGTGGGAAGATTCGATTAAACAAATCAAATCATCCCACACATTCTAGCTCAATATAAAATGAATTCTACAGTTCAGAAACAATATCAGAATTCAGCTATGAAGTTCCTTGTTCTCCTCCTTCTCACAATCATCGCCTTCTCGAATTGCGACAACTATGACGATCTTAAAGTTCTTGTCAAAAACTTCGAAGCCAAGATCCAATCTTTGTTGGCTGCCAAAAACTTCGATGGTCTTTCGAAGTATCTTGAAGATCATATGAATTTCAGCGTAAATGAAGTGGAAGGAGGTCAAAAACAAGATTTCATCAATTGTTTGAAAAATGGAACATTTGTTATGTTCGATGGAGTTGCTCCCAAAGATATTCCAGAAATCGAAGCATATGAAGAAAACAGTCAAATTAATGTTTATCGAGGTTTTCCAGGAAAAAGATACGTCGATTACTTGATCGAAAAACAAAACGGAACCGAGTTCGGCTATCTCTTAATTCATTATTTTGACTACAAAAGTTCTGCTAAGTTCTGAGAAGTTAACTAATCTTCAGATAAATCATGTTTAATATGAGCAATCGCTTGATTCTAAGAATACTATATCAGGTATACTGTAGATTTTTTTTTGGGTGTTAGGAGTTGGTGTTTACACATTTTTTTAGGTGACTGTGTACAGAGGAAAATTATTTTCCAATATCTTGTCATAATTACTTTTTTTGCGGCATGGTTTTTGAAAAACCATGCCGCAAAACTGCAAAAAGTGGGCGGAGCTTGAATTTGTCTATACTTAAATTAGAGCCCTTCAAAAACCATGCCGCAAAATTGCGAAAAAGTGGGGCGGAGCCTAGGCTTGTGGGGTATCAAATTAAAGCTCTTAACATGAGCAATCCCGTTTCAAAACAAAAATTCGATGATCGAATAAAATAATCTTGCTGTTTTTCTATATAAATCACATCAAATGGTTCAAAAAACATCGAAAAATCATGAAATTTCTCCTTTTTTTTCTTCTTCTCACCATAATTGCATTCTCAAATTGCGGAAAGTTTGATGATATGAGAGCTATTGTCAAAAACTTGCGACTCAAGATCAATTCGTTGGTGGCAGCCAAAGACTTTGATGGACTTTCGAAATATCTTGCAGATAATTTCAGTTTCACAGTCATCAAAATTGACGGAAAATCGAAAAAAGATTTCATCGCATATTTGAAAAATGGGACTTTTGAGATGTCCAATTTATTCGGTCGAAACGAGGTTACAAGCATCCACAAAAATAATGTTGGGTTTGGCGTAATTAATGGGAATATCAGTTCGAATTATCTGCTTGTTGAAGCAAATCGAACCGAGTTTGGATATCTTATGGCAACTTATAATGCCTATAAGCGACAAGGTTGATTTTATTTTTTTTTTCGAATAAAAGTTTTAGATTTTCAATATAGTCTCATATTTTTCGCCTCAAAATTTGGAGCATTTTGAGGTATATAAGTCCTAGGTTTGCTACAGGGAGACCTGAGAAAATCGATAAAACACAATCCACATGTGCTTGTTTGGTGCAGCTGGTTAGCCTAAATTTTACCAGGTGAGAGACCAGGGTTCGAGCCCGCTACCAGATTATTTTTTAGTTGATATACTGTTCCAAACCAGAATTTTACGCTGATCACAATGGTGATATTGAAAATATTCAAATTTCTCTAGAAACTTGAGAATCCATTTTTGTGCCCTGCAACTACTCACATCATCTTCGCCTCAAAATTTGGAGCATTTTGAGGTATATAAGTCCTAGGTTTGCTCCAGGGAGACCTGAGAAAATCGAAAAAACGTGAGCCACCTGGCAGCCAACATTTGGTGCAGCTGGTTAGCCTATAAATCACCAGGTGAGCAACCAGGGTTCGACCCCGCTACCAGATTATTTTTTAATTGATATATTTTTCTTGTGTAGAATTTTGCGCTGAGCAAGATGCTCTGATTTTCAAACTATGAAATTTCCTCCAAAAAATATTTGCCCAACCCAAAAAAGTGCAATTTCTCTCTCTCTCTCTGCCTCGCTTATCAAAGTTTTAATAGGTTTATCGGCTCCAATACGACAGGTGTTCAAAAATTTTTTGAACAATTTTTTCGACTTCTTTTTTTTTACGTTTTTTTTTGTTGGAAAAATGTCAGATGATTCGCATTTTTCGAGAGGTAAAATTGAACTTTTTTTTGAAATTCGAAAAAAATTTCTCAAATTTCAGTGCGTAAAAATTTGCAAATCGGGGAGGATTTTAAATTGGCCTACGAGTTACAAGAAAGGGAATTTGGGCAGTAAGTTTTCAGAAATTTTCGAAAAAAAAATCCACGTGTCAAAATCCTCTAGCCACTACAAAAACAATCGCGAAACAAATGGTCGATTAGTCAGCGATTTCAAAAAAAGTTTAGAAGAGCAAAAGCATTTTGCGGAGCCCTCGAATTCCGGAGCAAATTCGAGTCGCGAAGAAGAGGATCTGAAATTGGCGCTGAAAATTCAGGAAAATTTGGATCGCGAAGAATTGTTGAAAATTGAGCAGATGAAGGAGGATCAGAGATTGGCGTGGAATTTGGCGACGAATTTCGGGTTGGCTCAGAATAATCCGTTTTTACATGATGTGCAAGAGTTTTATGAGAGGAGAAAATGAAGAATTAGCATTGCTCATGTTTAAAGTTTATAAAAAAAATATAGCTCATTTTAAATAGCACCACAATAATCAGCGCGAAATTCTGCACCGAAACAATATATCAATCAAAAAATTGCAGGTAGCGGGGGTCGAACCCTGGTCTCTCACCTGGTAATCTACAGGCTAACCAGCTGCACCAAATGTTGGCTGCCAGGTGGATTGTTTTTTTTCGATTTTCTCAAGTCTCCCTGGAGCAAACCTAGGACTTATATACCTCAAAATGCTCCAAATTTCAAGGCGAAGAAGATAAGAGTAGCTGCAGAGTACAAAAATGGATTCTTAAGTTTCTAGGCAAATTCGAATATTTTGACTATCACATTGCCACGTGTTTTTGATTTTTTTGATTTTCTGAAGTATTCGTGGAGCAAACCTATGACTTATATACCTCAAAATGCTCCAAATTTTGAGGCGAACATTATGGGAATATTTTCAAGTTAATTACTGCAGTTCATTATAGTTTTATCCATGAAAATGTGTGGAAAAATATGGAGGTTATCGCTTGGCTAATTTTTGCTCAGATTAAAGCTTTTCTAGAAATTTAGATTGGGGTTAGATCTCACAATGAGCAATCTAATGGTTTTCAAAATTTTGGAACATCTTTAAAATGAGTCATAGAAATTACTAATATGAGTAATGTTTTTTTACCATAAGCAATTCTACTTATCAAACTAGAGAGACTCTTCTACCTCTGAAAAAATCACAAATCAAATCTTCATTAGTCAGATGAAAGTCTCAAACCAAAAGGAAATCATTTCTTGACCTAATGTTTTAAGAGTGAAATTAAATTATATTTATATTCTCAATATCATAATAATCATAGAGAAGATATCCGAACTCAGCTTCTTTATTCGGATAAAGACCATATTGAAGTAATCTACCATTTGTTAAATTTCGAGAAACAATATGTATATGATGTAGGAACAGTCGGAATTGTGGAATATCGTTTGGACCAACTCCATTGAACAAAGTAAAAGTTCCATTTTTCAAATATCGAATAAAATCGTCTTTTCCACCATCCAAATCACCAACTATGAAATAATAAAAAGTCTCATTGATGTATGTTGAAAGAGCATCGAAGTTTTTAGCAGCCAACAATGATTGGATCTTGGCTTCGAAGTTTTTGGCAACAACTTGAAGATCTTGACAATTGGAGAAGGCAATGATGGTGAGAAGGAGGAGAACAAGGAACTTCATGACTGAATTCTGATTTTCCCTGGAGTTCCCCTGATGTTTTATAGTATTGCGAAAATATGTGGGAAGATTCGATTAATCAAATCAAATCATATTTATTCATTTTCGAATAAAATTGATTTGATTTAAATTTTTGTATCAAAAATTGAAAGTATTCAAAGTTCGCTAGAAACTTGAGAATTCATTTTTGTGCTCTGCAACTACTCTTATCTTCTTTGTCTTGAAATTTGGAGCATTTTGAGGTACATAAGTCCAAGGTTTGCTACAGGGAGACTTGAGAAAATTAAAGAAAACCAGAACCACCTGTTCTTGTTTGGCGCAGCTGGTTAGCCTATATTTTACCACGTGAGAGATCAGGGTTCGACCCCCGCTGCCAGATTATTTTTTAATTGATATATTTTTCTAAACCAGAATTTCACGCTGATCACGATGCTCTAATTTTCAAGGCCTGAAAATTCACGTGACCCATTTTCGCTCAAAAAATGTGCCACCTCCTCAAAAATCCGTCATTTTTGAATTAAAAAAATATGAAAACATCCCTATTGCTCATATTAATAATAATAAAGCTTATCAATGCACAAAACTATGCTCAAAATTGCATCAAAAAATTTGAAAATGAGAAAAGTTCGCTGGATTTTCAAAGTTTTCCCAACGAGACCATTTATTATAAATTATACGATTCAAAAAATGGAAAATCTTCGAATTTTATGAGTTTTGGCTCGCCAATTCTTGGAATTGTTGAAAATTATGTGAATAAGAAATTCGAGAGAAAATTGGAGGCGGGAATTTCGGAGAAGAAGCCGAAAAAAAAAGATGAGAAAAAAAAGTGGCGCCAGATTTTTGGTGAAACTTTTATGGGTGAAGCTATGTTGGCGGATGAGAGATTCGAGTGGATTTGTGAGTTTTTGGGGAGCAAAATGAGTCTAAATACAGTGGGGTTTGTGCAAGTGCGCTCCAATGAGAATTTGCTCAACCTAGGCTTGTTTAGGCTCATTTTGAAGCTCTCAAGATTTTCTACAAAATGAGCCCAAGATGAGCATGTGCGCTCCAATGAGAAGCCTTCAAAATTCTCTACAAAATGAGCCTAAATTTTACAAGTGCGCTCTATTGATAATCTTGAAATTTCATCAGAAAAACAAGGTTGTCTTCAGAGCGCATTTGCTCCTGAAAAGTCTACAGTAACCCAGGCTTGTTTGGGCTCATTTTGAAGCTCTCAAAATTTTCTACAAAGTGAATCTAGGATATGCATGTGCGCTCCAATGAGAAGCCTTCAAAATTCTCTACAAAATGAGCCTAGATTTTACAAGTGCGCTCCAATGAGAATATCGATTTTTCAACTAACAATTAGGTTATCATTAGAGCGCATTTATTCTCCAATATTCTACAGTAACCCAGGCATGTTTGGGCTCGTTTTGAAGCTTTTGAAAATCTCCAAAAGTTACCCTAACTCTTCCAGGCCCTGCCAATTTCTATCAATCGGAATTCAACGAAACCCTGAACCTCTCCCAAGTTTCAAAAGACAAAAAGGCGCGACGTTACCGGGACCGCGAAATGCCCGTGAATCACAATTATTTCGTGAATATGCGACTTAGCGCAAGTCTCAAAGTCTATGCTGGATACGGTGCAATTGTGGTGCATTCGGTGGATTTGAATGGAAAGACACTGGAAATTGTGCAAGACACCTCGTTTGATATGTCGATTTTGGCTTGTGGGTTTTTGCGGGGGCTCTTTTGAGCTTAGCTCGAGCTCAAGAGCTTGAAATTCTCTACAAAATGAACCCAAACATGCCTAGATTTCGCAAGTGCGCTCCAATGAGAATATCGATTTTTCCAGAGCGCAGTTGCTTTTCCATAGACAAAATTAGGCTCATTTTGAAGCTCTTGAAATTCTCTACAAAATGAGCCTAGATTTGGCAAGTGCGCCCCACTGAGAATATCGAATTTTCCAGAGCGCAATTGCTTTTCCATAGACAAAATTAGGCTCATTTTGAAGCCCTTCAAATTCTCTACAAAATGAGCCTAGATTTTGCAAGTGCGCTCTAATGAGAATATCGATTTTTCCAGAGCGCAGTTGCCTTTCCATAGGCAAAATTGAGCTTATTTTGTAGCCCTTGAAATTCTCTACAAAATGAGCCCAAACATGCCCAGATTTCGCAAGTGCGCTCTAATGAGAATATCGATTTTTCCAGAGCGCACTTGCTTTTCCCTAGACAAAATTAGGCTCATTTTGAAGCCCTTCGAATTCTCTACAAAATAAGCCTAGATTTGGCAAGTGCGCTCCAATGAGAATATCGATTTTTCCAGAGCGCACTTGCTTTTCCATAGGAAAAATTGGGTTCATTTTGTAGCTCTTTGAATTCTCTACAAAATGTGCCTAGATTTCGCAAGTGCGCTCTATTGATAATATCGATTTTTCCAGAGCGCAGTTGCTTTTCAATAGACAAAATTAGGTTCATTTTGAAGCTCTTAAAATTCTCTACAAAATGAGCCTAGATTTTGCAAGTGCGCTCTAATGAGAATATTGATTTTCTAGACGAATAGTGTTTTGTCTTTAGAGCGCATTTGCTCCTGAAAAGTCTACAGTAACCTAGGCATGTTTGGGCTCATTTTGAAGCTCTTGAAATTCTCTACAAAATGAGCCCAAACATGCCCAGATTTCGCAAGTGCGCTCTAATGATAATATCGATTTTTCCAGAGCGCACTTGCTTTTCCATAGGCAAAATTGGGCTCATTTTGTAGCTCTTGAAATTATCTACAAAATGAGCCTAGATTTTGCAAGTGCGCTCTAATGATAATATCGATTTTTCAGCCGAAAGTCTTCCCTTTGTTCAAATCACAAACAACTACGGTAAAGGATATATTAACATCGATTTACAGGTAAGAACTAATTTTTCCCCCAAAAATAAAAAAAATCTGAAATTTTCAGTATAACCCATCGAATAATTTTCATCTACGTTCAATTCTCCATGGTGGAAACGATAAAAGTGTCAATATTAAAATAAAAAATCACGGTGGATCTGGGGATAAGTTCGAACATTTTGACATTTCCAACCCGCCACCGAATCCCAAATATAAAGAATCTCCGAAATCTGGCGAGGAATCGGAAAAAAAGAGCACGAAAAAATCGAAATCGCTGATTCTGAGCCGCAATGATATTTTTGTATATATTGGGCTGGTCTGCTTCATCTTTTCTTTGGTTTTTCTGATTTTGCCGTTTTTCGTGAGGAAAAACAATGATTTTTATCTTCTTGAACATTATGATTATTATCAAGATTGTGATGAATTGCAGTGAAAATAAATCGTTTTGAATAGCACCAGGGTGATCAGCGTGAAATTCTGCACCAGAAACATATATCAAACAAAAAATCGCAGGTAGCGGGGGTCGAACCCTGGTTGCTCACCTGGTAATCTACAGGCTAACCAGCTGCACCAAATGTTGACTGCCAGGTGGCTCACGTTTTTTCGATTTTCTCAGGTCTCCCTGGAGCAAACCTAAGACTTATATACCTCAAAATGCTCCAATTTTCGAGGCGAAAAAGATGAGAATATTTTCAAGGCAAATCAAAGAGCTCTCAAATTCCTAGTCAAATTTGAATATTTTAACTATCATCATTGTGATCAGCGTGAAATTCTGCACCAGAAACATATATCAATCAAAAAATTGCAGGTAGCGGGGGTCGAACCCTGGTTGCTCACTTGGTAATCTACAGGCTAACCAGCTGCACCATATTTGAACTGCCAGGTGGCTCACGTTTTTTCGATTTTCTCAGGTCTCCCTGGAGCAAACCTATGACTTATATACCTCAAAATGCTCCAAATTTCAAGGCGAACAAGATGAGAATATTTTCAAGTTATCTCAATACATTCTGAGGTTTCCAGGGTAATTCGAAAGTTTTCGAAACCTATATTTGTCCACCTATTGTTGTTTTTCGCGCAGTGTTGTCTCATATGACTTTGATGATAAAACAGTACATGTTTTCTTTTTTGGCCGCGCAGCCCTCCTCCCCAAAAATGAGAAAGACGAACTTGTTTTTTTGAACTATAAATAAGAAAAAAGTACGCCACCTTATGTTTTCCAGTCTTTTTTCAATTTATTTTTGTATGAGAAAAGAAGAATAAATGATGGCCTTTTTGTAGTTAGTTGATTGTCAAATTTATTTTTCAAGGGGGTTTTTTGCTGACTTTTTTTTCTAAATGGGGTCTAGTTTGACGAGAAATCGGTTTCAGTTTGTTCCAAGTTTGGAGAAATTGTGTTTTGAAGTTTTAGGGTACGGGAAACGCGTCAGCAAATTTTGGAGCTACCAGAATTGCGTCAGCAAAAATAGAGTTCTAGATTTAGGTGATCAAATTCTTGCAAGCAGAAGTTAAGCTACCAAAAATGCGCCAGCAAATTTTGGAGCTACTCAAAATGCGTCAGTAAATCCCACAGTCCAAGTTTGATCTATTAAAAAAGCGCCAGTGAATTGGAGCTACCAGATTTGCGTCAGTAAACCCTAGCGTCTAAATCTGATCTACCAAAAATGCGTCAGCAACTTGTGATCTATCAAAAAAGCGTCAGTAAACCCTAGCGTCTAAATTTGAGCTACCAAAAAAGCGTCAATCAACCCCAGCAACCAAAAAAGCGCCAGCAACTTGTGATCTACCAATTCTTGACCATTCCTCTTCTTTTGATACAAAAAATTCGTGATCTACCAAAAAACCGCAAAATTTATAGTTTTTTTTATCAAGAAGGTCAAATTCTGTGATTTTTTCCCCCGAAGAACACAAATTTTTAGTTTTTGGTACAAAAATCTCTTTTTTTTGGTCTCTGAAAATCTCATTATTACTACAAACACATATCACTTTCTCCCCAGATTTCTCCTCCTTTTTTATTTATTTATCTATTTTTTGGGGGCTTTTTCCTGTCACGGTGTGTTGTTTTTTGTGTTATGATCCTTTAAATTTTTTGAAAATTCAAAAAACCCGCGCGCATGGTTAGATAGCTCAGTAGGTAGCAGATGTGCCTAGCGATCTCAAGGGGTGGGTTCGAGTTCCCCTAGGCGCGGAGTTTTTTTTTTTGAAAATTCAAAAAACCCGCGTGCATGGTTAGATAGCTCAGCGGCTAACACATCTGCGTAGCGATCTCAAGACCTCAGTTCAAATCCACATGGGAGCTAAAATTGTTTTTGGCGCCAAAAATCACCCTGTAGATCAAAAATCACTCACATTTTTTACTATATTTATTTTTATTTACAACTTTCTCTTCATTTTTTTTTGTTGTGTGTTCTTTTTTCGGATGATAAGATTAGCCGAAATATTTTTGTGATGATAGGAAAAAAGTACATGACTACAAAAATCAGGGACTTTTTTGGGAGAAGATTTTTGATCTACAGGGGGATTTTTGAAGATCTACAGTACCCCAGGCTCATTTTTACAGGCATGATATCCTACGTGCTGGGCAATTACCCAAAATCCACCCTAATCCTGGTGCTGCTATTTTTGGCGCCACTTTTATCCTACTTCTTGATCTACCCGCTGGAAATCGAGTGTGACGTGCGACGTGGATTTGCCAACAAAAATGGGCGGGCTGTGAAGGAGTTGGCGGTGAGATCAAAGGGGAATTTTGGGCGGGAAAATTTTGAAATTCAAATTTTTCGCGCAAAAAATCAGGAATTTTGAATTTCAAACTTTTGAATTCAAAATTCAAATGTTCCCGCCAAAATAATCGAACTTTTAAATTCAAAATTTTTGGCGGGAACATTTGAAATTTAAATTTTGGCGCCAACAGTTCAAAATGTTTGAAATTCGGATTTTTGGCGCGAATTTTTTGAATTCAAATTTTCGAGCCAAAAAGCTGAAATTTCGGCTCTAAAAATTGAACTGTGAATTTTTGGAGCGAAAATTTTGAAATTCAAATTTTCGCGCCAAAAATCCCGAATTCAAATTTTCTTTCAGAGATTCTCCAACTTCTACAATATCAGCGTGGGTGGTCTAGAAATCTGGGGAGTTTTGGTGCGAAACAAAACCCCCGATTCAAATCTCGAAATTTCGCGCCAAGTTTTGGATGAAGTAGATCGACTTCACAAATTTGTATGGAACTATGAGACGGATTTCAAGGGACATACAGTAAGATTTGAGGATGTGGCGGGGACGGATATTAATTATATTTTTAATTATTATAGGGTAAGTTAGCCTAACTTATTTTTGGAACCCTGAAAATCCTTTTTTTCAGAAACTTTTGGATTTCGAATGGTTATCTGAAGTTAACCTAACTTGGCCGATTGCCAACGCTTTTGGAAATGAATTTTATTTGGGAAGCCAGTTTTTTGGTGTTAATGAGGGATTGGAAGTTGAGGTAAGTTGTGGAATGCTGAAAATCGCTGAAAACTAAAGTTCCCAGCATTTTCAGCACAAAATTCTGATCTAGAAAAGTTTTGGGAGCATTATTCAGCACTAAAATTGATTCTAGACTGAAATTTCGTGCTGTAAACGCTGGAACTACTGAAAATCGCGAGAAACCGTGATTTCCAGCATTTTCAGCACAAAATTCTGATCTAGAAAACATTTTGGGACCTCGGAAAGTCTTATGGAAACGTTCAGAACCATTATTCAGCACTAAAATTGATTCTAGACTGAAATTTCGTGCTGGAAACGCTGGAAACGCTGGAAATCGCTGAAAACAGATATTTCCAGCATTTCCAGCACGAAATTCTGACTTAGAAACGTCGAAAAAACTTCCAAATTCAACAAAAACCATATTTAGATTCAAAAGATCACAAATTCTTCCCCCACTCCCAAATTTCCAGCCGCCCACCCCAATGCGCACCGCCAAATTCATCGCTCTCTGGTACATGAGCAAAGCTGAAACCTTCGAACGCAAACAACATCTTCAACAAATCCAACTCGGCATTTTCGAAGCCTCCGATTCGAACTTCAGCCAACTCTTCGATTTCGAAATGTTCGGAGATCAAGTTGCCAACGCCGAAATGCTACGTGGCACTCTAATCACCGTCAAATTATTTATAATCGGTGGATTGCTCATGATAACATTCATGGCGCTCACTTTCCACAATTTGACAAATCTTTCTAAACTTCTACTAATCTTGGGAGCTATCGGAAGTCCCCTGGCTGCTACAGGAGCCACCTTCGCACTTCTAGGCTGGCTAGACCATCCATTTAATTCTATAATGTGTATCACACCTTTCCTGATCTTGGGAATCGGCGTCGACGACGCATTTCTCCTTCTAAATTGCTGGCGTAAATACAAAACCCTACAGAACCGCGAGCATCGATTGGCTCGAGTTGTCCAAGAGATCAGTCCCAGTATGGCGATCACAAGTTTGACGAATACCATGGCTTTTGGTGTCGGATACCTTTCACCAACTCCTCAGATGTCTAGCTTCTGCTTGGCTACTAGTTTGGCTATCGTTTTCGATTTCCTGTTCGAATTTCTGATCTTTGTACCAACTATGGTCATGTTCTATGATTCTAAGGAAGAGAAGGGGGATTTAGAAGTTCAGGAGAAGACTCCTGAATCTAGAGTCACTTGGAAGTCCTATACATCGGCCCTTCTGAGCCCTCTAGGAGTCTTCCTATCGGTCTCGCTCTATCTAGTTACGCTAAGTGTAACGTACTATGGAGTAAGTACCATTGAGACAACATTCGATCCCTCAAAAACCTTCCCATCGGACTCAAAACTCGTCAAATCTCTCGAGTCCTTCAACTACATTCAACAAGAATACACCCCGTTAAATTTCCTATCCAAAGTTCCCAACCTTCAAAACCCCGCCGACACCGAGAATTTCGAAACGATGCTCCACGAACTTGAGACGAGGCCCGGATGTTTGGGCGCGAAGACGAGTCATAACATCTATCGGGATTATTTGATGTTTTGGGAGGGGAAGAGGGCGAACGAGTCGGAATATGGGACGAATGGTTCGTGGGATTATTTGGGCGAGTTTTTGAGGACGAGAGAGTTGGCCGATCGGAATACGATTAAGTGGACTGTTGATGGGTGAGTTAACGATGCTACGGGTTTACAGGTGGAAATTGGGCTAGGGAAAACGATGCTCCACGTTTACAGCGTCAACATGCAAGAGGTTAAACGAAACTCCGGGCTTACAGATAAAAATCAGGCTGAAGCGGACGAATATACAGACTAACATGGCTAAGGCGTACGATGCTACGGGTTCACAGCTTAAAATAAGGCTAGGTTAAACGATGCTCCGGGTTCACAGTTAAAAATAAGATTGAAGCGGACGAACATAGCTAAGACGTACGATGCTCCGCGTTCACAAAGTAGACTAGGTAGAACAATTCAAGCTTCAACATAGAATAGGTTAAACGATGCTCCGAGTTTACAGCTTCAACATAGAAGAGGTTAAACGAAACTCCGGGTTAACAGAAAAGGCTGAAGCGGACGAACATAGCTAAGACGTACGATGCTCCGCGTTCACAAAGTAGACTAGGTAGAACAATTCAAGCTTCAACATAGAATAGGTTAAACGATGCTCCGGGTTTACACCTCAAAGTGTGGGATAGAAAAACGAACAAAAATAAAACAACAACACTCCCCAATTCCAGCAATGAAACCAAAGTGGAACTCATCAATTTCGTGGTTGTATGCCGTGGAGAACCGAGTTGGGGAACCCGCGCGATCTCCATTGAGAACACTCGGAATATCATCGATCGATATCCGCAATTCGAAACATCGCTGTTTGATTACGATGCTACGATTTACGATTTGATTATTACGGTTAAAGTGATTTTGTCACGAACATCAAAAAATCAATAATCGATTTTTATTACAGAGTGAACTGTTCAAATCGCTAGCTATTACTTTCACCTGCATGACTTTGGCCTGCTTTTTCATTATGCCCTCATTTTTGGCGCCAACTATTGCGTCACTAGCCACCGTATCCATCTCATTTTGTGAGTTTAACAATTCCCAAATTTTCATCGAAAATTCAAATTTTAGACTAGAATTTCAAGTTCCCGGGGTAGAATTTCATGAAAATCACGATTTTTCACCTCGAAAATTCAAAAAACCCCACCATTTTCCCCCAAAAAGGGAAAAAACCCGCGAAAAACAAAAAAAAAAGAAAAAAAATTTCGAAACTTGTCCGGGAGAACTACACACACATGTTCGCTGGAGCGACATTGCATCTTTACTTTCTTTTTTTCGCATTTTTTTCAAAAAACTAGAGTTTTGGGCCTAGATTTTGATGTGTTAGCCCAACTTTTTTCAATTTTTCCGAAATCCCTCCCCAAAAAACTCACCAATCGCTTCTATTTCTTGAGAAATCCGAAATCCTTCAAGTTTTCCACGTTTTTGACATTGAAATCCAATTGTCCATCAATATTTCGAGCTGAAAATCAGAAAATTTGAATTTTTCCTGTACCAGTGAGTTCTGCTAACTCCAAACCCACTTTTTTTTCGATTTCCTCGAATTTTTCCGTTATAAGCGATAATTCCAGCTTTGTACCACATCTGAAAACTCAATTTTTGACTGATTTTTCCCGGAAAGACTAAAACCAGCGAAAAAAAAACAAAAAATGAAAATATTCTCGTGTTGCGCTAAACAACGGGCAAGCCGGAGTGTCGTTGTAAAAGTAAACAAATACTAAAATTCAAATAATTTTCTATTTTTTTTGCTTTTTACGAAAAAAATCGTGACATATTTTAGGTCTCCTCGGTTTCCTGTCAATATGGGGACAAAATTTGGACCCTGTCACAATGATCGATGTAATTATGGCCATCGGATTCAGTGTCGATTATTCCGCGCATGTTTGTTATCATTTCTATTGTGCCCGCCGGAAATGTCAAATGCGCCCTGTTGCGAAAAAGGAAGTTATCGAGCAGGTTTTGACGGATATTGGCAGACCGGTTATTGAGGTTTGTATTTCCCGGAAAATTTGGGATTTTTTGACCAAAAATAGTCATGTTTGGGCTCAAAATGCTCCAAATTCCATCAGATTCCCATAAATCACAATTTCTAGGCTTCAATCACCACCCTCCTCTGCATGGCTCCACTTTTCATGGTGCCCGTCTACATGATTCGCTCATTCGCCAAAACCGTCACCCTCGTCACCACTTTCGGACTTTTGCACGGTCTCATCTTCTTGCCAGTCGTCCTATACTTCATTCCCAGCGAGAATCGTCGTCCCCGTCAAAACACTTTGACAACGGTTCCTTTGGTTCAGGAAAAACACTGAATTTTGCCATTTTTTGTGAATAATAAGACAGTTTGACGGGTTGTAGATAATAAAGTTTTGAGAATTTTTGAATTTGCCGCGGTTTTTTAATGGAGAAAATGCTGATTTTCGCTACACTTAGAGAATTTTCAAAAAAAAATGCGAAAAAATAAAAGTAAAAATGCAATTTCGCTCCAGCGAACAGGGGCATGCGTGTAGTTCTCTCGGACAAGTTTCGAATTTTTTGTTTTTCGCGGTTTTTTCACGTTTCTGGGTGGAAATAAAGGTTTCTTTTGAATTTCCGAGGTGCAGAATCGTGATTTCCACAAAATTCTGGCCTGGGAAATTGGAGGTGTAGTCTAGAATTCGAATTTTCAAGAGAATTTTGAGGATTTCAAAAAAATGATGAAATTTTCTGAATTTCAGCCAAAACATGTTAAAAATCAATAAATCCATGGATGATTCATATTTTGAAGGAAAAGAGAGAAATGTGTTATTTATTAAGCCCTGCCCATTTTTATAGTTAGCCTATCTAAATTTCGAAACCATTGAGAATTTTCACAGTATTTCACAAAAAATTATTCAAATTTTGAGAAATTGCGCTAGAGCGAATTTGCATTCTTAAGAATAATTACGTTTTCGACTTCTGTTTACATCCAAAACAAAAAACATCTCTAAATCTCTAACCATGTGCCCCCCCCCCCCAAATCGCTCTACATGTCTGCGTCTCTCACTCTCTCTTCTTTTTTTGTCTCGGCGTCCACACGAGAAAAAACCAAACATTCATCAGTTTTCCACGAAAATGACCCGATTTATCGAGGTTTTCCATGATAAAACGTACTATTTTCTGACCGAGCAGGAAAATTTTTGATTTTGGTGATAAGAGAATCGCCCTCACAATTTTTTTGCTTTGATTCATTGCGTTTTTATTTTATTTTATTTTTTTTGGCGGGAAAATTTATGAAATCGTGACTTTTTCGATTTGTAAACAAGGAAAAATGTGGTTTTCTGTTGAAATTCAAAATTTTGAAGAAGAAAATTGAATTTTGTTTATTATCATTTAGTAATTGAGTGCTTTTCAAAATTTGTAAACAATTTTGTTTATGACATTGATTTTTGACTCAATTTTGAGCATTTTTCATGTTTTCTAGCTTGAAAATTGGGATTTTTAAGCTATAATTCATGAAAATTTAGTTTTTCTTGTCAAAACCCTTGGTTTATAGCTAACAATACTATAGTTTAGGCAATAAACCAAAGTTTCCCAGAATTTGCATAAGTTTCGGCATTTTTATCAAAAATTTCTCAAAAAAATGCAGCTGAGCTAAATAACACCAAAAATATTGATTTTTCATGCCTGAACCTTGAAATTTCAGCTATTTTCATGAGAATTTCAGTCAAAACCTGGATTTTTGTCTGAAAATCGTGAATTTGTTGAAATTCTGAGGTTCTCGCGCAGGGAAATCTATCGTCAATTTTTTTTCGAAAAATGATAGCAAATATCGATTTCTCATGCCTGAACCTTGAAATTTCAGCAATTTACATGAGAATTTCAGTCAAAACCTGGATTTTTGACTGAAATTCGTGAATTTGTTGAAATTTCCGGGTTCTCGCGCAGGGAAATCTATCGTCAATTTTTTTTGCAAGCGCGCTCTACTGAACTGTCGATTTTGCATCATTTTCTTCCTCGTGTACTTCTCTCGGACAAAAATTCGATGATTTTTACAGCAAAATGGTGGCTTTTGCGGTCATCATCTCTGTGATGATGGTTGTGACGGGATCTTTGAATACAATTTGTGCCAAGTGGGCTGATAGTATCAAGGCTGAAGGTGTCGCCTTCAATCACCCATTTTTGCAGGTAAAATCGATTTTTTCATGAAATTTCATGAATTTTGATATAAAATTCGATAATTTTCATCAAATTTCACGAATTTTGATGTAAAATTCAAGTGCGCTCCATTGCAAACCTCAAAATTATCGATTTTCCAGGCGACCTGCATGTTTTTCGGTGAATTCCTATGCCTTGTCGTATTTTTCCTGATCTTTGGCTACAAACGGTATCGCTGGAATCGTGCCAATGTTCAAGGCGATTTGGGCACAGTTTCGGGTGAGTGGCCAACTGCGCTCCATTGAAATATCGATTTTTCCGGCCTGAATCTTGGAATTTCTGCAATTTTCATGTGATTTTCAGTCAAAACATGGGGATTTTGACTGGAAATTTGGAAATTGCTGAAATTTCAGGGTTCTCGCGCAGGGGAACCTATCGCCAATTTTTTTTTGGAAATTTTAAAGCTTGGCTGAGTTTTGGTGGCCTAGAAAACCAAAAACCTTCCTATTTCATTGTCTAGACCCAAATTTTGAGCTGAAAATCATGAAAATCATCAAAAATTAGACCTGGCCGAGTTTTGATGGCCTAGAAAACCAAAAATATATTTTGACCAAGTTTTGACGGCCTAGAAACCCAAAAATTGAACCTGGCCGAGATTTGGTGGCCTAGAAAACCAGAAATTTATCTTGACCGAGTTTTGATGGCCTAGAAGCCCAAAAATATATCTTGACCGAGTTTTGATGGCCTAGAAAACCGAAAATTCATCTTGGCTGAGTTTTGATGGCCTAGAAGCCCAAAAACCTTCAAATTTCATTGTGTAGACCCAAATTTTGAGCTGAAAATCATAAAAATCATTAAAAATTAGACCTGGCCGAGTTTTGATGGCCTAGAAAACCGAAAATTCATCTTGGCCGAGTATCGGTGGCCTAGAAAACCAAAAACCACCAGAACTCGGTCTAGAAGCCCAAAAACCTTCATATTTCAATGCCTAGACCCAAATTTTGAGCTAAAAATCATAAAAATTATCAAAAATCAGACCTGATGGCCTAAAAACCCAAAAATAAATCCTCTTCCAGACATTACATCCGAAGAAGCGCCAACTCTTCCACCCTTCAACCCCCTTTTATTCTTCCCACCCGCACTCTGTGATATTTTGGGAACCTCGATTATGTACATCGGATTGAACCTGACCACCGCTTCGTCATTTCAAATGCTCCGCGGAGCTGTGATTATTTTCACCGGATTATTGTCGGTTGGAATGTTGGGAGCACAAATTAAACCTTTCAAGTGGTTTGGTATGCTTTTTGTGATGACTGGGTTGGTTATTGTTGGAGTTACCGATATTATGTATGATGATAATCCGTTGGATGATAAAAATGCTATTATTACTGGTAAGGCTTGAGATTTGGCGGGAAAATGAGCCAAAAATTGAAAATTTTGGTGAAAAATGAGTCTAGAAAGCAAATGCGCTCTATTGAAATATCGATTTTTCACTAAAATGCCTGAACCTCGAAATATCAGCAATTTTTTTGAGAATTTCAGTCAAACCATGGATTTTTGACTGAAAATCATGAAATTGTTAAAATTTCCAGGTTCTCGCGCAGGGAAATCTATCGCCAATTTTTTTTCTGGAAAAAATGACTAAAAATATCGATTCTCATGCCTGAACTTCGAAATTTCAGCAATTTTCATGAGAATTTCATTCAAAACCTGGATTTTTGGCTGAAAATCATGAAATTGTTGAAATTTTTGGGTTCTCGCGCAGGGAAATCTATCGTCAATTTTTTTTTCGGAAAAAAACCAAGTGCGCTCTATCGAACTGGCTTTCCCATCATAAATTCAAAAATTTCCCCTCCAAAATGCAACCGCGCCCTACCGAAATATCGATTTTTCCAGGTGATCTTCTCATCGTAATGGCTCAAATCATTGTCGCAATTCAAATGGTCTACGAGCAAAAATATTTGACCAAATACGATGTTCCCGCACTTTTTGCCGTTGGTTTGGAAGGATTGTTTGGAATGGTGACTTTGTCGATTTTAATGGTCCCATTTTATTATATTCATGTGCCAAAGACATTTTCGACAAATCCGGAAGGAAGATTGGAGGTAAGATTCGGAATTTTGGGCGAAAAATGACCTAGAAACCCAAAAAAATGGCCTAGAAACCAAAAAAATGGCCTAGAAACCCAAAAATTCATCTTGGCCGAGTTTTGATGGCCCAGAATCCCAAAAAATCATCCTGGCCGAGTTTTGATGACCTAGAATCTCAAAAACTAATCCTGACCGAGTTTTGGTGGCCTAGAAACCGAAAAAATCATCCTGGCCGAGTTTTGGTGGCCTAGAATCCCGAAAGCTCGTCCTGGTTGAATTCTGGTGGCCTAGAATCTCGAAAAATCATCCTGAAAGAGTTTTGATGGCCTAGAATCCCAAAAACTAATCCTGGCCTAGTTTTGATGACTTAGAATCCCAAAAAATCATCCTGGCCGAGTTTTGGTGGCCTAGAATCTCAAAAAATCATGCTGGCCGAGTTTTGGTGGCCTAGAATCCCGAAAAATCATCCTGACCGAGTTTTGATGGCCTAGAAATCCAATTTTCCTCTTCCAGGACGTTTTCTACGCTTGGGAAGAAATCAAAGAGGCTCCAACCATCGCCTTAGCTCTCATGGGTACCGTAATCTCAATCGCATTCTTCAATTTTGCCGGAGTTTCGGTAACTAAAGAATTGTCGGCCACAACTCGTATGGTTTTGGACTCGATTCGAACTCTGGTCATTTGGATTGTATCGATTCCGTTGTTCGGAGAGCAATTTATTGCGATTCAGGTGAGCAAAAATGCTCTTTTTTGAGCCGGGGACTAGTTTTCCATAGATTTTGGATTTCTAGTCCCTCGAAAATTCGGGGAAAATTGATGGTTTTTGAGCTGAAAATGATGAAAATTGAACCGGGGACTAGTTTTTCCAAATTTTTGGATTTCTAGTCCCCGACTTCAAAAAAAAGTGATGAGGACTAGTTTTCCATAGATTTTGGATTTCTAGTCCCTCAAAACTTTGGGGAAAAATGCTCTTTTTTGAGCCAAAATTAAAGAGGGACTAGTTTTCCTAATTTTTGGTTTCCTAGTCCCCGACTTCAAACATTTTCTATCTCTTCATTAGAATTGCGGACTACAGACATGTCGCTGCAGGCCGGGCCGGCCGGGCTCAGCCCGAAGTAAACACAAAAAATCGGGCTTTTTTCAGCCGAAGCCCGATTTTAACATGTGCGGCTTTCGCTGGCCCGATTTTGGGGCCCGCTTAATTTTTCTTCGATTTCTTTTCATTGAAAAAAATGAGTTTTTCGTGGTCAAAAAGGAATTTTTAATGAATTTCAAACATTGTAAAAAGAAAAATAGTAAAATAATATGTGTGTAGAAGAGAATTCACTTGAATTTTAAAATTTTTTCATTTCATTTTTCGATTTGTTACTTATTACTATTTTTATAAGCAAAATATCACATTCTAATTTGATTTTTCACTCATAGAAATACAATCCAACATCGAAAACATCAAAAAAAATTCTGAAATTGGCCATTCAAAAATATTGTTTGGGCGAGGCCAACCCGGCCGCTTTTAAACTTTCAGAAGGCCGGGCCAGCCGGGCCCGTGATAAATTGAGCGGGCTTTAGGGGCCCGAATTCAGCAAAAACGACATGTCTGGCGGACTAGAAATCAAAAAACTAGTCCCCGACTTCAAAAATTGCTTCCAAAATAGATGGGGGACTAGTTTTTTTCTAGCTCTTGGATTTCTAGTCCCCCGACCCCGCCAAATTTTGAAAATTCAAATTTTAAAGGAAAAATAGGAGGGACTAGTTTTCCAACATCTAAATTTCTAGTCCCCCGACCCCGCCAAATGTTGAAAATTCAAATTTTAAACGAAAATACGAGGGACTAGCTTTCCACCTGTTGGATTTCTAGTCCCCCATCCCCGCCAAATGTTGAAAATTCAAATTTTAAACAGAATATAGGAGGGACTAGTTTTTCCATCTATTGGATTTCTAGTCCCCCGACCCGCCAACTGTTGAAAATTCAAAATTTAAACAGAAAATACGAGGGACTAGTTTTCCAACATCTCAATTCCTAGTCCCCCGACCCCGCGAACTATAAAAAATTCAGAATTTAAATGAAAAGGGGGAGGGACTAGTTTTCCACCTGTTGAATTTATAGTCCCCCATCCCCGCCAAATGTTGAAAATTCAAATTTTAAACAAAAAATAGGAGGGACTAACTTTCCACCTGTTGGATTTCTAGTCCCCCGACCCCGCCAAATGTTGAAAATTCAAATTTTATACAAAACATATGGGGGACTAGTTTTCCAAGACCTAAATTCCTAGTCCCCATCCCCGCTAAATGTTGAAAATTCAAATTTTAAATAAAACATATGGGGGACTAGTTTTGCCTAGCTCTTCGATTTCTAGTCCCCCGACCCCGCCAAATGTTGAAAATTCAAAATTTAAATGAAAAGGGGGAGGGACTAACTTTCCACCTATTGGTTTTCTAGTCCCCCAACCCCGCCAACTATAAAAAATTCAAATTTTAAACGAAATATATGAGGGACTAGTTTTCCACCTGTTGGAATTCTAGTCCCCCATTCCCGCCAAATGTTGAAAATTCAAATTTTTGCAGATCGCCGGTTTCGCTCTTCTCATCCTCGGAACTCTGATCTACAACGACATTCTGATTGGTCCCTGGTTCCGTCGCAACATTCTTCCAAATCTCTCCGGACACACAAATTGCGCGCGCTTCTGGGTTTGTATTTGCGGAGGCGACGCCGAACTCATTCAATATCACGGAGACGAGGAAAATCTGCTCGAAAATTGAGCATTTTGCCGTGTTTTTGAGCCCAAATTCGACTATTTTACTGTATTTTTGCGAACATTTTGAAAATTGCCCATATTTTTGTGTATATCTTGTGTTTTCCTACGGTTTTTTCTTAAATTTTGAATAAAAATTTCTATTTTTCATGTTTTTTTCCTCAAAATTATCGATTTTCCCATTCGTCACAATATTTTTTCGCGGCAAAACCCAAAAATTCAAAAATTTCAGAAAAAAATGGGCGATAAATGTGTGCGGGTGTTGCATAAACTACGTGCGGCGCATTTGCAAGCCACGCCCCCTCTAGGCTCCGCCCAAAAGATTTGCGTCGATTTCTCGTCGCCCAACATTGCCAAACAGTTTCATATCGGCAATTTGCGATCCACGTTGCTTGGGAGATATGTGACTACGGTAGGAGTGGGATTTTGGGCGGGAAATTTGAAATTTTGAGAGGATTTCGAGCATTTTGAGTGGAAATGTGGTATTTTTCGATTTTCTTGCTGAAAATCCAGCTATTTTCTAAAATTCCTGGATTTCTAGGCATGATTTCTTCAATTTTCACCCGATTTTCCACCTCGAAACCCTGAAAATCCCACATTTCCAGCTAAAAACCCTGAAAAACCGCGAAAAACGCGAAAAAATAAAAGTAGAAATGCAAGTGCGCTCCAACGCAAATTTCTCGAGCGCAGCAAGACCCGCCGATTTTTTGTGTGCGCCTTGAGAAGTACCGTAATCTTTTTTTTTTCGTTTTTCGCCTAAAAACCTCCAAATTTTCGGGTTTTGAGTGGAAATTGGAATTTCAGAGCGTTGCAAGACCATTTTAGCGTACTGTACGTGGGGAATTATCGATTTTTCATTGAAATCCTTCAATTTTGAGCTAAAAATCTCATTTTTCCCCTAAAATCACCCAATTTTCACCGAAAATCACCGGATTTTGCAGATAAATCGACACATTGGTCACGATGTGACATCGGTCAACTATTTGGGTGATTGGGGCACGCAGTTCGCCATGATTTGCGCATTTTGGCCACAAATGCGACCGTCGGACGCCTATTGGGACTCGCTGAGTGATTTCGAGAAGATACGACAACTCACCGATTGTTATGTGGTGGCCAATAAGAATATGAAGGTTGATGAGAAGTTTCGCGAGAGTGTTCATCGTATTTTTGTCGAAATGGAGCAAGCGATGCATCGGTAGAGGATTTTAGGCGGGAAATTGGGTTATGACGTGGCATTTCACGCATTTTGAATATAAATTTGATTATTTTCATTGAAAATCGTCAAAATTTAGCTAGAAAACGCTATTTTGGCTCAAAAAATCCAAAATTTTCATTTTCAGCGGCGATCTTTCCAACGAACACATCCAACTTTGGCAAAAAATCAAAAAAATCTCCAAAAATCACCTGTCGGACTTCTACAAAATGTTCGAAATCGATTTCGATCATTGGTTCAGCGAGAGTTTTCAAGTCAAAAATGTGCAGAAAATTGTGGCGGATTTGTTGGCTAAAAATGTGGCGAAAACTCTGGAAGATGGAAGAGTTATCATAAATTTAGGTATTTATTGGAAATATTGAAAAAAATCCCATTTTTTTGGTGCTAAATTCGAAATTCTACGTTGAAAATGAGCCCAGGAGCATTTTTTCAAAAAAAAAAAAAAACAAAAAAGTTCGCCCCCACCAGGAATCGATCCCCTGACCTTTCACCTCATAATTTTTACCTCAAAAATATGTTTTCTAGTAGATTTTAATCCATAGATCACGATTGCGCTGTCAAAATTAGCTAAACTCAATTTTGAACATGAATTATGACGTGGCAAAGTTGGAATAACTCGAAAAAGTTAGCTTAACTTTGCCACGTCATAACTCATGTTCAAAATAGAGTTTAGCTATTTTTGAGAGCGGAATCGTGATCTACGGGTCAAAATCTACTAGAAAACATATTTTCAGTATGAAAATTATGAGGTGAAAGGTCAGGGGATCGATTCCTGGTGGGGGCGAATTTTTTAGTTTTTTTTTTTTGGAAAATGCGTTTCTGGGCTCATTTTTTGGTGCTAAATTCGAAATTCTAAGTGGAAAATGAGCCCAGGAGCATTTTTTTTCAAGAAAAAAAAACAAAAAAGTTCGCCCCCACCAGGAATCGATCCCCTGACCTTCCACCTCATAATTTTAACCCCGAAAATATGTTTTCTAGTAGATTTTGATCCATAGATCACGATTCCGCTGTCAAAAATAGCTAAACTCAATTTTGAACATGTGTTATGACGTGGCAAAGTTACACTAACTCTAATAAAAGCTTTTCGAGGTATTCGATCTTTGCCACGTCATAACTCATGTTTAAAATTGAGATTAACTATTTTTGACAGCGGAATCGTGATCTATGGATTAAAATCTACTAGAAAACATATTTTCGGGGTGAAAATTATGAGGTGAAAGGTCAGGGGATCGATTCCTGGTGGGGGCGAACTTTTTTGTTTTTTTTTTGGAAAATGCGCATTTTTGCAGGCGAAAACGAGGAATTCGCGATTCTCCAAAAATCCAACGCCACGTCACTTTATCTGACCCGCGAAATCGCGGCGATTCTGGAACGCGACGCGATTTTCGCCGCCGATCGATATTTGTATGTGGTGGATCGGGCACAACGCGCGCATTTCCGCGCCCTACAAATTGTCCTAGAGAAAATGGGCCGCGCGGATTTGTCGCGGAAGATTGAGCACGTACAGTATGGCCGCGTGCGCGGATTGTCGACGCGGAACGGAAGAACTGAGGCGGTGCTGGAGATTATTGAGAGGGGAGAGGAGTTGGCGAGAAATGCGATCAAAGGATCGAAAACTGTGAAAGTTGAGGGAGAAGAGGAGGAGAAACAGGTGATTTTTGGTAGAAAATTTGAATTTTGAGCTAAAATTTGAAATTTTTGAGGGATTTTGAGCGAAAATTCATGTTTTTTGGATAATTTTAAGCCAAAATTCAACATTTTCGATGAATTTTGACCCAAAATTCAGGTTTTTTCGATAATTTTGACCTATAGTGCAAAATTTACCAAATTTGCGTCAACATGAGGGTTTACTGGCGTGTTTTTAGTAGCTACTAGAAATGCGTCAGCAAATGTCTTTTGAGCTACCAAATTTGCGTCAGTATAGGACTCTTATGACGTGTTTTTTGTAGCTACAATTTTCGCGTCAATGAAGGATTTTTTCAAAATTACAGTAATCCGAAGCTTTTCAGCCTAAAGTACCTCAAAAGTGTCCAATTTTTATTTGAAATGAGCAATCTACAGTAATCCTACAGTACCCTTCTAAAAATGGCCTATTTTTTGAAGGAAAAAAAACTACAGTAATCCTACAGTAACCCCTGAAATTTCAAGATTTTCAATCGAATCTACAGTAGTTTTGATTTTAATGAAACATCTACAGTACTCTTCTAAAAATGACCCAAATTTCTGAGGAAAACACAATTTTTAAAAATCCTACAGTAACCTTCTAAACCTACAGTACTCTTAGAAATGGTCCAATTTCCAAAATAAATCTGTAAAATTTTCAATAAGTCTACAGTAACCCAATGGTTTTTAAACCTACAGTACTCCTCTACAGTACTCTCCCAATTTCTTCAGAAAAAATTAGACTTTCCCAAATGAATAGCTACAGTACTATTCTAGAAATTCACAAATTTTTCTAAGAAAAAAAATTACAGTAACCCAAAGATATCTCAAAAGTGTTCAAATTTCCCCTAAAACCCTACAGTATCCATCTACAGTACCCCGTCTACAGTAATCTTACAGGTAGCCCGCCATCTCTCAATCTCCACAATAATCTTCAATGAACTCAAGCGCGCCAGAAATGCCGAATACGAATTCTCATTTCAAAATGCCTTCTCCCTCCACCAAAACAATGCTCTCTCACTTCATTTGAAACACACTAGACTAAAGTCTATCGAGGCCAAAAATGCGGAATTGCTGCCGTTTTTGGCAGAATGCCAGAAATTTCCGATTTTGGATTGTTCGGATGACGTCACCAGATTGTTGGAATTGTTGGAGGGAGTCGAGAAATCGATTGAATTGAGTGTGGAAAAATTGGAACCGTGCCAATTGACTGTGCAATTGATTGAGATTGCACAGTGTGTTGGAAGTGTGATGAGCCAGTTGAGAGTTCAGGGACAGGAAAAGGAGGTAGGGAAGGTTTTGGGGGGAAATTTTGGGAAAAATCGTCCAGAAATCTTGTTTTTTTTTTGAGAAAAATCGTCCAGAAATCTTGTTTTTTGATGAAAATTTACCGAAAATCGTGTTTTTCTAGTGAAAAATGACCTGAAATTGATATTTCTGTTGAAAATTGTCCAGAAACTTTGTTTTTGGAGAAAAATTGATCAAATAACAGTTTTTCTAGCGAAAAATAACCCGAAATTGAGATTTCTACTGAAAAATCGTCCAGAAATCTTGTTTTTTCTTAAAAAATTGACCAAATCATGCTTTTCTAGTGAAAAATGAACTAAATTCGAGATTTCTATTGAAAATCGTCCAGAAATTTTGTTTTTTGATAAAAATTGTCCAGAAATCTTGTTTTCTAGCGAAAATTGTCCAGAAATCTTGTTTTCTGGTGAAAAATGACCTGAAATTAAGAATTCTATTGAAAATTGTCCAGAAATCTTGTTTTCTAGCGAAAAATTAACCTGAAAATGAAATTTTGAAGGAAAATCGTCCAGAAATATTGTTTTTTGAGAAAAATTAACCTGAAATTGAGATTACTATTGAAAATTGTTCAGAAATTCTGTTTTTTTTGAGAAAAATGACCAGAAATCTTGTTTTCTGGCGAAAAATGACCTGAAATTGAGATTTTGAAGGAAAATTGTCCAGAAATTTTGTTTTTTGAGAAAAATGACCTGAAGTTGAGATTTTGAAGGAAAATCGTCCAGAAATTCTGTTTTTTGAGAAAAAAATGTCCAGAAATCTTGTTTTCTAGCGAAAAATAACCCGAATTTGAGGTTTCTATTAAAAATTGTTCAGAAATTCTGTTTTTTTGAGAAAAATGACCAGAAATCTTGTTTTCTGGCGAAAAATGACCTGAAATTGAGATTTTGAAGGAAAATTGTCCAGAAATTTTGTTTTTTGAGAAAAATGACCTGAAGTTGAGATTTTGAAGGAAAATCGTCCAGAAATTCTGTTTTTTGAGAAAAAATGTCCAGAAATCTTGTTTTTCGGGTAAAATTCGACCTGAAATTGAGATTTTTTTTTAAAAATTGTCCAGAAATCTTGTTTTTTGAGAAAAATCGTCCAGAAATCTTGTTTTCTAGCGAAAAATAACCCGAAATTGAGATTTCTATTGAAAATTGTTCAGAAATTCTGTTTTTTTGAGAAAAATTGACCAAAAGACAGCTTTTCCGGGGAAAAATAACCCGAAATTGAGATTTCTATTAAAAATCGTCTAGAAATCTTGTTTTTCGAGAAAAATTGACCAAAATCATGTTTTTATGGAGAAAAATGACCTGAAATTGAGATTTTTGAGAAAAATCGTCCAGAAATGCTGTTTTTTGAGAAAAATACAGTTTTTCTGGCTAAAAATAACCAGAAATCTTGTTTTCTGTTAAAAATTGTCCAGAAATCTTGTTTTTTGAGAAAAATTGACCAGAAATCTTGTTTTTTGGAGAAAAATGACCTGAAATTGAGATTTCTATTGAAAATCGTCCAGAAATTCTGTTTTCCTGACAAAAAATGAGCTAAATTTGAGATTTCCATTGAAAATTGTCCAGAAATCTTGTTTTTTGAGAAAAATTGACCAAAGAACAGTTTTTCTAGTGAAAAATGACATGAAATTGAGATTTCTATTGAAAATTGTCCAGAAATCTTGTTTTTCTAGTGAAAAATGACCAGACCTCTTGTTTTCTAGTGAAAAATAACCTGAAATTGAGATTATTACTGAAAATTGTCCAGAATTTCTGTTTTTCGAGAAAAATTACCAGAAATCTCGTTTTTCGGGTGAAGTTTGACTTAATAAAATTTGAATTTTCAAATTTTCTAAATTTTGTCAAATCCACATGGCAAAAAATTTCCTCACAAAAATTCATTAAAAATTTGTTTACAAAATTGTTCTTCCCCTAAAAATCCACGTGGAAAATTTTGAATTTAGATAAAATTTTTTTGAATTTTCCAAATCTTTTAATTTTCACTGTAAAACTTGTGAACATTTTGGAGCCAAAGTTCTGAATTTTCAAATTTGAAATTTTCGCGCCAAAAATTCCACTGAAATTTCAAAAAAAAATCCAAATTCAATTTGAAAAATTTGGATTTACAAAAAAATTAATTTTTTTTCACTGAAAATTTGAAATTTAAAAAAATCCCCAATTTTCATCCAAAAATAAGAAATTTTCCGAATTTTCCGAATTTTGGCGCGAAAAAAATCCCCAATTTCATTCCAGATCGCCATTCCGCGTCTCCTTTTGTTTTCCGCCACCCGTCAAGTTTTAGCCGACGGAATGCGTCTTCTCGGAATTCGACCAATCGATAAAATGTGAATTTGATTTTTTTCGGTGATTTTCAGATCTCATTTAGTTAGGCTAACTAGGGGAACATAATAAATTTCATTTTTTTCTTCAAGAAACTTTCAAATAATTCCTGTAGACCCCATTTCCAGCCACATTTTCATTGTCAGTCAAATTTGCCACAATCGGACTTATACTTCGCTCCGCATCCCTTTCCGCATCGCCTTCCGCTTCCGCATTCTTCTCCGCCACCCAGAAAGTCTCCATCACACCTTTCCCTTTGATTATAACTTCGCCGCGCGAGAAACTACAGTACTTTCCGGGGTACTGTAGATTGAGTAGCGAATTTGCGGCGGAGCTCAGATGGATGTGTGAGGGTTTTCCGTTGGATTCCATTCGAGAGGCGGTGTTGACTGTGTCGCCGAAGAGACAGTATCTGCAAGAAATGCGTCAGTGAAGGGTTTGCTGGCGTCTTTTTGGTAGGTGCTAGAAATGCGTCTGTAAAGGGTTTTTGAGCTACGAAAATTGCGTCAGTAAAGGGTTTTGTTGACGTGATTTTTGGAGGTGCTAGAAATGCGTCAGTAAAGGGTTTGTAGGTACTAAAAGTACGCAAGCAAATATTTTCGAAGCTACCACAAATACGCCAGCATTGGGTTTTACTGACGTCTTTTTTGTAGGTACTAGAAATGTGTCAGCAGTGAATTTTTGAGCTACAAATTGTGCGTCAAGATAATTTTTTGCTGGCGTGAATTATGTAGCCACACAGCTTATAGGATCTACAAAATGTGCGTCAACATAGAGTTTTACTGACGTGATTTCTGTAATTAGACTTTTGAGCTACTAAATTCGCGTCAGCAAAATAATTTCAGAATCTAGAATCTACCAAAAATACGTCAGTAAATGAATCATTGGCGCATTTTCGGTGAAAAAACCAATATTTTTGCTGACGCAATTTCTGCAGCTACCAAAAACACGTCAATCTCCCTCACCTTGGCATACTCAATCCAACAACTCCCGCCACACAAGGTCCAGAATTCACGCCAATTCTTAGCTCAACTTTTTCACGTGGCAAATGTGCAATTTTGAAATTTCGAACGAAATTCATAAATTCCAGCGACATATCGATGATTTGTCTGAAAATTTGTGAATTTTCCAAGGCATTGCTCATTTTATAGCTCAAAATTATCAGTTTTCAGCCAATTTTGCTTCAAAAATTCCAAATTTCCGCAGGATTACTGTAGGATCTACCGTACTTAATATGAGCATATCCATTTCGTGTCGGGAGCCCCGAAACACACAAATATCCATCGCCAATCGATTCAACCTTGTACACACCGTGATTTTCGATGATTGTGTCCAGATTGCTGAACAAATCGTTGAGCATGTTGACGACCTGCAGGAAATGCGTCAGTCAAGAGTGGGGGGAGGGTGCAGAAAAGGCGTCAGTAAGAGATTGTAAATGCGTCAGTCAAGATTAAGCTACAAAAAATGTGTCAGTGAAGAGCCTAGATTTTGTGAGCTACAAAAACTGCGTCAGTGAAAAGCCTAGATTTTGAGAGCTACGAAAAATGCGTCAGTGAAAAGCCTAGATTTTAAGAGCTACGAAAAATGCGTCAGTGAATACTTGAGCTACAAAAAAGACGTCAGTAAAGAGTCTAGATTTTGAGGGCTACAGAATTTGCGTCAGTGATGATTTGAGCTACAGAATTTGTGTCAGTGAAGGGTGGGCTACAGAAAAGACGTCAGTAAAGGTTCTGGATTTACAAAGCTACAGAATTTGCGTCAGCAAAAAGCCTAGATTTTGAGAGGTACAGAAAAGGCGTCAGTAAAGAGTCTAGATTTCGAGAGCTACAAAAAAGACGTCAGTGAAGATTTGAGCTACAAAAAAGACGTCAGTAAAGGTGCTGGATTTTGTAAGCTACCAAAAATGCGTCAGTCAAGAGTTACCCTGAATTTTTCGCGCCAACAAAATTCGTCAAAATTAAAGCTACAAAAATTGCGTCAGTAAAAGGTTAGAAGCGGTTTGTGCAAATTCTGTAGCTCTCAAAAAACTGATCCTTTACTGACGCAAATTTTGTAGCCAAACTCTTGACTGACGCATTTTCTGCAGGTTAATTTGGAGTTCCAAGCTTCAAGACCAATTTTATAAGAAAATAACTACAAAAAATGCGTCAGTCAAGAGTTTTGGCGCGAAATTTAGCTCAAATTGATCAGTTTTCAATGAAATTTGGCTCAAAAACCATCATTTTTCACCATTTTTGTTCATTTTTGCCTCAAAATCCCCCAAAATCTCACCTGAAAAGGCGAGCACTTAGCAGCGAGTTGCGTGAACTTGACAACATCACTAAACATGACCGTAACCGAATCGAAACCCTCCGGTTCTACAGTTTGTCCCATTTTCAGCCTCTCAGCCACTTGTTTCGGCAACATTTTTCCCAACAAAATATCCGCCTTCTTTTTCTCATTGGTCAATTCTTTGGTGCGTTCTTCGACTTCGACTTCGAGAGTTGTCGTATATTCTTCGAGCATATTGAACACATGATCCATTAGATTTGTGTTAGTTCTGAAAATTTGAAAAATTCGTGAAAATCCGATCATTTCAAGCCAAAATTCGTGAAATTTGGGATATTTCAAGCCAAAATTCGAGAATTTTCGAAAATTTCTACATTTTATGCGTCAACCGACAAAATTCACGTCAACAAGATGTTTGCTGACGCATTTCATGTGGTATTTGTGAATTGGGAATTTTTTGAGATAAAATTCATGAAAATCCGATAATTTTAGGCCCAAATTCGATGTCTACAAGTTTCACGTCAGCAAGACATTTGCTGACGCATATTTTGTAGTTAAGAACTCACTTTGGCATTTGATCCATCAAAATTTTGCACACCGTGCTCATGTTCGGTCGATCTTCTGGATTTTCAGCCCAGCAATCTTTGATCAGTCGGATCTGGAAGAAAAGGTGGGAGATTGACGCTTTTCTAGTAGCCTAGAACTCTGCTGGCGTGTTTCTAGTAGGCTGGATTATTGCTGACGCTTTTCTGGTAGCCCAGATGTTTTCTGGCGTGTTTTCAGTAGGCTAAATTGTTGCTGACGTGTTTCTAGTAGCTTAGAGGATCACTGACGCTTTTCTGGTAGTCTGGAAGATTGTTGGCGTGTTTCTAGTAGCCTAGATATTTGCTGACGCTTTTTCAGTAGTCTAGATGTTTGCTGACGCTTTTCTAGTAGCCTAGAGCTCTGCTGACGTGTTTCTAGTAGCCTAGATGTTTGCTGACGCATTTCTGTTACCCTAGAATCCTGCTGGCGTGTTTCTAGTAGCCTAGAGGCTCTGCTGACGTGTTTCTAGTAGCCTGGAGAACTGCTGACGCTTTTCTAGTAGCCTAGAACTCTGCTGGCGTGTTTCTAGTAGGCTAGAGGATCACTGACGCTTTTCTAGTAGCTTAGAAGATTACTGACGCTTTTCTGGTACCCTAAAGATTCGCTGACGCTTTTCTAGTACCCTAAAGCTTTGTTGACGCTTGTCTGGTAGCCTAGAATTTTGCTGACGCTTTTCTAGTAGCCTATAATTTTGCTGACGTGTATTTAGTAGCTTAGAGGATCACTGACGCTTTTCTGGTAGCCCGAAAGCGGTTTTCGAAGTCTAGAATATTGCTGACGCATATCTCGTGCCTTGGCGCATTTTCTGTAGCCTAGAAATCTGCAGGCACATTTCCACCCCCAAAAAACCCACCAAATTCTGCTGCGCCGCCATATCCTCCGCCAAAATATCGGGCCTCATCGCAAAACTTCCGCCCTTCTTCACCTGATACAAAATCTCGTCGATTTTCTCCTTTCGTTCCTCCAAATTCCACGCCTCTTTTTTGGTGACAATTTCCGACGAAATTATGGCAAACGAGTAGACATCGGCTGATTGATCCATGTTTCGGGGAAGAATTGAGGATCGTAGAACTTCGGGGGCCGTCCAGAGAAGGTCTGGAAGAAGGTTTGGAGATTGGGGATGTTTCTGGGGACTTCTAGACCATTTCTAGACCATTTTTTGGATTTCTAAGCCATTTTCAGGCTTTCTAGGCGGTTTTTTGGGTTTCTAGGCCATCTAGACCATTCTCAGACCACTTACAGGCTTTCTAGGCCAATTTTTCTGATATCCTGGCATTTTTTGGATTTCTAGGCCATCTAGACCATTCTTAGACCATTTTTTGGATTCCTAAGCTATTTTCAGGCTTTCTGGGCCATTTTTAAGGTTTCTAGGCCAACTAGACCATTCTTAGACCACTTTCAGGCTTTCTGGGTCATTTTTTCTAATTTCCTGGAAATTTTTAGATTTCTAGCTTTTAAATAAATGATCACGTGCCCAAAAAAACAAATAAAAACGTGACCCAATTTCAACCCAAATAAATAACACGTGGATTGTCGAAATGGCCCCAAAAATTCAAAAATGCAATCAGTTTGTGTTTTATATTCTCTTCGAATCAATCAATTCAAAAAAGAAGAAGTAGAAAAATGAAAATTGATATCAAAAGAATATTCATTATTATATCAATTAATAATATTTCTTTGATATTTGCAACTACTTATGATCTACCAAATTGTCCCGATCCTACCGAAAATACGAAAATCAAATCACCTCAAAAAGTGAATGTTATTTTTATTATTGGATTTGAAGCTAGTGCACCTGATGTGAGTTTGGATACAGAATAGCAAAAGTAGCTCCTAATTTAGTATCATCTAAGCCAAATTGATTCATCCAAAATGCATTAATAAAATCAAAAACTAACTGATTGTAATTACAGAAAGACAAAATTGCCTATTTTGTCAATCAATTTGCTTGTTGGTTTCCTACAAATCCACAAATCAGCTCAGCTGTTTTTGATAGTTCTGGCAACAGCAATTCCCATTTTGATAACACCGAAGTGAAGGAAATGCATAAGAAGATGAGAAAATTGAATAATGGTGTGTTGTGTGATATTTCAATTTCTTAATTTAATTATTTAAAACTATTTTCAGCTGAAAAAGCAGCTGATTGTGCAAAGTTCAAAAAAGCTCTTGCTACTATCAATTTCAACGGCCAGCCAGACTTTGACAAAGTCAAAATTATCACTCATGCTGAAATAATATCTGGCTCGAGTTGTGATCACTTCCAAGCATTTAAGGATTCTCAAATGGACAGCTCGAGATACGAAATGTTTCAAATTGTTTTTTCAGCTGATTCGAATCCAAACAAACTTTCGTATCCGGGAATTGGTTCGATTAACACTAGTCAGTTTGATTGTACCTGGATTTTCAAAGCGCTGATCCTTGAAAGCTAGGATTTCTAGACTCCGCTACTTGTTTTAGAGGATCTCTAGGAGCAGCTGCTTGTCAGCGTGAATCTCTAGATGCGAGTCCTAGACAATAAGATTCTATAGGAGCAGCTACTCTGGAACTAGGCACTCAAGGCGCTGATCCTTCTTGACATCTGCACTTTCTAGGGTCCGCACCTTGAGAACTAGGTTTTCTAGGAGCAGCTACTTGAAAATTTTTGTATTTTCAGCAGCCAACGCCACCGATGAATTGAAGAAGATCACTTCTGATTTGTGAGTTTCTAACAGATCTGATTTTGCTGAGCAAACATCGGATCTGCTCCAATTCCTATGCAAAATCCAACCCAAGGTTACTGTAGAAACCGAAAATTGATCTACCAAGTTTTTGGCCCACAATCTACAGTAACCCTAGCCATGTTTGGTCTCAAAAAGTTGCAAATTTCAAATTCTTTCAGTATGGATCGTGTCTTTGGTGTCTACGTCCCACCAACACCACCAACACCTCCACCAACAAAACCATCTGATGAAGGTGGATTCCCGAGGTGGGCAATTGTTGCCATTATTGCGGGTATTTTGATTGTCGCGCTGCTTATTGCATTGGTCATCATTTGCCGCAAGAAAATCAAGAAGGTGTTCAAAAAGAAGGGACCACCACCAATTGAAATCATCAAACCGCCGTGTAGAGCTGTGAGATGGATTAATCCGGTGACTGGAAGTGCACACTCGAATACACCGCCACGTGGAATGGAATAGACTTGAGCTAACTCGAACTTTTTGTGTGTGAGAAATGAATACTTGTTTGTGGTCTAATTTAAATGCGTCAGGGGTACTCGAAATGCGTCAGTAAGCTTCTAGGCTTCTAGAAATACTCTAGAGCTACTGAGAATGCGTCAGCAACTTTCTAGGCTACTGAAAATGCGTCAGCAAGTTTCTGAGCTACTGAAAATGCGTCAGTGAGCTTCTGAGCTACTGGAAATGCGTCAGCAACCTTCCAGGCTCCTAGAAATGTGTCAGCAACCTTTAAGGCTCCTAGAAATGTGTCAGTAAGCTTCCAAGCTACTAGAAATGTGTCAGCAAGATGCTAGGCTACTGGAAGTGCGCCAGCAAGTTTCTGAGCTACTGAAAATGCGTCAGCAAGATGTTAGGCTACTGGAAATGCGTCAGTAAGCTTCCAAGCTATCAAAATTGCGTCAGCAAGATGTTAGGCTACTGGAAATGCGTCAGCAACCTCCTAGGCTACTTGAAATGGGTCAGCAATATGTTGGGCTACTGGAAATGCGTCAGTAAGCTTTTAGGCTCCTAGAAATGTGTCAGTGAGCCTCTAGACTACACAAAGTGCGTCAGCAACCTTTCAGGCACCTAGAAATGCGTCAGTAAACTTCCAGGCTCCTAGAAATGCGTCAGCAACCTTTCAGGCACCTAGAAATGCGTCAGTAAACTTCCAGGCTCCTAGAAATGCGTCAGCAACCTTCCAGGCTCCTAGAAATGTGTCAGCAATTTTCTAGGCTCCTAGAAATGCGTCAGCAACCCCCCAGCCTTCTAGAAATGCGTCAATCTCGAGCCTGATCCCAAAATCTAGACCCACATCTTTTCGGCGGCGCCTCTTCCTCGTTCAAAAAATCCAATCCATAATCGCTCAACTTCACCTGCCAACTATCGTTCACCAAACAATTTCCGGATCTGCAAACAGACATTGCTCAGGTTAAACAAATTTTTAGCTTCTTAACATGAGCAATATCATTTAGAAATAAGTACAAAAACATTGCTCATATTAAACAATTCTGGCTCAATTTTTCCAGCTGAACTATGACGTGGAAATTCTAAATTCATTGAAAAATCGAGAAATTGGACAAAATGACTAGAAATCCAGAAAAACACGGCATTGCTCATGTTAAAAAATGCTCATTGTCGTAGAAATTTTGGTATGAGCAATATTGGATTCAAAAACATTGCTCAGGTTAAAAATTTCGAAAATTTTAGCATTGCTCATATTAAACGATCAAAAATGCATTGCTCATGTTAAACTTTATTCACAAATTTTGGAGCATTGCTCATACTAAACAAAAAAAGTGGATTGTTTTTTCATTTAGATTTGAAGCTGAGCTGAAATTCTCTTTGAAAAGGGATTGCTCATGTTAAACCAAAACTTAAAAAAAAAGACTAACATGAGCAATAGAATAAAAATTCAGATTTTCATCAATTTCGGAGCCAAAAATCCCCCAAAACAGGATTGCTCAGGTTAGAAAAATTTTTCGCTCAATTTTTCTCAGTTGAACTATGACGTGGCAATTCAAATTTAAGAAAATCAAATTATTGATTTTCTCACAAACATTTGGAGCATTGCTCATATTAAAAAAAATAATTTTTTTTGGATTCATCGAATTTGAATGATTAAAAAACATTGCTCATATTAAAAATTTCGAAAATGTTCTTTTTTGGACCATTGCTCATGTTAAACAAAAATCCAACGCACCTCAAACTTCCATGCACCCTGGCACCACCAATCGCCAGAAAAGCCTGATGTAAATACGCCAACCCCCTCCGCCACATCCCTTATAACACAAAGCACAAAAAACGCGTCCATCGTAAAATTCCCCCTGGCTATAATCGCCTCCAGATTCCCTCTTCCACACAGTTTCCAGACCGCAAAATAGGGCCCCGGGCCATTGAGAACTAGGCCGATGAATTTGTTGACATTCTCATGGTCGAGTTTGCGTAACTTGACGAATCTCTGGGTATCCAGGGGGCCAGGATGGTATTTCTTGACGCGGACAATCTCCTTCTCCAGGCTGCGATACTCTTCCGATTCATCCTGATCTTCTAGATCGCCTGCTGATCTTGTATCCTGTGACCCAGGTGCAGAATCCAGGCTCCGCCTAGATCTCGACTTCCTGCCGGATCTCTCCAGCTCTCTCAACTTCTCAAACGCAATCACCCATTCGGAGCGCACGCGTTCCGCTTCCGCGCGCTTTCCGCGTATCAGCGCGCATCCGCAACACACGAAAACGAGGCATGTGAAGAGGATGACGATAGCCAGGATCACGAATAGCACTCCGTATTTTTCCAGGGTGGTTTGCGGACATGCGGTGCCCGCGTATCCGCAAATGGGCGTGGCGAGTGGGGCGGAACCTGCCCAGTGCGTTGACCAGATGGCGGATTCGTTGGTGTAGAGTTTGATGAGCGTCTGGAAAGATATTGAGTTATGACGTGGCGAAATTCGAAATCCCCATCTTCTCCCGAGAATTTTGATACCCATATTGCCTAGGTTTCTCGAAATTTTCTTAAAGGCGCATAGAAATAACTATAGCTTGCGAAGTTTGGGTCTCGCCACGATGTACTTTTAAATCTAAGATTTTGAGGTGAAAAATATACCAAAATGTAGGGAATGTTGAGGTCTACAAGATGAGCTAGGTCTTGAGCCGAAAATCCAGATTTTTTTTTCTGAGGATCTTTGGATTTTTGAGAATATGGGATTTATCAATGGTCTCGATAAGAATTTCGAAATCTCCAGATTCTCCCGAGAATTTTGATACCCATATTGCCTAGGTTTCTCAAAATTTTCTTAAAGGCGCATAGACCCATAAGCTCAAATTCAATCTGGGTCTTGACACGATGTCCCTTTAAGCCCAAGATTTCCGTATGAAAAATATACCAAAATGTTCAGAATTTCAAGCTCTTTAAGATGAAATTGGTCTTGAACCGAAAATCCAGATTTTTTTTTGGAGGAACTTTGGATTTTTGAGAATATAGGATTTCTCAATGTTCTCGATGCGAAATTCGAAATCTCCAGCTTCTCCCGAGAATTTTGATAGCCATATTGCCTAGGTTTCTTGAAATTTTCTTAAAGGCGCATAGAAATCACTATAGCTTGCAAAATTTGGGTCTCGCCACGATGCACCTTTAAACCCGAGATTTAGAGGTGAAAATATACCAAAATGTTCAGAATTTCAAGCTCTTTAAGATGAAATTGGTCTTGAACCGAAAATCCAGATTTTTTTTTGGAGGAACTTTGGATTTTTGAGAATATAGGATTTCTCAATGTTCTCGATGCGAAATTCGAAATCTCCAGCTTCTCCCGAGAATTTTGATAGCCATATTGCCTAGGTTTCTTGAAATTTTCTTAAAGGCGCATAGAAATCACTATAGCTTGCAAAATTTGGGTCTCGCCACGATGCACCTTTAAACCCGAGATTTAGAGGTGAAAATATACCAAAATGTTCAGAATTTCAAGCTCTTTAAGATGAAAATGGTCTTGAGCCGAAAATTTTTTCTGAGTAACTTTGGATTTTTGAGAATATGAGATTTCTGAATGGTCTCGATAAGAAATTCGAAATCTCCAGGTTCTCCAGAGAATTTTGATACCCATATTGGCTAGGTTTCATGAAATTTTCTTAAAGGCGCATAGACCCCTAAGCTGAAATTCAATCTGGGTCTCGCCACGATGCACCTTTGAAATCGGTATTTTGAGGTGAAAAATATACCAAAATGTTCAGAATTTCAAGCTCTATAAGATGAAATTGGTCTCGAGGCGAAAAATTGATTTTGAAAAAAAAAGTGCACCCCCCCCCCTATAAATGGGTCTCGCCACGATGCACCTTTAAAATCGGTATTTTGAGGTGAAAAATATACCAAAATGTTCAGAATTTTGAGCTCTTTAAGATGAAACTACATTAAAAAAGCTAACTGGTACCGAAGATCCATTGTCGAAGTTCAAATTCATCAAGGCGACCTCATCCCATTTATCACTGAGTCCATAAAGTTGATAGATTGGCATTCGGGTGGCATTTTCGTTGAATCGCACTTGACCCGTCATTCCTGGGAGAAAAAATTGATTTTTCAGGTGATTTGGAGCATTTTGAATATAAATTTACGGGGTGAAAGGTCGGGGGATCGATTCCTGGTGGGGGCTAACTTTTTTTTTCTTTTTTTTGTTAAAAAATCAGTTTCAGATCTAATTTTTGGCGGGAAACCTGGGAAAATCTAGATTTTCAAGCTCCACGTGAAATTAGGATCATTTTGAGTATAAAAATTACGGGTTGAGAGGTCAGGGGATCGATTCCTGGTGGGAGCAGAGTTTTATGTTTTTTTTTTTGAGAAAATTAGTTTCAGACCTAATTTTTGGTTGGAAACTTGGAAAACTTAAATTTTCAGATTCTCCTTGATATTCACAATTTTTTTGAATTCAAAAATTATCAGGTAAAAGGTCAGGGGATCAATTCCTGCTGGGGGCGAACTTTTTTTTGTTGAAAAATCATTTTCAGACCTAATTTTTGGCGGGGAATTTGAAAATTCAATAATGAAACTTGATTTTTCAGTTTCTCCCCGAGAATTGGATCATTTTGAGTATGAAAATTATCAGGTGAAAGGTCAGGGGATCGATTCCCGGTGGGGGCGAACTTTTTTTCCCTCCTATCATATTTGGTGTCAAAAAACGCGCATTTTCCGCGCGGAAAACCACCGCTCACCCGCAAAATTCGCCTTCCTAATCCTCGCCAACACTTCCGTCACATTCCGCCACCCTTCCGCACTCATTCCATCAATCGCCACTCCATACAACCAAATCGCATCATACAAATGGCGCGCGTAGGCTCCCATGACCGTTCCGTTTGCCGCAAGGCATTGCGGTGTTCCGCAATTGACAGGCGGCATGCGGACTGATGCGATGATGTTCTTCTGAAGATTGGTGAGTGCGGCAACATCCGAAACTTCGGAATTCAAATCGATGACGAGGAATTTTTCGGCCGCGGATTTGGCCAGCGATTCTTGACCGTCGGATGGTCCGGAGAGAGTTTCCCAGAGTGGAGTGAGGCCGGAAAGTGTAACTGAAAATAAATTAGGTTTTCCTCGAGAACTACACAAATTTTCTCTACATTTTGGTATATTTGTCACCTCTAAATCATATATTTAAAGGGACATCGTGACGAGACCCATTTAAAGGGGGAGGGGTACACTTTTTTTTCAAAACTAATTTTTCGCCTCGAGACCTAGCTCATCTTCTAGAGCTCGAAATTCCCTACATTTTGGTATATTTTTCACCTCTAAATACTGATTTTGAAGGTGCATCGTGGCGAGACCCATTTAAAGGGAGGGGTGCAATTTTTTTCAAAACTTATATTTCGCCTCGAGACCCAGCTCATCTTGTAGAGCTCAAAATTCCCTACATTTTGATATATTTTTCATAGGGAAATTTTGGATTTAAAGGTAGATCGTGTCGAGACCCAGATAGAATTTCAGCTTAGGGGTCTATGCGCCTTTAAGAAAATTTCGAGAAACCTAGGCAATATGGGTATCAAAATTCTCGGGAGAAGCTGAGGAATTCGAATTTTTCATCGAGAACATTGATAAATCCCATATTCTCAAAAATCCAAAGTTCCTCAAAAAAAATTCTGGATTTTCGGCTCAAGACCAATTGCATCTTGTAGAGCTCAAAATTCTGAACATTCTGGTATATTCACAATTTTTAAATCTTGATTTTAAAGGTGCATCGTTGCGAGACCCAGATTGAATTTCAGCTTAGGGGTCTATGCGCCTTTAAGAAAATTTCAAGAAACCTAGGCAATATGGGTATTAAAATTCTCGTGAGAATCTGGAGATTTCGAATTTCTAGCTCGAATCAACTCACACGTCATTTTTCCATTATTTGTCTGCGCTCCAAATCCAACACTTCTCATCGACAACATAATATGGACATATTCATTGGTATTCATCCCCAATTTCGCGATACGGAGCATATAATCTCGTTTTTCGGTGGCAGTTTGAGCGCAGAACAAAATAACTGAAAGAATGAATAGGCTTAGCGACTTCTAGGGCTGATTTAGACTAACTTCTAGCTCTTCCCATCACAGTCTGCAAAGTGGATGTATAGCTTTCGTTATTTTTGGGCTCCAAATATTGTTTGAGCACAATTTGTGGGGAAAAAGAGCTGGGATCATTGAGCACACTTTCCACGTCATCCATAACACTTGCACAGTAATTCAGAGCACTTGTCACATACAATATCGCCACTTTATCCCAACCAAAATGCTCCAGAACTTTGACCGTCGCATATCCCAAACTGGAAGATGTCGGCAACATCGAAACCGTCAGTGGAAATCGCGATTTATCCGAAAAAATCGAATCGGACACGAAGCCCCAGCCCAACACGGGCTTTTGATAGAGTTGCGTGAGAGTTCCCATAACTTTTAGGCCTTCTACACAGGGTGGTCCGATTATCACGTCCACATTTTTATTTTTGAGAAAATCCAGGCCGATGGCTACTGTAGCATTTCTGTCACATTCCGTGTATTCGACGAAGGTTCTGTGAGATTTTGCAATTTTGCGGCACACTTTTCTGATCATTTTGAGACCAAATAAGCCTAGGCTCCGCCCATCTTTGCAAAATTGCGGCATGGTTTTGAAAAAGCTTCAATTTGAGACCGAATAAGCCTAGGCTCCGCCCATTTTTGTTTTGCAATTTTGCGGCACACTTTTTTGATCATTTTAACACCAAACAAGCCTAGGCTCCGCCCATTTTTGCAAAATTGCGGCATGGTTTTTCTTATTTGGTGTCAAATTGAAGCTTTTCAAAAACCATGCCGCAATTTTGCAAAAGTGGGCGGAGCCAGGGCTTATGGGGTCTCAAAATGATCAGAAAAGTGTGCCGCAAAATTTCAGAACAAAAATGGGCGGAGCCTAAGCTTATTCAGTGTCAAAATGATCAGAAAAGTGTGCCGCAAAATTGCAGAACAAAAATGGGCGGAGCCTATGTATATTTGGTATCAAATTGAAGCTTTTTCAAAACCATGCCGCAATTTTGCAAAAATGGGCGGAGCTTGGGCATATTTCGTGTTAAAATGATCAGAAACTCACTCAAAATCGAATCCCGTCGCAATTCCCATCTGATGAAGTCGTTGAATAGCCATGGTGACAGCTCCACCACAAAATGACCAACCTATGGATTCAGGCTGGGTTAACTGGGCCGCCGCAATTCCGATTCGAATCTGAAGCTACAAAATTTGCGCCAAGGCTACAAAAAATGCGTCAATCTTACCTTTGTAGTGTTTTGGGCGCAGGAAAATCCGAAAATCAATAGAAAAATTGGGAAAAACATCGAAATTTTGTCAGAAAATGAAAATGACGGGAAAAATTTTAAAATTTTAATCCGTTTCGAAAATTCTAGGGCTTTAAAATTTTATTTTTGGAAAAAAATTATGTTTTCTGATTAATTTATCACAATCCCTTATTATAATACACAATGTTTGGCGGATTTTTGGAATTTTCTCGAATTTTCTGCTGAATTTCTGGCTCCAATTTTGATACCTGGAAAAAAATCAATAATTTTGGAGCATTTTTGAGCTCACACTGATCAAAATGCTCTAAAAATCAACTCAAAAGCTTCAGAGTGAATGGTGCAGGCGGTAAGTGCATAGGTCTCTGAGTTGAAGGCCGTGGGTTCGAGTCCACCCGGAAACTAAAAAAAATTTTTTTTTTGAATAGTTCCAGGGTGGGCTCGAACCCGCGACCCCAAACTCAGCGATGTAGGCACTTACCACCTGCGCCATCTCGCCAACGCATTTCTCAGCTCTCCGTGGAGCTCTGGAGCCAATTTTAGGCTCATTTTGATCAGCTCGCCGAGCTCTACCGTACCTCAATCGAACTTTTCTGCGGGAAAAGTGCACAACACAATGGAGTTGTGAAGAAGAGCATGGCTCCGGCGAGAAGACTTTGAAGGGGGATTTCCGAATATTTTTGCATTAGGGGACGCGATTTGTAGAAGGCGGTTCTTGTGATACGATTCATGATGATTGGGGTGGCGACTGGAAGAAAACCGGGTGAAATTTCAAATTTCAGGGAAAATTAGTGACGAATTCGAATTCCTGGTAAAATTCTACCCGGGAAACATGTAAAATTTGAAAAAAAAAAATAAAAAGTTCCGGGTGGGGATCGAACCCGCGACCTTTTGATCAATAGTTCAACCTCTAACCAGCTGAGCCAGAAATGGGAGCAAATTTGATGATTTTTTGAATTTTTGCTAATATGAGCAATGTTTTTTCTTAATTTTGGATCAAATTTTTGTATTAAAATGAGCAATGCCATAGTTTTCTTCTAGAATTTTTCGTTAACCTGAGCAATGCTAATTTTTTCAAGTTTTAAAATTTTCTTAATATGAGCAATGCAAATTCTTCCGAAAATTTTGGTTAACATGAGCAATGCCATATTTTCTCGAATAATTTTTGTTAACCTGAGCAATGCCATGGTTTTCTTCTGGAATTTTTGTTAACATGAGCAATGCCATATTTTCTTGAACTTTGCTAATATGAGCAATGCTAATTTTTTTCAAGTTTTAAAATTTTCTTAACCTGAGCAATGCTATTTTTCCTGAATTCATGTAGCTCAATGGGTTAAAGACATGCCTATCAATCAAAAGGTCCCAGTTCAATTCCTCATGCCGTCTTTTCTCCCTAACATGAGCAATGCTAGATTTTTTAACCTGAGCAATCCTTACCCATATACGGTGTCGCCATAGCAATACGACTCAATGTAACCTGAGCAATCGACAAAATCGCCAAACTTCTCGATTTCGCCACCAAATTCCCATCGGCATCAGTCAATTCGATGCCATCCGTGATTTCGCTGGAAAAATCGGGGTGGGGTACTGTAGCTATGGGGTACTGTAGGGGAGTACCGTACTTTGATCTCATCATTGGAATATTTATAGCGTTGGCTAGAGCGATAGCAACAAATGGAACCAATCGAGCAGCAAGGCCATGAGCGTTCTGAAGAAAAATTTGAATTTCGAGATTTTCGCGCGCGCGCGCCAAAAACTACCGTACCTTGACCATTTTGTTGAGCGTAAGCGCTGCGGCCATTGCACCGCCTGTTGCACAACAGTAAGAAACCAGGAGACGCTCATTGGTCGCATGATTGTTGCCACTCCGATTTGTGTAGTTGACGATGGCGTTGAAACTCTGCGAGAAATAAAGTCTAGTTTGAGGCGAGAGACTAGAGTCTAGTTTAGGAAACACTAGACTCTAGTTTTGATGAAAATTCGGGTTGAAAAATGAGGATTTTGAGGGCTGCGATATACTTTGTTTTAGGGTCAAACTAGAGTCTAGTTTGAGGGCGGAAACTAGAGTCTAGTTTGAGGGCGGAAACTAGAGTCTAGTTTGGGAAATACTAGACTCTAGTTTTGATGAAAATTCGGGGCTTCTTTGAATTGAAAAATGAGGATTTTGAGGGCTGAAATATACCTTGTTTTTGGGGTCAAACTAGAGTCTAGTTTATGGGGATACTCGAGAGTAAACTAGAGTCTAGTTTTGGCAGTAATCTGGCTTGTATTTATGGTCAAACTAGAGTCCAGTTTACGGGGATTTTTGAGGTCAAACTAGAGTGTAGTTTATGAATATTTTTGAGGTCAAACTAGAGTCTAGTTTGTGATGAGAACTGTTTTGTTTTTTGGGTATAACTAGAGTCTAGTTTAGAAGGATGTTTGAGAGTAAACTAAAGTCAAGTTTTGGCACTGATCAGTCTTGTATTTATGATCAAACTAGATTCTAGTTTACGGGTATTTTTTGAGGTAAAACTAGAGTCTAGTCTTGATCAAAGCATTTTGATTTTTCAAAACCTGAGCAAAACTAGAGTCTAGTTTCAATGAAAAGTCGGGATTTTTGGACAAACTAGAGTCTAGTTTGCTAGTTTGAAGTTTCTAGGGTTGAAAAACGCGATTTTTCACCTAAAAACCATGATTTTCAGCCAAAATTTCATATTTTCAGCCCAAATTCCAGCCCAAAAACGCATACCTGATTAAACCAATGACTAAAAAGCGCTCCACCGGTCGTTCTATACAATCCCAGCAAAAATCCGGTCGTCACCATATTTCCGGGCATTTGTGCCGACATTCTGCCAATCACAAACATTTTCTCGCCCGAATCCGGATGAAATGTCGAATCGTAGAGGATTTTAGCATCCCACAGTTGTTTGACAGTGAGATTTGCGGGGAATTTGCCGTTTTTGTAGTCGACGACGATTTGACGAGCTTCTTCTTGACGACGATGTGAGGCAAAAAGGGTGAGCGGGTTGGCGGAGGCGAAAAAGTGACGAGCACGGCCTGGAATGTGAAAAAATCATGATTTTTGATGGAAAATGAGCTAAAAATCGTGAAAATTGACCCCGGGGACTAGTTTTTCACCCATTTGGAGTTGTAGGCCATCGAAAATCATGATTTTTGATGGAAAATCAGCTGAAAATCGTGAAAAATAACATGGTGACTAATTTTCACCTATTTGGAGTTCTAGACCACCAAAAATCATGATTTTTGATGAAAATTGACCGAGGGACTAGTTTTTCACCAATTTGGTGTTCTAGGCCACCAAAAATAGTGATTTTTGATGAAAATTGACCGAGGGACTAGTTTTTCACCTTATTGGAGTTCTAGGCCACCAAAAATCATGTTTTTTGATGAAAATTGACCGAGGGACTAGTTTTTCACCAATTTGGTGTTCTAGGCCACCAAAAATAGTGATTTTTGATGAAAATTGACCGAGGGACTAGTTTTTCACCAATTTGGTGTTCTAGGCCACCAAAAATAGTGATTTTTGATGAAAATTGACCGAGGGACTAGTTTTTCACCTTATTGGAGTTCTAGGCCACCAAAAATCATGTTTTTTGATGAAAATTGACCGAGGGACTAGTTTTTCAGCTAAAAAATGAGCCAAAAATCGTGAAAATTGAGTCAGGGACTAGTTTTTCACCTATTTGGAGTTCTAGGCCATCAAAAACCATGTTTTTTGATGGGGAATGAGCCAAAAATCGTGAAAAATAACATGGGGACTAGATTTTCACCAATTTTTAGCTCTAGACCATCAAAAATCATGTTTTTTTCGATGAAAATTGAGTCAGGGACTAGTTTTTCACCAATTTGTAGCTCTAGGCGATAAAAAATCATGATTTTTGTTGGAAAATGAACCAGGGACTAGTTCTTCACCTATTGGTGTTCTAGGCCATGAAAACTCGGTCATAAATCATTTAGACATTAAAATTCGTGAGAAATCATGAAAAATAAGCCAAAAATCGATAAAATAGGATAAAATCAAAAAAATTTATGATGTCTAGACATTTTCACATCCAAAATTCGTCAAAAAACACGATTTTTCAATCAACACATCTGAAAATGTTGTTTTTTTCGCTCAAAATCTTCTTAATCATTCAAATCGCTTTGGCATGTTCTTTTACAACAGACTGTGCAGAAGGTCTTTATTGTGATAATTACGGGGATTGTTCAAAACCTTGGCCAGGCACTCAAACCACAACTCAAGATTATTATTAGATATTTTTGAGTTTTGAAGAGGAAATAAAGTTATTCTTATCATTTTCCACTAATTTTCAGCAAAAAATCACGATTTTTGATGAAAAATGAGCTAAAATTCATTAATTTCGCACATTTTCAACCGAAAATATGAAAATTGGGTGATTTTTCATGATTTTTGATCATTTTCAGCCAAAAACCAACCCCAAAACACCCTACCTTCATACGTTGATTGATCCCATTTGGGTTTCGAAATATCCGGCAAAACGCGTTGATCTCTGACTAAATCCGACATTTTCTCTATTTATTAATGTTTAGAAACTGAAAAATGAGAGAGATATTTCAAGCCCGCAGCGACTTTTTCCACGTTGTAAAATTATGTGGCAGTTGGCTGGGAGGTCACGCAAAAAATGGGGGGAAAACGAAAATTTCGAAAAAAAAAAGAAAACACCAAGACTCCGGCATTGACGCTGCGCGCGCGTCTCCCAGTGTGGATTTACGGGATGCATTTTTTTCTTTTTTTTTTTTTTTTTTGCGCGCGCAAAGCTGTTTTTAGTGGAAAATGACTTGTTTTAGGTAGAAAACCAAGTATTTTCGGTTAATTTTTTGAGATTTCAGTGAAAATTGCCACGTCATAGGTAAAAAATCGTGTTTTTTTGCGATTTTCATGCTTAAAATCGCAAATTTTTTGAATTTTCAGAATTTCCCGCCACAAAATGCCCCAACAATTCGTGGATTTCGCGGAAAATGTGAGTTTTTTCCGTGCAAAATTGAGATTTCCGATCAGTTCACCGAAGCAGCAAACTTTTCTCCTCGTTTTTTTGTTTTCCACCCAAATTTGTGTGGTTTTAAGTAAGAAAAACCTCTTTTTTGTGGTTTTTCTCCAAAAAAGTTGGCTCAAATCGAATCCTAATTTAAAACAACTCCCAATTCATTTTCTTTTCTTTTTTTCTCTTTTTTTTTTAGCTTCTTGTTACTTTATTTTTGTGGAAGAGTAGGAGTTCTCCGGTGAGATTTTCGACCAAAAATTGAAGAATTTTGAGAAGGTAGGAGAAATATGGTGCGATTTTGTACATAGGGGAATTTTGAGAAGGTAGGAGTTTTCCGTCAACATTTTTTCCCCGAGAAAATCAAGGCAATTTGAATAAGTGGTCATAAAACATGGATTTTTCTTCTTCTCAATTTTTTTTGAACATTTTTCCTACTTTGAAAAAAAAACTTGTCGAAAATCATTGCAGAATTTGCCTACCTGTGATAAAATTTGAAAATCTAGTCAAAAATCACTGCAGAATTTGCCTACCCTAATGAAATTTGGGTCAAAAATCACACCGGAGAACTCCTACTTTGAAAAAAAAAAAGTTGTCGAAAATCCTGACATTTTTTGCCTACCCTCATGAATTTTTGCTGTCAAAAATCACACTGGAGAACTCCTACTTTTGAAAAGGTTGTCGAAAATCCTGACATAATTTTCCTACCCAATTTGAAATTTTGGTAGAAAATCACACTGGAGAACTCCTACTTTGAAAATTGAAAAAATAAAATGGCTGTCGAAAATCCTGACATTTTTTGCCTACCTGTATGATCTAACGATTTTTCTGTCAAAAATCACACCGGAGAACTCCTACTGAACATTGTTTTCCAGTAGAAAATGCCACTGGAGAACTCCTAGTGGCTGTCAAAAATCCTGACATTTTTTGCCTACCCAGCCTGAAAATCTGGTCAAAAATCACTGCAGAATTCGCCTGATCTCTCCTCTCTTCTCTTTTTTTTCATTTTTTGATGAACCAATTAAAAAAATCTGACAATTGTTGTCAATTTATATGTTTTTCCTCTTTTTCTTTTTTTTTTCAAAAAAAAAAAAAAACTTTTCTTTAAAAAAAATCCGCCGCAGAAAAAGTATTGTTTTTGGCGAAATTTGATACATTTTTTTCCATCATCGAGTTTTTTCGCACAGATTTTTTTTTGCAGACGAAAAGCTTGCGGCCCAATGGATGACGAGGATTATAATTCGGTGAATTCCGATTGGGAAAGTGTGTCGGATGAGCCGCCAAAACTCGAAATTCCCCTACAAAAAGTGAGTTTTTCGGGGAAAATTTGGGAAAATTCGGGTTTGTCGTGAAAAATTGGCCAGGAAACATATGTTTTTGACACGGAAAATGTTGATTTTTATTGATCAGAAGGTCGCGGGTTCGATCCCCGGTGCCTGCGGAATTTTTTTTTGAATTTTGAGCCAGAAAACCCTGATTTTTTGCATAGATCTCTTTGTTTTTTATTGCCCAGAAGGTCACGGGTTCGATCCCCGGTGCCTGCGGAATTTTTTTTTTGAATTTTTTTCACTCAAAATCCATGATTTCGGACCAGTTTTTCACGGAGAATTCGATTTTCAGCACTAGAAAATCTGAAAATTTGTCTGAAATTCCAGATCTACAACGGTCATGTTCCTCCAATTGAAATCACACGATCCAATTCACCATGTCCATCACATTTGCCATCACCAAGTCAGTTTGGGGAGCCAAAAAAAAATACGAAAAATTTTTTTTTTCATCGTAAAAATCCGCGCCTTGGGCTCTTTTCCCACGGGAATTTTGAGCTGAGCAACAAAAAAAATTTTTTTTTAGTTTTGAATATATTTTTATTGTTTTTCTTGTGAAAATTTATAAAATATGGTTCAGAAGGTCAGGGGATCGATCCCCAATTCCTGCGAATTTTTTTTCGAGTTCACCGTAAAATTTGAGCCGGAAAACGTGGTTTTCCCGCAGAAAAACATGGTTTTTCTATTGATCACAAGGTCAGGGGATCGATCCCCGGTGCCTGCAAAATTTTTTTTTTGAAATTTCAGATTTTCAGGCTGAAAAATGCCCAATTTTTCACCGGTTCCCCCCAAAAAAATCCCTGGGGACCTTTTTCCCCACTAAAAAATGTCGCCAAAATGGATTTCTTTTGGCTTTTTTTTTGGCTTTTGACTTTTTTTTCCGGAAATTTCCGGTGGAAAATTTGAATTTGAATTTGGCGCCCGAAAAAAAGCGCGCGCAGCAAAAAAATGGCAAAAATATATATTTTGATTCAATTTTTCTTGGCGCCGCCAGAAAATCTCATCATTATTTTTTTTTTTTTTTTTGTGTGTGTGTGGCTTGTGGATGAGGCTTCTTATATTCATTTTGAGATTGATTTTTTTGGCGCCAAAAAATTTGGGGGGTACTGTAGGTAATCTTGTCGAGACCCTGAATTTCATTGGATTACTGTAGGTATATTTTTTCTGGGAATACTGTAACAGTTTTCCCGCCAAAAATTGAATTTTCAAAAAAAAACATTTGCCACGTGGATTAAAGGGACATACAGTACTTTTGAAAAAACTTAAGGCAGTCAAAAATCTTGACATATTTCTCCTACCCACCAAAATCGTTAGAAATCCACATAAGTTTAAAGGGACATACAGTAACCTTTTTTTCAAAAATCTACTGTAGATCCATTGACAAATATGGTCTCGACAAGATAACCTACAGTACCCCAGCCAATTTGCCACGTCTTAGGATGTCAAAAATCCTGGCATATTTCGCCTACTGTCAAAAATGCTACCATATTTTCCCTACTTTCCCATTTTTGGTGTCAAAAATCGCCAAATTTAAGCCACGCCCCCCTGTAATAAATCATATAAATAATAATGAAAATAAAAAAATTTGGTGGTTTTTCAGCCCCAGAAAAAAATATTAGTAGTGTTTTCCGCTTCTTCTTCTTCTCCCATTCTTTTTCATTTTTTTCCTGCTTTTTTCTTTTTTTTTTCCGTCATTCTTAAGTTGATGATGAGAAAAGAAGAGAAAAGATCTTCTTCCACCTGAAGGAATTTTTTCTCTTTTTTTTTTCTTCATATTTTCACCGAGTTTTCCACTGCTTGTTGTGCTTTTTTTCGAGGAAAATTCGCAGATTTTCAGCTTTTGAGCTGATTTTATCTGAAATTTTTTGATCTACAGTAACCCTAGAAATTTGGGCCCTATTTTTTGATCCAAAAAATATGTGGCACAATTTTTATGATCCACAAAAAATGCAGTTCTACAGTAACCTTAAGGTTTTCTGAAACTTAGGGCCGAAATTTGATGATCTATTAGAAATTTGGAATTTTTTGAGCTACAGTACTCCATTTGATATGAATTTTGTGACCCACAAAAACTGCAGTTCTACAGTAACCTTAAGGTTTCCTAAAACTTAGGGCTGAAATTTGAGGATTTGAAAATTTTTTTTAACCCTAGAACTTGTGGCTACCAAAAATTTGAATTTTTTTGAGATACAGTACCCTCTGTGATCTACAGTAACCCCTCTAAAAATCCCATTTTAAGCCAGAATTCTTTGATCTTTCCAAAAAAAAATCAGTCCACCTACAGTACTCCTGTCCCTTTAAAAACCCCGTGATTTCTTTTGTTATTTGAGTGACTCAAACTTTTCGCCCTGCAAAAATTTGCTATCTCAAATTTCATATCAACACTACATTCCTGATTTTCTCTGCGTCTCTAACGCGTATAGATTTTCTTGTCGAGACCCTACTCCTTTTTTACTGGTTTCTCTGCGTCTCTAACCCCCTTTCTCTCACTCTCTCTCTCTCTCGTTCCAGCTGAAATATTTTCCCAGATTACTGTAAGGATTATCTTGTCGAAACCATAAAATTGCATTTTTTTTTCACTGTTTTTCTCTGCGTCTCTAACCCCCCTCCCTCCTCTCACTCTCTCTCTGCGTCTCAAACCCTCTCTATCTCTAGCTGAAAATTCCAGAAGCGCTCCGCCAAAAATAAAAAAAATGACGGAAAGCTCTCCGGAGCCGCTGGACGATTTGTATGATGTGGAGCAGCAAAATGCACAAAAACGCCGTCCGGTCGTCCGTTGGCAAAGTATGAAAGAGGAGGCGAGCAGTATGCGACGTGTCGAAACTCTCCCCGAAATGCACAATCACTCGGATGGTAGCGGTTCCGCGCCGCCGCAGCCGCGCGGAAGACGCGCGCGGCATCGACGCAGACAACATTTGAGACGTGCTAATAATAATGGTTCGCGGTTTTTTTTTACAAAATTCAATTTTTTGTGCATTTTCCGGGTTTTCTAGCAATTTTCACATGTTTCTTGGGATTTTTTCGAATTCCTGATGAAATTTGGAGATTTTTGACACCCATATTGATATATTTTTAAGAATTTTGAAAAATTTCACCATGGTGCAATTAAAGTTTTGAATCTAGGAATTCTGAAGTTTTCACGGCGTTTTAAATGTGATTTTCAGATTTTTCATGAAATTTCACGAGTTTTGACACCCATATTGATATATTTTGAAGAATTTTAATTTTTGGCGCCAAAATTGCACCATATGGTGAAAATTTTCAAATTTTCTCGAAATTATATCAAAATGGGTGTCTAAAATCTCCAAATTTGTTGAAAAATTCGAAAATTTCAGGAAAAACCATTAGAAAACCCTGTATCGTGAGATTTGGTGGATCTTTGGTGCCAAAATTGCACCCTATGGTGAAAAATTCAAATTTTCACCAAAGTAGGTCAATATGGGTGTCTAAAATCGTGAAATTCCGTGAAAAATCTGAAAATCCCCCGATTTCCACCAAAAAATGTCTAGAAAACCCGGTTTCACGCAATTTTTGACCCGAAAATCTGATTTTTATCAATATGGGTGTCTAAAATTGTGAAATTTCACTGAAAATCCCACATTTTTCAGCTGAAATTCGCTTTCCAAATAATTTTCCTTCAAAAAAAGCGTATCAAATCGATAAACACTTGTCACACATTCTTTCTTCTTTCAAACAAGAAAAAAACTTTTTTTTGTGCCAAAATTTTGTTCGCGAACAGAAGAAAAAGCGAAAGCGGAGCTCAAAAAAACAACAGCTGGCATGTATGTTTTGAGTAGCCCAAGAAGTTTTACAAAAAAACAATATAATGAAATTGTCCAGGGGGGCTAAAAATCTGAAATTCACTCTGAAATCGTATTTGAAATTGAGCACGCCCTCCAAAATCCTGCCTAAAGCATTGCTCATGTCAGGGGGAGCATTTTGAGACCAAACATGCCTTGAGCGGAGCGAGTAAAAAAAAATATTGCTCATATTAAGGGGGCCCTGTCAAAATCCACCAAGAAAATCTGAAATTTTTCCAGACGAAGATGGCGATTCGCACGGCAGCCTACAGCACAGTTTTCTACGAGTTCCAGTCGGATTATCGGGCAGATCTTCTCCATCGATTGCATCGATGGGTTCGGAACCCGAGTCTTGTATTGATGACACACAGTTTCTGAGCGATGATGATGAGATAGGTGGGTTCTGGGGGAGATTTTGACACCAAATATGGGATGTGGGTGGAATTCGGGAGATTTTGATACCAAACACGGTGTGTTTCGGGTGAAACTGGTATGTTTTTGTACATTTTTCTTGCAATTTTTGTAACCTAGAACTTGTGGGGATTATTTTGACACCAAACACGGCGTGCTTTTGATGATTTTGTGAAAATGTGATCCCCCCTCTGTACTGAAAGGTATGAGGGGTAACTTCTTCGAGTTAGGCTAATTCAACTGTGATTTTTGGAATCTTGACAGGATTCTGATCATGTAGACACCTCACTTGATTATTTTTTGATATTCTTGTGAAAATTTGTACCCCCCCCCCTTTTTTGTACTTACCTACCATAAAAGGGGGGTACACTATTCAGCCTAACTCAATTTTTTCCGGATTTTTTCGAAATTTTTGGATTCTACACGGGATTCTGAGCATTTTGAGACCTCACTTGACTATTTTCTGATATTTTTGTGAAAATTTGGTACCCCCCCCCCCGCTCTTCTTACCTACCATAAAATGGGGGGGGGGGGGTAAACTATTTTGCCTAAATCATTTTTTTCCTGGATTTTTGGGTTCTACACAGGATTCTGAACATTTTGGTACCTTATTTGGCTAATTTTTGATAGATTTGTGAAAAAATGGTACCCCCCCCCCTACCTATATCCAAGGGGGGGTCTACTATTTAGCCTAACTCAATTTTTTCCGGATTTTTCCTAAATTTTCGGAATCTACACATGATTCTCAGCATTTTGAGACCGCACTTGACTATTTTTGTGAAAATTTGATACCTACCGTAAAGGGGGGGGTATACTATTTACCCTAACTCAATTTTTCTGGATTTTTGGTGATTTTCGTGATCTACAAAGGATTCTGAGCATTTTAAGACCTCACTTGACTATTTTCTGATATTTTTGTGAAAATTCCCCCCTCGTTTTCTTACCTGCCATAAGGGGAAGGGGGGGTATACTATTTAGCCTAGCTCAATTAGTCCTGAATTTTTTGTGTATTTTTTAAATCTACAGAGGATTCTGAGTATTTTGGTACCTCACTTGATTATATTTTGATATTTTTGTGAAAAAATGGTACCCCCCCCCCTACCTATATCCAAGGGGGGTCTACTATTTAGCCTAACTCAATTTTTTCCGGATTTTTCCTAAATTTTCGGAATCTACACATGATTCTCAGCATTTTGAGACCGCACTTGACTATTTTTGTGAAAATTTGATACCTACCGTAAAGGGGGGGGGTATACTATTTACCCTAACTCAATTTTTCTGGATTTTTGGTGATTTTCGTGATCTACAAAGGATTCTGAGCATTTTAAGACCTCACTTGACTATTTTTTGATAATTTTGTGAAAAATGGTACCCCCCTTACCTTTATTCAAGGGGGGGGGTATACAATTTAGCCAACTTATTTTTCTCCGAATTTTATGTGAATTTTTGGATTCTACACAGTATTCTGAGCATTTTGACACCTTAATTGACTGTTTTTTATAATTTTGTGAAAAATGGTGCCCCCCCCCCTCTTCTTACCTACCATTTTGACCGCACCCCAAATAAAAAAAGGCTAATTTTATTAATCAACATGGCTAAGAATTTAGTTTCACAAATATCTAGCCGCTCTTCCACACACATACATCTTACTTTTCGTCGAACATAGCATATCTTGTACAGCCGCGTCAGGAACTTGATTAGATCGAATAGACCACAAAATCAAGCATCTCTTATACTGTCCATTGACTAGATTTGAGTTTGGAGCATAGGCAGCAAAATTATATTTATAAGTTGTAAGGTATTTGTCATAAAATGCATAGCGATCCGGAAAACTCGGCTCTGTATACTTATCCATAAGTCGTCCATCAATTGCTATAGTCATTGTAACATCCGGTGAATGTAAAGTATAACCAGTCGAAACAATATACCATAACTCATCTTGACTTGCGATTCCAGAAATTGTTGCACTTTTCTCAATATTATTGCAGAATTTGTAGACTTCTGTGAAGTTCCGGGAAGTGTTAAGAAATAAATTCATGCACCAAGTGCCCTTTGGGCGGGATGATGATGAATACCAATTTCTTGGGCACGGCCCCTCAACTTGCCAATGGGTTCCGGTAGCTGTGTAGGTATAGTTTTTTGAATAGTAGATTTTGGCGGGTGATTTTGGACAAGTTGTAGTGTTGGTCTGGAAAATTTTTACTCTGAGATAGGCCTGTGACGGAGTCTTCCAGGCCTGTCCCGGAGTCTCCCAGGCCTGTACCGGAGTCTACCAGGCCTGTGCTGGAGTCTACCAGGCCTGTCCCGGAGTCTACCAGGCCTATCCCGGAGTTTCCCAGGCCTGTGCCGGAGTCTCCCAGGCCTGTGTACATATTACCTACCTTAAATGAGAAAAACTCAGCAACCGGTGAGCTATCAATTTTCAAAATTGAAAATAAATTTCCGTAATTATAACTGATGCATGTCCGATTTGAAGTTTTGTAGTAAACAGCCTACAAAATGTTTTTTTTTAAATTTAAATTAAAATTTTTTTTTAATCAAAAATCAAAACCTACCGCGCAATTATTCAAATTCGCACATTTGTCACCGCAAATTGTGTGACTAGCACAATTGGTTGCGAGAACTGTTAATCCCGAATATTCGACAGGTCTTCCAGCAATTGTCACAATTTTAGATTGACTTTGCTGAAATAGTAGCAGAAATACAAATACTAGGAGCATTTTTTGAAGAATAAAACTGGTTTTTAGCTTTTTTTAAATGTTTTGTCATGACTACGAGGTCTACCATTTTTTTTGTTGATTTTTGAATATTGAAGTGTCTGGAAGAGGAAAGAGGTGTGTAATTTGGCCTAACTCAGTTTTTTCTGGATTTTTTGGATTCTACACGGCATTCTGAACATTTTGGTACCTCACTTGATTATGTTTTGATAATTTTGTGAAATTTAGGTACCCCCCCCCTCTTCTTACCTACCACAAAAGGGGGGGGGGTCTACTATTTAGCCTAAATCATTTTTCTCCCGATTTTATGTGAATTTTTGGATTCTACACGGGATTCTGAATATTTTGACACCTCACTTGACTATTTTCTGATATTTTTGTGAAATTTTGACCCCCCCCCTTTTCTTACCTATCGTAAGGGGGGTATACTATTTAGCCTAACTTTTTTTTTTCTGGATTTTTTGGGGATTTTTGGATTCTACACGGGATTCTGAACATTTTGACACCTTATTTGACTAATTTTTGATAATTTTGTGAAAATAGGCACCCCCCCCCCGTTTTCTTACCTACCGTAAGGGGGGGGGGGGTACTATTTAGCCTAACTCAGTTTCCTCTGGATTTTTTTGAGATTTTTGGATTCTACACAGTATTCTGAGCATTTTGAGACCTGGCAAGCTCAGGTTTTCAGAAAAAAAATTTTTTTTTTCATATTTTTTCCGTTTGAAATCTGGTTTCCCCGTCCAAAAAAATAACAATTTATCAAGATTTCCATTAATCTTTCGAACTTCTGAATCTTCTTGTCTTTTTCCACATTTTCCTCGGCAAAAATTGGATTTTTTTCTTTCGGGTCTAAATTATTCATGTCCAAACCACTTAACAGAATGTCCAAAGCTACGTGGGAAACTTTTTTTTCGAAAATTTTTCATTTTTTCTGCTTCTTCTTCTTTGAGTTTGGTTGGGCTTGGTAGAGATTTATGAGGAAATCTCGAATTTTCACAGTGTTTTGAGCGGGATTTTCGGAATCCTGGTGAAATTTGGGGATTTTTGAGTATGATTTTGGCCAGGTTCCAATTTAGTGCAACTTTTGGCCAGAAAAACTTGTTTTTTTCAAAATTTCTTGAAATTATATGAATATGGATGTCAAAAATCGACAAATTTTATGGAAAATCTGAAAATTGACCTCAAGAAGTCCGAAATTCTCTAGAAATTTCGAAATTTCCCATAAACATTTTTGGCCAGAAAAACGTTTTTTTCGAAATTTCTTAAAATCATATCAATATGGGTCTTGAAAACTCCAAATTTCGTGAATAATCTGAAAATTTTGCTGAAAATGTCTGAAAGCTTCTAGAAATCTCAAAATTGTCCAGAAAATATTTTTGGCCAGAAAAACTTGTTTTTTTTTAAAATTATACCAATATGGGTGTCAAAAATCCACAAATTTCATGGAAAATCTGAAAATTTCCCGAATTTCCGCCCAAAATTTGTGCTTTTCCTCTCGCCAAACACACACATCTAATTATGCTAATTATATTCGATTTTCTTCGTGTTTTTTCCTAGCCGCACACACAAAAAATCCGACACTTTTTGCCGTTTTTTGTGCCTCAGAGCCGGCCAATTATCGGACCTTTTTTCGAAAAAAAAAACTTTTTTTTTTTGAAAAAATTTGTGGCAAAAACCTGAGAAAAGGGGTAATTCAATATTCAAGGCAACTCTTTTTTTTTTTTTTTTGAAAAAAAACCGCAAAAAATTTTTTTGGCGCCTTTCGAAAAGAAAAATCTTTTCTTTTTTTCTTCAGAAGCACAAAAAACATACATTTTCTTCTTAAATCCGCAGCCAAAAAAATGTCTGCGTCTCTCGATTTCTCGCACTCTCTCTCTCTCTCTCTCGTTTTTTCGTCAACCTTTCCAATTCTTCTTTTTTTTTTCATTTTGCTTGGAGCTTCCGAAAATTTACATTTTTTTGGTTATTTTTTTGAGAAAGCAAAGATTTTAGTGATTTTTTGAAAATTCTGTGCTCCAGAAGTCAAAAATCTCAAAATCTGGAATTTTCACGGTGTTTCAGTCCAGATTTTCGAATTCTACGTGAAATTTGAAGATTTTTGAGTATAATTTTGGCTGGGTTTCAAAAATTTTCAATTTTGAGCCCTGAAAATGCTCCAAAAATTAAAATTCTCGAAACCTAGTCAATATTATACTCAAAATTCCCCAAATTTCACAAGGAACTCAAAAATTCCACTCAAAACACCGTGAAAATTCCAGATTTTCTAGATTTTCAATTTTGAGCCCTGAAAATGCTCCAAAATTGATTTTTTCGAAACCTAGTCAATATTATACTCAAAATTCCCCAAATTTCACAAGGATTCCAAAAATCCCACTCAAAACACCGTGAAAATTCCAGATTTTCTAGATTTCTCATTTCTGAGCCCTGAAAATGCTCCAAAATTAATTTTTTCGAAACCTAGTCAATATTATACTCAAAAATCTCCAAATTTTACGAGGAATCGAAAAATCTTGGTTAAAACACCGTGAAAATTTCAGATTTTCTAGATTTCTCATTTCTGAGCCCTGAAAATGCTCCAAAATTGATTTTTTCGAAACCTAGTCAATATTATACTCAAAAATCCCCAAATTTCACAAAGAATCGAAAAATCCCACTTAAAACACTGTGAAAATTCCAGATTTTCTAGATTTCCCTTTTCTGAGCCCTGAAAATGCTCCAAAATTGATTTTTTCCAGAACCTAGTCAATATTATACTCAAAATTCCCCAAATTTCACAAGGAATCGAAAAATCTTGGTTAAAACACCGTGAAAATTCCAGATTTTCTAAAATTTCCCTTTCTGAGCCCCCGAAAAATCCAGTTTTTGACCTTTTGCACTTTTTCTGTCAATTGAAACTAATCGAGTGTGAAATTCTCGTTTTCATGTGCTCCAAAAGTCTGAGCACAATTTTTTGTGCCGAAAAAATTTAATTGAAAATTTCCTCACAGCTTTTCCGGAAAAAAGTGTAAAATGTGCAATTAGTCGATCGTAAAAATCTGAACAGCTGTTTTAATCAAAAAAATTGCACATTTTGAGCCAAATTTTGATGAGCTGGCACATTTTTGAGCCCAGGATTTGTTTTGGCCAATTTTTGGCCCGTTTTGGCCCATTTTCAGCCCAATTTTCACCCAAAAATGCCCAAAAAATGTGTATTTTTCGCCTCGAAAACTCGAAATTTTTTAATTTCGCACCCGATCTCATCTCATTTCATTTTACTCTTCTTTTTTTCGCCACACAAAAAATTCGTCATTCAATTTTTATTGCTTTTTTCGTAGAAAAACCTAGTAAAATTTCATTTAAAATTGAAAAATTCTGAATTTTTCGAATTTTCACGGTGTTTTAGTCCAAATTTTCGGATTCTTTGTGAAATTTGACGATTTTTAAGACCCATATTGATATAGTTTTAAGAAATTTTGAACAACATGTTTTCTGGACAATTTTGAGATTTCTAGAAGCTTTCAGACATTTTCAGCAAAATTTCTAGATTTTCCACGAAATTTGACGATTTTTGACACCCATATTGATATATTTTCTATAAATTTAAAAAAAAACATGTTTTTCTGGCCAAAAATTCTAAATTTTTGGGAAAAATATCAAAATTTGGTCTCAAAATGCTCCAAATTTCATGGAGAACTCAAAAATTCCACTGAAATTTTTCCCCAAAAATTTTTTGCTCAAGTATTTTGTGCTCCGAGCTCTCAAAATTAGATCAATCAATCAATCTTTTCATTATTTTGCTCTCTTCTGCCCAACATTTTTTTTGAGTCAAAAATTTCATTCATTTTCAGACAACCTTGTGTTTGGCTGAAAATTTTGCGAAAAAATTTTTTTGGTGAAAAAAATTCCTTGGGGATTTCATTTTGGGCGAATGAATTTTTTGATGGACTTGAAGTTTTTGAGCTCGAGATTTTTTTTTTGGAAAAAAAATTATTGATTTTTGGCGCCTTCACAGCCAATTTTTCAGTCAAAAATGTAAGCTAACATGAGCAATGCTTAAAAATTCTTCGAATTTTCCCGAAATCTAGAAGTTAATATGAGCAATGCTTCAAATTTCTCGAAATTTTTGCGAAATCTAGAAGTTAATATGAGCAATGCTTCAAATTTCTTCAAATTTTCCCGAAATCTAGAAGCTAATATGAGCAATGCTTCAAATTTCTTCAAATTTTCACGAAATCTAGAAATTAACATGAGCAATGTTTCAAATTTCTCCAAATTTTCCCGAAGTCTAGAAATTAACATGAGCAATGCTCCAAATTTCCTGAAAATCCAGAGATTTAGCCTATTTCCAATAATTTAACATGAGCAATGTTTCAAATTTCTCCTAATTTTTGCGAAATCTAGAAGCTAATATGAGCAATGCCTAAAAATTTCCCAAATTTCCCGAAATCTAGAAGTTAATATGAGCAATGCTTCAAATTTCTCGAAAAATCCAAAGATTTGGCCTATTTCCAATAATTTAACATGAGCAATTCTTTTTTTTCCAAATAAAATTAACCTTATGCTGACGCATTTCTGGTAGCTACTAGAAATGCGTCAGCTAATTTCTTAAGCCAATTTTTCAGTCAAAAATTCAAGCTAACATGAGCAATGCTTCGAATTTCTCAAAGATTCTAAAAATATGGCTCATTTTGCTGTTTTTTTTTGGTGAAAATCTGAAAGTTAATATGAGCAATGCTACAAAATTTTTTGCAAACTAGGCAAATTTTCAAATTAGTTGTGTGTCAAAGTGTCAAAATGAGACACATTTCCACGGCGAAAAAAAAGTTCAAGTGTCTTTTTTTTTCTTCTGCTCCGCGAGCCGAGCTCCGCGCGAGCTTCTCCTATTTTTTCCAGGCGTGCTCATTTATTCTTCTCCCCGTTTTTTTTCGCGCGATCCTCCTTTTTTCACTTTTTTTGCTCGCTTGCTACTATTACTATTTGTTGTTTTTACTAGAAAACATAATAGCATATCCAATTAGTTTTTTTGCGAGGAATCTGGAGATTTTTGAATTTTCTGGCGGTTTTGAATGTGATTTTTGGGTCCTGCGTGGAATTTGGGGAATTTTGATACCCATATTGATATAGTTTTGTAAAATTTTCGAATTTTTCACCATGGTGCAGTTCCGACACCAAAAATTTGAAATTTGAAATTTCTGTATTTTTCACGGTATTTTGAATGTGATTTTCAGATTTTCCATGAAATTTCACGATTTTCAGCGTAAAATTTGGGTCTGAAAATATTTTTTTTGAAAAAAAGGTAACCCCCCCCTGGGTTCACCCAAGGGGGGGTACCTTTTTTCTCAAAATCCATTTTCCTTGCTGTAAAAATATTTCCAGACTCAAATTTTGTGCTGAAAATCAAAAAAACCATTTATTTTCAGCAAGCTCGCGATTTTCAGCGTAAAATTTGGGTCTGAAAATATTTTTTGGGAAAAAAGAACCCCCTGGGTTCAGCTAAGGGGGGGGGGGTACCTTTTTTGCTCAAAATCCATTTTCCTTGCTCTAAAAATATTTCCAGACCTAAATTTCGTGCTGAAAATCACAAAAGCATTTATTTTCAGCAAGCTCGCGATTTTCACCGTGAAATTTGGGTCTGAAAATATTTTTTTTTGGCTCAAAATGCTCCAAATTTCATGAAGAATTCCAAAAAAATCCCAAATTTTTCAAATTTCGCGCTCAAAAATAAAAATTTTCCAATTTTCCATATTTCCTGGAAAAATCCCCTTTCCAATAGGCAAATAAAAGAAAAAAAGAAGAAAAAAAAGAGAGGGTGGATGTGGAGAAAATTAATTTTTATGAAAAAAAAAGCAAAAAAAAAAATGGGGAATGGAAAAATATACTGAATATTTTATTCGCCTCCTCTTTTTTTCTTATTTTTTTTGTGCTCCAAATTTTCCTCGCTGAGCAAAAAATCCCGGAAAATTCCAAAATTTAGCTGAAATTCTTTCCAGAGCTCTCTGAGCAAAAAATTTTTCAATTAATTTCTTTTTGCTGTTGGCCATTATTTTTTTATCTCTTTTTTATTTTATTTTTTTTCGAGTTTTCACCCTCATTTTTTAATTAATCTAACTTTTCTGCGCGGGAAATTTGAATTTTCTCGAAGTTTTGAGCCAAAAATTGCACAAAAACTAGAATTCTGAAGTTTTCACGGGATTTTCAATGTGATTTTTGAATTTTTCATGAAATTTCACGATTTTTGACACCCATATTGATATATTTTTAAGAATTTTTGAAAATTTCACCATGGTGCAATTAAAATTTTGAATCTAAGAATTCTAAATGTTTTCACGGTATTTTGAATGTGATTTTCAGATTTTTCATGAAATTTGGTGATTTTTGACACCCATATTGATATATTTTTGAGAATTTTTGATTTTTGGCGCCAAAATTGCACCATGGTGAACAATTTTCAAAATTTCTTAAAAATATATCAAGATGGGTGTCTAAAATCCCCAAATTTTCTGAAAATTCTGAAAATTTCAGGAAAAACCTTCAGAAACCTCTAAATCGTGAGATTTGGTGGATTTTTGGCACCAAAATTGCACCATGGTGAAAAATTTTCAAAATTTCTCAAAAATATATCAAAATGGGTGTCTAAAATTCCCAAATTTTCTGAAAAATTCGAAAATTTCAGGCAAAACCTTCAGAAAACTCTGAATCGTGAGATTTGGTGGATTTTTGGCGCCAAAATTGCACCAGGGTGATCAATTTTCAAAATTTCTCACAAATATATCAAAATGGGTGTCTAAAATCCCCAAATTTTCTGAAAAATTTGAAAATCTCACTTAAAACACCGTGAAAATTGTAGGATTCCTGCTTTTTGAATTTCAAGGGAAAAATTGCACCATGGTGAACAATTTTCAAAAATTCTCAAAACTATATCAATATGGGTGTCTAAAATCTTGAAATTTTGTGAAAAATTTGAAAATTCCAGAAAAAACCTTCAGAAAACCCTGAATCGTGAGATTTGGTGGATTTTTGGCGCCAAAATTGCACCAGGGTGACCAATTTTCAAAATTTCTTAAAAATATATCAAGATGGGTGTCTAAAATTGTCAAATTTTCTGAAAAATTCGAAAATCTCAGGCAAAACCTTCAGAAAACCCTTAATCGTGAGATTTGGTGGATTTTTGGCGCCAAAATTGCACCAGGGTGACCAATTTTCAAAATTTCTTAAAAATATATCAAGATGGGTGTCTAAATTCTTGAAATTTTGTGAAAAACTCGAAAATCTCATTTAAAACACCCTGAAAACTGTAGAATTCCTGGTTTTCAAATTTTGAGGGCAGAATTGCACCAGGGTGATCAATTTTCAAAATTTCTCAAAAATATATCAAGATGGGTGTCTAAAATTGTCAAATTTTCTGAAAAATTCGAAAATTTCGGGCAAAACCTTCAGAAAACCCTGAATCGTGAGATTTGGTGGATTTTTGGCGCCAAAATTGCACCATGGTGAACAGTTTTCAAATTTTTCTCAAAAATATATCAATATGGGTGTCTAAATTCTTGAAATTTTGTGAAAAACTCGAAAATCTCATTTAAAACACCCTGAAAACTGTAGAATTCCTGGTTTTCAAATTTTGAGGGCAGAATTGCACCAGGGTGATCAATTTTCAAAATTTCTCAAAAATATATCAAAATGGGTGTCTAAAATCCCCAAATTTTCTGAAAATTTTGAAAATCACATTTAAAATACCGTGAAAACTATAGAATTTCTAGTTTTTAAATTTCAAGGGCAAAATTGCACCAGGGTGAACAATTTTCAAAATTTCTCAAAACTATATCAATATGGGTGTCTGAAATCCCCAAATTTTCTGAAAAAATTCGAAAATCACAGGCAAAACCTTCAGAAAACCCCGAATCGTGAGATTTGGTGGATTTTTGGCGGCGAATTTGCACCATGGTGAACAATTTTCAAAATTTTTCGAAAATATATCAAGATGGGTGTCTAAAATCCCCAAATTTTCTGAAAAATTCGAAAATTCCAGGCAAAACCTTCAAAAAACCCCGAATCGTGAGATTTCGTGAATTTTTGGCGGCAAAATTGCACCAGGGTGAACAATTTTCAAAATTTCTCAAAACTATATCAATATGGGTGTCTAAAATCCCCAAATTTTTTGAAAAACTCGAAAATTCCAGGCAAAACCTTCAGAAAATCCTGAATCCTGAGATTTGGTGGATTATTGGCGCCAAAATTGCACCATGGTGAACAATTTTCAAAATTTCACTATACCCTATCAATTTGGGTGTCTAAATTCTTGAAATTTTGTGAAAAATTCGAAAATCGCATTCAAAACACCGTGAAAACTGTAGAATTTCTGTTTTGGCTCCAAAAATTGAATTTTTTTTTTGAATTTCACTAAAGCCTATCAATTTGGGTGTCTAAAATCCCCAAATTTTCTGAAAATTCTGAAAATTTTGATTTCTTTGATCTTTTTGCTCATTTTCTCTCGTTCTCTTCAATTTTCGCTCTCTCTAACCCCTAAATTATCAGAAAAAGTCGGTCTCCGGGTCAATTACCAGCCCACAACAAAAAATGACAACACCGGACTCGTCAGCCGACGATCCCCTCCAATCTTCCATCACAACATCCGACGCGCCGCTCGTCTCATTCCGCGCCGCGCCGCCTTCCGCCGCCGTCGTCTCCAATTGCGCAAAATCAATTATCGATCGCAAATTGCGAAAATACGCCAGCGAGACGAGTTTCGCCACCGAAACCGCTTCCGAATCGAGTTTGGAGCGCGAGATTCCGTCGCGGACTCGCGTCTTCACAGTGAAGCCCGTGAAATCAACCGGAAGCGGAGGGACACCGGGAAAATCGTCCGCACCTCGCCGCTCGCGTCACGATTCGGACGCAAGCGGCTCTGCGAACAGCGAGGCTACCGTAGCCTCGGGGGCGAATACGCCACGCAGATGTCGACACGGTGAGCATTTTCGGCGGCCGAAAAGTGCGGGACACGTGGCAAGTGGTGGGGAAATGCACCAAAGTTGCACCTCAGCCACAATTCATAGTTTGGAGAGTCATTTGAATGAGAATATTCGGAGAGCGTCGAATGTTTATATGATGGATGATGATTCGATTCATGAATTTGAGGATGATGATGGTGGGTTTGAAAATTGGTGGATTTTGGTGCTAAAATCAGGGTTTTTGGTGAAAAATGGTGCATTTTGATACCAAATTTGGATATTTTTAAGTGGGGGACTAGTTTTTGGAAAACTAGTCCCTCTCTCTAGTGTTCCTGGTGAAAAATGGTGCATTTTAACACCAAATATGGGTATTTTTTATGAATATTGAGGGGGACTAGTTTTTTCAGGTTATTGGAAAACTAGTCCCTCGTGTATTTTACTACAAAAATACAGGTTTCTGGTGGAAAATGGTGCATTTTAACACCAAATTCGGGTATTTTTAGGTGGGGGACTAGTTTTCTCGGGTTATTGAAAAACTAGTCCCTCTCTCTAGTGTTCCTGTTGTGAAAATTGATGGTTTTTTTTTTGAATTCAAGATTTTTGGTGAAAAATGGTGCATTTTGATACCGAATACTGTATGTGCCTTTAAATGACCCCCTCCCCTTCCCAAACCCAGGGGGGGGTCACTTTTTCCTCAAAATCCCTTCCCTCTTTGCAAAATTCATTCCAGACCCAAATTTTGTGCTGAAAATCATTAAATCATCAATTTTCAGCTATTCCTTGAGCTTCAGCTCCAAATTTTGATCCAGAAAATTTTTTTTTGCTGCTCAAAGTTTGGAGCAAATTTGTGCTCTTTTTTCTAGAAAATTGGGCTATGACGTGGCAAAAATGTTGGAGCAGCTGAAAAAATTCGTTTTTTTTTTGCGAGTTGAAAAAAAAAATCATGTGAAATTTTTCGAAAAAAAAAGTTTTCTAGATCAACATTTTGTGCTGAAAATTTTGGAATCGCTGAAAATCAATGTTTCCATGAGTTTCAGCACAAAATTTGGGTCTGAAAATATTTTTGCAGATAGGAAAAGGGATTTTTTGGAAAAAAGGTACCCCTCCCCCTTTTTTTCCGCTAGGGGGGGGGGTACCTTTTTTCTCAAAATCCATGTTTCGTTATAAAAAAAATATTTCCAGACCCAAATTTTGAGCTGAAAATCATGGAATTGTTCATTTTCAGCGAGTTCTCGATTTTCAGCGTGAAATTTGAGTCTGGAAAGATTTATTTTTGGAAAAAGGCTCCCCCCTGGGTTCACCTAAAGGGGGGGGGGTACTTTTTTTTCTCAAAATCCATTTTCCTTCCTGTAAACATATTTCCAGACCTAAATTTTGTGCTGAAAATCATGGAATTGTTTATTTTCAGCAAGCTCACGATTTTCAGCGTGAAATTTGGGTCTGGAAATATTTTTTTTTGGAAAAAGGTTCCCCCCTGGGTTCACCTAAAGGGGGGGGGGTACCTTTTTTCTCAAAATCCATGTTTCGTTCTGAAAAAATATTCCCAGACCCAAATTTCATGCTGAAAATCATGGAATTGTTCATTTTCACGATTTTCAGCGCAAAAAATTGCTCTGAAACTAACTTTAGCTAATTCCAAAAAAAAGTTTTTTTGCGCCAAACTAAACTAAAATTCAGATGTCCTCCTTTTTTGTTGTCATCCGCTGTGCTCTCTTGAAAAAAAAATTGTGTGTGTGTGTGCTCTCAGCTCAGCTCAGAGCTCTGAAGATGAAGCTTTTTCTTTTTTTTTTCTTGTGCTTCTTCTTCTTCTTCTTTTTTTACTTATTTTTTTTCTAGAAGAAGAAGAAGACGAAGAAAAAAAAAAGCTCTTTTTTCTTGTGCTGTGCGCGAAAAACGAGAGTCCCCGGGTTAAATTGAATTTTGGGTTCCTTTTTAGGAGAGGCACACACAAAAAAGGATAAATTTTTGTGTGTGTCTCCGGAAAAAAAATCCATTTTTTCCCCGACGTTTTTTTTGGAGTATCTTTTTCATCACATGAGTTTTTTTTGCTTGGAGTTAGGTTTAGGCTTAGGTGTTTAGTTAGACTAAGCCTTAACCTTAAATTTGAAATTTTCAGGGGCTTTTTTTTTTAGCTTAGGCTTAGGTTTTTATTTAGGCTTAATTTTGATAGGTTAGGCTTAACCTTAAATTTTAGGTTCTTTTAGCTTAGGCTTAGGCGTTTAGTTAGGCTTAACCTTAAATTTTTAAATTTCAGGTTCTTTTTTTAGCTTAGGCTTAGGTCTTTAGTTAGGCTTAACCTTAATTTTAGAAATTTTTAGGGTCTTTTAGCTTAGGCTTAGGCGTTTAGTTAGGCTTAACCTTAATTTTGAAATTTTTAGGGTCTTTTTTTTAGCTTAGGCTTAGGTTTTCAGTTAAGTTTAACCTTAACTTTGAGATTTTCAATTTTTTAGCTTAGGCTTAACCTTAAGGCTTAGGCTTAATTTTGATTTTTTTTTTTTGAATTTAGCTTAGGCTTAACCTTAAGGCTTAGGCTTAACCATATTTTAAGCTTATTTAAATTTTTCTTCAGCTTAGACCTAATTTCTCAGTTCTCAAAATTCCCTGCCGCAAAATTGCCCGAAAAAAAAGTGGGCGTGGCCCGAAAAAACCTTTTCCAAAAAATTTTTCAACTAATTTCCGCGCGGCGGCACAAAAAAAGTAAAGTAATCCATCATTTCCATATTTTTCTGTTGTTTTTTTCCTGGAAAAAAATGAAATTCATATTTTTCCAAAATTTATTTATTTATTTATGGTCCCCCGCGAAAATAATGAGCTCTCATGTTTTTTTTCTGATTTTTTTTCTCATGAGCAATATGCTAGTTTAAGATGAGCAATGGTCGCCGTGGCTACAGTACACCGTTGGATTTGCTCGGCGAGCCGTCGGAAGACGATCCGCTGCTAGGAAGCCCTAGTGGATCGGGCCAGGGGCCCGGGCCCATTCAGGCTCCCACGGGCTCATCGCCGAGCCCCGGACTCACCCCAACTTATATCAAGAAGAAGATGACGCGACGGATATCCAATAACACGCTGCTCTTCGTTCCGGAAGGTCGCCGCGTGTCTAGCGCGTCGTGCCCCAACGCGGAAGCGGATAGCAGTCTCCCACCTCCATCTCCCGTGGGCTCTCGAAGAAAATCCGTACAAACCGGCGCGCCTGCGATAGGCTTCAGGCCGCTGCGGACCTTTGAGCGGCGGGCCAGCCAGCCCACTTTGCTACAGGTGGATGACGGAGGAATACAGACCCCCCAACTGGGGCCCACCAAGAAACCATCGAAGATTCTGACGAAGCGCGTCTCCTGGCTATCCATGGGTTGCGGAACAGCGGCTGCGGAAGGTCCGCAAGCGCAGGAGACGCGTCGGAATAGTTCTTGCGGTAGCCCGAGTCGAACTGTTAGTCAATATGGGAGTCAGGCGTATTTGGCGCATGGTGGAGGATTGATTGAACATGATTGGGATAGTGATACACCGCCGTTGGACACGTTGAGTTGGAGCAATGCGGGAAGTATGTTCTGGAGCTTGTGGTTCAGGCTTGGGCCTAGATTTCTGAGCCTGAAATTCGGTTTTGTTGGAGCTTGTGGTCTAGACCCTGAAATTCAGGCTTGGGCCTAGATTCCTGAGCCTGAAATTCAGGCTTGGGCCTAGATCCCTGAGCCTGAAATTCAGGCTTGGGCCTAGATTCCTGAGCCTGAAATTCAGGCTTGGGCCTAGATTTCTGAGCCTGAAATTCAGGCTTGGGCCTAGATTCCTGAGCCTGAAATTCAGGCTTGGGCCTAGATTCCTGAGCCTGAAATTCAGGCTTGGGCCTAGATTTCTGAGCCTGAAATTCGGTTTTGTTGGAGCTTGTGGTTCAGGCTTAGGCCTAGATTCCGAAGCCTGAAATTCGGGGGCTTGTGGTCTAGAGAATTTTAGGCTTGGGCCTAGATTCCTGAGCCTGAAATTCAGGCTTGGGCCTAGATCCCTGAGCCTGAAATTCGGTTTTGTCTATTAGCTCCTTAGGCCCAGGCTTTTTTAGCCTAAAGCCTAGATATAGGCTTACACTAAGCCTAGATCTAATCTGAGCAATGCTATAGATTTCGAAGTTTTGGCTCATTCCCACTGTCAACTTGTAAAGTTTGACCTGAGCAATATCTGAGATTTTTGGATTTTTGAAAAATCTCTAATCTGAGCAATCTCATAAATTTTTAAGTTTTCGGATTTTAACTGGTTTTCTCAGATTGTATTCCTGTACAGTATAACCTTGATTTTTGAGAATTTCGGAAAAATCTCTAATCTGAGCAATATTATAGATTTTTGAGTTTCCGGATTTTAACTGGTTTTCTCAGATTGTCTTCTTGTAAAGTATATGAGCAATCTTTTGGTTTTTAAGATTTTTTGAAAATTTCTAATCTGAGCAATGTTATGAATTTTTACTTTGCTAGAAAAAAAACTAGATAATTTGCTACTACGAACTTGTAGAACATAACCTGAGCAATCTCTTAGATTTTTGGATTTTTGAAAAATCTCTAATCTGAGCAATGAAAAATAGCTCTGAAATTAGGCTCTAAAAAGTTAAGGTAAGGTAAATGTGAGCTTAAAATTTGAAGCTTCCGGTTAGGCCTTGAATTTTGACTCTGATTTTAAGCTCATAACATTTTTAGGCTCAATTCAATTTTTTTCAAGAATCCACGTGGCTTTTTTATATTTTTCCAGATATATTTTCAGGCTGAAATTGCATGCTGAAATACAATTTTCAAATTTAGGCTAAATCAAGAGGTATTTGTTCATTTGTTTACGAATTTCGAACAGATTTTTCAATTTTTTCAAAATCCACGTGTCAATTTTTGAAGTTCTCGAATTTTCCAGATAGATTTTCAGTCTGAAATAAATTGCATGCTGAAAACAAATTTTCTCAAATACAAAAATATGTCAATCTATGTAGATATCTAGAAAAAAAGATGGCGAAAAAAAAGGAAAAGAAAAAAAATAATTATTTTTTTTCTATTCTTTTTTTTTTGTCTTTTTTTTTGTTTATGTGGCGGGGGAATTTTATATTTGAATGTGGATGGAAAAAAATGGGAAAATGAAGAAGAAGAAGAGGTACTCTAGAATGAGGGGAAAAGTTGAGTTAAGGGAACTTGGGAAGATTTTCTGAACAAAAAATTGAAAATTTCGGATTTTTTAACACTTCAGGAAAGATTTCTGAAATTTTCAGTCGAAAAATTTGCTGAAAAATTGAATGAAAATCCTAATTTTGTAGAGAATTCTGTGAAATTCTTCAAAAAAATCGGGATTTTTCCGAAAAAAAAACTGAAAAATCCAATAAAAAATTGGGAAAATCTGAAATTTGTCTGAAAATCCCCCAAAAATTTTAGATTTTCTGAAAATTTCTGATTTTATTAGGATTTTTCAACAATTCAGGAAAGTTTCTGGAATTTGAATTTTTGTAAAAAAAAATTCATTGGGGAAAAATCTGAAAATTTAAGCCTAATTTGAAGATTTTCAGGGTTTTTAGAGCATTGCTCATATTAGTCGAAAAATTTTTAAATTAAAAAATTGAATGAAAATCCTAATTTTGTAGAGAATTCTGTGAAATTCTTCAAAAAAATCGGGATTTTTCCGAAAAAAACTGAAAAATCCAATAAAAATAGAGGAAAATCTGAAATTTTGTCTGAAAATCTCGAAAATTCCTCCAAATTTTTGCAGACGAATACGACAATGTGACACTGATGTACGCAAAACACGAGAAAATTCCGATGAAAGATTTCGGATCGGAAATTCGTGCCACAATGGACATTGATCATTTGTTGAATAAGGTGAGTTGAAAATGACAATTTCCGGCGGCGGAGCTCAAAAATGTGCACTTTTTCGGCTGAAAATGCTCAAAAATGCTCATTTTTGAGGGGTTTTTCATGAAAAATGATGATTTTTGGACCTAGAAACATTTTTCAAACAAAAATTGGGGGACTAGGTTTTGCAATGGGAAAATTCTAGTCCCTGAACATTTCTAGGCCAGAATTTTGTGCTGAAACTCGTGGCAATGCTGAAAATCACTGAAAACTAATATTTCCATGAGTTTCAGCACAAAATTTCGGTCTAGAGACATTTTCCAAACAAAAAATGGGGGACTAGGTTTTGCAATGGGAAAATTCTAGTCCCCGAACATTTCTAGACCAGAATTTTGTGCTGAAACACGTGGAAATGCTGAAAATCGCTGAAAACTAATATTACCATGAGTTTCAGCACAAATTTTCGGTCTAGAAACATTTTTCAAACAGAAAAATGGGGGACTAGGTTTTGCATTGTGAAAATTCTAGTCCCTGAACATTTCTAGACCAGAATTTTGTGCTGAAACACGTGAAATACTGAAAATCCTCAAAAATCCCAAATTTCAGGCCGTTTTGCTGTTGGACTTACAAGAAACCAGTTTGGAGGAGATTTTTGCCAAAATTATTCATGAAATGGATATTCAGGAGCCCGAATTCACCAGCGAACAAGTTCGAAGTGTACTTTTCACACAAGATGCTGGAAATCAATGTGGGTTTTGGTTTTGGCTGAAAATTGACTGAAAATTTGAAAAATTCGGGGAAAATTGAGCCGGGGAGCTTTTTTGAAAAAAAAAAATTTTGTTCGGTGTGGGGATTGATCCCTCGACCTTCTGATTGGAAAAATTTTGAGCTTAATATCTTGTGGAAGCCTGATAAGATTTTCAATAAAAAAAAAATTAAAAAAAAATTGCCCTCATGGGGGATTGATCCCCCGACCTTCTGATTGGAAATTTTTAAGCCTAAAATAGCTCAAAATTCATGATTTCTAGCTCAAAATGATCTGAAAAATCCGAATTTTTGCTCAAAATTGATGAAAATTGAATCAGAATGGCCTAAATTTAATAAAAATAAAAATTCCTGGCTTAAAATAATCCTAAAATTAATTTCTAGCCTAAAATTGCTTAAAATTCATGATTTCTAGCTCAAAATGGTCCAAAAATTCCGAATTTTCACCTTAAAATCCACGAAAATTTAAAAAATTTCAGTCCATATTCTGTCTCGAACAGTTCAATCGATTTGCACAACCGGTTCAGTTGGCGGCAGTTTTGACTACGATCAAACGTGGATTTGTGCACTGTGTATGCTGAATACGGTACAACATCGCCACGTGGCAATTGCCAGATTATCACATCCAACTAATTTGGGCAGAACTATGCAGGATTTGCGATTTATTATTATTGTTATTGCGCCGAGTCGAGCGGTAAGTGCGCAAATTTGCCGAATTTTTGGTGAAAATCTGGAAATTTTTGATGGAAAATGAAGTTTTTCATGAATTTTAGGTTATTTTTCTGATTATTCAGATTTTCCTGATCATTTTGACCCATTTTAGGCTCAAAATTCGCAAAAAAATTCGAATCAGAAGGTCAGGGGATCGATCCCCCATGAGGGCGAAATTTTTTTTTTTGATTTTTTTTTTCAAAATCGTATCAGGCTTCTATAGATGTTCTCTGAAACCTTTTCACCCAAAATTTCTAATCAGAAGGTCAGGGGATCGATCCCCACACCGAACAAAATTTTTTTTTTTTTTAGAAATTTTGACCTGAAATTAAATTCAGGTTCTTTTTCTGATTATTCGGATTCTCCTGATCATTTTGACCCATTTTAAGCTCAAAATTCGCAAAAAAATTTCCAATCAGAAGGTCAAGGGATCGATCCCCACACCGAACAAAATTTTTTTTTTAGATTTTTTGACCTGAAATTAAAATTCAGGTTCTCCTGATCATTTTGAGCTATTTTTCATGAATTTTGACAAATTTTAGGCTTTTTTTCAGCAATTTCTAGAAAAAATTTCCAATCAGAAGGTCAAGGGATCGATCCCCCATGAGGGCGAAAAAAATTTTTTTCAAAAATTTTTCAAAATTTCCAGAAAGGCACAAAAACGGCGCTGGAAACCACGCGCACTTTCGCCACACTTTTTGCCGATATGGAAATACGTCAGCGTTTAGTGATGGCACAAACTGTGGAGCAATTCAGGAGCACATTATTATCAGCTGCTAAAGAATTGGCAATGGATCAGAATCAGTGGAGAGAACGCAAATCATCCATTCATTTATCGCATGCTAAAGAACAAATTGTGAGTTGATACAGTACTCCAGGGGTACTGTAGATGGGAAATTTGAAAAATTCGAGAAATTTTGATCTAGAAACACGGTTTTTGTGATTACTGTAGCTGAAAATCTGGGATTTTTTGAGATACAGTACTTTTTTTAGTTGATACAGTACTCCAGGGGTACGGTAGATGAGAAATTTGAAAAATTCTGGAAATTTTGATCTAGAAACATCGAGTTTTGCACAAATTTTGAGCTACAGTACTTTTAGAACTGCAAGAGGTACTGTAGCTCAATTAATGCTTTTTTTAGTTGATACGGTACTCCAGGGGTACTGTAGATGAATAAAATAAGTTAAAAATCTGAAATTATTGAGCTACAGTACTTCTAGAACTGCAAGAGGTACTGTAGTTTTTGGATATCGATTTTTCTAGTGAAAAATAAAGTTTTCAAAATTCAAACTACAGTAACCCGGACTGCAAAAACAGCAAAAATTTTGTTCGAACTGCAAGGAGTACTGTAGATTTTGAATATTTTAGGACAGTACTTCTAGAACTGCTACAGTACTTCTAGAACTGCAAGGAGTACTGTAGCATCAGAAATCGTAAATAATCGGTTTTTTTGAGCTACAGTAACCCGAACTTCAAAAAAACAATGACAATTTCAATACAGTACCTTTAGAACTGCAAAGATTACTGTAGCATCAGAAATCGGAAAGTTGGAAAACAATTGAATTTTGTGAGCTACAGTAACCCGGACTGCAAAAAATCGTTTCCGGGCTCAAAATGCTCCAAATTTTTCGAATTTTTCACCAAAAATCTTCAAATTTCAATTTGCAGTTCGGTCCCGAAGCGTGGTATCCATTCCGCGGTCTCAAAGAGGAATTCCAACGTCGTCTCGCGATCTACCCATCCGATTTCCTTGATGGAATTCAGGGACATCGAACCATCCAAAAACTGCTGTCCACAATTGTATTTTTGTATTTTGCGTGCCTTTTGCCGGCCATCGCGTTCGGCGTTTTGAATCATGACAATACGGAGGGAGCTATACGTGAGTTTTTGGAGTTTTGGCGGCTGAAAATCTGCAATTTTTGACAATTTCTAGTGAAAATGCGATGAAATTTGAGCCAAAATGAGGTTTTTCTAGTGAAAATTTCAGAAATTTTGGTTCTACAGTACTTTTTTTCTAGTTACAGTACCCCTTGCAGTTCTAGATCTAAAAAATTTTCGGGACTACAGTACTCGAACTGCAAGATAAATTTTGCAGTTCGAAGACTACAGTACCCCTTGCAGTTCTAATCATGGACTACAGTACCTCTTGTAGTTCTAGATCTAAACATTTTTCGGGATTACAGTAATCGAACTGCAAAATGCAATAAAGTTTGCAGTTCGAAGGGACTACAGTAGCCCTTGCAGTTCTATCCATGAACTACAGTACCCCTTGTAGTTCTAGATTTTAAAAAAATGTTTCGGAACTACAGTAGTCGAACTGCGAGGTGAATTTTGCAGTTCAAAGGGACTACAGTACCCCCTTGTAGTCCAAAAATTTCGATGAAACTACAGTACCCCTTGTAGTTCTAGATCTAAAGATTTTTCGGGTGCTACAGTACTCGAACTGCAAGAGTTTGCAGTTCGACGGGACTACAGTACACCTTGCATTCCCAAAATTTCGATGAAATTACAGTACCCCTTGTAGTTCTAAACCTCAAAATTTTTCGGAACTACAGTAGTCGAACTGCAAGATGAATTTTGCAGTTCGAAGGGACTACAGTACACCTTGCAGTCCCAGAATTTCGATGAAACTACAGTACCCCTTTCAGTTCTATTCATGAACTACAGTAGACCTTGTAGCTCTAGACCCAAAATGTTCAGGACTACAGTACTCGAACTGCAAGATAAATTTTGCAGTTCGAAAGGACTACAGTATCCCTTGCAGTTCTCTACAGTACCCCCCACTCGATTTTTTGCAGATGTCAAAAAAGTAATTCTTGCTCAATCAATCGGCGGTATCTTTTTCTCACTATTCGGAGGTCAACCAATGATTATTCTACTAACTACAGTACCCCTAGCTATTTATATTAAAGGTGAGTGTACGGTAGAGAGTACGGTAGCTACAGTAATCCGTTTTAGAAATACAGTAGATCATTTTTCAATAGCTAAAAACTAGCCTTGTTAGTTCTGTAGATCAAAAAATTCCCCATTTTTCGACCTACCTACCGTATCCTCTTACAGTAATCCACAAAATCTCCAAAGAACTTGGCTACAGTTTTTTGGCAATGTACGCGTTGGTCGGTGTATTCTGCCAATGTTTTTTGGTACTGTACTCGGCTACAGAATTGTGTAGTCTGATGAAGTTCGCGACACGATCTGCTGAAGAAATGTTCTCACTTTTTATTGCCATCGCATTCACTGTGGAGAGTTTGAGAGCTCTGTCGAATAGTGAGTTTTTGGGAAGTTGTGGGGATCAAAATGAGCACAAATTTGGCTCTGAAAGATTCAGTAGAAGTTCTGATAATTCTGAATTTGTGGGGAATTTTCTGAAGCTTTTGGGAGTTAGAATTCTTGATTTTTGGATTTAAAATGAGCCTAAATTTGAAGTACAGTACCTCTAGAACTGCAAGAGATACTGTAGTTTTCGGATATCGATTTTTTTCGGTTAAACCCGAGCACAAAATAAAGTTTTCAAAATTCAAACTACAGTACTCCGGACTGCAAAAACTGCAAGGAGTACTGTTTTAGAAAATACGGAAAACATTTATTTAAAAATTGATGAGCTACAGTAACCCGGACTGCAAAATTCGAAAAATTCCAACCAGAATTTTCGCTCCAAAAATTTTCATTAAAAAAAAATTTCGCCCCCATCGGGAATTGAACCCTTGACCTTCTGATTCGAAATTTTTCCTCAAATTTTGAGCTGGAGTTAGGCTAAAATCGAAATAATTGAAGAAAAATCACCAATTTAAATTCATATTGAAATTTTGTGCCTAAAAAAATCGAAAAACATCAAATTTAAATTGTGAGGTTTTCAGTACAGTACCTCTAGAACTGCAAGGAGTACTATTTTAGAAAATTGATTCAAAAATTGATGAGCTACAGTACTCCGGACTGCAAAATTTGAAATTCCAACCCGAATTTTCGCTCCAAAAAAATTTCACGAAAAAAAAATTTCGCCCCCATCGGGAATTGAACCCTTGACCTTTTGATTCGAAGTTTTTCCCTCAAATTTTGAGCTGGAGTTAGGCTAAAATTGAAGAAAAATCCTAAATTTTTTCAAAATTCAGGTCAAAATTTTTAGCTCGGCTTTAAATTGCTAAAAATTCATGATTTTTGGCTGAAAATGATCCAAAAAAATCTGAATTTTTGCTCAAAATTTTCCTAAAATTAAATACAGTATGAAAATTGCTCAAAACTCATGATTTCCGGCTCAAAATGATCCAAAAAATCCGAATTTTTCCAGGTTTCCACAAAAACTACCAAACCAGCTGCGACTTGTCTCATATCATCAACAAAACCCTAAATCACTTCGAAAACGCCACCGAACACAATCAAAATCTCTCAACAAACGTCTCCGACATCTTAGGATCCACCAAATTCTGCCGACGTGACACCTCAATTCTATATATGTTGCTCATGTTTGGCACTCTCTGGCTAGGCCTGTTTTTGTACAATTTCCGAAAAACACCGTACCTAACCAGGTCTCGCCGGGAATGGTTAGCTGATTATGCTCTACCGGCTTCGGTTTTGATTATGAGTTTTATTGGAAGTTGGGTTTTTGATGATATTCAGAAGGATCGATTCGATGATTCTGGAGCCATTTTAACATGGGCTTGGCATGAGATTAAAACGATACCAATGGTTGGAATATTGGTTTGCTTGCTGCTGGGATTTTCGCTATCTTTTTTGTTTTTTATTGATCAGAATATTACTTCAGCTATTGTGAATAATAATCAGAATAAGTGAGTTTTTTTGGGGGGATTTTTTGAGTCCAAACATGATTATATTTCTAATATGAGCAATAATTGTTTAACATGAGCAATCCGTATATTTGAATTTTTATTTAGAATGTTATAATCTGAAGTTCTTGTAGAAGTTTGTTTCCAGATTAACATGAGCAATCCCCTCAACAAAAAAAAATAAAAAAGTCCGCCAGCACCCGGAATCGATCCCCCGACCTTTTGCTCTATAGAAACTTCTGAATATCAAAATTGAGCTTAACATGAGCAATCCCTCTAGAAATCAGGATTAGCATGAGCAATCCCCTAAACAAAAAAAAACAAAAAAGTCCGCCAGCACCCGGAATCGATCCCCCGACCTTTTGCTCCATAGAAACTGCCTAATTCTCTGAGCAATAAAATTGAGCCTAACATGAGCAATCCCTCGGGCGTTTTGACTCAAGGAATCCATCTAGAAATCATGATTAACATGAGCAATCCCCTCAACAAAAAAAAACAAAAAAGTCCGCCAGCACCCGGAATCGATCCCCCGACCTTTTTCTCCCCAAAAAATCCCCATTTTGCAGACTCAAAAAAGGCACATCGCACAACTTGGACCTTTTTGTGGTTGCAATTCTCAACATATTTCTATCGATGGCCGGTTTGCCGTGGATGCACGGCGCTTTGCCGCACTCACCGCTTCATTTACGCGCGTTGGCCGATGTTGAGGAACGGGTGTCGCAGGGTCATGTTCATGAAGTGTAGGTTTTTTTTGGGCTCAGCTTGAGATTTGGAGCATTTTGACACCGAATAAGCCTGGGGTTGGAGCATTTTTGCCACGTGGCTTTGTTGGGCTCAAAATGTGGAGCATTTTTGAATTTCTGAAGTTGCCACGCATTTCGGAGCAGAAGTCTAATATGAGCAATGCTCAAAAATTACAGAAGTTTTTGTCTAAAATGAGCAATGCTCAAAGTTTACAAAATTCTTGTCTAATATGAGCAATGCACGAAATTCACAAAATTTCTTGGCTAATATGAGCAATGATCGAAATTTACATAAATTCTAGGATTTTGGAGCTCTAATATGAGCAATGCTCGGATATTACAGAAATTTTAGGATTCTGGAACTCTAGTATGAGCAATGCTCGAAATTCGCAGAAATTCTAGGATTTTGGAGCTCTAACATGAGCAATGCTCAAAATTTACCCAAATTCTTGTCTAATATGAGCAATGCTCAAAATTTGAAGCTCTAATATGAGCAATGCATCGAAATTAACGGAAATTCTTGTCTAATATGAGCAATACCTCAAAATTCCTCGAATTTTGCGAAAAATTCAAAAATTTTGCTCAAAAATCCTAAAAATGCTCCAAATCGAAGTTTCCCGGGTCAAAAAATCCAAAAATATCCGAATTTTCCACTCAAAACCCTCCAAATTGAAGCTCTAATATGAGCAATACCTCAAAATTCTTCAAATTTCGCCGAAAATTCGAAAATTTTGTTCAAAAAACCTAAAAATGCTCCAAATCAAAGTTTCCCGTTTTTTTTTACAGAATAATGAATGTGCGTGAAACGCGTCTCGCCTCATTAGTTGCTCATATTATGATTCTCATCTCGCTCTTTGTCTTCATTCCCAATCCACTTCAATACATTCCAACATCGGTTCTACACGGCCTGTTTTTGTATATGGCGTTGACTTCGTTGAGTGGAAATGAGATGTTTGAGCGATTGTTGTTGTTGATCACGGAACAGGTTGGAATTTGGGGCATTTTGAGCTGAAAATCGTGAAAAATGATGAGTTTTAGGCTAAAATTCGTGAAAAACGGTGCATTTTGAGCCAAAAATCGTGAAAAATTATGAATTTTAAGTCTAATATGAGCAATGCTCTTTTTTCTTGAATATTTAGGCTCATATGAGCAATGTTTTGACCAAAAAATGCCACGTGGAATTTAAAAATTCTGGTTAATATGAGCAATGCAATTTTTCTGAGATTTAGGCCTAATATGAGCAATGTTTTGAGCAAAAAATGCCACGTGGATTTTGAAAATTCTGGTTAATATGAGCAATGTATTAAAAAGTATTGCCACGTGGAATTTCAAGGCTCAATTTTTAACTCAAGAAAATTCTGGTTAATATGAGCAATGCTCTGGTTTCCTGAATTTTAAGTTTAATATGAGCAATGCTCTGGTTTCCCGAATTTTAAGTTTAATATGAGCAATGCTATTTTTTTCTGAATTTTAGGTTTAATATGAGCAATGCTCTGGTTTCCTGAATTTTAAGTTTAATATGAGCAATGCTATTTTTTTTCTGAATTTTAGGTTTAATATGAGCAATGCTCTTTAAAATCTGAAATCCACGTGGATTTCGAGAAAAAATACTAGAAAAATTATATCTCTAGAAAAATCCACGTGGATTTTTTGTTCTATCAAAAAATTCTTTAACATGAGCAATTCTTCGAAAAAAATCCTCAATCCACGTGGATTTCTTTTGAAAATAACCTTGTTTGTTTAATATGAGCAATGCTCCAGAATCTAAAATTTCCCTTGAGCTTAAAACTGAGCGCAAAAAATCATTGCTCATGTGAATTTTTCGCCCAACAAAACCTGTCCTACAGTACCCCCCTTCATACCAACCTACAGTAATCCTCTTTGCAGCAAGCCTACCCTCCAACTCACTACATTCGAAAGGTCCCACAACGAAAAGTGCACTTGTTCACGGCATGTCAGCTATTGCAATTAATTGTGCTATGCGCCTTTGGATTCTCACCGTATCCATTTATCGAAATGGTATTTCCAATTGTTTGTTTCACATTTTTACCAATACGGTAAGTACAGTACTCTTAGGAGCTACAGTACTCCTGGATTCTTTTAAAAATGATGCATTTTGTAGATCAAAAAATGTTATTGCTGCTACAGTAGTAGTCCTACAATACTTCTAATTGTTATATAAATATCTAGACTACAGTAACCCCTTTTTAAAGGCACATGTGGTCCTAGAGAAAGTACAGTAACCCCAAAAAATTATCGATTTTTTAAAGGCACACACTGATTCCACGACTCATCGATTATAAATATTTGGACGCGTTGGACGGACGACACTAGAAACACTTCTTTTTTTTTTCAAAATTTTAAATTTTTTTTCGAATTTTTCATCTTTCACATTGAAAAATTACGGGTTTCCTATTTTTTCTACTGTAAAATTTCACATTTTTTTTGCATTTTTCGAGAATTTCAGGCGACACTTTTTCCTTTTTTTTTGAAGTTTTATAGAGAGAATAAAGATTTTTTTTTTGAATTTCAGGGTTTTTTTTTGTTTTTGTGCTGAAAATCCCCAAAAATTAATATTTCCATGAGTTTCAGCATAGAATTTCAGTCTAGAAACATTTTTCAAACAAAAAAATGGGGGACTAGGTTTTGCAACATGAAAATTCTAGTCCCCGGACATTTCTAGATCAAATTTTTGCGCTGAAACTCATGGAAATGCTGAAAATCACTGAAAACTAATATTTCCATGAGTTTCAGCGAAAAAATGTGGTCTAGAAACTTTTTTCAAACAAAAAAGGGGGACTAGGTTTTGCAACGTGAAAATTCTAGTCCCTCAACCTTCCTAGGCCAAAATTTTGTGCTGAAACTCATGGAAATGTTAAGAATCACCAAAAACTAATATTTCTATGATTTTCAGCGCAAAATTTCGGTCTAGAAACTTTTTTCAAACAAATAATGGGGGACTAGGTTTTGCAACATGAAAATTCTAGTCCCCGGACATTTCTAGATCAAATTTTTGCGCTGAAACTCATGGAAATGCTGAAAATCACTGAAAACTAATATTTCCATGAGTTTCAGCGAAAAATTTCGGTCTAGAAACTATTTTTTTTTACAAAATTGACCTATGACGTGGCAATTTGAAATTTTTTTGTGGAAAAAATTGAAAATTACTAGAAATTCTAGTAGAAAATCAAATTCCACGTGGATTTTCAAAATTTTCAAACAAAAAAAAATTTTTTTTGTGTCCGACAGGATTTATTTGTTTTAGTAGTCGCCACATATTGTTGCTGATCATGAAAAAAAATTTTTCCAAATTTTTTTTGTCGAAAAATTTTTTTTCATAACAACCAAAGCGCAAAAAACATTGTTTCGATGCTTGGAATTTTGAAAAAATGCCTATTTTTTCTGATTTTTCTAGCCACTTTGGTTTTTATTTGGAAAATTGAGTTTGGCGCTGAAAAATTTGAGGTTTGTTGTTTTTTTTTTGAAAAAAAAACGTTTCTAGGCTTAAATTTTGCGCTGAAAATCATGGAATTACTAGTGTCCAGTGATTTTCAGCATTTCCATGAGTTTCAGCGCAAAATTTTGGCCCAGAAAGGTTGGGGGACTAGGATTTTCATATTGCAAAACCTAGTCCCCTAATTGTTTTTTTGAAAAATGTTTCTAGGCTGAAATTCACTGCCAGATCTCATGGAAATCTCAAGTTTTCAGTGATTTTCAGCGCAAAATTTTGGTCTAGAAATGTTGGAGGACTAGGATTTTCATATTGCAAAACCTAGTCCCTCCAATTTTTCTTTTTTTTGCTCAAAAACCTTTCACGTCCCAAATTTCACGGCAAATCCCATGGAATTATCGATTTTCAGTGATTTTCAGCATTTCCACGAGTTTCAGCACAAAATTTTGGCCTAGAAAGGTTGGGGGACTAGGATTTTCATATTGCAAAACCTAGTCCCTCCAATTTTTCTTTTATTTTTGCTCAAAAACCTTTCCCAACCCAAATTTCACGGCAAATCCCATGGAATTATTGATTTTCACTGATTTTCAGCATTTCCACGAGTTTCAGCGCAAAATTTTGGCCTAGAAAGGTTGGGGGACTAGGATTTTCACCTTGCAAAACCTAGTCCCTCCAATTTTTCTTTTTTTTTTCGCTCAAAAACCTTTCCCGACCCAAATTTCCCGCTAAATCACATGGAATTATTGATTTTCAGCAAATTTTCGCGACAAGACCCAAAAAGCTCTACCTAACTGCCAATTTCGGAACTCTAACAGCTGCAGGGCTCGGAAATGCGCTCTTCGAAATTGGGGCGAATTTGGGAATCGCAAGGAAAATCGACAGAATCCCATTTATACATGGTGGAAAGGTTGCGGAAGCTTTTGACTCCAGAATTAAAGCAAGTTTTCCCGGTTTGTATGCAAAATTTGAAATTTTCGACGAAAAAATCAATGACACGTGGATTATCGAGGAGCCATTTCAAAAACTTTGCTGTTATTTTGAAGACCCCGCGAGACTTTTCAAAAATTCCCCGCAATTTTTGAAATTGGGCGGTGATTTCTATCAAAGTTTCAAGTATTTCGACGAAAATCGCGAAGAAATTCGAAATTTATTGATTCCGGCTGAAAAATACGTGAAACTGGCCGAAAATTACATGGAGCCAGCTGAAAATCCAGGAGAATCCTTCAAAATTTGTGCTCATATTCGACGCGGTGATTTTCTGACAGATGGCTATCATTCGGCGACAGATCCGCGATTTTTGCGGAATGCCGTGCGATTTTTAGCGCGCGAATTCGCTGAAAATCGAAAAATTCAAGTGATTTTCATCGGAAATCATGAGAATTTCATGGAAAATGATGTGAAAATCGAGCAAAATCCGAATTTTTCGATAAAAATTCTGCCACGTGGCGAGCCCGAGATTGATTTGGCATTTTCCCGGATATTTTGTGATGTTTTGCTGATTTCGGCGCCTTCGTCGACTTTTGGATGGTGGTTGGGATATTTGTCGAAGACGGGGAATTTGGTGTATTATCGGGATATTCAGGAAATCAATGATCAGGTGAGCAAAATCGATATTTCTATGATTTTCAGCGTAAAATTTGGGTTGGGAAGGGTTTTTGAGCAAAAGAAAAAAGAAAAATTGGAGGGACTAGGTTTTGCAACATGAAAATCCTAGTCCCTCAACTTTTCTAGGCCAATATTTCGTGCTGGAACTCGTGGAAATGCTGAAAATAGCGAAAAACTAAAAGTTTCATGATTTTCAGGTGAAATTCGCCATGGTGGAACGGGATTTCTATCCGGCACATTGGCGAAAATTGAAAATGGACGAAAAAACGGGCGAAATTCGAAGGGTTTAATTTTAGGTGCTAGGATTTTTGTATATAAATAATATTTATTATCTACTATTTTGTATATCCATAATTATTTTCACCCAAAATCCCTCAAAAAACTCACTTTTCACGCAAAAATCAATAATCCCACGAAAAAAACGAACATTTTCGTGTTGTCTGCCGTCTCTTCAACACCCTTCTATCTCTCTGCCTTTTCTCTGCTTCTCTCACCTCGTCTCTTCTACACACAACACTCTCTCGTTGATTTTTTCGCAAAATCTGGAAATTTCGAGGTTTTTCAGAGTTAGGCTAAGATTTGGGGGTTCTCAAATTACCTTATCTTCAAATTTTCATCTATTCTTCATTTGCCAACGAATTTAAACCTGAAAATGAATGGATTTTCCACGTTTAGTTCATTTTTTAAGGGGTTTTTTGAAATGTCACGTTTTTTTCTGGTAATTTTTTGAATTTTTTTGTTTTTGAATTTTTGTTCATGAAAAATGAAAAAACGGTGGAGAACGAAAAAAATGAAAAAAAAAATGAAATGAGAAATTTGAAAAAATTGCTTCGCGGGGCGAACAGTGTGTGAACACGGCGACGCACAAATGCACACATTTGTGTTCGAGGTTTTTTTTTTGCTTTTTTTTGTGTGGAAACTGGGGTTTAAGGGTTTTTGCATGGAAAATCGAGATTTCCAGATTCCCAGTTGGAAACTTAATGAAAAATCTGGTCATTGCAAAATTATTTTTGCAATCAAATCTTGAAGTTTACGAATATTTATGTTTTTTTTTGTTTTGAAAAATTATCCATCAACTTTTTTATTTTGAAAAAAATAATATGGAGTGTCATATTTCTCAAAGTAAACCATTTTATTTACAATTTTCCATCATGATTTGTTTTATTATATTTTTTACTTCTATAATATTTCGTATAGCTTTAGTTTCTGCTGAAAGTGAATCCGAAAAGTTCAATGCGATTCTCAGTGATCCGGATGAAACAAAACGACTTTTTGGGTGAGTATTATATTCATATGATCTTCATTCAGACCAGTTTAAAGTGATATCTCGAATGACGCTTTTCTTGATTGGAATAATGATATACCTCAATCTTTGGATGATGGTAAAATTGTTTTACATTCATTTTTGGGTTTTGTAAGTGTTTTGAAAACCTTTTTGCATACCAACGAACTATGTATTTTACATCAGACATATACCTATGAAAATGTGAACTGGCAAGATATCAATTCAACGTCTCGAAGAATAATTCTCGATTCAACTAGGGTTAGAATCCCAATGAAACTGGGTGGATTCAAAAAATCTCCTAGAAGTTATTACAACTACACTCTTGTTATGCATAGATCAACGATTAATTTTAGCCTTTATATAAATAAGGACTACAAAGATGTTGCATTTATAACTGGGACAATCGATGTGTTTGATGAATTAATTTGCGAATATCATTATGAACAAAATTATTTTCCATACGAAACCAGAAAATGCAGAGTGAAAATGACTGCTCCTAACAAAATGAGAATTAACTCCCATCGCACCCTCCTAGAAGTGCTGAACCTTACTGATATATCAAAAAGGCTCAGGCTATATAACACTTTCTTGTTTCCGGAGCAAGTGATTCTCCGTCAACTCTCATTTTTCAGCGGCAAACCTTGCGGTTTTGTGATGCAATATACATCTATACACAATATTTTTCCACTGTTCATACTTCCCACCATGGTATACTGTCAATATGGAAATCAGAGTCACCCTCATACATGCTTTTGGTCCGGAAAAGTATAAAATAGGGTCGTTAACTATTTTATTTTTCATGAAAAATATGTAGGTCCTTAACTTTTATGAAAAAAATTATTATTAATTTTTCAAGTCATCAAAATTACCTCTACATCAACTTCTTCTTTCAAAGCCTCGGCCAATCCGTGGCTGGTCAGAGTACAATTTTTGGAAAAATCTGAATTTCAGTTTTCAGAGGTCAAAAATTGAAAAATCATAATTTTTAGAGGACAAAAACTGAAAAATTCACAATATTTTGTACTGTTAAAAGTTAGCGTACAATTTTTTATTGTGGAAACCACGATTTTGGCCGAGGTGTGCCAGCTACGAAGGTTCGGTTCTTGGCTAGAGCTTTTACTTTGATTTTTGGCAGTATTTTTGTTATTCATTTTTCCGATGGAAGGTGTTTAACTTTTTCATTTTTGACAAAAATGGGTCTTTAACCCGAAAGGCCCTCCGGATAGAAAAACATGTATGGTAACCCTCCGAAAATCATTGTATTGGAAAGTGACCGCAACGCACACGCATCGCGGGTACAGGAGGAAATTAGAGATTTTCGCAAATTCAAATGTATTTTTTCGCGGGGTGACTCTGATTTTTCACATATACAATACGATAGTAGTTATTTTGTGTTTATATCATTCTTTATAGATTTGCATGGCGTTCAATGTTATATCTTTCATGATTTCATCAACAATTCTATCATTTTATCTTTTATTAGCTACGATCTTTGTACAAATTATGCATTATCTTCAGATGTTGACATATATTCCAGGAAAACAGTTTTTACCATTCAATATCAAATTATATCATGTCTATAACAAACATCTTATTGATTTCTCAATGGATTTTGCTGATAATATCAAAATCAATACATTATATTCCAAATACTCACAATTATTTGATTAATTTGGATGATGTCGCGGAAAAATGGAAAATAAAACGAGGTGGCGGATTCAAAAAATTATAATTTAAAAATCTGCACGTTTGCAGATCACAATATGCTGGTTTTGGTTGTATGTGAGCTGCGGAAAGTGTTTTTTGTATTTATTATTGTGATTTTTGCCATTTTTGTGGCTTATATTTCTTTCTTCACAAAAGAACCTCCAAAAAACGATGTGTATGGAACAGCATTATTTACATGTAACTTTTGAAATTTTGAATTGTTATAATTTTTACTGTCATCAATATCATTATTTCATAAGAGCACAAAAATACCCCAAATAAATATACATTTATGAAATTTCAGCAAACCATTCAGCTAGAGATTTATCACAAGCCGGATCAACACTAACAATATGTAGATTTGGGTAGATCAAAAAGTAGAATAGACAAAAAATGACAAAGCCGAAGAAGAACATCATCTGAAAGGCTTAGGCTTAGGCTGATCTAAGGCTTATGTTAAGTATTACCTGCGATACCCAATGAAATCGATGCATTGTTGCTTGAGTTACCCGAATTTCCCAAAATCCCCCTGTCGAATTTTTCTTCTTCTTGCTCATATTATTATTAGGCTCTGCGTTTCCATTTAGCATAAGTTGGGATTCTTCAACGTTTGGGGTAGGGACTAGAAAAAATCGATTTTAAGTAAGAAATTTCAATGGAAACCTACTGGCATGCGCATTTCGATAAGTTAGAGACGAAGATTTTCGACGTTGATGACGTGTAGTCCCCAAACGCACCAAACTATGACCACTTTCTGTCCTAAAATCTAAAGGGTACTGTACCTCCCTTTAAAAAACACTTACGTCAACATGATTTTCTGTCGCATATACTTAACTAGCGCTAATTTGATTAGCGACAAAAATACAATCATAAAACAGACACCCAAATAAATATCCATCGCTTTGATGTAACTGACACGTGGCATCATTTCGTTGTAGGAGAAAATTAGGAAGGTTATGGCTAGGATGATCGAAATCATGTCCTGAAAATGGTTTAGATGAAATCGGCGCCGAAAATTACCCCGGGGTGAAGTTTTCAGGCAAAAAGTGACCCTCCCCTGAATTTTAAGCTGGGGGGGGGTCACTTTTTTTTCAAAATTATCAAATTTTTCCCACAAAAAAGTTTTCCGGGTCTAAATTTCACGCTGATTCCAAAAATCCACGTAATTTCAGTCAAAAATCCCTTTAACCCACCTGAAACTCGGTCTCAGTTTCCATCCACAACGAAACCCATGAAGTTATCACAACTGCAGTTGATGGAATAATTAATTGCAGGAAGCAGAAGCCTGAGGACCTTGAGAATACGAAGCAAACGTAGAGACGAGAGTAGTTTCCTGAAAATTGCGGCATGGAAAAGTGGGCTTGGCTTAGAGGTACAATTATTGATTTTTGATTTTCTGTGGGTGTCTTTCGAACCCTAATTTTACGCTGAATCCGAATTTTCAGCTGGAAAAATCTGAAATTCCCAACCTGTTGCATAACTCTCCATCTGACTAGTCACATAAGCTTCCTGAATAGTAAAATCAGGCAATCGAATTTTCGAAAGTTCCAGAGCTTTTCTTGTACCCGTTGACCATCTATAAACCACATGATCTGCTGTGTAACCATCTGAAAATTTTCAGATTTTTTCTGAAATTCTGGAAATTTGGAAATTTACAGCTCTCAATTCCAAGTTTGCACAATTGTTTGTCGAATGGGAAGAGTGTGAGATCCATGGCTGAAAATTTCAGCATTTTTTGGAAATTTTAGAAATTCTGGAAACTCACTGCATTCACAGACCAGTGAAATTCGACGACTGTAGAGCATTTTTCCATTTTCCTCAAGTCTGAAATTTTTATTTTTGGCTGAAAATGAGTGATTTTATGATTTTTATTAATCTAAAGGTCACGAGTTCGAACCCCACTCAGAACTTCACTTTTTTTTTGAAAAAAAATTTCCTAGGCTAAAATGTTATGCTGAAAATGCTGAAAATAAGTGATTTCACGATTTTCGGCGCAAAATTTCGATATGAAAATGCTCACCTCAACAAACTTCGATGTGAAATCGAATTCCTCTGCGGATTTTTCGACGCAATCGCATTCGGCACAAAAGTATCAGGAAACCATAGAAAGTTAGTGTAACTCTCGTGAAGCGCGAGTACCGTTTTATTTTTGAAAAATTTCCGGTCATACTGTAGTCTGGGGTCTCGCCACGATTCACGGTAGAATAATTCGAGCGCGTAGTCCTGGAAATTTGAATTTTTTTCTAAAATTTTCGAGTAAAATGTGTCTAGATCGAAATTTTGCGCTGAAAACGCTGAAACTCTCCATTTTCTCACCATAGTAACTTCAGAAACTGCCCGAATATTCGAGACCAGCACAGAAACATCGACAAAAGTCGCCTCGCCTCTCTCATTTTCCGGAACTTGTCGATGATCGTATTGAATTCGCCGCAAAAATTGCAAAAAATCGCGAGTCTCCCTGGAAAATTTCAGAAATTTTCGCTGAAAATCTCTAAAAATCCATAAGCCATGCTATTAAATTTTGCCATGCTTTTAAGCAAAAAAAAAATTAATTTTTCAAAAAAGTTACCCAAAAGAATCGACGCCTCTGAACATTTTTTGATTTTTAAAGATACATACCGTAGTTGAGACCTACCCTTGACTGAAAATCGAGGAATCTGCGTGGGAATTTGAATTTTCCGCGTAATTTGGGTCGTGGGAGTCTGGGCGTTGGGGATTTTGATGATTCTGGAATTTTGAATTTGGAATTTTGAATCCTGAATTTAATTTCAGGTTTCAGGATTTCCTGGATCAAAATTGTCGAGTTAAAAATCCTGAATTCAATTTTTGAATACTGGATTTAATTTCAGGTCTCCAGAATTCCTAGAATTAACTTTTGAAGTTAAGAATCCTGAGATTAATTTTTTTTCAAAGCAAAAATCTCACCGATCGATATTTATTAACAAAATTTCCACGAGCCAAGGGTTCATCAGGTTCTTCCAGAATTCCAGAATCATCCTGAAAATTTGAGATTCAGAGTTTTGGAGCCAAAAAACCCTACCTGATTCGGCTGCGGCACCATATACCCAGTATACTGTGCACCCACAAAAATTGCACCGCAAAAAATCCACCAAAAACATCGCCATCTCATTTTTTGTGCTCCACTGAAAACTTGTGATTTTTTTAAAAAAAAGTGACAAAAAATCTGGGGGGAATAAAAGAAAAACAAGATTTTTTTATGAAAAAAAAATTTTTTTTTCTCAAAAAATTTCGCAAAAATGTCTGGGAACATGTAAAATGAGCAATTGGTGGGATTAGAGTGGAACATGGATTTTTGAGAAGCGAAAAAAATGGAGAGCGAAAAAAAGTGCAACATTTTGGCGCCAAAAATCGGATAGGGAAAATTTTTTGAATTTCAGAATTTTGGTTCCAAAAAATTGATCTTGAAATTTTGAAAATTCAAATTTCAGCCAACAAATCGCCACGTGGAATTTTTAGCCTGAAATTTCAGAGCTCAAGATTTTCAGCTTCAAATTTTCAGAGTAAAAATGTCAGCTTCAAAACTCTTAGCTTGAAATTCCAGAGCTCAAGATTTTCAGCTTCAAATTTTCAGAGTAAAAATCTCAGCTTCAAAACTCTCAGCTTGAAATTTCAGAGCTCAAGATTTTCAGTTCAAAATTTTCAGAATTTTCAGCCCAAAAAATTCCAACAAAGCGAAAAAAAATCAAATAAAACAGAGCAAAAATGTGAATTTTCTCTAGCTGGCGAACAAAAAAAAACGGGAAAAAAAGTGTGGTTTTGGGCGCCAAACGAGATCGAAAACATATGTTCGTTATTGGAGCGAAAGATGGGTGAAATGCCGTGTAAAAACAGAAAAAAAAAACTAATTTTTCTTGGGAAAATGTGATTTTTTTCTCTGTGAATGTGTATGTGTTCACAAAAAAAAACAAACTCGGAAAAAAACTTTTTTTTGAGCTGCTGAAAGTTTCAAGCTGAAAATCGACGTGGAAAAGTTTTTTCACTGGAATTTTGAATCTTCAAAATTTCAAGACCGAAATTTTGAAGTTACCCGAAATCCCGTGCAAACTAATTTCTCTTGGAATTCTCCAAAAAACATGAAAAATTTCGGAAAAGAGTACATGAAAACCCTAGAATAAGATGAATTGCAAACGCTTATCTGAAAAAAAAAATGGAAGAGAAATTTTGAGCAAAAAAAAAACTACTTGAAAATTTAAAATTCAAAAATTTTCATCTCTAATGTGCAAATTTTTATGTGAAAACTTTTTCTTCTGGATTTTCGGGAAAAAAAGGTCAAAAAATGAAAAATAATATGTTTGGCCAAAAAAACACAGCACAAAAAATCCAGGAAAATTGGAATAATTGCTTTGCCTTTGAGCTCACGAGATTTTTTTTCGACTTTTTTGAGCTCCAAAAGTGCTCCGAGGCTCACATGCAAAATTGTCATGAGAAGCAGCAATTTCCAGAATTTTTCAGATTTTTTTCGAAAAGTGCACTTCAACTGAACTTGTGAGAAAATTGGATTTTTGTACGAAAAAAAAGTTTTTTCACAGAAATAAAAAAAAATAAAAAGGTCAAGGAAGGAAATTTCAATCATTTTTTTGCACAAAAAAAATTTTTTGAGGAAAAAAAACTAGAAAATTGCTCTTCCTAGGCACGGCTACTTGACATAGAAGCTCTGAAGGCACCGTGCCTAGCCACACTTGTCTTCAAAGAGCGGCTCCTTGACAACTAGGTTTTCTAGACTCGGCTGCTTGAGCTCTCAAAACCCGGTTTTCCGAGAAAATCTCATTTCCCACCCACCAATAAAAAATAATAGGATGTTTTTTCAAGAAAAAAAAATTTTGGCGTCAAAAAGAACTACACAATTCTATTTTCAATGTTGAACAAAGAGAAAAATCGAAAAACAAAACAAAAATTGAATTTTTGCTTCGCACAGGAGGGAAATCTTCACTTCGTTAAAGTTTGAAGACACTTTAGAGGAACTTTTTTTTACGAATTAGAGAGTGCTGCGAATGGAGAGACGCAGAGAAACATTGAATGTTTCTGTTTTTTTAAAAATCAAAGTTTAGGCAGTCATCGTGGAGTTTATTGAGCGAGAAAAAATTTGCCACGTGGCAATTTTGGCCCCAAAAACTCTATAAAAACAATTATTTTTAAATTTGTTAAAAACTTATATATTTTGTGAAATTAGGTTTATGGACGAAAACAATTTAGAAATTGAAAATTACAACTATTCAAAAATGCAAAAGTTACATGTACGTAGGTCCAATAAATCGTCTTCAATGTATCACTTCGTTTTCTGGAGGTTCTTTTATGAAGAAAGAAATATAAGCCACAAAAATGACAAAAATCAAAATGATGAATACAAAAAACACTTTCCGGAGCTCACATACAACCAAAACCAGCATATTGTGATCTGCAAATGTACCTATTTTTGAATTATAATTTTCTAATCCCGCCACCTCGTTTTATTTTCCATTTTTCCGCAATATCATCCAAATTAATCAAATAATTGTGAGTATTTGGAATATAATGTATTGATTTTGATATTATCAGCAAAATCCATTGAGAAATCATTAAGATGTTTGTTATAGACATGACAAATACATATAATTTGATATTGAATGGTAAAAACTGTTTTGCTGGAATATATGTCAACATCTGGAGATAGTGCATAATTTGTACAAAGATAGTAGCTAATAAAAGATATAATGATAGAATTGATGATGAAATCATAAATGATATCACACTGAACGCCATGCAAATCTATAAAGAAAGATATAAACACAAAATAACTACTATCGTATTGTACATATATGTGAAAAATCAGAGTCACCCCACGAAAAAATACATTTGAATTTGCGAAAATCTCTAATTTCCTCCTGTACCCGCGATGCGTGTGCGTTGCGGTCGCTTTTTCAATACAATAATTTTCGCGGGGTGACTCTGATTTCCATATTGACAGTATGTATACCATGGTGGGAAGTATGAACAGTGGAAAAATATTGTGTATAGATTTAAATAGCAATACAAAAACCCAAGGGCTTCCCCTGAAAAATGAGAATCGACGGCGATTCGATTGTTCCGGGGAAAAATGAGTGTTGTATATTTGGTCAATCATTTGGTTGCCTGAAACCAACGGCCGAATCAGCCGTGAAGGCGCCGCAGTTTTCGCCTCAACGTTTCCGAGTACCCTGAGCCGTTTTGATATATCAGTAAGGTTCAGCACATATAGGAAGTTTGGATGGGAGGTCATTTTCATTGTGTTAGGAACAGTGATTTTCACGTCGCATTTTCTTCTCTCGTATGGAAAATAATTTTGTTCATAATAATATTCACAAGTCAATTCATCAAACATATCGATTGTCTCAGTTATAAATACAAGGTTTGTGAACTCCCTATTATAAAAGCTAAAATTCATCTCCGATCTATGCATAACAAGAGTGTAGTTGTAAAAACTTCTCGGGGATTTGTTGAAACCTTCCAGTTTCATTGGGGTTCTGACCCTATTAGGATCGAGAGTTATTCTCGAAAATGTTAAATTGATATCTTGCCATTTCACATTTTCATAGTAATATATCTGTATGTAATATAGTTCGTTGATATGCAAAAAGTTTAAAAAACACTCACAAAAACGAAAAACATACGTAGAGCAATTCCACCATCATCCAAAGATAACGTTTTATTATTATACCAAGTAATAAAAGAGTATTTCCCGACATCGCTTTAAACGTTTGTCTGATTAATATTATATGAATTTGATTCTCACCCAAAAAAACGTTTTGTTTCTTTCGGATCACTGAGAATAGCATTGAACCTTTCGGATTCACTTTCAGCAGAAACTATAGCTATACGAAATATTATAGAAGTAAAAAATAAAATATAACAATTCATGATGGAAAATTGTAAATGAAATGGTTTACTTTGAGAAATATGACACTCCATATTATTTTTTTTCAAAAAAAAAGTTGATGGATAATTTTTCAAAACAAAAAAAAAAACATAAATATTCGTAAACTTCAAAATTTGATCGCAAAAATAGTTTTGCAATAACCAGATTTTTCATCAAGTTTTCAACTGAAATTCTGGAAATCTAGATTTCACATGCAAAACTCATTATAAACGCTCAAAAACATCGAAAGCACCCGAAAAAAAGCAAAAAAAATCCTCGAACACAAATGTGTGCATTTGTGCGTCGCCGTGTTCACACACTGTTCGCCCCGCGAAGCAATTTTTTCAAATTTCTCATTTTATTTTTTTTTCATTTTTTTCGTTTTCACTGTGTTTTTTTCTAATAGAAAAATGCAATTCCGAGGAGACGCAGACAGAGAGAGAAAGAGACTGGTCTCGACACGATGTGTGTCTGCCACACACTATTTCTCTCCCCTTTTCGGCGAGAGATTTGTCTGCCCACGTTAAAGTCTGCGTCTCCCTCGAATTGCAAAAAAAAATACAGTGTTTTTCACGGTTTTTTCGCTTCAAAATTAGATTTTTTGTGTAAAAACCATTTATTCAACTAATAATTTAATGCTGCTTTCTTTTTCCGGGAATATATCCATATTTTCTCATCTGATCTCTTTCCGCTTCCTTATTGTTCTGCGAGACAGCGTACCAAATCAGAAGGCATAAACAAGTAGTTCCAACAAAAAGTGCAACACCCATTACTTGATACGTGAAAGTGTAGTCGGATTCGATAACCTAAAGTTTATAGTTTATTTTTTGAAACTTATTCAAGTTATCAAAACTCACAACTGTATAATCAAATTCACCCATACAACAAAATCCAACACCATGTTTCTTGGTGCAATATGATTTTTGACGATTTTCGAATTGCGGGCAATCATCATCCGTTTCGCAAAAACCAACACCATAAGCTTGTTTTGGCACTTTATGAAATGGGCACATTTTTGTCAACACACAATATCCTTCATAAACTTTCCCATCAGCTTTGAATCTTTCCTGATTTCCAGATGGTTTGTAGCAATACGCAGAAGATTTACAGTGGGAAGAATTGTTGCAAAGTTTGAAACTTAATGCCTTCTCTTCGAGTACAGTTTTTTCGGGTAACTTGGCAAGGTAATCAGGAACTGTAAATAAAAATATGAACATAAACTTTTGATTAGAGTTTAGTTACCTTTATAGCAGAATTTATCGCTATTATTTCTCGTAATATCATCCTCATAACCTATTGAATAATCACAAAACTTTTGGCCATTTCCATCATTGCAATCGTTATTCGTTTCACATTTTTTCAAGTTTTCAACACTTTTTGATTCTTCATAATCAATTGGAAGATTGATTTGATCATCTTTAGTCGGAATCGAGAAAGTGTAGGGAAGCGGTTTCATTTCCACACAAAATCCTGCATATTGTTTTTTATGTTGCAATGATTCGTCAAAATAAGTCCATTTTTCTTTTGAATTCTCACATTTCGAATTCCAATTTTCGTTCTTCATACAATCATTGTCAGATAGACAGAAAAACGCTTCGATTTGAGAAGGATGTGTTAAATAACGATAACTGCGAGCTGTTGTAGCGTTTGTGATCGGTGGCTCTGGAATAATATTGTTGATACTTAATTTGATTCATAATTCCATTTGATCTTTGTCAACATAATTAGTTGCTTCACTGAACTTATAAAAAACTCACTAAAATAACAAAATTTGACATCTCGATTGATTAACCCATTATTGAATTTATTTTTACCATCAGATTCATATGAAACAAAAGGCGAGCAAATTTCATCATAATTACAATCGATGTTATTTGAACAACTTTTCAACGGTGTTGTGGAATTCATTCCGACATAATCCACCGGTAAATGTTTCTTTTCAAATTCATCTTCGCTGTATTCCAACGAATCGAACCAGAAATATCCAACGGGAATTGCTGAAAGTGCATTTTAGATCGAAAATATAAAAAATCCATCTGCCGAAAAGCGACTCAGTCCTTGTGAGTTGAAATAATGAGAAACATAATTTTTTTCTGTAGCAGTGTTTTTGTATAGGAACCACACCTGACGAAACGTGTCCAAAATGGACACTGTACAAAAATGTTCTGTACATTTTTTCAAGAAAAAGTGAAGTTTTCATTGATTTTCCGCGGATTTTGATGATAATTTTCAAAAAATTCAAAATTTCACGCTGCACAATTTTTTTTTGCAAAAATTTCCACGCTGTACAAAAATTTTGGGACACTCTCTCGCCAGGTGTGATAGGAACTTCCTAATTTTTTGTGGTCCGATTCCTATTGAAAAATTATGCCTCAATTTTTGGACAGGATTTTTCTTTTTTTTTTCTCTTTTTTCATTTTTTGACGCCAGGTGTGATAGGAACTTCCTAATTTTTTGTGGTCCGATTCCTATTGAAAAATTATGCCTCAATTTTTGGACAGGATTTTTCTTTTTTTTTCTCTTTTTTCATTTTCCCATTCAAAAACTGCCAATTTCCTATTATGCGGCGTCAAAAAATGAAAAAAGAGAAAAAAAAAAGAAAAATCCTGTCCAAAAATTGAAAAAGGTAGGATTGCCAGATTAAAGGAACACACTGCAAAAAACCGTACCAACTACGTATCTAACTCGTGCACCTTGAACATTTTTGTTGGGTTCCTGTCCAATTTTTCTTTTTTCTGTCCAATTTCTTCTCAGAAATCGATTTAGATATGCATGTTCTACCGTACTTCAGCATGCGCCTTGAATCTGGAGGGCTGCCTTTTTCGGTTTTTTGGACAGGAAATTTTCTCTTTTTTTTCATTTTTGGACGCCGCATTAGGAAAAGTTTTCTTTTCAACTTTTGGGATATCGAAATAAGAAAAAACTCACGACAAATATATCCTTGTTGTCCATTGTTGTCATATACAAACTTTTCGTTACCAGACCACATTGAAATGTTGATATTATACAATGGATTACCCGTCCCAAGAATCAAGGCACTGAAGTTTGGAGCAGTCCCAGTAACTTTGCAGGCTTTTCCAGGATCTTCTGAAATTAAATTTAAATTTAGTTTATAATTCATATATATTTATATTATTGAATTAAAAACACGTGAGAAATAAAAAAGTAGGTCAAGTGACGTGGATTTAAAAACAGTATAGGTAGCCATGTCGTCAGTCGCGATGCGGTTCTGCGTTGCGTGTTGACCTCGATATTTTCCATTGAATTTGCCAAATTTTTATTTCTAAAAACGTGTCGCCCACACGCATCGCAACTGACGACATGGCTACCTATACTGTTTTTAAATCCACATCACTTGACCTAGTTTTTTATTTCTCACGTATTTTTAATTCAATAATATCAAAATATCCTTACCACAACAGCCATATTTGACAAACCGGTCAAAATAGAACAGTAATTTTTTATTGTAAAAACATTTTTTGTAATTGTCATAAAAATGAGGAGCTCCTCCATCGGGACATTTCTCAGGTTCTTCATCACAAATTCCACCAGATATCCATGCAAATATGAAGATAAGAAAAATAATATTGCTGACGTTTTTTAAAGCTATCATTTTCGAAAAATGATTGAGTTTGTCGTGGATTTCGTTTTTTCACGTCAAAATTTTTCTAGGTCACGCGGATATTTTTTTAAATTTTATTTTTTTATTTTTGTTTGTTTGAAGGGATATTGGTTAATTTTTCTTTCCCAAAAAATCTCAAAATCCAATGATTTCTTCAAAAATTCCTAATTTTCCACCAAATCCAATCAAAATTTCACCTCAAAAACCAAATTTCCTCATAAAAATGAGCAAAACGTGGAAAATCGATTCATTTTCAGATTTAAATTTGTTTTCAAGTGAAAAATGGATGAAAATTCGAAAATAAGGTAAGTTGAGAGCCCCCAAAAACTTAGCCAAACTCTGAAAAACCTCGAAATTCCCTAATTCACGAAAAAAAACGAAAAAAATCAACGAGAGAGTGTTGTGTGTAGAAGAGACGAGGTGAGAGAAGCAGAGAAAAAGCAGAGAGATAGAGGGGTGTTGAAGAGACGGCAGACAACACGAAAATATTTTTGTTTCTGGATGATTTATTGATTTTTTGAAGATTCGCGCATTTTTTGCTGGATTTGCCACGTGTTGACGTGAATGTGAATGAGTTGGCGCATTTTTTGTAGGTTTGACTATTGCTGACGCATTTCTTGTAGCCTTATATCCTTGCTGACGCCTTTTTTGCAATGAAAATTCAAATTTTTTCCAGATTTCAATGCTCATTTGCTCAAAATTCGACAATTCCATGGATTTTGGCGGGAAATCTGAGATTTGTAAGTTTTTCTGGGTGGGATTTTGAAAAAAAAATAGTAAAAGAAAATTTTTCCCCCATAAAATCCAAGATTTATCACTTGGGACCTCGTAAAAATGTGTGTTTTATGAGATTGATCAAAATTTTCTTACACTTTTTTTGAAACCTGATTTTTTTGGTGGCGAAAAATCCAGGGTTTTTCTAATCTCAAAAAAAGAAAGAAAATCCCCAGAGGATTTTTTTGCACATAAAAATAATTGTTTTTTTTTCGATGTTTCTTGAATTTTTATTCAATGTTTCTTTTTTGGAGCAAAAAATTTTGAATTTTTGAATTTGGCGCAATTTTTTTTGTTGTGGAAAACTGGAGCGAAAATTCTGAAATTCAAATATTTTTAAAAATTCAAATTTCCCGCCAAAAATTCTTAAAATCAAATATTTTTGAAAATTCAAATTTCCCGCCAAAAATTCTGAAATTCAAATATTTTTTGAAAATTAAAATTTCCCGCCAAAAATTCTGAAAATCAAATTTTTCAAAAAATTCAAATTTCCCGCCAAAAATACTAAAATTCAAATTTTTTTGAAAATTCAAATTTCCCGCCAGAAATTCTGAATTTCAAATATTTTTGAAAATTTGTCCAAATTTCGTGCCAAAAATTCTGAAAATGAAATTTTTCAAAAAATTCAAATTTCCCGCTAAAAAATTTGTCCAAATTTCCGCTCATCAAAAATATTGCTCAGATTAGTGAAGCCGAGCTCAATTTGTCTCCCAAATATTTGATTTATGCTAATTAGGTGTCACATCAAATTTTGGTCCAAAATTTCAAAGAGATTTCAATCTCACTTCCCATTTTTCCAAAATTTTTCCAAAAAAAGTTTTTTCCGGAGCCCACAAAACTTTTTTAATGAGCTCGCCTTCCGGCTCAAATTTCTCCCAAATTTAATTTTAGGAAATTGAATTTGAAAAGGAAATTTCTGGTTCCATTTCCTTACGAAGATTTTTTGCGCGCGAGAAAATTTCGAATTTTCGAAACTGGTCAAAAGTTCATGAAAATTGTGTTTTTTAAGCCCAGATTCGACTTTTTGATCATTTTTGAACTGAAAATTGAGTTTCTGATGATTTTTAAGCTGAAAATTGAGTTTCTGATGATTTTTGAGCTGAAAATAAAGTTTCTGATGATTTTTGAGCTGAAAATTTGAGTTTCTTATGATTTTTAAGCTGAAAATAAAGTTTCTGATGATTTTTTGAGCTGAAAATCGATTTTCTGATGATTTTTGAGCTGAAAATTGAGTTTCTGATGATTTTTGAGCTGAAAATTGAGTTTCTGATGATTTTTAAGCTGAAAATTGAGTTTCTGATGATTTTAAGCTGAAAATAAAGTTTCTAACGATTTTTGAGCTGAAAATTGAGTTTCTGACAATTTTTGAGCTGAAAATCGAGTTTCTGATGATTTTTAAGCTGAAAATCAAGTTTCTAATGATTTTTAAGCTGAAAATAGAGTTTCTGATGATTTTTGAGGCGAGAAAATTTTGAATTTTCAAATTTTCGCGGGCGAAAATACATCCTCTTTTTTTATTGCAAATTAATTTCAAAAATAAAAATGAAAATTGTGAAATAAAAATTTTACAACACATTTTCTCTCATCATAAAACTAGGTTTCCCTTTCTTTTTTTTTTGAAAATGAAATTTTTCGCGCTTCAAAATCCACGTGGCAAAAAATACTGTAGGTTACTGTAGGTGTCATTTAAAGGAACATGAATAATATAAACAGACACTTGTGTCTCTATTTATTTTTGTTTCTATTGTTTTTGGCCCAATTTTTTTTCTGTGAATAGAAAAAGGTATTGTTTTTTTCTGGACACACTTAATTAAAGGGAGGTCACAGTTTCCCGCCAAATCATTTTTTTTGGAGTTTTTTGTTGGCGGGAAATTTGAATTTTCCATAGATTCTGATCAAAAAGTCTCATTCACACTACATTTTATTTGCTAATTTCCGGTTTTTGGCAAAAATTTTGCAAATTTACCCAAAAATTTGCCACCCTACCCGGTAATTATTAATTTATGCGCAATTCATTGCACCTGGCCGCATTTACTTGTGAATTTTTCCAATTTTTGCAATTTTTGGTGTTAAATTCATGAAAATTGGTGTTTTTTGAGCCCAGATTCGAGTTTTTGATCATTTTCGAGCTGAAAATTAATTTTCGGATGATTTTTGAGATGAAAATTGAGTTTCTGATGATTTTTGAGATGAAAATTGAGTTTCTGATGATTTTTGAGCTGAAAATTGAGTTTCTGATGTTTTTTGAGCTGAAATTTGAGTTTCTGATGATTTTTGAGCTGAAAATTGAGTTTCCAATGATTTTTGAGCTGAAATTTGAGTTTCTGATGATTTTTGAGATGAAAATTGAGTTTCTGATGATTTTTGAGCTGAAAATTGAGTTTCTGATGTTTTTTGAGCTGAAAATTGAGTTTCTGATGATTTTTGAGCTGAAAATTGAGTTTCCAATGATTTTTGAGCTGAAATTTGAGTTTCTGATGATTTTTGAGCTGAAAATTGAGTTTCTGATGATTTTTGAGCTGAAAATTGAGTTTCCAATGATTTTTGAGCTGAAAATTAAGTTTCTGTTGATTTTTGAGCTGAAAATTGAGATTCTGATGATTTTTGAGCTGAAAATTGAGTTTCCAATGATTTTTGAGCTGAAAATTAAGTTTCTGATGATTTTTGAGCTGAAAATTAAGTTTCTGATGATTTTTGAGCTAAAAATTGAGTTTCTAATGATTTTTGAGCTGAAAATCGAGTTTCTGATGATTTTTAAGCTGAAAATTAAGTTTCTGATGATTTTTGAGCTGAAAATTAAGTTTCTGATGATTTTTGAGCTAAAAATTGAGTTTCTAATGATTTTTGAGCTGAAAATCGAGTTTCTGATGATTTTTAAGCTGAAAATTAAGTTTCTGATGATTTTTGAGCTGAAAATTAAGTTTCTGATGATTTTTGAGCTGAAAATTAAGTTTCTGATGATTTTTGAGCTAAAAATTGAGTTTCTAATGATTTTTGAGCTGAAAATCGAGTTTCTGATGATTTCTGAGCTGAAAATCGAGTTTTTGAATATTTTTTTTGCCACGTGGCATTTTTTAAAGCTGAAATTTTGAATTTTTTGAGCTGAAATTTTGAATTTTTTGAGCTGAACTTTTGAATTTTTTAATGATTTCTAAATTTTTTGAGCTGGAAATTTGAATAATTTCTGATGATTTTTAAGCTGAAAATTCAGTTTTTCATGATTTTTGAGCTGAAAATTCAGTTTCTAATGATTTTTAAGCTGAAAATTGAGTTTCTGATGATTTTTAAGCTGAAAATTAAGTTTCTGATGATTTTTTAGCTGAAAATTAAGTTTCTAATGATTTTTAAGCTGAAAATTGAGTTTCTGATGATTTTTAAGCTGAAAATTAAGTTTCTGATGATTTTTTAGCTGAAAATTCGAATTTTTTCAAAAATTCCAATTTTCAGTGATTTTTTCATGAAAACTCTCAATTTTCACCCCAAAATCCACCAAAAATGACAATTTTGCGCCTTTCCCTTTGGTGTTTGTTAGAATTGCGCAATATGTCACTAGCTAAAATTTGGTGACAGATGGCTAAATCTCGTGTTACTTTCTTCCACATTTTGGTGCAAAAATATTTAATTTTGGCGCCAAAACATCTCGAATTACACTGGATTAGGATGTGCACCATGATTTGGCTCAAAATGCTCATTTTGCACCTGAAAATCCCGAATTTTCACCCCAAAATCCACCAGAATCTGGCGTTTTTGACCCAAAAACATACTTTTTGGTACACTTTTGCTAACTCAGGTCAGAGCCATCAATCAAATTAGAAAAAGAGCCCCGCAAAAAAAAAAAATGAAGAAGAACTTGTTTTATTGGGTTGTAATAATAAATATGTTCCTTTTTTCTCTTCTGTTGTAAATAAATTATTAATTTTTGGATGAGCTGGGAGAAAAATGAGCATTTTTAGGTGATTTTTGAGCATTTTCTTGGTTAAAATGAGCATTTTTAGGTGATTTTTGAGCATTTTCTGGTAAAAATGAGCATTTTTAGGTGATTTTTGAGCATTTTCTTGGTTAAAATGAGCATTTTTAGGTGATTTTTGAGCATTTTCTTGGTTAAAATGAGCATTTTTAGGTGATTTTTGAGCATTTTCTGGTAAAAATGAGCATTTTTAGGTGATTTTTGAGCATTTTTAGGTGATTTTTGAGCATTTTCTGGTAAAAATGAGCATTTTCAGGCGATTTTTGAGCATTTTCTAGGTTAATATGAGCATTTTCATGCGATTTTTCATAGAAATTGACCTATTTTTAATTTTAGGATGAATTTTTGAGCATTTTCTGGTTAAAATGAGCATTTCTAGACAGTTTTGTATGAAAATTCCGATTTTTTAAACTATTTTTAATTTTAGGATAGATTTTTATAACCTGAATTCAAATTTTCCAGAAAAAAATCGTGAAATTTGACACGTGGCAACCAGCCGTTTTTTTTGACTTAGCCTAACTTTTTTTTGAAAAAAAAAAATTGAAATTTTTTTATTTTCGGAAAAAAAAACTTTGAAACATTTTTTCCCCCGAATTTTTCTATTGTTTCTTGTTTCACAAAAAAATGTGTTTTGCAATTTTTTTTTTCAAAAAATTTTTTTTATAGAAAAAATTGGAGCTTCCAGGGCTGAAAATCTCTCAAAATTCCCAATTTTTAGCTCAAAAATCCCCTCAAAATCCCTAGTCTCATTCAAAAAATGCAATAATAAGTGTATCGAAAATAATCCATGTCTAATTATACACCCGCCCTCCCGTTTTTCAATTTCGGCGGCATAGTTCAAAAAACTGAGCACATGATGAGCTCAAGTACCTTTTTTCTATGTATTCAATTTTGAATATAATATGAGCAATCTATTGAAATTGGACACTTTGGTTGATGAATTGAATTGAATTGATGAATAATTAGGATGACCTGAGCAATTTTTGAGATGGCAAGATCTATTTATCTAAAATTTCTGGGTTAAAAATGATATTTCTGGTGAATTTTTGAAGCTCTGGACCTTGTTTTTGTCCAAATTTCAAACCCTAGAAGCTCATTGGTATTCTGAACCATGAAAAAAATGTTGTTTCAAAAGTTTTGGCTCCAGAAAAAATGCTCCAAATATTTTTTTTTCTCAATTTTTGTTTGTGGGAGGGGAAAATAAATTATAAACAAATTTTCAAAGTTTTTTTTGTGAAAATAATTTTTTGGATTTTTTTTCAAAAATTTGAATTTAGGCTTCAGAAAAATCCAGAAATTCTCAATTTTTTTGGAAAATTCAAATTTAGGCTTCAAAATTTCTGAAATTTTTGAAAATTTTGAAAATTTAATTCTAGGCTTCAAAAAATCTCAATTTTTTTGAAAATTAATTTCTAGGCTTCAGAAAAATCCAGAAATTCTCAATTTTTTTGAAAATTTTAATTTAGGCTTCAAAAATTCAGAAATTCTCAATTTTTTTGAAAATTTAATTCTAAGATTCAGAAAAATCCAGAAATTCTCAATTTTTTTTTGAAAATTTAATTCTAAGATTCAGAAAAAATCCAGAAATTCTCATTTTTTTTGAAAATTTAGTTTTAGGTTCAAAAATTCACAAAAATTCGCAAAATTTTCGAAATTTTGAATTTAGGTTTCAAAAATTCACAAAATTTTTGAAAATTTAATTCTAAGCTTCAGAAAAATTCAGAAATTCTCAATTTTTTTGAAAATTCAGTTCTAGGCTTCAGAAAAATCCAGAAATTCTCAATTTTTTTGAAAATTTAATTCTAAGCTTCAGAAAAATTCAGAAATTCTCAATTTTTTTGAAAATTTAATTCTAAGCTTCAGAAAAATTCAGAAATTCTCAATTTTTTTGAAAATTCGAATTTAGGCTTCAGAAAATCCAGAAATTCTCAATTTTTTTGAAAATTCGAATTTAGGCTTCAACATTTTCCAGAAAATCCAGAATTTTTTGAAAATTTATCATTAGGCTTCAGAAAAATCCAGAAAAATTCTGAATTTTTTGAAATTTCAAATTTTCCCGCCGTAAAACCCTGATTTTCTATTTTTATCCCGTGCCATCTGCTAAAATTCATATATTTTTGTGTGTTGTTTTTCACCATGGTGTGTACTTGGCTGGTTGTAAAGTTCGCCTAACTCTCTCTCTCTATCTCCCAAATTTTAAGCTCCGCCCACTTTTTTTTCTATTCTTGTTACACTATATTTTTTTATTTAACGCTATGGGTGGGGGTATTTTGAATTTTGAAAAATAAAATGAGCTATGACGTGGCAAAAAATTTTGATTTCAAAAAAAAAAGTTTTTTTTTTGTTTGGTGGAAAACCCGAATATTATCAATTGGACCATTGGGAATTTCCCTTATTTTCGACCAAAAAAAAAATTTTTTTTTGGAATTTTCTGGTGTATTTTTGCTCTCAATGAGCTATGACGTGGCAAATTTGTCCGCGAATCGAAAAAAATTTAAAATTCACTGAAAAATTCGAAATTCACAGCTCTGAATTTTTAATTTTTTTCACTCTGAGTGAGTGAAAAGTGAAGAGCTTCTCCCTAGTTTTCACTACTACTTTACTACTTTGTTTTGCCACGTGGCATAGGGTTTTTTGGCGGGAAAATTTGAATTTTCGCTCTAAAAATGAAAAATTTTGCCACGTCATAGCCCATAGATTTTTTGTAGTTCCGCTAATTTGGCCGATTTTCAAAGCTAACAATTATCCCATCAAAAATTTTTTTGATTTTATTTTTCTAGAAAAATTGCTTAGTACGATTTTTGCCACGTCATAACTCATTTTTTCACCAAAATTTTTTTAAATTTTTCGAATTTTTCAGAAAAAAAGTTCAGAAAAAATTGATTTTCCAGTCGATTAAATCTGGAAATTTTCTTGGAAAAATTCCGGTTTTTTCAAAAAAGTTTTGAAATTTTTTTCAGAAAATTCAAAATTTTCAGAAATTTTTTTCCCATTTTTGTTGTTGATCGAAAAAAATTCCAGTTAGTGGGAAAAATTATTTGTTTTGTTGTTTTTCTGTTTTTTTTCGACGATTTTTGACCGAAAAAAGAAAAAAAGTTGTTTTTTCACGAAATTTTTCGATTTTTTTTAAATTTGGCGATAAAAATCACTCCATTTTTCCACCAGAAAGAAAAAAAAAATCGTAAATTTTTTATTTTTTCTGCCTAATTTGAAACATCTGTCGGTTTGGAATTGGAAATGAAAACAATTTTATTTTCCCGCTGAATTTTTGGCGCGAGATTTGGGCGCTAAATTGAATTTTCCATGAAAAATGGCTTGAAAAAGGCATTTTTTGCATCAAAAATCGGAATTCCAGGTCAATTTTCCATGAAATTCGTGAATTTTTCACCAATTTCTCTCAAATTTTAATCTGATTTCTCATTTTTGTACCACCCATACGCGAAAATTAATGGTTTTCTAAAGATTTTCATTAGAGATACTGTGTGTTTTTCTGTAGAAATATGATTTATCTTGTTTTGACCCAATTTTTTTTCGCGGAAAATTGGGGAAATTTGAATTTTTCCATCAAAAATACCCTGAAAAATCAAATTTCCAACTCAAAAATCTTGGTTTTTCAGATGCTTCTACTGCTCCTCAAATCATTGCTCATATTATGCTCTTGGGTTACTGTAGCTGGTGAGTTCGCAAAAAACATTTTTGGCGCCAAAAATCCACCAAATCCACTTTTTCTTAATGTGGCGCCTAATTTTCTCAAATTTTTATGATCAAACTGGTTTTTTCTCATAAAATTTTAGTGAATTAGGAAATTTAGTGAAAAATTTTGGAATGGGGCTAAACAAAAAAGTTTTGTGCTGAAAAATCTGAAAATCTTTGAGTTATGACGTGGAAAAACCGGTGTTTTGAGCATTGCTCATGTTATATAAAATTTTTGAAAATCCTAGATTTCTAGCTGTCAAAATTGATCTATTTTAGAGTATTGCTCATATTATACATTTTGTTCCTGTATTTTCTCAAATTCTATTGCTCATTTTATAATTATCATGCGCTTTTAAGTTTTCTGACTTTGCTCAGATTAAAGAATATTCTAGAAAATTCAATTTTCATCAAAAACCTCGGATTTTAGCTCTGAAATTCACAAATTTTCACAATTTCCCACCAAAATTGCTCTTTTTTTCCAGCCACCACAAACCTCACCCCGAAAAAACCACCAACAGATCGTTTGGTGCCAATCGGTGCCACCACCGCTTTCATGTGCGACCCGATCTTCCATCAAATCACAAATGCCACGTGGTTCAAGAATGGCGTCGAAATCGGTGTGGTTGATGCGCAGCGAAATTTGATACTGAGAAAAAGTGTGGAGAATTTGGAGAAGCTGGGAAAAATGGATGAGGATCCTATGCCGAAAATTGGATTTTTGGTTATTAATAATGTGACTAGAGGTGAATTTTTGATGCTGAAAATGATGAGCTACCTTGAAATGAGCAATTTCATCGTTTTCAGCACGAAAAATTGATCTGGAAAAGTTTTTTGGGTGAATTTGGTCAAAAAATAATTCTGTTACTTAAGCGGGGGTTACTTTTTTTTACAAAAATTTTTCTAGATCAATTTTTGATGCTGAAAATGATGAGCTAGTTCGAAATGAGCAATTTCAGCGTTTTCAGCGTGAAAAATTGATTTAGAAAAGTTTTTTTGGTAAATTTGGTCAAAATCTGACTTTTACTTAAGGGGGGTTACTTTTTTTACAAAAATTTTTCTAGATCAATTTTTGATGCTGAAAATGATGAGATGGCTGAAAATGAGCAATTTCAACGATTTCAGCACGAAAAATTGATCTAGAAATTTTTTGGCTTAATTTCAGATATTTGCAAAAAAAAATGACCCCCCCCCTGTTACCTAAAGAGGGGGGTCACTTTTTTTTTACAAGCATTTTTCTAGATCGATTTTACATGCTGAAAATGATGAGATGATTGGAAATGAGCGATTTCAGCGTTTTCAGCACAAAAAATTGATCTAGAAAAGTTTTTTGGGTGAATTTGGTCAAAAAATGACTCTGTAACTTAAGGGGGTCACTTTTTTTCACAAAAATTTGTCTAGATCAATTTTTGATGCTGAAAATGATGCGTTAGCCTTAAATGAGCAATTTCAGCGATTTCAGCACGAAAAATTGATCTGGAAAAGTTTTTGGTACCCTCGGACTAAAAATGACCCCCCCCCCCTTGTTAGTTAAGGCCCCCCCTTGTTAGTTAATAAGCATTTTCAGCGTTTTCAGCTCGAAAAGTTGATTTAGAAAACTTTTTGGAGCCTTGGAAAAAAATGACCCCCCTTTGTTACGTACTCAAAGGGGGGAGGGGGTCACTTTTTTTTACAAAAATGTTTCCAGATCAATTTTTTGTGCTGAAAATGAAGATCTAGCTTAAAATGAGCAATTCCAGCGTTTTCAGCACAAAAAAACCAATTTTTTACAGACGACGAAGGAATCTACTATTGTCAAAGCCACGTGGCATCCAAATTCGGCGAAGTCTATCGTCTCAAAATCGCCTACGTCCACCCGATTCCCGACAACCGAAAAGTCCACCTCATCCCCACGAAACCAATCCTTGGCCGCCCGATTTCCGCGCACTGTCCGCTTCCGGAAGCCTTTCCGCTCCCCAAAATCACATGGACCATCAATTCGCTCCCGATCTCCCATATCTCATCGGATTTCCAAATTTTCCCGGAAAATGCGACGCTGCAGATTGGACACTTTAGTTGGCATCATTTTGGACTTTTGGAATGCCACGTGGCAAATTTTGCCGGGAAAACCAAGGCTGGTGTTTTTATTGATTCGCAAGAGGTTTTGGGTGAGTTGGATTTTTTGAATTTTGAAAATTTTACTTACAAAAATATTTCTAGATCAATTTTTTATGCCAAAAATGCTGAGCTAGCCAAAAATGAGCAGTTTCAGCGTTTTCAGCTCAAAAAACTGATCTAGAAAAATTTTTGAAGCCCTATATTAAAAATGACCCCCCCCCCTCCTTGCTTTAATGGGGGGGGGGGGCTTACTTTTAGATATAAAAATATTTCAAGATCAATTTTTTATGCCAAAAATGCTCTCGGGAAAAATACGGCACCTTTTTAGCACCGAGGCGACAAAAATTGTCGAGGAGTTTTGGCCGCCCCGGTGCTGAAAAGGTGCCGAAATTACGGCACCTTTTCAGCGCCGAGGCGACATTTTCATGAAAAATCCATTATTTTACCATACAAATGACTCTTGTTCTCTTTTTCATCGAAATTTTCCGCACTAAAAATGTAGCAAGCGTGTCCTAGTGGATAAGAGGATGGGTTGTCATTGTTTTGACCCAAGTTCGATGCCCCTTTCCCGCACCATTTTTTATTTTTTTCGTCTCACTGGCGCACCATTTTAGCGCCGGTGCGTCTCTTCGCGCGCCGTTTTAGCGCCGGCGCGTTCTCTCTGCGCACCTTTTTAGCGCCGAGGCGAGAGCACTTCCCGCCTTGGCGCCCCAGAATGTCGCCTTAGCGCCCCAGGATGTCGCCTTGGTGCCGTATTTTTCCCGAGCTGAGCTAGGCAAAAATTAGCAGTTCCAGCGTTTTCAGCGTTAAAAACTGATCTAGGAAAATTTTTGGAGCCCATAAGAGTTGGCGCAAAATTTCAGAAATTCAAATTTTTCCTCCCACCAAAAATTGATCTATGACGTGGATTCTGATCGCAATAGACAATTGCAGACTCTCCAAAATCCCTGATCTCAATCGGTTGCTCCGCGGCTTTTCGCAGCTCAATTTTCATGTTTCTCCTCGGATGCCTAGTCACAAGTTCAATAGTTTTGATCTACTTGGGCCTTGCCGTATTCTTCATCAAACCCGGTCGATCTCGCCGTGTACTTCGGCCAACTTTTTGGTCCCGCACCGATCCCACTTTGGGACCCGGATTCAGAAAAGCGGTGGTGCCGTTGCCCGATTGTTTTTCGACGAATTCGAATTCGACGAGATTGTTGGCGTGATCTTTGAGATCTGATTTGTAGATTTTCATAGAATTCAGGATGTGATTTTTGACGGGTATGTAATAAATTTGAAATTTTGAAGAGTGTTAAAAGTTTCAGAGAAATTTTAGGTTTGAAATTCTCTACAAATTGATATATCACACTACAGTGTAGTCTAGCAAAAGAGAAAGTTCGCTCTATTGCAAATTGTGTTTAGAGTGAGCCCTTGATAACCCTAATAATCAAATTTATCACTTCATTAGTTCAACAATCATTATTAGGATAAACGTAAGGACTTGTGAGAACATAACTGAGCAATTTAGGTCCAGAATATTCTGTAGCTCTTCGAAAAGTAACTTCTGTGTTCGTTCCACTTTTGTAAGTCACTTCTAGACCTTTCAATTCAGCTGACTTTATTGGGTTAATTGAGAAAATCGAACTCCCCAAAAAAGTCTCTTTGTCATAAAAAAAGGGTATTGGATCGCCATATTTCATAAAAACGAGTTTGTCCGAAACCAAATTCGATAGGGCTTCACGATCTCCGAGCTTTTCGGTGTCTAGGAAGAGTTTCTGGAAGTCGCGGGCCAATTCCATGACATATGGATCAGAATTGCAAGTAGATTCGATTAGAAGTGGAAGAATCGCGAGAATTGCCAAGAAGAATCGCATTTTTAATATGAAAATAGAATTGTAAGCTGTGTTTAAATATTCATTGGTTAATTGGAAGATTCGATTATGGAAATTGGAATTCTGATGCAATTGAAGTTCTATCAGAACAAGGAACAAAGGATTTTCTCTCGAAAATTTCGGTAACCCTGATGAGATCAGGGTATTATTTTGAAGCCCTTGAAATTCTCTACAAAATGATGTATAACACTACAGTGTAGTCTAACGAAAGAGCAAGTGCGCTCCAATGATAATCTAGTATTGCATCAGAATTCTGAACTATAATCGAATCATCTGATGAATACTTAAGCCTGGCTTCTGATTCTATTCGCATCAAAAATGCGATTCCTTCTAACAATTCTGGCGATTCTTCCACTTCTCATCGTATCAGATCTGAATCCTAATTGGGCCCTACATCAAGCTCAATACTTCCAAACTGAATTCCTCGAACATTTGAAGAAGCAAGATTTCAAAGGCTTAGCAATCAGTATTGACAAAAACTTCGAATTCATTGTGTCACATGGTGATCGTAGATTGCTCCAACAAGACAAAAACACATATGTGGACTACCTTCGAAACAATCGAGACCTATTTTCAAGCGGGAAGATTGTGTCAGCTAAAACAAGCGGTTTCAGTGTGGAATTTGAGATCAAACCTAAAAGGGGATATGGTAATCATAAGGCTGTTATGATCCCAAACTCAAGACAATATGGCCCAAGATTGGTCAGATATGAGATTCCAATTTATTCTCTTTGATTTCTGATTTTTGATGGGCTCATGTGGTTTTGATTGAATAATAAAATGTTAATTTGCATTAGAGCGCACTTGCTTTTTTTGATATAATTGTATATCATTTTGTAGAGAATTTAAGGGGTTTCAAAATGAGTTTGCATTAGAGCGCATTTGCAAAAAAAATCAAAATTCATTCATCAAAAAGTGGAACTTGAAGCCAATCTCTTATTTTCCCCCTCACAAGCTTCTTTTCTTCGATTCATTCTTTGGTTCCAAGCTTTTGCATCTCTTTCGGAAATTGGTTCCGTCACAAAGTTCGGCTAAATTCGGGCCGAAAATCGCCAAAACCATGGAAAATATTCTGATTTTTCGGACACTTTGCGGGCGGTTTTATTTGAAAAAATTGGAAAAAATCACACAGACGATATAAAAAACACCCCCAAAGATTCAGATTTTTCTTGAAAAAAAAAAATGAAAATTCGGCTAGTTTTTCTATTATTTTCCTGTTCAAACCCAATCCTCAGCGGTTATATTGGCGGAAGTTTGAACCCAAGAAAACTTCAAGTTCCCTCAAATACATCTATAATACTAGCAACTGAAATTTGGGATTGGATCAAAAATTTCAAAGAGGATGGGGATTCTGAAGAGGAGATGAGGAGGAAAAATTTGACATTTGACCCAAATTATTTGAGATTTAGAGGGAAATGAAGATTTTGTAGATCAAAAAAGCTTGTAGCTTGAAAATCCGCGACCAAACAAGTCTAGGGTCGGTGTATATTTTGGCACCTAAAATTGGGGTTTTTCAAATTTTTGTAGATCAAATATTGAAGCTCATTGAAAAACCACGTATTTTAAGATCAAACAACCCTAGGGTTACTGTAGATTTTAGTGCCAAAAATGATCCACATAATTTGAAATGTTGGCACTACAGTAACCTTGAGCTTATTTGTTCGGAAAAACAGTAAATTTTTCATTAACATTAGCAGACATTATCATCGTTAAGGACCTGCACGACGTCCACAAATATATCCAATTATTGGATGAGCATCTGCTCCACACGTAGAAGCATATAATAAACCCCAGTATTGTCCGCCATTGAGAACAACACAAGATCTGTGGAAAATAATAATAATTATGTTTTCATTTGTACTTTTTTTGTTACCCAGAACAATCAGGTTGAGATTCAGGCCAGTTCATTCCATCAGTTCCTTTTGTCAATGAATCCATCCATGTATAACTACTCGGATCATTCACATTTATACAACTGGAAGTCTTGAGTCCAATCCATAAATAATTGGATACGGTAACAAAAGGGGAATGCTCGATGTAAAAATTTTCTGAATTCGTTGAGTTTGAGAAATAATCATCATCATGACCACTTACGTTGAACACTTTGCCTCTCATTGGAATTTTGAAAACCTGCTAGATTTCCACCCAATCGTTGACAATCAGTTTCAGCATTTGATTGACTGATATCTTTTGAATACACCGCCTGAAAACAATAATTATAAGTAGTTCGACTGAATTGTGTCCATTTGTTGTTCGGACAATTGAATTTCGTCCAATCAACTTTGGTTGTTGGTTTGACGGTTGTAGTTGTAGTTGTGGTTGTTGGCGGTTTCAACAAAGGTCCTTCAATTGTCGTATTCCACGTTTGAATCGTAACATTTCCAGAATCACTGTCATAAGTCGATCTTTGATAATGACCAGTTAGACTGTCACTATCACCATCATAAGTGTAATACAATTTGGTTTTCCTAATCTCACAAGATTGCAGAAAAACAACAAGAAAATAATAGCAGAATGCAAAGAAAAGTGGGCTCATTCTCAAGAAAAATGAAAATGAAAATGAAATGCGATTGCTTGTAGGAACATTTTGATGAGGTTTTCCATGGTGATTTGAAACTACCTTTTTTATTTGAAAAAGATTACTGTAAAGCTCATTCGATATAGAGCCAAAAGTCGAATAAATTGGGATTTTTGAAGTTTAACATGAGCAATATTTGATTTTTGGCTACAAATATCCTAATGCCACTAATTCAGTCAAAAAAACCTCAATTTTCTAGGCATTGCTCATGTTAGACTGCAAAAAATGATTTTTTGAAAATAGTTTAGAGCATTTTGAGCGCAAAATTCGAAAAATTTGAATTTTTGAAGTTTAACATAGGCAATATCCTTTTTTGACTCAAAATCTCTTAATTTCTGGGCTAATATGAGCAATGCCATCAATTTCATCAGGAAAACCGATTTTCGAGCGTTGCTCATGTTAGATCTGATTTTCGAAAATTGTTTGGAGCATTTTGAGCCCCAAATTCGAAAAATTTGAATTTTTTTAATTTGCATTGGAGCGCATTTACAAAAAAAATCAAATTTTATTCATCAAAAAGTGGAACTTGAAGCCAATCTCTTATTTTTCTCCCCACAAGCTTCATTTCTTCGATTCATTCTTTGGTTCCAAGCTTTTCCATTTCTTTCGGAAATTGGCTCCGTCACAAATTTCGGCTAAATTCGGGCCGAAAATCGTCAAAGTCATGGAAAATATTCTGATTTTTTGAACACTTTGCGGGCGGTTTTATTTAGGAAAAAATCACACAGACATCAGACCCCCCAAAAGATTCAGATTTTTCTTGAAAAAAATGAAATTTTCCCAATTTTTCCTAATTTCAAATATTTCTGTTTTATCTTTGGCTGGCTATTTATATGGTGGAAAATGGCGCGAAAAAAGACTACTGTAGATTTTCCACATTCATCTTCTAATGCAGCAATTTTATTCTCCGGAAGACTACCTACAGTAATCCCAAGTGATATACCTGAATTTTGGCGCGAAAAATTTGCCAAAGCTTGGGATTGGATCAAAAATTTCAAAGAGGATGGTGATTCTGAAGAAGAGATGAGGAGGAAAAATGTGACATTTAGCCCAAATTATTTGAGATTTGGCGGGAAATGAAGATTTCGTAGATCAAAAAATGATTGTAGCTTGAAAATCCACGTATTTTGAGATCACACAAGCCTAGGGTTTCAAGTTTTGTGGATCATTTTGGCCCTAAAATCTACAGTAACCTTAGGATTCAAAATATGTGGATTTTCAGCTACAGTAATCGTTTATTTTCCAGGAAAAAAAAGTCCGGAATACCGGAAATCTTTGACTTTTTCAGGTCGAACAGTTGAAGTTATGATTTCCTCTTGATATTTTGCAGTACTCCTTTTTTTGAACCATTTTCCACCATGAAAATGGCCAGCCAAAATTAAGCCAAAAATATTTGAAATTAGGAAAAATTGGATGAATTTCATTCTTTTTTTGTGGAAAACTAAAATAATTCCAAGTTTTTATAGATTTTGTCTAGAAGGTGGGAAATTTGTAGATGAAAAAATTGCCGGCAAAATCTACAGTAACCCTAGGCGTATTTGATCGACAAATTTCGAAACCAAAAAAGATGTTGGTTTTTTTTTTCTTGAACGTGCGTGTCCGAAAAATAGCTAACAAAAAAAAATTGGGGCATTTTTTGAATTTTCAAGTCTGTGAAAATGGGAGCGTGTTTATCGCGATGGAAATATTCGGAAGGAATTGGATGGTTTGATTTACCATTTGATATGCGAAGATCAATTATTGATTTAATGGATTTTAAAACAAGAGCCAAATTTGCGCAATGTTCAATTGATTGTTATGAAGAAGTTGCGCAAACTCGAAATTACATCGAAGAAATTACAATAACTGGATATGAAGAAGAAGAAGAAGATCGATGGATTAGTATTTTTCTGTTTTCTTTGAAAAACCACATATGGTGTTGGTTCAGAATAGAGGAATTTATTGATTTGGATGACATTTCATTCGAATCAACGGGAAAATTTGAAGTTAAATGGATAGTTAACGATGAAAATATATCAACAACAATATTTGAGAAAATAGATATGATTGAAATTGTTTTGAAATATTTTAATGGATTAGTGAAGAAAAATGCGAAAAGTTTGAAAAGTATTGCAATTCGTATGGTTAGTTTTGTATCCAAAGAAGAGAAATTTGAATGTATTTATTTTGCAGGATGATTTTCCTTATAATCGAACAAATATCAAAAATCTGAAATGTGAAAATCTGAGAGAATTGAAACTTTGTAAAAATAAGCATGGAATCGACCCAATTTTGAGCGGATTTGTTGATCTCGATACAATTTCTCGTCTTGAATATAAAATCGAAGTTCCCAATTTGAAATTCGATGATTTGTTGAAAATCAAATCAATGTATCGGAAATTAACCGATCCAATATTTTCATTTGATGATTTTGATGATTTTTTGAGACGACTTTTGGTTGAAGAAGAATCTGATGAACAAATTAAAGAAATTGAATTGAATTTGAATGGAATTGCAATTGAAAATCATGATATTTTACTCCAAATTATCAGTAAATATACAGTAACTATTGGTTTGAGAATCAGAAATGATGGAACATCAGAATGGGAAGATGTAATGGGATATTTGAGAAAATCAAATAAGTGGAAACATCAAAACCATTGTATACTTTTTAGAGATAATTGTTTTGAGTATTTAATGATTGAAAAATGAATTTGTAAAGTCCAACAATAAATAGTGTTTTCGAAAATTGTTTCTGTATAGTATAGGCTTAGTAAGCCACGATTTCGAATTTTTTGTGTAAAATCTCAATTTTTGTCCCCAAAATTTGCCACTGATTCTCTCGAAATACCGTGTAAAATGTACTACAATTTTATAGAGAAAAAATTGATGTTTTTTGATAGAAACCAGTAGTTTTTGAGCTGAAAATGATGAAATTCATGGTTTTCAGCTCAAAAACTAGGAAAACGGTGGTTTTCTCTCGAAAATCCCAGAAAATCACAATTTTCAGCTTTTCCCCGATCCAAAACCTTGAAATTTCAAAATTAAAAGTTTTGGGTGAGGGAAAAGCTGGAATTGTAGCCAAAAATCTGAAATTTCACATATTTTTTTTAGTTTTGCTCGAGTTCTCCTCTGTCTGGTCAAAAATTTAAAATTCGTAGTTTTTATAGAAGAATTTTTGCAGATACTTCGATTTTAGGATGCAGCTCATTTTTTTTGGAAAATTTTTCAATTTTTCAGAGTTTTACAATTTTTTGAACGTAAAACGTCGCAAATTTGCTAATTTTTTAAACACCAAAAAAATACGTTTCAAAATTTCGATATAATTTATTTTCATTTAACTCACTGCTTGTTTTGTGAAAGACACGGTCTATGTTTATAAACCAAAGTTGGTGCAATTGTCATTAATAAATCGATCTGAAAAATTGTATATTGATAAACATCAAGAATATGAAATAACTCATTTCGAACTCACTTTTTCAGGGGTTTCTCCGGTTTTGACGAATTTTCGCAGGTTCACAATATTCTCCATTAATTTCAATTTTTGAAATACTAGGGGCTGTTAGTCCCCAGGCGTAACAGTCTTCTCATTTATTTCAGTTTCACTTTTTTCTGTGATTATTGTCACTTTTCTGTAGAAAATTCTGTGGAAACTGGAAGAGCTCCAGAAATGAAATTATTGAGAAAAAGTCATGTCTCCAAACCGAAATTTCTGTTTGGAGACGGTCATGTCTATAATTATGCAAATAAAAAAAAGAGATTCAATAAGTTTTTTAAAAAATTGTTTGATGACGTCATTCATGGCAAAATTAGGAAGCCTTCCTGATTTTGCCACGAATCATTTTTTGATGAAAAAATTTGAAATTTTAAATAAATTTGTTTTCCACATAAAATTGAGAATAATCACAGAAAAAACGGAACTGAAATAAATGAGAAGACTGTTACGCCTGGGGGCTAACAGCCCCTAGTTTAGCATTTCAAAAATTGGAATTAATGGAAAATATTGTGAACCTGCGAAAATTCGTCAAAACCGGAGAAACCCCTGAAAAAGTGAGTTCGAAATGAGTTATTTCATATTTTTGATGTTTATGAATATACAATTTTGCAGCTCAATTTATTAATGACAATTGCACCAACTTTGGTTTAAGTGCAGAGACCGTGTCTATCACAAAATAAGTTCGTCGAAGTATTCTAAAAAGATGCTCCAGTGAGTTAAACCCAATCAAACTGGATTCGAACCACCATATTATTTTTTTAGTTGATTTCATATGATTTGTTCTGGACATTTGAAAATACACATTGTAGAACAAAATAAATTATATCGAAATTTTGAAACGTATTTTTTTTGGTGTTAAAAAAATTAGAGAATTTGCGACGTTTTACGTTCAAAAAATCGTAAAATTCTGAAAAATTGAAAAATTTTCTGAAAAAAAATGAGCTGCATCCTAAAATCGAAGTATCTGCAAAAATTCTTCTATAAAAACTACGAATTTTAAATTTTTGGAACAATACAAAATGCAAACTGACCAAAAAACCCGCAAATTTGAACCTGATTGATCAGACAGAGGAGAAATCGAGCAAAATTGAGAAAAACTTGTTTTGAAGCTGAAATTTCAGATTTTTGGCTACAATTCCAGCTTTTCCCGCACCCAAAACCTTGAATTTCGAAATTTCAAGGTTTCGGGTCAGGGAAAAGCTGACAAATTGTGATTTTCAGGGATTTTCGAGAGAAAACCACCGCTTTCCTAGTTTTTGAGCTGAAAACCATGAATTTCATCATTTTCAGCTAAAAAACTACTGGTTTTAACCAGAAAACATCAATATTTCATGAAAAATGCAAAATTTACCTTTCAACTCAATCCTCCATCCCGAATTCTCCTTTCCATTCATTGTTTCGAGTAGTACCTGTCAAAAAATCAATTGACACTACGAATTTTGAATTTTTGGAACAATACAAAATGTAAACTGACCAAAAAAGCAACCTGTGTTGTTGAGACGAATTCCACAATTGACACGATGTTGTTCGATGAGCAAATCTGAAAAAAAAAACAATTTATTTTTGGTAGGGTTCATAAATGCTCCCAAAAAAACTGAAAAAAAACATCTTTTTGAGATTTTTCGGTTCTCAAGCGCAAAAAAATCGAATTGAAACCGCCGCTCTGTTGAAATACGATAAACAACTTTAAAAAAAAAAAAATACGATAAACAACTTTTTTTTTTTTTTTTCATGATCATTTTCGAAATGTTTCTTCGCTAGTTTTTCGTTGTTTTCCTTGTTGAATAAAGTTATTTATTTGAAAAATATGTTATTTTTGTTGAATTAAACCGCTTTTGATTCGCGGAGTAATATTATTTTGTATTTAAAAACAGGTTATCACTGGAAAATGAAAATGCGCGATTTTGTTGGATGGGAGTTCAAAAATCACTAAATTTATTGATCTTCAAGGAATATAGTTTGATGGTGAGTAGTTCTTTGAGGAGGGTTTTCTGAAGTTTGAAAAGTAAAAACTAAAAAAAACTTCGTAATTTTCTCTGAAAACGAATCAGGATTGAGTTGAAACGTGAATTTTGAATTTTTCATGAAATATTGATGTTTTCTGATAGAAACCAGTAGTTTTTGAGCTGAAAATTATGAAATTCATGGTTTTCAGCTCAAAAACTAGGAAAACCGTGGTTTTCTCTCGAAAATCCCTGAAAATCACAATTTTCAGCTTTTCCCTGACCTGAAACCTTGAAATTTCGAAATTCAAGGTTTTGGGTGAGGGAAAAGCTAGAATTGTAGCCAAAAATCTGAAATTTCACATGTTTTTTTTTCAGTTTTGCTCGATTTCTCCTCTTTCTGGTCAATCAGGTTCAAATTTGCGGTTTTTTGGTCAGTTTGCATTTTGTATTGTTCCAAAAATTTAAAATTCGTAGTTTTTATAGAAGAATTTTTGCAGATACTTTGATTTTAGGATGCAGCTCATTTTTTTTAGAAAATTTTTCAATTTTTCAGAGTCTTACGATTTTTTGAACGTAAAACGTCGCAAATTCTCTAATTTTTGAAAACCAAAAAAATACGTTTCAAAATTTCGATATTTATAATTTATTTTCATTTAACTCACTGGAGCATCAGATTTGAAAACTTGGACGAACTTGTTTTGGGATAAACATAAACATCGGTCCGATTATTCTTGAAAAAAAATTTTTTTTGATCAACTTTTTTTTTGTTCAAAAATTTGTAAATCTGGAAGAGCTTCCAGTTTTACAAATTAATCATTTTCGAGCCAATTTTCATGTTTTCAGTCTAAAATTGATTCGAATTCATTCGTTGAGCATGCTTTTAAAAAAATCGGCCCGAGTTTTCACAGAAAAAAGTGAAACTGAAATAAATGAGAAGTCTAGCATTTCAAAAATTGGAATTAATGGAGAATATTGTGAACCTGCGAAAATTCGTCAAAACCGGAGAAACCCCTGAAAAAGTGAGTTCGAAATGAGTTATTTCATATTTTTGATGTTTATGAATATACAATTTTGCAGCTCAATTTATTAATGACAATTGCACCAACTTTGGTTTAAGTGCAGAGACCGTGTCTATCACAAAATAAGTTCGTCGAAGTATTCTAAAAAGATGCTCCAGTGAGTTAAACCCAATCAAACTGGATTCGAACCACCATATTATTTTTTTAGTTGATTTCATATGATTTGTTCTGGACATTTGAAAATACACATTGTAGAACAAAATAAATTATATCGAAATTTTGAAACGTATTTTTTTTGGTGTTAAAAAAATTAGAGAATTTGCGACGTTTTACGTTCAAAAAATCGTAAAATTCTGAAAAATTGAAAAATTTTCTGAAAAAAAATGAGCTGCATCCTAAAATCGAAGTATCTGCAAAAATTCTTCTATAAAAACTACGAATTTTAAATTTTTTGGAACAATACAAAATGCAAACTGACCAAAAAACCCGCAAATTTGAACCTGATTGATCAGACAGAGGAGAAATCGAGCAAAATTGAGAAAAACATGTTTTGAAGCTGAAATTCGAGATTTTTGGCTACAATTCCAGCTTTTCCCTCACCCAAAACCTTGAATTTCAAAATTTCAAGGGTTCGGGTAAGGGAAAAGCTTACAAATTGTGATTTTCACAAATTTTCGAGAGAAAACCACCGTTTTCCTAGTTTTTGAGCTGAAAACCATGAATTTCATCATTTTCAGCTCAAAAACTACTGGTTTCTACCAGAAAACATCAATTTTTCATGAAAAATTCAAAATTTACCTTTCAACTCAATCCTCCATCCCGAATTCTCCTTTCCATTCATTGTTTCGAGTAGTACCTGTCAAAAAAAATCAATTAACAATACGAATTTTGAATTTTTGGAACAATACAAAATGTAAACTGACCAAAAAAGGAACCTGTGTTATTGAGACGAATTCCACAATTGACACGATGTTGTTCGATGAACAATTCTGAAAAAAAAACAATTTATTTTTGGTAGGGTTCATAAATGCTCCCAAAAAAAACTATCCTTTTGAGATTTTTCGGTTCTCAAGAGCAAAAAAATCGAATTGAAACCGCCGCTCTGTTGAAATACGATAAACAACAGGCAAGCGGAGTGTCGTAGTTTTATTTATTTTTTTCATTTTCGAAATGTTTCTTCTTTCTCTAGTTTTTCGTTGTTTTCCTTGTTGAATAAAGTTTTTGATTTGAAAAATATGTTGTTTTTGTTGAATTCAACCGCTTTTGACTCGCGGAGTAATGTTATTTTGTATTTAAAAACAGGTTTTCACTGGAAAATGAAAATGCGCGATTTTGTTGGATGGGAGTGCAAAAATCACCAAATTTATGGATCTTGTTGAGAATTGAGGAGATGAAAACCTTGGTAAAGGAGATTAAAACGTTTTGGAAGGTTTTCTAGCTGAGCAGATCTTGATTTAGGCAAGTTTTCTCTGCAAATTCCTTGAAAATGTTGATTTTCAAAACTTGAGAACCGAAAAATCTCAAAAAGATGTTTTTTTTGGAGAATTTATGAACCCTACCAAAATAAATTGTTTTTTTTTCAGATTTGCTCATCGTACAACATCGTGTCAATTTCGTCTCAATAACACATGTTTCTTTTTTGGTCAGTTTACATTTTGTATTGTTCCAAAAATTCAAAATTCGTAGTGTTAATTGATTTTTTTGACAGGTACTACTCGAAACAATGAATAGAAAGGATGATTCGAGATGGAGGATTGAGTTGGAAGGTAAATTTTGAATTTTTCATGAAAAATTGATGTTTTCTGGTAGAAACCAATAGTTTTTGAGCTGAAAATGATGAAATTCATGATTTTCAGCTCAAAAACTAGGGAAACAGTGGTTTTCTCTTGAAAATCCCTGAAAATCACAATTTTCAGCTTTTCCCTGACCCGAAACCTTGAAATTTCGAAATCCAAGGTTTTGGGTGAGGGAAAAGCTGGAATTGTAGCCAAAAATTTGAAATTTCACATGTTTTTTCCAGTTTTGCTCGATTTCTCCTCTTTCTGGTCAATCAGGTTCAAATTTGCGGGTTTTTTGGTCAGTTTGCATTTTTTATTGTTCCAAAAATTTAAAATTCGTAGTTTTTATAGAAGCATTTTTGCAGATACTTCGATTTTAGGATGCAGCTCATTTTTTTAAAGAAAATTTTTCAATTTTTCAGAATTTTACGATTTTTTGAACGTAAAACATCGCAAATTCTCTAATTTTTTAAAACCAAAAAAAAATACGTTTCAAAATTTCGATATAATTTATTTTCGAATCAATAGGTTTGTTCGGAGATGTGTATTTTCAAATGTCCAGAATAATTCATATGAAATCAACTAAAAAAATATTATGGTGGTTCGAATTTGATTGGGTTTAACTCACTGGAGCATTTCTTTGGGCTTCCAGATGTTTTTATACTTTTGGAATAGTGTATGTTTTGAGTTGTGCAGTCTCAAAATCTCTGTACAACAGTATTGTCAGTCCGAAATTTTGTGACCGTTGGAAGAGAACCGATATGGCCTAGGAAACCAAATGTTTCCTCTTTCAATACAAAAGATCAAAGCAGCCGCGAAGTCTACTGTATTTTGGTTTTCTCTTCCACGGTTCATATTTTTTCGGATTGACAATGTTTGTTGCAGATTGTAGCATTATATTTCTGATATTTGAAAAAACGAAGAATCGTCAAAAAATCAAGAAAAATATAACAAAACAACTGAAAATTTAAAAAAAACACGTTTCTCCCTCCAAAAAATCAGGGACCCTTATTTTTTGGGACCCTTATATTGAGATAGAGCCGAAAATTTTTCAATTTTTAGGAATTTTACGATTTTTCGAACGTAAAACGTCACAATTTCTCTAATTTTTTAAACACCAAAAAAATACGTTTCAAAATTTCGATATAATTTATTTTCATTTTATTGGTTTAATTGTCATTAATAAATCGAGCTGAAAAATTGTATATTGATAAACATCAAGAATATGAAATAACTCATTCCGAGCTCACTTTTTCAGGGGTTTTGTCGGTTTTGGCGAATTTTCTGAGAGAAATGACGAGGCTTAAAGCTACACAGAGAGAAAAAATCGACAAAAATCACGTCATCCAATCAGCGATTGTGGGCGGGGTTTCAAGAAATGGGTCACGTGAATACTGACGCGTTTGTTGTTTTTGCTGACGCTTTTTTTTATTTTTCGAAATTTTTTTTGAATTTTCAGTTTTTTACAGTTTTTCAGCGAGGGAAGACAAATTTCCACAATATTTTTTATGCAGATTGTTAGGAATCTACTAAGGATCATTTACATAAGTAGATTTTCATATTTTGTGAAAAACTCACAAAGTTATAAGAAAAAACATGTTCATTAGGTCAACTTTTGCTTTGTTTGAAATCTTTTCAACTTCGAAACTTATTTCGCGATTTATTTTCTCATGAAATCGTATTATATAAGTGATATTCCAGCAAATCGGAACGGATTTTCCCCAATTTACGAAGGAATGCGACGTGGATGTGGCGAACAGTTGAAAACGACAAGATGAACGGATTTTTGGTCAAATTTTTGAAAATGTAGAACTTTTAAAGTTTTCTTTTCGACATGTTGATGGAAGCCAGTTTTTTTATGCTTCTAGTCTTCAATTTGACACAAAATTCGGAATTTTTTCATGTTAGAAATATTTTGAATAAAAGTTTATTGAAAATGAAACCAAGTTTCCCATATAACTCATCAAAAATGGAATAATTAGCACCATATCAACTACACAATGCAAAACCGTTGAATTTTGACAAATTATCGGTGAAAATTCTTATTTTTTCCGCTTTTTTCCAAATATCAGTTTGTGGGTTTTTTGTTGCAAAAACTGCCTCAATATCGACTCCAAATCATCAAATCAGTTTATTCGTTACTTTTGAATGCTTTCTGATGGATTATGACAAGGATTTGTACCCAAAATACTGGAAAAACAGCAATTATTGAGAACTTTTGAACAAAAATCGTTAAAACTTTCGGTACATAGCGAAACTAAAAATTATAAAGCGATAGGAACAATTATCTATACGAGTTCTAAAAACTGTATAAAAAATTTTAGCGAAAAATCGTGATTTTCAAGGAAAAACAACAAAAAATAGGCCAGGCGACCAAAAAAGAAAAAAAAAATAAATTTTGAAAATGAAAAAAATGAAATGGGCGTGGCTTATTCACGTGGGCCAATCAAAAACGTAGACAGGAATTTAATGAAATGCTGTCGATTTTTTCTCTCTGTGGCAGCTTTTATAGTGATATGAAAAAAAAAATTTTTTTGTTTTTTTTTGGAGGCCTTTTGAGCCTCTCTCATTTTTTTGAGGGGATGAAAACGTTTTGGAAGGTTTTCTAGCTGAGCAGATCTTTATTTAGGCAAGTTTTCTCGGAAAATTCCTTCAAATTGTTGATTTTCAAAACTTAAGAACCGAAAAATCTCAAAAAAAATTTTTTTTTTTTAGTTTTTTTGGGAGCATTTATGAACCCTACCAAAAATAAATTGTTTATTTTTCAGATTTGCTCATCGAACAACATCCTGTCAATTGTGGAATTCGTTTCAATAACACAGGTTTCTTTTTTGGTCAGTTTACATTTTGTATTGTTCCAAAAATTAAAAATTCGTAGTGTTAATTGATTTTTTTGACAGATAATACTCGAAACAATTAATGGAAAGGAGGATTCGGGATGGAGGATTGAGTTGAAAGGTAAATTTTGAATTTTTCATGAAATATTGATGTTTTCTGATAGAAACCAGTAGTTTTTGAGCTGAAAATGATGAAATTCATGGTTTTCAGCTCTAAAACTAGGAAAACGGTGGTTTTCTCTCGAAAATTTGTGAAAATCACAATTTTCAGCTTTTGCCTGACCCGAAACCTTGAAATTTTGAAATTCAAAGTTTTGGGTGAGGGAAAAGCTGGAATTGTAGCCAAAAATCCGAAATTTCACATGTTTTTTTCAGTTTTGCTCGATTTCTCCTCTGTCTGGTCAATCAGGTTCAAATTTGCGGTTTTTTTGGTCAGTTTGCATTTTGTATTGTTCCAAAAATTTAAAATTCGTAGTTTTTATAGAAGAATTTGTGCAGGTACTTCGATTTTAAGACGCAGCTCATTTTTTTTTTAGAAAATTTTTCAATTTTTCAGAGTTTTACGGTTTTTTGAACGTAAAACGTCTCAATTTCTCTAATTTTTAAAAACCAAAAAAAAATACGTTTCAAAATTTCCATATAATTTATTTCACTTTCAGTAGTTGATCCTCCGTTATTTTTAGTGCTTTCAACAACACAACAACTTGGTATTGTTTGATTTCTTGGAATTTCTGTATTGTCGAAATTGAAAAATGTGGCAGCCGTAAAAAATAAAAAGCAGTGCAGAGCTGAATGAATCACAATCTCGTTATTTCGTCAGTCGCGCGCGGCTGTGCGTCGCGGTCGGAATGCAAAGGAAAAACGGATTATTGATTGTTTCCCGACCGCGACGCACAGCCGCACGCGACTGACGAAATAACGAGATTATCATTCATTCAGCTCTGCACTGGTTTTTATTTTTTACGGCTGCCACATTTTTAATTTCGACAATAGTAAAAAAATAAATTCAAAAAATAATGAGTTCTCGTGTTTTTGTGTATACTCACATTTGTGTAGAATGTGTTCTTTTTTATGTTTTTCTTTTCGTCAACTTCTCGGCACATATTACAGTACCCTTTTTCGGCCATAAAAACTGTTTTTTTTTCGAATTGATTGACACGGTTCAAAGTCAACAATTTTTTCATCGTTATTATTTCGCGGGATTTTTTTGCTCTTGTCAATCAGGTTCAAATTTGCGGGGTTTTTTGGTCAGTTTACATTTTGTATTGTTCCAAAAATTAAAAATTCGTAGTGTTAATTGATTTTTTTGACAGGTACTACTCGAAACAATGAATGGATGGATCGAAAGGAGGATTCGAGGATGGAGGATTGAGTTGAAAGGTAAATTTTGCATTTTTCATGAAAAATTGATGTTTTCTGGTTAAAACCAGTAGTTTTTGAGCTGAAAATGATGAAATTCATGGTTTTCAGCTCAAAAACTAGGAAAACGGTGGTTTTTCTCTCGAAAATCCCTGAAAATCACAATTTTCAGCTTTTCCCTGATCCAAAACCTTGAAATTTCGAAATTCAAGGTTTTGGGTGAGGGAAAAGCTGGAATTGTAGCCAAAAATCTGAAATTTCACATGTTTTTTTCAGTTTTGCTCGATTTCTCCTCTGTCTGGTCAATCAGGTTCAAATTTGCTGTTTTTTGGTCAGTTTACATTTTGTATTGTTCTGAAAATTAAAAATTAGTAGTTTTTATAGAAGAATTTTTGAAGGTACTTCGATTTTAGGATGCAGCTCATTTTTTTTTAGAAAATTTTTCAGAGTTTTGCGATTTTTTGAACGTAAAACGTCTCAAATTCTCTAATTGTTAAAAACCAAAAAAAATACGTTTCAAAATTTCGATATAATTTATTTTCACTCACTGCTTCAATCTCTCTCATTGGCCATTCCTCGGACATTCTTTCGAATAAATTCAAAGTTGCTTGCGGTGAACGGTTGAACGAGAATCTGACATTCTCTAACAACGTTTTTGTCAAATGCGAATTCTTGGTTTTGACAAGAATCAATAGGTTTGTTCTCAGATGTGTATTTTCAAATGTCCAGAACAACTCATAAGAAATCAACTAAAAAAATAATATGGTGGTTCGAATTTGATTGGGTTTAACTCACTGCTGCATCATTTTGGAATATTTCGACGAACTTATTTTGTGAGAGGCACGGTCTATGTTTATAAACTAAAGTTGATGCAATTGTCATTAGCAAATCAAGCTGCGAAATTGTATATTGATAAACATCAAGAATATGAAATAACTCATTTCGAACTCACTTTTTCAGTGCTTTCGCAGGTTCACAATATTTTCCATTATTTTCAATTTTTGAAATGGCCAACGCAATTTTATCATCCGAAAATAATTTGAGCTTTGCTTGTGAGTTTCAAAATACGTGAAATTTTAGATACAAGAATTTTTTGATCTACAAAATTTGGAAAACCCCAAATTTTTGACCCTGAAATCTACAGTAACTCAAATATTGATGAGCTCAAGAAAATCGCTCAAAAAATGTCTTTGTTTTTTTAAATGATAAATTACTGTACTCAAAAATCCACGTATTTTGAGATCAAATAAGCCTAGGGTTACTGTAGATGTTTGTGCCTAATGTTCAGATTTTGTGGATCATTTTTTGTGCCATATCCTACGATTTGTTCTGGACATTTGAAAATACACATCTCCGAACAAACCTATTGATTCTTGTCAAAACCAAGAATGCGCATTTGACAAAAAGTTTGTTGGAAAATGTGAGATTCTCTTTCAACCGATCACCGCAAGCAACGTTGAATTTGTTCAGCAGTGAGTTAAATGAAAATAAATTATATCGAAATTTTGAAACGTATTTTTTTTGGTGTTTAAAAATTAGAGAATTTGCGACGTTTTACGTTCAAAAAATCGTAAAACTCTGAAAAATTTTCTAAAAAAAAATGAGCTGCATCCTAAAATCGAAGTATCGGCAAAAATTCTTCTATAAAAACTACGAATTTTTAATTTTCGGAACAATACAAAATGCAAACTGACCAAAAAACCGCAAATTTGAACCTGATTGACCAGACAGAGGAGAAATCGAGAAAAACTGAAAAAAAAACATGTTTTGAAGCTGAAATTTCAGATTTTTGGCTACAATTCCAGCTTTTCCCTGACCCAAAACCTTAAATTTCAAAATTTCAAGGTTTCGGGTCAGGAAAAAGCTGACAAATTGTGATTTTCACAAATTTTCGAGAGAAAACCACCGTTTTTCTAGTTTTCGAGCTGAAAACCATGAATTTTATCATTTTCAGCTCAAAAACTACTGGTTTCTATCAGAAAACATCAATTTTTCATGAAAAATTCAAAATTTACCTTTCAACTCAATCCTCCATCTCCTTTCGATCCATCCATCCATTGTTTCGAGTAGTACCTGTCAAAAAATCAATTAACACTACGAATTTTTAATTTTCGGAACAATACAAAATGTAAACTGACCAAAAAAAAAGCAACCTGTGTTGTTGAGACGAATTCCACAATTGACACGATGTTGTTCAATGAGCAAATCTGAAAAAAAGCAATTTATTTTTGGTAGGGTTCATAAATGCTCCCAAAAAAACTAAAAAAAAACATATTTTTGAGATTTTTCGGTTCTCAAGTTTTGAAAATCAACAATTTGAAGGAATTTTCCGAGAAAACTTGCCTAAATCAAGATCTTCTCAGCTAGAAAACCTTCCACAACGTTTTCATCTCCTTTTCCAAGGTTTTCATCTCCTCAATTCTCAACAAGATCCATAAATTTAGTGATTTTTGAACTCCCATCCAACAAAATCGCGCATTTTCATTTTCCAGTGAAAACCTGTTTTTAAATACAAAATAATATTACTCCGCGAATCAAAAGCGGTTGAATTCAACAAAAACAACATATTTTTCAAATAAAAAACTTTATTCAACAAGGAAAACAACGAAAAACTAGCGAAGAAACATTTCGAAAATGAAAAAAAACAAAAATAAAACTACGACACTCCGCTTGCCTGTTGTTTATCGTATTTCAACAGAGCGGCGGTTTCAATTCGATTTTTTTGCTCTTGAGAACCGAAAAATCTCAAAAGGATAGTTTTTTGTGAGCATTTATGAACCCTACCAAAAATAAATTGTTTTTTTTTCAGGTTTGCTCATCGAACAACATCGTGTCAATTGTGGAATTCGTCTCAACAACACAGGTTGCTCTTTTGGTCAGTTTACATTTTGTATTGTTCCAAAAATTCAAAATTCGTAGTGTTAATTGATTTTTTTGACAGGTACTACTTGAAACAAAGGAGGATTCGGGATGGAGAATTGAGTTGGGAGGTAAATTTTGAATTTTTCAGGAAAATGGTGGTTTTCTCTCGAAAATCCCAGAAAATCACAATTTTCAGCTTTTCCCTGACGCGAAACCTTGAAATTTCGAAATTCAAGGTTTTGGGTGAGGGAAAAGCTGGAATTGTAGCCAAAAATCTGAAATTTCACATGTTTTTTTTTCAGTTTTTCTCGATTTCTCCTCTGTCTGGTCAATCAGGTTCAAATTTGCGGTTTTTTGGTCAGTTTGCATTTTGTATTTATCCAAAAATTTAAAATTCGTAGTTTTATAGAAGAATTTTTGCAAGTACTTTGATTTTAGGATGCAGCTCATTTTTTTTAGAAAATTTTTCAATTTTTCAGAATTTTACGATTTATTGAACGTAAAACGTCGCAAATTCTCTAATTTTTAAAAACCAAAAAAAATACGTTTCAAAATTTCGATATAATTTATTTTCATTCAACTCACTGATTCGGTCATTCTTCCGAATAAATTCAAAGTTGCTTGCGGTGAACGGTTGAAAGAGAATCTCACATTCTCTAACAAAGTTTTTGTCAAATGTGAATTCTTGCTTTTGACAAGTACAACAGTATTGTCAGTCCGAAATTTTGTGACCGTTGGAAGAGAACCGATTTGGCCTAGGAAACCAAATGTTTCCTCTTTCAATACAAAAGATCAAAGCAGCCGCGAAGTCTACTGTATTTTTGTTTTCTCTTCCACGGTTCATATTTTTTCGGATTGTAGCACCATATTTCTGATATTTGAAAGTACGATGAATCGTCAAAAAATCGAGAAAAATACAACAAAACAATTAAAAATTTTAAAAAAAACACATTTTTCCCTCCAAAAATCAAAAAAATCACGGACCCTTATTTTTTTGGGACCCTTATATTGAGATAGAGCCGAAAATTTTTCAATTTTTAGGAATTTTACGATTTTTTGAACGTAAAACTTGACAAATTCTCTAATTTTTTGAACACCAAAAAAAATACGTTTCAAAATTTCGATATAATTTATTTTCATTTTATAAACCAGTGTTGGTTTAATTGTCAATAATAAATCGAGCTGAAAAATTGTATATTCATAAATATCAAGAATATGAAATAACTCATTTCGAACTCACTTTCCCTGGGGTTTCTCCGGTTTTGGCGAATTTTCTGAGAGAAATGACGAGGCTGTTAGCCTAGGGCGGGCTTTTCTGTAGAGCTTTTTTCAGAATACTGTACTTTATGGAACGGGTTACTGTAGGTTTTTAATTGGTAAAATTTTTTTTGGCAAAATTTCGATTTCACGCCCGAATCAAAATTTTGATTTGGGCGGGAAAGAATTTTTTGAAGAAAAAACATTTTTTTTTTTCGGAGGACTTTTACGCCTCTCTCATTTTCTTTGAGGAGATGAACACGTTATGGAAGGTTTTCTAGCTGAGAAGATCTTGATTTAGGCAAGTTTTCTCGGAAAATTCCTTCAAATTGTTGATTTTCAAAACTTAAGAACCGAAAAATCTCAAAAATATTTTTTTTTTAGTTTTTTTGGGAGCATTTATGAACCCTACCAAAAATAAATTGTTTTTTTTCAGATTTGCTCATCGAACAACATCGTGTCAATTGTGGAATTCGTTTCAATAACACAGATTGCTTTTTTGGTCAGTTTACATTTTGTATTGTTCCAAAAATTTAAAATTCGTAGTGTTAATTGATTTTTTTGACAGATACTACTCGAAACAATGAATGGATGGATCGAAAGGAGGATTCAGGATGGAGGATTGAGTTGAAAGGTAAATTTTTCAATTTTTCAGAATTTTACGATTTATTGAAAGTAAAACGTCGCGAATTCTCTATTTTTTAAAAACCAAAAAAATACGTTTCAAAATTTTGATATAATTTATTTTCATTTAACTCACTGCTACAAGAATCAATAGGTTTGTTCTTAAATGTTGGTTTTCAAAAGTCCAGAACAACTCATAAGAAATCAACTAAAAAAAAGATTATGGTGGTTCGAATTTGATTGGGTTCAACTCACTGGAGCATCTCTTTGGGCTTCCAGAAAAAAATCGAGAAAAATACAACAAAACAATTGAAAATTAAAAAAAAACACATTTTTCCCTCCAAAAATCAAAAAAATCACGGACCCTTATTTTTTTGGGACCCTTATATTGAGATAGAGCCGAAAATTTTTCAATTTTTAGGAATTTTACGATTTATTGAACGTAAAACGTCACAATTTCTCTAATTTTTGAAAACCAAAAAAATACGTTTCAAAATTTCGATATAATTTATTTTCATTTAACTCACTGCTGCATCTTTTTTGAATACTTCGACGAACTTGTTTTGTGATAGACACGGTCTATGTTCATAAATCAGTGTTGGTGCAATAATTGTTAACAAATCGAGCTGAAAAATTGTATATTCATAAACATCAAGAATATGAAATAACTCATTTCGAACTCACTTTTTCAGGGCTTTCGCCGGTTTTGGCGAATTTTTGCAGGTTCACAATATTTTGCATTATTTTCAATTTTTGAAATGGCTTTCGCAATTTTATCCAATCAATTCGAGCTACAGTAATTTGTGATCTGTATAATTTAGAAACCATCAATTTTTGGCCCCAAAAATCTACAGTAATTATTTTTGCTCCCTGTTCCAAATCTGATCAAATTTCAATTATGATTGCATCAGAATTCCCAATTCGATAATCAAATTGTCATATTAAAAGATAACTAGAAAATCCCCAGTTCCTGGCCTAGAATTCATATCAAAAAATGCGATTTTTTCTCGCAATTCTGGCAATTCTACCAACCCTCATCATCAGCTCAGAATCCAATGTTCCAAGCGATTTCCAAAGAAGATTCCTTGAACTTCTGAGCGAGAAGAACTTCTACAAATTGTCCAAATTGATTTCGAAGGATTTTGAATATTTTAAACAAGGCGATCGACGTGATGATGTGCTTAACAAAAAACAATATTTGAAAGAACTTAGCTTAAATCGAGGATATTCTTCACAAAATCAGTTTTTTTCGAAGGGAAAAGTTTCGGCTCCGAAATTTTTGGGTTCTCAAATCAGTTTCGAAATTTCTGCACCAGGAGCAATTTCGAGTAGCAGAAGAAATCATAAAGTTGTATTAGAGTGAAGAATGAAAGGAGGTCCAATATTGAAAAAATACTATGTTCCAAGTGTTTATAATTGAATTCTGATTTCTCAATAAAGTGTTAATTTGCATGTCTAATTTTTTAAAAACCAAAAAAAAATACGTTTCAAAATCATTAGTTATTTCAAAATTCAAGGCGAGAGTTATTCAAAAGACTTTATTTATTTAAAATTCGAGTAAAACATAATCATCAAAGCTTTCCAGTTTTGGTGTACGCCCGTACCTTCTTCGCCAAGGTTTTTTCGTCCCAACGTTGGCAATTGGGTCGTGGTTCTTGTTGTCCCATCTTCCTTAAAAGAATTAAAATATAAATAAATTGTGAAATGTTTGTTTTTCCAAATGAGATCTTGAGATCTAGACGAAAACTCACATGAAATATTCGAGCTCGGCTCCAGAAGCACATCTATAATTGATGACATATTCAATAATAGTATCCTCCGTTATTTTTAATGCTTTCAACAAGATGACAATTTGGTGTGTTTCAATTGCCTGAAATTTCTGTAAAAAAAATAAATTCAAAAAATAAAATGAATTCTCGTGTTTTTGTGTATACTCACCTTTGTGAAGTCGGTGTTTTTCTTGATGTTCTTCTTCTCGTCGATCTCTCTCATCGGCCATTCCTCGGACATTCTTCCGAACAAATTCAACGTTGCCTCTGGTGAACGGTTGAATGCAAATCGAACATTCTCCAATAACGTTTTTGTCAGATGCGCATTCTTGGTTTTCACCAATATCAATAAATTTGTTCTTACGTGTTGGTTTTCAAACACCCAAAATAGATCATATGAAATCAACTAAAAAAATAATATGGTGGTTCGAATCCAGTTTGATTGGGTTTAACTCACTGGAGCATCAGATTTGAAGACTTCGATAAATTTGTTTTGTGAGAGGCACGGTCTATGTTTATAAACCAAAGTTGGTGCAATTGCCATTAACAGATCAAGCTGCAAAGTTGTACATTGATAAACATCAAGAATATGAAATAACTCATTTCGAACTTACTTTTTCAGGAGTTTCCCCTGATTTCGCATATTTACGCATGTGTTCAATATTTTCCATTATATTCACTTTTTGAACCGTAGATAGATAAATAATAATGAGAGAGAGAGAAATGACGAGGCTGATGGCTTTTATGGTGCTAAAGCAACGTCAGCTTAGAAATGCCACGTGTAGGTCACGTAAAATAATCTACATTATTTCCCGAGGTGTCTTTTCGCAGAGAATTTCTAAATCACGTGATTTTTTTCCTTCACTAAAAAATGCTTAGTTTTTCAACTTCTCACAGATAATCATAAAACATGGGATTTTGTTTAAAAATAGAATGAGTTTGGCTGCGTATCACGTTTGATACTCAGTGAAGAGATACGCAGTGAAATTCAGAATCAAATTAACTGCGTAGAACAGTCGATACTCAGTCAGCACAATATTGACTGCCTACCTGAGTATCAAACGTGATACGCAGTTGAATTGATCTATAAATATCTCAAAAACAATCATTCATTTCTGCAGAAAAATGCCCAAGTTCACAATGAAAAAAAAAGTTTGCGTGGGAGGCTCAAAAATTTCGGCCCCCACACACTGATATTTCAAAAATTGCAAATTACTTTTATTGGTTTTGGAAATGTATAAAATATCGAATTGGAAAATCAGTAGATTGTATTCCAACATGAAATTCCTGATCTTGTTGGTGTTCTCAATTCAAATCGCATTGGTTTCAAGTGAATCCCCGGCTGAAAAAGATTACAAAGGTTTCGCCATTGCTGTTCTAAAGTCTACAATTGCAAAAAATTTTGATATTCTACATGCTGATTTTGAATCATTTGACAGCGATGGTGTAATTAAAAAGAAAAGTGAGTTGTTTTGTTCAATTCTTATTTTTGTAATTTAAAATCACTTCACAGGCGACCATATAAAAGAAGGAATCGATGATGAAGCAATATCGTATGCTAAGGAAAAACTCAAAACACTTTTGAATGGAGGAACTTTTGACTGGAAGAAAGTCAATGTTCAATTCACAAGAGATGGTTTACTTTATATTAGAAATCACGAGAATGATGGGAAACTTTCTTCAGTTAAATTGGCGATACGTGATTCTTCAATCGAAGGAGGTTACAAAATGTATCGCTATGTTACTGTCTAATTTTGTGAGTAATAAAGGGTTTTTGCATACACAGTACCATTCAGTACCTCAGTGTAGAACGTTTTTCTAAAAAAAACTGTTTTTGAAAAACTTCGTTTGGTATGAACATTTAAGGTAATACAAGTGAAAACCGACGCAAACTTAAATAGGATAAATTTGTTTTTTTAATGTTGTTTTTACTTGAATAGAAAATACCACAAATAAGAAAAAATCAAGAATACTCGGCCAAAACTCCACAAAAAGATCCACTAGTTACAACAGTATAAGGATAATCATCCAATGCCTTACTTTGAACATACAGTAATGCATACATCCCATCAAGACAATTCGAAGAACCTGCACATCCATTGGGTGTATTCGGATACCAAACAAATCCATCCGAACCACTCGTACGACCATCCGTCCAATAAAACATGTTCGATTTTGTGCAATCGGCTGTGCTCAGGCTTGCCCCTGTTCTACAATTCGCCGAGCGTTCCGCTCCAACTGCCATGATCTGAATTGAACTATCATAGGCTACCACTATTTCTGACATTGTGTCTAATTCATTCGAGTTCTGGAAGCCGGTTAGAACTGAATTCAGGCAAATCGATCCACCATCTCCCAATGCAACATTTCCATAAACTGGTTTAATACACCAATAATAAGTATCCCTGTTGAACATCGTCCACGTGTCATCTAAGCAATGCCACGTTGGTGGAAGTGTTGTGGTTGACGTTGAAGTAGACGTGGTGGACGTTGAAGTAGATGTGGTGGAAGTTGAAGTAGACGTGGGATACGTTAAAGTAGATGTTGTTGTGGTTGTGATCGGTTCAACTTCAATGTTTTGAGTGGGAATACAAGAATAAACTGATTTAATGATAAAAATACAGATTATTATCATAAACATGCCTAGAAATAAAGTGAACTGAAACAAAATCGTGGATTAGATATCTATAATCTATAGATTGATCTGCTTAAGATCAACCTGTTCATATTACAATAATTGTTATCACTCAAAATGTTGTTCGTAATCATATTAACATCATTTTTTTCATGATTTATTTATATTTTTTGCAAGTTAACAATTTTTATTTTATTCCGGCATCGCATGTTAAATCTCCTGTGTTCCCGTTCCTAGAAAAAACCATATAAATTATGACGCAACGCGGTCTGCGTCGCGTACTTACACATAGTCATAGTAGGTCGTGTAATAGAATAAAGAAAAGTTTATATATTTTCATTGTTTAGAAATGAATTATGAAAATTAATCGAATATTTGGTTTATATGCGAAAATTTTATGGTTATGATTCAATTATGCAAAAATCCCAATTTTCAACAATTCATCTTATTCGAATGAAAAATGCGATATTTCTCGTCATCTCTGCGAATCGTATGTCGAAAATATTGTTTTGGACCTTTTGATGTTTTTGTCCAACTTATAAGCACAATCAAATCCTCATCGGAATAGGGTATTTTTTCGATTGCGAAGGGCTGGACTTTCACCTGAAAACAGCGAGCTTTTCTATGCAAAACACCCTAGATTTCCTAAAGCCAATATAGCTCAGCCGGTTAGCCTCGAAACTTTTGCCGCAGGGGTCAAGGGTTCGAGTCCTCATGCGCGCGAAGTTTTTTTTTTGCTCACCTTTGTTTTCATCATGTGCTCAATAATTTGGCTCCGATTAAAACTGCTCCTCGCTCCTCGACACATGTCAAAAGTGTACACATCGAATAGCACTTCCTCAAGTGCTGTTTTGTTTTTCGAATCAATTCCATCCGCCAAATCATCTCGGATTTTCGCCACGATTTTGTAGGCATTCGGATTTGGGGAGGATAATTTCGAGGAGATCAAGAAATCGAGGAGAAAGATCGAGAAAATCAGGAGGATTCGCATGATTTATGAAAGAAAAATGGAAAAAAATTGGTTTTGTTGAATTCTCTAGACATGTCTGGGGAAATTTTGAAAATTTATATTTTTCAATATTTGCCACGTGGAGTGTTTATTAAATGTTTATTTAAAATTCAAAAAAAATTTCTTTAATCATAGCTTCGTTCGCATTTCCCACATATCTTTCAACGAATCAAAATAAATATCAGATTCCTCTTTGGGATTCAATTCTTTCTTCACAACAGGCACTACTGAAACACTCCCTTTGCTAAAAATCTGCTGCCATTTCCTATATAAAATTGGATGTGATCGAATAACATAGCAGAAAATAAGCTTGCTAATAGCCGAGACAATATCATAACTTTGCGATGCTTCCGATCCTCGCCCAACTATTTGAATCGATAATTGTTTTGTTAATTCAGCTCTTTCGGCTTCGGGAGTTTCCCTAACTAGGAGGTATAAAGTTGCTTGAAGTCCAATGATAAACAATGCGATTAAATTGCTAATTAGAACAACTATGAGTAACGGATTCAAGATTTTGATAGATTTCACATTCTCAGACACTTGAAAGGTTTCAGATAAGGTCTGAAGCTTGAAATTTCGCTGTTTATACAATGTTATATTGAATTTGGTCATTCTAAGGAATAAAATAACTGCAATAAGATTCAGAATCAAGTTTAAACCGATAGCAAAAAATAAACATCTAGATGTTGTATATTCGATTTGACATGGGAGACGGGTATAAGGACGAGGTTGGTTGAAAACATCTACTTGGTTCAGGACACAGAGGAATAGCGATATTGACCACTAAAATTAAAATTATAGGGTTCCACTAGTCAACTAAACTCACCTGAATGCCAACCAACAAAAATCCACATTGATAAAAGCTATTTTTCTCATAGGTCTTATAATAATAGCTAGCAATACATCTTTCTAAAATCACAAAGAAGAATGTGAAGCTAGTCACACCTAAAAACAAGTGATGAAAGGATTTGGCAGCCCAGCAAAATGTGACACTTGAAATTTCAAAGTTGAAAAGATATGCGATGATGAGAGGGATAGTTATGAAATATCTTGAAATTGCATAAAGAGCATTAGCTAAACAGGTTGAGAATAGAATTATTCGGAGATTCTGGAAATATACTTTTTCTGAAGACAGGTGGAATTCAACAAAGAACTAACCCGATGCAAAAGTTCCGCTTTAAAAAGCACAATTAAAAACATAAAATTGGCCAGAACCACAAAAAAGCATAGAATCAATTCGATTAGATAAATCACAAAATTTCCGGTTGTAACCTGCTCTTGAACTGTAAAATTGCCAACACTAAATCGATTGTATTCGACCATTTTATATCTAGAAGTTAGGATAATTGAGGCAGAAAGAGAGAGTTATACTAACTTGTGAGAACTGAAAATGCGCGAGACCAAACATGCAATTATAGGTATATTTATGATAAATGTCGCACGGAATCAAATATCGAGCTTTTTCAATTTTTTTAATGTTGGTGTTTGAAAAGGGTTAAAGGCGCACACAATTATTGGTTTGGGTCTCGAAGCGATGTGTACTTCTCTCGGACAATGATGCAATTTTGTTTTTTTTTCGGGTGAAAGGGATGCTAAAAGGTATTTTAAAGGCACCCGCACTTATTGGCTTGTGTACTTCTCTCGGACAATGATGCAATTTTATTTCTGGAGAATTTTGAGTGTTTTCAGCACATGCTTGATTGATTTTTTGCAGATTTCAAATAAGCTACGTCAAAGTTTGCGCTTCATTTATTTCTAGACTAGAAAAATCGAATTAATTAATCATCCGCATCTCCCACATTAATTTCAATGAGTCAAAATGTATATCCGATTCCTCGTTTCGATCTTTTGCTGCGAAACTCGGCGCAACACTTGATTTTCTCCCCGCGCTGAAAATCTGACACCACTTCCGATTCAATATTGGATGTGACCTGATGGCATAGCAAAATACGAGTTTACTAATAGCCGAGACAATATCATAACTTTGTGATGCTTCCGATCCTCGCCCAACTATTTGAATCGATAATTGTTTTGTTAATGCAGCCCTTTCGGCTTCGGGAGTTTCCCTAACTAGGAGGTATAATGTTGCTTGAAGTCCAACGATAAACATTGCTATTAAATTGCTAATTAGGACAACTATGAGTAATGGATTCAATATTTTGATTGATTTCACGTTCTCCGACACTTGAAAAGTTTCAGACAAAGTTTTCAGCTTCCAACTTCGCTGTTTATACAGCTTTCTATTAAATTTTGTCATTTTCCAGAACAGAATACAGGCGATGATATTGAGACCTGTGAAAAGTCCAATGGCAAAAAATAAACATCTCGAAGTGCTATATTCAATTTGACACGGGAGACGGGAATAAGGTCGGGGCTGATTAGCAACATCTACTTGATTTATAACAACAATGAACAGAGATGTCAACCACTAAAAAACCAGGAATCCAGTGAAAAACTAAAAAAAAAAATGAAGTTACCTGAAGTGTAACCAATAAATAACCACTCTGATAAAAGCTATGCTTCTCATAAGTTTGATAGTGATAACTGGCAATACATCGCTCTAAAATCACAAAGAAGAATGTGAGGCCGGGAACTCCTAACACCAAGTGATGAAAGGATTTTGCAGCCCAGCAAAATGTGACACTTGAAATTTCCGAATTGAAAAGATATGCGATGATGAGAGGGATAGTTATGAAATATCGTGAAGTTGCATAAAGAGCATTAGCTAAACAGGTTGAGAATAGGATTATTCGGAGATTCTGGAAATATACTTTTCATAGAGACAGGTGGAATTAAACTAAGAACTAACCCGATGCAATAGTTCCGCTTTAAAAAGCACAATTAAAAACATAAAATTGGCGAGAACCACAAAAAAGCATAGAATCAATTCGATTAGATAAATCACAAAATTTCCGGTTGTAACTTGCTCTTGAACTGTAAAATTGCCAACACTAAATCGATTGTATTCGACCATAGAAAAGTAGAGTTAGGCTAATTGGGTAGAAGGCAGGTGAAGAAGCAGAAGTAATACTGATATTTTCTTTGAGCTCGTTGCGGGGCGAAACAACATGCAATTAGGTGGGTTTTTTAATGTCGTGACTTTTTTGCGCGAAAAAATTTGTTTTTGGCTTTCAGAAGTTCCCAGCGGGGCTCGATCCAGCACCTTCTGATTCATAAAGTTCCAGTATTTTTTTTTGTTGTTTTTTTCATTTTTGCTCCAAAAAATCGGTGCTCTTCACAAATTCATATTCATATCCACCAAATAAAACAGAATGAAAAATAATTGACAAATATGAGCAAGTGAGGGAGGCGAGAGAGTATTGGAGCTATGAGAGACGGGTTAGAGAGGCAGCGACGAAACATCTGTCAACAAGAAGAGCGCACTCCTTCTTCTGTTAGAATAAAATGTGCATTTTTAATTTTTTTTTTTTTTTTTTTTTTTTTTGGGTTATTCTATTTATTACTTTTTTTACCTGAAAATTTTAATATAGATGAGTAGGAGTTGGCTGGTGAGATTTTTGACAGCCTTTTTTAAGGGGATTTGAGAAGAGTAGGGAAAGTTTTGTGTGATTTTTAGCATCCTTAATTTCTCGTCGAAAATCTCACCATTTTTCCCCTACTTTCCCCTGTCAAAAATGCTGTCATAATTCTCCTACTTTGTTTTTAAAATAAACAAACAACTTTTTTTTCCTTTCTCTATAATGTAAATATTATTTATTTACTTCTTATCTATTAAAAACATTTTTTTGTCAAAAATAACACCATTTTTTGCCTACCTAGGCGAATTCCGGTGATATTTTCGTATCGATTTCAGAAGAAAAACTGGTTACTATGGTGATTGAAAAATTTTCGGATTTGCATAATTTTTCGAGGGGGAATCCGGAAATTATGATGAAGTAGGCAGTTTTTGGTGATATTTTTGGTTGAGGCTGCCGAAAATCACACCGAAAATTGCCTGGGAAACCTGGGATGTCAAAAATCCTGGTATATTTTGCCTGGGGAACCTTTTAAGGCTACCAAAAATCCTACCAAACTTTACCTACGCACTTTTTAAGGTTACCAAAAATCCCACCATATTTCTCCTACCTCCCAGGCTTCTCAAGGCTGTCAAAAATCCTGCCAAAATTCTGCTAACCTCCAAAAAAACTAGTTTTTTCTCATCTCACACAAACATCCAATTAAATTTCGCTTTTTTTCAAAACATATGTTGTTTTTATGGTTTTTGTAACTTTAAAAAAACATTTTTAGTAGTGAAAATATGGTGTGATTTTTGACAGCCTCAAAAGATTTTTTTTTGAGGCTGTCAAAAATCCTGTCCTAATTTCCCTACCAGAAAAAAAAAATTTTTTTTTTTTGAAAAATAATTTTCGGGCCCATAAATTTCGAGTACGAAAATAATTGGCGTTGTACTTTTTTGTGGGCAATTTCCGATTTGAAAAAAAAAAAGAAAATTGACTTCACAAACGGACTTTTTTACTTAAAGTTTGGTTCAAAAAACAGAAATTTTTTCTCATGGAAAAACTAGTTTCTTATCTTTTCCTTCCATTTTCGTTCATGTTTTGCCCAATAGCTTCATTTTCAGCATGATATTCACTAAAAACATCTGAAAATGCGATCAAGTTTGAGTGCCGAAGATGTTGTTCGGGTTAGTGAGGATTTGTCGGATTGTAGGACGAGGTTGGAGGCTGGAATTGAGGAGAATCGACGGAATCGACAAGTTATTCAGGATATTAATGATCAGGTGAGCGATTTTTGGGCTCAGGAGCTCGTGGGGACCGTCTTGATACCAAATTTCATCTTTTTATGGGTTCTGAAGGTCTCTGGGACCACTTTGATACCAAACTTCACTTGGATTGAGCTCCAGCGGGTTCACAGGTTCCAAGACTTCCTGGTGGATGGGTTTTGCTATCTATGGGGATCTAGGAGGTCCCGGGGATTTTTCTGATACTAAATTTGACCAAATTCTTTCCCGAGGATCATTTTGATACCAAACTTCACTTGGATTGAGCTCCAGCGGGTTCACAGGTTCTCAGACTTCCAGGTGGATGGGTTTTGCTATCTGGAAGCCACGAAAATTGGGCTACTGTAGATTTGACGCAAATTCGAATCATAATTTTCTTTTCTAGCCAAAAAAAAATTTGGCAGAAATTTTTGAAAAAAATTGTCAAACGTGAACGTGAAAAAAACACGTGTCCCAATTTTTTTCATTTTAATTTTTTTCGAATTTTGGAAAATGTGAGTTGAAATTCGAAGGCCGTCAAAAATCTCACCATATTTTTCCTACCCTATGAAAATCTCATGGAATTTCCCAAGGCTGTCAAAAATCCCACCATATTTTTCCTACCCATTTCAAATCTCATGGAATTTCCCAAGGCTGTCAAAAATGTCACCATATTTTTCCTACCCTTTTCGAATCTCATGGAATTTCCCAAGGCTGTCAAAAATCCCACCATATTTTTCCTACCTCTCTAAAAACCCTAGGCTGTCAAAAATCCCACCAAACTTCTCCTACCTTCCCATTTTCCAGCTCCAAAGATTCCGTAAGCGTGCACAAGCGGAATCCGTCGACTCAATTCACAATCTGGCCGCTGCCGCAACTTCCGCCAACTCCACAATTTCCAACTTCCATCAGAACTCAATGCCCTCACTGACTATCGACATCCCTCTGAATTCTCACGCCACAATCCATTCATCCCGCTACTTCTACAGTAGTAATCCGGGATACCGTAGTCGCCACAAATCCCTGGGAAATCGTGGCGAGACCACCCGCTACAGTACTCCATTTCGTCACAAGAGTTCCCCGAGGCTTTTGACGTCATCCGGAGCGGGGGGAAATGGGTCCTGGCACGGCGGAGAAGATGAGGTGGAGAATGTGGAAGAGTTGTTTGGCAGGTTGAGAGAGGAACTTTTCAAGTGAGTACTGTACTGTAGGGTTTTAGGGCGGGGAAATTTGCGGGTTTTTGAAACCAAATAAGCCTATAGCGAAATTTTGCCACGTGGATTTTTTTTGGCGGGGAAATTTGCGGGTTTTTGACACCAAATGAGCCTATTGGCATTTTTAGAACCCAGATGAGCTCAAAAATATCCCGAATTGAATTTCAGCTCAAAAATTGTGCTCTTTTCCAGAAACAACACGCTGGAAGAGGTCAATGAAATGCTCCGGGAGGAAAATGATGCAGCCCTGGCTGTCAATGAAAATCTCCGAGTTGACGCAACTAATCTGAGCAAGCAGCTACAACAATTGCAGCAGCAACAGACTTCCGAATCGATGAGATATCGATCGGAGAATACGGTAGGCGTTAATATGAGCAATGATATTTCTAACCTAAGCGCTCCAAATTTCTTCCAGCGCTACCGTAATCAAATGGAGACGCAACATCGAAAGCTGATAAGTCTATGGAAAGAATTTACGGCTGTCAAAAGGCAGCTCCACGAGCTCAAAACTTCGGCCGCAAATGATTTGGATCGACAAATGACGGAGTTTTCGAGGTGCGCGACTTTGATGAAAAAAGCTATCAGGAATTCGGAGCAGAAACATCAGGAGCTTCAGGAGGAAATGAAAAAAGAGAAGGATGAAATATTGGATGAGACATTGAGACAATTGAATGATGTTAGCGAAAATTATATGAAGGTACGGTAGATTACTCAAATACCGTATACCTTGCAGTTTGGCTACTGTAGAAGCTCTATTGGGAAGGGTACTGTAGGCTCAAATACCGTATACCTTTGGTTTAATTCCAAATAACTGTATCGATATCTGAATTATTGGTTACCGTACACCTTTGACTACTGTAGAAGGTTAGGATACTGTAGTTGTAGTTTTTGCTTTGTAGATCACAATCTTCAGGTACTGTAGTTCTGAAGATACAGTACACATGGCAGTTTGACCTACAGTAATTCAAACTGTAACTAATATATCTGGATTATTGGTTACAGTATACCTTGCAGTTTGAGGTACCGTAGTTAATTAATGTTACAATAATCCAAAGCACAGCAATTTTCTTTAACCCTTGCAGTTTGACCTACAGTAACCCTATTTTTTGCAGTCCGAAGAAAAATCGCAAGAACGTCAACGAGACCTAAAACGACGTGAAGAGGAAATTCGAAAATTGCGCGAAAAATTGGACGAGTTCCACGAACTCTGGGAGCAATTGGCAAAAGTGGGCGGAGCCTCGGCAGGTGAGCATTGCTCAGGTTAAAAATTGATATTCTTATAATGGAAAAATCACAAAATAACTGTTTTTCCTGGAAAAACTGAATTTTTTTCTCCAAAATTCGAAAAAAACTAGATTTTTGGGCCTAGATTTTGATGAATTAGCCTAACTTTTTCAAATTTTTTCGAAATCCCTCCCCAAAAAACTCACCAATCGCTTCTATTTCTCAAATCCCAATCAAAATCCTTGAGAAATCCGAAATTCTCCAAGTTTAAAATCATTTTTGACCCTGAAAACTCGAAAATTTCAGTGTTTCTCTAGCAAAAAACCCACATTTCTTCGATAATTCTCGAATTTTCCGTTGGAATCGATAATTCGAGCCTTGTAGAACATCTGAAAATTCAATTTTTGACTGAAATCCACTGATTTTCCCCGGAAAAACTAAAACCAGCGAAAAAAAAAACGAAAAATGAAAAAAATATTCTCGTGTTGCGCTAAACAGCGGGCAAGCCGGAGTGTCGTTGTGAAAGTCAATTAATTTTCTAAGTATTTTTGCGCCAATCTTCCCAACTTTATACTTTTTTAACCGAAAAAACACCGGAAAAACAAAAAAAAAAGAAAAAAATTATCATTGTGTGCATTTGTGCGTGATGACACCGTGACGCACAAATGCACACATTTTTCTTTTTTTTCTTTTTTTTTGCGTTTTTCGTGTTTTTTCGGGTTTTTCGGGTTTTTACCTGTGAATTTTGTTGAAAACTTGAAGAAACTTTGATTTTTCACCAAAAAAATCTGATTTTCAGCCGATGAGCCGATGGAAATTGCTCGAAAGGTCAAAAAATTGGTCACATCCAAAAATGTGGAGCTAGAAGAGCTCAGAGAAGCCGCGAGGCTTGCGGAAAAGGACAGAGATCGTGCCAAGAGGGATGCGGAAAGAGAGGAGCGGAAGCGGAGGGATGCGGAAGATGCGGAAAGGAGCCGAGCCAGTTTGTATACGCAGAGAGATCAAGAGATCAAAAGGCTCGAGGAGGAACTTCGAAAATCTTCGGAGAAGCTGCGTCAAATTGACGCCGCACGCGTCGCCGCAGAGTCGCAGGCGACATTGTCGCAACTCGCACTCGCTGACGTCACTTCTCAACACAAGCAATTCATCGAGGAAATGTCGCAACGTCATCGCGACGAACTCGCCGCACGCGACGTCGCTTTTGACGCGGCGGCGAAAGAGAGAGACGCAGAGGAGAAGAGACGGTTGGAGAAGGAGAGGGAGGAGCGAGAGAAGAGACGACGAGAGGTGGAGAGGATGAGAGAGCAGATGAGACAGGGGAAATTGGAAGAGACGCAGAGGAATGTGGAGAGAGAAGAGATGGAGGAGAGAATTAGAGAGCTAGAGAAGGATGGGGCAGAGATGCAGAGGAAGTTGGAGGAGAAGAGAGAGCATTTGGATCGGAGAGAATTAGAGATACAAGAGTGGCAGGGAAAATTGGAAGAGACGCAGAGGAAAGAGATGGATTTGAGGAAACAATTGGCTGAGGTGAGACGGGTTTTGACACGTGGAATATTTTGTTTGCTCAGGTGTTGCTCATATTAGGAATTTTGTGAAAAATGCAAATATTTATTATTATTTTTTGTTGAATTGCTCATATTAGTCCAATTCTGAGAAATTTTGAGCCAAAATCCAAGTTTTTCATGAAACTTTCGAGCATTGCTCATATTAGACTATAAGTTTTGTTTTTTTTTGGGGAGAAATTTGAAGCATTGCTCATCTTAGTCCAAAATTGATGAAATTCTGAGAAATTTTGAGCCGAAATTCAAGTTTTTCTGAAAATTTTGAAGCATTGCTCATGTTAATCGAAAATTAATGAATTTTGGCCAGAAAATCGATCATTAGGGCATCATTTCGAGTATAAAATGAGAAATTTTTCAAAAATCAGGATTTTTGAGTTTAACATGAGCAATAATTTTGAATTTTCTGATTTTGGGACCATTTTTTGCATTAAAAACTCTGGGAGCACTAAAAATCCAAAATTGCTCTAAAACTTTCAATTTAACATGAGCAATGCTCAAAAAAACCGGATTTTCCGATTCTAGGCTCAGATTTTCAGAAAATCCAAGTTTCCGACCTAAAGTTTAAGATTTTTAAGTTTAATATGAGCAATGCTCTAAAAGCCAGAATTTTTAAATCCAGTCTCAATTTTTGACGGAAAATTTGAGAAATTCAAGATTTAACATGAGCAATGCGTCGAAAAATTACAATTTTTACCGAAAATTCAAGATTTTCAAGCTTAACATGAGCAATGCTCTGAAAAATACTCTAAAATCCTCAATTTTCCAGGCTCAATCAACAATCAGCTCCCTGCAATCTGAATCCACCCAAAACCAGTCTGAAACTCAAGAAATTCGCTCTGAAATTCACGAAATGTCCGAGCAAATCAGCGATTTATCGCAAGAAATTGACGCGAAAAATGAGGAATTGAAAGAAGCACAAAGTCTATTGGCTCAAAAATCGCAGGAATTCGAAAAAGCTTGCGGAAACGCGGAAAACTTCCGCGCACAATTCGATGAATCCGCTGAAGAAATTGTGATGCTCAAAATGGAACTTCAGAAGATCCATGAGACATCGCATCAGAATTTAAGGATCGAGTTGGAAAAATCAGTGGAACTTCAGAAGAATGTGCAGATCTATAAGGAGGAATCCAGCAAGTTCAGGGAACTTTGGGAGAATTCTAGAGGAGAATTGGATAAGTTCCAGAGGACACTTGAAGTCAAATCTGGAGAGGAAGAAGATCTGAGGGGACTTCTAGAGGACCTTCGGAAGAACTTTGATAAACTCACGAATGATTTGAAGGCGCGGGAGATTAGCCTGGAATCTGTCAGTGGAGAAAATCAGGCACTTCGCGGAGCAAATCGAGATCTTGAAGAGCAAAAAAATCAACTTCTAAAGGACCTGGCAACTTTGGATTCTGAAAAAGATTCTGAAGTTCTGGAGAAGCTTAGGAAGTTGCAAAATGAGAAGTTGGAGCTGCAAAATCAATTGAGAACTTCTGAATCTAAGAATTCAGAGATCTCGAAGAAGCTTGGAATTCTTACGGAGGAATTGGAATTAGCGAAAGGGGATTTAGCGCAAGTTCAGGAGAATTTGGAGAGGGTTTTGGAGAAGAATCGGAAAGATTTGGCGAAATTGCGGGAGGAGAATGAACAAGATCGTGTGGAACTTCAGGGATCGAAGTCCAGCCTGGAATCTAGACTGCAATCTCAACTTCAGGAACTTCAGGCCCAAATTCAGGAGCATGAATTGGCTCAGGAAAAACATCAGGAGACATCTAGAAGCCTTCATCAAAAGATCAGGGAACTTGAAGAGCGGCTTGAGAACTCGCAGAAAATGGTGGATGAAAAATCAGAAGAGATTTTGAGTTATGAGAAGTCCGCGGAAAATCAGCGGAAGGTTCAGCTTGCGGAAAAAGAGGCGGCGATTTTGGTGCGGAATAAATTGGAGATCAAAATTGATGAGTGCGAATTGAGGATGCGGAAGATGGAGGAGGAAATTGAGAAATCGCATGGTGTTGTGAAAGATCGTGAGTTTGGGGTACTGTAGGAGTACTGTAGCGAAAATTTGGAATCTTTTGATATACAGAAGTCCTATGCTTCAGAAGAGTACTGTAGGTGGGAATATGTGATCTACAGTAGCTCTACAATTTTATCTCAAAAAATATCCATTTTTCTAGATATTCGAGCTACAGTAACGGATTACTGTAAGTCCAGAGATTTGGAATTTTTGTTTTAAGAGTACTGTAGAAGGGTACTGTAGGTGCAAACATTAAAAACATTCCGAGATACGGTAGCTCTGCGATTTTTAAGAACAAAAATTAAAATTTTGGTTTACTGTAGAGTACTGTAGATCTGAAATTTACATGTTTTAGAGCCGAAAATTCTGATCTACAGTAACCTTATACATCCTTGGAGTACTGTAGCCAAAATAGGTCGAATTTGGTGTCAAAAAACGTGGATTTTTTGAGCCAAGGTTACTGTAGGGCTCATTATTTTTTGATCTACAATTTTCTATTTTCCAGGTGATTCTCAAATCCACGCGCTGGAATCCAACACAATGGAACTAATCGATAAACTAGATGCACAAAAATTGGAGTTAGAGCAACTCGCAGCCCAAATTTCGGCAGAAAATCGAAAATCTCAAGAATCCCACAACTCTAGGCTCCAAAATCATCAAAAATTCGAAGAAAATCGCAAAAAAATGGAGGAATTCACAGAGAAAATAAGGGAAATGAGCAAAAATGAGCACATTTTGAAGATGAAAAATATTGAGCTGCAGGAGAAGAATAGCGAATTGCAAGCTGAAATTTTAAAGTCTGAAAATCGCGCGAAAAATCTGGAATTACAGTTGGTCGACAGACAAATGAAGCAAGAAATTAGCGGAGATTTGGTGAAAAAAATGGAAAAAGATGCGGAAACTATGCTTCGAGCCGCGAAAAATGAGCAAAATCGCCTTGGGGATTTGGAAAAAACGAGAAGAGCTCTGGAAGAGCAAAATTCGAAATTGGCCGCAGATTTAGCGCAAGTTCGCGCAGCTTTTGAGGCGAAAAGGGAAACTTCGAAGAGTGCGATTGGTGATATTTTGGTACAGTATCGGAAGGCGGAAGAGAAGGCGAATTCGGAATATTTGGAAGGGCAGAAGTTGCGGGGAGAAATGCATGCGATGAGGTACGGTAGGGCCGAAAATTTGCAGCATTTTGAACCTAAATATGAAGGGGTTACTGTAGTTTTTGCCGCGAAAAATCCACGTATTTTGATACCAAACATGGTATATTTTCGCGCCCAAAAATCCACAGTAACCCGGGTTACTGTACTGTTTTTTGCAGCTTGAAAATCGAGCGTCTGGAATCGCAACTTCGCGAAAGTCAAAAACGATTCGATGATTTGCAATTGACGTTGAATAATGTGCAAAGATCGGCCATGGATTCGCTGCAAAATCGTGAGTTTTTGGCATTGCTCATGTTAATTTTTGGATTTTTCAGCGAATTTGGGTTCGAAAGAGATCTCATAAGGTTAGGCTTAGGCTTATGATGTTTTTAATATGAGCAATCCTAAGCCTAAGCTTGTGAGGTATCTTTAGAATCCAAAATTAACATGAGCAATGCTCAAAAATATTCTAATATGAGCAATCTTGAGCCTAGGCTTATGAGGTCTCTTTGGAACCCAAATTCCATGAAAAATTCAAAAATTAACATGAGCAATCCTTAAAAATATTCTAATATGAGCAATCCTAAGCCTAAGCTTGTGAGGTATCTTTAGAATCCAAATTCCATGGAAAATTCAAAAATTAACATGAGCAATGCTCAAAAATATTTTAAAATGAGCAATCCTAAGCCTAAGCTTGTGAGGGCTCTTTGGAACCAAAATTCCATGAAAAATTCAAAAATTAACATGAGCAATGCTCAAATTTTCCAGCTCTCGGTAGATCAAATCGCTCAATCCACGTCGAAATTCCACGTTCCTCAAGCTCACATGCCTTGGCTCACAACACATCTGATCAAACTACACACAATTCGGAGCTCAGCTCGAGTTTCAGTATAACCCTGCGATTCTTGAAAGATCGAATCGAGCAACTCGAGTTAGACAAAATCGAGATAGCACAGGAAAACGAGAGAATCAGAGATGAGAGACGGCGAGACATTGAAAGAATCGAGGAGACGGCGAGACGGTTAGAGACAGTGGAGAGAGAGAAGAGGACGCTAGAGACGCAGAGGAATGAGATGGAGGCGAGAGTGGCGAGTCAACGACAAATGTATGTGACGATGGAGGAGACGCAGAGAGGCAGAGACGTAGAGCAACGTGGATTACGTGCCAAAATTGCCACGTTGGAGAGGCATTTGAGAGAGAAGGAGACGCAGAGTTTTGGGCTGAGGAAGGAAGTTGAGCAGCTCGCCGAGCAATTGACAAGTGCCAGAAATGCGCCGAAGCCTGAAGTCTCCCTGAGCTCCACAGGGCTCCTGGAAGACTCCCTGGAGCAATCGAAACGTGCTCGAGAACAACTGGAAGTTGCTCTGAGAAAGACAGAGGGCATGGTGGAGACGCAGAGAAAAACGGTGGAGAATTTGGAGCGAGAGCGGAAGAATCTGATGCAAGACGTGGCGGATGAGCAGAAGAGCCATCAGGCGACGCGGAATGCGTTGCATGAGGCGCGGACGCGGACAGCGGCACGGAGTCAGGAAAGAGAGCAGGAGGTACGGTAGGGGGAGGTGAAGAGCTTTAAAATGAGACCGAATATGATAGGGTTACTGTAGGGAACAATTTTGGATTACTGTAGATTTTTATACAGAATTTTGGATGAGCTTCAAAATGAGACTAAATTCGATAGGATTACTGTAGACAGTTATCTAGGTTACTGTAGCTCAAAAGAGGAGATGATGAGTTTTAAAATGATATCATTTAATAGGATTACTGTAGAGGAAAATCTGGGTTACTGTAGTTTTTTTTAACTTTGTAGTGTAGATGAAGAGCTTCAAAATGAGACCGATTTTGATAGGATTACTGTAGATTCAGACAATTCTGTCTACAGTAATCCAAGAATACTGTAGCTCATTTTGAAGCTCATGAAATCTTCTACATAACCATCTACAGTACTCTAGGATTACTGTAGCTTTCTATTGTTTTTTTTCAAAAAATGACCTGATTACTGTAGATTCTGACAATTTTTCTACAGTAACCCAAAAACACTGTAGATCATCTTGAAGCTCGTGAAACTCTCTACAAGATGAGCTACAGTACTCCACATCTACAGTACTCCGTCAACTACAGTACCCTTGTTGTTCCAGGCCCATTTCCATCATCAACAAGTGCAAAACGAGCTCGTCGCCAAAAATCAGCAACTTCATCGTGAATGCGAAAAACTGCGTGTCGAGACGCGCGATACAGTAACCCGTCTGACTACGGTAGCCGCCAAGTCCGATGCGGAACAGAAGCGGAATGCGGAACTTGCGGAAAAACTGCACGCCGTGCAGGTTACTGTCAGTGGAATGCGGAAGTTTGAAGAGGAATGGAAGCGGTTGGAGGCGGAGATGCGGGAAGAGTTGAAGGCGTTGCGGAAAGGTATGTGCGGGGGACTAGGAATCCAAATTTGGGATTCTAGGCCATCAAAACTAGTCCCTGAGCTAGTATTGGATTTCTAGACCATTTCTGAACCATTTTTCGGCTTTCTAGGCCATCAAAACTAGTCCATGAGCTAATTTTGGGTTTCTAGGCCATCAAAACTAGTCCCTGAAGAAGTTTTGGGATTCTAGGCCATCAAAACTAGTCCCCGAGCTGATTTTGGGATTCTAGGCCATCAAAACTAGTCCCTGAAGAAGTTTTGGGATTCTAGGCCATCAAAACTAGTCCCTGAAGAAGTTTTGGGATTCTAGGCCATCAAAACTAGTCCCCGAGCTAGTTTTGGGATTCTAGGCCATCAAAACTAGTCCCTGACCTAGTTTTGGGTTTCTAGACCATTTCCAGACCAATTTTCAACCTGAAATTAATTTCAGACAAGCTCCACAACACGGCTGAAATTGAAGAGCTGCGCCGTCGAAATTTGCGTGCTGAAACTGAAAAAAAAGAGATTGAGGGGATTCGGATCCGGCTTGAAAGAGAGATTAGTGCGCTGAGAAGACACGTGGATTTGGTGAGTTTTGGGCGACCGAAAATTTGGCGTTTTTTGATACCAAATATGGGGCGGGGGGGACTAGTTTTCCAAATTTTGACGAGTTTTTGGGTTTCTAGGCCATCAGAACTAGTCCCTGGACTAGTTTTGGGTTTCTAGGACACCAAAACATAACCAAGGACTAGTTTTGGGTTTCTAGGCCACCAGAACTCTACATTTGGATTTCTAGGCCACCAGAACTTTACCAAGGACTAGTTTTGGATTCCTAGGCCATCAGGACTCTTCCAAAGGCTTAGTTTGGTTTTCTAGGCCACCGAAACATCACCAAGGACTAGTTTTGGGTTTCTAGGCCAGCAGAACTCTTCCAAAGGCTGATTTTGGTTTTCTAGGCCATCAGAACTCTTCCAAAGGCTGAGTTTGGGTTTCTAGGCCATCAGAACTCTTCAAAATGCTGATTATGGTTTTCTAGGCCATTTTATTTCTTCCTAAGGCTAATTTTGGATTCCTAGGCCATCAGAACATCACCAAGGACTAGTTTTGGATTCCTAGGCCATCAGAACTCTGCCAGGGACTAGTTTTGGATTTCTAGGCCATCAGAACTCTGCCAAGGACTAGTTTTGGGTTTCTAGGCCCCCAGGGACTAGTTTTGGATTCCTAGTCCATCAAAACTAGTCCCCAGCTCAATTTTCACCCAAAAACCTCCCAAAAATCCCAATTTTCCAGCTCGAAGAAGAGAAATCGCGCACCGAAAAAGCGATAAAAGAAACAATGATCGAAAAACGAGCAATCGATAAAAGCCTAGCTTCAATGGAACGCGAAAATCAACAATTGTATCGGAATTGTCAACAATTACAGCAGCAAATTCAGAATTTGGAAAAAGATGCTGGAAATAAAAGTGTGGCGAAATTGGCGAAGGAACACAGTGTTTTAGAGGCACGAATTGGAGCGCTGATTGAAGAGAAACGACAGGTTTGAAAGCGGGGACGAGGAAATTGCTTTTGGGAATCTAGGCCATGCGAAAAAATAGCAAAAATCCAGTTTTTTGCATGTTTTTTGGTCATTTTTGAGCTGGGGACTAAAAATTGCATCATGGCCGAATTTTTTGAAAAGTTAGGCCATGCGAAAAATAGCAAAAATCCAGGTTTTCCCATGTTTTTTGGTCATTTTTGAGCTGAGGACTAGAAATTGCATCATGGACGAATTTTTTCGGATTTCTAGTCCTCCGTTTTTTTTTTGAAAATTCAAATTTTCCAAAAAATCACATATTGTTCGGTAGAGCGCGTTTGCTTTTTTGTTCAAAAAATCCTCAATTTTGCAGCTCCAAACCCTGCTTGACCAACGAGACTCCGCATTTACGCACAAAAAACGTCTCCTCGAATCGCAATGTCAATTGCTCCGCGAGCAATTGGAAGCGGAAAGGCGGAAACGAGTTAGCGCAACTACAACTAGAAGAACAACACAACAATTTAGGGTATGATACAAAACTATAGTCTAGTCTAGTCTATAATGCTTCTAGTCTCTTTCTTATAATACAATTTGTCCATTTTATGTGCCATTATTAACTTCTTGGGTGGTCTGGGGGGCTTCTGGAGGATTCTGGAGGCTTCTGGGGGCTTCTGAAGGTTTCTGGAGGCTTCTGGAGGCTTCTGGAGGCTTCTGGAGGATTCTGAAGGCTTCTAGAGGCTTCTGGAGGCTTCTGGAGACTTCTGGAGGCTTCTGAAGGCTTCTAGAGGGTTCTGGAGGCTTCTGGAGGTCTCTAAGGCCCCCAAAGCCCCTAAGCCCTTTCCGGGCCACCCAATTTTTCCCCCAATGATCTTTCCCCGCCCGGTGCATTTATTTATGTTTTCTCAATTTATTTATTTTCCTACCCTTGTCCTTTCTTGTGTTTATGCTGGGCCTTAGGGCCTTAAGGCTCTTAAGGCCTTAAGGCCCTAATTTAGATACTAATATTAATTTTTCCAATAAATTTTTTAGTTGCTTTGCATGTTTTGGTTTGATTTACTTTTTTTTCGACTAACTTTGTGTTTTGTCCTGAGAAAATTTTTTAGAAATTTAAAAATCTGAAAATTTTGAACTGAAAACTTGTAGCTTCAGAAAATGTTCTAAAAAAAATATTTGAAAATTTCAGATTTTCAATTTTCAATCTCAAATTTGGCTGAAAATCCCGAAAAAATCGGGTCATTTTTAGTGATCAGAAGATCAGGGGTTCGATCCCCGGTGCCTGCGGAATTTTTTTTTTTTTTTGAAATTCAGATGATTTTCAGACAAGTTTTCAGCCTGAATTTCAGCTTCAAAAAAATTCGCGAGTTAGCCCAAGTTTCTTAAATTCAAAAATTTTTGTCCAAAAAAAATTTTGTCCAAAACAAAACATGTGTTTTTGATTTGTGGTGTAAACCAGCGAACAAAGAAGGATTTTTTGATTTATTATTTTTTTTGGAAAATTTTTGATTTATCGAAAAAGCTCCTCTACAGTACTCCAGAATATAATTTTCAAATCTTCTGATCTACAGTACCCCTCTACAGTACCCCGAAACCCCATTTTTTCCAGAAAATCGAATATCACCACGTGTATCATCGCAGCTCACCTACAGTAACCTCACCTAAATTTGTGGCCGAAAAATCTACAGTACCCCCCTCTACAGTACCCCAACAGATTTCGCCACTCTCACAAACCGACTCATACACTTCGGGTACATTAATTATGTGATTTTGAATTTTTTCGCTCCAAAATTTGATCTACAGTACTACTGTAGTACTGTAGTGTAGATCTGTTTTGGGTCCGAAAAAAATTTTTTTTTGAAAAATAAAAAAATTTTCTTTTTTCTAGAAGAATCCTCCTCAACATTCTCCAAAAATCAGAGAAAAAAATAATTTTTTTTGAAATTTTAAATTTTTTTCTGAAAAAAAGTAGAGTTGTCTAGAAACATTTTTGTACATTTTTTTGTAAAAAAAAATTGAATAAAATTTTTTGCCGCGAAAAATTAGCTACAGTAATCCAGGCTACGGTAAGTTTTATTTGCCACGTGTAAAACATTTGAAATTTTGAATTCAAAATTTTTGGCGCTAAAAAAATCTCCCGCCTTTTTTTTCTCACATTTTAAGCCACGCCCCTTTTTCGGCCCTCAATTATTTTCCGTTTTTCTTTTTTTTTCCTAACAAAAAAAAAATTTTTGTTTGGAAAAATGCTACTTATTTTGTTTACTAGTACACTTTTTTTGAATTTAGGTAAGTTTTTTCCCGCCAAAAAATTTGAATTTAAAAATTTCCCGCCGAAAATTCCAGGAAATTCGCTAATTTGTCATCAATGTGAAGGTTGGCGTGGTGCCAAAGAGCAAAGTGAAAAAGAGAATTCGTGTTGGAAGCTCAATAATAATTGTGAGGTACGGTAAGGCCCATTTTTGGCGCCAAAAATGATCTACAGTACTCTTCAGACCTCAGTCTACTGTGTCAAAATCACTGAACCCATGTCCAGCTCCGCCACCTACGAACCATTCAAATCCGAATGTTGGCGCCAAAATATTCTCGTCGTGGGACCCGGCAACAGTACGGTAGTCGAAAATGGCTGCTATGACGTCATCGATCAAGCGGTACCGCCCAAAAAATGGAAATATTGCTTTTGTGACACCGCGGATTACTGTAATTCAGAGGGACATGCTGGAATTTTCATGGTTTTAGCGATTTTTATTTTTATTATTGATTATTTATAATTATCACATAAATTATTGATTTTTCTTGATTGTCACGCTGATTTTCACTGTGTTTTTGTCTTCCACGACAATTTCAGCATCCATATTTTCAGCCACTTTTGTCACTTCAATGTTTGCCACGAAATTCCTCTCCATTTTCCCTGAAAAACTTTTTTTTTTCTTTCAAAAAAAACCTGGGGGTCGTGGCCGCGTGGCCTAGCCGCCGACAATTGATGCAAACGCGCTCCAGTGAGACAACGGGCGATCTCACTTTTTCATTTCTTTTTTTCGCGTTTTTCGGGGTTTTTGAGGGGAACTCGAGGTTTTTCGTTGAAAATAAATTGTGGAATCGTTTTAAGAAGATCTAAATTACCCGGGAATTGAAGTTTTGTTAAAATTACCTTGAAAATTCCGTTGAAAATGGGAAAAAATCAGATTTTTCTCAAGAAAAAGCGAATAAAATAGGATTTGCTTGGACTGAAGAATGCTGAAATTAGAATTTGCTCGTCTTCTTTTTGTTTTATTTGATGTCTTTTTATATATGCTCTTTCCGCCCTTTTCGTGTGTCGAAAAAGGCGCAAAATTATAGGGGTTGTTCCTCTGTTACCTATTGATTTTTTCTTCTTCCAGAAGGGTAGTAAAATGTTGGCACGCACTGTTCAAAGATTCGCCGCCGGAGTTTCTCGTCGTGGATATGCTGCCGCGGCTGCTCAAGCTAAAAATGCTAATCCAGAGGAGCTTCGTTTGACTTTTGCCTCGCCAGACACCGTGAGTTTTGAGGGAAGAGCTTAAGGAATGAAATTTCTATGTTTTGCAGGCTTTGTTCAGCAACGCCGTCGTCAAACAAGTCGATGTTCCAACTTTGGCTGGAGTTGTTGGTGTTTTGGCCAACCACGTTCCAACTATTGGAGTTTTGAAGCCAGGAGTTGTTCAAGTCACTGACAACGAAGGTATTTTTTGTGGTTTTTGAGCTTTCCAGCTCCTTTTTAAGAAATATCTATAGAAAAATAATTCTAGGAGGAGTTCAACGCGTTTTCGTCTCATCTGGAACTTTGTCAGTCAACATTGATGGATCCTGCCAAGTTTTGGCTGAAGAAGTTTTGAAAATTGAGGATATTGATGAGACAGCTGCCCGAAATGAACTTGAAGCCGCACAAAAAGCATCGGGAGAAGGAAGCGAAGTTGCCAAGGCTGAAGCTCAAATTCGAGTTGAGGTTTGTGCGAAGTTTGGGGAAATTTAGATTTTTTAGAGTTCTGGAGCTTGAAAATCTGAAAATTTAACTAAATTTTGTTATTTTCTAGCTCTGGAGCTCGGAAAACCTAGTTTTGCATGAACAATTAATATTTTCTGAGTTCTGGAGCTTGAAAATCACAAAATTCAACTGAATTCTGTTATTTTCTAGCTCTGCAGCTTGGAAAACCTAGTTTTGCATGAAAAATTAGGTTTTTTGAGTACTGGAGCTTGAAAATCACAAAATGTGACGAAAAATTAGTATTTTTGAGTTCTGAAGCTTGGGAAAATCTATAATTTGTTGAAAATCGAAAAATTTTGAATCTTGAAGCTTGGAAATCCCAAAAAGTAACTAAACGTCTTCAGTTCTTGAGAAAAACCGAGTTTTTTGTGCTCCGGAGCTCTAAAATCCTCAAATCTCGAGAAAATATACAAAAAACAATTTAATTTTGAACTTTTTTTGGATCTTCATCCACATTTAATTAATTTCAATGAGCAAATGCTATTTCTGCACTTTTAGCTTTGAAAATTTGATATTTTGAGAATTTTTAAATTGTTAGAAATGAAAAATTGTTTTAGCGAAATTAAACGTGAATTTTTTGACGTGCATAATCAAAAACTCATTTTTCATTTTGAAAAAAAAAATATTTTTCTTCTGGAAATTCCAATAAATCTCTAAAAATTCCAATTTCCACTCCAAAAACTCTATTTTCAGGTCGCCGAAGCTCTTCTCAAAGCCGCCACCAACCAACATTAGATCAATCGATTAATTTAAGGACATTTTTAATTTTCCCCTCAAATTTTCCTCGATTTTTTCCATCCATCAAAAGTCGTTATTTTTTTCTTGGTTTTCCTAGTAAAATTCGATAATTTTCAGCACGAACTTCTGAAAATTTGGTTTTTTTGTGAATTTTTTTTTGTTTTTTGCACGTATTTTTAGACAGAATGAACAGATTTTCAGACAAAATCTTGGAATTCTGTGAATCACGAGAAAATGAAAAATGTGAAGAAAATGGATTGTCCACGAGAATTACAAAAGTTCGTGTGGAAAATTGAAATTTCATTCGTAATCAATATAATAATTCAAACAGTTTTTTGTTAGAACAAAACGATGCTCCAGATTTTCCCACTTTCTTGATCTACAAACAAATCTCACACATTTCCTATCTTCTTCTTCTTCCTCTTCTTCATCACTATCCTCACTATCACTATTATAATCAACATATTCTTCACCAGGTCCAGTATATTTCTCAATAAATCGAATCAAATCAGTCCAATTCATCTGAATTCCCTTTAAATCCAATGTTATATCTTCGAGATGATCATTGATTTGTTCTTGAATTAGAAGACGTCTCAAAAACTTGTCGAATTCATCCAATGAAAACATCGGATTGTATAATTCACAAGATTTTGCTTGTATTTTGAATAAAACATCAAGTTGACAATTGGGAATATTGACTTCGTGTTGAAATCGAGAAATTGTATCAATATTAATAAATCCACAAGAAATTGGATCAATTCCATTCTCAATTTCTGAAATGTCCAAATCTCGCAATTGTTGATTTTTCAAATTATTGATATTTGTTCGATGAAATGGAAAATCGTCCTAAAATTAAAATTTGAATATTTGAATCAAATTTCATTCGAACTTACCATGTCAATTTCAACAATTCTCAAACTTTTTGTATTTCTCTTCACAATATTATTGAATAACTTTAAAGTTATATCAACTACATCTCGATTTCTGAAAATGATTTTTGAAATGATTTCATTTTTCATGCACCAATGGAGTTTATAATTTCCAGATCTTTCTTTGTGTAACATGAGACTCCATTTTTCTTTTTTCGCAGAAATATAAATTGCAATAATTTCATCCTTCTTTTTTCCCCTTCCAGATACATGGATTTTTCTGATATAATTTCGAGTTTGAAGTATTTCTTCAAAACAATCAATGGAACATTGTGCAAGAATTGCTTTTCCTTCAAAATCCATCAAATCCATTATAACACGTCGCATATCAAATGGTATGTCAAACCATCCAGTTCCAGTAATCTCTGGTTGAATACTAGAGTCTAGTTGAATTGACTTCGATGAGATACTAGAGTCTAGTTGGATATCCTTTGATGGAATACAAGGGTCTAGTCTGCTTCTCTTTTCGTTTCTTGAAACACACGAACCCATTTCTGTTAACTTTAAAAAATGCCCGAGATTTTTCGATGTTTTCAGTGTCATTTCATTTCACGCACACGTTTTTTATTTCGAATTCAAATTTTGTAAATATTTATTTTTCTTCGACAATTCATTTTCCATACCAAAATTTGGGCTGGAAAATTTTCTGAATATTAATCACATTGCTCAAAACCTCTTTCGTTTTCCCGCGCAACTTGAACATGCTGGCTGATAACACGTGGCAATAGGTGCGGGGGCAGAACAACCGCAAGAGCAACCGCAAGAGAAACAACCGAGGGCTACACCCTTGCAATGAACATAACATAAGTTTTGGGAATACAAAAATTTGCCACGTCATACTAACACATCTTAACTATTTTAGGTTTCTAAACGAACGAATGTTCAAATTCCGAAATTTCCCCGTTTCCACTTCATTTTTTCGGCATAAAAATCTGCAGAACACAAAAATAATTTCCACGTGACCCAAATTCGCCACGTCATTCAGACCAACAAAAAAATCAGAGCGCTCCGCCCAGAAAATCCCCGCATTCCTAGATAGGTCCGAAACAAAAAATGAAACCAATTGCAATATTATTCGTGGTTTTAGTCTATAAATCTATCAACGCTGAAAATGCTTCTTGTGAGCCTAGTGAATTCGAAGATGGAAATGATAATTGTATGATAATTGAAGGAGGTGTTCTGGAATTAAAGGGTGAATCGAAGGATGGTGAGTTGATATAAGTCCCTAAGCCTAACCTAAGCCTAACACTTTTTGCAGATTTTGACACCGAAAAGCTCAAAAAAATCACCGAAATCCGTCATGGTCTTCATGTGAAAATTGACGATCTCGAAATTTTCGATCTTTTGCCAAATGTGAAAAGAATCGCAAATCCCAATGGAAATGCCCTTCATTTTTCCAACCACAAAAACTTGAAAACGATCAAATTCGAAAGTTTGGAACAGCTCAGTGGTAAAGTTGGAATCTACTTTGAAAATGACAAATTTCCAAGTTTCACGGACACCGAAGAGACTTCGATGAACAGTTTATCAAAATTGAACCAAGTTTTCGTTCCGAAACATATCAAATGCAAGGATAATTTCATCAGAGTGTTTTATTCTGGTCAAGAAGAAAACTCGGAAGAACCCGCCAATTTTTGGTTGTATATTATAATCGTTGCATGTATCATTGTGCTTTTGGCGATTATTTTATTTGTGGTTCAGATTTTCAAATGTCAAAAAATGCTCAAGAATTTGGATGCGAAGAAGACGAAGGATGCCGAAGAGCAATCGAGTAATGAGGATCCTGGTGCAAGAAGTCCGAATGCAGGTAGAAAAGTCAAGAGCTATTGAATAAAATTTATTTGGATTTTTTTGTTCTCATGGGAAAATCTAGTGATCCCAATCCCAAACCTAAAGAAAGAACGGAAAAAATAAGAGTGTATGTCAACACCGACTGCCCGCAAACAACAAATTATACGCGCAACCTTGACGCGAAATACGCGCTGTGTGTTTTCGCGAAGAAATTTCTGGGGATTTTTCAAAATTGGGAACCCCCCCCCCTCCAGATTTTAGAAATTGCCACATTTAAAGTATAACATATGGGAACCCTGAGAATCTCTCCAATGTCGCTTTTCAATTGGAGAATACTAGTTGTACGAGAGAACTACACAACACGAGGACGTGGACTAGAAAATCGGCGGAAAACTAGGCCATTATCGAAATTTTTTATTTTCTTTTCTTCGCGCGCGCGCGCGACGCCTGAAACTCGAGTTCTTCATATTTTTCGACGCAGAATAGACGTTGGAGGTGAGTAGTTTTCGATTATTTATACTGAAAATTGTCTGGGATCATTCGAGAAACTCCACATTTCCCTGGAAAAGTGAAAATTTCGATTTTTAAATGGGTTTATCAAATTCCAGTCATAGCCAAAGCAACTTCATTTTTCAGACACCAATCTTTCTATTGCTCATATTCAACACTAATTCGAGTCAGTCAGGTCCTGTCATTTTCTATATTTTTCCGTAACCATGAAACCGTAGAGTTATTTGAAATTTCCAGAAATCCCGCCCTCAAAATCACGTTGTGGCTGAAAAATCAACTAGAAAGTTCAAGCTAAATGTAAACAGCTGAAATCTGCAAACTTCCGTGCATTTAGAAGGCTTTAGAGACTCTCAAAGGTCAAAACATTTCGGATTGACGTGTTCTAGTTAGATAAGATCTCCACGTCAATCTCTGAAACAAGGTGATTCAATTTCAATATTTCAAATCTAGCTAACCAATGAAATATTCTATACGCATTGTATTTTTCCTTCTCTGGTTTTTCGGTAAGTTGAATTCGAAAACTGTTAGATTACTTCTCGTTGTGAAGGAATGCAAACCTTTAAATAATTTCAGCAAATTGTTGTTGGTCACTGACTAGTGATGGTTATGTAAGTTGTATTTATGTGGGGGGGGGGGGGTACTTTGAAAAAAGTATTCGTGCATGAGTTTTAAGCTGACCTTATATTTTTTGAAAAAATACCCTTTTTCGTGTTCATCCCCTCTACCAAAGTGGTGCAACGTTTTTATGAGAAATTATAAGGTGGAAAATGTTCACCATCCATCCATAGACCAAGAAAAAAATTTGAGCCGATTCTTAAATTACGACCTTTTTTGTTGTCCGAATCCTTTCAATAAAATTTACCTTTTTGCAAAAAACGTCTCTTAAATGTTTCTTTTTCAGTATGATTGTCCAACCACTGATCGAACGTACAAAAAAAAACTTTGTAAGGGGAGCAAAGATAAAATTAGTATTTTAATGCCTACAACCAGCCCATGTTGCGGTAAGTTGTGAGAAAGACAAGCGATCGGTGGGAGTGTGCGCACACATGCGCCACTTGCTCTCTTCTGGGGCGCTAGGCGCACCAAACAGCTGGGTGACATCACCCGAAATAACGCCGCAGATAATGCGCTGTCGCCCGAAATGGCGCGCATTCTTAAAAGCGTCTGAAATTGGCCAATCAACAGAAGCAACCTGGTCAATACTAGATATAGTTATTCTATGCAAAATCAACTTATTTTCAACATTTTTTCAGTGTTTTTTGAGGCATCAAAAATTTTAAGAAAAATTGCATTTTTGCGCGACGTCGCCCGAAATGGTGCCCGGTTGCAGTGTATTTTGTTTTCAGACCTTGTTACGATCCGTTGCAGCACTGGAATGATTTCAGAATTTGTTGTTGAGGTAGGTAAATACTATCTGATTTACCTCGCTACATTGGATGGTAAATTTTTTATGGATATGCGTGGTTTTATCGATTTCGTAGATGATAAACCAAAACGTTATCTTTGCCGTAAGTTTGAAGAAAGTTATGGGTTTTTAACTTTTTTTTTTCTACTTGAATAACCCCATTAAATAGAAGCATACAATCATTTCAGCTGTACCTATTGGGTATATATATTTCGATCAGTTTTATGCCAAACAAACATCATCAAAAGAAAAATATTTGCCTTATGGAGATGGTGGAGAAAATTACAAAAAAACACAACCACAAACATGCAACAAACACTCAGATTGTCCCCAATTTGATTCATTTTGTGGAAATGTTGTGAATATGAGATTTGAAGGTGGCCAATGTAGACGTGAGTATACATAAGCTTTTCCCCAAGTTCCCTTATGGGGTGATATTCAAATTTGATCATCCACCATTTTGCCATTCTCGGATTTTCTATTTTCGGAGTTTTTTTTTTGGAAGTATGAAGTGTGTTTTTCACAAGGGAACCTTTTCAGCTCGCGGTCGAGTTTTGAGCTCAAAATTTATTTAAATTATTTATTGGAGAAAAAAAAAATATAAGTAAGAATTATGAACAAAAAATCCAGTTGCCGGAGAACACCGAGTTCTGATGAGGCAAAGTGTCAGAAATCACCAAAAATGGCTTTTTTCAGGGATCATAATTTTCTTCAGAGACGATTTCATCAAAATCTGATAGCAGGAGTTTTTTCAGGAGAGTCGAGTTACTAAAATCACCAATTATGAGAAAAATGTCCAAAAAATTTCTAATTTACAATTTTTTCTTCGAAAAATGTTGCAATTCAGTAATAATATTCAGTGACTTTAGTAAATCGACCTTCCTAAAAACGTCGTGCATTCAGTTTCACTTGATTTGAACTCAGGACTGAATAATGAGCCCTGAAACATGCGATTTTCGTCAAAAATCGCCACTTTGGCGCATCAGAACTCGGTCCAGGGTGTTCTCCGGCAGCTGAATTTTTTTTATGTTCATTAGAATCGCTCAAACTATCCATAAAAAAATTTTTGCGCTCAAAACTCGATCGCGAGCCGAAAAGGTTCCCTTGTCAGATTATTCTACACATGAAATTATTATGAACGTGGTATGTATGCAAAAAAGCGATTGTAGAACCAATTCTTATATATGTGAACAGGATCTTTATCTGAAATATTGGACAATGATGGAGAGAGAAATGAAGTTTTGCTATAAAAGTGAGTTTGGAAAACCAGACATGTCGCTGCGGGCCGGGTCGGCCGGGCTTAGCCCGAAGTAAACACAAAAAATCGGGCTTTTCTCAGCCGAAGCCCGATTTTAACATGTGCGGCTTTGGTGGGCCCGATTTCGGGGCCCGTTTATTTTTTCTTCGATTTTTTTTCATTGAAAAAATCTATTGAAAAGCGACGCACGCACACGCATCGCAGGGTATATAGGTGGAACTCAGAGATTCGCCGATATATTTTTGATCCAATCCAAAAATTATTATTCAGATCCTGCTATACCCGGAGACACTGGAATTCAACAGTTCCAAAAACGTGATACACAACTTAATATTTTTATCTGCGATAATGATTCGGATTGTGATATTGGATCAGAGAAAAGTGGAATATGTGGACAGCAAAAAGAGGGCGAGAATTTTATCAAATGGACTGGATTAGTCAAGGATGGATCAACATATGGAAAACGAAAATCATACACTGGAATATGTTTGGAATCCAAACCAATTTCTTTCACTTTATCGAACATTTTTATCAACCTGGATTTTGATCAGAAAAACGAAGATATTGGTAGAACATATTTGTCAGTTGTCTGGAAAAGTCGAGAGTTAACACCGCAGTGTACCAAAAATAGTGAATGTAAAACGGGTGAAGAGTTCTGTGATAATATTTACAGCTTGCGTGATGAACACAACTTCGACAAAACTTATAAATTCTGTTTCAAAATTCCTGATCCACCCAACACTTATCTCAGTTACACAATCTTTGATGATAAGATCGGATTGGTGCCGTGTAATTCATATAAAGATTGCCAAACTGCTGGAGCTGATATAAACTCATTTTGTTATACTGCCGATTCAGGCAAGAAATATATGGGATATGACGCTGGCGCAGCAACACAATTTGATGGTATTTGTATGAGCGCCAAAATATGTGTTGATCCATCGATGAATTATGAATGGGCAGAAGGTATTGTGGCTAGAGATGGGCATTGTGAAAACGATGACGATTGTTTGGATAATGGGAAAACAACAGAAGCCAGTAATATCAATAATAGTTATGAGTAAGTTCAAAAATTCCTTGGTCAGCTAGTCGTTTTCACAGCCCACTGCGAAAAATAATCCAACACTTTAGCCACGGAAATTTAAAAAAAAAGGGTGGAGTTTTCCATATCCCTTTTTCGTCGCGCTTCTCTTTTTCACGCACACTCTCTCGTTTTCACTTACCTGAAATTGTGGCTGTTGTCAAACGTACCACAAGGAGACTCCTGATTTTGATCCTGATTTGTGTTCTTCTACCTAATCAACTTCAATCTTCAAGATATCGCTGCAAAAATGAAACATCATCCGGCGGAGTTGGGTTGTGTTGTTATCGTAAAACCGAAAACTGTGAGGTGGGAAAAATTGTGATTCCAAATACGAGATGTGGAAAAGGATCGAACACGAGCCAAGCATTTGCACAATGTTATTCTGAAAAACCAGACACGGTTAAATATAACAAATGGTGTGAAAAGAAAATCAATCAATGTTGTTTGGATGATAATTATCCATTCTGTCCAGATCAACAAACACCATTATTCAATGAGCCAGAATGTGTTGGTGCTATCAAAACTGATGTGAATAGTGGAAAATGTGAGGCAAAATCTGGTGGTATTTGTAAGAGGGGACATTGTTGTCCAAATGCATCGATGAACAATTCAACTGGAATATTCGTCAAACCGGAATTTGCATATATCACTGAAATATCGTGCAATTCATTATCTTCTGTTGTTCAATTCACCGCTGGATATTGTGATCCAGATTCCGAAAAAGTGGTTATAATTGGGGAAAAATTGTCAGACGGAACAGCGCTCAAAAAATGGCCGGAAGATAATCCCAAAAACTGTAATGTTCATTTAGATTGTTCCAGTGATAATTCGAAATTGTGTTTGAGAGAAGAGCCGGCTACGAAAAAATTCACTTGTTTTTACAATCCATTGAAACCGTATCCGGAAGATGATTCAAACATGATTTTTATCATTTTGATCATTGTTCTAGTCGTTTTATTGGTGGTTGGTGGAATTGGCGGATTTTTATTGTGGAAACTCAAATTGAAAAAGAAGAATAAAGGAAAAACTGGAAAAAATGAGAAAGATGGAAAGAAACCGAAGAAAGAGAAGAAAAAAGGGAAGAAGGGGAAAAAGAGCAACAAAAAAACTGATTCTACAACCAAATCCGCATCTGGAGTTAGTGGAAACGCTGATGGAACAGTGCCAACTATGATTTAAGAAAACTCGATTTTTGAGATACTCGGCTTTTTGTGAATTGAATAAAGAGATTGGAAAAAATTTTCTCAGCAGCCTGATTGTGAGAAATGAAAAATGTTGGGAAAAAATGGGTCGCGTTTATTTTTGAACTCAAAAATTCAAGGTTTATCGAATTATTCTTTATTTTTCCAACCCAATTTTTCGAGTGGAAAACACATTTTTGCGATTTTCCCGCATTTTCCTAGATGAACAAGCAAACGCGCTCTATTGTTTGTTTATAACTAAATACGTTTTCTCTGCGTCTCTTCTCTCGCAATATTTCTTCTCATTTCTCATGTGTTTTTAAACAGAAAACACTGTTACTTTCAGTTTATATGTGATTTTTGGCGTTTTGAAGTAATTTTTGATGATTTTCAGGTCAAAATGGGTAATATAAACTCGCTGTTCACAACGAATCCCTCCGAAATTCTACCAGTCGAAGCGTATTTATCGGATTTATGTGAAACTGCAGAAAATCTCGGTTCCACGAGATTTATGAAAGTTGCCAAGGGAAAAACCAGCGAAGGAATATTTGTATATAAAGTTTTTGTGCGACAAGACAATTCGAGTCTAAATCCATATCCAGAAAAGCTGATAGAAATTCGAAATTCGCTGGCGAAATCTCCAAATTGTTGCGCGGTCAAAAAAGTTGTTATAAAACAAAAATGTGCGGTGGTTTTGAGGACGTATCAGAAAAATACGCTTTTCGATCGAATGAGCACACGGCCTTTTGTGATTCAGGCCGAGAAAATCTGGTATATCTATCAGTTATTCAAGGTATTCATTGAAATCTCATTTGTAAATTTCCACGTAGTTCTCGAGGAGAAGTGAGCAATTTTCCATACCGAAAATTGGTATGGAAAATGTAACTCGTTCGCGAGAACTACACATTTTGGTATGGAAAATCGAAAGAAACTCCGGAAAAAAAACTGAAAACAGATGATTTTTCCAGGGTCTAGCACAATGCGAAGCTGCAAATGTTTGTCACGGCGATTTGAAATCGCAAAACATCCTAATTTCTTCAAGCAATTGGCTACAAATCACCGATTTTGCGCCCTTCAAACCCACGTTTTTGCCCAAAGAAAATCCATCGAGTTACACGTTTTTCTTCGATACAAGCAGACGACAAAGTTGTTATATTGCACCTGAAAGATTTCTGAATACCAATGAATATGAGATTTGTCAGAATGGTGGAAAATTGTTTGGTGGATTGAAGAGTAGCATGGATATGTTTAGTGCTGGTGAGATTTTGTGGGAATTTTTGAATTGGGCCCGAAATTTTGATGAGAAATGTGCCAAGAAATGAATTTTATACGTTTTTCTGTTAAAACGTGACATTCCACGTATTTCAGTTTGCGAAAAATGCGGAATTTTCAAATTCTCTCTCATTTTCTATTTAAAAAAGGAGTGAATTCAGTGAGTTTCTTTTATTTTTCCACACCTATATTTGTAGTTCTCGCGAATAAGCATATTTTTCCAGCCCACTTTTGGGTTGGAAAAATTTTTCCAACCCAAAAGTGGGCTGGAGAAATATGCTTCTCCGCGAGAACTACATTTTTCAGTGTGGAAAAAATCACTCTGCTTCTCTGGCAAATTTTCCTAACCAAATTTTGGTATGGAAAAATATGCTTCTCCGCGAGAACTACAATTTTTGGTGTTGAAAATTGCCTCCAATCGATTGATTTCTTTGCAGGTTGCATTGTTTACGAACTTCTCTGCGATGGTCGTGCTCCATTCACCTACAGTACTTTATGCGAATATCAATCAATGTCAAATTCCGAAGCCAACAATCATTTGGCTCGTCTCCAACAAGACATTCCTCCACAATTTCGCGCACTTCTCAAACTTCTTCTAACTCGCGAACCAACTCTGCGTCTCTCTGCAAATGCCGTGCTCTCTGGAGCTGCTTTTAGTTTTCCACCGATTCTTGAAAATTTCCTATTCAAATATCTCGATTTGTTCCGACCTTTGTATCATGGAGAATTCAAGAATTCTGCGAATTCCAATAAATCTGATTCAGATTTCAGTCAACCTTTGGATTTTTCATATATGGAACCGGATGATGTTATTGCAAAATTGAAAAAGGAGAAAAATCTATGGCTATCAAAAATATCTGAAAATCCAGACAATCAGAAGTTTGGAGTATTATTTGTCTCCCTAATAACCTCAAATTTGCGTGGACTTCGAACAATTCAATCAAAAACTGATGCAATGGATTTGCTAGTCGAATTAGGAGCCATTTCTGAGTCTTCCATTTCAATCGATCGAATTTTGCCATATTTTGTACATTTTATGAATGACGCAGAAACCCAAGTGCGCTCTATGGCAATTCGACTTAGCGCTGATCTTTTGGAGTCGGTTCAACCTATGACGTATGAGGAGAGCTTGCTTTTTGTGGATTATTTGTTTCCGGAGATTGTAAGTGGCATTTTTAGCCCTTTTTCATCAATTTTTCATTTTAGAGCTCATTAATGACTGATGATTGTCCACAACACGTTTTATTCTCAATTGCCTTGTCTTTGGGAAGCCTAGCCGATTCGGCCTATCGATTTTTGAAGGCTGGAAGAGAAATTCGAAGTGGTAGTTATGATGATGAAGTTTCGACGGCTGAAAATTTGGATACGATTCAGCAAACTTATTCTGGTATGAAATTCAACTAAAATCATGATTTTCAAGCTAAAAATCGTGAAAAATGATGAATTGCCTTTTCTTTTTTCCATACCAAAATGTGTAGTTTTCGAGGAGAAGCGTTTTTTCCAAACGAAAATTTGGGTTGGAAAATTGCGCTTCTCCACGAGAACTACAAATTTTAGTATGGAAAAAGGGAACACTGATTTCGGAATCAATTTTTTTTTCCGTATAAACGCAATTTTTGCTCAAAGGCTTGAAATTAAGAGTTCTTCAAGATTTCCAGAGAAAAATAATTCATTCATTCTTATTTCAGACGATTCGGCCGCCCTTCATCAAGGAATTTCGGCGATTTTTTCGTCGTTGTGTAGTCGCGATCCAAATGTGAAACTGTGCCTGGTTGAACCGAAATCGCTCAAAAAATTGTGTCAATTTTTCAAAGATGTTGGAAGTGAGTTTTTTTGCTAAAAATTCACCGAAATTCCACATTTTCTTGCAGATGGCGACAATTTGCTGACATTCCTCATCACATTTCTCAACGCAAAAATCGAATGGCGTCTCCGAGCCGCCTTTTTCGACGCCCTCCTAATTTCCGTTCAAAATCGTAGTGTCGGCCTGGTTCCACTTCTACAACAAGGTTTGCAAGACAATGAAGAATATGTGGTTTTGCGTGCACTTGGTTGTATTCACATTTTTATCATGAGAAATGATATTTTGGAGAAACAAGAAATTAAAGTGCTGCTAAATGAGATTGTTGTGTTTTTGGTGCATCCAAATGAATGGATAAGATCAGCGGTTTGCGATATTTTGGTTGGAATCAATGAAAAATGGCATATGGCTGATGTTCATGTTAAAGTTTTGCCACAAGTTACACCGTATGTTATGGAGTCGAAAAGGAAATTGTTAAGCTTGCGAAGTAAAATTGTTTTGATGAGTGTTCTGATTCCACCAATCGATCGATCTACTTTCACAAAAATGGCGGAACTTAGCTTGGAAAATACCAAAACCCTGGTGGACACTTTGGAACTGCATTATGAGAAGAATCGGCCGTTTGAAGTGGCGAAACACTGGTTTACATCGATTTTTCCGAAAGTTGAAAATGAGAAGGATTTGGAGGAGAGGAAGAGGCTTTTAGGTAGGTTTTTTTGTTTTCCACAATAAAATGTGTACAGTTCGTGAGGAGAAGCAAGATTTTTCCAAACCAAAATTTGGGCTGGAAATTTTGTTGAAGACGCAGAGAAGCAGAGTAATTTTTTCCATACCAACTTTTTCCAACTGTTGGTATGGAAAAATCTCGCTTCTCATCGAGAATTACAAATTTTGGTATGGAAAATATAATTTTTCATTTCTGCATTAAATTTATGATTTTCAAGCCTAAATTTCACTTTTTCAGCCACAATTTTCCCATTCCGCGGACTTTTGCTGAAAATGGCGGATACAAGAAACACTGCTGGATTGGAGAGCTTTATGACACGACAAAATGGGACGATTGATTTGAGCAGCAAACAATACACGAAAATTCGCCAACGGAAATTTGTATATGGGAAAAATGATGAAAAAGAGGATAAGCTGACTATCAATTCGCCAACAATTGTTTTGGGAGGTGTTTTGGAGGGTGAAATTCCGCTGGAAGAGGAGAGAATTAATAATACAGCGGGAGGAAATACAAGTGAGTCTTTTTTGGGGGGAAATATGAATTTTAGACCTGAAATTGTTCAAAAATCCAATTTTTGCAGTGCGAAGCTCGATTTTCGAACACCAAGTCAATTCAATGCTTGCTCATATGAATGAAATTCACCAGCGCAACGTTACGTCGAAACGCAGTGCAATGATTCATTCGGCAGTTGGTGGAAGTGGAATGTTTGGTCGACCGAATAGCACGATTAAAGGGACAATTATTACGCATTTACACGAGCATTCAGCGAAGATTACGAAGTGAGTTTGGCTAGAAATTGATTGAAAATTCGGATTCAGCGCGAAATTTTGATCTAGACTGCATTTTGTTTATTTTCCAAACCAAAATTTGGAGTTCTCGAGGAGAAGCGAGAATTTTCCATACCAAAATTTCGGTTGGAAAAATGTTGAAGGAATTTTCCAACATTTTGGTATGGAAAAATCTCGCTTCTCCTCGAGAACTACACAGTTTGGTATGGAAAATAAGCACAATTCTGTCTTTATCAAAATTTCGCGCTGAATCCGAATTTTCAGGGAAAAATTTATGATTTTCTATCATTTAGAAATTAATAACTACCATATTTTCAGACTTGCTGCAACTCGTTCCGCAGAATCATTTGCAAGTGGAAGCGCCGACGGAACAGTTCGAATTTGGCGAACAAAATCGGTTTTGGGTGAAGGTTACGGTGCAGTTCGAAGTGAAGACACGTGGATTCCATCGGAAAATCGGCAAAAAGTCAAATCGATCGGCTGGAATGAGAATTATTTGTGTGCGGCCACAGAAGACGGTGTAATTCGATGGGCTGATGTTTCGAATGGCGGTGCCAAGCTGCAAACGATGCTCCGAATTCCGGAAGACGAAGGACCGCCTGTTTTTATGCAGACAAATGGAGCGATGACTTTTGTGCGAACACATCACGGTGTACTGTATGGGCTGGATTTGAGAGTTGGACAAACTTCCGGTGGATTGGGAAGACATGAAGTTTGGAGAAGGAAATTGAGAGATGATCATGGATTGGTGGGTTTTTTGCTAGAATTTTCAGCGAAATTTTGAAAATTTCAGCAAATTTCAAATGCATTATGTTGTTGCTTTTGAAATTCTCTACAAAATCATTTTTATTTTGTAAATTTTTGAAAACCTGAAAATCGCTTCTAAAATTGACATTTTCCATACCAAAATTGGTAGTTCTCGAGAAGAAGCGATTTTTCCTACCGAATTTTCGGTATGGAAAAAATCACTCTGCTTCTCTGGCAATTTTTCCATACCAAAGTTGGGTTGGAAAATTTTATTGTGGGAACATAGATCGCATCGCTCCCCCTGCAGGGGCCATTAGGGTCTATCACTGAGGTTCAAGTTTTGTATGGAAGGCGCAAGCCTTCCATGAAAAAAAAAATTTTTGTTCTCAAAAAAAAAATTTAAAAATTTTGCAACACCATTGCTCTTGGCAGGAATCGATCCAGCGACTTTCAGCGTTATAAGCTCGAGCCCTAACCACTGCGCCAAGCTTCCACTTTTCTTCCCATTCTTCTTTTTTAAAGATATGATTGGTGAGATGAGAGATAGAAAAGAGAAGAGATCATCAGCTTGAAGAAAATTTGCATATTTTCAGTCTGACAATTGTCAAAATAATACTTGAACGAGTAAAAGTTGAAACATGAAACTTGGCACACATAAAATTAAGCGTATTCTGAAGGATATTGAACAATAAAATCGGAGGGGCAGACCCTAGAACTCAAGGTGCACACCCTGTCCACTGAAGAGGCCTTTTTTGGCTAGTTTAGGGGACCGGGTATGCACCTCACTTCTGAGTCATTATTTCGTGTAGAACTTTTTAGAACTTTATAGTAGAGGAAATTTGCTAACTTTCCATTCAAAAATATCCTAGAAAACCTTACTAAAATGTCATTTCCTTGAGGGGTGAAAATGTGCATTTTTTACAAAAAAAATTTTTTTTTGAAATTGAAGGAAATTCAAGATTTGATTTTCGTTTGTTCTTCAAATCAAACTACTGACTTAATTTGAGCCACTGAACAACGTGGTGGCCTCAAATACTACCAGAAACTTTTCCAAAACGAGTTACAGTAATTGCCAAAAAGATGGATACTTTTGATTTTTGCTATTAACCACTTAACCTTTTTCAAATCAGGCACAAATTTTTTTGAGCTATTTGGGTCTCTAGTGCATACAATTCTGAGATATTTTCTGAAACTTTTTTAGTGGTGGCCTTTCAGATCATTAAAGCTGATTCTGAAAATTTTCAGTTTTTCAAAACTAACTTGAAAACTTCAATTTTGCCACAAATAGTAGTTTACTCAGCCTATGCCTTAATATATATATATATTTCACCTATTAATTCCAACTCTGATACTACATTTTCATTCATTATGAGTTCTATTCCGATAGTTCCAGTGAGACCATCTAGAAAAATTGTTATGACCCAAAAAATCGATTTTCATGGCATATTATTATTGGATTTTCGATAAAACACTTCAATTTGAGCATGCCTAATCCTAAATATCATTATTGAATCGAAACCCGATGTATTTTGTATGATTTTGACATTGATGGAATTCGGATGTTTCTCTCGATCTTCGACTGGAGACCATCGAGGAAATCAAAAATTGATGGCCACCACGTTGTTCAGTGGCTCAAATTAAGTCAGTAGTTTGATTTGAAGAACAAACGAAAATCAAATCTTGAATTCCTTCAATTTCAAAAAAAAAATTTTTTTGTAAAAAATGCACATTTTCACCCCTCAAGGAAATGACATTTTAGTAAGGTTTTCTAGAATATTTTTGAATGGAAAGTTAGAAAATTTCCTCTACTATAAAGTTCTAAAAAGTTCTACACGAAATAATGACTCAGAAGTGAGGTGCATACCCGGTCCCCTAAACTAGCCAAAAAAGGCCTCTTCAGTGGACAGGGTGTGCACCTTGAGTTCTAGGGTCTGCCCCTCCGATTTTATTGTTCAATATCCTTCAGAATACGCTTAATTTTATGTGTGCCAAGTTTCATGTTTCAACTTTTACTCGTTCAAGTATTATTTTGACAATTGTCAGACTGAAAATATGCAAATTTTCTTCAAGCTGATGATCTCTTCTCTTTTCTATCTCTCATCTCACCAATCATATCTTTAAAAAAGAAGAATGGGAAGAAAAGTGGAAGCTTGGCGCAGTGGTTAGGGCTCGAGCTTATAACGCTGAAAGTCGCTGGATCGATTCCTGCCAAGAGCAATGGTCTTGCAAAATTTTTAAATTTTTTTTGAGAACAAAAAAATTTTTTTTTAATGGAAGGCTTGCGCCTTCCAGACAAAAATTAGGGTGTATCACTCGCGAATTTTTTGAAATAGGGTGTATCACTTTGAGGTTCAGAGGGGAAGATTGCGATGTATGTGTGGGAATATCGCTCCTTCGCGAGAACTACAAAACTGGATGTGCAAAATTTGCGAAATTCTTCCTCGATCAAAGTTTCACGTTGAATACCAATTTTTGCAGATTAATTGCTCGGCAATCGATCCTTGGCAACAATCGTGGATGATTTTGGGAACAAATAGTCATCTAAAAAATATGCTCCTCTATGATTTACGTTTCAAAGAAGAAGTTCTTCGCTGGGATTCACCTCATAAATATATTCGACCAAGTGGAGTTTGGGCAAATCCCGCTTCAAATTGTGATAAACCCGATATTTTTGTCGCATTTAATATGCACGGAGAAGTTTCGAATTTTGAAATTTGTGCTCAACCGATTAGAAAACGTGTATTATGGACTGGAGGAACACCAGTTATGAATTATGAGCCACAAAAGAATAATAAAACACATGCGGACTTGTCGCAACTCCAAACTAAAGCCTGTGTTATTTGTCCATCGACGGGAAATGTTTACACGGGAGATTCAAGGGGAACAATTCGAAAATGGAATGTGAATAAAGCATCGAATTGTGAAGTTATATCAAGTCAACCAGTTAGTCGAGGAACACATCGAACGATTTTTTGAGGATTGTGTTGGAAATGATGATTTGTTGTGTATTTATGAACGACATATTGTTGATACGGAAGCCAAAGAGAATCGAAGAATTGTGCCGTTGGATTCGAAGGTGAGCTGGGGACCGGAAATTTGAAATCAGCGCAAAATTTTGATCTAGAAACATGTTTCCAATTTCCACACGGAAATGTGTAGTTCTCCCGGAGAAGCGCGTTATTTTCCACACCGAAATTTCGGCTGGAAAATTTGATGAAGAGATGCAGAGATGCAGAGAAATTAATTTTCCAACCCAATTTTCGTGTGGAAAAAATTTACTTCTCCTCGAGAACTACACGTTTTGGTTTGGAAAATTTGAAAATGCGTTCTAGATCAGAATTTTGCGCTGAATCCGAATTTTCTATCAAAAATCCTTAATTTCTTTCAGCCCTCAACTTATCATCGAACTCCAATCACAGATTTGCTACTTTTAGCGCCGGATTTGATGCTTTCCTCGAGTTTTGATGGAATTATTAAAGTTTGGAAATAATTTATACATTTTTCATATATTTATTTTGTGCACCCACCCAACTTGTAAAATAATTGTATTTTATTAAAAAATCTTTATTATTTTTATGATTATTGTTCCTTCGCAGCACACGGAAATTTGCATTTTCTCCTTTTTTGGTTCACCCTTTTGGCGGTAGGCATATATTTGATAAATTGACCTTTTTGGGGTGTTTTCACACCCCGAAAAAGTCATAAAATGGTTCCCCGGGGTGCTGTTTTTCGGACAGATGTTTGGACCGAAAAATTCATTAGAACATATTTTTAGGGTTGCCGCGAACGCTCCGAGCTCTGAAAAAATTTGATTTTTCAGTGAAAATTCGGATCCAGCACAAAATTTTGATCTAGAATGAGTTTTGCAATTTTTTGTAGTTCTCGAGAAGAAGCTATTTTTTTCCAGCCGGAAAATTGGAGTGGAAAATTTTGCGCTTCTCCTCGAGAACTACACATTTTGGTATGGAAAAAAGAAAATCATTTTTTTTTTACAAAAAATGACTCATTCTCATTCATTGTTACTTTATTTTTTATACAAAAAAATATGAAAAACTTTTTTCATTCATATAAAAATAGGAAATTTGAGAAGTTTATGAATTTTAAATTTATTTTTTTGAAAAAAGTTTTTTCGAAACTTCAACAAATGCTGGCTTTTAGCGCCGCCCATTTTTTCGAACTACCGTAATCTTTTTCTCTGTTCCTCTGCGCTCTCCGCTTTCTTCACACTCTCTCGTCTTTTTCGTTAACACTTTTTTTTCATTCAGCCAGCCTTGCCTGCAAAAAAGTGAACAAACATTTCCGTTTTCTTCGATTTTTTAAAATTTTGCAAATTCTTGGATGAAGTTTAAATTTTTTTAATAGTGTAAAGTTTTCCCTAGAATTTTGAATTCAAAAATTTTGGCTCCAAAACCAAAATTTTTGAATTTTCTGATTTTTTTTCTCACCTCATGTGTCATCATTTTTTTTTCTGTGACAAATCAATCATCATTTTTTTTCTATAGGATTTTTTTGATTTTTGCCGACAAAAAATCTTTTTCGCAACATTTTTTGATTGATTTTCTTCTTCTCTCACCATAAGGGTGTATTTGTACCTTTTGGTGTTTGGCGAAGGCAAAAAAAAGAAGATTTACGAGTTTTTTCTCTCTTTTTTATGTTAGGTTATATGCTAATTGCTTTGTGATGATAAAAAGAAGAAAAAAGGAGAAGAAGGTCATTTTTTGTGTTATTTTTTGAAAGGAACACAGAAAACCAATTAGAGAAATGTTTCTTTTTCAAAATTGTGTACTTTTTTTTTCTTTTAGTTTTTCAATGACACAACTTTTCTTAATTGGGAAAAAATTCGGATTCAGCGCAAAATTTGGAAAATTTCCATACCAAGTTTTGTAGTTCTCCCGGAGAAGCGCTCGAAATTTTCCAGCCCATAATTTGGTAGGGAAAAAAACGCGCTTGTCCGCGAGAACTACAAATTTTGGTATGGAAAACTTGTAAAACTGTTTCTAGATCAGAATTTTGCGCTGAATTCGAATTTCCAGTCAAAAATCAATAATTCTTATTCTAAAAATATTTTTTTCTCTAAACCTAAGCTCCGCCTCTTTTCTCTCTTTTTTCTTCCCCTTCCCAAAACCAAAAAAGAGATTTACGATAACCAATATATTTGTCATTTTTGGACACCAAAAGGGTGTTTGTTTACACAGAAAGAATTTTATTTTATTTTACGACCACCGCTCATCTGGCCCAATATAAGTACAGAATTCTCCTATTTTTTCTTATTCTGCGTTTTTTTGTGGTCCCAAAAACATAAATTTATTCATTTTTGATCCCAATTCTCAATTTACCCAGAGTTATGACAACTTCACCTCAAAATTCTCAACTTTCGGCTGTCGAGTTACACAAAGTCGCCAACGCCAAGTAAGTTTACTTTTTACCTTATTTTTTTGGCGCCAAAAAGTTTCGGCGGTGAGATCAAAGAGTTTGGGAAAACATGAGGCGTTAATTGAAAATGTTCTTTTTTTGAGGTCGCGAAGAAAATAGGATTTTTTCCATTTCAAAAATCTCAACGAGGATTACTGTAGGTACTGTATCTAGGTAGATAGGTACTTGAAAGTGATCTCCAGGTGCACATCACAAAAGCGGGGAAACTCTTTTGTTTTCCTAATTTTTAAGTGTTTTCCTGGGATTAGGAAAATCTAACACCTGGGAAAAAGGATTACTGTAGATTGGTAGAAAAAAGGAAAAGGAAAAATATAAATGTTTTTATTTGTTCATGTAATGTGATGAAGGAAAACCTCAATTTTAATGGGTGGGTAATTATTTTTCGCTTGAAGACCCAAAATACAGTAATCTATGTTCAAAAACGTTTTTGAGGCCAAGAAAGTGATGAATTTTGAAATTCAAAACTTTCCGAACCAATTTTTGTAGTTCTCGAGGACAAGGGCATATTTTCCATACCAAAAATTTCCAACTCAATATTGAGCTCAATTTTTGGTATGGAAAAAATCACTCTGCTTCTCTGCAATGATTTTTCCAGCCGAAAAATTGGAGTGGAAAAAAGCGCTTTTCCTCGAGAACTACGAATTTTTGGTATGGAAAACTAGGAAAATGTTCATAGCTCGAAATTTTGCGCTGAATCCGAATTTCCCATTATCGATTTTTTCCAGAATCAAAGTCGAAGATTATGTGAGCAAGAAAAATGAGCTGATCGAGGAATTGAGCGAATTGGAGAACACTGAAAAGTGAGTAGTTTATTTTTGAGCCTTGAAATTTGAGCCAAAAATGAAAAAAGTTGTTGTAGGTTCATTAAAGAGACGTCAAAAACGATTCAAGAATTAAATAAGGAAAAAGAAGAACATTCGGAAATTATTCAAATGATAAATCAGGATAAACAAGATCTGGAAAAAGAAATCGAAAGCGCTGAAACTGAGAAAAAAGAAAGGGAATCGAAAATTATGAAAAAATATGAGATTTTGCTGAAACTTATGGAACAAACAAATGAAAAATTGAAGGAATCTGGAATTGATTTTGAGATAAAAGAAGAGGATTTGCCCCAAACAAATTTGAAGAAAAATGAACCTGTAGCTTCACAAATTTTGGCGGGAACTCCTGGACTTCCGGCTCCTTTTAATGGCTTCAATTTCAAACAACTCGGAAGTTTAATTCACCCAATGTTCCTTGAACATATTCCTGGATTTCCGACAACTCAGCCAACACCACAGAGTCATTTTCGACCACCAAATCATTTGGCAAATGCTATTCAACAACATCATTTGAAGGCGGCCACGGACCATCAATCGCCACCAATGAAGGTGATTTTTGAAATCAGCGCAAAATTTTCATCTAGACACTTTTTTGCCTGAAGAAAACGTGTATTTCTCGAGGAGAAGCGGTTTTCCATACCAAAATTTGTAGTTCTCGCGGACAATCTATTTTTCAGGTTGGAAAAATGTATTATTTTCCATACCAAAAATTCATAGATTGTCCGCGAGAACTACAAATTTTAGTGTGGAAAATGTTTCGAAATTTTCTATAGCCCGCGGCAAATGTGGATTATATTTCTAGATCAAAATTTCGCGCTGAATCCAAAAATCTTATTGATTTTTTGATGAAAATTATTTTCAGACTTGCCAATCGTGCTTCCAACAAATCCATAGAAATGCTCCGATTTGTCCAATGTGCAAATCGAAAAGTCGATCGAAAAATCCCAAAAAACCAAAGAGAAAGGAGATGTAACCGTATTTTTGTGTTTTTTTTTGAAAATAATTTATTTTAAAGGATCTCTTTTTGAAAGAAAATGTATATATAATAAAATGTTGTGTAATAATTTCTTTATCAATCTACAGTACCCCATTAAATGTTTTGGGAGCCGAGGAAACACATTGATTTGATTTTGTTTAATGTCGCCATCATCATCTTTTTTCATTCACACACAATCATTTTTTGTCAATAAAAACTATTTTGCGCCCGTTCGGGTTACGGTATATGCTAATTTTTAGACCTTTTCGGGAGCCGCCAAACGAGAAAAAAATCATTTTTGTTTTTTTTTCGGCGCCGAGAAAAATAGGATTCCTTAGGTTGTAAATTAAGTTTTTTTTGCTTTCTTTTTTCCCAGACGCCATTTTTTCTCACTTTCTTTTTCCTTCACATCATGATATTATGTAAATTAGCAGAAAAAATACACCGTGAAATTTCATGCTTCATTGAGAATCGGTACGAGAAAATAGATAGCAGAAGAAGGACATTCTCTTCAGAAAATTTCCCATACCAAGTTTTGTAGTTCTCGCGGAGAAGCGCAAAATTTTCCAGCCCAATTTTTGGTATGGAAAATTTTGGAAAGATCTCTTTTTGTTTTCCATACCAAAATTTTTGTATTTCTCTCGGACGAAAAAAATCCCCGGTTTTCTCTGCGTCTCTCTGAAAATGACTCATTTCTGCAAATAAAACAATGATGTTCATTTTTTCAGAGAAAACTAAATGGAAATTGCAGAATTTTCTGAAGGAATTCGAAAATTTCAAGGTGCAAAGTGAGTTTTTTTTATTGAAATTTTGAAAATTTTTTTTCAAAATTTTTTTTCAGAGAAAAAATAGATGAATTTTTCAAAACTCTAGAAGAACTTCAAAATGAGATTGCCGAGAAAAATGAGCTCGAAAAACACATTGAAAATTGCGAGAAAATGAGCAAAGATTTGGAGGCGGAAAGAAAATCGCATGCGGAAGAGTTGCGGCAAATCAATCAGGATATCAATATTTTAGAGGATATTTCGAAAAGTTTGCGAGGAGAAATTGAAACTTCAAAACTCAAAATTTCGAAATCGTTGAGAGTTGTAAAAAATGCGCGGGAAAATTTGAATTCGGATTTGAAAAATTTGAATTTTGAGCAGGAGGACGTGTATTTTGAGCCAACTCAAGAGGAAATCAAATATGAACCGTTAGTTTTAGTTTTTTCCACAGAAAATTTTTGTAGTTCTCGCGGACAGGCAAAATTTTCCTCACCCGAATATTTCCAACCGAAGTTTTGGTAAGGAAAAAATCACTCTGCTTCTCTGCCTCTCTTCATCAAATTTTCCATACCAAAATTTGGATAGGAAAATGTTCGTTGTGGAAAAAATTCGCTTCTCCGCGAGAACTACAAATTTTGGAGTGGAAAATTTGAATGATTTTTTGCAGAAAACTTCTACCATTCTCATTCCCCTCATTTTTGACCTCAATTTTTCCGTCTATTCCACCGCCACAAATTAGTCCAATCACACCTAACAATTTGGTGAATCGCCACAGATTACCACCACAATTTGTAGAGGCCAGCAAAATGAAGGTAGGATTTTTAAATTTTCAAAAAACATTTTGACCCCTTAAAAGCAATTTTTCAGATCTGCGAGAATTGCGGAGCAAAAATCCACAGAAATGCTCCAACTTGTCCAATGTGCAAAACCAAAACGAAATCCAAAAATCCGAAGAGAAAACGAAAAACCAATGATCAATTTCAATTGTAGAATGAAGATTTAAAAAAAATTGATTCAAAATTCGTTTTGCCAAAAAATAAACCAAAAATTCGGAATTAGCGCGAAATTTTGATCTAGGAGAGACTTTTTTAGGTTTTTTTGGTGTGGAAAAAATGGATTGTCCGCGAGAACTACAAAAGTTGGTTTGGAAAAAGAAATGCAATATTTATTGATAAGAAATACGATAAAGCTTATAGCCTCCTTCTATGTATTCATCACATTTTGCAAGCCAAGTTTTTGCGAGTCTGTTGTTCTCATAAAATTTGATTTCCAGGAGCCCGTTAGGTCTGAATTTTGCGATGCAAGTCTCCCAATAAATATCCCATTCTGATTTCGACTTGTTAGAAAATCCTTTGTAATCTGCTGTAAATTTTTCAGTTTCATCTGAACTCATGAAGTTGATCAATCGTATTAAGTCATCTGAAAACAAAATACATGATTTGAAATTGCTAAAAATTAAAATAGGAACCTTTATTATATCTGATTGTTCCATTGGGAAAATATTCTTGAAACTCATCATGGACAATATCAGAATCTCGCAACATCGCGTGTTTGGTATATGAGATTATGAATCTTTCGGCTGCTTTTCGTGCATCAGAACTTGCGGAAACCAAGAAGAACAACGAGAAAAGTATCAATATTTTCATGATTGATAAATTCAACAAAATGTGTTTTGTTTTTATACATCTTGCAAACTCATAAAATTAATTGAGGAATCTCATTATCAATCAAAATATCGAATGCGATTTCTCAATTAATTTTACGAGTTTCTGCAGAATTTAGCTTGCGGTTTCTTTTTTCCACACCAAAAATTCGTGTGGAAAAAGACAATTTGCAAAATTACCATTGTCAATTAGAATATTTCGTCACAATCGAATACAATTCTTCAATTAAATTAATGAGATGTTTGAGTTATATAAAAACAAAACACATTTCTCTCAAATTCAATCAAATCATGAAAATATTGATATTTTTTTCATTGTTCCTCTTGGTTTCTTCAAAACCATTTGCACAACAAGAAGCTCAGAAGTTTATAATCTCATTAATGAAACATCGAATGTTGCGAGATCCAGAAATTCTTTACCAAGATTTTGAATTCCATTTACCAAATGGCACAATTGTACATCGAGGTTATTTTTTTATTTAGTTCTTTTAACATGAGCAATGTCAATCTCGTATTCAGATGAAAGTTCACGAATCATAAGCCAATTGGATGAAAATGAAGTTAAAAAAAAGGAAAATCCTTATAAAAAATTTGTGAACCTCTCCGAAGAAGATTGGGATGTTTTATACTGGCCAATTCATAATGCAAATATCACATTAGATGGGATTTTGGAAATCGAAGAATATGAGAACAACACATTAACAAAAACATGGTTCGCAAAAAAAGATGAAAAAATAGGAGAAGGATATAAATTGTATCGCTACTTTAAATTATAGCTGTTTTCTATTCAAAGGGGGCTTCATTCAATTTTGAGATTTTATGTTTTACCTCTCATTTTTAAAAATTATCTTGTGTATTTATCTTTTTCACGTCAATGCTTTTCACAGAAAACGCTAAATTTCAATTTCGATTTGTTCCGCACAAAAAACTCCCGGATTCCCATCATTATTCAGAAATTTTGGTCAGATTTGGATGTATTTCTCATAGCAATTTTCTGTAATGATAAGATGTTCATATAAAAACAAAACACATTTTGTTTATTTCATCAATCATGAAAATATTCATATTCTTTTCGATTTTCATTGTCGTTTCTTCAACTTCGTATACACAACAAGAAGCTCAAAACTATTTCGTTTCAACACGAAAACATTTCATGTTGCGAGATCCAGATATTGTTCATGATGACGTTGAATTGCATTATGCAAATGGAACAATTCGTTATAAAGGTTTTTTCATTGAAATTGTTTCTGCTCTTTTAATCGAACTATGTTTTCAGACTATGAAATAAACTTAATAAAATCATTCAGTTCAGAGCGAGTTAAGCGATATGAAAATTACTATAAAGAACTGGTCAAATACTCGGCAGCTGAATGGTCTACATTCTGGGATACTAACATTGCGAAATTCAGACCAGATGGACTTCTCGAATTAAAAATGTATGAGAACAATAGATTGAAGTATGTTTACATTGGAAAACAAGATCCATACATTGAAGGAGGATATATGTTATATCGCTACATTGAGTATTAACTGTTTTCTATTTAATAAAGGGTTGCAGCCGATTTTCAATTCCGCAAATGTTTCATAGCTACGGCTATGTTGATTTTTGCATGTACCAGGAACGCGTGCGTGTTTTGAAACATCTTTCCCGTTGTTCTTCTTGGTTTCTAATATAGGGAACCTTTATGATATCTGATTGTTCCATTGGGAAAATATTCTTGAAACTCATCATGGAGAATATCAGAATCTCCCAACATCACGTGTTTGTTATATGAGATTATGAATCTTTCGGCTGCTTTTCGTGCATCAGAACTTGCAGAAACCAAGAAGAACAACGAGAAAAGTATCAATATTTTCATGATTGATAAATTCAACAAAATGTGTTTTGTTTTTATACATCTTGCAAACTCATAAAATTAATTGAGGAATCTTATTATCAATCAAAATATCGAATACGATTTCCCAATTGATTTTACGAATTTCTATCAGAAATCATCTCTGTGCATGTGAAATTACGAAAAAAACCTAGATTTCTATGTTTTCCCGAAAAAAACAAAAAAAAAACAAACAAAACGAAAAAAAACGAAAAAAAAGAAAACAACGATACTCCGCAATCCCGCTTGCATTTTCCCGGCTTTTTTTCATTTTCTTTTTTTTTCGGGCGTTTTCTCGAGGGTTTCGGGGAATTTTGCTTACTTTAGACTTTAAGTTTGTTGATAAAAAGCTGAAAATTAGAGTTTTACGTTGAATTTCAATGTTTTTTCAGAGAGAATGGTGATTTTTGGCGTTTCGCAGCAGTTTTTCATGGATTTTGGACGATTGGCTCAAATTTTTGATGATGTGAGTTTTATTTTTATCAAAAATAGATTTTAAACTTGATTTTCGACTCGAAAATTCTCTGGAAGTTGTAGTTTTATCAAAAATGCTGAAAATTTCAAATTTTGCTGAAAAATTAAAATTTTTACTTAGAGGTTTTACTTAGATTTTTACTTAGGCCTTAGAAGCCCAAGAAGCCTAAAATTTTTAATTTTTAGCCCTGAAAAGCTTATGAAGGGCCTTAGAAGGCCTACAAAGGGTAACAAGCCGAGAAAAGCCTGAAAAACCTCAGAGAATGCCTTAGAAGGCCTGGGAAAGCCTAACAAACCTATGAAGGGTTCTAGATAGCCTATGAAGGTTGATTAGTTTAAAAAAAGCCGGAAAAGCCGTAGAAGGCCTCAGAAGCCTAAGATTTAGAATTTTAAGCCCTGGAAAGCCTATGAAGGGCCCTAGAAGGCCTATAGAGGGTAAAAGCCTAAAACCCCTTAGCCTAAGAAGCTCTAAAGACCTGAACCTAAGAAGCAAATTAATTTTGCCAGGTCATAACTTCATTTCACACATCACAAAAATCAATAATAAATAAAAAATCGATAAAACTTATATCCCCCTTCAATTGTTGCATCAGGCTTTGCCACAATTTTTGTCTGCAAAACTTGGTGCTTATTTCTTTCAATTTCAAGACTTTGATCTTTTCCAAATCTTGCGACATGATGTTGATGTTTCCACATAGAATCAGTATCTTCAATTGTAGCCTGACTGAATTTTTTGGTCAGATTTTGATGGTGTTCAATTTGATGAGCGTTTAGATTGTTGATGTAGTGCACGGTTTTTTCTACAAAAAAATTCCAGGTTAGCGGAACTTCGCGGCCTTCCGCAAGCTAACCTCTCGAAGCAGTTGTCCCATTTTTCCATACCGCTTCAAACTCTGCGTGCAGAATACTTGAATCATGAAGTGAATACAGCTTGTGAAGTGCGGTTAGAAAATTCAGAGCTTCTCTACGTGGATTTGGGGGATCTGAGAAGACAAGTTGGCAAAAAACAAGGAACAATATCAATGTTCTCATGATTTGATATGAAATGCTGTGCAGAAATGTGATTTTATGTGGTTTTTATAGAATTTAATTGTACATAATGTTAATCTGATTTCCAAGAAATATTATTTTCACTGCAACGGGAGAGGAGAAAGTTAAAATTATCATTAGTTTTCCATACCAAAAAAATCGCGTTGAAAATAAGAAGCCAAATTTCCAGCCGAATTTTTGGTATGGAAAAAATGGATTGTCCGCGAGAACTACACATTTTGATAATAGGGCCTAATTTCTTATAAATTATTTGAATACTTTTAACCCGATTTTGGAAACCTATTACATGTATGTTTTCAGAAGGATGAAGTGATAAATGGATATGAAGCAAGAAACAAAAGATTGAACGCTGATTTCAAAGAACAATTGGATGTTGATTGTTCAATCTGAGTTGTGTCAAAAAGATGTAATGATTGCTGAATTAACGAGAGAAGTTAGAAATTTGAGGAGTCGTGTTCGAGTAAGTTAAAATTTGGCGGCAAAGCTCTTACCAAAAAATCCAGTTTATTTTTTCAAATAGATAAACCACATGTCATTATAACATTTTCATTTTATAGTTGAATGAAGAAGATATTCATGAACTTGAATCGAGGATGAGTGCTAGAAGACAATCAGATGCAGGCAAGATTTTTGAATTGGAGCGCTTGGCACATGTCAACAAAAAAAGAAATTGCCTCGTTGAAAAATGAAGTTAAAAGCCTTCAAACATTGGTCAAATCATCGGAAGAAAATGAAGAAAGACTGCAAGGAAATCGAAATTCACCACAAATGCAATTGGAAACCATGGAGAAGAGTTTGGTAAGTTAACTTGAAATTTGAATAGTTTTAAAGCATCTTATGTTATAGATAGTATTTGTCGCAAAGTTAAAGGCTTCCCAAAACTAGTAAAGCCTCCAAGGGATTTTTTCTAAAAAAAAAATCCTCTGGAGCTTTTACTATTCAAAGGGGGTCCGCACAGCGAAAAAAAATTATTTTTTCTGTTTCCGTGTGGTACGGTGCGCAAAACAGAAAGTGTTTGCACACAAAAAGGAAAAAAACAAAAAACAAAAGGGGAGAACACACAAAAACCGTGCGCACATGCAATAATATTGCAGAAAGACGCTGCCAGGGGTTGCGTGTGGAAAACTCCGCCTATTTTTTTTTTGAATTTCCGCAACGAATTTTTTGTGTACAAAAAAATAATTTTTTTCGCTGTGGTCCGATCTTTTGAGCAAATAGAATTTTGTGTCTTATCCCCCTTTAATCATGAAAATCACCCAAATCTCTTGTTTTTCTAGGTTGAAAAGCCGTTTCCGGAAGCAAAAGATCAGCCATGCGGAAACCTCGGTGTCGACACGAGAGAGATGTAGAAATCTCAACAGTGATGCAGCTTCAAGTCAATCAGTTTTGGCACCTTTTTCTTCAGAACATGAAGCGAATTCTGTATCAAATAATAGTAATGTTGTTTTTGAAAGAGTTGGGAATGGAGACGAAGGTGCAACAAGTTTGGGATTCGAAGCGGAAGAGCAGGTAGGCAATTTTTCTGAATTAAAAATTGAGTTAAAACAAGTTTTTACTTTTTGCAGATTGAAAAACACGAATTGCATCGGGCCAAATCGAAATCTAAGGCATCGGAACAAAAGATTGAATGTAATGCATTCAATATTCGAAAAATTGCAATGAAAAAGAAACCGAAAGAAGGAGAATTGGATAAGCGAGCAAATAAAATCGATGAAATCCAACTTGATGACAAAGAAACTGAATCGAATGAAAATCCGTCAACTTCTCAGGAAAATGAAAGACGCCGACAAAATGATTTTCCAGTTTGAAGAAAAACATCTGCACCAAAATTGGATCAACAAAATGGAAATGGTTCTGGAAACGATGCAAATTTGGCAATGGATAATGAAGAAAAAGAAACCAATAATGGAATGACGGAAGAATTGAGAAACGAATGGGCGAACAATTGGAAAGAATTGAAAGGTATGTTTTTTCTGGTATTTCTCTTTACCAATGCAACCATTCTAACGGTTAATCAATTATGAAACCAAACATTTTTTGATAATCGTCAAGAAATACTTGAAAATCATAAAATCACAAATATCCCCTTGAACAGAAACAAAAGTTTTGTTGATCAGAATATTCACATTTTTCTACACATTGTTCCTTATTAATCAAAGTTTTTTACAGAAAACGAAGAATTCGCGGACATTTTCACAACCAACGAAAAAGATGTTATATCGGAAAATTTTGAGACCACGCCCACTGTGTGAAAGTGGAAAATTGATGAATTTATATACTCAACTACAAAGAAGTGGTTTCGAGCACTGTTCGGTAAGTTAACATTGTTTCATAATTATTTAATATCTCATTTTGTTTCAGTGGAAATGTTCCAAACACGCCAAAGCACAAATAACAACAAGAAGTGGAAGTATCTTCCATGGTTTGAGTCTTGGATGCTCAATGAAAGAATTATTCCGGCTACTTGGAATGTACTCACTCATCTGGGTCAGTTTTTATTTATTGCCTATGTGAAATGAAAGGAAAAGTCGGAGAGTTTCACGAAAAAAGGATTTTTCATAATCCGAAAAATTATAGGCGTCCCTCAGAAATATTTTTTTTTAAAAAAAGGGGGGGGGTAAGACGACAAAATTTTTTTGCTCAAAAGATCGGGCTCCTTTTGAATAGTAAAAGCCCCATGGGATTTTTTCTCAAATAGTTGATAAATCACGTGTAAATGGCGAATTTCCGATTTTCCGTGTGTCATCTTTTCGGCCTAACTCTTTCTTTTGTGAGTTGATTAATTTTCAGATTTGACATCGATGCAATCGCTGGTTATTATGGAATTACCCGTGAACGTGTGGAAGGATTTATCGATCGATTTGTCGGTCCTGATTTCGAGTGAGTGAAACAGTTTTAAAAATTTAAAAAGCTTACTGAATTACAGAAATCGGCAACAACCATGGTTAACCACAGGAAAAGTTCCAAACAATTTTATTTTTAGATCATTTGAAAAAGAATCTCATCAAAATTTGAGTTTGCCTTTTTTTTGAAAATATTTTTTTGAATGTTTTTTTGTTCTGTATAATAAATAATATTGATTGAATGTTTAGCAATATATAATTTTGAAACTAAAATAACATTGCTCACATTAAACCCTTTATTCACTTATTCCTCAAAAAACCCTGGAAACTTCTCCAAAATCTCGCCCTTCTTCCAATAAGATGCCTGAGTTCCTCTGCGAGTTACCGAAAGTGCAGCCAATTTTGCAGCACACCGTGTAGCTCTCTCAACATTCTCCAAATTTCCATCTAAACTGAGCAATGCAGCCAGTGAGCCGCAAAAACAATCACCAGCTCCAGTTGTATCAATAGCTTCAACTTTTTGAACTGGAATTAATTTCAGATCAGGCTTGGAGTTCAGGGTTTGAGCTAGAAGAACTCCTTTAGCTCCAAGGGTTATAATTGCAATTTGTGGTCCCATTTCAAGCATCTTCCGCGCGGCATTTTCCGCGTCCTCCAAAGTTGTCTGCGGAATTCCGGTGATAAATTCCGCCTCATTTTCATTGGTGCATACAATATCAGTCAGACTCAATATCGATTTATCCATTTTTGCATCGCCAGGGGCCGGGTTCAGGAATGTTTTGGCACCATTTCCGCGTGCGATTTCGAACGCGCGGCGATTTGCCGCTTCCGGAATCTCGCCTTGACATAGGACGAGGTGTGAGTTGGCTAGAAGACTGTGCGATTTATCAGCGAATTCTGGGAGCAGGTCGAGATTAGCGCCCAAGGTGACTACGATCGAGTTTTCGGCTGGAAAATAGGAAGTTAGAATCAGACAGCTAGAGAAGGTCGGAGGTTAGAGACGCAGAGAAATTAGAGATACGAAATTATGACGTGGTAAATTTGTAAACCGAGCGCTCACGCCGTCTTTAACCTCATCTCTAGTTTCACTAGCCTTTCCTCCAACTCCTCTGCATCTCTAACCTCTCTAGTTTCTCTAGCTGTCTGACTATAACTTCAGAAAGAGTTAAGGAATTTTTCACGTCATAACTCTGTTTGCCTAATCTATCTCCGTCTAGCTTCTCTAACTCTAGCTTCTTCTCCAAATCCTCTGCATCTCTAACTATATATAGGAGGTTAGAGACGCAGAGGAATTCTAGGTACATAGAGTAAGAGAACCTGAACGGAGAGAGATTAGGCAAACAGAGTATGACCTGAAAAATTTCTCAAATCTTTCTGAAGTTATAGTCAGACAGCTAGAAAAGATTAGAAGTTAGAGATGCAGAGGAGTTAGAGGAAAGGCTAGAGAAACTAGAGATGAGGATAAAAACGCAGAGAAACAGAGTTATGACTAATGAACTTATAAGTTAGAGACGTAGAGGAATTCTAGAGACATCCTCACCTTCTTGATTCACAGTAATCGTGGCAGTTGCCGTATGTTTCTCCTGACTTCTTCCAACTCCACTCGTATCCACTCCATTTTGCCTCAAACTCTCAATATTCGAATCACCGAACATATCCTTGCCAACCATTCCAATCATTGTTACATTTGCACCTAGTCTTGCCGCAGCCACCGCTTGATTCGCGCCTTTTCCGCCGGCTCCTGCGTGGAACGCGGAACCGCGCACCGATTCTCCCGGACGCGGAAATCTCTCCGTGTAGCTGAAAAAAAGGCAATTTATGAAAAAAAAATTTCCAGCCAAAAATTTCCACCACTTACCTGATCAAATCCTGAACAATGCTGCCAAAAATCACCACATTTTTCGACATTTTCGGTCAAAAATCGCGAAAATGAAACGAAAACGAGACAGAAAGTGAGAGACGAAGAGACGCAGAGAAACAAAAAATGACTGTTTTTTTTGTAGAGAGAAAAATGATAAGATGGTCAAAAAGATTAGGAGAAACACGCTGCACTGCCTCCCCAAATCTACGTGTGTGTGGAAAAACGAAAAATGTCTGGCACGCTCTCGCAAACACACACTCTCTCGCACACAACTTTTTACTTTTATTTCGCGAAAACAGTGCATATTAGGAGCTGATTTTTATGTGTTTTTCATCAGAACCACAATATGTGTTATACATAGTTCGAGAGAGAATTTCTTCAGCTACAAACACATATGAAATGTTATAAATGAAACCGAGATAAAAAAATAAAAATTTCATGCAAACATGACATGGTTTTTTTGAATTGTGTGAAAAACGCATGTGTTTTTTGATGACCTGGCTTATTTTTTGAATATAGAATATAAGTATAAGCGGGTCGTAGTTTTGTGCAGAATCTCAAGGGCTTTCAGATGATGTAAATCAATATTTATGAAATTGTGAAATCATGGAGGAGTAGGGATTTTTCGTTTGTCAATTTTTAAAACGAAATTTTCATTTTCATTTGAAAGGAACTCGAATGAAGTTTACATACGTTTTGAAGAGAATTTCTCGGGCTTCAAAATCATATATATTTCTATACACAAAAATGGAAATTGAAAGCACCGCTTTCGGTTGAAAACTTGTTGGGTTTGCACCAAACAAACAAACCGCGTTCAGTAGCGTTGCGAAAAACAGCGATGAGTTTTCAACCGAAAGCGGTGCTTTCAATTTCCATTTTTGTGTATAGAAATATATATGATTTTGAAGCCCGAGAAATTCTCTTCAAAACGTATGTAAACTTCATTCGAGTTCCTTTCAAATGAAAATGAAAATTTCGTTTTAAAAATTGACAAACGAAAAATCCCTACTCCTCCATGATTTCACAATTTCATAAAAATTGATATACATCATCTGAAAGCCCTTGAGATTCTGAACAAAACTACGACTCGCTTATACTTATATTCGATATTCAAAAAATAAGCCAGGTCATCAAAAAACACATGCGTTTTTCACACAATTCAAAAAAACCATGTCATGTTTGCATGAAATTTTTATTTTTTTATCTCGGTTTCATTTATAACATTTCATATGTGTTTGTAGCTGAAGAAATTCTCTCTCGAACTATGTATAACACATATTGTGGTTCTGATGAAAAACACATAAAAATCAGCTCCTAATATGCACTGTTTTCGCGAAATAAAAGTAAAAAGTTGTGTGCGAGAGAGTGTGTGTTTGCGAGAGCGTGCCAGACATTTTTCGTTTTTCCACACACACGTAGCTTTGGGGAGGCAGTGCGCTGCGAAAAAATAAATTTTTCAAAAAAAAAATTTCCTCACCAAAATGTGTAGTTCTCGCGGAGAAGCGAGGAATTTTCCATACTAAAATTTGGGTTGGAAAAATTTCCTCTGCTTCTCTGGCAATTTTTCCAGCCCAAATTTTGGTATGGAAAATAATACAGTTAAATATTCGTTCGCTGTGGTTCATTCGAAAAATATCATAACATTGCTTATATTAGAGCTTTTTGAAAAATTCGAAAACCAAGACATTGCTCAGGTCAACCTTAGACTCGTAAAATATATGTTTTTTTTTATTTGTGTAAAATGAAAAAAAGCAACTTTGTTTATTTTTCAAAATTTGCGCAAATTTTCAGATTAGGTTCAGTAAAAGTTCCTCAAAACGGAAAAGTTTCTGCAATCTTTTCACAAGTTTCAGCCGAATTTTTAGTCGAATTTCTGATCAATTCCAAAATTTGAGGGAAGAATTGTCCGACAAAAAGCGAGCAAACTCCATCCAATTTTGGTAGAATTTTGCAGAGCCGTTTCTGAAAAAAGGGTAGATAATTTTTGTGTTAAAAATGGTCACCTACTTCGAGGAATTCCTCGATTTCTGGGGCGTTTTCATCATTTTCCAAGTATTTTTGAGCTTCTTCAACTGCAACCAAACAGTCCTTTTCGAGCTAGAAATAGATTTGTGAAACCAAAATCAAATGTTGAAAATCTCACCCCATTTGCAGCTACTGTAGAAACAGCAAAAAGAGCACAGATGAGCAAAATGAGCAATTTCATTTTGAGCAGAAATTGATAGTTTCATTTTCAAAGGGCCTTTTTGTACCCAAATATTTATCTGAAAATGTTCAAACATCACCTAGATTTTGCTGAAAATTTTAATAACCCTCATAAAGATAATAATATTTGCTGAAAATTTTATGGTTACTTGAAAACATTAAAAAGTTAGATATTACTGGAATGGAGGAGTTTCAGTAAGATTATTTCTTGTATAAAAAGAGGTGAGCTGATTAGTAGAACAGTTAATCATGAGACCTGTACTTCTGATTTTGTTGTTGATTTTGGCTATACATGCAAAGGCTGTTGAGAGGGTGGTTAGTTATTTTTGTAATTAATTCTTTGAAAACAGTTTTTTTCAGGGTGTTGCTTGTGGCATATGTTCTACGGTGATAGACACTATAAGAAAACAAATTCCCAGTGGTGGGCTTGATGTTATGAAAGAGCTTGTGGTTGGTAGAAAAAGAAACATATAAAACATATTTGAAATAAAAATGTTTGCAGAATATGTGCGAAAAGTTCTCAAACGTATTTTCTCCCGAGTTTGGTGATGACTGCAAAAAATACGTTGAAAAAAACATGAATATCATTATGCCATGGATTTTGAATCAAATGTCGTCTGAAAAAATCTGCAACGCTATAAAATCATGTTGAAAGTGAATGAATCATTAATTTTGAAATAAAGATTTGCAGAAAGGAAAATATATTTTTTGGTAAAAAGTTGAAGATCCTAAATTTTCCCTTATAATTTTGAAAATAATTTTGAAGCTAGTAATGTAATATAATTCATGTGGATTTTCGTTAGGCTTGAAAATTGGAATTTCTCGAGCTGTAAAGGTTGTGTTACAGTATCCTCTCAATTTAATAATTCAAAGATTTTTTGCATTAAAATTTTTTTAAATTGATTTTTCCAACAAAAATTTTGGTTTGGAAAAAATGCAACTCCTCCTCGAGAACTACAAATTTTAGTATGGAAAAATTGTTTCTAGACCAAAATTTCACGTGGATTTCAAAAATCGCACTTTCATTTTCTGAATTTTAATCCTCAGGCTTCAGTTCAAAATCATTATCAGAAAATCTTGTAGAAAAAATGGACCACCTTCACTAAGCGTAGATGTTCACCCGGTGAGAATTTTCAATATTTGGGTCTCACCACGGTCGAACACCGACGTTCAGTGTGGGGTACTGTAGTGGCGGGAAAAAGTGACGCGCAGCGCCAAGCTGAATGTGTCTCTAGTCATATCGAGTTACGATGAGTCTGTATGACTAAGGAGAACATCCAGCTCGGAGAAGGCGGCGGGGATACTGTAGGTACAGTACACTTTTAGAGGGTACTGTAGGTAGGTACAGTAGTAAAATACAGTACACCTGGCCCTGGACAGCAAGTAGACTGTGATATGAGCTAATTTTTAATTTTCGACATAATCACAAGTCTCTTGGTGTCCAGGGCCAAGGTGTATACGGTAGTCGAATTTTTGGCGCCAAAATCTACAGTAGGCAGAATTTTGGGACCAAAAGGATAGTAGAGAGAATACTGTGAATATTCCAGGAATCCAGGCTCCCCTTATATACTCCGAAAAGGTGGGCGTGGCCTGTTCCCGGGGCGGGGATTTCAGGTGCCCGTGGGAATCCGGGGTGCCCGCGGGAAGTCAGGAATCTGGGAAGTCACCAGAAAATTTTCTGTGAATAAAAATATGCAGCAGGGAGAAAATAGAGACGCGCGCAAATAGAATAGATTGACCTGGTTTGGGAAGGCGAGAGGAGAGTGTGGGAGATGAAGAGAGTGGCAGACGGCGAGAGAGAGACGCCGGGCAAGCAGATGGTGTTGGCATATGGCCAAGGTTACTGTGTTTTTTGAATGGTAATTTTTATGTGAATTGAATACAATACAAAATACAATAGAGAAGAACATCAATAAAAATCAATAATTTAAAAGCTGAAATATTCCAGATTCAGATTTTCAGACAATTTGTTCGAGTTGTTTAGCGTAGAAAAGTGTTTGATTGGTGATTCTTTTGGTGTCCAAAATCAACGGTTTGTCTTGAGCAACTTCAACAGATTCGAAGAGGAAACTTTTGCCGTCGAGCTTCCATTTTCGCTGAAAATTTAGGAAATTTGGGAACGTTTTATTATCTTTTTGAAAATATTGTGTTAAATTTGATAAATTTTCATTTTTCAGTCGAATTTATGCTTAAAAACTATAATTTCTAGCAAAAATTTCCAATTTTTTTCCATAAAATTCTATACAAACATGGTAACTTCCCAAAAAACCACTAGAAAACATCTGTTTCATTGTTAGCCATATTTTTGTCACATCAAAAAATTGGGATGTTTTCGGGAAGTCAAAAGTTTGTAGATTTTTCAACATAGAATGTTGAAAACCCAATTTCCATACCAAAAATTGTAGTTCTCGAGGAGAAGCGCTTTTTTCCACTCCAATTTTGGGTTGGAAAAATCATTGCAGAAATTTTTTCCATACGAAAAATTGGGCTGGAAATTTTTAATGTGGAACGTTCTTCGCGAGAACTACAAAACTTGGTATGGAAAACAAAGGAAAACCTAAATTTCGCACTGATTTCAAAAAAGGTGCAATTTTTCAGCGAAAATTTCATATTTTTCCAAATTTTCTCGTTCAAAACCTACCGCATTGGTAAACGCAATCAATTGTTGTTCATTATCAAAAAGCAACATAACAGCCGCATCTTTGGCACTCAAAACTTTGAACGATTTCTCGATGCTTGAGGCAATCTCATTTCTCACCGTATCCAACATAATTCTCACGAAAACCAAATAAAACGGGCTCGGAATATTCTTCTCGGTCAAAACCACTTTGTTATAAGCGCCCTCCATTAAACTTTGCTCAATTTTCACCGGTGTTGAGATGTATGGATTAGAGGTTTGATCTTTTTGTGGAACTTGTTCAAGGAGCATGTGGAAGTCGCTGAGACGATTGCGAGCCAATAAAAACATCAAATGAAGACCGGTCATCAAAAATTGATTGGAATTGAGCTCTGGAATCATTGTGTAGAAGGTGTGAACTTGGTTGATCGCATCATCGAATTCCTCTAAGTCATTCTTCAAAATCGCGAGAAGTGCAGTGATTTCATAAAGATCTTTGGATGCTCCAGCAGCTTGAGCCTCATTTAAACTTCCATCGGTAGCCAAAGCTGCCTGAAATCCAAATTTTCTTTGAATATGATGATAAACCTTTTTACTCACGGATAAATCATTCACAGCCTTTTGAATAGCTTGAATATCCTTTGGCTCCTTTGCCCATAATGCCAACAATCCTTTGTGTGCTGCTGCTGCCATTTTCTCGCTGAAAATCGACTTGAAATGAGGGAAACGCGATGAAAAAAAAAATAAATTCAAAAATAACCCTCGTAAATCGACACATAATGATGACAATTCGCCGGAGTCTCGGCGCGAACAACGTGCGCCTTTGAAGAATTGGCTCGTTGCCAATTTATTTTTGTTTTTTCGCTGGCCGTTCGCAACTCATTTTTCGGGTTTTTTGAGGTTTTTTGAGGGTTTCTGAGGTTTTTTGGGGTTTCTAGTGGTTCTTAACAGCATTTAGAAAGGTTTATTTAGCTTGGGAAGGGCTTGGTTACCCTGGAAACCATGAAAAATCATGGTTTTTCGAAAAATGATGACTTTTTAGAACTTTATGAAATTCTGAGTTTTAGGGAAGTTTTGGAGGATTTTTAGAGCCCAATTAGATGCGTGTTTTACTATAACAAGAACCAGGTTCACCTGAAAACTTAGAAAAATCATCGTTTTTTGGAAAATGACGATATTTCCGTATATTTGGAAATTTTACGTTTTAGAAGGATTTTTCAACATTGTCAAGAGCTTTTTTTGATAAAAAGAGCTCTGGTTTATTTTAAAAATTTCGAAATCTCATCAATTGATGAAAAATGATGATTTTTCATAATATTTCGAAATTCAAAGTTTCTAGACGTTTTTTTAAATTTTGTAATCGCTTTTTTATCATTTTCCTCAATGAATCCCAATTTTCCAGCCAAAAAATGCCAGTCAACGTCTCGTTTAAAACTCTCACACAAAGCACATTTAATTTGGAACTCGACGAAAATCAATCAGTCGCCGAAGTCAAGGCAAAAATCGCAGAACGCGGTGATGAATTCGCAGTCGATCTTCAAAAATTGATCTACAATGGTAAAATCCTCGATGATAGCCAGAAAGTATCAGACATCGGATTCGAGTCGACGAAATTTGTTGTAGTTATGTTAACTCGCAGAAAAGTGCCAGTTCCAGAGCCAACTGCAGAAGTGCCAAAAGAAGTTCCAGCAACAACTCAAGCTGCACCAGCTCCAGCGCCAGTTCAAATTCCAACAACTCAACAACCAGCAGCTGCAGCTCAACAAGCTCCAGCTGAAAATCTGACCGCTGAACAGGAACAATCAATTGAAGCGATTGCTGGAATGGGATATCCAAGAGATCAAGTTCAAGCAGCACTTCGCGCAGCTTATTGGAATGCTGACAGAGCTGTCGAATTCCTTTTGACTGGAATTCCTGAAGTCGCTGCTGATGAAGCTGCAGTTTTACCACAAGATGATGGAGATGATGATGATTTATTGGAAGGACCTGGAGATTTGGCAGCTTTGGCTAATATTCCACATCTTGATGAGATTCGTGCGATGGTGCAGAGAAATCCAGAAATGTTGGGATCGATTTTGCAACAATTGGCCGCGGTTAATCCGGATTTGGTTCAGGCGATTCAGGGAAATCAACAAGGATTTATTGATATTTTGAATGCCGCTCCAGTGAGTTTTTGACTTTTTTGTCTTAAAATCTGCAAAAAATCATCGATTTTCCTTCCAAAATTGAGGAAAAATTGATTTTCTGCGTTTTTTCCACTCCAAAATTTGTAGCTTTCGAAGAGAAGATGATTTTTCCTACCGAATTTTTGGTATGGAAAAAATCCCTCTGGCATTTTTTCTATACCAAAAATTGGTTGGGAAAATTCAGCTTCTCCGCGAGAACTACAATTTTTGGTATGGAAAATGAAAATAAGTTTTCCAATTCGAAATTTCGTGCGGAAAAAAGTGTCTAGACCAAAATTTCGAGACAAATTCAAAAATCACAATATTTTCAGACCGACGGCGGAGCTGCAGGCGGAAATGCTCCACAAGGAGGCGGACAACGTGCCAGAAATGAACACGTCATTCATTTGTCAGCCGAAGAATTGGCCGCCATCAATCGAATCAAATCAATGGGTTTCCAAGTTTCCGAACAAGTCATTGTTGAAGCCTATTTTGCGTGCGATAAAAACGAAGAAGCTGCCATCAATTTCATTTTGAGTAATATGGAAGAGCCATAACTTTGTTCCCTTTTCTCCTCGATTTTTTTGGAAATTTTTACCGGTTTTTTCCCGTTTTCCCCGATTTTCCCCGATGATTTTTAATTTATCTGCTTCCTGAATATTTATTGATATTTATACATACATAATTTCAACTCAACCAATTTTTACCATGATTTTTCTCCTTCCTTCATTGCTATCTATAAATGTTGAAGATTCACGGAATATCTGAATTTTGGCTGGAAAAAATTTCAGCAAAAAATCGGTTTCAGAATGAACGAGGAAGTGAAGCGGGAACAGGATGAAAGAGCTGAATATGTGAAGAATATTGGAATTGAATATCGATTTGGGTGCTATGAGGTGCGATTTTCAAGCTTTGTAAATGCGATTTTCAAAATCAGCGCAGAATTTTGATCTAGAAACATTTTTCAAACCAAGTTTTGTAGTTCTCGAGGACAAATCAATTTTCCAACCCAATTGGGTTGGAAAATTAACTTGTCCTCGAGAACTACACATTTTTTTTGGAAAATTGAAAAAACTTTCTAGATTGAAATTTCGCGCTGATTTCAACAAAATAGGTCTCCGGGCCAGAATTTCACGCTCTTTCTTGATTTTCACTCCTCAAAAAAAATCCCCCAATTTTTCCAGGAAAAACGTGCCGAATCATGTCAACTTCTCGGCGAATACATGGAAGCCCTCCAATCGAATTTCAAAGCCGCTTTTCAAGTTTTCAAGAAAAATTGCGAGGAAAAAGAATATCCGAAAAGTTGCTTCAAATATGGAATGTATTTATTATCTGGAAAAGAATGTGAACCGAGTTTGAAGCAAATGAATAAACCGATGAAAATTGCGTGTGATGCTGATATTAGACAGGGTTGTAGGTAGGATTTTTGAAATCAGCGCGAAAATTTGATCTAGAAACATTTTGTGAAAAATGATATCATTTAATTGGTGATTCGAAATTAGCAAGAAGACCAAAGCGCAAAAATGATATCATAGTAATTATTTGATTTTTTTCTACTCCAAGTTTTGTAGTTCTCGCGGACAAGCTTATTTTTTTTTATTTTCCATACCAAAAATTGGGCTGGAAAATTTCAATGCATTTTTTTTCCAACCCATTGTTTTGGTATGGAAAATTCGCTTATCCTCGAGAACTACAAAACTAGGTATGGAAAAATGGTTATAGCCTTACTTGTTGCGCAGGATTTGAAAATAGTAATTTCAAGCCTTGTTTTCCTCTATTTTTTTTTTTGAAAAAAAACAACCTGAAATTAAAATTTGACTGAAAATTTGAAAATTTCCAGATATTTATCCTTGGTCTATTGGAATGGTGAAAAAGATCGAGCTGCAGACTCAAAATCCGCCGAAAAATATATGAAAAAAGCTTGTGAATTAGAAGACGGTGAAGCTTGTTGGCTTTTAAGCACTTGGTATATGGGAAATAAGGAAAAATTCAAAATGAAGGCGACTGGAGAGGCTAAGGTACTGTAATTTTCCCCCTAAAAACCATGTTTTTACTCAAAAATACGAAATTCTTCACATTTTTCAACCCTCTTTGGTTCTAAAGGCGATTAATTTTTGTGTGATGTAGATAAGACCCTTAAAAATGCGCTACGTCACGACCTACAGTACCCCATGCTCATTTTTTGTAGGAATTGGATCGTACTTCTCTTGGAGAACTTCAAAGGGATATGGCGAAATCGCTGGAATATGCCATAAAAGCTTGTGAAGCTGATATACCGCAAAGTTGTGCGAATGTTTCGAGGTGATTTTTGAATGCGGCGCGGCGCGGAATTTTCAGCCGCGAGGTTTTTTCCGCGACGAAATCGTTTTTTCCAAGATTTGGAGTTCTCGAGAACAAGCTTGTAAAATTTTCCAGCCCAAATTTTAGTATGGAAAAAATCACTCTGCTTCTCTGCGTCTCTTCTATGATTTTTTCCACACGAATTATTTTTTTTTATAAAATAGCTTCTCCTCGAGAACTACACATTTCGATGTGGAAACAACTGTCTAGACCAGAATTTTGCGCTGATTTCGAAAATCATCTCAAAAATTATCGATTTTTGCAGAATGTATCGATTAGGTGATGGAATTCCAAAAGATCTCGACAAGGCGAAATATTTTGCCGAAAAAGCCAAAGAAATTATGGATGTTATGAAATCGAAAGACACGTCGGCTGGTTTTACAGCATAGGTTTTCAGGTTACTGTAGGTTTTTGTTAATTAGAAAATAATTATAAACTTTATAATAAAAATTTATTTGAAAAAAGGCATGAGATCAAAAAATCACAAAGTGAGATCAAAAAGTGACAAGAAAAATCAGAGAATTTTATAATTTAGTAAATTTCAACCCCGCAAAAATTAGAGCCCATGAGAAATTGGGAAAAATAGCGAATTGCCACGTGGCACCGCAATACTAACATGTGGTAAAATCCATTTTGGAGCAGTTGAGGCGAGTTGAATTGGAAGAGTTCCGCGAATGTTTTTGTGAAGGAATTTCTGAAAATTGGGCTGGTTTTGAGGGGAAATTAGTGGGATTTTTGAAATCTACACGGAATTTTGACCCGGGGGCTTTTTTCTGAAGAAAAAATCTTGGAAATTTTCCATACCAACATTTGTAGTTCTCGAGGACAAGCCTTATTTTCCATACCAAAAATTTCCAACCCAAATGTTTCGCTTCTCCGCGAGAACTACAAAACTTGGTGTTGAAAATCTGTCTAGATCAAAATTTTGCGCTGATTTCAGCAAAATAGGTTTCCCGGTCAGAATTTCGCGCTCTTTTCGAATTTTCACACTAGAAACTATCTAAACCCTGTGCTCACCTCTAATTTAGCCTTCGAAAATTCAAAACCAATATCAGGTTGATTCAAAACTTCGTATTTTGCACTCCACATTAATTCTCCCTCCAAATTATGACGCCAAATTCGAATATCTCGAAGCCTAGCTTCAATTTTGGTCGATTTCTTCAAATTTCCCTCCAAAGTTGAAACTACAGTAGTAAATACCGTAGTTAGCCTAACTTCTTGAGAATTTTCCATAATGTCGATTTTTGGCTCGTTTGCCAATGTCGATTTGGCCCCTGGCCAATGGATTACTGTATTCGCAAATTTGTACAGTTTCGAGAGCTCGGAATTGATAAAATCCCGTGAAATCTCAATATTTTCCTCGTCATTTTGACCAATAAACCGTATCCTGACGAAATGCGCGGATTTTCGGCTACCATTTGAAATATCCAAAAATTTTAGGGAATTCTTGATCTTCTCAATCTCGCTACAGTAATTCTTCTGAATTTTTTCGCGCAAATGTTGCCAAATAAAATCTGGTAATGGATCTGGCAGAGTTTCGGAGCTGTTTTTGGACAACACGTGGATTTCGATTTGACACGTGTCTTCTGCTGGATTCTGGATTGCTGAATATTGAGCCTGGAATTCAATGGTCCCATATCGTTCGGTTTTGTAGGCTAGAAAATATTGAGTGGATATCAGGATTTGGTTCTTAGAATTTGGCTGGATTTTTGTGTTGTAGAGTAGAATATCCATTTTATTCATGAATTCTGCTGTCACATTTTCATTGAAAGCACTTAGAATTGTAGCTGGAGACAGGTTATAAATCACTGGAAAATCTTGTTTTTCAGAAGCTTCTGCCACGTGTAATATGAGCAATGATAGGAATATTAAGAGGAGCATTTTAAGTCCTGAAAAATTAGATTTTGAGGGGAAAAAACCAAGAGGACGAGCAAAACTACGGTGATTTTTGAGATCAGCGCAAAAAATTAAGCTAGAAACGTTTCCATACCAATTTTTTTTTTTAGTTCTCACGGACAAGCAAAAATTTCCATACCAAAAATTCGGCTGGAAAATTTTTGGTTTGGAAAATCAGTTGTCCGCGAGAACTTCAAAATTCGGTATGGAAAAAAAAGCAGCGAAAAATTGATTTCCTCCTCGAGAACTACAAAAAACACAGAAAATGTAGAGATTATATTCAAAGAAACCCTCTGATAACTCTCTCTAACCCCGCGAAAAAACTGATAAAAAATTTTTCGGAAAAAATAAGAAAAAATCGTGGGAGGAAAAAAGTGTTAGTCATATCTACAGTAGGAAAACTGCAAAAAAACTACAAAAATAATATGATTTTTCTTAAAATAAATTAAAAGGGAATGATAATATTAAACCAAATAAAAATGAAAATAAATAAATAGAAGACAAAACTGGGAGGAGCCTAATATTTTTAGGTACAAAAAGGGTTTGAACTTTGGAAGATCAACCAAAAAATGGAGAAAAATGATAAGATAGGCTAAATTGGGCAGCAAAAAATGATTTTTACGTCAAAAAACCAATCGGGTTATCTTTGGAAGTTCAGAGATGAACCGGAAATCTACAGTACCCCTGGAAAATGCGCGCAGAGAAGAAATCAAAAGAAGAAGAAAAAGAAATGATAAAGATTCAGCGAATTCTATTTTTGATGACAAAAAAATGTTACTGTAGGGTTTTCATTGGTCTGAAAATAGTTAAAAATCTGAAAATTTCGGCATGATTTTATGTGGGAAAATTATGAAATTGACCTTGTGACATAGTTTTTGAACACGAAATGATATCATTTGAAAATTCGGTCCGAAATCGCTGCGAGACCAAAGCGCAAATGCAATAAATTGTTCATTTTCCATACCAAGTTTTGTAGTTCTCGAGGACAAGCGTATTTTTTCCATACTAAAAATTAGGCTGGAAAAATGCGTTGAAGAGACGCAAAGAAGCAGAGTGATTTTTAATTTTCCAGCCGAAATTTTGGTATGGAAAATTTAACGCTTGTCCTCAAGAACTACAAAACTCGGTGTCGCAAACAAGAAAAACGTTTCTAGATCAACATTTTGCGCTGATTTCAGAAAAATAGGTTTTCTCGTCAGAATTTCACGAATTTTCATTTTTCAACCTATTGAAAAATGAAAATTTTGCATCATTTTTAAAATAATGTAAATTTTGAAATTCAAAAATCAAAAAATTACTGGAAATTGCATCATTTAAAAAAATGCCGACAAATTCAGAAATTTTCAAATGTGCAAATGTTGCGAGCTTCTCCTCGAGAACTACACAACTTGGTATGGAAAAAATCAACAAAAAACTACAAAAATTTTCACTTTCAAAAATGATTGATCTCGAAAGTTTCTCTGAAAGTCACATTAAACTAAAACCAAGAAAAAAACTTGCAAACAAAAGGCTTCAAGTTTTTTTGCTGTAAACTTACAAAAATAGAAAAATGTACGAAAAAATGCCACGTGGCAAGACCAAAAAGAACAAAAAAATCGGAAGTTGATAAAAATGGTGGAGAGAGATCTTAAAAGATTGGTTAAAAATAGCATTTTTCTGCGCGAATTATCTCTGCGTCTCTTCAAAATCAACACTATCTAGTTGTGTGTCCAAAAAAGACACCGAAAAAAAGGAAAAATGATTTATTAGAAAAATTATCAGTGACAGGAAGAAAAACGCGAAAATGTCTCTCTTTTGTCGTTTTTGCGATTATAATCACTGCGTTTTGTCCAAATCTTCTCCCATTTTTTGACGACGCTGGAACGAAAAATTTAAAACAAAAAATGAATTCAGGAAAATTTTAGGGGAAAATGATTAGCGCCAATGTTTTCAGCTGGTCAGAAAACATAAGAATACCATTTTCCACAGCAAAATGTGTATTTCTCTCGGACAAGTAAATTTCCAAACCCATTTGGTATGGAAAAAACGCACTCTGCTTCTCTGCTAATTTTTCCATACCATTTGGGTCGAAAATTGTTGGTATGGAAAATAAGCCTTTTCCGGGAGAAATACAAAACTTGGTATGGAAAACGAAACATGAAAATTGGAAAAATCATGCGGTTTCTCGAATTTCATCATTGGAACGTGATTTTTCTATTTTTAAAAACTCGAGAAAATGAAAATTCAGAAAAAATGTCACGTTGTTTAAAAAACACTGAAAATTGTTTCTAGAATTCACTAGATACAAATTTTGGAGTGGAGGAAAAAGTCCCTGGGCCAAAATCCCACGTAGATTTCAAAAATCCCCATCCCATTTCCCAAAAATGCTCACCTTATCCGGATTCTCCTCGGAAAATATCGATTTCTCAACCATCGTCGCCACAGAAGCACTTTGAGTTGGCGGAAGTTGAAGAGCTGTGTTGGTGAAATCGCCACCAAGTGGCATGGTTTTTTGAGCCACAGATTTGGCGACCGGTTGATTTGTGGCCAAAGGTTTGATGGGATTCGGTGCAGCTCGAAGACTCTGATCATTTCCTTGTAGGTATTTCGCTTGTTGTTCCAATTTTGCCTGCAAAATGTATGAATAATATGAGCAATGGGTATGGGTTTGGGGGCGGAGCCTAATTTTATGGCATATAAAAATATTTTCAGATTTTTTGGCTCTATCGCAATATATGGGTCCCATGGAAATATATGGGTCCGTAAAAAATATAGGGGTCCGTAAAAACATATAAGGGTCCCTCAGAAATATAAGGGTCCGTGAATTTTTTCATGGGTTCCAAAAAAATAAAAGGGTCCGTAAATTTTTTTAAGGGTTCGTGATTTTTTTCATAGGTCTGATTTTTTTGATTTTTGAAGTAAAAAATATGTGGTTTTTTGAATTTTCAATTGTTTTTTTGTATTTTATTTGATTTTTTGACGATTTTTTGTATTTTCGGGGGGTTTACTAAGCCTAAGCCTAATTATGAAGCTGAAAAGCCGAAAATAGAGTTACCAGAGGATTCAAAATTTCTCTATTATTTTAGGCTTAGGCTTAGTAAACCCCCTAGAAAAATACTGACTAGCTAAAAAAAATGTGAAAAAATTACAAAAAATCACCAAAAATAAATAATTGAAATTAGAAAAAATACTTTTTTTATGGAAAAAATAACGGACCCTTTTTTTTTGGGACCCATAAAAAAATTCACGGACCCTTAAACTTCTGAGGGACCCTTATATGTTTTAACGGACCCATATATTTCCATGGGACCCATATATTGCGATAGAGCCGATTTTTTAGCCGACTGAAAATTTGAAAGGGAAAGTAAAATATAAATTTTCATTTTACCAAATTTTTCAACTTCAAAATTAAACATGATCAATGAATTGCTCATGTTAAGAAACTTTTTCCACACGAAGTTTTGTATTTCTCACAGACAAGTGATTTTCCCCACCAACAATTTTACAACCCTTTTGGTATGGAAAAAGTGGCAGAGAAGCAGAGTGCATTTTTTCCAAACCAAAATTTGGGTTGGAAAATTAGCGCTTCTCCTCGAGAAGTACAAAACTTGGTGTGGAAAATTTCCAAAAAAAAATGTTCCCTGGCCAAAATTCCTTGTAGATTTCAAAAATCGCATTAATTTTTCTCGCCTAACCTGTTGAACAGCATCCGAAATACTAACAAACATTCGATTAATCGGCACTTTTTTGAAAAAATCCGTCACATCAAACAATTGTCGACAAACTTCTTTTGTATTCGCAAATAATACATCAATATCGATCGTTTTATATTCTTGATATATTTGAACAATCGCATCGAGACCCATTAAATCAATATATGGAATTGAGGAACAATCGATTATGATATGTGTTAGCTGAGTTATCTCATATTCCTCTTTTCGACCCATCGATTTTTCCGTCGTTTTTTCGTTGAGCGCTTTTACGTGGTGACCTTTCACTTCGAGTTCTGCAGAAATTTGAATTTGTGGTAGAATTTGAAGCATTTTGAGCTCCCATAAGGATTATTCTTGAGAAATTAGCATTTTTAGAGCAGTGAGCTCATTTTGATCAAAATTTCGAGTTCCCATAAGCCTAAACTCAAAGAATTTTTGCATTTTTAAGCTTCTTTTCAGATTTGGAACATTTTGAGCCCTCATAAAGCTAGGTAAGCTCAGAATTGAGCATTTTAAGTTCTAGTAAGCCTAGATAGGTTATAATTCAAGATAACTTCAATTTTCGAGTCCAAAAACGGGATTTTGAGCAAAAATTTGCAATTTATGAGCTTCGTTTCAAGTTTTGGAGCATTTTGAGCTCCCACAAAGCCAGGTTCAGAAACCCTGCGGCAAAATTGCAAAAAGCACCGCCCCCAAAACCCTACGCGTCTCATCCTTCGTATTCGGCAACAACATTTCCGCATCCTCCCGGCGCTTCCGCTTCTTTTCCGCCGCTTTCGCTCGCTTCTCTTCTTCCGCAAGCTTTCCGCGAACCAAAACCGGATTAAGTCCGCAAGTACTGTAGACACGACTTAGGAAAAGTTCAGAGTTGGCAAAATATAAGGGCGAGTCGAAGCGAAACACTTTTATGCCAGGAATTTCGAGAGCCGCGCCATAATGACTGAGACCTTTGAAATGATTCGTGCCTTTGACACGACCGAGGAGAGTACTGTCAGCCCTGGAAAAAGAGACGGGGTACTGTAGTTGGGGTACTGTAGGTTATGGCCTACTGTATCCCGAATAACATCGCTCTACAGTAAACCAGGAAAAATTGATTTTCTGCGTTTTTTCCACTCCAAAATTTGTAGTTTTCGAGGAGAAGATGATTTTTCCTACCGAATTTTTGGTATGGAAAAAATCACTCTGGCAATTTTTCCATACCAAAAAATGGTTGGGAAAATTCAGCTTTTCCGCGAGAACTACAATTTTTGGTATGGAAAAAAGAAAATTAGTTTTCCAATTCAAAATTTCGTGCGGAAAAAAGTGTCTAGATCAACATTTCGAGCCAAATTCGCTCTACAGTAAACCTAGGCTTATTCGACATCAAAAAAATCCAAATTTTCCGCTCTACCGTACTTCCCTGGCTACCGTATACTCACCATTGCGTTCGAAAAACTACGGTAAGCAAGGCGAAAGCGACACCAACCACCAAACCATAATTCACATTGAGAATCAAGACAGCAGTTAGGGTTATGACGAAAATCATCTGGAAAATTGAATTGAAGGGGGTTTGCAATTTTGCGGCATGGTTTTGTGGGCGTGGCTTGTTAGGTAGAATTCTAGACCTAGGCTTGTGGGGTATCAAAATGTTCCAGCTTATCTAACCAGAAATCTGGCAGTGTTTTTGAGGCTCAAAAACGTGGGCGTGGCCTATTCTGCAATTTTGCGGCACGGTTTTCTAACGCCTAACCTTGTGAGGTATCAAAATACCCCAAATTTTGCAACCCAAGCTCATGAGGTATTAAAATGCTCCAAATTTTCCCAAAAAACTCACAAAATCAAAAAAACTCGTCTTCCTTATGGTCATCGCCGTATACAATTGCACAAACAAATCCTTCATAGCCATCACAACAATCGACGCCAAAACAGGTTTGGGCAAAAAGTAGATGAACCTGCCAGCTCCCATCACAAAAACCACCAAAACCATTGCACAAACAATTGTGGACAATTGGGTTTTTGTGCCGATTTTCATTTGCATCATAGTTCGACCCAAACTCGATCCACCAGCAAAACATCCGAAAAACGCGGATGTTGTGTGCATTAGACCCAAAGCCATCCATTCTTGATTCGAATCGATCACATAATTCAATTTTTTGGCGATTAATTTGCATAGGGCAATATGAATGACGAATGAGATGATGGCAATGGAAATGGCTGGACCTAGAATATTGCTCAGATTAAGGGGAGTATTTTAAGACCAAATAAAGTATAGTTTTGTGGTCTAACGCTTGTTTGAAAGCAAAATGTGTCTAGCTTCAATAAAAAACATTTCAAATACATAAAATGGGTGTCACACAGGAAAAATCCATAACAATGTATTTTCGTCTTCTTCTTCAGATTCTCTTATTGATTTCCAAATCACTTTGTGATGAAGAATTGCGAAATGAGATTTCTGAATTGAATTTCAAGATTTTCGATTCGGTCATCAAACAAAATGTGAGCGAAATCAATGAACATTTTTCGAATATTGAAGAATCGTGTACAATCGATAATGCGGAATGGCGTGAGTGTAGATAAAAAAAGCGAAGCGAGTGTATGTCCCTTTAAACTATAGCTCATGTTGAGCTGAACATTTTGAGAACAAACAAGGCCCGAACGCTCTGCGCGAGTGTAGATCAAAATTCCGCGGAAGCGGCTCGAGCGGAGCGAGTGTATGTCTCTTTAAACCTTCGTACTGTAATAGTAGATCCGTGAAAAAATGTCACGCAAAAATAGTTTTTCTATTTCAGGCTTGGCGTCTTTTTGTATATTCGGATTTTCCCATCCACTTTCCGGATATAATATCTCAAATCTCCCAACCCCTGTGATCACTTCAAATAATGAAACAACTGCAACAATATCAACTGAGCTAATTTTATCGTTCGGAGATTTCAAAATGTGCGAATACGAGATGACTTATCAGCGAAATTCAGAAAATCAATTGAAATTAACCCACTTGAATCGAATTTGTCGAGAGTTCGATCATATTTCAGGAAATCAGAATAATCTAGATAAAGAATATCAGCCAGAAAATTTGGAGAAGCGAAAAACTCTCAATTTTTTGTATGGTAGAAAGGATTGGAGAGATTCCAAGAAAGATTTTTCCCGATTTCAAGAGACTAAATACAACAAATTATTGTTTGAAGATGTCGAAAGTTTGAACAACGAAATTATCATAAATCGGTGTACTAAAGGAAATCCAGAATCAGCTTTAACACTAATCGATCCAAAATTCATGTTCTATGACAAAGACTCAATTCCAGCTAGAAAACTAGAAGCAAAAACAGCTCTAACGGCAGAAGAATTTTTGGACATTCGTTCGGATCGACCTCTGAAATGGGCAATCAATAGAACAGTGACTTATGATGATAACTTGGATGAAAATGTGCTGGCTGAAATTAAAACAACTTATCAACGACAATTTAGGGCTAAGAAATGTCAATTTATTACAACTAATCATGAGATGAAACACAATTTGTATCCGATTTTGACGAGAGTTGATAGACATTGTGAGTATCAGTTGAAACAACAAGAATAATTGGAGGGGATTGCTCATTTTATAAAGTTATTTTTTGAATTCATTCCAAACCCATGCTTGTTTGGTCTCAAAATGATCGGCCTAACATGAGCAATAGCCTTGTCAAGGAAATATGGGCGTGGCTTAATTGTAGAGTGCTGGAATTCACCTGAAAGGGATATACACTCGCGCAAGTCCCTTTCAAGCTTCATTTAGGCTTAAAAGGTTCCTCTTAACCTGAGCAACACCATGTTTAGGCTCAAAATGCTTCCCTTAACCTGAGCAATCAAAAAAAAAACCTCACCCAACATATTAAACGGATCACTGAATCTTGGAACCCTCGGTGTCGGAATACCCGAATCCACGTGTCCAACAATAGCAATCTCAAAATGCCAATCAGTTTGTCGTGTAAATTGAACAATCAGTGTGCTACCAATAACCAATAACAATTCCATGGGAAATTTGATAGGACACGAACAACATTTGCGCAAAAATGGATCGATAATATAGGCGGATAATATGAGCAATGTGATGCAAATGATGGAGCAAATAATGGCGGATAATTGCGTTTTTGAGGCAATTTGTTTGAAGAAACAAATGTAGAATTGAATGAGTTGAAAAGGTTCGGAAGTTGGTGGAACATTTGAGATTCCGGTCATTGATTTGAGTTGAGATGTTAGCACGTGGATTGCGGCACCGGATGTTAGACCTTGAACGAGATGATCTGATAGCCAGACTGCTAGAAGGCCAGCATTCATAAGGCCGAACAGGATCTGAAATATAGCTGATTGCTCATGTTAACTTCTCGTTAAGGCTACAGTAGACCAATTTAAAGGGACATACACACTCGCTCCGCTCGAGCCGCATGCGCGGAAGCTTGATCTACACTCGCGCAGAGCGCTCGGGCTCAAAATGATCAATCTACCAGCGGAGCGAGTGTATGTTACTTTAAATTTTCCTACTGTAATAGTAGCTTCTTCAGAGCATTGCTCATGTTAAGACGATTATTTTGACATCAAACAAGTCCTGCGCGAGTGTTGATCAAAGTGTATGACCCTTTAACAATTTCAAATGATTGCTCATGTTAAGAGGAGCATTTTGAGATCAAACAAAACCATGTTCGGGCTCAAAATGCTCCGCCTAACCTGAGCAACACGTTGCAAATTCAAAATTACCTGAAAAACTCCAACCAGCAGCGTCACCGCTGTAGCAATCTCAATGGCAGTTTGCTCCGAAATCGCCGGTTTGTCAGGCTTACAACACATATACTCCTCAATTCCTGGTCCATTTTCATTCGTCAGAATCATAGTGTCATTGAAAGGCTGTGCAACACTGGAGCCCAATCTTTCAACAACTCCTCCAACCATCAGAGATACAATTGCAAATGCTCCAGGTGAAGAATGTCGAGATGTTCCGAATAGGGCATAGGTTATTGGTCCGATTATTCCCGTTATGAGGCCATAAGAGGGAGGAACACCCACTAACATACCATAAGCCAGGCCTGGAAAAGCCTTATTTTTCCACACCGAAAAATTTCCAACCCAATTTTTGGTAGGGAAAAATTGCCAAAGAAGTAGAGTGCATTTTTTCCATACCAATATTTGGGCTGGAAATTTTCGATATGGAAAATTTTGCGCTTTTCCTCGAGAACTACAAAACTTGGTGTGGAAAACCAAAGCCAAGCATCAAATTTCGTCGCAGAAGGGGCGGGGGGGCGGAGCTTATTTTTTGTGTCCTGGACTATTCTATATCAAAATCCAGGGAATTTCCCACTCCGCACAGAAAAATGGGCGTGGCCAACTCACTTTGCGGCACACTCATCACAGATATCATAACTCCTCCCAAAATATCCATAAACAGATCGGATTTCCAATTGTAGTTCAAAAGCCATCCGGTTATCGGCATTCGGGAGGATAGAAATCGCATCCATTCGGATTTCTTCCATTTCGCGGCCTGGAAAAAGGGTACTGTAGGGTTTTTGGCGCCAAAAATCGCATTTTACCTGTCGATAATGAAAACTGACACGTTGAAACAGTGATATATTGATATACCGGAATCCATAGGTTTGATCGAAATTCGTTTGATTTAGAACATCTTTGGATTTTGCTAGGTGATTTTGATGTTTTGTGTGAGCGTTTTGAGCATTGTTCATGTATTCGAAGCGGGAAAATCTGGAAAAAATCGATAATTTTTGCCATGTGGCAGCAAATGTGATTTTTTTTCCACACCAAAATTCGTAGTTCTCGAGGAGAAGCGCTTATTTTTCCACAACGAAAAATTTCCAACCCGATTTTTGGTAGGGAAAAATTGCCAGAGTGCATTTTTTCCATACCAATTTGGGCTGGAAATTTTCGGTGTGGAAAATTTTGCGCTTTTCCTCGAGAACTTCAAAACTTGGTATGGAAAACCAAAGCCAATCAAATTTCGTCGCGGAACTCACTCCTCCTGATACGTGGATTCAGTAATCGGACTCAAAAGCACTTTCCGCTTCCGCTCATGTTGTTTATCCGCAGCTTCCGGAGAAGCGGATTGCGTCGATTTCGAGCGATCCGCCGCATTGTTGTTTTTATTATTATTTTCTTGAAGAATTTTTCGATTATACATATTTTATATCAATTTTTGAGATCAGAAAACGTTGATTTTTTATTTTTGAAAAAGTTCCGAATTTGATTGATAGGTTTATCTGCAAAAATTTGGAGTTTTCCGCAAACATCCCCGTACGCGACTCACCTTTTTGATTAGAAATATAGGGTAAAAATGAGGTGGATTCTTACACACTTTTCACGTGATTTTTCAAATGTCACGCGAATAATCATGCATTTTTCATCTTTTTTTGAAGCAAACTTTTTCTTGATTGAAATTCGACGGGATTTCTGCAAAAATATCATTCAAAACCTAGGAAAATGTATTTTTCGGATAAACAATGCATCAAAATCAAACCTGAGCTCAAGAATCCTGAATTTCGTTTTTTTTTCATCCAAAAATTGCATATTTTCATAATTTGGCTCCTTGGCTGAAAGTCTACGGGATTTCTGAAAACAATAATTTCAAAGCCTAGGAATTTAATTTATTCAATGAATAATGCACAGCTTTCTAGAGAATTCTCCCACAGCGCGAAAAAAACGAGAAAAAATAAAAAGAAAACAACGAGACTCCGCAATTGACGATGCGCGCGTCTCCCAGCAGCCAATTTGTGTATATTTACGGGATGCATTTTTTTTTTCGTTTTTTGAAAAATTTAAAAATTTTGCGCGCTCAACGCTGTTTCAAGTGGAAAATCGAAGAAAACCAGGTTTGAATTTTATGTATTGTTAATCCGCAACATCTATATCCTAGGTTTCAATCGATATTTTTCAGAATTCGCTGGAAAATCGCCAAATTAAGAACTTATTGGATGAAAGTTTAAGAAAAACGATATTTTGAAACAGTCTAGATGATACACTTTATTTATCATTGGTAGAAACATATTATTAATTAAAATAGATTGATTCAGTTGAATAAGATGAATCATAATTGACACACATAACAAGTATACATAAAATAAATAGATAAATCATATTGAATACACTAGAATTACAGCACATAAAACATAAACATTTGAAAAACACCAGAACAAACACAAATTAGTATGCACATATTTGAAATGAAAAATAAAGTCAGTATGATTCGAGATAGATAATTATGTTGATTTCTGCACAGCATTTTGTGTCGATTTTCCTTTATTCCCATCCATAATCATATCAACATCCGATCCAATTGGAACCACTTCATTCAGCTCAGGCTCATATTTCACTTTAGTGATTAAAACATTTTCGGGATATGTACACTTTTTTTCAAATGCTTTATCGTCCGGCTCCGCTGGAAATCTTATAGGTCCAGTGTTGATAAATTGTTTTAAATTTCCATCAGATCTTTGTTGCTCATTACACTCATTTATATATTTTCTATGCTTCCTTTTGTTAGCGGGGTCTTGTTTGTTGAATTGTGGTTTTTCGTTTGTAGTTAAGTCCTTTTCTCCATCTTCAATTTGCAAAGTATCCAATTGGTCTGAAAATAATCACAATTTTTCTTTGGTTTTCACATTTTGCGGAATAAACTTCTACCACTCACCATTTCTAGTTCTTCTAAATAATACAATGAAAAATATAAAGACTAATACAGCAATAACATGTGCAATTATTATTCCGATAAGAATATTGAGCATCGTGAATATTCGAATTGACAGCTTATTTTGTTTCAATACTGATCCAAAAAAATATTTTAAATAAGCCACGTATTAAACATTTTTTGAACACGTTAGATTTATTTTTCCCAATTTTTTGTTTATTTCTAATATCAATTAATTTATGAAAAGGCATGACAATTGGGCCAATAATTTCATTTTCCATACAATCCTTATTTCTATTTGCTATCGGAGGAGCAATTGTGTATTATAATAGTATTCTGAAATTTTCGAAAAATAAGAAATTGGTTGAATATGTTAAGAAAAAAACATCGAAATACTATGGATTTGCAATTTTAGTGTTGTTGATATTAGTAACTGTGTTGGGCATTATCACAATTGGTATTATTTTGGCAAAAGATGAGGCTGGTATAGTGAAAGGCTGTGGAGAAATCGATGGGATCTCGATGATGAAAAAGTCTCAAAATCTAATGAGTTCGGGTCTTTTTCCAATATCTTCGACTCGTGATAATATACTGAATTTCAAGAATAATCTGCTGACAAAATCAAAAAGTGAAAAAATGGATAGTTTTATAGCTGTAAGTATTTTATAAATATTAAATAATGTTCAAAATCTATTTTTTGCAGACTATAAAAGACTTCAGTCACAAGGCAAAAGGTGCGTGGAAAAAAACGTATGACGAAAATTGGGGAAAGTTCGTATCAATGGGCAGTAAGACATGTGGCACAACAATTGCTGATAGGTTTGCTGATATCAAATCGTTTTTGGATAAATCGCCGGATTTTGATAATTTTGTTGACAAAATTCCACAATTCGTTGACCAAACAACACAAGAAATATCGAAGAAAACTGATGATTTGTTGAGCAAAGTTATGGAAGAAAGTAAAAGTGTCGCTTCACATGCTGAACCATTTAATGTGAGTGTTTTATCTTAACTAACATAAGTTAGCTTTCAAGCTCTGTTGGGAAAAAAAGGGACTTATTGAAACATTTAGAACGTTCTCAAAACCTCCAAATGTTTTCAGCTGGTTTTATCGATTACCCGAAAAATAGTGAATAAATTCGAGAATCAAGTGAATAATGGCATTTCATCTGAATATGTTCAAAGTACTAATTCACAGATTCAAATGTTATCCATAGTCAGCGTATTTGATGCTTTGCTTCTCTTGATATTCGTCATAATCACATTTATATTTCGAGAAAAATGTCCGAATGTTATGAAATGGTGTTTTCGTCTAGGATATTTCATATTTGTTCTATTTATTTTTCTGAACCTCGCAGAATTGATTTTTATTCTGTTGTATTCGTCATCAGCCAGCTCATGTTCTGTTGGGAAATATGGTTTGGCGGGTTTCTCTGAAAGGTAATTTTAAACAACTATTTCCAAAAATTAAACCTGAAAATTACAGTAATACAACTTGCACGGGTAGTTCAATATTTGAAACAACAGCAACAACAACAATGCATATAAAACCTGATCAAATCATCAAAAAGCTGAAAGCTGAAGTTGATAGTTATAAGAAAGTTGTCACTGATAAAGCTGAAAATTTAATAAAGACTATCGAATCGTCAATGACGACAATAATAATCAAAAATAATCGATATAAAAGACAAAACTCGAATGATTGCACATCTGAAATAGCGGAAGAAATACAGAAAATGGGTTGGATGATGGATGGTATTACAGGTGAAATGAGCAAGAAGAACCAACAATTATTAGATGACAAACCAATCATTTTGAATGATGTAACACAATTTAAAACAACTGTCAATACTTTTGTATCGCAATTTACGAGTTCCTTTATGGTGGATGTTGAGAATATTGTGAAGCAAGTTAATGTAAGTCAACAATATCTTATACGATTTTTAGTATTTTTGAAAGTTAGCGTAAATTATTTTTCAATTTGCAGAAAAACATTGACAATTCAAATTTTGCATGCAAACCATTTTTGGAATCCTTCGAAAATTGTCACTCAAAAATCTGCGCTAATTTAATCGATTCAAACGAGGAATTTTCGAATTATTTGTATCTTATTCTTGTAATCCTTGGTTTTCTGGCAATTTGTGGAGCAATGGCAGGAGTTTGGGGACAAGCGGAATATTTGAAAAGTAAAAAAGATGCGACTAAAATTGGACCTAAAAGTGATGGAGAAGTAAGTGGAAATTCGAAATCCAAGTCGAAAACCAATTCCAAAGGAGATGTCAAATCGAAAACGAAATCTGTTTCGAAAAATTGAACTTGTGAGTAATCGGGAAATAGTTTTATTCATTATTTTTTTAGAAATGAAAATTGAATTTTTAAAATTTTAAATTGTTCAAGCTAGAAATTCCGGCCGAAGTTTGGGAACTCTAGAAGATTGCAGAATTTTTGATGTAAATACTATTTTTTGAAATTTTGACGCCGTGAATTCCACGTGGAAAATTGTCAATCGTTTTTTTTTCCAAACCACTATTTGTAGTTCTCGAGGACAAGGTTGGAAAAATTTGCGCTGCTCCTCGAGAACTACAAATTTTCGTGTGGAAAATAATTTCAAAACGTTTCCCAAAGATTTTTTGCTGTAATGTTATTTTTTGTCAAAAATTCTTTTTTGATGAGATTGGACTTTTTGAGACGCCGCTCGAAATCAAAACATAAAACGAAACAGGAAAAATTGCTATTGCTATTTTTATCAGCCCAACGGTTTTCGTGTGGAAAAATGCGCGGTTGTCCGAGAGAACTACAAGTTTTGGTATGGAAAAGTTCTAGTAAATGACAAATGGAATGTTGAAGAAAGACTTCTGGCGCCAATATATTTTTTGAATTTTCAAATTTTGGTATGGAAAATTAGAATTTTCGAAAATTGTTCCTTTTTTCCGCTGATTCATCCCCCTTTTCCCTATTTTTTATATTTTTTATGAGATATCACATAAAAATGGGCGTGGCCAAAAACTTATCAAAACACTGTGAAATGTTTTGATTCATCATCATTTCTTGTCGAAAAATCCAATGGATTTCTACTTTGCTCTTCAAAACGAGGCTCAAAAGTTCCTGACAACTTTCCACAAGAAATGTGCGCTTCGAGACCCAAACATTTTGCACCGTGATCTTCAAATCATCGAAAATGGTCGAATCATATTTGATTACGGTGAGTTCATTTTTCCCTACCAATTTTTCGGCTGGAAAATTCATCTTCTCCTCGAGAACTACACATTTTGGTGTGGAAAACTTTTTTTTGCTGAAAATCAATCAATTTGTTCCAAATTTTCAGCTGGAATTGCGCATTTGATGCGAAACTTCAGTGGTGACGTGAGTTTAAGCCACTGGTCGAGATTCTTCGCTTATTCGAGTTTTTCCTTCGAAAATTGGCAATTTTTTTGGCAAAAGTGGGCAGTTCGACTAACTGATCAAGGAAATTTGGAAATCACATTTTTCGATGGTCCGAATTATACGCCAAAATATATTTACATTTTGAAAGCGGATCCAAATGTTGAAGGAGGCCATAAATTGCTCAAAATGATCATTTTTGAATGAGAAATTATGTTTTTTTCTCCTTTTTCATTTGTAAATTTGGAGAAAAAATGAACTTGTTAATTGAAACCCGATTTTTCATTCATTTTCCACGAGAAATACAAATTTTGGGTTGGAAAAAAAATTTAATCTTAAAACTTAGTCGAATCCTGTCGAGTTGTGTTAACTGTATTAATAGTTGATCCCAAATCATCATCATGCACATATTTTTCCTCATTTTCTTGATTCTCCTGATTTTTCGCATTTTCTTTTTCCTTTTCAATCGCAATTGTTTGATTCTTGAATTCTTCATGATCCACTTTTCCAACTCGCTTATTTTCAAACAAAAATTGCGAAAATGCCACGTTTTCATTATAAATCACCAATTTCTTTGTCTTCTTTTTTTCCATCCAACAAAACACAAATATAACTCCCACAAAAGTAGCCAAACCCAAAAATAGATGAATGAAAATGGGAGTTAGTGGAATTGCTGAAATTAAATTATGTTATTTTTGCACGCTTCTTATCTTGATAAATTTGGATTGGTTTAAAAATGTGCCGCATAGCGCAGGCGGTTAGCGCGTAATTTTTTAATCAGAGGGTCAAGAGTTCGATGCCGCCTCGCTGCATTTTTTTTTATTTTTTCATTCTAGAACTCACCAATTTGACAATTCTGCCCAGTAGTCCATAAATCACAAATACATTCAAACATTTGAGCTCGCTGGTTGAATTGACAAATTCCATGACCACTGCAGTTTTTCGGGCAATCAGCTTCTGGTTTTTTGGGTTTCTCAGAAGTTTTGGGGGTTTTTCGCGGTGCAGAAGATGTGGGGATTGTTGATTTCACAGTGGCTGGTTGAGCTGTTGAAGGTGGGATGGTGGGGGTGGAGGTTGACATGGGCGGTACAGTTTTAGGTTTAGCTTTTGGTGGACCTCCTGCACTACCTCCTGAACTTGAAGCATCGCCTTGTGAAAATTGAATAATTATGATAATTACAATTGCTATTTGACAGATTCCTGAAATTTCTCAAATCCAATACATTTTCTTCTATTTTTTCAGAGAAATAAACTTACTCATTTTTCGATTCATTTCATTTAGAAATGAAGAATTCCAACGGAAAATTACACGTTTCGCGCGTGAAAAATTGAAAAAAATTATTTTTTTTTGCAGAAAAATTTTCCATACCAAAATTTTCCATACCAAAATTTTCCATACCAAAATTTCCATACCAAAATTTCCATACCAAAATTTTCCATACCAAATAGTTCTCGAGGACCAGCAAATTTTGGTATGGAAAATTTGGATTTCGAAACTTTTTGCTTTTTTTTTTTGTTGAATTTTGCTGATTCATTCGATTTTTATGAGATAAAGGGGCGTGTTCTAAAACTTATCAAAACACTGTGAAATGTTTTGATTCATCATCATTTTCTTGTCAAAAAAAGTCTGGGAATCCAATGAAATTCTACTTGGCTCAACAAATCGAATGTCAAAATTTCTGGATTTCTTACCACAAACATGTGGTGCTTAAAAACTCAAATATTTTGCACCAAGATTATCAATTCATTAAAAATGGTCAAATTACTGAGAATTATGGTGAGTTTTAAGCCTAAGCCCAAAAAATAGCCCTAAAGTCCAAAAGTCCTAGAGAATTTCGTGTGGAAAATAACACTTGTCCTCGAGAACTACAAAACTTGATATGAAAAAACGTATAATTTTTTTGCAGACCAAGCCAGCTCATGGTTACTAAATCCTGGCGATGCAAAAATCAGAGAAAGTTTTTTTGGAATTCCGTAAACTTTCAATATTTACGCCGGAAGATTGGCAGGAAAAATATTGGAAAACAATGTCAATTCGGATAAATGACAGTGGAAATTTAGAAGCTACACGTTATACAAATGATTCTAAGCCACGTCATTGCTTTGTTTTGAAACCTGATGAGAATATTGAAGGAGGTTATAAATTGCTCACTTTTGCGGATTATACTTGATTTTTTTTCTTTTTCATGTTTTATATTTGTAAATTTGAGAAAAATAAACTTTTTAACAAAAAGTTTACGAAATCCCTGTTTTCTCTTGAATATTTTTCTGAAAAAACAAAAAAAATAAATAATGTTGTCTTATTTTCCATACCAAAATTTGTAGTTCTCGCGGACAAGCCATTTTTCCACTCCAAAATTTTTCCAACCCAATTGGTATGGAAAATATGCTTGTCCTCGAGAACTATGAATTTTGGTATGGAAAACGTTTTTGCTGTCAAGGATTACTGTAGGTCTTCCAAAAATTCCTCAAAGGTTTCTTCTTCTTCCCCATTTCCCTCCAAAAACTAATCAATTGCAAAACTTTCCTCTCTTTCTCTGCACTCTCTCCTAGTTCCCCACACTCTCTCATTTCTCTCATATTTTCTCTAACCGTCTGCACTCTCTCAAACTCCAATACTCTCTTGTCCCTTTTTTGCTTATAATTCACAAAAAGCCAAGCAAATACCTTATTTTTCGACGGCTTTTTTTTCGAGTTAGTCTAACTTTAACACTAATTTGGAGCTAAGCAATATTTTTGAAGGATTTCGAATGGAAAAAAGGTGGGTTTTGATTTTTTTTTTGAAATATATTTTTGAAAAAAAAGTTTTTGGCGCCAAAAATCTTGCACTTTTTCTTTTTCTTTTTCTTATCAAAAAAAAATTGAAATGTTGATAAGAAAATTCCAGAACTTTGAAATATTCCTAGGTTTCTTTTCAAATTTTTAATATTAAGTCAAAAATTTTTACTACAAATCCGGAAGTTTTCAATTTCCTGAATTTATTTGTGAACTACATTTTGGGAATTATTTTCTGAAGATATTAGAAATTACGAAAATTTTTTTAAAAATTCTCAAAAAAGTTCTAGAATTTTCTCAGAAAAAAGTTCCAGAACCCAAAAAATATTCAAAGATCATCCCAAAACTTATCCGCCCTCTCACTCAATTTTCTATCTCATTTTTTCCTGACCGGAAATTTTCGACACTCCCCGTCCGTTCAAACCTACTAATGTTCCTCTCCCGAAATTTTTCTCTCTCAATTTTTCTTCTTCTTATCCCACATTTTCTTGTGTGTAACAGGAGCAAAGGGAAGGAAGGACACAAAAAATCACAGAAATAGTATGGGAAAATGAGAGAGTGCCAGAGATTTTGGATTTGCTCAAAGCAAATCATTGCTGCTTTTTGAGAGCCCCACCAACACTCCCGTGAAAACTCGTTTTCTAGTCATTTTTTCGTAATAAAATTGAAATTTGTCATTTTGCCGGTGAAAATTGGGCAATTTTTAAATTTTTAAAATCAAATTTTTCAGGAAATGAAAAAATCCGAGGATGGCGGAAGATTGTCGAGTAGTTGTTCATCGATTAGAAGTTCGAATTATTCGAGAAATTATACTCCAAGGTAGGGAAATTGGGGGGAAATTTGAAGAAAAATCGATATTTTTTTCGAAATCTACGCAAAATTTTGCTATAGACACTTGTTTTCCACTCCAAAATGTGTAGTTCTCGCGGACAAGCTGATTTTCCAGCCCAAAATAATTTTTCCAACCGAAAATGATTGGGTTGGAAAAGTCCGCGAGAACTACAAAACTTGGTATGGAAATTTTTTGTTCAACTCATTTTGCAGCTCTCTAACCACCTCCACTCTCAAATACTCTCCCGCCAACTACACTCCACCATCACGATCTTCTGCTTCACAAGAATCCAGCTACAGTACTTCCAGCTACAGTAGCCCAAGCTACAGTAGTGCAACACTAGGAAGATCATCAAGATATGGCTCCACAACAAATCTTGACACCTCCAAATACAGTACCCTTGGAAGAACCTCTTCAAGCCGATACAGTACCCCTTCTTCTACAGTATCCTCCTACAGTACACCAGCTGCGGCGCCTAGGAATTTATACAGTAGTCCGGCTGCTGCGCGGGTCTCGATTTCGAATAATGAGAATTTGGGAGGAGCAACAAGTGCGCCCTATCGAGGAATATCAAGATCTAGATTGGATACGGTAGGGTCTACAGTAACCCCACAAAGGACTACGGTAGCTGTGGAAGTTCAGCCAACTACACGGACTAATATGGTACATCCGACGAGTTCGCATATAAGAAGTAGAAGTACGAGTAGCTATAGGTGAGTGGGGAGGAGAAAAATTTTCCAGCCCAAATTTTTTGGTGTGGAAAAAATGCACATTGCTTCTCTGCCAGTTTTTCCATACCAAAAAAAACAAATTTTTCCATACCAAAAAAAAAACGAATTTTTCCATACCAAAAAATACTAATTTTTCCATACCAAAAGAGAATGTTTCGCGCTTCTCCTCGAGAACTACACATTTTGGTATGGAAAAATAAGTGTCCTTTCTACTTTTTCATTTCCAGAACAATAAATGTGTCACAATTCACTCAACAAGCTCGTGAACGTGCTGAAAAAGAGGAAAAAGACCGGCAATACAAAGAATGGATTGATCGAGAAAAAGACAGAGAAGCTGAAAAAGAATATCAGATTCCGAGTTATTCGATCTCTACTCCTCAAAAGGTTCTACCACCACTGACTTCTTCCTCTAATCTGAGCAATGGTGATCGAAAGTACGGTGGCTACAGTAGTAGCTACAGTACTTCTACGGGACTCAAAAGCACTGGAGGCTTGGGTGGAGCTGGCTTAGCTCCGCCCCCTCCACCTCCACCCCCAAATATCCCAAGAAGTGTCTCGGCGGCGGTGATTTCTACTAAACCTATGGCAAAGGTGAGAGGATACTGTAGATTTCTTGGCGCTAAAAATTGATCTACTTCAGATTTCGCCCTACGATGATGAATATGAGAAATCCTGCGTAGTGAATTCGGGATTCACAGGTCTCCGGAATATTGGAAACACGTGTTTCATGAATTCGATTCTTCAAATGTTGGTCAATAATTTGGAATTGAGGGAATTTTTTCTGGAGGGACATTATAAATCGGAAATTAATGCGGATAATCCATTGGGAAGTCAGGTAGGGGGATTTAGGGTAACCTTAGGGTGAATTTAGGGTAATTTAAATGAATGCAAGAAGGTTAGGGTAATTTTCTATAGTTCTAAAGAGTTTTTAGCTCATTTTTCACCAAATTTCTCATTTCCAGGGTCGGTTAGCTTCAGCTTTTGCTGATTTTATGCGACAAATGTGGAGTGGAATGAATAAGGCAATCGAACCGGCTCGAATCAAAGAAATTGTCGCTGAAAAAGCGTCGCAATTCGCCAATTTCGCTCAACACGATGCACACGAATTTTTGAGCTTTTTATTGGATGGATTACATGAGGATGTTAATCGGGTGAGAGTTTGCTTAATCTGAGCAATAGGCTGGTTTTCGAATTTTTCAAATTGCTCTAATATGAGCAATGCTATGTCATTTCTAGATTTAAAACAGTTTTTTCTCTCAAACAATGCCTAATCTTTTGAATTTTCTCTAATATGAGCAATGCTATAAATAAATATTTTAAAATGAGCAATGCTTATCTACCCTAGGGTTATATGAATTTCTAACCTGAGCAATAGCCTGGTTTTCGAATTTTTGAATTTGTTCTAATATGAGCAATGGTATACATTGACTAATTTTCTCTTTAAGAAGTTTCGGAAGCAAGGATTTTGTAGTTTCCACAAAAAGAAAAATCTTTAACATGAGCAATCAAGTCTTTTGAAAAAAGCTTGATATGAGCAGAATCTACCCCATGATTCCTAACCTGAGCAATGATTTTTTGTAGGTGAAAAAGAAGCCGATAACCTCCACAGTCGAATCCGATGGTCGACACGATCTTGACGTGGCAAATGAAGCGTGGCACAATCACTTGCTCCGAAATGACTCGATTTTCGTGGACCTCTTCCACGGTCAACTAAAATCCCACGTGCAATGCCCAAAATGCGACAGAGTTTCGATAACTTTCGACCCCTTCGTCTATCTTCCCGTGCCTTTTCCGAAACGAAAAAAGACCTCGCAAGTACTGTTTTGGCCGCTGGATATGCTACAGAAACCCAAGAGTTTGACAGTGAGTTATAGCAGCGAGGGAACTGTCGCCGATTTGCTGTCCGCGATTTCTGGCGAGACAAAAGTGGCGTCGCGAAACCTGCGAGCGTTGGAAGTGTTCGGACATCGCATCGATAAGATCTACACGGTGGATCAGAAAGCAAGTGATATTGGAATGGCTGATGTTGTTTATGTGTTTGAAGTTCATGATGAGGTGGAATGCGGGGAAGAAGTCTTGCAGTTCTATGTTTTGCAACGACAATTATATCCGGCAAATTTGAGATATATGTGTAATGAGTGTGGAAATACACAGGGCAAATTGAAGGCTTGTGATGCATGCTATAATGCCTATTACTGCTCAAAGTGAGTTTGGGAGCCCTTGGGAGCCCTTGGGAAGCTTCGGGAAGTCTTGGGAGCCCTTGGGAGCCTTTGGGAGCCCTTGGGAGCCCTTGGGAGCCCTTGGGAGCCCTCTAGAGCCCTTGGGAGCTCTTGGGAGTCCTTGGGAGCCCTTGGAAGCCCTTGAGAGCTCTTGGGAGCCCTTGGGAGCCCTTGGGAGCCCTTGGGAGCCCTTGGGAGCCCTTGGGAGCCCTTGTGAGCCCTTGGGAGCCCTTGGGAGCCCTTGGGAGCCCTTGGGAGCCCTTGGGAGCCCTTGAAAGCCCTTGAGGGCCCTCGGGAACTCTTGGTAGCCCTTGGGAGCCCTTGGGAGCACTTGGGAGCCCTTGGGAGCCCTTGGAAAACCCTCGGGAGCCCTTGGGAGCCCTTGGAAAACCCTCGGGAGCCCTTGGGAGCCCTTGGGAGCCCTTGGGAGCCCTTGGGAGCCCTTGAGAGCCCTTGGGAGCCCTTGGGAGCCCTTGGGAGCTCTCGGGAGCCCTTGGGAGCTTTTGGGAGCCCTTGGTAAGCCCTTGGGAGCCCTTGGTAGCCCTTGGGAGTCCTTGGGAGCCCTTTAGAGCCCTTGGGAGCCCTTGGGAGCCCTTGGGAGCCCTTGGGAGCCCTTGGGAGCCCTTGGGAGCCCTCTAGAGCCCTTGAGAGCCCTTGGGAGCCCTTGGAACTCCCTCCCCACTTACCTCATCTCACTCCCCATGCTTCCAGAGAATGTCAACTAGCCAACTGGTCATCGGGAGGTCACCGCGATGAATGCCGGCGTCGCCCAACATCCGAAGTCGTCGGCCAGCCGCTCATCGTCTCCTTCCCCCGCTCTCAACTCACCCATGCCAATCTCTACCGTACCCTCGAGGCTAAATCCAGGCATACTGTCACCATCTTCCAGCAACCACAGGGAGCTGCTGAAGGTGGACCTGCAGAAGTCGAGGCGATCGGAGCACCACCGCAACTCTTCAGGGTGACAATCAGAGATGAACGGGTCAGAGACAACGGCTCATCGAAAAAACAGACAGTATTCCCATCGGAGGGAAGTTCCCAGAAGATGTTCGAGATTCGGAAGCTCACCATGGGACCTGGAGAGGCCTTCGGGGAGCCGATCCCAGCCTCCGGGGAACCCCTGAACCTCCCGAATAATTCCTACCTCACCATAAATTGGATAAACCAAAGGTTCGGCAAAGAATACATAAGTGTTGGAAATGTGCCAGACAGGGAGCTCCTGGGAACATCGGGTGTGTCTAGAAATGATCCAGGAAGCCTGACAGGCAATCCAAGACTCGCTGAAATGTTGGATCTGTTTTCGGAGACTGAAAGATTGAAGCCGGAAGAATCGTGGTATTGTTCGAAGTGTAAGGAACATGTGGAAGCGACAAAGCGATTGCAATTGTATCGATTGCCGCCGGTTTTGATTATTCAGTTGAAGCGATTTGTGTATACAGGTTGGTAAAGTTGGTAGAGTTGGTAGGCTTAATATGAGTAATGTCAGAGTCTAAGGCTTAGGAAAACTTTAAAAACAACCCTTTTTAAAGGGACATACACTCGCAGGCTCAGAAATACTTAAAGGGACATACACTCGCTCCGTTCGAGCCGCTTTCGCGGAAGATTGATCTACACTCGCGCAGAGCGCTCGGTCAGGCTCCGCCCACAAAACCATGCCGAGCGCTCTGCGCGAGTGTAAATCAAAATCCCGCGCATGCGGCTCGAGCGGAGCGAGTGTATGTCCTTTTAAAGTTTTGTATCACTACAGTACCCAAACTTAAAGGGACATACACTCGCTCAGAGCGCTCGCCCTAATATGAGCAATGCTGTTCGCTCAGGAAATCTTAGAGGGACATACACTCGCTCCGCTCGAGCCGCTTTCGCGGGAGATTGATCTACACTCGCGCAGAGCGCTCGACTTAACATGAGAAATGCTGTGGGTAGAGCCTGACCAAACCTGACTCTGTTTAGACGTGGGAGGTCTGTGATAGCCTGGTAAAGCCTAGATTTCTCTCCACAACATTTCCGATCCCCCTGTATTTCCAGCATTCACCCACCAATCATCAATGCATCGTCGATCAAAAGACGAGCGAACCGTAGAATATCCGCTAGAGAATCTAGATATGTCGCCGTTCCTGGCCGACACTGCACCCAAACAAGCATCAACGGTAAGGATTGGGTTAAGGACCTTAGGGTAGACCTTACCTATTTTTTTGCAGACCTACGACCTGACTGGAGTAGTGTGTCATAGTGGAAGTTCCTACTTCGGACATTATATCAGCATGGGAAGATTGGCTGATTTTGAATCCAGCAAGACCAAGATCGGTAAGCCTAGACTGAGTCTAAGCCTAAATCCAGTTTCACACCCTTTCAGATTGGCGTCAATTCGATGACTCAATGGTTTCTCGTCAATCCACCGCCAACATCCAAACCGATGATGCCTATCTACTCTTCTATAAACTGAGGGACCCTAATATGACTCGTAGTATTTTCAAAAAACATTATTCGTGTGATCCGGGAGAAGTGGACAACGATTATTGATTGATTGATTTACTATTTATGTAATTTATGACGTGTAACTTTTGCAAATCTGGTCATTTTTTGAAATAAATAATCGAAGATTGTTAATCTTGTCCACGAGAAATACAAATTTTTGTGTGGGAAGGAAAAGAAGGAAGGCTACACGGTGTGCTACACTTTCGGTAACTCACAGAGAAACTCAGGCAACGTATTGGGAGAAGGATGAGATTTTGGAGAAGTTTGGAAATGGGTTTTTTGATGAATAAGTGCATACCGTTTTTGAGATTAATATGAACAATACACATCTCGTCATCGCGTAGTGTCGTTGTAAAAACAGGAATTCAACACTTTATTGAAAAATATATTGCTAATACTTAATAAAACGATAGAATTTATATCCTCCTTCAATGTATTCATCTTGAATTGCAAGATAAGTGGATGATTTTTTATTGTCCGTATAACTTTTGAGTTCCAGAAGCCCATCAGGCCTGAATTTCGCAATGTGGGTTTCCCAAAATGCCGCCCAATCTCCTTCCGAATATTTCACATAGCTTTTATAGGTATTTCCAAATGATTTGACTTCTTCTGAAGTTCTTGAATTTATATCTTCTAACTCATAATCTGGAACATTGGCTAGATTTAAACTGAGAAATCTCAATGAAAAATAACCTCTATGGGCAACTGTGCCATTTGCAAAAATCCATGTATAGTCATCATGAATAATATCTGCATCCCGCAAACTATAATGTTTCATTAGTGAGATATAAAACCTCGGTGCTTCTTTTTGTGCATCCAAACCAGCCGATGCCACGAGGAACAGCGAGAAAAATATGAATATTTTCATAATTTATGAATTTGAGTGTTACACGTGCTCTGTTTTTATACATCTTGAAATTAGATTGATTTGAGATTCACATTCGAATTCGATGGGAATCTTGAACAATTATTTATTTGTATGGGAATCCGAGGACGAAACAATATACAGATAAATAATTTTTCAAGATTCCCATCAAATTCCAATGTGATTCTCAAATCAATTTAATTGCAAAATGTATAAAAACAAAGCATGGTACACTCAAATTCATAAATCATGAAAACACTCATATTTTTCGCTGTTCCTTGTGGCTTCAGCAAGTTTAGATGCGCACAAAGAGGCTCAAAAGTTTGAAACTTCACTATGGAAACATTTCAGTTCACGAGAGGCTGATATTATTCATGATAACTATATGTGGATTTTTTCAAATGGAACAGTTGCTCATAAAGGTGGTTTTCATTGAGATTTATCAGATTAAACCGAGCCAATTTTCCAGATTATCAGGTAAACAAGATAAACTCAAGAAGTGCAGAAACCGTGAAAACATATGAAAACTCATATAAATCACTATCCAAATATTCTGAAGGAGATTGGGCTACACATTGGGAGACTCGCGTTGCCAAATTCAGACCTGACGGGCTTTTGGAACTGAATTATTATCAAGACAATAAGATTGTTAAAACTTGTCTTGCAATACAAGATCGATTCATTGAAGGAGGGTATAAATTTTACCGTGTTATTGAGTATTAAGGACTTATTTTTCAATGAAGTTTTGAATTCGTGTTTTTACTACGACACTACGCGATGATTTTGTAGTCGTATGTTTGAAATGAGGTTCAAATACTTCCTTCTTACATGTGGGATACCGTGTTTCGAATCCCTTGAAAATCGTCATGTAAAAACGCAGAAGGCAATTGATGAGTTCGGAATTTGAAAAAAGCAGGGTAGAATGCTCTGGCTACTATTTGAGCTTCGGATGGAATTTCAACCAGTTGCAATTCGACTTGAATGGCCAACACCAAAAATATCAGGAATTTCATGTTTGTTTCAACGATTTTTCTTGCATTTTTATACCATTTGAAAACCAATAAAATTAATTTTTAATTTATGAGAAATGCTATGCAAAAATCGATAAAAACGAGGGGAAATCTACATTTTCAAATTATATTTCTGTTTTGTGAATTCATAGGATTTGGATTGCTCAGGTTAAGGTTTTTGTGACATTTCCTATGGTTCTAAACATAAAAAAAGCTTTAAAAGAAATCGAAAAAAAGAAGAAAATGAGAAAAAACAACGACACTCCGCCATGTTGCAGGCGTCCCCGCAGTTTAGCAGGAATTTATTTTTTTTTCTATTTTTTCACCTAAAAATGGTTTTGAAAGCATTTATTCACTTGATCGTCACAAATAGTGAATCCCAAGATGATCGAGATTAGAAGAACAATGAGAAGTTTCATAGTTGATGATATTTTGAGGAAGTTGGGCTTATGCTTATATACAGGAAATTTGATTGATTTGATTATTCGATTTTGTGTGGGAAGACGATTTTAAATTGACACAGATCCTTCCTTCTCATGTGTGGGATGACAAAATTCAATTCCTCTTCCCACACAAAATCAAATCAATCAAGTTTCCTGTATATAAGCATAAGCCCAACTCCCTCAAAATATCATCAACCATGAAAATTCTCAGTGTTCTTCTCATCTCAATCATCATCCGATTCACGACATGCGAATATCAATGCGAAAAAATCGGGAAAAAGTTCGAATCTGACATGCGAACATTGCTTGTTGCCAAAGATTTTGTTGAATAAAAAACAATTTATGGAAAAATTGAGGAAGGGTGAGATCAAGATGTTCGAATTGCCAGAAGATGAAAATAAAATGATGAAATGCGATATGAGACTTTTAGCTTACCGCGACGTGGATGGAAAACTGAGATACAGATATAATTTATCAGAAAATCAAAAGGTGAAAGCTGGTTCTCAAATGGATTCTCTTGAACAATCTGTACTCAATTAATATGTTTTTGTGAATAAAATTAGCAAAACGTGGAAAATTGATTGATTTTCAGATTTAAACTTATTAGCAAGTGAAAATGGATTGATTTCTCAAGTTAGGGAAAGTTGAGGACCCCCCAAATCTTAGCCTAACTCTAGAAAACCGCAAAATTCCCTAATTCACGAAAAAAAACGAAAAAAATCAACGATAGAGTGTTGTGTGTAGAAGAGACGAGGTGAGAGAAGCAGAGAAAAAGCAGAGAGATAGAGGGGTGTTGAAGAGACGGCAGACAACACGAAAATGTTCGTTTTTTTTCGTCGATGATTTATTGATTTTTCGAAGATTCGCGCATTTTTGCTGGATACAGCAGAGCTCTGGGGAGAGAAATGCATTTCAGAATGGTAATTTGAAGAGACACAGAGTAATGAAAAATCTTTCGAGTTCTTTTTCGGTTTTGTATTGATGAAAAGGCAAGAGTTTTTTTGAGAAGTTCGCAGTGATAATGTGTTCTTTTTTCTATTTTTTTCGTCTTTTCTTGTTTTCTCGAAACTAAATCCACATTTTTCATGTTTTAGCATTTCATTGGTCGAATTTCGTATGGCGTCTTCTACGAATGATTCAAATTTGGCCAAAAAAGCCGTATTATGGATTCCAAATATTGTTGATGGGTTTTCATTAGCGACATTGATTGGAAAAGCGAATCCCGATGGATTAATTGAAGTTGTTGTGATGGAAACCGGTGAAAAGGATTGTCATGATGCAAATTCATCAAAGTATGACAAATGCGAAGATATGGCTTTGCTCCCTTGCTTGAATGAAGCATCGGTTCTCAACACGTTGAAGCAGCGTTTTTCATCAGATTTGTTTTATGTAAGTTTCGCATTTCTTATTACATATGTCGAATTCGCGAATTCAATTTTTTAAAAATTTTCAGACGTACTCTGGTTTGTTCTGTGTGGCGATTAATCCATACAAGACAATTTCAATGTCTACTGAATCGTTTGCTGCACAATTCAAGTGCCAACAGCAAAAGGACATTCCACCACAAATATGTATTTGCTATTGCGAATGACGCTTATCGAAGCATGATTCGAGAAAAGAAGAATCAGTCGATTTTATGTACTGGCGAATTCAGGGAAAATCGATTTGTATTAGTTTTGATCAAAATGGAAGCATTTCGGCGGGAGAATCTCTTATGCTCGAAAATCAAGTTTCGTCATATAATTTCTTGACAAATGGAGATTGCAATATTCCTGGCGTCGATGATGCAGCTCGATTTTCCGAAACACTTGCATCAATGTCACAAATAGGATTGAATGATGAAGAAATAAATGGAGTTCTTCGAATTGTTTCCGCTATTTTGTTGATGGGAAAACTGTTCAAAGAGAATGCACTCATCGTTCACAAAATGTAGAGCAAGTCAAATTCTCAGTTGGTGCAATATTGCGAAAGCTTGCTATGAAAGACTTTTCAGGTAATTTCTTTTCTTCGAAAACCCTATTTAGTCTTTATTTGTTTCCAGATGGCTTGTGCAATTATATTAGTGAAAGTGCAACAAGAATATATTGATGAAGGTGTTGAATGGAGTTTCGTAAATTCTTGATCGAATTCGAAACTAACAATCGATTTGATCGAGAAACCAATGGAAATTATATCTGTCGCGAGTCGTAGCTCGCAACCTTTCGAAAACATTTGGCAAAAACGGCGAACAATTGGAAATTCGGGAAACGAACAAACAGGGACGTGGCCGAGGATCCGACAAAAACATCAAATCGCGGTCCAGTGATAATTCACAGCCTCCACACCTGCGTGAAGTCTGCGTCTCACTCTCTCGTCGTTCGCTGAGTGAGATGGGGCGCGTTTGCTGCACTCACTTTTTTCCATTGAAAAAACTTTTTCTTTATTTTTTCGTGTTTTTTGGTCGCCACGAATTTTTCCTGCGCTAATACGAAGCTAAACTTGAAAATAGAAGAGATTTGGAAGACAGAGATATATAAAACATCTCAGTTCGAGTTAAAATTCAAGGAGAACATTCGAGCGGAAACTAGGATCTTTTTTGTTCAAAATGACTTCATGAGTATTTCGATATTTTTGTGTAGTTTGAAGCTATTTCGATATATTTCTCATGATTTAGCGATTGCGGCGTAGAAAATTAGTTGAAGTGAGCATGGAATTCAGGAGGGTATTCGCGCAGGTGATTTTGCCGCACAGTTCTTTGAGAAACTAATTAGTTCGTACAAATTCCGAGAACATTGTTGAAAATGTTGTTATTTTTAATTTTGACAACACTTTGCTTATTTGTAAACGTTTCTTCTGCTTTTTAAAGATAACTATCTTCTGAAAAATTTATTATTTGCAGAAGCTACAACCTTCGTGTTATCATCACCACGGCGCCATTTTGGCCAATCCTTTTTATTGGTAAGTAATTTTGATGCAAATTTTGGTACAATTATCGATTTTCAATCAAACATATTTTTAGGATCAATGATGGTTGTTGGAAAAAGATTGCGATCAAGTCGAGAAAATGCTGGACAAAGTGCTTTGTCCAGAGAAAATATCAAATTGAAAGAGGAAATAAAGGAGAAAACATCAATAATCGAGGTGATAGAAAATGACAACAAAACCTGCAAATACGAAATAACCGTGAAGGACAGAGAAATATCATCAGAAAAAGCAGACAAGAAAATTAAAAGATGAATTACTTGGCAAAGATTTAGAAATCGAAAGAATATGTGTGAAGTTAGAAAAAGAACGAATATTACTGGTTAACATGGATATGGATCAATTTTTTCGCATGAGAAAAACACCACCGCGAAAACCTTTCTCCACCTTGTCACACCAAACGCAAATGTTGCGATCAATTGAAATTATGGAAATGTCGAGAAATGTCACCGGCGGAGAAGATTTTTATACCGTTTGGAAGTTTATGGGACAAAATTTCGAACACGAAAATGGTGTGAGATGGTGTAAAATGTCGGATGTAGATACTCTTCTTTTAATGTCAAAGTTCAATTTTGGAGATGGGCTGGTTAAAGCAATGAATCATTACTACAATGCGAAAGTTGGGTTTTCCATTTTAGCATCTCGAAGAGCTATTGCTAAATTAATGAAACTTCTCGATATTTCTGATTTATACGAATTCGAAGTTGTTACTTGTGTGATCAATAAAAAAGAGGTTCAACGAGTGGTTATTAGATGTCGAAGTGTTGAGCATTTATTATCAATCAGAGCCACGAATCTCGCCAACGCTGGAAGATTGCAATTGAAAAACGGAAAAATTATTCCTGTATTAAGTGGTGATCGAGGTGATGAAGAAGCTAAAGCTGTCATTGGTCTGGAATGTTCACCTACTCCTAATTCTCCATATTCCTTGTCGTTTATCTGTAGTTTTTGTGGCGAGGATAATTATGCGAATATGCTGAAATTTATGGGAAGAACCCTTTCAACTTTAGACAACATCAAATTTATTGATTATAAATATGGAGATGTTGTTTTGCGAGCAGAGGTTGATTGGAAAAAGACCGGTAAATTTTTATTTTCAAAAAATCAACAATTTGATTTGTTTTTAGGTGATTTCAAATTTTTATCTTCGTTATCCGCCCACACCGGCCAATCTTCAACTAATCCTTGCATTGGCTGTATCATCCCATTGTGCACTCACGGAGATCATCGAGATACAATCGGATTGTTCAATTTCGAACTAAAATTTGATGATCGGACCGAAGCAAACATTTTGGAACATTGCCAACAAGGAACTCATTCTATGAAAGAAGGTGCAACACCGCTAGTCCAAATCCCACCTAAAAAAACAGTTCCTCCAACTGTACACATTGTTGCTGGAGTTCATGAAAAATACGTTGACGATCAGATGAAAGCGAAGACAAATAAAATGGATTGTGCACTTTTTGGAAATGCTCGAACCGTTCCTCATCAAAAATCAATGCTGAAAAAGAAAAAAGAAGAGGAGTTGGTTTTGAAATCAGCTATTAATTTTTTGGAAGCGGATATTGCAATGGGTAAAAATATGATGTCAGCCTTCAGCAACTACACCGTGAATCCCGAAGATTCCTGCGACTCTCAATATTGTATTATCGATGGATGTTCTTCAAACACTTTGGATTGGGTTAAATGTGATTTGTGTCAACGGAATTATCACATTTTTTGTATGTGTATTATGTCGGCGAAGATTGTTCACAAGATGAAAAATAGTAGTTCACCATTTTATTGTTGGAGTTGCCGTGAATTTTCGCATGAAGAAATGATATATAATGTTGAATTCGAATTGAAACAATATATTGATGAGGCTGAAACATTGAAAACTAAGTTATCTTCGGTCACCAGAGATAAGAAATCAATGGAAGCTGTTCTTTCGGGAGAAGGTGGACCATCGAGAAAGAAATTGGATTCGGTTTTGAAGAAGATTGGGTGTCTTGGATCTGCTTGGTTTGGTAATCCCGTTGGTAATCAAATTCGAAAGCTATTACGCCCAAAATACATTGAAATTGTTTTGGAGGTATTTCCAGATGATGAATTCAAATCGAATCTTCGAAAAGTTATGATTTTGCTAGGAGAGATTATGACAGCTTCAGGAAAACAAACATTCAACGATTTCGAAAAACTTGAATTTAAAGATACAATAAGCCGCTTCGTCAACGCTCTTCGAGAGTTTTGCCCTGAGGAGAATGTTATTCCGAAGCTTCATTATTTGGTCAAGCATGTCCCGGAATATATTGATATTTATGACACCTGGGGTGGCGCATGCTCCGAACAATCCACCGAACACTTTCATGTCGTTTATCGAAAAGTAAAAAAAGCTTTTTCATCTATCAAGGATCTCATTTTTCAAGCCAAACTTATGGTGCGCCGATTTGGATTTTTGAATTATTTGAACGACATTGGCGAAAATTGTAATGATCCTATGATCGAAATCCCGGTTAGTTAAAAAAAAAAAGAAATTTTTTAAGTGAATTTTCAATTTTTCAGGACGAATATCGAAGTTAAAAATGTTCCCTATACTCTCCAACTTTCAACGTTTTATATATCATCATCCAACTCTTCCATATGTCATAAAAATCTGTAAATATACTTGGAAGTGCTTTTGGCTATTCACGGGTTTCGTCGATTTCAATTAATAATTTATGAGTGAGTTATTTGAACTGTTCTCTATTAAAAAATTATTCAATGTTTTAATTTTCCAGGGTATTTTCAATTGTCTATAATATCTTTTGCATATTCTTCTCGCGGGTTATCACTTGCCATCCAAAATGCTTCTCGATGATGTACAATTTGTTTAATTTTAATTATTTTTGTTGATAACTTTAAATAATAACATTTTCATGCACTACTTTTGAAGTCTTTAACTTATTTTCATTTTCTAAAGTTTGTTTGTTTCTTACTGATTTTTTATTACACAAAAAGTATTTCTCTGCTCTCGTGAGATTCTCCTCTTTCCCCTCGTATACAATTCCTTTGATGAAACCCACGATTTTTAGAGTATTCAATGAAAAAATGCTGAAATTTTTTTCAAAAGAAAAAAAACGAGAAAAAACGGGAGAGCGCCTTCCACTGAAGAGACCGAGAGAAAAAAAGATGACGAGAGAGTGTTGCGATCGAAGAGAGCAAACAGACACACACAGTTTTGTATGTGGTGTGTTAGAGTGCAGACAAGGCAGCGTTTTTTCATTTGTGGACAGCGTGATAATTGTGTTTAAATATTTTATTTTTTGCTCCATTTGTCCCTGCGAATCCTTTTTTCCCCGCGAAAACTCGACTATAAAAGGCCGGGTTTTCTCTGTTTTCCCCACTTGAACCACAATGTGACCCCTTTCCCCTATTTTAGTTTTTCCCCCATTTTTATTTATATTTTAGCATGTTTTTCTTATTTTTTAGTTCACATAAATATTCTAACCAGATGAGTTTAGATAGTGGGACGTTTGAGGGTTTGGGGTTAGCAGATACTCCTAGGGAGCTTTTGAGAGCGACTTGAGGATGCAAAAGTCGAAACTATCGACTCTCTATGATGTTTGTCGATTTCTCAAGTTAAGGAACCCCCAAATCTTAGCCTAACTTCTAGAAAACCGCGAAATTCCCCGTATTTCGCGAAAAAAAACGAAAAAATCAACGAGAGAGTGTTGTGTGTAGAAGAGACGAGGTGAGAGAAGCAGAGAAAAAGCAGAGAGATAGAGGGGTGTTGAAGAGACGGCAGACAACACGAAAATGTTCGTTTTTTTTCGTCGATGATTTATTGATTTTTCGAAGATTCGCGCATTTTTGCTGGATTTTCCACGTGTTGACGTGGAATTTTTTAAATTTGATTGCCAAAATTCATGCTGACGCCTTTTTTGCAATGAAAATTCAAATTTTTTGCAGATTTCGATGGAAATTTGCTCAAAATTCGACAATTCCATGGATTTTGGCTGAAAATATGAGATTTGTGAGTTTTTCTGGGCGGTTTTATGTAAAAAATTGTTTATTGCAATTCATCAATTTCCTGATAATAATCATAATAATCAAGTAAATGAAAATCGTTATTTTTTGCCACAAAAAATGGCAAAATTAAGAAGAAAAGCGAGAAAATGAAACAAATCAAACCGCAAATCACTAAAATATCACTATAACTCCAATTCTTTTGCTTTTGATGCTTTTTAGTTGATTCTTCCCCAGATTTAGTTTGATATGTTGGATTTGAATCTGATATTGGCATATTGAAAGTAGAGAAATTGCGTTCTTTCTCATTATTATCATAAAAATGAATAATTACATCATTTTCATTTCCACCATGCAAAATATTTCTGCGATGTTTGAATTTCTGATGTTCAAAATCTTGATCACATCTGATGTTGATGGTTCCAGGCCCATAATTATTTGTGATTTGAATATCAGGTATACTTTCAGCTGGAAAAGCATTGCTCATATTATACTTATTCTACAGAAGCATACCACGCCCAGCTTCGTGCCAATTAACTTCGAAAATTGGCGGTGTGAGTTTAGAAATTTTTTGGCGAGGTGAAAACAACCTTTTCGACTGAAAAATACCACTTTTTAACGGGAAAACAAGCAAAAATTTGCTGTTTTTCAAGAAAATCTCAAATTGGCGAGGTGAATTTCCGTAAATTTTTATTGGCGCCGTGCATATGCCTCACCCTGGGCGTGGTATGTACAGAAGCTTACATTTCAAATGTTTCTGATAGAATCCGGATGGTACATAGATCCATAATTGAAATCCATTCAAATCCACTGAATGCACCACAATTCCACCGTAACCTGCATAAACATTTAGATGTGAGTTCAGACGGATGTTCACAAAATAATTGTGAGTTAGGGGAAGTGATGGATCTTTGATTCGGTTTTTACTGTTATCAGGATGTTGAGGGATGTCGAACATATTGAAAGATTCGTTGAAGATTGAGGAGTAGAAGTTGGCCGGGCCTGGAAATTGGATAGGTTGGAGAATTTAGGCTTCTAGACTCACAAATCCACTGATATCTGTCAGATTTCTCGAAAACCTTCCCAACAAACTCTTCCCCAGCAATCTGCCTCCATTGAACTCCCTGATCTCCAGGCGTGTCTTCCGAAACCTCTTCCACCAAACTTCTATTCGAACTCCAATACTTCTGATCAACATACTTCAGTCGATCTTCGATTATTCCACTTCCAATTGTCATGAAACTATTGATATTTGATTTATAATACAAGTTATGATAAATTGTCTCATTCGCAAAACTTTGAAGATCTTTGGCTTGATTTTGATCTAGAAGTTTGATGCAGGAATCAGCGTATCTTTGAGATATAGTTGGAGTTATCAAAATGAGCTGGAAATTGAGAAAAGTTAGAGGAACTCTGGAGAGAGAAGCTTACCAATATGAATATTTTCATCATTTTTTAGTCGCTGCTTTGAATTTCAGCGTAAAATAGGAATGAGCAGGTTCTAGATTTTTTCACGTGCCCCAATTTTTTTCGGCCAACCAGAAGCTAGAAAAATCTCTCATTTCTTTTTTACGCTCAAATTCAAAGCAGCGACTAAAAAATAATGAAAATATTCATATTGGTGAGTTTTATCTTTAGAGTTACCCTAACTTCCCTCAATTTCCAGCTCATTTTAATAACTCCAACTATATCTCAAAGATACGCTGATTCCTGCATCAAACTTCTAGATCAAAATCAAGCCAAGGATCTTCAAAGTCTTGCGAATGAGACAATTTATCATAACTTGTTTTATAAATCAGAAATGAATAGTTTTCTGACACTTGGAAGTGGAATAATCGAAGATCGACAGGATTTAAACGTTCAGAGTCAGACTCAGCAAGATTGGGATTTGAGATCGATGGAAAGTGTTGGAGAAGAGAAGACGGGAGATCAGGGAATTCAATGGAGGCAGATTGATGGGGAAGATTTTGTTGGGGAGGTTTTCGAGAAATCTGACAGATATCAGTGGATTTGTGAGTATAGAAAGAAGCCTTAGCCTTTTTCTACCCAACCTATCCAATTTCCAGGCCCGGCAAACTTCTACACATCGATAAAAAATGATAGCTTCAACATGTTTGAAGTGCGTTTTGATAATAAAATGCATCGAATCCATGAGACATCCCATCCCCTATCTCACAATTATTTTGTGAATATTCGACTGAATGCACATCTTGAAGTTTATGCTGGTTATGGTGATATTGTGGTGCATTCAGTGGATTTGAATGGATTCAATTTGACGATTTTTGTACCATCAAGTTATTTTCGAAAACATTTGAAAGCTGAAAGTATTCCCGATTTTCAAATCACAAATAATTATGGGCCTGGGATTATCAAACTTGAAAGTGTATTTTCATATTCATTTATGCCTGAACCATACAAACATCGAAGAAATATTATTCATGGTGGAAATGATAAAGATATCAGAATCGAGTTCAACTTTGTGAATGACACATCACAATTCACGCTTGGATTTAAAGAACTTTTGGAACAACCAAAATATCTTCCTAAATCTGGGGAAGAATCAACTAGAAAGCATCAAAAGCAACATAATTGGAGTTATAGTGATATTTTAGTGATTTGCGGTTTGATTTGTTTCATTTTCTCGCTTTTCTTCTTAGTTATGCCATTTTTTGTGGCAAAACAGAATGATTTTCATTTACTTGATTATTATGATTATTATCAGGAGATTGATGAATTGCAATGAATAAAGAGATTTTTCGAGAGGATGCATTGCTCATGTTAAAATAAATATAATTTTTCCACACCAATTTCGGGTAGGAAAAATTATTCAAAAACATTTTCCATACCAAAAATTTCCAACTCATCAATCAAATTTTGGAGTGGAAAAATTACACTTGTCTGCGAGAACTACACATTTTGGTATGGAAAATTTTTGTTTTTTTTTAAAATCAGTTTGGAAATCATGGACCTCGAAACTGGTCCAATAACAAAACCGAGTGGAAAATTTGATTTTAAAGAGCTCAAAAATTCGATAATTATTGCTATATTTAAAAAAAAAACTTCATCAATCTCTCTCGAAAAATTCCGAAATAGTGTAACTTCACCTACTTTTTTCTCCCATCTCATCTTAATCCAATATTCTTATCAAATCGTACACTGTGCGCACTTTCTCATTTTTCCTCCTCCTGATCAAAAAAACCGTCCTTGACCTGAAAAACATCTCAGCCGACCTAGTTACACCCGAGATTTTGCATTTTTACTTTTCTTCATTTTTTTCCGGCCGGGTACTTCTGGGGTTTTTTAACAAAAGGTTTAAGATGGTTTCAGTTTCTAGTTAGGTTAAATTTAACCTAACTTCCTTAGAACTTAGCTTAATTTTAGTTGCTTAATTAAAATTTAACTGAAAAGCTCAATTAACTTACCTAACGTTAATGTTAAGTTGAATCAATTTACTTCAATTTAACATTAGTTAACTTAACTTCATTAGAACATAACTTAATTCAACTCAAAAGCTCATTTAAGTTACCTAAAGTTTATGTTAAGTTAAGTAGGAGTTAATTCACTTAAGTTTAATATAACTGAAGTAAACTTAACTTAACTAGAACTTTGCTTACTTAAACTTCAAAGCTTAATTAAGCTATTATAAAGTTAGGCCTAATTAACTTACCTATTTAATTAATTAAAAATTTTACTTAACTTACAATTTAACTTTAAATTTTCCAGACCCCCTCTCAAAATGTCGCGGCTAATTTCGCTCCTAATCTTCTCAACCTGTCTAATCTTCTCCACTTCCGCCAAAATCAATCCAGTTGTCGGCTCACAATGCTCAAAAAATCAGGTGGTCCGAAAATTGACAGTCTATGAGGATGGGGCTTTGGAGGCCGAGTGTGGACCAGTTCCATGTGGAGAAGTTGGAAGAAGATGTATTGATGTGAGTGGAAGCTAGAGACGCAGAGCGGTTAGACTCTGCTTCTCTAACCTATTTTTGAAAAATCTCAATTTTGAGCTGAGTTACGGTATCTCAAAGTTGAATTTGTTAGAAACGCAGAGAAGAGTTTTCTCTGCGTCTCTAGCCCCTCTAGCTCTCTGACTCTCTTCCCATTTGCAGGACCAAACAGCATGCCGTGCCGACACCGATGTCTACTCCGGAATGAGATGGGCTCCAAATGGCGAGAGCATTTTGCTCCGCTGTTGCACAATGAAAACCGCCAAAAAGATCTACGTCGGCACCGATATTGTTTCGGCCGGAAGTTTTTATGAGGGAGGAGCGGTTGCCAAGAAGGATTTGTATGAATCGACCAGCGGAGCCGAATATGACTTCATTGCTAATGCTAGAACTGAACAGTGAGTTTTGCGAGAAAAAAATTACTAGTTTCTGGGGTAAAACCCTTCTGAGGTAAAACCCTTCTGGGGTAAAACCCTTTCTGGGATAAAAACATTTCTGGGGTAAAACCCTTCTGAGGTAAAAACCTTCTGAGGTAAAACCCTTTCTAGGGTAAAACCCTTTCTGGGGTAAAACCCTTTCTGGGGTAAAACCCCCAAAATTGGTTTCTAGAATCTCCAAATTTTACGGAGAATCTTGTTAGAATCCTCTAGATCTTAGGAACCATCCAGAACTTGAATTAACGCCTATTTTTGCAGAGGAGGCGTCCGCGTCTGGGTCTACCGTATGATCTGCGATAAAGGAGAGAAGCCAGTGAACTTCGAGCCAATCACCACAACCTCCGCAGCTCCAGCCACAACCAGAATGGCGATTGCACCATTGGTCGTCGTCACAACAACTCAAGCTCCAGAAGAGGAAACCGAAGGTGAGGAAGAAGAAGTTGTTGAGGAGGAGCAAGAGCAAGAAGAAGGTGAAGTTGAAGAGCAAAATGATGCTGAGGAAATCGAAGTTGAGGAGGAAGAGGAAGAGGAAGTTGCGACAACTACACAAGAACCAAAGCCTTTCAATCCACTTCGTTATCGTCCACCACATTTGCCACGTTCATCGACTGGAGTTAGAAGAGCTTGAGGAATTTGGAGATGATAATTATAATGAAAAACGTGTATAATAATAATTAATAATAATAATTAATAATAATAAAGATGAAGTATAATATGAGCAATTGTAAGATTGATATAAGTTATACCAAGTTTAACATGAGCAATATCAAGTTTGATATCAGCAATACTAAGTGTTATAGTCATTGGCCTAAACATTCAAATCTCCAGAGCACAGATTTGAGACTCTTAAACTTTTTCATCCCAGCTCTCTGAAATTACTGGTCGTCAGATTTCCAATGTTTATCATGAAGTTAGTGAAACTTGAATTTCACTTAACTCACAATCAGTTAAACTAAAAATCAGCTGGTTCTTGAAAGAGCTAAGTTGTAGCTCCCAATTCATAACGTTATAACCTGGAAGGTATTACTTAACTATGAAATGCAGAAACTTTATTGAAGAAACAAACATGTGATTACATTACCATTTGTATTACTTTGTAATCTCCTTCGATGTCGCGAGTATGTTTCAAAAGGGCTGTCAAACCAGGTCCTTTGAAGTCAATAAGACCCTCTCCTGCGACTTTCACATCAAAATTCTTGAACTCTTGTTCCCATTGATAATGTGAGTATGTTAACATATCCTTATAGAGATCACGCATTTTCTGAACCTCTTTATCACTTTCCTCTCTTATGACCTTCGCAAATTGATCTAAAATTTTGAAATCTTAAAAAAACATCAAACTGGGCACATACTGTAGTTAAAATTCCGATCGCCAATTTTGACTTGAAAATCTCGATGAAAAATTTCAGGGTTTCGCTGACTAAGATGTTTAACGAAAGATATCCAAAATCCTTTGCCAGCTTCTTGAAGGGCAGTTAAGCTTGAAACCAATTGAAGAGAAGTTGAGAAGAGCAACACAAATAGAAGGAATCTCATGATTGTGATGATAATATTTGAAATCAACGATGGTTCTTATATACATCTCAAAATCACATTAGAAAATCACATTTCCTAATTTTTGAAATGTCTATACGCCTACATACAGAAATGTGTAGGCGTATGCACATTTGAATTGCACAGCAAGCACAAAGTTTTTAGTTCCCCATGTATTTTACGCCTACATATTTCTGTATGTAGGCGTATTGAACAACATTCCAAAAATTGGGAAATGTGATTTTCTAATAATTGTTGATGTGATTTTGAGATGTATATAAGAAATATGATTTTTCGGAATACTTCATCACAATCATGAGATTCCTTCTATTTGTGTTGCTCTTCTCAACTTCTCTTCAATTGGTTTCAAGCTTAACTGCACTTCAAGAATCTGGCAAAGGATTTTGGTTGTCATATTTGAAACATCACAGTCAACGAAATCCTGAAATTCTTCATCCAGATTTTAAATACTTCAAAAATGGTGATTTCATAATGAATCGTGGTAAGAATAGGTGTCAAAATGAATATTTTGAGAGGATTTCCAAAGTTTCAGATCCATATGCAAAGTATATGAGAGGGCAGAGTGAAGAAGAGGTTCAGAAGTGGCGTGGAATGTATGAGGAACTGTCGAAACAATCAAATGTTCAATGGGAACAAAATTTCAAGTATTTTGATGTGCAAATCGCAGGAGAGGGTCTTATTTACTTTAAAGGACCTGGTGGGAGATACACGTTGATCGAAGCTAGAGGTATTGAGGGAGGGTACCAAGTGTTGAAAATGGAGTTTTACTAACTGTAATATGTTTGTTTCTCCAATAAAGTTTTCTAGTTTTTCTAGTTTTATCCCACATAGAATAAATTGTGATCACCACACTTTTTTCGGATCGAACTAGACATTCGGACAAATACTAGAAAATTTTGGTATGTGGAAAGAATAAACGTATTCTATTTTCAGTTTCAGCTTTCATCAAATTTTTTGTACAATTGTCATCGAGCATTTGAAAATGAACGTAAATTATGTTCAAAAAATTTGAACAAATATTTTTTATCCATTAAAAAAATTTATTTAATTGGTAAAATACACACAGAGTTACACACAGAGTGTCGAGACCCTTTTAAAGGAATGCGTTGTCTGCGTCTCTAACAGAAAAATGCATTTTTCTTTTATAAAAATAATAGCCAGTCATTGTCACAAAGTTATTGAAATTTGAATTCAACTCCAATTAATTAAGCTTCAAAATCTTGAGAGATCAAAAATCTGTATTTGTTCTCAAATTTTTTTTCAGAAAAGCTTTTATCCTCTTCCCCATTTAAAAAATTCAAACCTTTAAAATGCAGAAACTTTATTGAAAATACAAACATCTTAGTATACCCAATCCACTTTTAACAGTGTGTAATCTCCCCGAGATCCCATAGGACGATACAATACGGATGTCATACCAGGTTGTTTAAATTGAAGAAGACCATCCATTATTCTTGTCACGGATAACTCATTCTTGAAGTCATGTTCCCATTGATCATCTGAGTGTTTTAATATTTTCTCGTAGATATCACGCCACTCCTGAACCTCTTTTTCACTTTGCCCTCTTATCTCCTCAGCATATTGTTCTGAAATTTTGAAATCCTTGAGAAATATTCATTTTGACACCACTTACCATAATTCTCTGCAAAAACACCATTATTGTAGAGTTGAAATTCTCGCTCAAGAATATTAGGGTTTCGCTCACTCATATGTTTGACGAAAGATATCCAGAATCTTTTGGCGGATTTTTGATGTTCAGTTAAGCTTGAAACCAATTGAAGAGAAGTTGAGAAGAGCAACACAAATAGAAGGAATCTCATGATTGTGATGATAATATTCCAAAAAATCCTATTTCTTATATACATCTCAAAATCACATCAAAAATTATTAGAAAATCACATTTCCCTAATGTTTTTCTATACGCCTACGTACAGGAATACGTAGGCGTATGCACATTTGAATTGCACAGCAAGCACAAAATTTTCAGTTCACCCTGTATTTTACGCCTACATATTTCTGTATGTAGGCGTATTGAACAACATTCCAAAAATTGGGAAATGTGATTTTCTAATGTGATTTTGAGATGTATATAAGAAATATGATTTTTCGGAATACTTCATCACAACCATGAGATTCCTCCTAGTTGTGTTGCTCTTCTCAATCTCTCTGCAATCGGTTCATAGTTTAACTGGACTTCAAGAAGCTGCCAGAGGATTCCTACTATCCTTCTTCAAGCATTTCGGTCAGCGAAATCCTGCTATTCTTCATCCAGATGGGCAATGCAAAACTAGAGTGAAGTGAACGGACGTGGACTTAAATTACTGTTGAGACATACTCGGGAAATCGAAGGAGAGTACAAAGCGATGCGAATGGAAACTTACTAAGATGTTTGTTTTTGCAATAAAGTTTATGCATTTTATGCGGTGATTCACGAATTAAAAACTATTATTTTATTGAGAAATATTGATTCAACTTCTCTATTAAACTTGAATATATGGGGCGTCCAAAAATCAAAAAATTAAAATTTCACACCTGTCCAATTTCTGTTCAAACTAAAAAAATTTTGTTCAAAGTTGTATTATAATGATCAGAATTCAGTTAGCTATAAGTAGATCATATTTTTATCAAAATTGGACAGGCAAAAACACAAATTGGACAGGTGTGAAAATTTCATTTTTTGATTTTTGGTAGTTTCAAAGAGTTGGAAGCTCAGAATATTACTGCAGTAATTACTGGGATACCAGTAAAAAATCACTCTTCAAGCTTCACGAATGTTTTTAAAATAATGTTTTGAGCTAACTGTAAAAGCTCATAAAACTATAAAAATTCTCCCAATGTGACCCCTGAAAAAAGTTTGGTTGTATGTTCAAATAGTGTCTTATGGGGAGTTATGAAAAATCCAAAGGGGATTTTGTAAGTAAAAATTTCTTTCATGAGAATCCGGAGGTCGAAATTCTGAAAAATTTCCAAAAAGACAAAAAACCTTCTATTTTTGAAAATTCGTAACTCAGCTCAAACTCGATGAAAAAACTCGATAAAAACCGCATTTTGAAGCTTGAATCGCCCTCTTTTTAGTTATTTTAGAGAACAGTTATCAAACTTTTAATTTAATACATGAACGAATAAGGTCAACATAAAAATCATGTTTTGACTGAAAAAATGGGTTTTTCATAACTTCCCATAAGACACTATTTGAACATACAACCGGAATTTTTCAGAGGGTCACATTAGGATCTATTCCTTGTCAGGATTGCTTGCAATATGTTTATTCAATTAACATGAAAGATATTTCAGTATTCATCCAAACGTAAAAATTTATACCCTCCTTCGATGTTTGAATCTTTTTTCAAAAAGAATACAAAATCAAGTTTGTTGTTTTTGTAATGTTTAATTTCAAGTCCGTCATCGTTGAATTTTATAATATTGTACTGGTTGAGTGCTTGTTCCCATTCTGCATTTGAATAAGCGAGATGCTGTTTGAATAAATCAGTCATTTTCTTCGTTTCATCGTCAGTTCTATTTTCTATTATTTTTACGGCTTGCTCTATAAAACGATTAGTGAATTTTATCAATAGAATTATTCTGAAAATGCGAGAAACGGACTAAAAGACTAAAACGTGAAATTAATAAAAAAAATATCGGGATTTTTTGTAAATTAATAAGACTGAATCATCGCATGATGACTGTTACGTGCTCACCGTAAGTTTGTGTTACAACGTTATTTTTGACAATTTGAAAATCTGGATGAATAATATCAGAGTCTCGAAAACTGTAGTGTTTGTACAATGATATTACAAAATCACGAGCAGCTTGTTGTTGTGGTGTCAAACTATAAACCAGTTGAAGAAAAACCAAGAACAACACCGCGAGAAATAATCTCATGATTGTGATGAAATATTCCGAAAAATCATAGTTCTTATATACATCTCAAAATCACATTAAAAAATTAGGAAATTATCGAAATACATTTTTCTTTATGTGATTTTTTCATACGCCTACGTTAGCAGTATTGAATATTGACATGTCTTCTTCCCACTAATAAAATCCATGTATTTAATATCACCCAGACATCATTTTTCTTGAAAAATGCTTCAAGTTTCTCTTAAAATTCTCCTTATTTCCTTAAGCTTGTCTAATGCAATTTACGATATGTCAAACATAACGATAATAGGACAATTTCTTTGTGAAGGTAGACCTATGCGAAATATGAAAATTGTGCTCATTGATGTCGATATTTGTAAGTTAGAAACTATAGGGGGCCCCCACCGAAACTTGTGAATTTCAGACGATCCACATGATTTTTTGAATGAAACATTAACCAATGAAAACGGGGAATTTGAGATTTATGGGCAAGAAAGAGAGTTTAACGGATTTGAGCCAGCATTGTGTTTTCGACGTGTTTGTTATAGAAAAAGAAACCATCGAGTTCTTGATGCTCTCGTTTTGACAGGCAAGGAATTTTTAGGAGGAATTGGCTTAGTTCAATACAATTTTAGTCGAATGGAGATACCCCGTGAAGCTTATGGTTGTGATCGATTTGTTTGAAGTTGTGTGTATGATTGAATTAATGAAGTATTCTATTTGCATCTTGTTTATGGCTTATTTTTGTATTTTTGAGATTTTCCAAGGAAAAGGAGCCCCCCTTTAATGATAAAAACCATAATTCATAATAATTTATTCTTTTGAGGGCGTATGATAATGTGATTCTAATTCTTTATTGAATTCATATTTGAAAAAAGGAGATTGGCGTGTGAATCAAAATTCAAATGCCCCCTTCGCTTCAAAAAACCGCTCAAAATTTCCTGATTTCATTTTTCAAGCATTATAGTCTTCAAGATCCAAATATTTTTCATGAGAATTATCAAAGGATTGAAGATGGTGTGTTGATTCAGAATTATGGTGGGTTTCTATTTAATTAACTAACTAATTACCTTAATTAATTAATCTAACCTATTCAGCTACCTTAAGTAAACATTAATTGGTTAATTACATAGAATGACTGTAGAAGGGGTACTGTAGATAATTCGGTACAGTATGCCTTGGGTTACTGTAGGTACCAAAGGTGGGACCCGAAGGGTCCCTAAAAAGAGGGGGGTCGGCGGGGGTCTCCCCCGCCAACCTTAGAGAACAGTACGGTTACAGTAGGTAGGGTGCCTACAGTACTTTTCTAAGGTTGGCGGGGGAGACCCCCGCCGACCCCCTTTTTAACGCAGACCTACAGTACCCCTTCTACAGCGATCAAGCTTCAATTTAGTTAAAGAATCCCTAATTAACTAATTAACCTCTTACAGAAGAAGTAGTCGAATCAATGAAAACCCTGGATTTCTCCAAACATTCTCAAACATTTTTCACATTATCCAATTATTCGGAAAATGATTGGAAAGAACCAGAAGGACTCCGCCGGCTATCGCCGGCTCCTCCTTCTGGGTTGTTGCGGCTTCGCGCTCAGTATTCTTTTGATGAACAGTTTGCTCTGAATTCCTGTTAGGAAACCTATCTGACTCTTTAATGAAATCACGAACAAAGATTTTTGAGACGATTTTTCTGATGACACAGACGTTTGGCAAAACGAAAATTCAAGCACTGACCCTTTTTTGTTAATATATACGGATTCATTTTTGTATGTGCCTCAAATTGAAAAAGAAGAAGCTCCTGTTCCCGTCAAACTTCACTATTTGACCAAGTGAAAAACTAAACTTGGACAGTGTTGTGAAACCACAAATTTTTCAATAACCAAAAATATGAAACGGCTTTTTTAGCGGCTGTTCCTGAATCTTGATAGATTAAAATTCTATGGGGTTGTCAAATATTCTCAAATAAACTGACTACTCAAGTTATACATTTTTGTTATAGCGATATGGCTTATGGTTGTCGTTAGCATCTGTTGAAAAATCCAAAAATTAGCAATAGTAAAAACACACTTCGGCCAAAATCGTGGTTTCCACAATAAAAATTGTACGCTAACTTTTTACAGTACAAAAATTGTGAATTTTTCAGTTTTTGTCCTCTAAAAATTGTGATTTTTCAATTTTTGACCTGTAAAAACTTAAATTCAGATTTTTCAAAAAATTGTACTCTGGCCAGCCACGGCTTGGCCGAGGCGTGAGTAAAAAGTGACATTTTGCCGCTTTTTGAAGAAGGTTAGGACGGCGTCTGTGTCATCAGAAAATACGATTCAAAAATCATTGTTCGTAGTTTCATTAAAAGGTTAGATAGGTTTCCTAACAGGAATTCAGAGCAAACTGTTCATCAAAAGAATACTGAGCGCGAAGCCCCGACAACCCAGAAGGAGGAGCAGGCGATAGCCGGCGGAGTCCTTCTGGTAATCAACCTAACGTGGCCAAAAATCCTGGTATCTAGATCCCGTCTAAATTTTTAAAGAATATTTGCTGCATGTCCTCTGATTTCATTGGAATCATAAAGGTTAGGCTAGTCCATTACTGTAAAACGCTGGGGCTGATTTTTCTCGTCTCTCTTCTCATTCATCCCGAAAAAGAAACGTATGAACTTCACAGTTTTCTTGTCTAAGGTTTAACCGAAACTCACAACAGAAGTTCATAAACCGTCTTGGAATCATTTCAAACCATTATTGATCTGAAGTTTCAAATAACTGATAAAAATTTCCACAGTAGTTAACTCACTTTGTTTTCTATTAATTCAGCCAACCGATTAGGAAGAAGCTATCATCCAGAAATGACTCAAAATATTCAGCTTCTTCAGAAAATAGAACGATCAGATAAGAAACGTGTCCTTTAATTTTTTTTTTTTGAATAAAAACGTGATCATTCTTTTTTACATGAAAAAAGTTTTGATTTTTCACGTGAAAACTCGCGCACTTTTCGAAAAACAAAATATTAGCGCATCGATGGGAAAGAATTTGGGATCGAATGGTGAAGGTCTCATGAAAAACGGACTTCTGGGGACAGAGCAATCTCGAGTGGAACATTTTGAAATCAAAAAATACATTGATTTTTCTGACTCTCTTGAAACTTTCAACTCTCCGCGCACTCACAGAACCTTAATCAAAAATCCAAGAAAAATACCTCGAGGTGCCATGCAAAGCTATCTTTTCTTTTTTTGATCATCAATTTTTATGAAGTGGAAGCTGAGAACGGGCTCTGGACACACTATTTTCCGAAAAGCATGTTTCCAATTAGTATATAGTAGAAGTAGATTGTGGAAATCTGGATTGGTTCGAATCACGGAAAACGGATTAATGGAGATCAAGGTATTCAAGGGAAATCGCGCGGATTTTTCGTTTTTCTTGAAATCTGATTCGAATATTGAAGGAGGTTATAAATTGTTGAGATTTGTTATGTATTAGGAATAAAGGTTTTTGAGAGTTAGTCTAAATTACTGAACGGGGGGGGGGTCGGCGGGGGTCTCCCCCGCCAACCTTCAAAAATACAAAACTGCGATTTCGCTAACGTGGAATAGAGGATAAAATCAATAATCTGATTTTCCCAATGTTTTAATGCAATTTCTCCATCAATCTATTCAAAAACCATATTGATTCCAAAAATTTATCACAAACAACCATGAAAAACGTCCTTGTTGTATTGCTCATATTAATTTCCCTTCAACTAGTCTCTAGTCTAACCCAACTTCAAGAATCTGCCCGAGGATTTCTAACATCCCTATATGAACATGTCAAGTTTCGAGACCCTAAAATATTCCACCAAGATTACCAAGAGATCAAAAAAGGTGTGCTGATTGGGAATTATGGTAAGTCAAGTCAAATATTCTGTTTAAAAAAAATCAATATTTTCAGATGGTGCTGTTGAATTTATGAAGAACCACAGCAACGCGGAAAATCAACATTTCTCCGAGATTTTTAAAAAATTTCAGAATTATTCAAATTCGCAGTGGGAAACCTATTTCAAATCCTGTAATCTACAAGAATCAGGAAATTTTCTAGAAATCCAGAAAAATTGGATTTTGCTTGGAAAATCGGACTCGAGAATTAAAGGAGGTTATAAATTAATAAGGGAAATTTATTTTTGAATAAAAAAAATTGAAATTCTGGCACCAAAAAATAAAAACGTGACCCAAAAAATGCCAACATCAAAAACAAAAAACAAAAAAAAATAAAAAAATAAAGATCCAAAGTGAGAAAAGGTCACTATTTCTGATTTGTATACAACTAGCAAGTGGTTTTAGTTTTTTAAGGGATCAAAACAAGAAAAGGTGAGTACTGTAGAAGGGGTACTGTAGATACAGTATGCCTTGGGTTACTGTAGATACCAGAGGAGGGATCCGAAGGGTCCCTAAAAAGGGGGGTCGGCGGGGGTCTCCCCCGCCAACCTTAAAAAAGTACTGTAGAAGGGGTACTGTAGATACAGTATGCCTTGGGTTACTGTAGATACCAGAGGTGGGACCCGAAGGGTCCCTAAAAAAGGGGGGTCGGCGGGGGTCTCCCCCGCCAACCTTAGAAAACAGTACGGTAGGGTGCCTACAGTAACCCACTTTTGTAAGGTTGCCGGGGGAGACCCCCGCCGACCCCCCTTTTTCAGGACCCTCCGGGTCCTCTCGAATACTGGGGACCATCCTAACCATTCTTCCAGATCTCAAAAAATGTCCGAATGTCCCGGCGCTGAGCCAGTTCAATCAATGTCCCCCAATTTCGGGGGCATTCAAGGCTTCTACAATATAGCCAAAGGAATTTCCGATAGTCTTCAGAAGCTGCCAACCGATAAAATGTACCGCGACCTCAAAAACGCGATTTTCGCCAACTCGGAAGGCGACACCAAAGCGGCTGTGGAGAATATGGTGAAAGACCAAAGTGGGCCCATGATTTTCTGGTCCCTCGGGATTCTTTTCATCCTCCTCGCTCTCATACTTATCGTAACTTCCATCATTCTACAATGTTGTTGCGCGTGTTTCAAACCGAAACCGAAAGAGCTCAAAAAACGCAAGACTTGCGGATTCATTTTGCTGGGATTCCTGGTGATTTGCCTGGTTTTCTTGATGACTGGTGTGATTTTGTATAATATGGCACAAGCGGATTTGTCGACTGGAATTGCGGATGGCGATAAGTATACGGATACATTGTCGGGAGGTGAGTTAGCACAACTAGACCCTGATAGAGGTACTGAGTGTTCTTGTGGTTAGCAGAACCTTGTGGTGAGAGATAAGCCTGGGCCCAGGGGCCGCTTCCTGGCAGCTTTGCGGAAGCTCGGCAGCAGCTTCGCGAAATATACCCGGCCGCTTCGCGGAAGCTTGCGGTGATTGGGAAAGACTTGCGGAGAAGCCCAAGCAAGTTCTGAAGCTAGACCCAGAGCCGCTTCGCGGGAGCTTGCCGGCCGCTACGCGGAAGATTCCGGGGCGCTTCGCGCAAGCTTGCATCATGTCATAAGGCTTATACGTTAGCCTAACATCTTCATATAGTTATGACGTGGCAAATCTACTCCTGGTATGCCATCAGAATTTTCAAGACACAAATTTGACTTGGCCTAACTCTCCAGCCTTCTTTATCACATGATTTGCCACGTCATAACACCCCCCCCCCTTCCCTGGGGGCCCCTACACATACTTTTTTTTAAGTTGGCGGGGGAGACCCCCGCCGACCCCCCTTTCCCCATTCGCCCCGTCATAACACCCCCCTCCCTTCCTCATTTACCCTAACTCACTCAATTTCCAGACCTGTCTCGCGTGCTCACCAAAGGAAATGCTCAAATCAAGTGCGAATTGCAAAAAACCACCGACACCATGTTTGACGATCTGAAAAATCAAATGAAAAGTTACGCCAAAACGGTTATTGATGGAACAAAGAAGCAGACTGGATTTCAAGCTCTTCATGATGTGGGTTTCATTAAAAAGCTTTAATTATGGCTTAAATCCAGGAAAAAACACACAAAAAATGAAAAAAAAATTTTTTTGAAAAAAAATAAAAGTAAAACAACGATACTCCGCAATCCCGTTGCATTTTCGTGTATTTCTCCCGGACAATATTGATTTTTTTTTTCGTTTTTGCGCGGTTTAAAAACGTTTTTAGGGCTTTTGAGCATTTCTAAGGGTTTGCGTGAAGCTTGACACAGCTAATGTAGTGCTACAGTAGACTTTTAGCAGGCGCGAAGCGAGTTTTACCTGAAAATAAAGGGAAAATTGCCGTTTTTTCGTAAATTAGACCGATTTTTTCAGTTCGACTCAGCTGCATATAATCAACAACTTGATGACACCATTAACAAAGGTCAAGCTCTTTGGGATATACTCAGCAGAACCACTGGATCTTCACAATGTTCACAGATGATTCCGATTTTCACCAACAAAATCGGCCAATCTATCAAACTGAATTTGCAAGCTTTCCAAGGAATTGCAACTGTAGTATCCGGTGAAATGTCCAAAGCCAGTGAAAAATTCGACGAAGTTCAAAGGGATGTTCAAACGCACGCTGATTCGGCCGCCAATCAAATGGGAACAACACAGATTGACATCAAGAGTAGCTTGGATTCGATGGATGTGAGTTTCTTTCTGGAATCTCTGAAAATTCTGAATTTTTTTGCAGACAATGATTGGAGATTTGGATCGTGATATGAGTACAGTTATTGATGAGGTCAAGACTGGCAGAAAGGAGTTTGAACCGGTGAGATTTTTGGGAGCAAACGCGCTCCACCGAAATGAACACGCAACGCGGACCGCGTCGCGGTCTACGTTGAAAAGGGGGGTTGGCGGGGGTCTCCCCCGCCAACCTTAGAAAAAAAACCTACAGTAATTTTTTTTAAGGTTGGCGGGGGAGACCCCCGCCGACCCCCCCCCCTTTTTAGGGATCAAAACAAGAAAAGATGATTACTGTAGAAGAGGTACTGTAGATAATTCGGTACAGTATGCCTTGGGTTACTGTAGGCACCAAAGGTGGGACCCGAAGGGTCCCTAAAAAGGGGGGTCGGCGGGGGTCTCCCCCGCCAACCTTACAAAAAACCTACAGTAATTTTTTAAGGTTGGCGGGGAGACCCCCGCCGACCCCCCTTTTAAGGGACCCTTCGGGTCCCACCTTTGGTACCTTAGCGTTAGAGCGCATTTGCTCCAACATACCTTGTTTTGTAGCTAATAAATCCCAATTTTTCCAGACATATGACTCGATTTCATCAGTTCTCATCATATTTGTCAATATCCCAGCCACAATCATCATTGTCTTCCTCATAATCACAATAATTTTGATAATTCTCAAAACAACCATCGGAAAATCATTGGGCAAGTGTGGAAATCTCATCGTCATCATTGGATTCTACATCACCGTCATCCTCTCAATGCTCCTGATCTTGATCTCAAGTTTGGCATTCATCGGAGGCTGGGGTGTCTCATCGATTTGTGTGCCGATTTTTGAGGATTCCACGAATCGCCTCTTCAATTTGATTGAATTTGCCACGCCCGAATTTGATGGGAAGAAGGGTCCTGTTGTGAATGCTGGAAAAGCGATGGATGTTTGCAGTTCGGAATCGGGAACGGTTTTTGGAGCGATTGGTGGGCAGAGTTTCCTTTCGCTCAAATCTATCAACGAGAAACTTGATCTGAATTCTTATAAGAGCCAGGCAGAACAGAAGATCAAAGCTAGTATTCCACCCATATTCAGTGTCCCCACCAACACACTCCACACTCAACTAACATCTGTAGAAGGCGATTTCACTGCGCTCAAAGATCAAGATCTCAAATCAGCGTGTAATGTGGATCCTTCGGAATATTTGACGGCACTTGAGATTAGTGTTCAGCAAAGTAGAGGATATTTGGGACTTATTGATGCGCTTAATGATAATGTTGGAAGAGCCAAAGAGATTACTGTCGGTTTAAATGCGGCCGAATTTGATAAAGCGCAAGGGATTATTGAGACATCGGTCAAGAAGTTGATTGTGAGTTTTTTTGGGGGATCGAAATTTGCTACAAAATGAGATACAGTACTCTGGGGTTACTGTAGAATCAGCCCTTGAGGATTCTCTACAAAATGAGGTACAGTAACCCTGGGTTACTGTGGAATTTAATTGAGAAAAAACTTTCCAAAACAAAATTATCAATAGAGCGCACTTGAACAACATCGGATTTTTTCTTCCTAGGAAGTTCTAGGTTCATTTTGAAGCTCTTGAAATTTGCTACAAAATGAGATACAGTAATCTAGGGTTACTGTAGATCAATCCAATTTGTAGCCCTTGAGATTCTCTACAAAATGAGGTACAGTAACCCTGGGTTACTGTGGAATTTAGTTGAGAAAATGCGTTCTAATGCAAATGATTGAATTTCTATTGTTTTTTGAAGATTGCTCAGGTTAACGGTGAAATTTAGCTGAAGTCAAGTACACCATTTTGAAGCCCTTCAAATTCTCAGGTTACTGTAGATTGATTTCAGTAGAGCGCACTTTCTCATTTTCCAAGATTCCTAGGTTTATTTCGAAATACCCCTGAGCTACAGTATGCTAGGGTTACTGTATAAAATCCCGAATACGGTATCATTTTGTAGCCCTTGAAACGTTCTACAACACTCCGCAATTACGCTCCAAATTCTTTGCAGAACAATCTCGAAACGATCGATTTCAAATGTCGTCCAATTGTCCAAATCTACCATAACCTGGGCCATGTGATTTGTCAACAATTTGGTCAACCAATTCACGGCCTTTGGGCCGCCATAGGCCTAACTGGACTTGTCGCATTTTTCGCCGCTATCCCGCTGCTTTTGGCGTATCGTTGGTTGAAAACACCCGAACCTGATTCGGATAATGAGAAGGATAAGGAAAAGGAGAAGGAGAAGGAGAAGGATGAGAAATCGGTAGGCCTTTTTTCAATTAGGCCTAAGCCTAAGCCTGAAAGCCTAAGATCAAGCCTAACCTTCTAGTGTTAAGCCTAAACTTAACCCTAAAGTTTTGACTAAGCCTAAGCTTATGCCTAAGAAATTGGCCTTAAAATTAGGCCCCAATAAAATCAGGCCTGAAATTAAGCCTAAGGTTTTGGCTAAGCCCAAGCTTATGTCTAAGAGTTCAGCCTTAAAATTAGGCCCCGATAAAATCGAACCTGAAAATAAGCCTAAGGTTTTGGCTAAGCCTAAGCTTATGCCTAAGGAATTGGCCTTAAAATCAGACCTGAAAATAAGCCTATGAATTTGGTTAAGCCTAAGCCTATGAAGAACTTGAGTTAGCCTAAGTCCGGGCCCAAATCTAACTAATTTAAATGGGCCTTAGCCTAAGAGATCTGGTTAAGACTAAGCCTAAGGTTTTGGCTAAGCCTAAGCCTAAGGTTTTGGCTAAGCCTAAGAATTCAGCCTTAAAATTAGGCCCCAATAGAATCAGGCCTGAAAATAAGCCTAAGATTTTGGTCAAGCCTAAGCCTATTGCTAAGCCTAAGAGTTCAGCCCTGAAATTAGGCCTCAATAAAATCATGCCTGAATGTAAGCCTAAGAGATCTGGTTAAGCCTAAGCCTAAGGTTTTGGCTAAGCCTAAGAGTTCAGCCTTAAAATTAGGCCCCAATAAAATCAGGCCTGAAAATAAGCCTAAGGTTTTGGTTAAGCCTAAAAAATTGGCCTTAAAATTAGGCCCTAATAAAATAAGCTTAAGAGTTTGGTTAAGCCTAAGCTTATGCCTAAGAGTTCAGCCTTGAAATTAGGCCCTAATGAAATAAGCCTAAGAGTTTGGTTAAGCCTAAGGTTTAAGCTTAAAACCGTCTAGCCCAATTCCCAGCCTTAAACTTAGCCTAACTCTAATTTTTTCCAGGGCAAAAATAAAGGAAAAGGCTCCAAAAACAAGAAAAAAGCCAAAGAAGAGGAGAAGAGCAAAGAAAAAGACAAGGATATCGAAAAATCGAACAAAGAGCACGTTGATGACGTGGCAGATGACGGAAAAATGCCACGTGTCAACGCGGAACAAGCGGAAGAAGGCGCGGAACCGAAAGCCGCTGCTGAGCCACCAAAACCAGCCACTCCACAAAATTTGTCCAAATCCAAAGAAAGCGACAAATCTCAACACAGTCAAACATCCCTTAAGAATAAGAAGAATTAGGCCCGGCCTGGCCTCATTTTCAGGCCCGTTTTACTCGATTTTGGCACTCTGCCAACCCACTTTTTGTCGTATTTTCGCCTTATACTTGTGTATGTGTGCCTTGAATGAATCTTTTTTACGGGACACTGAAATTTGCTACAAAATGAGGTACAGTAAGCTAGGGTTACTGTGGAAGTTTGGATTCGGGTACTGTAAATCTACAGTATTCCAGGGGGCCCGAAGGGCGCCCTAAAAAGGGGTCGGCGGGGGTCTCCCCCGCCAACCTTTAAAAATAGCATGAAGCCTTGCGGAAGCTTCCGGAAGCTTCCGGAAGCTTGCGGAAAATCAATCAATAATTATTTATTACTCTTATTATAAATACATTATTACTCATGCTCCTTTTTAACCCTAATATTTGTTGGGTAAAATCACATCAATCATATTCATAAAGAATTCAGCAGTAGCTGGAAGATGTCCATTTTCCTCAAAACCTCCCACAATTTCCCTGATCTTTCTTTGCATTCCACTAGCAAATTCCAAAAATGTATGAGACAATGTGTTAGTCTTCACAACATTATGACACGATGTGTAGATGTTGTCCACAATCAAATCGCCAGTTTCAGTCATTGGTGAGAACACGCCAGTGTGATAAAGGGTTTTGCGGGAGGTGACGTATTTCGGGATGATCTCCTGATCTTCTTGAATCATGAGACAATCTCCAATTTTGATATCTTCAGCGTAAACAAGTTCCAAATCTTTGTGTCCAACACAATCACTTTTATATATAAAATGTTGAGGGGTAAGTTCGATGATTTTTCCATCTTCAGTTTCCAATTTAATAAAAGCCGCTTTGGTTTCTGGCAACCTGTGGAGCCAATTTGTCACCTTTGTATACACCATTTTTCCAGAATCTTGAGTTAGAACTTTATCTCCGATTCTCAATTCTTCCATTGATTTAATACCTTCAGATGTTTGCACCTTAGCTTGAGATGTGAAACAAGCTGGGACTCCCGAAGCGACTGGATAATAATATCCGGCTGAGGTGACTGGGACAACTTGCTCGCCGACTTGCACGAATTGTTCGGTTTCGCCGGCTGGAACATCGGATGGAGGTTGAGCGTAGGTATTTGAGGCGTCGTCGTAGGCATTTCCTGGCGCCAGACGTTGGTCGGACTGCAAAAAATATTTTATTTTTTGGAGTTAGCTGAAGTCGAGGTTTGCTTTAGAATGCGCTAGGCTTGAGCTTAAGCTTTAAAGGAACATCCTGATTTTGGTTCGGGTCTCGTTGCGAAAATTGGACCTACACGCAAAATGACCGGAATTTGTTGATTTTTCTGATTTTTGGGAGCATGTCCCTTTAAATTTCGCAGAAATATACGAATTTTAAGATTATTCGAATTTTTGAGCTGAAAAATTCCAAGTGGCTAAATTTTCGAAAAAAAAATGAAAATTTTGATGCTGGAAAATCCACGTGGCGGAATTTTCAGAAGAAAAATCTAGAATTTTATAGTCAGAAAATCCACGTGGCAAAAATTTTCAATGAAAATTTTTGAGTTAAAAATCCACGTGGCAAAAATTCCACAAAAATCTGGAATTTTTTATAGTGCAAAAAATGCCACGTGGCTGTTGTTTTAGCTTAAAAATAATTGAAAATTAAAATTTTTAAGCCTCCAAAAATCCACGTGGCAAAAATTTCAAAAAAAAAATCTGGAATTTTTTATAGTCTGAAAATCCACGTGGCAAAATTTTTTGAAAATCGAAAATTTTGATGCTGGAAAATTCACGTGGCAAAATTTCCAGAAAAAAATCTGGAATTTGTTGAAGTGAGAAAATCCACGTGGCAAAAATTCTACAAAAATTCAGATTTTCAGCCACGTGGCAAATTCTGTTTTAGCTGAAAAATAATTGAAAATTCAAATTTTTATCCTTTAAGAATCCCACGTGGCAAAAATTTTCAAAAAAAAAAAAATCTGGAATCTTTTATAGTCAAAATTCCACGTGGCAAAATTTTCAGAAAAAAAATCTGGAATTTTTTATAGTCAAAAATCCACGTGGCAAAAATGTCTGCAAAAATCCAAATAATTCCGAGGCCAGAAAATCCACGTGGCAAAATTTTCAGAAAAAAATCTAGAAATTTTTATAGTCAGAAAATCCACGTGGCAAAAATTCCACAAAATTCCACAAATGTGAGGCCAATAAATCCACGTGGCAAGCTCTGGACCTCAGCCTAAGTTTTCCGTCCAACCTCATCCTAGACGCGGCGCTTTGCGGAAGATTCCGGAGCGGAATCTTCCGCCCCCCCCCCAAAACTCACCACAATCTCATTAGTCTGTACTCCACTAGCCGAAGAAGTATCTCCAACCTTTTCCAAAATTCTGCCAATTTCTCTTCTCACATCAAATGCCACATCATTCTCTTGTTCACTTGGATTCGGCAAACAATTCATTCTCGTCACAGTCAATTCATAACCAACACTTCCATCTCGATTCGAAATCTTTCGAATATTCGAAATCGCATCGAAACCCGTCTGTCTTCCATCTCTCAACACTTCTCCACCCGAATACACTTCGCCTGAATGAACTACTGGTCGACCGACTTCACTGGAGTGTTTGAGACCGTTGTAATGACAGCATTGGAGGGCAAGATCTCCTTGATCATCGGCTTCGAATCCGCCGACCCATGTCATTGGATTTGTGCAAGATGTTGATGAGAAACCGGTTGGGCAGCGGGCTTGTTGGGAGGGGGCATCTGGGAAGCGGGTGCGGGGATGGGAGAGGTCGCCGTCGCGGAAGAAACCATCGTCACCATCTGGGCTGGACTGCAAAATTGAATTTTTTTTTATTTTTCTACGTTTTGAGCAAGTGCGCTCTGTTGATAAACAGGTTTTTCTTTGTGAAAATCAGATTTTTTGAATTTTTCACAAGTGTGCTCTATTGATAAATATAAATTCTTAAAAAATTCGAATTTTTGAGCATGTGCGCTCTATTGACAAATTTCAAAGAGTATAGAAAATTTGAATTTCTTTTTTTTTTTACAATTTTCCTATATTCTTTTCATTTATTCGACTACACTCTAGTCTTGAAAACCACTCTAAAAATCAAATTTTCAATGAAATTTTCAAGTGCGCCCCATAGACAAAATATCGGATTCTTGAAAAATTCGAATTTTAATCCCTCGCACCACAAATTTTTGAAAATTCAAAAATTCTGCTCAAAACTCACATCAAAAACCGCATCGTGCTCAACTTCCATTCCACCCATTCCCGAACCGAAACAAACTGGCGAAGCGCATCCCAAAACCGGTTTTCCGGACGGCAAAACCTCGAAGCGGAATGGGATTCCCGAATTTCCGCAACTCGCCGAGCAATAAACAGATGCGACCAAAAAACTAGACACAATCAGCAAGTCTCGCATCTTCGGCTAATTTGATTCGACGAAAATGATTGGGGAAAGGTGAATTATGAGTGGGAGGGATTAGCTGCTTTCCATGATAAACCAGAAAAAAATCCGGGCAATGATTTGACCTATTTTGAAACAAAGAGAGAAGATGAGACAATAGCGCTTGTTTATAGTGATAACGGATATTTATGCGCGATTTCACTTTTCTGCCAAGGGGTTTTTGATGCGGGGGAACACGATTATCATATTGAATAGTTGCGTGGAGTTCGTTTTCCTAACGAAAACCCGGAAAAACAAAAAAATCAAAAAAAAAAAGAAATATTGTCCAAGAGAAGTACACAATGTGTGCGGTGGAGCGCACAAAGTGCATTTGACGAAATTTATTTTTTCTTTTTTTTGCGCGTTTTTCACCTAAAACTCAGGTTTTTGCAGGTTTTCATGGTTTCGAAGCGTCCCAACAATGAAGAATTTGTCAGAAAAGAGCCTAAGGTGAAAAAGGCAAAAGTATTCGATTTCCTAGCTTTTCCAAAACGAAAAATCGCCCTGCAATTCTTCTATTTCGGTTGGGAATATGATGGATTGGTGCAGCAGACGAATACAAATAATACAGTGGAACATCATTTGATGGAAGCGTTGCTGAAGACACATTTGATTGAGAATTGGCAGAAATGCGATTTTTCACGATGCGGGAGAACGGATAAAGGCGTTTCGGCTTTTAAGCAAACTGCCGCGCTTATTGTGAGGTTTATTTTTGATTTTTTTCACTTTGCAGCTTTTCGGAAGCTTCAAAATGACAGAAAATTGAATTGCATTTCTTTCCAGATCAAACATTTATAACCCTGAAATGCTAGAAACATTCTGGGACCCCGAAACTCCCGAAGAAGTCCAAGAGAACTACAAAAATCGAGAAGAGGAGCTCAATTATATCAAAATGCTCAACGGAGTGTTGCCCAAAACAATTCGGGTATTCAGATGGGCGCCCGTGGGTAAAGATTTCAACGCAAGGTTTCAATGTACCCGTAGATCTTATAAGTATGCTTATCCGAAGGCTGAAGATTTGAATTTATCGAAAATGCGAGATGCTGGATCAAGATTAGTTGGCGAGCATGATTTCTCGAATTTCTGTCAAATTGATATGAATAAATTGCGGCTCGAACAATCATACATTCGAAAAATCTATGCGGTTTCCATTGAAGAGGTCTCGCTGGGAATGCTTCAGATTACGGTGGATGGAAGCGGCTTCTTATGGCACATGATTCGATATATTGTGACGATTTTGAATGAGGTTGGAAGAGGGAATGAGGAACCGCAGATTGTGACGGAGATGTTGGATTTGTCGAAATTCCCGTGTCGACCACAATATACACTGTCTTCTGATACACCGCTTTGCCTTTTTGATTGTCGATATGAAAATTGTGAATTGGAATGGAGAACTGATGAAGTTGTGATGAATTCGACGATTGCCATGATACAGAAACAATGGGCCATTTATCAAGCAAGGTCTGGGATTTTTTCCGGAAGGTTCCGCGTGGATTGCTATCACGTGGATTTTCCACGTCATAGCAATCTTTCGCGAAGCAGCACTATCTTCCGCGTGAAAATATAGATTGTGGCCGTGGCCGCTAAAGCGGAAGATAGTGCCGCTTCGCGGAATTTTCCGGTTTACACTCGCTACGCTCGAATTTCAAGCCAGATTCTGAAATATCTGATAAAAATCTGAAAAACTGGAGGAATTCCAGCATTTTTCAGATTTTTATCGAAATTTTAGCGGAGATGCGGAAGCTATGCCCAAATTTCGAGCGAAGCGAGTGTAAACCGGAAGCTTCCGCGAAGCGGCACTGTCTTCCGCTTCAGCGGCCACGTGGTTTACTATGATATGGCAAAAGTCATAATAATCCGCGTGGCCGCTAAAGCGGAAGATAGTGCCGCTCCGCGGAAGCTTGCGGTGTACACTCGCTTCGCTCGAACCTCCAAGTTCTCTTCTGAAATATCTGATAAAAATCTGAAAAACTAGAGAGAATCTAGCATTTTTCAAATTTTTATTGGAATTTCAGCGGAGATGCGGAAGCTATGCTCAAATTTTGAACCGGAAGGTTCCGCGAAGCGGCACTATCTTCCGCACGTGGATTACCACGACGTGGAATTATTGTACTGCAGATTTTCCACGTCATAGCAATCCGCGTGGCCGCTAAAGCGGAAGATAGTGCCGCTTCGCGGAATTTTCCGGTTTACACTCGCTTCGCTCGAACAAATTCTGCAATATCCGATAAAAATCTGAAAAACTGGAGAAATTCGAGAATTTTTCAGATTTTTATTGGAATTTCAGCGGAGATGCGGAATCTATGCTCAAATTTTGGACCGGAAGGTTCCGCGAAGCGGCCCTATCTTCCGCAAGTGGATTGCTATGACTTGGAAATATTGTACTGCAGGTTTTCCACGTCATAGCAATCCGCGTGGCCGCTAAAGCGGAAGATAGTGCCGCTTCGCGGAATTTTGCGGTCTACATTCGCTTCGCTCGAATTTCAAGTCACATTCTGAAATATCCGATAAAAATCTGAAAACTGGAATTTTCAGCACAAATTATGGGACGATTCAGTAACTATAAACTAGTTTCTGAATCATCCCATAATTTGTGCTGAAAATTACAGCATTTTTCAGATTTTTCTTGGAATTTCAGCGGAGATGCGGAAGCTATGCCCAAATTTTGAATTTTTCCCAGAAACCTTTGGATTTTTGCAGATCTCAAATGATGGAAAATATGATGGGAGAATTGTCAAGCCTAACTTCAAGCCTTGATCCAAATAAGGCCCTTCATGAATTTGTCCAAGATCGTCCGATTCCTCAGAATTATGTGAAATTTGCGAATCGACCGAAATGTATAAGTTTGACAGCGAAGAGAGAAAGATTGGCTGAAATTGAGAAGTCTGAAGTTTAGGTCTGAATTTTGGGCTGGAAATGGGCCTGAAACGGCCTACTTTTGGCCTAGACTCAGGCCTAAGGTAGGCCTGAATTTAGCCTAAATCCAAGCCCAGTTATTGTTTTTGTTAAATATTTATTTGTTAATTAAATTATTGATTTTATTCAAATATTATTTTTGCTATAATTTCAGATGTTTTCCATACATCTTTATATATTTTTCCACGTATTTTCAGCTCTGGAATTTCAGATTTATCATATTTTCAGTCAAATTATGAGCCGAAGAAAATTACGGGTCGTGGAATACGACAGGGATTTTATCAATTATGAAGGTGGGTGATTTTGGGAGTGGGAGCGGGAAATTTCAATTTTTGAGGTCAGGAACTTGAAAATCATGAAATTTGGGCTGAAAATCTGGAAATTTCAAATTTTTTAAGGTCTGGGACCAAAAATTCACTGTATTTTACCTGCCTAAAGCTAAAGTTGTCAAATTTTTCATGTCAAGACCAAAAAACCACTTTTTCACCTACCCAAGCTCAAAAATCTCGAAAAAGCACGGTATTCTACCTACCTAAAGCTAAAGTTGTCAAATTTCCATGTCAGGACCAAAAAATCACTATTTTTCACCTTCCCAAGCTCAAAAATCCAATTTTTTCCAGATAACAATGAAATTCGAAGATTCATCGCCACAATCGAGGAAATCTATCGATTAGCCCGAAAACCCGAAAATTGGCCCGCTGGATTTTTGGACGAAAAATCCGAAAAAGTTTGGCGAAAAGAATTGAACTTGTATTTCGAGGAAATTGGAGCGAATTCGCACTCGAATTCCACGAAAATCGATTTTGTGCTGAATTTGGCTATTGAGAAATTGTATGAGAATTCGGATGAGGCCAGGAATTTCGGATTTGCTGAGATGAAACGAAGATCGGAAGAATTGATGGAGAAACAGAGGGATTCACAGAATCCATTGAATAGAATTGATTGTAAGCATTTTTGGGGATTGGGAGGGGAAATTGTGCGAAAATTCGGATTCTCGATGATTTTTCCTGAATTTGGGCCTAAACTTAGGCCTCAATTCGAGTCTGTAATTGGCTTGAATTTAACCTGAATTTGGGCCAAATTCAGGCTTTCAAAACAAAAATATCCAAATCCTTTATTTGTTAGTACACATGAAATCGTTTATCTTTGATGGTCAAATGAATATGATAATTGTCGAGTCTTACAATATGCTTTAGATCATTCCACTTTTTCGATTCTCGTTGAAATGTCCAAAATGGAAAAGAATCATCTCGCGACTCGCGCATTATTATCGCATATTTTCCAATAACTTGCGCCAAATCCTCCAAACTTTTCCTGCTTTTACCCACTTGAATGCATTTAATTTCCACAGTCTTATCAACTTCCTCTTCAACTAAAAAACGTCGCAAAATATTGTCATAATCTTCAAGAGTAAATATTGGATCTCGCAATTCTCGCATTGTTGCTTTGATGTTGATGTTGAAAAAATAATCGAGTGAATTATAATTCGGAATACAGACACTTTCTCGAAATCGACAAATTGTATCGAAATCCACGAATCCAGATCGAATCGGATCAATTCCATAATCATTTTCAATTAGTAACAGTTCTTTCAAATTTTTGCCATTCAATTCACGAATATTCGTTTGATCATAAGGAAAAGTTTGCTGAAAACAAGAAAATAATTAATAATTGTTATCGCAACTCAAAACTGCCTTTCCAACTGGATAGCTGTCTTTAAAAACTCACATTGCAAATTAGAATATCCTCCAAACTTTTCTTGTTCTTCATCACAAAATGATTAAAATACATCACAATGACTTCATTCGGTGTTTTATTCTCAAATGTTTTTTCCATAATTATTTCTCCATAACATTGCCAATTAACTAAAACATCACCATTTTTCAATGGTAATATTCCGAACAACCACCTAACGTATCCTTCCGCGTTCGCTGATAACTTAATAGTATTATATTCTGACGAGCAGTCACGGTGTATCATAATCTCTTCAATAAAATTTCGACTTTCAAGAACTTCTTCACAACAATCTTCGGAACATTTTGCGAGTTTCGCATTTGTTCTAGGGTCCATCAAATCAATTATCATTATTCTGATATCATATGGTAGATCAAACCATCCATACTTATTCTTTGGCTCAATCTTCTTGATTGTCTCATTTTGTGATTTGATTTGAGAAAAACACGATCCCATTTTTGTAGGCGAACAAATTCGAAAAATGACTGATTTCTCATGGCATTTCACGCAGTGTTTACGTTTTTTATTTAAAATTTTTAAGGATCGCTAAGTTTTTTTTAAGAATTAACAAAAGAATTTTGCCTAAAGAACGTTTCGAAAAAATCAAAAATCTTTATTTGACACAACAAATTTAAAAACGAAATTGAAGCACAATATACAAATACTATTGTACTACACGATGAGTGACGAACATCGTAAAATAAAAGTCGTCCAGAATAATACTGTAATCTAGATCATTCCACTTTTTCGATTCTCTCCTAAACATCGAAATAATTCGCGTGTCAGACAATGTTTCCGTATATTTTTTGACAACTTCCCTCATGCCATTCTTCCCATTTTTCTCACAACCAATTTTAATACCATCGACATTTCCCTCAAGTTCTTCTTCAACTAAGCAACGTCTCAAAAATTCGTCAAATAGCTCTAGATTAAATATCGGATTTCCTAAATATCGATTTCTTGATTTTATTTTGAAAAAATAATCGAGTGGATTATAATCGGGAATATTGACAGTGTCTTGAAATCGACAAATTGTTTCGAAATCAACGAATCCAGATGAAATCGGATCAATTCCATAGGCATTTTCAAATAGTATCAGTTTCTTCAAATTTGTGCCACTCAAAACCAGGCATGTTCATTTCGCCGGCGAACGCCGGGCGTCGCCTTTTTTATTGAGGCGAAGGCGAGGCGTGCCTCTTTTTATTTTTCAACGCACAAGGCGAGGCGAGGCGCCGCCCGGCGATTCGCCGGGCGAGTTGCATTTTGCAAGTGAGAATAGATTAAATTTTCTTCGATTTTTTCATAAATTCGGTTGTCGGCGGGGTTTCAGCTACCTATTAGCAACATTTTCAATCAAGATTTTGCTTTAGTTTTCACTAAAAAGTATATTTGGAAAAGAAACAGCTATTTTTAGATGGAAAACATATCGTTCAAATGTTCTCATGTAACTGTAGGGCGATATATTTTTATTTCTAAGCTTACAAAAACATTTTGCTGAAATTGAATGTTTATAAATACAGTTTTTTCACAAATTGGGTAAAAAAACTAGGTTTTCAGTGAAAATGAATCTTTTCTTCACTTCTTTGACCTTAATAATGTGTTTCAGAAGAAATCTTAGCACATAACGTTAAAATATGAGTGAAATTATCACAATTAATCGTTTTTCATGCAAATAAATTACGATTCTTTATGAAACAGACAACACACACGCGTTTTCTCGCCGCGGCGAAGGCAGGCGAAGGCGAGGCGTGCTTTTTATTTTTTTTCGCAAAACAGGCGAGGCGTGCCTCGCCTGCACAAAACGTCGCCGGGCGAAAAGCAGGCAGGCAAAATGAACACGCCTGCTCAAAACACGAATATTTGTTTTATCATAGGGAAAATTGTGCTGAAAATCGAGATTTTTGATGAAAACTATGTTTTCTAGTAGTTTTCGCCCTTGTTAAAAATTGCAAAATTCAACTTCTAATATGAGTTATGACGTGGCAAAGTTTTGGTTTTCGTTAAAATCTAATAGTGAATCAATCGAACATCGCTATGCTATTAGATTTTAATAAAAACCTCCTGAAGTCTCAATTTTGCCACGTCATAGCTCATATTAGGAGTTGAATTTTGCAGTTTTTGACAGTGTGATCAGCGAAAAAATCAGTTCAACGTACTTTTTCTGAAATATCCGATAAAAATCTGAAAAACTGGAGAAAATCTAGGATTTTTCAGATTTTTATTGGAATTTCAGCTGAGATGCGGAAGCTATGCCCAAATTTTGAACCGGAAGGTTCTGCGAAGCGGCAATATCTTCCGCACGTGGATTGCTATGACTTGGAAATATTTTACTGCAAATTTTCCACGTCATAGCACTCCGCGTGGCCGCTAAAGCGGAAGATAGTACCGCTACGCGGAATTTTCCGGTCTGCACTCGCTTCGCTCGAACAAAATCTGAAATATCCGATAAAAATCTGAAAAACTAGAGAAAATCTAGCATTTTTCAGATTTTTATTGGAATTTCAGCGGAGATGCGGAAGCTATGCCCGAATTTCGAGCGCCGAGTGTGAACCACTGTAAACCGCGATTTCCGCCAGTTCAAACTCACTCACTGTGTAAATTTCAATAGACTTCAGACTTTTCTTATTCTTCATCACAAATTTTCGTTGTTTTATTCACAAATGTTTTCTCCGAAATAATTGTATCTTCAAATTCCCAACGAACTAGACAATTTATAAAAAATGATCGAATCATTTTGAATTTCCATATTTTGCAATTTGAAATCACTAGAATCTCAATAATTGCATCGTTGCAATAACGTATGTGAATTTCGTCAACATAATTTCGACTTAGCATAACTTCCTCACAACAATCTTCTGAACATTTCGATAATTTGGATTTTCCTTCAAGATCCAATGAATCGATTATAATTCGTCGCATATCGTATGGTAGACTAAACCATCCACGCTTTTCCGATTTCGGAGCCTTATTTTTGATTGCTCCAGTTTGGATTTGTGAAATTAACAAGCCCATTTTTTTGAAGACTGAAAAATGCCGTGTGATCTTGTAAGCATACGTCGACGTGGTGTTTCAAAGGTCAAAAATTTCTTTTTTTTTTTTGAAATCCTTAGAAAATAGTGCCCACTTTTAGGCCTTAAATTAGGCCCAAATTCAAACCTAGTTTAGCCTAAGTTTGGGCCTTGGAGATCAAGCCTAATTTTGCCCCAAATTATCCGAAAAATCCAGAAAATCTGCTCGTTTCTCCCTTTTTTCACCTCCAAAATCCCCTATTCTTCCAGATTCTTCTCCAAAATTCGCTGAAACCGCTCGTCTTCTCTGCTCACTTTTGGGCATTTCAACAACTCATCCCGATCCGAAAATCCTCCTAAAATCGGCTTGTTTGTACATTTGTGAGAATTTGAGCGAAGAAGTGCTGGAAAATTCGGATGGAAAGGAAAAAGTGAGGGTTTTGGGGAGGTTTTGGACAAAAATTGAGCTCGGAATGCTGAAAATATGAATTTTGAGCTTAAAATGAGCCCAGAACACTAAAAATTCCTAATTTTTAGGATTTTCATGCTCAAAATGAGCTAAGGAAGCAGAAAATTTGCAATTTCAAAATTCTGATCTTTGAAATAAGCACAGAACACTGAAAATTCCTTATTTTTGTGATTTTTAGCACAAAATGAGCACAGAAATCTGGAAATTCCGAATTTCTATGAATTTTGAGATTAAAATGAACCTAAATAGCTGAAAATTTCAAATTTTCCATGATTTTTGAGCTCAAATTGCTGAAAATGGAGAATTTTTGTGATTTTTGAACTCAAAATTATACTTCAAATCTGAAAATTTGACAATGTTTAGGCTCAAAGTGACCACTTAAAGCTGAAAATTTGCAATTTCAAGATTCTGATCTTTAAAATGAGCACAGAACACTAAAAATTCCCTTTTTTGTGACTTTTGAGCTCAAATAAGCCCAGAAAGCTGGAAAATTCGGACTTTTGTGAATTTTTAGTTGAAAATCAGCCCTGAAAGCTGAAAATGGGAAAATTCAAGATTCTTCACTGAAAATGAGCTCGAAAAACTGAAAAATCCAATTTTCATGATTTTTAAGATTAAAATAAACCTAATAATCTCAAAATTCCGAATTTTTAACTCAAAACATCCCCAGATCACTAAAAATTTCAGGATTTCAACCAAAATTAAAATTTTTCCAGAAAACCATACCAATTCGAGATTTTCCCCTGGGAATTGCCCCACCAAAATCAGGAAATGTGCATTTCTCGGCTCGAATTCTCAGGCTCATCAGCTTAAGACAATTACAAGAAGTTCAGCGGAAAATCAATGAAACTCTGGTGGAAATTCAAAATTTGACGATTGATTTTGGAAAAAAAGCAGATTTGAAACAAATTCAATATGGAAAATAAAGAATTTTGCGGGGATTTTGAGGATTTTTGTGATTTTTAAGAGGGTTTTGAGCCCCGAAATTGTATTTTTATTGATTTTTGATCCCAAAATCTTGATTTTCAGCCCGATTTTCAGCCAGCTTCTTCAAAATGGCCACCGCCGAAACTCGTCTTCGCCCAAATATCCTCATCACAGGCTCGCCGGGCACCGGAAAATCCACTTTGGGTCAACAAGTCGCCGAGAAATTGGCATTCGATTTTATCGAAATCGGAAAAGAGGTTCGAGAGAATCAATTGTATGAGGAATATGATGAACAATATAAATGTCATGTTTTGGATGAGGATAAGCTTTTGGATCATATTCAGGTAACTAGGGGGAAAATTATGCGGTGAAATTGCAAAAATGGGCGGGGCCTTGATTTTATGATCATTTTGATACTAAATACTATTAGATTTCATAGAAAAACTATTGTAAAAAAAGTGGGCGGGGCTTAATTGTGATACCACAAAAACTATGCGGTTAAATTGCAAAAATGGGCGGGGCCTTGATTTTCTGATCATTTTGGTACTAAATACTATTAGATTTCATAGAAAAACTATTGTAAAAAAGTGGACGGGGCTTAATTGTTATACCAAAAAAAAAACTATGCGGTGAAATTGCAAAAATGGGCGGGGCCTTGATTTTCTGATCATTTTGATACTAAACACTCCAAGGCTTCGTATAGATGCGTAAAGGACCAAAAAACTGTGCGGAAAAATTGCAAAAAAGTGGGCGGGTTTCAATTTTGAAACCAAAAAAGAGCAGAGCCTTGATTTTTTAAATTCAAGGCTGTTATTTCCTCATGCTTTTGCCATTTGAAAGGCACTAATTATTTTTGATATTTTTTTATTGAATTTTTATTCAAACAAAATTCACAATCAATCAGAAATGAGTATTAAAGATGTCTTGTTTTCTTTATCATTTTATTGTCTTTCAATTTTCGATGTTTTGTTTTTCATATTATTCTTAAAAACTCCGAAAGACGAGAAGAAAAACGATATTTATCGATTATTCCGGCAGGTTTTTGTGATTTATCTCATCTCAGATATTTTAAAAATTCTAATATTTTCTTTTTTCTTCATTCCCCCCATACTTCCTCTTGGAAAATTAAAGTTATTCATTACATTGTAAGTTAGCCATGGGTTTTGTAATCGAAATCAGTAATATTTCAGAAGTTACATTCTCTTTATTGCCTTTACACATCCAAACTTTGCTATTTGCAATACATTTTTCCTTCTGATTGCTGCTCAGCGATTCATCATTGTGCTGAATATATCGAAACTTGCCAAATTTGTGACAGGAAAATGGATATCGTTTTGGATTGTTTTAACATGGTTTTGGATTGTTGTAGTAAGTTGTTTATCAGTTCAAACCTCACCAAAGAACCTGGGTACAAAATTGCCCATCTAGTGAAAAATGTTCTGCCCACCTGGAATTCCAGGTGAGGTTTGTTTCCAAAATTTATTTGCTTTTTACAGACCAGTTGGACTACTCATATATGTTACGTGAAACCGTGTTCTCTGATTGCTTTTGCGATGAATAATTATACGTGCAATAAAACAGCAACTAAAATAGATGTTATAAGTGATGTGCGTCCAAAAATCAAAAAAATGGGCGTCCAAAAATCAAAAAAAAAAAGAAGGCCTTTCCAATATGTATTTTTGAGTACGTGTAATTTACCACCTAACTTATTTTTCAGCCAACATTTCGCATTTTAATGCAGACAAACATCGATGTGGTAATGCCAATCACCTCATTGCTCTTCCACTCAATAATCATGTTTTCTGTTCACAAAAACCGCCAAATAATGTCAGCCACAAGAATCAAAGCAGAACTATCGATTGCTTTCCAAAATATGCCCGTTGCCTCATTGGTCATCCTGAAAATCCTAGCCATTGTTGTTTATCGCATGGATGTGGTTTTGTTTCTGGAGAGCTTCATCTGTGAGCAGAAAATCACTGAACTCCTGTTGCCGTTGACCTATGTGATTGTGAATCGGGCAAGATTGCGCGGGTTTTGGTTCGCGCGGAAGAATTTGGTGGAACAGGGAAGGCCGGCGATGATGACTTCGATTAGTTGAATAATTTTTTTTGGTTTTGATTTTTGTTTGTGAAGAAATAAAGTATTTTTTCTATATAGTATTTGATGTTTGATGAAAATTATTGAAAATTAAAGAGATAGAAACGTTTCTATGAAATCAGGCGCCGAATTCATAAAAGTGGTAAACGTCAAAATTTATTGAAGAAAAATTTGGTACGCCAAAGTTAAATTATTTTTAAGCCAGATTCGTAAGCTAGTTTCGTTAGACCTAAAACATATCGAAACCTGAATTTTCATAAAATACCAAAAATAATTGAAGGCAAATTTGGGCGTATCAAACTTTTCTTTATCAATATTTGGTACTACCAAGTTTTTCTTCAATAAAACCACCAATCCGCGGCTGGCCAGAGTACAATTTTGAAAAAAAATCTGAATTTCAGTTTTTAGAGGTCAGAAACTGGAAAAATCACAAATTTTAGAAGCCAAAAAGTGAAAAATTCACAATTTTCACACTATAGTTTTTTATAAAAAGTTGGCGTACAATTTTTTAGTTTGGACACCACGTTTTTGGCCTAGGTGTGAATAAAACCTTTTCTTAAATATTAATTTGACCTCAGATTTCTAAGCTAAATCCAGTAGACCAAAAATATTTAGAAATCTAAAGGTTCAATAGAAATCTTTACCCTGAATACAATTAGCTAACGAAAAATTTTATAACAAATCCAGTAATCTCATATTTTCAAATCCCGCCTTATCTCTAGTACCCCTAATCCGAAATTCTTAAAGACACACAATCCACTAGAAATGTACAGAAAATGAGTTTGTTATTCTTTCATAACACCTTTCAAGTAATCGGAATTCATAAAAATCAAGAAAAAATTTTGAGTCTGGCAAAAGTGAAAAAACAAAATAATTGTTTTTGAAATCGCTCAGCCGACGGGATTTTCGAAAGAGTTTGCACACAACGAAGCAATAGAGCGCACATGCTGTTTTTGTCATTTGAAAATAAATGCGGGAAATCTGTTTTTTCCAGTGGCTGATGTGTCTTTAAATTTTTCGCTTCAGGACCGTATGGACAGTACATCTGGTGGAGCTGTCGTCGATTATCATGGCTGCGAATTTTTCCCAGAAAGATGGTTCGATTTTGTATTTGTGTTGAGATGTTCAACTGATAAATTGTATGATAGATTGGCTCAAAGAGGATATTCGGATTTTAAAATCAAGGAAAATGTCGAATGTGAAATATTTGGATCATTGTTGGAAGAAGCCAGAGATTCCTATAAGTAGGGCATTTTTTGGGAGGGAAATACCCTAAAAAATCAAATTTTTCTCAACTTCTTGGAAAAATAATCAAAAATTATCCTGAAATCCAAATTTTATATGAAAATTATCAGAAAATTTTCAATTTTCAGCCAAAAATATCCCAAAAACCTGATTTTCAGACCTGAAATCGTTTTCGAGCTGCAATCCGAATCGCCTGAACAAATGGACGAAAATCTGGAGAAAATTTGTGAATTGGCAGCCGGATTTAAGAAATCTCAATAATTATTTAAAATTTTTTTTCAAAATTTGCTTTTTTGTTGTTAAAAATTGTTATTTTCCCCGATTTTTCATCATTTTTTTCTGAAAAACAAAAGTTATCCAAACTTTTTTGAATATCTGAAGCTCTGCCCCAGAAATCCAACCAAAAATTAAATTCAGGATGAGTTTATGGTCGAAAATTCGCTACGGTGTGCGCTGGAATCCGGAGGAACGTTTGGCACTGGCGACACGTGCCCTCAACTTATCCAAAGTCAAAAATATCGAAATTTCCATGGATCCACTTCATCCCGATAATTTATCGATTAGGTATGGTCTTTTGGTTTTTTTCGGGCGGAAATTCGAATGCGGCACGGTTTTAGGGGCGTGGCTTAAGTTATCCGATGAAATTTGGGTCATTTTGAGCTGCGGCATGGTTTTAGGGACGTGGCTTATTTCATCCTACTGAATTTGGACCATAGGAATTTAAGCCACGCCTAGAAAACCATGCCGCATTCAAAAATGAACCAAAAATCCTAATCCACGCCTACAAACCTCAAAATAACTCAAATTTCACCAGGAAAAGTAGGCCACGCCTCTAAAACCGTGCCGCATTCAAAAATTACCAAAAATTAAACATTAACCTAAGCCACGCCCACAAAACCATGCCGCACTTGAAAATAACTCAAATTTCACCAAGAACTTTATTCAAAACCCCAAAATGAGCCCCAATTATTTTCCGTATGGATAATTTTGATTTGGCCATTGTTGACCATTGTTATTTGGATCTTGACCATTGTTATTTGGATCTTGTGGATATTGCGGCTCTTGTGGTGGAAATTGTGGGCCTTGTGGTGGATAATATGGGCCTTGTGGTGGATATTGTGGTGGTGGATAATACGGAGGTGGCTGTGGTCGATTTCCCCAAGGCCAAGGTGGCAAATGAATTTCAATAGGTGGCCCTGGTGGTTTTGTTGTTGGTGGTCTTGGTGGCCTTGGCCGTTTAGTTCCGCCCCCTTTTCCTCCCCCTGTTGGTGGTCGAAAAGCAGATTTTCGATCCAATTCCGAAGATGACGATTCAGAGCTAGAAAAATTGATCTAGAATCATCCTGAGATTTAAATTTCAAACTCACTAATCATCCAGAATTGAAGCATTCACTGCTAGAAGAAGCAGAGAAAATGGAATTAGAAATCTCATTTTCCAATGATTTTTGGGGTCTCCAAGGGCGCCATTTTATTCAGGATTTTTAATTCGAAACAAAAATTTGCAGAAGAATTGTGATAATTTGATTATGCAAATTTTTGTCTGCAAAACTTTGCAGAATTTTTTGAGTGCGCCATGATTTTAGGGGCGTGGTCCAATTTTACCGGTGAAATTTGAGTTATTTTCGAGTGCCGCACGGTTTTATAGGCGTGGTCTAATTTTTCGCGGTGAAATTTGAGTTATTTTCGAGTGCCGCATGGTTTTATAGGCGTGGTCTAAGTTTCCCGGTGAAATTTGGTTAATTTTTAAATGAGGCACGGTTTTGTGGGCGTGGCTTGAATTCCTTTACTCCAAATTCAAGACATGAAACAAGCCACGCCCCTAAAACCATGCCGCACCTCAAAATGTTCCAAATTTCACCGGAAAAATTAGACCACGCCCCTTTAAAACCCTGCCGCATCCGATTTGTTTGCTTTCAGAACCTTCTGGCACTCGATAACCTCGCCAAAAGTTCGTCTCACCAATCCAGCAGTTCGTGTCAAAACCGAAATTCGAAACGATCGAAAAGCCCCGTTTTTTATCGCGACTTTGGGTGAGTTTTGGCGGGAAATTCATGAAAATTGGATAATTTTGAGTGATTCTGGGTGAAATTGGTGATTTTTGACGTAAAATTCATCAATTTTGATGAATTTCAACCCAAAAACCCGATTTTCTTGCAGAAAATGGTCATAAATTACACTTCACCACCGAAAATATGTCAGCAATGGATTTGATAATGAACTTCAATCGATTAACCGGACAACCTGAATTGGGAAAAGCTGGAACTCGGCCAAGAACCAAAATTTAATGGAAAATCAGGGAATTTAGAGTACTGTAGGGCCCTTTTATTGTTATTTGTTGTAAATAAATTTGAAAAATTATATTTTTACTGTTTTTTTTTGTTAACGATTGCAAAAATTGGTTTCTAGCCATTATTTATCTATCTTTTTTCCAGGTTTTTTGAAAAAATCAGAAATTTTTGACCTTGGACCACCTTGTGATAAGAAAGATTAGTTCCTTATCAGAAATTTTCTGTATTTGATACTTTTTGCATTGATTTTTTGGGTTTTTGACCTAAAATCGGGAATTTTGGGCTGGGAACTGAAATTTGGCTGAAAATTAGAGCTGGGAAGAAATTTTTGAAAATCTAATTATGTAGGATTAACATTTGAGTTAGGAAGAAACTCATAAAAAAATTAAATTTCTGAAATTTCGGATAATTTTTTGAAAATTCAGAAATTTTTCCATTTTTCAAGCTAAAAATTCTGAAAAATTTCAAAATTTCAATGAAATTTCACTTTCTAATTCAGGATTTTCGAAACTTTCAGGGTTTTAACGAAAATTTCGAATTTTTGCAAATTGGAGATCAAAATTTTCATAATGTTGTTTTAGCGCGATTTTTTTTCAATTTTTTTGACAAAAAAAAATCATTTTTCAATTTTTTTCGCCTCAAAAATCCCCTTCCAAATTCCTCGAACTTAGCCTAACTCCCCCCAAAACCATCCTAAATTTCCTCATTCAGATTCTCACAATGGCCACAATTGTCCCAGCGGTCTTCTCATTCGTCCGCGAACTCTATCAAGGCTCATTCGACATCGAGGCTTTCGAGAAAGAAGTTGGCAGAGATTTCGACTCGTCCGAAATTGCTCAGATTACTGCCAAATTTGAGCAAGAGGCCAAGGGTTTGAGAAATGTGAGCATTTTTTTGGAGAAATCGTCCAATTTTTCGTATCCAATTCACAATGGAAGAAAATGAAATCAATAATTTGAATTTTCATGAAATATTGTGAAGTATACTAATTAGAGCATGCTAGAAACGATCCTGAAGTCAAAAATTGCTATAGTGAGCATTTTGAGCTCTGAAAATTCTCACAGGATCGTTTTTAGCATGCTCGAATTAGTATACTTCACAATATTCCATGAAAATTCAAGTTATTGACCTTATTTTCTTCTCTTGTGAATTGGATACGAGGAATTTGACGATTTCTACTGAAAATCTGGACCTGGTCCGAAAAAAAGCCCAATTTTTCTGTTTCAGAAAGACGAAATTCGCCGAATCATCACCTTTATCGATTTGACAACTTTGAACGGAGATGATACTGGAAGTAAAGCTGTGGCTGTTGCCAAAAGAGCCATTCAACCAATTCCAACTGTAAGTTTACTAGTTTTGGCTGAAATTTTGAGATTTTTTATGAAAACTAGCATAAAAATCATGTTTTTCCGTCAAAAATCCGTGAATTTTGACCCAAAAATACCCTAGAATCTTCCAGGATGCCTCAATCCATTGTGGATCAGTTTGTGTTTATCCACAACGAATTTCGGATATTGTCAAGTATCTCAAGGAGACCAATCAGAAAACACATATTACTGGAGTAGCTGGTGGATTCCCATCTGGACAATATCATTTGAAATCCAAGGTATTGTTGGGAAATTTGGGGAAAAATGGAAAAATCGCGGAAAATTACATGGGGGACTAGGTTTTCTACATTTGGAAATCTAGTCCCCCTTCAAAACTTGGATGAAAAGAAGGGAAAATCTCATCGGTACCACGCGCTCCACCGAAATAAACACGCAGCGCAGACCGCGTCGCGCCACAACACACACAAATAAGGGAACGATTCAAATTCCCTCCTTTTTTTTGTGTGTGTTGTGGCGCGGCGCGGTCTGCGCTGCGTGTTTATTTCGGTGGAGCGCGGTGGTACCGATGAGATTTTCGATAAGAGGTTTTGAACTTTTGGAAACCTAGTGCATCTTACAAATACGGGGACTAGGTTTTATATAGTGCAAAATCTAGTCCCCCTTCTCTCCCCCATCCACAATCACCTAATCTCCCTTCAGATTCTCGAAGTCGAGCTCTCTGTCGCCGACGGCGCCACCGAAATCGACATTGTCATCTCACGCGCTGCCGCCTTGGAACAAGACTGGAAAACAGTTCACGACGAGGTTCACGCGCTCAAAAAAGCATGTGGAAACGCCCATTTGAAGACGATCCTGGCTACTGGGGAATTGAAAACTCTTTCAAATGTTTATAAAGCGAGTTGGGCATCGATTTTGGGTAAGTTAAAGTTTGCACCGGGGAAATAGCTATCCCAGAAAATCAATCAATTTTCATTCAGCCGGTTCCGATTTCATCAAAACCTCGACTGGAAAAGAGGCAGTTAACGCAACTCTCGAAGTGTCGTATGTGATGTGTACGGCTGTCAAAAGATGGTTCGAGTTGACCGGAAAACGTGTCGGATTCAAACCGGCCGGCGGAATTAAGACTGTTGATGAGGCGTTGGCTTATGTGGTTTTGGTGAAGAATGTGAGTGTTTGCAATTGCGGCAGGGATTAGGGGGCGGGGCTTGAGATTTTCGTTGTGGAATGGTTTATGGTACAGTTGTGCAAAGATATTATCAAAAATGTCATCGGTACCACGCGCTCCACCGAAATAAACACGCAACGCAGACCGCGCCGCGCTACAACACACACAAAAAAGGGGACGATTCAAATTCCCTCCATTTGTTGTGTGTTGTGACGCGGCGCGGTCTGCGTTGCGTGTTTATTTCGGTGGAGCGCGGGGTACCGATGAAATTTTCGAGGCTCCCTTGAAACCATGCCGCAAGCAAGTCCTTCCAAAATGCTCCGCCCCTAAAACCATGCCGCAACTTCCACCTAGACTCTAATCCAAGTCCCTTCCTAAGCCCCGCCCCCAAAACCACGTCGCAACTTGCTCTATTTCCAGGTTCTCGGCGAAGAATGGCTCAACCCGGAATTGTTCAGAATCGGAGCCAGCTCTCTTCTCGATGATGCTCTCAATGCTCTCTAAATCTACACATTGTGCCATTTTCCCTAGATTTTCTCTATTGCTTGATGTTTTTACCCAATGGTTGTGACAAGACTATAAATATTTTTTATCTATTTACTAGCTTTACGTTGTGGAGAAAAAATTCAAGCGTTTCTCGCAGGTTTTTAGTACTTTGTACGGGATTTCTAGCTGAATTCATTACAATTCCAGATTTTTCTAAAAGATCCACATGAAGATCACAATTCTACATCCGGATCTTGGAATTGGTGGAGCTGAGAGATTGATTGTTGATGCGGCTGTTGCTTTGAAGCAAAAAGGACATCATGTTAGAATTGTCACAAATCACTATGATCCGAATCATGCATTTAGTGAAACTAGAGATCTTGGTGAGTGGTTTTGGTGGAGAAATTTGGGATTTTCGTGGAAAATAGCCTGGAGCTTGTGAAAATTGGTTCAGAAGCCTGGGAATCGCAACATTTACTGATTTCATTCGAAAATTGGCTATAATTCATGATTTATAGCTGAATTTTCATGAAAAGGGGCTTTGGAGCTTGTAAAAATCAGAATTTTCATAGAAATTCAGCTCCGGGGACCATATTAGTATGAAAATTCGGGATTTTTTCATTCAAAAACCAGTATTTTTCCGTTTTCAAGCGAATTTTCCATGAAAAATAGCCTGGAGCTTGTGAAAATCAGTTTAGAAGCCTCGGAATCGCAAAATTTACCGATATCATTCAGAAATAGGCTATAATTCATGATTTCTAGCTGAACTTTCATGAAAAGGGGCTCTGGAGCTTGTGAAAATCAGGATTTTCATGAAAGTTCAGCTAGAAATCTTGAATTATAGCCAATTTCTGAGTGAAATCAGTAAATTTTGCGATTCCGAGGCTTCTAAAGAAGCTTCAGGCTATTTTTCATGAAAATTCGCTTGAAAACGGAAAAATATTGATTTTTGAATGAAAAATCCCGAATTTTCATACTAAAAAGATCCTCGGAGCTGATTTTACGCTTTCTGGACCTATAAGTACATTTGTAACCTGAAATACCAGAATTTTGGTCTGGAAAGCTTAAAATAAGCTTTAATGACCCAAAATTCGGGTTTTTTGACTAATCTTATGTAGAGTTGGACGAAAAAGCTCAATTTCAGATCAAAATTTACAATTTCCACCTAATTTTCAGTACCAAATTCCTCCTAAACTTCCAGAAATCACCACGTGTTTCTCCTGGATTCCCCGCTCAATTTTCGGCCGATTCTTCGCCCTTTTCGCCTATCTCAAAATGATGCTCGCCGCATTTTTCATCGTTTTTGGGTCTCACAACGATTCCGACTTTATTTTATCTGATACAGTTTCAGCTAGCCAATTTATCTTGAGGAAATTTGGAAAGCGAAATTTGAAATTAGCGTTTTACTGTCATTTTCCGGATATGTTATTGACCAAGAGAGAAACCAAATTGAAGAGGGTTTATAGGTAAGGAACTAAGCCCCGCCCACAAAACCCTGCCGCAACAAAATAAAATTCTAGATCTCTGATAGATGGCTTTGAAGAATACACAACTTCCCTGGCTGATGTGATTTTTGTGAATTCTGAATTCACAGCTGGAGTTGTGAGAGAAACTTTTAAAACTTTGCAAAATCGTCAGCTTCATGTCCTTTATCCCTCTTTGAACACAAAATTCTTTGATTCAATTGGAAGTTTGGAAAAATCGGAGATCGGGATTCCAACAGAGAATTCGGAGATCATATTTACATCACTGAATCGATTTGAGCGAAAGAAATGTGTTGAAATGGCGCTAAACGCGTTTGGTAAGGTTTTTTGAACGGGGGGACTAGGTTTGCGCGTTGGAAAACTAGGCCAAAAGCCTTTGAAACTTCCAGACGAGCTTCGAAATCATTGCTCATACGAAGAATTCGACAAATGCCATCTAGTCATAGCTGGCGGATATGACAAGAAAAATCAGGAAAATATTGATTATTTTGAGGAACTTCGGACGATTTCAGAATACAAGGGATTGGAAAATGACTTGAGGGTCACGTTTTTGAAGAGCCCTTGTGAGTTTTTCAGAGATTTGTGATACAACTTCAAAATTTGGGCATAGCTTCCGCATCTCCGCTGAAATTCCAATAAAAATCTGAAAAATGCTGGATTTTCTCTAGTTTTTCAGATTTTTATCGGATATTTCAGAATATGGCTTGAAATTCGAGCGAAGCGAGTGTAAACCGGAAAATTCCGCGTCGCGAATTGCTATGACGTGGAAAATCTGCAATAATTCCCATGTCATAGCAATCCACGTGGCCGCTGACGCGGAAGCTTGCGGTCTTGACGCGCTCGATCAAAATTTGGGCATAGCTTCCGCATCTCCGCTGAAATTCCAATAAAAATCTGGAAAATGCTAGATTTTCTCTAGTTTTTCAGATTTTTATTGGATATTTCAGAAAAATACTTGGAACTAGAGTTTTTAATTTCTAGCTCAACTCTGAATATGAGTTATGACGTGGCAAATGTGGAACTTACCGTATCAGTTCCGAAGGTGTTACTGGGTGAGAAATGAAAAGCCAGGGTTCATTTTTCAATTTTCAAAGATCTTATCTAACTATGTCATCACGTGAAAATCTAAAAATTAAAAATTAAACCCGGGGTTTTCATTTCTCACTTAAGTACTAACACCTTCGGAACTGACACGGTAAGTTCCAACTTTGCCACGTCATAACTCATATTCAGAGTTAAGCTTTGCAATTTTTGACCACAAAATCGTGATCTGCGAGTCAAATAATACTAGAAAACTGAAATTTTTCAGCCGATGACGTCAAAGTGAATCTGATTCGTCAAAGCTATGCCACACTCTACACCCCAGATCGAGAACATTTTGGAATTGTGCCCGTCGAAAGTATGTATCTTGGAACACCGGTTATCGCAGTCAACACTGGAGGTAAATTCAAATTTTCTAGGTTTCCCGCCCGCCAAAAACACTATTTTTCGCTTCAGGACCCTGTGAATCGATAGCCGACGGAAAAACCGGTTTTCTGGTGGCTCAAACCAAAGAGGAATTTGCCGCGAAAATGTTGAAATTGATCAGGGAACCGCAGCTACGTCAGGAAAATGTCGGAAAATGTGAGTTAGCCTAAGTTTTACTCCCGAATTATAAATATAAATTGAATTTTTGAAGGCTCAACAACGCGTTCGACAAATCTTCTCATTCGAGGCTTTTCAACAAAAATTGCACGGCATTTTGGAGAAAAATATGTGATAAAACACGACTAATTGGGTATTTTTTGGTGGTATAAAAGAAGCTTTACGTTTATATTTCATTTATTTATTTGCTTTTGGTTGGAAAATAAATATTTTTGTCTGGAAATGTCTGCTAAACTATTGAGAAAAGCTGCGTCGGCGTTTCGAAGAGATAAAGAGGAATATAACACGGTGAGTTGAGGTTTGGGACGAAATTGCATAATTTTTGAGAATTTCGGGCGATTTTTGTAGTGCGGTGGAGCGCATTTGCTTTCAGATGTTCGAAATTTGAATATTTAACAGTGTTTTAAAATTTTGTTAGTTTTACCCCTAAAACCCCCGAAAATAGGCCGAAATCCCAAAATTCCCATTCAAATTCAAAAATTCGCGCAATTTTTGTAGTGCGCTAGAGCGCGTTTGCAGCAAATTCGATGCATTCGCGCTCCAGCGAACGAAATATTTTTGTTTTTTTTTCAAACTCCCCAAAACTTGTTTTCCTCTCAAAGTAGATCAAATTGATCGGCGCAACCGCTGAATGTTTGTTTTTCTTTTTTTCGACAGAAAAAAACGAGGTATAAAATGCGGTGTATTTTGTATTGTCATCATTTTTGATGCACTTTTTGTTTTTTGAAAATAAAAACATATTTTTTTAGAGGGAAACCTGAGTTTTCCAAATTTCTGAAAAATGATGATATTGCGAAACTCTTCTTTCTATATAAATCAAAATTCCGGTCATTTTGTGTCCAAACTTCACAAAAACTATTGAGTGACCTTCATTTTTTCAAATAAACAACAACTTTTTTTCAACGCGCCGCCCATGTTGTTCTCTGTTTCTCTGGCCGTTTTTAGATAAGACGATGCCATTTTTCACTCGCTTTTTCATCAAAAATGCCGTGTTTTCACTCTAAAAATCCATATTTTGTGCATTTTCAGATGTCGAAAGCATTCATCGGTCGTCCAGCTCCACAATTCAAAACCCAAGCGGTTGTTGACGGCGAATTTGTCGATGTTTCGTTGTCGCAATACAAGGGAAAATATGTTGTTCTCTTCTTCTATCCACTTGACTTGTAAGTCTGAAATTTTTGGCTGAAACTGGCTTACAGAGCTCGCCGAGCTGATCAAAATGCTCTAAAAATTAGCTCCAGTGGGAGCCGAGAAAATGATGGCGCAGGTGGTAAGTGCTTCGATCGAGAGTTTAGAGGTCACGGGTTCGAATCCAGCTTGCAACTCCTTTTTTTATCGTAAAAAATGAAAAAAGTAGTCGCAAGGTGGATTCGAACCCGTGACCTCTAAACCCTGGATCGAAGCACTTACCACCTACACCATTTGTTCACTCATTTTCTCGGCTCTCCCTGGAGCTCTGCAGCTAACTTTTAGAGAATTTTGCTGAGCTCTTTGAGCTCTATAATACTGTAGCCTTTTCATTTTCAATCAATAAATGATGCAACAAATGATGACAATTTTTGTTTTCTTATCAATCACTTTTTTGTATTGATAATGAAAAAAATCACAAAATAAACAAAAGTGCGAGGAATTTTCGAGAAAATATCAATATTTTGCAGCACCTTCGTCTGTCCAACTGAAATCATTGCCTTCTCCGATCGCGCCAAGGAATTCGAATCGATCAATACTGTTGTAAGTAGAACAGGTTACGAAATATGCGCCAGTGAATGTTTTTGGCACGAAAATGGGCTTGTAACTTGACTCCCAGGTTGAATGAAGTGATTGACGCATTTTGAGAAGCTTGAGAAATTGCTGACGCAAGTTTGGTAGCTCTGGAAGTTTGCTGGTGTATCCTGAAGCTCTCAGAAATACGCCAGCAATCTTTGAAGCTACAAAATTTGCGTCAGCAATTGCTCAAGCATCGCAAAATGCGCTAGACTCTAGTTTCCCTCAAAATCATGTTTTTGACAACTTGTAACTTGACTCCTAGTTCCAATAAAAGAAAATATGAAAATATTTTGATGAATATGTAGATGCTGACGTAAATTTGGTAGTTTTGCTGGCGCTTTTTCAGTAGCTATCTACTCAAAGCGCCAGCAAAACTACAAAATTTACGTCAGCATCTACATATTCATCAAAATATTTTAATTTTCCGTTATTGTAGCTAGGAGTCAAGTTACAAGTTGTCACAAACATGATTTTTGAGTGAAACTAGAGACTGGCGCAGTTTGAGTAATTGCTGACGCAAATTTTGTAGCTTTGAAGCTTGCTGGCGTATTTCTGAGAGCTTCACAAGTCTCAGGAGCTACCAAATTTGCGTCAGCAATTGCTCGGGCTTCGCAAAATGCGTCAGCCCTTCTATTTTCACTCTAGGAACCGAGTGCATTCACTGACGCATTTCTGCGAGAGCTACAAAAATCACGTCAACACTCAAAACACGTCAATCTCATTTCAGGTGCTCGCCGCTTCAACTGACTCGGTCTTCTCGCATTTGGCATGGATCAATCAACCACGCAAACACGGTGGACTCGGAGAAATGAACATTCCAGTGTTGGCTGACACCAATCACACCATCTCACGTGATTATGGAGTTTTGAAGGAGGATGAGGGAATCGCATTCCGTGGTAAGAGATTTTGGGGAATTTTGATGAATTATTTATGGAAAATTTGAAAATATTGAGGTTTTTAACATGGAAAACTCTAAAATTTTCAATTTTTCTTGAAAATTCTCAAAATTCCAATGGAACATTTGCGAATTATTGTGAAAATTTGCATTTTTCAGCTTGAAAAACAGAAATTTTAGCAAAAACTTCAATTTTGACTGAAAAGTCTCAAAATCATTCAAAAATTTCGAATTTTGGCTCAAAAAGTCTCGGGATCATCAAAATTGTATTTTTAGGCTCGAAAAAATCCAAAATTTCTGAATTCTGGCTCAAAAAATTGCAAAAATCTTTGAAATTGTCTTGCGAGCTTCAAAATCATCCAAAATTTCTGAATTCTGGCTCAAAAAATTGCAAAAATCTTTGAAATTGTCTTGCGAGCTTCGAAATCATTGAAAATTCTTGAAATTTGGCTCAAAAAATCTCGGGATCATCAAAATTAGCTTCCTGAGCTCAAACTATTCTAAAATTTGCGAATTTTAGCTCTAAAAATTCCAAAAATCATCAAAGTTGTATTGCGAGCTTCAAAATCATTGAAAATTCTTGAAATTTTGGCTCACAAACCCTGGGACTTTCAAAATTATCTAAAATTCACATATTTTGGCTTTCTAGGCTCAAAATGATCCAAAATTTTTCAAATTTGAAATCAAAAAACTCCCAAAATTCTCAAAACCTTCAAAATCATCCAAAATTCTGGAATTTTCACCCAAAAAATCCCTATATTTTTACAGGTCTCTTCATCATTGACCCAGAACAAAACTTGCGTCAAATCACGGTCAATGATTTGCCAGTCGGTCGTTCAGTTGACGAAACTCTTCGCCTCGTTCAAGCCTTCCAATTTGTCGAGAAACACGGAGAAGTTTGCCCAGCTGGATGGACTCCTGGAGCTGATACTATTAAACCAGGAGTCAAGGATGCTCAAGAATATTTCAACAAACATTAAGCACCTTTTTTCCCCAAGTTTTTAAGGTCCCTTAAGCCTTTTATTTATCTTACCCTAAATAAGGCCCAAATATTCATCTGATTTTTCCAAGTTGCTAATTTTATATAACCATATTTTTATTGATTGATTTGGGACAACAATAAAGGTGTTTTTTTGAGAAAATTTTGAATTTTTTGCCACGTGGCAAGGTTTTTTGGCCCCAAAAATTGCGCGATATTTAAAATTTCAAACTTCGCGCCAAAGAAAGCCGCAAAATTTGGTTTTTTCGCCAAATCACCCGTATTTTTCTCTGCGTCTCTTCTCTCTCTCCCTTATCTCTCTCCCTTCCCGCATAGCGAGAGAGCATGACTGTTCGAAGAGACGCTAGAGAAAACACCGTCCAACATTCTCGATTTGGCGAGTGGCCAAATTTGCATTAGAGCACCTTTGCCGCCACCTGTATGACTCACATTTTTTTCCTGTTTTTTTCCTTTTTGAGTCATTTTTATCAGTTTTTGAGTGATTTTCAGACATTTTTAAAAATTTTGAGTATTTTCAGAGAATGACAGCTTCTTCGCTGGATTATGATACGGATATTAAGCTGAAAACGCGGTTTCAGGGACAGGTAAATGAGGATTTTGAGGGAAATGAGTGAAAAATTCGGTTTTCACGTGAAAAATCATTCATTTATTCATTTTCAGCTAGAAAAACTATAAGAAATGCGATTTTGATTGAAAATCTTAGATTTTCAACAAAATTTTGATAAAATCTTGAATTTTCAGCCAGGAAATCAAGTTTTTAATGAAAACAGCTGGGAGTTTGCTGATAATCCGATATTTTCACTGAAAATCATTGAAATTTGCGATTTTTAACTGAAAAACACTAAATATCGAAATTTTCAACAGAAAATACTGAAATTAATCGGCAAAACTTGAAATTTGGCTGAAAATCTGATTTTCCAGCTAGAAATCCAAGTTCTGCACTGAAAATCTTGAAATTTGGCTGAAAATCTGAGTTTTTCTGCCCTGAAAGCTGGAAAATTCGATATTTTCACTGAAAATCCAATTTTTCAACTGAAAACACTGAAATTATTTTGGAAAACTTGAAATTTGGCTGAAAATCTGATTTTTCATCTAGAAATCCAAGTTTTTCACTAAAAATCTTGAAATTTGGCTGAAAATCTGAGTTTTTCTGCCCTGAAAGCTGGAAAATCCGATATTTTTGCTGAAAATCCAATTTTTCAATAGAAAATACTGAAATTAATCTGCAAAACTTGAAATTTGGTTGAAAATTTTGAATTTTCAGCCAAGAAATCAAGTTTTGTTGAAATTTCATTGAAAAATTGCTGAAAATTGTGTTTTTCCGCCCTGAAAGCTGGAAAATCCGATATTTTCACTGAAAATCGAAATTTTCAACTGAAAATACTGAAATTAATCTGCAAAACTTGAAATTTGGCTGAAAATCTGATTTTTCAGCTAGGAATCCAAGTTTTTCACTAAAAATCTTGAATTCTTGCTGAAAATCGTGTTTTTCTGCCCTGAAAGCTGGAAATTTCGATATTTTTGCTGAAAATCCAATTTTTCAACTGAAAATACTGAAATTATTCTGGAAAACTTGAAATTTGGCTGAAAATCTGATTTTTCAGCTAGGAATCCAAGTTTTCCACTAAAAATCTTGAAATTTGGCTGAAAATCGTGTTTTTCTGCCCTGAAAGCTGGAAAAATCGATATTTTTGCTGAAAAACACTAAAAATCCAAATTTTCAACAGAAAATAATGAAATTAATCTGCAAAACTTGAAATTTGGCAGAAAATCTGATTTTTCAGCTAGGAATCCAAGTTTTTCACTAAAAATCTTGAATTCTTGCTGAAAATCGTGTTTTTCTGCCCTGAAAGCTGGAAATTTCGATATTTTTGCTGAAAATCCAATTTTTCAACTGAAAATACTGAAATTATTCTGGAAAACTTGAAATTTGGCTGAAAATCTGATTTTTCAGCTAGGAATCCAAGTTTTCCATTAAAAATCTTGAAATTTGGCTGAAAATCGTGTTTTTCTGCCCTGAAAGCTGGAAAATTCGATGTTTTTGCTGAAAATAGTGAAATTATTCTGCAAAACTTGAAATTTGGCTGAAAATCTGATTTTTCAGCTAGAAATCCAAGTTTTTCACTAAAAATCTTGAAATTTGGCTGAAAATCTGATTTTCCAGCTAGAAATCCAAGTTTTTCACTATAAATCTTGAATTTTTCCCGAAAATCGTGTTTTTCTGCCCTGAAAGCTGAAAATTTCGATATTTTTGCTGAAAATAGTGAAATTAATCTGCAAAACTTGAAATTTGGCTGAAAATCTGATTTTTCAGCTAGAAATCCAAGTTTTTCACTAAAAATCTTGAAATTTGGCTGAAAATCTGATTTTCCAGCTAGAAATCCAAGTTTTTCACTATAAATCTTGAATTTTTCCCGAAAATCGTGTTTTTCTGCCCTGAAAGCTGAAAATTTCGATATTTTTGCTGAAAATAGTGAAATTATTCTGCAAAACTTGAAATTTGGCTGAAAATCTGATTTTTCAGCTAGAAATCCAAGTTTTTCACTAAAAATCTTGAAATTTGGCTGAAAATCTGATTTTCCAGCTAGAAATCCAAGTTTTTCACTATAAATCTTGAATTTTTCCCGAAAATCGTGTTTTTCTGCCCTGAAAGCTGAAAATTTCGATATTTTTGCTGAAAATAGTGAAATTATTCTGCAAAACTTGAAATTTGGCTGAAAATCTGATTTTTCAGCTAGAAATCCAAGTTTTTCACTAAAAATCTTGAAATTTGGCTGAAAAACGTGTTTTTCTGCCCTGAAGGCTAAAAAAATCGATATTTTTGCTGAAAACCATGGAAAATTGCGATTTTCAGCCAAAAAAGTTGAAAATACCAATTTTTGACCGAAAAACCTTCTCAAAACGCATTTTCAACCAAAAAATTAATTTCAGGTCGTCGTACTGTATGCTCGTGCTCCTTTAATCCTCGAAGATTTCACGGGAATTTTGAAAGACGCTTGTCAAGTTGCAAAAGAGCATGAGATTACTGTAAAATGGATTGATGAGGATGGTGAGTTGGTATTTTTGGCGCCAAAATTCAAATTTGGCGCCAAAAAATCCCGATTTTAAATTTCAGGTGACCCGATTTCAATCGATTCTCAAATGGAACTCGATGAGGCTATCAAATGTATGAATGTAGGTCAAATTTTCCCGCCAAAAAAAATCAATCAATAATCTTACAGGCTCTTCATGAGGCCGAATTGAATATCCATGTGTTTTTGGGAAAACCAGAATTGCCTGGTTTACCGTGTCCAGGAGAAGATCGTGAGTTTGAAAGCGGGGACTAGGAAATCACGATTTGGAAAGTTCGGCCATGCTGGAAATTGGGGGGTTTTCGAGTTCAAAATGGCCTAGAAAATTGATTTTTTAGGTTTCTAGGTCGCGGACTAGATTTTGCATCGAAATTTTGTTTCCTGGCCGAGTTTTCGAGCTGAAAAACTAGTCTGTGGCTCAAATAACCAAATTGGAGCTGTTTTTTGGTTTTCTAGGCCATGACCAAGTTCTCCTTGTTGAAAAATGCCTAAAAACCGGTTTTTCAGTCTCTGGCCGAGTTTTTAATGTGTAAAACGAGTCCGTGGCCTAGAAAACCAAAATTCAGGTTTCCTAGGCCATGACCGAGCTTTTATTATTCAATAGAGCCTAAAGAACCGGTTTTTCAGTTGTTGGCCGAGTTTTCAAGCTGAAAATCTAGTCCGCGGCCTAGAAAACCCAGATATAGCTGTTTTTTGGTTTTCTAGGCCATGGTGAATTTTCCTTGTTCGAAAATGCCTAGAAATTCGATTTTTAAGCTCCTGGCCGAGTTTTCAAGCTGAAAATCTGGTCCGCGGCCTAGAAAACCAAAATTCAGGTTTCCTAGACCATGACCGAGTTCTCCTTGTTGAAAAATGCCTAGAAACCGGTTTTTCAGTTCCTGGCCGAGTTTTCGAGCTGAAAATCTAGTCCGTGACCTAGAAAACCAAAATTCCACCATTTCTAGTCCGCGGCCTAGTTTTCCACCCTCCAATTTCCTCTTCCAGGTTCGGTTTATCGTCGCGGTGCTCGTCGCTGGAAGAAAATCTATCTCTACAATGGTCATCACTTCCAAGCGAAACGTCTCAACAGGTACGGTCTCATGGCCTAGAAAACCAGGCCGTGGCCTAGAAAACCAAACGCTCGATTTTCTCTTCCAGACGCATTCAATGCTTCATTTGCCACGATTATATTTGGGGAATCGGCCGGCAGGGATTCAGATGTGCCGATTGTCGATTGTGTGTGCATAAGAAGTGTCATCGACACGTTCGAACGCATTGTGGACATGTGAGGAGTCGGGGGACTAGAAAACCAACCGGGAAAACTAGGCCACCCGTTTTTGAGCGGGGAAAAACGGGGGATTTTGAGGGGTTTTAGAGCTCTGGGGTGGGATTTTGGTTTTCTAGGCCATGACCTAACTTTTCATGTGATTAATGGCCTAGAAAACCAAATTCTAGTCCACATACTGGTTTTCTAGGCCATGGCCTAACTTTCTATATAAAAGAACTCGATTATGGCCTGGAAAACCAAATTCTAGTCCACATACTGGTTTTCTAGGCCATGACCTAACTTTCTATATAAAAGAACTCGGTTGTGACCTAGAAAACCAAATTCTAGTCCCTGCACTATTATTTTTTGGTTTTCTAGGCCATGGCCTAATTTTTCCATCCTGAAAACTCGGCGATGGCCTAGATTTGGTTTTCTAGGCCACCGGATACTTTTTTTTTCTCTTTTCTGGCTCCGCCCCATTTTTTCAACCTTTGAAAATGTAGTTTTAACCACAATTTCTTGGAAAATCCAAATTTTTCTGGGATTTTTTCGAAAAAATTGGAGAAAAACATGTTTTGCTTCTGCTTATTCGCCAATTTTTGGTTTCAGCCCAGAAAAGTAGGTCTAGAATTTGGGAAGCCTGAAATTTGGGCCTGAAAATAACATTTTCGGGCTCTACTTTAAGCCTAAGCCTAAGGAAATCCCAAAAGCCTGATTTTAGGCCTAGATTTGGGAAGCCTAAAAAGCCCAACATTTTAGACCTTAAATTTCAAGCCTAAGCCTAAAAAAATCCCCAAAAGCCTCAAAAAGGCCCTAAAAGCCCATAAACTTATCCTAACTCCCAAATTTCTTTCCAGACGCCAGTCGGACCAATAATTGGCAACCTGCCAGCTCAAAATTCGATCCGTGGAAGCGATAAATCGAAAGCGTCTGGAAGTGCCGGTGGAATGGATAATGGAGCATTTCAGGAGCTCGAAATTGAGACAAATCATATGGGACAAGTTGGAAAACAGGTAAAATTAGCCGAAAATTCGAAAATTTCATCAAAAATGACCCCGGAAACATGATTTTTGGACAAAATCTGCATTTTTGCGTCTGGTGTTTCGGACACCGTGTTTGCACACATTTTTGCCAGCTACAGTACCCCCCATTTTTTTTTGCAGAATGGCGAATCGAAATGGGCGGTTTCGTTGAAGGATTTCAAGTTGCTTACTGTAATTGGAAGAGGATCGTATGCCAAGGTACAGTACCCCTACAGTACCCCTACAGTACCCCATAGTACGGTATTATTTTGCAGGTTGTACAAGCTGAACACATCAATACCAAGCAAATCTATGCGATCAAAATCATCAAGAAGGAGATGTTCACTGAGGATGAGGCATGGTTTTGGGGGCGGGGCTTAGAATATTGGCTGCCGCATGGTTTTGGGGGCGGAGCCTATTTTTTTTTCTCAAGTTGCTCCAAACCTAGGCAATATGGATCTCAAAATGATCGTAATCACCTCAGGAATCCGAAAATACCTGCCGCACGGTTTTGTGGGCGGAGCCTATTTTTTTTCTTCAAAATTGAGATAAACCTAGGCAATATGGGTCTCAAAATGATCGTAATAACCTCAGGAATCCGAAAAATTCAAAAATATTCGCGGCATGGTTTTGTGGGCGGAGCCTTATTATTTTTTCTCAAGTTGCTCCAAACCTAGGCAATATGGATCTCAAAATGATCGTAATCACCTCAGGAATCCGAAAAAATGAAAAATACCCGCGGCACGGTTTTGGGGGCGGAGCCTAGTTTATTTTCTTTAAAAATGTTCGGATCCTAGGCAATATGGGTCTCAAAATGATCGTAATCACCCCAGGAATCCGAAAAAATCAAAATTACCCGCGGCACGGTTTTGTGGGCGGAGCCTAATCCAAATTTGTCTTCCAGGATATCGATTGGGTTCAAACCGAGAAATCGGTGTTCGAAGCCGCCTCGAATTATCCGTTTTTGGTCGGCCTTCACTCCTGCTTCCAGGTTCGGTTTTTGCGGCATGGTTTTGTGGGCGGAGCCTAATTTTTTGCCGGATTTTCAGACCGAATCTCGTCTATTTTTTGTGATTGAGTTTGTGCCTGGCGGAGATTTGATGTTCCACATGCAACAGCAACGAAAATTGCCGGAAGATCATGCGAGGTACTGGAAATTTTGGCTGAAAATCTGGAATTTTCAGTGAAAAATTCGGATTTTTCATCATTTTTTACCCAAAATTCATGCCTTTTTGGCTCCAAATGTTCAAAAAATTCAAAAAATTTCCAGATTTTATTCGGGCGAAATAATTTTGGCGCTCAATTTCCTCCACTCTCGTGGAATCATCTATCGAGACCTGAAATTGGACAATGTGCTGATTGATTCCGAAGGACACATCAAATTGACCGATTATGGAATGTGTAAGGTACGGTAGTTTGGGGTTTTGGCGCGAAAATCGGGAAATTTGGAGCATTTTGAGCCAAAATAGTGAAAAATTGAAGAAATTTGACCTAGAATTGATTTTCTGCGTCTCTGACTGTCTAACACTCTGCGTCTCTAACCCTCCTTTTCTCTACCCTTCTCTCTTTGTGTCTCTGCATCTCTAATATATTTTTCTCTCATTGTCTGCTTCTCTAACCCGCAATTTCTGAATTTGTAACACTCTGCGTCTCTAACCCGCTCTTTCGCTACCCTTCTATCTCTGTGTCTCTGCATCTCTAACCTTCTCTCTCTATCTCTCTGCGTCTCTAATATATTTTTCTATCATTGTCTGCGTCTCTGACTGTCTAACTGTCTGCTTCTCTAAACCTCCTTTTCTCTGCCCTTCTCTTTATTTGTCTGCGTCTCTAACCTTCTCTTTCTCTATTTTTCTCTGTGTCTCTGCATCTCTAACCTTTTTTCTATCTCTCTCCATCCCTTATATATTTTTCTCTAGTTTCTCTAACTCTCTGCGTCTCTAACCTTTTCCCTATCTCTCTGCGTCTCGAACCTATTTTTCTCTGATTGTCTGCGTCTTTAACCTTCTCTTTATTTGTCTGCTTCTCTAACCCTCAATTTCTGAATTTGTAACACTCTGCGTCTGTAACTCGCTATTTCTCTACCCTTCTCTCTTTGTGTCTCTTCATCTCTAACCTTCTCTCTATCTCTCTATCTCTCTGCGTCTCTAACCTCGATATTTCACCGAGATACTGTAGGTAGATCAAATTTTGGCGCCAAAATGTTTTTTTCTCTGCAGGAAAATGTGAATCCGGGCGATCTGACCTCCACGTTTTGCGGAACTCCCAACTACATAGCTCCCGAAATTTTGCGAGGCGAAGACTACGGTTTCAGTGTGGATTGGTGGGCACTGGGTGTGCTGATGTGAGTTTTTGGCGGGGAATTTTGAAAAATGCTCAATTTTGAGCTATTTTTCATGAAAAATGGAGCATTTTGAGGTATTTTATGTGAAAAATCATGATTTTTTGAAAATTGTCCGAGAGAACTACACAGCTTCTCCAAGAGAACTCTACAAAAAATCAATTTTCAGGTTCGAAATGATGGCCGGTAGATCACCATTTGATATTGTTGGAATGCCGACAGGCGAGGAAAACACAGAGGATTATTTATTCCAGGTAGGCCTAAGCCACGCCCACAAAACTGTGCGCTATTCAAAAATAAGCCCCGCCCCTTTTTCAGATCATTCTCGAGAAACAAATCCGCATTCCGCGTTCGCTTTCCGTCAAAGCGGCAGCTGTTCTCAAAGGATTCCTCAACAAGGATCCGACTGAAAGATTGGGATGTAAATTTGATATTTCGGAAGGGTTGCGTGATATGAAGGAACATCCGTTCTTCAAGGGACATTTGGATTGGGATCAGGTAGGCCACGCCCACTTTTCCATGCCGCAAATTTGCGATTTTTTGAGACCAAACATGGCTAGGCTCCGCCCACTTTAAAAAAAAAATAGGAATTTAAGCCAAAAAATAGGAATTTAAGCTCCGCCCACTTTTCTGTGCCCTAAATTTGCAAAATTTTTGATCTATAGGAATTTAAGCCACGCCTACTTTTCTGTGCCGCAAAATTGCGAAAATTAAGATCTATATGAATTTAAGCCACGCCCACTTTTCTGTGCCCTAACCCTATTTTTGCAGCTCGAACAAAAAGCCATCTCACCACCGTATCACCCGGCCGTCGAAGATGATCGAGATCTCAAACACTTTGATCATCAGGTAAGCTAGAACTACAGTAATCCTAGAGGTACTGTACCTACAGTAATCTCTAGAGCTACAGTAGTCATTTGGAACTTGAGTTCCTTCAGGTCCTACAGTAGTAATCTGAAAAAAAAAATACAGTAGCTCCTGATCTACTCTCAAATATATTTTGATCTACTTCTACAGTACCCCCCCCCACCCCCCCATCTACAGTAACCCAAATATTTGCAGTTCACCGACGAACCTCCACAATTATCGCCGGATAATCCGCATGTCATCTCAAAAATCGATCAAAGCGAGTTCGACGGCTTCGAATACGTCAATCCGCTTCAAATGAGTCGAGAGGATTCTGTCTAGACTACGGTATCTACAGTACCCCCCCCCCTTATCTACAGTAATCCATGCGCCAAAGCTTGTAGTCATTGTACTAACTTAACTTAACTCTTTTTCTACAGTACCCCTGAAGTTTTGCTAATTTATTATATATATTTATTTGTATTGTGTTGTGAAATGAAATTGCGTTGTGCTTCTACAGTAACCCCAGAGTACTGTAGCTTCAAAATGATATATTATTATCGAAAATCCCATCGGTACCACGCGCTCCACCGAAATAAACACGCAACGCAGACCGCGTCGCGCCACAACACACACAATTAAGGGAAACGATTTAAATTCCCTCCCTTTTGTGTGTGTTGTGGCGCGGTGCGGTCTGCGTTGCGTGTTTATTTCGGTGGAGCGCGTGGTACAGATAATATTTTTGTTGATTGAAAAAAATTTCAACATGCATGGTTTTTAAACGTGACCTATTTTTCCACGTGTTCCACTGCCCTATTTTCGAAAATGCCACCTCAGATCAGTGTGCTTCAAATCAATCAGTATTCGTTTTCTACCATTTGGAAACATGTGGTGGACAATGGCTGTGTCGGGCGGTTTTCTGCTAATTGCACCAGCTCTACTGATATTTCTGATTATCAAAAAACCCTTTTTACAACTACCAATTTATAATAAGAAGAAAAGGAAAAAGTGGTCTAGAAAGAAACCTATCGGATATGGATTTATTGTAACTTGTGTGCTTCTTCTGATTGCATTTGTGGCCATTTCTGTTTTGCAGTATTTTTCGATTGTTGAAGGTGAAGAAATGAGTTTGAAGGAAATGGATCAAATTGTTAAAGGTTGGTTGGGAAAAGTGTGAAATTGAAATCAATTCAAATTATTTGCAGATTCGGACACGAAAATTCAAGCTGCCAAAAAGAGTTTGTCTCAATTGGACTTCACAATATACGATTCTGTGAAGAACAATTTGGTGAAAAGCAAAAATATTGAAGATTATTTCATAAATCAAGCGAGGGAGTTAAACCAGGTAAAATTTTTCGAGCCGTTTTTTCTTTATTTGAACATCACATAAAAAAAATAATTTTTCAGAAGTACAGCGCTTTGACATCATTGATAAAATATGGAAAAATATCCACAATGATCGCCAACTATGACGTGCAATTGGAAAACTCTTCAAGAATTACCGGGTGCGAGCCAGAAGATCGTTTAAAGCTTGAATTGAAAGGTGTGTGGAGTGATGCAGAGAAATACATATCTGCTGTCGAAACAAAACTGAATGAAAACAAAGAAGAGCAGATTAAAATAGATTTAGAAGAAATCAATAATTCTGCAAAAAGTGCACTCGACAGAGATAAAGCAAAATTAACATCTTTCGCCAACAATATCATGGTAAGCTATTCATAAGTCATCTACATTAAAATATAGTTTTTCTCCAGTTGACGCTTGAAAAATGGAAGAAATCGGTGGAATCATTGAGGACTTCGTTGAAGAAGCGAGTAACAAAAGCAGAGGTAAATAATTTTGTGTTTGATTAAAAGTATAGTGTGAGCAAAAAATAAGTTTTGCTCGTTTGAAAGAGCATGTTATTATAATTAGTAGAATCCTCGAAGGATTTTTTCGTGGAAGCTTCTCAACTATTAGATCCAAGATACAGTACTTATGGACTTGAAAGTTTTTTCGAACTTTTTAATTTTTGAATTAATATTTGAGAAGCTTCCAGAAAAAATCCTTCGAGAATTATTCCAATTAGAACATGCTTTTTCAAATGAGCATTACTAATTTTTTGCTCAGACTTCACCTTTACAAGGGAACCTTTTTTACTCAACACTTCAAATCATGATGAAATTTGGTCCATGGACAGCTTTTGGGACCATAAGAACACCCTAAAAATTTTAGTCTCCCAATGGAGCTCTGAGCCAAGTTCTGGGCTCTCAAAAGTTCAAAAATTGCCAAAATTGGCTCATAAAACACGTCATAACTCAATTTTCGATCATTTTTATGAAAAACTGACAAGGAATGATCGATTTAGTGATACAGTGATTCGAGCTGTGACTAGGTGGACTTTTGTCCATATCCAAAAGTAGGAAAAACCTCAAAGGGATTTTGCAAGGCAAGGCTTTGTTCCCTGATTCCGGGACCCCCTAATTTTTTGTTCAGAAAAATTTGAAAAATGGCCTTCATTTTCAAAAATTCATAACTCAGCTTAAACATCATGAAAATGGACAAACTTTGGGCCATTTTAAAGCTTTAATGTGGAACTTTTAAAGGTACTACTGTTCCTATTTTTCAGATTTTTTTCAACTTATGTAAAAAATGAGAAAAAAAGGAAAAAAATCAAAAATTTTTTTTTTGTTTTTTTGTCATTATACGGGACCGGGCGGAGTATGAGACCTGATTTAAACTTTTCAGCGTCAAAAACTATGTCTAGTACCATATTCCAATGTATCTATAGTCAGCCTTTTCGGAGAGTTATAATACGATTTTTAATTGAAACGCATAGATTTTTTGTTGTTTTGAAACAGTTAAATTTTTTATCGCAATATTTTACTCGAATCACTGTATCATTAAATCGATCATTCCTTGTGAGTAGCAGATGATGATCAGCGTGGTCGATTTACCCAAAAAGCATCAATAAATCGAATTTTCAGAAAAATTTTTGATTTTGAAAAAAAAAGAATGAGCAGGGGCACATATGAATTTTCATGAATTTTCAGCCGAAAAATAAAAAACTTCAAAATTTTTCGAAAAAATATTTTTTATTGATTTACTTTTAGGTAATCGACTATGCTGATCAATATCTGAAACTTCATTTCTCCCAAAAAAAATTTTGAAATGGAGCTATGATGACTTTTATGACCATTTTTAGGCCTTTTTTGTACTTTTGAGAGCCCAGAACTTGGCTCAGAGGTCCATTGGGAGACTGAAATTTTTAGGGTGTTCTTATGGTCCCAAAAGCTGTCCATGGACCAAATTTCATCAAGATTTGAAGTGTTGAGTAAAAAAGGTTCCCTTGTTAAAGTTAAATGGCAAAGTAGGTACTTCATAACATAAGCCATTTTACACAGTGAAACACCGTGTAAAATGGCAAAAATGGCCGGGAAAAATATGAAGTTTCAAAATATATTTGCAGATTCCATTGATGTTGTTTTGGATAGTGGTTGCGTTCGTCTACAGTCCGAATTTATTGGGTTCTTTCGTAGTCATATGTTTCTGTATTATCATCTTCATTCAGCTTCGACAGAAATACAAAATATTCAACTGTTTCGTAGTTTCAATTATTGCCGCTGCTCTGGGAACTTTGATTTGCTTGTATTTATTCGGTGGAGAAGTCTTTCTTTATGTTGTTGATTCACAAAAAGAAGGACAACAATGCACTTCGGATACAGTTAGCTATGACATGTTCAAATACGATGTTCCTCAATTTGTTGACTCTGCTCCAAAAATCAATGTTGAGAACATCATGAACACCTGCAAATCATCACAAAACTCATTATTTTCGAATATTGTTTCGATTGATAACATCGAGTTGCAAAGCTACAAGAAGAAAGTCATCGATAAAATATCAGAGTATAAAAAGTTTTGGAATCTATCTTTGCATCCTATATCAACTTTGGAAGATAGAGTGAAAGACAATTCGAAATATCTTGCTAAAATCAAGGATACCTGCATGCCAGATTTTAAAGAGTTCAAGGAAAAAATGAGTAATTTTGAAAATGCTTTGACAAATTTTTACAATACGGCAAAAGTTTTTTCAAATTCTATCAACTCACCAATAAATCTTGAAGAGGTTCAAACGGTTGCTCGAAACGTGAACGACGGAGAGAGCAAATTGAACAGCTTGAGATCAATCATCAACGTGAGTTGCGAAGGCAAAACCAACTTTTTGTATTTATTTGAGTTAATTTCAGAACCATGCGAAAGCCCACGATCACAAATGTTTGCCAATCATTGAAATATCCAAAAAAGGCGGCGAATCATCAATGTGTTCAACAGGCAATTATCATGGATTCTGCTGAAACCGTCCCAATTTTTGTCATGTCTACATCCATTTGTTGGTCCAATATTCTCAACATGCTCATTCTTGCAATTTTCTACTTTCGCCGTAAGAAATTCCCAGGCGATAATTTGAAGACTGCTATTGTCAGTGCCGATAATTTGGGTAAGTTTTCACTAATTTATACATATTGCAAAGGTGGTTTTCTCATTGTCTTTTTACAGATTGCAATCAGCGAAACAATCTTTTGAAGATGTGTAATATCATTTCATCAATCGTATGTTTTTACTCGATTTTTATGAAAAATTTTATGAAAATATACATCACCAAAATTAATTTTAGGATGTTGTTGCGGTTGCCAAGAATTTCCGGGAAGTTATTGGAAAGTTTAAACCCAAGGACGTCGCCATCACCAATTTTCTAAAAAATGATGCGAAAAATCGTTATGGTGGAGAAAACGGTGTGCCTTGCTATGACAAAAATCGTGTGATTCTTCAAAATAGAAAGAATGATTATATCCATGCTTCTTGGATTAATTTCCCAACTTCTCGCCGATATATTTGCACACAGGGACCATTGGAGAAGAAGGATGGCAATGACTCAACGATTGATGATTTTTGGACAATGTGTCTTCAACAAAAGGTTCAATTTGTCGTGATGTTGTGTAATCCGGTTGAAGACATGGATGAGAAATGCGATGTTTACTATCCGGTCAGCGAAAACTCTGTGATGAAATTGGAGAACATGAAAGTTGTGTGCAAAAGTTTATCAACAACAAAACTTGAATCTGTTAATTGGAGAGTTCTGGAAGTTTCGGACAAGAACATGAAAAAGGACAAACCATTGCTTATCAATCATTTGCAAGTTATGTGGTGGCCAGATCATAGTATTCCCGATCAATCTGATCTTGTTGTAAAGTTGCTTGATGTTCTTCACAAGGATAACAAGGATCCGAATCCAATCGTGGTTCATTGTAGTGCTGGTGTTGGAAGAACTGGAACATTTGTGCTCATCGATTATGCGCTCGATCAAATCAAAAATGTTGAAGATGTGACAATTTCTGGATGTTTTGAATTTATTCGATCGAATCGTGCGAAAGCTGTTCAAGAGGATGTTCAATATATATTTGTCTATCACGCCATTATGAGATATTGTGTGATGGTAAATTTTGTTTGGGCTCGTTGAATTTTTCAGCTTATATTTTTGTTCACAGAAGGATATTGTAAAGGAAAGCGATATGCAGAAATTTTCGAGAATTTATAGAGATTTTAAGGAAAAACACAAGAAAAAAATGGAAAAAATCAATCAGAAGATGGCTGCGCAGAAGAAGTGATTTCAATTTTTTTATTCTTTCAACTTACACATTTTATCGTGTATTATTTTCTTATAAGTAACAACTTTCAATGTTTCTCCTCTAACCCCCACTCTGTGAATAATTGTACTTAGCCCCCCAATTTGTGTGAGCATTTCTAGTGAATGAAGTTTTTGTACTTCTGCATTCTCTTCAATTTGAAACTTTTTCATGATTCTTCTGAGCAAACACTTTATTATTTGCAAAAAATAATTTTTCTCCAGCTTTCATCCGAATTTTCGCGCCAAAATTCGATTTTGAATCGTCTCCCGCGAGTTTTTGCGCAAAATTCAATCGATAATCTGAAATTTGCATCATTTTCATCAAAATCACATTGATTTACAACTCACCTACAAAATTCAGCTCATAAATTAATTTCAAATCAATTTTTCCCTTGAAAAATCGAATTTCTCCAAAAACGCTCGATTTTCCTTGTTGAAAATTGTGTAGAGATGAAGCATTTGAGTTGTTCTAACTTCTGGAAGCAGAAAAATTACAGAATTTCTCATTTTTCGAGGAAAAACGATGAAACTAGCTTTCGAAGAAAAAAATATGCGTTGAAAAAATCTGCAAACAACAAACACTACGCGCAAACCCATACAGTACTTCCCGGGAAAAAATAATTTTATTTATTTTTTCCAAAGTTCCAAACTTCTCAAAAATCAAGCTGAAACCTGTATTTTTTTCAAAAAAAAATTTCAAATCCTAGACCCGCAAAAAATATAAAGTGTAGATCACGCGGCAATTTTTCAACATTTTTCTGTCCAAAACATTTTTGAAATCAATTTTTTTTGTTTTATTGAAAAAAAGTGTTGTTTTGCACCGTTTTTCCTCGAAAAAATGGGAAATTCTGTAATTTTTCCGGTTCCAGAAGTTAGAACAACTCAAATGCTTCATCTCTATATAATTTTCAAAGGGGAAAATCGATTTTTCATCGGGAAAATTGATTTGAAATCAATTTATGAGCTGAATTTTGTAGGTGAGTTGTAAATCAATGTGTTTTTGATGAAAAAAATTTATTTTTTTTAGTTATCCGATGTTCCGATGTTTGTTTCCGACTTCAAATTCAAAAAAATGCGGATTGATTCGAGAAAAAATGAATTTGAGGAGGATTCAGGTCAGTTTATTTGGGTTTTTGGGTTTTTGGAGAGAAAACACAGTGATTTGTGTTAAACAAAAATTTTCGAAAATTAATGAATGCTTGTGTGTGCGCGCGGTCGCGATGCGGTCGAAATTTTTTTTTTAAATTTTTTTTCAACTTATTTAAAAATATTGTATTTTTTCGAAAAATGTTCATTAGAGCGCGTTTGCTTCGATGACAAAAGCAGAGAAACAGCGTGCCAAATTCAAATTGCCGTGTGAAGTTGGCATTAGAGCGCGTTTGCATTTCTACTTTTATTTTTTTTTGTTTTATTTTTTTCCCCCGTAATTGCGGAGTGTCGTAGCTCATTTTGTAGCAAATTTCAAGATCTTTATTATACAATCATCAAAGTTTCATAAAAATTAATTAATTAAAAATGACTCCGCTTCAATCCCCGCTGACCAATAGTTCCACTATAATTCGAATTATCATCAGCATCCCATAAATTGCTCATATTATTCCGCTGAAGTCCTCTAGGCTGAGCAATCGGAGCTTCAGCCACAACTTCCGGCTCCAAATAATTCGAATTCACCACATTGATGCGTCGCAAGGATTTTGGATTTTCTGAAGTTCCGGTAACTTCAGGCCGGATTCTGTACACACTTCCATCACTGAACCTTCTTTCTCCCTTAATCAAATCCGGTCTTGTCAACCAGCGATATGTTAATATGAGCAATACGGCTGCGAAGAAGGCCATTAGGCCAACTAGGCCTATGGCGGCCCATAGGCCTTGAACAGGTTCGCCGAATTGTTGGCAGATTACATCGCCGCCGTTGTTGTAGATGTCCACGATGGGACGACATTTGAAATCCACGTTTTGAAGGTTGTACTGGAATTAGTTGAGTGGAATTGCGGAGTGTTGTAGCGTATTTTGTAGAGAATTTTGCGGGCTTCAAAATGACCCCCAGATTGATAGATTTGGAGCGTAATTGCGGAGTGTTGTAGCTCATTTTGTAGAGAATTTCAAGGGCTTCAAAATGATATCAAGATTGATTGGTTTGGAGCGGAATTACGGAGTGTTGTAGCTCATTTTGTAGGGAATTTTAAGGGCTTCAAAATGATATCAGGATTGATAGGTTTGGCACGGAATTGCGGAGTGTTGTAGCTCATTTTGTAGGGAATTTCAAGGGCTTCAAAATGACTCCCAGATTGATAGGCTTGGAGCGCGCTAGGCAACGTAATTGCGGAGTGTTGTAGCTCATTTTGTAGGGAATTTTAAGGGCTTCAAAATGGTACCCAAATTGATAGGTTTGGAGCGCGCTAGGCAACGTAATTACGGAGTGTTGTAGCTCATTTTGTAGAGAATTTTGCGGGCTTCAAAATGATACCAAGATTTGTAGGTTTAAAGCGTAATTGCGGAGTGTTGTAGACCATTTTGTAGGGAATTTTGCGGGCTTCAAAATGATACCTAGATTGATAGGTTTGGAGCGTAATTGCGGAGCATCGTAGCTCATTTTGTTCAGAATTTCGCGGGCTTTCAAATGGAACCCAAATTGATAGGTTTGGAGCGCGCTAGGCAACGTAATTGCGGAGTGTTGTAGCTCATTTTGTTCAGAATTTTGCGCGCTTCAAAATGACTCCCAGATTGATAGGTTTGGAGCGGAATTACGGAGTGTTGTAGCTCTTTTTGTAGGGAATTTTAAGGGCTTCAAAATGATACCAAGATTGGTAGGTTTGGAGCGTAATTGCGGAGTGTTGTAGTTCATTTTGTAGAGAATTTCAAGGGCTACAAAATGATACCAAGATTGGTAGGTTTGGAGCGGAATTACGGAGTGTTGTAGCTCATTTTGTAGGGAATTTCAAGGGCTTCAAAATGATACCAAGATTGATAGGTTTGGAGCGTAATCGCGGAGTGTTGTAGCTCATTTTGTAGAGAATTTTGCGGGCTTCAAAATGACCCCCATATTGATAGGTTTGGAGCGTAATTGCGGAGTGTTGTAGTTCATTTTTTAGGGAATTTCAAGGGCTACAAAATGATACCAAGATTGGTAGGTTTGGAGCGTAATCGCGGAGTGTTGTAGCTCATTTTGTAGAGAATTTCAAGGGCTACAAAATGATACCAAGATTGGTAGGTTTGGAGCGTAATCGCGGAGTGTTGTAGCTCATTTTGTAGGGAATTTCAAGGGCTTCAAAATGGTACCCAAATTGATAGGTTTGGAGCGTAATTGCGGAGTGTTGTAGCTCATTTTGTAGGGAATTTCAAGGGCTTCAAAATGGTACCCAAATTGATAGGTTTGGAGCGTAATTGCGGAGTGTTGTAGCTCATTTTGTAGAGAATTTCAAGGGCTACAAAATGATACCAAGATTGATAGGTTTGGAGCGTAATCGCGGAGTGTTGTAGCTCATTTTGTAGGGAATTTTGCGGGCTTCAAAATGGTATCTAAATTGATAGGTTTGGAGCGGAATCGCGGAGTGTTGTAGCTCATTTTGTAGGGAATTTAAAGGACATTCTCATTAGAGCGCACTTTCCTCCTCCCTTTAACTCACAATCATTTGATTAACCGATGTATTCACAGTCGCCTGTGCTTCATCAAATTGCCGATTATTGATTGAAATTGTAATATTTGTCGAATTCCCAACATTATTGTTCAAATTATCAATAAGTCTCAAATACTGTGCGCTATTTGAAATGCTCGAATTCAAAGATGTTAAATAACTCGAAACATCTGCTGGCATGTTAAAGGCGCATACCGTACTCAGATCATTATTATAGCCTTCTAGAACATCCCGGTCGCTTTGAATCTGTAGAAGTTTTTGGTGGAGAAGATCAGTGGGATATGAGAAGTTGGGTGGAGTCTGATCGCGGATTTGTTGATTTGTGGCGTCTCGATAGGAATTTAGGTTGAGTTGTTGATTGATTGAGTCGAGTGAGAGGAAGTTTTGACCGTTGATTGCGCCGAATACGGTAGCTGATGTGGATTGACACGTGGTTAGGGCGTCTCTGGAAGGAATGTTGAGATGAGCAATGATTCGGGCAGCTAACTATTACAGTAGGAAGCTTTGAAGGGACATACACTCGCTCCGCTCGGACTTCTAACATGAGCAATGCTTTTATGGACGTGGCTCAACTCACTACTACAGTATCTTAAACCTTAAAGGGACATACACTCGCTCCGCTCGAGCCGCTGACGCGGAATTTTGATCTACACTCGCGCAGAGCGCTCGACTAAGCTCCGCCCACAAAACCATGCCTTATGCGGTTTCAAAATGCTCGTCTTAACATGAGCAATGCTTTTATGGGCGTGGCTTAACTCACTATTACAGTAGGAAGCTTTAAAGGGACATACACTCGCTGCGCTCGAGCCGCGTGCTCGGAAGATTGATCTACACTCGCGCAGAGCGCTCGGGTAGGCTCCGCCCACAAAACCATGCCTTGTTTGGTCTCTAAATGATCAGCCTAACATGAGCAATGGTTTTGTGGGCGTGGCTTAGCTCACTATTACAGTAGGAAGCTTTAAAGGAACATACACTCGCTGCGCTCGAGCCGCCTACGCGGAATCTTGATCTACACTCGCGCAGAGCGCTCGGCTAGGCTCCGCCCACAAAACCATACCTTGTCTGGTCTCAAAATGCTCGTCTTAACATGAGCAATGCTTGGGGCATGGTTTTGTGGGCGGAGCCTAGTCGAGCGCTCTGCGCGAGTGTAGATCAAGCTTCCGCGCACGCGGCTCGAGCGGAGCGAGTGTATGTCCCTTTGAAGTTTTGCACCACTACAGTACCCGACCTTAAAGGGACATACACTCGCTCCGCTCGAGCCGCTTGCGCGGAATCTTGTTCTACACTCGCTCCGCTCGAACTTCTAACATGAGCAATGCTCTAGACACAGTTTTGTCGTCCTAAAATTAATTCTAGGCTTGTTTAGTATCCTTGAAACCCAGATTTCATGGAAAATCTGAAATTTCTAGAAATTTCTAGTCTAGAAAAAATACGTTTCAAAATTTTCATAAATTCAAAAATTTTTTGGAATTTTCAATATATTTCATTTTGGCCTTGAGAAATTTCTGGAAAATTCAGATTTTTCATGAAATTTGGGCTCTAGACTTAGTTACGATAGGCGTAAAATGAATTTTCAAATTTTCAAATTTCGCGCCAAAAATCACCAGCGGAGTGTCGTTGTTTTTTCTCAAACTCACCCCGCATTAATATTGGTAGATTGTCCATTGAAGTTAGGCGAAGTAAAATTGATCAAATGATACAATCGATAATTGGGATCCTCAAAGATCGGAACACACATCGCTGATGTCAACCAGCCTCCGACAAAAGCAGCACTGGAGATCAGAATCAGAATAATCGAGAGGAGTACGGTGAGGTAGAATCCGATGATAATTATCAGATTGGCCAGCCAGGAACTCGGGTTTTTTGTGGAGAAACGGAGGGTTATGAAGAGAGCAGCTAGAGCTGTGTAGATCAGGATGATACCCGATGGGATGTTGATGATTAATCGGGCTGAGATTTGAACTGCCGTGTAGGTGGAGCTCTGAAAAGAGGTGGATCTTGTAGAGAATTTCAAGAGCTTCAGAATGGTGTAGCCTGAGCAATGCTTACATGACTTTAAAGGGACACACACTCGCGCAGAGCGCTCGACTAGACTAGCCCTAACCTGAGCAATGCTCATTACTACAGTACATCATTTTAAAGGGACAAGCTTGATCTTCACTCGCGCAGAGCGCTCGACTAACATGAGTAATGCTATTATGGGCGTGGCTCAACGCACTACTACAGTACCCAACCTTAAAGGGACATACACTCGCTCCGCTCGAGCCGCGTGCGCGGAAGCTTGATCTACACTCGCGCAGAGCGCTCGGGCCTTATTTGGTATCAAAATGATCGGCTTAACATGAGCAATGCTTGGGGCATGGTTTTGTGGGCGGAGCCAAATCGAGCGCTCTGCGCGAGTGTAGATCAAGCTTCCGCGCACGCGGCTCGAGCGCAGCGAGTGTATATTTCCTTTGGTGTATTGTACAACTACAGTACCCAACCTTAAAGGGACACACACTCGCTCCGCTCGAACCGCATTCGCGGAATCTTGATCTACACTTGATCTCTGTTTCTACAGTAACCCAGGCTTACTGTATCTCAGAATTTCAAGAGCTTCAAAATGGTGTATACTTGAGTTAGGCTAAATCAATATTCTGAGCTGAGGAAATCGCTGAAAATTTGCATCAGAGCACGCCTGCTCCTCTAAAGACTGTGTAATTGCGGAGTGTTGTAGCTCGAGAATTTCAAAAGCTTCAAAATGATTCTATACAAGTTGTCAATAGAGCGCACTTACCCCCACAATATCCAATCTGGCGCGTTTCACTGAATTGATAATATTGTTGAGATCTTCCAGGAATTCATTGATCATTGTCTGTAATTAAATAATTAAGGGTTAATTACGCTAATTAAATTATAAGCTTTAATTAAGGATGCCCTAATTAACCTAATTAATTAAGGTTCCTAACTCACATTAATAGAATCCAAGCTGCTCTGAATCTCTGCCTGAGTCTGATTCATTTGCTGAGCCGATAGATCAGCCTGCTGCTGAATCTGTGTCTGAACATTTTCGAATTGCTCATTCGCATCGACCAATTTCGGCTTGATATCTTTTGCAATCGCCGAAAACGCCTTCAGATTCGTGTTGATCTCATTGATTTTACGGGTGTAATTCTGGAGCATTGTTGCACATTGGGCACCTTGAATTCCTGAGGAGAAAAATTGACATGAGAAATCTGCGAGTGTCTCCCCTTTAGACTAGCCTGGACTTAAGCTCCACCCACAAAACTAGGCCCCAAGCATTGCTCATCTTAGGCCGATCATTTTGTACCACTACATCCCTACAGTACCCAACCTTAAAGGGACACTGTTTGGTCTCAAAATGTCTGGGACGACGTGGCTCAACTCACTACTACAGTACCTTAAACCTTAAAGGGACATACACACGCTCCGCTCGAGCCGCGTGCGCGGAATTTTGATCTACACTCGCGCAGAGCGCTCGACTAGGCTCCGCCCACAAAACTGTGCCGAGCGCTCTGCGCGAGTGTAGATCAATCTTCCGCGCACGCGGCTCGAGCGGAGCGAGTGTATGTCCCTTTAATGTGTCATACTGTAGTGGTACAGAATTCTAAAGGGACATACACTCGCTCCGCTCGACCATATTTGGTCTCAAAATGCTCCGCTTAACATGAGCAATCCCAAAATTCTCCCTTCCTACCTTCAAAATCAGCCTGAAGCTTCTGCCCAGCCGCATTTGTCTCGCCGATTTGTTGATTATACCCAACTTCATCGAAATTCTGCAGCGCAGTAAATCCGATATCTTCTTTAGTCTGGTCGATGACAGTCTTCGCATAGCTCTGCATTTGTAATTCGAGTTGCGCGAACATTGTTTGAGTCGTGTTTTGCATGTCGCATTGGATTTGGGCATTTCCGTCGGTTAGAACTCGGGTGAGGTCTGGAAGAAGGCGATGGGTTTAACATGAGCAATGGTCTGACCAAGCTACATTATAGTACGAGGTATTAAAGGGACATACACTCGCTTCGCTCGAGCCGCTGACGCGGAATTTTGATCTACACTCGCGCAGAGCGCTCGGCATGGTTTTGTGGGCGGAGCCTAGTCGAGCGCTCTGCGCGAGTGTAGATCAAGCTTCCGCGCATGCGGCTCGAGCGAAGCGAGTGTATGTTCCTTTGGTGTATTGTACAACCACAGTACTACAGTACCCAACCTTAAAGGGACTTACACTCGCTCCGCTCGAGCCGCGTGCGCGGAAGATTGATCTACACTCGCGCAGAGCGCTCGGCTAAGCTCCGCCCACAAAACCATGCCTTGTTTGGTCTCTAAATGCTCGTCTTAACATGAGCAATGCTTTGGGCAGGGTCTCATGGGTGGAACATCGAGCTTAGAAGTTCAAATTGAACTTTTCGAAAAAATTTGTCATTCGATTTTTTGTCGTAAGCAAAAATTGATAACCTGATGTAATCTTCTGGGAAACAAAAAAAGGAAAAGATTAATTTTTGTGATAATTTTTTTTTGAAAATGAAAATCATACTTATGACGTGGCAAAATTGGGCGGTTTTGTGTGAGAATTTTGAAAAAAAATTTTTTTTGAAAATTTGCCTAGAGGTATCCAGGTAGCGCAACTGGTTAGAGTATAGCTCATTTACTGGTTGAAGGGTCAGGGGTTCGAGTCCCGGTGGCGACTATTTTTTTTTTCCGAGCGCTCTGCGCGAGTCTAGGTCAATCTTCCGCGCGTGCGGCTCGAGCGGAGCGAGTGTATGTCCCTTTAAATTGTTGTGCCACTACAGTACACAACCTTAAAGGGACATACACTCGCTCCGCTCGAGCCGCTGACGCGGTAGATTTATCTACACTCGCGCAGAGCGCTCGGCCCTTTCCGCCTACCGTACCTCCGGAAATCTGTTCAGTATAAACATCTCCTTGATCAATTCCATTAGTCAAATCAGTCTGCGCCAAATTGTACAAAATCACACCAGTCAACAGAAAAGCGAAGCAACTGATCAGAAATCCGATCAACAAAAATCCACTGATCTTTCTCCTCTTCAGCAATTCAGGCTCCTTCGGTCGACATCCACAACAACATTGCACAATTACAGTAACCAGGAATAGAACTATGGCAGCCAGGACGAAAACGAAACCGATGCTCCAGAAAATGATGGCTCCGATTTGATTGACGATCATGTCTTGGGCTACTTGATCGGCGGACACTGGAGAGTTTCCGAATAGCAGATTGTTGAGATCCTGAAGGGATTAACATGAGCAATGCCTTGAGGCAGGGTTTTGTGGGCGGAGCTTAGGCCTAGGCTATTTTAAAGGCACATACACTCGCTCCGCTCGAGCCGCTAACGCGGAATTTTGATCTACACTCGCGCAGAGCGCTCGGCTAATATGAGCAATGGCTTTGTGGGCGGAGCTTAAGCCTAGGTAAATTTAAAGGGACATACCCCTGTTTGGTGTCAAAATGACCAGCTTAACATGAGCAATGCTTGAGGCAGGGTTTTGTGGGCGGAGCTTGTGCCTAGGCTAATTTAAAGGGACATACACTCGCTCCGCTCGAGCCGCTTACGCGGAATTTTGATCTACACTCGCTCCGCTCGAACTTCTAACATGAGCAATGGCTTTATGGGCGGAGCTTAAGCCTAGGTAAATTTAAAGGGACATACCCTTGTTTGGTCTCAAAATGACCAGCTTAACATGAGCAATGCTTGAGGCAGGCTTAACTCACATCTACAGTACCTTAAAGGGACATACACTCGCTCCGCTCGAGCCGCCTACGCGGAATTTTGATCTACACTCGCGCAGAGCGCTCGAAAAAAATTAGACCCCACCGGGGCTCGAACCCCTGACCTTCTGGGCGCTAGAACAACTCTTCTCTAACCAGCTGCGCCACTCTCGCGCGAAAAGTTTTCTAGACCCAAATTTCACGCTGAGCATGATGGAGCTGAAATTCAGGAGCTCAAATTGCCACGTGGCAATTCAAAATTGATTTTTTTGAAAAAAAAAATCCCACAGACACTTGTTTTTTTCCCTATAAAAACCAGGAATCCCCAAAATTTTCCATTTTTTTCCGCAAAAAAAATGAAATTCCTCATTTTTCTGATTTTCTTGGTTTCAACTTGCCGTAAGTCTCGATTTTTTTCAAAATTCTGATTTTTTTCTTCAGAATCTCAATACGGTCAATGGAGCCGCTTTCCAAATTACGGAGCTCAGAAAAATGTTTGAAAAAAATTGGGAATAAAAAATTTTCGCTTCCATGGGGAATTGAACCCGTGACCTGTTGACTGGAAATCCCATAGGCTTTCCGGGTCAAAAATCAACGAGGATCATCATAAAGTGACTCATTTTGCACCCCGATGAGCTCTGGAGTTAGGATATCTCGAAAACCACTGATTTTCTCTGGCTAAAAATATTTGGAAAATGCTCAGCGCCCTTGAGAACCTAGGCTAGGATATAAAATTCAAGGTGAAAAAAATTAGACCCCGCCGGGGCTCGAACCCCTGACCCTCTGCTCAGTAAATCAACTATACTCAAACCAGCTGCGCCACCCATGCGCAAAAACATTTCTAGATCCAAATTTCACGCTGAGCACAATGAAAATGGTCCCCAGGGGGGTTTTGTGGGCGGAGCTTGTGCCTAGGCACATACACTCGCTTCGCTCGGACCGCTTACGCGGAAGTTTGAACTACACTCGCGCAGAGCGCTCGAAAAAAATTAGACCCCACCGGGGCTTGAACCCCTGACCTCCTGGGCGCTAGAACAGCTATATACTCTAACCAGCTGCGCCACACCTGCGCAAAAACATTTCTAGACTCAAATTTCACGCTGAGCACGATGGAAATGGTCCCCAGGGGGGTTTTGTGGGCGGAGCTTGTGCCTAGGCTAATTTAAAGGCACATACACTCGCTCCGCTCGAGCCGCTTACGCGGAATTTTGATCTACACTCGCGCAAAGCGCTCGAAAAAAATTAGACCCCACCGGGGCTCGAACCCCTGACCTCCTGGGCGCTAGAACAGCTATACTCTAACCAGCTGCGCCACCCATGCGCAAAAACGTTTCTAGACTAAAATTTTGCGCTGAGCACGATGGAAATGGTCCCCAAACTCACATTATACGTTTTGGCGTCCGGTGTGCTCTGCAAACCATCCGAAATACCCTTAGCAATGCTATAGAATCCCTGAATTCCCCCAAAATTGGGGGACATTGATTGAATCGCTTGAGTATCGCCGGGACACGACATTTTGGCGGGAAATTTGAAAATGAATACTAAAATTTGAATTTAGGAAGAGTTATAAAATAAATTGATAAGGTTTTGGTTTAGAAAATAATAATAGTCATCAAAAATAAAATTTTTGGGCCAACACCTTTTCTCTAAACAAATTTTGAAAGGCAGTGCAGTGATAAAAAGTTTTGGGGAACATTTTTCGAAAAACCAAAATTGATAAGGCGAATTTTTGTGTTTGAACAGCCGGAATTTTTGAAAATTTTGGCCTAAATTTGGGTTACTGTAGAGTACTGTAGCATACTGTAGCCTAAAATTCTAAAATCATTTTTCCCGAAAAAAAATTTTTTTTTTGGAATTTTTTTTTTGAAAAATAAAATCCAAAAAGGTATTGTAGAGTACTGTAGTTTTTTGGAAATTTGAAATTTTGTGCCTAAAATTTGGGTACTGTAGAGTACTGTATTTTTTTCAAAAATTTTCGAAACAAAATTTTTGCAATTTTTTTTCCAAAAATTTTTGGCAGCTGGGTTACTGTAGACACAGATTACTGTAAGTTCACTGTATTTCTGTATTCCAACAATATTTCAGATCATTCCTACAGTACCCCAGAAGCCCTAGAAAAAAGTTCCAGAGAATCTGTGGATCAAGAAGAAATATACTGTAGGATTACTGTAGCTAATAACATTTTCTGGAATTTTTTTTATACAGTAGAGCACCTGGGGTACTGTAGATTATTGTAGTCGTCGAAATTTCCAGATCTTTTCTACAGTACCTTTGAAAAAAATTCCAAAACAAAAAAATTTTGAAAAAAAAATTCAAAATTTTGCAAAAAATTCCATGAGTCACCGATTTCTAAACAAAAAACCAAAAATTTTGATTTTTTTGATAGCGCTCATAAAAAAACTCCCAACTACAGTACCTTAAAGGAACACACAGCTTAAGCCTAGCTAAATTTAAAGGGACATACCCTTGTTTGGTCTCAAAATGACCAGCCTAACATGAGCAATGCCTTGGGCAGGGTTTTGTGGGCGGAGCTTGTGCCTAAGCTAATTTAAAGGGACATACACTCGCTCCGCTCGAGCCGCTGACGCGGAATTTTGATCTACACTCGCGCAGAGCGCTCGAAAAAAATTAGACACCACCGGGGCTCGAACCCCCGACCTTCTGGGCGCTAGAACAGCTCTACTCTAACCAGCTGCGCCATCCTCGCGCGAAAAGTTTTCTAGACCCAAATTTTGCGCTGAGCATGATGGAGCTAAGATCCAGGCTCGATTCATGAGCTCTTTTGCCACGTGGCAATTCAAATTTGATTTTTTTGAAAAACATTTTTTTGCAAAACGATGACAAAAATGATTAATGCCAAACATATATAACAAAAAATGTGTAATCACAACAAAAAAAATAAAAAATTATATAATACACGTTTGATATAAAAATAATTTTTGTATGAATATTTTTCACATCAGTTGATTTTGGACTTGGTCTTCGTCATAATATATGAGTTCTGCTAAGTTATCACTCGGATATTCTCATTTTATTCAATTTGCTATGTTATCCTGTTAGTATTTGATGCTCAAACATTTTTACAACAACTTTTTTTCAGACAGCAAATTGATCATAATGCTTTTGTTACTTAACTTGATTCAAGAAACAAGTTCAAATGAAGTTATATGCGGCTTCATATCGCGAACAGTAAACATGTATGACTTTTATAAAGTTGCTGAAACCACAGTAATCTTTTTTTATACAATTTTTTTGCATTTTCAGTTGCGAGACAATACATATTGTGGAGGTTTGGACATCAATCGTAAATCTTTCACTATGCAGACTTAACAAAAACTGTGAGAATGCAAAATTGTATCCTTGAATACAAGTTACAGTACTTATGGATCTCCAAATCACGATGTTTCACTGCTTTTTCCAACTTTACAGTTTTTTAATTGATGCTTGAGAAGCTTCCGGAAAAAATCCATTTATTTTTTGCTCGTACTCCACTTTTAATATAAAATTGTTTTTCGGAAAAGGCTCAAAGTTTTTGAATTTTTTAAAAAATACAGTAACCTACAGTAACCCATCCAAAAATTCTCAAAAATACTCTACAGTAACCCAATTTTTTTATTTATTTTTTTTTTGGAATTTTTTCTCCAAAACTTTTTCTGTAAGGCAGCTGGGTTACTGTAAATTCACTTTTTTATGTATTCCAACAATATTTCAGATCTTTCCTACAGTAACCCAGAAGCCCTAGAAAAAAGTTCCAGAAAATCTGTGGATCAAGAAGAAATATACTGTAGGGTTACTGTAGAATTTTCCGGAAATTTTTATAGAGTACTGTAGAGCACCTAGGGTACTGTAGATTATTGTAGTCGTCGAAATTTTCAGATATTTTCTACAGTACTCTAGAAAAAAGTTCGAAACAAAAAAAATTTTGAAAAAAAATTCAAAATTTTGCAAAAAATTCCATGAGTCACCGATTTTTAAACAAAAAAACCAAAAATTTTGATTTTTTTGATAGCGCTCATAAAAAAACTCTTCCTTTTTTTCGACCAAAAAAAAATGATAAGACAAACATTTTTTTGGCAAAACCCTACAGTAATCCAGGAATTTTCAGGGGATTTCGAGAACATATTTTTGATCTACTAAAATTACAGTAACTCAGGTCTACAGTATCAAAAAAATACGATAGAAGCTTCATTTTTTGTCAATTTTTTTGCTAATTTTTAAATTTTTAATGAATAATTGATTTATTTTCCAACAAGAGTATACAACTAATGCCTAAAATCCAAAATTTTGTACAATTTATATCCACCTTCCACGTTTGAATCACTAATCATCAAATATTTGAATTTGAGTTCATTGTTACTCAATCGTTTCTGCTCCAAAAGTCCCCCTGGAGTAAATTGTGCAACATGATGATCCCAATATGTTTCCCAAAAACTGTTATTTCGAGCTTCTTCGTATCTTTTTCTATTCCATTCAACACCATAATCTGCTTTCCATCCTTCTTTATATATTTCTATAAATCAAAAATAATTTAAAATTAAAAAAATAAATCAAAATATACCTGTAACATCATTTCCGTTTGAATAGAGATATTTGAAGTCTTTATGAAGTATTCCAAGATCTCCTAAGCTCAGATATTTCCAATATATCATGAAGAAATTTTTGCATGCTTCTTGTGGTGTCAAACTTGCGATAAGTTGAAGATGAATCAAAAATATGAGTACAAAAATGGGATGATGCCTCATTTTTGCAAAATCAAATTAAAACCCCGTGGTTTTTATACATTTAAAAAATCCCATAAAAATTATTTAAAGTTCAATAAATACGCGGGCGTTTTATTATTTTTTGATGGAATTTTTCCGATTTTTTTTTTCCGATAAGAAAATGTGGTACTGTAGAAATATTGTGATCTACAAGACTTTTCTTCTCACTTTGAGCATTTTCAAACATTTTTCGAAATTGATAAGCCCAAATTTTTGAAAATTTGAAAATTATGGCCTAAATTTGGGTTACTGTAGGGTACTGTAGATTACTGTATTTTAAGAAATTCTGAAAAATACTGTAGATAATCTAGAAATTTTCAGGGAATTTGGAGAATATATTTTTAATCTACTGAATCTACAGTAACTCAGTTTGATCTAATTTATCAGATACAGTAACCTGGGTACAGTTTTTGATCTACAGAATTTTTCATCAATTTTTCGAGCACATTATTTCTACAGTAACCCTTTTTTCGTATGGGAAAAATCTCATCAAAAAATTATACAACGCCCGCATAATAATGTGATTTTGATTAATTTTTATGGGATTTTTTGGATGTATAAAAGACTCGCGAGTTTTCTTCTGATTTCTTATCGCAAAAATGAGGAATCTCATTTTTGTTGTCGTATTTTTGATTCATCTTCAACTAGTCGCAAGTTTGACACCACAACAAGCTGCTGAAAAATTTGCATTGGACTTCTGGAAATATATGAGATTGCGAGATACCGACATTTACCATCCGGATTATAAATATATCGATAAAAACGGAAACGATCTTACAGGTTTGAATCGCGCAAAAAGTTGAATCTGTATTTGAATTTCAAATTATTTTTTAGCAAAGAAAATAAAAGAACTGCAAAGTGATGAATTTGTTAAAAGGTTTAGAGGAAAATACGAAGAAGCATTGGACAATAAAAACAACTTTTGGGAAAAAATATTTTGGGATAGGCATATTGCTAGATTTACTACTGATGGACTTTTAGAGATTAAAGAATTCACAGACAACAAACTTACATCAAAATGGTTGATGATTCGTGATTCAGGAATGCAAGGAGGATATAAATTGCTCAAAGTTATCGAATATAAAGTTTACTAATTGTATTCTGATCGAGAAATAAAACAATTGTTCATTTTGATGTTAGAAACTTATGTCGAAAAAAATCGTTTCGAGACCTGTTTCACGATGTTTTAACAGTTATTTTTGAAAATCTGAGATTATCAGTGATAACAATTTTCGCGCAAAATAAGGTCAATGTTCTTCATTTATTCAAAAATGTTGAATACAACAATCATAATTTGTCTATTTTTTGTTATTAGAATAAATGCAGGTAAGAAAAGATTTCTCTAGTGTCCATTCCACACAAATTTTCTAGGAGTTTCCCCATTTTCTCAACTTTCCAACTTTCCCACTTTCCCAACTTCCATCATCAAGTTATCCCAAATTCCAACTTCTACATTCAACATAACCAAAGAATTGGACAAAATCAGCAAAGATTGTTTAACAAATGCTGAACATCATGAATTAACTGGAAATAAATTCAGAGGCTTGTGGGCCAGATACTTTGATTATGATATAATTGAAAAATCGGTGTATATAATTGGAAACTCGGAGATTCGAAAAGCTCTTGGATTTGGACCTCCTGGACCATGGAATAATGAGAAATTTTCATCAAGGGAACAATTAAATGCTGCTAAAACTTTAGAAGAATATTTCACAATGCAAACAGTTTCTGAAGTTAGCTATGATGCTAGAATAAGTAAGATTACGGAACAAGATTTTGCGACGGCAATTAGATATTTGGATAAAAGAGTTCCGGAAATTCGATTGGTTTATCAAAAAAAGGTTGAGGAATTTATGAAAGATCAAAAACAAATCAATCGAAAAATGGTTGATGATTTGACTGATTATATTTATGAAATCTATAAAAAATTGATGACTGCGGTGGAGACAATGAGACATAATAGCAGATGTTGGTGGGAAGAACGGAGGGATTTAGTCACATCTAATGGATTCTTCTCAAGTTTATTTGGAAAATAATTTTGTAATTTTTTTTTTGAATACAATCTCCTCACTTGTATTAGATGATAGTGTAAGTGATACTATCAACCTTAAAATTCTCGGGAAAAATACGGCACCTTTTTAGCGCCGAGGCGACATTTTCATGAAAAATCCATTATTTTACCATACAAATGACTCTTGTTCTCTTTTCATCGAAATTTTCCGCACTAAAAATATAGCAAGCGTGTCCGAGTGGATAAGAGGATGGGTTGTCATTGTTTTGACCCAGGTTCGATGCCCCTTTCCCGCACCTTTTTTTTATTTTTTTCGACTCACTGGCGCACCATTTTAGCGCCGGTGCGTCTCTTCGCGCGCCGTTTTAGCGCCGGTGCGTTCTCTCTGCGCACCTTTTTAGCGCCGAGGCGAGAGCACTTCCCGCCTCGGCGCCCCAGAATGTCGCCTTAGCGCCCCAGGATGTCGCCTTGGCGCCGTATTTTTCCCGAGAATTATGTTTATTTTCCAAACCATTTTTCATATTCTTCTCTAACCGCAAAAATAGGTCAATGTTCTTCATTTATTCAAAAATGTTGAATACACTAATAATCTGTATATTTTTTGTTATTAGAATAAATGCAGGTAAGAATAAAAATTGAAACCAAATTCAGAATTTCCCACATTTTCTAGGAGTTATCCCAACTTCCTTCAATATAACCGAAGAATTGGACAAAATCAGCAAAGATTGTTTAACAAATGCGGAACATCATGAATTAACTGGAAATAAATACAAAGGCCATTTGGCTTCATTTCTAGATTGGAATGAAATTGAACTATCTGTATATATAATTGGAAATTCGGAAATTCGAAAAGCCCTTGGATTTGGGCCTCCTGGACCATGGAATAATGAAACATTTCCATCTGATGAAAGATTAAATGCTGCTTCAAATTTAGAAGAATATTTCAAATTGCAAACAACGTCTTCTGTAAGCTTTTCTGCTAGAGTTCACAAAATTACGGAAAAAGATTTTGAGACAGCGATTAGATATTTGGACAAAAGATTGCCTGGAACTCGATTGATTTATCGAAAAAAGGTTGAGGAATTTATGAGAGATCACAAAACTATAAATCGAAAAATGGTTGATGATTTGACTGATTATATTTATGAAATCTTTGAAAAATTGAGAGATGCGACTGAGGAAATGAGATGGAATATTAGATGTAGATTGAAAGATCGAAGGGATTATATCACATCTTATGGAATCTTCTCAAGTTTATTGGAAAAATAAATGTTTGTTATTCAATATAAATTTTGAAATTGAAAAAGTCTACCTATGATTTTGCCTTCTCAGATCATTGCTCATGTTAGGCTGATCCCTTTCGTACTGTAAGCTCCCCCGAGTCATTGCTCATATTAACCGAGCGCTTGAAAAATCACATTATTCCTACAGTACCCTTGCAAAATCGTATAGAAAAATCGCATCAAAAATTTATATTTATGTGATTTTGATTAATTTTTATGGGATTTTTGGGACCTATAAAAAGCTAGGAGTTTTTATTTGATTTCATATTGCAAAAATGATGAGGACCCTCATTTTTGTTCTCGTATTCTTGGTTCATCTTCAACTTATCGCAAGTTTGACACCACCTGAAAAAGCTGTCAAAGATTTTGTAATGGTCTTCTGGAAATATCGAAGCTTGCGAGATACTGACATTTATCATCGGGATTTCAAATACATCGATTCCAATGGAAACGATGCTACAGGTATTTGTAATTTCAAATTTCAAATTTTCTATACAGTTTTATTCTAGAAAAGATTCTACAATACTGGAAAAGTGATGAAAGGGTTCAATTTAGCGCAGAAAAATACAAGGAAGGTTTGAAAAAAAATAACTTCTGGAGTAACTTTTTTCGTGGCCATACTGCTAGATTTGTTGACGAGGATAAACTTCTGGAAGAGGAAGAATTCATAAACAACAAACTTACATCAAAATGGTTGATGATTCCTGATTCAAATGTGGAAGGAGGATATAAATTGCTCAAAGTTGTCGAATATTAAGTTTGAAAATAAAGCAATTTTTTGTTGATCATTTTTATCCACAAAATTAGGCTAGATATAAAAAAATCGTGAATTCCGAGCAGGGTTCCGACCCGGTTCAGGACCACCGGTTTGGGGCAGGAAAAACCTGAGCCGAACCAAATAAACCCAGTTTGTTAAGGAAAATTCACCTTGAAAGTTCAGAGGTTATTCAACACTGACTTAGGATCTACTTGATTCTAGGATCTACTTGATTCTACAAATTTTGGAAAATGCTTTATTCTGCACAGAAACAAATTTAATACTTGAATTGTTTGAACATTTTGTATCCTCCTTGCATATTTGGATCCGGAATCATGAGATTTCGCATGTTAAGTTTGCTTTTCTCACTGAATGTTTTCAATTCCAAAAGTCCATCCGCAGTGAATCTAGCAATATGTCTATCCCAATATTTCTCCCAAAAATTATCTTTGTTTTCCAGAGCGTTTTCGTATTTTTTAATATACGATTTTACAGATGAATCTTCTCGAAACATCCAGTCATTCATAAATTTTTCTGAATATAAAGAGTTGAGTATCTAAATGAAATGTTGATTCAAACCTGTAACATCGATTCCATTTTCGGTTTTTTTATAATCTGCATGAAATATGTTAGCATCTCGCAAACCCCAATATTTCCACCAATCCAACAGGAATCCTTCGCAAACTTTTTGTGGTGTCAAACTTGTGATAAGTTGAAGATGAATCAAAAATACGAATACAAAAATGAGATGATGCCTCATTTTTGCAATGAATTCTCAAACAAAAACTCGCGAGTCTTTTATACATCCAAAAAATCCCATAAAAATTAATCAAAATCACATTATTATGCGGGCGTTGCATAATTTTTTGATGGAAATTTTGCAGGAAGAAAATGGGGTACTGTAGGAATCATTTGATCTACAAAATATTGCTGCCGCAAAATTTGAATGGCTTTAGCGTGGCTTTGAAATTGGGAAGTTCTACAGTTGAATTAACGTTGGTTGAAGTTTTCAGCTAGACCTAAAATTGATCAATATAAGACACATAAATACCCATCTTTCCAGTGTTAAAATCCCGAAAAAAATAAATATTGTCCGAGAGAAATACACGAAAATGCAAGCGGCATTGCGGAGTATCGTTGTTTTAATTTTATTGTATTGCAATTTTTTTGTTTGATTAAAAAGGATTCAGAGTATTTTAAGCGGTGAAAGTTTGTGGGAACCAAAGTATTTTATTGATTTTTGATGTTATTCCCCAAATGAACAACTTTATTTTCGCAACCAACATTACTAAACTGTATAAAGCGTGCATTTCAACACTTTATAACCTCCTGGCATAGATGCGTCTTCAATCATAAAACATCGACGGGAAAGTTTGCGATTCTCAAAGTTCTTCCACTCCAAAAGACCATCCACAGTAAATTGAGCAATATTATAACCCCAAAATATTTCCCAAAAACTATCTCCGTTCGCCAAAGCTTCCTCGTACGTTTTTCTCCATCCGGAATATTTGCCTTCCATGATGGCCTTCTTAGTCCATTCTGAAAATCAAGAGTTTTGTAGCTGAATTTTTGAAAAAAACGTTGATTACTTGTAGTTGGCCATCCATTTTCATGGTGTTCTTTAAAATTTGCATGAAGTATGCGAAGGTCACGCGAGCTCATATATTTCCACCAATCCAACAGGAATCCTTCGCAAGCTTTTTGAGGGCTCAAACTTGTGACCAGTTGAAGATGAATCAAAAATACGAGTACAAAAATGAGGATCCTCATCATTTTTGCAATATGAAATCAAATAAAAACCCCAAGCCTTTTATACATCCAAAAAATTCCATAAAAATTAATCAAAATCACATTAATATGCGGGCGTTGCATTATTTTTTGATAGGATTTTTATATGATTTTGCAAGGATACTGTAGAAATAATGAATTTTATCGAATTTTTCAACCCTTAACCCCAGAAAATCCCGGAAATCCCCGAAAAAAACAAAAAAAAATATTGTCCGAGAGAAATACACAAGCGGAATTGCGGAGTGTCGTTGTTTTATTTTTATTTTTTTTTTGAAAAATTGGTTTTATGTGTTATTCAACCATAAACCCCAGAAAATCCCAAAACTCAGCAAAATAAAAAAAAAAATATTGTCCGAGAGGAATACACAAACGGCATTACGGAGTGTCGTTGTTTTATTTTTATTTTTTTTCAAAAATTGTTTTTTTTTGTTATTTCAGCTATTCAGAAAAACCTTACTTTTGTAGATCAAAAAATCGGGTTACGGTATCCTTTAGGCTCTCACGAGTACTGTAAGTTACTGTAGAGTATTGTGGAAAATTTTGAAATTTTGTAGATCAAGACATTGTAAGGGAACCTATATCTGCCCCCAAAATTCCAAAATTCAAATTTTCGCGCCCCAAAAATCCAAACGTGATAAAACGGCTAGCACGAGAAATTGGTCATTTTCTGAATTTCTTTGCCTACAAAAAAAAATGGGAGCGGGTTTATCGAAATATTCTGGACGAATTGGCTGGTTTGATCTACCATTCGATATGCGAAGATCAATCATCGATTTGATGGATCTGAAAACAAGATTTCAATTTGCACAATGTTCGATACATTGTCTTAAAGAGGTTGCTGAAAGTCGAAATTATATTGAGAGAATTGAACTGAATGAATGTGGAAAAGGGATGGAGCGAGATATAAACATTATTATTATTAGTTCAAACAACGAAAAATGGTGGTTCAGAATACAGTATAACGTTGTATTTACTTGGGTAAGAGAGTGAGAGAGTGAGAGAGATGGCAGAGAAAACATACGATGTTTCAGCCCAAAATTGTATGCCTAAAACCGTTGGTAATATGGGGACAGAAAGATGAACGTGTAGAAGAAGGCGAATTATTTGAAAATGGAGATTTGAATGATGTTGCTTTGAAATATTTCAATGGTTTAGTGAAGAAGAATACGAAAAGTTTGAAAAGTGTGAAGATTTTAATTGTGAGTTTTGTTACCTTCAGAAGGCTTTTAGAAGCTTCTTAGAAGTTGTATTTCTTTCAGGACGATTTTCCCTATAATCAAACCAATATCAAAAATCTGAAATTCACAAATTTGAGATATTTGGTACTTTATGAAAATAAGCATGGAATCGACCCGATTATGAGTGGATTTGTTGATTTCGATATGATTACCCGTGTTGAATATAATGTCAAAATTCCCGATTTGAAACTCGATGATTTATTCAAAATGAAATCAATGAATCGAAAATTAATAAATCCCATATTTTCTTTGGAAGAATTCGAGGATTTTTTGATACAACTTTTGTTTGTAGAAGAATATGATGAACAAATTAAAGAAATTGAATTGGATTTGAAAGGAATTGAGAAGAAAATGGGAAAAAATAATACTCATGAGTATTTTATTGAAATTATCAGGAAATATGCAGAGCCTCGTGGTCTATCAATGATTATAAATGGGGAATGGAAATGTCAAACTGGATTCATTCGACCATCAAAAAAGTGGAAACATCGAGAACACTGTATTTATTTTATAGAAGATTGTTTTAAATATTTCATGATTTCAGAATTGGTACAATAAATTTTGTTTTTTTTTAAATTGAATATTTAATTGAAGAATGTTTTTCTAAAGTTTAATTTATGTCATTGTATGAATACATATGAATAAGTTTTATTGTATAATTTTTTGATGGAATTTTTGCATTAAGAAAATGGGGCACTGTAGAAATAATGTATTTCATCGATTTTTCATGTTTTTTCTTCTAAATTCAACCTAAAAACCCTGAAAATCCCGAAAAACCGCGCAAAAAACGAAAAAAATCAATATTGTCCGAGAGAAGTACACGAGCGGCATTGCGGAGTATCGTTGTTTTATTTTTTTTTTTGCAAAAAATTGTTTTTTTTTTGTGTTATCAATAAATAAGCTTCATTAAAAGCAATAATTAGAAAAAAAGTGAGCAAATATTAATTAATTAATTAGTTAATTGTAAGAATTGAATGAAAGACAGCAACTGTAACAGGGATTTTGAATTGGGGGCGTAAAAATACATGGAAAATTCCGATTTTCAGTCAAAAATGATGGATTTTCAGATGTCTAATAAGCATATCCACCATTTTGTTGTTGACTTGGTGGACTGATTGTTCGATGGAACGATTCGGTAGTTGTCGTAACTCAACTTAACATTGTAGTCTTCGGAATTGCCGCCCACTTCGTGAACACTGCATAAAATTAGATGAAGTTTTGAAATTCAAATTTTGGCGGAAATTTCGAACATATATTTTATCGAAAACGGCAAATTACATGTACGATTTTTCCACTTTTTTTCGAAAAATAAGAGATTTTTAGAATTTAATCTCTGAGAGCACATGTAAATTTTTTCTAAAAAACCCTAGTTTTTCTTCAAAACATTCTATTTCAGTTTACAGATGAACTGCTTTGTTTTCTGACATTTTTCAGTAAACATGTGAACTTTTAAAGACACAAAATCCGCTAGAAATGAGCAGAAAATGAGTTTGTTATTCATTCATAACACTTTTCAAGTAATCGAAATTCATGTAAATCAAGAGAACATTTTGAGTCTAGCAGAAGGGAAAAAATAAAATAATTGTTTTTGAAATCGCTCAGCCACGTTTTCCCATGCAATGAAGAGTCATGGTAAGCGGCGACAACGGTGTTTGCACACATTTTGTTCTCACACATCTCTCGCACTCTCCTCGTTTGCCACGCTCTCTATTTTTTTCTTGTGAAAAAAAGAGGTACGGTTTCAAACGCGCGTGAATTTTTAATTTCAATTGGTCTCGCAGCGGAGGCTAACTTTCTTCCCAGGACCCCTAAAAAGTCCAAATAAAGTCATTCGCACAGATCTCGATACGCTGACTTTCGCTATTATTGAATTAAAAATACGTGAGAAATAGAAAAACTATACTCAGGGAATCACGGGCGAGATCTACGCGATTCGCGGGACCCAGAAATCCGCGAAATCGCCGCGAACACGCCGCGATTTCGCGGTTTTCTGTCTGCGAATCGCGGAAATCTCGCGGTGCTCTCTCAAAAATCAAAAAGTAGAGGCGACGCGAGACACAACTAATCGCTCGGGAAAAATACGGCGCCAAGGCGACATCCTGGGGCGCTAAGGCGACATTCTGGGGCGCCGAGGCGGGAAGTGCTCTCGCCTCGGCGCTAAAAAGGTGCGCAGAGAGAACGCACCGGCGCTAAAATGGTGCGCCAGTGAGACGAAAAAAATAAAAAAAAGGTGCGGAAAAGGGGCATCGAACTTGGGTCAAAACAATGACAACCCATCCTCTTATCCACTCGGACACGCTTGCTACATTTTTTGTGCGGAAAATTTCGATGAAAAGAAAACAAGAGTCATTTGTATGGTAAAATAATGGATTTTTCATGAAAATGTCGCCTCGGCGCTGAAAAGGTGCCGTAATTTCGGCACCTTTTTAGCACCAGGGGCGGCCAAAATTCCTCGACAATTTTTGTCGCCTCGGTGCTAAAAAGGTGCCGTATTTTTCCCGAGCGCTTTTAATCATACTCACTCGGCCGGCGTCGATCCGTCACTCTCCGCCTCGCACACATTCCTCTTACCCACTTGACCATCCACGCGCATGACTCATATCGCTGAAACGTGTTTCATATCTCTGCACTCTTGTCGTGACAGCCCGCGAAATCCACGCGAAACGCAAACTTTTCTGCGTTTTGCGGAAATCTCGCGACAAAATATTTTCGACCGAGTTTTGCGCAATTCGCAAATGTCCACCGCGAAGTTTCCGCAAAACGCTGGAAGCCCGCGAATCGCGTAGATCTCGCTCGTGATTCCCTGAGTAGGTCAAGTGACGTGGATTTAAAAACAGTATACTCAGGTAGCAGCTTGCCTATGGACTGCCCCTTACTCTGCCCTTAGAGCAGGTTCTAAGGGCTGCATTGGAGCATTCAAGGGGCAATCGTTGGGCATTTGAATTAAACAAGAACATCACGTTTTAAATTCAAATTAATTCAAGCTACGTAAAAAAGCATTTTCACTAATTTTTCTTGTTCTCAGGTTGGAAAAATGAAGCCTAGGCCCAAAATAGGGCAGTTTAGAGAGGCAGCTTTCATCAAAAAGAAGCTGCCTTCACCTAACTAAACACATGAAAACATTATCATGTATTTAGTTGAAGGCTAAATCATGATAGTTTTCTAGAGGTAAAAAAGTTTTCTAGAAGTAAAAATTTTATTAAACGAAATAACATGGAGAGATAGATGCACTTCAGCTTGATCATACTTTGCTTCTCATTATAGAATCAAATTTTCACATAAGTTGATAATTTATTTTCCGAAATTTTATAATTCAAAGCTGCAATGGTTGGAGCAGTTGATCCAAAACAACTTTTTTGAGAATTTTATACATGGTTTGGAACATCTAATTCATAAAAATCCACCCAAAAATCACAGTGACAATCCCAGAATCCGCTTCACTATATTTGAATTGATAACTTTCTCACAGTGTTTTGCATAAAGTTACTGCTTCTATAATAAGTCGATATTTGAGCGTCATCGAAATAGTTTGATTTATTCGCTATTTTCTTGGCTAACAGAATATCAAAAATGAGAAGAAATTCCGATTTCGAAACAGGACACGTATCAAAACTAGGTCACGTTATGAAAAATAGCTATAAATTTATTTTTCCCATTAAAAAATTTGCCCTTAGGGCTTGCCCAAGGTGCAATTATGGGGCAACCGCTTTCCTAAGGGCAGTCCATGGGCAAGCTGCTACCTGAGATATACAGTCCTCCACATAATCTTAGCCTCACCCCCAAAATTTTCGAAAAATCGAAAATTTGATTTTTTCAGAAAAAAGTTGGCATAGTCAAAATATGTCAAAAGGTGATACATAAATGTACCCTACTTCGAATTTCAGATAAAAATGAGGCTGAAATAAAAAGTTGATTTTTTTGAAAAATGGGTGTTTTTAGTTTCCACATAATCTTAGCCTCACCCTAGAAAATTGCCGGAATTTCAGGTTTTGTGCTTGAACTAAGTTTGTAATGGGTCTGAAAATGATAGTTAAATCAATTTCAGACAGAATTGAGATGTAATCAACCACTATTGATTGATTAACAGTGACTGAGAACGCTGATAGCGTGGAGACTTCCATAAAAGGATCAGATATGACCGATATCGCACAATTTCAGAGCGCCCTATTGAAGAATAAGCTTATTTCAGATGTAAGAGATCGGTATCTTGCCTGAACAAGAATATCCAACTGGAAAACTCAGAAAAATGTCGGAAATTTGGCTGAAACTCAAAAATTTTGGTTCAAAAAAATTTTTAAATTTTCGAAAAATCAGCTGAAATTAACAATTTCTTGCAATTCGGGTCAGAATTTGACAGATTATGTTGAAAAAAGTGTTTTCTACCAATTTTCTAAAAATTAAGCTCGAAATAATCGAATTTTGAACCAACTTTACCTCAAAACTTGTTTTTATGGAAGTCTCCACGCTATCAGCGTTCTCAGTCACTGTTAATCAATCAATAGTGGTTGATTACATCTCAATTCTGTCTGAAATTGATTTAACTATCATTTTCAGACCCATTACAAACTTAGTTCAAGCACAAAACCTGAAATTCCGGCAATTTTCTAGGGTGAGGCTAAGATTATGTGGAAATTAAAAACACCCATTTTTCAAAAAAATCAACTTTTTATTTCAGCCTCATTTTTATCTGAAATTCGAAGTAGGGTACATTTATGTATCACCTTTTGACATATTTTGACTATGCCAACTTTTTCTGAAAAAATCAAATTTTCGATTTTTCGAAAATTTTGGGGGTGAGGCTAAGATTATGTGGAGGACTGTATATACTGTTTTTAGTTCCACATCACTTGACCTAGTTTTTTATTTATCACGTGTTTTTAATTCAATAATATGTTTTTTGTTTTTGATGAAGTGGGGGTAATTAAACCGCTAGACGTTGCACCGTTTTTGTCGGCTGCGCGATGAAAATTGCACAACTTTCTTCTTTTTCAAACGTGTGTGCATATATGATTTCTGTGAGAATTATTAAAATAATATTTTCAGATTTTAGTGCAATCTTCAAAACATGCTTCCGGGGAGAAATGTTCGAATTATTTAATGCGTAACATAAACATATAAGAGGCTTCTGATTTCATTATTTTTATTTGTAGGGTTATTTTTTCGATATCTTCAAAAAAAACTGTACATTGTGAAAATTCATCAATAATACCAAATTTTGCAAAATTAAAATTAACACTTTATTAAAAATGTACACTTTTTCAAGGTACCCTCAAAAACTGTACATTTTTAATTGCAAAAAATCTTCACGTGAAATGTACGAGTTTTGGGAGCACCCCCAAAAAATGTACATTTTTCGAAAAAATGGGCGAAATTCCAGGAGAACAGAGCTTATTCTCTTCCCATTTCTCATGGAAAGCTCTTCTGGGAATGATTGTTTTTATTAATCGTTTTGCCCTAATTTGTTTTATTCACGTGAAATATTTTTCATCATTTATTTCATTTCCGAGTAATCGACAGAAAAGAAATGCTCTTTTTTTGTCTTGGTTTCCAAGAAATGTTTAGTTGGCGTGAAAAAAATATGCCAAAAATGTACGTTTTTTGGGAGTAAATTTCAAAATTTGAACCAAGAAAAAAAATTATGAAATTCAAAGCTTCTTATATCATGAGCCAATAGTTTGAGAAAACGTTTGATTTTTTTTTCATATAAGAAGGGTCTCATGCCTTCACAACCCAAAGTTGGCATACGTGATAAACATAAATTAGAACTCCCATACGCTATGAAAAATTCGAAATAATTTCATGAAATTTCAACTCACGATCACTATGACGCCACATAATGTATAAAATAAAGAAAGACGTGCCCCATTGAGGAAAAAGTGAGAAATTCTTACTTTTTTCTTGCTGGCCCTATTTTCTGAAAAATGGCCCCATTCAGGGGCCATTTTTTCAGATTTCAGAGATTACCGCTTTTTCCAGTGTTTCTTGTGTCTTTAATTTTGATATATATTATTTTAATAATATTTAATCTACTATATACTAATATATTTTCAATAATAATTTTACAATTTCAAAGAAGACACATTCATTTTACAGGTTCAGATTGTTTTTCAATCACTCGGTTCTCGCTTTCTTAACTGGGACAACCTGAAAATGAACAATTTAGTTAAGTATCGGCACCAGAAATTTTGATTGATGAAGATCAAAAATTGACGCGAAAATTTAAAGCCAATTCTAACTTTCAGTTGTGAAAAATCATAAGTTTTTAGAAAAACAAGTGAGTCTTTCAAAAAAAAAAACTGTGCAGATGAATATTTCAACTCACATTAATAGCCGTCAATTTTGCAGCGTGGATAATCACAATTGCATCAGTTATTTTTGTGTATGGTTGAAAATCTGCGAGTTCACAAAGTGCGAAGTTCCCATTGGCAAAAATGAATGTTTGTTTCGCAGTTGATATTCCGATGAAATTTCCATTTTGATCGAATACACCGCTTCCACTGTCACCAGGCGAACCCAAACTCGTTCCAACAGCAAAACTCACTGGAAAAATTGATAGACGACACCCTCGGGCACCGAGGCGGGAAATGCTCCCGCCTCGGCGCTAAAATAGTGCGCCAGTATTGTTTTGTATGACGAAGCAAATTTTAAAAAAAGACGCGGGAAAATGGCATCGAACTTGGGTCAAAACATTATCAACCCATCCTCTTATCCACTATGAAATGCTCGCTACATTTTCAGTGCACAGGGATTTCGCTAACTATAGTCATAACGGGCCCGTAACGGAAGTTGTCTCCAGTAATCGACTTGTTTTGTACCCGTTAATCTGAAACGGGTCTTGTACGGAAGTACAATTATAAGTTATTATAACTTCTCTGCTTCTTTCTAGCACCACTAAAGAATGTTCAAAAACTTTTGCATTTTTCTGAAAAGTTTTTGAATGAAAAAAAAATTTTTCAATTTTTTTCGGAAAATTTTCAACTTGTTGGTACTGAACGGGTTGAAAACGGATTGTGGCGACAGATCAAAAACGGGTTTGAAACGGGAGTTCAAAAATCGAATTTGAATTTCAGAAAATCATAAAAATAGCTTTCTGGTTCGAAGTGAATAGTTTTCGCTACAGAAATTAAATAATACTTTTTCTGAAAATTTTTGGATTTGGCGATCTGACACCTTTCTTTGAAATGGTGTTTATGATTAATAATTGCGAACCATCTTTTTGGATCCTAATAATCAATTTCCACTATGGATCAATTCATCTGAAGAAAAAATGAATTTCGCGACATTTTTTGTCGCGAAATTGCAATTCGCGAAACGACACGAAATTAATAAAATAAAAGAGGAAATTCTTTTTTGGTGTGAATTGGGTCTCGCAGCGATTACGTGTCCCTTTAATATTTCTCCTTTATTTTTGTGTTTATTTCGTGTCGTTTCACGAATTGCAATTTCGCGACAAAAAATGTCGCGAAATTCATTTTTTCTTCAGATGTTTTCCTAAGTCAAATTCAGAATTTTTGAAAAAAAAGGTGCCGTATTTTTCCGGAGCGATATCATTAATCATAAGATATTCTTGTGCTTTTCATTTTCGTTTCTCCATTTTATTTTGATCTCAGACGAACTTACTTGTTTTTTCGCTAATAACACCGGTCTTCCAAAACGGCTCGCGAACTCCATTAACACCGACTTGAAAGTATACTTGTCCTCTGTACAAACTGCCATTTAATCTGGGTGAGTGAGGGAAAGTTCCACTAATAATTTTTAGCACAATAAAATCGCATTCTGTAGAAATTTCAAACACAGTTGTCTGAAAAATGAAATATTGAATTCAGTTTCGAAAAATGAAAAAAACCTCATATTCCATACGATTCAAAACGTTCCAGACTTTTACAATTTCGTTTTTCACGAAATTGTGATGAGGCGGGTGTCTAAACGTCACAGCAAACTGAGGATGGAATACGATTACGCAAAAATTCAATGAATTAGATGGATGGGAAGTTGTAAACAATAATTGCTCAATGGCTCTGCACTCCAAATCATCCATCTAAATAAACACGAATTAATTAGTTTTCCTTCGAGGATTCTACTTCAATCTTTTTTACTTACTATTATTAAACTGAAAAAATACAAGTTCCAGATTTTTCCTTTAAAAAAAATATCAATGAAGGGGTGGGTATTCATAGACTGATATTATTATCAGAAGGTGACCACGTCACGTTTAACTTTTCATGAATTATTGAATTATTTTCATGAAAATCTGAAATTATTTTAGAAATAAACTTTAAAAAATTTGATTTAGATACCAATATTTCATTTTTATTATAACAAAAAATAATGAAGTGCGAAAAAAAAAGACGCACACATGCATGCGGCGTGTTTGCAGAAATTGTGTGCGATGGGTTGCAGGAGGCGGTGTTTATATATTCTTGACAATTATTGAACATCAACACAATTTTTTATGTTTTTTTTTGTATTTCTAGAGGAAATATTGGAAAAAACTATCATTGACCCTTTTGGGTAGAAATCCTATGTTTCACCTTGATGAAAACATTCGACCGCGCCGGGGTTCGAACCAGGACCCTCTGAGTGACAAGTCAGTATACTAGAAAACTCTAACCAGCTGCACCACGTTTGCGCAAAAACTTTTCTCAACCCAAATTTCCCGCTGAAAACAATGATGATCAATAAATAAGCTTCATTAAAAGCAATAATCAGAAAAAAGTGAGCAAATATTAATTAATTAATTAGTTAATTGTAAGAATTGAATGAAAGACAGCAACTGTAACAGGGATTTTGAATTGGGGGGTAAAAATACATGGAAAATTCAGATTTTCAGTGGGTTTTCAGCCAAAAATCTGGAATTTCAGATGTCTAATAAGCATATCCACCATTTTGTTGTTGACTTGGTGGACTGATTGTTCGATGGAACGATTCGGTAGTTGTGGTAACTTCGTATTGTCGATCTCGATTTCGCCTATGACGTGGCATTGTTCCTTCCGGTTGACGATCAATGTCTTCTTCGTAGACACTGCAAAGAAAGTGGATGAAATTTTGAAAATTCAAATTTTCGCGCTGAGAATCCACGTGGAAATATTTTGGCGCGTGAATTAGAAAAAAATTTTTTTTTTGAAAATTTTAAAAATATAAATTTTATCCCGAGAATCCACGTGGCTTAATTATGTAAATTTCAAGGATTGCTCATGTTAGTCCAAAACAAAGCTAATATGAGCAATTCTTTAGAAAAATTCAAAAATTCAATTAACATGAGCAATGTCTCAGATTTCAGAAATTTCGAGAAAAAATCTGGAATTTTGGCTCAAATTTTTGAAAATTCCAGGGATTGCTCATGTTAGTCCGAAAGAAAGCTAATATGAGCAATGCCTCAAAATTTATCGGTCTTCAGAAATTTCGAAAAAAAATCTGAATAAAAAATAAATTCAAAATTTTTGCTGAAAATTTTAAAATTCCAGGGATTGCTCATGTTAGTAGCTAACATGAGCAATACTTTAGAAAAATTCAAAAATTCAGTTAACATGAGCAACGCCTTAGATTTCAGAAATTCCGAGAAAAATCTGAAAAACTTTCTGAACTTTTTAAAATTCCGGGGATTGCTCATGTTAGTCCATAACAAAGCTAACATGAGCAATTCTTTAGAAAAATTCAAAAATTCAATTAACATGAGCAATCCTTACGATTTTCAAAAATTTCAGCCAAAATTCCAGATTTTTCTTCAAATTTCTAAAATCTGAGGCATTGCTCATGTTATTTTTGAAATAAGGATTTTGAAAAATTTTGAATATTTGAATTTCCCGCTCCCCACGAGAAGAATGTAGCTCAGTGGTAGTGTTGGCAACTGTCAATCTCAAGGTCACAGGTTCGACCCCCGCTACCCGCTAACTCACACATATTCCTCCTTAACACTCGGCGCCTGCACTCTTGGCAGTCTAAACCAGGAGAAGAACGGTGAAACCCGCTCCTCCTGTACAATCGGTGTTCGTTCTACAGTAATATGATAGACCTCCTGGAAACACAGTACACAATAGCACAAGAACCACGCCATAAAACAGCCGATAATCCATGCGACCCAAATATCACGCCAATGATTTTTGTAGCCATTGATACGGGAAAATGAGTCGACGATGCATAGACCCATGAATCCGAAGATTAAAAGTGGGCGGAGCAATGGAGCACCACGTAAGTTTATCATATAATAGATGTAGAGCTGTAATATGAGCAATGCTTAAAATGTTTGGTTTATTTAGACCCTCGGTGATTTCTGAAATTTGTAGAGGTTTTTAAAAAAAGATTTTTCATCATTTTTCGACTAATATGAGCAATGGTAGCCTATTTTGAACTAAAATGAGCAATCCTCAAAAATCTGAGATTTTTTAGACCTTTGGAAGTTTTTTAGAATATCTATCACTATATGATTAATATGAGCAATAGTGATAATTTTGAGAGTAATATGAGCAATGCCTGAGATTTAGAGAGTTTTTTTTAGACTTGGTACTATCTTTGGAGATTTTTAGGAATATTTCTGATTTTTAGAATTTCTATCATTTATGATTAATATGAGCAATGTTGATAATTTTGAGATTAATATGAGCAATGCTTGAAATTAGAGTTTTTTTTAGACTTTCGGAGACTTTTACGAAAATTTCTGGTTATTCGATTAATATGAGCAATAGTGATAATTTTGAGATTAATATGAGCAATGCTCAAAATTTAGGGGGTTTATTAGAACTTCGGAGATTTTTCGAAATTCTGTCATTCATGATTAATATGAGCAATAGTGATAATTTTGAGAGTAATATGAGCAATGGTTTAAAAGTCTAGTTTTGCCCTATTTTTTTGAAATCTAGAATTTCTATCATGAGCAATGCTATACAATTGGTTATCGATTAAAATTCAAATTTTTTCAAAAAAAAATTCCTAGGTCAAATTCAGACTCATTTTGCTCAGAATTTCTAGCCCTACCTCAGGTTTTCAGAAAAAATTCCGAAAAAAATCCCCTACCGATGCAAAACAACAAGCATACGACGAAACAACGGCATGAAGTGACGGAAAAGTCAACCAGGCATATCGCAACTCATCGGCTCCGCGATAATTGCACGCCAAATGTGGTGAGGGGGAGGGTGAGTGTTCCAGTGGGGCAGTGCAGGCTCTGGAAATTTTGAGAGTTTTGAAAAATCCACGTGGCAAGAAGAACTCACGTGATCGAAACATTACACAGCGACAGGAAATAGGGGCGTTGATATCCGGTCATCAATTTGATTGTGTCCACAAAAATTTGAACAATTAATAAACCAGCCAAGTAGATTACTGGAAAATTAGGGTAATTAGGGTAATTATCATCCTTAACTAGTAATTTGTTATTTAAGTAGATAACTGGCAACTTTAAGACTTAAAAGTTTAAGTTAATTAATTAGTTAAGATAAAATTAACAATAATTGCGATATTCAGTTAATTTAACCATTAGGTAGTTAACCTTTAATTACAGACTAATTAATTATCTTAATTAAGTAAGTAAGTAATTATTAAGGTATCCTATCCTTAGGGTTAAGTAAATAATTAACAACTTAATTACTAATTGCAATATTCAGTTAATTTGTTAAATAATTAACCACTAGGTAGTTAACCTTTAACTATCTTCATTAAGTACGTAATTATTAAGTGATCCTTAAGGTTAACAGCTTAATTAGCACTCCTAATTACCCTAATTACTCACCAACAAATCTAAAAAGTCTTCTCGTAAATAAATGCACAGGACATTCCCCACAATTTGCATAAATAATCTTCCTCGGTTTTGTGCTAAACAACCAAAACATGATTTCACCAATCAGAATCACCAACGGTGGAATTGTGAAAGCTAGAGTGTACAATAAGGGGTAGGAGACGTAGACATTGAAATCCTCTGGAACGAAATTCGGCTTGTAGAGATGCACATCACGACAGTAGAACACACGGTGATGGTAGGGAAAGACGCTGGTGAATCTGGAACATTTTTGAGGGTTTTTTTTGGGATGCTTGGGAAAATTGGAGTATTTTGATACCAAATATGATGGGTTTGGTGAAAATTTGGGGGCCACAAAATAAGGGAACCCTCAAAATTACTAGATGATTCTAGTTTTTCTCAATTTTCTCCTCGAAATCCCAAGTTCCTCTAACTATAATTCACATCATCTTGTAGCCCTTGAAATTCTCCACATTTTGACACCTAACAACCCTAATTTTGGTAAATTTTTTGATAGTATAAATTAAGGAAAACTTGGGAATCCTCAAAATTCCTAGGAAATTTTGGTTTCCCCCAATTTTCTCCTCGAAATCTCAAGTTCCTCTAACTATAATTCACATCCCCTTGTAGCCCTTGAAATTCTCTACATTTTGACACCCAACAACCCTGATTTTGGTGAATTTTTTGATAGGATAAATTAGGGAAAACTAGGAAACCCTCAAAATTCTCAGGAAATTTTGGTTTTTGTCATTTTCCCCTACGTAATCCCAAGTTCCTCTAACTATAATTCTAATCATCTTGTAGCCCTTGAAATTCTCTACATTTTGACACCTAATAGTACTGGATTTGCTAAATTTTAACTATATAAAATTGAGGAAACTCCCGTAAACCTCGAAAATTTCAGTTTTTCCCAATTTTCTCCTCGAAATCCCAAGTTCCTCTAACTCTAATTCACATCCCCTTGTAGCCCTTGAAATTCTCTACAAAATCCACATCTCACTTTTTTCCTCAATTTCAAAAATTCCCTCATTTTCATCAAAAACCAAAGTTTCCCCCAAAAAAGCGAAAAAAAGAAAAAAAGGGGCGGAGTCTTGTCGCACACAAGAGATAGCAACATGTCGCGCCAGCCAAGTGTCCGTCGCACAATTTTTATAAAAAAGGGGGAGAGAGAAGAAAAGATTAGCCGATGAATTTAAATCAAAACCAAATGTTTGTGTGAATGTTCGGTGAACTCAAATCCTAGATTGCTGAGGCTAAACTACACTGTAGTTTTATAGTTTTTGTAAATAACTTCATAGTTTAGAAAATAAATGCAATTTTTCGTGTCAAGACCCAATTCTTGATTTTTTTAAAGTACAGTACTAATTTGTTTTCGTGTCAAGACCCAAAAAGTTCAAGTATTTGTCTTCCACTAGCTTAGAATTACCTCAAATAATACCAAAGTGCCGCTAAACACGCAATTCCGACGACATGAAGTACGGCCGACGGAAAAATGAAATAATTTATATAGGATCGCGGGCGAGGCGGCACCACCGTAGTCACACCACCGTATTGACTCGCTGAGAACACCTGCAAATCTTGTACTGTAGGGGGTACTGTAGGGCGGGAGAGTACTGTACCTCAGAGTGTGCCCGCGAAGGTGGCACTGACATTTCTTTTCGTTCTGGAATCTTGGCTCGCGGGTTTTGGGGTGTCGCTGGAAAAAAATGGGATTTTGCGAGACAGTAAAGTGATATACGATAAAAAATGACAAAAAATCGGCAATTTTTGCCACGTGGCAGTTAAAGGAACCGGAAAAGTTGGTGAAAAACGTCAAGAAAACTGCACAAGCACACACAAAAATCATTGACAGTCAATCACCAAGCACACACACACAATTCTATTCTATTCTACCTGTCCTCCGTCGCATTTTCCGCCTCTCTGCACTCTGCGTCTCTTCACATCCACACACTCTCTCTCGTCGGGGTGCGCAAAGCTCGATTTTTGAGCCGCCGCCGCCGCAACACTGCAAATATTGACACTGACTAATCATTTGGTATTTTTGTGTTATTATTTTGTATAAGGAAGGGGATTTGGGTGGGGATTTTGGGGTGTATCTATTGGCTAGAGAAAACATACACACCATGCCATCTTGGAAAACGGAGAGAGCTCAGACAACGAGAGACGGCTAGAGATCATGAGAGTGCAGGCAGCTAGAGCATACAATTAACTTGGGAGTGAGCAGATAGCTAGAGACAACTAGAGAACACATCGAGATGAAGAGAGCCTAGATAACTAGAGAACATTAGAACATGCAGCTAGAGAACACAGAGAATTTGAGAGAGTCCAGACGGTTAGAGAGGCTAAAGATCACATAAGACCAAGCTATGTTGGAAAATGAAGAGAGCACTGACGACGAGAGATAGCTAGAGATCATGAGGGATAAAGATAGTGCAGACAACTAGAGAACATCAATTTATCTTGGGAGAGTACAGGCAGCTAGAGAACATTAGAGAACACAGAGAATTTGAGAGAGTCCAGGCAGCTAGAGAACATCAGAGAACAGAGCGAGATGAAGAGAGCCTAGACAGCTATAGAACACAGCGAGATAGAGAGCCTAGACAACCATAAAACACAATCATCTTGGAAGAGTACAGACAGCTAGAGAGCATTAAAGAACACAGAGAAATTGAGAGAGTCCAGACAGCTAGAGTAATGCTAAAAGCCCCAATCAAACAATATGAAACATTGCTCTCGAGCTCTCCCAAAAATAACACACAAACACACAAAACTTGACCGCAACAACACAGATAATCTTTTCTCTCATGTAAAAATAGGTTGTTGTTCTTGTTTCGATTATTTGCTTCTTGCTCCTCCTTGTATCTGACAGAACAAGAGCCGGTTTTGGTGGGGGGCTCCGCCTGCAGGAGGAGCAAAAAGAGCAGCATCTTATTCTTATTGTTTACGTACACTTCAGTTGAATTGGGAGACCGGGAGATGACCGGTTGATGGGGGAAGAAAATGAAACATTTTGAGGGGAGAGACGCAGAGCGGGGCTGAAATCCTATTCAATCAACAAAAAAAATGAAAAAAAAAGTTTTTTTGCAAAAAAATAAAAAAGAAAACAACGACACTCCGGCTTGCCCGCTGTTTAGCGCAACACGAAAATATTTTCTTTTTCTTTTTTTCGTTTTTTTCCGCTGGTTTTTCAGGTTTCTCCGGGGAAATTAGGTGAAAAGCATGAAAAATCAATAAAATACAGTTATTTTCATTGATTCTCACCGCTTAAAACACTCCAAATCCTATTCAATCAACAAAAAAAGAAAAAAAAGTTTTTTTGCAAAAAAATAAAAAGAAAACAACGACACTCCGGCTTGCCCGCTGTTTAGCGCAACACGAAAATATTTTCTTTTTCTTTTTTTCGTTTTTTTCCGCTGGTTTTTCAGGTTTCTCCGGGGAAATTAGGTGAAAAGCATGAAAAATCAATAAAATACAGTTATTTTCATTGATTCTCACCGCTTAAAACACTCCAAATCCTATTCAATCAACAAAAAAAAGAAAAAAAAAAGTTTTTTGCAAAAAAATAAAAAGAAAACAACGACACTCCGGCTTGCCCGCTGTTTAGCGCAACACGAAAATATTTTCTTTTTCTTTTTTTCGTTTTTTTCCGCTGGTTTTTCAGGTTTCTCCGGGGAAATTAGGTGAAAAGCATGAAAAATCAATAAAATACAGTTATTTTCATTGATTCTCACCGCTTAAAACACTCCAAATCCTATTCAATCAACAAAAAAAAGAAAAAAAAAAGTTTTTTTGCAAAAAAATAAAAAGAAAACAACGACACTCCGGCTTGCCCGCTGTTTAGCGCAACACGAAAATATTTTCTTTTTCTTTTTTTCGTTTTTTTCCGCTGGTTTTTCAGGTTTCTCCGGGGAAATTAGGTGAAAAGCATGAAAAATCAATAAAATACAGTTATTTTCATTGATTCTCACCGCTTAAAACACTCCAAATCCTATTCAATCAACAAAAAAAAGAAAAAAAAAAGTTTTTTTGCAAAAAAATAAAAAGAAAACAACGACACTCCGGCTTGCCCGCTGTTTAGCGCAACACGAAAATATTTTCTTTTTCTTTTTTTCGTTTTTTTCCGCTGGTTTTTCAGGTTTCTCCGGGGAAATTAGGTGAAAAGCATGAAAAATCAATAAAATACAGTTATTTTCATTGATTCTCACCGCTTAAAACACTCCAAATCCTATTCAATCAACAAAAAAAAGAAAAAAAAAAGTTTTTTGCAAAAAAATAAAAAGAAAACAACGACACTCCGGCTTGCCCGCTGTTTAGCGCAACACGAAAATATTTTCTTTTTCTTTTTTTTGTTTTTTTCCGCTGGTTTTCAGGTTTTCGGGGAAAATCAATGGATTTCAGTTGAAAATTGAGTTTTCAGATGTTGTACAAGGCTGGAATTATCGATTCCAACTGAAAATCCGAGGATTATCGAAGACAGGTGGGTTTTTTGCTAGAGAAACACTGTTTCGATGGAAATTTTTGAGTTTTTGTGTTTTCAGGGTCGAAAATGATTTTAAAATTGAGGAGAAGGATTATTGATTGTGATTTTTCACTCAAAAATTTAAAATTTTCCGATTTTCAGCTCGAAATATCGATGGACAATTGGATTTCAATGTCAAAAACGTGGAAAATTTGGAGGATTTTGGATTTCTCGAGGATTTTTATTGGAATTTGAGAAATAGAAGCGATTGGTGAGTTTTTTGGGTAGGGATTTTGAAAAAATCGATAAAAAATCTACTTTTTGAAAAAAATCTTCAAAAATTATGAAAAAATCCTAAAAAAAAACCCATCAAAATCCAGTTTTGCAAAAAAAAAAACAAAAAGAAAACAACGATACTCCGCAATCCCGTTGCATTTTCGTGTATTTCTCTCGGACAATATTGATTTTTTTTTCGTTTTTGCGCGGTTTTTTGGGGGTTTTCGGGGTTTCGGGTTGAAATTAGGATAGTGAAGTTGTAAAATGAGCGTTTTTTGTTGGTTTTTCACATTCACATAAACCAGAAATGCTGAAAAGTGCGGGAATTCAAAAAAAGTGTGCGATGGAGCGAATTTTCCTTTTTTTTTTGAAGTTTGTGTGTGTTTTTGATGATTTTGACTATTTTTCAATGACTGAAATGTATTTTCAACCAAAAAATATCATACAAAATTTTATTTTTCTCAAATTCTTCGTATTCTCTCTCTCTCTATTCGTCGACATATTTGATCGAAACATCATATTGATCCAAAAATTGCATGGCTGAATGGTAGAACTCCCAGAATTGTTGATCATTGTCTGGAAAAATGTGAGTTTTGGTTGGGGCGAAAATGGGGGATGGTTTAGATTTACCTGCGGCACGTTTTTGACGTTGAGCAACTGCGCCAGTATTGTCACCAGATGCTGCAGAAGTTAAAGGTGTATCTGGATCTTGTTGTGGAGCATTTGGGGTTAAAGGACCTCCATTTGAATCTTGTGGAGTTAAAGAACCTCCATTTGAATCTTGTGGAGTTAAAGGTCCTCCATTTGAATCTTGTGGAGTTAAAGGATCTCCATTTTGATCTTGTGGAGTCAAAGGACCTCCATTTTGATCTTGTGGAGTTAATGGACCTCCATTTGGAGTTAAAGGATCTCCATTTTGATCTTGTGGAGTTAAAGGACCTCCATTTTGATCTTGTGGAGTTAAAGGACCTCCATTTGGAGTTAAAGGATCTCCATTTTGATCTTGTGGAGTTAAAGGATCTCCATTTTGATCTTGTGGAGTTAATGGACCTCCATTTGGAGTTAATGGATCTCCTGGTACACCATTTGGAGTTATAACAGGTGTATCTGGATCTGTTGGTGCAGAATTTGGAGTTATAACAGGTGTATCTGGATCTGTTGGTGCAGAATTTGGAGTTATAACAGGTGTATCTGGATCTGTTGGTGCAGAATTTGGAGTTATAACAGGTGTATCTGGATCTGTTGGTGGAGCATTTGGAGTTATAACAGGTGTATCTGGATCTGTTGGTGCAGAATTTGGAGTTATAACAGGTGCATCTGGATCTGTTGGTGCAGAATTTGGAGTTATAACAGGTGTATCTGGATCTGTTGGTGCAGAATTTGGAGTTATAACAGGTGCATCTGGATCTGTTGGTGCAGAATTTGGAGTTATAACAGGTGCATTTGGAGTTAAAGGATCTGCATTTGGATTAGAAGCACCGCCTCCACCAGCATTTCGATCTTGCAAATCCTTCTTTCTCTTCTCAGCTGCAAGTTTCAAAGCTCTAATCAATTTCGTCTTAATATCCACGTCATCGACCTCAACACGAGTCTCAATAATTTCGCCAGTAATCAAATCCGCCGTGAAATAATAAGGTGATAGAACATAATTGGGTAGAGCCGCCTCAACTTGAGCCTGCAATTGAGCATAACTCTTCGCACCATCCACATAATAAACCATGGCCATCAACACCGAAATGACGGCAATTTTGAGGTGAGTCATTGTCGTCAACGATAGTTTTTTCCAGAATTGGCAGAAATTTGAACCAAAAATTCCACTAACAATCCGAAATGATATGATTTTTGGGGCGTTTGAGAGTTGAATTTATACAAGTCTGGGGTGACGTGGATATGGTGAGATAAAATCTAAGTCGTCACCAGGTCACGCTCAAATTTTTTTGCTCTAAACGTGCGAAAAAAATTGGGCATTTTTTGAATTTGAGAAATGGGATCATGTTTATCAACACGGAAATCTGATGAAATTGTATGGTTCGAATTACCATTTGATGTAAGAAGATTATTAATCGATTCAATGGATTTTGAAACGAAAGCAAGATTTTCACAATGTTCAATAGATTGTTTGAAAGAAGTTAGCGAAACTCGAAATTTTATCGACGAAATTGTTATAGATGGAGGTGGAAAAGGGGAACATCGCAATTTCTGTATCACAGTGCTTTCAAAAACAGAAGACGCATGGTTTTTTAAAATCAAAAAATTGGAAGAAAATTGCATTGTTAATTGGGAAACAAAAAACAATGAACTTATTTCACAAATAACATTTGAAAATCAAGATATTATCGAAATTCTTTTGAAATATTTTAATGGATTGGTGAAGAAAAATACGAAAAGTTTGAAAACTATTTGGATTCCTATGGTAAGTTTTATATTATTATTGTCTTGGTTCACAATGTTTTTTTGCAGGACGATTTTCCTTATAATCGAACAAATATCAACAATTTGAAATGTGTAAATATGAAAAGTTTGGTACTTTCAGAAAATAAATATGAAAAAATTGACCCGATTTTGAGTGGATTTGTGAACATCGATACAATTTCTCGTTTTCATTATCATATCGAATTTCCCAATCTAACCCTCGATGATTTGTTCAAATTAAGATCAATCAAGCGAACATTATCCAATCCCAGATTTTCAGTGGATGAATTCGACAATTTTTTGCGACGTATTTTGGTTGAAGAGGAATCTGATGAACAAATTAAAAGAATTGTGTTGAGTTTGAAAGAAATTGCAATTGAAAATCATGATATTTTAATTCGAATTGTCAAAAAATATACAAGGGAAGCTCGTATAAATTTCATGGAAGGACATTCGGAATGGCAAATTGTATGGGCATTTGTGCGAAGATCAAAAAAGTGGAAACATCGACATCATCGTATTATTCTGAACGAAGATTGTTTTGATTATTCAATGATGTATTCACCGAGTTATCTATGAAATCAAATAAATAATGCATTACACTTACAATTAAAATTGTGTTTTGTATTGCAAAAAATTGAGAAAACTATAATTTTTCTCTCAAAACTTTCGATAATTTTTATAAAATTATCAGAAAATATATGAATTCTGGTGAAAAAGAAAACCAAAAAAAACAAATGGAAAGAAAACAACGATACTCCGCAATGCCGCTTGCGTGACGAGACTGCACAAAAGAGAAAAAATATCACACTGCACGGTTTTCAGGCGTGAACTTTGTAGAAACAAAAAAAACATGCATGACACGGACATTTTTTGGAATTTGTTAGTCTAGAAAAATGGGATCGTGTTTTTCGCGAAAAGAAAGTCAAAAGCAAATCGTGAAAATAAAAGCGAAGGAATATTCTGACGAAATTGGATGGTTTGATCTACCTTATGAAATTAGACGATTGATCATTGATTTGATGGATCTACAAACAAGATCTCAATTTGCACAATGTTCCGAAGATTGTTATGAAGAAATATTTGAAAGTCGGAATTATATAGATCTAATTGAAATAAGTTATGTAATAAAAAATGGAATTCGATATATTTGTATTTTGGTTGAAGGAAAAGATCAAAAATGGTTGTTTGTGATAAAAGAATCATCTAGAAATGCTGAAGTTCAATGGGTTATGAATGATGAATTGGTTATGAAGAAAACATTTGAGAATCAGAATCCAATTCAAGTTCTATTGATATATTTTGATGATTTTGTAAAGAAGAATAATAGAAGTTTGATAAATATTCGAATTTTTATTGTGAGTTTTTTCAATTTATTTTGCACATAAATTGTATTTTTTTCTTTTTCTCTCTTTCAGAACGATTTTCCTTATCATAAAACTAGTATTCGTAATTTTAAAAATCAAAAATTGGAACATTTGGTACTTTTCAACAATAAATATGGAATTGACCCGATTTTGAGTGGATTTATCGATCTTCATACAATTCTTAATTTTCAAAAAACGAATTAAAATTCCGAATTTGCAACTCGATTATTTTTTAAAAACCAAAGCGAAATATTCAACTCTAAATTATCCCATTTTTTCACTGCTTGATTTTGACGATTTTTTGAGGCGTGTTTTGATTGAAGAAGTTCTTGATGAGAATGTTTATTCAATTAAAATTGATTTGAAAGGAAATGCAAAGATTTATGGGATGAATTCGAATGATTTTGTTGCAATTATTGTTAAATTTTGCGAAAATCATGATGAAACAGAAAATTATCACAAATTTTTACGAAGATCGACAAAGTGGCCAAATCGGAAACATGTCATATTTTTGAGAAATGATCATTTCAAATATTTTAGTGGTTTGGCATCAACTTAAATTCAAATTTTTAATAATAAATCTTCCATTTTACTCTCCCAAAAAATTCTCAAACGTGCGTGAGACAGTCCAAAAAATCCGACATTTTTCGAATTTGTTTGCCCTGAAAAATGGGAGCATGTTTCTCAAAATGGAATAATTCTAGAGAATTTGGATGGTTTGATCTACCATTTGATATGCGAATTTCAACCAAAAATCCCGAAAAAATCGATATTTTCCGTGAGAAAAACATGAAAAACCAAATTTTTTAAAATTCTCAATTCCCAGCTAAATTTCAACCGAAAAACTCAAAAAATCCGCAAAAAAAGAGAATTGTCCGAGAGAAATACACAAGCGGAATTGCGGAGTATCGTTGTTTTATTTTTATTTTTTTTTTGCAAAATATTGTTTTTTTTGTGTTATTCAACCCTAAACCCCAGAAAATACCGAAAATCCCCGAAAAAAAAAAACAAAAAAAAATAAATATTGTCCGAGAGAAATACACAAGCGGGATTGCGGAGTATCGTTGTTTTATTTTTTTTTTCATTTTTCAAATTTTTTTTTGTTTTTGCAAGGTTTTCTCCTAGATTTTCTAATAAGAACTAAAAAAAAAGTTTATTCAATCAATAGCTCTTGACTTTTCCATCCTCATTGCTCGATTGCTCTTCCGCATCCTTCTTCGCGTCCAAATTCTTGAGCATTTTTTGACATTTGAAAATCTGAACCACAAATAAAATAATCGCCAAAAGTACAATGATACACGCAACAATTATAATATACAACCAAAAATTGGCGGGTTCTTTTTCCGATGATTCTTGACCAGAATAAACCACTCTGATAAAATTATCCTTGCATTTGATATGTTTCGGCTCGAAAACTTGGTTCAATTTTGATAAACTGTTCATCGAAGTCTCCTCGGTTCGCGCAAAACTTGGAAATTTGTCATTTTCAAAGTAGATTCCAATTTTACCACTGAGCTGTTCCAAACTTTCGAATTCGATCTTTTTCAAGTTTTTGTGGTTGGAAAAATGAAGGGCATTTCCATTGGGATTTGCGATTCTTTTCACATTTGGCAAAAGATCGAAAGTTTCGAGATCGGCAATTTTGACATAAAGACCATTACGGATTTCGGTGATTTTTGCGAGCCTTACGGTGTCAAGATCTGAAATTTTAGGCTTAGGTTAGGCTTAGGGACTTATATCAACTCACCATCCTTGGATTCACCCTTTAATTCCAGCACTCCTCCTTCAATTATCACACAATCATTATTTCCAGCTTCGAATTCACTGGGCTCACAAGAGGCATTTTCAGCGTTGATAGATTTATAGACAAAGACCACGAATAATATTGCGATTGTTTTCATTTTGAGCCTATCTAGGAATGCGGGGGGATTTTCTGGGCGCTCTGATTTTTTTGTTGGTCTGAATGACGTGGCGAATTTCGGGTCACGTGGAAATTATTTTTGTGAGTTCTGCAGATGAGTGAAATAGACACGTGAAATGTATCATTTTTCGAATTTGTTTGCCCAGAAAAATGGGAGCATATTTCTCAAAATGGAATAATTCTGGAGAAATTGGATGGTTTGATCTACCATTCGATATGCGAAGATCAATAATCGATTTAATGGATTTCGAATCAAAATCAAGATTTGCAAAGTGTTCAATAGATTGTTCGAAAGAAGTTAGCGAAACTCGAAATTTTATTGAAAAAATAGTTATAGTTGATGGAAGAGAAGGGAATAGTCGAATTATTCAGATATTTGTGACTGGAAATGGAAAAGATAACAAAAAATATTGGTTGTTTAAAATATCAGAATTATCTTCTGGAAATATTGAAGTTTGTTGGGAAATGAATAATGAAATTATATCGAGGAAAATATTTAAGAATTCAAATCCAATTGATATTGTTTTGATGTATTTCAATGATATTTTGAAGAAAAACTCGAAAAGTTTGAAATTTATCGGTGTTGTTATCGTAAGTTTTTCAAATGCAGGCTGCGTAAAAACTACCCGGATAACTTGGATATTCAAAGAAAATAATTTTGCTTTCCGCTTGGGCTCAAATATGTCCGCCTAATAATACACCCTATGGATTCTGATAAAAAATATTCGTTTAGAATAACTCGTTTCATTCTTGCAGGACGATTTTCCATATAATCAAACAAATATTAAAAATTTGAAATGTAATGATATGATAAGTTTGAGCATTGTCGAAAATAAATATGGAATTGACCCGGTTTTGAGTGGATTTGTTGATTTTGATACAATGTGCCGTTTCATTGGAATTGTCGAAATTCCAAATTGTCCACTTGAATATATATTCAAAATCGAATCAGCTACTCGAGTTTTAACGAATCCTATCATTTCGCTCGATGAATTTGACAATTATTTGAGACGTTTTTTGATTGATGAAGAATTTGGTAGAAATTTCAAACGAATTGAATTGAATATTGAGAAATACGAAGAGAATTTCGATGATTTTCATAAAATTATCAGAAAATATATGGATTCTGGTGAAATAAAAGGATATGAACGAACAAAACCTTGGTTTTATATGCGAGAATCGACAAAATGGGAACATCAAACGCATTTGTTGTTTTGGAATAAGACAAATTTTAGATTTTTGACCCGTTATAGATCTATAACTGTCAGAGTATAAACTTTTTTGCTCAAACTTTGAAAACATTATAAAACTTTTCTATCAAAATTATGAAATTGTTTCTATTCCCAACCTGGAAACCCTGAAAATCCCAAAAACCCGCGGAAAACAAAAAAAATGAACTTGTCCGAGAGAAATACACGAAAATGCGCGCAAGCAGAATTGCGGAGTATCGTTGTTTTATTTTTATTTTTTTCAAAAAAAACTTTTTTTCATTTTTTCTTGTTTGAGTGTTTTATACGGTGAATATAATGTATTTTATTGATTTTTCTTATTTTCAACCTAGAAAACGCAAAATTGTCCGAGAGAAATGAACGAAAAGTGTTATTTCGGAGAGAATAATTGATGATTTTCATAAAATTATCAGAAAATATATGGATTCTGGTGAAATAAAAGGATATGAACGAAAAAAACCTTGGTCTTATTGGCGAGAATCGACAAAATGGAAACATCGCAGGCATTTGTTGTTTTGGAATAACAATCATTTTGCATTTTTAACCCGTTTTGCATCTATTACTGTCAGAATATAAACTTAAAAATGGAAATAAAACAACGATACTCCGCAAAACCGCTTGCATTTTTGTGTATTTCGGCAGGCAGACACCTGGTGAGATGTGTCCAAAAAACCACACAAAAAATCAATATTGTCCGAGAGAAATACACAAGCGGGATTGCGGAGTATCGTTGCTTCACAAATTTTTATTCAGAATTTCTTGATTTCTGAATTCTCGATTCTAAAATTGTTACGATTGTCTTCTGAATTGCAAATAATCCCATTCAAAATCATAATTTTCAATATTCAATTTTTCTTCAATCAAAAGTCGCTTCAAAAATACATCGAATTCATCCAGCAAAAAATAGGGTTTAGATAATATTCGATTTTCGAATTTTATTTTGAATATCAGATTATTGAGAGATGTTTTTGAAATTTCCACGCGATTTTCGAATCGGGAAATCAGATGCCAATCTAATCTATAAATCCATTTGAAATCGGATCAATTTTTTGATTTTTATTTCGATAAAGTTCCAAATTCAGCAATTTTTGAGCATTTTCGAGAAGTTTTGTGTTTTTTTTTGTCATAAGGAAAGTCGTCCTGCAAAAAATCATGGAATTTGATAGATTCTGAGGATTTTTGAAAGGCATTGCTCATGTTAATCGAAATTTTCATTAATTTTAAGGAATTTCACATGTTATCTTTGTATCAGATTAATATGAGCAATTCTTGGAATTTTAGCAAAAGCTTCTCTTCGAAAAATATTAAAATTTGGTTTTTCGTGTATTTCTCTCGGACAATATCGATTTTTTAGGTTGAAATTAAGAGAACAAAATGAAAAATCAATAAAATAAAGTTATTTTCACTGATTTTCACCGCTTCAAACACTCCAAACTCTTTTCAAACAAAAAAAAAATGAAAAAAAAGCTTTTTTTGCAAAAAAATAAAAAGAAAACAACGATACTCCGCAATCCCGCTTGTGTATTTCTCTCGGACAAGTTGTTTTTTTTTGTTTTTTGCGGATTTTCGGGGTTTTTTAGCGTTTCGGGCTTCGTGGCAGGACACAGCACCAAAAAAAAATATATGTTTTCGGGATTTTTAACCTTGGCAAGAACGGCGCAAAAAACAGAATTGTCCGAGAGAAATACACGAAAAATCAAGCGAAATATTTATTCAAGAAGAAAATTCATACCAAAACACTCAAATATCGGAAAGAATCATTTTCCAACACCATAAAATGTTTTCGATTTGCCCATTTTGTGGATCTTCTCGAAAATTCGTATCGTTTGCCAGTTTCATTGAATGCCTCAAAATTCTCGTCGGTATATTTCATAATAATCACAACAATCACCATTGAATCAATCGAATATATTCCATACATTTTCTGAACTTCTTTCAAACGTATTTTAATCGTAGCAACGTTTTCATCAAGAACTTCTTCGATCAAAATACGCCGCAAAAATACGTCGAAATCAAGCAGTGAAAATATGGGATTATTTAGAGTTGAATATTTTGCTTTGGTTTTTAAAAAATAATCGAGTTGCAAATTGGGAATATCAAGGAGTTCATGAAAACGAGAAATTGTATGAAGATCCACAAATCCACTTGAAATCGGGTCAATTCCATGTTTATTTTTAAAGAGTGCCAACTGTTTCAATTTTTGATTTTGCAAATTACAAATACTAGTTTTATGATAAGGAAAATCGTCCTGCAAGTGAAAAAATTACAATTTTTGTACGTACAAAATAAATTGAAAAAACTCACAATAAAAACCCAAACACTTTGCAAACTTCTTGAATTTTTCCGCAATAAATCATCAAAATATAACGAAAGAACTTGAATTGAAGTCTGATTCTCAAAGTGTTTCTCTATAACCAATTCATCATCATACAACCATTGAACTTCAGTATTTCCAGTTGATTCCTTGATCAAAAAAACAAATTCTTCGTCTTTTCCTTCAACCAAAATACAAATAATTCGCTTTTCTTCTTGGAATACATCACTAATTTGAATTAGATCTATATAATTGCGACTTTCGAGTACTTCTTCATAACAATCTTCGGAACATTGTGCAAATTGAGATCTTGTTTTCAGATCCATCAAATCAATGATCAATCTTCTCATCTCATAAGGTAGATCAAACCATCCAATTCCTCCAGAATATTCTTTCAGTTCTATATTCTCAATTATCTCGACTCCAGAATTTTCTTTCGGTTCTATTTTCACGATTATTTCTATTTGCTTTTGGCATTCTTTTCGCGAAAAACACGATCCCATTTTTCTAGGCTAACAAATTCAAAAAATGGTGAATTTATTTTTTTTGTTTCTAGAAAGTTCACGTACCGTGATTTTTCATTTCATTCTTCTAATTTCAACCTAAAAACCCTTGAAACCCCGAAAAAACTAGGGCCGATTTTGTGACATGGCAAGTTCAGAAGATTTTAGCACAAAAATCGATATTGTTATGATTTCCAGACTTTTGATTTTCCCATGAGGCTCTTGCTATAAAAAAGACCCCAGGAATCCCCAAATTTCTTCCCGGAAAATGTTGATTCTTTATATTTTTTCTTTGATTCTACCAATTTTTGCCCTTGAAAATTATCCAATCCATCATCCACCTTCGGTTGTAGCTTCAGGAGAACCAATTGTGATCGAATCAATGAAAAGAACTTCGAAAAACTTGAATGAATCGAATCCTGATGAAGGATATCGAGAGAGATATTTGACAACTTCGACAATTCCAACAACTACAACTGAAAAACTGAGAAAAGCCGGAAAATTGGCGGATGAAATGCGATCTTGACAGAGCACTTGAGCAAGTACAATAAACTTTTCAAACTGTGCTGCATAGTGTTGCTCATGTTAAATCGATCATTTTGAGACCAAACAAGGCATGACTACATGAATTTCTAGCTCCATGAGCAGAAAATCTTGATTTTCAGCAACGATTTCAGAAAAAAACATTTTCAACATTTACTTTCAAGAAGGTTTTCTATATCTTTTCGCTCTCTATAGTGTTGAGATGAATCAGTTGCATTCGGATCAGCTACAGTTCTCGTCATACTTTCGATTTTCGCGTCAAAACCAACACCGGGAGGATTTCTATCAGGTTTTCTGGTAGTTTCCGCAAAAATGGAGATAATCATAAGAATATTGATGAGGAAAATCGATAATTGCCACATTTTTAAAGAAAATTATAAATTTGAGGAAACCAGGGATCCTGACAGCTATTTTATAGCAAAACATTATTGTCTAGACCTTGTAAAAATCGATTTTTTGCTGAAAATCTTTTTTGATTGCAATAAAATCCAGAAAACTTGACTCCGCCCACTTGCAATTTTGCGGCGCGTATATTATTTATTTTTTTTACATTTTTTTATTTATTGTTGTGAATTCAACTCTCTCACGGGATTCCAATGAAAATTCATACCCCAAATTAAAATAAAATCCAATTTTCAAACATAAACCTCTCTCAACAATTGATATTTTCCCTCGGTTTTCGCATCCGAAATCCCTAAAGTATACGATTCCAGTTTGTTATTCTTAAATTGTTTGATTTTCAGATGACCTTCGGGTGTTTTTTCAGCAATATGTGTGGCCCAATAGGTTTTCCAGTTGCCCGCATTTTTGAATGACTCGTAGATGTCGGCATGGATTTTGGGATTATGATTGTGCAGCATTTTATGGCCAGCGATTACTTGGTCTAGAGAAAAGATGGTTTTAACATGAGCAATGCATCTTGTAGAGCTCAAAATTCCGAACATTTTGATATATTTTCATCGCAAAATCTTCAATTTAAAGGCGCATCGTGGCGAGACCCAGGTTCATTGATTGTCATGCGCCTTTAAGAAAAATAGGCGCTTTGCGCGAGTGTAGATCAAAATTCCGCGTAAGCGGCTCGAGCGGAGCGAGTGTATGTCCCTTTAAGGTACTGTAAATGAGAGTTAAGCCTGCCTCAAGCATTGCTCATGTCAGCCGAGCGCTTTGCGCGAGTGTAGATCAAAGTTCCGCGCATGCGGCTCGAGCGGAGCGAGTGTATGTCCCTTTGAAGTTTTGTGTCACTACAGTACCCAAACTTAAAGGGGCATACACTCGCTCCGCTCGAGCCGCGTTCGCGGAAGCTTGATCTACACTCGCGCAGCGCGCTCGGCTAGGCTCCGCCCACAAAACCCTGCTCAAGGGATTGCTCATGTTAAAAGAAACCTTTTGAGACCGCATGGTTTTGTGGGCGGAGCTTAGCCGAGCGCTTTGCGCGAGTGTAGATCAAAATTCCGCGTAAGCGGCTCGAGCGGAGCGAGTGTATGTCCCTTTAATGTTTAGTACTGTAATAGTGAGTTAAGCCGCGCCCAAAGCATTTCTCATGTTAAGGCAAACCCTCTTTGCGTATTGCTCATATTACTTACCTCTGGTGAACTTAGTTCCATCTTTGTTGGTTCGATAATAATCCTTATGAAAGATTGTGAAGTCTTGAAGTTTGAGATGTTTAGCGAGAGAAGTTAGAAATGGTTGAGCTTCTTCTTGAGGAGTCAGGCAGAAAATCAGGGGAATTTGGAGGAGAAACAGAAGCTGAAGGTACATTTTTGTGTGGAAAAATTGACCATGATCGGGGGTTTTAAAGGGGCTTTGATTCAATTTATGATCGAATCATCAATCAGGAACTTTTTTGTTTTTTTGTTTTTTGCAGAAAACCTTGTTCGGAACAAAAAACATCAGAAATCCATAAAAATTCGGAAAAAAATCTAGATGCAGAGATTGTTTGGCAATTTTAGATATTGCTGATGAAACTCAAGTTATTGATGGTTTACCGTGTGGTTTTGACAAACAATAATCTGATTTTTATTGAAAATAAATAATTTTATCAAAATTTTGGCGGGAAAATCGATATTCTACTTATGTATCTTCTATGAGATCTTCATCGTTACTCAGTTCAAAACTACACTATAGTTTTCGGGAATCCAAGTATCCCGCTTGTATTTTCGTGTATTTCTCTCGGACAATATGGGTTTTCAGGTTTTTTTTTCAGAATGAACTAGGGGCTTTTTTTCTGATTTTTTTTTTGGGTTGGAAAATGAAAATGCGCTGAAATTGTTGCTGAAAATCTAGATTTTCTGATCTTTTCCACATTTTCCAAAGAAAAGAAATTCTGATAGTCTTGAAGGTTTTTAAGCGAAAAAATTGTCTAGAAATCATTTAAAAAAATCAATCAATTCCAAATCTTCGTAATTTTTTGCATATGTTCTTCATGGGTTTCCCGATGATTTGTCAAACTTGTAATACTTCGATTTCGCTGATTTTTGATGAATCGAAGAATTGCGCAGAGAACTAGGGGAAGAGTTAGACAAGCATATGGGGTCGCCTGGAAAATCAAAGGGATTTTCAGGTTCAGCGTGAAATTTGGAGTTTTTCGAGACCCATTTTGATATTGTTTGGTGAAAATTTGATTTTTACACCAAAATTCTCTAAACCCTATAAAAATGGGTGTCTAAAAGCTCCAAATTTCATCAGGAATCCAAAAAAACTCACATAAACAAGCGATAAAATCACAGAATACTGAAAACTTGTCATATAAACCTGAACTTGTAATAAAAACCAAGTAATTCCTGAATAAGAAGCCATAAAAGAAAATTGACAAATCGATAGAATAAACATGGCTTGTGTGGATTTCAAACTAGATCTTGTCTCAAATCTCTCCTGCATAATGAAAGATCGCAAAATTCGTTTTTCTCGCCAAAAACTTAATCTGAGCAATGCCAAATCGATGGGAATATTGGCTAGAGTTATGTAAAAAAGGACAGATAACATGAATTCGAAGTTGGAATATGAAGCAGTTGGATAATAGCCACAATTTGATACGTAATTGTTCATGGGATCATTTTGGGTTAGGAAAAAGAAGAGGGAAAATGAGGCGGTGAACTGGAAGGATTGCTCATGTTAGGAGATTTTTTAAAAAATAATTGCTCATATTAAACTCACCGCACTTCCACCTAAAATCATAGCAATCGTCGAACTACAACCCGATGTCCAAACTAGACACAAAAATCGATCGATAGACATTGCGATTTGAATTAGGACAAGTCCACAATTTCCAGTTGTGACTAGGATTTGAAAATATTGACATTCGAGGTTTGTATGATACAAGGAACAGGGTTCGGAGATCTTGAAGAGAGCTTCGTAGAGCAAAAGACTCTGCAATTTTGCGGCATGGTTTTGTGGGCGGAGCTTAAGCCTGTGCGAAATTAAAGGGACATACACTCGCTCCGCTCGAGCCGCTAACGCGGAATTTTGATTTACACTCGCGCAGAGCGCTCGGCTAAGCCCCGCCCACAAAACCATGCGGTCTCAAAAGGTTTCTTTTAACATGAGCAATCCCTTGGGCAGGGTTTTGTGGGCGGGGCTTAGCCGAGCGCTTTGCGCGAGTGTAGATCAAAATTCCGCGCATGCGGCTCGAGCGGAGCGAGTGTATGTCCCTTTAATGTTTAGTACTGTAATAGTGAGTTAAGCCGCGCCCAAAGCATTTCTCATGTTAAGGCAAACCCTCTTTGCGTATTGCTCATGTTACCAACCTCTAGTAAATTTACTCCCATCTTTGTTGGTTCTATAATAATCCTTATGAAAGATTGTGAAGTCTTGAAGTTTGAGATGTTTAGCGAGAGAAGTTAGAAATGGTTGAGCGGAGCTTAAGCCTTAAAGGGTAGATCAAAATTCCGCGGAAGCGGCTCGAGCGGAGCGAGTGTATGTCCCTTTAAATTTGGGTACTGTAGTGGTACAAAACTTCAAAGGGACACACACTCGCTCCGCTCGACTAAGCCCCGCCCCTTTTCGCAATTTCACCGCACACTTTTTCTTGCCCTACTTACCTTAAATCCAAAATATCCCAATTGATGTGAAAATGCGAAAATTAACGAGAAAAATATCAGAATCCTTGTTGAAATTGCAATTATTTTATGCCACCATAATTTTCGCATGGCACAAAAAATACAGTACCACGAGGATACGGTAACTGACAAATTGAAGAAAAGCGATAGTTGATAGATTGGAGAAGAGTAGGTGGAGATGAGAGACGCAGACGCGCAGGGACGCGTGGAATTCATGCTGAAAATCATGAAATTTTTGCTGAAAATCATGAAATTTTGCTGAAATTTCCCAATTTCTGCTCTGAAAAATCATGAAAATCAAATTTTTTTCCCAAAAAGAAGTACGAAAATAATTATAGACCAAGTGAAAATGTGACTAATCTTTTCTTTTTTTTTTGACAAAAAACCTTGGTTTTTAGTTTTTGAGACTTGTGTTATGACGTGGCAAAAAAATCAGACATGACCTAGGATTTCAGAGAATTGAAAAATTAGGCCACCACAAAAATTTCTGATTTTTAAATACCACAGAAAAACTAATTTCTTTTTTTTCTATTTTTTTTTACCAGAAAAAATCTTGATTAATTTTTTTCACAAAAAATGAAAAACAATGTCAATTTTTGGCTCGAAAAATGAGTTATGACGTGGCAAAATTTCGAGAAAACCTCTGAAAACTGAAAATTTTTCTAGATAAACCAAACCTGTAATTAGAAAAGCCGTGACATTTTGGGCAGGTGGAATAATCGAGAACGTTTTTTTTGGTTTTTTCTCATTTTCAGCCAAACAAACAAAGAAAAACGTGGCTGGGGGACTGAAAATTGAGTATTTCTGGAAATTCTTTGACATTCCACAAATAATCTTCTGGCTAGCCAGAAATTTGAGTTATGACGTGGCAAAAGTTGGAGAAATCCGTGCACATCATCATTTTCCCGACATCCATAAAACATTTGCAAAAATGGCCAATTTGAAAGTGAATTCTGAAAAAATCGATTTGAAACCTAGGAAATAGATGTTGCGGATCAACAATACATAAAATTCAAACCTGGTTTTGATCGATTTTCGACTTGAAACAGCTCTGCGCAAAAAAACGAAAAAAAAAATGCATCCCGTAAATCTACACAAATTGGCTGCTGGGAGACGCACGCATCGTCAATTGCGGAGTCGCGTCGTTTTCTTTTCTTTTTCGTTTTTCGTTTTTTTGCGAAAGTTTGAGGTTTTTCAACGGAATTTCTGGATGTTGATGGATTCCAGGTTCGAAATTGATCTCAGGTTTGATTTTTAAGTATTGTCTAGCCGGAAATTCTATTTCCGTAGGTTTCAAAATGATATTTTTCAGAATCTCTTCGAAAAACAGGATTTTTGACGAATTTGTGATGGAAACGGCTAGAACTTCTGCTAAGAGATTGCAAGTTGGATTTTGATGGAATTTCGAATCGAAATATTTCTGATAAGTTATAAAATTTTTAAATGAAATGATATGAGCAATGATGCGATTTACGCTGTGTTTATTACAAACCCCGCTTGTACAGCATTTTTTTAAATCTTGAACACATAATAAAAATTCTGAAAAAGTTTCAGTGACGTTTCACGAGTACATAATTTATTTTTAAAAAAACAAGTTTTCGTCTCATTTTTTACATCAATCATAGGTTTCATAATAACGAAGTTCGGCCACACACCAAAGTTTTGTAAATGCAGACGTAACTCCGAAAATCATAACAATTGCGAGTATAAAGAACCAAATATTTGACATATCGTTATTGAAATCTCGAAATCTCTCACAAATACTCAAATGACAATTAGTGAATGATGACAAAAACGGTTCGCATTCGAAATTTGATTTGGTTACTTTAGTCTGAATGAAAAAATATCAGGCATTATTTATACAAAACTTCGACTTACATTAAGTTGTGTAAGACCAGTTTGAATATGAAGCTTAACCGAACCTGTTACTTCTGTCGAAATAATTGTCACAAATTTTCCAAGTTCTTCGAAGTCTTTCAATAATTCCTTTTTCACATTTGTCGAGTGCATTTTACTCTTATATATATCTGTGAAAAAGAAATCATATAACATATTGATTGCACTTATGTCACTCTTTTCCATTTCAGTGCATTTTTCGTTGCTAGGTACTTCCGAATTCAATTTTGGTGGTTTCTCATTCTCGAAAATTGGTTTTATCAAAGCGACGACTTGATTTATTGATTTTTTTGTCGCATCAACTACATTAGATTTAAATTTATCGGTTTCTTTCGTCAACAGTTCCAATATCGGTTTAATATTTATCGAATCAATATCTTCTCCCAATATTAAATTACTTGACTCACATAAATTACTGTAATAAAATTATAGTTTTGAAAGTTCGAAAATCGCATTTATGATAAACAAAATTACCTTTGAGAATCGGTTTCGAAAAAAGCTTTCAATCCAGGTTTTTGAATAGAACAATCGTTTTGTGATGATAATATTATTCCATTAAAAATGATTGAAATAATAGTGATTAAAAGACAAAGATTGAATGAAAAATATGCAATTTTTGATGACCATTTAACAATTTTCGGGCATTTTTTCATAGAAATTGTGGCAATTGAAATGAATATCAATAGAATAAAAGCATTAAAAGCACTGATTGTTGATAATATTTGAATAACAATATTATTAATTCGAATATAATCTGATGAATATCCATTACTTAATTGTTTCTCAAATTTATTAACTGCATTTTCAGTATTCGATAACATATTCTGAAAATATTAAAAACTAAATTATATATTTTTTATTTTCTAACTCACATTAAATGGCTCCGTATATTTGACAATTAATTGTATTTCATTATTAATTTTATTCGATAAATCATTTGATATTTTCAACAAATTTTTATCGAGTTCATCATAAATACCAGTTATTTTTGATCCTAAATTGGTTAAATTTGGCGAATTTTTGATAACTTGATCAAAATCAGCAAAATTCTGTTTAATCGGATATCCACATGATATTGGATCATATTTTTTATATCTTTCAAGATCTTTTTTATAAACCACTGTACATGACGTCATATTTTCATGATAATAATTAATACTCTGAAACATATGAATTTAAAAAAAACAACAATATTTGTGATAACTTACTTCTAAATATCTATTCATATTTGTGCCTTTGAATGGAATCAAGATCTTATTATTCAAATCGATGAATTTCGAACGAATTGAATCAGTTGGAATCATGGAGGAATTCAAGATTTTTTTTGAATCTTTTAAAATTTTCAATCCACCAATTTCTCCACATTTTTTCATCGCATTTCTCTTATTTATTTCGTAGGAGTAATGCATCGCGACCAATGACAAACCAATAACAATCGCCAAAAATAATATTATCAAAGATTCATTCCAAAAATGCCAATTTTTCGTAAACCACTCGACGTTTTTCTTAAAAACAAGAAATAATCCAATAGCAATCAATAATACTATCAAAATACAAAAAGATATAATGATGGCAAGGCCCATTTCCTAGCCGAATTTGAAACCAGAAATGATCCGAAAATCCGTGAAAACATATTTATGCAAATATACACACGTGACACTTGATTTCAGAAATATTTTTCATCGTTGTCTTGAACTACATCTGTGACCTAGATTCGAAAATAAACGTAGATTTTCTGGACAAAAATTTATTTCAAGAAAAGATTCCGGAATTTAGATTTTTATTACAAAATATGGTATACGATGTAATTTTTGAACGTTCAAAAAATCTTATGAAACGCTGAATGTTAAATTTTCCTTGATAGAAAATCTGTGGCGATTTGGATTTCGTAGAATTTTTTTTCAAATATTTCTGAATGTTATGCAGTATTAGATACTAGTAGATTTGAATGAAACCTTTCATAAATCCAAATTTTATTTACAAAAAGTTCGCACAAGTTTTGATAATACTTCTTTGATTCGGGCGTCTATTTCATTGCTTCATTCGTTGTTTTTCCATTTGTCATTTTCGTGTCTGCCACTGACTGGGAACTTGATCTTGTTTTTTCTTCTACATTTTTCCCTGATGACTTTTTTGCGCCAACCATGTGGTTTCTCGAATATTCGGCATCTAACCAAAGTCTCGAAAATGCAGACGTAACTCCGAAAATCATAATAATTGCCAGTATAAAGATCCAAATATTTGACATATCGTTATTGAAATCTCGAAATCTCTCACAAATACTCAAATGACAATTAGTGAATGATGACAAAAACGGTTCGCATTCGAAATTTGATTTGGTTACTTTAGTCTGAATGAAAAAATATCAGGCATTATTTATACAAAACTTCGACTTACATTAAGTTGTGTAAGACCAGTTTGAATATGAAGCTTAACCGAACCTGTTACTTCTGTCGAAATAATTGTCACAGATTTTCCAAGTTCTTCGAAGTCTTTCAATAATTCCTTTTTCACATTTGTCGAGTGCATTTTTATTTCCTTTATATTATTCGACATAACTTCAGCCTTCATATTTAAGCGGAATATCGAAATTTTTTCCTCATCCGTGCATTTTTCGTTGCTAGGTACTTCCGAATTCAATTTTGGTGGTTTCTCATTCTCGAAAATTGGTTTTATCAAAGCGACGACTTGATTTATTGATTTTTTTGTCGCATCAACTACATTAGATTTAAATTTATCGGTTTCTTTCGTCAACAGTTTCAATATCGGTTTAATATCAATCGGCTTTACATTTCCCAATATCAAATCACTCGAATCACATGAATTGCTGTTAACAAAATGCAATTAAAGGCTTTTTGAGAGTAGATAAAATTTATTCACGGTGAGATTTTCTTGACGTCCCGACCTGTCGCGTAAAATTTGTTCAGCACTCAAAAAATTAAAACTCCGTATCCACAAAGCACACAAATGCGTCTGTACAACATTCTCCACTCCAATTGAAATTTCGAGACGGTTTTTTGTATGGTCGGCGTAAAGAAAATCTGACCGTGTATTATATTATCTAAATCTCTCACTTTCGCGTTGATTATGAATTTCAATGAAAAATTACCTTTGAGAATCGGTTTCGAAAAAAGCTTTCAATCCAGGTTTTTGAATAGAACAATCATTTTGTGATGATAATATTATTCCATTAAAAATGATTGAAATAATTGTGATTATAAGACAAAGATTGAATGAAAAATATGCAATTTTTGACGACCATTTAACAATTTTCGGGCATTTTTTCATAGAAATTGTGGCAATTGAAATGAATATCAATAGAATAAAAGCATTAAAAGCACTGATTGTTGATAATATTTGAATAACAATATTATTAATTCGAATATAATCTGATGAATATCCATTACTTAATTGTTTCTCAAATTTATTAACTGCATTTTCAGTATTCGATAACATATTCTGAAAATAATAAAAACTAAATTATATTTTTTTCTTTTTTATTTTGTAACTCACATTAAATGGCTCCATATATTTGGCAATTAATTGTATTTCATTATTAATTTTATTCGATAAATCATTTGATATTTTCAACAAATTTTTATCGAGTTCATCATAAATACCAGTTATTTTTGATCCTAAATTGGTTAAATTTGGCGAATTTTTGATAACTTGATCAAAAACAGCAAAATTCTTTTTAATCGGATATCCACATGATTTCGGATCCAATGTTTTATATGTTTCAAGATCTTTTTTATAAATCAATTTATATATCGTCATATTGTCATGATAATAATTAATACTCTGAAACATATGAATTTAAAAAAAACAACAATATTTGTGATAACTTACTTCTAAATATCTATTCATATTTGTGCCTTTGAATGGAATCAAGATCTTATTATTCAAATCGATGAATTTCGAACGAATTGAAGCAGTTGGAATCATGGAGGAATTCAAGATTTTTTTTGAATCTTTTAAAATTTTCAATCCACCAATTTCTCCACATAATTCCATTGAATTTGTCCCATTTGCAGACATCGAAAAATATATCGCAGCAACACCCAATCCAATAACAATCACCAAAATAACCATAATCACAAATCCATTCCATTTCGCCGTTTTTTTCTTCACCGATTCAAATATTTTGAGATGTTTGGCTAATATAGGAATATTGTAATAAACAAATACCAAACCAAAAGCAATCAATAATACTAATAAAATACATAAAGATATAATAATGGCAAGGCCCATTTCCTAGCCGAATTTGAAACCAGAAATGATCCGAAAATCCGTGAAAACATATTTATGCAAATATACACACGTGATGACATTGTTTTTGACGAATTTCTCCAATTTTGCGGGGAAGTCTGAAAAATGTCATTTCAGAACCCAGAAAGCATGTTTCCTGAAGATTTTTGGCAGAAAAATCAAACCTTCTCATTTTCCTCTCGATTTTCCATTCAGCGCAACACAAATCCAGTCATTTTCGCGGTTCAACAAAAAAAAAACAAAAAAAAATGCATCCCGTAAATCTACACAAATTGGCTGCTGGGAGACGCACGCATCGTCAATTGCGGAGTATCGTTGTTTTCTTTTCTTTTTCGTTTTTTTGTTTTTTTGCCAAAGTTTGAGGGTTTTCAACGGATGTTGATGGATTCCAGGTTCGAAATGGAGCACAGGTTTGATTTTTAAGTATTGTCTAGCCGGAAATTCTATTTCCGTAGGGTTCAAAATGATATTTTTCAGAATCTCTCCGAAACAGGATTTTTTGCGAATTTGTGATGCAAGTTGGATTTTGATGGAATTTCAAATCTGAATTTCGATCAGGTTTGATTTTTATGTATTGATTATCCGAAAAAATAATCATCCTAGGTTAAAAAACGCATTTTTTTGCAGAATTGCGCAGAGAAACATCGAAAAAGTTTTGGATTGAATTGCCAATGGATCAATTCATTTGAAGAAAAAATGAATTTCGCGACATTTTTTGTCGCGAAATTGCAATTCGCGAAACGACACGAAATTAATAAAATAAAAGAGGAAATTCTTTTTTCGTGTGTTGGGTCTCGCAGCGATTACGTGTCCCTTTAATATTTCTCCTTTATTTTTGTGTTTATTTCGTGTCGTTTCACGAATTGCAATTTCGCGACAAAAAATGTCGCGAAATTCATTTTTTCTTCAAATGAATTGATCCACAAGTTTATTTATGATTTCAATAATCATTATCATGCAATAGAAGGAGTATTTAAATAAAAAGAATACGTTGAAACCAACCAGGTTCTTCAATAATTTAAAAAAAGCTGAAAATCAAGAGGAAACAAGTTGAGAGGAATAAAAATAAATCCGCGGAATATACAGAGTGGGATAATGGACAGAAATACATGCAAAGAAACGATGAACACAAATGGGGAAAACAAAAAATATGGAGAAAACTTTGGACCTACTCCAACAAGTATTCAAAATTATATCGAAAAAAAAGCGAAGTCAATGCGAATTTTTCGAGTTTTCCTTGGAGTTGGCTTTGATGATGGCACCGGGTGAAGAAGCAGTTGTTCGTAAGGTATCCGGATCCAAAGTGACAACAGTGCTTGGATTAGTTTCAATATCATCGATATCAGTTCCAATATCAAACACCTCATTGCCACTTGGATCATAGAAAACCTTATCCAACATAATGTTGTCAGGCGCCTCGCATTTCTTCGCAAAAGCGGCATCATCAACTGCATGTGGAATGAATATGGTGCCGCTCTTTGCGAAGTTTTCGAGGTTGCCATCCTCCAACTCCTGCTTCTTGCACGCCTCGATATGTTTTTGATGTTTGGCTCGCGTCGCTGGATCATTCTTATTAAATGGCTTATTTTTCTGGGGGATCTCGGCAGTTTTATCAATATTTCCAGCCACAGTTTGTGGATCTTTGGATTTTGTGGAATTATATTGAATGTTGCGAACGAATCCTGGAAATTTGAACTCTCATGATTCATTAAGAATTTTCACAAACTCACTATTCTTTACGAAATTCAAACCAGCTATAACAAAAACCCCAAAAATTATCACCGAAATCGGCAAAAAAATCGACAACAACAAAAATGAAGCTCTGCAAAGTAATTTCAATTTTTTCTTCTTCATCTCTAACTCACAATTTTTCTTGACTTCTGAAAAACTTCTGCTCGAATAAAAAGCAGTAAATGCTATCAATTTCCGAATTATTGACCATTTTTTCTGAAATTCGGGAAAAATTGAGTGAAAGAATTTGAAATGAGACAAAATACGTGTACACCTAGATTTTCACGTTTTCTCGTCGGATTTCAGATATTTCCTGTCATTTCTTATTAATTATGGTTATTCAAATAATCATAACGTTTTCTATTCTGCTTCTATTTCTAATTCTAATCGGTTCCATTTTGACTTATTATAATATTTCAATATTTGTTTTCTCAAAAAATGACAAAATCAAAGGATTTGTGAAAAATCGAGTCGGGAAATGGTATGGAATTGTGACCTTGATTGTCCTACTTGTGGTGATTTGTGTTGGCGGAATTGCGATTTATTTTTGGGAGTATCAAGCTGGCGATTTGAAGATTCGTGGATGTGATGGAGATTTGGAACATCCGATGGTTTTACTTAACACATCGGAATCTCTTCTAATCTCCTCACATTTTTCAATGTCTCGAGTCAAAACAACAATAAATGATTTCAAAAGCAATGTTCTTAATCATTTGAATAATGCAAAAATGAAGAAGTTTTTTGAAGCAAGTTGAATAAAAAACTTTAGAGTATAATAAAAATAATTATTATTTCAGAATCTGAATATTTTCCTTGGTTTGGTTGAAAATTGGACTGTGTTATGTGAAGAAGCAGAAAGAAAATTGGTTGAATTGAATGGCAAGAGCTGTATGTTAAGTGTGAGAAAACAATCGGCAGAGTTGTTTGGATTGTTGAATTCAACAGTTTGGAATGAAGTCACATCTTCGAGTACAGTTGATGGTTTGAACAATTATTTGGTGGGAGAAGTTTCGAAGTTGTATAGCGCTCTTGAAGAAAATTCTGAAAATATGAATTCGCATATAGATGATCTCAGCGTAAGTTTGGATTTTTGAATAAAATTTGAATTACGAGTGTTCTATTCGAAATATCATATAAATTTCCAGAATATAGTTAAGAAAAACCAGAAAGATTTGACGAAAACCGGAAAATTCATCGAAGATGGCTTTGTCTCGGAATTTGGAACGTTAAGCAAAATTATATCCAAATTGCTCATATCAATGTTCACCACAATTTCTGCGTTATTAATTATATCTATTTTGATTGCAATTTTGCTCAAGTCCAAATTATTCTTCAAAATTTGCAGTTATACTGGATATTTATCATTTTTAACAGTATTCTCCTATACTTTGATGGTGCTATTTGTGATTATCTCAAATATCCCTTTATTACATTGGTGTCCATTTTCAAATGAAACCCAATTGAACGAGAGTTTTTCAGCCAATGAAAACTACTGTATATCTATACATTCTTCACTTTTCACTCAAACATCGTCTCAATTGAATTCGCCCAGTGCTACTTTTATGCGAAATTCTAAAAGTATGATTTTGGAATTTGAGAAGAATCTTCTGAGAGAAATTGACACCACAATTCAATTTATGAATATCTCGTTTTCAAAAGTTCTGGTTAACAAAGCGCATTCGAAAAGAGCAGCCGGATTCAAGGTTAGATGTAGTGTGGAAGAAGTTAAGATGGTGAAGAAATTAAACGATAAATTGATGAAAGCTGCAAAGGATTATAAGAAGTATAAAAGGAAACTGGTGAAAGATGGTTCAGGAATTTATGACGAGTTAGGATATATGTTGCAGAATATTACCAGATATTCGAATGATTTTGTGACTCAAATAAATGGTCATATTTTAAATTCGGTTGAAACTATTCAAGTGAGTTTGAAAATATATACATATTTATTACAAAAGATCTTCTCATGAAAGAATTTTGAATTCAAATTTTTCAGAAAAATATTGAAAAATCCAATTTTCCATGCGATTCATTTTTGGAATCTTTCCAAAAATGTAAATCAAACATTTGTGCAAATATGGTCGATTTGAATCTTGAATTGTTAAGTTATTGGTATTTTATAGCAGTGATTTTTATTTTGTTGACAATTTCTGGACCGATTATTGGAATTTGGGGAAGCGCTGAATGTTTGAAGCTGGAAAATGGTGATGTTAAAAATCCACCTGGATTTGATGCAGAATCGAAGATAAAGACCAAATCAAGAACTAAGACTAAAACTCAAATCAAACCAAAAACCAAAAATGCGAGAAAATCGAAACTTGTGCAAAAGAAATGAGAGAAATCCGTATTTTTTAAGATAAATGAAAGGAAATTAGCAGAAATATTTTATTTTCTGAACACACCCAATCTTTTCAAAAATTTATTCAGCATTTTTATACAGCGATTGAGCCCAAAAAGCAGAAATTGATGAAGAGATCGCAATCAATAATAAACTTGCGAACAAAAAATACGAGTATTTTGAAACTGCCAAGTTATGATCCAATAAAATTCCACAAATATTCTTTCTAGAAAACGAGACTTGTATTTTTGAACACTTGAATTCTTCCGAATCGATGTTTTTCTGTGATCAAAATATTTTTCGTAAAATGGTTTTCGAATCAAAACTCACATTAATATTGTCAATTGATAATTGCACATCTACAGTAATATTCTCCAAAGTGTCATTTAGAATACTTTTCATATTTCCACCAATATTATTCAATTTTGCCATGATATTTGGTCTTTTTTCTTTTCTAAAAAGATCTTCAAAATCCAAAATTTTCTCCATAAATACTTCTATATCGAATAGCAAATCAGCAGTCTTTTTTTCGGCTATCTGACAATTAGTTTCGCGTTTTTTACGACGAATTTCGAATTTGTTTCCCATCGCTTTTGATATTTCTTTCGAACCATCTTCTGCTATTTTTGTCAATTCCGTTTCGAGAATAATGATTTCAGATTTGAAATTTTGAAGAATAGATTCTGACAAATGCAAATTGTCTTCTGGCATTGTAAAAATTGAACTATTTTCCAATGGGCAATAATTATTCAATTCTCTGGAAAAAAATTCGAAAAATATATCATAGTGCATCTTTCACGTGGCTATCTTACTTGTTGAATTGTTCCAAATCTTCATTAATAGAATCCAATTGACAATTTGAAGTTATAGATTCTAAATGAATCATACAAATCAAAACTGCAATCGAGATAATGAAAATCAACAAATATCCAATATATCCGAAAATTGTTGTAACAAAATATGGCCAATTTTTTGTCTTAATTATGAATGTGATAATAATCATTGTGAGAAGAATTGAAGAAATCACAATTATTATGCTAAATGTGATTTCTGACAGCATTTTATTCATTGTGATATATTTAGATGAGTTTAGAAAATTGATTATAACATTTTCCATGTTTCTGACGATTTTGTAAACTTGAACAATTTCAACCTTAACATTTTTACTTTTCGGAAACAAATTTAATTTTATGAAAAAAAACTTACAGTCAAATTTCCGATATGTTTCTCAATTATCGCTTTGCTTCCATTCATTTTTGATACCCGAAAATCGTTAGCCTTGATTGCCAGATTTTCAGACATTTTTCCCACATTTAATTGCACATCTGACATAACTTTAATCACTTTTGGTTTTGTTTCATTTAAATAGCCGCCCAATATATCATACTCATCTTGTGGACAGTCTTCGCCGAGATTCAGATTCTCAATGATTTTTCCATATTTTTTGTGATACGCATATATTTCTGTATCAATCGATCTCCGATAATCTGTCAAATTCTAGGAGAAAAATTAATTTTCCATAGCATTTTCCATAGAGAAAACTTACTTTCATCGCTAGTTTTAATTCAGTTTGCGTTCCAATTTTCTCGACGATTGTATCATTAAAAGTTTCCAACAACTTCCGAGTTCGAGCCGACGGGAAATCAATAGTTTCCAAAGTTTTTTGTGCATTTTTGATCTTCTCACTGGAATTCATCAAAATCCCATCATTTTCCACCCGATTTTCCCAAAAATAAATCGCAATTCCACTCAAAACAATAACAATTAGCAAAAGTGCCAAAATCCCGAATCCAATTTTTTTCGAAGTTTTTCTCTTCACAAGTTCTTCAAGTTTCTGATTTTTTCTAAGCCTTGTGACATTAAAATAAATTAGAAAAGCACTGATTAGAAGTAATAGGACAATGAGAATAGAAAATGCTATCATCGCCATTTTTCATGAAAATAAATTTAAAAATAAAAAATAAAAAATGATGGCGGGATTTGGAAAGAAAAACGTGACCTTTTTTTAAATTTATTTTTTTTCAACCTTGGATTTGAAAAATTCAAAATTCCCTTCTCAAGAAAAAGGCGCCAATATTTCTGCGCCAATTTAAATTTCATTTTCAAACACAAGAAAAAACTTAATAAATCATCTCCTCTTCGAAATTTATCTGATCTTGGCCAAATTGAAAATGTCACCTTAACTTGAACGATTTCAAGTTGAAAATTGGTGAAACGATTGACCTTGAGACGGTTTTTGGCGCGTCGCAGGTAAAAAATCACACCAATTTTTGGGTGTACACAGTCATAAATCTCTTTTTTTTTCACTGACAGAGAAAAATTGGTGTTTGTTACAAGTCACAATGAAATGGAAGAGGAAAAAGCATCTGTTGGGTTAGAGACAATAAAATATGTGTGTATCTAATCTAATTATTGATTTACAACTGGTTCTCATTAACTACAGTATGCAGAATTTTGGCGGGAAAATTAGAATAAAAAAATTTGAATTTACATAGTTAATTAGATAGGAACTAATATGAGCAATGCTTTCAAATTTTAGATTTCAAAAATTCCTCAAAATTTGTAATATGAGCAATGCCCTAAAAATTCTGTTCTAAATTTTTTTTGAAAAAAACTAAAAATTCAGTTTTGAAATTTTTTTCGAAAAACATTAATATGAGCAATGCCCTGAAAATTTTGTTGTTTAAAAATTTTAAAATGATTTCTAACATGAGCAATGCTCCAAAAATGCTTCATCTTCCAAAATTTCCAAATAAAATTGTGAAAATCTTTAACATGAGCAATGCTTTCGAAATTATCAAAAATCAACTTGAAGTTAATAATCTGAGCAATGCCCTAAAAATTCTATTTTGAAATTTTTTTTTTTGAAAAACATTAATATGAGCAATGCTCAATGTTTCGAAAAAGATGTGTTAAACAACTTTTTTCCAGAAACCCAAATTTATTAAAATGAGCAAACTCGAAATTTTTCATAACATGAGCAATCTACAGTACCCCCCAAAATACCCCCAAATAATCCAACATTTTCTGTAACATGAGCAATGCTGATAAAATGACAAAACATTTGATGCACCCAATTTTTAGAAAACTTTTAATATGAGCAATTCCCTAGAATTTTATTTCAATTTTTTCAGACACATGAGCAATTCTTGAGCATTTTCCAAAATTTTGAAAATTTCTCATAACCTGAGCAATAGCCTCTACAGTACCCCCAAATTATTCAATTTCCTCCTTATTTCTTATTCTGTATATATTTTTGGTGCATTTATTTGTTGCGCGGTAATGCGACGCGCACCTGCCATCCTTCCTTTTTTTTCCTTATTTCAACAGATGTCTAAATGTGTCTGCGTCTCTCGTGTTTCCCATACTCTCTCCGTCTGATTTGACCGCCCGTGACACACGTATGTTTATGATTAATGATGGTGGCTGTGGGGCTGGTAATCCAATATTCACCAGTGGTTATCTAATGTGAGGCCGAGGTTATGTAAATAAAATTGTGCGCAGGCACTGGGAATCGAACCTGTGACCTTGTGATTGATAATCAAAAAAATTTCGAAAAAAAATAAAAATATTCGCAGGCATGGGGACTCGAACCCTTGACCTTGAGATTCAAAAAAAATCAGATAATATTGTGATTTATGAGACCTGTCCGAAAAAATCCATGTTTTCGCGGATTTTCCAGAGATTCTTATCGCTCTTTTGTTTGTGTTGAAAATGTGTTTCAGGATAGACGTTTGATACTCAGCCAAAAGAGAGGTACGCAGTGAAATTTTCTTCGAGCTGGAAGGTTTGATAGTACGCAGCCAAATTCAGAAATCACATTAGATACTCAACCAACTGAGAGTTTCAGGTACGCAGCCAATTTCAGAATTTTACTCATTAGATACTCAGCTAACAAATATTCTCATACGCAAAGTACGCAGGCAATTTTAAATTAGATACTCAGCCAACGCATTTTTCAGGCTTGAAATTCAAATTTGCCAACAAAAAATGTTTTCAAGGTACGCAGCCAAATTTCAAAACCACATTAGATACTCAGCCAACTGAGAGCTTCAGGTACGCAGGCAATTTGAGAATTTTACTCATTAGATACTCAGCCAACGCAATTTTCAAGCTTGAAATTCAAATTTGCCAACTAAAAATGTTTTCAAGGTACGCAGCCAAATTTCAAAACCACATTAGATACTCAGCCAATACGGCTTTATCTTCTCGAACCGAAAAACCATCAGAAAATGCGCCAAAAATTCAAATTTTCTCCTCTCCTCTCTTTTTTTCCCATTTCCCCACACACAAAAAAAACAGGCGCGAAAAAGAGAGAAAAAAAGAGGGCTCCGCCCCCTTGTTGCACTGTCTTCTCTGTCTACCACTCTCCTCATTCTCTACACTCTCTCGCTTTTTTGCCCGCCACGCCACACCACCCTCATATCATCCAATTTGGCTGTCTCTTTCTGTGTTTGCTATGCGTTTTTTTTGTTGGTTGTGTGACCGGCCTGTAGGAAAAAACGACGCCATTTTGGCGCTTTTTTGGGAAGGTTTTTTGGGGGTACTGTAGAGTTCAGCCAGCTAGAAATTTGGTTTTGGGAAGTTTTGAAGGTTCACGGGATTTTGGGAATTTTGTAGATCTATTTTTGAGCTTTGAATTGTCAGGGTTACTGTAGAAACCGCCTAGGCTACTGTAGATTGTGGATAAATTATTTTGAAATGTTTTTTCCTCCCTGAAAATTCTGAGGTACCAATTTTCCTTCTGTAAATTTGAGCAGCTAGATTATTTTTTGTCCCAAAATTTTCTAGAAACCATTTTCGAGCTCTGAAATGTTAGGGTTACTGTAAGTTACGATTTTGTGGATCTAATTTTTGGAATTTTTCTCCTGCCTTCAATTCTAAGGATACTGTAGAGCTTTTCTAGATTACTGTAGAATATTCGTAAATTTTTGAAACTATTTTTTACCCCCAAACTTTAGGATTACTGTAGGATTTTTCTAGGGTACTGTAGATTTTAATAATTTTGTAGATCAATTTTTTTAGAATCTTCATTTTCACCTCAAAAAATTAAATAGTACTGTAGTCTGAAATTTACCAGGTTACTGTAGCTCTAAATTATTTTGCAGATCATTTTTTGGAATCTCGATTTTCACCTCAAAAATCTAGGGTTACTGTAGCTCTTGAGAGTTTCGCAGATCATTTTTTGGTATCTTTTTTTCTCCACGAATATCTAGGGTTACTGTAGCTCTTGAGAATTTTGTGGATCAATTTTTTGGAATCTTTTTTTTTCTCCACGAAAATCTAAGGTTACTGTACCTTTTTCTCAAATACACTCTAGTTTCTTCAATTTTTTTTCACCTACAGTACTCCTCTCACCTTTTTCTTTCTTTTTTTGGCCAACTTCCCATTTTCCATCTGTCACAAATTTTATTGTCCTTCCTCCTTTTAAGTCGCCTACAGTACCCTTGGAGGGGGGTACTGTAGGTCAAATTTTTCTTTCAAATTTCAAATATTTCCACGTGGATTTTTTGGCGCCAAATTTTTAAAAATTCAAATTTTCTCTTACAGTATGAATCTATACGGGTCGTCAATGATGTTCACAATGGAAGCCAACAAGGAAAATATTCCACCTGGATCACAATTTGGCTTGGCCGATCTCAAAGAGCCCATCGTTCTTCCCGTCGCCCAAAATCACCCGCACCCGCACCCGCTCCCAACTCCCAAAATCACACCAAAACCATCGCCAGCCACTTCGCTCCGATCAGATGCCTCTTTTCTACCAGGTAAGAAGATCTTTTTTGGCGCCCAAAAATTAGCTGATAAGAATTTTGTATAGTTTTTTTTTGGTTATCAGGGGGAACGGGGTAAACAAATATAGGCATTTAACCTTACTTGAGAAGGGTCATTTTGATAAGGACTCTTGATAAGGAGTTTCTAGAGAGTTCGGGGAAATTTCATGAGTTCTAGTGGTGATTTTCAGATTCTCGGTGAAATTTAGGGCTTTTGGACACCCATTTTCATATGGTTAGGTATAATTTGAAAAATTGGACCTTTTGGTGTACACCATGGTGACAAATTGAGATTTCAAGGGAATTTCAAGGGTTCCTACTATTTTTTTCAGATTCTCGGTGAAATTTGGGGCTTTTAGACACCCATATTCATAGGGTTTAGAGAATTTTTAAATTTTCGGGATTTTGGTGTACACCATGGTGACAAATTGGGAGTTCTAGGAGTTCTCATAGATTGTGACGTGGATTTTCGAATTTCCCGTAGAATTTCGAGTTTTTAGACACCCATATTCATAAGGTTTCCATTATTTCGAAAAAATTGGCATATTGGTGTTCACCATGGTGTAAAATTGAAAATTCACCAAATCCTATACATATGGATGTCTAAAAACTCCAAATTTCACCAGGAATCCGAAAATCAGCACCAGAGCTTCTGAAATTCAATAGGAACCCCAGCTTCACCAAGGTCCACACCAAAATTTCGAAATTTTCAAAATCCACCAAAACCCTATACATATGGGTGTCTAAAATCTCCAAATTTCACCAGGAATCCAAAAATCAAGCCCATTTTCTCCCAAACGCTTCAGAATTTCCAAAACCAACAAATTCCAGATTCTCCAGCAGTGAATACATCAGCAGATGAAGCAGAAGATGATCTGGAATCCACGTCACGAAAAGAGAAATCACTTGGACTTCTTTGTCAACGTTTTCTAATTGCGATGAATGAAGAAACTCGGGCAAATGGCACAAATGAAGTGCATTTGGAGACTGTGGCAAGAAAAATGAGTAAGATACCTTTTTTGGGGGATTTTTGAGCTGAAATTAATTTTTGAAAATTTTCAGATGTGGAGAAACGTCGAATCTATGATATTGTAAATGTGATGGAAGCGCTGGATGCGATGGCAAAAACAAATAAATCATATTATCAATGGCATGGATTAGAGCAGTTACCCAAACTTATGATGGAATTACAGGTTGGTTGGAATTCTGGGGGGAAATTGAGATAGACTATAGTTTGGAGCCTAGGATCTGATGGGGAGAATAGTTTTCGAATTTTTGAAAAATCTCGATTTTGAGGGAAGTTATGGGGTTCTAAACATGGAACTTGATAGAATTTTTTTTAATCTGAAATTTTCTCTGCGTCTCTCAGATTCTCTTGCTCTCTAGATCAAAATTGAGCTTTTTTGAAAATTATAAAAATTTTAAATTTCTGAAGATTTTTTTCGAGTTACCCTAACTCAGCTTAAAATCCACATTTTCCAAAAATTCCTGAACCCGAATTTTCAAGTTCCTCTAACTCCACTCCAAATTAACCTATTCCAAAAATTCCAAAACCAAGAAAAATCTGACTATCAAGTTACTCTAACTTTGCTCAAAAACATGATTTTTCAAAAATTTCAGAACTAGAAAATATCTGAGTTTTCAAGTTCCCCTAACTCCACTCCAAGCTAACCTATTCCAAAAATTCCTGAACCTCCCGAACCCGAATTTTCAACTTTGCCTAACTCCACTCCAAATCAACCTATTCCAAAAATTCCTGAACCTCCTAAATCCAATTTTTCTGCAGAACGAAGCAGTAATGGAACATCTACCCGAAAGGGTTCTGCGAGTCGAGCAAGCAATGTGCTCATTCACCGAGCTCTCCTCCTCCTCCTCCTCCTCCACATCCACTTCAACTTCCTCCAACTCTTCAAATTCGCAATCCCTAGTCGGCTCATTTGCTCCGTGTACTTCTCGCGAACAAGACAAACCCTCATCTGCTCAACCGGTGAAAACCGAAAGATCTCGAGTGGATAATCGAGATCGACAAGGCCGAAATTCGCTGGCTCAACTATGCCGCCGATTTTTGATGGTTCTATTGAGTAATCCGAGAAATATTCGGAAGGTTTCATTGGATGTTGCGAGTACTGTACTTATCAAAGATCCGGAGACTGAAGGATTTGAACCGCCGAGTCGAAGTCGATGTAGAAGATTGTATGATATTGCAAATGTGCTGGTGGCTTTGGGGTTGATTAAAAAAGTGCATTATTTGTTTGGCACTAAGAAGATCCCACTTTTTGTATATTGTGGTCCAGAACCGGATGGTTAGTGCATTTTTGGGGCATTTTCAGAGCTCTAGTGCTCATTTTCAGATTTCCCGTGAAATTTGAAGAACAGAATTTCACGTAGATCTCGAATTCACCACTAATTTTCAGCCTAAATTTCAGATTCCACGTGGAAAATGAGCCTAGAAACTTTCTGGTGACCCCCCTGAACACCTATTAAAAGGGGGGGGGTCACTTTTCCTCGAAAACTTCATTTTCTCCAGGGAAAAAATATTCTAGAACAGAATTTCACGTAGATCTCGAATTCACCACTAATTTTCAGCCTAAATTTCAGATTCCACGTGGAAAATGAGCCTAGAAGCTTTCTCGTGACCCCCTGAACATCGAGAAAGGGGGGGGGTCACCTTTTCCCCGAAATCCTCAATTTTCTCCACGGAAAAAATTTTCTAGACCAGAATTTCACGTAGATCTCAAAAAAATCAATAATTCTTTCAGAAACCGCTACATTCGATGTCTACACTTCAATCGAGCGCCTTCTATCCGCTCCCCAATCCACCCCAGTCACTCCAACTATCAAAGCAACAACGGATAAATTAGTTCAACAGCTTTCGGCTTTTGGAAAACGATCGAGCTCTGAAAATCAGCTAGGATCAACTAATCGAAGTTATCATAAGGTTCCAAAGTGAGTTAGAGCGCATTTGCTCAAAAAACAAAACAAAATTTCGAATTTTTAAATGAGGCCTATACCATTTTGTTGGAAATTTTACGGTGATTCTGAAGATACCCTAACTTGCCTCATAATTTTGAGTTTAAGAGGGTGAAATTCGCATTAGAGCGCAATTGCTCAAACCAACCTAACAAAATTAATTGCAGGACTGAGCCAACAATCATCCCAATTTCGCCACACAGTTCATCTCTAATGATGTTCGCTGAATTGGCAGCGGCTGAAAGTTTGAGAATGCAAAATTCGCCGATTCGAAATATGCTCTTCCCCGCTTTCCTGAATAATCATCCAATTCGTCCAACTTGCTCAACACTGCCTTTTGCACGGAATTCGCCGAAAAAAGTGAGTTGGAATGGAGATTTTTGAAATCAGCGGGAAATTTGGAGGGTTTTGATATACATTTGTATGGGGTTTGGGGGATTTTCAGTTTTGGCACCATGGTGTAAACCAAAATTCAAAATTTTTCAAAGAATTCAGAACCCTATGAATATGGCTGTCTAAAAACTCCAAATTTCACCAGAAATTCGAAAATCACCAAGGGAAACTTTGAAAATGCTCAGAACTCTCAAAACATTCGAGTTTTGCGAGCATTCAGAGGTTAATCATAGTGAATCTAGATTTCTAGAAGACGTCATCGGTTCTCGTGGTGATTTTCGAATTCTCCACAAAATTCGGAGTTTTTTGAGCCCCATTTTCATATAGTTAGGGAATTTTTGATTTTTGTCACCATGGTGTACACCAAAATTCGAAATTTTTTAAAGAATTCAGAACCCTATGAATATGGGTGTCCAGAAACTCGAAATTTCGTGGGGAATCCAAAAATCACCACGAGAATCTTCGAAACTACCTGGAAAATTCAGCTTCACCATCTTGGTGTTCACCAAAATCTAAAATTTTTTAAATAATTCAGAACCCTATGAATATGGGTGTCAAAATTCTCCAAATTCCACCAGGAATCCGAAAATCATCATGATTTTAACCCTAAAATCAATATTTTCAGCCTCACTGCCCAGCACCAATGAAACATTCGATGTCAAACATCCTGAATCCGACGAATCTCAAATCCACAGAAAATCTCAATCTCAAATTCCCACCAAAACCACCTACAGTAATCCTGGATCACACCACAACTTCGCCATTCCAATTAGTGCAACAAAAAAAGCAAAGAGAAAAGTGAGTTGACATTTTTTGGGGTGTACATATGGCGCATCTTTTTTTGTGACGCAACACAGATTGCGTCATTTTTCTATGCGCCAAAAAATACTTGTGGTAAGGTATTGCGCAATTTTAAGAGCCCGCTACCATCTTTTTTTTAGCACCCCCTACTAAAACAAAAGGGGGGGGGTCACCAGAAATTTGAGGGGGGTCTCGAAAAATTTGAATTTTATTTTTTGCCGCCAAAAATCCGATAAGTTCAAATATTCTTACTGTAATATTTGTTGGCGCGAAATTTTGAAATTCAAATTTTCTTTGTCCAAAAAATAGTTTAAAATTTTTTTTTTCAGAAAAATCTTTGGCGAAATTCAAAATTTCCAATAATTCTCACTAGAACGACGATTTTTTCCCCCAAAATTTAAATTTTCGCTAGTCTACGCCGGTCAATTCTTAATTTCTAATTATTTCAGTTTTTCCCCAAAAAAAATCATTTTTTAACCATGTTCCTTTAAAGTACTGTACTTTACTTATGTATTTATTTATTGATTGCAAAATTTCTTGTTTTTGTCGTGTCTTGTAATAAAGTTTTTATGAAAAATTGGTTTTTTTTTGAATTTCGAGATTTTTAAAAAGTATTTGACTCAAAAAACATTGCTCATATTAATCGCTGGAAAATTCGATGTCTGGCAAGGCTCGGAAAATCAGAAATTTTATTGCTTCCCACTCAAAGAATCCGGAAAATCTATAAAATTGCAAAATTTTCCAGACATTTTGAGAAATCTGGTTTTTTTTAATTCTTGAAAATCATTTTTTTTTCAAAAATTTTAATATGAGCAATCTCTTTTTTCAAAAAGCTTCCAGAGTCAAAAATTGAGCTGAAAAAATGTTCAAAAAAATTTCAAATTTCGCGGCCAAAAAATGTCCAAAAAATCCACGTTTTTCATCAATTTCCCAGATTTGTTTGTTATTTTTCTTATCTTTTTTTGTTTTTTGTCGCTTCTGGGAGGATAAAAAGCGGGTCCTGTCTTCTAATAAAATCGGTCACGATTTATTGCCAAACACTTCTTTTTTTTCCTGCTTTTTTTCTTTGATCGACACAAAAAATTCGATTTTTTTTCGATTTTTCGTGGGAAAAATCGCGGTGTTTTTATTATTTATTTATAAAAAAAATTTTGAAAATTTAATTTCAGCTCGAAAGATTGCTCATATTAAGTAGAACTTTTGATTCAATTTCAGATAAATTTTAAATTTTTGAAAAAAAAAAGTTCCCACCTGGATTCGAACCAGGACCTTGTGATCACCAAAATACACACATTCTATACCAGTTTTTCACGCTGAATTCAAATCCGAGTCTGAAAATCAAGAATTTCTGAAATTTTCATGCTGAAAATCGTAAAAAATTAGCATAGGATTTTTTTTCCAAAAAAAAATTAGTTCCCACCCGGCTTCGAACCAGCACCTTGTGATCACCAAAATACACACATTCTATACAAGTTTTTCACGCTGAATTCAAATCCGAGTCTGAAATATGAAATTTCAGCAATTTTCATGATTAAAATCGTGATCTACATGAAAAACTAGCCGGGGAACTTTTTTCAAAAAAAAAAAAATTTTTTTCAAAATTTTTTTTTCGAACGTGACCTCCTGATTCCCGCCAAAAATTTTTTTTCAAAAATTTTTCCAAAAAATCAATCATTTTTAAAAATTTCCAGGAATGGATTTCTTACTCGTTTTTTCTATTTTCTTCCTATTTTCTAGTCTAAATATTTGTGTAGTTCTCTCGGAGGATTCTCATCGCCTCATTTTTGCTCAAGTCCTATTTCGCCATGGAGCTCGAGCACCTTCCGCGGGATTTTCGAATCCCGAATTCGAAAAAATCACATTTTCCACGTGGATTGGGAGAATTGACGGATCGAGGATTTGAGAATTCGTGGAAATTGGGAGAATTTTTAGCGGAGCGATATGTGAAAAGTGGATTTTTGAATGCGGATATGAAATCTAGAGAGGTTAGTTCAAGAATTTTCGAATTCCTGGTGAAATTTCGAATTTTTAGACACTCATATTCATAAAATTTGAATTTGGGACCACTTGGTGGTGCTTATGGTCCCAAATTTCAAAATAAAGGAAAATATATGAATATGGGTGTCTAAAAACTCGAAATTCCACCAGAAATCCGAAAATCACCACTAGAAGCTCTGAATTTCGCTAGAACTTCGATAACTCAAAAATTAAATTTTGAAAATTTTTCAAAATCTCTGAAGTTCTGGAAACTTTTAGAGATTCTAATGGTGATTTTCAGATTTCTGGTGGAATTTCGAGCTTTTAGACACCCATATTCATAGGGTTTAGATTATTTTTGAGTTTTGGACCTTGAGCTCCACTAAATGGTCCCAAAATCAAATTTTCACCAAACTATATCAATATGGGTGTCTAAAAACTCCAAATTTCACCAGGAATCAGAAAATTGACTTCAAAATTTGTTCCAGATGTACTGGCGATCCGTATACATCAATAGATGTTTAGCGACCGCAGCTACAGTAGGCGCCGCCATGTTTTCTGGCGCCAAAAAACACCTTCACCCGGCAATTTCCACCGAAGAATCTGATGAGACACTTTTGAACTACGATACGATGAATTGTCGAAGAGAACATGAGATTTATGAGGAATTGTGTCCAGGTTATCAGAATATGCATTTTAGAACTGTAAGTTAGCCTAACTCAACTTTTTTGGCTGAAATTTTTAGAGAAAAATTTTTTTTGCAGTGGCCAGAATTTGAGGAATTCATTGCAAATTGTCTGAATTTCACCAGGGATCCGATTTTTGAAAAAATCAAATTTTCTGAAATGGAAGCCCATTTGAATGAGGTGAGAGGGTTTTGGGCGTGGTTTTCCACGTGGAATCTGAATTTTTGGCTGAAAATTACTGCCGAATTCGAGATCTACGTGAAATTTTGGTCTAGAACAATTTTTCCCTGGAGAAAATTGAGGATTTAGAGAAAAAGTGACCCCCCTTCTAGATATTCAGGGGGGTCACCAGAATGCTTCTAGGCTCATTTTCCACGTGGAATCTGAATTTTTGGGTGAAAATGAGTGGCGAATTCGAGATCTACGTGAAATTCTGGTCTAGAACATCTTTTCCCAGCGAAAATTGAGGATTTAGAGAAAAAGTGACCCCCCTATTATAGGTGTTCAGGGGGGTCACCAGAATGCTTCTAGGGCTCGTTTTCCACGTGGAATCTGAAATGTTGGCTGAAAATTAGTGCTGAATTCGAGATCTACGTGAAATTCTGGTCTGGAACATTTCTTCCCTGGAGACAATTTAGGTTTTCGGGGAAAAGGTGACCCCCCTTTCTAGATGTTGAGGGGGGGGGGGGTCACCAGAAAGCTTCTAGGCTTATTTTCCACGTGGAATCTGAATTCTGAGGTTAAAAATAGTGAAATATTCAAATTTCCCGCCATATTTCACCCCAGAAACCTATATTTTTGCAGTATAAAAATGACATACCTCTCCCGGAAATTTTGGAAATCAACAAGCAAAAAATCTCGAAATTTTATACTCAAGTAACCCATAAAATACTCGGAATTGGAGAATTTCAAAATATTCAACTAATGCGGATAAAATTCGGAAATCTTATCAAAACTTTGCAAGAAAATATGAAAAAAGCATGGAGTTGTTTTGAAGAAGGAGAGCATTGTACAAGGAAAATGAAGAAGTTCAAAGTTTACTCGACGGTTGGTTATTTTTCAGGGGATTCTGGGATTATTTTCGGATTCCTGGTAAAATTTGGAGATTTTTGATACCCATATATATGTAGTTTGGTGAAAATTTAGTTTTGGGACCAGTTGGTGGAGCTTATGGTCCCAAATTTCAAAATATATGAATATGGGTGTCTAAAAGCTTCAAATTTCATGGGGAATCTGAAAATCAACATGAAAATTGCTGAAATTATCTAGAACTTCAGAAATATCTCGATTTCAGTATCAAAATTCTCCAAATTTTCAGCAAGATTGGATTCTAATGGGTGTTCTCGAAGTTTTTGGTGTTCTAAACATCACTCTTGGCCAGGAAATGGCCGAATACAATACAATGATTATTTTGGAACTTTGGAGCATCGATAAAAATCCGGAAATTAAATTATTTTTCAAAAAAGATGAGGTCAAAACTGAGCTGATTCAAATAAAACCGGAAGAAATTCGAGGAAAAAAATTGGATTTGCAAGGATTTTTGGAATGTTGCACAGAGTATTGGAATAATGGAACTTCGGCTTGCGACGCGAAATTTTTGAAATCGCGCGATTTTGTCGCGTCGCGACGTCGCAAGCGATTTGCTGGACCGGAATAAACAATTTTTTCTTGGAAATTTTTTTGAACTTCGGGTTTTTTTCTATAAACCAAAAAAGTTTATATTAAATTTGTTTATTTTCAAATTTTTTTGCCGAAAAAAAAATTTATAAACTAAAAAAGTTCACATGTTCAAAAAAATGAGAATTTTCTGGATTCTTGCAATATTTTTGGGATGGTTTTTGGTGTTTGGAGCTCAGGAGCTGGTTTTTGCTCAAGTTGTGAGTTTTTTCAAGCGAAAATTGTTGATCTACATGAAAAACTGGCTTAGAAGTTCTATTTTTCTGATCTAAAGGTCCTGGTTCGAATCCCGGTGGGAACTAATGTTTTTTTTTGAAAAATTAGCATTCTGGGCCAGATTTTTGTGCTAAATTCGAATTTCTAGAGGAAATTTAGAGTTTCAGCAATTTTCATGCGAAAATTCTTGATCTACATGAAAAACTGGCCTAGAAGCTCTATTTTTCTGATCTAAAGGTCATGGTTCGAACCCGGGTGGGAACTACTGACTTTTTTTTTGAAAAATTAGCATTCTGGCCCAGATTTTTGTGCTGAATTCGAATTTCTACATGAAATTTAGAGTTTCAGCAGTTTTCACGCTGAAAATCGTGATCTACGCGAAAAATTAGCCGGGGAACTTGTTTTTCGAAAAAAAAGTTCCCACTGGGATTTGAACCAGCACCTTTAGATCAGTGAAAATACATGTTCTAGACCAAAATTTCCCGCTGATTCCGAAATTTTCAGTTTTATCGTCATGGCGAGACTGCTTTCACTGAAAATGGCGAAAAATTGACCCCGGAAGGTCAAATCTACACGCAGAAATTGGGAGATTTTCTTCAAAATCGATATTCAGATTTTCTTGCAAATATCACTTTTCCAGAGGTTTTTTTCAGACTAGACTTTTTTCCCCAGCAAAACTAGACTTTTTTCTAAACTAGATTTTCAGCAATATTTCCAAATGCTTTGGACTTATGAAAATTCACAAAAATGCTTGGAATCTGCGAAAATCGTGGCTTCTCGAGTTCTCCCAAATCTTCCAGTTGCGCTAACTTCAAATCCAAAAATACTTGAGATTTTTAACCCGAAATTCAACAAATGTCCGATTGAGCAGAAATGGTTTGAAGAAATTTGCCCGGGTGCTGAATTTAAGAGGATTTTTGAGAATGTGAGTATGATTTTTGGATTCAGCGTGAAATTTGGAGTTTTTAGACACCCATATTGATATGTTTTGGTGAAAATTTTAATTTGGGACCACTTGGTGGAGCTCAAGGTCCAAAATTCAAAAATAATCTAAACCCTATGAATATGGCTGTCTAAAAGCTCGAAATTTCACCAGGAATCAGAAAATCACCATTAGAATCTCTGAAAGTTTCCAGAACTTTATATTCAGAATTTTTAAAGAGTGAAGTTTTGAGGAATCTAGAGTTCTAGCGAAATTCAGAGATTCTAGTGGTGATTTTCGGATTCCTGGTGGAATTTCGAGTTTTTAGACACCCATATGAGTATAGCTTGGTGAAAATTTAATTTTGGGACCATTTAGTGGAGCTCAAGGTCCAAAATTTCAAATTCAAAGAAAATATATGAATATGGGTGTCTAAAAACTCCAAATTTCATCAGGAATCTGAAAATGAGCCTAAAAATGCACAGAAATCCCAAATTATCTGAAATTTTCAGCACGATTCCTATTATTCTGCCATCTCAATGTGTCTCTCAATCTCAAAACCCGAAACTTTCCGAAAAATCCGCTTCCAAGACATGGAATCGTGGCTGAAGCGGCAACTTCGCAACAATTCTGGACATCCACATTTCGAGTGGATTTCGTCGGATTTCTACAGTATGAATCAGAAAATGAATGGAGTTCAGAAAGGATTTGAAGAGGGAGAATTGATGAAAATCAGATATGGAAAGATTTTGGGATTTTTGGCGGAGAATTTGAAAAAATGCCTGGGAGCAGAAGAGCTTGATGAAATTTCAGGCGATTTCGGTGGTGAGAAAATTTTTAAAAATAGTTCCCACCGGGTTTCGAACCAGGACCTTGTGATCACTAAAAATTGTAAGATAAGGTGTCTAGACCAATTTTTCAAGCTGAATTCAAATTTCGACTTGAAATTCAGATTTTCAGCGATTTTCATACTGAAAATCGTGATCTACGTGAAAAATTGGCCTAGTTCCCACTGGGTTTCGAACCAGCACATTTTGATCACTAAAAAACATGTTTTAGACCAATTTTCCATGCCGAATTCAAATTTCAACTTGAAATTTAGATTTTCAGCAATTTCCATGCTGAAAACCGTGATCTACGTGAAAAATTGGCCTAGTTCCCACTGGGATTCGAACCAGGACCTTTAGATCGGTAAAAATTGTAAGATAAGGTGTCTAGACCAGTTTTCCATGCTGAATTCGAATTTCACAATGAAAATATCGATTTTTCCAGGAAGACTGGATTTTGATGGGCCTTCTGGAAGCGTTTCAAATCTACGAAAAAGTCGAATTCGAAAAATCGCCCGATTTCAACACAATGCTAATCATTGAACTTTGGAAAACCCCGGAAAATCTGGGAAAAATCAAACTTTTCTACAAAAATCAGGAGAATACAGAGGACGATTTTGAGATTCGTGATTTGACTGAAAATGGCACAAATTGTCAGGAAAAAAATGGAGACGGATGTGAATTTTCAGATTTTTTGAAAGGTTTTCAACATTTGGTTGGAAATGGTGAAGCTTGCTGATTAAAAAATATTTTAATTATTTTCTGCTTCTCGCATCATAAAATATTTTCGATTTGATCTTTACACATTCCAATTTGCAAGATTAGATCAGACCTCGAGAAAAAAAGAAGAAGATTTGGAGGAATTTGAAGTGCAACATGTGTCCGGTTCAAATAATGAAGTCGAAAAATGTTATCAAGGCTTCCAAGGGCTCCCAAGGGCTCCCAAGGGCTCCCAAGGGCTCCCAAGGCTTCCCAAGGCTTCCCAAGGCTTCCCATTTTCTGTACATTGAAACACAATTGCATATCTTGAATTTTGATCTTTTTCGCCTTCTGATCCAATCTCTCTTCGCACAATATTCTAGGATGAAAACTGAAAAATAAGGAGGATCGAAGAATAGAACTGGATACGGGGAATGAACCTTTGTGTGTTTCGATCCACATAAAATTGAAATGCACGGCGAAGGAAAACATGATAGATAAGATGAAGCCTTGGGAAAGCCTTGGGAAGCCTTGGGATGCCTTGAGAAGCCTTGAGAAGCCTTGAGAAGCCTTGAGAAGCCTTGGGAAGCCTTGAGAAGCCTAATAGGTTAGACTTCACTTAACATGAGCAAGAACTTGCTTCTTAATATGAGCAAAGAGAATTGTACCATAACACTCTAAACAATCATTGCTCAGGTTTGTTTTCCAGGTGAATCTGAGAAATAGGTTAGGTTTTGACTTAACCTGAGCAATAAGAGATTCTGAGCTCCGGGCTGAGCCATGAAAATGTGAGCAGAATTTGAATATCACAGTCCAAAACCCTTTTCTGCTTTCCGGTATCTAAGCACAATCTACTAATCTTCCCGCATTGATCTATCGAATCCGAAAAATTGCTTCGCTCGCTCATCCCACCTTTTCAAAACATTCATTGTTCAAATATTTTGCAAAATATGTTGCTGAGGTTCACTTGGAAGAAATTATTCATTATTTTGTGCACATTTTTCGTCATTTTTCAGTTTTCTGGGAATTTTGAGCCGCTTTATAGGTGAGCAAAACCACTTTTCTGGATCAAAATATTGCGCTGAAAACGCTGGAAAAATCAATTTTCAGTGATTTCCAGCAATTCCATGAGTTTCAGCACAAAATTTCAGCCTAGAAACATTTGTTTCAATTAGCGCTCATGGGGATTCGATCCCCTGGCCCTTCACTCTGCAGAAAAAATCAATTCTAGATCAAAATTTCGCGCTAAAAACGCTGGAATTTCTTGTTTCCAGCGATTTTCAGCAATTTCATGATTTTCAGCACAAAATTTCAGCCTAGAAACATTTTTCAAAAAAAATATCTGCTCCCATTGGGTTTCGATCCGCTGACCTTTTGCATGGAAAACAAAAACCTTCTAGATCAGAATTTCGCGCTGAAAACGCTGGAAATACTAGTTTTCAGCGATTTTCAGCAATTCCATGAGTTTCAGCACAAAATTTCAGTCTAGAAACATTTGTTTCAATTAGCGCTCATGGGGATTCGATCCCCTGGCCCTTCACTCTGCAGAAAAAATCAATTCTAGATCAAAATTTCGCGCTGAAAACGCTGGAATTTCTTGTTTCCAGCGATTTTCAGCAATTTCATGATTTTCAGCACAAAATTTCAGCCTAGAAACATTTTTCAAAAAAAATATCTGCTCCCATTGGGTTTCGATCCGCTGACCTTTTGCATGGAAAACAAAAACCTTCTAGATCAGATTTTCGAGCTGAAAACGCTGAAATCCTAGTTTTCAGCGATTTTCAGCAATTTCACGAGTTTCAGCACAAAATTTCAGCATAGAAACATTGTTTCAATTAGCGCTCACGGGGATTCGATCCCCTGACCTTTCACTTCATAAAAAATCGCGTCTAGATCAGAATTTCACGCTGAAAACGCTGGAAATCCTAGTTTCCAGTGATTTTCAGCACAAAATTTCAGCCTAGAAACATTGTTTCAGTTAGTGCTCAAGGGGATTCGATCCCCTGACCTTTCACTTGGTGAAAAATCGAGCCTAGATCAAAATTTCGCGTTAAAAATTCTGGAATTACTTGTTTCCAGTGATTTTCAGCGATTCCCCGAATTTCAGCACAAAATTTCAGTTTAGGAACATTGTTTCAATTAGCGCTCATGGGGATTCGATCCCCTGACCTTTCACTTGATAAAAAATCGCGTCTAGACCAAAATTTCACGCTGAAAACGCTGGAAATCATAGTTTTCAGCGATTTTCATCAAAAAATCCGGTTTTTGCAGAGAATACCTAATCAAACGCGAAGTTCGTGACTTCAAAGCCTTCATCACCTCCTCCTATTATTATCCAAAATCCCAAAGCTTAGGGGACAATGCGTTAGCTCTAGTTATGAATTTAAATGATAAACGACAATATTGGTTTGGTGAAAAATGGTATGAACTTGAGAAAAAACCATGGATCACAATAAGATCTCGCAATCTAACCACTTCGAAAATCATCTCAACACCTTATGAAAGAGTGACGTCAGATGGTGATGCCTGCCTCCTGCCTACCGTATTCCTAACCACCCAACTTCTACCAAACACAATCTCTATAGAACTTCTCAGTGATGATCATCAAAATGGCGTGTCTATTCCATTTTCCACTCCCCAATCCACTAATCAATATGATTGTGTAGTTTGTATAACTCCGATTTTTGTCGCTGAAAATTGGCAGACTTTTTTGTTTGCAATGCATATTTACAAGAAATTCGGAGCATTTGTGAATTTGTATTATATAAGTTCTATAGATTCGTATTTCGATTTGATTCGGATTTATGAGGAATCGGGATATTTGACACTTCAACCATGGATTCCGATTAAATTGATTGGGGTTGAGAAAAATGAGTTGGATGCTTATGAACAAGTTGAGTGGAGGAATCAGGTTGCGTCGATGACTGATTGTATTTTGAAGTATAAGGTGAGCAATGGAATAGGGGGGGGGGGAGTTCCGCGAGGCTTCCGCGTGGCAGTGTACGCGGAAGCTTGCGGTTTACACTCGCGCTTAACGCGCTCGAGTTTGCCACGTCATAGCAATCGGCGTGGCCGCTGAAGCGGAAGAAAGTGCCGCTTACGCGGAAGCTTGCGGTTTGTACTGAAAGTATGCCACGTCATATCAATCCACGTGGCCGCTGAAGCGGAAGATAGTGCCGCTTACGCGGAAGCTTGCGGTTTACACTCGCGACTTGCGTCGCTCGGGATACGGTAGGAGAACCTGCACATCTAACTAGGGTTAGATACGGTATGTTCCTATAAACTGAGCAATCCTAACACTTTCTAGACCAGAATTTCGCGCTGAAAACGCTGGAATTCTCAGTTTCCAGTTATTTTCAGCGATTCCATGAGTTTCAGCGCAAAATTTCAGCCTAGAAACGTTTTTAAGAAAATAAAAATATCAGCTCTCATGGGGAATCGATCCCCAGACCTTTTAATTCGGAAAAAAAAACAATTCTGGATCAGAATTTCGCGCTGAAAACGGTGGAATTCTCAGTTTCCAGTGATTTTCAGCGATTCCATGAGTTTCAGCGCAAAATTTCAGCCCAGAAACATTTTTTTTCGAAAAAAAATATCAGCTCTCATGGGGAATCGATCCCCAGACCTTTTAATTCGGAAAAAACAATTCTGGATCAGAATTTCGCGCTGAAAACGCTGGAAATCCTAGTTTCCAGTGATTTTCAGCGATTCCATGAGTTTCAGCACAAAATTTCAGTCTAGAAACATTTTTTGACAAAAAAATATCCCCTGACCTTTAACTTGGTCAGAATTTTGCGCTGAAAACGCTGAAAGCCACGTCATAATTTCCAGGAAACCGCAAAATACGTGGCTCTGTTGGATATCGACGATGTTCTGATTCCAAAACTCGCTCCAACTTATCTCGAAGAATTCCAAATTCTCTACAACAATCTGAAGGACAAAAATAGTTATCTAAACTATGAAAAACAGAATTTCATTGGTGCAACTGTGAATAATTTCGACAATTTTTCATTTTCAAAAATGCTTGGATCGTTAGAAAGACAAAATAGCAGTGAGACCGGAAAAATCGTGACAGATCCAAGGTTAATGAATTACACGTGGATACATTGGACTTATCAGAACTTGAGAAAAGTGGAAGTGAAAGAAAATCAGATAACTCATGTGAAACGACTAAAATGGTTGGACAATTTTCCAAGTCAATCTAATAGATCTTTAAAATTTCCGATCATTGAAAGATCTGTGGAAAAAGAAATTGAAAAAGACTGGAAGATGATGCGCGAGAAAATACCCTCAGGTGTGCAGAAAAATCTGCCAGCTGAGGAATTCTACGCGAAAGTGATTGGAGCGTGTTATCAGGAGAAGTTCTACTCGCATTTTTATATCGGAGCTCCGTCGGTTGGCTGTGTTGGTCCGCATTTTTGTGAGTATCCGCAGAGGGAGGATTTGAAGTGTGTTCATGTGGATGCGAGTTATGTGGAAGTGCCTAAGATGGAACCAATCTCATATTATTTTGCTGTTCAGGCGAGGATGAATATGACATGGGGATGTTATCCGTGACATTTTGAAGAAAAATGAAAATTTGTACTTTAACATTAAAGGAACACACCTTAAAACTTGGGCAGGCTTATGTGAGCGTGGTTTAAAGGAACATACACTCGAGCCGCGTGCGCGGAAGATTGATCTACACTCGCGCTGAGCGCTCGGCTAATATGAGCAATGGCTCTGTGGGCGGAGCTTAAGTCTAGGTAAATTTAAAGGGACATACCCCTGTTTGGTCTCAAAATGATCGGATTAACATGAGCAATGCTTTGGGCAGGCTTAAATCTCATTTACAGTACTTCAAAGGGACATACACTCGCTCCGCTCGAGCCGCGTGCGCGGAAGATTGATCTACACTCGCGCAGAGCGCTCGGCCTAATGTTGTGGTTGCCGAGCGCTGTGCGCGAGTGTAGATCAATCTTCCGCGCATGCGGGTCGAGTGTATGTCCCTTTAAGGTCGGGTACTGTAGTCGTACAAAACTTCAAAGGAACATACACTCGCTCCGCTCGACCCGCGTGCGCGGAATTTTGATCTACACTCGCTGCGCACGCGGCTCGAGCGCAGCGAGTGTATGTCCCTTTGATGTACAGTAGACTTTTACGAAACTTTAAAGGGACATACACTCGCCCATTTTATTTTTAAATTCTTTCAAAAATTCGTATCCTAAACCCGATAAAATAAATAAACTAACTAGTCATCCTAGTTTGGTGGGGCTTTTCGAGTGGTGCAAGCAGATTGCAGTTGGGCCGCTCGACATTGACAATTCTGGACAAAAAATGGTTAGTATTGGAATTTTTCGGGAAAGTTAGTCGATCAAAAACGCATTACATTTAAAAAAATACGTTGAAAAAAGTTTATGGAATATTTAAAGGGACATGCATGCGCTTTGCGCGAGTGTAGATCAAAATTCCGCGACTCGAGCTGATCGAATGTATGTCCCTTTGATGTACAATATCAAAACGTGTGGAATTTCTATTCAAATTTTATTTTCTTTCCTTTTTCACTTCCCTTGTTAGAAAAAAATAGGAGTAACTTTTCTAAGTGGCTAACATCAGACACCAAAAAATATTTGTACCTACCAATTAGATGATATAACATCCAATTTCTAAAGCACCTTTCACAATCTAATGTGAAAAATCAAACAATGAACTTCTCGGAGATAAAATTGGATGTCATGCCAGATCCTGATTTCAGCTACATACCAAAGATAAGTTTTTGGGTGATTTGCACACTTTTATATATGGTATCCTTTTGGAGTACATCGGAAAGAGATAGTGCTACTGGAATTCATAAAATCTATAGATATATTTTCTGCTTCGCGGTTTTCGATTCAATACATCGAATAGTAATGTGTGTCATAGTTTTTATATCGAGAATACTGAATCTGCATTTATTCATCTTCGTGTAAGTTGCGGTTTACCGAAAAATGCACATTTTCCCCAATTTAGTACACTCATTTTCGCAATAATCGATTTGGACGAAAACTCAGGTGCCTCATTCATTCTTATAATTGCCCTTCAACGTTTTTCGAGTGTTTTTGGTGTTCTAAAATTTTTTGATGGTAAAACTCTGACTAGAATACTTCGACTGAATTCGTTGGCTATAATATGGAAGGTTTATGAGAGAAAGGTTAGTGAACATCTAAATAGCAAAAGTTCGGACAAACTTTCAGGGAACATCCTGTATAAGAAACGGGGTTTCTCAACCATTTCGATCGAATATATTTTTATTCTTGGATCATTTTTCGCATTTGCTTATTTTTCTTCTTCACGTTATTCTAATTCTTTCAATTATTTTTCGCAAATCACTCAATTTATCGGAAAAACAGAAAAAAACTGAGCTATTCATTCTTCTTCAAAACGCACCGATTATCATAATACTGTTGGTATGTAATTAAATTAGAACAGTTTTCAATTAGAACGATTTAGCTGAAGTCATCAATCGATGTTATACAGTGCGTTTCATAATGATAGGTTCACCCCCAAAATTTCTGAAATCAGCCGAGGTGTGAGTTGTAATAACAATCCGAGTTAAAAATAAAAAAGAGCACACAAAATTAGCTAAGAAAACTCAATTTTATCTGAAACTAACAAAAAATAAAAAAATAAATGACCGGGGTTCAAAAATTTCAAAAATTTAGCGTTTCAAAACGATAGGTTCACCTAATCCAGAATTCCCATTGGAGACATATAATCGAAAATCAATACTTAGTTGGACCTCCATGTTTAGAAATGACATCATAGAGACGATTAGGCATCGAGTCAACAAGTCTCTTGAGGTAGTTCTTATCGATTTTATTCCATTCCGTCTCGATGGCATCTTTGAGTTGGTCCACAGTATCATATTTTTTCCTTGAGCATAAACTCGGCGAACGAGCTCCCCCCATACGTTTTCCATCGGATTAAGATCAGGAGAACACGCTGGCCAATCCAAAACTTTGATTTTGTGGCTTTTGAACCAATCTTTTGATGATTGGCTGACGTGGATGGCAGCATTATCCTGTTGAAAAGTGAACTTTCTGGTCCGGAACCGCCTCAAATATGGCAAAAGATAGTCATGGAGGGTTTTTTGGTAATCTAACGAATCCATCTTGAATGAAACAAAAGCTATTTTTAACGTTCCAGCTGCAGAAAATGCGCCCCAACACATAACCCGTCCTCCTCCAAAATTTCTCTTTGGGAAGCGAAGCTGTTCCTTTCTGATGTCATGCCAATATGAGTTGTAACCATCCGGACCATCAAGATTAAACTTTTTTTCGTCAGAAAAAATTATCTGAACAGGAAAACATCAATATTTGATGTTTTTAGAAAAATTACTTACCTTATCCCAATCTGTGGCCATGTTGGCTTTCGCGAAAGTAAGACGGTTGTCTTTGTGGCGAAGTGTGAGACGTGGAGCTGGCACCAATTTGGCTCGAACGATTTCTGGGGATTGGTCTATGGCTCTCCAAACTGTAGTCTTACTGATATTCAAACCCAGTTCGTTTTTGATGTCATTACACGATTTCATTGTGTTCGACGCCAACCTAACAATCCCTCGTTTATCTCTCTCCGTGAGTTTTTTGGGAGCTCCAGAGTTTTTCATTCGCTCATAGTGATCCGGATTGTTGACAAATTGATTAATACAGTTGAGAGATCGTTTCAATTTTGACGAAATCATTCTATTAGACCATCCGGCGATTTTGAATGCTCTAATTTGAGCTTGTTCCTCTTTTGTAAGATGACTTCCCCGCGACATTGATGAATGACGTGAAAAAACGAGAACAAAAACAGAAACACGTTAAAATAATCAAATATCACTCGTATTTTCCAGAATATTCGATAAAACCCTACCACGAAACATAACTACAGTACTACCGCGGGTGAACCTATCGTTTTGAAACGCTAAATTTTTGAAATTTTTGAACCCCGGTCATTTATTTTTTTATTTTTTGTTAGTTTCAGATAAAATTGAGTTTTCTTAGCTAATTTTGTGTGCTCTTTTTTATTTTTAACTCGGATTGTTATTACAACTCACACCTCGGCTGATTTCAGAAATTTTGGGGGTGAACCTATCATTATGAAACGCACTGTATTTCACATGCAAATCTTCAAAGGAGAATGGATTTTTGAAATATTATGTGAATATGATTTGAGTGTTTTTGGACTACTTCAAATATCTTATATTATTGCCAATTTCGGCAGGTTGAAAAACACACTGTTTTGTAAGAAAAATCGAGTTGAAACTAGTTATTTGCACGTTTTATAAAGATTGTATGAATAATTCGTCTAAAATGTCAAATTTAAATATCAAGAAAGGTGACAATTATATCAAATCCCCTTCTGGTTATTATAAATCAAACATTTAGTCAAATGTTTGTTACAGAGTGGTTAGTTTACAGTTTGAAAAAAATTTATCAGTGGTTCTATTTTTTCTATTTCATACAAGGGGAGGGTAGTCTCAAAAAAAGCGGTTTTTTGCATAAAACCAAAATTGAAAAACCATTCAGAAAAAAAACATCATGTAATTTTTTTGTATTATTTTTTCTGGTAAGAACTGTTATTTTTGGAGTGTTGGGGTGAGCTATTTTCCGAGCAAAATTATTGGTTGAGTTTTGCATGTGTACAATCGAATTTCGATAAATAGTCTAATTAAAACACAAATTGGTTTTTATGAAAAAAATATTTATTTCAAAGTCAAAGAAAAATAAGCTGAAGATAGGATGGCTGCGGAAGCGAAGGATGATCGGCGATGATTCTCGAATTCCACTGGGCAGCAGTTTCTGTAATTTATATTTTATTTGTTTTTTATTTTAAATTTTGTTTTGGGTTTTTATTTCCCAGGATTTTTTTCTGAAAATTGAAAAAAGGTAGAACAAAAAGAATTCACGTTTTTTTATTTTTATGTGACCTAGCGTGCTCGAGGCATCATGCCTCAAAATGCTCGATTTTTCGAATTTTGGGAGCTGCTCAAAAAATGGGCTTGAATTCTGAGAACAAAAAGAATTCACGTTTTTTTATTTTTATGTGACCTAGCGTGCTCGAGGCATCATGCCTCAAAATGCTCGATTTTTCGAATTCGTCTCTAGAAATTCTTCGATTTTTCGGTACATTGGTTGTTAATTTCAAAATGTATAACCCTTTTTTCAAAATATTGTGATTTTTTCAGTTTTTGTTCTCTAAAAGTTGTGATTTTTCAATTTTTGACCTCTAAAAACTGAAATTCAGCTTTTTCCAAAAATTGTACTCTGGCCAGCCACGGATTGGCCGAGGTGTGAACGGTCTATTCGGCCAATGAAAATAGATACGCTTTGGACTCCATGGAAAAATAAGATTCTAATTAATAACCTGCCTATTTTGTTATTGGTTATAGTACACAGTTTTTAGTTCGATACACACAAAAACAAAATAAGATTCTGATAAATGTTTTTGTCTACCAGATTTTTAGAGTCCTAGAGATTTGGAATTGTAAATCACACTCTCTGGGAAACGAAAATCTAAAAGCAGGCAAGTATAAGCCTCACCTCATCAACTCATCTCAGGATTAGCTTGACTCTCTCGGTTTGTTGCCTGTCGAATAAATTTTGCAAAAGAATGAAATGAGCATTGAACACGTCACACGCGAATGTCACGTGAAAAATGTTTTTCTCACTCAATCTTTTTTTCTAAAGGAATTTTCCAAAAAGACAAAATAAAAAAGATTCCAAAAATTTAAAATCTGCGTGATGCCACGAAACAATCATTTCGATTTTTCAAAAAAAAATGTGCCACTGCTTCAATTTGTCAATGCTGTTTCTACAGTGCTGTCCTACATTTTCAAGTTAATTTCCAATGGAAAGTGAATTTTGAAGGGATGAAACCATTGGTGTGCAAAATCGTGAATAATTTCTATGGTTAGTTTTTTTTTTGAAATTTTGGTTTTCTCCTAGTGAAAAATTGTTTGCAAAAGGGCGTCACGATGTTGTCTGCAAACAGACACATGAAAATTCAAAAAACGAGTTGTGCATTAGAGCGAATTTTCTTGTTTTATTTCGTAGGTTTTAACTCGTTTGTTTTTGAGGAAAAACATGGGCCGAGTCCAGTAAAAATTGTACATACTTTCACAGGAAATTTGGTTCCAAGAAATGTACTCCAGAATCCTCAATTTAGATTTATCAGAATCAAATAATTAGAAAAAATAGGGAAGATGAAAGAAGAAGGAATGAAAAAAAAATGACCGAAAAATCGAAGAATTTCTAGAGACGAATTCGAAAAAATCGAGCATTTTGAGGCATGATGCCTCGAGCACGCTAGGTCACATAAAAATAAAAAAACGTGAATTCTTTTTGTTCTCAGAATTCAAGCCCATTTTTTGAGCAGCTCCCAAAATTCGAAAAATCGAGCATTTTGAGGCATGATGCCTCGAGCACGCTAGGTCACATAAAAATAAAAAAACGTGAATTCTTTTTGTTCTCAGAATTCAAGCCCATTTTTTTGAGCAGCTCCCAAAATTCGAAAAATCGAGCATTTTGAGGCATGATGCCTCGAGCACGCTAGGTCACATAAAAATAAAAAAACGTGAATTCTTTTTGTTCTCAGAATTCAAGCCCATTTTTTTGAGCAGCTCCCAAAATTCGAAAAATCGAGCATTTTGAGGCATGATGCCTCGAGCACGCTAGGTCACATAAAAATAAAAAAACGTGAATTCTTTTTGTTCTCAGAATTCAAGCCCATTTTTTTGAGCAGCTCCCAAAATTCGAAAAATCGAGCATTTTGAGGCATGATGCCTCGAGCACGCTAGGTCACATAAAAATAAAAAAACGTGAATTCTTTTTGTTCTCAGAATTCAAGCCCATTTTTTGAGCAGCTCCCAAAATTCGAAAAATCGAGCATTTTGAGGCATGATGCCTCGAGCACGCTAGGTCACATAAAAATAAAAAAACGTGAATTCTTTTTGTTCTCAGAATTCAAGCCCATTTTTTGAGCAGCTCCCAAAATTCGAAAAATCGAGCATTTTGAGGCATGATGCCTCGAGCACGCTAGGTCACATAAAAATAAAAAAACGTGAATTCTTTTTGTTCTCAGAATTCAAGCCCATTTTTTGAGCAGCTCCCAAAATTCGAAAAATCGAGCATTTTGAGGCATGATGCCTCGAGCACGCTAGGTCACATAAAAATAAAAAAACGTGAATTCTTTTTGTTCTACCTTTTTTCAATTTTCAGAAAAAAATCCTGGGAAATAAAAACCCAAAACAAAATTTAAAATAAAAAACAAATAAAATATAAATTACAGAAACTGCTGCCCAGTGGAATTCGAGAATCATCGCCGATCATCCTTCGCTTCCGCAGCCATCCTATCTTCAGCTTATTTTTCTTTGACTTTGAAATAAATATTTTTTTCATAAAAACCAATTTGTGTTTTAATTAGACTATTTATCGAAATTCGATTGTACACATGCAAAACTCAACCAATAATTTTGCTCGGAAAATAGCTCACCCCAACACTCCAAAAATAACAGTTCTTCGAATTTTCTTCCTCAAAATTGATTCTGATGCGTCCTATATTTTTCGATTTTTTTTTCTGGTTTTATGCAAAAAACCACTTTTTTTGAGACTACCCTCCCCTTATACTATATATCATTGTGTTTCTAAAAACACCGGCGGAAGAAAGAAAAACACCGATTCATCAAATTTATCGCTACTTTTTTGGATTCATCCTTTTATTGTGTTCAATAAGTGCGATCTGTACATTGATGGTCATAATAAATTTTGAACCACTTACCGTAATCGTTACGATATTGTGAGTTGTTCATTGATAAAAAAAAAAAACAAAACTTGTCAATTCTGATTCATTCAGCCTCCTTTTTTTCACTTTTGTCAACGCATCGCATAATCAAGGAACCTCTTTCATATTTATAATTGCCCTACAACGTTTGTCTTTTATGTTGAACATCAATTTCATGATGAATTTATTTCAAGGAAAAAATTTAATAAGGATACTTCGCCTGAATTGTTTGTTCATTATGTTGAACGGGTTATATGAGAATGTAAGTATTGTCCGTTTGGAAATGAGAGTCACCCCGCGAAACAATAAATTTGAATTTACGAAAATCCCTAATACCCGTGATGCGTGTTCGTTTATGTCGCTTTCCTCGTTGGCTGTTTGCCATCTCGCTGTCTGCGTCGCATCGAACAAATTCAAATTTATTTTTCCGCGAGGTGACTCTTATTTCCAAACGAACAATAATTATCTGAACTTCCATTCAAAGGGTACATCGTGGATGTTTATGCATCAGAGTGATGCTAATATTACAATAGATTATTGTCCATTTCGAGATGGAAATATAAGTCTCTCAAATTATTCATTGTCTCTAACAATTTCCCAAATAATTGATTATTCGATAAGTTGCATCTCATTAATTATACATATAATCATCTTTATCTCTGTATACAAAAACAAATGGATAATGTCTGAAACCAAACGAAAAGCAGAATATTCGATTATCTTTCAAAATATGCCAATGTTGCTGACTGTTTTGCCAAAACTAATAGCCGCCTTCTTTTATTATACCAATTTTCTAAATGGTGATTGGGTTTTGAATGTTTTATGTAGTGATACTGATTATAGTTTCAATATCTTCGAAATAATTCCGTTAACTTATGTAATTGCTAATTTTGACCGAGTCCGACCTTTGTTTTTGTTTTGTAAAAAGAGGAATAAAGTATCGGCTGATGTGACTAATATGTCTACTCAGCAACCTGTTCCATAATGATTTTCTGTTTTTTTTTAAATAAAATTATCGATCGTGAAAAACAAAGATGTAAAGTGAAATATACAAGTATTTTTGACATAATCTAGTTAGGATTCACATATTCATCTCAGAATTCTGAATACCTAGACATCCTGATTCACCTTAACACTTGGGCAGGCTCTTGTGAGCGTGGTTTAAAGGAACATACACTCGCTCCGCTCGAGATCACTTTTGTGGGCGCGCGAGTGTAGATCAATCTTCCGCGCATGCGGCTCGAGCGGAGCGAGTGTATGTCCCTTTGATGTAGTACAATAGACTTTTACGAAACTTTAAAGGGACATACACTTTAGAAATGTAAAAACTTCTGAAATTTTTTCAAAAATTCGTATTTTAAAAACCCGATAAAATAAATAAACTAACTATTCTGCAATTGTCCTTGTCATCCTAGTTTGGTGGGGCTTTTCGAGTGTTGAAGTGAGCAGCTCGACATTGGCAATTCTGGACAAAAAATGGTTAGTATTGGAATTTTTTGGACAATTCAGTCGATCAGAAACGGATGACATTAAAAAAAAATACGTTGAAAAAAGTTCATGGAATATTTTTTTCGGAGAAAAAATCCCCAAATTTTCATTTGAACAGTTGTTCTTTGAAAGGATGTCCAAGGATCATGCGATAGTTTAAAGGGACATACAGTATCCGACTCTAAAAATCAATCAAGAAGCCGAAGAATCACAAATCTAAATATTCCAAATAAACATTTGGAATGAGAAAATTGGCTGGTATAAAAATAAAAATATTTCAAACTTCAGGTGCAAAATGAACATTTTCGCGATTTTCCTAATTATTTCAGTTTCAATGCTTGGAAATGACTGTGAGATATTGAAAATTGGCAAGAATCCAAATCCTCATCCATTTATTGGACTTAGAAGAATGGTTAAACGAGGCCGTCGTCATTAATTAAATTTTGAAATGTGTTAAATAAAAGTTCACCAAGGTTTCGAAATACTCAAAACCCGAATTCATCCATCTAAAATCCAAGAAAAATCCAATTTTTGGCACAAAAAAGGTCCAATAAAATTCTCAATCAAAAATAATTCAACACTAAAAAACATTCATTATTATACGTTTTTTCACAACACACTCAACATAATTATAAAAACCCGATATCACAAAAAAATGAATTAAAAGAACAACCTTACTTACTGGGGACAGGGATTAGGAAGAAAATGTTACAAAATTACAATTTTCTGTAAAAATTGTTTTTTTTGTTACATTTAATTACAAAAAAAATGAATAGAATAAATAAATAAATAAATCACATGCAATAGATATTTGATTTTGGTCAATAAAAAATCAATAAATCAATAAATTATCGATTTTTCATCTCCTGATATTGTCTTTTGCTAACTCTTCCACAACAACAACCAATCAATAGCACAAAGAACACAAATCCTCCCAAATACGTCAAAATTGTATATCTTTGTGGGTGGTCCATTACAAGATTGGCTAAAGCGTGCCAGGAATCCGGAAGAGCCATTTGATGCTCCTGGAAACAAAATTATCTTGAATTTTCAGCTTTTTCAGTCAAATATGGCTGAATTTCGGCATTTCTTGTCAAATTTTCAGCTAAAAAATAGGATTTTTCTTGAAAAATTCGTCAGAAAACCCAAATTTACACTCAAAAATCCAGATTTTTCAGCTTTTCCCAGACATTTTCAGCCCAAAAAAAACTCACAGCATGCGCTTTCATCCATAGCTTATTTCTATCTGACAATTTCGATTTACATTCTCTCGTCAATTCTTCTCCTTTATTATCAGCAACATCGACCAAACACATGACAACTGGAAAAAAATGGTTGAAAATCGGATTGCTCATGTTAAGAGCTATATTTTGATACTAAACAACACATTGCTCATATTAATTAGTTAAAATTCGGATTGCTCATGTTAAGAGCTATATTTTGATACTAAACAACACATTGCTCATATTAATTAGTTAAAATTCGGATTGCTCAGGTTAAGTGATTCTAGAAAACACATTGCTCATATTAATTTGGTGAAAATTCGGATTGCTCATGTTAAGAGCTTTAATTTGATACTAAACAGCACATTGCTCATATTAATTTGTTAAAATTCGGCTGCTCATGTTAAGAGCTATATTTTGATTCTAAACAACATATTGCTCATATTAAGAGCTTGAACTTGATCATAACATGAGCAACACCTTATTTAGTGTCAAAATAACGCTCTTAACATGAGAAATGCTCATTTTCCATCAAATTTCATGAATTTTGGCTCATTTTTTCCCCAAGCTCCCCCGAAAAATGCTCACTTCTACTATGTCCCGGCGGAACATCATTACAGTGTTTTCTAATATCATTTGCACACGCGCTGTGCAAAATCGGATCCAAATGAATGTCGACCATAGTTTCTTGAAGTCGTCGAGCAACTTGAGCCGAGCACGATTTATCTCGGATTGCTCCATTGTTGAAGTCGGCTTTGAGACATTCCAAAACATTGTCAAAGTGGCCTCCCTGGAGAAAAATTGGGTTTTTTTGGGGAGAAATTTGAGGAAAATTGGAAAATTTGGGATTTTTTGTGATTTTTCCTACAAAAATCTGATAAAATTGAACATTTTTGGTCCCAAAAAATGCTTCCGCAACCTTTCCGCGTTCGCGCAAGCTTGCGGAAAAAAATCCCAATTCAAATAAAAAATTGGCGATAGGTTCCCCTGCGCGGGATCTCAAAATCTCGCCGAATTTTTCAATTTTTCGAGAAAATTTCCCAAATTATGCGAGATTTTGGATCCGGCTTATGGAAATGTCGGGTTTTTTGTACACCGCAAGCTTGCGCGAAGCGCCACAATCTTCCGCGAACGCGGCAACCTCGCGGAAGCTTGCGGTATACATTTTTAGGTCAAAATTCAATTTCAGGTTGAAAATTTGGGATTTTAAAGCTAAATTTCGTGGATTTCGTGGAATTTTCAAATTTCTCGTGATTTTTGAGGTAAAAATCACTAAAAACCTTCATCTTTAATAATTTTTGTGATTTTTCAGATAAAAATCACGGGAAAACCCATTTTTCTTCCAAATTTCGTGATTTTTTGGGTAAAAATCACTAAAAACCTTCAGTTTTATCAAATTTCATGATTTTTCAGGTAAAAATCATCAAAAACCTCAGATTTTCATGGGGAAAATCATGCAAAAACCCATTTTTCTTAAAAATTTCGAATTTTTGGAGTAAAAACCCTTACCGAATGCATAACAGCCGCTGAGCAATGCAAATTAATCGTCGCCTTACACGCATTATAAAGTGGCGGATCCAATTCAGCATCAAATTCCGCTTCAACAATCGCTCTGCTAATTTCCGACGAGCATTGTACACTCATCTCAATTTGTGTCTGATCACTTATCGATTTTCTAAATTGCTCTCTTAAACAATTCACAACAACTCCATCCAATATTTGTTGACTATATTGGGGCATATTGATCTTTTTCAAATCTTCCGGACAATATTTTTCCGCTTCCGGTTTGCAGGCAACTAATAGACTTGGTCTAAGTCGAACATCTCGTGCTGATTCCTTCATTCGTTCTTTTACTACAGCTTTGCATTCTCTTTGGAGTAAACGGACGATTTTTGAGTTGGTTAGGCATTCGAGAACATTGTCTGGATCTGCATTTGAGCAGAATTTTCCGAGATCATATCTGGAATTATGGAAGTAGAAGTTGGATCTTGTTAGGGATCAATTCCAGGTTTGATTCTAGGCTTAGTTGAGAGCCTTAATTAAGGCTTGATTTAAGATAAATGTAAGGTCAATTTTGGGCTTAATTTCAGGTTTAGGGGTTTAATTTAGGCTCTATTTTAGGCTTAAATTTAGGCTAAGTAGTAGACCTAGTGTTAAGCTTAATTTCAGGCTAGATTTAAGGTGAAAATTAGGCTTGATTTTAGGTTTAATTTAAGGCCAATTTTAGGTTCAGTTTAAGGTTTGATTTCAGATTTAATTTCAAGCTTAAAATTAGACCTAATTTTAATTTCAGGCCTAGCTTATGTTCAATTTCAGGCTTATTTTCAAAGCTCAATTAGAGACCTAATTTCTGGCCTAACTTCAGGCTCAATTTAGGCTAAGTTGTGAACCTAATTTTAGGAATTCTCAATTTTAGACCTAATTTCAGGGTTAAGGAATTTAATTTGAGGCCAATTTTAGACCTAGTTTTATATTTAATTTAAGGTTCTTAGGCTCAATTCTAGGCTTGATTTTAGGTGTATTTTAAGCCCAATTTAGGTTAAATTTTCGGCCTGATTCCAGGCTCAATTTAGGCTAAGTTGTGAACTTAATTTTAGGTCATTTCAGGCTCAATTCAGACTAAGTTGTGGGCCTAATTTTAGGTCAATCTAGAGTTATAGGGTTAAATTTAGGCTCAATTTAAGACCTAATTTCAGGCTCAATTTTAGGCTGAATCTCAGGATCAATTCTGAGAAAAATTTTCAACAGAAAACCTCATTTTTGGCTTATTTTTCCCTAGAAAATCAGATTTTTTTTTGAATTTTTCATTAAAAAACTAGTTCTCCGCTTATTTTCCTTCAGAAATTCAGATTTTCCCCCAGTTTTCCTCCCCAAAAAATGTCACCAACTTGCACTTTTTCTGCAATTCATCATCCATCGAATTATCTGCGGCCTCAATTTTCTCTCGATAAAATATCATTTGTTTACAATCGGGTCCGAGTTGTTCGAAATTCAATCGTAAACATTCGATAGTGTCTTCAAAGGTTTCCGCTTGATTACATTTGAATTGGACAATTTCGCGCGAACATTTTTGCGACAATTTCGGATCGGCTTCAGACATGTGCTCTTTGTCGTCAAACTGAAAATTGAAGAAGGGGGTGTAGAGGTACTGTAGAGTTCAAAGGAACATGGGAGAAGGGGGACGGGGTGGGATTGCTCATATTATAATATCCCTACTGTAGGGCTGTTAAAATATGAGCAATAATAGGAGAGAGGGGATTGCTCATATTATAAATGCCCTACAGTAGAGTTATTATAATATGAGCAATGGTAGAAGACTAGGGAATATCTACAGTAGGGCTATTATAATATGAGCAATAATAGGAGAGAGGGGATTGATCATATTATAAATGCCCTACTGTAGGACTATTTTAATATGAGCAATGTTGGTGAAAAACGTGCAAAAATTGTGGATTTTTGGAGGGAGTATAATATGAGCAATGCCGAAAATTTTCTTAATATGAGCAATGCTCAAAAATACCCCTTCCGGGCTCAAAATCGCTCCAAAAATCCACAATTTCCCAGTTAAACTGAGCAATGCCTCATTCAAACATGCTTTTTGGTTAGAAAAAAAGGAAAACTGAAATATTGAAACCCAAAACGCAAACATTGGACAAAGTAACAAAAAGGGACCATTTTTTTAAGGAATCTGAAAATTTCTAGATTTTTGTATTTTCTGAATCATTTTTCACTGAAAATTCCGAATTTTTGATTATTTTCCATTGAAAAATTTCAATTTTTCTGAAATTTCCAGATTTTCTGGAAAAAATGGTCCCTTGTAGGTGAAAAACTCAAAAAACTCAAAAATGTGATAAAAAGATAGGAAAGAAAAGCACATATAAGTTAGTGTAAGTTAAAGTTAGCCTAAGTTAGTCTAAGATGAAAATAACATGAATTTTTCAGCTTAAAAATTTGCAGACACAAAAAATAGGGCTGGAAAATGAGGGCAAAAATTTGAAATTTTCAGAAAATCCGAAATTTAAGCATAAATTTCAGCGCGAAATTTGAACATTCTGATTTTTGGCACGAAATTTAAGAATTCAAAAATTTCCATTTTGGCGCCAAAAACCTACAGTAATTCGAGTAGATTTTTGGCGCCAAATTTAAAAATTCTAATTTTTGGCGCCAGAAATCCTACAGTAATTCGAATAGATTTTTGGCGCGAAATTTAAAAATTCAAAAATTTCCATCTTGGCGCCAAAAACCTACAGTAATTCGAGTAGATTTTTGGCGCAAAATTTAAAAATTCAAAATTTCCTCTTTTGTGCCAGAATTTTCAATTTTTCATCAAAAATCAACCATTTTTCTCCAAAAAATCCAAATTTTCCCCTCATTTTCCATCCCAACTTATCCTAACTCTACTTCTATTTCTGCCACACAAAACACATTACCAAAACCAATCGCAAACTCACTTCTACCTGTTCTTGTTGAAGATAGGCGACTTTCAATTGTTTCTTGCATTCATCCGTCAAATCTTTCGCCGCTCCAAGAACTTTGTGTTCGAATCGAACTTCGGATAAACATCGGATGATTTCGCCTTTGTCATTATTGTGATCACGACAATTCATTGAAATATCAGCTTTGCAGGCTTGTTCGAATTTGAATGAGAAATGATAGTCGCGAAGGGAAATTAATTCGAAATGATTGACATAGGAACGACATTTTGATGTCATTTGTTGGGAATTCTGGAAAATTGACAAGGTTACTGTATGTTCCTTTAAAAATATCAGAAATTTGAGGTTTTTGGGCTATTTTTAACAGTTCTAGAACATTTTCTGGTCATTTCTAGCCTTAATTTAATTTCAGGGGTTTTTTTAAAGATGACTACTGTATGATCCTTAAATTTTTGATGAGTTTTACAGTTTTTGAGCTGATTCGAGAGGTTCTATGACATTTTTCATTTAATTATAGATCAAAATATGGTTTTTTCCATGATTTTTCGAGCTTCCGCAACCTTTCCGCGTTCGCGCAAGCTTGCGGAATTCCAATTCAAAAATTGGCGATAGGTTCCCCTGTGCGGGATCTCAAAATCTCGCCAAATTTTTCAATTTTCGAGCAAAATTTCCCAAATTATGCGAGATTTTGGATCCGGCTTATAGAACTGTCGATTTTTTTGTACACCGCAAGCTTGCGCGAAGCGCCACAATCTTCCGCGAACGCGGAAACCTCGCGGAAGCTTGTGGTGTACATTTCTTGGGTCAAAATTTAATTTCATGTTGAAAATTTGGGATTTAGTAGCTGAATATTCGGGTTTTTATGAAATTTTCGCAGTTTTTCTTGAAATTTTCAAATTTTCGAATTTTTTTTGGGTAAGATTCACCAGAAAAGCTGACTATTATCAAATTTCATAATTTTTCAGGTAAAAATCCCTAAAAACCTTCATCTTTAATAATTTTTGTGATTTTTCAAGTAAAAATCACCAAAAAACTCATTTTCTTCAAATTTCATGATTTTTCAAGTAAAAATCATCAAAAACCTCAGATTTTCATAGGGAAAATCATGGAAAACCCCATTTTTCTTCAATTTAATGATTTTTCAGGTTAAAATCACTGAAAACCATATTTTATATCAGATTTTCAAGGGGAAAATCATGAAAAAACCCTTTTTGTTGAAATGAGTGATTTTTCAGGTAAAAATCATCAAAAACCTCAGATTTTCATGGGGAAAATCATGGAAAAACCCAATTTTCTTCAAATTTCACGTAAAAACCTTGTATTTTCAAGGGAATTTTCATCCCATACCTTATTATTAACCAAACACTCCAACACATCTCCATGATCAATTTCCTCATTTGCAAATTGATTACAATGCGTCGATATCACAGGTTTACATGCTTTCGTCAATAATCTATTCAATTTCGTATCTTTCGCTTCCATTTCAGTGAATCTTCGAATTTCATTATAACAATCCGCATGTTTCATTTTGAATTGTTCTTTTTCGAAATTCTGTTGAAGGCACATCATTTCTTCCATCGGTTTTACATTGTGTGAACAATAATTGGAAAGAGCATCACGGCATGCATCTTCGATTTCTGGTACGAGATTTACACGGGCTGCGCGGAGGCGGAGAAGTTGACGCACTTGAGTTCCGCATTGAACGGAGAGCTGCAAAAATATAGGAACTTTTATTGAATTTCAAATATTTTAATCAATTTTTTTTGATTTTTGGAGAATTTTTGAGGACAACCCAGAAGTTTTTGATGAATTCTATGAATTTTCTGATAAATTTAAGGTATTACAAACTGATTTTCAAGATTTAACAGCACTTTTATCAAATTTTAACTAGGAATTAGGTTTTTCTGATAAATTTCATGAATTTTTACATTTTCCACACGATTTTTGGGATGTTTCTAACATGAGCAATGCCCAAATTATCATTGGAAAATCCGAATTTCTTCAAATTTCAATTCAAAAATTGGCGATAGGTTCCCCTGCGCGGGAGCTCAAAATTTCCAGCCATTTTCAGATTTTCAAGAAGTTGGGGGCTTCAAAACATCATCTGAAGCCCCGAATTCAAGAAATCTTGAAAATGACTGGAAATTTCAAGGTCCGGCTTAAAATTATCAGTTTTTCATCAAAAATTACGAGATTTTTGCATTTTTCTGGAAGCTTTCACTGAAAAACCAGATTTTAAAGAGGAAAATCATAGAAACCCCCATTTTTCGTCAAAATTCATGATTTTTCAGGTAAAAATCAGCAAAAACCTCAGATTTTCATGGTATTCAATAGAATCATGTGATTTTTCAGGCAAAAATCAATAAAAACCCATTTTTCATCCAAATTCATGATTTTTCCGGTAAAAATCAGCAAAACCCTCAGATTTTCATGGTATTCAATAGAAACCATGTAATTTTTCAGGCAAAAATCAATAAAAACCTTATTTTTATCACATTTATTGATTTTTCAGGTAAAAATCAGCAAAAACCTTATTTAGACCAGATTTTCATAGGGAAAATCACAGAAAACCCCATTTTTCGTCAAAATTCATGATTTTTCAGGTAAAAATCAGCAAAAACCTCAGATTTTCATGGGGAAAATCGTGTAAAAACCCGTTTTTCGTGATTTCTTCAAAAACTCACCGGATTCTGTTCATCATAAGCACTTCGATACAAACACGCCAAAACCTGCGGTCCGGGATCAATTTGATTATCGGTATTATGTTGTTGATGCCAATTATCCAATGCCGAACATCGTGACACAGCCTCCTGATGGCAAGCCTCATACAATTCGGGTTCCAAAGTCCAATCCCTGGCCATAAAATATTGCACTTCAAGCAATCGTTTCTCACAAATCGGTGTCATATCCGGATTATCCACATGTCTCATTAAACATTGTAAAGTTGAGAGTTCTGAATTGGCATCTTGTGAGCATGCTCCATCGATTAGAGCTCTACAGGATGCATACAAAACCTTGTCAACTTTATAGTTTCTTCCGATATCTGCCACTTTTACAACTTGTTTGACAGCTTGAACACATTGTGGGCCCAATTTCAGACTTTCGTTTCGAGTTTCAGCGTGTTCCATGAGACAGTGAAGAGTTCGGCCTTCGGCTTCGATGTCGCCACGTGGCGAACAGAATTTGTCGATTTCTTGAGCACAATTCAGCACCAATTCGGGAGCCATTCTGGAGAAAAGGATTTTAGTGAGGGGTAAGCTTCCGCGAAACTCCGCGAGGTTGCCGCGTTCGCGGAAGATAGCGGCGCTTCGCGCAAGCTTCCGGTTTACACTCGCGACTTGCGTCGCTCGGAAAATTCACATTCAAAAATTGGCGATAGGTTCCCCTGCGCGGGAGCTCGAAATTTCCAGTCATTTTTAGATTTTCAAAAATTTCGGGGTTTCAGACAACCTTCTGAAACCCCCAAATTCAAGAAACCTTGAAAATGACTGGAAATTTAGAGGTCCGGCTTAAAATTATTGATTTTCATAAAATTCTAGAGAAAATTAGGAATATTTAATTCAAAAAATCAAAAAAAAAATGATTTTTTTCAATTTTCATACCAATTTTCAGCCAACTTTTGCCCAAAAATCTCAAATTTTCAAATAAAAAATTGGCGATAGGTTCCCCTGCGCGGGAGCTCGAAATTTCCAGCCATTTTTAGATTTTCAAAAATTTCGGGGTTTCAGACAACCTTCTGAAACCCCCAAATCCACGAAACCTTGAAAATGACTGGAAATTCAGAGGTCCGGCTTAAAATTATTGATTTTCATAAAATTTTAGGGAAAATTAGGAATTTCAAGATTTTTCGTGGAATTTTGAAATTTGAAAATTGAAAAAAAAATGATTTTTTTCAAATTTCTGAACGTGACATTCAAAGATTCAGGATTTTCGGTCTGAAATTATAGTTTTCATCCAATTTTTGCTCAAAAATCTCAAATTTTCGAATAAAAAATTGACGATAGGTTCCCCTGCGCGGGAGCTCGAAATTTCCAGCCATTTTCAGATTTTCAAAAAATTTCGGGGTTTCAGACAACCTTCTGAAACCCCCAAATCCAAGAAACCTCAAAAATGACTGGAAATTTCAAGATCCGGCTAGAAATTATGGTTTTTCATGGATTTTCGGCAAAAAGAGTTCTCTTTTTTCAGGGAATTTCAGAAAATCTTCTTTAAGGCAAAGAAAACCTTCTGAAGTTCCCAAATCTTCAAAAAATTCGGATTTTCCCCAAATTTCAGCCAGATTTCAGCAATACCTAAAATTCTGCATCATCATTTGTCGATGGGTAACCATTTCATGCATACACTGTTCTCCCGGTGGAATCTCCTTATGTTCCGGTTGATTAGCCCCATTCTCCAAACACAACAAAATCCAGGCCAAATGGAAATGGGCGGCCGATTCCAATTGATTTTGTGGTTCGCATTTATAGCGTGCCATTTCGGCTGAGCAAGCTTTAGTTAGCGGATGTGCCAATCGATAATCTCTTCCCATTAAATAAGCTCGTTCAGCCAATAGATTTGCACATTGTGCATCCATAAATTGATCATTTCTATGCATTATCAAACATTCGAACACTTTTCCTTGACCTGATGGAACATCTTTGCAATATTTTTCACGATCTTGACGACAGGCGAAGAAAAGCGGACGATCTAAGTGGAAATCATCGGCTTGCATTTCAGCTAAGCGAAGAACTTCGTGTTTACAATCATCTCCGAGGATTGCGAGAGCATCGGCCTGCAAAATTCTCAAATAAAAATTTGGCGATAGGTTCCCCTGCGCGGGATCGCGAAATTTCCAGTCATTTTCAGATTTTGTAACAATTTGGGGGATTCAGAACAATCTTCTGAAGCCCCCAAATTCAAGAAACCTTTGAAAATGGCTGGAAATTTCGGATCCGGCTTGAAATTATTGGATTTTTCAATTCAAAAATTGGCGATAGGTTCCCCTGCGCGGGATCTCGAAATTTCCAGCCATTTTCAGATTTTCGAGGATTTCAGAAGTTTTCTGAAACCCAGGAAATCTTGAGAATGACTGGAAATTTTAAGATCCGGCAATTCTAGCTTTAAAATATCGATTTTTCTCGGAATTTAAAGTGAACTTTGTATTTTTCGTCAATTTTCAGTTAGTTTTCACTGAAAATTTCGAATTTTCAATTCAAAAATTGGCGATAGGTTCCCCTGCGCGGGATCTCGAAATTTCCAGCAATTTTCAGATTTTCTAACAATTTGGGGGATTCAGAACAATCCCCTGAAACCCCCAAACTCAAGAAACCTTTGAAAATGGCTAGAAATTTCGGATCCGGCTCAAATTTATCGAATTTATCACATTTTCAGCTAAAATTGTGAGCTTCTTTTATATTTTTGGTACGAAAATTAATTTTCTCATACAAAATTTTCCCAGAAACTCACAATTTCTTATGGTAAAAATTGACAAAAATAATTATTTTTCCCCAAAAATTTCTGATATTTTTTGGGATTTATGAAATGTCACGTTTTGAATTTAAATTCAAAAAATTTCATTTCTCAAAAATTTTGTACACGTTTTCGGGCTAAAAATCTCTAGAATTCAGAATTTTCAGCCAGAAACCCAAAATTTTTCAAATAAAAAATTGGCGATAGGTTCCCCTGCGCGGGAGCTCGGAATTTCCAGCAATTTTCAGATTTTCTGAAATTCAGCGGTTTCAGAAAACCCCCCAAATTCAAGAAACCACAAAAATGGCCGGAAATTTCAAGATCCGGCTCAAAATTATCGGATTTTCAGCAGTGATCAAAGATTTTCAGCTTTTCCGCACCTGGCTCTTCGCATTTTTAACAACTTTATCCAAAATGCACTCAAGAGCCATTCCTTGTGTGTGAGCAACTCGAACTCCTTTATGAGCCGCGTTTGGTGTCAAAGTATTGCACCCAAATTGGTCCAGCACCGATTTGCATTTTGTGATGAATGGTCCGACCAAACGGAAATCGGAGAAGGCTAATCTCTCGGTACGACCTGGAATTGATTTTTTAAGGGATTTAGGGTGTTTCCGGGTGAAAAAAACCCTAAAAATCGATAATTTTCACCCAACTTACTCAAAAATGCGTGACATTTGGTGGTGGCTGTGATGTTTGGCAGAAAATCGATGAGACAACTCAAAGCGTATCCTTGTTGAGTTAGGCTAACACACCAACTCATGGCTGGAAAATGGAATTGAGTTATGACGTGGCAAAGGGGGAATCTTGGAATTTTTCATTTTAAAAATTGGCGATAGGTTCCCCTGCGCGGGATCTCGAAATTTCCAGTCATTTTTCAGATTTTCAGAAATTCAGGGGTTTCAGAACTATCCTCTGAAACCGCTAAATTCAAGAAATCCTGAGAATGACTGGAAATTTCAAGATCCGGCTTAAAATTATTGGATTTTTCAAATAAAAAATTGACGATAGGTTCCCCTGCGCGAGATCTCGAAATTTCCAGTCATTTTCAGATTTTCTGAAATTCAGGAGTTTCAGAACAATCATCTGAAACCGCTGAATTCAAGAAACCTTGAGAATGACTGGAAATTTCAAGATCCGGCTAAAAATTATCGGATTTTTCAAATAAAAAATTGGCGATAGATTCCCCTGCGCGGGAGCTCAAAATTTCCAGCCATTTTCAGATTTTCTGAAATTCAGGAGTTTCAGAACTATCCTCTGAAACCGCTGGATTCAAGAAATCTTAAGAATAACTGGAAATTTCAAGATCCGGCTAAAAATTATCGGATTTTTCATAAAATAGCAATGAAATCCTGGATTTTCCAGAATTTTCAGCTAGTTTTCACTGTAAATCACCAATTTTTAATTTCAAAAATTGGCGATAGGTTCCCCTGCGCGGGATCTTGAAATTTTCAGTCATTTTTCAGATTTTCAGAAATTCAGAAGTTTCAGACAATCCTCTGAAACCGCTGAATTCAAGAAATTATGAGAATCACTGGAAATTTCAAGATCCGGCTTAGAAATATCGGATTTTCTTCAAATTTTCAACAGAAATCATGAATTTCCAGTCATTTTCGTTAAAAATGACTGGAAATTCCCTATTCTACTTGAAAATTATATAATTTTCTTGACCCGCACCTGAATTTCCCTTCAATTCCTCTTCACAATATTGTTTAGCAGCGGTCAAAAATCGATCATCCTGTGTCAATTTGACTTTAAAATCCCAAACCAATCGTTCGCATTGTTCGCTCAATGTTTCACTTTCAGATTGTCCCGCATCTTGTAGACATTCTAAAATCGACATATCCGAAGTCAAATCAACATCGGGTTTCTGGCAATGTTTGTGGATGTCGGCTTTACAGGCATCGAAACTTAACAGACTTCCGTCGGCCGGTTTTTGCTGGGCTTGTTGGGCCTGACATAGGCTTTGGCCTATTAGGAGAAAGGCTATGGGAAGGGAGAGGAGGGTTATCCTCATTTTCGGGTGGTTTGGGACCCTGGAAGAATTTGTGGAATTTAAAGGATCATTGGGTCTTGAGGTGATTTTAAAGGTACACAAGCTTCAGTGGAAGAAAATTCGGTTTTCTCGGGTCTCGAAACGATTTTTGAAGGTACACAAGCTTTCGGAGCTAAAAATTAGGTTTTTGGGAGTCTTGAAACGATTTTTAAAGGTACACAAGCTTTTGGAGCTGAAAATGAGGTTTTTGGAAGTCTTGAGGGGATTTTAAAGGTACAGAAGCTTCAGTGGATGAAAATTTGGTTTTTTCGGGTCTCGAAACGATTTTTGAAGTTACACAAAGTCTTACAGCGATGTTTGAAGGTACATCATCTCAAAATCTAGAATTTTATTGAAAATCCAAAATTTCCGGCCGAAAATCATTATGGTTTCCATGGGAAATTTCGATTTTTTGTCCAAGCGGCGATGAATTTAAAGGCACACGAACAAAAATCAAAAAAAAAACACCTGAAACTCAAATTTCAAAGGAAACTTTGAAGATTTCTCGAAAATCCCATAAATTTCAACATTCCCTAACTCTCCCCCTAGACTATATTCAAAATTCCGTCAAAAAAGTTCAAAAAAACCAAAATCCACGTGGCACATCCTGCAAAAAACAACATTTTTGCCAATAAATGAAATGTTGGAGGTTGTGTGACGCACAATTGCGGACACAAAGTGTTTGCACACTTTTTTTTCGTCAAGCGAGAAAGGAACAGGTATTGTGTGGATGGATGATAAAAAATTCGTCAAAAAATAAAAATAGCAGAAAAAATCGATTTTTTTTGTATAAAATAATAGAATTCTTTACAATTCCTTTCTTTTCTATAGAATTTTTATTTTTAGAGAAAAACGGAAAAAAATCAGATATGGGAAAATTATACAATATAAACATTATATTTTCTTTTGGATCGGGAAAAAAGTGAAAACTGGGTTTGTTTGAACAGCCCAGAAGCAACAATTTGTGTTGCAAATGTATAAGGACACGTGGATTTAGTCTAGAAACGTTTTCAACCAGGAAAAAAACAAAAAAATAAAAGTAGAAATGCAATGTCGCTCTAATGCAAACACGTATTCACGCGGCAATTTGAATATTCCCCTTTGTTTCTCTGCGCTCTCTCAAAATTCCACAGTTTCTTTTTGTTGGTGATGCAAGCGCGCTCTATTGAACTGCCGCATTTTTTGAATTTTTTGAATTTTTCTTTGTTTTTTTTCACAAGGTTTTCACCGTTTTTCCTTGGAAAAAAGAAGAAATTCTGTAATTTTTCTGCTTTCAGAAGTTAAAACAACTCAAATACTTCACCTCTACACAATGTCAAACGAGGAAAATCAAGTGATTTCCAAGTTTTTGGAGAAATCAATTTATGAAGAAAAGGTAAGTTGTAAATCAATGTGAAGCTTATGAAAATTCTGAAATTTTCAGATAATCGATCGAATTTTGTGCGAAAACTTGGATTCAAGCTGGATAACGATTTCAAATGATGGAAAATTCGAGAAACACCTTTTGAAAGGTTTGAAAATAAACTTAATAACACAAAATTCTACAAAAAATTCATTCATACATACTAAATACAATAAAAAAATAGATTTCACACAAGTTTGTGGCGTTGAGAGAAGGGGAAATTGGGGGCAGATGGAAACAGAAAAATATGCAAGCACATAGAAGAGTTTACACAAGTTTCGGGGAAAAAAAAAGGGGGGGGGTAGAAAATTTGGGGGAATTGCCATGGTACACGAGTATTATTCACAGATGGAGATGGGAGATGGGGAACACGAGTAAAAATGAGGCATTGAGATCACTTTTTCTTCGCCTCTTTTGGCTCCGCTTTCTTCTTCGCCTCTTTTAGCTCCGCTTCTTTCTTCGCCTCTTCTTCCGCTTCTTTTTTCGCATCTTCCTTGGCTTTTTTATCCGCCGCATCCGCCTCTGCTTTAGCCACTTTTCTTGCATCGTCATACTGTTTGAAAAACTTCTCTGCTTCAACCTCCGTTGCAACCTTTTTCTGTAAACAAAACGAGATTGTATTGTCGAAGTTAAAAAATGTGGCAGCCGTAAAAAATAAAAACCAGTGCATAGCTGAATGAATGACAAACTCGTTACTTCGGCAGTCGTGAGCAGCTGTGCGTTGCGGTCGAAAAACGGTCGGATCAATAATCCATTTTTCCTTTGTTTCCCGACCGCGACGCACAGCCGCACGCGACTGACATTTGTCATTTATTCAGCTCTTCACAGGGCTTTATTATTTACGGCTGCCACATTTTTCAATTTCGACAATAAACACGACAAGCGCAAATCCAACCCAGAATAATTCAAACTCACTATAATGCAAAATTTGACAACAGCCGTGAATATGAACAAATATTGGATGCGATCTTGAACAGCGTGGGAACGTCTCCATCGAACATATTTGAAGCAATCTTCAATTATGACTTTGTCGTTCTTTTTGATTTGTTCAATTGCATAATCAATACAAACAAGAGTTCCAGTTCGTCCAACACCTGCACTACAATGAACGACAATTGGAGATATGTCTTTATTGATTTTGTGAACCGAATCAAGCAAATCGATAACTTGTGCGGCATCATCTGGAACACCATGATCTGGCCACCACATCACGTGATAATGATGGATGACGATCGGTGTTTTCTTGCTGTTCTTCTCCGATACCTCAAGTTCTCTCAAAACAATAGATTCAAATGGAGTTGATATTTTTTTACACACAACTTTCATGTTATCCAATTCCAGAACCGATTTTTCCTTTTCTGGATAATATTTGCCACATTTTGTTTTTGCTTCTTCATTCTGGCAACACAGCATGACAATACATTTGACATTTTGTTGGTAACACATTGTCCAAAAGTCATCATATGTTTCCTTTCTTTTTGGCTCACTTCGGTCAATTGGTCCCTGTGTGCAAATATATCTTCTCGGCGAGTTTTGGAAATTCACCCAGTTTGCATGGATAAAATCGTGTTTTCGGTTTTTGAGCACAACACGCGTTTCGTCAAAACATGGAATACCATGACGACTTAGTGGTCTATTCTTCTTGAGGTTAAACGCTTCCATTTTGGCTGTTTCGTTCTTGAAGTTGAACAAATTATCATCGAAGTGTTTTCCGAGCGTTGCCAATTCCTGCAATTAGAATTGGTTCAAACTGAATATCAGGGCCCTATGAAAGTAAACAAGAGTCCGTCAGAAATACAATGGGACGTTTTTTCTAACAGACTCTTCTTAACATTTGAGACAAAACTCACGGTAGACTGCAAAATTTTGAACCACTTCAGAAGATTCCGATGCTCATCAAATCCTACAAAACAAAACAAATTGATGTTGAAAATCAAAGAGCTACTATTTGTGTGATAACTTACCGAGATCGGAAGGAAGCGATCTGGCGGTCTGCAAATTGTTGGCACGTGAATGTAAACGGCTGAAGAAGAAGATCATCAGAAGCATAATGATAAGAGCAATTGTCCAACAGATTGATGAAGACATGACAAAAATTGGAATGGTTTTTGCAGAATCCATTATGATTGCTTTTTGAGCACATTGATGATTTGCCGCCTTTTCGGATATTTCTTTGACTGGCAAGCATTTGTGATCGTGGGCTTTTGCATGGATCTGAAAATATTTCGTTATTTATTTGAGGTTATCTGTTTTTTCGTTTTTTTTTTCAACTTACGTTTATTTTCGATTTTAAGTCATTCAATTTGATCTGTCCATCGTCCATGTTTTGAAAGAATGTTTTAACTTCTTCAAAGTCTCTTGGTGATCTTATAGACTCTTTAAAAGCACTTTCTTTGTCAGAAAAATCTTTCAAAGTTTTTGCAAATTCATCGAATTTCTTCTTGAATCCGTTTCTTTCTGTAACATCCATGCAATTGTCTGGCAACTTCCCGAGATGATCTGAGTTTTCCTTCAGCCTTGTTAGCATTGAAGATAAAATAGGTGAATTGAGCTTAACCCAAAGCTTATAATACTCCGATATTTTAGCGATAACTTCATCCTTGTAATTTTGCAAGTCATTCGTATTATCAATCGACACAATATTCGAAAATAATGAGCTTTGTGATGATTTGCAGGTGTTCATGATGTTCTCAACATTGATTTTCGGAGCAGAGGTGTCAAATTGCGAAACATCGTAGTTGAACATATCATAGCTAACTGTATCTGGCATGCATTGTTGACCTTCTTTTTGTGAATCAACAATATAAATATATGCTTCTCCACCAAACAAGTACACGCAGAAAACAGTTCCCACAATAGCACCACAAATTGTTAGACATTTATTCTCGTGTATTACATATATTTGTTTTTCCTTGAGTGCTCTGATGGTGATAAAGAGAATAAATGGTACAAGAAGGCAGCCGGCTCCATTTGGACAATAGATGAGTGCAATAATAATATAAACCAATCCCTCTGGAGTCTGTAAATATACAGTGCGTTTCACAAGTATAGGTCCACCCCTGAAATGTCTCAAAATGATCGTAAAAATAATTTTCAAGTTGTAGCCCTTCATTTTTTCGAAAAAAGTACGTAAAATTAGGTATGTTTACAGAATTTTATCCTACTTGAACATGTTTTTGATTTTATATTTGAGAAAAATTGAAAATTGGCTATTTTCTGTGTTTCAAAAGTATAGGTCCACCTATATCAACTATGAAATGATGATTCCTAACCTGGTTTTTTGTTGTTTATTTTTTAGTTAGAATTGCCCCAAGCCTAATTAAAGCATATTCAACAAATGCAGTTTTCCATTTCTGGGTTTCTGGAGCCATTCCTGGTGATCAGACTCACTTTGCTCTGTTTATCAGACAACATGGTTCATTATCCATTCATTTTCTATTGAGATCATGTCAGAAGTAACTGAAAACCTCTTTAATGTCGTATTTCTTAGTTTTCCATTCAATAAAACTCAATTCATCAAAAATGGAGATCATTTCAGACCGAAAAATGTCAGTTATTGTTTCAAAATTCTGAAAATTTCAAGATTTTCCAGTGAATACACCCAAGTTGTGTCACAAAACTTCATGTATTATCTGTTAACACGGTTTCTATGATCGATTAAATTGGTTCCATAATTTTGAAATAAACAAATCTTGACTTCCTATCGTGATTGTGCGAAAAACAGGACTTGTAGCATTCCGAAATTTTTATGAACAACTGAATTTTCATATTATTATTCTTGAAACGATTTTTTATGAAAAACATACCTCAGATCAGTTCAGAAACATTGTTTACAACTATTGAAGTTCAAAAAAACAACTTTAAAAAACATTTTTCATGTTTCAGAACATTAAAATATTTTTTGAGTTTTTTTGAAATTTCGGAACTTTGTTCCATAAGCTTGATAGCATCACAGAAAGTGTTTTTTGAGTTCTATGAAATTCTCGGTGATATTTTGAATCATGTGGAGACATAGCAGTCATATTCCAGTCACAAAAACGGAATAAAAATGGATGAACTTGGGTGTATTCATTGGAAAATCTTGAAATTTTCAGAATTTTGAAACAATAACTGACATTTTTCGGTCTGAAATGATCTCCATTTTTGATGAATTGAGTTTTATTGAATGGAAAACTAAGAAATACGACATTAAAGAGGTTTTCAGTTACTTCTGACATGATCTCAATAGAAAATGAATGGATAATGAACCATGTTGTCTGATAAACAGAGCAAAGTGGGTCTGATCACCAGGAATGGCTCCAGAAACCCAGAAATGGAAAACTGCATTTGTTGAATATGCTTTAATTAGGCTTGGGGCAATTCTAACTAAAAAATAAACAACAAAAAACCAGGTTAGGAATCATCATTTCATAGTTGATATAGGTGGACCTATACTTTTGAAACACAGAAAATAGCCAATTTTCAATTTTTCTCAAATATAAAATCAAAAACATGTTCAAGTAGGATAAAATTCGGTAAACATACCTAATTTTACGTACTTTTTTCGAAAAATGAAGGGCTACAACTTGAAAATTATTTTTACGATCATTTTGAGACATTTCAGGGGTGGACCTATACTTGTGAAACGCACTGTATTTACAATTTTATCTTTTTCATACAGTTCAATGACACAACAAAATTTTGAATGTGCTACTAATTCTCTGATTTTTGTGACTAGGAATACAAGAAAATCACCCACTTCTCCTTTTGTTACTCGCGTTTTCAACCAAGTTCTCAAAACTTCCAGTGATTTCTTCCATTTTTCAAGCGCCAACTGGAGAAAAAATAAATTTTAATGAGGATAACTTGTTGAATAGCTTACCACAATATCGTTGGCAAAACTCGTCAGCTTTGTTTTTTCGTTGATGAGTTTTTGCTTTTTTTCAGTATTGATATCATCCAAACCTGTTTTGATTGTCACTTCTTTGTTGTTGTCCATGTATTTTTGAGCATCTGCTGTGTATGGTAAAAAGTGCACCCAAACAGGGTTGAGTTCAAGCTTCGAAAAAACATTAGGGCAACCGGTCTTTGAAGAAGACTTTTCTAATATTGTGTCATACTTTGAGATTAAGTCAGATACTTTGTGCATTTTAATATATCCTTTCAAAGCTGTGAGCGCCTGAAAAATGATATTGGGTGAATGAATAAGGACGTTTTGAATTAGATATAATCAAACTCGAGTATTGATAATCTTACCCCTTCAAATGTAACCGTTTGTTGTTTGAGATAATTCTCAATGTTTTCACTGTTCAGAAAATTGCTTATCACAGAATCATATACCGAGAAATCCAATTGAGATGAACTCTGTTTGGCAGCTTTAATTGCGGTTTCCGAATCTGCAAATAATTTTGATTGACATCAATTTCATTGATCTTTCAAACCAACCTTCAACAATTTCATCCATTTCCTTCAAACTCATCTCTTCACCACCAACAATCGAAAAATACTGCAAAACACAAATAGCCACAAATGCAAAGAGAAGAAGCACAGAAGTCACAATAAATCCATAGCCAAAACATTTCCTTTTAGTCAATCTTTTCTTCTTCTTCGTATAATTCGGGGTTTGCAGGAAGGGTTTTTTGATAATCAGGAATATGAATACTCCGAGAGCAACTAGGATAGCAGATCCAGTCACAGCCATTGGCCACCACATGTTTCCAAGTGGTAGAAAACGAATACTGATTGATTTGGACAAAACTGATCTGAGGTGGCATTTTTGAAAATAGGGCAGTGGAACACGTGGAAAACTAGGTCACGTGAAAAATGATTTTTTTTCGAAATTTTTTCATTTTTTTTAATGCGTTGAAAAAAATGTCACGCTGAAAATCGGGTGAGATTTGGTAGAATAATTTTTCTTGACTGAAATTTTGCGCTGAAACTCATGGAATTGCTGAAAACTGTGAATTCCAGCATTTTCAGCACAAAATTTTGAATTTGAATGGTTTTTTTGCAAGTGAAAAGTCATCGATCGATTACGATTTTGAAAAATTGTTTCCAGGCTGAAATTTCGCGCTGAAACTCATGGAATCGCTGAAAATTACTGTAAACTCGTATTTCCAGCATTTTCAGCACAACATTTTGAGCTAGTGTTGATTTTTTGCCATGTGAAAGGTCAGGGGATCGATTCCCCATGGAAGCTCATTTTTTTGAAAAAAAAAGTTTCTGGGCTGAAATTTTGCGCTGGAAATCATGGAATCGTTGAAAACTGCTATTTCCAGCATTTTCAGCGCGAAATTCTGATCTAGTGTTGATTTTTTCCAGGTGAAAGGTCAGGGGATCAAATCCCCATGAAAGCCCAATTTTTTTTCGAAAAATTGTTTCCAGGCTGAAATTTTGCGCTGAAACTCATGGAATCGCTGAAAATTACTGTAAACTCGTATTTCCATCATTTTCAGCACAAAATTCTGATATAGTGTTGATTTTTTCCAGGTGAAAGGTAAGGGGATCGATTCTCCATGGGTGCAATCTTATTTTTCAATTTTTTTTTTGAAAAAAAATGTTTCTGGGCTGAAATTTTGCGCTGAACCTCATGGAATCGTTGAAAATCAATTAAAATTAATGTTTCCAGCATTTTCTGCGCGAAATTTTGATCTAGTGTTCATTTTTTCGACGTGAAAGGTCAGAGATCGAAGCCTCATGAGCGCTACTATTTTTTTTTTGAAAAAAATTGTTTCCCAGCTGAAATTTTGCGCTGAAACTCATGGAATTGCTGAAAACTGATTTTTCCAAGCAAAATTTTAACCTAAAATTGATTTTTTGCCATGTGAAAGGTCATGGGATCGAAGCCACATGAGCGCACACAGTTTTTTTCGAAAAATTGTTTCCCAGCTGAAATTTTGCGCTGAAACTCATGGAATCGCTGAAAATTGCTCCATTTCTCTGCGTCTCTCCTTCTCTCGCCACTATTTTGTAGCCATTATCACTCCAGCCCGGTAGCACATTTTTATTAGTCGCATTTTTTTCAAAAAAAAAAAATTAATTTTTTTTTTGATTTGATAAGAAATGGACTTTGAAACAATCGAACAAAATATGACTCCGAAAAATTCAATATTTTGGCAAATTTTTCAGTTTTTCATTTTTCTCACCATTTCTTTGGCCTCTAATTTTAACTATGGATTTTCGACTACTTATATTAATACTTCGGTTGGGGAATTCAAGGTGAGTCGGACTGAAAATTGTGCTGAAACAGCTGAAAATATAAGTTTTCAGTGATTTTCAGCGATTCCATGAGTTTCAGCACAAAATTTCAGCCTGGAAACGTTTTTTTTTTTAATTTCGCGCTGAAAAAGCTGAAAATATCCCATTTCCAGATTTTCCTCAATGAATCTTTGCTTCGCCGCGGCCATCAAATGTCTGAAAATCAATACATCTGGATCTGGAACATTTTCCTGAATTGTTGGTTTGTCGGATTTTTCGTCGGAATTTGGCTAAGTCCAATTTTGAATGATAAATTTGGGAGGAAAATTGGATTTTTGATCGGAAATTTTGTGGCGTTTTTGGCGGCGGTTTTGAGAAGTTTATCGATTTTTTGGTGGTCTCCCGAATTATTGATTTTTTCGAGATTTTTGACGTCGATTTGTATGGCTGTCACTTATCAGAGTTGTATTTTGTTTTTGCAGGTTAGAAAATTCAAAATTTTATTTTTCGAGCTAACATTTTGGGGTACACTGGATTACTGTAGAATTTGGGAACTTTTTTGGAATTGAAAAAAATTCGGGTTTAAAATTTTCGGTTTTTTTGATAGATCAAACAATTTTTCGAATTTTCTACAGTAGTTCTGAATTACTGTAGATAATCACCGGGAAAAAAGTTACATTTTTCAAAAAAAAATTTTTTTTTTCAAAAATTTTTTTTCAAATTTTGATCAAAAAGTTTGGAAGCTCATAACTCGGCTCAAAATTGAGATTTTTCGAAAATTCGAAAACCAGCAGATTTCCCAAATTCCCAATTTTTTGAATTTCCCAACTTCCCAGCGTCTCTAATTCCTGGAAAATTTTAAAAATTGATTAAAATTTTTTTTTCAAAATTTTGATCAAAAAGTTTGGAAGCCCATAACTTTCCTCAAAATCAATATTTTTCAAAAATTTAAAAATCAGCAGATTTCAAATTTTCTCAATTTTTCGATTTTCCTAATTTCCCAGCTTCTCAAATCCCCGGAAAATTTTGAAAATTGAATTTAAATTTTGAAAAACATTGTTTTTTTTTCAAAAATTTTGATCAAAAAGTTTGAAAGCCCATAACTTTCCTCAAAATCAATATTTTTCAAAAATTCGAAAACCACTAGGTTTCCCAATTTTTCGAATTTCTCAACTTCCCAGTTTCCCAAATTCCCGGAAAATTTTCAAAATTGATTAAAAACATTTTTTTTTCAAAAATTCAATCTAAAAGTTTGGAAGCCCATATCTTTACTCAAAACCAATATTTTTCAAAAATTCAAAAACCAGCAGATTTCAAATTTTCTCAATTCCCCGTAAAAAATTTAAAAATTGATAAAAAAAATTTTTTTTTTCAAAAATTCCAGGAATGTTCCCCCACAGCACAACGTGGCAATTTCTCATTCCTCTCCGAAATCTCCTTCTCCTTTATGACTCTAATTGGAAGTCTTCTAGGAACTGATAATATTTTGGGTCGACATTTATTTTGGCTCACATTTTCAGTGGTCCCATTTTGTTTCTTCTATACTTTTATCCTTTTTTTCTTGCCCGATACTCCAAAATTTTTACTTTTGGCCAAAAAATCCGAGCGAGATGCGATAAATTCTGTCAAATTTTATCATGGAAAAAATGTAGATGCGAAAAAAGTTTTGGTTGATATTAGAATGGTGAGTTGGCGGCCTCCTACAGTACCCCAAACAAAAAAATTCCAGGAAGCCGAATGCGAATCCACTCAAAACTCCACCACTCTCCAAAACATGCGTCATCTCTTCGCCTCTCCTCATCTGCGTCTCGCTCTTTTCCTCTCCGTCTCTGCCCTCCAAAATACTGTAGGCCTTTGGGCTCTTCTTCTTTCGTCTACATATTTTTTGGAGAATGAAAATATTGCGACAGAGATTTCGGAGTGGAGTACAACTGCGATGAGTTTGGCATATGTTTTAGGAGCAATGACGGGTGGAGTTATTATTGAAAGGTGAGATTTTCAAAAGTTTCAATGGTGATTTTCGAACTCCCCGTGAAATTCCGGTTCGAAAGACATATCATAAGAAAAAATTCGAAAAAATGACCTTAGGGGGTCCTTTAAGGCCCTAAATTTCAAAATCACCCAAACCCTATGAATATGGGTGTCTAAAAGCTCAAAATTCCACCAGGAATCTCGAAAAAATATTCTGAACCTCTAAAATCTTCCAGAAACCCTGAAAAACACACTGAAAGCATCTGAAAAATCCGAATTTTCCGTTAAAAACCAAGAATTTCATGGGAATTTCAGAATTTCATTGTGATTCTCAGATTCCCCGTGAAATTCCGGCTCGAAAGACATATCATAAGAAAAAATTCGAAAAAATGACCTTAGGGAGTCCTTTAAGGCCCTAAATTTCAATATTCACGGAACCCTATGAATATGGGTGTCTAAAAACTCGAAATTTCACCAGGAATCTCAAAAAAATATTCTGAACCTCTAAAATCTTCTAGAAACCCTGGAAAACACACTGAAAGCATCTGAAAAATCCGAATTTTCCTTTAAAAACCAAGGATTTCATAGGAATTTCAGAATTTCATTGTGATTCTCAGATTCCCCGTAAAATTCCGGTTCGAAAAACATATCATAAGAAATAATTCGAAAAATGACCTTGGGGGGTCCTTTAAGGGCCTAAATTTCAAAATTCAAGGAACCCTATGAATATGAATGTCTAAAAACTCGAAATTTCCCCAGGAATCTCGAAAAAATATTCTAAACCTCTAAAATCTTCCAGAAACCCTGAAAAACACACTGAAAGCATCTGAAAAATCCGAATTTTCCATTAAAAACCAAGAATTTCATAAGAATTTCAGAATTTCATTGTTATTCTCAGATTCCCCGTGAAATTCCGGTTCGAAAGACATATCACAAGACAAAAATCGAAAAAATGACCTTAGGGGGTCCTTTAAGGTCCTAAACTTCAAAATCATCCAAACCCTATGAATATGGGTGTCTAAAAACTCAAAATTCCACAAGGAATCCCCTGAAAATCAATATTTCCAGACTTCCTAGACGAACCTTGCTAATTACTGTAACTCTAATCAATAATATCGCATTATTGGCGTTCGTTTTCTTCGCAAAAATTCGATTATTGATTGATTCACTAAAATATGGATGTTTGATCTCTTTAATCATCTATGGATATACTTATGGGTATTTGAATTTGCCACGTCATAGCTCACATATTTTTTTTTCAATTTTTTCAGAACCGGTGTTGGTCCAATATCCTGGTTTATTTCTTCTGAACTTGTTCCACAAAAACATCGAAGTATAACTCAATCAGTTTCATATGCAATCAATACTTTAATGGTTGTTATAAGTACATTTACAATTCTACCATTATATAGTTCAATTGGTAGTTATGCATTTATTATTTTGTACAGTATTCCATCATTTTGTAGTATGACTATACTTTTTAGATGGTTACCTGAAACTAAAGGAAGGGAAATTTATGAAATTGTTAATGAATTGAAAATGAAGTGATTTTTGATGAGATTTGGTTGTGATTTTCGGATTCAGCACAAAATTTCAGCCCAGAAACTTTTTTTTCAAAAAAAAAATTGAAAAATAAGATTGCAACCATGGAGAACTGATCCCCTGACCTTTTGCATGGAAAATAAAACTTTCTAGACCAAAATTTCGCGCTGAAAGTGCTGGAAATACTAGTTTTCAGCGATTTTCAGCAATTCCATGAATTTCAGCGCAAAATTTGAGCCCAGAAACCTTTTTTTTTCAAAAAAAAAGCTAAAAAAATCTGCGCTCAGTGTGGTTTGATCCCCTGACCTTACACTTGACCAAAATCGAATCTAGATCAAATTTACGCGCTGAAAATGATGGAATTATCAATTTTCAGCGATCCCATGAGTTTCAGCGCAAAATTTCAACCCATACATGAACTAGTCGCTCCGGGGACTCCCGAGTTAACCCCCCTCCAGAAAAAAAAATCGAAAAAGTTAACCCCCCTCTTGTCAAATTTTTTCTGACCTCTGAAAAAAAGTTCAACATGCCGTGAAAATTATACAATAGTTTTTTCTCAAGTCTTAATAGTTAATTGATGGCGAAGGCTTTTATAAAAAATTTCTGTCAAAAAAGAAATTTTTATATTTGCCTCCGCCACATTTTTTTTTAATTTTCCGGCGCCAAACTTTCTTTATCAAGAACTTTCGCCGCTGGTGTCTCCATCGCGTTCTTGGTGTACTGGCTAACGCGTGGGAGTTTCAATCAGGAGGTCACCAGTTCGATTCCCCTCTATGTGTATGATTTTTTATTTTTTCTTTTGAAAATTTACTCAATGTTCAATTTGTTATGTTCTACTGAATCAATCCAATTAAAACTTGTCTCAAATATAGTTTAACTCTCGTAGATAAGATATATAACAACTCTGGTCAATTTGGTGACGTTTCCTTTCTTCTATCCCCCTCCGTAAGTTAGCAACCAGCATTTTTCTTCAATTTTCAGAATTTTTCGATATTTATTTCAGTCAGAAACCACTATACGGACATTGATTCGTGCTAAACACTAGTAAATAAGTATAGAAAGGTATGCCAAACAATTCTTTGAAGTTTTATGAAGAAATGGAGCTTCTATCCCCACTCCGTTTTCGGAGCCTGAGACTCCGAAAACGGAGTGGGGGGGTAGAGGTCGTAATTTGCAATTATACTTCAAATAATTGTTAGACATACCTTTTTATACTTATTTACTAGTGTTTAGCACGAATCAATGCCCATTTAGTGGTTTCAGGAGAAAAAAATTTGTCAAAATACCTGAAAATTAAAGAAAATGTTGGTTTTCAACATACGGAGGGGGGATAGAAGAAAGGAAACGCCAACAAATTGACCAGAGTTGTTATATATCTTATCTACGAGAGTTAAACTATATTTGAAACAAGTTTTATCGCGCTTAGTAACGATTAGATGCTATATTTATATATGAAAATTCAAAAAAATTGCCCAAATATGCTTAAAAATGCTCATTCTAGATCTAGGAAGGGGGGTTACTTGAAAGAAACCACAATAAATTGAAACAAGATTATGTAAAATTGAATAAACAATAGTTTTACTGCATTTTAAACACATATCACCTTCTTGGCATCTGAAAATTTCGAAAAAAAAATGAAAAAAAAAAATTTTTTTTCTAAAAAAATTTTTTTTCTAATTTTTTTCCTAATTTTTTTCTTCAATTTATTTTTGAAAAGTTAAGGCCCCCCACAAAAATTTTTCAAAAGTTAACCCCTTCCCTCCGGTTTCGGAGAGGTAGTTCATGTATGTTTCAACCCAGAAACTTTTTTTTTCAAAAAAAATCGAAAATTTATGTGCTCCCAGTTTGGTTCGAACCCCTGACCTTTTGCATGGAAAATGAAACTTTCTAGACCAAAATTACGCGCTGAAAGTGCTGGAAATACTAGTTTCCAGCGATTTTCAGCAATTCCATGAGTTTCAGCTCAAAATTTGAGCCCAGAAACTTTTTTTTCAAAAAAAAAACAAAAATTATGTGCGCTCATGGGGAATCGATCCCCTGACCTTTCACTTGGCAAAAAACCGTCAATTTTGTGTCTAAAAGCTCCAAATTTCACGGGGAATCTTGAAATCACTCTGAAAATCCAAAAAAAATTTAAAAATTTATTCATCTACAGAACTATACGCGTATATAAACAGGGCGGGTAAAAAATTTCAAAAAAAAAAATTCAAAAAAATTTTTTTTTCAGTTGTCGATGGAATGGCGGCGAGCTTGAAGAGGGCTGAAAGAAGTTACGGTAAATCCACAGTAACCTATGGTACTGTGGTTAACTACAGTGTAGTTAACACCCCGAGGGGTATTGTAATAATAGCTACAGTACCCCCAGCTACAGTACTCACTTGAGTTCGGAAAATCTGCGCAGATATTTAGTCTCCTCGAAGGATCGTTGCTCGATTTGATGTTGTTCTTCAGTGTCGGCGCGGCGAAGGCGATTTCTGCAAAAAAAATTTGAATTTTTCTCTGCGTCTCTAACTTTCCCGTGCTCTCTCTCTCTCGCTCTCACCTATAATTTGGTCGAAATTCGAATAACATCCAACCGGCGCCCACCACAAATGCCACGACAACAACCACAAATCTGAAAATGTACAGTAATCTGTGGGAGGTACAGTACTCCTCTACAGTACTCACGTGAAGCCTAGTAGATAGAGTCGAAAAATGTACGATTCACAGCATGATCTCTCTGTACACTCTGTCGGCCAACCGCATACTGTCATCTGCAAAAATTTGAAAATTGGGTCCCGCCGCGAAAAATGGGTAAGAAACAGCGTGAAATTCTGAGAAAACTGATATAAAATTTAAAGGAGCATGATGGGTCTCGAAGCGATTTGGTCTTAAAATTGAGATTTAAAGGGACGTAAGGGTAGCAAAATTTTTGGGAAAATGTGATCTACAAGATGGTGTAGGTTTCATGGGGAATTTCAGATTTTTCTTAAAGGCGCATAGAGGGTCTCGAAGCGATTTAGGGTTAAAATTGAGATTTAAAGGGTGGTAAGGTTAGCAAAATTCTCAGAAAAATGAAAGCTTCAAGATGGTGTAGGTTTCATAGAGAATTTCAGATTTTTCTTAAAGGCGCATATTGGGTCTCGAAGCGATTTGGGCTTAAAATTGGGATTTAAAGGGAGGTAAGGGTAGTAAAATGTTCGGGAAAATGTGATCTACAAGATGGTGTTATTTTTCAGCCCGCTAGCCAAAAAACACGCATTTTTGGACACAACAAGCAAACAAGAATGATGGATTGACAAAAAAGAGATTCATGCCTTCTAGGCAACTTTTTCTAGCCCGAGGAAAAAAAAACTAAAAACTTTTTGGCCGCGAACACAAACAATTGAACGATGATTTCATTTTTCAAAGAAAAAAAGGAACTTTTTTTTTCTTTTTGAAGCCAAAAGGAACTTTTTTTGCTCGAAAAAAATTGAGAGTTAGCAAAAATAGAATAGTTTTTGTTGCTTTTTCAACACCCGGCAAGACAAAAAAAATGAGGAAAAATCGGCAAAAATAAACAATAACAACTGTTGTGGTGGCAGGTGTGCAAGAAAAATCAGACAGAAATGATATAATTTTTGATTTAGTTTGTAGATCGCTTTTTTCTGAGCATTTTAGTACCCTTACCTCCCTTTAAAACTGAATTTTAAGCTCAAATCGCTTCGAGACCCACTATGCGCCTTTAAGAAAAATTGAGGTTTCCTAATGAAACCTACACCATCTTGCAGCTCGCATTTTTCTGAGCATTTTGCTACCCTTACCTCCCTTTAAAACCTAAATTTAAGCCTAGATCGCTGCGAGACCCACTATGCGCCTTTAAGAAAAATTGAGGTTTCCTAATGAAACCTACACCATCTTGCAGCTCGCATTTTTCTGAGCATTTTGCTACCCTTCCCTCCCTTTAAAACTCAATTTTAAGCCCAAATCGCTGCGAGACCCACTATGCGCCTTTAAAGGGGGGGTAAGACGACAAAATTTTATTTGCTCAATGAATCGGGCTCCCTTTGAATAGTAAAAGCCCCAGGGGATTTTTTCTCGAAGGGCCTAAAAAGGTCCGAAAAAAATATTCCATGAACTTTTTTCAACGTATACGTTGTCCGAAAGTTTATGGAATAATTTCAACGTATAGCTATACGTGGTACCTAGTTTATGGAACATTTTTTCTGAGCGTTTCCAGAAAAAATCCCTTGGAGGTTTTACTACTTTTGGGCAGCCTTTAACTTTGCGGCAAAAAAAATTTGTCGTCTTACCCCCCCTTTAAGAAAAATTGAGGTTTCCTGATGAAACCTACATCATCTTGTAGCTCGCATTTTTCTGAGCATTTTAGTGCCCTTACCTCCCTTTTTATCTCAATTTTAAGCCTAGATCGCTGCGAGACCCAAGTAGATCAAAAAATTTCTCAAAAACAAAAAAACAAACAAATATCTATTCTTTTTGCTCTTGACATCTGAGCACTTGAAAATCAATTTCGCGCCGCAAAAAAACAGAAGGCGCGTTCTCTTTTCCGCAAAAAACCCAAGTTAGTAATAAATTTGGTTCGCACGAGGGATTACTGTAGGATTATTTTTTGGGCGGGAAAAAAAGAAGCAAAAATATTCTTGATGACGAAAAAAAGCAATTTTGTGAGTGACAAAAGGAAACTTGGATAAATGATGGGAAAATTGGTAGGAAATAGGCAATTTTTGATTTTTTGTATGGAAAAATGAAAAAAAATTAAAGGAACATGATGGGTCTCGAAGCGATCTAGGCTTTAAATTGAGTTTTGAAGGGAGTTAAGGGTAGCAAAATTCTCAGAAAAATGAAAGCTTCAAGATGGTATAGGTTTCATAGAAAAATCTCAATTTTTCTTAAAGGAACATAATGGGTCTCGAAGCGATCTAGGCTTAAAATTGAGATTTAAAGGGAGGTAAGGGTAGCAAAATGCTCAGAAAAATGTGCTCTACAAGATGCTATAGGTTTCACAGAGAAAACCTGATTTTTCTTAAAGGCGCATATTGGGTCTCGCATCGATCTATGCTTAAAATTGGTCAAAAAAATGAAGTAAGACCATGAAAATACTCGGAAAAAAGTGATCTACAAGCTGGTGCGGACCAAAATTTCCCAAGAGAGGTTTTGCGAGAAAAATATGAAAATAATATGTGTTCAGTGGATATTGTGAAGGCAAATGGAAATGGAAAATAGAATGTGATAGAATGTGATGGCGGCGAAGGAAAAAATGACGGAGGAGCCACAAGCACAGCAAAAAAAAATGCATTTGAGACGAGCCAAAAGCACAGCAGTAAGGAGATGGGTCCTCTTTTTTTGTGTGTCGGGAAAAAAGCAGAAAAAAAGAAGAGAGAGAATGTTGTTGTTGTTTACTGGTTATTTGATACTTCTTTTTGGCAGAGCAGACGAAAGGGAAGAAATGTATCTGACTTCTTTTTAGCCTAGTTTCTGGAGATTTTCGAGGGCTGGGAGAGGTTTTAGGGTGATTTTGAGCTCAGAATCGTGCTCAGGGCTTAAAATTAGCCCGGGAACATGGAACCTGGGTGGTTTTTGATAATATTTAAATTTTAGTATACCCCCCCCCCCCCCTCCTTTTATTCCGAGGAGGGGGGTGATGTTTTGGGGTCTAGGAGAGTTTTAGAGCTATTTTTGAGCTCAGAATCGTGCTCAGGGGCTTGAAATCACCCCTGGAACCTTGAAACCTGGGAAAATTGAAGCTTATAGGTTTTTCGACCCCCCCCCCTTTCTTTATGTAGATTTTTCAATAGAAATCTAGTTTTATGGGTGTTTTTCAGCCCTGAACTTGAATTTTCAGTCAATTTTGAGCTCAGAATCGTGCTCACGGCTTAAAATCACCCCTTGAGCCTTGAAAACCAGCGAAAATCTGAAGCTTATAGGTTTTTCGCCCCCCCCCCCTCTTTCATAATGTGGATTTTTCAATAGAAATCAAGTTCTAGGTGTATTTTTCAGCCCTGAACTTGATTTTTCAGTCAATTTTGAGCTTAAAATCGTGCTCAGGGCTTAAAATCACCTCTGGAACTTTGAAACCCGGAAAATTTGAAGCTTATAGGTTTTTGAGACCCCCCCTTTCATAATGTGGATTTATTGATGAAAATCAAGTTCTAGGGGTATTTTTCAGCCCTGAGCTTGAATTTTCAGTCAATTTTGAGCGCAGAATCTTCCTCAGAGCCTTTGGTTACCCCTAGAACTCGCAAAATCTGAGCGTATAGGTTTTTCGACCCCCCCCCCTTTCTTCATGTAGATTCTTTATGAAAATCAAGTTCTAGGGGTAATTTCCAGCCCTGAGCTTGAATTTTCAGTCAATTTTGAGCTCAGAATCGTGCTCAGGGCTTAAAATCACCTCTGGAACTTGAAAATCATGGAAATTTCGTGTTTGGAAACTCAAAAATCGTATCATCTTAGCCAAAAAAAACAACATTCTTCAAAACCAAGAAAAAAAACAATTTATTTATTTATTTTTCCAAGACCCCAGCCAAAAACACATATACATCTATAAACAAGATACAGAAGAAAAAGAAGGCAAAAAAATATGAGGAGCTCGAGGATGTCAAAAAAAAGAAGAAGAAGAAGAGACGAGTTGTCCATCAAATGGAAAAACGAACTTTTTCAGTTGGGCAAGGGGGGGGTGCACATAAGGGAAAAGCGGATAAATTAGATGAGCACATCATTTTGCTCTGCCGCCCCTTTCGGCTTTTTCCAATTTCAGCGCATTTTATATGGTGGAACAAGCACATTTGGTTGATTTTCGAGCAAAAACGAAAAAAAGGGAAAAAAAACTCCAATTTAAAATTGGCTCATGGGGGAAAGTGCGCTCTATGGCAAACAAACTGCGGCGTAAAAGGTTGGCGCGAGAAAGACGCTGCAGAAAAGGGAACGTCATCATTTTCAAACTTGTGTGTTTTTTGAACGCTTTCGCCTAAAATTTAGCGCGTTTTGGGTGTTTTTAGGGGTTTTCTTGGAGAATTAAGGAGTTTCTAAGGTATTTTAGGTGCTAGGAGTGAAAATTTCAGGAAAATCCATAGGGAAAATGGGATTTTCGAAGATTTTCGAATTTTTGTTCTAGAATGTGTTTTTGAGCGGAAATGTTGGTTTTTTGGGTTTTCCTTAGGGAATTAAGGAGTTTCTAAGGTATTTTAGGTGCTAGGAGTGAAAATTTCAAGAAAATCCATAGGGAAAATGGGATTTTTGATGATTTTCGAATTTATCGTCTAGAAGATGTTTTTTGAGCGGGAAACTGTTTTTTTTTTGGGATTTTCTTAGAGAATTAAGGAGTTTCTAAGGTATTTTAGGTGCTGAGAGTGAAAATTTCAGGAAAATCCATAGGGAAAATGGGATTTTTGATGATTTTCGAATTTGTCTTCTAGAAGGTGTTTTTTGAGCGGGAAATTGGTTTTTTGGGTTTTTTCTAAGAGAATTAAGGAGTTCTTAAGGTATTTTAGGTGTTAAAGGTGAAAATTTCAGGAAAATTCATAGGGAAAATGGGATTTTCGAAGATTTTCGAATTTTTCTTCTAGAAGGTGTTTTTTGAGCGGGAATGTTGGTTTTTGGGCTTTTCTTAAGACTTTAAGGAGTTTCTAAGGTATTTTAGGTGCTAGGAGTGAAAATTTCAGGAAAATCCATAGGGAAAATGGGATTTTCGAAGATTTTCGAATTTTTGTTCTAGAAGGTGTTTTTTGAGCGGGAAATTGGTTTTTTGGGGTTTTCTTAGAGAATTAAGGAGTTTCTAAGGTATTTTAGGTGCTAGGAGTGAAAATTTCAGGAAAATCCACTGCGAAAGCTGGTTTTTTGATGATTTTCAAAATTTTGTTCTAGAAGGTATTTTTTGAACGGGAACTTGGTTTTTTGGGTTTTTTCTTAGAGAACTAAGGAGTTTTTAAGGTATTTTAGGTGCTAGGAGTGAAAATTTCAAGAAAATCCATAGGGAAAATGGGATTTTCGAATTTTTGTTCTAGAAGGTGTTTTTTGAGTGGGAACTTGGTTTTTTGGGTTTTTCTTAGAGAATTAAGGAGTTTTTAAGGTATTTTAGGTGCTAGGATTGAAAATTTCAGGAAAATTCATAGGGAAAATGGGATTTTGGAAGTTTTGTTCTAGAATGTGTTTTTTGTGCGGGATTGTTGGTTTTTTTGGATTTTCTCATCAATTTTGAAATGTTCTTCCGGTTCTAGAACTGAAAATTCATAGAATTTTCAGCTAGTTTTGGTTTTTTGGGACTTCCAGCATTTCCCAGTAGAATTTGAACTTGAAGTTCCATTTTTTCGTTTCCTAGGTGATTTCCAGAATTTTCAATTTGTACTTTCGTAAAAATTTAGGTATTGCGAAATGTTTTCTGGAAAATTCCCAAATTTCCACATCTCCTTACTAATTAATACTTTTCTTCCTACTCTTTAGGTCTATCCAGGTTACCAATTAAAAAGGGGACAATTATGCGCTGTCCAAAACCGCGACGCATTCAAAAACACAATTTTTGCGCATTCATCACTTTTTCATTTATACTTGAGTCGAAATTCACATAAATACAACTATTTTCGTTTTCAGATCTAACCTAACAACAAACTTATTGTATATAAACAAGAATGGCGTCAGTTCCAACACATAAAGACGAAAAAGAGAAGAAGAATGACGAATTGGCGACGGCGATTTTGAAAAATAAGGCGAAACCGAATCGATTGATTGTTGATCAACAATCTGACAAGGATGATAATACTGTCATCTCATTGTCACAAGCCAAAATGGATGAGTTGAACTTGTTCAGAGGAGATGCTGTTATTTTGAAGGTTCGAGTTGGAAACATCTTGATAAAATACATGTTTTCTAGTAATTTCCTATCCGCTAATCACAATTCTGTTGTCAAAAACAAGTTAGCTCAACTCTGAACATGAGTTATTATGTATAAGTGAGCAAATTTCGAAACATAGTGATCATATGAAGTTAATACTACCTTTAAAATGATTTTCATTAAAATCCTTCTGATGAAGATCATTTTTAAAGATAGTAATAACTTCATATAATCCCTATGTTTCGAAATTTGCTCACTTACACATAATAACTCATGTTTAGAGTTAAGCTAAGTTGTTTTTGACAACAGAATTGTGATCAGTGGGTAGGAAATTACTAGAGAACATGTATTTTATCAGGATTTCGAGCTGAAAGTTTCAGAAATGCACAATTTAAGAACTTGTAAAGTCCCCCGATTCTCCAAATTCTACCAAGATTTCAAACGTTCTGTTTGAGAGCTTATTTTGATTTTGGAGGGTTTTATGAATTTACGAGTGTCATACTTGTGCAAAATCAATATTACCATGTCAAAAAATCTCAAAATCAGGAGAAAATCTCTGACGTCACGCCTAGCCGCTGAATTTCTCTCCAAAAACATTTTTGACAACAATTACCACGATAAAACCTAGTATTTTGCAGGGAAAGAAGCGGAAGGAGACAGTTGCGATTGTTTTGGCTGATGAAGGTTGTGCTAACGAGAAGATCAAGATGAATCGTGTGGTTCGTAACAATTTGCGAGTTCGTCTTGGAGATGTTGTGCAAGTCACACCGGCTCCAGGATTGGGTTATGGACAAAGAATCCACGTTTTGCCGATTGATGATACTATTGAGGGTTTGACTGGGTAAGGATTGGATATTTTCTAAGAAAATGAGTAGAAATCTTGGGTTTTGACCATTTTCCTAGGATAAACAGGTCTAAGACAATTCGAATGATATAAATTTTTATGGAATTAGCTCACAAGGGAAGTGCATAAGGTCAAGTGTTGAACTTTTGATGAAACATGACGAAATATACCAAATCGACCATGCTGATCACGATTCCGAAGTCAAAAATTGCCACAAATGTCTCTGAGCACTTTTCTGGAGCTCCAATGTTGAAATCGAGTTTAGGTTTTTACCCATTTCCACCCTGTTGATTTTTCACACAGGAACAGGGTGAAAATGGGCAAAAACCAAAACTCGATTTCAACTTTGGAGCTCCAGAAAAGTGCTCAGAGACATTTGTGGCAATTTTTGACTTCGGAATCGTGATCAGCATGGTCGATTTGGTATATTTCGTCATTTTTCATCAAAAGTTCAACACCTGACTTTATGTACTTTCCTTGTCAGCCATAAGGGATTTAGCGAAGTTATCAGTGGAGTCCGAGCAAAAATTAAGTTGTGCTCATTTGAAAGAGCATGTTCTAATTAGTAGAATCCTCGTTGGATTTTTTCTGGAAGTTTCTCAAGCTACAGTACTTATGGACTTTTAAGCCAATTGAGAAGCTTCCAGAAAAAATCCCTTTGAGGATTCTACTAATTAGAACATGCTCTTTCAAATGAGCACAACTTAATTTTTGCTCGGTTTCCACCTTTAATTGATAACTTCGCTAAATCACTTATGGCTGACCTAATTTCATAAAAGTTTATATCATTCGAATTGTCTTAGACCTGTTTATCCTAGGAAAATGGTTAAAAACCAAGATTTTTACTCATCGATTTACGAGAAGCCCGATTCATAGCAAAAATGTTTGCAGAAACCTCTTCGATGTTTTCCTCAAGCCATACTTCCTTGAAGCTTATCGTCCAGTCCACAAAGGTGATATATTCACAGTTCAAGCCGCCATGAGAACTGTTGAATTCAAAGTTGTCGAAACTGATCCATCTCCAGCTTGTATTGTTGCTCCAGACACAATAATTCATTATGAAGGAGATGCGATTAAACGAGAAGAAGAAGAGGAGAATTTGAATGATGTTGGATATGATGATATTGGAGGAGTTCGCAAACAACTTGCACAAATCAAAGAAATGGTCGAATTACCATTAAGACATCCACAATTATTCAAAGCAATTGGTGTCAAACCACCAAGAGGAATCTTGTTATTTGGACCACCGGGAACTGGTAAAACATTGATTGCCAGAGCTGTTGCTAATGAGACTGGAAGCTTCTTCTTCCTTATTAATGGACCGGAGATTATGTCAAAAATGAGTGGAGAATCGGAATCGAATTTGAGAAAGGCTTTTGAGGAATGCGAGAAGAATCAACCGGCAATCTTGTTTATTGATGAAATTGATGCGATTGCACCGAAAAGAGAGAAGACTAATGGAGAAGTTGAGAGAAGAATTGTATCGCAATTGTTGACTTTGATGGATGGAGTTAAAGGTGCGCGAAAGAGCCCTGTTTCGAGCAAAAAATCCATGAAAATTGATCCTAGATTGAAAATTGTCACCAAAATTTCAGGAAAATCTAACGAAATTCCATCAAAATTGATCATAATTCCAAGATTTTCAAAAATCTTGTTCAAAATAAGAATAGCGCTATTTGACCTCAAAAAATCGACATTTTTCAACATTTTCAAGTTATTGTATTGTGAAAACGAAATGAATCGCACAATTAGAAAATATTTTTGAACTTTAGAGAAAAACAAAAGACCAAGGGAAAAAGTGGGTCACAAAATCAAAAAATAGATTTTGTGATCGACCTTTTCCCTCTGTGGTTTATTTTTCTCTGAAATTCAAAAATATTTTCTAATTGCGCGATTCATTTCGTTTTCACAATACAATAACTTGAGAATTTCGAAAAATGCCCATTTTTTGAGACCAAATAGTCCTTTTTCTTATGTTGAACAAGATTTTCGAAAATCTTGGGATTATGATCAACTAGTTGATCTTTACGCCAAAATTTCTGATTTTTTGAATCCAAAAACTTACTGAGATATCGAATTTAGGTTCTGGTAAAAATATCCACAATTTTCGGCTTGAAAATAATCTAGAAATGACTGAAAATCAAATCCTCTGATTTTTCGATAATTTTTCACGTGACCTTCTATTTTTCAAAATTAAAATTTCCATTCAAAATGTCATTTTCGTATTAAGAAAATATGCGAAGCTGTAAGTTATACTAAATTTGAGATCCCCTTGAACCCACTTTTTTCCATCTCCAACTCTTCCAATTTCCAGGAAGATCAAACCTCGTTGTAATTGCCGCCACAAATCGTCCAAATTCAATCGATGGAGCTCTTCGTCGTTTCGGAAGATTTGATCGTGAAATCGATATTGGAATTCCGGATGCTGTTGGAAGATTGGAAGTTTTGAGAATTCATACCAAAAATATGAAATTGGCTGATGATGTTGACTTGGAACAGGTAGATTTTTGTGAAATTTCGGACTAAGAGGGAGCTCTAGAAATGCACAATTTTCGTCAAAATCGCAAAATTCTGGCTCCTAAGCTTTTGCTCGAGCTCTTCTCTCTGAAAATGCACAATTTAAGAACTTGTAAAGTCCCCCGATCTTTCAAAATCTACCAAGATTTCAAACGTTCTGTTTGAGATCTTATTTTGAGATTTTGGAGGGTTTTATGGATTTACGAGTGTCATACTTGTGCTAAATAGAATTTTCATGTCAAAAATACGCTGAAAATCAAGAGAAAATCTCTGACGTCACGCCTAGATGCTGAAGTTTCTCTTGAGAAGTTTTCTTGACAACAATCTAAAATCAATTTTCAGGTCGCCAACGAGTGTCATGGATTTGTCGGAGCTGATTTGGCATCACTTTGCTCCGAAGCTGCTCTTCAACAAATTCGCGAGAAGATGGAATTGATTGATTTGGAAGACGATACAATTGATGCTGAAGTATTGAATTCACTCGCAGTCACTATGGAAAACTTCAGATTTGCAATGGGAAAATCATCACCATCTGCATTGAGAGAAGCTGTTGTCGAAACACCAAATACCACGTGGAACGATATTGGAGGACTTCAAAATGTCAAGAGGGAATTGCAAGAATTGGTGCAATATCCAGTTGAACATCCCGAAAAGTATTTGAAATTCGGAATGCAACCATCTCGTGGTGTTTTGTTCTATGGTCCACCTGGATGTGGTAAAACACTTTTGGCAAAAGCTATTGCGAATGAATGCCAAGCGAATTTCATCTCAATCAAGGGACCCGAATTGTTGACTATGTGGTTTGGAGAATCGGAAGCCAATGTTAGAGATGTTTTTGATAAGGCAAGAGCTGCGGCACCGTGTGTTTTGTTCTTTGATGAATTGGATTCGATTGCCAAGGCTAGAGGTGAGCGATTTTGATGGAAATTTGGCTGAAATTGGTTCAGATTCAGGGTTTTCTTGATATTTTGAACAAAAATTTGCCTGATTTTTGCTTAAAATTTCAGAATTTTCTCATTAACCACTCTTAGATCATGAGAAAATTCTGAAATTTTGAACAAAAATCAGGAAATTGCTGTTTTGAAGCTCAAAATATCAAGAAAAACCTGAATTTGAGCCAATTTTAGGTTGGAATCTAGCAATTTTTGATTTTTCGCGTCAAAAATCACTCCAAATTCCATGTTCCCATCAAAATTCCCTTATTTTTCTAGGAGGAGGCTCCGGTGGAGATGGAGGCGGTGCATCAGATCGTGTAATCAATCAAGTGTTGACCGAAATGGACGGAATGAATGCCAAAAAGAATGTGTTCATCATTGGTGCCACAAATCGGCCGGATATCATCGATGGAGCAGTTTTGCGTCCAGGTCGTTTGGATCAATTGATCTACATTCCATTGCCAGACGAAGCTTCGCGTTTGCAAATTTTCAAGGCATCCCTTCGCAAAACACCATTGGCCAAGGATTTGGATTTGACATATTTGGCAAAGAATACTGTTGGATTCAGTGGAGCTGATTTGACTGAGATTTGTCAAAGGTATGGGGATTTGGGAGGGGAATTTGAGTCCTAAATGTATGAATGCTCAAAAATAGATAATTTTCGACCCTGGAATTGCAAAATTCTGGCTCGAAAATGCACAATTTAAGAACTTGTAAAGTCCCCCGATCTTTCAAATTCTACCAAGATTTCAAACGTTCTGTTTGAGATCTTATTTTGAGATTTTGGAAGGTTTTATGGATTTACGAGTGTCATACTTGTGCTAAATCATAGTCAAAAATATACTCGAAATCAAGAGAAAATCTCTGACGTCACGCCTAGACGCTGAATTTCTCTCCAAAAATATTTTTGACAACAAGACAACAATTTGAAGCACCTAGCTGAAATTTAAAATTCCAGCTCAAAAATCAACATTTTCCCTATTTTCAGAGCGTGTAAATTGGCAATCCGGGAATCGATTGAAAAGGAGATTCGAATCGAAAAAGAGCGTCAAGAGAGACAGGCGAGAGGAGAAGAATTGATGGAAGAAACTGCTGATCCGGTGCCAGAAATTACACGAGCTCATTTTGAAGAGGCGATGAAGTTTGCGAGAAGATCGGTTACTGATAATGATATCAGAAAGTGAGTTTTTTTGGGGGGAAATGGGAAAATTAATGAAAAATTAGATTTTAATCAAATTTCTACCAAAAAATAGCTTTTTTACGATGAAAATGAGCCCAAAATTTGCTCAAAAAATTTGTGAGCTTTTCGCTTTCACCAAACTAAAAAACATCAAGTTTTATTGCGAAGATTTTTGTTCAGTTTTTTTCTTGGCAGTTAAAAAACGTATTAAATTTGAATGTGATGCCTTCTCCGCTTTTTTTTTTTGTTTTCTGGGAAATAGGAGAGATTTTTGCTGAAATTTTTGGGGGATTTTTTGGAGATGGGAAAAATATTGCAATTTTGAGCAAAAGCTCATCAAAAAAAAGGTTTTCCTAAATTTTTGGAAAAAATTTAATGCGGCTCGATTTTCAAGTTTTTTTTGGGCCGAAAATTGGGGATTTTTCGAGTCCGAATAAGCCTAGATCAGATTTCCTTCTAAAAATTCCCAATTTTTTCCAGATACGAAATGTTCGCTCAAACTCTTCAACAATCTCGCGGCTTCGGAAACAGTTTCAAATTCCCGGGCAGCGAAAATGGTGGAAATGCTCCAGTTTCAGCTGGTGGAAATGCTCCAGCCGCTGGAGGAAATGCAGCCGATGATGATGATTTGTACAATTAAATTAATCTCGTTTTTTTTCGTCTTCCCCTTATTTATTTGGTCCCTTTTTTGAAACATGTGTATTTCATTTTCACCCAATTATTTATTTTATTTTTATTTATTGAATGATAATTGTATCATATTTTTTATCCACCTTTTTTCATACACACCCCCCAATTTCTCCTTTTTTATTCGAATCCACTCCCAATTCAATTCTCATCATCTCCTATCAAAATCACACATTTTTGTTGTAAATACTTGGAGAATTTTCATAAATGTATCCCCTTTGAAAATTGTGTGCTTTTCGAAAATCGGCTTTTTCCCGAAACTTGATTTTCTGACTATCGCCACGTCATAGATAGCTATTCAAAATTGGAAAATGAGGTGAGTTGGATTTTTCACAGAATTTTTTTTAGATAAACTGTTTTTTTATTTCAGGAAATCGATGATTCGGACCTTCAATCAATGATTCGGAGGAAATCAATGATTCGGACCTTGGGGATTTTTCTGTGAGTTTTTGGGCTTTTTCTAGTTTTTTGGGATTTTTTCGGGCTTTTTTCGAAGACTTGAATGGTCCCGAGATATTCAACTGAAATTCTAGAAAGCTTAAAAAAAAACCAAATTTGTACTTTACTCAAATTTTTGAAATCCATACCTGAAAGATAGATTTGAACATCTTGTCGATCTTTAAGATCAATCGACATCGATAATTCTTCGAATTCAACTTCAAGACAAGTAATCAAATTTTCCGGTAACTTTATACCTTTCAATTTGTCAGAAGTTCGTTTATCGAAAATATCCATTAGAAAATCCATAGATTTGTCGATGTCATCTGTTTTACAAAGATGTTTGTCACAGATATAGGAACTTCCATCCAATGAAAATGTTATGCATCTATTCATTTGCGAAAAAAAACCGAAAAAAATGTATTTTTTTACAATATTTTTCTATTCACCAAAATGCACGAAATAAATGTCAATCGTGACGAGACCCACACACATTTCAAGGAAAAAACATGCGAGAAAAAAAAACAAGAAATGAAATTTTCGAAAGCATGCATTTTTCACACTCGTTGCCTTGAAATGAGTGTGGGTCTCGTCACGATTGCATGTATTTCGCGACAATTTGTGATTTTGGTGAATCGAAAAATATTGTAAAAAAATACATTTTTTTCTTGTTTTTTTGCAAATGAATAGATGCATTAGATTGCGAGTTACATTAAGTCGTTCATCAGCACAGTGAGTTGATGCCATTCTTTGGAATTGTTGATATAGAATAAGTTTGTTGGCCGGTGTTGGTGGGAAATGCGCCAATTTTTGACCAAAAATTGAGGTCAATCGCACATTTTTCGCCAAGTTTTGGCCAATTTTGAACATTATCCGGATAAAACAGTAAATTGCTCAAAAATGCACTTGTTTTTGGACGCCCCCTCATAAAAAATGCGCAAACATTGTGTTTTTGAATGCGTTGCGGTTCCCTTTTTTCTCGAATGTAACTTTCTCAGGAGAACGACCGCGAGATCTGCGCGAAACGCGAACCCCAGAAGTCCGCTAAATCGCCGCGCATCCGCCGCGGTTTAGCGGTGTTGTTACAGCGTTTCGCGTAAATTTCGCGGTTTCATTATCGCGTTTCGCTTAAATTTAGCGGTGTCCTCTCAATTTCAAAACAAAATGTCATCATGATCGATCCTCACATTCAGGTGATCATTTGCATTTATCACACTCACCCAACCTCGAACCTACAACCTCTCACCTCGAATACATTTGTTTTACCCACTTGACCATGCGCGCACGTGACGCGAATAGCGAAAATGTTTTTTATATACCATGCTACTGCGCGAAAAGGTCGCGAAACGCTCCAATTCGGTCGAGGAAGCCCGCGAAATTTCCGCGAAACGCGAAATTCCCCGCAATTCGCGCAAATTTCGCGACGTCCAGTCGACCGAGTCCCAGATTGCGCGAGGTTTGTGCGAAACGCGTGATTCTCCCGCGAAGATTGAGCGAATCGCAGAGGCCCCGCTTTTCGCGCAGATTTCGCGGTCGTTCTCCTGAGTTGATACACCTGAAGAGTGGAAATTTGGGAAAGATTTTGCAATACGCAATAATGTTGACTTCTAGGAACTAAAAAACACTCCTGAAAAGAATTTTTAGCTTTGAAATTTCAGAATCTGAAGTTACGCGAACTTTTGTGTACAATAGGATCCATTCATTTGGTTTTCGACAGCTCATAATGTGATATAAAATTTTCCCCGTACCCTTAACTATTTTTTTTCTAAACTCAAACTCAAACTTTTTTTTTCAACTTAGCTTCATCAATATCACGTGAAAACACTGAGTCAGTGTTTTCACTCAATATTTCATGTTCCACTAAATCAATCCAAGTGAAACTTGTCTCAAATGTAGTTTAGCTATCGTAGATGAGATATATAACAACTTTGGTCAGTTTAGGAACGTTTCCTTTCTTCTACCCCCTCCGTATGTTGACAACCATCATTTTTCACCAAATTTCAGGTATTTTCGAAATTTATATCAGCCAGAAACCACTAAAAGGACATTGATTCGTTATAAACACTAGTAAATAAGTATAGAAAGGTATGCCAAACAATTCTTTGAAGTTTTATGTAGAAATGGAGCTTCTATCCCCCCCCTAAAACACTTTATTCTTGTAATTACCGAAAATTTCAGTTTAAGTGTGTGATAATGGTTGAAAAACTGACAAAAACCAATAACTGACTTCAATTGAACATTTTATGTACAAATGTTGAACCAGGAAAGCTCCTCAATATTGGGTTAAACAATTTTCAAAAATTCATCAAAGTCAGGTTTCAGTCTTTCACCTGATTCTTACTCCATTTTTGAATTTCTGAGTGTCAGAATTCAAAAAATTATCAGAATTAACGTGTTTTCGAAAAAACAATAACATCCAACGGGAAAACTTAGAAAAATATCGGAAATTTGGCTGAAACTCAAAAATTTTGGTTCAGAAAAATTTCTAAATTTTTGAAAAATCAGCTGAAATTAGAAATTTCTTGCAATTCGGGTCAAAATTTGACAGATTATGTTGAAAAAAGTGTTTTCTACCAATTTTCTAAAAATTAAGCTTGAAATAATCGAATTTTGAACCAACTTTGACTGAAAACTTGATTTTATGGAAGTCTTCACGCTATCAGCGTTCTCAGTCACTGTTAATCAATCAATAGTGGTTGATTACAGCTCAATTCTATCTGAAATTGATTTAACTATCATTTTCAAACCCATTCCAAACTCATTTCAAGCCAAAAACCTGAAATTCCAGGGTGAGGCTAGGATTATGTGGAAAGTGAAAAGACCTATTTTTCAAAAAAAGTCAACTTTTTATTTCAGCCTCATTTTTATCTGAAATTCGAAGTAGGGTACATTTTTATATAACCTTTTGACAAGGGCCCCCCACAAAAAATTTTCAAAAATTAACCCCCCTTCCTCCGGTTTCGGAGAGGCAGTTAATGTATGACACTGACTCATAAATAAGTATTGCGAAATTTTTTCGCCCTCGGAGCTACAATTTTTTGTTTTCCAAATATTTCCCAATCGACTTTTTATCATTATCATACACAATTTAATAGCCCAAAAAATGCATGATCCAAAATTTTTATTGAAAATAATTTTTCAATACACACTGTACAATAAATGGAATACATGATTTCTTTAAAAAAAAAATGAAAGAACTAAACTAAAAAAAAGAATTACAGGATGGCCGCAAGTTCAATTTGATCTTGCAAAAAGTACTAGATCAGTCAGAAACTCAATCTGGGACAAAATTATTTCCTTTTAACTTTGGTACACCTGAAGAGTGGAAATTTGGGAAATTTCTAGAAGAGATTTTGCAATATGCAATAATGTTGACTTCTAGCAACTAGAAACCCCAAATTTTCCCAAAGAATTTTCAGCTTTAAAATTTCAGAATGTGAAGTTACGCGAACCTTTTACGTTACGCAAACCTACAGTAGGATCTATTCGGTTTTTTTCTCTTTCACCCTTCAATTTTCATCATTTGGTTTTCGACAGCTCATAATGTGATATCAAATTTTCCCCGTACCCTTGCCTACTTTTTTTCTACCGGAAGTCAGTAATTTCGAAACTCAAACTATTTTTTGTTCAAATTATCATTATCAATATCACTTGGAAACACTGACTGAAGAAAAATGTTAGTGCGAAATTGTATCGCCCCGGAGCTACTATTTTTTGTTGTCCTAGTTTTTTGTGATGAAAAAAAATATGATTGTGATGAAATGTTTCACCACGACCTCATATTTTCCAATGGGAGACCTTTGGACTTTTTCTAAATTTTGAAAAACAAAACAACTTTCAAACCAAAATTTAATTTCGATCATTTTATTTCTTGTCAGGAAAATAATAATGAAAAAAAAATACAAAAAAAAAAAAAAAAAAGAAAAAAAGAAAAAAAAAAGAAAAAAAAAGAAAAAAAAAAGAAAAAAAAAGAGAAAAATAGAACAAAAAGAGATAACAGAGAAACTCCAGGGGTTCTAACAATCTCAGATTGACAATAACAAAACAGAACTATATCAGATAAACAAGAAAAAGAGGGAAGTACAAAAAACAGTATAAAAAGGATTACAGGATAATTATGAAATGTAATATTATAGATTCTCTGATTCTGATTGTGAGATCAAGTTGTTTAAGGAAGATTATGAAGATTCCACATTATCGTTAAGTTTATTTTCATCAGTTGAATCATGTGTTGTCACTAGATAGCTGGTGGGATGATTGGAATAAAAGTTGGAGTTTTTATAAGCAGTTGATATTTTTGCCGTATTTTTTTGTATTTTTTCTATTATCAGATAACGCCCATCTTTATGTGCATATGTTTCTTTAAAATGAATTGGATTGTATGGTTTGGGTGAAATAACCATCAAATTCTCTGACTTCATCAATTCATCAACATATTTTTCAAGATACGTAGTAATATGAGTTTCCGAATTGACATGTATACGATAATGATACAATGTTTTGAAGTCGTCTTCAAACTTCAAAAGTTTTGAAGTCGTCTTCAAACTGTCTGGTGTTTTGAAGTCGTCTTCAAACTTGATTCCATCTCGCGTTTTTCTATTTTCTTCGATTGCTTTCAGTTGACCCTTCATTATGTTGATATAATCGTCTAATACTTGAATATTATAGGTCGTATTTTTATACTTTATGAACAATTTTTCTTCGCTACATTTTTGGTCTTTATTTTCTTTGGGGTTCGTCGGTTCTATTGAGCACAAACGAGGTGATTGATTTACCGATTTCTTTGATGATTGATTTACCGATTTCATATCCGTTTTCAAATCATGAAGTACAATCTCACACATTGATATAAATTCTTCAGGCTCTATTTGTGGTGAAAAATATTGGCAAATTACGGCCACAATTTTGAAAAACATAAGAGTTTGTGAGAATCGATGTATGAATCTGAAAAATAATTCAGTTATTATATTTAGACACAAGGAATTCAGTTAAAAACATCTACCCAGTTGGAAGGGCTTTCCCCAAAAATTCCAAAATTTAATTTTTTAGCCCAAGATAGTTTTTACCAAAAACAAATAAAATGATAGTAAATATATATATAGTATATGGAATACTGTAAACAGCACATTTTTTGTGTGTCGCGGTGTATGTGTGTACCAGAAATGATTTTCCGCGTTTTTCGAACCGTTTGAATTTATTTATTTTCTGCGAGTTTTTCGAACTGAATTTCGCTGAAAACAGAAAACGGAAGCTCAAGCTCAAGGACTGAATATTTGTTAAAACACTTCAAAACTCAGTTCCAACTGGTTAGCTGTCTTTAAGGATTCAACAAAAAATGAAAGAAAAACTTACGAGTTTTTCAATTTCGAAAGTATAAAAGTATTCAGACGTAGAAGTGAAGCGTAAGTTGCCCCAGTCATAAAATCAATCGCCGTTTTCTTTGAAGGACCTTTTCCTTTGTCCCACGCTTTCATGTTCTTCTCCTGTTTCCCGATCTCCGCTTTAATTTCTTCCCATAACTCGGTCGGCTCTTTGGAAAGTTTTTCATCACTGATGTCATTTTGTTCGCACGGCTTCTCGATTTCAATTCTGAAAAACTTAACTGTTTTAAATTGTTTTGTTGATAAAAAATAACGAACGCTATATTATTATTGTTCATTATTAGAACATTCAATTTTCCTAATTCGTCTTTTTCATTTTGTGGGTCATAAAACTCCATTGAACCTTCGGTGAACTTGATTGTTTTCTTGAATTCATCTACATTGTCGTAACGGTTTTCATTGTTGGATGTATCGATGTAGAATTTACGTTTCTGTAAGAATAATCAATATCATCTCAGTTTTTTAAAATAAATTTATGCAACTACACTTTTTCAATAAGTTCATGCAAACTGAACTTTTTTGTAAATTCACAGTTTTAAGTTTTTGGATTACGGAACTTATAAACGAAAAATCTTTGATTATTGATTTTTTTTCGAAATTTTTTTCAAAAACAAAAAATGCAGGTTGAGAAGCTACCAGTGTTGCGCAAAATTTTTTAAATTTCTTATGTTTCTCGGAAATTCAGCGGGGTTGATGACGTATGAATTATTGCGAAACATAAGAAATTTAGGAATAATTTTTTAAATTTCACGATAAACTCACCTCTCCATCAACATCCTGTCTAACACAAATAAGTGGCATAGAGAATTTATTCCCATTTTTAGACTTTAAATAGACGTGTTGAACCGGTATAGTAGATAGGTCTTTTTCATTATTGAATTTATTGATCTTATCAATGATTCTTTTGATGATTTCATTTTTGTCAGCTAGAAGTTGCAGTACTTGGCTAATTTTATTTGACTTTTGACTTTCAGAAAGTCCGGGAAAAATAAGTTTAGAGAGAATGGAAAGCATTTCCATTATTAATATGAATGATTTCTAACAGAAATTTTTGTAAATGTGGCTTTTTATGCTGATAAGAATTTAAGAGGAGCCGTTTTCATTCTGTTAGCAAACTTTTACGAGGAGGCGTTTTCATGCTGATAGGCACACTATTAAAAGTGTGCATTCGCATGATAAGAATTTTACTTTTCTTATTAGTTGTTATGTTTTAAACACCAATACTATTTGAGAATGTTGAATATTTCAAACTATTTGAAACTAAGAAATCTAATGGAAATTTCCAACGTCAAATTCGAGAAAAGCGAAATAGTCAGATTTGTGCGATTACTTTCGAAAGTTTTCGATTCCTATGTCGATTTGGATAAAAATGCATTGGATAATACAAAACCATCTTTGGTAGATGATTCGGAGAGAAAGGAAGTTATTATTCTTCTGAAAAAAATCTGTTAAATATTTTGTAGATGAATTCCGAACGTATTCAATTATGATTCAAATTGATCAACGTCAAGACGCTCAAATTTGTCTTTCTGGTATTTTTGAAAAATATTTTCAATAGTTCAGGCGCAAAATAATTTTTTTAGCTTTTCAATTTTTGATCGATGATTTCGGAAATGATGTGAATGAATTGAAAGAAATTATGGATGGAGATGATGTAGATGACCTGAAATATTTTATTGAAAGCTCTTGGGGTGACAAACCAGAGCATTATACACCATTGAAATATATTGAAAAATATCCAAATCATGAATGGTGGAAGCATGAAATTGATGAGCGAAAGAAAAAAGAAGAGAAAGAAAATATTGAGCAGAAAAACCAACCAGAAAAGGTTGAATTGGTCGACAAACCAGAACATTATACACCATTGGAAGATATTGCAATATGTGAAAATCATCGGAAACATGCGATTGAAAATCAAATAAAAAATGAGAAAAAAACAAAATATGTTCAAAAAGTGGAAGAAGATTCACCTTCAAGTGAATCGTCAGATGAAGAAATCTCGCCATCTCTAAAACAACGTCGAATTGATGAAACCCAAGCTGTTCTATGGTATTGTCCCCCTCAATCTGCTGAGTGCTACTGAAAAAGTTAAAGGTTTGTCGAAAAAGTTTTTTTTTCAGTACTATACATTTTCAATTGGACTTATTCTACAGTAAATAAGTTTTCTTGTAACAATTGTAAGCGTTTTGTGAAAAATAACCCCCACTTGTTTTTTGTATCCAAACAACTCCAATTTTTTGTTTTTTTACTTATTGATTATTCATCACATGATTTTTTGAAGCTATTTCGACATAAAAAATTTTTATCTTTTATCATTCAATCATTATCAGTTGTCGATTTTTTAAATGATGTGGCAATCGATTGATCCAGCAAATAAATGCTCAAGGGTGATTTTTTGTACAGAAATATTTCACAGGAAAAATTGTTTTGAATGAATTTATTTTTTCGGGTCTGAAAAGAAAATTGTGCCAAAAATTCCAAAAAATTATGTATCTAGGCTGAAATATCGAGCTGAAAATCGTGAAGATGTTGAATTTCAACAAGCAGCAATTCAATAATCAATAATCAAATATACCAAATCACAAAATAATAAGTTGGTGGTAAAAGTGCTCCAGAAAACGCTAAAACTGAATATTGAATGTTGTTGAGGTAACTATGAAAATATAGATATTTATTCTGCAAAAAAAAACGATTTTGTACAAGTGCGCTCCATTGAGAACTCACATTTTCACAGTAAAAACTGAAAATAGAGCAGGTGAAATAGATTCTGAAATTTGTGTTCACACTTTTTGCGAAATACACGATTTTATACTATTTTTCTCTGCGCTCTCTCATAATAATATGTTTGTCACAGATATATTTGTCACAGATTACCACAAATTTTCTTTCACTTCAAGGTCTGAGTCATTCTAATTTTTTTCTCCTTTCTTTTATCTTCTACAACATCCCATCAAAATCCCTCTCTATAAATTATTTATATTACATATCATCCCCAAATATTAATTTTACTACCCACCTCATCCTTTTTTTTCTCTTTCTAACACCCTTTCTTCCCCACAATTTATTCTAATACACATTCCAAAATGGCCCATTTTGTCTCTTTTCTTGACCAACGGGTCTTTCTTTTATTTATTGTCATCCACTACGTGTGAAAAATTTGTCATTCTCTCTTCTCTTCCTCTTACTATTATTATATGTAGTCGTTTGATTCAATAAATGTATATATATATAGGAACTTCTATCCAATGAAAATGTTAGATTGGGAGTTACATTAAATCGTCCATCAGCACAGTGAGTTGACGCCATTCTTTGGAATTGTTGATATATAATAAGTTTGTTGGCCGGTGTTGGTGGGAAATGCACCAATTTTTGACCAAAAATTGAGGCCAATCGCAGATTTTTCGCCAAGTTTCCACCAATTTTGAACATTATCCGGCTAAAACAGTGAATTTCTCAAAAATGCACTTGTTTTTGGACGCCCCTCTCATAAAAAAATGCGCAAACATTGTGTTTTTGAATGCGTCGCGGTTCCCTTTTTTCTCGAATGTAACTTTGATACACCTGAAGAGTAGGAAATGGAAATTTCTAGAAGAGATTTTGCAATATGCAATAATGTTGACTTCTAGGAACTAAAAGACCCTAATCCTAATATTTTCCCAAAGAATTTTCAGCTTTAAAATTTCAGAATCTGAAGTTACGCGAACTTTTGTGTACAGTAGGATCTATTCATTTGGTTTTCGACAGCTCATAGTGTGATATAAAATTTTCTCCGTACCCTTACCTATTTTTTTTCTATCGGAAATCAGTAATTTCGAAACTCAAACTATTTTTTTCAACTTAACTTTATCAATATCACGTGAAAACACTTACTCACACAGAGAGAAAAAATCGACAGCATTTCATTAAATTCCTGTCTACGTGTCTGATTGGCTCACGTGAATAAGCCACGCCCATTTCATTTTTTTCATTTTCAAAATTTATTTTATTTTCTTTTTTTGGTCGCCTGGCCTATTTTTTGTTGTTTTTCCTTGAAAATCACGATTTTTCGCTAAAATTTTTTATACAATTTTTAGAACTCATGTAGATAATTGTTCCTATAGCTTTATAATTTTTAGTTTCGCTATGTTCCGAAAGTTTTAACGATTTTTGCTCAAAAAATTCTCAATAATTGCTGTTTTTCCAGTATTTTGGGTACAAATCCTTGTCATAATTCATCAGAAAGCATTCAAAAGTAACGAATAAACTGATTTGATGATTTGGAGTCGATATTGAGGCAGTTTTTGCAACAAAAAACCCACAAACTGAAATTTGGAAAAAAGCGGAAAAAATAAGAATTTTCACCGATAATTTGTCAAAATTCAACGGTTTTGCATTGTGTGTTGATATGGTGCTAATTTTTCCATTTTTGATGAGTTATATGGGAAACTTGGTTTCATTTCCAATAAATTTTTATTCAAAATATTTCTAACATGAAAAAATTCCGATTTTTGTGTCAAATTGAAGACTAGAAGCATCAAAAAACTGGCTTCCATCAACATGTCGAAAAGAGAACTTTAAAAGTTCTACATTATCTCAAATTTGACCAAAAATCCGTTCATCTTGTCGTTTTCAACTGTTCGCCACATCCACGTCGCATTCCTTCGTAAATTGGGGAAAATCCGTTTCGATTTGCTGGAATATCACTTATATAATACGATTTCATGAGAAAATAAATCGCGAAATAAGTATCGAAGTTGAAAAGATTTCAAACAAAGCAAAAGTTGACCTAATAAACATGTTTTTTCTTATAACTTTGTGAGTTTTTCACAAAATATGAAAATCTACATATGTAAATGATCCTTAGTAGATTCCTAACAATCTGCATAAAAAATATTGTGGAAATTTGTCTTCCCTCGCTGAAAAACTGTAAAAAACTGAAAATTCAGAAAAAATTTCGAAAAATAAAAAAAAGCGTCAGCAAAAACAACAAACGCGCCAGTATTCACGTGACCCATTTCTTGAAACCCCGCCCACAATCGCTGATTGGATGACGTGATTTTTGTCGATTTTTTTCTCTCTGTGCGCCCCCGGAGCTACAATTTTTTGTTGTCCAAATATTTCCCAATCGCCTGACTGTTTTATCATTATCATACACAATTTAATACCTCAAAAAATGCATGATCAAAAATTTTTATTGAAAAAACTGATACGTGTTTAATTTTTTAATACACACTGTACAATGAATGGAATATATCATTTGTCAAAAATTCTCGAGAAACAAATAGTTAATCTGCAAAAAATGTATTATTCAACAAGTTGACTGAGTCAGAAGGAAACCGAAGCCTACAGAAGGAAACCGAAGCCAATAAAATAGAAATGGAAAAAATACAATTATATTTGATGGAGTCAACGCCGGAGAACCAAGAAAGATTCAATTATCTCACTTGTTTATCGGTTCTTCTAGACCTAGAAAAAATCTGGAAAACTGTGGTATCGGTGTTTTCTTCAAAATGTCATCTGTTTTACAAAGATGTTTGTCACAGATATAGGAACTTCCATCCAATGAAAATTAAGTTTTTCACAGCCATTTCTAGAGATGCAATCATTATGAAAGTTTCGATGGATATTATAGGGACCCAAGAAGCTGTTTCTACAAAATATGTAATGTTATTAGTTGAAGTATTTGTAGAAGTTAAATTTCAAAAATCTCAAAAAAATTTCGATTTTTTTGTTTTCTCGTGACCGATTGTGTTTTTTCTCTGAACATGTTTTTTTAAATCTTTAGCAGTTTTTTTTTGAAATAATCATGTGAGTTGCAATCAATAATGTACAAATCAAATATTTTTGAAAAATTTCAATAACAAAATTGAAAATTTCAAGAAAAAAAGTCAAATACAAATCATTTCGTTATTTACAAAGCAACTATTAAACCTTGATTTGAGAGTTCTGCATCTTGGGCGAAGAAGAAAATCCCGCTGTTCGTTTGATCGGAATATAATTTTTGGTAGGCATATCTAATGAACGTTTTCGTGGTCTCAGATTGTGCGGATTGGTTTTAACAATATCGGAGTGGATTGTGATCTGTTTTTCATCAAGTTGTTTTTGCCGACGTCTCTCCTCGATCTCATGTTTCCACCACGGATGTTCAGGATATGTTTCAATATATCTGAGTGGTGTGTAATATTCTGGTTCTACACCCCAATTAACTTCGACAAATCTTTCCAAATACTTTACGAATTTCGATTCCATGATTTCTTCTTTCAATTTTTTCACACCGTTTCCAAATTCATCGATCAAAAATTTTAATCCTGAAAAATTCTTACAAAATGAAGACATTTTTTCGTACGACAAGTATAATGCGCCTAAACTGACCGGATAAAATGATCTGAGCCTCCTGACGTTGATCATTTTCCACCATGACTGAATAATATTGAAAACACTGTTTCAAATATGGAACAGACTTGTTTAGAAGTTGACTACATTCTGATTTTTTGTCAGATTTCACCAACGGCTTTTTTGCATCAAAAACCAGAGATAAAAAGTCAATAAACTTCTCAATGCTGTTTCTTTCGAATTCTCGTTCAGAAATATCTGATAGACTGTTCATAAAAGCGGCGGACCACATTTTTTTGTTTCCCCCGATAAGAAATTGAGTGCTAGAAGGGGCTTTTTAAATAGAAACCGTTATCAATCGCACGACATGAATAGGTTCTCGTTTTTGATGGAAAAAACACTCTTACCGATTTCTTCAAGTAATTAAATTTAATCTCTGCATCAACGTTTTTCTTACAAAGATGTTGAGAGTTGTCAAAAAGTTAAAAACTTTGAGCGTTTTTTTAGGCATTAAAGGGGGGGTAAGACGACAAAATTTTATTTGCTCAATGAATCGGGCTCCCTTTGAATAGTAAAAGCCCCAGGGGATTTTTTCTCGAAAGGCCTAAAAAGGTCCGAAAAAAATATTCCATGAACTTTTTTCAACGTATAGCTATACGTTGTCCGAAAGTTTATGGAATAATTTCAACGTATAGCTATACGTGGTACCTAGTTTATGGAACATTTTTTCTGAGCGTTTCCAGAAAAATCCCTTGGAGGTTTTACTACTTTTGGGGAGCCTTTAACTTTGCGACAAAAAAATTTTGTCGTCTTACCCCCCCTTTAAAGAGTTGATGCTCCGCCAATGAGTCTTGGTTGGGATTGATAGGAATATGTGCTCCTGGAAGGTTCCAGTTTAAAAATTTTTTTTTTTTTTTTTTTTTCATGAAAAAAAGAATGATCTTTTTTTTTTTTTTTTTTTTTTTTTATTTTTTATTTTTTTTTTTTTTATGTGACCTCAGCTCCAAGATTAGAAAAAAAGTGTATTGGTGGGTTTCAATGAGTCTTAAATTTTGACTGAAAAGGCAAAATTTCTGTAGAAATTGAATTACACCTTCCTTATGGGAACTTCAAAATTTCAGAAATTTTGTATTTATATCTTGTACAAGACAGGCCGGCCTGTTCTGGAAATTTTTCGAATTAAAAAAGTGTGAGTTTGTTTAAAAAAAATTAAATTCCGGTTTTTTAACGAGTTGTACGTATCTTGCTCTCGCCTCATTTGTTGTCGATATCAGTATAACATGAATACACATTTTTACGGGAAAAATCATTGAGATTATATAATCTTCTTTCTCAAAAGAGATACACATTTTTTGATATCGATACTATTAGTTCCACTCCAAAATTTTCAAACTAATATTTGAATGATCGAAAAAGAGGTTGCACTACAGCATGTACGGGAAGCGATTTTTGGAGAGAAAGAAAAATATTCGGCAGAAGAGAATAAAATTGTTGAAAGGATATGGAAAAAAATTGAAAATTCTGCAAGAACCAATGAAATATCCAAGTTTGAGCCTATATCAATAAAATGCACTATACCTGCTCCCGATGATGCCTTCAACAATCAAAATCAAATAAAGGATTATGAGTTTGAAACGCAATTATTTCACGTTGAAAAGTTCGGGCCAACAGTGAGTAATGTCTTTTCGAATTTAATATAACTTTTTTGGTATTTTCAGCAACTATTCTTTGATACGTTGAATGGTCGAAGTCCTCCCAATATTTCAGATGCCCATAAGTCTACAGAAGACTGGATGAACAATACAAATAAAAACAATTCATTGCCAGCAAGAATAAAATTGCATAGACAAGAAGGATTGCCAATAAGTACAAAACGAATTTTGGAACAAAAAATAATCGGAGAAAAACCAAAACCTAAGTTCAGGAACAAAAAAATTTTGTTATTGCGCGGAGAAAACTATCCGGTTGTTTTCATGACTCAAGACAACATGTGAGTCATTCATTTCACATTTTTCTGAATAAAAAACATAATTTTCAGACCAGATGTAGAGCCACAACATGATACTCCCCAATGTGTTTATATGGAATATAAGAATTATCTGGAAAAGTATCTCGGAGAGGGTGCAGAAAAATTCATGAGTGAAACTACTTTTTCATCATATAAACGATTCTGTAACTTTATTGAGTAATATTTTCAGTTTTTAAGAGGGGGGGGTAAGACGACAAACTTTTATTTGCTCAAAAAATCGGGTCCCCTTAGAATATGTAGTAAAAGCCCCAGGGGGAAAGACTTAAATAAAAAGGTCCGAAAAATTATTCCATGAACAAAAAAATGTCTGCGCCCAGATTGAATCCAGATTGACTTGTTTTCTGGTAAACTAGATTAGTCGTTTTTTCAGAGAACATGCTGCATTTTTTCCGAATGAGGAGTCCTTCAAAAGTTTCTTCAACTATGTGACAATTGCTTGTAATAAACTAAACCTAGGAGTGAAACATGAAGATTTCACATCAATTTGCGAAGTTTTACGTGCTGATATACGTGACGATCTATTATCGGGTTGTATGTGTAAGTATATTTATCATACTCAATGTCAGAATGCATAACTTAATAATACTGTTACTTTTATACTATTTCTAATGACTTGAAGTGTATAGTTGAACTTGTCGAGATTTTGCAGAAACACTTTATTAATAGAAAAATCTTGATTTTCAGCTGGAAAACTTGTCACCTCTAAAAACTCAGAATCAATAACATTTGATGATGTCAAAATAAAAGTGACTGATGAATACACAAACAAAATCAAGGAGCAATTGATGAAAATAAGGATAATTACTAAGAGCCGAAAAAAGAACGGAAAAATGAACTTTGAAAATCACTACAAAACATTATATCATTATCGTAAACACGGTTATAATATCAGATCAAGTGGGCCTGAAAAATCACGAATCGAGTATTATCTCAAAAATTATGTGGATGATGTAATCAGCAAAGGAATGCTATTGAGTGTCGAGGTGAATATGTATACAGATTCAACTTTTGTCGAAAAAAAATATGGCTACGTGAAAGACAGCAACCGAAAAAACAATTTATTTGTGGCAACAAAAACATATGCTGACAGTAAAACATTCATAGCTACTGCACACGAAAAAGAAAAATACCAAGTGATGAATCATTTCAACAACTATCCAATTTTGTTCGATAAAAAATCAGATGTCGCCAAACAACTGAATATAAAATCCGCTAAAAGTCACCCAGATGATGTTTATTACGGAACTCTCACATCACCACTAAATTTGAAATGAATAATAATTCTGATTTGATTTGATGAATATTGTATTGTTTATTTGTAAACATAAAAATAATACAATTTTTTATTATCAATACTTCCGGAAATCAACCTAAATGTGAATGATTTTTGGTTTGAAAGTGCATATTTGCGAAAAAGCGATAACAAAACATTTTATGGATAAAACAAATGGAAAGAGTTGATTTTTGGAATGCAACAGTGAAAAGTGAGAGAAAGTAATCTGAAAATTGCTTTTCAACAGACAAATTTCTTAAATAAATTTATTCAGCTCCGAAAAAACTTCATCCCAAATTATCCGAAGCGACGAGCTTCACCGTGTCTTCCTGGAGATTTCAAGGCCTGAGATCAATTTTTATCGGGTTTTCAAACTGTGGACAATAATCTTCTAGACTGAAATTTCGAGCTGAAAATCATGAAACTTTGAAAATTATTAGAAAATCTGTGAAATACGGGTAGAAATAGATGGATATTGGGGTAACTATGAAAATATAGATATTTATTCTGCAAAAAAGATTTTGTTCAAGTGCGCTCCATTGAGAACTCACATTTTCACAGTAAAAACTGAAAATAGAGCAGGTGAAATAGATTCTGAAATTTGTGTTCACACTTTTTGCGAAATACACGATTTTATCCTATTTTTCTCTGCGCTCTCTCATAATAATGTATAGGCGCTGCTTATTTCTCAAAAGTGGGCGGAGCTCATTTGGGCGCTGCTTATTTTTTTTCAATGAAACAAAGTGGGCGCTGCTTGTTTTTCTCTGTGCTCTCTCAAAATAATACATAGGCGCTGCTTATTCTCTCCTTCACAATTTGCTTCTTGAATGAATTTATTTATCCCCAAATTTGGACAATTTTAACCCAAATTATCCACCTCTGTAGCGGAAAGCTCCACCGTGTCCTCCTGGAGATTTCAAAGCCTGAAATTTATTTTTTTTTTTTTTTTGAGATTTTCAAGATCTCACTCACATCTCTTTCTTGTGCCAAAATTGGAGCAGTTACGAAAACCAAGAAAGCAGCAAAAATAAAATAGAAATTCATGTTTTTGTTATATTTTCTCTAGGTTCCAGTTTCACCTTTTATAGGTGCCAGATTTCACACGGCATTTTGAATATTCATTTTCAGGTGAATTAGCATTTTATGTTTTGATTTGAACACCAAAAAAAAAGTGGGCGCTGCTTATTTTTCTCTGCGCTCTCTCAAAATAATACATAGGCGCTGCTTATTTTCAATTAAAAGTGGGCGCTGCTTATTTTTCTCTGCGCTCTCTGCAAAAATCAATAATGACAATGAAATTTAATGACGTTTTCATTTCTAATACCAATTTTCTGTACATACACGTATTTCAAAAAAAATCAAACATTATTTTCCGATTGCTGTCTCATCATATCAAATTGCTGTGAAATACTTCTAGGCACAAATTCGCAGGTTTCCGAAACCTCTGATTCTTCCTCAATTCGATGAAGTTGAAATTTGATGGCGATTTCAGACGATTCTTCGTCGAAAAGCTGGGAACCCGAAAAATCTGAAAATTTCAGATTTTTTTCAAATTTTTTCTCACAATTAAAGAAATAAATTACTTGAAGAAATTCCATCAAAATTATTCATATAAAAACTGTCCGTGAGCGATTGTGACGAGGACGAATTTGGAGACCTGAAATTAAATTTTCAAAAAAACATTTTCAAATTTATTTTTTTTCATACTCTGGCTTGGTGGCTGGTGATTCTGAAGGCAACGATGGTGGAGAATAAGTGGGAGCGGGAAGCTGGAAAAATTATTTTTTCTGGGAAATTCAGAAAATTGAGGTGAAAATTAGCAAAAATAAGGTTAGAAGCTTGAAAAAAGCGAGTTACCATTGGTGAAAATCCGGAAGAAGTTGACTAAAAATTTGAATTTATTTTAATTTTGTTTTCAAAAATAAAAAAAAATCTGGAAATCTGAAAATTTCAGACAGATGAAAAACCTTACCTGAAATTCTGGAGCTGGTTGTGGGAGGCATAAATTGTAACCCGAGTACAATCGATTGCCGGGCTCGTAAAATGAGACGCTGGTCTGTAAAAAATGTATTTTTCTCTGCACTCTCTTCAAATAATACATGGGCGCTGCTAATTTTTCAAAAGTGGGCGGAGCTTATTTGGGCGCTGCTTATTTATTTTTCAATGCAAAAAGTGGGCGCTGCTTATTTTTCTCTGCGCTCTCTCAAAATAATACATAGGCGCTGCTTATTTTCAATGAGAAAGTGGGCGCTGCTTATTTTTCTCTGCACTCTCTCAGAATAATAAATAGGCGCTGCTTATTTTTCAGAAGTGGGCGGAGCTTATTTATTTTCAATGAGAAAATGGGCGCTGCTTATTTTTCTCTGCACTCTCTCACAATAATACATAGGCGCTGCTTATTTTCAATGAGAAAGTGGGCGCTGCTTATTTTTCTCTGCACTCTCTCAAAATAATACATAGGCGCTGCTTATTTTCAATGAGAAAGTGGGCGCTGCTTATTTTTCTCTGCACTCTCTCAGAATAATAAATAGGCGCTGCTTATTTTTCAGAAGTGGGCGGAGCTTATTTATTTTCAATGAGAAAATGGGCGCTGCTTATTTTTCTCTGCACTCTCTCACAATAATACATAGGCGCTGCTTATTTTCAATGAGAAAGTGGGCGCTGCTTATTTTTCTCTGCACTCTCTCACAATAATACATAGGCGCTGCTTATTTTTCTTTGTTGCCAAAATCTACCGTACCCTATCGATCGATAAAAGGTCTTCAGTCTCATCCTCATCGTCTTCCGGAATTGTGGCACAGGATTTGGTTGTAGTGGCACCATCCAAGGAAGTCAGCCTACTGTCCAAACCCGATGGTGTCATGACCATTGGATTTCGATCTACAAAATGAGTACTATAGTTTGGGAGTACTGTAGTCGTTCCCAACTCACATCTCGATGCATTTAAAGGCACAATCAACGTTTTTCCATTATTTGATCTACGTGGCGGTGGTGGAGAGTCAGACGACGAGGAAGAATGAACAGAGAACAAGGGGGATACTGAAGACGAGGAGGCGCTACCGTAGTTCTTTAGGATTACTGTAGAATCGGGGGTTAGTGGTTGAAGAGGGGTTAGAATGTCGAATTCTTCCAGTCTGGCAAACATCGGACCGGAATCGTGCTGGAAATTTTTTTTATTTTGAAAAATTTGAATCTCGCGAGAAGTTTAACCTACTTTTCGAAGAGATCCCAATTTTTCGACGGCTCTTTTTCGTTGCGATCGTGTGCAACAAAACATGATTCGGAAAAGCTGCAAAATTTTTTGTTTTGGGGGGATTTTGGGTGATTTTCATAGGGTTCAGGGTAAAATCTAGAATTATTTTAATAGAGCTTGAAGTTTCCTACAAAATGGTGTATTTTTCTCTGCGCTCTCTTACAATTATACATAGGCGCTGCTTATTTTCAATGAAAAGTGGGCGCTGCTTATTTTTCTCTGCGCTCTCTCAAATTTATACATAGGCGCTGCTTATTTTTTTTAGTGGGCGGAGCTTGTTTGGGCGCTGCTTATTTTTCTCTGCACCCTCTTCAAATTATACATAGGCGCTGCTTATTTTTTCAAAAAGAGGGCGCTGCTTATTTTTCTCTGCGCTCTCTCCAAATAATACATAGGCGCTGCTTATTTTCTCGAAAGTGGGCGCTGCTTATTTTTCTCTGCGTCTCTCCAATTTCTGCACTATTTCTCCCCCCGAAAAAAAATCCAATTTTGAAACAAAAAGGGCATAAAAAACAAAACAAAAAAAGGATGAGAAGAGGAAGAAATAATGAGAAAATGGTGCTAATTGAAGAGGATGGCTGGGGCGAAAAAATACGAAAAAAAAGGAAAAGTCGATAGCTGCAATGGCAAAAAAGAAAATATTCGTGTCCCGAAAATGTCTTGTTTTAGCGAAAAAGTTTGGGGAATCCCCGAGGGACTAGTTTTTTTTTGGAACAAAAAAATTTCTGGAAAACTTACGATTAATATGAGCAATAGAATTGTGATGATTAAAATAGGAATAACCAAACATATTTTGAAAAATTCGGATTCTAGAAGGTCTCTGAAAAATTTTTGATTGATTTTTTTTCAAAAATAAAAAAAAACCCACATTTTCTTGGTCATCTCGTCAAATGACAACATTTCGATGCATTGTTTATGATGAGACTGAAAAAAAAGAAAAAAAAAAGATATAAAATGAGCGACATTAGATACTCAGCCAAGCAGCCAATAATTAAATTATTCCAATTCAAAAACTGCTCACAAAAATAAGTTTTTTCAAAAAAAAACAAAGTTTTTTTCAAACAACAACAAAAAATCAATTTTTTACTCAGAGCCGCCCGGAAATCTGATTTTTTTGTCTCAAAAAAAAAAGAAATTTTTTTTTTTAGTTTGAAACATAAAATTTGTACTACATGTATACATTTTTGGGTGGTGAAAATCCTAATTGAAAAACGAAAACAAGGCGAATTAAATTAAATTTAATACTCTTCTTCTTCTTCCTATTTTTAGGGTGGGAAAGAGGATTTGGTGAACATTTTCCAATTTGCCACGTCATAGCACATCAAAACCCAATATGCAAATTATACCCGAAAAAAATGAATATTCAAAATACCGTGTGAAATCTGTAACCTATAAAAGCTGAAACTCAAACCTAGAGAGAAAAATATAACAAAAACATGAATTTCTATTTGGTTTTGGTTGCTTTCTTGGTTTTCGTAACTGCTCCAATTTTGGCGCAAGAAAGAGATGTGAGTGAGCTTTTGAAAATTCCAAAAAAAAAAGTTAATTTCAGGCTTTGAAATCTCCAGGAGGACACGGTGCAGCTCGCCGCTTCGGATAATTTGGGATAAAATTGTCCAGTTTTGGGGGTTAATAAATTCATTCAAGCAAATTGTGAAGGAGAGAATAAGCAGCGCCTATGTATTATTGGAAGAGAGCGCAGAGAAAAATAAGCAGCGCCCACTTTTTGCATTGGAAAATAAATAAGCAGCGCCCAAATAAGCTCCGCCCACTTTTGAGAAATAAGCAGCGCCTATGCATTATTATGAGAGAGCGCAGAGAAAAATAAGCAGCGCCCACTTTTTCAAATGAAAATAAGCAGCGCCTATGTATTATTTGAAGAGAGTGCAGAGAAAATTGGAGAAATTCGTATATTTTGCAAAAACGTTCGAAATTTAGATAAGAGTGAAATAAAATAAAAAAGTTGGAAGATCTAACTTTTTTCCTCCTTTTTTCTCTTATTTCTCAAACAAAAAAGAAAAAGAAGTGAATGAAAAATGTCACATTTCAAATTTTACGCGCAAAAATGGGTCTCAAGGGGATCAAGATTTTCCCGCGCTTTTTTTTGGATTTTTTTTTTCTGTTGGAGGAGAAGAAAATTAACATAATCATTGTTATTTTAATTAATTGATTATACAAAAAATGAAAGTATTTAAAGGAACCCTTAAATGCGTGGGATTCTGAAAAAAGAAAAATGTGGAAAATCTCCCTTCTCTTCATTCTAGCTTTGAGCACTTGCGCTCTATCGCAAACTACAGTAACCTTGCCGAAAATCGTGCAAGCGGAACGAACTTTGGTGGAGAATTTGTTGGTGTATATTCAGACATTTTTGGCCTCCCAAACATCGACATTTTTGCAGATTTATAATGAGATTTTGAAGATTGTGAAGACTTTTAGTTTGAATGTTTGAAAATCGTGATAAATCAATTTTATTATGGAAGAAAATAGGCAGCGCCTATGTATAATTTGAAGAGAGTGCAGAGAAAAATAAGCAGCGCCCAATTTAGAAAAGAAAATAAGCAGCGCCTATGGTTAATTTGAAGAGAGTGCAGAGAAGCATAAGCAGCGCCCACTTTTGGAAATAAGCAGCGCCTATGTATTATCATGAGAGAGCGCAGAGAAAAATAAGCAGCGCCCACTTTCGGAAATAAGCAGCGCCTATGTATTATTATGAGAGAGCGCAGAGAAGCATAAGCAGCGCCCACTTTTGGAAATAAGCAGCGCCTATGTATTATTATGAGAGAGCGCAGAGAAAAAACAAAAAACTTTATTTTAATCTTATGATAAATCAGTTTCTTCATATACTTCAAATCCTCCTTCCATCACAGTACCATCACATTTAGTACCTACAGAGATAAAGATTAGAGTGTTGTTTTTGTAGAATCTGACTTCCAGTCCATCTATGAAATGTCTTGAAATAGTCGAATCCAAAAACTCATCCCAATTGGTCAAATATTTGCGGAGTGGATGAATGTCCAAAATTTTTGGATTTTTCAAAACTTGATCTGATAAAAAAAATCAACAAAAATATTTTTTTTTAGAAAAAAAAATTCTTACCTCTATCAAAGACGGTTCCATTTGAAGAAATCGTCAATTTATAATCCGATGTCAAAAAATTCTCAAGTTTCTCCAACTTCAAATGCTTGTAATAAGCTTTCAGATAGCTTCTTGCTGAATCTTCTGGTAATCCGGAAGAAATAGAGACAAGAACTAGGAATAGTAGGAGAAGCTTCATTTTGAAGGAAAAACTGAATTTTTCTTACATTCCTATGGATTTTATAGAGCTCTGAAACAAATTGAAAACAGCTGTTCACTTAAGACTGGAATGATTGAAAGGGGGAAAGAATTATCTGGAACTTTTCAAAAAGCACGTTCATAAAATTGCGAAAATAAGCAGCGCCTATGGTTAATTTTGAGAGAGTGCAGAGAAAAATAAGCAGCGCCCATGTTCAAAAAGTGGGCGCTGCTTATTTTTCTCTGTGCTCTCTCAAAATAATACATAGGCGCTGCTTATTTTTCGAAAGTGGGCGGAGCTTATTTGGGCGCTGCTTATTATTCTCTGCACTCTCCTCAACTCACCTTATATTTCCCACAGATATGCAAATGATTAACCTGAACTTGACACTGACAATGAAATGAATAATTCAAAAGCCCGTGAGAAAATTTTGACCTATAAATTCCAGTAAAAATTTCTGTTAGCTTCAACAAAAATATGAATTTGAATTTCTATTTATTTTTCGTGGCATTTTTGGTTATGTTGGGTGCGACTATGGCGCAAGAAAGACAAATTTACAAAACTCCTGGGCACGGTGTGAACTATAAGCCTGCAACACCAAAAGGAGAGAGTATTTGGAGCACATTGTGGGGATTTGTAACGGGGTAATGATACATTTTTTTTGGTAGAAATTTGTGATAAAGTTTGATGTTTCGAAATAATTTTGTATATTTTTCATTAATTTCAATGTATCCAGAGAATACAACAGTAAATTACTATTTTTCTCTGCAATCTCTCAAAACACGTTGTATTTTTTTATCCATTGTGAAAATAAGCAGCGCCTATGGTTAGAAACGAGAGAGTGCAGAGAAAAATAAGCAGCGCCCAAATAGGCTCCGCCCTTTTTGAGAAATAAGCAGCGCCTATGTATAATTTTGAGAGAGTGCAGAGAAAACAGAGAAATTTATTTATTGATTTTCAAAAATTGAATTGAACGCACAAAAAAACATGTCATATACACGCAAAAATACCCGAAAACCAGAAAAAAGAAGAAAAAACTGATCTAACAAAAACTTAAAGCTTTCTGATCTACTACAAAAATTTGTTTGTGGAGAATATTTATGCGTATGCGGAGCGGCTGGGCGTCGCGGTCAAATCACGGCGCATCACATCGCTGACAGCTTCGAAGACGGCTTTTGATGACTCGCCCGACAATGTGAGACATTTGTTTTGTTTTCTGGAAAATAGGGGTTAATATGAGCAATGCTTGCTTTTTCTTATCTTAATATGAGCAATCATCTTCCCTCCAAAAAAAACTCACTTATAATAATCCAACACTTTATTTTCAGTTTTGTCATAAACTTCGAGACGTCTTCTGGCTACTTCAAGTTGATCAACACTTCTCTTGAATAATGGCTCACCAGTGATATCGTCTTTGCCCTGAAAATCAGAAATTTTGAGTTATGACGTGGCAAAATTAGATTAGCAGCGCCCACTTTTTCTTAAAAAATAAGCAGCGCCTATGTATAAACTTGAGAGGGTGCAGAGAAAAATAAGCAGCGCCCACTTTTTGCATTGGAAAATGAATAAGCAGCGCCCAAATAAGCCCCGCCCACTTTTGAAAAATAAGCAGCGCCTATGTATTATTTTGAGAGAGTGCAGAGAAAAATAAGCAGCGCCCACTTTTCAAGCAGCGCCTATGTTTAATTTGAAGGAAAGGAATTGTGGTGACAATAAAATTAACATGAGCAATGCTTAATTTAGGATTTTCAAAGTTTTTCAATAAAATTTCGAACACATCTGGTTTTTAGCTGAAAATTTCAGATTTTTAAGTAATATAAAATTTTCAGCCAGATGTTCCAGATGATAAATTTTCAGAAATTTCGACTGAAAATCCAGAATTTTCAACCCCATCCATATTTAGTCTCAAAAAATCCCAAATTTCCATCCCTACCTCTTCTTTCGGCGGATTGACTTCCAAATTATAAGCTCTACCCGATGCTGGATGCACTAATTGTTTCGATAATCGATCAATCAATATTTTTCGCGGAACTTTCAGCTCAACAACCAAATTTAGTGGAGCTTGCTCTTCGACCATTTTTAATTGACTCAAATTTCGTGGATAACCTGGAAAATAGGGTTTTTTGAGGGAATATTCTATGTTTTTCAAGTAATTTCGAGTATTTTTGTGCAATTTTGAGCATTATCATGTAATTTTGAAGCTAAAAATTGACAACTTTTCAAAAATCGGTACATTTAGCTAAAAATGATGCAATTTCCAAGTTTTCCGAGGTTTTCATGTCATAAAGGATGAGTTAGGCTAACTTTCACAGTTTTCGATGAAAATCTTGTTTATACAGTTTAAAATTGCATCATTTTAGCTGTGAAAACATGGATTTTTCGAAAATTTGACAGAAAAAACTGGAAAATTACATTTTTCCATCGATTTTTCATGAAAACTCCAAAATTGCATCATTTTTCACCAGATTTCAACCCTTTCCCCATGAATCTCACCATCCAAAACAACTTTTGGACCAGCCTTCAACATTTCCGCCAAAATCGCCCCATTCAACAAAGATTCTGGCACATGTTCGCCTTTGTTAAGGAAGGATTGAGCGCGAATTCCGAATTCTGAAGAAAATTCTTGATTTTTCATGGAAATCTAAATAAAAAGCCTCACCAGTTCCTCTAGCAATATGTTCACGAATAAAATCACCAGCTGCAAAATACTGAAAACCCATCGGCTCAAATTCTCTGACCAACATTCGAGCAATTGTGCCTTTTCCACTTCCAGCAGCGCCGCTCAACAAAACTCGATACATTTCTATGTTTCTTTCAAAATCTGCAAAAATTCTGTGTGTGTTTTCCTGGTAAATAAAAAAGTCAAAGTGCATCAAAACACAAAGGACAATAAAAAAAAAGTAGAAAATCCCATGATGAAAAAAAATTGTAAATAAAACAGAAGAAAAAAAAATGTGATAAGAGGCGGAGAGAAAATAAAGAATAGTTCATGTGATTGAGGCGAAACGTGATCGGTTGAGAAGAGAACGTTTGGAGATCAAATTTGATGTCATTTGGTGGCAAAATTGAGGAGATAGTGTTTATTTTTGAGAGAGGGTAGAGAAAAATAAGCAGCGCCTTCATTCATTCTTCCATTGGAAATAAGCAGCGCCTATGTATTATTATGAGAGAGTGCAGAGAAAAATAAGCAGCGCCTATGCTTAATTTTGAGAGAACGCAGAGAAAAATAAGCAGCGCCCACTGAAAATAAGCAGCGCCTATGCTTTATTTCGAGAGAGCGCAGAGAAAAATAAGCAGCGCCTATGCTTAATTTTGAGAGAACGCAGAAAAAAATAAGCAGCGCCCATCGAAAATAAGCAGCGCCTATGTATTATTTTGAGAGAGCGCAGAGAAAAATAAGCAGCGCCTCGATTTCCACACACGCTTGAACTTGGTTTCAACTCGAAAACCCTCGAAAATCTCTCAATTTAACCCCAGCTGAACTCTTGAAACGCGGGAAAAAACTAAAAATCAAATATTTGTTCTTTTTCTTCCTCGCTGCCGTTTTATTTTAAACAATTAAATGAAACAGAACAAATTTTTAGAGATAACTAAAAAATGTCTTTTTCACTTTCAAACTTCTGCCTTGAGGCAAAGAACACATGATTTTTTGAGCGTGTGTCAAATGACGGCAAAAATTTTGTGTTTTGTTGGACACTTTTTCAGAAAATGAAGAAAACAGTTGCTGAAAATCCCAAAAAATCACACGAAAACCCGGAAAAACAAAAAAAAAATGCGAAAAATTGCATCATTCTAGTGCAAAAATCGATTTTCCTATGGAAAAGCCATGTTTTCCCCCCAAAATAATAACTAGAAATGAGAAAACTCAAAAGCACGTGTATTTTTCACGCGTGAAAATTGCAGGAAACACGAAAATTTCCACAAAAATGATAAATTTTGCAGAAACACGAAGAAGAAACTCACAAAACCAGAGAATAAGGCGAGAGATGGGCGGTTTGTGAAGAGACGCAGAGAGAAAGAACATTTGCAGAAAAAAAACATGGGGGAGAGAGAGGAGACGCAGAGAAAGCGAGAGTTTCGAAAATGACAAATTTATTTCGAAATTCGAATTTTCTTGGAAAAGTGATGAGATTTTGCGAAAAAAATGAATGCGTCACTAAAAAAGTTGTCTGAAAAATAATTTTCAAAACAAATTCAATGGAAAACATCGATTTCCCCAGGGAAAACAGTAAAAAATCAAAAATTTTCGAAAAAAAGTAAAACAACGACACTCCGCAATCACGCTTGCGTCTTGCCTTTTCGCGTATTTCTCGCGGACAATATTGATTTTTTTTTGTTTTTTCTGTTTTCGCGCGGTTTTTTTTAAATGAGTTCAAATAAATATATTTATTCAAATAACAAAAAAAAATGAAATGTGAAATTCATTTCTCAACGGTGATTTCACAGTCCCGTAGGTATACAACGAAATCTGATCACTAAAAATTTTGTCACGTTTTTATTTCAAATTTTCACGTGAATTTTTTTTTCATTTCTCAAATTTATGGATCAATTCATTTGAAGAAAAAATGAATTTCGCGACATTTTTTGTCGCGAAATTGCAATTCGTGAAACGACACGAAATAAACACAAAAATAAAGGAGAAATATTAAAGGGACACGTAATCGCTGCGAGACCCAACACACGAAAAAAGAATTTCCTCTTTTATTTTATTAATTTCGTGTCGTTTCGCGAATTGCAATTTCGCGACAAAAAATGTCGCGAAATTCATTTTTTCTTCAGATGAATTGATCCATAAGAGAAATTTTTTTGAGACAATGGTCCAAATTAATTTATTCCGTGAGATAACGGGGAGCAAAAACTTTCAGCACCAAATTGACTGCAAAACTTGTTTTTTTACTGGAATTCATCCATTTACAGAAGATTTAGTAACTGTTTGAGACGTTTTCAGATCCAGAAATCTAAAAATTTTCAAAAAAATTTCAGAAAACTTTCGAAAATTCTGATTATTTGTGAGACTTTGGGAACATTTTCACAAAATTGGATTATGAAGATTTCACCAAGAAAAATCACTTTCCTGATTTTCCGGGCACAATTTCCGGATAATCGGAAAATTTTCCGTGAAAAACTGGAGAATTTCCGTCACAGGTCTACTCAAAAAGAAAAATTACTATTGCTAAAAATCACTACAGTAGGTACCAATAATATAGTGAAAATCAAAATCAAACAAAGCAAAAAAATTCATTTTCAAGAAAAAACACTTCAAAATATCTTCGTTAATCCCGAAATTTCGTTGAAAATCTTCATTATTGAAACGTCAGCTTCACAAAATCATTCGATCGGTTTTTCGATGATAATAGTCGTAAATCGGCCGACTCCAATTTTTCTGAAGCCAGCTATAAAAAATTCAAAATTAGAACTGGCTAGAGGAATTTATTATTTACCGTAGATTCAATTGAGGCGAAACATTCGATCAGCGCGTAATGGTTTACTGTAGAAGAAAAATCTGAAAACAAAAACATTTTTTCAATTTTTGATGTTCTGCTCACTCACCATTTTCCGGACGCAAAAAATGATCAATGACTGGACAAAATCCAGAAAAACAAGCAAAAGGCCGCCACGTATTTTCTGACAAAAGAGACGTGGCAAGATTTTTATCTCGTTGAAAAACAAAACAAAACAAAAATAAAAAAATGAAAAAAAAAATTTTAACGTGACACAAAAAATTGATCAGATTTCGTTGTACAAATACTGTTATATCGGTGATTTCTAGCTTCACTTCATTGGGAAACTTCAAACCTAGGTCTCCAATATATTCTCCATTTATTTCTTCAGTTTTTGATGATGATGGACTAGACTGTAGTTGTTGTATTGTTGCTTGAGTTTTTTCTTCTTCTGATGATATTATCAAAGTAAAAAAATTTGGCAAAAAAAGAGAAACCAGAAATTCAAATCCCAATTTCCCCAAGTACGGTATTCCTCTGCGTCACTAACACCGTTTCGAGACCACACCATTGGGCAGAGAAATAAAGTCAAAGACGCACATATGGGTCTCGCAGCGACTGAAAGAAACACCGTACTTGGGAAGAGTGTCATTTGAATTTCTGGGCTCCGTTTTTTGCCAAATTTTTTTATTTTGATAATAAACATGATCCCATTTTTGTAGACTAAATTATTCTAAAAATGAGGAGACAGGCGATTTTGTGCTTTTATTAATTCACGCACCTTTTTAAATGAAAAAGTGGGCGCTGCTCATTTTTCTCTGCGCTCTCTCAAAATAATACATAGGCGCTGCTTATTTTTCAAAAGTGGGCGGAGCCTATTTAGGCGCTGCTTATTTTTCAAAAGTGGGCGGAGCCTATTTAGGCGCTGCTTATTTTTTCTCTGCACTCTCTCAAAATAATACATAGGCGCTGCTTATTTTTCAAAAGTGGGCGGAGCTTATTTAGGCGCTGCTTATTCATTGTACAATGCAAAAAGTGGGCGCTGCTTATTTTTCTCTGCGCTCTCTCGAATTAATACATAGGCGCTGCTAATCTAATTTTGCCACGTCATAACTCAAAATTTCTGATTTTCAGGGCAAAGACGATATCACTGGTGAACCATTATTCAAGAGAAGTGTTGATCAACTTGAAGTAGCCAGAAGACGTCTCGAAGTTTATGACAAAACTGAAAATAAAGTGTTGGATTATTATAAGTGAGTTTTTTTTTGGGGAGAAGATGATTGCTCATATTAGGAAAAAACAAGGACCCCTATGTTTCTCTGCACTCTCTCTCAAAATAATGTATAGGCGCTGCTTTTTTTTGAAAGTGGGCAATGCTCATAAAATAATTCATTTAGTGTACTTCTCGTGGACGATATTGATTTTTTTGCGAAAAATGATTAAAAAACAATACTTTCATTGAAAAACACATAAAATATTCAAGTTGTTTTTACAGTTTTGAAGAATAAATATCTATCACTTTGTATAAGTATACAATTCTTCCGATTTCTCCACTTTTTTGATAATCGCGAAAATTGAACATATTTCGATGGGCGTAATTCTACCTCAAATTCCACACCAGTTCCTGTATATTTTTCGATAAGTCGAGTCAAATCATTTGATGAAATATCGATTCCCAATGAATGAAATTCTATACATTTTAGACTTTCATCGTGTTCTTCTTCAATGAAAAATCTTCTCAAAAAATCGTCGAATTCAGTCAAAGAATATTTTGGTTCACATAAAACTCGATTTTCTGATTTAATTTTGAATAAATCACAAAGTTGAATATTCGGAAGAACAACTCGCTTTTGAAACAGTGAAATCAGATCGAGATCAACAAATCCACTTGAAATCGGATCAATTCCATGTTTATTTTCGAAAAGTACCAAATCTTCCAAATTTCCATTTCTCAAATTATTGATATTCGTTCGATTAAATGGAAAATCACCCTACAAAAATAATTTGAATATTTAACTTGCACTGATTTTTGATCAACTTACACTTAGAACTGTAATACTTTTCAAACTTTTCGAGTTTTTCTTCAAAATATTATTGAACAATTTCAAAGCGATTTCTGCTATATCTTGATTTCTGAATATTGTTTTCGAAATGAGATCATATGGGTAAGAATTCCAATGAAGTTCACAATTTCCAGAATCTGATTTCTGTATTTCGAAATACCATTTTTCATTTTTTCTATTCACTTCAATGGTAATCCGAGTTCTTTCGAATGAACCACTATATAGAATTTCTTCAATATAATTTCGACTTAGCGCAACTTCTTCATAACAATTAATTGAACATTTAGCCAATCTAGCTTTTCCTTCCAAATCCATAAAACCAATTATCATATCCCTCATCTCATACGGTAAATCAAACCAGCCGATTCCTCCATTATATTCGAGTTCTATTGATAAACTAGAGTCTAGTTGTGTTTCTTTTAGTGAAATACTAGAGTCTAGTTGTTGTGTTCTTTGGGCTTCTTTTCGTGAAAAACACGATCCCATTTTTCTAGTCTAAAAAATCTAAAAATGCTAGGCAAATTTCTGATTTCACGCACGTTCACTAGAAAATTATTGATTTTTGATGATTGTCAAACCACGTAAATCATCCAAATACGAGAAAGAGAAGAAAATAAAAATAAAACAACGATACTCCGCAATCCCGCTTGCATTTTTGTGTATTTCTCTCGGACAATATTGCATTTTTTTTTCGTTTTCGCGCGGTTTTATGTGAATTCAAATAAATCCGAATTTTTATTCAAATAACAAAAAAATGAAATGTGGAATTTATTTCTCAACGATGATTTCTGGCTTCACTTCATTGGGAAACTTCAAACCTAGGTCTCCAATATATTCTCCGTTTATTTCTTCAGTTTTTGATGATGATGGACTAGAGTCTAGTTGTTGTATTGTTGCTTGAGTTTTTTCTTCTTCTGATGATAAACACGATCCCATTTTTGTAGACTAAATTCTTCTAAAAATGAGGAGGCAGGCGATTTTGTGCTTTTATAAATTCACGCACGTTTTTTTGAATGAAAAAGTGGGCGCTGCTTATTTTTCTCTGCGCTCTCTCGTGTTTATACATAGGCGCTGCTTATTTCTTTTCAGAAAGTGGGCGCTGCTTATTTTTCTCTGCACTCTCTCGTCTTTATGCATAGGCGCTGCTTATTTCTTTTCAGAAAGTGGGCGCTGCTTATTTTTCTCTGCGCTCTCTCGTGTTTATACATAGGCGCTGCTTATTTCTTTTCAGAAAGTGGGCGCTGCTTATTTTTCTCTGCACTCTCTCGTGTTTATACATAGGCGCTGCCTATTTTCAATGAAAAATTGCGCAGTTTTCATGAGGAAAATGATTTTCAAATGATTAAAATCATTATTTTCATTAAAATATTCTTCAAAAGTCGAGTTCATGCTTCATTTCTGATATATGATAAATACGTTTTTTTCAAAACTAAACAATGTTCTCGATTTGACCACTTCTTTGATGTTCTCCAAAATCTAATCTTTTCTTTATCTACAGCATCTTCAATACCAACTCCAGTATATTTTTGGATAATTCGAAGAAAATCTGAGTGCATTTTGAATTCCTCTATAGTAATTATCATTTGTGATGACAAATCACTTTCATATTTTTCTTCAATCAAAAGACATCTCAAAAAATCGTCGAATTCATCCAATGTAAATATCGGATTTGTTAAAACTCGGAATTCGGATTTGATTTCGACAAAATTATCGAGTTTACAATTCGGAATTCTGACATCATTTTGAAAACGAGAAATTGTATCGATATTAACAAATCCACAAGAAATTGGATCAATTCCATTCTTATTTTCAAAAAGTGTCAATTCTTCCAATTGTTGACTTTTCAAATTATTGATATTTGTTTGATTATAAGGAAAATCATTCTGAAAATATCAATTCATTTGAGTAACTTGTTTTTTTTTGTCTTCAAACTCACAATAAAAATTCTAATACTTCTCAAACTTTTCGAATTTCTCTTTAGAATACAATTGAAATGTTTCAAAAAAAAATCCATCAAATTCTGTTTTTTAAACATTCTTATCGAATAAATTTCTCTATTCATCCACCAACAAGCTTGACAATATCCAGAAGCTGATTTATGTATCATGAAATCCCATTTTTCGTTTTTTGCTTTTACAAAAATGCCAAAATTTCGCTTTTCTCCTTCTTCTCCAGCAACTATATTTATTTCTTCAATATAATTTTGACTTAGCGCAACTTCCTCATAACAATTTAACGAGCATTTAGCCAATCTTGCTTTTCCTTCCAAATCCATCAAATCGATAATAATTCGTCTTATTTCATATGGCAAATCAAACCATCCCGTTCCACTTGTTTTTTTTCGTTCAGTTATACATCGCGATAAACACGATCCCATTTTTGTAGACTAAATTATTCTAAAAATGAGGAGGCGGACGATTTCTGGCTTGTAATATTTCACGCACGTTTTTTTAAGCAAAAAAATGAGCGCTGCCTCATTTTCTCTGCGCTCTCTTCAAATAATACATAGGCGCTGCTTATTTTCCTTTGAAAGTGGGCGCTGCTTATTTTTCTCTGCACTCTCTCAAAATAATGCATAGGCGCTGCTTATTTTCCTTTGAAAGTGGGCGCTGCTTATTTTTCTCTGCACTCTCTCACAATAATACATAGGCGCTGCTTATTTTCTTTCAAAAGTGGGCGCTGCCTATTTTTCTCTGCACTCTCTCAAAATAATACATAGGCGCTGCTTATTTTCCTTTGAAAGTGGGCGCTGCTTATTTTTCTCTGCACTCTCTCAAAATAATACATAGGCGCTGCTTATTTTCAATGAGAAAGTGGGCGCTGCTTATTTTTCTCTGCGCTCTCTCGTGTTTATACATAGGCGCTGCTTATTTTTATCAGAAAGTGGGCGCTGCCTATTTTTCTCTGCACTCTATCAAAATAATACATAGGCGCTGCTTATTTTCCGTTGAAAGTGGGCGCTGCCTATTTTTCTCTGCACTCTCTCATTTTTATACATAGGCGCTGCTTATTTTCAGTGGGCGCTGCTTATTTTTCTCTGCGCTCTCTCGATTTTATACATAGGCGCTGCTTATTTTTCTCTCTGCACTCGCTTTTTGATCCTTCAAAATTGTTCACGATTTATAGCCCGAATCAATGAATTATTCAAAAACCCGTGAGAATTTCAAAACTCATAAAAGCATCCCAAAAATTTATATGAAAATCTATCATGAAATTCTATTTCTATATATTTTTCGCTCTAATTTTCTTCACAACTTTTCCAGTTTTGGAAGGACATGGCGGTGCATTACGCCACAAACCAGTAGAAAATGGGATTGTTACAAGATGGTTTACCAATGCAAAGAACACAGTTGTTTCATGGTTTCAAAAATAAAAAAATAAAAAATTTAATTATAATTTTTGACGACAATTAATATGAAATTGTGCAACTCGTTGATCCACGTGGATTCTAACCTCTTCAAGTTTCGCCAATCTTTTTTGATAAATCAATAATCCCCATCGAACTGTAGCCTCATCTAATCTTCGAAAATGATTAAAATCATTGAAAAATCCCAAATCTTCTGTGATTTCTGTTGAATTTATTATATTTTCACAAAAGATTGGCAACAAAACATGAAATTCTGTATGAGGAAACGAGTTGCACAATTTTTACTTTATAAATTCATAATAAGAATAAGAATGATAATAAAATAACAGTACAAAAATAACTCATTTGCTTACTGGCGGCTAAACTGCAGCGCTGATTGGGGTGACTTTTTGATTGTTGGTATGTGAAGCTAACTGTAATATTAAAGTTAAGAAATTGGCGAAAAGTTTGATAGTGGGTTAAATCCAATTGTGAAAAATGTTGAATAACAGGTAGTGAATATGTGTTGCGAGAAAAAAATAAACATACTTCATAATATAACATATTACCAATCGTGTAAATCTTGAAAACGACTCCGGTCTTAGTTTTATATTTTTCGAATTTATCTTCAGCTTTCAATTCCGTTTTTCGAATATCTTCGTATGCTCTGAAAAAAGTGTATTGTCTAGTCAACATTTTAGGTATATGAGAATTATCGATTTGTATTGATTGAAATTTTGTTACAGTTAACTTACTCGTAAAGAGAATATAAGATGAGTAAGAATTCAAAAGTCTCCGAAACTTTTGGAAAAAAGCATAATCTTGAAAATTTTATTACAAAATTAAATTCGTTTCCTGATATTTCCTTCTCGTTTTTTTGGAGAGAAATTTTAACATCAGTACTGGGCAGACTTGTTAATGTAACTCATGCTTGAAATAAGTTGGGCTTTTCATTTTTAAATTACATTCAATCTTGAAAATTCTAGTTTCATAATGAAATGGAATAAATTCTGAGGTCACGCTGATAATTCGCAATTAATTAATACAAAGAATATTTTCGGGGCCGAAATGTAACGAACTGGCCGATGATAAAATCGTTACAATTTTTGTTTTTTTTTTTATTTTCTTGTTTTAATTGGGAAACATTTCACGTTTTTTGGAAAATGTAATGATTTTGTTTTCATCGATATCGTTACATTTTTTGAAAACAATTTATTGACAAAAATAGTTCCAGTTTTAAGAGGTTCAATACTTTTGTCGATCTCCGAATTGTCTGTGGTGTGCACAGTAAGCACCATGGTGCAGAATATATAATGTGGAATCAAGCACTCCAAAAAATATTTGAGTTCCCACAAAAATCATTTTGAAGTTTATGTGGGGATGATACACATCGAAAGTGGAAGCGAAGAAGTCATTCCAATTCTGAAAACTTTATAATGGTCCTATTTTTGACATCCAGACACTTACTAAACAGCTCCCAACATGTTCCCATATTTTTTCCTACGAGAAATGAATTGAATCCAACATGTCACGCGAAAAAAATTTTAAAAAAAATCAATCTTTTGAAAAACACTACAAAAATCGCTGAAAAAATTATTTTTCTAACGTGAGTTGTGGCATTGTTCATTTCTTTTTTTCGAGAAAATAGGAAGCAGATTTTTTTCAATTTCTATGAGCATTCCCTTCGCGAAGGCCTTCGAAGTTCCAATCAATCGAGTGAAAATTTTTGGTGAGTTCAAGGAATTTATAAAGTTAAACAAAATTTTGTTCTAGAGAAAGAGTTGTTTGTACACATATCCGATTGGCAATTCATCCTGTTACAAACATCACATCGGTTAAGCGTTTGGAAGAAATTTGATGGAATTATAAGAGACACTGCGAAGTTGAAATTTCGAAATGTTCTGGGAAGAAACGCACAACCACCCGCAATTCTTCAAAATTCATGTGGCAATACTTCTTCACATTGGAAGATCGGAGAAGCAGAGTTGACGTGTTAATTCACCAATTATTATTATATAAATGATCACCATCACCTTTGGAAGTCAATAGCAATCAGAAAATGCAAAAAAACCACAGAGAAGACGCTTCAAACAAATGTGTAACGATTTCACCCGGCTCAAAATCATTACAAATTGAAAATTTATATGAATAAAATTTTGCGTGAAATTTTATTTTGTTTTTTTTTCTCTCTCGAGATGTTGCGATTTCTCTCCAAGCAAAAGTGCTACAAAATATGGAAAAAAAATATTTCATCGATAAAATAATATCAGCGTGACCTCAAGTACTCGTTTTTTCGAAAACTAAAAAAACTAAAACAATTTTCACCTTTTTCCTCAAAAAATTGCAGTAAAGTAGCATGGTTCATCAAAAAAATAATTGTAAGAAAAAAGGCGACATTTTTAATGGAATTTTTCAGATTTTGGGAAAAACGTAATCGTTAGTCTCAAATATTTAATAGTCCAAAATATACATGACAAAAAGTTCGAAAATGTGTCAATTTTCACGAAAATAATGGATTTTCCATAAAAAACGGAGACTTTTGAATTCTTCTAGATCTTATATGCTCCAATTCTTTCGACTTCCGATTTGTCGATTTTTCCAACTGAATTTGCTTCCTATAAAAAATAATGTATTTTACTTTCTGTTATTTTACGAATTAACGTACCTTTTTGTTAGCGGTGTCTTCTAATAACAAAACATCCAAAACACATTTCTTACGAAGCAATGCTTCACCTTCCGATATATCTTGTTTGATTTTATGAACGGGTACGCTTTTCCCAGAATTCCACAATTTGTGTACTTTCTTTTCTAGCTCACTTTTCTGAAATTTGTATATTGATACAATTTCAAGGCACACAATTTTCTCACCGGCGGCGATGCGTTGCGAATTTCGAACATTCTTACGTCCAGTCTATCACAATTCTTGGTTTTTGTTCCTTTGAAAACCGCTAGGATTGAATCGCAAAATTCTTCAAATCCTAGATTCGAAGTATTTTCAAACATATCTTCTCTTGTCGGGTATAAAATCAAATAACAATGACGATTGTTTGGATATTTTTTCTTGAACAATTCAATCCACCATTGTAATCGATCATTAGGCAAACTACCATCATTCTCTTCCGATTCTTTCACCAGTTGTTCATAATTCTGAAAATTTTTAAAATCGATTTCTTAATTTTGTCTTTTTCATCTTTAATCTTCTTCAAAATTTTGAACAAAGATTGGATTAACGAATATTCCTGAATAATGCTTTAAGAAATTAATTCTATTTTTTGTTTCAAACCTTTTTATTGTTTTTCTCATTTATATTAACTGAATTGAGAAGTTCCTCTTCCGAAATCATTGAATAATTGTCTCTTAGCTTGTCATAATTCTTAAAATATATTTAGACATTAGAAATCGTTCTAAACAATGTATCTAACCTCTTCACCGATTGCCTCTTTCAAATTTCCCACAGTTTTTTTCTCGCCATCTGTTAAACTCATTCCATTATTGACTACAATATTGACCAATCGTTCATAATCCTGAAATATGTCAATATAATTATGCGAATCTTAATTTATTCTATCAAACCTTTGTCTTGATCTCTTCATTCATTTCTTTTAAACCTTTAAGTTGATCTTTCGATAATAAATCATAATGGTTTGTTAGCTTATTATATCTCTGTAAATAATTATCTCAACATATTTAATCGAATGTATATACATTCAAATATATTATCTAACCTCTTCACCGATTTGCTTCTTTATTTTTACGACAGCAGTTTTTTCCTCATCAGTCAATTTCGCTTCATGTTTGGTTAGAATAACAGTCAGTAGGTTATAATCCTGACAATAAGTGAATGATGTCTGATAATCAAAAACTATATACTCCTCACCTGTTCTTCAATCATTTTTTTGATACATTCAAGCTCATCTTCTCTCTCCTTCAATATTTTTCTTTCAGTTTCAACTAGTTCTTTCATCAATCCAGTGTAGTTCTAAAATACAACATTATTTTGAGTTTTCGTATCTATGATCAACCTTCTTAGCTGTTTCGATAGTTTGTTTGTCCCAATCTGCTATGATTATACGTCCACATCTACATCTACCAGTTAGTTGGGGCAAACTGCAAAAATTGAAAATTATAAGAAAAGGGGCTCATTATTTACTTCAATTTTTGTGAATTAGTTTCATCTCCTGCTTCAATTTGCTCTTCTTTGATCTCATTTTTCACTTGATTTGAGCTAGAAAAAATGATTCAGAATTATTGGAGCACTTCATAATATACCTGGATTTTCCTGAATCATTTTCGTATTCAGTCGGCTCCTTTTTTATCTCATCTTCTAATTTGATTTTGCCAATTTGGTTCGATAAATCGTCACTCATTTCTGTCATAAGTAAATAATAGAATGTGTATAATTTCTATGATACTAATCGTTTTGTTCCCGAATGGTATGTATTTATATCAAACAATTTTAATGTGCTTCATTAAAAAAAAACTGATAAGAAACTCAAAAACGGCAGAAATTAATGTGTTTCTAATGATTTTGAGGAATGAAGCATAGAGACATTAAAATGGCATCATTAAAAAAATAGATAAAAAACATTTTGAAACTCAAAAACGACAGAAATTAATGTGTTTAATAAAAAATTGATAAGAAACATTCAGAAATTAAAAAAACTGGGAATTATTTAAAAAAAAACAGTTTCATAAAAAAGGAAGCATAATGAAAAAAGTTGCAGTAATCTTAAAACTAAGTTTCAATAATTTACTCCACAAGTTCAAACTTTTAAAATCATCTTTAAAATATTCTGATTTTTGAAAATTTCTTTGAGATTTCTAGCATTTCAGATTCGTAGAGAATTTCACGGACACCAAAAACTCCCGGGTTTGGCTGAAAATTCGCTGAAATATTTTCGAGAAAGAAAAATAATTTATGAGCAAGTTCCAATATTATTCATATGTCCAGGTCGCATTAAAAAATTCCAAACAATTTTCAAAATCCAAACAATACTCGCGAAAAATCGAAAAATTCCAGAAATTATCCATTTCAGCAGCCAAGTTAGCGTAATTTCATTTTCATTTGAATCATTTTTGACTCCTGGAAAATATTTTGTGGAAATTTTGGCGCCAAAATTTTTTAACTTACTTTCACTAAAATATGCCCTAACTTCAAAATTTCTGCAATTAATTTCAGGAATCAGAAAAATCAGCAGGAAAATTGAGAAAAATAAAATTTTCATTGAAAATATTTTTAATGAAAAATTGATATAACATGTGTTTCTGGACGATTTTTGAGATCAAAAAAATTTTTTTGTTTTTTTTTTTGGAAAATTGATGATCATGAGAAAATGTATAAAAATCTATGATTTTTCATTTTTCTCCAATTTTTAACATGAAAATTCTCCTATTCATCCTATTTTCTGTGGGAAGTTGCTACGCAGCCAATATTGATACGCAGCGAGTTTTGGTGGGACAAGAATTCGGCGTGGATCCTTTGGTGAAGGAGAAAATCGAGGAGGCCGGCAAGAATTTGGCGGATTTTGGCGCCAAAATTTTGAATTTTCTTTGGTGATGAAGAAATAAAGTTTGAGCGGATTTCTACAGTAATCCCGGGTTACTGTAGCTCATCTTGTAGAGAATTTCAGGAGCTTCAAAATGACTTAGGACAACTTGAGCAAATGCGCTCCAAAGCAAACTATTTTGGTTGAAACTTTTGCCAGCCAGTTTTGTCAGCGGATTTTCAGCTGAGCCTAGGGATTCTAGCTATCATTTTAAAGCCCTCAAAATTCTCTACAAAATGAGGTACAGTATGCTGGGATTACTGTAGACCTGTAATTGATTTTTGATGTGCAACTGCGCTCCAACGCAAACCTGAAAATACAAGTACCGAAAAATCAAAAAATTTTGCAGAAAATCCAGTTTATTTTATCCATACCACATAAAAGGATTTTTAATCAGGTCCAAAAGTCTCCAATAATTGAAACCCTCATTTTTGACTGGCCTTTCTCGACCGCCATAAATTTTGATTGGTTCAGTTGAGCAATTTTGAATCAGAAATGTTGAGCAAAAAATTAGGAGTGGGAGGAGGAGGAAATTCGAACATTTCATTCTGTTCTTTTTGTTTTTTTCGAATGAAAATTTTTGGTTCGAATTTCAATTTAAAAATTCGAGACAAAAAGTGGGCGAAATCTGACTAGACATCATAAATTTTATTCTGATAATTTTCTGGAATCAAATTCTGAATTTTTCGAAAATTATCAATAGAGTCTTCCTAGTTTTTCTAGGTCAAAATCTGAAATCTTTTCATAATTCTAGCTATCATTTTTAAGCCCTTAAAATTCTCTACAAAATGAGCTACAGTACTCCAGGGTTACTGTAGCCGCAGGGTTACTGTAAGCTCCCGAATTTTTCTTATTTTTAATAAGTTTTCGGTATCATTTTGAAGCTCTTGAAATTTCCAAAAATAATTTTTTTTGTTCAAAAAAAGTACGATTTTCTAATCCTCTTGTTCTTTTTTATCATTTTCTGATAACACGGTCTTTTAAAAAGTGTGAAAAACCTGGAAAAAAATTATCAGCAAACAAAAATGTCCAAATATATTCTCATCTTCATTTTTATTTTTGCCACGTGGATTCCTTTGATTTTTGCCGTCGCCTCTTCATCTACAGTACTCACATCTACAGTATCTGCACATTCCACATCACCCGGGTCAAAAACTACAGTACTCACCTCTACAGTAACCCCACAAATCTGTGAAGACAGCGACGGTTCGGAGAAGTGCAAGAACTACAAGGACTACTGTAGCAATCCGATATACTACGGTATTTTACGTGGCAAATGCGATAAAACTTGTGGATTTTGTGGCGGTGGAACTACGGTAGCACCGAAATGTGTGGATTTTAATAAGAAATGTGAACAATGGGTCAAAAATGGGTACTGTACTAATAGTTTTTATAAATGTGAAGATCGGAAGAAGAATTGCGAGAAATCCTGTAAACTTTGTAATACTGTATGTTGATTGATGATTACTGTAATAAATATTGATTTTTTTTCGTTTTGTAGCCTACAGTACTCCCAGCGATCAAACTAGATACAAATTTATTTCCTTTAAAAAACTCGTTGTCAAAATATACATACAAAAAAAGAAAGAGGCAAGTGAGAGGTGACTAGTGGGTTACTGTAGATTATCTGAGGATTTGTGCAAGGGGGGTACTGTATACGTATACAGTAACCTATGGGTTACTGTATCTCTCTAAGAATCTTTTGAATGTGAACTGCAAGAATCGTCATTTTCAATATCGTCGGCTTCTTCCAATAATTGCATGATTTGTTCGCGCATCTGGAATAATTCAAAAATTAATTTCAGGTCTACGGGTTACTGTAGCTACAGTACTCCTCACCCTTTTCCGCTTCTTCGGCTCCATTTTCTTCAATTTCAGCCCAATTATTCTGGAATATAGCAAATCTTCATCATTCAACCATTCAATTGCGACTTTTCCGACTTGTTGTAAATCGATTTTTTGCATCATTTGACGTCGGAAATCTTGATGTTGTTGATGGTGCGATGGAATTGGCTTGATTTGCTGCAAAAATGTGGGTAGATCATGAAATTATGCGTCGAATGATGTATAATACTGTAGATTTCTCTAAAACACCAAATCTGACGCGAAAATGCAGAGAAAAATAAGCAGCGCCCAAATAAGCTCCGCCCACTTTCGAAATTAGCAGCGCCTATGTTTTATTTTGAGAGAGCGCAGAGAAAAATAAGCAGCGCCTATGTATGATTTGAAGAGAGCGCAGAGAAAAATAAGCAGCGCCCACTTTTTTGATTAAACACGGATACAAAATCTGCGAAACGTGTTATTTTCGTGTAGAGAAAAACCCAAAAATTTTCGGCTCTAACAAAAAATAATTTAAAAAATCTAGAATTTTCTAGAGGACGTGCGTGAAATACAAAAATTTGTCTGGCATTTTTAGATTTTTTAGACTAGAAAAATGGGCTCGTGTTTTTCGCGAAAGGAAACCCAAAAAACCCAACTGGAGACTTCTATTTCACAATCTCAAACTCAAGAAATTCAAGAAGAATATAATGGAATTGTCTGGTTCGATTTGCCATACGATATAAGACGAATGATAATAGATTCGATGGATTTGGAAGGAAAACGGTCTTTTTCAAAGTGTTCAATGGGTTGTAATAAAGAAGTTGCGCTAACTTTTCAAAATTATATCGTTGAAATTTTGATATTTGATAAAGGAATCGGGGAAAATCGAAATATTGGAGTATTTGTGCATGCGATAGATGAACAATATCATTATATTTTAGCGAAACTATCATATGGAAAAGATAATATCTGTCGATTTATGAATGAGGAAATTAGTTTGACAACAATATTTGATACAAACGATTTGATCGAAATTACTTTGAGATATTTCAATTTTATTTTGAAGAAAAACACAAAAACTTTGAAAAGTATTCGAATTGAACTTGTGAGTTTTGATTTGAAGATTAAGCTCGATTTATATTTTGCAGGATGATTTTCCTTATAATCGAACAAATATCAACAAATTGAAAAGTCTGGAAAGTTTGATACTTTCAAAAAATATACATGGAATTGATCCAATTTCAAGTGGATTTGTTGATTTTGATACACTTTCTCAAATTCGAAACCGCGTTGAAATTCCGAATATTCAACTGGATTATTTATTTCAACTCAAATCAGAGAAGCGATATTTGAGAAATCCCATATTTTGGTTAACTGAATTTGATGAATTCTTGAGACTTCTTCTAATTGAAGAAGTAATTGATGAACATTCAATAAAGATTGGAGTGGGTTTTGACGAAATCGATAGACGCTCAGATTTGATTCAAATTATCCAAAAATATACTGGAACTGGTGTTGAAGATGAAGAAGCAGGAGAAGGAAGCATTAAATATGTTAGATTCTGGAGAAAATCAAAGAAGTGGCCAAATCGACAACATCGTTTTCTTTTGAGAACAACTAGATTAATATATTCACAAATTAAACAAGAACTCGAATTTTGAAGAATACATTTTTTTTTTATTTATCTAAACATGAAAACTGCGGAACTTTTTGATTGAAAATAAGCAGCGCCTATGTTTATTTTGGAGAGAGTGCAGAGAAAAATGAGCAGCGCCCACTTTTGAGAAATAAGCAGCGCCTATGCATTAAATTGAGAGAGTGCAGAGAAAAATAAGCAGCGCCCACTTTTTGCATTGGAAAATGAATAAGCAGCGCCCAAATAAGCTCCGCCCACTTTTGAGAAATAAGCAGCGCCTATGCATTACTTTGAGAGAGTGCAGAGAAAATAAGCAGCGCCCACTTTTTGCATTGGAAAATGAATAAGCAGCGCCTAAATAAGCTCCGCCCCCTTTTGAAAAATAAGCAGCGCCTATGCATTATTTTGAGAGAGTGCAGAGAAAAATAAGCAGCGCCCACTTTTGACGCGCTAACCGTATCTCAGCTCAAAATCCACCTAGAAACCTGATTCCTCCACCAAAAATCTGCATTTTCCCGCAATTTTCACACAAACCTGCGTCATTCCGCTCAATTGTTGCGCCAAATGGTGTGCAAACCGTGCCTGATTGGCGGCTATCAAATTCTCGACCGATTGTTGTTTGGATGGTGTTGGTGTGCTGCCGATTGTTGGAGTGGGTGGCAATGGTGTTGTGCTGGTTGATGTGTTGTTGATATTGAGAAGTTCTTCGGATGACGTGGCTGGTTCATCGTCGATGTCAACATCATCCACTGATTGTGTGCCAGAATCGTCGTTTTCAACGGAAACTGGAAATTTTGGGGAGTGTTTTGATACCAAATATGGGTAGGGAGGGTTTTTAAAGGGACATACAGTAGTTTTCTATGATCTACAGAGGATTTGAAGCATTTTGACACCAAACATGACTGGAAAATCTCAAATAACAGAAAAAGGGTACCCCACCCCAGGGTGAACTAGGTCTAAAAAATAATCTAGGATGATTTTTAAAGGGACATACAGTATTTTTTTGATGATCTAGGGAAGATTTGAAGCATTTTGACACCAAACATGACTGGAAAATCTCAAATATCAGAAAAACGGGTACCCCACCCCAGGATGAACTAGGTCTAAAAAATAGTCTAGGATGATTTTTAAAGGGACATACAGTAGTTTTTTGATGATCTACAGAGGATTTGAAGCATTTTGACACCAAACATGACTGGAAAATCTCAAGTATCAGAAAAAGGGTACCCCACCCCATGGTGAACTAGGTCTAAAAAATGGTCTAGGGTGATTTTCAAAGGGACATACAGTAGTTTTTTGATGATCTAGGGAAGATTTGAAGCATTTTGACACCAAAAATGCCTCGAAAACCCAAAATTCGGAAAAAAAGTTACCCCCCATAGGGTGAACTAGGTCAAAAAAATAGTCTAGGATGATTTTTAAAGGGACATACAGTAGTTTTTTGATGATCTAGGGAAGATTTGAAGCATTTTGACACCAAAAATGCCTCGAAAACCCAAAATTCGGAAAAAAGGTACCCCCCCCTTTTGTTCCTCTACTATAGAAATTTTCGTTGCAGGACCCATGGTGAAATTTTTAAAGGCACATAAGCTGAATTTTCATGATCTACAGGTTATCCCAAGAATTTTGAGACCCAAACATGCCTAGAAACTATAGTCTAGTTTGAGAGATAGGGGAATAGACTCCGCCCCCATTTATACCAGGGGGGTCTTTTTTTGGATTTGCTGGTTTTTGTGGCTTTTTCGGATCTAGGGTTGATTTTGGGGGTTTTCAATGATTTTTAGGTCAAAAATCAGCGATTCTAAGCCATACGGCCCTATTTTAGGCCCAAAAAAAGCCCGAAAACTCACTTTCGGGGCTCAGACTCTGCATTCTTGCGTGTGAATTCGTGGCACTTGCCAATAATCGATCCAAAACCGAGGATTCCATGGGAATTTCACTATTTTCATCATCAATTTCATCTTTGATTCGATTCAGCGACGAAAAATCGAACCAATTGAAACTTGGCTGCGAGCCAATTTCGTCTAGCTCTTCTTTTTTCGGACCGGAGAGCAGGCTGGAATTATTTTTTGGATTTTTGAACGATGCTCCGCTTTTACGCTGCATTTTTAGAGGAATTTCGAGTATTTTTGGTCAAAAATAAGGTATTTTTAGCTCAAAATTCATGAAATTGCATGAATTTCAGCTTAAAATAACCCAAAATTCCAGATTTTCAGCCAATTTTCAGCCAAAAACTCACATATTATCCTTCAAATACGGATCCAACCATGATAATTGATTAAAATAGCACCATCTTACTGGGGTTTGAAATCCATTTTTCAGCGCCAATTTCAGCTCTTTTCGATATCTATCACGAAGTTGAAGCCAACGTTTTTTGGCGAATTCGGCTGCAAAAAATCGATAATTTTGGGGGGAGTTATGACGTGGCAAAAATTTGAATTCGGGGATTTTTTGAGTCCAAATTTGATATATGAAAATTATTTTTGAAATCGGAAATTTTTGGCGCGAAAAAATTAGAGTTAAAATTTGAAAATTCAAAATTTTATGAGCAAAAAATCCACGCGGCATTTTTTTGAATTCGGGGATTTTTGGCGCCAAAAAACTGAATTTAAATTTTTTGAAAAGTCAAAACTTGGCGCCAAAAAAACTGAATTTACATTTTTTGAATTTCGCGCCAAAATATTACAGTATATAAAATTCACGTGGCAAAAATTTTTGAAAATTTTCGAAAAAAAACATTTTTGAAAAAAACATTTGTGTAGTTCTCTTGGAAAACCCGAATTTTCAGGATTTTTCACTAAAAACCCTGATTTTCAGCTAGAAAACCTATTTTTCATGATTTCTAGCTCATTTTCAGCCAAAAATCCCCATTTTTCCACTAAAATTATCAAATTTTCAGCCAAAAACTCGATTTTTCAGTTAGAAAACCTCATTTTTAACCAAAATTCATGATTTCTAGCTCATTTTAAGCCAAAAATCACCATTTTTCCACCCAAAAACCACAATTTTCAGTCATTTTCAGGCTTACCCGCACAATTCGAATCAATATTCTTGGCAATCGATTCCCATAATCGATGTCGTTCCATTGTATCACCACTTCCACGTCTCGAATGATTATATAAACATGGATGTTTTCGAACCTCATTTATTAGGCGAGCATTGAAAGCTGGTTGGAAAGCCATTTTTCGGGCTGAAAATTTGAATTTTAAGGCTGAAAATTGGGTTTTTCATGAAATTTAAGGCCAGGAACGTGATTTTGAGGGAATTTCAGGTAGAAAACGAGGGTTTTGATGATTTTTAAGCTTAGAATCATAATTTTCAGCAAGTTTAAGCCTTAGAAGAGGGTCTACAGTCAATTTAAGCTTAAAAATCGGAATTTCAGCAGTTTCAAAGCTGAAAATGGGGTTTTTCATGGAATTCGAGGCTAGAAACGTGTTTTTGAGGAAATTCTGAGTAGAAAATGAGGTTTTTGATGATTTTTAAGCTTAGAATCATAATTTTCAGAAATTTTCAGCCTAGAAACGTGATTTATAGCCATTTGATGCCTTAAAAAAGGATCTATAGTCTATTTGAGCTCAACATCGGAATTTCAGCAAATTTGAAGCTGAAAATGAGATTTTTCATGAAATTTAATCAGAAATTCATGATTTTCATCCCTAGACTGGTGATTTTCAGCAAAATTCAAGCCTGACACCGAAATTCTCATCAAAACCCTATTTCTACGCTAAAAACCGTCCATTTTCTGTACTCCCATGTTGTAACTACAAGAAAATTTGTCAAAAATGGTGGAAAATAGGTGTTTGAGCTGAAAATCGCTGAAAATCCTGATTCTGAGCTTCAAAATTGGGATTTCCACAAATTTTCAGCCTAGAATAGTGATTTTCAGCGATTTTTAGCCATGGGCCCAGGATTTTCAGCAAAATTCATGTCGGGAACCGAAAATAGCAGCAAAATCCCATTACTACGCTGAAAACCGTCCATTTTCTGTACTCCCATGTTGTAACTACAGAAAAATTCGTCAAAAGTGGATGAAATACGCGTTTGAGCTCAAAAATCGCTTAAAATTGGGATTTTCAGCCAAAAACCAAAATTTTTCCACAAAAAGATTGCGGTGGTTTCATTGTAATCAGAATAAAATGAAAATGGAAAGCGGCCCGGACGAAAAAAAAAGAAAAAGAAGAACCGGAGAAGAAAAGGGAAAATATGTAGTGATCTGATAACAAAATCCGGATTCGGATAGTGGAAAATGGGGAAAAGATATCAACGGATGAAGGAGAATGAAGAAGATACTTAATTTTATTGTGGAAGAGGACGAAGGGGGATTTTTTGAACGATACTCCGCGTTTACGGGGTGGAAAATCATGAATTTCATGAACTTCAGCACAAAATTTGGTATAGAATTAGGAGAACTAGCTCGAATTGATGAAACTACGATGCTCCACGTTTACGGGATGGAAAACTAATAAAACATGACTGTAAATCAGCCAGTAGGGAAAATTTACGATGCTCCGCTTATACGCGACGAAAATTCATGAATTTCAGCACAAAATCTTGTCTAGAACATGAAAAATCTCAAATTTTCACTAAAGTTGCTGAAAAATTGGCTTCGCTCGCAAAAAATTCGAGTTTTTCCCGACAAAACTTGTGATTTTTGAGGGGAAAAAGTAAAAAGTAATACAAATATTGAGAAAAAGAAGAACGGAAAACCGGGTGCCGTTGGGGTTAGGCAAATAAAACACGGTGGAAATTTTTGAAGCGGCGCCGAAAAAAATGAGAACTGACTGAGTTGAGTAAACTTTTGTGGATTTATAGCAACCAAAAAAAATTTCGGGCGGGAAAAATTTGAGCAAAGTTACTGGAAGTCACGGAATTTTTGAGGGGAAAAATTTAAAATTCAAATTTTCGCGCAAAATTTTGAATTTTCCAAACGATGCTCCGCTTTTACACCGTATTTTGAGATAAACCGTGATTTTTCTGTTCTTTAGAAGTTCATTAGGATTTTTCGAACGATGCTCCGCGTTTACACTGCATTTTTGAGTGTATTTGAAATATACACGTGGATTTTTAGCGCGAAAATTTGAAAATTCAAATTTTCGCGCCAAAAAAACCCTGTAAAGGCGGAATATCGTTTGAAAATTCAAAAATTAACAATAACCGCATAAAATTCCTATAAAAATGCTGTGTAAAGCGGAGCATCGTCTAAAAATTCGAAATCTTCCATAGAAGCTTTCAAAAATCTTCTAAAAATGCAGTGTAAACGCGGAATATCGTTTAAAAATCTAAGAAATCCCGACAAGCTTTCAAAACTCAATTAAAAATGCAGTGTAAAAGCGGAGCATCGTTAAAAAACTTCAAAATATCAGGAAAAATCCTCGATTTCCCTTCAAAATACAGCGTCAACCCGGAGTATCGTTGGAAAAACCATTCAAAAATAAAAAAAATCGGAATAAAAATGTATATAAGGCTGTGTTGTGTTGTGTTCTTCTGAATATATGCAGCCAGTCAGCCGGTGTCTGCGTCTCTCCATCTCGCACACTCTCTCCCACCCCTTCTTCCTTCCACATTTTCCTGTTCCGGTTTAGGAAGAAGACGAAACAGAAATGTGTCTGCGTCTCTTCTATCTCCCATACTATTTCGCCGGTTTTCCGTCCGGAAATTGAAAATGGAGAGAGAGTGTGTGTGTGGAGATGGAGAGACGCAGAGATTTCCGGAATTTTTGGTGGAAAAATGGAATTTATTATGGATTCGAGCGAAAGCGAGTGTAGACCGCAAGCTTCCGCGTAAGCGGCACTATCTTCCGCTTTAGCGGCCGCGCGGATTTAGAATACTGAAGGTTTGCCACGTCACAGCAATCCGCGCGCGGAAGCTTGCGGATTTCTATGACGTGGCAAACCATCAGTAAAAAATCCATGTGGCCGCTAAAGCGGAAGACAGTGCCGCTTACGCGGAAGCTTGCGGTTTACACTCGCTACGCTCGAAAAAGTTGAAGTTTCTCGAGCGAAGCGAGTGTAGACCGCAAGCTTCCGCGTAAGCGGTCACGCGGATTGCTATGACGTCGCAACTTAGTGTACCATGTAGTTATAGTACAGCAGGTTGCCACGTTATAGTGATCCGCGTGGCCGCTGCGCGTAAGCTTGCGGATTTCTATGACGTGGCAAACCTTCAGTACTAAAAATCCAAGTCATAGCAATCCACGTGGCCGCTAAAGCGGAAGACAGTGCCGCTGACGCGGAAGCTTGCGGTCTACACTCGCTACGCTCGGAAAAATTGAAGTTTTTCGAGCGAAAGCGAGTGTAGACCGCAAGCTTCCGCGTAAGCGGCACTGTCTTCCGCTTTAGCGGCCACGCGGATTGCTATGACTTGGATTTTCAGTACTGAAGGTTTGCCACGTCATAGAAATCCGCAAGCTTTCGCGCAGCGACCTATAGTACAAATGAATCCCAAAACCTCTGCCAAAATCAAATAAAAAAAATTCATCTAGTTAGTGAAATTTGAATTTGGGCCACAAAAACTTAGCCAAAGTTAACCAAAAGTTAGCTTTTGGTTACAAGAAGAAGAAAAAGAAGCAAAAAAAAACCAGATTGATAATATCTGCAGTGTTTTTTTTCGTATTTTCTTCTTCTTCTTCTTCTTCAGAATAATATAAGAATAATAACAACAAAACTATTAATTTATCCGGTTACGGTCATAGTCTTTTTTCCCTTCATTCTCTTTTAGTACTATAACTAACTAAAAGAATGAATGTTTTTTTGGTTTGGCAGAGAAAAAACGAGTTTTTCTGAGATTTTTGTGATTTTGGCAGAGGTTTTGGGATGTTTTTATATCTACTATAGGTCCACGAGTTATGGTACAGTGAAAAATTTGAACTTTTCGGTTATATGGACGAGAAATCCTAAATTTCAGTGTTTATTTGGAATTTTTAGCTGAAAATCCAGCATTTTTAGATCTAAACGATGAAATTCAAGATTTCCAATGGTTTTGAATCAAAATATCTGGAAAAATCACGTTTTTCTGCCATTTTTAGTGAAATTTCTGGTTATACGGACGAAAAGTCTTTAATTACAGGGTTTATCTGAAATTTCCAGCTGAAAATCCAGAATTTTGTGTTCTAAACGATGAAATTTGAAATTTCCAATAGTTTTTAGTCAAAAAATTAAAAACAAATTGAATTTCGTGGGATTTTTGGTGAAATTTCTGGATATACGGACGAAAAATCCTGAATTTCAGGATTTTTCTCAAATTTCTAGCTGAAAATCCAGCGCTTCTATTTCTAAACGATGAAATTTAAAATTTCCAATGGTTTTGAATCGAAATATCTGGAAACATCCCATTTTTCAGTGAAAATTTACAGATTTTTGGTACTTCTGCCAAAAAAATCCCAAAATTGCAAAGTTTATCTGAAATTTCTAGCTGAAAATCTAGAATTTTTAGATCTAAACGATGAAAGTTACGATTTCCAATAGTTTCAAGTCGAAAAACTTAGAAAAATTAAATTTTTCTGGGATTTTTAGTGAAAATTTACAGATTTTTGGTAATTTGGACAAAAAATCCTAAAATTTCAATGTTTTTCTGAAATTTGTAGCTGAAAATCCAGAATTTTGTGTTCTAAACGATGAAAATCAACGTTTTCAGCAATTTTTCCCACACAAAACTCAAAAATCTCAATTTGATGACAAAAATTAGCGAAAATTCTCGGAAATTCTAATTTTTGTCATCATTTTCAAAGTTTTGACTAAAAACAGGAAGAAAAATTGAAATTTGAAGCGAAAAATCGTCTAAATTTCAAGAAAACAATGATTTCCAGCAATTTCAGACTGAAATTCACCCCAGAAGCTTCATGAAACCAGTATAAAACACCAGAAACCACTTCTCCTCGAGAACTACACGAAAACAAAACAAGTAAAAACGTACTTCTATCATCATCAAACAATACGAAAAACAGCAAAAACAACAAAAAAACGCGATGGGCGGAGTTTTGGCGCCAAAAAATTTGCCTGCCCATTGTTCTTCTACAAATTTGCATTTACCGGTTTAGATTTAGATAACACGAACAAAATGAATAAAGAAAAATCGGTTCCAGTTCAGCGTTTTCAGTTGAAAACCATGAAAACCGCGCAAAAAACGAAAAAAAAAACAATATTGTCCGAGAGAAATACACAAAAAGGCAGGCAAGCGGGATTGCGGAGTATCGTTGTTTTATTTTTATTTTTTTGCAAAAAATAATTTTTTTTTATTTTTCAGCTAGAATTTCGGGTTTTTGGGTGGCTATGACGTGGCAAACCTGTTGTATTATAATGCCACGTGGCCAATGATGGATTTTCACAATTTTTGAGTACGCATCAAAGGAAAAATGATGATTCTCACAATCAACAACAAAAAAACGTGATGACACCAAAAAATACAACATTTTTGGGCAAGTAAGCATTTATAGAATAAATTAGTCTTCGAAAATGGGCACGTGTTGTTCAAGAAAAGAAAACTCGAAGGAATATTCTGGAGGAATCGGATGGTTTGATTTACCTTATGATATGCGAAGAATTATAATTGATTTGATGGATTTGGAAGCAAAAGCTAGATTTTTCTGGTGTTCCAGAGATTGTGGGGAAGAAGTTAGTCAAAGTCGGAATTATATTCGAAAAATTTATATGAAAAGAGGAGAGAAAAACGGAGAAATATTGATTTTTGTGTATGGAAATGGTGGAAAATGGATGTTTAGAGTGAAAGAATTGGAAGAATCGACTGAAGTTAGTTGGGAAATGAATGAGAAGATTATATCGATTGATAAATTTGAGAATTGGAAATCGATTGATGTTGTTTTGAAATATTTTAATGATGTTTTGAAGAAGAATTCGAGAAGTTTGACAGATATTGAGATATACATTGTAAGTTGATTTTTTATCGAGCGGAGCGAGTGTAGACCGCAAGCTTCCGCGTAAGCGGCACTGTCTTCCGCTTTAGCGGCCGCGCGGATTGCTGTGGCGTGGATTTTCAGTACGTCATGTTTGCCACGTCATAGCAGCGAGTGTTAACAGCAAGATTGTCCGTGCCGCTGCGCGGAAGCTTGCGGTCTACACTCGCTCCGCTCGAGAAACTTCAATTTTTCCGAGCGAAGCGAGTGTATACCGCAAGCTTCCGCGTAAGCGGCACTGTCTTCCGCTTTAGCGGCCACGTGGATTGCTGTGACGTGGATTTTTAGTACGTCATGTTTGCCACGTCATAGCAGCGAGTGTTAACAGCAAGATTGTCCGTGCCGCTGCGCGCGGCTTGCGGTCTACACTCGCTCCGCTCGAGAAACTTCAATTTTTCCGAGCGAAGCGAGTGTAAACCGCTAGCTTCCGCGTAAGCGGCACTGTCTTCCGCGCAGCGGCCACGCGGATTGCTGTGACGTGGATTTTTAGTACGTCAGGTTTGCCACGTCATAGCAGCGAGTGTTAACAGCAAGCTTGTCCGCTGAAGCGGAAGACAGTGCCGCTTACGCGGAAGCTTGCGGTCTACACTCGCTCCGCTCGAGAAACTTCAATTTTTCCGAGCGAAGCGAGTGTAAACCGCTAGCTTCCGCGTAAGCGGCACTGTCTTCCGCTTCAGCGGCCACGCGGATTGCTGTGACGTGGATTTTTAGTACGTCATGTTTGCCACGTCATAGCAGCGAGTGTTAACAGCAAGATTGTCCGTGCCGCTGCGCGGAAGCTTGCGGTCTACACTCGCTCCGCTCGAGAAACTTCAATTTTTCCGAGCGAAGCGAGTGTAAACCGCTAGCTTCCGCGTAAGCGGCACTGTCTTCCGCGCAGCGGCCACGCGGATTGCTGTGACGTGGATTTTTAGTACGTCAGGTTTGCCACGTCATAGCAGCGAGTGTTAACAGCAAGCTTGTCCGCTGAAGCGGAAGACAGTGCCGCTTACGCGGAAGCTTGCGGTCTACACTCGCTCCGCTCGAGAAACTTCAATTTTTCCGAGCGAAGCGAGTGTAAACCGCTAGCTTCCGCGTAAGCGGCACTGTCTTCCGCTTCAGCGGCCACGCGGATTGCTGTGACGTGGATTTTTTAGTACGTCAGGTTTGCCACGTCATAGCAGCGAGTGTAAACCGGAAGCTTGTCCGCTGAAGCAGTTGACCGTGCCGCTGACGCGGAAGCTTGCGGTCTATGACGTGGTAAACTTTTAGTACTACAAATCCACGCCATAGCAATCCACGTGGCCGCTGAAGCGGAAGACAGTGCCGCTTACGCGGAAGCTTGCGGTTTACACTCGCTTCGCTCGAGAAACTTCAATTTTTCTGAGCGAAGCGTGTGTAGACCGCAAGCTTCCGCGGAAGCGGCACTGTCTTCCGCTTTAGCGGCCACGTGGATTGCTGTGACGTAGACGCGGAAGCTTGCGGTCTACACGATTTTTCCAGTACGATTTCCCATATGATCGTACAAATATGAATATTTTGAAAAATCGCAACCTCGAAAAATTGTCGCTTCGAATCAACAAAAATGATGAAATCGATCCGATTTCATGTGGATTCATTGATTTCGCCACTCTTTCTCGATTCAATACCAAAATCAAGATTCCCAAATTGAAACTCGTCGATTTTGTGAAAATCAAATCGAGCAAATTGGTAGTGCACCGTCCGCGATTTTTTTTGGATGAATTCGACGCATTTTTGCAAAATGTTTTGTACGATGAAGCACTTGATGACAATTTGAAGTTGGTTGAGTTCAAATTGTTTCGAATTAGTCGCAGAACTATTGAATTCTTCTTGATGCCAACCATTCAACAATATATTACACGATGTGCTGTCAAATATACTGAATTGGGTGTTTTGGATACTTTTTTATTCATGGGAACATCCAAATATCGATTACACTCTTTCAAGTTGAAAAATAATGTTTTGATCTATTCGAATGAGAAGAATCCAATCGGAATTTGATGTTTTTCTAATAAAATTATTGATTTTTCAATGAAAACCGCGCAAAAAACAATATTGTCCGAGAGAAATACACAAGCGGGATTGCGGAGTATCGTTGTTTTCTTTTTTTTCACCCAAACTTCACGGTCACACTTTTTCCTTTATGTTGTTTTTTCATCAGAAAATAAATAATGAAATAAAATAAAAACACTTGTTGTTGAACCAGTTTTTTCTTGTTTTTTTTCGCTTTCACAGAAAAATCAGGGACTTTTTTGAAAAAAAAACAACGATACTCCGCTTGCCTTTTCGTGTATTTCTCTCGGACAATTTTTTTTGGATTTTTTCACGGGATGTGACAAATAACATGTAAAAATTAATATTTTCATTAAACAAATCAAAAATTCTAAGTTCTTTTTCTAACCCTAACATAAACTAAATCCCTTTCTTTCATAATAATACAATGTTCGAGATGTTGGATTCTTTTATGATCTCTCAAATATCCATCAAATCCCAATTTCGTCGCATTTTCTATCATCCAACCACAATATGTTGTATAATATTTGATAACTCGAATCAAATCATATGAATCGTTTTCATAATTTTCATAATTCACAATAATCTGATTCAAATTATCATCATATTTTTCTTGAATCAAAATTCGTCTCAAAAAATTCTCGAATTCTTTCAATGAGAAGATTGATGTGTATAATTGTCGATGTATTGATGTCATTTTGAATAAATCATCAAGTTTACAATTTGGAATTCTGACATGATTTTGAAAACGAGAAATTGTATCAAAATCAACAAATCCACTTGAAATCGGATCAATTCCATGTATATTTTCATTAAGTATCAATATTTCTAATTTTCCACTTTTCAAATTATTGATATTTGTTCGATTATAAGGAAAATCATTCTAAAAACCTTGATTTTTGAATTCAAAATCAAATAAAACTCACAATGTAAATCTCAATAATTGTCAAACTTCAAAAATTCTTCTTCAAAAATGCATTGAAGAATAATAAAACAATTTCAATCAAATCTTGTTTTCCAAATGTTTCTGTACCAATCATTTTATCATCCAAATACCAATCAACTTGACAACATTCTTCACATTCTGATTTTTTGTTGTAGTATATTTGTAATTTCAATTTTTCCTTTTTAACAACAATATAAATGCAATATATTCGTTGTTTTCCTTTTCCTATACCTTGTATTTGAATTCTATGAGTATAATTTCGACTTTGACTAACTTCTTCAAAACAATCTTGTGAACATTGTGCAAATCTTCCTTTTGTTTTCAAATCCATCATATCAATTATCATTCGTCTTATAACATATGGAAGATAAAACCATTCATTTCCAATATATTTGATTTCTTCACTTTTTGATGTTGACAAACAACATCCCATTTTTCAAATATTCAAAAATGCCTGGAAAATTTGTTCTCACGCACGTTTTTTTTCATTTTCCTGAAAAAATTCATTTTTTTTTGCGAAAAAAACAACGATACTCCGCAATCCCGCTTCCACGTGGCATTAGAGTACAACAGATTTGCCACGTCACAGCTGAAAAAAAACAGTTTTTGCGAAAAAATTAAAAAAAACAACGACACTCCGCAATCCCGCTTGCCTTTTCGTGTATTTCTCTCGGACAAGTTGCATTTTTTTTTGTTTTTTGCGCGGTTTTTTCGGGATTTTCAGTGTAAAATGAATAGAAAAACTTTATTTTTAAAAATTAAAATTTTCAGCGTTTAAAATACTCCAAATCCTTTTCAATTAACCAAAAAGTGGCAATTTCATCATCATTTTCTCCATTTCTCTTCTGAATTCCTCGAATTTCACACGAATATTCCGGATATTCCGCGTTCAACATGATTTTCGCCGGCTCACTAATCTGAATTCGTCCCGCCTCTCCACTACTCTCCATAAATGCAGCCGTATTCACGGTATCTCCGAAAATACAGTAGCGCGGCGCGTTGAGACCAATCACAGCCGCCGCCACTTGTCCTGTGGAGAATCCGAGGCGAATTTCGAGCCGATCTTGTTTTTTGTGTGGAATTTCAAAGGTTTTGAGGGCATCGATGATATCCAGGGTGATTTGTGCGATGTTTGCCACGTGGCGTTTTCCATTTTCCTCGGGAACCCCGGAAACTACCATGTAGGCATCGCCAATGGTTTCGACCTGGTGACAAAATTTTTAGTAGTACAAATCCACGTCACAGCAATCCACGTGGCCGCTAAAGCGGAAGATAGTGCCGCTTACGCGGAAGCTTGCGGTCTACACTCGCTACGCTCGGAAAAATTGAAGTTCCTCGAGCGAAGCGAGTGTAAACCGCTAGCTTCCGCGTAAGCGGCGCTATCTTCCGCTTCAGCGGCCACGCGGATTGCTGTGACGTGGATTTTCAGTACGTCAGGTTTGCCACGTCATAGCAATCTTAATTTTCGAGCGGAGCGAGTGTAAACCGCAAGCTTCCGCGCAGCGGCCACGTGGATTATAGTACATCAGGTTTGCCACGTCACAATAATCCGCATGGCCGCTAAAGCGGAAGACAGTGCCGCTTACGCGGAAGCTTGCGGTTTACACTCGCTCCGCTCGAGAAATTTCAATTTTTCCGAGCGGAGCGAGTGTAAACCGCAAGCTTCCGCGTAAGCGGCACTATCTTCCGCTTTAGCGGCCACGTGGATTGCTGTGACGTGGATTTTCAGTGCTGAAGGTTTGCCACGTCATAGCAAGCCTAATTTTCGAGCGAAGCGAGTGTGAACCGCAAGATTCCGCGCAGCGGCCACGTGGATTATAGTACATCAGGTTTGCCACGTCACAACAATCCACGTGGCCGCTAAAGCGGAAGATAGTGCCGCTTACGCGGAAGCTTGCGGTTTACACTCGCTCCGCTCGGAAGTTGAGATTGCTATGACGTGGCAAACCTGACGTACTAAAAATCCACGTCACAACAATCCACGTGGCCGCTGACGCGGAAACGCGGATTGCCGCTGACGCGGAAGCTTGCGGTTCACACTCGCTTCGCTCGAGAAACTTCAATTTTTCCGAGCGAAGCGAGTGTAAACCGCTAGCTTCCGCGTAAGCGGCACTATCTTCCGCTTTAGCGGCCACGTGGATTTTCAGTACGTCAGGTTTGCCACGTCATAGCAACGAGTGTAAACCGCAAGCTTCCGCGTTAGCGGCAATCCACGTAGCCGCTGACGCGGAAGCTTGGATTTTCGACGTCAAAAATTCAAATTTTTGCGCGAAAATTTGAATTATTGGACTCAAAATGACCGAAATTTCACGGGGAATTCGAATTTCCCGCTTCCCAACTTCCCGCTCACCTTATACCCATCATGTCGATTAATAATCGCATCAAATTCCGAATACAACGAGTTCAACAACGCGACAACCTCAATCGGTGTACTTTTTCCGCACAGCCGCGTGAATCCGCAAATATCCGAAAACATGACGGTGGCCGCCGCGTAATTCCGCGGCGGAATACTTTTTCCGTTTTGGAGATCGATTGCGATTTGTTTGGGTAGCAATTGAAAAAGTAGCCTTTCGGCGCGCAAATTCGCACTTTCCGCCATTTTCGTGCGTTCTTGGATGATTTTTTTCGAGATTATTCGCGTATTCTTCCATCATTCTCATCATACTATCAACCAAGCTGCCTTTTCTGCAAAAAAATTTGGTTTGCGGCATGGTTTTGGGGGCGGAGCCTAATTTTCCCGATTTTTTTTAGCCCAAAAACACCTCTAGATGTCTTTTTTAAAGTGCGGCATGGTTTAGGGGGCGTGGCTTATCCAAAATCTTCAGAAATGCAAAAATTAGGCTTGTGGTATGTTTTGGGGGCGTGGCCTAATATGAGCTCTTGAAAATGCAATTTTCGAGCTTGCGGCATGGTTTTGTGGGCGGAGCCTAATTTTCCCGATTTTTTGACCCCAAAAACATCTCTAGATGTCTTTTTTAAATGCGGCATGATTTTGGGGGCGTGGCCTAATATGAGCTCTTGAAAATGCAATTTTCGAGCTTGCGGCATGGTTTTGGGGGCGGGGCTTATCGAAAAACCTCAGAAATGCAAAAATTAGGCTTGCCGCATGGTTTTGGGGGCGTGGCTTATCCAAAATCCTCAGAAATGCAAAAATTAACCTTTCGGCATGGTTTTGTGGGCGTGGCCTATCAAATTCGGTCTCAAAAAATCGCAAATTTCCCGCACAGAAAAATGGGCGTGGCCTAAGTCAACTCACGATTTGAGCGCAGTTTCCGTAGCCAGCCGAACCCGTCGAATTGTCGGACGCATGTCCGGTTTCTCACTCCAACAATCCTGCAAAAAAATTAACATGAGCAATAGAAGCTGGTATGATTGCTCATATTAGGCTCTGTTAGTATGAGCAATATGGGTTTAAGCCTTAGGCTTAGGCTTAAGCCTAAGCCTAATAGACTTACCTGAAGTAGCGCAATCATATCCGGATTCAATTTTCGATTTCGCTGAATTTGCGGCTTCTGAATCTGCTCACCTTCGAAAGCCTTATTGGCCAATTCTAGGAAAAAAATTTGAATTTTGGCGCCAAAATCTACCGTACTCACCTGTCAAATCCAATTTCTCGTCATACGGTAGACTCTTGAACAATATCTCATAGATGATCATACCGAACGCGTAGATGTCGGCCTGTTTTCGACGTTCCGCAGTCTGCTCGCCCCACGCTTGATCCATACGTTTTTGTTTGTTTTTGTCGTCGGCTAGGCGAATGTCGGGAGCAATGTAGAGAGCACCTAAGAATCGTTGCTCAGGTTAAAAAGGGCTTAAAAATGAGGTATAATAAGGCTAGGGTTACTGTGAAAACATGTGCGCTCTAATGAGAATTTTTGGATTACTGTAGCTCATTTTGTAGAGAATTTCAAGGGCTTCAAAATGAGCTATAGATGTCCTAGGCTTACTGTAGAAAAACTCGGGAAAATGCGCTCTAAAGCTAAAATTATCAATAGAGCGCACTTGAATAAAATGGGTTTCCAAGGGTTTTCTGGGAGATTGTCTACAGTAACCCTGGACTACTGTAGCTCATTTTGTAGAGAATTCTGAGAGCTTCAAGATGAGCTATATAAGTCCTAGGGTTACTGTAGAAAAACCCGGGAAAATGCGCTCCAAAGCTAAAATTATCAATAGAGCGCACTTGAACAAAATGGGTTTCTATAGGATTTCTTGGAGATTCTATACAGTAACCCTGGATTACTGTAGCTCATTTTGTAGAGAATTTCAAGAGCTACAAAATGAGCTACAGTAATCCAGGGTTACTGTAGGAAAAAACCCCGGTAAAATGCACTCCAAAGCTAAAATTCTCATTAGAGCGCATTTGAATAAAATGGGTTTCTATAGGATTTCTCGGAGATTCTCTACAGTAACCCTGGATTACTGTAGCTCATCTTGTAGAGAATTTCAAGGGCTTTAAAATGAGGTATAGAAGTCCAGGGTTACTGTAGGGAAACGTGAGAAAAGATAAAATTCTCATTAGAGCGCAATTGAACAAAATGGGTTTCTATCGGAATTCTCGGAGATTCTCTACAGTAACCCTGGACTACTGTAGCTCATTTTGTAGAGAATTTCAATGAGCTACAGTAATCCTAAGGTTACTGTAGAAAAACTCGCGAAAATACGCTCCAAAGCCAAAAAACAAAATTCTCATTAGAGCGCACTTGAAAAAAATGGGTTTTCTCTAGGAATCTTTGAGATTTCTAAAGAAGTTAAGCTATCATTTTGAAGCCCTTGAAATTCTCTACAAAATGAGCTACAGTAATCCTGGGTTACTGTAGAAATGCTAGATTTTGGCGCGAAAAAATTATGAATTCTCATTAGAGCGCATTTGAACAAGAATTTTTGAGATTCCTGGGGAAGTTAGGGTATCATTTTGTAGCTCTCAAAATTCTCTACAAAATGAGCTACAGTACTTCTAGTTCTCATTAGAGCGCACTTGAAAATATAAGTATTTGGTGTCATTTTGAAGCTCTCTCCGCTCCCTCTAAAAGTTCGCCTAACTCACCCAATTTCTGCCATTGTTTCTCACTTTCATTATCAATTTTATCATTAATCCTTCCATGTTTTTCCCATTTTTTCAACGAATCCATAATCGCATAATCGGTCAATTTAACCATCCAATTTTTATCGATTAGTGTTGACCACGTGGAAAGTGAACCGTGAAAACCGATTTGTGAACTGTGCAAATATTCCAGACCCATTGTTATGTCTTTCACAAATGCCGCGTGGAATTTCTCGTCCATTACTACTTTGTCACTGTAGATCACGTCCTGCAAAATTGGGGGTTACTGTAGTTTTCGCCTTGAGACCTGACCTAATTGGGAATTTCAAGGGCTTCAAAATGATACCCTTTTTGCCTATCTACAGTAACCTTGGAGTACTGTATCTCATTTTGTAGAGAATTTCAAGAGCTTCAAAATGAAATACAGTACTCCCAAGGTTACTGTAGGATGATTTTCATTAGAGCGCTCTTTAACAAAAAACGCTCTATTGATAATTTTTTTCACCGCGCATTTTCTTTAGGATTTTCTACAGTAACCTTAGGAGTACTGTAGCTCAATTTGAAGCTCTTGAAATTCTCTACAAAATGAGATACAGTAGTCTAGGGTTACTGTAGAAAAACTAGGGCAAATGCGCTCCAAAACAAAATTATCATTGGAGCGCACATGACCCCTCATGTCAGTTTTGAAGCGCATTTTTTCCATAATTTTCTACAGTAACCCTAGGCATACTGTAGCTCATTTTGAAGCCCTTGAAATTCTCTACAAAATGAGCTACAGTATCGCTAGGATTACTGTAGAAAAACTAGAGCAAATGCGCTCCAAAACAAAATTATCATTGGAGCGCGCATGCCCCCTCATGTCAGTTTTGAAGCGCATTTTTTCCATAATTTTCTACAGTAACCCCAGGATTACTGTAGCTCATTTTGAAGCTCTTGAAATTCCCTACAAAATGAGCTACAGTACTCCTAGGTTACTGTAGCGAAAAATTATTTTTGCCACGTTGAATGATCCGATTTTCAAAAATTAAAAAAAAACGGAAAATCCACAAATTTTCTACAGTAACCCTAGGATTACTGTAGCTCATTTTGTAGAGAATTTCAAGGGCTTCAAAATAAGCTACAATAGTCTAGGGTTACTGTAGCGTAAATTATTTTTGACACGTGGAATGTTCCGATTTTCAAAAAAAAAAACCAAAAATCCACAAATTTTCTACAGTAACCCTAGACATACTGTAGCTCATTTTGAAGCTCTTGAAATTCCCTACAATATGAGATACAGTACCCCCAAGGTTACTGTAGCGAAAAATATAGTTTTGCCACGTGGAATGATCCGAGCAAAATCAAGAAAATTTTTTGAAAAACCCAAAATCCACAAATTTTCTACAGTAACCCTAGACATACTGTACCTCATTTTGAAGCTCTCAAAATACTCTACAGTAATCCTACAGTACCCCCCATACCTGTAATGTTCCTCTCGAGCAATATTTCCACAACAACAACAGCTCTCCACCCTCATTAAAACTAATTCCCAAAAACGGATTAATATTGTCGTGCACCGCCTGTTTCATTTTCGTCAAAAGCACAAGGTCCTGACGCGAAAACCGTATATTGCCACGTTGCTCATAGATATCATAGACCGAATGAGTGTTGACACCAATTATCGCATGATTTCGCACCAAATTCGTTTTACACGACATTTTGGTGGATTCCGAATTCAGTGAAATCATCGATTTCGCCTGTTCTTCGTCGAGAATCTGAATGTCTTGACGGAAGATTCGCCACGGCATTTTCTCCAGGGATACTGTCTCGCTGCAAACAATCTGGGTTACTGTAGATTTGGGGGTTACTGTAGACAAGGGCTTCAAAATGAGGTACAACATGCCTAGGGAAGTATTCAAGTGCGCTCTAAGGATCATTTTTCTACAGTAATCCTGGAGTACTGTAGCTCATTTTGTAGGGAATTTGAAGAGCTACAAAATGAGCTACAGTACTCCTAGATTACTGTAGAAAAATGTCAAGAAAACCTTTGGAACATTTTTGAATTTCTCGAGCTTGAAAATCATGATTTTAGGCCAAAAGTTGACTAAATATAGCAAATGCGCCCCATTGAACTTTTAGTTTTCTGTAGAAAAATTCAAATTTTCATTTTTTTTTTCAAATTTCAAATTTTGTTCAAATGCGCTCTATTGATAATTTTGCATTTCCGTCAAAATTTTCTACAGTAACCCTGGAGTACTGTAGCTTTTCTCATAGAAAATTTCAAGGGCTACAAGGTGAGCTACAGTACTCATGGGTTACTGTAGAAAATTGTCAATAAATCTTGAAGAAACTGGATTTTGTTCAAATGCGCTCTGATGAGAATTTGTGTTTCAGGCTCGATTTTCTACAGTAACCCTAGGTTTACTGTAGTTCATATTGCAGCTCTTGGAATTCCCTACAAGATAAACTACAGTACTCCTAGGTTACTGTAGCGGATCCTCCAGAAATCGCTTGAAAGCACATTTTTATCAAATGCGCTCTAATGAGAATTGTTCTACAGTAACCCCAGGACAATTATACCTCATTTTGAAGCCCTTCAAATCCCCTACAGTAATCCGACTCACCAAAATCTCCTAATCCAAAAAAATCCGCCAATAATCATCGCCAAACACACCACAACCGTAACACTTATAATAGTCTGTGTATAATCGCAATTCTCGTTGCGGAAACCGCATTCCGGATTGGTGTCCGGATATTTTCCGCTTTCCGAATTCCAGAAATTTGTGACAATATCAGTGGATGTTAGTTGGAGACAAATTATATCATCGCAGCCGGAATTGGTTACTGTAGCATTGATTATTGAGACGGGCCGCAGCTGGAATAAAAATCGATATTTCTCTAGATCTCTAGCTTTTCTCTGCGTCTCTAACTCTCTCTAATCTGAGAGAGAAAGGTTAGAGACGCAGAGAGTTAGGGAAGGTTGGGTTAGAGTTTAGAGAACTAGAGATTGCAAGATAGGTTAGAGACGCAGAGAAGTAGAGAGTTTTTGACAAATTCGGGGATTTTTTTGGGTTACTGTAGGTAGATCAGAACTCTCTACGTCTCTAACCTCCTCTGTTTCTCTAGCTTATCTAGCATCTCCAGTTTTCGACTTTTCTCTGCGTCTCTAATCATTCTGCTTCTCTATCCACTCTAGTCTCTCTGCGTCTCTACCCTATCTGGCCTCCAAATTTTTCTCTAGCTTCTCTAGTTCTCTAACCCTTTTTTCTAGTTTCTCTGCGTCTTTAACCCTTCTCTCTAGTCTCCCTAACCTTCTCTAGCCTCTGTAGTGCCTCTAGTTCTCTACCCCTCTCTAGCCTTTCCCTGCTTCTCTAACTTTGCTAGTTCTCTGCGTCTCTAACCTCCTCTGCGTCTCTAGCCTCTCTGCTTCTCTAGCTTCTCTAACACCTCTATCTTTCTCTGCGTCTCTAGCCTTTCTCTGCTTCTCTAACCTCTATCGATCTCTCTGCACCTCTAGCCACCTCTACTTCTCTAGCTTCTAACCTTCTCTAACCTCTCTCTGCTTCTCTAACCCTCTCTAGCCTTTCTGCGTCTCTAACCCTTCTGTCTAGTTTCTCTAGCTGCTCTCTGCATCTCTCACCTCCCCTGCTTATCTAGCCACTCTAGCCTACTCTGCTTCTCTACCATCTTCATTGTTTTCTGCTTCTCTAACCACTCTACCCTCTCTAACCTCTGCTTCTCTATCTTTCTCTGCGTCTCTACCCCGCTCTCTCTCTCTCTCCCTCTCTCTCTCCACTCTCTCTCACCTGTTCCCTCATCGAATCCACATAATACGCCTTCATCGTCTCCGTTCTTTCCGCGGCCGCATTCAAAACAATCTGATTTCCGCTAACTCCCTCATACGATTTGCCACGTAGATAATTCCAGAATTTCCTTCCATCCAATTTCTTTTCCTCGGCCGATTGCAGGTATTTTTTGGCGGATTTCGCGAAAATTGTAAAGGAGTCGTAGAGAGCCACATAGTAGAAGAGTTGGGACTGAAAAATGAAGGGATTTTCAAGATTTTCATCAAATTTGGAGCTTTTAGACACCCCACACGACATATTTTGGTTGATTTTTTTTGAAAATTCACCAAAATATGCCTTGTGGGGTGTCAAATTGCTCCAAATTTGATGAAAAATCGATTGGTGACGTGGATTTCACGTGAAAATTAAAATTTTGGTGCCAAGAAATCGAAATTTTTGAATTTTCTTCAAAATATATGATGTTGGGTGTCTAACAGCTCCAAATTTCATTAAAAAATGTTTGGCACCAAAAGCAACCCTTGAAAATCAATTTTGGCGCCAAAATATGCCTTATGAGGTGTCAAAATGCTCCAAATTCCACGAAAAAATCTAAATTTCCCTATGCTCACCTCATCAATATAAATTCTCTTCTGAAAAACGTCCAAAAACGCGGCCAAAAGTTGATCGTCGAACGCGAAACCGTTGAAAATCTGAATACCATTTCGAAAATTGCGGAAAATTTCCGCAATTTTCGATTTTCCCTGGAATGTTGACGTCATAATTGGATAGATGAACACGAATTCAGATGACGAGATTTTGGCCTGCAAAAAATATGATGGGGTACTGTAGGGTAGATCAAATTTTGGGGTACTGTAGCTCAAAACCTGGGCTCAAAAACCATCAAATTTGACGGGATAAAAAGAGTACTGTAGATAGGGTAGATCAAATTTTCGCACCGAAAAATTCAAATTCAGAAAAAGTCTGATCTACCTACAGTAACCCAAGAATTTTTAAATTTCAAAAAAAAAACACAAATTTCATTGTCAGGTCAATTTTTGAGTTACAGTACTCCAATGCATTTTGGCGCCAAAAAATGGCTGGATTACTGTAGCTCAAAAGTTTTTAGAAGGTTACTGTAGACAGGGTAGATCAAATTTTGGGGTTAAAAATGGCTGGGTTACTGTAGATCAAAATCTAGCCTCAAAAACCATCAAATTTAACGGGATTTTTCCCGGGGTTACTGTAGGGTGGATCAAATTTTGGTACCAAAAATGGTTGGGTTACTGTAGCTCAAACCCTGGGCTCAAAAACCATCAAGTTTGACGGGATAAAAAGATTACTGTAGATAAGGTAGATCAAATTTTGGCGCCAAAAATGGCTGGATTACTGTAGATCAAAACCTGGGCTCAAAAAACACCAAATTTGACGGGATTTTTCCCGGGGTTACTGTAGATAGGGTAGATCAAACTTTGGCGCCAAAAAATTCAAAATCAGAAAAAAGTATGATCTACCTACAGTAACCCAATAATTTTTAATCTGAAAAAAAATTTTGAGTTACAGTACTCCAATGCATTTTGGCGCCAAAAATGGCTGGATTACTGTAGCTCAAAACCTGGGCTCAAAAACCATCAAATTTGACGGGGATTTTTCCTGGGTTACTGTAGGGTAGATCAAATGTTGACGCAAAAAAAAAAACAAATTTAGAAAAGGTCTGATCTACCTACAGTAACCCAAGAATTTTCCGGGTTTTTCAAGCCCAAACAGGTTACTGTAGGTAGGTAGATCAAATTTCGGTGTTAAAAATGTCTGGGTTACTGTAGATCTAAAACTAGGCTCAAATTTAACCTAGAATCTCAAGATTTTCCCGGGTTACTGTAGGGTAGATCGAATTTTGCCGCCAAAAAAGCTCAAATTTAGCCTAAATTCTCGGGATTTTTCCCGGGGTTACTGTAGAATTTTGGCGCCAAAAAACCCACCATCTCCGAAGCATTCTTAAATGCCTCATATTGTTGCCACGTGGCAAAAACGGGTAAAATAATCCGCGAACTCTCTCGAATCTCCTCAAAAATGCCCGAATTCATCAAATCCGAAGTGTCTTCGAAAATGATTTTTTTGGAAATTTCGATTTTTTTCTGGCGCATCGCCAATTCCAGTGTCTGAACACGTTCGAAACTCTCGGCTCCCAAATTCGACAAAATCGCAATTTGGCTGAAATTCTGATGAGCCAAGAATTGGGCGGTGGAATCGGCGATTTGCACGGCATTCTGGAAACCGGTGCGGATGAGGGTTGAGTAGATTTTGGAAGCGGAAAATTGCGAGGCGGATGCGGAATAGCCGAAAATGGGAATGTTCCAGAAGGAGGCCATTGTGGCGACGGAAGAGAGTTCTGGAAAAATATGGGGTACTGTAGGTTTTGGCGCCAAAAAAATTGATCTATGGATACTACTGTAGATCACATTTTTTGGCGCGAAAATCCGAGCAAAATTTATGTTTTTTGATGGATTTTGAGATGAGCTCCTGGTTTTTTTTCAGTAGATCAAATTTCTGGCGCGAAACTATCGGGTTACTGTAGGTTGGAGTACTGTAGATTGAGTTACTGTAGGTTTTGGCGCCAAAAAAACGAAGTTCTTCGATAGATTTTGGGCATTTTTGTAGATCAAATTTTTGGATTACTGTAGGTCAAACAGAATACAGATATAAAAAGTACTGTAGGATTTTTAGCGCCTGAATTTGGGTTACTGTAGGTTGGAGTACTGTAGTTTGTATCCTGTCAAAAACAGGGCCAAAATTGATCAATTTTGACCCAATTTTTCTGGGAATTTTTTGGATTACTGTAGGTTTTGGCACCAAATTTTCAGAAAAATCTGAAAATTTTCAGCTTTTCCCTCTGAATTTTTTGGAATTTCCTACAAATTTATTCCATTTTTTTCTTGTTTTTCGGGAAGAAAAAAGAATAATAATTAGAAATTCTGAATTTTTGATTTCACTTTTTGCATTTTTTCATGTACATTTACAGGAGATTTTTTTTTTGGCGCCAAAATTTGAAATTTGATCTACAGTAACCTTGATCCCCCATTTTCCCGCGATTTTTCTGTGAAAAAATTGAGCAAAAAGTTCCTATAACTTATAAATTATGCTAATTTCTGAGTTCTCGGAAACTTTTTTTCGAGAAAAAAAGTTTTTTTCCAGAATTCATTAGTTTCCCCGTTTTTTTAGTAGGAAAATTTAATTTGACACTTTTTTCTCAAAAAAAAAAAAAAGTTGGCTTTTGACACGAGCGCATTTTTGATCTACGAAAAAATTGCGAGAGATTAAAAAACTTTTTTTTTGGAAAATTTTGAGCTACAGTAACCCTGGGATACTGTAGATTCCAAGAAGTATTAGTTCCTTTGAATAGTCATGACCTACATCTACAGTAACCCAGAATTACTGTAGCATTTTTATTTTTTTACTGTAGATGTTTCCCGAGCTACAGTAATCCAGGGTTACTGTAGCAATTTAATTTTGATACATTTTTTGAAGAAAAATCAAAAACCATTATTTTTTGTTGGAAATTTGCTATTTTCAACAAACTACAGTAATCCAGGGTTACTGTAGAACCAGAAAAAGATTACTGTAGAAACTTCCTGAGCTACAGTAACCCGCAGTATCCAATAGGTTACTGTAATGCACTATTTTTGAACTTTCCAAACGATCCCCAAATTCTTAGTTCCTACAGTAATCCAGGTATACTGTAGTTTGTTCCTTTAAATCTTGTACAGTAATCCAAAAGCTTCCAAAGGTTACTGTACCCCCAGGGTTACTGTAAGATCTACAGTAACCTTTCAGAAATGCCAAAACTAGGGCCCTATATACAGAACCCCACTACAGTAATCCTGGACTACTGTAGCTACAGTACTCCCCCTCCTCACCTTGACTACAGTATGGCCCAAAAAACGCGTCGACTTTCTGCTTGTGATACAATTCCGCAGCTGCCGCAACTCCCTCAAATGACGATCCGCAACCTTCCGCGTTCAAAATTCTGAAAAAAAAAACGGATTTTTGAGGCCGAAAAAAGCCCAGTTTTCAGGCTTTTCAGGGGCCCGGAAAACTTACTGAATATCAAAATTCTCATCCAAAACCCCTTCCAATTTCATCGCTTTTTTTGCCGATTCCAAAATTGTCGACAAAATTTCGCCATTTTCTTTGGTGCCGATATTTCCGATTTTTAGCTGGAAATAGGTATACTGTAGATTACTGTAGGTACAGTAATCCAGCAGATTACTGTGGATTGTAAGAGCTACCTACCTACAGTAATCTAGAAGAGTGTACTGTAGATTAGTCATTTTTGAGAGCTCTTTGATTTTTGGCACAACTTCTTGATCTACCTTGTACAGTACTCTAGATTACTGTAGATTTGTGCAAAGCTACAGTAATCTAGAAACCCGAAGATTTTGATGTAAAATTTTTAGGCTTACTGTAAGTCAGCACAGTATCTCTACGTCTAGAGACTACTGTAGCTCAAATTTTCCAGAACTTTCGATCTACACTACAGTAACCTAGATTACTGTAGATCTACAGTAAGAAGAATTTTCGACTTACCACAACTTTCTCCTGCTCCTCCGCCAAAATCACACCAAAAAATATTCCAAGCACCAAAAATTCGCGCATTTTCAGCACAATATGTTGTTTTTCGACTTTTTCCAGCTCATTTTATAGTTATCCTAAATCCCTCCTTCCAAATCCTTTCACACATTTTCAAAATCCTCAATAATCTTTCGAAAATTAATCAATTTAGAGTGGCGCCTACAGTAATCCTGAGCCGTTTTTCTCCAAAAAAACATGTAAATTTTCAACCAATCTAATAAATTACTATTCGTCATCATTTTCCCACCAAAGTACGGTCATTTTTGGCGCCAAAAATTCCCCCGTAAGCTCTAGACTCCGCCCATTTCTCCAAAAGTGGGCGGAGCCAAAAAGAGCACAAAAAAAGCTCACTCACACTCGTCATTTCATTTTTCTCCCCCTTTCTTTTCCATAGGTTTTTCCTCGAAACGCCTTAATCTTATATTTTATGCTAATATGAGCAATGCCCAATTAATTCCGCTCACAAGAGTTGCTCATATTAGCCAAATTGACTTTATTACTGGAAAATGTAGCAATTTCTCATGCTAGACTAAATTTAGCTCATTTTTTGGAAAATGGGGGGCTTTTTGAGGTATTGCTCATGTTAAACTATAGTTAGCGTAGCTAGTTAATATGAGCAATCATCCTAGCTTCTCATTATCTCTTGTGTAATATGAGCAATCCGGTATTTGCACTTTTCTAGGCTAGACTTATTATAAATGTAATATGAGCAATGTTTGAGAATCACGTGAGCATTGCTCATATTAAGCCCTTCAGTCAGGCTTAACATGAGCAACTCCCTGGTTTTTTTCTAGATTGCTCATACCAGACCTGTCGTTTTGCGGCTATTTGCGGCCCTCGGGCCAGCCATGTGAAGGGCCGGCCTAGCCAGCCCAAATAGGGTAAATGGGCTGGCTCAGCCCGGCCTTTCCAACAAATTTTATTGTGTAAATGCACTATTTTTCAATGGTGTTTCTTTCGAATTTTTGCATTTTGGCGGAAGAAAATTGGCGTATTTCGTGTTCCTAATGGTGGATTGATAATAAAAGTGAAATTTATTGAAATTCATGTGTTTCACCATTACGATCCTGCACCAAAACATTACTTAGAAGAAATGTTGGTGCACTAACACTAATATAAGTTATTCTGATTTACAAAAGTCGCCCAAATGCAGAAAATTTGAGCAAAATCATCCATTTGTAAAAATCCCGAATTGTCATCAAAAAATTATGAAGGGCCGAAAAAAGGGCTGAAACAGCCTCTCATAAAAAAAGAAGGGCCGGAGGGCCGAAAAAGCCCGCATTTTTTGAATTTTGAAGGGCTGGCCCGGCCCGGCCGCCCAAAAACGACAGGTCTGGCTCATACTAAACTCTGCTACGAGTTTAATATGAGCAATCTTTATGCTTCTTTCTCGATTACTCATATTAAACCCTCTCATCGGGTATAATATGAGCAATCTATATTTTTCGTACGATTACTCATGTTAGCATGAGCAATCTTCTATATTTTTCTACTCGATTGCTCACACTAAACCCTCGCATCGGGTATAATATGAGCAATCTATATCAATTTCATTTATTGTCCCTACCGCAAGTATAATATGAGCAATCTCCAAATTTTACAGCTCAAAATGTTCATCCGTCTCATTTTGGCAATTCTGGGTCTCATCGCGACATCTACCGTACTCTGCGCACCCGGTCTTTTCGCTCTTCCATCAAAATCGCTTCGTAGTGATCCATCGGTTTACGAGGGCTACGAGAACAGTTTCTATCGAGGTATGCGCCTTTAAAAAGTGTACTAATCTTACTGTATGTTTTGCAGGTTACGGTGCTGATCAACCATTCCGTTTCGGTCAAGGAGCCGGCTCAAATTGGTGAAAAATTTGGATTAAATGAGTAAAAGTGTTGTTAACATGAGCAATCGTGGTGAAAAAATAAATTATTTTATGAAAACAAAAAAAAATAACAAAAATGTGGGCTCGCGGAGCCTATCTTTCCAAATCTTTTGCGGATTTTCCGCGTTGTTTCGGCATTTTTTTGTTGGTACTATCTTCGAGCTCACGGCCTTTGTAATAATGTGGAGCCACTTCCAGCAACCAACTTGATTCGATTTCAGACATCTGGAAATGTTGATTGAATACAAAATTAAAATATTCTCTAAAATATTTAGTTTCTATGGTTGGAAATTTGCATAAAAATATTTTATGTATGGGATTTTCAGCCACAAATTTCAGGGGGTTTTTGAAATTTCTTTGAAAACTAGAGCTGAATTTACAGCTAGAAATTTAAAAAATTTTTAAGTTTATTCCGAATTTTTTAGAGTTTGGATAAGTTCTCACAAAATTTCAGATTCTTAACTGAATTTTTCAATCTTTATTGATTTTCAATAGAGTTTCTCCGATTTTTCGTAAAATTTCAAAATTTTGCTGTCTAGTGATCCTCACATTTTCAGATTAATTTTCTAAAAATTTCGAAACTTTTCAAATTAATGAAAAATGTTTAGTGATCTTATTCAGTTTAGATAAGTACCCAAAATTTCAGATTTTTTTTATATTTAGGCTACTTGTTCTACAAAAATCCAAATTTTTCTTCAAATCCTCCCCTCTCAAAAAATGTCCAGTGTTCCTAATTAAATTCCCTTATTTTCCATGCACTGAAAAAAAGCCCATGAAAAATACTACTAATTTTATTATTCTCATATTTTTTTCATTATTTTCCCCCATATGTCAATTTTGTGTCATTCAATAATCTTCCTGGTTTTTTTTCATATGAAAATTGAGCCAATCAACATTTATTCATTTGAAAAAAAACTGCAACTTTTTTGTTGTTTGGTTCGAGAAAAAGGCTAAACATCACAGAGTTCTTTAAATTTTCATTTTTTTGTTAGAAAATTATTTCCGGTTTTTAGAAAAGGTGAACTTTGAAATAAAAAAACACTTGGGAATTCCCACGCCAAATTTTAATTTTAATTTCAGACTGAAAATAAAAATATATATGGTTTTGTACTATAAGAGATCTGAAATTCTCAATTTTCAGAGGAACACAGAATAATTCTGTCAATTTCAGTTGTTTTTTGAATTCGTCTAACTGAAAATTGAAAGGGGATGGGTTTTTGGTCAAAATAACTAATTTTTAGTGAAATATTTGGATTTTTAACTGGTTTTGGGGGTTCCGTAGTTTTTATGACGAAATTTTGTGAAATTTTTTGAAATTCTAATAATTCTTGTTTTTTTGTTTCCGAAACAAAATTCCCTGGAAATCCAGATTTTCTCATAGTTATCAAAGCAATTATCCAAATTTTCATAAAATTTCCCAAAATTTCAGTAATTTTTCGTATAGTTTTCTCACAATTAGAAAATTCCAGCTTATTTGAAGAATTTCAGATTTTCAGATAAAATTTTCTCTCATCATTTCCTGCCCACTAAAAACTTCTCACAAAATCAAATCAACTTGCAAAGAATCAAAGAAAATTTGTCATTTCCTCATCATTTTTGCTCCTCTTTTTGACTTGACCAAATTCAATTTACAGCAACTACTAGAACTATGTGCATTTTTGGATCTAGATACAAATATTATTTTTGGATGAGCAGAGCACAAAAAACTCCGAAAATAATATAGTTCTGCTAAATTTTTTCAAAAGAATAAAGGAAGAAAAAATGTGTGTGGGATTGGGATTTGCAAAAGGAAATGATGATTAATCTGTGATTTTTAAAGGGGATTTTATTTGGAAAGCTCAAAAGTTCGGAAAATTTCCATGAATTTTAAAATGGATAATTGAAATTCTCAGAAAACTTGAAACAAATGTTTCAAGCGTCACGTTTTTTTATTTTTTTTTCTGAATGATACATTTTGGGTAGTTTTTTTCCCTAAACTTTGCTCTAGAAAGTCTAAAAAACAATAAAAAGCCTAGAAAATTAGCCAAACTAGGAGAAAAGGTTGAAAAATGTCTAGTTGAAGTTGTTAAACTAGAAAATCTTGAGCTAATTTCGAAAATATGTGAGGGACTTGGACTAAAACTGGAAATTTCAGATTTTTCGAAAGGGAGCTGAAAGTTCACAGGATAATAGCGGATCTATGAGTTGCGGATTTCTGAATCTAGTTTTTGAACAGAAAAATCTACATCAGAGTCAAAAATTCTAAATGAAATCATTATTTCACTGAAAAATCTCGAAAATCCAATAATTTCAAAATGTTCAGTAGTGAAGCTTTATTCAAATCTCAAATTTATTTTTCATGGGGCTATTCATGTATTTTCTCAGCATGTTGAGAAAACAGGAGAAATGCGGAGGAAATAGATTTTCTCCGCTTTTTTCGTATTTTCTCAGCCTACCTGAATAGGTTTTCTCCGCTTTTCTCCCGTTTTCTCAGCGTTGAAAAATAACATGAATAGCCCCATCAAATATTTTTCTTTGCAACAAAAAATTCCGCAGTTCAAACAAATTTATTTCGTTTCACAAAAAACAACAACAAATTAGTCACTCCATTAATTCCCTCTTTTTTTTGAAATTGAAAAATCTCCAACTAATTGTTATTCTGAAAAACCTGGAAAATAGAAAAAAAACATGAAAAACACTTGGGAAGCTGAAAAATGTCTCAAAATTTTCGAAATACAAGAAACCCGTAGATTTTCTTAAAAGAAGCTTGAAAAGTGTCTGAAACAATGGAAAGTTTGGATAAAATTACAAAAAAACCTACATTTCCTGGTAAAATTTCTAAAAATGTGTGGAAATGACTTGAAAACCATGTGGTCAAGTGGTATCGCGCTGAATTTCCAGGAACAAGACCAAGGTTCGATTCCTTATGCCGTCTATTATTTAGAATTCTGAAAAAAATGATAAAAATACAGAAAAACCTACATTTCTCTTGAAATAGCCAAAAAAACAAAGAAAAATTGAATAAAACAAAAAGAAAAAAGTGCAGGTCCCGTCTGGAAATTCCCAATTTCCAGAAAAACACCCACAAATTTTTGTGGTCGATTAATTTTATTATTTGAATTTTTGTGCACTTTTTGTTGTTTCCGGTGGGCCGCCAGACATTTTTCAAAGGGGAAAACATGAGAAAATGTTTGGGTGTGGGAAAAAACGACTGAGGGTGACGAATTTCCCAAAATTTTAAGGTAGTAACCCAGATTTCATACTCTTTAGGTATAATATATCAAAATTCCCAAATTTTCCATTCAAAAATAGCGATTTCTGATGTCTAAAAGTCGAAAACACGCAGATTTTTGCAAATTTTCATTAATTTTAAAGTGGGGGAGTGCAAGAAAATTCGAATTAAATCGAGAGAAAAAATAAATCGGAAAAACAACAACAAAAAATTTGGAAAATTGAAATTGAGGGAAAATTTGAATATTTTATAGCAAAGTTCGAATTTCTGCTCAAATTTTCAGATTTTAGAACTTATCGGGTTGAAAATCATAATTTCCAGGCTTCTGGGTTGAAAATTCCCGAAAATCCCGAATTTTAGGCTAAAAATTCATGAAAACATCAATTTTAGGTCAAAATTTTCAGATTTTTCAGTTTCTGGGGTCAAAACTCCAGAAAACCACTCACCTCTCTCATAAATTCCTTGCTCGTGAAAACGAGTTCATAATAGACGACCCATCGCGGGGTTTCTTCAAATAAACACGAATTTGGATGTGGGTGGGTGGTGTGCTTGTGTTTGACCGTTTTATAGTGACCTGAAATTAATTTTTGAGTGAAAATCATCATTTTTCATGAATTTTGAGCTAAAATTCATCATTTCCCATCAATTTTGGGTCAAAATTCATCAGACAAAAAAAATAAAAATTTGAATTTTCCTTCAAAACGGGTATAGTTCAATGGAGCGCGTTTGCTATTTTTGGCTCAAAATTCATCATTTTTATTGATTTTCAGGTCAAAATCCATCAAATCTCCCAATTTTTGTCTTATTTGCCCAGAAAAATGCTGACCAGTATTATCCAATTTCGAAACATTATAAAAATAGCCAGCAGTGATGGCTTTTCGAATATTTACAGTATCCGTCGATGTTTTCAGCTCAATTTCGACTCTTTCCAATAGTCCAACAAGTTGATCTCGAACATCGCGGGCTCTTTTCATTGTACGGTGTTGCACAAAGTTTTCCATACACCTAAAATGAGGAATTTGGGGATTTTGAGGCAAAAAATGATAAATTTTCTTGAATTTTGGGATTTTCCATGAAATTCTAATCATTTTGAGCCCAGGAATACTAATTTTTGGTCAAAATTCATCAAATTAGAAAAATTAAACATTTGAATTTTTTAACAAAACGGGGACAGTTCAATAGAGCACATTTGCTGATTTTGGCTCAAAATTGACCATTTTTCATGAATTTCAGGTCCAATTTCAGCTCATTTCAAGATTTTTGGGTTTTTCCATGAAATTCCGATCATTTTGAGCCCCGGAATGCTAAATTCAGGTCAAAATTAATCAAACTAAAAAAAACGAAAATTCGAATTTTTCAACAAAACGGGGAGAGTTCAATAGAGCGCATTTGCTATTTTTGGCTCAAAATTGACCATTTTTCAGGAATTTTGGGATTTTCCATGAAATTTCGATCATTTGGAGCCCAAAAATACTATTTTAGCTTAAAATTCATAAAATAAAAAATTGAAAATTTGAATTTTTCAACAAAAAAGGGGATAGTTCAATGGGGCGCATTTGCTATTTTTGAACAAAAAATCACGTTTTCGGGTCAAAATTCACGAAATTCATCAAATTTGAGCTCAAAATGCTCCGAAAAATGCAATTCTTCTAGTTTTCCATAAAAATTCCCCAAATTTGTGCTCAAAATGCTCCAAATCCCCTAAAAAAAACCCACCATTGTTGCGAATAACCCGATTCTTTCCATTTATTATAAACATTCATTAATGTGATATGATCTCCGGCTGGACTCCAAAATCCTTTCCGCGCGGAATCCGCGTGGATTACCATGGCTTTTGGTCGATAAAATACGGCAGCATTACACGATAACATTGCGCAAATTGTTAGAATTTCTTCAGAACATTCATATCTGAAAATGGGTGGTTTTGAGGGGTTTTTAGGCCTAAAATTGGCCTGAAACGGCCTGAAAAAGCCTAAAATTGGCCCGAAAAGGCCTAAAAAGCCCCCGAAAAATCTCACTTTTCACTAGCAATAATCATTTTACTCATACATGGATCACACGGGAATTCGGCCATTCTTCTTCCGAGTTTCGTCAACTCTCCTCGATGATTCAAAGCTCCAAGAGCATAGAGTTGCTCCAATGCAATTACGAGGGTTTCCTGTGGGAAAAATGAAGGTTTTTGGGTTATTTTTCATGAAAAACCCGTTAAAAATGGTCTAAAAATCCAAAAATTACCTGCGGTGGCGGATCCAAAAAGTCAAAATGAACCAAATCGTGAATTCCCAAACTTTTCAGCATCAATACAACATTTCCAAGATTTGTTCGTTGAATTTCGGGAATCGGTTGTTCTTCTAATTCATGTTTGAAAGCCCAGGCTGTATATAATCTGGAAAAATGGGAAATTTTCAAGATTGCTCATGTTAATTTTCGAATTTGTTGAGAAATTTACGTCAGAAAGATGGGGAAAAGCCTAAATTTGATGAAAATTGAGAATTGCTCATGTTAGTTCAGGTTCAAAAACATTTCATAGTAAATTTTCATTAGAAAAGATTGCTCATGTTACTTTTCAAGTTTCTTATGAAATTTACGTCAGAAAGATAGGTCAAAAGCCTAAATTTGATAAAAATTGAGCATTGCTCATGTTATTTGGATTCACTATTAGCTTTTATCATTATTTTCATCAAAAAAAACATTGCTCATATTATATCACGTTCAAAAATGAGCATTGCTCATATTAAATTCAAAATTCGATTGCTCATGTTAGCTTTTCATCAAAATTCGGGGGTTTTTGGGGTAAAACTTGATGAAAAATCCAAAAATCCAAGATTTTCTGGTCCAAAAAGCAAGAATAGGCCTAAATTAGGCTTATGAGGTATCTTTAGGACCAAAATTTGCTAAAAAATCCAGAAATTCAGGGTTTTAGGCCTAACAAGCCAGAAAAGGCCTAAATTAGGCTCATTATGTATCATTGGAACCAAAATTTCATAAAAAAAACTTAAAAATCTAGGCTTTTCTGGCCCAAGAAGCCCAGATTAGGCCTATGAGGTATCATTAGAGCCAAAATTAAATGGAAAAATCGAAAATCCAAGATTTTCTGGTCCAAGAAGCCAAAACAGGCCTAAATTAGGCTTATAATGTATCATTGGAACCAAAATTCATGAAAAACTCGAAAATCCAGACTTTTCTGGTCGAAAAAGCCAAAACAGGCCAAAATTAGGCTTATGAGGTATCTTTAGGACCAAAATTTCGTGAAAAATCCAGAAATTCAGGATTTAAGGGCTAAAAGGCCTATGGGACATCTTAAAACCCGAAATTTGATGGAAAATTCGAAAATCTAGGCTTTTCTGGCCTAAGAAGCCCAAATAAGCCTAGTTCAGACTTATGAGGTATCTTTAGGACCAAAACTTGATGAAAAATCCAGAAATGCAGGATATAAGGCCTAAAAGGCCTATGGGACATCTTAAAAACCGGAATTTGATGGGAAATTCGAAAATTTAGGCTTTTTTAGCCCAATAAGCCCAGATTAGGCTTATAAGGTATCTTTCGGACCCAAAATTTCATGCTAAACCCAAAAATCCTTACCTAAAACATTTTCCAGGTCCAGTTCTACCAGCTCTTCCAGCTCGTTGATTCGCAGCCGCTTTCGAAATTGTCACAACATGTAAATGCTCCACACCACTTCTTGCATCAAATGAATTCTGTTTTGAGAAACCCGGATCAATTACATAACTGATTCCATCAATTGTTACACTTGTTTCAGCAATATTTGTGGCCAAAACTACTTTTCGAGAATTTGGAGGAGTTGGTTCGAAGATTTTGGATTGAAGATCACTGGGAAGATTGGCGTAGACTGGCAGGGGAATTAGTTCCTGGAAATGAACAAATATAGTTAGGATAACTAATGAGGCGGGGGCTTAGGAAGCGGAAGATAGTGCAGAACAATAATTCCACGTGGCCGTGACATTGGGAACAATTTGAACCTTTAAAAATTCAGCCGAAGCAAGAAAAATTCAATTTTTTTCATCAAAAAAATGATTCGACTTATTGTAACTCATCTAATAATGGTTATTTATCTAATTCGAAGCTCTCCGGTTGAAAAATTCAAAATTCTAGAGTCATCTGTAGCCTGGCAGCCAATGTGATGTTTTTGAATAAAAATTATAAATTGTGAAGCGGAAGCTTGCGCGAAGCGCCACAATCTTCCGCGAGAGCGGCAATTCTCGAGCGCGTTAAGCGCGAGTGTAAACCGCAAGCTTCCGCGCAGCGGCCACGCGGATTAAAATGACGTTTGCCATATCATAGTAAACCACGTGGCCGCTGAAGCGGAAGACAGTGCCGCTGACGCGGAATCTTGCGGTTTACACTCGCTCCGCTCGAAATTTGGGCATAGCTTCCGCATCTCCGCTGAAATTCCAATAAAAATCTGAAAAATGCTGGAATTTTCAGCACATTTTATGGGACGGTTCAGAAACTAATTTATAGTTACTAAATCGTCCCATAATTTGTGCTGAAAATTCCAGTTTTCAGATTTTTATCAGATATTTCAGAAATTGACATGGGAATTTTTTTCGAGCGGAGCGAGTGTAGACCGGAAAATTCCGCGAAGCGGCACTATCTTCCGCTTTAGCGGCCAATCTCAAAGATAAGGCTCGGGCGTGGACGCTAAAGCGGAAGATAGTGCCGCTTCGCGGAATCTTCCGGTTTACACTCGCTCCGCTCGAATTTTGGGCATAGCTTCCGCATCTTCGCTGAAATTCCGATAAAAATCTGAAAAATGCTAGATTTTCTCCAGTTTTTCAGATTTTTATCAGATATTTCAGAGTGTGCATACATGTTTTACCCCTGGATTTATCCAGGGTTGCGGTCTTACTAACTCCGAAAAAAATTTGAGGTCCTACTAACTTTTTTTTTGAAAATTGTTTTAATTAGTTATCATCATAAAGTTTTGAACATGAAATCATTTTTCGATTTCAAAATTGCTCTAGATTATGTCACAAGGTCCAATCTTACTCATTATCCAAAATAAATGCTTTTTCTGAAAGATCTAGTGAGACCGCCGAACCAAAAACTATCAAAAATCTACTTTTTTCAACAATACACCACTCTTAACATCATAAAGTGTTAACGAAAATTGATTTTTGCATCTGAAAATCGTTCCAGGTTATGTCACAAAGTCTACTCGAAGGCATTATGCAAAATAAAACCCCTTTCTAAGAAGTCTACTGAGACCGCCGACCCAAAAACTATCGAAAATCTACTTTTTTCATCAATACACCACTTCTATCATCATAAAGTGTTAAACCAAAATTGATTTTAGCATCTGAAAATCGTTCTAGGTTATGCCACAAGGTCTATTCTTAATTATTATCCAGAATAAATGCCCTTTCTGAGAGGTCTACTGAGACCGCCGGGCACTTATATAAAATTCTGGATAAAATCCAGGGTAACCCTGGATAAAATCCAGTGGTCTCAACTATTTTCCCCATGCAGCATTATTTATCAATTTCATAGTTCAATATACCTCAATAGGACCTCTAGACACACTGTGCAAATTTTCAAGTGAAAATATTAATTTTGACATACTTTTCTAGGTTTTGAGTTTTCTGGTAATAACCAATTTTCAACATTTTCGAATGGAAAAAAGTATTTTATCGTATTTATTCATTGAAGATAAGCTTTTATACTGTATAAGGTCTAAAGAATTCGTATTTCAATTTACAATTCAATCCATGATTTTCTTCTATATTTTTTTGAATAATTGAATGTAAAATACAAAAATGTAATTTACTGTTTGTGTTTTTTCTATCTCTCAAACGCATCCTATTCAAATGAGAAAAACAGCATGCGGGTTATGTGGGCACACATAGCGCAGTGGTAGAGCGCTGAGTTAGGGACCCAATGGTAGCTACCATAGGGTTCGAGTTCACATACTGGAAACGTGTTGCAAAATTTTTCAATTTTTTTCGAAAAAAAAAATTTTTTTTTAGTGTGGGAGGCTTTTGCCCCCCACACTAACGGTCTCACTAACTTTGAAAATTTTTATTTGAGGTCTCGCTAACTGTAGGGGTCGATCCAGGCAGAAAAACATGTATGAAAGCGGAAGATAGTGCCGCTGACGCGGAATCTTGCGGGTTACATTTACCTACCTATAACTACTCAAATCCGGCTCATTCAAAAACTCTCTCAAAAGCATTCCATCAGTCATATATTTCAACACAGTCTTTTCGGATGTACAATCTTCGAATCGAATCGAATAACCGACTTTACTTCCCAATTTGCAGCCAACTTCATCAGCAACTCGAGAAGCGACTGACATTGCAGCAACTCGACGAGGTTGTGTGCACCCAATACGTTTGCCGTCCGAGCAGAAGCCCTGGAATATTTAGGACTAATATGAGCAATATAATAAAAAAAATTGAAATTTTGAATTTTTCATCAAAACGGGGATAGTTCAATAGAGCGCATTTGCTATTTTTCGCTCAAAATTGACCATTTTTCATGATTTTCAGCTCAAAATTACAGATTTTAAGCTTTCTGGCTAATTTGTCTGAAAAAAATGCATAATTTCGGGTCCAAAAATCACCAAGAAAAAAAAATGAAAATTTGAATATTCCATAAAAACGGGGAGAGTTCAATGGAGCACATTTGCTATTTTTGGCTCAAAATTCCAGGTTTCAAGCTGTCTAGCTCATTTGTTCATCAAAAATCTAGAAATTTAGCTGAAAATCAGAAATATGCATGATTTTCCGGCTAAAAATTCACCAGGACAAAAAAAAATGAAAATTTGAATTTTCTAATGAAACGGGAAGAGTTCAATAGAGCGCATTTGCTATTTTTGGCTCAAAATTGACAATTTTTCATGATTTTCAGCTTAAAATTCCAGCTTTTAAGCTTTCTAGCTCATTTGTTCATGAAAAATCTAAAACTTCGGCTCAAAATTCACCAAGAAAAAAAATTGAAAATTTGAATTTTTCAACAAAACGGGTAAAGAGCGAATAGAGCGCATTTGCTATTTTTAGTGAAAAAAATCACGTTTTCGGGTCAAAAATTGTGATTTTTAGAGTATTTCGGGTCAAAAATAACCAAAAATCACGAATTTTAGGTCAAAAACCTACCGCTTCATACAAATATTGTGGTAATTGTGTAGTTTTTCCCGATCCAGTTTCTCCTTCAATAATCAATACTTGATGTTCTTTAACCGCTTCAATAAATGCATCTCGAAATGCATAAACTGGCAAACTTTTCCGCGTTTCTTCAATCGTTTTTTTCCGCTCTTCAAATTCATTTTTCGCCTTTTTTTCAGCCATTTCTTCATTTGATCCAGGCATTTGAATTGCTTGAATAAAATCGATTTGTTCATCTAAAAGTAGCTCGAAATCCTCGGTTTTTGGTGCTTTTTTTGAGCCAGCTCCAATTGCATTTAATAATTGTTCGTGTTCCCATTTTGCACCATCTCCACCATGATAAATCTGAAAAAATGGGGATTTTCTGGCTGAAAATGTAAAGTTTTCTGGGAAAATTGAAATTTTGGGCATAGCTTCCGCATCTCCGCTGAAATTCCAATAGAAATCTGAAAAATGCTGGAATTTTTCAGCACAAATTATGGGACGATTCAGAAACTAGTTTATAGTTACTAAATCGTCCCATAATTTGTGCTGAAAATTCCAGTTTTCAGATTTTTATTAGATATTTCAGAAATGGACTTGGAAAGGGTTTTTCGAGCGGAGCGAGTGTAGACCGGAAAATTCCGCGTTAGCGGCACTATTTTCCGCTTTAGCGGCCACGCGGAACCATAGTAGTGAAGATTTTCCACGTCATAGCAATCCACGTGGCCGCTGAAGCGGAAGAAAGTGCCGCTTCGCGGAAGCTTCCGGTTTACACTCGCGCTAACGCGCTCGAAATTTGGGCATAGCTTCCGCATCTCCGCTGAAATTCCAATAAAAATCTGAAAAATGCTGGAATTTTCAGCACAAATTATGGGACGATTCAGAAACTAGTTTATAGTTACTAAATCGTCCCATAATTTGTGCTGAAAATTCCAGTTTTCAGATTTTTATTAGATATTTCAGAAATGGACTTGGAAAGGGTTTTTCGAGCGGAGCGAGTGTAGACCGGAAAATTCCGCGTTAGCGGCACTATTTTCCGCTTTAGCGGCCACGCGGAACCATAGTAGTGAAGATTTTCCACGTCATAGCAATCCACGTGGCCGCTGAAGCGGAAGAAAGTGCCGCTTCGCGGAAGCTTCCGGTTTACACTCGCGCTAACGCGCTCGAAATTTGGGCATAGCTTCCGCATCTCCGCTGAAATTCCAATAAAAATCTGAAAAATGCTGGAATTTCAGCACAAATTAGTTACTGAATCGTCCCATAATTTGTGCTGAAAATTCCAGTTTTCAGATTTTTATTAGATATTTTAGAAAAGGACTTGGAATTGATTTTTGACTTAAATTTGTAGAAAATTTCAGGATTTTCATTAATCTGAGCAATCAAATAGGCTAAAAATCGTCAATATTCAAAGAGAAAATCAGAATTCTTTAACCTGAGCAATCCCTGCCTTGTTCAGCTCAAAAATGTTTGATTTCTTGAAAATCAATCATTTTTTTGTTCAAAATCCTGCAATTTTTATCAATTTCAGAGGGAAAAAGCCAAATTCGATGAAATTTCATAGAAAACCCTGGATTTCCAAATCTGAGCAATCAATTCCCCCATTTTTGTGCTGAAAATCAATGATTTTCATCAATTTTGATAGGATAAGCCCAAAATTCATCAAAAATCAAATTTTTAGCTTGGAAATCGTAGAAAAATGTCATTTTTAACCTGAGCAATGCAATTCTAACAAAAATTAGCTTAGAAATGAGGGATTTTGATCAATTTTTCAAAAATCAAGCTCCCAAATCGTGAAAATTCCAGATTTTTTCAATAATTTCTAATCTGAGCAATCATTCTCACCGTCTCCTGTTCATCCACAACATTTTGCGGAATTCCCTTATCCCCCGATGGCACATGATATCTTTTAATCTTCATAATTTCCTGTGCATTTTCATGTTTCGTCGCATATTCCAATACTTTCCTCCTATATTCCATATCCTGTCTTTCTCTTTTCGTCAATTTCTCATTTCGAAACAATGTCTCATCATCATCAACAATTGCCTTGAGTTCTTCTAACTTATCATCTTTTCGTTTTGCCAAATATTGTCTTCTAGATTCTTCTCGAATTTTATCGATTGATGACGTGGCATTTCTATTTGATTCTCGTTTTTTCTCTGCGATATTTCTAGTCTTTTCTTTATCCTTTTTTCGAAGTCGCGCAGCTAAAGCATCACGTTCTTTTATATCTTCATCCAATTTTCCCTCAATTGCCTCAATATCACTTTCATCTGAGTCCGAAACTTGGGCCTGGGCCTGGGCCTGGGCCTTTTTAGGGGCCTCATCTTCACTTCCTGAGCTCTCCTGTCGTCTTCTAATATTCCTAGACCTCCCAGGTTCCTCCAAAGCCTGAACCGAATTATTAAGCCGGCTCATTTCTTGAGCCCTGAGCTCTGCTGCAGTTGGCCCCCGATTTCTCGCAGCAACTGTCTGCTTAGGCATTTTATCCATGAGTCTTGCAGCGAAATCTTGGATTGCGGAATTGATGGGAAAATCGCCAGCTTCTCGCAATTTCTCCAGAAGTTCCGAGGGATTTTTGGATTTTCTGGCGAGTGCGTGAACATATTGACAGATTGTACGATCGGAGATGCCGACGATCGAGTGAAGCTCGTCGTTGATGAATTGCTCCACCATCTGCAAAACAAATATGGTTTGGCGTGGCCGCTGAAGCGGAAGATAGTGCCGCGTAGGCGGAAGATAGCGGTTTACACTCGCGCTAACGCGCTCGAGAGAGAAATTTGGGCATAGCTTCCGCGTCTCCGCTGAAATTCCAATAAAAATATGAAAAATGCTGGAATTTTCAGCACAAATTATGGGAACTAGTTTATAGTTACTAAATCGTCCCATAATTTGTGCTGAAAATTCCAGTTTTCAGATTTTTATTAGATATTTCAGAATCTGACTTGAAATTCGCGCGTGGCGAGTGTAGACCGCAAGATTCCGCGAAGCGGCCATGCGGAAGCCTAAAACTACTAGGTTTATGCTTAGACAGGGCCGCTAAAGCGGAAACTCGCGGTTTACACTCGCTACGCTCGAAATTTGGGCATAGCTTCCGCATCTCCGCTGAAATTCCAATAAAAATCTGAAAAATGCTAGTATTTCTCCAGTTTTTCAGATTTTTATCAGATATTTCAGAATGTGACTTGAAATTCGAGCGGAGCGAGTGTAGACCGGAAAATTCCGCGAAGCGGCAATATCTTCCGCGTTGGCGGCCACGCGGTTTATTATGACTTTTGCCATATCATAGTAATTTACATGGCCGCTGAAGCGGAAGATAGTGCCGCTGACGCGGAAGCTTGCGGTTTACACTCGCTCCGCTCGAATTTTGGGCATAGCTTCCGCATCTCCGCTGAAATTCCAATAAAAATCTGAGAAATGCTGGAATTCCTCCAGTTTTTCAGATTTTTATCGGATATTTCAGAATCTGACTTGGAAAAAACGTTTCACAAAAGTGGTATACCAAAAATTAGTAAGGAAAAATTCGGCGTACCAATTGCTGAACAAAGTTTTTGGTACGCCCAAATTTGTCTTCACTTACTTTTGGTATACCACATTTGTGAATTCGGCCCCAGAACTTTCCTTCTTATATGAGTTATGACGTGTGGCAAAGTTTTCAAGTCACTATTTTCCAAGATATTTTTTCTTAACTTTGCCACGTCATAACTCATATTAGAAGTTTTTGACATCAGAATCGTGATTAGCGGATCAAAATCTACTACAAGGATACCTACTATATTTACCGGTTCCAAAAATGCCTGCAAGCGAGAAATGAAAACATTGATTCTTAATTTTTCGAATAATTTTATTTTTCACGTGATGACATAGTTAGATAAATTATTTTGAGCATTTTAGAATGAAAAAACTCATTTTGGTATGAGACAAGCTTCAAATGCCTGTGAGTCTGATTTATCATCGAAAAATGTGTTTTTTTTTCATATTTGAAGTTAAGCTAACTTAGGTTTTTGTGATTAGCGGCTCAAAATCCACTAGAAAACACATTTTTCATTGAAAACCTCGAAAAAAAGAAAAAAAACGAAAATAAAAAATATTTATTTTCGAATTTTTTGGTATACGGTGTGCAATTGCGTACAACACATTTTATCTGACGCGCACTTATTTTTATTTTTTTTCGAAATTTTCGCCTATTTTCTTCCCCAAAAGCTAAGTTTCTCCATCAAAATCTCAATTTTTCAGATCCTTCAAACTCTCGAAAAATGGGTGATAACCTAGTGTACGCGGTTCGCGCCAGTACCGGTGTTAGTCTAAAACGTGGCTTGTCAAAAGACCCGGTGACAATATTTAATCAAACCTCATCAAAAGAGATCTCATGCAATGTGTTTGCCTACTCAAATAATGGTCAGCTATTCGCGTATTGTGATAATCAAATCACACGGTGTTTCGAAATTTCGACTGGACGACAGATTTTGAGTGTCGAATTGAAGCGGACGAGAAAATTGGTTTTTTCGCCAAAAGACACGCATCTGTTCGTTTTTGAACCTTATACAATTTACGGGAAAAAACAGGAGGGACAGAAGCCCGAGGATAATTTGAGCGTTTTTTCGTTGGTTGATGGCGGGAAGATGGTGGCGAAATTAAAGGCGCCTAATGAGGCTAATTGGGATGTTCAGGTATATAAATTGTTGGAAAAATGGGAAAAGAGTCGAGCGAAGCGAGTATAAACCGGAAGCTTCCGCGAAGCGGCCACGTGGTTTACTATGATATGGCAAACGTCATAGTAATCCGCGTGGCCGCTGCGCGGAAGCTTGCGGTTTACACTCGCTCCGCTCGAAAACCTTTTCCAAGTCCTATTCTGAAATATCTGATAAAAATCTGAAAAACTGGAGAAATTCCAGTATTTTTCAGATTTTTATTGGAATTTCAGCGAAGATGCGGAAGCTATGCCCAAATTTCGAGCGGAGCGAGTGTAGACCGCTACCTTCCGCGGAGCGGCCCTGTCTTCCGCTTTAGCGGCCACGTGGTTTACTATGATATGGCAAAAGTCATAATAATCCGCGTGGCCGCTGCGCGGAAGCTTGCGGTCTACACTCGCTTCGCTCGAAAACCCTTACAAGTTCATTTCTGAAATATCTGATAAAAATCTGGAAACTGGAATTTCCAGCACAAATTAAGGGACGATTTAGTAACTATTAATTAGTTCCTGAATCGTCCATTAATTTGTGCTGAAAATTCCAGCATTTTTCAGATTTTTATCGGAATTTCAGCGGAGATGCGGAAGCTATGCTCAAAATTCGAGCGAAGCGAGTGTAAACCGCAAGCTTCCGCGTTAGCGGCACTATATTCCGCTTTGGCGGTCACTTACGGTGGAAGTTAGCCTAATTTGGCCGCTTCGTGGAATTTTCCGCTCGAAAATCATCTTCCATGTACTTTTCTGAAATATCCGATAAAAATCTGAAAACTGGAATTTTCATCACAAATTATGGGACGATTTAGTAACTATAAACTAGTTTCTGAATCGTCCCATAATTTGTGCTGAAATTTTCAGCATTTTTCAGATTTTTATTGGAATTTCAGCGGAGATGCGGAAGCTATGCCCAAATTTTGAATTATCTACTTAAAATCAACCTATTTTCAATTTCAGGTCACCGACGACGAAAGTTTGGCAGCTCGAATTGTTGGCTCCGAAATTCTGATCTACACAAACATGAACTTCGAACGATACGAATATAAGTTTGTGGAGAAAGGAATTCAGGGATTTTCGCTAAGTCCAGGCGGTGCACCATATCATATTGGTGTTTATACACCAGCTGAAGGGGTAAGCGATGATTTTGGAGGGAAATTCAAAAAAAAATCTGATTTTCCAGAACAATCCAGCGCGTGTCAAAGTCTTTCGAGTTACGCCAAGTTTCCCAGCCGTCGCAAATCGCACTTTCTTCAAATCCGACAAAGCTGTCATAACTTGGAATCAAAAGGGTAACGCATTGCTCATTTTAGCATCTGTTGAAGTTGACAAAACTAATCAATCGTATTATGGGGAGCAAAGTGTGAGTTTTTTGCTAGAAATCCCCCAAAAATCTGAAATTTTTCAGCTTTTCTTGATCAACATTCAAACTGAAGAATCAACAATTGTTCCATTGGCAAAACAAGGACCAATTTATTCAGCGAAATGGAATCCGAATGGGAAAGAATTTGCTGTTTGTTATGGACATATGCCGGCTAAAGTAAGACTGAAAATGAGCTGAAAATCTGGATTTTGGACTGAAATTCACCTGATTTTCAGCGCTAGAATACGAAAAAATGGGCTGAAAATGCTTGAAAAACAGTTTCAGCCCATTTTTCTGTCAAAATTTCGATTTTTTGGTTCAATTCCAACTGGAAAATCTCGATTTTCCAACGAAAATTCAGATTTTCTAGCTGAAACTATGATCATACCATGTGATTTTCTGAAATATCCGATAAAAATCTGAAAAACTGGAGAAAATCCAGCATTTTCAGATTTTTATTGGAATTTCAGCGGAGATGCGGAAGCTATGCCCAAATTTCGAGCGAAGCGAGTGTAAACCGCTAGATTCCGCATCAGCGGCCACGTGGATTGCAGATTTTCCACGTTATAGCAATCCACGCGGCCGCTGCGCGGAAGCTTGCGGTCTACACTCGCTCCGCTCGAACATCCAAGTTCTATTCTGAAATATCCGATAAAAATCTGAAAAACTAGAGAAAATCTAGCATTTTTCAAATTTTTATTGGAATTTCAGCGGAGATGCGGAAGCTATGCCCAAATTTCGAGCGGAGCGAGTGTAATCCGCTAGCTTCCGCGTAAGCGGCACTATCTTCCGCTTTAGCGGCCACGTGGATTACTATGATATGGCAAACGTCAAATTAATCCGCGTGGCCGCTGCGCGGAAGCTTGCGGTCTACACTCGCTCCGCTCGAACCTCCAAGTTCTATTCTGAAATATCCGATAAAAATCTGAAAAACTGGAGAAAATCCAGCATTTTCAAATTTTTATTGGAATTTCAGCGGAGATGCGGAAGCTATGCCCAAATTTTGAATTTTTCATGAAAAACTTTGGATTTCAAGCCGATTTTCAGCTTGACAATATACCAAAATATTAATTTCAGGTCACATTCTACAATCCAAAAGGTATTCCAATTTTCGAATGTCCCGATGGACCAAGAAATGATATATTCTACAACGCATTCGGAAATATCATTTTGGTTTGTGGATTCGGAAATTTGAGCAAAGGAAAAAATGGAATTTTGGGATTGTGAGAAGAAGAAAGAAATTATTGCTGTAAGTTTTTGTTGCCACGTGGATTTGTCTGAAAATCCGCCATTTTTCTGCAGATCGAAGTTCCAAATACAACATTATTCGAATGGGCTCCAGATGGTCAACATTTTGTCACTTGTACAACTGCTCCACGCCTCAGAATTGATAATTCATATAGGTTTGAATTTTCAGCCTAGAAACTCTGAAAATCGAGTTTTTCTTGCAGATTCTGGCATTATACTGGTCGAATGATTCATGAAGTGCAATATGATTCACCAAAAGAGGAACTTTGGGAGGTAATTTGTGGTTTTTAGCTGGAAATTCACCTAAATTTCAAGAAAAATCGATAATTTTCGACTATAGACGTGTCCTATGACGTGGCAATTTGAAAAATCCCATTTTTGATAGGAAATATCGATTTTCTGGACAAATCACAATTTCCGAAGCTGTTTTTTCAGTGAAAATAAGTTTGGAGGCTTGAAAATCAACCTGAAATTAATATTATGATGAAAATTGACCAAATACATGAATTTCTCAAAAAATATTAATTTTAGGTTGATTTTCAAGCCTTCAAACTTGTTTTTACCGAAAAAATAGCATTGGAAATTGTGATTTGGCCTGAAATTGTCCAGAAAATCGATATTTTCTGTCAAAAATGGGATTTTTCAAATTTCCACGTCATAGGACACGTTTCTAGTCAGAAATTATTGATTTTTCGCGTTTCTTCAATGAAAATTATCTGAAATTAGCCTAGAAAGTAAGCCAGATTCTGAAATATCCGATAAAAATCTGAAAAACTGGAATTTCCAGCACAAGGGACGATATAGTAACTATAAATTAGTTTCTGAATCGTCCCGTGCCGAAAATTCCAGCATTTTTCAGATTTTTATTGGAATTTCAGCGGGGATGCGGAAGCTATGCCCAAATTTCGAGCGAAGCGAGTGTAAACCGCAAGCTTCCGCGAAGCGGTACTGTCTTCCGCTTTAGCGGCCACGCCTAAGCCTTCGCTAGGTCCCTAAGGCTGTAGACAATGCCGCTACGCGGAATTTTCCGATCCCCGCTCCAATTCGAGATTTCTTCCAGGTTCGCTGGCGTCCAATGAGCGGCTACAACAAATTCGAAATCAAAGAATTGTCAAAAACCGACAAAATGGCCGCCGGTCTACCAATTCGGAAGAAAGACGCCTCACATCCATTGAATAATGTACCGGCTGGAGCTGTAAAAGCTGCTGGAGCATATGTTCCACCACATTTGAGAAAAAGTGGAGGACCTGCGACTAGTGGTAAGCTAGAAATATGGAAAATTTTGGTGAAAATCGAAATTTTCCACTATTTTGTTCAATTCCAACGAAAATTCAGTAAACCGCAAGCTTCCGCGTCAGCCGCCACGTGGATTGCTATGATATGGCAAACGTCATAGCAATCCGCGTGGCCGCTGCGCGGAAGCTTGCGGTCTACACTCGCTCCGCTCGAATTCAAAGCCAGATTCTGAAATATCTGATAAAAATGTGAAAAACTGGAGGAATTCCAGCATGTAAATCGCAAGATTCCGCGAAGCGGTACTATCTTCCGCTTTAGCGGCCACTTACGGTGGAAGTTAGCCTAATTTGGCCGCTTCGTGGAATTTTCCGCTCGAAAATCCACTTCCATGTACTTTTTCTGAAATATCTAATAAAAATCTGAAAACTGGAATTTTCAGCACAAATTATGGGACAGTTTAGTGACTATAAACTAGTTCCTGAATCGTCCCATAATTTGTGCTTAAAATTCCAGAATTTCTCAGATTTTTATTGGAATTTCAGCGGAGATGCGGAAGCTATGCTCAAATTTTCTGGAATTTTTCATGAAAAACTCTGGTTTTCTAGCTTGAAATTGTCTGAAAATCGTGATTTTCAGCACCACAAATTAATTTCAGGTCCACCTCGTCCTGGTCAAAAATCAGCGCCACAAAATGGAAATTCGGCCCAAGCAATTCGACCACAACAAACAGAAGTCGAGCGAAAATTGATGCAATTACGGAAAAAAGTTGAAGATATTGCCATTTTGAAGGTAATTAGCTTTTCCACGTGGATTTTCAGCATATTTTCCCTCATTTCAGACTCGAGTAGCAAATGGTGATCAATTACAACCAAATCAACTCGAAAAAATCAAAAAAGAAGAGGAATTTTTGGCCGAAATTCAGAAATTGACCATCTGAAGAGGAAAAATCGAACTATTTTTTTGTGTTTTTTGTTGATTTCTGATATGAAGAAGTAATAATTTTGAAGTTTTAACAAGTTCATCAAATTCGCTGAGCAGGCGCAGTTGTTGATTGCTCAACATTAACTTGATTTTTACAACATCTACACGGTATCATATCTCGAAATCTTCTCCAATTTGCAATACAATATGTCAATGGAAATATATCAGTAATAGCAATTTTTCGACAAATTATTTGTCTGATCATAAAATCAGTAGATGAATCTGTGAATTGTTTGAAAAAGAATATGAAAACGCCAATTACACGAATCATGAAAAATAATAATAATGGTAAATTCTGATAGATTATGGAGAGCTCTGTTTTCTTGCGAGTTTCTGATAGAATATCTGTATTTCGATGGATTTTATATAATAAATATATGTAAAGTATGATAGACAATATTGGGCAAATGATTTCACCAAAAAAACCCATATAAAATATGAAGCGGGACATCTGAAAACAATTTTTTTTTTAGAAAATGTAACACTTTTAACTATGCTGAAACTGTCTGATTTTTGACATTCGATTTGAGCATTTATCAACGAATACATCACACAATTGTCACATTGATATATATTTTGAGTCATATCAAAAGGTGCCCAGAGAATTATGAGAACTGAAACTAGATTTAGATATTTGCCCTGGACATATTTGAAGAATGATTCGAAGTTTAAGATGACGATGAATCTTTGAATTCCGATGAGAAAAACGAATAACATTGAACCATAGTTGTCACGAGTTAGAAAATAGTTTAATCCGATGATTCTGTAACGAAATAATTAATCTTGACGCATTTTTGTCGGGTTGTCTGCGACTCTTCACGTGACACACTCTCTTACCGCCTTTTTTGTCTGCGTCTCACTCATCAGGGCTAAAACTGACATTTCCAGGTTTTTTAAGCAAATGAGTTGAAATATTGGGTTTTAATGTCTAAGACGAACAGAATGATACAGTGCGTCCAATAAAGATAGGACCCCCCTCGAATTTGAGATTTCCAATCAAACGGTTATAGATGACTGATATTTGAGAATGGGAATCGTTTTCAAATCAAAAAATAACCCAGGAAACACGTTTCTATCATTTGTGAGTTGTTTCATCTACACGTGACGTGAAAATGCTGATTTTCGAGCGTCCAATAAAGATAGGACCCCCAACCAAAAAATGAGAATTAGCCTCGATTGTTATGAATATTGAATTGAGTTACCTTAATACCGATATCGACATGTGTTTTGAATCATAAAATTCAAGATATAGTTCACTCCGAACTTCTGAATCAACATTTCATAATTATTCAATTTTTCATCAAAAATCAGAATTTAGAAGCTAATCTTGATTGAATCACAGTTTTTATGTCTAATTCATCACTAAATTTGCATTTTGAACTATTGTTAACAAATTCCGATGTCAAATTTCGATTTTCTGATGTTACGTTCCAGTCATGTCCACTGATCTTTTCGATTCTAACATCAAGAACATCGATTAATTTTATATTATAAAGCTGACATTGGATGAACAACGTATTTCGAACCATATCTAATCATTTAAACATTACTACTGGACTTATTCACGCCTCTTTGAGATTTGTTTCAAGAACAATCCATGTCTCTTTATTTGCATCCTATTTTTAAATGTTTCATGCAATGATTGAAATAAGTTGAATAAGAAATGTTCAAAATGTAGTTTAATTGTTGGAGTGAAATTTCTAACGCTCGCAAACAATTAATGAGCAAATTCATGATCCAAAATTTCAAAACAATCATTGTTCTTGATGTTAGAATCGAAAAGATCAGTGGACATGACTGGAACGTAACATCAGAAAATCGAAATTTGACATCGGAATTTGTTAACAATAGTTCAAAATGCAAATTTAGTGATGAATTAGACATAAAAACTGTGATTCAATCAAGATTAGCTTCTAAATACTGATTTTTGATGAAAAATTGAATAATTATGAAATGTTGATTCAGAAGTTCGGAGTGAACTATATCTTGAATTTTATGATTCAAAACACATGTCGATATCGGTATTAAGGTAACTCAATTCAATATTCATAACAATCGAGGCTAATTCTCATTTTTTGGTTGGGGGTCCTATCTTTATTGGACGCTCGAAAATCAGCATTTTCACGTCACGTGTAGATGAAACAACTCACAAATGATAGAAACGTGTTTCCTGGGTTATTTTTTAATTTAAAAACGATTCCCATTCTCAAATATCAGTCATCTATAACCGTTTAATTGGAAATCTCAAATTCTAGGGGGGTCCTATCTTTATTGGACGCACTGTATAAATTTTGATGACTTTACGATATCCATAAGTGATTTAGCGGCTTATCGACTAAACATCGCTAAATCACTTAAGGATAACCTAAAGTCATCAAAATTTGTATCATTCTGCTCGTTTTAGACCATTCTATCATATGAATAACATTAAAATCCGATATTTCAACCCACAAAACCTGAAAATGTCATTTAGTCGATGTCCAACTCACATTATAATCCATATATTCACATCATCATCCATAAAATAGATTGTCATTGAGAAAACTATCGAACTTATTCGAATAATTACACGGCTGACAACAATGAAAGCAATAATCTTGTAAAACGGATAAATCATACTTTTCTTCTCGTCACTCGGCGTTTTTCGTAACAAAATCAAAAATAGTAGACATGCGATAATATCGATGTAATTTGTGATTTCATTTAACAACCAATGTTCTGGAGTTTCTCGAAATTCGTTGAACATCGACTTCATTTTGAGAGAAAAAGAGGTAGATATTATCGAATTGTAGGGGTTTGATGAGAAAATGTCATCGAAATATATGATTATGGGTGCTTTTTTATGTAATTGTAGTGTTGAAAACTCAAACTTCACATTTAGTAGAATTATTGCAGATGTTCCAAGTCATAGCACTCCACGTGGCCGCTGCGCGGAATTTTCCGGTCTACACTCGCTTCGCTCAAATTCCAAGTCTGATTCTGAAATATCCGATAAAAATCTGAAAAACTGGAGAGAATCTAGCATTTTTCATATTTTTATTGGATTTTCGAGCGTAGCGAGTGTAAACCGCAAGCTTCCGCGTCAGCGGCACTAACTCCCGCTTTAGCGGCCACTTCTAAGCATAAACCTAGTAGTTCTAGGCTTACGCGTGGCCGCTGCGCGGAATATTGCGGTCTACACTCGCTCCGCTCGAAAAATCCAACTCAAATTCTGAAATATCCGATAAAAATCTGAAAAACTGGAGAAAATCTAGCATTTTTCGGATTTTCATTGGAATTTCGAGCGGAGCGAGTGTAAACCGCAAGCTTCCGCGTAAGCGGCACTATCTTCCGCTTCAGCGGCCACGCGGATTGCAGATTTTACACGTCATAGCACTCCGCGTGGCCGCTAACGCGGAATCTTGCAGTCTACACTCGCTTCGCTCGAATTTCAAATTGATGGAAAAAGAAAATGAAAATTATGTATTTCAAAAAATAAAAACGTGAAAATATTGGTTGGCAAAAATTGAGCCAATCACAATTGTCTACGTCATTTAATCTACTATAAAAGCTGGATGTTTTCGAGCGAAAATTTCATAATTTCGCAATTTTCAGATGTTTTTTACAGATATTTCTTCATTTTGAAGGAATTGATGATGGATTCTCTCGTAAACATTGATCGCTGCAACGCTATCAGCAGCAGCAGGGACTGGAGCAGTTGTTGAATCAACTATATATACGATTCCCCAATTCTAATCCTTTCGTTTTTTAGGTTTCAGTCAGTGACAACCCCTAGTTCAATTTCCAATTTGGACAAACCCTAGTCGTTTTTTGTCTGTCTCCCAATTCTTGTGAATAATTTTCTTGTGAATAAATACTTGTGAATTGAAAAAAGTGTGCTTTTTGATTTTTGTTCGAGCTATCTCGGGATGCTGCCGGCGGCGATTCGGCGGCGTTGCCACGTTTGGCAACATCAAGGCGACGTTGCCAAAAAAGCAGCAACACCTGGCGACGTTGCCACAAGAAGCAGCAACGTTGCTTTTTGTCGCCAGATGTTTAACTTCAATTCTTGCTCCCGGCGACAGAAGGCAACGTTGCCAAAATGTAAAACACTGCGACGCAATTCTGCACAATCAAGAAGTTTCGAAATTTTTGTTTTTTTTTCTTTTTGGCCTAAATTGTGTTTTTCTGCTATTTTCAGTGAGTTAATCATGAATATTACTATATTTCAGCATGTATCAAGCAAGGGATTGATGGTTTCGTTGGATTTCATCGTAGAAAATTGAATACTTCGAAAACAAATAGGAAAACTGATTGAAAAGGTTAGTTGACTATACAATTTCTTATTTACTATTTTTGAAAGTATTAACTTTAAACATTTCAGTTTGTGCCATTCAACGAGTGATTTGAAAATCATCGATGACTACTCAATTGCTCAAGACTATTGGAGGAGACTAGGATTAAGAAACTTTGTTGAAAAGTGAGTTGTTTTCGTTAATTTAAAGGTCCCGTAACGTCGCAAGATTCAGTGATCTTAAACACTTCTCTATGCTTTTTTATGTTGATTGAAGTCGAAAAAAAAATTTTTCTGATTCACCATGAAAAAAGGACCAAAAGTAACACATTAAAAAATCAGTCTAAAAATGTTGGGTCCACGGCCGAGAAAACCAAATGAGATCGAACAAACGCGCGCTACTGATAACCGAAAAAATATTTTCTTTTCGCGAAATTTTTTCTATTGGTTTTTGGCGTTTTTTGCAGTTATTTCGATAGGAATGAATGGAATGAACCTGGAAATAGAATGGACAAGGAAATTTAATCGAAAAACAAAAAAAGTCTTGAAAATTGAGCAAAAATGACAGAAAACAGAGCAAACAACGTTTTTTCAGATTTGCAACGCAGTTTTTCAAGTTTTTCTTCCTCAAACCTTGATATTATCCAGATGTACAGTGCTCATTTTGAAGAGGAGAAAATTCTCAACAAGAGGTTTTGAGTTTTTGGTTGGAAATTGTCGATTTCACAAGGCACAGCTGGTTGAAGAAATGTTCGATATCAAACACACATTCTCAAAATGTGACGCGAAATTCTTGTTCTGGCTCGGATTTGATGAATTCTTGGTTTTATTCAATGGTTGATACATCATTAGAACCAGAATTTTATGGCGATTCTTCTGACATATGACAATCATAGTGAAAGAATAGATTTTGATGATTTCCACTCGCTTGCGAAAAATACGAAAATTTCGATAAATTTTTCATTGATTTTCAAACCTCACCCAAGAACCTGGAGAAGTAGGAAAAAAATTGCCCACCTGGGTTTATTTTCAAAAAATTGCCCACCTAGTAAAAAAATTTTTGCCCACCGGAGGCTCGCCTTAAAGACGCTAAAAATTTTGCCCACCTGAGGCTCGCCTTAAAGACCCTAAAAATTTTTGCCCACCTGAGGCTCGCCTTAAAGACCCTAAAAATTTTGCCCACCTAGGTTTTTCGAAAAAAAATTGCCCACCTAGGTTTTTCGAAAAAAATTGCCCACCTAGGTTTTTCGAAAAAATTGCCCACCTGGAATTCCAGGTGTTGGGTGAGGTTTGATTGATTTTAGCGATTTGAGCTTGACTTTTTTCAAAATTTGAGAAAATAAACATCACAAATGCTCAATTTCATTCAGTTTTCTTCTTTTCCGAAAACATGAAATGAGTTCAACGTATGAACGGATCAGAAAACGAGCTAATTTGAGAAAATTCAAAATTTTGTAAAGAATTATCGGAATAATTCTACTGAATCGAGTGATATCTCATGGTAAAATATCGAAATGACTTTTGAGTATACTGCTCTGAGAAATCGAGAGAAAAAATTGAGAAACTCACGCTCAAATCGCTAAAATCAATGAAAAATTTATCGAAATTTTCGTATTTTTCGCAAGCGAGTGGAAATCATCAAAATCTATTCTTTCACTATGATTGTCATATGTCAGAAGAATCGCCATAAAATTCTGGTTCTAATGATGTATCAACCATTGAATAAAACCAAGAATTCATCAAATCCGAGCCAGAACAAGAATTTCGCGTCACATTTTGAGAATGTGTGTTTGATATCGAACATTTCTTCAACCAGCTGTGCCTTGTGAAATCGACAATTTCCAACCAAAAACTCAAAACCTCTTGTTGAGAATTTTCTCCTCTTCAAAATGAGCACTGTACATCTGGATAATATCAAGGTTTGAGGAAGAAAAACTTGAAAAACTGCGTTGCAAATCTGAAAAAACGTTGTTTGCTCTGTTTTCTGTAATTTTTGCTCAATTTTCAAGACTTTTTTTTTGTTTTTCGATTAAATTTCCTTGTCCATTCTATTTCCAGGTTCATTCCATTCATTCCTATCGAAATAACTGCAAAAAACGCCAAAAACCAATAGAAAAAATTTCGCGAAAAGAAAATATTTTTTCGGTTATCAGTAGCGCGCGTTTGTTCGATCTCATTTGGTTTTCTCGGCCGTGGACCCAACATTTTTAGACTGATTTTTTAATGTGTTACTTTTGGTCCTTTTTTTCATGGTGAATCAGAAAAATTTTTTTTTCGACTTCAATCAACATAAAAAAGCATAGAGAAGTGTTTAAGATCACTGAATCTTGCGACGTTACGGGACCTTTAAAATAAATATAACTTTGAAACTAAATCCACTTTTCCTTGGATACTTTTCCAAGAATAAATCTTGAACAAAAAGTTTTGAGAAATTTCCTGTATTTGACCGAATACACTTTCAAAAAGAAAATGCACACAAAACTAGTGTATTCAGGAGCCCGACCACTTAATTCTTAACCTTAATTCTCAAGTTTCTACATTTCCCAAGTTCCAAATTTTAGTTTGTCAAAAAAGAACCGTTTTCCAATAAGTTTGTCAGCAATTTAGTTCGAAAATAACATTTGGGAAAAATTCAAAATTCAATTCAAAAATGAAAAATCAGGCTAAAGTATTTTATAATGATGTTGTTCTTTTTCAGGTGAACAAAGTCATGTCAATCGCCCATGCATCAATCTTATCGTCAATTATGTTTCAAAAACAACAACTCCAAAAATATCAAGCCAATCAGATTCTACCTTTTTGAAGCTCAATTAATTTAAAATTTATTTCATGTATTCAATTATTATGTTATGTGATTTGATTTGATAATCATTTTCCGAATAAATATGTTGTAATTATAAAAACATGTTACTATCGAAGAACATATATATAAAATTGAGTCAAATCGGGAGAAATACACTGACGCCGCCTCTCGCTGCCGCGAGCTGCTCGCTTGTTGCCGAGGCTGTCGCCGATCCCCGCCTGCCCAATTTTCCCACTTTTTCATGCACTGCCACACCTTGCCTATTCTTGCCGCTCTTGGAGGCAACGTTGCAGAGCGCCGCCGAGGCCATTTCCCAAATGGCGGAGCTCTCGCCTCATTGTTGCCGTTTATCGCCGTAGCAAAAACGTCAGAAAATTATCGAATGGCGACGTTGCCGCGGGGCTGCCGGCGACGTTGCCGAAAAAAGGGTCGGCAACGTCGCCGAATCGCCGCCGACAGCACCCCGAGATGACGTGGAAAATCCTTTTCCATGAACAAAAAATGTGAAAAAATGCATTTTTGCCAGGGCTGTGAAAAGAGCCTCGATTTTTTGCGGCCGGCCGGCCGGCCTTGAAAAATCGGAGGCCTCAGGCCTTCGCGGCTTTTAGGCTTCAAATATAAAGGCTCGAAGCCGTTCAGGTTTTAAGCCTCAAGGATGGCAATTTTCAGACATTAGTTTTATTGAATTTGTAACTTTCTCTGAATGAAACTTCGATCTTGGTGTGATGGTGGGATAGTCTGGGTGTAGGATTGGCGCCATTTATGCAATTGCCGCCAATGGATAAATGGCGAAATTGGCGCCAATTGTGGTGTAATTTGTTTGGAGCCATCCACCAATATCACACCAATAACACACCAATGTCTCTTCACCAATCCAATCATCACACAAACACTATCACACCAACATAATTGCATAAATTCATCCCACCATCCAAGTCACACCAGAACCGATGAAAATTAGGAATTTACTATGCAGGCCGGCGGCCGGCTTTTTTTCAAATTATTTTTTTTCTCCGATTTTTGCAAAAAAATTAAAGTAAAACAACGATATTCCGCAATGCCACGTCCCTTTTATCAATAGGGCGCACTTCCATGTTTACTTTTATTTTCTTGGAAATCGCTGAAAACATTTCATTCATAAATTAAATTTTATTTATTCATTTATTTATTCAATACGTTGTAGGACAACGTGACGACAAGTACAATAAGAATAATACATGAACAAGAAAAAAAAGGAAGACAGGGCTTACAAAGCCTAATTAAATAATCAAAAAAGGTTAAAAACAACAAGAATATTAGTTCAAATCAATCGGAGATATCAGCGTTCCATAATACACATTTCCAATTTCATCTTTTGTTCTATTTTTCGCAGCAAAACCAGGTTTCTCAACAAAAAGAATTGGATGATTATTGAAATGATTATCCACTATTTCATACTGTTTATAAGCTGTTGAGATAGTTTTAGTTGTTCTATCTTCGTTTGTTTGTATCACAACCTTATAATTATTTTTGTTCACATATAATTCTGTAGAAAACGTTGGATCGAACGATTTAACATGCACTTCGAACAACATAAGATTTTCATCATTCAAAACATTATCCACACATTTCTCAAAATATTCAGCAATACATTTTCCGAAATATTCTTTGCTATCGCAATTTTCTGCTCTTTGAGAAGATTTATCGAATTTGTAATGTTTACGAAAATGATACCAGGCTTTGAAAGGATGGGAAAAATTCAGCAATTTCTCATCATTTTCACGAGCCTTCATCAATTCTTCAATCAACTGCAGTTGAATTTTAATATTTCCCAGATAATTGTCATTTACAATGAATTTTTTATCTTCACCCTTATAAGTAACAAAATGTGCATCTTCACCAATATCTTGAAAATCCAAATAAATCGCTTCGCAAGCTGATAAGTAATCATCAGCCGAGATTTCCATTGACAATTTTTCACAAACTTCAGTCACAATTCCTAAGAACTCCCGTATTCTGAAGTCCGTTTCGCTTCCCTCACAATACTTCATTTTGTCTAGAAAACTAGATTGCTCCCAAAAGTTTTTCGTATTGTTCGGTTGGCCATCTTTCATGAACATTGTCACATTTTTCATGATAAATATATTCAAGTTTCGTTTCGACTGAGCTTCATTCGTTCCTCCGAGATATTTGTGTTTTTCTGTGGTCACAAAATTTTCAACGAAGGCTACTGTTTCTGTTTTGAATTTTTCAAGGTATTCTTGTTTTCTTTGAGCTTTCATTGTGAGCCGTCTAGAGTCGCCAAGTGATTTTGATGGTTTTGACAACCTTAATAAACTTTCAATTTGATAAAGCAATGAAAAAAGTAGTTTATTGTAAAACTTACGTGTTGCTCTCAGGAATCGTAGTCTTGAATAAGATCCTGAAAAAAAGCTTAGTTACGATTGTATACCGCGAGCTTCCGCAACTCAATAAACTTCACTTACGAATAACTGCCTTTGCGTGAAAGTAGAATATGCTTGTTCGCCGATTTCCCACCATTTCCTCCTCCAATTCTCTTCGTTTTAATCGACCATAACATATTGCTAAAGTATTGAAACCGTGTGATATTGACAGTTGACAAATCCAATCCTGCTGGTAACAAGTTTCCATCATATTTTTCAGTAGACGTTTCGCCTGTCCAATGTTCAAAGGAGTCGTAGATTTTGGACGTTTTGAGACCATGCAATGTGTCAATGATTAGCTGCTTAAAAAATAAACAATAGTGTTAACGGCTCTTAAACACAGAAAAATTAAAAACGGGAAAAAATAAAAAAATATATACGTGGCCGAGAAATGTCGGGAGTTCGGCCACATATATATTTTTTATTTTTTCCCGTTTTTTAATTTTTCCGTTTGCCGGCCTAATTAATTAAATAACTCACCTTCCCATCAGACATCGTGAAACAAAACACCGGTGTTGTAAATTCGTAACCCATTTCAGCATTGCATTTAACTGATAACACATCTGCACTACATATTTCCTTTCCTCTCACTATTTCGCAGATTTTCTCAAAGAACTTTTGTTTTTGAGCCACTGAGAATGGAAGGTTTTGTTGATTCAATAAATTCAAGGTGTATATTTCATCTATCATTTCGTATATTGACTGGAGTAGAACTGAAAATATCCAGAAATTGTCTCAATGAATTTTTTTATTTGAAAAAAAAACGGACAGTGAGGCGAAATTGACAGCGAGGTAAAAAAGTGGTTTATCAGTTTGGCGAGAGAATGTGATAGATAAAACCTAGTGAGTGAAAATTTCGAAATTTTCTGCCAACAGTTATCATCATTTTGTGCACTTAAACATTATTCATGGAAAATGGAACAAAGAATGAATGATGTTAAGAAAAAACAAACCAAAATGCTCCTTTCTGAGGTTGACTTTTGCTCCAAGGCTCTCTTGTGGTATTCGAGGGTTAACAATGAAATAATGTTGAATTTTTAATAATTTTTGATATTTTACGAATACTTCCTTGACGCATCTGTGGTCACATTCCGGAAAAGTTTTTAATTTTCCAATGTATGAAATTCAATGTGTCTGACAGTTTTTTATCTTTAACTCTTGAAACAATGGTTTTTTGACGTAATTTCGTAATCACAAATAATTTCTCATTTTTATCATTCGAAAATCGACTTGTTCATAAACAGCATCGAGAATGAGAATTCAATTCAATCCATATTTCTTATCTATATTTCTGTGCGAAAGAAAATGTGTACAATATTTGAGTTGGATGAATGTTCCCGTGCTGGTTATAAAGTAAGAGACGATGAAATAATTAATTCAGATACAACTCTCGATGGAATATTCGATTTAACCTTTTTATTGGGTGGAAGTTCCTATAAGTGTTCTGAGAATCAATGTGAAACAGATGACGTCGACAAGTCTATAGAATTTCTTATGGATATTTTCAATAAACGAAAATCATTGAAAAAAAGAGGTATAACGTTACCGAAAAACTTTGTTACTTGTCTTGAAATTGGATTCAAAAAATTATCGAAATCGATAGAAATTCATCAACGACAGAATGTTCAAATGATTCTGTCAGGTATGTGTTTGAACAATTGCATAAAATACATGTGTTTTTTTAGGTTTGAAGATTTTGATATATCAACTTCGCAGGGATAGATCAAAGTTGATTCGATGGTATTCGAATATTGAGATAAAAACAGACGAGAGCATTGAGCCTTCAAAAGAGCAAAATAAAGGTGGAGTCTCTTGTAAATAACAATCGATTTATTTGAATTAAAATGTTATAGATCAACTCAGCGAAGAGAGCGATACGTTGGGACAAGTGCATTTGGATGACCAATCTGAGAAGAAACATATGAATTCGGTACCGGAAAAGAATTCCAAAAAGCGACTCCGGGAATCTTCGCAATCTGATTCTGAGTTGAAAAAGAATCGTGCAAAAAATTCGCAATCAAGAAATATAAATAAGGATCTAGTGCATTTCAAGGTATGATTCCAAAATTAATTCAAAATGAAGCTTTGTATTCAAATTTCTAGATTGGATGTTATGATCGAACTTATGATGATCTTCAGAAGATTATGAAATCTGATGATGTGGAATATCTGATCGAATATATTGAAAATACTTGGGGAATGGAACCCGAATATTATACACCTCTCAAATATATTGATGATTATCCCAATCATCCATGGTGGGAATATGAACGTGAAGAAAGAAGAATGGAAAAGGAGAAGGATATAGTAGAGATAAAACTCACAGAAGAAACGAATGAGGTTTAAAAGAAATCAGTTTTTTTCGACTATTTCGCGGTATCCTGTATATTTTTAGGAGGTATCGCTGCATTAACTTTTTTGTCACGTTAAAAATTTCTTATTTTTGCTCCTGCACATTTTATATACATAAACATTATCAATTTTCTTCGAATTTAAAATTTCGCTTCCAGATCCACGTCAGCAGCCACGCGGATTGCTCCCTACTCCAAATCCTTTTCAATAAACAAAAAAAAAGAAAAAAAAATGCATTTTTGCAAAATAAAAGTAAAACAACGATATTCCGCAATGCCACTTCCCTTTTATCAATAGGGCGCGCTTTCATGTTTACTTTGTTTTTGTCATTGTTTTTTTTCTTTTTTTTTTGTCATCGCGTGTTTTTTTATTTTTTTTAAGTTAATTTTCGATAGTTTTATACTAAAACTCATAAAAACTAAAGCACAAAAAGTGTAATTTTATGAAAAAAATGTACTTTGATTCATTTCTACTTTACAGGAATTTAAAACGTCAGCGAAATGATGGAAATTTGAAGAAAACTGAAGGAAAAGTGAGTTTTTTCGGGGTTTTCAGGGTTTCTAGATGAAAATTAAGGTAGTGAAGTTGAAAAAATCGATAAAAATTTTGATTTCACAAAATTTCGACTCCAAAACCTTTTCAATGAACAAAAAATTTGAAAAAATTAATTTCGCGAAAAAATAAAAAATAAAACAACGATACTCCGCAATCCCGCTTGCATTTTCGTGTATTTCTCTCGGACAACTTGGTTTTTTTTTGTTTTTTTCTCTGAAAATCTGCAATTTTCAGCCAAAACCCGATTTATTATCCAAAAATCCATCAAGAATTCTGATTTATCTCAATTTTCGCAGCTCCACGGCTTCTTCCCCTACAGTACTCCATAATTTCTTTGCGTAGTTTACTGTTGCATTTTGTGTAGATCAAAATTCGAATTGCCGATGAAATCATGTAGCATATTGATACCGTATCCGAGAGTACTGTAATTAAAGGAACATGGGATTTTTCTTTGAAATTCTAGATTACTGTAGGTATACTGTACCTCCCTTTAACCTAACAAGGTGAGTTTATAGATCTATCTATAGAAGCTCTACAGTAACCCGGACTACTGTAGCTCCCTTTAAATAACTCACTAATATAAAAAGTGCTCGATTGTGCACGATCATCTGACTCATACAAATAGCTCGGATCAAATCGCTCCAAAATTGTCAAAAACAAATGCACCCCGTTACAAATCAGATAACTGCTGACAATTGCGATCATTGTGTAGATCGCGTTGCGAAGTTGATTGCGTTTTGAGCGAGAAGATCTGAAATTTCGAAATCTACGTGGAATTCTGAGCAGAATGATACCAAACATCATAGATTTCTGACAATTTTGAGAAATCCGAATAGGCTCCGCCCACTTTTGCATGCCGCAAAATGGGCGGAGCTTAAAAATATTGATTTTTTTGAGATCTCCATGAAATTTGGCGTCGAAAGACACCAAACATGATATATTTCTGAAGTAGTTTGTGAAAAATCATTGGCTCCGCCCACTTTTGCATGCGGCACGGTTTTGTGGGCGTGGCTTAAAGGGATTTTTCGAATTCTTTTTGAAATTTGCCTTCGAAAGACACCCCACACTATAGGGTTTTATGAATTTTGAAGAAAATATTTAAGCTCCGCCCACAAAACCATGCGGCACGGTTTTGTGGGCGGAGCTTAGTATATAGCTGCATTAGAAGGTTGGAACTAGCTTCGTTATAGAAAATGATGAATTTTGACACCCAATATGCTAGGATTTTGAGAAAATATTTAAGCCCCGCCCACTTTTGCATGCCGCATGGTTTTGTGGGCGGAGCCTAATTTTTCCTCCAAACCATATCATGTTGGGTGTCAAAATTCGTCATTTTTCATCACTAAGACAATCCCAGCATCTATATTCCATGATTTTTAGGCTCCGCCCACTTTTCCCGTGCCGCACGGTTTTGTGGGCGGAGCTTAGAAGAAGTACTCTAAGGGGTAAAAGATAGTGTTAGAAGTGGTTTCTGCGGTCAAAACTCACTCATTGAACGCCAAAATGAAGGCGTGAAAAATTGATGGGCGGCCCCTTCCAGGCTCCGCCCACTTTTTACTATTATTGCTCATGTTAACCGGAATTTCTTCCGGAATTTCTTTAGGCTCACTAAAAATGGATTTTTTCCTAGAAAAACGAGAAAAGTTAGACTAACTTGTGAAGTAGGGATTCTTTGATGACGTCAGCGGCGACTTGAAGAAGCACATAGTTTTCGGGAAGATTACTTTGGACAAAGGAGACTTTTTTGGCATCGGTTGGTGGATGTTGACCGGGTAGAAGTGGGTACATCTGGAAAATGTCAGATTCGCGATCTACAGGTGATTCCCGTCAGTTTGACACCTCACAAGCCTATAATTCCATAATTTTTGCAAAAAACAGCCTGCGGCACGGTTTTGTGGGCGTGGCTTAGATTTTCAAATTCTGAAAATCTCATATTTTTGCTCTACAAGCTATTCCCATCAGTTAGACACCCCACAAGCCTATAATTCCTTCAATTTTGCAAAAAATCCCCTGCCGCACGGTTTTGTGGGCGTGGCTTAATTTTTCAAGTTTCGAAAATCTCATATTTCTACTCTCCAGGCTATTCCCGTCAGTTAGACACCCCACAAGCCTATATTTCCATAATTTTCGCAAAAAATCCCCTGCCGCACGGTTTTGTGGGCGTGGCCTAATTTTTGAGATTCTGAAAATGTTATATTTCTGCTCTCTGGGCTATTCCCATCAGTTAGACACCCCACAAGCCTAGGTTTCGAAGATTTTTCAGTGCCGCACGGTTTTGTGGGCGTGGCCTAGCTAAGCCACGCCCACTTTTCTATGCCCACTCACATTTTCTCGTTTTTCCGCAATCATTCTCTGAATAATCGTAAAGTTTAATATGAGCAACACGAAAAACGGAAAAAACATTTGAATTGCAGTGATGACATGGAAATCGAAAATGTAGTAGGCTGGAAAAAAATTTGAATTTCGCGCCAAAAATTATTTTTGGCGGGAAATTTGAAAATTTTTTGACCTACCTTCTGAATTGGCTGCCCATTCTGTGGGAGCGACAGATTCGCTGCGAAAATAGTCGGGACAGTTTTCGAATTTTTCGACCTGGAATTTAAAGGAACATGACGGGTCTCGCAGCGATTTCGCTTTATTTTTGAGATTATTAGGCAAGTTAGGGTATCTTCTTGATCAGCGTAAAATTCCCTACAAAATGAGATAGGTCTCGACACGATTGGACAAAATTTCTTTAAAGGAACATGATGGGTCTCGCAACGATCTACCGTATTTTTCAAGATTTTCCAGGCTTCTGGGGTATCATTCGAATCCTTGTTAAATTCTCTACACGATAGGCTATGTTTTGAAGCCTTAAAGGAACATACCGTACCCCCACCTACCTTTGTAGCAAATAATACAGGGACCCTTAAAGCCACAGAGACGAAAAACAAAAAGAAGACGGCAGAATTCCTTCCACGCTCGCTGAAAATCGGTGAGAAGATTTGTCTGAAAATTTTAGGATACTGTAACTCGGGAGTACTGTAGGTACCGTACCTTTTGTGCTCCGGACATGTCCAAAGATATCTCTCGAAAGTGATTAAAATAAGCACAAAAGGAATGGCGAATTGGACGACTTTTGCGATAAAAAAAACGGGAACAATGTAGGTGTGATAGAGGAAAAATAACGTCTGAAAATGGGAGATTTTTAAAGGCGCATGATGGGTCTTGAAGCGATTAGCCTTATTTTTGAAGATTTCGGGGAAGTTGGGGTGTCTTTAGAATGCTTGTGAAATTTCCTACAAAATGATATAGGTCTCAAGGCGATTGGATGAAAATTCTTTAAAGGAACATGATGGGTCTCGAAGCGATCTACCGTATTCTTGGGTTTTAAAGGGAGATTTGGGTATCATTTTGTAGAGCTTGAAATTCTCTACAAGATGAGCTAAAATTTCGACTTTAAAGGACCATACCGTACTTTTGAAAATTGACCAAACATGTATTTAAAGGAACATGTTGGGTCTCGAAGCGATCTCGCTTATTTTCAAAGATTTTCCAGGCTTTCGGGGTATCATTTTGATCAGCTCGCAATTTCCCGTAACTTGATATAGGTCTCTGAAGAATATAGCGAATTTAAAGGAACATACCGTATTTTTCAGATAAACAATAGCGGCATCAACTCCGAAAAGAAGCAAATAAGTCAGACAAATGAGCATATCACACACGGAAAGTGAAGCCAGGAAAATTGAAGAGGGAAGTGATCGACGGAAAACTGCGATGAGAAGCTGCAAGAAAAGGAGTACTGTAGGTGAGTGGGGGGTACTGTAGTATTATGGGGAATTTCGAGAGCTTCAAAATGAGGTACAGTATGCCTAGGGTTACTGTAGTTACAAGATCTCTAGAACCCTTCAAAATGCCCCGTTTTTCACCAGATTTTTTGGGGGTTACTGTAGGCCCTACAGTACTCACCAAATTCGCCAAACACCCAAAAAGTGATACGGTAGAACAGGCGGTGATTATGATGAATCTTTGAAGCGAATAACCCTCGTAGAAACCGCAAGGCTCTTGAGATGCCGTGAAATTTGACATCTGAAAAATCCACGTGGCAATTTTTGGCGCGAAAATTTGAAAATTCAAAAAAAAATTTGGTAAAAAAGTTGCGCAGGCAGCGGGAATCGAACCAGCCACCTTTTGCTTGGAAAAAATCGCGAAGAAAGCGACGCAGGTTCGATCCCCGGTGCCCGCGAAATTTTTTTTTTTTTGAAATTTTTTTTTTCATCGATTTTTTTGGAGCCAAAAAGTTGAATAAAATGAGATGCTAGAGGAAAATGTCATAAACAAAATGAGCAAAAAAAAAGTTTCATTTTTCGCCTGAAAATGAGCACACGCCAAAAAAATTTAATCAAGAAAATTGGATGAAAATTTGAGAAATGACGATTTTTTGCACTTTTCTCGGGCTCAAAAATAACATTTTGCAAACATTTTTGCCGCCAAAAAATTGTTTTTCAAAAAAAAATTCATGAGAAAATTTCCGGATCTCAAAAAATATCAAAACAACATCAAAAAGTCATGGAATTTTTTGAAAAAATCGATTTTTTCAAGCTTTCCCGGAATTTTCAGCATTTCTCATGCTGAAATTCGAACTCAGCATGGAAAAATAAGCGGGAAAAATTATTTGAAAAAAATTTTTGAAGAAAAAAAGTTGCGCGGGCACCGGGGCACGAACCTGAGCTGCAAAATTTCCTGGGAGATTGGGAGGTGGAAGGTCGCAGGTTCGAGCCCCGGTGCCTGCGGAAAGTTTTTTCGAGGCGAAAAATTCGAATTTTTGGATCTTCCAGGAACACATCGCAGGTTCGAGCCCCGGTGCGCGCGAACTTTTTTTTTTTGAAAATTTTTCCCCGCCCAATTTTTCACGCTGAATTCAATTTTCAGCATGAAAATGGCTGAAAATGTGAATTTTCTGCTTTGGCGCCAAAAATTCTGGCAACCCGGAAAATTTTTTTTCAAAAAAAAAAAACAATTTCTTCTACTTTTTTTTTTAAAAAAAACTCAATTATTTTAGAAAAATTGCTTTTTGCGCAAAAAAAGTTTTTTTTCGAAAAAAAACGTAAAAACTTTTTTTGAGAGGGTTCTTGAGCAAAAAAAAACTGAAAAAAAGAGGAAAAGCTGGAAAATTTGTCAAATTTCCTGATTTTCAGAGAAAATAGGAAGAAATTGAGCTTCTGAGACTGAAAAAAAAATGATTTTTGTTTTTTTTTTTTCAAGGAAAAGGGAAAAATTTTAGGATCTACGAAAAAAAAAAAAAATTTTAATTCGCGCTCACCGGGGATCGAACCTGCGATGTGTTCCTGGAAGATTTTTCAAATTTTCGTCTCAAAAAAATCTTCTGCAGGCACTGGGGATCGAACCAGCGACCTTTCACCTCACAAAATCGCCCCAATCTCCCAGGAAGTTTTGCAGCTCAGGTTCGACCCCCGGTGCCCGCGCAACTTTTTTTCTTCAAAATTTTTTTCAAATAATTTTTCCCGCCTAATTTTTCACGCTGAATTCGAATTTCAGCATGAGAATGGCTGAAAATCACTAGAAATCCCCGAAATTTCAGTGAAAAATGTCGAAAAACGGCGTCTCAAAAAGTACACCTCTCCACTTTTTTTTCAATTTATTTTTTTTTGCGGCTTAGCTGAAATTTTTCCAATTTTCTTTTTTTTTCTGGGCGACTTAGGCTAACTTGATTGAATTTGGGGGAAAAGGACACAATTTTCAATTACATACAGTAGGAAAGAAAGTTTTTGCCGGGAAAATTGAGGATTTCCAGAAATTTTCAGCATTTCTCATGCTGAAATTCGAATTCAGCGTGAAAAATTAGGCGGGAAAAATTATTTAGAAAAAAATTTTGAAGAAAAAAGTTTCGCGGGCACCGGGGCACGAACCTGAGCTGCAACATTTTCTGGGAGATTGCAGTGATTTTGGGAAGTGAAAGGTCGCTGGTTCGAGCCCCGGTGCCTGCGGAAGCTATTTTTGACGTCAAATTTTTTGCCACGTGGATTTCTAGCGCTAAAAAACTTAATAAAAAAGGGAAGTTGTTATAACTTGAGGAAAAAAAGCAAAAAAAAAACTAGAAATTGAGGAAGAGAAGCGGAAAAAACAATATATTAAAAAATGAGAAGAAAATTATAGGAAAAACGAAAGAATATCGGGTAGATCAAAAAAATATATAACATGAGCAATGAATTTGACGATTTACACACAGCGCAGGTTCGATCCCCGGTGCCCGCGAAACTTTTTTTCTTCAAAAATTTTTTTCAAATAATTTCTCCCGCCTAATTTTTCATGCTGAGTTCGAATTTTAGCAAGAAAATGACTGAAAAAAATCCTAGCTCAAATTTTGCTGCGCAAAAAAGTAGATCAAAAATCTCAAGATTTTCAGCCACAAAAACAGAGCCTATATTTATTTCTATATATTTTTGTGCGAAAAAAACAGAAAAAAACGAGAAAAATTGAGAGAGGGATAATTATTTATTATTTTTTCTCATCCCCGCAATTTTCAAAGTGTTTTTTGAACATCTGGAGTTATTAAATAAACTTTTCCCCCTGCTTTTTCGATTTTTGCAGACATTTTAAGCCATTTTCATGCTGAAAATCGTGTTCAGCGTGAAAAATTAGCCCGGAAAAATGTTTTCTAAAAAATTTTGGGAAAAAAATTGCGGGCACCGGGGATCGAACCCGCGTTGTGTTCCTGGAAACGTGGATTTTATCTTAATTTTAATTTTAAGAAAATTTTTGCCGGAAAAAATTCCCGCAGGCACCGGGGCTCGAACCAGCGACCTTACACTTTCAAAAATAGAAAAATCTCCAGGAAATCAACCCGGGTTCGATCCCCGGTGCCCGCGGAATTTTTTTTTTTTGAAATTTTTAGCGAGATAGTTTTTCGGGCCTATTTTTTCACGCTGAATTCGAATTTCAGCATGAGAATTGCTGAAAATCACTGCGAAATCACAAAAAATAGGAAAAAAGTGCTAATTGAGGGATCAAATTCTTGTGTGAAAAATGAGCACATTGTGCTCAAATTTCTGCAAGAGCAATTAATCAAAAAACTTTTTTTTTGAGAAAATTTGAAAAAATTTTTAGTGTTAATCATTTTTCAAACAAACACCTGACTAATTGTGAAAGAAAATTTTTTTTTGAAAAAAAAAATTTTCAGATTTTTCTGAAATTTTTGGGCTCAAAATGAAGCTCTAGGCTTCCACGTCATCAAGAAAATTTTGAAAAATTCGATTTTTGGCGCCAAAAAACAAAAAGAAGCCGAAAAATGGGATAATTGGTCGCAATTTTCTTCTCTCCTGGAGAAAAAATGAGATTTTTTGAGTTGACATAAGTCGGAAAAGGATCAGAGAGCCACGTGGCAAAATTTGGAGCCAAAATTCAGAAATTTAAAAATTCAAATTTTCGCGGCAAAAATCCAAAATCTTATGGATCTTCCAGGAAAACAACGCAGGTTCGATCCCCGGTGCCCGCAAAGTTTTTTTTTTGCAAAATTTTTTTCTAGTGAAATTTCTCGGCTGCTAATTAATATGGTAATTAAAAAAATTTTCTAGACGAAAAATGACCTTAAAAATTGTGACTTGGCAAATTTTGAAGCAAATTAAAAATTAATAACTTCTAACAACAAAAAGTACAGTACTACCTGTACAAAAAGCCTTTGTTCTCGAAAAAAAAATTTTTTTTTTTTTTTTGGAAAAAAAACTGTGAAGGGTCAATGGTATTTTTAATTAGCTAGCTTTAATTATTTTTTTTCGCGGAAAAAATTTGAGAATTTTTTCATTTTCTTTTTTTTTTTGAATTTTGAAATTTCAAGTATTTTTTTTTCGTTTAAAAAATTATTTTTTGAAAATAAAAATATTAGATTTCAAAAATACTTGAGAATCCCAGGATTACTGTAGTTTGCAAATTTGGCGCCAAAAATATTCCTAGATTACTGTAGATCTCAATTTACTGAGCAAAAATTGTGCCAAAAAAGTTCCAATTTTTTTTGTGGATCAAAAACTACAGTAACCCGGGATTCTCTGCAATGTAGTAAAATAGTTTATAGTTTTTACGCCAAAAATTCTCCCAGGATTACTGTAAGCTTAGAAGAGTACTGTAGAAATTATGCCAAAAAAAAGTTCCAAAAAAATGGATCACAAAATTATTCCACTTGAAAAAATAGTCTACAGTAATCTAGGAGTACTGTAGTTCAAAAAATAGCGCGAAGATTACTGTAGTTAAAATTTTGAGGGCATAATCTTACTGTAGTTGAGCCAAGCTATAAAAATTGTGCCACCAAAATTCCAAAAAAAAATAGATCAAAATTAAAATTTTCTAGGGTTACAGTAACCCAAAAACTATGATTTTTGGCGCCAAAAATCAGCGAAAAATTCAAATTTTCGCGCCAAAAATGCCCTACACTTGTACAAAATAGAAAAAAAAGGGTGGAGAAAATCCAATTTTCTGTCCCTTTTTTTTTGTTTTTTTTTGCTCAAAAATGAGCAAAAAAAGAGCATTCCACTTGACTGAAATTGAAAAAAATGCGAAAAAAAATGAGATAAGAAGAGAGTACCTGAAAAAGTGGAAAAAACAAGAAAACTTGTACTTTTTTTGAGAAAAAAGGGAATTTTGGGCAAAAAAAATGGAAAAAAATACTGTAGATCAAATTTTTGGCGCCAAAACCTACAGTAATCTTTGGAAAATTTTTTTCACTTTCTCAAAAAAAGTGAAATTTTTGACACGAAAAACGGTTCAAAAGAAAAAAAAAGTGAAAAAAAATGGAAAACAAGGAAAATTAGCCAGAAATAGCTATAAATAGCTGAAAATTTGACTTTTTTTTGCGAAAATACTGTGTTTTTTGTAGCTACAGTAATCCTGGTTACTGTATTTTATTTTGAAACCGAAAAATTCCTTTTGCAACATTTTTCCTTTTTTTTCTCAGATGTTATTTCAAGATAACAAAAAAAAATGGGGAAAAAAATAAACAGTTCACACATTTTCGATTTTTTTTTGGAATTTTTCGATTTAGCCTAACTTTACCCTCTAAAATCCACGTGGCAAAATTTTCAGCCATTTTCGAGTTGAAAATCGGATTCAGCGTGAAAAATTGGTTTCAACAAATTTTTCGAAAAAAAAAATGTTCCGCAGGCACCGGGGATCGAACCTGTGATGTGTTCCTGCTAAATCCACGTGGCAAAATTTCAGCCAGAATTCCTTTTACAAAAAATTCGCGAGCACCGGGGATCGAACCAGCGACCTTCCACCTCTCAAAATCACTGCAACCTTGCAGGAAGTTTTGCTGCTCAGGTTCGTGCCCCGGTGCCCGCGAAACTTTTTTTTCCTTCAAAATTTTTTTGTAACTGATTTTCTGGGCTAATTTTTCACGCTGAATTCGAATTTCAGCATGAAAATCTCGAAAATTTCAGATTTCCAGTTGAAAATTTGAAAAAAATTTTTTTTTTTTTTTTTTGCGAAAAGCTTGCGCAACTAATTAAATTAGAGGATTTTTGATGGGAGAAAATTTGCATTTTCTTTTTTTTTCGAAAAAAATCATAAAAAGTTTCCAACTGTGCGCCAAAAACTGGTAGAAGCACTTTTGATTTCGCCGCGCGAAAAAAAAAAAAAAAAAAATTTTTTTTTTTTTTTTTGAAAATCGGAAAAGATTATAGAAAAACTGGAAATTTGTCTGAAAATTTCGAATTTTTTGCGCCAAAATTTATCCACGTGGATTTTTCCCGCCAAAAATTCCTAGCTTCCTAAGCCCCGCCCCTTTTTTTTCCTCTTTTCCCTGCTTACTAATTAGATGTTACATAATAAAGATACCTGTTTAATTTCAAAAAAGCTTCTGGGAACCAGGCGCCTTTAAAATCCCCACAAATCTCTCAATTTTAAGCTTTTCCGCTGAATTTAGCTGATTTCCTCTGCGTCTCTAACTCTCTAGCTGACTGGTGTCTATTAGAAGTGTGTGATCTCTAGTTGTCTGCTTCTCTAACCCTCTCTCCAAATCCCATAGTCTCTAGATGCCTGTGTTCTCTAACCATCTAATTTTCCTCTACCTCTCTAACAAGGAAACCTTTTTTAGTCAACACTTCAAACCTTGATGAAATTTTGTCCAGAGACAGCTTTTGGGGTCATAAGAACACCCTAAAAATTTTAGTCTCCCAATGGACCTCTGAGCCAGGTTCTGGGCTCTCAAAAGTTCAAAAATTGCCAAAATTGGCTCATAAAACACGTCATAACTCAATTCTCGATCAATTTTATGAAAAACTAAGTAGCAGATGATGATCAGCGTGGTCGATTTACCCAAAAAGCATGAATAAAACGAATTTTCAAAAAAATTTCTGATTTTGAAAAAAAGAATGAGCAGGGGCACATATGAATTTTCATGAATTTTCAGCCCAAAAATAAAAAACTTTAAAATTTTTCGAAATAAAGTTTTTTATTGATGTACTTTTAGGTAATCGACTATGCTGATCAATATCTGAAACTTCATTTCTCCCAAAAAAAATTTGAAATGGAGCTATGATGACTTTTATGACCATTTTTAGGCCTTTTTTGAGTTTTTGAGAGCCCAGAACTTGGCTTAGAGGTCCATTGGGAGACTAAAAATTTTAGGGTATTCTTATGGTCCCAAAAGCTGTCCATGGACCAAATTTCATCATGATTTGAAGTGTTGAGTAAAAAAGGATCCCTTGTAACACTCTCAGAAGTGTGTGGTGTCTAGTTGTCTGCTTCTCTAACCATCTCTCCAAATCCCATAATTTCTAGCTCTCTATGTTCTCTAACCATTCAAGTTTCCTCTGCGTCTCTAACCCTCTCTCCAAACCCCATGGTCTCTAGCTTTCTGAGTTCTCTAACCCCCCCCCCCTTTTCCTCTATGTAGTCTCTAATTTTTCTCTGCGTCTCTAACCCTCTCAGAAGTGTGTGATCTCTAGCTTCCTGTATCTTTAACCATCTAAGCTTCCTCTACGTCTCTAACCCTTTCAGAAGTGTGTGATCTCTAGCTTTCTGTATCTCTAACCATATAAGCTTCCTCTGCGTCTCTAACCCTCTTTCTAAACCCTAGTATCTCTGACTTTCCTCTGCGTCTCTAACCCTCTCCCTCTCCCAGATTCTCAAATCATTTTTCCAGATCCATGATTCCTCCTCTCCTCTGGTTGTCTGCTGCTCTCCTCTACCTGTCTGCGTCTCTCGTCTCTCCACACTATGTCACCTCTCCTCCTCCACTCGCATCAAACTACATACAATCACCCGTCACAATTGATAACGGATTAATTGGTAAGGAAGAGAGAGCTACAGTATAACATGAGCAATCATTCATTTTTCTTTGAATTTTGAAGGGCTTAACATGAGCAATCTTCCAGTTTCTTTGAACAGATTACTGTATGTCCCTTTAAGATAAATGTAAAGATAAAGTTTAAACTGAGCAATCTTCTCTGAAATTCTATTAACATGAGCAATAAAGTACTGTATGTCCCTTTAAAACCTTCATTTTTCTTCTCATAAAAATACCTGCCTTCTAGCTTATTTCCTCCAGAAAATGTTACTACTAATTATAATTAGTAGGCTTTTCAATTTCTAATGGAAAATGGCAATTTCTAGAATAATAATCGGGTTAGGTAAGAAAGATGAAAGTGAAAAAAATTATATAAATTATTTTTGAAGAAAAAAAAACAGATATTTAAAGGGACATACAGTAATCTGAAGCTGGATATTTGGAACAAAAAAGTTTTGCTCATGTTAAATCAAATATGATGATTGCTCATGTTAGTTTTGAATTTTAAAAAAATCATTGCTCATGTTAAGCCTATAATTTCGAATTAAAAATTCGAGAACTTTCTAGAAAATTATATCATTGCTCATATTAGAACTGGAATTTCATAAAGTTCCTAGATTGCTCATAATAAAGATAAACTATTGAACTATCCGAATTGCTCATGTTAACCTCAAAAAATTCTAGAATTTTGAATTAAAAATTCGAAAACTTTCTAAAAAATTATATCATTGCTCATATTAAAGCTAAACTTTTAAAATATCCGAATTGCTCATGTTAAGCTCAAAAAATCCTATAATTTTAAGTTAAAAATTCAAATTTCTAGAAAATTAAAACATTGCTCATGTTAAGCTCAAAAAGTGGTTTAAAATTCCTAGATTTCTCATATTAAAGCTAAATTATAAAAAACATGCGAATTGCTCATGTTAAGCCAAAAATAGCATATAATTTTGAATAAAAAATTCAAATTTCTAGAAATTTGACCAATTGCTCATATTAAGCTTTAAAAAAATGGATTAAAATTCCTATATTGCTCATATTAAACTAAATCAGTAAAATATCAGCATTGCTCATGTTAAACAAAAAAAAAATCATTTAAAAATATTAAAGGAACATACAGTATCCCTACCCCTCCCTTTAAATTAACAAAATCTAAGGATTGCTCATGTTAACATAGGAATCTTAAAGGTACATACAGTATCCCCACCCCATTCCTTTAAATAAACCAAATCTAATGATTGCTCATGTTAACATAGGAATCTTAAAGGTACATACAGTATCCCTACCCCTCCCTTTAAATCAGAAAAATCTAAGGATTGCTCATGTTAACATAGGAATCTTAAAGGAACATACAGTATCCCCACCCCATTTCTTTAAATTAAAAAATTTAATTAAAGGAACATACAGTACTCCCAACATTTTTTTGCAGGTGAGCCTGAAGTCGTCTGCGAAACCTCGGCCATCTCACTCCTCTTCAAAACCAAACAAGGTTTCCCGGGAAAAGTGTTCGTAAAAGGCCACGTGGCAGATCCGGCATGTATTACTGTAGGTGATGGCAATAAACAATCGCATCGATTCGAAGTTCGACATGATTCGTGTGGTGTGAGAAGACAAAGGGAAATTGGAGGAGTTGTCATATCTGCTACTGTTATCATCTCATTTCATTCGGTGAGTTTGCGATTTTTGAGATCAGCGTGAAATTTTGATCTAGAAATTTGGTTTTGGGTCTAGAAAGCCTGGGGGCTCCTGCGGTTTAGGCTCCGCCCACTTTTCTGAAAATCTAGAAGCTCTCGGAGTTAACTGATAATTTCACAGTGTTCCTGAGAAGATTTGGAGACTTTTGAGCCCCATATTGATATAGTTAGCTCATCTTAGAGCGGAGATAGCGATTTAGGCCCCGCCCACTTTTCCGTGCCGCAAAATCTAGAAGATTCCCGAGGTAGCCGTTAATCCCACAGTGTTCCTGAGAACTCAGGCAAATCGTCCCACCGGTGTAACACCAAATCTCCACTCACTCAACACCTTCTCTTCAATAATCCCACCGGTGGGCCCACCGGTGGGAAACCGGTGGTCACAAATTTGATAATAGCACCGGTGTACCACCACCTTAACACTCGCTTAACACCGTTTGAACACCGTCTGAACACCAAAAAGAGGTGTTCCACCAGTGTTTTTGTTTATTTTTCCCACCGGTTTCCCACCGGTGGGCCCACCGGTGGGACGATTTGCCTGAGAAGATTTACAGATTTTTGAGCCCCATATTTTTGAAGTTAGCTCATCTTAGAGCTGAGATAGCGATTTAGGCTCCGCCCACTTTTTCAGTATAGCTAGGGGGTACCATATTTTTCTAGGAAGGCCTGGAGAACCCTTGAAAAATGTCCCCCGGTTCAAAATTACACGTAGAATCCGGTTTTCCAGGTTCCAGGGGCTGAAAATCAAGTCTAAGGGTGGGAAAACACCCAAAACCTAATTTTTTGGAGTGAACGGGGGGGGGGGGTACCATATTTCGTTAATAATCTGTAGAGAGCGCTGAGAAAATGTCTCTGGGCTCAAAATTTCACGAAGAATCGATTTTTCCAGGTTGCGGGGGCTGGAAATCAAGTCTAGATGTAGAAAAACCTCGAAAATCATCTTTGAAGTGAACAAGAGAGGGGGGTACCATATTTCATTAAAATTCGGTAGAGAGCCCTGGGAAAATGCCCCGCTGGCCTAAAATTCTACGTAGAATCCAATTTTCCAGGTTCCGGGACCTGAAAATCTGATCTAAGGGTATAAAAATCATTTTTGAAGTGAATTGGGGGGGGGGGTACAATATTTATTTAAAAATTCATAGAAAGTCAGGGGAAAAATCACCCTGGCTTGAAATTCCACGTAGAATTCAATTTTCCAGGTTTCAGGGGCTGAAAATGAAGTCTAGAGGTAGAAAAACCCAATTTTTTTCTCGCAAAACCACGTGTGTGGTACCATAATTCTCTAGGCAACTCTCATGAACGCAAGGAAAATACCTCAGGGGGCCCCAGGCTCAAAATTCCACGTAGAATCCAATTTTCCAGGTCCCAAAGCTCAAAAATCACTCCAAACCTAATGTAATTCCAGATTTTCATAACAAAAGTGGATCGTGCCTACCGTGTCTCATGTTTCTACGTAGAAGGCACCAAAAAAGTGCACAATCACCTGGACATTTCCGCATTAACCACTCAATTACTCGAATCCCAAACCAATCTACCAATTTGTAAATACGAAATTCTTTCCGATCCTCAAGGTCAACCAATCAAATATGCGAAAATCGGTGACACAGTCTATCATAAATGGACATGTATACCAGAAATGGATAATATGTATTGTATGCGTGTTCATTCGTGTACTGTATATGATGGACAAGGTGGTCCACCGGTTACTGTAATTGATTCGAATGGTTGTAGTACGGATGGAATTATTTTGCAAAATTTGGAATATGGACAAGATTTGATGGCCGGGAGAAGTTCACCGGTTTTTAAATTTGCGGATAAAGCTGGATTGTATTTTAATTGTCAAATTATGTTAACTATTAAGGATGTCGATTATGGTTGTAGTAATACGGTAAGGTTCTTGGGAGAGGGGGGATTGCTCAGGTTAACAAGATATTTTATATATTTTTGGGAGAAGTCAGTTAGTTTCACAAGCATGACTCATTTTATACTAGACTCTATAGTTAACCTGAACAATGCTTCTTCAGGTATTGAAGGGGGATTGCTCAGGTTAACAAGATTCCTCGTATTTTTAAAAACAGAATTTTTTTGTGCCGGAAATTTTCCAGAAAATATGCTCGGAAAATCCGGAAAATGATATTTTTGGAATTAAAAATTTTTTTTTTTTTTTTTTTTTAATTTTACGATTTTTTGAACGTAAAACGTCTCTCAAATAGTTACCGTAGATAAAAATAAGTTTTGAGGCTGAAAATCGAAATTTCAGAATTTTCCAAATTTTCCGGCACAGGCCTGGTCGGAAAATTAGTTCCACGAACATTGCTCATATTATACTAGACTCTGTAGTTAACCTGAGCAATGCTTCTTCAGGTAGTTGAAGGGGGATTGCTCAGGTTAATAAGATTCCTAGGATTTTTGTAAACAGGCCTGTGCTGGAAATTTTTCGAATTTCCGGAAAATGTGCTCGGAAAATCCGGAAAATGATATTTTTGGAATTTAAAAATTTTTTTTTTTTTTTTTTTTTTTTTGAACGTAAAACGTCTCTCAAATAGTTATCGTAGATAAAAATAAGGTTTGAGGCTGAATTTCGAAATTTCAGAATTTTCCAAATTTTCCGGCACAGGCCTGGTTGGAACATTGCTCATATTAATCTACTAGACTCTATAGTTAACCTGAGCAATGATTCTTCAGGTATTTGAAGGGGGATTACTCAGGTTAGGGAATATTTTTAATGAGCTTTGAGACTATTGCTCATTTTAAAAATTTTCAATGGCTCAGATACCTGAAATTGTGACTAACCTGAGCAATCCATACTCCTACATTGCTCATATTAACCTATAGTTATTCTCCCCAGCATGAATAATTAACATGAGCAATCCTATCATCCTACATTGCTCATATTAACTTTCCAGCAACCCCAATGCTATCCAGCAGCTCCACCGCAATACGCCGTCGAACCCGCCGCCAAAACCACCGAAACCTACGCAACACCTTCCGACTCCTACAGTACCACCACTGAACACGAGTCGGGTTATCCGACCCGCGCCTATCCACCCGCCTCACATCCCGCTTCACCCGCTCCACCACCAAGAGGCGGAGCGTCCGGAAGCGGAAGCGGAAGCGCGGGAGAATACTATCCGGAACCACAGCAAGGCGGAATTTTGGGAGGTGTTCCGGATAGTGCTTATGAGGTGCAAGGATATAATGATACGGATCCAGTGAGTACAGTACTACAGTAACCCAAAGGTTAACCTACAGTACCCCTAAAATCCACATTCCAGCCTTTCACAACTTCAAGTTCATATGCTGAAGATTCCTCTTCCACCTACAGTAGACTAATCAAAAGAAACACCAAAGAGCCGGTTACTGTAGCGGATTTGGACCTGCCCGAAAAAGGGATCCTCGTATTTGGTCTCGAAGAGAATCCAGAAGACTCCACAGATTTTTCGACACTAGACTTTCTCCCGAATTCTCGACGCACATGTTTCAGCAATTTCCGAATCTATGGATCTTTCCTCGTTTTGACTACTGTATTTTTGGTTACTGTAGTTGTGTTTGTTGTGATTCTCAACAAGCAACGACAAATTATTGCGCAATCTGCGTTTTTTGCAGCGAAAAATTAGAAATTTTGGAACTTTTTTTTTGGAGGAAACCCGTGCTTTCATTTGTGCAATTCTCTTGTATTTCTGTATATAAACTTTGACAAGTTTTGTGGTATTTTGCGCGTCAAATATGGTGACCTACAGTAATCCATGTGTCTTTTTGGAAAATTACAGATTTTTTGGTCCAGGTTGCAAGTTTCTAGCTATCCTGGGAGCTGAGATACGATTTTGGAAAGTGGGCGCTGCTTATTTTTCTCTGCACTCTCTCAAAATAAAACATAGGCGCTGCTTATTTTCAAAAAGGGGCGGAGCTTATTTGGGCGCTGCTTATTTTCCTTTGAAAGTGGGCGCTGCTTATTTTTCTCTGCGCTCTCTCAAAATAATGCATAGGCGCTGCTTATTTTCAAAAGTGGGCGGAGCTTATTTGGGCGCTGCTTATTTTCCTTTGAAAGTGGGCGCTGCTTATTTTTCTCTGCGCTCTCTCAAAATAATGCATAGGCGCTGCCTAAAAAGTGGGCGGAGCCTATTTCTCTGCGCTCTCTCGAGGTTAACCATAGGCGCTGCTTGTTTTTCTTCGCATTTGCGCGTCAAATTTAGTGTCTACAGTAACCAGGAAGTGTTATATATCATTCAACGACAAATTTCGAGCTTCGTTGATCTACCCAGAATTCTTGAAAGGTAAAATATTTTTCACTGATTTTTTTTAAATTAAATTTCATGAGTTCATAGAACACCTTGGTTTTTGAACCTGAAAATTTTGATTATTCTCATGAAAAAGAAAAATCTATAATTACCTGTGAAGGAAAAAATAATCAGAAAAACGAGATTTGTCAGCTTTTGGGGGGAAATTAGGTCAAAAGGGAATTTTTATGAGAAAAAAGTGTTTATTGAAAGTGTTCTCCGGCAAAACTGGTTTTTTCTGAATAGAAGAAAAAGTTTCAAAAAATTTTTTTTGAAATTTTTTGTTGTTCGGATTAATATTTATTTTTGTTTGTGTGTTTTTTGGTTCAAAAAATGTATTTCCGAAAATTAATTGATTTTCAAATTCAAAGTTCATTTTTTTCTATTTATCGAAAAAAAACCGGTTTTTTTTCGATAAAAAAAAAGAAATAGAAAAAAGTTTGTTTTTTTGATTTTTTTTTTTATTTTCAAAAAAAATATAAATTTTAAAAATTATTTTTTCGCGTGAAAACGTGATAAACGTGGCGACCTTGATTTTCGAAAAAATTATTTTATTTCGAAATTTTTTCACATACTGTATGGTTTTAGGTGTGAAATTCAAATTTTCCCAGGAAAAATGCAAATTTCTCCTTCGTTGACCCTTTTTCTCATCATAAATCCCATAAAAAAAGAATTCCCATATCAAAATTCTCATTTATTGTTTGCAGCGACCAAATTCAGATTTTTTTTTCACAAAAAAATCAAAAATGAAGGAAAATTTTCAAGTTTTCGGTGAGTTTTTGTTGAAAATTCCCAAAAATTTCCAAATTTTGAGCTGAAAATCCGCAAAAATCCGAGAAAACCGACTGGAAAGCTATTGTTATTGCGGCTTTGGTGACTTTTATCGCTGCTATTGAGAATACGGTTATTGGAATGAGTGAATGGGCTTATATGAATGAGGTGAGGTGAAAATTATTGATTTTTCTGAATTTTTCATCAAAAACTACCCCTAAACCTTGATTTTCGGGTAAATTTTTTAAATTTACTTTCTTTGCGGATTTTTAAGGATTTGCGCGTCAAATCTAGTGTTCTACAGTACTCCAAGATTATTTATAGAAAAATATACGCTATTTAGTCCAAGGAGCGAGTTTCTAGCTATCCTAGAAGCTGAGATACGATTTTGGAAAGTGGGCGCTGCTTATTTTTCTCTGCACTCTCTCAAAATAATGCATAGGCGCTGCTTATTTCAAAAGTGGGCGGAGCTTATTTGGGCGCTGCTTATTTTTCTCTGCGCTCTCTCAAGGTTTAACATAGGCGCTGCTTATTTCTCAAAAGTGGGCGGAGCCTATTTGGACGCTGCTTATTTTCTTTTCCAAAGTGGGCGCTGCTTATTTTTCTCTGCGCTCTCTCAAAATAATGCATAGGCGCTGCTTATTTTCTTCTAAAAAGTGGGCGCTGCTTATATTTTCAGATCGATAAAGTGGCTGATGCTCAATTCTTCGGCAATGCCACCTCAATTTCCAAAGCCTTTCATGCTCTCGCTGCCCTATTTTTCGCATTTTGGTGTTTTCGCGCTCAAAACTTCCGTGCTCCTTTGATTTTCGGGAGATTGTTGGCGTTTTCTGCGTGCATACTGTATTTGTGCGTGGAATTATCCGAAAATTCTCGTCGATATTTGATGGCTTTGTGTTATATTTTATTCGGAATCGCTTCGAGTTCTAGTTCGATTTTACGTGCATATGTGGCAGCTATTTCTCTAGAATCCGACAGACCACAGGCTTATAGTGCTATCACAGCTGCTACTATGTTGAGTATTATTATTGGACCTTGTGAGTTGATTTTTTAGCAGCTGGGAACTTCTAAATAAAATATTACAGTAATCCAAGCCGCATTCACCGGGTTCATATACCCAGGAATCGAAATTCTGCCAAATATCCGATTTCATTTATATTCTGCACCAGTTTGGGTGGCCGCAGCCACCAATTTCCTGTCAATTGCAATTATTTGCTGTTTTTTGAAGGAATTACCGAAAAGAGCGAAGAGTACGATGGGTAAGTTGCGGTAGATCACGAAATTCTGCGTCGAATGGTGTAGCATACTCCTAGATTACTGTAGATTCATGAGAACACTATATTTGACGCGCAAATACAGAGAAAAATTAGCAGCGCCTATGTATTATTTGAAGAGAGTGCAGAGAAATAGGCTCCGCCCACTTTTTAAGCAGCGCCTATGCATTATTTTGAGAGAGCGCAGAGAAAAGCTTGTAGGATAGCTAGAAACTTGCTCCTTGAACCAAAACATTCGGAATTTTCTGGAGATTAATTTTAAATACTGTAACACACCACAATTGACGCGCAAAAACCTCAAAACGTCTTCAGCTCGTGAAAAATCGTTGCTCACCCTAAAAGGTCTTCGCAATCGTCTCGACACCATTGCTCATCTCAAACTCGACTGGCCTACAGTAACCCTTTGCTGGTTGATGAAAATCATATCAATGTTATCTGTGGTCACCCTTCAAACCCTAGTTTCCCTAATTTACATCAATAATTATGGCTGGACCCGTTCAAATACCGTATTCTCGATTTCGATTTTAATGGGTACTGTAGGCGTTTTATCACTGACTATTGCATTTTTATACTTTTTCTGCAATTTGGGAAAATTGTGAGTTTTTTTTTAGTTTTTTTCTTTTGGCGCTAAAAATACCGTACTTCAGACTTTCTCAACGATTCGCCGTTTTGTTTGGAATGTGCATTTTTGCCACCATGTATTTTTTGGCTTATCCATGGGAGCCAATTAGTCAACATGTGGCACAGTATAATGGTGGGTTACTGTAGAAAACGCGGATTAGCGTGAAATTCTATGTAGATTTCAGAGAAACACCATATTTGACGCGCAAATGCAGAGAAAAATAAGCAGCGCCTATGTGTTATTCTGAGAGAGCGCAGAGAAAAATAGGCAGCGCCCACTTTTTAAGCAGCGCCTATGAATTATTTTGAGAGAGCGCAGAGAAAAATAGGCAGCGCCCACTTTTTAAGCAGCGCCTATGTATTATTTGAAGAGAGCGCAGAGAAAAATAAGCAGCGCCCACTTTTGAAATAAGCAGCGCCTATGTCTAATTTTGAGAGAGCGCAGAGAAAAATAAGCAGCGCCCACTTTTGAAATCATATTTCAGCTTGTAGGATAGCTAGAAACTTGCTTCTTGGACCAAAATTTGTGGAATTTTCGGGATCGATTCAAAAACAATTCAACTTTTTATGAAAACATCAAAAATTTCAATCAAATTTATTCGCAAATTCCGATTTTTGAACAATCACATCGTTTGCGAATCTGACGCTTCGAAGATTGGGCAAATGTTTGATTTTGAGAGTATCGATCACTTGTTTATTTCTATAGTGACACTGAAAATGCAGAAAAGTGAGCTATGACGTGGCAAAAATTTTGAAAAACTTACGCTACAATCAAAAAATTGCATTTTGTCACCATATTGCTCCAAAAATTTCTTTACATACTTGATCATAACATCAACATGATTTCCATCCTCATATTCCACGATTTTTCGCTTATCATCTCCCATTCTGAAATTAATTTTCATCAAATTCAATGTAATTTTAACAAAAACAACTTACCCGATTTCATAATCAATTTTAGTTTTACTTCCAAGCTGCTCATGGTAAACAATATGATATTTGATTTCATTTCCAATTTTCATATCAAAATACAAATGTTCGGTGCCAGAAATACCAAAACCAGTGCATTTTTCAGCTTTTTTCATCCATTCCAACCAATTTTCACTAGTCATTTTGAGAATTTTCGTGTTTTCCGCGCAAAAAACAAAAAATGATGAGCAATGGCCTAGAAAACCAACATGGCCGAGCTCGCAGTTTTCTCTTCCATCCCCCAATTTTCGTTTTTTCTCCCCCACAGAAACCACCGATCTTGGCTGCAAACCAACGGAATTCTCATGGTGTGATAATTCGCTGACACCCTCACCTTGGGTATTATTTGGTGTGATTGGTTTGGTGATGGGAATTGGAATACCGTTGGCGATAATTGCGTTGGATGCGATTTATTCGAAATGTTTGGGAAATATCAATCAAAGTGTTATGCAAGGAGCAATGATTGTGGCGGAAGATGTTATAACTATTGTTGGACCAATTTATACATCGTGAGTTGTTTTGGGATGGGGGAAATGAGGTTTTTGGAGCGGAAGAGGCGAAAATACCTGTCTCTAGAGCTGGAAAATCGAAAAATTCGGTTTTGGAACGAAAATACATGAAATCTTGCTCCTGGAGCTCAGAAATCATGTATTTTGGCTTCAGGAACTGAAAAATATGAAAAAATTTGCTTTTGAAGCTCAGAAAACTGCTCATTCGCGCTCCAGAACCTTAGAAATCACAAAAATCGAGTCTTGTAGAGAAGAATTCATGAAAATCCTGCTTCTCCCAAAATACCCCAATTTTTTGCAGTTACATCTTCACCTCCTATGGTTTTGGCGCTTTATGGATGTTCAATGGAATTGTCGTAACTCTTGGAACTCTTCTATGGCTTCTCAATATAAGAAAATTGGAAAAATATTCATAATTTTGTCACTTTTTTGTGTTTTTTTGCGAAAAATAAATTTGGACGACCGAAATAAGCTCCGCCCACTTTGGAAAATTTAGCAGCGCCTATGCATTATTTCGAGAGAGTGCAGAGAAAAATAAGCAGCGCCCACTGAAAATAAGCAGCGCCTATGCATTATTTCGAGAGAGCGCAGAGAAAAATAGACAGCGCTTGCGATTAAAAATATATATTATTTAAAGTGGCCTATAAAATCGATAACGTGGAATTAAAAAAAATATTTTTACAAAAACTAATTCAATTCTTGTGCCGGTTGCCCACAAACATGACAACTTCCGCTAGTAAGATTGCAAGGAGCATCATCCAAAGTTCCAGGAGCAGTACCCCAAGAAATGGTCGATGACACCATTCCAACACAATTCTGATCACTCCGATAATTATCCGGACGATTAGGCGCAAAATTCGAGAACGCCTCAATTCCCGTCACAAAACCATCAGTCCATCGAAACGAATTCTGTGCAGCTGGAAGACATCCGGCATTGAATTCAGTCGCCGGTCCATAACAAGCCGCTTGACGAACTGCCCCAATCCAACAATAACCCGATGCACTGTTTGTTGCGATCAGAGAGAGTTCAAGAGCCAGATTCACTTCATCAGTGGTTTCGAAACTGGCGAGCGTCGAGTTTTCAAGTTGACACGATGTTTCGGATTCGATTGGATTCTCACTACCTGCGATAACTCTCAAGCAATAATAGCCTTTGACTCGAGACACCATTGTATAATTATCAGGACATGTGTAATTTCCGACAGAGAATAAGGTCTGCAAAATAAACTGTACCCCACTTTGGACAAATAAGCAGCGCCCACTTTCTCATTGAAAATAAGCAGCGCCTATGTATTATTTGAAGAGAGCGCAGAGAAAAATAAGCAGCGCCTATGTATTATTTGAAGAGAGTGCAGAGAAAAATAAGCAGCGCCCACTTTTGAAGGAAAATAAGCAGCGCCTATGTATAATTTGAAGAGAGCGCAGAGAAAAATAAGCAGCGCCCACTTTCAAAAAGAAAATAAGCAGCGCCTATGTAATATTTTGAGAGAGCGCAGAGAAAAATAAGCAGCGCCTATGTATAATTTGAAGAGAGCGCAGAGAAAAATAAGCAGCGCCCACTTTCAAAAAGAAAATAAGCAGCGCCTATGTATAATTTGAAGAGAGCGCAGAGAAAAATAAGCAGCGCCCACTTTCAAAAAGAAAATAAGCAGCGCCTATGTATAATTTGAAGAGAGCGCAGAGAAAAATAAGCAGCGCCCACTTTCAAAAAGAAAATAAGCAGCGCCTATGTATTATTTGAAGAGAGCGCAGAGAAAAATAAGCAGCGCCTATGTATAATTTGAAGAGAGTGCAGAGCAAGTTCAAACCTACATCTTCCATTTCACAATATGATGCATGACAATTCTTCAAATATGATAGTATAACAACAAGAGAACAAACAATAAACATAGGTATTCCGCTATCGAAATGTCTTATTTTTTGTTCTATTTATAAGGAAGGCTATTCAAATTTGCTGCGTGTGAAAACTTTTGTATACATTTTTGCAAAATTTTATGATGTGTCAAAACAATACTTTTGCACGTTCGCTGAACAAGTTATTAAAATAGTCATAATTTCGCAGTTTTCAGGTTTTTCTTCCAGGTTTTGGGTTGATTTCCATGCAGTTTTTGACGGCGGTAAAGATGGTGTACTCAGATTTTCATTTGGTGAAGCGGTTCTTCAGATTTTGGTGGAAAAATACATTTTTCCGATGAAAAACTGGTTTGCGCGTCAGGTAAAATGCAAGTGTGCAGAGTGGCGTCGGCGTGTTTGCACACACTTTTTTTACTTTTTTTTTGCGCATTTTTTTGCGGTTTTTGCAGTTTTCCAGCAAAACTGTCCAAAATGGCGGCAAAAATCATTGATGCAAAGGATATTTCACCAGCCTGGAAGGTTTTGCAGATGAAAATGAAGGAGGAGGAAGCGGCAAAACCGGAAAAAATGGAAGAAGACGCGGATAACGAGGGTTTCACCAAAGTGCTCACAAAAAACCAGAAAAAACAATTGAATCGAAAGCGGCGAGCACAAGAAGCATTAGAAGAGGCAATGAATTCGCAAAAGAAATCGAGAGAACACTACGATATTCCGGTTTTGATAAAAGATGATGAAATTGGTGAAGCGACACAATTAATGGCATTGGATTGTGAATATGTTGGAGGTGGAAATGAGGGAAATATTGATATTTTGGCCAGAGTTTCGATTGTTAATGATGTAGGTTTTTAAGGGGGTTTGGAGAGGAAAAACTGAAAATTTTAAATTTTTAGTCAAAAATTCGAGAAAAATGTGAAAATTTGCCCGGAAAGCTCGAAAAAACAGCTGGAAATCCAGGTTTTCAGAAAGATTTTCTTGAAAATTATGAATTCCCTGCTCAAAATCTTGAAAATTGCTGAAAATCTGTGGTTTTGAGCTTAGAAACCTGAAAAACCATAAAAATCTGGAAGTTTTTATAGAAAATATAGAAAATTTGGGATTTTCAGCCAATTTTAGCTTGAAATCTCTAAAAATTGTACTTTCCCATCAATTTTTGATCCAAAACTATCATCAGAAAAAAAAATGAAAATTTGAATTTTCCACAAAAACGGGGAGAGTTCAATAGAGCGCATTTGCTGTTTTTGGCTCGAAATTCGTCGTTTCTAGCTCAAAATTCATGAAAATCGTGTTTTTCATCAATTTTAACCTAAAAATCATGAAAAACAACGATTTTTGGTCGAAAAATAGCAAATGCGCTCTGTTGAACTCTACGCGTTTTTATGGAAAATCCAAATTTTTTTTTTCTAAAATTGGTCCTAAGCTTATTTAGACTCAAAAAATCCCAAATTTTTGCAGAAAGGCAAAATCGTGTATGACAAATATGTTCGACCAACCGAAAAAGTGACCGATTACCGTACTCAAGTCTCCGGAATTCGACCAGAAGATCTATCAAAAACCTCACAAAAATGCCTCACTTTCGATCAGGTTCAAAAAGAGACCACAAAATTGATCGAGGGAAAAATGATTGTTGGACACGCGATTCATAATGATTTTCGAGTTTTGAAGATTGCTCATGGTAGAAAAATGACGAGAGATACGGCAAAATGTTTGGTTTTGAAGCAAAGAGTTCAACAAAATCGAGGAGTGAGTGATTTTTGACCGAAAAACCATGAAAAACATTGAATTTTGACGCAAAACTAGCAAATGCGCTCTATTGAACTCTCCCCGTTTTCAAGAAAAATTCAAATTTTCATTTTTTTTTCTTTTAGCTGAAATTGGCGGAAAATCGATTTTTAACCAAAAAACTATTATTTTGATCTGAAATTTGCTAAAATTCCTAATTTTCCATCAAATTCCACCCGAAAACCATGAAAAACAACGAATTTTGAGTCAAAAATAGCATATGCGCTCTATTGAACTCTACGCATTTTTGTGGAAAATTCAAATTTTCTTCATTTTTTTTCTTCTGATGAAGTTGGTGAAAAACCGATTTTTTAACCAAAAAACTATGATTTCGATCTGAAATTTACTAAAATTTCTCATTTTTAGCTTAAATTCGTGATTTTCCATCAAATTCCACCCAAAAATCTCGAAAAACGACGATTTTTGAGTCAAAAAGAGCAAATGCGCTCTATTGAACTCTCCCCGGTTCTTTGAAAAATTCAAATTTTCATTTTTTTTTTCTCTGATGGATTTTGAGCTCAAGTTGATGGGAAAATCGTATTTTTTTAGCTAAAAATCATGAATTTCCTCAAATTTAAAGGCACATACAGTATTCTTTCAATTTTCCAGACCCCGTCGCTCAAAAAACTGGCCAAAGAAGTTCTCGGAATCGATATTCAACAAGGCGAACACTGTTCGGTAGGTCGAATTTGGTTTTCTAGGCCCTCTTGGTTTTCTAGGCCACCTAACATTCCAATATTTCCAGATTCAAGATGCTCGAGTTGCTCTTCGCCTTTATGAAGCCGTCAAAAAACAATGGGAAGCTGAAATCAAACGATTCAGAAGTTAGCCTAAATCTAATTAGTTGTTGTTTGTTATTGTTATATGTTCCTTTAAAATAAAAAAAAACAAAAAGCCTCAGAGTACAATTCACTTCACAAACAATCAGTTATATGCTCAAGTATAAATAAATCATCAAAGGCATGTGCGCCCGCCCGGCCACGAACCCGTCACCTTCAGATCGATAGGCGCGTGCTCTAACCACTCGGACGTCTAGCTGTCGCTCGCCTCGCTGCCAAATTTCGTTTATAAAGTGGGCGGCGGGGCGGGGAGAGAGTGAGGGAGAAGAGAGAGAGTGCAGAGAAGTGTGTGTAGTTCTCGAGGAGAAGATGCAAAAAAAGTTTATTAATTGAATTTTTAATTAATTAAGAAGGCGAAGGTTGTGAGCTTGGCGGATTTATACTGTTTCTTCTTGTATTTATTCGCGACATTCGATCGTAGCCAACCTGTAAACGTTTGATACTCAGTCAAGTACGCAGCCAAATTGAATTGAATTTGGCTGCGTACCTGTTGGCTGAGTATCTAATTCGAGTGAGATTTTTGACTGACTTGGTTTTTTAGACCGGAAATTTGAATGAACTTTGAGGTGATCAGCTAAAATGAGCAATGATTTCATGATTTGAAAAACATTAGATACTCAGTCAATAATCAAGGTACGCAGCCAAATTTAATCAGATTTTCAAAGTGGTATAGAAACATTAGATACTCAGTCTACAATCTGGGTACGCAGCCAAATTAGTTCAGGTTCCCAAGGTAGTCTAGAAACATTAAATACTCAGCTAACTATTCAGGTACGCAGCCAAATTGATTCAGGTTTCCAAGGTGGTATAGAAACATTAGATACTCAGCTAACTATTCAGGTACGCAGCCAAATCAAAGTAGCTCTGTGAAAGCTTCCGAAACACATTAGATACTCAGCCTACAATCTTGGTACGCAGCCAAATTTGTTCAGGTTTCCAAGGTGGTGTATAAACATTAGATACTCAGCTAACTACTCAGGTACGCAGCCAAATCAAAGAAGCTTCGTGAAAGCCTAGACATTAGATACTCAGTTAACTGAACAGGTACGCAGCCAAATTAAATAATCATTATAAAGGTTCCCCAAAAAGACATTAGATACTCAGCCGACTGATCAGGTACGCAGCCAAATCAATTTAAGAATAACATTAGATACTCAGCCTACAAACTAGATACGCTGCCAAATTAAAAAAAATCTTCAAAACACATTAGATACTCAGCCGACTGATCAGGTACGCAGCCAAATCAATCTAAGGATAACATTAGATACTCAGGTAAGTCATAAGGTACGCAGCCAAATTTGAAGTCCTTTGGGAAACATTAGATACTCAGCTAACTACTCAGGTACGCAGCCAAATTAAATCAGGTTTCCAAGGTTAGATACTCAGCCAAATTAATACACTTTCAAAACCAAAAAAAATCTATTCAGGTACGCAGCCAAATCAAAGAAGCTTCGTGAAAGCCTAGACATTAGATACTCAGCTAACTCTCTTAAGATACGCAGTCAAATTTTTCAGAAAAGACATTAGATACTCAGCTAACGACTCAGGTACGCAGCCAATTAGGATCTAGAGGTTAAGAATGTGTAATTCAAACAACATTAGATACTCAGTTAACTACTCAGGTACGCAGCCAAATCAAAGAAACTTCGTGAAAGCTTCCCAAACACATTAGATACTCAGTCAACAATCTAGATACGCAGCCAAATTGCCCTACCTTCATTTCATCAGTAACACAAGCCAATAATAATCTCCAAGCTTTGACAATTTCATGATTATATTTAATATTATCACATGCTCCAATAATAGCCATAGCTTCCTCTCCAAATTCTTCAATCATTCCACCATCAAAACCACTTTCAGCCATTTGTGCATGTTTTTCACCAAAATGCCGAACTTCGGCTAACTCGCCATCCAAATTCTCCAAATTATCGATTAGTTTTTCGAAGATCCCACATAAACATCTTGAGTGATCTAATTCGGTTTTTACACGACATGCTGGAATTGTTTGGCCACGTGGCGGAGCTAAGGAATTTACGAAAGCGGTTGTGAGAAATATTGAACGCATATCGGGGAAACGAGCTTCGAGACGCCGGAAAATCTTCTCCATTAACTTGAGAAATGTGCCGCCCGAATTCATCGCCAGAAATGAGGTCTGAAAATCATTTTTCTCCAGGAATCTCTAATTTTCAGCCAGAATTATTGATTTTTTCGAGTTCAGCATGAAAAATTAGCTCAGGAGACGGTTCTCGCGAGATTTTTTGACAATTTTTCAGAATTTCAAATTTTGGAGCTGAAAATGAGGTCTGAAATTGATTTTTCTCAAGGAATTTCTGGATTTTGAGCGGAATTATTGATTTTTTCGAATTCAGCATGAAAAATTAGCCCGGGAGACGGTTCTCGCGAGATTTTTGGCTGATTTTTGAAAATTTCAAATTTTGGAGCTGAAAATGAGGTCTGAAAATCATTTTTCTCAAGGAATTTCTGGATTTTGAGCAGAATTATTGATTTTTTCGAGTTCAGCGTGAAAATTTAGGTCGGGAGACGGTTCTCGCGAGATTTTTGAACAATTTTTGAAAATTTCAAATTTTGGAGCTGAAAATTAGGTCTGAAATTAATTTTTCTCGAGGAATTCCTGGATTTCGAGCAGAATTATTGATTTTTTCGGATTCTACGTGAAAAATTAGGTCGAAAGACGGTTCTCGCGAGGTTTTTGGGGGATTTTTGAAAATTCGAAATTTCGGAGCTGAAAATGAGGTCTGAAATTGATTTTTCTCTAGGAACCTCTAATTTTCAAGCAGAATTATTGATTTTTTCGAATTCAGCATGAAAAATTAGGCCAGGAGACGGTTCTCGCGAAGTTTTTGGACAATTTTTCAGAATTTCAAATTTTGGAGCTGAAAATGAGGTCTGAAAATCATTTTTCCTCCAAAATATGCCTTGTAATATGTCTTTCGAACCGGAATTTCACGAAAAATTCAAAAATCCACGAAAAAACCTACTCTGAGCAATCGTTTCTGTTTTGTAGTTAGACAAAGTTTGGAAGAAGACGGTCGAATTGGATGAACATTTGTATCAGAAAGTGATAATTGTCGAGATAAAGGCTCCCTGGAAAAATATTGATTTTTTGGCTGAAAATTTGCTGAAAATTGACTTACGCAAAATATTTTCTCATTTTTTTGAGAAAAAAAGGCAAAAAAATGTCAAGTGGCCGGATTTTTCAAGAGATTTTTCATGGATTTTTTTTTTCGAGTAGGGAAAATATGTCAATATTTTTGACATCCCCGAAAAATAGGTGAAAAATGGTGTGATTTTCGTTCAAAAATCCAAAATTTGTTCCAAAAATCACACCGGAAACTGCCTACTTTCAAAAAATCCCGGTTTCCAGAAATCGCACCGGAATTTCCCTACTTTTTTTTTAAAATTTAAAAAAATTTTTTAAATTTTTTTCAAACTCACCCAAAAACTAATTTTCGTAATAAGCTTAGCATATTTTCGCGCGCGAATTTTTTTTTTTCAAAAAAAAATAATTTTTTTTCTGAGCTGAGCCGGAAATTCGTATGAACTTTGGAAAAATGAGCAAAAAAATTGTGCTCAATTTTTTTTGTGCTCAAAAAAAAATTGAATTTTTCAAGCTTCACTGATTTTATGATCAAGTGAAGAGAAAATGAGAAAAGTAGGTGAAATATGGTGCGATTTTTGACTGCCTCTAGAAAATTTGCGGGTTTTTTGGAAGTAGGGGAATTCCGGTGTGATTTTTGACAGGTTAGGGGAAATTGGGTGCGATTTTTGACAACCCTTCTTACCATAATGAATTTTAGGTCAAAAATCACACCGGAATTTGCCTACTTCGAAAAAATCGCATTTTTTGGGGATGTCAAAAATCACACCATATTTCTCCTACTTTCAGAATTTCTGTGGTTGTCAAAAATCTTGACATATTTTTCCTACCTTGAAATTGTGTGTCAAAAATTACAACGGAATTTGCCTACTTTGAAAAAACCGCATTTTTTTGGGGATGTCAAAAATCTTGACATATTTTTCCTACCCTATGAAATTCAAGGTCGAAAATCACCACGGAATTTGCCTCATCAGTTTTCATGGCTGTCAAAAATCGCACCATATTTCTCCTACTTCTAGAATTTCTGTGGTTGTCAAAAATCACACCGGAATTTGCCTACTTCGTAAAAGTCGAATTTTTTCAGGCTGTCAAAAATCGCACCATTTTTCACCTACCCGGCTCAAATTTTTCAAATTTTCAGAATTTTCAGATTTTTCGCCCCAAAAACCTACTGTGGAACATCCAAAGCGTGTTTTTTCTCAATCGGCGGTCTTTTTGAGCATTCATCAGATTTCCAAATTCGATTCAACATTTGTAAAACCGATTCGCGACGTCTGAAAATCACATTTTCAGATTTTCAGCTTTTTTTGGCTGAAAATCCCAAATTTCCAGCCAAAAATAGTCTTACTGTAGTTCTGGTGGTCCTGAACGTCTTGGTGAACTCGAAGCACTTCGAGAAATATGCTGATTTCCCGACATCATTGGACACACTGAAAGGGTGTTCGGTTCAAGCATTTGAGGCTGAAATTTTCAGATTTTTAGTGGAATTTAAGATCTATGATGTTGATTTTCGGATTCAGCGTGAAAATCCGGTTCGAAAGACATATCACAAGGCAAAAATCGAAAAATGACCTTAGGGGGTCCTTTAAGGCCCTAAATTTCAAAATTCATGGAACCCTATGAATATGGGTGTCTAAAAACTCGAAATTTTACGAGGAATCTCAAAAACACACTCGGAACCTCTGAAATCTTCTAGAAACCCTAAAAAACACCCTAGGAACCTCTAAAAATCCCAATTTTCGTATAAAAACCAAAGATTTCATAGGAATTTCAGAATTTCATGGTGATTTTCGGATTCCCCGTAAAATTCCGGTTCGAAAGACATATCACAATCCAAAAATCGAAAAATGACCTTAGGGGGTCCTTTAAGGCCCTAAATTTCAAAATTCACGGAACCCTATGAAAATGGGTGTCTAAAAACTCGAAATTTAACCAGGAATCACGTGAAAATATTCTTAACCTCTGAAATCTTCTAAAAACCCTAAAAAACACCCTAAGAACCTCTGAAAAATTCAAAAATCCTCAATTTCACCCAGAAAAAAAGTCCCCCGGGCTAGTTTTTCATGTAGATTTCGAAAAAATCAATAAAATTTCGCATAACTCACTTTTTTGTGGTGTACTGTAGCGGGTCTTTGTCGAGAAATCGTAGGCAAAGCTGGTTTTTGACGCGAACTGCAAAGAAAATGATTTTTTTCTAGTTTTTCATAAGAAATGTGGTGGGCGTGGCCTGAAAATGACACTTTTTTGCGATGAAAAAAAAATCTGAGAACTTCCGAACATAATGAGGCTTCTTAAGGGGAAAATCCAAAAAAAAATCTATTTTTTTTCGTTTTTTGAGGCGGAAAAAATAGAAAAACAGATGAAATTTCAAAGTTTTCGTGTTTTTTTTTCAATGCATAACTAACTAACTAACTAGGAAGCCCAAAAAAACACTTTTCTTATTTTTTTCTTCAAAAAAAGAACATTTTTCCATCAAAAATTCATGATTTTTGAGGGAACCGGGAAATTTCGTCAGCAGCAAACGATTCAGCGTGAAAAACTAGCCTGGGAAAATATAATTTTCAAAAAAAAAAAAAAAATTCCGCACCCATGGGGACTCGAACACCTGACCTCTCACCTAGAAATCTCATCTTTTACCCGCTGAGCCAATCATGCATTTTGAATATTTTTCTAGATCAAAATTCCACGCTGAATCTATTGGTGAAGTCAAAAATGCCTAAAACTCAAAAGTGAAGAAGTTAGCCTAAGTATCTCGGGAACCTGGAGTCCAATTCGAAATCTGAATACACCATGAGATTCAGCATGAAATTCTGATCTAGAATCGATGTTTAAACCTTGGAAAATCCCAAATTGCACGTATGGCGCAGCTGGTAAAGCACCTGCCTGCCAGGTGAAAGGCTCAAGTTCAATCCCCATGGTGAACAAATTTTTTTTTTTTTTTTTAGAATTTTTGGGTTTTTACGTACCTCTGAGTTCTACGGTGGTGTTCCTCTTCAAACATTTTCAGGCTGCAAAAATTTTTTATTCAAAAAAAAATAAAAAAAATTTTTTTTTTTTTTGGTAAGGGGAAAAATGAATAATAAATAAAGCAATCAGGGAAAAAACCAACAAAAAACATTTTTTGGGCCAAAAAAAACAGCTGAAAAACAGGGGGGAAAAGGGGCGGAGCTTATTTTATAGCCAGGGTAGTTGAAAATAGGCTCCGCCCCCTTTTTTGGCGCCAAAAAAAATCAAAATAGATCAAATTTCCCCCCTGGTTTTTTCACACACATATAAAATTTCGAAAAATGCGCCAAATTAGGCAAATTTGAATTAGCAACGCGTAGATCACAAAATTCGAAAAATTGCCGCCAAAAAACACGTGGCAATTAGGGTACTGTAGATCGGTGGAGCAGAGTTGCACAATTCGCCTGCAAAAAATGTTCTATAAGGTTTTTTGGCGGGAAAAATGAGCTTTTTTTGTAGGAGAAGCTAAAAGTGCGTGGGAAATTGGGATTTTTGCAAAATTTCCAAAGAAAATTGAATTTTAAGTGCGATTTTCGAGTTCCCCATCAAATTCTGAGCATTTTCAATTATTTTTCGCAAAAAAAAATTTTCCAAGTGTCAAGGGTCCTTTAAAAACATCAAAAATTTTTCGCCGCTTATGATATGTCTTTCGACGTGGAATTTCATGGGGAATTCAAAAATCACCATGAAATTGCGAGATTTTCTCAAAATCCCGGGAAATTTCACTGAAAACCAGGGAAATTCAGGGAGTTTTGGGGTGATTTCGAGTTTTCTAGAAATTTTCAGAGGTTCTCGTGATTTTTTTCAGATTCCTCGTGAAATTTCGAGTTTCTAGACATCCATTTTCTTAATATTTGGGTGATTTTAGGTTTAGGGCCCAATTAGGGGCCTTAAGGGGCTTCTAGGCTTTTTGGTTGAAAATAGGCCGTGTGGGGTGTCTAAAAACGTGGAATTTCACAAGGAACTCAAAAACGGGGCTATTTTTTTTTGGAAAAGTGCTTGAAGCCTAGTTTAGGCCCTATTAGGGCCCAAAATTTTTGACACCAAAATATAGCTTGTGATATGTCTTTCGAACCGGAATTCTACAGGGAATCCGAAAATCACCATGAAATTCCGAGATTCTTAGAAATTTCCAGACTTTTGTCTGAAAATTTCAGCCAAATTTCTGAAATTCTTTCCCAAAGGCTCTTAATAGGCTTATAATACATCAATCGATTCCAAATTCCACGCTGAGCTCAAAAATCCACGTGGCAACTCCCAACTCACCTTTACAAAAACACTGTGTCGCTTTAAAGGGCAGGCCGATTTGTGTGGCTCCAGTTGTCAAATTAAAGCTTTGTGCAGTCCAAGAACACGTGTCTTTTGTAAATGGATTGAAAGCTGAGCAACCGCGAGATGTATAAATGTGATCTACAACAAAAAGTGCAATTTTCCAAACTCCTCCGAGAGAAATACACAAATTTTCCCCAAAAAACCAATTATTTTCACTAATAACCCATAATTTGTAGTGTTTTCCGGCCAAAAAAATTTTTTTTTCTTGAAAATTAGAAATTTTGGGGGAGTTTTGCTAACTCACTATTTAGGACCCCTTGGACTTTTGTACAATAGGCTCCTTGACATTCATTTCCAGTTGAACTCAGACATCCACCATCTCCATCATAATAATCGCATTTTTTGCACTTTGTTGATGATCCTGTAGAGAAATTTATTGATTTTTTTGGAAATTTCGGAATTTTCTAGGCCTGGACCTTTTTTCTGGGTGAAAAATGAATTTTTTCGAAATTTTTTGAAGATTTCCAGACAAAACCCCGAAATTTTAAGACATTCATGGGTTCTAATATGAATTTTCGAAATCCTCGTGAAATTTCGAGTTTTTAGACACCCATATGTGTATACTTTGGGTTTAGGGCCTTATTAGGGGCCTTAGGGGGCCTTAAGGCTTTCAAGTTGAAAATAGGCCGTGTATGGTGTCTGGAGAACCGGAATTCCACGCTGAACTCGAAAATCGACCTGGTTTTCATAGAAAAAATGACTAAAGCCTTATTAAGGTCCCTAAGGCCTTACTAAGGGCCTTCAATTTGAAAATAGGCCGTGTGGGGTGTCTAAAAACGCAGAATTTCACAGAGAATCCAGAAATCAGGCTTATTTAGAGCCCAGGCCCAATTCCAGCCCAAAAAGCCCGCCTACCAGTCTTGCAGCTATCAATTCCCTCTTCCAAAATGGCGGCTTTTGTGATTTTCGAATTGCACGGTATGGTCGACTCGTCAGACGTCGCTTTTTTGCAAAAACCCATTGCAGCCTGCAAAATTTCAAGTTTTCCGCATTCCGCGTCGCTTTCCGCGTACTCACATATGCGGTTTTGGCAGTTTCTTCGGTGCCAAAAAGTGTGACACCCTGGCTACCGTAATCCTCGATTTTGTTGTATTCACAGGAATGCGAGTCGTTTCCGTTGACGACGAATTCGGGCCACGTGAAATCCGCGTGGCAACCGCGTAGAATTGCATACGTGGATTCTGGAAAAGGGTTAGAGAAGCTAGAGAAAGAGAGGAGGTTAGAGACGCAGAGAAATAACTGTTAGAAAGGGTAGGGACCCCAGAGAGGTTAGAGACGCAGAGAGTAAGCTAGAGTCAGACAGCTAGAGAGTGTTAGAGAAGCTAGTAAATGTCAGAGAGGTTAGAGACACAGTGGGAAACACTATAGATAAAAATAGGTTAGAGAAGCTAGAGTCAGACGACCAGAGTATGATGCAGAGAGTTAGAGAAGCTAGAGAAATTGGATGGTTAGAGACGCAGAGAGTAAGCTAGAATCAGACAGCTAGAGAAACTCACTAATCGGCAAAAGAAGCTCGAAACATGAACTGGCACAAACATCGGTCAATTTTGTGGCGGCAATTGTAGGGCTGTGACAACTGGAAAATTTTAGATTTTCTGGGAATTTTCAGAAGTTCTAGTGGTGATTTTCAGATTCCTGGGGAAATTTGGAGTTTTTAGACACCCATATGTATATACTTTAGGTTAAGGGCCTTATTAGGGGCCTTAGGGGGCTTAAGGCTTTTCAATTGAAAATAGGCCGTGTGGGGTGTCAAAAAACGTGGAATTTCACGAGGAATCGGAAAATCTACCTAGTTTTCCTTGAAAAATATTTGAACCCTAGCTAAGGCCCTATTAAGGTCATATTTTCAAAGTAGGTCATGTGGGGTGTCAAAAAACGTGGAATTTTCCCAACTCACTCCGCATAGAACTGCAAATTCGTGGGATAATACGGTAGACCAGTAGCAGCCCAATCCTCTTTCAAATTCTCACTAGCACATTGATAACATTTGTTGGCTTCCGCGTGTATTCCGGATATCCGGAAGGCGGAAAAGAAAACAATAAAAATAAAAATCATTGAAGCGCGTCCAAAAATTTCTGGCGGTGAAAAAGAACAAAAAGCTGTGGGGCTTTTATAGCAAGGAATGTTTACTTTGAAAAAAAATGGGGGAATATTAAGAAAACATAATATTTTATTAGAAAAGGGGTCCAACAAATAACGATGACTGAAAAACAAACATGAGTAATGCATAACAATAGGCCCATGGGGTACTGTGGATTTTGTGACTAAAAATGTTGGAGTTTTTGTGGAAAATTCTGGAAATTTCTCAAATTCTTGGACAATTCAGGAGAATCTGAAATTTCCAGACATTGCCACGTGGATTTTCGAATTCCCCTTGGAATTCCGCTTCGAAAGACATATCACAAGGCCTCCTTTGAGTATAAGGCGTTGAAGGGGCCTTAAGGGGCCCCTAAGGCCTTAAACCCAAAATATAGTAATATGGGTGTCTAACAGCTCAGTATTCCACGTGGAAATCGAAAAAACACATGGAAATGCCTAGGAAAATCCAGAACTTCTAGAAAATCTCATTTTCCGTCAATTTTTCATGAAATTTCTGGATTTTTCCAGAGAATCTCAAATTTCCAGACATTGCCACGTGGATTTTCGAATTCCTCGTGAAATTCCGGTTTTTTAGACACCCCATAAGGCCTGCTTTGAGTATAAGGCCTTAAGGGGCCCCTAAGGCCTTAAACCCAAAATATATCAATATGGGTGTCTAGAAACTCAAAATTTCACGTGGAATTCGAAAAACCACATGAAAACCTTCGAAAATGCCTAATTTCCTTAAAGTGAGCACCTTAAGGTCCCTAAAAAGACTCTAAACCCAAAATATATCAATATAAGTGTCTGGAAACTCGAAATTTCACGTGGAATTCGAAAAACCACATGAAAACCTTCGAAAATGCCTAATTTCCTTAAAGTGAGCACCTTAAGGTCCCTAAAAAGACTCTAAACCCAAAATATATCAATATGGGTGTCTAGAAACTCAAAATTTCACGTGGAATTCGAAAAACCACATGAAAACCTTCGAAAATGCCTAATTTCCTTAAAGTGAGCACCTTAAGGTCCCTAAAAAGACTCTAAACCCAAAATATATCAATATAAGTGTCTGGAAACTCGAAATTTCACGTGGAATTCGATAAACCATATGAAAATGACCTTAGGGACCTTAATAAGGCCCAAAACCCCCAATTTTTAGTCAAAAAACCTCCCTAAACCCGTCCATGAACCCTTCTAGCAAATGTGTCCGCAACAAGAAGCGGAAAGACAAGCGTCGCTTCCGCGTGTACTTTAACCGCATTCGCTCCGGGCTTCACTTTTCCCCACGAGACAGCTTCATCTGGTTGAGCACCGGAATCTGAGCCATCAAATTCTTGACCGGTATTTATGTAGACCGTGTAATCGGAACCGTTGCGCATTAGATTCGCATTATTGATATGATGTTTGATGACACCTGAAATTTAGGTTGCGGAAGAGGACGCGGAATTCAAAAATTTTGGAATTTTTCTATGCCACGTCATAGCAATCCGCGTGGCCGCTAAAGCGGAAGATAGTGCCGCTCACGCGGAAGCTTGCGGTTTACACTCGCTCCGCTCGATGAGGTTCGCGGAAGGCGACGCGGAAGGACGCGTAATTCAAAAATTTTGGAATTTTTCTATGCCACGTCATATCACACCGCGTGGCCGCTAAAGCGGAAGATAGTGCCGCTTCGCGGAAGGACGCGGAAAGACGCGGAATTCGAAAATTTGGAATTTTTATATGAATTGGGATTTTTGTACTGCATGTTTGCCACATCATAGCAATCCGCGTGGCCGCTTCGCGGAAGGATGCGGAAGACGACGCTGAAATATGCGGAAGCTTGTGGAATTCGAAAATTTGGAATTTTTATATGAATTGGGATTCTTGTGATGTATGTTTGCCACGTCATAACAATCCGCGTGGCCGCTACGCGGAAGATAGTGCCGCTTACGCGGAAGCTTGCGGAAACCACGTTATATTGTATATCAAAATGCTCCAAATTCTGAGCTCTTTTCGAAAATTTCAGATTTTCAGCTGAAAAACCCTCACCTCCTCCCAAAATAATCGATCCAGTTTTGATGCTTTTCACAGCCAATGTATTGATATGCCGAACATCTTCAACAATATCAATTCGAAGTCCGGGAGCATTTTTGACCGAATGGAAATACAACATATCACCTGGAAATAATTTTTGGTCATTGCCACGTGGATTTTCGAATTTTTCGTGAAATTCCACGTTTTTAGACACCCCACACGGCCTATTTTGAACTCAAAAGCCTAAAGGCCCCTTTAAGGCCCAAATAAGGTCCAAAACTAAAGTATACACATATGGGTATTAAAATTCTCTAAATTTCACGGGGATTCCAAATTTTCCACTAGAAAGCTGAAAGAAAGGCAGAAAGTATGGGTTTTGAAGAAATTTTGGGGATTTTCTGAACGAATTCGAGGTTTTCAAGGGGTTTCATAATGATTTTTGGAATCAGCGTGAAATTTCGGTTCAGAAACCGTCACGGCCTATTTTCAACTGAAAAGCCTAAAGCCCCCTAAGGCCCCTAATAAGGCCTAAACTAGGCTACAAGTACTTTTTCAAGAAAAACTGGGTAGATTTTCGAATTCCTTGGGAAATTCTGGGTTTTTAGACACCCCACACCTAAAAAGCCTGAAGCCCTCCTAAGGCCCCCTAATAAGACCTAAACTAGGCTACAAGTACTTTTTCGTGGTTAATTAGCTAGATTTTCGGATTCCTTGTGAAATTCTGGGTTTTTAGACACCCCACATGGCCCATGTTCAACCAAAAAGCCTTAAGCCCCCTAAGGCCCCTAATAAGGCCTTAATTTTCAAATCCATCAAAAATATATGAATATGGGTGTCTAAAACCTTCAAATCTCCCCAGGAATCTCAAAAAAATCACAAAACCCCACAAAACTACCTTAGGGACCTTAATAAGACCTTAAAGTAAAATTTTCAGAAACCCCTATACATATGGGTGTCTAAAATCTCCAAATTTCCCCAGGAATTCAAATTTGGCCCCCAAAATCCTCACCCAAGCTTCCATCAGTCAACGCCGGACAAAAAACGGGAATATTATTTTTCGAAGCCCAATACAAAATCGAACTTTCATCATCAATTTTCTCTCCCAATTTCCGGATAATTTTACTCGGTGTCCAATTTATTCCACTTTCTTTATCTTGCTGCTCCTTTAAACATTCATCTAAAATCGGATTAACCCAATCTTCAAATGAGCAATAATTATCATTTGGTATTATCACATTTCCAGCGCGATTTAGGCCATTTGATCGTAGATTTTTGCCGTCCATTGTGAAATCTCCCAAAAATGAGGGTTTTAGACATTTGATGAGATCTTCTTCGATTCCACCCGCTGATGTTACCAAACAATCCACTAAATTGTGTTGAACTATGAAGCGAATGATCTGAATTTCAAAAAATTTGAATTTTTGGGACTAAACTTCGAATTCTGCGCATTTCCCATCATTTTCTACAAAAAAAATTTTCAAGTGTCCCGGGTCCTTTAAAAACTTGAAAATTTTTTCGGGGCCTTGTGATATGTCTTTCGACGTGGAATTTCATGGGGAGTCCGAAAATCAACATGAAATTGCGAGATTCTGACAAAAACTGGAAAATTGTTAGGAAAACTTGGTGAAAATTAGGGTTTTTGAGGTGATTTTGAGTTTTCTAAAGAAGATCAAGAGTTTTCGGGGATTTTTTCGAATTCCACGTGAAATTCTGAGCTTTTAGACACCTATATTCATATATTTTGGTTTAGAGCGTTTTTAGTGACCTTAAGGTGCTCCTAAGGCCATTTTAAGGAAATTATGCATTTTCTAAGGTTTCCTTGTGCTTTTCCGAATTCCAGGTGGAATTTGAAATTTTTGGAGACCCATATTTATATATTTTGGTTTAGAGCCTTATTAGGGACCTTAAAGGGCCCCTAACGTCAAAATTTTAAAATTGGCCTTATAGGGTGTCTTTGGAAGCGGAATTTCACGAGGAATCTGAAAATCAACATTAGAATTCTTGAAAACCTTGAATTCTTGCAGAAAAACTAAAGAAAATCCCAAGTTTTATACAAAACCCATATTTCCAGCTTCTCCCTAGCGTTTTAGTATGAAAATTCGAAATCCCCACGAAATTCTAAGCTTTTAGACACCCATATTCATAGGGATTCCGAAAAATACACCTTAAGGTCCTTAAGGTCCCTAAGGTCAATTTTTAAAAATAAGCCTTACGGGGTGTCTTTCGAACCAGAATTTCATCCAGAATTCAAAAAACTCACATCTCTCAATCCACTAGTGACTAAATTCGAAGTATATCCCAAAAATATGGTGCAATTCATTTTTTCTCGATTTTCCGGATATTTGTGGAATTTCTCATCGGGATCTTCAAATTCTGCCGGAATTTCACGTTGATTCAACATCTCATTGACTTGCTGCAAAAATATCGATTTTTGGCTGAAAATTCCAGATTTTCAGTCAAAAATCTGAAATTTTCAGCCCAAACCTCAATTGCTTTAGCCAAATGAGTTGCCTGAAATCCGGTTGACATATAACTTTTGAGCAAATTTCGAATTGTCAAATTTTCCGCGTTGTTGAAATCGATTCCTTGAATTTTCACCGAATTTTCGGGAATTTTACACGATTTCACCAAAACTGCACCTTGCGCAGTTTCCAGGTCGTTTTTTGACATCTGAAATGAGGAAAATCGATGCGGAAAGTACGCGGAAGCTTGCGGAAATCAAAAAAATTTGGGCATAGCTTCCGCATCTCCTTCGAGCGGAGCGAGTGTAAACCGCAAGCTTCCGCGTCAGCGGCACTATCTTCCGCTTTAGCGGCCACACGGATTTCTATGACGTGGCAAACTGTACCAGAGTGAATCACGTGGCCGCTAAAGCGGAAGACAGTGCCGCTGACGCGGAAGCTTGCGGTTTACACTCGCTCCGCTCGAAATTTGGGCATAGCTTCCGCATCTCCGCTGAAATTCCAATAAAAATCTGAAAAAATGCTGGAATTTCAGCACAAATTAAGGGACCATTCAGGAACTAGTTTATAGTTACTGTATCATCCCATAATTTGTGCTGAAAATTCCAGTTTTCAGATTTTTATCAGATATTTCAGAATCTGACTTGGAAATTCGAGCGAAGCGAGTGTAAACCGCAAGCTTCCGCTTTAGCGGCACTATCTTCCGCTTTAGCGGCCACACGGATTGCTATGACGTGGCAAACTGTACCAAAGTGGCCGCTAAAGCGGAAGCTTGCGGTTTACACTCGCGCTTAACGCGCTCGAAAACTAGAAATAAATAAATTTATAAACGTGTAATTCCACGTATCAAATCAGATAAGAAGAAGGGTATAAAAAGGCTGCCCGAAATGCTCAAAAAATCAATAATTTCGCAATTTTTCAGATGTTTTTTTCAGATTTTTTTTCATAGTTTCCTGATCAATTAGCTTCAGTACATTCATTATCATTACTTTATTTTCAATTGTTTTTTTGGTGGTTAAAAAAAAATAAGGAATAATTGCTTCCAAAAAATCAATAATTTCGCAGTTTTCAGATTTTTTTCAGATTTCAATACTTCAAAGTCTGTTGGAGTTTCATAACCGACCTCAAGAATCACCTCGGATTACTGTGTTGATTCGGCTTCCAAGCTTTGGAATGTTTTCTTATTCTTATTATTATTGTCAATTTTTTTAGGTTGTCCAAAAATCGGGTGAAATCCAAGTATAATCCGAAAGCCTAGAGTGTAGTCTAAATTCTCCATCTGTGAATAATTTTCTTGTGAATAAAGTACTTGTGAATGAAAAAAATGTGTTTTTTATTGAATTTGAAGCTTCCGCGTTCGCCTAAGGCTTGCGGAATTCAAAACGTGGCCGCTGAAGCGGAAGCTTGCGGTTTACACTCGCTTCGCTCGAAATTTGGGCATAGCTTCCGCATCTCCGCTGAAATTCCAATAAAAATCTGAAAAATGCTAGAATTCCTCTAGTTTTTCAGATTTTCATCGGATATTTCAGAATTTGACTTGAAATTCGAGCGAAGCGAGTGTAAACCGCGAGCTTCCGCGTAAGCGGCACTATTTTCCGCTTTAGCGGCCACGTGATCCACTATGGTACAGTTTGCCACGTCATAGCAATCTGTGTGGCCGCTAAAGCGGAAGACAGTGCCGCTTACGCGGAAGCTTGCGGTTTACACTCGCTCCGCTCGAAATTTGGGCATAGCTTCCGCGTCTCCGCTGAAATTCCAATAAAAATCTGAAAAATTCTAGAATTCCTCCAGTTTTTCAGATTTTTATCGGATATTTCAGAATTTGACTTGGAAATTCGAGCAGAGCGAGTGTAGACCGCAAGCTTCCGCTTTAGCGGCCATGCGGATTGCTATGACGTTTACCATATCATAGCAATCCACGTGGCCGCTAAAGCGGAAGCTTCCTGGGGACTAGAAAACCAAAATCTAATTGGAAAACTAGTCCGCGACATCAAAATTCCCCGATTTTCAACAAAAATATATCAAAATATTGTGTAAAATGTCACAAAACATCAAAATTTGACGAAAAATTGCAAAAAATTACGAAATTCTTTATTTTCACAAAATATCACAAATTTGGGCGGAACGAATTTTTGGCTTCTCTCAATTTTCGCATTCCTTCAATCAAATCCGAAGTTGACACGAAATTCTGAAAATACTACTGTATTTAGATCGTGGCGGGACCCAACTTACCCTAACTTCTTCGGAAATTCCAACTCTCATAAATGGATTTATCGATTTTTCCTCGCCGATAGTCGAGGGTACTGTATTCAGGTCTTTTTCGCGTTGAGCAATACTCCATGACAATTTTTCAGCGATTTTCTGCAGAAAATTTGAAGTCGGGGACTAGAAAACCAAATATGATGGAAAACTAGTCCCCGACCTCAAAAAATCTTTTTTTTCACGTTCAGGGGGTAAAAAATCATGAAAATTTCAAATTTCCATGAATTTTCCCATCAAAACCTACCGTATTGTTGGGCTCAACAGCTTGTGCAAATCTCAAATTGCTCACAGTATACTCATGTCCGGGAAAAACTTGGGTCTCGTTTGGAAGACGCGCCAAAATCTCATTGAGGTTACGGTGCATTTCGGGAGCGGTTCCCTCGAAGAATTTTCCGCATCCAGCGATGAACAAGGTGTCGCCAGTTAGCACAACTCCAGAAGGATGATCGGTGGAATTTATGAAGTAGCAAATGTGACCAGTGGTGTGACAGGGTGTAGAAAGACAGCGAATCTGGAAGAAAATCTTAATGTTTGACGTCGGGGACTAGAAAACCAATTGGAAAACTAGTCCCCGACTTCAAATATCCATAATTCGACGTCAGCGTGACCGCTAAAGCGGAAGATAGTGCCGCTGACGCGGAAGCTTGCGGTTTACACTCGCTCCGCTCGAAATTTGGGCATAGCTTCCGCATCTCCGCTGAAATTCCAATAAAAATCTGAAAAAGGCTGGAATTTCTCCAGTTTTTCAGATTTTTATCGGATATTTCAGAATTTGAGTTGGATTTTTCGAGCGGAGCGAGTGTAGACCGCAAGCTTCCGCGTCAGCGGCACTATCTTCCGCTTTAGCGGCCACGCGGTTTATTATGACGTTTTCCATATCATAGTAAACCACGTGGCCGCTAAAGCGGAAGATAGTGCCGCTACGCGGAATCTACAGGGTGGCTGATAAGTATACAACGCTGTGTTTTAAGTTGTAACTAATGATTTGGCGTGAAATTTTTCTCATGATGTTTTTTCTCGTGTTATTAGATACCTAACGAACACTTTTTGATAATAGTTCAATTGCTGTTTCAATTGGTCCCCAGTTCTGATTCCGATTTAGCGAACAAAAATTGAGGGGGTGCGGCGCCCTAGTTAGTAAGGTTCGGGGTGTTCTAAACGGACTCAAAATGGGCCAATAAAGATGGAAATTTTTTTTTTGAAATGTCAGAGGTTCAATTTTAATGTTCCAGTACACATCTGATGAAAATTCATAATTTTGAATTCCTGGAGAACCTTCGAAGTCAAAACTCAAAAAATCACTTTTTCCCTATTTTTCCGAAAAAAAACATTTTTTTCAAAATACTTGAAATTCTGCGGATTTTCACAATATTTTCCTGTTGGATAGGATAGAAGTAGATGTTTGAGGAAAACAAACTAACGATTCCAATTGTTAGTCCGAAATTTTCGGATAAAATGTGATATTTTTCGAAAAATGAAGATGTCCAGCAAATTTTGATTGTTATGACGGTCAGAATTTTCAAAACGTGATGTGATGATTGTAATGGATTGAGAACATCATATTTGTTCATATTCAGAAAGTTCAGATCTCATTTTAAGCTCTAGCTCATATCACAGTACGCTAAACTGTCAACACTCAAAAAACAACAGTTTCGCGCCGCACACAAATTCCGATTTTCTGAAACGGTGCTCTTGAACTGAATTTCTTTTGAATAAGGTTTATGAATGCTGAAAATAGAACATAACGATGTCTAAAAAGTGTGTCTGGTTGTATATAACTGATTTCTTCGTTTTTCACAAAGTTCTGATAGAGGAAAGTTGACCTAAAATCAATGTAAAATGGACCTTTTTCAGCTGAAATCACCAATACACACCCAAAAATGAACTTTTCTCAAAACACTCTCACATTAGCTTTCTAGACTCATTGGACTATCCGATCAACACTTAACATAAGAAAAATGACAATCGGGGACTTTCTGGGAAAGGCTTGAAAAACGTTGTATACTTATCAGCCACCCTGTAGCGGTTTACACTCGCGCTAGACGCGCTCGATCTGCGCGTAAGCTTGCTTCACCTTCATTCCAGCAATTTCGAGCTCTTGCTCATGTTTAACCATATTATCCAAATGCTCAATTCGCTCATCTCCTCCAAAAATCGGCAATTTCGCAAATTGTTTACGAAACTCCGGCGTTCCGCCGGCATGATCCCAATGATGATGAGTGATTAGAGAACCAACGATTTCGAGCTGCAAAAAAATATTGATTTTTTTGCATTTTCACGCGTGTAATTCCACGTGTATCAGATAAGAAAAAGGCTATAAAAGGGCGGCTCAAAATCGGAGAAAAATCAATAATTTCGCAGATTTTCAGATGTTTTTTGCAGATTTTCATATATTTTACATATCTGGCACTTTTTACTAGAACCTTGACCGGAACCTTAAATTCGAATAACTATTAGCTTCGGAGTTCTTATTTTCATATTTTTCAGGTCGTCCAAATTCAGGCCCAAAAGCCTAGAGCCTAGACTCTAGTCTAGTCTACTAGTTTCTCCATCTGTGAATAATTTTCTTGTGAATAAAGTACTTGTGAATGAAAAAAATGTTATTTTCGAGCCGCCCATTTTATAAGCAGCGCCTATTTAAGAGAGTACAGAGAAAAATAAGCAGCGCCTATGTATTATTTTGAGAGAGCGCAGAGAGAAATAAGCAGCGCCTATGCATTATTCGAAGAGTGCGCAGAGAAATAGGCTCCGCCCCCTTCTTAAGCAGCGCCTACCTGATTTTTGTGCGCAAAATCAATCAATTTCGCCGGTTCCACCGGATCCACCACCAAAACTCGCTTCTCCTCTCGACTTCGTCTAACTACATACATAAAATTGTCCTGAAATTGTGAATTTCAGCTAGAAATCTTGAATTTCAGCCCGAATTACCTCCAGTGCTCTAACAACATCAACATGAACCATTCTTCGCATGAAAAATCTGAAATTTTCCAGAATTTTTTAGCTAGAAATTGAGAAAATAGTGAAAAACGAGTCAAAACCCATGAAAAATTCAATAAAATTTCGGAAAAAATAACAATTTTTAACAAAAAAACTTGACAAACAATAAAAAATAACAAAAATCTGGAAAAATTTAGAGCATTCTTCCTTTCTTTCGAAGTTTTGCCAATTTTCGTTTTTTGACATCATCGATTCGTTTTTGAAGATTTCCTTTACGTTTGTCTTGTTTCTGAAAATTTGAATTTTAGCATAAAACGCGAAGAGTTCAATAGAGCGCATTTGCTGTTTTCCGGTCAAAATCGCTCAAATTTGATGAATTTTGATCCAAAAAAACAGGATTTTCATCCCAAAATCATTCCTTACCGTTTCCTTTTCATTCTCAATCTTTTTCTCTCGATTCTCCCATTTTTCCTTCTTTTTCTCTTTCAATTTATTCTTTTTTGCCAGTGCTTTTTTCAACATTTGCAAATTATCCTTGACTTTTCCACCTTCGGCTCGTTTCATGGTTTTTTCCCATTTCAATTCGTCTTCCATTATTGTTGCTTTGTGTGGATCGGCTTCACGGACTTTTGCGATTGTTGCGCGAGTTTCTTCGACCTGAAATATCAATTTTGGGTGAAAAATTCATTGAAAATGATCCAAAATCCGAGTTTTTAGTGGAAAATTGAAATTTTGGGCACAGTTTCAGACAATTTTACCTTAGCAATCAATGATTTATAATCTCTTCCAGTCAATTTCAGCCCTCGATCTTTCTTCGCAATTCTCTCCTTTTTCCCTCTCTGTTTATCCTCCTTGATTTCGAATTTCAATTTATTGAACGAGATTCCGTTGGTTTTCACAGTATTCTCGCTATCATCTTGAGCACCTTCGTTTTTCCTGAAAATTTTCAGATTTGAGGTCAACTTCAGGTCAAAAACCCCCCAAACTTACACAGTCTTTTCCTGCTTAACCTCTTCTTTTTGCTTCTTTTCCTCAGCTCTTCTTTGCTTCAATTTCATTTTACTTTCTCGTCGTTTCAATCGTTTTTCTTCGGCCAATTTAGAGGTCATTGCCGGGGTTAATTTTGCGGTTTTTGAGCTTCCTTTTCGTTCTTCTGTAAAAAATATTGAATTTTTGAGGAGAAATATCAATTTTGACCTACTTTCATATAAAATTAGACTTCAAATGAACCAAGTTACGCCAACTTTTTATTAGAAAATCTCAAGTTCCAGAGAAAAAAGCAGCGCCTATGTATTATTAGAAGAGGGCGCAGAGAAAAATCAGCAGCGCCCAAATAAGCTCCGCCCACTTTTGAAAAATAAGCAGCGCCTATGTATTATTTTGAGAGAGCGCAGAGAAAAATAAGCAGCGCCTATGTATTATTTTGAGAGAGCGCAGAGAAAAATAAGCAGCGCCTATGTATTATTTTGAGAGAGCGCAGAGAAATAGGCTCCGCCCACTTTCGAAAATAAGCAGCGCCTATGTATTATTTTCAGAGAGCGCAGAGAAAAATAGGCAGCGCCTACTTTTAGAATAAGCAGCGCCTATGCTTAATGTTGAGAGAGTGCAGAGAAAAATAAGCAGCGCCTATGCATTATTTTGAGAGAGCGCAGAGAAAAATAAGCAGCGCCTACTGAAAATAGGCAGCGCCTATGCATTATTTTGAGAGAGTGCAGAGAAATAGGCTCCGCCCACTTTTGAGGAATAAGCAGCGCCTATGCATTATTTTGAGAGAGCGCAGAGAAAAATAAGCAGCGCCTACGCAAAATCTCCCAAATTCCCGCGTCCAGCCTAATTTTTCCCTGAAAAATCCAAATTTTCAGCTCATTCTCCCCGATTTCCCTCAATTCCTCACGTTTCATATCCTTCAACTTCTTCTGCAATCTCAAAAGTGCAATTTGTCGCTTAATTTCCGGCGATTCGTTATCCTCTCCATTTTCCAATTTCTCAATTTCTTTATCGATTTTATCATTGGTTTTTGGCAGGGATTTTTGAGCGGATTCTTGATTTTCAGAGGATAATTTCAGTTTTTTGACTGCCGGCTCCAATTTTTGCGCCTCTTCTGGCTCGATTTCCTCGTCTGTTGAATCGTCGTCTTCTTCTTCTTCAGAATCTTGATCTTCTTCTTCATTTTCAGATTCCTCAGGATTTTCAGCTGCAGTTTCAGCTTCATCATCAGATTCCTCAGATTCTTCTGGTTCTGCAGGTTTTTGAGCATTTTTCAAAGGTTTTGGTTGAGTTTCTGGCTTTTTCGGCAAATCTTTAGCTTTCTGGAAGAGAATTTCAGATAAATTTTAAGATTTCTAGCTCTTACCACCGGCTGAACTTTGGACAATTCTTTAGACGTCGACATCCACTCAATAACCTCCTGCACAGTATTTGGAACCAATCCCAAATTCCTGGCCAATTGTTGTTTTTGTTGCGCCGAAAATTGCTTGCGTTCCTCTGAAAATCCCAAATTTTCGTGAAAATTTGTCTGAAATTCCAGAAAAAACCCACTTTTCGACAATTGCCGATTCACCAAACTGTGTTTTCTTTGTTTCAATGACTCCTTAACATCATCATCGAATCCCCAACAACCAACAGGAACCAAATTACAATAAGACAGCATCTGCAAAGGATTTTCGTTATTTTTGAGGAAAAGAGTGTTTCAGAGGAAGTTACCTTATTTTCCAGGGCTAATATAGCCTCGTCTGAATCTGTACCCGACATCTGAAAATTGAAAATTAGCTGGGAATTTGAGGATTTTGGGTGAGACGAAAAAAGAAAAGAAAAATCAGAGTTGCTAAACAACGGGCAAGCGGAGTCTCGTTGTTTTACTTTTATTTTTCATCATTTTCGAAACACGTTTTTCTAGCGTTTTCTTCAGAATTTCGTCAATTTTCAAGTTCTAAATAAGAAAAACCAAATTTTCAGATGGGAATTGATAGTTATAATCCAACAGTTCGTGCGCGGCTCTCAAATGCAACAAAAACCCGAGTCCTCAACCTAAAAGAATCCGCTTTGCACCGGATTCCAGATGATGTGCAAAAAATCGTGAATCTAAGGCATTTGGATATTTCTTTCAATTATTTGACAGCTCTTCCAGCTTATATTGGAAGCTTTTCCCAGTTGAAAGTTCTACATTTCGGCAGGAATTCTCTAGGTTTCTCTATATACTAAACTTTTGACATTTGAAAAATTGAATATCATCTCTTTTTCATTGCAGAATCGCTGCCCGAGGAACTTGGGAACTTGGAAAATCTCGAAACTTTGAGTTTCAGTCAAAACAAAATCGCTGAAATTCCTGGAAGTTTGGCGAAATGCGCGAGTTTGAAAAGCATCGAAGCCGTGGAAAATCAATTTGTCGAATTTCCCACGGTTTTTTGCGAAATTCCCAATTTGGAAACTTTGGTTTTGACGAATAATCGGATTGAAAAGTTGCCGGATGAGGTGAAAATTTAGAATTTTGGCTAAAAATTGGAATTCTGCTGGAAAAATGAGCCTAGACGTGGAAATTTGAGAGATTTTGATAGATTTCCACAGATTTTTGAGCATTCAAAAAGTGGGCGCTGCTTATTTTTCTCTGCGCTCTCTCAAAATAATACATAGGCGCTGCTTATTTTCTTCGAAAAAGTGGGCGCTGCTTATTTTTCTCTGGGCTCTCTCCAAGTTAAACATAGGCGCTGCTTATTTTTCTCTGCGCTCTCTCAAAATAAAACATAGGCGCTGCTCATTTTTCTCTGCGCTCTCTCCAAGTTAAACATAGGCGCTGCTTATTTTTCTCTGCGCTCTCTCCAAGTTAAACATAGGCGCTGCTTATCTCTCTCCCCTTGAAATCCAATTTCATCTTCATTTTCAGATCGCCTCAATTCGCGCCATCTCAATTCAAATCAACAAAAATCGCATAACCTCTCTCAACTCCTCAAATCTATCAAAATGCCCTCGACTTCGCCTCATCAATCTAGACGAAAATCAACTAAACCTCGATGAAATTCAGAATTTCCTCGGGGAAAAACGGGATGAACTGAAGATCAGTTTCGAAAATAATGTGTCGCAAATTCACACGAATAATTTAATGGTAAATAGATAAGCTTATCCTTGCAATAGCAATAATAATCGGGAAAAAGACAAGAATGCACAGAAACCGAAAAAGTGTGCGCACACAACACACCAAACTTGACGCGCAAAACAAATGTGTCGATTTACATTTTTCGGTTTTTGACCGGTTTTTCCACATGTTATTCAATAAATTACTTGAATTCTAGTTTTTAGGAGATGGGCAATGAATCTTCAAAAGGTGGTTCTGGAAAATCGATAGGAGAAAATGCCCGGAAAATTGTTGGTAAGTCAAGATTTCCACTGAAAATCTTATCAAAACTCAATTTTCTCACAGGAAAATCGGGACCTTCTAGCTCAACAGTGAATAAACATTTGGAAATGGCCTCAAAATCACGAATTCTTCAACTAAAAGGCTCAGGCTTAAAACGAATTCCAGACGAAGTCGAAAATCTCGCTGAAATTCTGCGAAACCTTGAACTCAGCGAGAATAAGATTCGAGAAATCCCCGTGTTTTTGGGCAAATTTCAAAATTTGAAACAACTTCATTTGGCCAATAATTGTATTGAGGCGATACCGGATGAAGTGGGATATTTGAAGAATTTGGAAGTTTTGAATATTCCTGGCAATAAGTTAGCCGAACTTCCTGATACGATTGCTGGGTGTACGAGTTTGAAGACGTTGGATTTGAGCTCGAATTCGTTTCGCGTTTTTCCCAAGGCTGTTTTTGCGATTATGGCGCTGGAATTTTTGAATTTGAACTCGAATCAAATTGAAAATCTTCCAGATGAGGTGAATAACATTTTGGAAATGACGTCACAATTGCCACGTCATAGGTTCACGTCAAAATTCATTCGAGCGCCTCAAGCGCGAGTGTAAACCGCTAGCTTCCGCTTTAGCGGCCACGTGGTTTACTATGATATGGAAAACGTCATAATAATCCGCGTGGCCGCTGCGCGGAAGCTTGCGGTCCACACTCGCTCCGCTCGATAAACCCTTTCCAAGTCCTATTCTGAAATATCCGATAAAAATCTGAAAAACTGGAATTTTAAGCACAAATTGAACATGAAACGATCCAGGAACTATTTTATATGTAGTTCCTGCATTGTCCCATGCTGAAAATTCCAGCATTTTTCAGATTTTTATTGGAATTTCAGCGGAGATGCGGAAGTTATGCCCAAATTTTCGAGCGAAGCGAGTGTAAACCGCTATCTTCCGCGGAGCGGCACTAGCTTCCGCTTAAGCGGCCACCGGATTCACAATAGGATATAAGTGAAGTCTCCATGTGGCCGCTAAAGCGGAAGATAGCGCCGCTTCGCGGAATCTAGCGGTTTACACTCGCTTCGCTCGAAAAAACATGCATTTTGCTCAGATTTTCATGAAAAATTCAAATTTTCGCTCTATTTCCTCCCCAAACCTCTGATTTTCCCAGATCTCCGACCTAAAAGTCATCGAATTATCCCTCAACCAAAACCGTCTTCAATCCCTCAACGCCGCTCGTCTCATTCTTTGCCCCCGTCTAAAAACCTTGCGAGTCGAAGAAAATTGTCTGGAAAAACGAGAATTCACGCGCGAATTGCTGGAAAACTCGGAAATCTCCAATATTACCTATCAAGGAAACGTGTTTCAGCTCAAAGAATTTCAGGTAACTCTCCTTATAGCTTTGGTGAAGCTTTTTTTGCTGAAAATATATATTTTTATAGGATCTACAAGGATATGAAGCTTATCAAGAACGATTTACTGCCACAAAACGGAAAATGTGAAATTAATTGTGTAAAAAATAAAATATTTGCTTGCTTTATTGATTTTTGCTGTGAAATAGGGTGTTTTAATATCACCAAGATGTATTTGCTTATAGAAAATATGCTGAAATTCTGGAATATCCGATAAAAATCTGAAAATCTAGAATTTCCAGCACAAATTAAACATGAGACGATTCAAGAACTACTTTATGTAGTTTCTGAATCGTCCCATATTTAGTTTGTGCTAAAAATTCCAGCATTTTTCAGATTTTTATTGGAATTTCAGCGGAGATGCGGAAGCTATGCCCAAATTTCTTTCTCGAGCGCGTTAGCGCGAGTGTAAACCGCTAGATTCCGCGTAGCGGCACTATCTTCCGCTTTAGCGGCCATGTGGTTTACTATGATATGGCAAACGTCATATTAATCCGCATGGCCGCTGCGCGGAAGCTTGCGGTTTACACTCGCTCCGCTCGAAAAACCCTTTCCAAGTACTTTTCTGAAATATCCGATAAAAATCTGAAAATCTAGAATTTCCAGCACAAATTGAACATGAGACGATTCAAGAACTACTTTATGTAGTTCCTGAATCATCCCATATTTAGTTTGTGCTGAAATTCCAGCAATTTTCAAATTTTTATTGGATTTTCAGCGGAGATGCGGAAGCTATGCCCAAAATTCGAGCGGAGCGAGTGTAAACCGCAAGCTTCCGCTAAGCGGCCACGTGGTTTACTATGATATGGCAAACGTCATTTTAATCCACGTGGCCGCTGCGCGGAAGCTTGCGGTCTACACTCGCTCCGCTCGATAAACCCTTTCCAAGTGATTTTCTGGAATATCCGATAAAAATCTGAAAATCTAGAATTTCCAGCACAAATTGAACATGAGACGATTCAAGAACTACTTTATGTAGTTCCTGGATCATCCCATATTTAGTTTGTGCTAAAAATTCCAGAAATTTTCAGATTTTTATTGGAATTTCAGCGGAGATGCGGAAGCTATGCCCAAATTTCGAGCGGAGCGAGTGTAAACCGCTAGATTCCGCGAAGCGGCGCTATCTTCCGCTTTAGCGGCCACGTGGTTTACTATGATATGGCAAACGTCATATTAATCCGCGTGGCCGCTGCGCGGAAGCTTGCGGTCTACACTCGCTCCGCTCGAGAAAAATTTTCAAATGTCTTGTCAAAAAACTTCATGTAAATGCAATAAAAATATATATTCACAAAAGCGGGGGGCTAATTAGCCTAAATAAGTAATTACTCAAGTATCTAAATACTCATTCGAATCATCTCAATTTGTATCCAAGTCAACGCCGAATGAACATTCGCATAAACACCCGGATGTCCAGGTCGACCACATCCAATTCCCCAACTCACAATTCCAGTCAGTTCCCAATGTCCATCTCGCGCACACATCAACGGACCACCAGAATCACCCTGAAATTCGGGGAAATTAGGCTAGAAATGATGAATTTTGATGGGAAAAAGGAGATTTCACGTAAATCTCCACGTGAACCTTTCTCTAGGTAGATTAGTCATTTCTATTTTATTCGTCTAGACTAAATACTCGTCAAAAAATCAATAAACTACTAGGTTAGTGAAAATTAGGCTAAAATTCAGGTTTCGGAGTGAAAAATGGCCTGTTTTGACTAAATTTTTGGTCTAGAAGCGATTTTTAGATGAAAATTAGTGAAACCCCGTGCTCAGGGCTGAAAATTTCATATTTTCAGCTGAAAATTAGTGAAATCTAGGTCTAGAAGTGAATTTTGGTCGAAATTTCGTTAAAACGTGAAATATAATGCTCCTGGAGCATAAAAACCACGAAAAATTCAATTTTCCCGCCAAAATCCCTCTAAATTCCACCCAAGACCCATTACCTGACACGAATCAATTTGTCCATAACTATAACCAGCGCACAACATTGATGGCAAATGTATTCTTCCGGCATAACTCGGAAGATTATTACAGAATAGGGTTGGGATGATGGGAACGTGGATTTCGCGTAACTTTGGAGCCCATGCTACACTTCCTTCACGCATTGAACCCCAGCCTGAAATATATTGATTTCTCAAAAAATTTAAAAATTGTAAAAGTTCTCACAATTTTCTCCCGTTCCAAGTCCGATTTCTGAAATATCCGATAAAAATCTGAAAATCTAGAATTTCCAGCACAAATTGAACATGAGACGATTCAAGAACTACTTTATGTAGTTCCTGAATCATCCCATACTTAGTTTGTGCTGAAAATTCCAGCATTTTTCAGATTTTTATTGGAATTTCAGCGGAGATGCGGAAGCTATGCCCAAAATTCGAGCGGAGCGAGTGTAAACCGCTAGATTCCGCGAAGCGGCACTATCTTCCGCTTTAGCGGCCACTTACGGTGCATGTTAGCCTAACTTGGCCGCTTTGCGGAATTTTCCGGTTCACACTCGCTCCGCTCGAAAACCCCTTCCGAGTTCTATTCTGAAATGTCTGATAAAAATCTGAAAACTGGAATTTCCAGCACAAATTATAGGGCAATTCAGTTCAATCGTCCCATAACATGTGCTGAAAATTCCAGAATTTTTCAGATTTTTATCGGAATTTCAGCAGAGATGCGGAAGCTATGCCCAAATTTCCAATTTTCCGCGCTTCCGCTCACCTGTAACCACACAAAGCCGATTCTCAATCGGTCCGCCGCTCGGCAAACAAATCGGCCGAGTTGTCGCCGACATTTTGACAGGCGGGAAAATTCTGAATTTGAAAATTTTGGCTGAAAATCTGGCCTGGACATGGGTTACCTCATAATCGCAAAATCATTGGAACTCGGCCAACCCAAATTGTAAAATGGATGAATTGAGATAGCGGTTACACGGTGCGCGGAACCGCTTCCGGAAATGTGTCCGCCGATGCGGACAGAGTAGGATGATGGGCGGCGGCTAGAAATATTAATATTATTATAAGAAAGGGGCATTGCTCATGTTAAGTCTCACTTTCTTGCAAAACAATGCGCGGCGGTGACAACAAAATTCGAATCCACCAAACTCCCGCCACATCTATGATGTCCATTGGCGAGTAATTGAACTGCCCACGGCCAAGCATGTGGTTTAGTTTCAGCACCACCAATTAACCGATGATCAGACATCTGGAAATGAGGATTTTGTGCTGAAAATAGGCTGAAAATCATGAATTTTAGCTTAAAATAGGCTGAAAATCATGAATTTTAGCCTAGTTTTGCCCAAATTTCGTGAATTTCAACCTTAGTTAGCCAAACTCACCACAAAACTCGATGGTTCTTGCCACGATCTGGCTTCGGCTAACTCGGAATTGTTGGCATGAACACCGCATTTGATTGTTGTTGAATCATCTTGTGAAAATGTGCCTGAAAATATGGAATTTCTGAAATATCTGATAAAAATCTGAAAACTGGAATTTCCAGCACAAACTATGGGACGATTCAGGAACTTGTTTATAGTCACTGAATCGCTTGTGCTGAAAATTCCAGCATTTTCAGATTTTTATTGGAATTTCAGCAGGGATGCGGAAGCTATGCCCAAAATTCGAGCGGAGCGAGTGTAAACCGCAAGCTTCCGCGTCAGCGGCACTATCTTCCGCTTTAGCGGCCACGTGGATTGCTATGACGTGGAAAATCTTCACTACTATGGTTCCGCGTGGCCGCTAAAGCGGAAGATAGTGCCGCTTACGCGGAATTTTCCGGTTTACACTCGCTCCGCTCGAAAACCCCTTCCATGTGATTTTCTGAAATTTCTGATAAAAATCTGAAAACTGGAATTTTCAGCACAAATTATGGGACAATTTAGTAACTATAAACTAGTTTCTGAATCGTCCCATGATTTGTGCTGAAAATTCCAGCATTTTCAGATTTTTATTGGAATTTCAGCGGAAGCTATGCCCAAATTTCCAATTTCCCCCTAAAAAAACTTACCAGAAATCAATAAAAAATCCCAAAAATATCAGCATTTTCAGCATTTTCAGCTGTATTTTTGGGAAATCAATTTTTTTCTTGAAAAAAATCTTTTTCTTTGAATTCATAGCGTTTTTTAGCGGGTAGATCAAAAATTTCAATCGATTTTTTTTGCAGCAAAAATGGTCGACTCGGATAATGATTTATTGACTGAAAATGCTGCAAACCAGGCTGAAAATTCGGCTGAAAATGATGTTTTCCAGAAGAAGAAAGAGGATTTGGCGAATTTGGTGCTTTGGGTGAGATTTTTTACCTAAAATATGAGTTTTGAGCTCGCTGGTTCGATCCACGGTGCCTGCGAACTTTTTTATTTTTATTTTTTTTTTTGCAGTTCTCTGGAATCGATGCGACAAACAAGAATTTGAATGATCCTGTGGATTTGGTGTCTGGAAGAGCTTTTGCTGAAATTCTGAACAGAATGTGAGTTTTTGAGCTGAAATTCGTGAAAAATTAGTGATTTTGAGCCGAAAATAGCAAATGCGCTCTATTGAACACTACCCGTTTTCGAAGAAAATTCAAATTTTTATTTTTTTTTTGTCTGGTGAATTTTGAGCGGAAAAATTAAATTTATTGGTTTTTCATGGAATTTAGCGCTTAGAATGCTGAAAATCATCGAAATTTGACTAAAATTATGGTTTTTGAGCTATAAACTATGAAAACTGCTCAATTTTGAGCGGAAAATAGCAAATGCGCTCTATTGAACTCTAGCCGTTTTTAAAGAAAATTCAAATTTTAATTTTTTTCTGGTCTAATGAATTTTGAGCGGAAAACTTGCATTTTTATGAAATTTTGTGCTCAGAGTGCTGAAATTATGGTTTTCGAGCTATAAACCATGAAAAACGAGCAATTTTAAGCCAATAATAGCAAATGCGCCCCATTGAACACTACCCGTTTTTAGAGAAATTTCAAATTTTTATTTTTTTTTGTCTGATGAATTTTGAGCTCAAAATGTTCCTAGACCACTAGAAAATCCAATGTTAAGTGAAATTAACCGTATCTGGGCTCAAAATGCTCCAAATTTTCTGAAAATCATCAAATTTGTGCTCGAAATGCTCCAAATTCCCAAATTCTTCCAGTGATGATATTCATTTCGATTCAATTTGGCTTGAATCAATGCCAGAATCAACATCTCGAACAAATATCGTCGTAAAACAATCGAATTTGCGAAAACTTTGGCGAAAAATCGATATGTATATTCGAGAAATTCTGAGAAGAAAATTGGAAACCGATCGATATTTCGAAATTGATTCGAAAGTTTGTGGAAGTGAGGAAACTGATTTGCCAGTTGCGCTGGAATTTGCAATGTTGATTTGTACATTGGCACATGTTGGAAGGAATAAAGAAGGTAATTTTGAGATGAAAATCATGAAAAATGACCCGAATTTGATAGATTTGATGAAAAATACGCTAAAAATCGATAATTTTAACCTAAAAATGTCCAGAAACCATCAAAAATGATGGATTTTGAGCCAAAAATAGCAAATACGCTCTATTGAACACTCCCCGTTTTAATGGAAAATTCAAATTTTTATTTTTTTTTCCCTGGCGAATTTTGAGCTATTTAACGCTTCAACCCTCAAAATTTGAAGATTTCGATAATTTTCAGCTTGAAAACTTGATTTTTGGCTGAAAATGAGCTGAAATTGATAATTTGGATCTGAAAATGTCCGAAAACCATCGAAAACCGTCAATTCTAACCCAAAAATAGCAAATGCGCTCTATGGAACTCTCCCCGTTTTCAGGGGAAAATTCAAATTTTCATTTTTTTTTTCTTTGATGAATTTTGAGCCAAAAATCACTGAAATTTTCAGATTTTCAGCCCAAATCCACCAAAAATCAATATTTTTCCAGATTTCGTCTTGTATTCCAAAGATTTATCACTAAAATATTCAACAGAAATGTCAAATGTTGTTCGAATGATAACTGAAATTATGCGAGATATTCCGGAAATCAATGAGCAAAGAGTGACGTCAGGTGAGCTGAAAATCTGGCTGAAAATCCGGATTTTTGAGCTGAAAATCAGGAAAAATGATGAATTTTGAGCTAAAATCGATTTTTTCCAGACGAAGAGCTGACTTCAGATGGAGAATTCAATAATTCGAATTTTGCCGAAAGAAGTTTTGCTGGAAAAGAACAAAGAATTAGTGTTGGATCGAATGCTGGATATAAACAGGAAATTGAACATATGCTGAAACAGGTATGGCTGAAAATTTGGGATTTTAAGCTGAAAATCATGAAAAATGAGCTATTTTAAGCCTAGAAACGTGAAAATTGACGAAAAATTGCAAATGCGCTCTATTGAACTATGTCCGTTTTCAAGGAAAATTCAAATTTTTAATTTTTTTTTCTTTGATGAATTTTAAGATAGAAATCATGGAATTTAGAATTTTTGCTATATTTTCATTTAATTTCAATCTAGAATGCTGAAAATCTGAAATTTTGAGCCCAAAATCGACGAAAATGATGAATTTTGAGCGAAAATTTACGAAAAATTGCAATTGCGCTCTATTGAACTCTTCCCGTTTTCAGAGAAAATTCAAATTTTTATTTTTTTTTCTTTGACGAATTTTTGAGCTAAAAATCTGAAAATTCCGGGCTTAAAGGAGCATACAGTACTCCTAAGCCTCAAAAATCCAGTTTGAAATGTTTTAATTCAAAGGTACATACAGTATCCACCCTGAAAATTTTGAAAATGCGGGAAAAATCACTAAAAATCAACAAATTTAAAGGTGCATACCGTATCCCTGAAAACCTTTTAAAAAAAAAATTTTGAAGGTGCATACAGTACCCCCAAAATTTCACTATCTTTCATCAAAATTTAAAGGGGCCTACAGTACCCCTTAAAATGCACCCTAAATTTTTTTAAAAAATATTTTAAAGGGACATACAGTACCCCTAAATATCCCACTAATTCCCACTAATTTAAAGGAACATACAGTACCCCTGAAAACTATCCAAAAATCCCGCTAAAAGCCAATAATTTAAAGGTACATACAGTACTACCTCCTCCCTTTAAAAATCAATATTTTTTGTTCTAGATCGATGATCTTCAAAATCACAAAAAACAACTGGAATGTGACGTGGAATCCCTACAAAAACATCTCGAAAATGCTCAAAATCATTCAATAATCTCCCAAACATCTACAGTATCATCTACAGTAACCGCAGATACTGTAGCAATATTAGAAGAAAAAAATGAGGAATTATTGAAAAAAAGACGAGAAGCTGAAGATAAAATAAATGAATTAGAAGGACAATTAGAACAAATAAAAGGAACATTACAAGAAATATCTGATGAAAATGAAAATATGAAAAGAAATGAAAAAATGGTGAAACAAATGAAACAAGAAATGCAAAATACAAAAGATAATTTGGAAATTTGGAGAGAAAAAGCGGAAAAATTGGAATTTGATGGAGAATTGTTGAAAAAAAAGGAGAAAGAAATTAAAGATTTGATGACTCAGATTAAATTATTGAATCATCGATTAGAGCATCATGTTAAACAATCGACACAAGATGAGGGAAATAAAACTGAGATGGCGGTGAGTGAATTTTGGGGTGGGGAGGGGATTTTTGGAGCATTTTGAGAGCAAATTTGAGCTTTGGGGGATTTTTTGAAGCATTTTGAGACCTCATAAGCCATATTTTGAGCTCTGGAGCATTTTTAGAGCATTTTCAGGAGGAATTTTGAGCTCTGGAGCATTTTTGAGATGAAATTCGGGATCTGGAGCATTTTTGGAGCTAAATTTGAGCTATGGAGCATTTTTAGATGAAATTCCGGCTCTGGAGCATTTTTTGAGCCAAATTTGAGCTCTGGAGGATTTTTCGAGCTAAAATTGAGCTCTGGAGCATTTTAGGAGCATTTTGAGCTCTTGTTAGGTTTTTGGAGCCAAAATTGAGCTCTGGAGGATTTTAGGGCAATTTTGAGCCAAAATTAGAGCTCTGGGGATTTTTTATACCAATTTTGGGTGATTTTTGAGCTCTGGGGGATTTTTCGGAGCATTTTGATATCAATTTTGAGCTCTGGAGCATTTTTGGAGCATTTTGAAGCCAAAACTGAGCTCAGGACTGAATTGCGGTCATTTTAATGAGAAAATTGAGCTCTGGAGCATTTTTTGGAGCATTTTCAGACCTCATAGGCCATTTTTTCGAGCTCTGGACCATTTTTCGAGCATGTTGAAGCAAAATTTGAGCCTTGGGACCATTTTGACCTACATTTCGAGCTCTAGAGCATTATTTTGGCCCAAAATTGAGCTTTGGAGCATTTTTGGAACATTTTCAGACCTCATAAGCCATATTTTGAGCTCAGCACAAAATTTCAGTCATTTTGATACCCCCTATGGCCCAGTTTGGCCTAGTTTACTAATTAGGATTTCTAGGCCACCAAATTCTCAAAAATTATCGATTTTTCGTGTTCCAGAATCTTCGTCAACATATTGGAAGTTTGAAAGCGGATATTGTTGCAAAAGATGTTGAATTGGTATCAAAAGAAAGTACAATTACTAAGGTAAGGTTGGAAATTTAAGAGTTTTAAGAGTTTCATCGATTTTCAGCCGCTGTGACTGAAATTTTCGGATTTTTCATGAAATTTGGAGTTTTTAGACACCCATATTCATAGGGTTTGGGGAAATTTTGATTTTAGGTTAAAAATTGACCTGAAATTGAATTTTAGCTCAAAAAATCCCGAATTTCAGCCATTTTTCCATTTTCAGATTGAAGAAGAATTGATAAATTTGAAAGAGCGTGTAAAAGATTTGGAAGATCGAAAAGAAGAATTGACAGAGGAACGAAATCGATTACAAGAGAAAATGATTAAAATGAGAGATAGTATTACAATGAGAAGTTTGCATGATTCGATGTTTGATGGAGATGTTGTTGAATTTGAGTGAGTTTTTTGGATTTGGCTGAAAATTTGGAGCATTTTGATATATTTTTGGAGTTTTTTGGTCCCAGAATTGTTGTTTTTCAAAATTCTGAAGGTTTCTGAAGGTTCTAATGATGATTTTTGGATTTTTGAGGAAATTTGGGAATTTTTGACACCCATATTCATATAGTTCTGAGAATTTTTGATTTTTGGGATTTTTTGGTCCCAGAATTTTTGATTTTGAAAATTCTGGAGGTTTTCAGGGTCCCAGGGATCGAAATTCGGATTTTTCAGAAAATTTGGGGATTTTTGACATCCATATTCATAGGGTTTGGAAGAATTTTCGATTTTTGGGATTTTTTGGTCCCAGAATTTTTGATTTCGAAAGTTCTGAAGGTTTTTGAAGGTTCTGATGATGATTTTTGGATTTTTCACGAAATTTGGGGATTTTAGACACCCATATTCATAGGGTTTGGAAGAATTTTTGATTTTTGGGATTTTTTGGTCCTAGAATTGTTGATTTCGAAAGTTCTGGAAGTTTTCATGGTCCCAGGGATTAAAAATCGAATTTTTGAGGAAATTTGGGGATTTTTGAGACCCATATTCATAGGGTTTGGAAAATTTTTAATTTCAGGTCAAATTTTCGACCTGAAATTAAAATTTTCTGTTTTTTCACCAGATTTTGGCTTGTTGTATGTCTTTCGAATCGGAATTTCAACCTGAATTCGAAAATCCACGTATTTCTTCATGAATCCTTCAAAAATCCCAAATTTTTGCAGGAGATCCGACAAATTATCACTGGAAATAGAAAATCAACGATTAATGGAGCGAATTCAAGAATTGGAAAGTCTGGAACCATTAAAAGGCGAGATTTTGACACTAAAATCGAGAAATAGTGTGTTGGAACAAGAGACGCAGATAGCACACAAACAAATTGATGAAAAACAGAAAGAAATTCAAGAATTGATGGAGAAATTGGAGAAAAATCAACAGACGACAAGTGGAGGAGTTGTTGAATTGAAAGTTCAGGTTAGGGAGCATTTTTGGGTCAAAAATCGTGAATTTTGAGCATTTTTGAGCTCCGCCCACTTTTTCCCGCCAAAAATCGTGAATTTTGAGCATTTTTAAGCTCCGCCCACTTTTTTTGGCTCCAAAAATTAGCCTAGGCTTATCTAGGCTCAAAAAATCCCAAATTTTTCAAAATTAATTTTTTGCAGCTCGAAAAAATCAGTTTATCCGAAGAAAAAGCGCTCCAAAACGCTGAAAAAGCTGAAAAAAAGTTGGCCGAAATCCAGCTGGAATTAGACCAAAAAACAGAGGAAATGAAGAAATTCGAGCAAATTCTGAACAAATCAAAAATCGTCATCGATGGATTAGAAGAACAACTGAAAATGGCTGAAATTGAGACGTCTGGAAATGGACAAACGACTTCTGTACAACAATTCAAGCAATTACAGGCGGAAAATGAGAAATTGGAGAGAAAAGTGGGTTTTTTGGGGGGATTTTGAGCCAAAAATTGAGGAATTTGGAGCATTTTGAGCCCAGGAACGAATTTTTCAGGGATTTCTGGATTTTTAGACACCTCACAAGCCTAGGGTCCAAATTTGGAGCATTTTGAGCCAAAAATTGATGAATTTGGAGCATTTTGAGCCCGGAATCGAATTTTTCATGAAATTTCGGTTTTTTTGACACCTCATAAGTCTAGGGTCGAAATTTGGAGCATTTTGAGCCCAGAATCAAGCTTTGCATGATTTTTTGCTCCGTGAGCTCTATTTTTGAGCCCGGAATCGAATTTTTCATGAAATTTTGGATTTTTGGACACCCCACAAGCCTAGGACCTGAAAATTTCAGGTTTTTGCTCCGCGAGCCCACTCCCAAAATTCCAAATTTCAGGTTTCCGAACTCGAAAATCAACTTCACACAGCCATCACTTCTTACGAGCAAGAAAATCGTCTTCTAACATCAGCCGCACATCAAATTGTCAGTTTTTTGCAATTTTGCCGCATGCTTTTTTTTAGGCCACGCCCCCTTTTTTTCCAGGTCTTGAATCGATCGGCTGAAGAAGTACTGTACTCACCACAATCCGCCAACTCAACACTTTCACATCAAAAACAACCGTCGGCACTTTCATGGAGGTAAGCAGGCCACGCCCACTTTATTTTTGGGGACCTCTAAGCCCCGCCCCCTTTTTTGTCCCCGCCCCCCTCGAAAAATGTCCAATTTTTTTATAGATTTACCTAATTCCTTGTCCATTTTGTGATATAAGGTAACTTTGTGCACGTTTTTTGCATGTTTTTTAGGCCACGCCCCTTTTTCTGTGCCCTGTCCCGTTTTTTTTTTCACTAACATTTCCAGATTGCATGATTGGCTTGGCGATGCATGGAAACAGTATCCGATGTGAGTTCCTCTATGTTCTCTAACCTTTCTCTAGCTTCTCTGGGCTCTAACCCACCCTCTAAACCTAAGCCACGCCCACTTTTCCTCTGTGTTCTCTAACACTCTTACTCTACCCTGCACTCTAGCTTCTCTGGGCTCTAACCTTCTCTAAACCTAAGCCACGCCCACTTTTCCTCTGTGTTCTCTAACACTCTTACTCTACCCTGCACTCTAGCTTCTCTGGGCTCTAACCTTCTCTAAACCTAAGCTCCGCCCCTTTTCCCTCTATGTTCTCTAACCTGTCTCTATGTTCTCTAGCCCTGCACTCTAGCTTCTCTGTGTTCTCTAACCTCTGACCTCTTTCTCTCTGCTCTAACCTCATCTAAGCTCCGCCCCTTTTTCCTCTATGTTCTCTAACCTAACCTCTAACCTCTACACTCTGCTTCTCTGCAATCTAACCTTCTCTAAGCCTAAGCTCCGCCCCTTTTTCCTATGTGTTCTCTAACCTTCTCTCTGTGTTCTCTAGCTTCTCTAACCTCTAAACCTAAACTCCACCCACTTTTCCTCTATGTTCTCTAACCTTAGGGTTCTCTGTGTTCTCTAACCACTCTCACTCCACCCTGCACTCTAGCTTCTCTAACCCTAACACTGTGTCTCTGTGCTCTCTAACCCTCTATGTCTCTAGCTTCTCTGTGCTCTCTAACCTCTAAACCTAAGCTCCGCCCACTTTTCCTCTATGTTCTCTAACCTGCTCTCTGTGTTCTCTAGCTTCTCTAACCACTCTCTCACTCTATGTCTCTAACCTCTATCTGTGTATCTAGCTTCTCTGCACTCTCTAACCCCAGCTTTTTTTCTTATAGAGTCTCACTGCTTCTAATCATTATTCCGCTTCTTATGATTTTGACACTATGTGGAGTTAGCTCATTTCTGGCACCACCAAATGCATGAACCAACCCCGCTTTTTGTGTGTATTTGTAAGTTTTTTTGGCTGAAAATGCTGAAAATTTGGGATTTTTTGAGCCTAAACAAGCCTAGGGCCGAATTTAGGCCGAAATTCGGGCCCTAGGCTTGTTTGGGCTCAAAAAATCCCGAATTTCAGCTTTTTTTTTGAGCCTAAACAAGCCTGGGGCCGAATTTAGGCCGAAATTCGGGCCCCAGGCTTGTTTGGGCTCAAAAAATCCGGAATTTTCTCAATTTTCAGCCAAAAATCGATATTTTTCCAGATTATCTACGCCTTCTTCGTGATTCTCATTCTTAAATTTATTTTTTTTTTTTGAAAATATTTTTTATTGTACTTTTTGTACCCATTTTTTTGTCTGTAAATTTTGAAATAAATGTGTGAATTTTCAGCGTTTTTTCGCATTTTCCCAAGGTTTTCAGCCGTTTTTATCGAAAAATCTGAAATTTCCAGCCAAAAATCCGATTTTCAGCATGTAAATATGGTTTTTTTGACGAAAATAAGACGCGATTTGCTGAAACTCAGATTTTTGGAAAATCTGAAAAAAGGCCGGGCCGAGCAAACATCCGAGACTTGTTCAGGATTCGGACCGGAATTCGACTATGTCGGTAGGATTTTTCGGGCTGAAATTTGGGATTTTTTGAGTCCGGATAAGCTTAGGCCTGATTTTAGGCCGAAAATTGGATTAGGCCTGAAAATTTGGAGAATTTTGAGCCCAAACAAGCCTGGGCCTGGTTTTCAGGCCGAAATTTGGGATTTTTTGAGTCTAAACAAGCCTAGGCCTGATTTTTGGACCCGAAAACGTCCTTAGGCCCGATTTTAGGCCCAAATTCATGATCTATATGAAATTTGACGAATTTTGAGCCCAAACAAGGCTGGGTTCTGAAAATTTAAAATTTTTAGGCCTAAATTGGGCCCTAGGCTTGTTTAGGCTCAAAAAAACCCTGAAAATTCCAGATTTTTGGCTGAAAATGCTCAAAATTTGTGTTTTTCATCAATTTTGAGCCGAAAACCGTGAAAATTGATGGATTTTGACCAAAAATAGCAATTGCGCTCCATTGAACTCTACCCGTTTTCAAGAAAAATTCAAATTTTTAATTTTTTTTTATTCCAAGCCTGAAATCGGGCCTAGGCTTGTTTAGACTCAAAAAACCCCAAATTTTGAAGCCCAATCCAATTCAGGCCCTAAAATCGGGCCTAGGCTTATCCGGACTCAAAAAATCCCCATTTTCCAGGTCCTTGTCCCCCTGGTTACTGTAGATGGAATCGATTCAATTTTGCTAACCAAAAGAAGTATTCATTTGCGGAATCATCGCGGAGAAATATGTTTTCCGGGCGGAAAAAAAGATGAAACGGATGAAAATAGTGAGAAAACTGCATTGAGAGAGACGGAAGAGGAAATTGGGATAAGAAAAGAGGATATTGAGGTAGAGGATGGAAACTGGGCCTTTTTTTGAGCCTAAGCAAGCCTGGGCCTGAAAATTTGCAATTTTTTGAGCCTAAACAAGCCTGGGCCCGAGTTTAGGACGAAAATTTGCAATTTTTTGAGCCCAAATAGGCCTGGGCTCGAAAAACCTCAATTTTGAGCTGAAAATCATGAAAAATGATGGATTTTGGGCCAAAAATAGCAAATGCGCTCCATTGAACTCTCCCCGTTTTCAAAGAAAATTCAAATTTTCAATTTTTTCAAATTTTTCAAAATTTTTCATATTTTTTCAGTGAATAAATCTGATTTCTCTGAAAATCAGCAATTTCAAGCATTTTCAGCCTGAAATTGTTAAAAATCTGAAATTTTCAGCACAGAATTGGTTTTTTCTGAAAATTCTGCTTAAAATAAGCAATTTCAAAAGGTTTATATGAAAAATCACAATTTTCAGTCAATTTTCTGTAATTTTCAGTTAGAAACTGAATTTGCGGCTCAAAATTCCCCATTAAAAAAAATGAAAATTTGAATTTTTCATAAAAACGGGGAGAGTTCAATAGAGCGCATTTGCTATTTTTGGCTCAAAATTCTTCAATTTTCACGGATTTTGGCTGAAAATTGACGCAAAACACGAATTTTGAGCATTTTCAGCCAAAAATCTGGAATTTTCAGGCTTTTTTTTTAGCCTAAGCCTAAAACCCAATTTCGGCCTAAAATTTTTTTTTAAATTTCAGAACCCAGTCTTGTTTGGGCTCAAAATTCGTCAAATTTCACGTAGATCATGAATTTGGACCTGAAATTGGACCTAAGGACGTTCTCAGACTCAAAAATCAGGCCTAGGCTCATTTGGGCTCAAAAAATCCCAAATTTTTGGCCTAAAATCGGGCCCAGGCTTGTTCGGACTCAAAAAATCGCAAATTTTCAGCCCTCTCCATTTTTCCAGATCTGGTCCCCTCTCAAATCTGTCGTCCGCCGTCAACGTGATTTTCTCGTAACTCCATTCGTCGGCCGAATTCCCGAAAATGCTCTTCACAATCTCAAAATTCAACAATCCGAAGTTCAGTCGGTTTTCAGTGTTCCTTTAGAGGAATTGTGCCACGTGGCACAGTATACCAAATTTTTGGCGCCAAAAATCAAATATACGCTGCCCGTGTTTGAGAGCAAAGAATTTAAGGTAACTTGGGATTTGGGGAGGCTGAAAATTGACTGAAAATGTGATTTTTGAGCTGAAAATGTTCAAAATTGCTCATTTTTGATGAATTTTGGCTCAAAATGGCTCATTTTCAGCCAAATTTGCTCATTTTCATTCCAGATCACTACAATGCTCCAAATGAATATCTGCATTCAACTCAACGAATTTGGGGTCTAACAGCTGTCATTTTACATCAAGCAATGTGTCTAATCAACCCCGGAAATCAGTATAAACACGATTTTTTCATCAAATTCTTCTAGATAGATTATGTATAAATTTTTGAATAGTCGCCTTGAAAATTTGCAATTTTTCAAGCCTAAATAAGGCCTGGGCCGAATTTGGGCCGAAATTTGAAGTCTACTTGAAATTCCGAGAATTTTGACATCAAATTTGGCGCCAAAATTTGAATTTTCAAAAAACTTCATTTTTTTGTTAAAAACACACTCGAAAAAAAACACGCAAATACCGGAAAGATGAAAAATCAATCAATAAATAAGGGGGAAATAAATAAAAAAAATTGGATAAAAATGAGGGGGCCAAAAGGGGCCGGGCCGGACCGGGCCTTGCCAAAGTAGATATTTAATCCATTCTCGATTTGATGGTGGAGACATTGACCTGAAAATTAGGGAAATTCATCAGGTGAAAAAAAAAATTAAAAATTTGAATTTTCCATGAAAACGGGGAGAGTTCAATAGAGCGCATTTGCTATTTTTGGCTCAAAATAGCTCATTTTTCATGAATTTTAGCTCAAAATTCCGCATTTTTCATGAATTTTCCAGTATTTCCAGTCAAAAATCAATAATTCTCACCTTATCCTTAGTAATCGTATAAACAACAGCACCCCATCCAGATGCAGCATCTCTTTCCAAACACGACAAAATCGATTGAGCTGTGGCTTCGAACAATTCTTCGGGTTTCATGTTCTCTTGCCAAAAATCTAGAAAAAAAATAAAAATTTGAATTTTCCTTGAAAACGGGAAGAGTTCAATAGAGCGCATTTGCCATTTTTGGCTCAAAATTCATCATTTTTCATGATTTTTAGCTCAAAATTCATCATTTTTCACGATTTTTGGCTCATTTTCAGCCAAATTTTGCTGATTTTCATCAAAAACTCACTCTCACAAACACCCAACAAATATTCTTGTCCAGTTCCGATTGCGACAAAATCGCGTGGCGCCGAAACACATCCAATTGTGTCCATACAACAAATATACGGCTTATTTTGATCGTCCAAACCGGCAACCAAGGGTTCGGTGAAATACGAGCCGAAACGGTGTTGATAGCAGAGGTTTGAGATCATTTCGGACAAAATCTGGAAAAAAAATTGGGGATTTTCTGAGCCCGAATAAGCCTAGGCCCGATTTTTTGAGCCCAAATAAGCCTAGGCTCGTTTTCAGGCCGAATTTCGGGATTTTTCGAGTCCAAATAATCCTAGGCCCAATTTTTAGGCCTAATAAACCTAGCCTCGTTTTCAGGCCAAAAAATCGGGATTTTCTGAGCCCAAACAAGCCTAGGCTCGTTTTCAAGCCGAAAATTCGGGATTTTTTGAGCCCGAATAAGCCTAGGCCTAATTTTTGTGATTTTTCTGAACCTGAATAAGCCTAGGCTCGTTTTCAGGCCGAGAAATCAGGATTTTCTGATGTGAGCCCGAATAAGCCTAGTCCTAATTTTTGTGATTTTTTTGAACCTGAATAAGCCTAGGCTCGTTTTCAGGCCGAAAATTCGGACTTTTCTGGGCCCGAATAAGCCTAGGCCCAATTTTCAAAGCCACGTGGATTTTTTCAGCTAAAAAATCAGAAAATTTCCAAATTTCCTCAATTTTTGGTCAAAAATAAAAAAAATGAAAATTTGAATTTTTCTTGAAAACGGGAAGAGTTCAATGGAGCGCATTTGCTATTTTTCGTCAAAAATTCGCGATTTCAACGATTTCCGGATCAAATTTCATCAAAAATCATGTTTTTCTCCGTTTTTCATGAATTTTACATCAAAAATGAGCCAAATTTTACCTGTGGTCGAACTTTGCGATTCTCTCTCAACTCGTACAAATTTTTGCGGAACAAAATCTTCTCGAGCATCGTTTTGGCGTCGGATTGGAAGCCGGCCAGTCCGACATACACTTTATCCGACACTTTGTGCACTTTTTTCTCGTCCGTCGCGATTGTTGTCATTTGTTCACCGATACGCAAATCCGAAGCGATGCAAACACATCTGAAATTAGGAATTTTGGTGATTTTAAGGTCTATAGTGGTCCGAAAAGTGATTTTTAGATAGGAAATTCGAATTTTCGGCGGTTTTTTGGTCCTACATACATTTTAAAGCTAGAAATTGACTTTCAACGTTAAATTATTGATTTTTGAATGTTGGAATAGGCTTTGAAGCTGAAATTTGGATTTTCAGACTATTCGGAAGCTTTTGGTGGCATTTTTGACTGAAAATGCGGTTCAAGAAATGATTTTTTCTAATTTTCAGTCCGAAATTTGAAATTTTTATGATTTTTTAACTAAGAAACTGTATTTTTGGCTAAAGTTTTCAAAAATATGAACAAATCAATAATTTCTTCGAATTGTCATCATTTTTCCCAAATTTCCTTTAAATTTTCAGAATTTTATAATGAAAATGCTCAGAATCTGATGAAGATCCCAAAAACCCTTGAAAAACCAAGAATTTCCTTCTCTCCATAGTTTTGGCTGAAATTTTCAGTCAAAATGATGCAATTTCGCTGAAAATCCCGAAAATTCCCCTTAGAACTCTTGAAAATTCAAGATTCTCCATGAAATTTCACTTAGAAACCTCAGAAATGCGAAAAATCATCATTTTTTCGTTTCCCAATGAAAATCCATGATTTTGGCTGAAATTTTCAGTCAAAATGATGCAATTTCGCTGAAAATCCCGAAAATTCCCCTTAGAACTCTTGAAAAATCAAGATTTTCCAAGAAATTCCTCTTAAAAACCTCAGAAAAGCGAAAAATCATCATTTTTTCGTTTCCCACTGAAAATCCATGGTTTTGGCTGAAATTTCCAGCTATTCACACTCAAACTGCTCCAAATTCCTTGAAACCCCCAAAAATCCCCTCCAAAACTCATGAAAACCCCAACTTCCCCCCGAAAAACCACAATACTTACTCATCACCAGCCATGGCGACAACAGTTCCTCCAGTATAGCTCATAATCGACATTTTTGCACGTAGTTTTGGGGGCTAAGCCTTGGCTGAAACTCTGAAAATTGTCTGAAAATCCAAAAAAGCCGAGAAAAAACGGTGAAAAACAAGAAATGCTGACAAATTCAAAAAGTGGGCGGAGCCTATTTGGCAAGAAAAAAGTGTGCGGCGCTTGCAGAAAACGGGAATTATTTTATTTTTCACCATTTTCAGCCGGATTTTCACAGATTTTCAGCAAATTTCGCGAATTTAATCATATTTTTATTAAACAGAACAAAATAATGATGATAAGACACAAAAAAAGAGGAATTTTTTGACAAAAAAAAATATGGAAAACAATAAATAAAAATAATGTGAAAATTTAGCGGGGAGGCGGGAGATCGGGAAAATTGGAAGTTGGGTGAAGTTGGGGAGATTTTTGAAGAGAAGGAGGTGAAAAATGCCACGTGGAATCTGAAAAAATGGGATTTTTGTTGAAAAATTCAAATTTTTAGTTTTTTCTGAAGAAAAAAGTAGAATTTTTCCAAAAATTCAGATTTTCCGGGCCTAAATTGGATTGGGCTTCAAAATTTGGGGATTTTTGGAGTCTAGATAAGCCTAGGCCCGATTTTAGGCCGTAAATCGATAATTTCAGACCTGACAAAAAAAATAAAAATTTGAATTTTCATTCAAAACGGGGAGAGTTCAATAGAGCGCATTTGCTAATTTTAGCTCAAAATCCATCATTTTTCATGTTTCTAGGCTCAAAATGACGAAATTTCAGCGAATTTTCCAGTTTTCGCAGCCAAAACTCGAGAATTTCATGGATTTCAGCAATTTTCAGCTCATCCTAGTCAGAAAATTCCAAATTTCGACAAAATTTCACCAGAGAAAAAAAAAAGAAAATTTGAATTTTCCCTAAAAACATGTAGAGTTCAATAGAGCGCATTTGCTGATTTTGGCTCAAAATAGCTCATTTTTCATGGTTTTTGGGTCAAAATTGATGGTTTTCAGGTCGATTTTCATGATTTTCAGCTTATTTTCCACATTTCCAGCCCAAATTCACCAACCTTTCCTAATACATGCTGGCAAATTTCTCCTCAGGCATTCTCAATTGTCGAACTCGTCGAGTTATCGGAACTTTGGCCATCGGTCGCGGATTCGAGAAGAATGGCATATCGATGAGATTTTTGGGTGGTGGCGACATTGAATAGTGTTGAATGTAGTATTTGGAATGACGCGATTTGCCACGTGGCAGACAATTTGAGGCCGAATGACGGCGATGTTTTCGAGAGGCGGTGCCTTCGGTTGAAAGACCGTGTTTCATGCGGAGCTCGTGTTTTTGGAGGCGAGAACGAGGCTGGAAATATGGGTGATTTTGGGGGGCGGAAGCTTGCGGAATTCAAAATTTGGGCATAGCTTCCGCATCTTCGCTGAAATTCCAATAAAAATCTGAAAATTCTAGATTTTCAGTACAAATTAAGGGACGATTCAGAAACTATAAACTAGTTACTGAATCGTCCCATAATTTGTGCTGAAAATTCCAGTTTTCACATTTTTATCAGATATTTCAGAAATGGACTTGGAAGGGTTTTTCTGGAGCGAAGCGAGTGTCGACCGCAAGCTTCCGCGTAAGCGGCACTATCTTCCGCTTTAGCGGTCACGTGGACTTGCTATGACGTAGAAACTGTACCACAATGAACCACGTGGCCGCTGAAGCGGAAGATAGTGCCGCTGACGCGGAAGCTTCCGGTTTACACTCGCTCCGCTCGAAATTTGGGCATAGCTTCCGCATCTCCGCTGAAATTCCAATAAAAATCTGAAAATGCTGGAATTTTCAGCACAAATTAAGGGACGATTCAGAAACTAGTTTATAGTTACTGAATCGTCCCATAATTTGTGCTGAAAATTCCAGTTTTCAGATTTTTATCAGATATTTCAGAATAGGACTTGGAAAGGGTTTTCGAGCGGAGCGAGTGTAGACCGCAAGCTTCCGCTTTAGCGGCCACGCGGATTACTATGACGTTTGCCATATCATAGTAAACCACGTAGCCGCTGACGCGGAAGCTTGCGGTTTACACTCGCTCCGCTCGAGAATTCAAAATTTTTTATGATTTTCAGTCAAATTCCCAGCCAAAAAAGAAAACTCACAGCTTCATCCAATAATCTCAAAGCGGAATTATACAATTTATCTCTCATTAAATCCGCCATCTCTTCACCATTCTCATAATAATTCTTCCAATCCATATTCGGAATATCCTGAAAAAAAAAATGAAAATTTGAATTTTTCGAGAAATTGGGGAGAGTTCAATGGAGCGCGTTTGCTATTTTTAGTCAATAGTGGGTGAAAATAGGTGTTTTTCATGATTTCTAGCTCAAAATCATCCAATTTTCCCCCAATTCACCTGCACAGTAATCGGTTTCAATCCACAAAAGAACGCCTCAATGAAATACAACACAAACAATCCACAATCATAATAATTATTCTGAACCGGTAAATTGGCTGGTCTAATCACTTCGATTCGGCTCTCATCAAAAATCGTCGGTTTTTCGGTGGCAAATTTCATTCCCGCAGCTTTTGTTTTATTGTATAATCCGGTCAAATAATAGCGAATACATGAACACATGTTTTTTCTGCAAAAAATTGCAAGTTTTTGATGGGAAATTCCAGAAAATTTGGGCATAGCTTCCGCATCTCCGCTGAAATTCCAATAAAAATCTGAAAAATGCTGGAATTTCAGCACAAATTTAGGAACAATTCAGGAACTAGTTTATAGTTACTGAATTGCCCAATAATTTGTGCTGAAAATTCCAGTTTTTCAGATTTTTATCAGATATTTCAGAATAGGACTTGGAGGTTCGAGCGAAGCTAGTGTAAACCGCAAGCTTCCGCGTAAGCGGCACTAGCTTCCGCTTTAGCGGCCACGCGGATAAATATGACGTTTGCCATATCATAGTAAACCACGTGGCCGCTAAAGCGGAAGATTGTGCCGCTTACGCGGAAGCTTGCGGTTTACACTCACGACTTGCGTCGCTCGAGAAAAATTCGAGATTTCCAGACAGAAATTGTAATTTTCATCTGAAAATCTCGAAATTTTTAGATTTTCAGGTGATTTCTCTTATTTTTAACAAAAACTTCGAAATTTTCAGATTTTTAGAAATTTCCAGCCATTTTTCACATGAAAATGCTCAAAATAGCTCATTTTTCATCATTTTTGTTCAAATTTTCAGCCCAGAACTCATTTTCAGCCAAATTTCCCCAATTTTCAGCCAAAAAATCACTCACTGTCTCCTAGGATCCAAACCAGTCAATGGATCCAAAAACACAATCCAAGTTTTCGGTTTCTTTCTACTTTCCTCCTCATTTTCTCCAGTTTCCACAATTGCACCAGATGGATTTACAATAATTGCGACAAGCCTGAAAAAATTCATTTTCAGCCAAAAATCTGAAATTTTCAGACTTACCAATGAAATTCCTCATTGATTGGTATAACCAGATATTCTTTTCCGAAAACATCGAATTTTTTCGTCCATTTTGAAACACGATCCACGTTTGAGAGAAGCTGCAAAAAAAATGAAAATTTGAATTTTTCATCAAAACGGGGAGAGTTCAATAGAGCGCATTTGCTATTTTTCGTCAATTTTGGCTCAAAATCCATCATTGTTCATGTTTCAAGGCTTAACATTGCTCATTTTTAGCTTAAAACTATGATTTTCAGTAAAATTTTCAGATTTTCAGCTTTCCAGTTAAATTTTCCATGAAATATCGGAAAATTTATATTGAAATAAAACTTTCATGATTTTCGGCTAAAAAATTCATCAACAAAAAAAAATAAAAATTTGAATTTTTCATCAAAACGGAGAGAGTTCAATGGGGCGCATTTGCCAATTTTAGCTCAAAATTGAGCATTTTTCATGATTTTTGGCTCAAAACCTCACCTTCTTCTTTTCGCTTTCACTAATCCCATTTTTCGTCGAAAACATTGGCGTATTCACATTTTTCGACAATCCCGAATAGAAGAACGTGTTGAAAAAGTAGATTTTTGGTCGAAGGCTTTTATCGATTTGATAATTGATGAGATAATTGATTTTATAACTTATCATGACGTCATTGATGAATTCATCACGAGCTAATGTGTGGATATCTTTGACGCAAACTGCAAAATTCAAAAATTGGGCGATTTTTTGTGAAGAAAAAAAAAATGAAAATTTGAATTTTTCAACAAAACGGGGATTGTTCAATGGAGCGCATTTGCTATTTTTGGTCAAAATTTCACGATTTTCACGATTTTCAGGTCAAAACTCACCAACAACCGAATCATATTCCTGTTTTTCGACACTTTTTGGCGGGAAAACAAATAATTGTGTTTCATAGGTCATATCATCTTCACCTTCTGTGCTTGTTGTTTTTGCTATTTTTCCAGACGAAGTTGAGGATGAAGCCTGAAAATTTGAATTTTCCTTGAAAACGGGAAGAGTTCAATAGAGCGCATTTTCTAATTTTAGACCAAAATCAATCAATTTGGACCATTTTCAGCTCAAAATTCGTGAAATTTCCAGTTTTCGCAGCCAAAACTCGCGAATTTCATGATTTTCGATCATTTTCAGCTCATCCTAGTCAAGAAATCCCGAACCTCATCAAAATTCACCAAAAGAAAAAAAAATGAAAATTTGAATTTTCCTACAAAACGGGCAGAGTTCAATAGAGCGCATTTGCTATTTTTGGCTCAAAATTCATCATTTTTCATGTTTCTAGGCTCAATTTCGCAAAATTTTCAGATTTCGCAGCCAAAACTCGAGAATTTCATGAATTTTAGCAATATTCAGCTCATCCTAGTCAAATAATCCCAAATTTCATAAAAATTCACCAGAAAAAAAAAATAAGAATTTGAATTTTCCTTTGAAACGGGCAGAGTTCAATGGGGCGCATATGCTATTTTTCGTCAATTTTCACGTTTCTAGGCTTAAAATTGCTCATTTTTCATGATTTTTGGCTCATTTTCAGCCAAAATCTCGAGTTTCAGCCAAATTTCAGTCAATTTTCTCACCTCATCATCACTCAATGATACTTCCTCTTTCTGTCCTGCCATTTTCAATACAACTTTTTTCGCCGGTTTCAGCTGCTTGTCGATTTTCAGCTTTTTGACGACAGTAACAAGGGGTTGCTGAAAAAATCGTGGATTTTTGAGATTTTCAGACTTTTTTTGGGTTAGAAACATGCAAAAAAAGGGGGCGTGGCCTAATTTTAGGCTGAAAATTCTGAAATTTTCAGATTTTTAGGTGGAAAAGGTGTGAAAACTACGTCTGGCGTGCGAAATTGTGCTGGAAATGGCTGAAATTGTGGATGATGAAGTTGATTGGGATTTTGAATGTGTGCCAAATATGGATTATGAATTGGTGGAACCGATTGATGTTGGATCTGTAAAAAATGAAAATCTGGAATTTTCTGGCTAACATGAGCAATGCTTTATGTTTCTTTCCAAATTCTCCAAATTTTAGGCTAAAAAATCGATCAGAAAAAAAAAATGAAAATTTGAATTTTCCATAGAAACGGGTAGAGTTCAATAGAGCGCATTTGCTATTTTTGGCTCAAAATTCATCGTTTTTGATGATTTTTGGGTCAAAATTGACCGTTTTCATTAAATTTCACAGTTTTCGCAGCCAAAACTCGCGATTTTCAGCTCAAAATCGGTCAGAAAAAAAATGAAAATTTGAATTTTCCATAGAAACGGGTAGAGTTCAATAGAGCGCATTTGCTATTTTTAGCTCAAAATTCATAGTTTTTAATGATTTTTGGGTCAAAATTGACTGTTTTCATTGAATTTTTCAGTTTTCGCAGCCAAAACTCGCGATTTTCAGCATTTTTCAATTAAAAAAAACCCACCATTGGTTGATGATAAGCAAAGGCTCCAAATTCAGGCTGTCCATGCATATTTTGATAATAATTTGGCTGCATTTGCTGCGGATGCTGATAACCTTGAGGTGGCGAATAGAAAAACTCGTTCATCAGGTTGTTTTCAGGTTGTGCGAGTATATTTTCCAAATTTCGATCAATTTCCGAAATTGAGGGAATCACTGGGTAATTGGATGCGGATAAAACTGGATTCGAACGCGGAAGCGGCGGATTTTGATGGTCCGGTTCGAAATTGCTGAAATCCGGAAGCGGACATGTTTCTGGTGAAAACTTGGGCTGATTTTCAGATTCCGGAGGTTTTTCGTCTAGAAATTGAGCTTCTGGAGCTTCTGGACGATTTTCAGCTAAAAATTCAGCTTCAAAAGGATTTTGAGCCGAAAATTGAGTTTCTGGAGCTTCCGGAGCATTTTCATTCAAATTTGGAGATTCTGGAGCTTCTAGACGATTTTCAGCCAGAAATTCAGCTTCATAGGGATTTTGAGCCGAAATTTGAGGTTCTGGGGGCTTTTCCGCTGACTTTTGAGCTTCTGGAGCATTTTCAGCCAGAAATTCAGCTTCATAAGGATTTTCAGCCAAATTTTGGGCTTCTGGAGCTTTCGAAACGATTCTGGGTGATTTTTGAGCTTCTGGAGCTTCCGGAACGATTCCAAGTGATTTTTGACCTTCTGGAGCTGAATTTTCCGCAATTTCAGCTAAATTTTGAGATTCTGGAGCATTTTCAGTTGATTCTTGATCTTCTGGAGCATTTTCTGTCAAATTTTGATATTCTGAAGATATTTCAGCCAAAATTTGAGATTCTGAAGCATTTTCAATTGATTTTTGAACTTCTGGAGCTTCCGAAGCTTCAAAATCCAATTTCTCAGCCAAATTTCGATTCTCATCGTTTTCAGCGCGATTTTCAGCCTCAAAATCCAAATTTTCAGCGTCTTTCTCGATTTTTTCAGCATTTTCTGCGAATTTTTCGGTTTCTGGAACAGGTCTAAAATTTTCGTCGTTATCAGCTGATTCTTGAGGTTCTTCTGAAGCTGGAGCTTGATTTTCAGCAAATTCTGGAGCTTCAAATTCCATAGTTTCAGCATTTTCAGCAAGTTCCTGAGCTTCTTCAGGATTTTCAGCACTCAAATAAATTCCAGACAAATTTCCAGCAAGTTCTTGAGTTTCAGCATCTCCTTCAGCCAAATTTTGAGCTTTTGGAGTTGGATTTTCAGCAGATTCTTGAATTTCACCATCTTCTAGGGAATTTTCAGCATTTTCAGCATCTCCTTGTCCAATTTCAGCCAAATTCTCTTCATTTTCTTGATAAAAACTACTCGTATTCACAACATCAATAATTCCACTATTTTCAGCCAAATCTTCTTCAGATTCTTGCGAAATTTTCAGATTCTCAAAATCGCCGGCTGAAAAATCGATCAATAATTTGGCATCTTCACAGGGATTTTCAGAATTTTCCCGATTTTCAGATTTTTCTTGAGGTTCTGGTGATGGCGGCTGAAAATTTGGGGAATTTGAGAAATTTTATAAAATTCAAAAAAAAAATAAAAATTTGAATTTTTCATAAAAACGGGTAGAGTTCAATAGAGCGCATTTGCTATTTTTAGTCAATTTTGGCTCAAAATAGCTCATTTTTCATAATTTTCAGATCAAAATAGATCAATTTTAAGGATTTGAGCTATTCTTACAAGGGAAGTGTATAAGGTCCCGGAATAAACTTTTAATGAGACTTGGTACACATATAGATTCGAACTCGCTGATCTCAAATTCGTTTTCAAAAATTGCCACAATTGCACCCAAGACGAGTTTTTCACCATCGAAAATGCGCCATATTTCTCATTGTTTCATATGTCAAACATTTCCGGGCAAGAAAAATAACAGCGGATGGCAGAGTGGTTAGCGATCTCGACTTTAAAATTTTAGGTTTCGGGATCGGTCCCGGCCCGTGGCGAACTTTTTTTTTTCAAAATTTTTTATTTTTTTTTTCAAAAAACAGAACACATTGAAGATGATCTTTCATATTTATTTTTATAGCTTTCATATTTATAGCTAGCCAAGTTACCTTCATCCGGTGGATCATCTTCAATTCGTTTCAGAATTTCATCGTTTTCAACTATAATTTCGTTGATGTCCACACTACGCAACACATTTATAATTCCGTTAGGAACTTTTTGAAGTTCTCGCGGGAGACATACTTTCTTGGGATTGTACAATTGTCATTGAAATTACCCATTACGAAGTGCAAAATTTGTTCAGAAGGTAACATTTTGGACGAGAATTAAAAAAACGAAAAAAAATGAAGACAAAAAATTATAATTCAAAGTCGGTACGTACCCATCTTTACAGGTTTCGAAAAAATTTTGAAAAAAAAAACTTTGAAAAAAAAAAGTTCGCCACGGGCCGGGACCGATCCCGAAACCTAAAATTTTAAAGTCGAGATCGCTAACCACTCTGCCATCCGCTGTTATTTTTCTTGCCCGTAAATGTTTGACATATGAAACAATGAGAAATATGGCGCATTTTCGATGGTGAAAAACTCGTCTTGGGTGCAATTGTGGCAATTTTTGAAAACGAATTTGAGATCAGCGAGTTCGAATCTATATGTGTACCAAGTCTCATTAAAAGTTTATTCCGGGACCTTATACACTTCCCTTGTTAATGATTTTTTGACTAAAATTCTCCAAAATGAACAAAAATTTAATTCTCATTAAAAAAAAATAAAAATTTGAATTTTCTTTAAAAACGGGTAGAGTTCAATGGAGCGCATTTGCTATTTTTCGTCAATTTTCACGTTTCTAGGCTCAAAATTGCTCATTTTTCATGATTTTTGGGTGAAAAAAATCAATTTCTCTGATTTCAAGCCAAAAATTCAGCTTTCTGGAGCAAAAAATGCTCAAAACTCACCTCATTTCTCGCAAATTTCGTGGGCGTCTCATAATTCTCCTTACATTTGCACAACACATTCAAAATCCCATCTTCATTCTCATTTTCAGCCAATTTTTTCGTACGAATATACAAATTTCGTTGATTTTGACAAGAAATCGAATAATGTGGGTTAGAAGAGGAAATTGAGGATTTGGAAAGGTGAAGTGAAGGGCCAATATTGCACAAAGGACCATGCTACAAACAAAAACAAGCAACATATACAACACAACAACAAAAACGGCCGAAAATTCGAGATTTTCATGAAAATTGACCAGAAATCCATAGTTTTTTTAGAAAAATTCAAAATTTGGGCATAGCTTCCGCGTCTCCGCTGAAATTCCAATAAAAATCTGAAAAATGCTGGAATTTCAGCACAAATTAAGGGACGATTCAGAAACTAAATTATAGTTATTGAATAGGTCCAGAATTTGTGCTGAAAATTTCAGTTTTCAGATTTTTATCGGATATTTCAGAATAGGACTTGGAGGTTCGAGCGGAGCGAGTGTAAACCGCAAGCTTCCGCGTAAGCGGCACTATCTTCCGCTTTAGCGGCCACGCGGACTAATATGACGTTTACCATATCATAGTAAACCACGTGGCCGCTAAAGCGGAAGCTAGTGCCGCTTACGCGGAAGCTTGCGGATTACATTACAGATTTTCAGGTGACATATTTGTGATTTCTCTTATTTTTCATCAAAAAATTTGATACTTTCATAACTTATTTTCTAAAAAACAGATTTTTAGTGATTTTCAGCAAAAACTTAGGTTTTTTTTTAAATTTTTAATTTCAGGTCTTACTTGAAATTTCAAACGTGACCTAAAATTAAAAATTTAAAAATCATTTTTAATTTGAAAAATGATAAATTTCCCAGATTTCGACTGAAAATCTTGAAATTTCAGTCAATTCTCATGAAAACCCGTTTTTCTCCAATTTTTCATGCAAAAATCAGAGATTTTCAGCCATTTTTTCAGGTTAAAAATTAGGAAAAGCTTCAAAAATTAGTCCCATGCAAAAAACCACTTACTTTAACCGGGCTAGGCTCAGCTCTTCGTTTTTCGCCAGCTCTGGAAAAAAAAATTTTGAATTTTTCAGAGAAACGGGGATAGTTCAATGGAGCACATTTGCTATTTTTGGTCAATTTTCGCCCAAAAACTCACTTCAATTTCAAAATTTCCTCAAGCGGTTTATAATTATTGATTTCTCTGAACAATGCATTGATTCCTTTGACTTTTGCATCAAAATAGAAATAATCCAATGATTGTGTGATGCCTGGTTTGATCATTAGGCCAATGGCTCGCATCATTTGACGGAAGTCGTTTTCAGGAATTATGTCTGGAAAAAATAAGGGAGTTAGGGTAACTTTAGGTGAAAAACCATGAATTTTAAGTAAAAAATCACGAATTTTCAGTCTCTGAGCATATTTTCACCAAATCTTACCAATAAAATCCATCGTCTGATTTCCAAAAGTCCTTCTCCATCTTTCCGAAAACCTTGCCGTCCATTTCGTTTGAATCTCATTTTTCCAAATCTCAAAACTTTGTTCCATATCAAAATGCTCCAATTTTGGAGCATTTTCCTGATTTTGATGATTTGAATTGATTGCGAAGCTCATGAATCTCTCCTCATTTTCGTTCGGATTTGCTGGTTCTTCTTGAAGAGTTATGATGATTGTGCTGAAAGTTTCAAGTTTTAGAAAATTTGGGCATAGCTTCCGCATCTCCGCTGAAATTCCAATAAAAATCTGAAAATTCTGGAATTTCAGCAAAAATTAAGGGGCGATTCAGAAACTAGTTTATAGTTACTGAATCGTCCCATAATTTGTGCTGAAAATTCCAGTTTTCAGATTTTTATCGGATATTTCAGAATAGGACTTGGAAGGGGGTTTTCGAGCGGAGCGAGTGTAGACCGCAAGCTTCCGCGCAGCGGCCACGCGGATTAATATGACGTTTGCCATATCATAGTAAACCACGTGGCCGCTTCGCGGAATTTTCCGGATTACACTCGCGCCTAAGGCGCTCACGAACTTTTTCAAATATTCCTGTGACGCCAAATCGGTTGCTCTGCTGCTCAGAAGATTCGACAAATTGTCGCCAAGAGCATTCAGAATTCGATAAGATGAAGCTGGAGCCAAATGGAAGATCAGAGCTGGCGGATCGGTTTCGTTTCCAAACGTTTTGAGCTGAAACATCCAAGTTTCTGGTGAAAATTGTAGAAAATTTGGGCATAGCTTCCGCATCTCCGCTGGAATTCCAATAAAAATCTGAAAAATGCTAGATTTTCTCTAGTTTTTCAGATTTTTATCGGATATTTCAGAATTTGACTTGGAAATTCGAGCGGAGCGAGTGTAGACCGCAAAATTCCGCGCAAGCGGCACTATCTTCCGCTTTAGCGGCATCGTCTACAGCCTTATGGGCCCAGAAAAGCTTAGACGTGGCCGCTGAAGCGGAAGACAGTGCCGCTGACGCGGAATCTTCCGGTTTACACTCGCGACTTGCGTCGCTCGATAAAAATTTGGGCATAGCTTCCGCATCTCCGCTGAAATTCCAATAAAAATCTGAAACATGCTGGAATTTCAGCACAAATTATGGGACGATTCAGAAACTAATTTATAGTTACTAAATCGTCCCATAATTTGTGCTGTAAATTCTAATTTTCAGATTTTTACTAGATATTTCAGAATAGGACTTGGAAGGGGGTTTTCGAGCGGAGCGAGTGTAAACCGCAAGCTTCCGCGTCAGCGGCCACCTGAGCTTGCTATGACGTGGAAACCGCGTGGCCGCTGAAGCGGAAGCTTGCGGTCTACACTCGCTCCGCTCGAGAAAAATCAAAAACTCACAGTAATATTTCGAAACTGCGAAAAATTGATGCTAATCATTTTTGGCTGATTATTATTCCCGCCAACCGGAATCACAGTGATAATCAAAAATAATTTCCCATTATGCACAGTAATCTCCATTCGTTGTTTTGACAGTGGAATTTTCTCGTTTCCGATGAAAATTTGACGAGGATACATCTGAAAATCATGAATTCCAGGCATTTTCAGCCAAAAATCGCTAGAACTTACGTATGCTTTGAAAGTCGGCTCATTGAAAATCACATTTCTGACGATATCTCGAGATGATATCACCATTTTCAGCTATATTTCTGGAAAAAAATCAATTTTTTTCAAAGCTGCAATTAAAAACCTCAAAAAAAAACGAAAATCAAAGGTGAACATATCCCTCCCTCATAAAAAATAATGCATTTTTGGCTTTTTTATATGCCAAACATGAAAAAGGGGAGAATTTAGCCATGGAGCGCGCTTGCTGTGTAATAAACAATAAATTATTTGTGTGGGGAGGGGATTTCATAAGAAAATCCAAGTTTTTGGAGAAAAATTTGAAATTTGGGCATAGCTTCCGCATCTCCGCTGAAATTCCAATAAAAATCTGAAAATGCTGGAATTTCAGCACAAATTATGGGATGATTCAGAAACTAGTTTATAGTTACTGAATCGTCCCATAATTTGTGCTGAAATTCCAGTTTTCAGATTTTTATTAGATATTTCAGAAAAATACTTGGAAGTGGTTTTTAGCTCCTAATTTCTAATTTCAGGTTAAATTTTATGAATTTTTGAACAAACCTAGAAATTTCCATACTATTTTGTGTTGTCTTTGAAATCAGAAATGACAAAATTTTGATCAAAAAATTTCACGTAATTTTTTATCACGTGAGATTTTTCAAAAAATTCAAAATTTGGGCATAGCTTCCGCATCTCCGCTGAAATTCCAATAAAAATCTGAAAAATGCTAGAATTCCTCCAGTTTTTCAGATTTTTATCGGATATTTCAGAAAATGGACATGGAAGGGGTGTTTCGAGCGGAGCGAGTGTAAACCGCAAGCTTCCGCGAAGCGGACTATCTTCCGTTTAGCAACCACGCGGATTAATATGACGTTTACCATATCATAATAAACCACGTGGCCGCTAAAGCGGAAGATAGTGCCGCTTCGCGGAATTTTCCGGTTTACACTCGCGCTAACGCGCTCGAAATTCGGGCATAGCTTCCGCATCTCCGCTGAAATTCCAATAAAAATCTGAGAAATGCTGGAATTTTCAGCACGAGACGATTCAGAAACTAGTTTATAGTTACTGAATCGTCCCATAATTTGTGCTGAAAATTCCAGTTTTCAGATTTTTATCAGACATTTCAGAATGGGACTTGGTGCTGAAAATAACCTGAAAAAAGCAAGCAAAATAGAAATTCTGATGCAAAAGCAACATGCAAAAAAAATGGCGAAAAATTTAGGAATCCAATAAATTTCATTTTTTCGCAAAACAGTTAAAGGAAAGAAAGAAAGAAAGAAGAAAAACCTACAATATAAAAACTCTGGAAATGGAAATGGGTAAAAAAGGAGGAGATAAGGAAGAAAATCACATGAGAAACGAATAAAGCTCGATTCTTCCAAGAAAAAAATCGATAATTTTGAGGGGGAAAATTCAATTATTGTGGTGGTTGTGGTGGTTGATCTGGATTATTTCCATCACCTCCGAATTGTCTTCTCAATTGTTCAATCATTTCTGGATTCGATTGTTGCATGTGTTGAGCCATCTGCAAAGAGTTAGGCTAACTTTTATGGTTAGATTTAGGCGCGGAAGATAGTGCCGCTTCGCGGAATCTTGCGGTTTACACTCGCGCCTAAGGCGCTCGAAAAAATTCAAAATTTGGGCATAGCTTCCGCATCTCCGCTGAAATTCCAATAAAAATCTGAAAATACTGGAAATTTCAGCACAAACTATGGGAACTAGTTTATAGTTACTGAATCGTCCCATAATTTGTGCTGAAAATTCCAGTTTTCAGATTTTTATTCGATATTTCAGAATAGGACTTGGAAAGGCTTTTCGAGCAGAGCGAGTGTAGACCGCAAACTTCCGCGTAAGCGGCACTATCTTCCGCTTTAGCGGCCACACGGATTGCTATGACGTGGCTTACCATATCATAGTAAACCACGTGGCCGCTGAAGCGGAAAATAGTGCCGCTTCGCGAAAGCTTCCGGTTTACACTCGCGCAGGGCGCTCGAAAAAATTCAAAATTTGGGCATAGCTTCCGCGTCTCCGCTGAAATTCAAATAAAAATCTGAGAAATGCTGGAATTTCAGAACAAGCTATGGGACGATTCAGAAACTAATTTATAGTTACTAAATCGTCCCATAATTTGTGCTGAAAATTCCAGTTTTCAGATTTTTATTAGATATTTCAGAATAGGACTTGGAAGTGTTTTTTGAGCAGAGCGAGTGTAGACCGGAAAATTCCGCGAAGCGGAAGATAGTGCCGCTGACGCGGAATCTAGCGGTTTACACTCGCTTCGCTCGAATTTTGGGCATAGCTTCCGCATCTCCGCTGAAATTCCAATAAAAATCTGAAAAGTGCTGAAATTTCTCCAGTTTTTCAGATTTTTATCAGATATTTCAGAATTTGACTTGGAAATTCGAACAGAGCGATTGTAGACCGGAAAATTCCGCGTGAGCGGCCATGCGGATTACTATGACGTTTGCCATATCATATTAAACCACGTGGCCGCTTCGCGGAATTTTCCGGTCTACACTCGCGCTTAACGCGCTCGAGACAAATCGCTTACCCGTTGTCCGGCTTGCATCAAATCAGCAATTCCGCCACCGCCAGACATCAAACCATTCATCATTTCACTGATTCCTGGATCCGACATCATTTGTTGTGCCATATTCATCATATTTGGATCGGCGAACAATTGTCCCAAATTTGGCATTCCTCCTGGTGGTCCACCGGCTCCTGGAGCTCCGCCAAACAAACCAGCCAATGGGTTCTGTAGAAAATTCAAGTTTTTGGGGGGAAAATTGAAAATTTGGGCATAGCTTCCGCATCACCGCTGAAATTCCAATAAAAATCTGAAAAATGCTGGAATTTTCAGCACGAGACGATTCAGAAACTAGTTTATAGTTAATGAATCGTTGTGCTGAAAATTTCAGTTTTCAGATTTTTATCAGATATTTCAGAATAGGACTTGGAAGGGGTTTTTCGAGCGGAGCGAGTGTAGACCGCAAGCTTCCGCGCAGCGGCCACGCGGATTAATATGACGTTTGCCATATCATAGTAAACCACGTGGCCGCTAAAGCGGAAGCTTCCGGTATACACTCGCTACGCTCGAAATATCTGAAAAATGCTGGAATTTTCAGCAGGAGCCGTATTCATAAAAGTGGTATATCAAAAACTATTGAAGAACAATTTTTGGTATACCACTTTTATAAATACGACTTCTGCTGAAAATTCCAGAATTTTTCAGATTTTTATTAGATATTTCAGATGTCACAAGCTCAAAAACTTACAAATCCAGCCCCAGGTCCTCCTGGTCCTCCCGCTCCTCTAGCAGTTTCCAATTCCTTAACCTTATCCTCCGCAATTTTCAAATTATTTTTATAACTTTCTTGATTTGGATCCAATTCCAAAGCCTTCTTATAAGCTTCCGCCGCTTGTTCATACCGATTTTGACACGAAAATGCCAAACCCATACGTCCCCATGCTTTACTATAATTCGAATCTAAAGCCAATGCTGTTCTACAATCTTGAATGGCTAAATCGTATTGTTCAAGACGGCAATAAGCGGCAGCTCGATTACAGAAATACACTGGATCACGGTTCAATTTGATGGCTGCGTTGTATTTGCTGACAGCGGCGTCGAATTGAGAGGCTTTCATTAAATCGTTTCCCTGAAAATTCCAAGTTTTTGGTGGGAAATTCCAGAAAATTTGGGCATAGCTTCCGCATCTCCGCTGAATTTCCAATAACAATTTGAAAAATGCTGGAATTTTCAGCACAAATTATGGGACGATTCAGAAACTAGTTTATAGTTACTAAATCGTCCCATAATTTGTGCTGAAAATTCCAGTTCTCAGATTTTTATCAGATATTTCAGAATAGAACTTGGAAGTGGTATTTATTTTCCGAGCGGAGCGAGAGTAGACCGCAAGCTTCCGCGCAGCGGCCACGCGAATTAATATGACGTTTGCCATATCATAGTAAACCACGTGGCCGCTAAAGCGGAAGATAGTGCCGCTGACGCGGAAGCTTCCGGTGTACACTCGCGACTTGCGTCGCTCGATCAAAATTTGGGCATAGCTTCCGCATCTCCGCTGAAATTCCAATAAAAATCTGAAAAATGCTGGAATTTTCAGCACGAGACGATTCAGAAACTAGTGTTACTGAACTGCCCTATAATTTGTGCTGAAAATTCCAGTTTTCAGATTTTTATCAGATATTTCAGAATAGGACTTGGAAGGGGTTTTCGAGCGGAGCGAGTGTAGATCGCAAGCTTCCGCGCAGCGGCCACGCGATTTATATGACGTTTGCCATATCATAGTAAACCACGTGGCCGCTAAAGCGGAAGCTTCCGGTTTACACTCGCGACTTGCGTCGCTCGATCAAAATTCAGGTTTTCATCAGAATTTTCCCGCACCTCCTCTTTCAATTTGTTAGCCTGAGCAATATCAGCGTCAGTTGGAGCCAATTGCGAAGTTTCAGCTGAAAGTGGCCCTTCAGCAGCCTTGAAGATCTCCAAAAGTGTTTTCGATGGTTGAAAAGCGTAATTGGCGTCAGTCAAACCGAAAGCATGTTCCAAACATTGAATTGCGACTTCCAAAGTCTCAACCTGATCCGTATTACACTCATTATGCGCCACTTTTTGACGAATAAATTGCAAGAATGAGACGACCAAGTTTTGCTCGTCTGGTTGAACAACAGGCGCAGAAATTGGTTGTTGAGATTCAGCACCGTCTGACATTTCTGGAAGTGAATTTTGGAGGTATATTTTGTTGTTATGAAATAAGGAAACGGGGAAGAGAAAGATGTTCTTATCAAAAAAAAAATCAATGATTTATTTTTATTTGTGTTTACATTAGGGAATTTTGCATTTTTTGGGAGGGGATGGGGAAAAATCAATTTTTTCGTAGAAAAAAAATTCACGTATTTAAAGGGTTGGTGCTTTCCTGGTGAAAAAATCGTCTGCAAAAAAGCGTCACAGTGTTGTTTTCAAAGTTGTGTGCAAACACACACACGAAAATTCAAAAACAAGTTGTGCGCTAGAGCGCATTTACATGCTTTATTTCGTAGGTTTTAACTCGCTTGTGTTTTTGAGGAAAAACATGGGCTGAATTGATACTAGAATTTTTTCTAAAACTGGAACCTTCCAGGAGCACCTTATTCCTATCTAAACCACACAAGATTCCCTGGCGGAGCACCAACCCTTTAAAACTGGATAGTTTTAAAGAAAAACGTGAAATTCAATCATTTCTCGGTATTTTATTTGAAGAAATTCTTGTTTCCTGAATGTTTTCCATGACAAAAATAGGTATAAAAGTTCTAAAAGACCTTTAGATAAGAAAAATTCAGTTTTTCTGGAAAATTCCGAATTGCATCATGAAATTTAATATTAAAATTTGATCTCAGCTAGTTTAGCTAGCTTTTCTGAGACGAATAACCCTTCTAAACTTTGTTCAGCAATCAAAACCTTCTAGAACTCTAGATTTTCAAAAAATCGTTTTCAACCTTCAAAACACCTCTTTTCCTGGGGATTTCTAGCTTCTACATTCATCTATACCTAATTTAACCCATTCTAATCGATTCCCGCACTCAAAAAACCCCCAAACCGTCTCATTTCCCCTAGAAAACCATCAAAAACCCTGCAAAAAAAAAACAAAAATAAAAAATAAAGGCGCACGCATTGCCGCCGCGACGTGTTCCCCGCCACGAAATCAAAGGCGCACGGAATGACTAAGAAGAGTGTGGAGAGTGGCGAGACACGCAGACAGATATTCGAGAGAGTGTGGAGACGCAGACGACGATGCGGCGAATTTCTTTTCGTTTTTCATCTCATCTCATCTCATCTCATTTTTCGCCCGTGGAACGCGAAAATCGCGCGATTTTTTTTTTCGCTGAAATTTTTTCATCGTGCTGAAATTGACCAATTTCAGTTTTTTTTTCTGTAATTCCAAATTTCAGCCAATTTCCTTTCGCTGAAAAAACTTTAAATAAATAAACGAAACCAGATGGAATCGTTTCATTTTGCCAGATGTTTTTTCCCTTTTTTTTCATTTTGTTGAGAAAAAGTCCGTTTTTTCACCTGCTTCTCAGTTTTTCCTTTCCACTTCACAAAATTTTGACTTGAAAATTGAAAATTTCCGGTTTTTTTTCCAGTAGTTGGATCGATATGAGCGAAAAAGAGGATCGAAACGGTGAACAAGGTTGGTTTTTGGGTGGAAAATTAGATTTTTCATGGTTTTTTCCTAGTCCGCGGCCTAGAAAACCAAAAATTCAATTTTTCTCTTCCAGAACCATCATCTTCCGCTTCCTCCTCTTCAAATCCTAACAAAAATCGGCGACTTTTTGATTCCAACGAATTTTCGGATGAATCCGATGTTTCTATTGACAATGATGGTTGGTTTTGGCTGAAAATCAATAATTTCAGCCAAAAATCATCTTCTAATTTTCAGATCGAACTGGCGCTGAAACTGATGGTTCGACTTCTAGCCGCGGATGTTTGAAGGGCGACAAAAAATCGTCAGGAGTTGGCGCAAGTTCCAGTGGATCTAGTCGACCTGTTAGAGCTCCACAACAGGTAGAAAATCTGGAAATTTTTGGCTGAAAATCGTCTGAAAATCGAAATTCTTGCAGGTTTCTTGGTCTTTCGCTGCAAAAGCTTCAACTCCACACAGCCAACCACCTCCAGGCAAAAAAAGTGGGTTTTTAATGGGGGGAATACGGAAATATCAACGGATTTCGCCTACTTGGACGAAAATTGTGTGATTTTTGGGTCTGGGGACGAAAAACCTAGCGGTTCTTACCTACCAGGACGAAAAAAACGTGATTTTTTGTTTTACGACGTGAATATTCACGGATTTCGCCTTCTTGTATGAAAATAGCACCGTTTTTCGACTAGGGACAGAAAAACTAGCGGTTTTTACCTAACAGGACGAAAAAAATGTGATTTTTTGTACTACGACGTAAATATTGACGCTTTTCACCTACGAGGACGAAAAAAACGTGAATTTTTGTATTATGACGTAAATATTGACGGATTTCACCTACTTGGACGAAACTTGTGTGATTTTTGGGCCTGGGGACGAAAAAAACGTGATTTTTAGTTTTACGACGTAAATATTGACGGATTTCACCTACCGTGATGGAAATTGCATGATTTTTGGGTCTGGGGACGGAAAAACTAGCGGTTTTTACCTACCAGGACGAAAAAAATGTGATTTTTTGTACTACGACGTAAATATTGACGGATTTCACCTAATGTGATGAAAATTGCATGATTTTTGGGTCTGGGGACGGAAAAATCAGCGGATTTTACCTACCAGGATTTAAAAAACGTGGTTTTTTGTCTAGGGACGGAAAAACTAGCGGTTTTTACCTACCAGGACGAAAATCACACTATTCTCCCCCCTACTGACGTCAAAAATCACGTCATATTTTGCCTACCCGTTCCTCCTCCCCTTTCCACCCTTTTTTTCAAAAAAAAAAAATCAAAAAACCCATTTTGATCCCCTTGGGAATTTTTGAAACATTTCATTTTTCCTCCAAACGAACACTGAAAAAAATTATTATCGATTTTTTTCATCACAATGCGAACAGCCGCGCCTTTTTTCCGTCCCGTTTCTGATTTTTTTTCATTTTTTTTCAATGTGGTAGGGGAATTTGGGTGTGATTTTTGACAAAAATTGGTTCAGTAGGTGAAAAATAGCGATTTTTCCATCTAGAATCGTCCGGTAGGCAAAAAATGGTGTGATTTTCGTCATCCTGTGAACTTAACGTTAAAAAATCGTCCGGTAGGCAAAATATGGTGTTTTTTTCCAATTTTCCCACAAATTATCCTTAAGTAGGCAAAATATGGTGAGATTTTAGTCAGAAAATTCCAAAAAATAATTGAATTCTCTCATTTTTCTCTTCCAAATCCCTCGTTTTTTCCCATTTTTTTGCTCCAAACTGGACACGTTCCTTTTTTTTCTTTGGTTGGCTTTCTGAGTTTCTCTAACTAATCTCTCTCTCCATTTTTTCGCCTTTTTTTTGTTATGGGAAAATTTTGGGACGGACGCCATGCAAAAACATGTGATTCTCTTATATTTGCTTAACACACTTGACTGAATTCACTGATTGTTTGATTTGATTTATGTACACGGGATTTTGAGGGGGAGCCAGGGGAAAATGAATGGAAATTCGAGATTTCCAGATGAAAATCACCCGTTCCAAGTCCTTTTCTGAAATATCTGATAAAAATCTGAAAACTGGAATTTTCAGCACAACTTATGGGACGATTCAGTAACTATAAACTAGTTTCTGAATCGTCCCATAATTTGTGCTGAAATTTCGGCATTTTTCAAATTTTTATTGGAATTTCAGCGGAGATGCGGAAGCTATGCCCAAAATGCGAGCGGAGCGAGTGTAAACCGCTAGATTCCGCGAAGCGGCACTATCTTCCGCTTTAGCGGCCACGTGGTTTACTATGATATGGTAAACGTCATTTTAATCCGCGTGGCCGCTGCGCGGAAGCTTGCGGTCTACACTCGCTCCGCTCGGAAACCTTTTCCAAGTCCATTTCTGAAATATCTGATAAAAATCTGAAAACTAGAATTTTCAGCACAAATAATGGGACGATTCAGTAACTATGAATTAGTTCCTCAATCGTCCCATAATTTGTGCTGAAATTCCAGCATTTCTCAGATTTTTATTGGAATTTCAGCGAAGATGCGGAAGCTATGCCCAAATTTTGATCGAGCGACGCAAGTCGCGAGTGTAAACCGGAAAATTCCGCGAAGCGGCACTATCTTCAGCTTTAGCGGCCACGTGGTTTACTATGGTATAGTTTCCACGTCAGCAAATCCTGTGACCGCTGCGCGGAAGCTTGCGGTTTACACTCGCTCCGCTCGAAAATCCCTTCCATGTCCTATTCTGAAATATCTAATAAAAATCTGAAAACTGGAATTTTCAGCACAAATTATGGGACTATTCAGTAACTATGAATTAGTTCCTCAATCGTCCCATAATTTGTGCTGAAATTTCAGCATTTTTCAGATTTTTATTGGAATTTCAGCGGAGATGCGGAAGCTATGCCCAAATTTTCCGGAATTTTCATGAAAATCTTGGCCACTTTTCAGCCTAACGTTCAAAATTAGCCTAAATAACCCTTTTTTTTCCAGCCGCAACTCGAAAATCATCATTAGCTTCACGTGGAACCGGTTCAGCTTCATCATCTGGTCACACTTCACCTTCTCCTTCTGAATCACCGGCTCGCGGAGCAGCAGCGGAGAATCAAGGAGAAGCTGGAGCTGAAAGAGCATCATTGGCCACGCCGCCACTTCCACCAGCTTTGAAACAACAGCAAAAGGTGAGTGGGAAATGGATTTTGAGCAAAATTGATGAAAAAGTGCAAATGCGCTCTATTGAACACTCCCCGTTTTTCCTAAAAATTCAAATTTTCATTTTTTTTTTGTTCTGATGAATTTTGACCCAAAACATCCTGAAAATCGTTTATTTTGCCTAAAAATAGTTGAAATAATAAAGATTGAGATGAAATTAATGAAAATTGACCCAAAATCGTGATTTTTAGCTCAAAATAGCAAATGCGCTCCATTGAACTCTCCCCGTTTTTCCTAAAAATTCAAATTTTCATTTTTTTTTCGCAGGAACAAATTTATCGTGGACAACGATCAATGTCATTGGGAGGACCAGCTCATGAAAGGCTTATGTCACAATTGAGTGAGTTTTCCGCAAGCTTCCGCGAAGCGGCACTGTCTTCCGCGTTAGCGGCCACGCGTAAGAGCCTAAAATGGTAGCTGAAGCGGAATCTTTGCGGAAGATTGAAATTTCAAAACTTTTTTTTCCGCAGGTTGCCGCCCGGGCAAAACTGTCGATTTCACGCCGGACGAAAATGACAAAATCTGCCTGTTAGTTGACGGAACCCGTTTTTTGGTCTCACAACGACTTTTGATGGGAAAACCCGATACAATGTTAGGCAGAATGTTCACAATTCGAGCGAGTTGCGGTGATTTTGGCGCGGATTTCGTGCAACCAAATGATCGCGATGAATTTGAAGTTGCTGATGGATTGTCGGGACAATGTTTCAGAGCGGTTTTAGATTATTATACGACTGGAACTATGATTTGCCCGAATAGTATGTCGGTTAGCGAATTGAGAGAAGCTTGTGATTATTTGATGGTGCCTTTCAATGCGGGAACTGTGAAGTTAGTAAAGGGATGAAAATAGGGAGTGTAAACCGCAAGTTTCCGCGACCATGCAGGTTACTATGATATGGCAAACGTCATAGTAATCGACGTGGCCGCGGAAGATTGCGGTTTACACTCGCTTCGCTCGGAAAAAAAACAAGCTTCCGCGCAACGGCCACATGCAGGCATTCCGCGTGGCCGCTCCGCGGAAGATAGTGCCGCTTCGCGGAATTTTCCGGTCTACACTCGCTTCGCTCGAATCTCCAAGTCCTATTCTGAAATATCTGATAAAAATCTGAAAACTGGAATTTTCAGCACAAATTATGGGACGATTCAGTAACTAATTTGTGCTGAAATTCCAGCATTTTTCATATTTTTATTGGAATTTCAGCGGAGATGCGGAAGCTATGCCCAAATTTCGAGCGCGTGAAGCGAGAGTGTAAACCGGAAAATTCCGCGAAGCGGCACTATCTTCCGCTTTAGCGGTCTCGTGGATTCACTATGACGTGGAAACTGTACCATGCTAAATCCACGTGGCCGCTAAAGCGGAAGATAGTGCCGCTGACGCGGAATTTTCCGGTCTACACTCGCTCCGCTCGAACCTCCAAGTTCTATTCTGAAATATCCAATAAAAATCTGAAAAACTGGAATTTTCAGCACAAATTATGGGATGATTCAGTAACTATAAATTAGTTTCTGAATCGTCCCTTAATTTGTGCTGAAAATTCCAGCATTTTCAGATTTTTATTGGAATTTCAGCAGAGATGCGGAAGCTATGCCCAAATATTGAGTTTTTCGAGCGAAGCGAGTGTAAACCGCAAGCTTCCGCGAAGCGGCACTATCTTCCGCTTTAGCGGCCTCGTGGATTTGCTATGACGTGGAAACTGTAGTGATTGCTACCGAGTGGTTTATCATTGAATATCATTACAGTTTCCACGTCATGGAAAATCTACGTAGCCGCTAAAGCGGAAGATAGTGCCGCTGACGCGGAATCTAGCGGTCTACACTCGCTCCGCTCGAAAAATCCCTGCCATGTCTATTTCTGAAATATCGAATAAAAATCTGAAACTGGAAATTTCAGCACAAATTATGGGAGGTTTCAGTAACTAGTTTATAGTTCCTGAATCGTCCCATAATTTGTGCTGAAATTCCAGCATTTTTCAGATTTTTATTGGAATTTCAGCGGAGATGCGGAAGCTATGCCCAAATTTTCTAGAATTTTTCTTCAAAAACTTGTTCCAGGTGTCAAGATTTGCACGCGCTTCTCCACGAATTGTCAAATGAAGGAGCCCGTGAACAATTCTCGCATTTTTTGGAAGAAATCATATTTCCCCAATTGGTTGCCTCAACAGAACACGGTGAACGAGAATGTCATTTGGTTGTATTATTAGATGATGATTTAGTCGATTGGGATGATGAATATCCGCCACAAATGGGTGAAGAAACCACTCATGTTGTATATTCGACACATTTGTATAAGTTCTTTAAATATGCGGAGAATCGGGATTGTGCGAAGCAGGTTAGGAGGGAAGATGAGCCAAAATTTGGGATTTTTTGATGAATTTTGAGCTGAGATACGAAATTTTGCGTAAAATGACTCTAAATTCATGATTTTCGGACCAAAATGAACTAAAATACGGTGTTTTTAGTCAAGATTCGACCTGGAGAACTTATTTAATATAAAAAATTAGGTAGAACCCAGATTTTGGGTTCTACCTAATGCTCAAAATGATCCCCTTCATGGGAAAAAATGGATTTTTTAAATGAAAATTAAAAGATTTGGTTGAAAATACTCTATTTTTACATAAAATTAGCTGAAAATCCTCAATTTTAACTGAAATTTTGAGATTTTCAGTCTGAATCTGGGAACTTTGACATTTTTTAAATAAAAAATTCCAAAAATTCGAGCGACTCAAGTCGCGAGTGTAAACCGGAAGCTTCCGCGTCAGCGGCACTATCTTCCGCTTTAGCGGCCACGTGGTTTAGTATGATATGGCAAACGTCATATTAATCCGCGTGGCCGCTTACGCGGAAGCTTGCGGTCTACACTCGCTCCGCTCGAAAACCCCTTCCAAGTCCTATTCTGAAATATCTGATAAAAAGCTGAAAACTGGAATTTTCAGCACAAATTATGGGACGATTCAGTAACTATAAACTAGTTTCTGAATCGTCCCATAATTTGTGCTGAAAATTCCAGCATTTTTCAGATTTTTATTGGAATTTCAGCGGAGATGCGGAAGCTATGCCCAAATTTTCTAGAATTTTAACCCAAAAACTTATAAATTTTCAGCCTATGCTTATATTTTCAGGTTTTGAAAGAGCGTGGTTTGAAAAAAATCCGACTTGGAATGGAAGGATATCCAACGCATAAAGAAAAAGTGAAAAAACGATTCAATAAAGCCGAAGTTATCTATAATTATGTCCAACGGCCATTTGTGCATTGCTCATGGGAAAAAGAAGAAGCGAGAAGTCGACATGTTGATTTTGCGTGTCCAATTGTGAAGGTGAGAGAAAATGTGTTGAAAATTTGCGAGATTTTGAGCTAAAATTGATGAAAAATAGCAAATGCGCTCCATTGAACTCTGTCCGTTTTTAGGGAAAATTCAAATTTTCTTTTTTTTTTCTCTGCGGGATTCTGAGCTGAGAACTTTGATTTTTGCTAGTTTCCAGAAATTTCGGTTTATTATCTGAAAATTATAAAATTTATTCTTGAAATTATAGAAATTTGACTAAAATTATGGTTTTTGAGCTGAAAACCATGAAAAACAAGCATTTTCAAGCCAAAAATAGCAAATGCGCCCCATTGAACTCTACCCGTTTTTCTGAAAAATTCAAATTTTTATTTTTTTTGCAGTCGAAATCGAATCCTTCGCTGGCAGCAGCTGCTTCTGATCCTCTTCCCCAACCAGCTCCACTTCAACAACAACATCGAGTTGCTGTATTCGGAGAAGCTGCTCCATTACAACAACAACATAATCCAATGTTTCTACATCAACAACAACCATTTATGGGAATTGGAATTGGAGTGGGAGCGGGAGCGGGAAATTTGAATTCACCACAGGTAAGGGGGGATTTTTAGCTAAAAATCATGAAAAATGATGAATTTTATGCTAGAAATGATGAAAATTCAAATTTTGAGAAGAAAATGAGCTAAAAATCATGAAAAATGATGAATTCCGAGCAAAAATTGATCAAAAACAGCAAATGCGCTCTATTGAACTATCCCCATTTTTATGAAATATTCAAATTTTCATTTTTTTTAAATTTGAACGTAAATTGAAGCTTTTGGCGCCAAAAAATCCACGTGACAGAGAAATTTTTGGTTTTCTATTGATTTTTACGAAATTCTAGAATTTCAGCCATTTTCAGCATCCAAAAATCAATATTTCCAGAACAATATTCCACTTCATTCACCTCCTGTCAATTTTAATCGATCTTCTCCGTCGAATTCTGCTTCAAATTCTTCGCAATTTCAATCGGGTCAACAGCAACAAGCCGAAGATGAATAATTTATTTTTCTCCCCTTTTTTTGCCGCCAAAATCCACGTATTTTTGGCGTAATTTTGTGATTTATGGTGAAAAATGCTCGTATCGAGCGAATTGTCACCGTGTTTTATTCCCCCCCTTATTTTATTTGATTTTTATATAAATTTATTACCAAAATACAGTAGACTTCGCGGCTGCTTTGATCTTTTGTATTGAAAGAGGAAACATTTGGTTTTCTAGGCCATACTCTTCCAACGGTCACAAAATTTCGGATTGACAATAGTATTTGTGACTAACTGATGAAACCAGAAAAAAATACGTTTCAATTTTTTGGTATAATCACGCAAATTCATTCTTTTTGATTCGGTCACTCTTTCAAGTTGTTGAATTTTATCGAAAATCTGCAAAAAAAATTCATATTTTAGTACATTTTGTTTCTTTTCTACACAAAACTTTTCGAAATTTTTTTCTGAAAAAAAAAACGTGACCTCATTTTTTCTCTAGCCACAACCTGGAAAAAAAAAGATTTTTCGGAAATATTTCTAATTTTCTTCGATGTCTCAATCAATAACTTCTGAAATTTCACATGAACATCAGATTCCTCGAGCAGATTCAGAAGCCGCAGCGACAACTTCAGAATTCGAATCGAAGAAATCTGAAAATCAATCTGAAAATGAGAAAAATCGCGAAGGTTTTTCGAATCCGCTCGAATTTGTCCTAACAGCGTTGGGATTGGCAGTCGGATTGGGAAATATTTGGCGGTTTCCGACGCGCGCTTTTGAGAATGGTGGATGTGAGTTTGGGCTGGGCTGGGGGGGGGGCCTGAAATCGGGCCGGGCCGGAAAATTCCCGTCAGAATGATATAGAACATGCTTAGTAGGGTTACTTTTTCTTTAATATGAGCAATCTTCTATCTCGAGCGGAGCGAGTGTAGACCGCAAGCTTCCGCGTAAGCGGCACTATCTTCCGCTTCAGCGGCCACGCGGATTGCTATGACGTGGAAAATGACGTCACAGCAATCCGCGTGTCCGCTACGCGGAAGCTTGCGGTCTACACTCGCTTCGCTCGGAAGAAAAACAAGCTTCCGCTTAGAATATCTGCAGGCATTCCGCGTGGCCGCTGCGCGGAAGACAGTGCCGCTTACGCGGAAGCTTGCGGTCTACACTCGCTCCGCTCGACCTTCTTTAACTTGTACCTTTAACCTGAGCAATCCTCTATATCGAGCGGAGCGAGTGTAGACCGCTATCTTCCGCGTAAGCGGCACTATCTTCCGCTTTAGCGGCCACGCGGATGGCTATGACGTGAAGATTTTCCACGTGGCCGCTAACGCGGAAGCTAGCGGTCTACACTCGCTTCGCTCGGAGGACAAACTAGCTTCCGCGCAGCGGCCACGTGGAATATCTGCAGACATTCCACGTGGCCGCTGCGCGGAAGCTTGCGGTCTACACTCGCTCCGCTCGACCTTCTTCAACTTGAGGAATTCTTTATAACCTGAGCAGCCCTCTACCTCGAGCGGAGCGAGTGTAGACCGCTATCTTCCGCGTAAGCGGCACTATCTTCCGCTTTAGCGGCCACGCGGAATGCTTGCAGATATTCCACGTGGCCTCTGCGCGGAAGCTTGTTTTTCCTCCGAGCGAAGCGAGTGTAGACCGCAAGCTTCCGCGTTAGCGGCACTGTCTTCCGCGCAGCGGCCACGCGGATTGCCTGCAGATTTCCACGTCACAGCATTCCGCGTGGCCGCTAAAGCGGAAGCTTGCGATTTACAATCCTATCTACATGTTCCAGCCGCCTTCCTAATTCCCTACTTAATTTGTGCCATCCTTTTTGGTCTCCCTGGTGTGTATCTCGAAATGTTAACTGGACAATATCAAGGTGTCTCTCCACCAATAGTTTTCCGTCGAATCGCTCCATTTTTGGAGGGAATTGGCTGGATGCCAGCAATTGTTGCGTCAGCCATCGGAATTTATTATATATTGATTATTTCGTGGGTAGTACTGTACATTTTCAATTTATTTCGCGGTGATTTGAATGTTTGGAACAAGTGTGATAATTTTTGGAATGATCCTGAGACTTGTATTGATATGTTGAAACAAAAACATTGCTGGAATCTGACGGAAGGGTAGGAAACCTTTTTTTTCAGCATTTTTTGGAGCATTTTGACACCAAAAATGAGCATTTTCTGATCATTTTGAGCTACAAATCAATTTTGAATCTGAAATTTTTGCACCATTTTTTTCGCCTCGAAATTTGCCGCAAAAAGTGTATTTTTAAAATTTTCCGTAAAAAAAATAAAAATTTGAATTTTTCACAAAAACACCAGATTTGCATTGGAGCGCACTTGCAATTTTTGGCAAAATTTTTTGATTTTTAGGGTTAGACTAGGTTCATTCTGTGCCAAATTTTATGGCGAAAAAAATGGCACCAAAATTTTTGAACTTGAAATTCCTGAATTTAATTTCAGGTCAATTTTAGGATAAAAATATTTTTTTTTACCTGAAATTTGATCAAAAATTGATATTTTCAGCTCAAAATGATCAGAAAATGGTGTTTTTTGTATCAAAATGATCAGAATTTTCCCGAAAATCCCAAAATTAAGCCGATTTTCATCGGATTTTCAATTTCCTAACCTGAGCAATCATTTTTTTTTCAGAATTTCCAACTCGAATTTGAGATGGGTATTTCTGAATGGCTCATGTCAAGAGGTCTCCTCTTCAATCCAATTCACAAGTGCTACGGAACAATATTTGATGCGGAACATAATCCGCAAGTCCGCACGCGGAATGATGGATTTGGGTGATTTTAATACGCCTGTCTTTTTGGCAATGACTTTTTGCTGGATTTTGAATGGATTGGTGATTTGGAAGGGAATGCGGATTATGGGAAAAATTGCCTATGTGAGTTTGGGGACTAGTTTTGATGGCCTAGAAATCCAAAAACTCGGCCACCTCTCAAAAACCTTTGGGGTAGACCGCAAGCTTCCGCGTAAGCGCTGATTTTCCACGTCATAGCAATCCGCGTGGCCGCTGCGCGGAAGATAGTGCCGCTTACGCGGAAGCTTGCGGATTACACTCGCGCCAAAGGCGCTCGAGACAATTTTCGAGCGGAGCGAGTGTAGACCGCAAGCTTCCGCGTCAGCGGCACTATCTTCCGCGCAGCGGCCACGTGGAAAATCTTCACGTCATAGCAATCCGCGTGGCCGCTGCGCGGAAGACAGTGCCGCTTACGCGGAGGCTTGCGGTCTACACTCGCTCCGCTCGGAATTTGTGACAGTTTGATGGCTGCGGACTAGTTTTTGATGGCCTAGGAATCCAAAAACTCGGCCACCTCCCAAACACCTTTGAGGTAGACCGCAAGCTTCCGCGCAGCGGCCACGTGGATTTGCTATGACGTGGAATATCTCCAGGCATTCCGCGTGGCCGCTGCGCGGAAGATAGTGCCGCTTACGCGGAAGCTTGCGGATTACACTCGCTCCGCTCGAATGAGATATCAAAATGATCAGAATTTCAAGCTGAATCCAAATTTCCATCCCAAAATTTGTTAAAAATTTAATTTCAGGTCACAACCCTTCTTCCCTATGCCCTTATTTTGATAATGTTTGTTCGTGGAATAACATTGGAAGGTGCTTCAACAGGTCTTTATTATTTCTTCCTCAATCCTGATTATTCTCGAATTCTTTCGCCGAAAACCTGGATTGCTGCATTGTCTCAACTATGTTTTTCACTGGCGTTGGGTAAATTTTGGAATTTTCAGATTTTACAGTTGTTTCTGATCATTTTAAGCTAAAAAACCCCAATTTTCGAGCATTTTGAGCTGAAATTCAATTTTGAATCTGAACCATTTTTTTCGCCGTGAAATTTGGCACAAAAATTGTATTCTCAAAATTTTCCGTAAAAAAAATAAAAATTTGAATTTTTCACAAAAACACCAGATTTGCATTGGAGCGCACTTGCAATTTTTTCGCAAAAATTTTTGATTTTTGGGGTTAGACTAGGTTCATTCTGCACCAAATTTCATGGCGAAAAAAATTGCTGCAAAATTTTTGAACTTGAAATTCCTGAATTCAATTTCAGGTCAATTTTAGCTTAAAAAAACCCCACTTTTTGAGCTGAAATTCAATTTTGAATCTGAACCATTTTTTTCACCGTGAAATTTGACGCTAAACCTGTATTTTTGAAATTTTCCGTAAAAAAAATAAAAATTTGAATTTTTCACAAAAACGCTAGATTTGCACTGGGGCGCACTTGCAGTTTTTTGTGGAAATTTTTGATTTTTTGGGGTTAGACTAGGTTCATTCTGCCCCAAATTTTATGGCGAAGAAAATTGCTGCAAAATTTTTCCTGAATTTAATTTCAGGTCAATTTTAGGATAAAAATGATGAAAAATGGCTCAAAATGCTCAGAAAATCATGTTTTTTGTATGAAAATGATCAGAATTTTTCGAAAAATTTCAAAAAATGACCGAAAATCAATTTCAGGTCAAGGTGGATTAATGTCAATGGCCTCTTATAACAAAAAATCCTCAAATTGTTTCATCAACGCTTTGGTTGTGATAATTGGTGATACATTAATGAGTGTAATTGGTGGAGCTGCTGTATTCTCAACTTTGGGATTTCTAGCAAAACAGCGAAATGTTGAAGTATCAGAAGTTGTTCAAAGTGGTCTCAGTTTGTCATTTGTTGTTTATCCCGAAGCTTTTACACAAATGCCAATTCCATGGTTATGGGCTTTTTTATTCTTTCTAACTCTATTTTTATTAGGAATTAGTAGTGAGATTGGTGAGTTTAACATGAGCAATATTTGTTTTTTCGAAAATCCCGTGAAATTCCGATCAAAATGAGATATCGCATGATATATTTTTAGAAAACCGCAAGCTTCCGCGTAAGCGGCACTATCTTCCGCGCAGCGGCCACGCGGATTGCTATGATATGGCAAACGTCATAGCTATCCGCGTGGCCGCTGCGCGGAAGATAGTGCCGCTTACGCGGAAGCTTGCGGTCTACACTCGCTTCGCTCGATGGATTGCTCAGGTTAGAGAAAAATCGATTCAAGAAATTTTATTGCTCATGTTAGACACTAGAGATTGCTCATTCTAGAAAAGGCTGTTGCTCAGGTTAGAGACGCAGACAAAAATATATATTGCTCATGTTAAACTCACATAAAAACATCAAGTGATTGCTCAGGGTGAGTTTAACATGAGCAATATATGTATATTTTTGTCTGCGTCTCTAACCTGAGCAATAGCATTTTCCATCTGAGGCTTTTCTAGAGAGCAATCTCTGCGTCTCTAGTGTCTAACATGAGCAATACTATTTTTTCAATCGATTTTTCTCTAACCTGAGCAATCCGTCGAGCGAAGCGAGTGTAAACCGCAAGCTTCCGCGCAGAGGCCACGCGGTTTACTATGACGTTTGCCATATCATAGCAATCCGCGTGGCCGCTGCGCGGAAGATAGTGCCGCTTACGCGGAAGCTTGCGGTCTACACTCGCTCCGCTCGAAAAATGTCTCGAGCGCCTTTGGCGCGAGTGTAAACCGCAAGCTTCCGCGAAGCGGCCACGCGGATTGCCTGCAGATTTTTTCACGTAACAGCTTATCCGCGTGGCCGCTTACGCGGAAGCTTGCGGTCTACACTCGCTCCGCTCGAAATCCATTTTCCCCCCAGAATTTCGTATTTGGATTCCTAGGCCACGCAAAACCTAGTCCCCGGCCATAAAACTATTACAAATTCCGAGCGGAGTGAGTGTAGACCGCAAGCTTCCGCGTAAGCGGCACTATCTTCCGCGCAGCGGCCACGCGGATTGCTATGATATGGCAAACGTCATAGCAATCCGCGTGGCCGCTGCGCGGAAGATAGTGCCGCTTACGCGGAAGCTTGCGGTTTTCTAAAATATATCATAAAATACCTCATTTTGCTCCAAATTTCACGGGATTTTCGAATTTTCTAACCTGAGCAATCCTAAATTCTCCTAATTTCAAATTTTTCCAGCTCTAACCGAAGTCTTTTGCACGTGTCTCTATGATCAATATCCAAAACTACGCTCTTCAAAATGGTTGGTCTCTTTTGTATGGTGTCTATTTTTATACGTTTGCGGTCTGATTTTTTCATTTTCCGGTGGTTTTTATTATTTCGAACTTTTCGATGAATATTCCGCTGGTTTTTCTTCAATGACAGCTGTCACTTTTGAAATTTTGACCGTCATTTTTGTGTACGGTATTCGAAATTTCAAATTTGATTTGGTTTCGATGATTGGACCGGCAAGGAATTGGTTTACTGGGTTTTTTGGAGCACAGAGCCCGTATTTTTTGATAAATTGGCTCGTTATTAGCCCCATTTTGGGTGAGTTTTTGGGATTTTTGAGCATTTTTAGGTCAAAAATGAAAATTTTGAGCATTTTCTGAGCATTTTGGCCTGAAAATTGCCATTTTTCGTGATTTTTGAGCATTTTCTGAGCATTTTAAGCTAAAAATTGCCATTTTTGAGCATTTTCTGAGCATTTTGGCCTGAAAATGCTTGTTTTTCGCAAATTTCGAGCATTTTTTGCTCATTTTAAGCTAAAAATGCTCATTTCTCGTGATTTTTGAGCATTTTCTGAGCATTTTGAGCTGAAAATTGCCATTTTTGAGCATTTTCTGAGCATTTTGAGCAATTTTTCATAATTTCATCCTAAAAAACCTGATTTTAGCGCAAAAATCAAAAATTTTTGCGAAAAATTGCAAGTGCGCTCCAATGCAAATCTTATGTTTTTATGAAAAATTCAAATTTTCAACTGAAAATTGCAAGTGCGCTCCAATGCAAATCTTCTATTTTTATCAAAAATTCAAATTTTTAGACGTCAAAATGGGATTTTTTTTTGATTACCGTACTTTTGAGCCTAAAAATGCTTAAAATTTGAGATTTCTAGCTGAAAATGATCAGAAAATGCTCATTTTTGGTGTCAAAATGCTCCAAAAATGCTCCAAAAATCAAATTTCAGGTGTTGGATTGCTCATATTATCGCTAATCCGCGATTATCCCTACAATAATGATGCTCAAAAATATCCAATATATTTTGATATTTTTGGCTGGATTCTCGCCTCAATTCCAGTCTCAATGGTCCCAATTTTCGCGGTCCGAAACTTTTTGTATTTCAAAAATAATCGATATCCAATACGTGGCATTTTTAAACTACAAAAACAACATGTTTCCTATAATCGCATCAAAAATATCGCGGAAGATTCGTCTAACATGAGCAATGCCGAAAATTTGCCGGAAAATGAGCCGTGGGAAAGTTCGGTGATGCGAAAATATGAGAAATTGGAATGGCCTAAAAATAAGAGCTTTTTCGCGCCACTTTTGAAAAATGAATAAAACGTTTTTGATCTACAAATGTTACAGTAATCCTAGGAAGAATTTTGCGATTTTTGACTGAAAATTTGAATTCGGGCTGGAATTTCGGTCAAAATGATATAGAATAAGTCAGGGTTCTGCAAAAATTCAAATTTTTAACAAAAAAAGCAAGTGCGCTCCAATGCAAATTTCGTGGTTTTATGAAAAATTCAAATTTTCAACTGAAAATTGGAAGTGCGCTCCAATGCAAATCTTGTGTTTTTATGAAAAATTCAAATTTTTAACTAAAAATCGCAAGTGCGCTCCAATGCAAATCCTATGTTTTTATGAAAAATTCAAATTTTCAACAAAAAAATGGAATTTTTTATTTTTTAAAAATAAAAACGTGAAAATATTGGTTGGCAAAAATTGAGCCAATCACAATTGTCTACGTCATTTAATCGACTATAAAAGCTGGGTTTTTTCGAGCGAAAAATTCATAATTTCGCAATTTTTCAGATGTTTTTTGCAGATATATTTCTTCATTTTTGAAGAAATTAGTGCAGGTTGAGTAAATTGGTGCAGGTTGAATAAGCTGGCGCAAACACGTTGCTGGCGCAGATGTTGTGATGTTTTCGCAGCTATGGCTTTATCGATTTTTCTTAATTCCTAATTCTAATTAATAATTTTTTAAGATGTCAATCAGTAGTCAACAAATCCCCAGTGACAACCCCTAGTCAACTTTCTGTTTGATTGCTTTTTGTGTCTCCAAATTCTCTTGTGAATAAAATTCTTGTGAATAAATAAAGATTTGTGATGTTCTAACATGAGCAATGATGCTTAAAAACTGGATTCCAGCACAAAAATTATATTTTTTGCTCCAAAATTTTGAAGAATTTTTTGCTTCAAAATTTTTGAAGAACTTTTTGCTCCAAAATTTTTGAAGAATTTTTTGCTCCAAAATTTTTGAAGAATTTTTAGCTCCAAAATTTTTGAAGAATTTTTTAGATCCAAAATTTTTGAAGAATTTTTTGCTTCAAAATTTTTGAAGAATTTTTAGCTCCAAAATTTTTGAAGAATTTTTAGCTCCAAAATTTTTGAAGAATTTTTAGATCCAAAATTTTTGAAGAATTTTTTGCTTCAAAATTTTTTAAGAATTTTTTGCTCCAAAATTTTTTCAACTGACAAATTGCAAGTGCGCTCCAATGCAAATTTCGTATTTTTTCTGCTACGTTACTGCCACGTGGCGCGAAAAATGCATCGAAACTTTATTTTCACAGAAAATCTCACATAAACATCGTTTTTTGTCTATTCGACTACAGTAAAATGTACAGAATTTGGAAAAAAGGGTAAAAATCGAGGGAAAATCGATTTTAGGTCTAAAAATTGCTGAAAAAATCGATTTTAGCGCTAAAAATTGCGATTTTTCAGCCAAAATTTTCAAAAAATTACGGTTTTTGTGGTTCAAAATACAGTATGTCGAATTATTGTTCTCGAAAAGTTCTGCCAAATTGTCCTTTTCTTCTTTTCGGAATCGATTGTTCAGCTTCTTCTTCACTTATTTCACGAATTATTGGACCATTTCGATGATTTGAGGAAGAAGATTGATAAGAGCTGCAAAAAATTGGAGATTTTTAGCTGAAAATTTGAAATCGGGCTGGAATTTGGGTCAAAATGATATAGAATAAGTCAGGGTTTTATGAAAAATTCAAATTTTCAACAAAAAATTGCAAGTGCGCTCCAATGCAAATTCTGTATTTTTATGAAAAATTCAAATTTTCAACTAAAAATCGCAAGTGCGCTCCAATGCAAATCTTGTGTTTTTAAAAAATGTTCTAACCTATTTGGCTCATCCTCATCTGGAAGTGTTATAATTGGTGGATTTCTGGAAGAGTTAGCGGAACTTGAAGATGAAGATACAGTATGACGTGGATTATTTCTTGAGGAGTTTTCGATGGCTGCTGATGTTGGATGCGATCTTCCAGATCCATAACCATAGTTGGCTCGAACACGGTGTGAAAATTCGCGATCAAAATCTTCGGCTGAGGCTGGAAAAAATATAATATGAGCAATCACAAAAAAACGTGAATTTTCGCGTGGTTCGTTCTTCATTTCTAAATTTCAAAAAGGGACAAAATGGGTGAGATTTCTCTATTTTTGTCAGATTTTCAGCCTAGATAGGAATTTTTTGCAGAAATTGGGACCACTGAAAAAACCACCATATTGGAATTGAAAACAAATCGTAATAAACAAGATAATGAGGAGTGAGTTTAGAAAATGCAGATTTTGTAATAAAAAACATATTTATATTTTTCCATAGGAAAATATGTTTTTTATTACAAAATATTCAAAAATTCTTAAATTTTCAGCGAAAAAATGTTCGCTTTCATTGTGGTTGCAATTATTTCTACCCTAATTGTTGTGATTTTCACTGCATTCCTAACTTTTCTCGAACGCAAAAGTTAGTTTTTATATCTCCGGATTGGCGTGGCCGCTTACGCGGAAGCTTCCGGTTTACACTCGCGACTTGCGTCGCTCGATTCAAAATTTGGGCATAGCTTCCGCATCTCCGCTGAAATTCCAATAAAAATCTGATAAATGCTGGAATTTTCAGCACAAACGATTCAGAAACTAGTTTATAGTTACTGAATCGTCTCATAATTTATGCTGGAAATTCCAGTTTTCAGATTTTTATCAGATATTTCAGAATAGGAATTGGAAGGTTTTTCGAGCGGAGCGAGTGTAGACCGCAAGCTTCCGCGTAAGCGGCCACGCGGATTAATATGACGTTTGCCATATCATAGTAAACAAACGTGCACGCTAAAGCGGAAGATAGTGCCGCTTACGCGGAAGCTTGCGGTCTACACTCGCGCTTAACGCGCTCGATTCAAAATTTGGGCATAGCTTCCGCATCTCCGCTGAAAATCCAATAAAAATCTGAAAAATTCTGGAATTTTCAGCACAAATTAAGGAACGATTCAGAAACTAGTTTATAGTTACTGAATCGTCCCATAATTTGTGCTGGAAATTCCAGTTTTCAGATTTTTATCAGATATTTCAGAAATCGGACTTGGAGGTTCGAGCGGAGCGAGTGTAGACCGCAAGCTTCCGCGTAAGCGGCCACGCGGATTAATATGACGTTTGCCATATCATAGTAAACCACGTGGCCGCTGAAGCGGAAGATATTGCCGCTTACGCGGAAGCTTGCCTGGACATCGACTAAATGACATTTCCAGATTTTTTAAGCAAATGAGTTGAAATATTGGGTTTTAATGTTATTCATATGATAGAATGGTTTAAGACGAACCGAATCATATAAGTTTTGATGACTTTACGTGATTTAGCGAGGTTTCGTGATCTTATCAACTAAACCTCGCTAAATCACTTATGTATAACTTGAACGCATCAAAATTGATATCATTCTGTTCGTCTTAGACCATTCTATCATATGAACAGGATTAAAACCCAATATTTCAACCCATTTGCTTAGAAAACATGAAAATGTCATTTTTTCAATCAATATTTTTTTGTTTTGCAGTCAATTCCAAATCTGATAAGCCGGAGACACCAAAGAAACAAAATTTGAAGGAAAAAATGAGAAAATAACATCTACTGTTAGAAAACTGCAAATTTTGGTGATTTCAATAAATTCCACGTGGATTTTCAGGTGCAAAATGGTATGTTTTTGTCAGAAAATCTCGATTTTTTTTCTGATCAAAAGGTCAAGGGTTCAATTCCCCATGGGAACTATTTTCAAAAATCTCAAATTTTTTGAAATTTGCTCAAATATTCTCGAATATTTTTCTGATCAAAAGGTCAAGGGATCAATTCCCCATGGGAACTATTTTAGATTTTCCCCCATTTTTCTGTTCCAGTCTCAAAAATCACAACAAGAAGAACAACACCTGACCTTTCTTTTCAAAAAAAAATTGTTTTTTTTTTTGAAAAGTGAACCACACCCACTCAAAAAATGTGTGGTTTTTGATGGAAATCGATGATTTTTGGGTGAAAAATCTTGAAAATTTCAATTTTTCACATGAAAAACACCATACCTTCATCCAAATTCACAAATTTCTGATTTTTTCGCACATTTCCGTCTTTATCGCGCTTCTTCTCGATATAATGACTACGATCTCCGATCGAATGTCCAATTGTCATTGTTGATTCGCCGTTTTGATCTACTCGCCTGGAAAAATGCGGGATTTGAAGTCGGGGACTAGTTTTTGATGGCCTAGGATGCCAAAAATCGAATTTTTGAGAGAAAACGGGGCATTTTGATATCAAATATGACAAGAATCAGGAAATTTGGTTTTCTAGGCCACCAGAACCTAGCTGGTGGCCTAGAAAATTCCCGTTTGGTTTTCTAGTCCGCGGACTAGTTACCGTACTTCTTGGTCTCTGTCACATTTCCAGTTTTGTGCATAGTTTGCTGTTCGACACGCGGTTTTCCATCCGGACCCATTGTCATCATACTTGTGCTAACAAACATGTTTGGCGCCGTGCCAGATGAGCCGACAGGTGGCATCATCATCATACGTGGATTTGTCTGGAAGAGAAATTTTTTGATTTGGTTTTCTAGGCCATTGTGGTGAAAACAGTGAATTTAAAGGTGGGGGACTAGTTTTTAATCTCAAAAGTTCGGCTATGAATCGAAAATTTGGGCATAGCTTCCGCATCTCCGCTGAAATTCCAATAAAAATCTGAAAAATGCTGGAATTTTCAGCACAAATTATGAGACGATTCAGAAACTATAAGCTAGTTTTTGAATTGTCCCAGAATTTGTGCTGAAAATTCCAGTTTTCAGATTTTTATCAGATATTTCAGAAATCGGACTTGGAAAGGGTTTTTCGAGCGGAGCGAGTGTAAACCGCAAGCTTCCGCGTAAGCGGCACTATCTTCCGCTTTAGCGGCCACGCGGAACCATAGTAGTAAAGATTTTCCACGTCATAACAATCCACGTGGCCGCTGAAGCGGAAGATAGTGCCGCTTACGCGGAATTTTCCGGTTTACACTCGCGCTAACGCGCTCGAAATTTGGGCATAGCTTCCGCATCTCCGCTGAAATTCCGATAAAAATCTGAAATTTCAGCACGAGACGATTCAGAAACTAGTTTATAGTTACTGAATCATCCCATAATTTGTGCTGAAAATTCCAGTTTTCAGATTTTTATCAGATATTTCAGAAAATGGCTTTGAATTCGAGCGGAGCGAGTGTAGACCGCAAGCTTCCGCGTAAGCGGCCACGCGGATTGCTATGACGTTTGCCATATCATAGTAAACCACGTGGCCGCTGAAGCGGAAGCTTGCGGTTTACACTCGGGGCCTAGAAATCCCTTGGTTTTCTAGGTCCTCACCATAGCACCCAATAATCCACCAAAACCGGCAAACGGGTCCATTTCCAGTTCCTGTCTTCGTCTAGTCGGCCTCTGTCCAGATCCATCCATCAAAGCTGGCATTGCGCCAAACATCGGGCCACCGAAGCCCGGAAATCCGAACGGGCCGCCGCCCATTGGGCCGCCACGTGGCATAGAAGAGCCGCCGAGCATCGAGGACATCATTGAATCCATATCTTGCATCATTGCGCGGTGCATTTGGCTGGAAAAATCGATAATTTGGTTTTCTAGGCCAGGAAATGCGAAAACTAGGCCACGGAGTGATTTTTGATGAAAACGACCTAGAAATCCACGAAAAAGCGCAAATTTTGGTTTAAAAATCTAATTTTTGGTCAAAATTTCCGGTTTTTCATCAATTTTTAATGAAAATTCGTCAAAAATAACAATTTCTCTCATTTTCCGCCCAAAAATGACTCACCCCATTGCTCCCATCGCTCGAAATGGAAAATCGTCATCGTCGAACATTTTTGGCGCGAAAAATATCGATTTTTTCGGCGAGTAGCGAGTTTTCTGAACGAAAATATGGAAATTTATCACCAAAAACAGTTTTTTGAGGGGAAAATAGCGAAAAGATAAGAAAAATCGGTGAGTAAACAATTTGGGGACGAAAATCGTGATGAAATTTGCCTACTTTTGATAAAAATTACAAAAAACACAACGGAAATCGCCTACTTTTTAGAAAAACAGAAAAACTGCGGGTTTCGGTTCGAGAAAATTCGAAATGCCTCGGTGGCCTAGAAACCCAGAACAAAACTCGGCCACGACCCTCATTTTGCGCGTTTTTTCGAATTTTCGACAAAATCCTGAATTTTCACCAAGTTTTTGACAGATTCTAGCTGAAATTTTCAAAATTTGCGCGGCAAAAGTCAATATTGACAAAAGAGCACCGACTTTTTGCTCATTCGGGTGAATTTTGGCGGAAAATTGGGATTTCCGGAGGAAGAAGGGGAATTTCGGTTGGAAATCGAACGCCACGTGGCAAAAGTAGGAAAAATCCGTTGTGATTTCGCGCAAAAACCAAAAAAATCGATTTTTCATGCAAAAAACGTGGAAAACCGCTTGCCACGTGGCAAAAGTAGGCAAAATACGTTGTGATTTTCTACCAAAATTCAAAAGTAGGCAAATTTCGTTGTGATTTCCGACAAAAACCAAAAAAATCGATTTTTCATGCAAAAAACGTGGAAAACCCGTTGCCACGTGGCAAAAGTAGGCAAAATCCATTGTGATTTTCTCCCAAGATTCAAAAGTAGGCAAAATCCGTTGAGATTTCGCGCAAAAATCCACGTTTCAAGCGATTTTGCAAAAAAGAAAGTAATAATAACAACAAAAAGATAAACCAGCTGTCAAAGTGCGAGAGAGTGTGTGAGAAAAGAGAGAGTGCAGAGTGAAAAAGAGAAGAAGAGGGCGGCGAGAGAGTGTGTGGAGAGAGGAGAGTGCGGCAGACAGCTAGAGAGGAGAACATTCGAGAAGAAACTCGTTTTGTTTACCGGTCAAGCAGGCAGCAGCAAAAAAGGGGCGTGGCTTGGGAAAATACTTTATTCATGTGAAAAATCATATAAAACGTGTAGAGATCAAACTACAAACAAAAATTAACAAAAATTTGAATTTCCCGCCATCAAAAAATCGATCGATAATTAATTTATTCAGTTTTCGGTTTCAATGGTTTCACGTAGACATCAATGTATCGCTCGAAACCTGGAAAATTTGAAATTTGAACTCAGGGACTAGGTTTTACAATTTGGTTTTCTAGTCCCCCGCTCAAAAATCGCGAAATTCGCGTTTTCTGGTGTGAAAAACCATGAAAAAAACCATTTTTCAATCAAAAATGCACATTTTCTTTATTTTTCGATTTGAAGTCGGGGACTAGGATTTGCAAGGTTGGATTTCTAGTCCCTTATTCAAAAATTAGCTGATTTCTAGTTTTCCGGTAGGAAAACTCATGAAAATCTTGTATTTTCGGCTGAAAATACAAATATTCGATTTGAAGTCGGGGACTAGGATTTGCAATTTGGTTTTCTAGTCCCCCCACTCAAAAAATCGCGAAATTCACGATTTCTGGTGGAAAAAATCATGAAAATGGTTTATTTTCGGCTGAAAATACAAATTTTCGGTTTGAAGTCGGGGACTAGGATTTACAAGGTTGGTTTTCTCGTCCCTGACTCAAAAAATCGCGAAATTCACGTTTTCTGGTGTAAAAAACCACGAAAATTGTGTATTTTGAGCTGAAAATACAAATCTTGGATTTGAAGTCGGGGACTAGGTTTCCCCAAATTGGATTTCTCGTCCCTGACTTAAAAAATCGCGAAATTCACGATTTCTGGTGGAAAAAATCATGAAAATGGTTTATTTTCGGCCGAAAATACAAATTTTCGATTTGAAGTCGGGGACTAGGTTTTCCAATTTGGTTTTCCAGTCCCCCACTCAAAAATCGCGAAATTCACGATTTCTGGTGTGAAAAACCATGAAAAAACCATTTTTCAATCAAAAATTCACCTTTTCTTTATTTTTCGATTTGAAGTCGGGGACTAGGATTTCTAATTTGGTTTTCTCGTCCATGACTCAAAAATCGTGAATTTCACGTTTTCTGGTGTGAAAAATCATGAAAATCTTGTATTTTCACTTGAAAATACAAATTTTCGATTTGAAGTCGGGGACTAGGTTTCCCAATTTATTTTTCTAGTCCCCCACTCGAAAAATCGCGTTTTTGGCTCATTTTTCATCAAAAATCTCGATTTCTAGCTCATTTTTCATCAAATTTTCCGAATTTTACCTTTACTTCTAGCAGACGGTGCTCCCAAATGCTCAACACTCTCAAATCCAACTTCTTCCAACAAATACATCTCAAAATCGTCGGGTTTGAATTCGATTTTCGCGTAATTCGACTTGAGTTCCTCGTTCATTTTGGCACGTTTTCGATAGGTTTCAAAAGGTTGCGGTTCGATGATCAAACGGCCACCTGAAATTAATTTTGGGTTGAAAATGAGCGAAAATTCGGGGTTTTTTGGGTGAAAAATCACAAATTTTCCACTATTTTCGCATTTTTGCACTAAAATTTGAATAATATTCAAGTTCTTGTTTTATTTACCCAAAATATTTGTTTACTGTAGTCAAAAACAGTAAATAATTACGTTTTGTTTGTTTTTGACCGGTCGAAGGAGAAAAAGTACAAATTTTTGGAATTTTCAAAGTCGGGGACTAGAAATTCAACCTGGAAAACTAGTCCCTAACTTGAAAATTTATGAATATTAGCTTAAAATTAGTGAAATCTGAGATTTTGAAGCCAGGGACTAGAAATCCAATTGGAAACCTAGTCCCCGGCTCGAAATTACATATTTTTGGAATTTTCAAAGTCGGGGAGTAGAAAAAACACTTGGAAAACTAGTCCTCGGCTGAAAATAGTGCAATTTTCTTGTTTTGAAAGCGGGGACTAGAAAAACATCTGGAAAACTAGTCCCCAACTTAAAATTGATGAATTTTAGCTTAAAATTAGTGCAAATCGCAGATTTTCAAGCCAGGGACTAGAAAAATCACTTGGAAAACTAGTCCCCGGCTCAAAATTCACCATTTTTCATCATTTTTAGCTCAAAAATTCGCAAATTTTTCAAATTTCCCTTCAAAAACGCTCACCAGGCATCAAATGTCGATAGCATCGTCTCAAAAATCGTCGCATTCCCGCATCTCCCCAATTCAAATGTATCCATTTCGTGATACTCAACGCCATAATAACATCGAATTCGGGTTCGACAATTTCGACCAACTCATCCGATTCCAGCACATAATTCTCTTTTCGGAACCAAATATTATCGGGAAATTTGGTGGAAAATGGGCGGGGTTCGGCCGGTTTTGGAGCTGGTGTAATTGCACCAAATTGTGAGGCAAATGAGGCTGGATATTTGCCCAACATCTGCAAAAAAACCGTAAAAAATGAGCTAAAATTCGCGATTTTTGATGAAAAATGACCCAAAAACGAGTTTTTCGTGATTATTTGAGCCGGGGACTAGAAAACCAACCTGGGAAAACCTAGTCCCCGACTTTAAATCGAGAAATTCATATTTTTAGCTGAAAATATAAGATTTTCATGATTTTTTACACCAGTAAACGTGTTTTTCGTGATTTTTAGAGTCGAGGACTAGAAAACCAATTTTGTAAAACCTAGTCCCCGACTTCAAATCGAGAATTTTTGAGTTTTTGAAAAGTTGCCTTGATCTTCTGATTGAAAAATTCATTTTCGAGATTTTTAGTAGAAAATCGGATTTTTGATGATAAAATTTGTAGTCGGGGACTAGGTTTTGCAAGATTGGTTTTCTAGTCCGCGACTAAAAATAGTGAATTTACGATTTTCCAGCGGAAAATGCGTCAAAATTTCAATTTTCAAGCAAAAATTCAATTTTTACATATTTTTCGATTTGAAGCCGGGGACTAGGTTTTGCCAGATTGGTTTTCTAGTCCCCCAAGAGAAAAATCGCGAATTTCATGATTTTTGGCCAAAAACTATCGATTTTAGGTCATTTTTCATCAAATTTTTTGAATTTTTCAAATTTTTAGTCGAAAAAACTCACCGGAATCTCATGATCACAATAATGTCGAATATTTTTCCGCGCCACACCAATCAAATGCTCATCCAAATCAATTCCCAAAATTCGACGAGGTCCAAAATCTTTGGCAATACTCAGAGTCAGAAATCCAACATTGCAACCTGCAAAATTCAAATTTAGGTTAATTTTAGGTCAAAAATCACGATTTTTGGCTCAAAATCACTGAAAAATTCAAATTTTCAGCTGATTTTCAGCACTTACCAATATCCAAAATCGATTTCTTCTCAAACCACTCTTTTTTCATTACAGTCAATCTTTGATCACTTTCTCCCGGTTTCAAGCGAATTCCATAATATCGATCGAAATTGCCGAATCGATATTTTTTGTTGAAATATTCTTTTTTCGATTTTCGAAATTCGCCAGCTTCATCTGTTGGCTCAGATTTCGCGTTTTTGCCGTTTTTCTTGTCTCCACGTTTCGGTGAACCGTGCTCTTTTTTCTGTAGAAAAATTGGGGATTTTTTTGATACCAAACAAGCTTAAGGAAAATTTGGGCATAGCTTCCGCATCTCCGCTGAAATTCCGATAAAAATCTGAAAAATGCTGGAATTTCAGCACAAATTAAGGGACGATTCAGGAACTAGTTTATAGTTACTGAATCGTCCCATAATTTGTGCTGAAAATTTCAGTTTTCAGATTTTTATCAGATATTTCAGAATAGGATTTGGAGAGGGTTTTTCGAGCGGAGCGAGTGTAGACCGCAAGCTTCCGCGTATGCCGCCACGCGGATTGCTATGACGTTTGCCATATCATAGTAAACCATGTGGCCGGTGAAGCGGAAGATAGTGCCGCCTACGCGGAATCTTCCGGTTTACACTCGCGACTTGCGTAGCTCGATCAAAATTTGGGCATAGCTTCCGCATCTCCGCTGAAATTCCAATAAAAATCTGAAAAATGCTGGAATTTCAGCACAAATTATGGGACGATTCAGGAACTAGTTTATAGTTACTAAATTGTCCCATAATTTGTGCTGAAAATTTCAGTTTTCAGATTTTTATCAGATATTTCAGAAAATGGACTTGGAAGGGTTTTTCTGGAGCGGAACGAGTGTAGACCGCAAGCTTCCGCGTATGCCGCCACGCGGATTGCTATGACGTTTGCCATATCATAGTAAACCATGTGGCCGGTGAAGCGGAAGATAGTGCCGCTTACGCGGAAGCTTGCGGTTTACACTCGCTTCGCTCGAACAAATTTCAGTTTTCAGATTTTTATTAGATATTTCAGAAATCGGACTTGGAACGTATTTACTATCGGTGCGAAAAAATTAGACAGTTGGAAGAGAAACCTTTATGGCCTAGGACGCCAAGTTGACCGTATACTCCGCCGCAAATTTTGAGATCAAAAATTTTTTTTGGAGACCATTTTAATCAATTTATTTTTTGTGTTCAAAAACTGTTTTCAATTTTGAGAAGAAAGAAAAGTAGTTTTTGAGAAAAACCGTCGAAACAGTTTCTGCTGAAGTTATAAACATTCCATGAGATTCATAGAATCTTTTTTTTAGGAAATTTTCTGTGAAATAAAAAAAAATCAAACAAAATTTCAAAGCGGTGCAGTCTTGAAGGCTGCGCCTGATCATTTATTAAAAATATGATAAATACAAAATTTGAATATCCTCCGAAATTGTTGTTGTCGTTGCTCCAAAATTTTTTGATGTGCAGTCGATAGCTGAAAATTGAATGATTTTAGTGAAAACGTGAGTTAATCATATTCAGTTTTTAGATTTCATAGACAAATTGCAGCACCAAAACATTAAAATTATTTGAATAATATCAAAATGTATAAATTTCTGGAGAAAATTCTCCATGGAGCTTTTAAATTGAAAAGTGGAAATTTTCTCAAATTTCACTTTTTATCGCCATCTCATCAACATTTTGTTGTTGAATTTCAAGAGTGGCATCCGAAATTTCTGATTTATTAATAAAAACTAAGTTTTTCGCAAAAAAAACTCACTTTTCATCGATAATCTCGTTGATTTGCGGCTATTCGCGATTTGTCATCATTTTTGACTTGATATTCGGCGCTGCTCGATAAAACCATTCAGCAAATTCTGAAAAATGATAGTTTTAAAATGTTGTTCGGAACAATCCACAAAAAAGAGGAAATGCGAAAAAAATGAGAAAATTCAGTTTTATTGACTTTTTCTTCCAAAAATATACTTTTTCTTCTCAAAATGCAGTTTTGAAGTTTGCTATACTTCGTTTTTCATTCGAATAGATATTTTAAACAAACAAAAAACTCCTAATAATGCCGTTTTCAAGAAAAACAAAACAGAAAAAAAAATAAATTTAAAAAATAAAAATAAGTTGGCTAATTGCCAGAGAAAGTTAGACGAGCAGAGTCTTGCGGCGAACATAGGTACGGTCGCACAAAAAACACAGCTGTGTGGCGGGAATTCAAACGCAACTGTCTTATTTTTTCGCACCGATAGTACTTATTTTTTTTTGAAAAAAAAATATCCGGAAAAAACACGTGTACGAAATCTAGATTCCACGAAAAAATCCAAAATCTTCGGTCATTTTTAGAATTTGCTAGTCTAGATACCAAATGACCAAATTATCCAAACTCGAGAAAAAATGGTTCGATTTACCATTCGAGGTCAGACGAAAAACAATCGATTACATGAATATTCTGACAAAAATACGATTCTCGCAATGTTCAAAAGATTGCTATGAGGAAGTTGGGCTAAGTCCGAATTATGTGGAGATTGTGGAAATCCATGATGGACGAGAAGATCGAAATCGAGAAATCATATTATTTGTTGTGACGAAAGATGAGGAATGGGAAATACAATTTTATAAACCACCTTCTGGAAATTGTCGAGTTCAAATGTTTATGAATGAAAGTGTTTGCACTTGGGTAAAGCAATTGGGAAGAAAGAATATTATTAAAGTTGTTTTGAAATATTTTAATGATATTTTGAAGAATAAAACAAATAGTGTGACGAGTATTGGAATTTTCATTGTAAGTTGACAACTTTTTCTTGAAAAAAATTCAAAATTTGGGCATAGCTTCCGCATTTCCGCTGAAATTCCAATAAAAAATCTGAAAAATGCTGGAGCTTCTCCAGTTTTTAGATTTTTATTAGATATTTCAGAATAGGAAAGGATTTCGAGCGGAGCGAGTGTAGACCGCAAGCTTCCGCGCAGCGGCTACGCGGATTACTATTACGTTTACCATATCATAGTAACCAACTTGGCCGCTAAAGCGGAAGACAGTGCCGCTGACGCGGAATATACCGGTTTACACTCGCTTCGCTCGAAAAATTCAAAATTTGGGCATAGCTTCCGCATCTCCGCTGAAATTCAAATGAAAATCTGAAAAATGCTGGAATTTCAGCACAAATTAAGGGACGATTCAGAAACTAGTTTATAGTTACTGAATCGTCCCATAATTTGTGCTGGAAATTCCAGTTTTCAGATTTTTATCAGATATTTCAGAAAAGTACATAGAAGTGGATTTTCGAGCGGAGCGAGTGTAGACCGCAAGCTTCCGCGAAGCGGCACTGTCTTCCGCTTTAGCGGCCACGCGGATTAATATGACGTTTACCATATCATAGTAAACCACATGGCCGCTAAAGCGGAAGACAGTGCCGCTGACGCGGAAGCTTCCGGTTTACACTCATAGGTTTACACGAATAGGACTTGGAAGGGGTTTTTCGAGCGGAGCGAGTGTAGACCGCAAGCTTCCGCGCAGCGGCCACGCGGATTTCTATGACGTTTACCATATCATACTAAACCACATGGCCGCTAAAGCAGAAGATAACGGTCTACAATTTCCCATTTTTCAGGACGATTTTCCCTATCACCGCTCAAATATCAGAAACTTGAATGCTAAAACAATGGAAGAAATCGATCTTTCAATGAACTACCATGGAATCACTCCAAATCTTGGTGAATTTGTCGACTTAGCCCAACTTTTTCGTGTGCAAAAACGTGTCGGAATCGCAAATCTACCATTAAATGATTTATTCAAAATCAAAGCAAAACGTACAGTATTGAAGAAACCACATTTTTCATTAGATGAGTTTGACAACTTTTTAAGAAGAGCTTTAATCGAAGAAGCTCTTGATGAAAATGTTGAAAGGATCCAATGGAATGTGATGGACTTTGAGATTTATAGAAAGAATGTGAAAAATATTCGAAAAATGATTGCAAAATATATGGAACTTGAAGAAATCAAATATAAGGAACCCGGAGTATTGAAACATGTTGTTTATGAGCGAGAATCAGAGAAATGGGAAAATCGAAAGTATCACTTGGCTATGAACAAATACTATATCGTATTTGTACTCGAATAAACTTGTGTTGTCCTTAATATTTCAGCGGAGATGCGGAAGCTATGCCCAAATTTTGATCGAGCGACGCAAGTCGCGAGTGTAAACCGGAAGCTTCCGCGTCAGCGGCACTATCTTCCGCTTCAGCGGCCACGCGGTTTACTATGATATGGCAAACGTCATAGAAATCCGCGTGGCCGCTGCGCGGAAGCTTGCGGTCTACACTCGCTCCTTTTTTTAATATTTCCAAAATTCCTCCCAAAAAACTCACATGTTTCATCGGCGACACCTGATCATGCTCAAACTTCTTCTTTTTCTGCGGCGGCGGTTTTCCATTCAATTCCTCACCAAACACCTTATCCGATGTGCTATTTATCTCAACTTCAATGTTCAGCGGATCGTTGATAGTTCCGCCGGGCGCAAAGGTGTTCACTTGGAAACGTTTGCGAGCACTTCGAACTGATTGGCGGCGGCCAGACATTTTGCTGAAATTGGCTGAAAATGGGGGAAACCCGGGGAAAAAGCGCGCGAAAGGAAAAAAAAAATAAATTTCGAAAGTCAAAAAATGGCCGAGAAATGCGTTGGTTTTCTAGTCCCCTGCTGTTTGGTTTCCTAGGCCATGCGATTTTTCTTTTCGTTTTTTCGTTTTTTCCACCTGAAATCTGCAATTTTCAAGAAAAACAGAGTTTTAAATGCAATATTTATAAATAAATAAATAAATTTTTCTAAAAACCCATCACAATTTCAATTTCGCCAAAAACGGACTGTTAAAACTTCCAAAATACAAATATCCCTCAAATTCGGCGACTTGCGACACATCTCCCACAATCTTCCCGGTCAAATCGTGTAAACTTCGAATAATTCGGCCATTCTCGTCGATTTCGACAACAATTGAGTGGGATTTTCGAAATGTGTGTAGGATGGTTTCCCAGAATTTCGAGGGGATGATATCGATTAGGAATTGACGGATTCCTGGAACACTGCCAAGTTTATCGATTAGTGATGGAGTTGCGGAATGTCGAATTGCTGGAAAAATAGGGTTGCGGAAGGTTGCGGAAGGTTTCCGCCTTAAATACCTGCTAATCCAACCCAATATGTATTCCTTTCAGTTTTTCGAATATTATCCGGCATTCCTGGCAAATTCTTCACAAACATTTCCACATTTTTCGATTTCAAATCCAATTTTTTAATCCTTGCCATACTACATTCACTAAATAATATCGATTGTTTATCCGAAGTTAGCTGAACTCCATTTGGAAAATATAAACCGGATATTAAGACTTTCGCGGTTTTTGTCGAGATTTTCAAATGAATTATTCGTCCGTTTGGATTTTGCTCCAAAATTAGAGGCATAAATTGTTTTCTTGGATATTTTGTGGAACTATCTGATAGAATTATCTCATCTTCATTCAAAACATCCAAATCATTCAGGAATTTTGGGGCGAATCCTTCGATTGGCTTTTTGGAGTCGAGAATTTGAGATGTTGTGGCTGGAAAAATTCAAAATTTGGGCATAGCTTCCGCATCTCCGCTGAAATTCCAATAAAAATCTGAAAAATGCTGGAATTTTCAGAACATTTTATGGGACGATTCAGAAACTAGTTTATAGTTACTAAATCGTCCCATAATTTGTGCTGGAAATTCCAGTTTTCAGATTTTTATCAGATATTTCAGAAAATCACTTGGAAAGGGTTTCCGAGCGGAGCGAGTGTAAACCGCAAGCTTCCGCGCAGCGGCCACGCGGATTAATATGACGTTTGCCATATTATAGTAAACCACGTGGCCGTTGAAGCGGAAGCTTCCGGTCTACACTCGCGCCTTAGGCGCTCGATCAAAATTTGGGCATAGCTTCCGCATCTCCGCTCGAGCGGAGCGAGTGTAAACCGCAAGCTTCCGCGTCAGCGGCACTATCTTCCGCTTTAGCGGCCACTTGCTATGGTACAGTTAGTTACCTTACCATAGCAAATCCACGTGGCCGCTAAAGCGGAAGCTTGCGATCTACACTCGCTCCGCTCGAAAATTCAAAAATCTTACGATTTTGCTCATCGCTGAAATCTACAACAAAAACTCCCAAATACGCGTCAGCAACTACGAATTTTTGCGAATTTTCGGACAATTTCCTAATCCCCAAAGGTCTTCCACAAGTGTCTTCAGCCTCAAAATTTCCACAATCCCTGAAGAATTTTGCTCTTTCTGAATACGAAACCTGCGAAACAATCTTCCCATTAACAATCTTGATAACTTTTGCATCATAAATCGTCGCATAAATCGCATCCTTCTCCACTACGAAAGATTCTGGCCCGACTATTTGATTTTCCAAAATGTGCTCGGCTTTTTCGAGCAATCGATTTTCAGCAAGAACATTTTCCAAGGTTGGCGGGGGATCTAATCGATATTTTCGAGCTTGGGTGTTCTTCTCATCGCTGTATCGATAATATAAAGCACCCCAGGAGATGAAGAGTCCACTGGAATTTTCCATTTTTTCAGAGTTTTTTGGCTTTCAACTCACATAAAACCAAAGAGGAATAATCTACCCATTTTTCTACACATTCATCGATCAACAATATTTCTTATCTCGCTGTGACCTCTAGAAAAAGACCTCCAAAAAGTGAAAAAAATAATAAAAATAATTCAAAATGAGGTACGGTAGACGTGTCTGCAAACACGCCCTCTGACACAATGCACACAATGCATTTTAATCGACGCCAGCGTTTTTTTATTTTTCGATTTTAGAATTTTCCCTATCTACTCGCTTATCTAGATTTTGACAATGGAATTCAATATATCGTCGTTTTGTGATAATGAAGAATCATCTAGTCAATTGAATAGCACAGCTTTGAATCAAAATCAAAGTCAGAAGAAGGAGGAATGGAAATTGTCGCCGATTTTCAACAATAAGAGTAAAACAAGTTTCAAATCACCGCTGAAACTTGTAAATGGGTCGACAGAATCGGGTTATGAATCGAAGAGTTTTTCAACACCGCCACAGTGAGTTTTTGGGCTCCTTGACAAGTTTACATTCAAAAAATCCGGATTTTTTCAGAGAAAAAGCCACAACATCACTCTCCGATCTCTCCTCATTCATCGCCAACAAATCCATGAATCCATTCGACAGTCTAATCGTCGATTCGCTCCACAAAAGTCTCAATTTCTCTCCAAGAGTTGTATTTTCACAGGAATCCTCCTCAAATTCCTCTTCGAAAAAAGATGGAAATATGTTTGAATGGAGTGTTGAACATCTGGCCGTTTTGAAACCTGTGCATATTTCTGACGATGAAATCGCCGCAAATTATCACTCTCCAATTCCGGAAGTCGAGGAGCGGATACAAGAAGTTTTGAATGAGTATTGGTCGAAAAATGTTAGCTATATTCCATCGCCAGATGGTCCTAGATATGTTAGTTAGGCTAAGAAGGGAGATTTTTCGAATTAAAATATGATTTCTAGTTGATTTTGATCACAGAAAACCTTTCCATTTCTGAGATATCTTATGAAAATCTGAAACCTGGAATGTAAAGTGTAAACCGGAAGCTTCTGCTCCAGCGGCCACGTGGTTTACTATGATATGGCAAACGTCATAATAATCCGCGTGGCCGCTAAAGCGGAAGATTGCGGTCTACACTCCGGAAAATACAACATTCAAGTCCTATTCTGAAATATCCGATAAAAATCTGAAAAACTGGAGAAATTCCAGCATTTTTCAGATTTTTATTGGAATTTCAGCAGAGATGCGGAAGCTATGCCCAAATTTTCGAATTTTTTCTCGAGCGCTTCAGGCGCGAGTGTAAACCGGAAGCTTCCGCGTTAGCGGCCACGTGGTTTACTATGATATGGCAAACGTCATATTAATCCGCGTGGCCGCTAAAGCGGAAGATTGTGCCGCTTACGCGGAACTTTCCGGTTTACACTCGCTCCGCTCGAAAACCCTTTCCAAGTCCTATTCTGAAATATCTAATAAAAATCTGAAAACTGGAATTTTCAGCACAAATTATGGGACGATTCAATAACTATAAACTAGTTCCTGAATCGTCCCATAATTTGTGCTGAAAATTCCAGAATTTTCAGATTTTTATTGGAATTTCAGCGAAGATGCCGTAGCTATGCCCAAATTTTCTGGAATTTTTTGTTGGGAAACTTGAGTTTAGCTAGCTACGTGATTAATTGGTCGAAATCTACTAGAAAATAGTTTCTCCTTCTTCAAAAACCTCTGAAAATTCCAGATAAATATCGAAAAACGTGACGGAAGTGTTTTGACACTGAAAACTGGAACTTCTTCATCTTCTTCACAATTAGTTCATGACGTCACACCAAATCTATGTAATATGATTCGAAAAAAAGAGGCGATGAAGGTGGCGTATGCCACGTCATCACCTAAACAAAGACCAAGGAGGTAATTGGGGGGTTTTTTGGCTCAAGGAGCTGAAAAATCTCAATTTTTGAGCTATTTCAGGCTTCCTAAGCTGAAAATTTCGATTTTCCACCCATATTTAGCCCTGAAATTTTCAGACAAACGAAGCAAATGCGAAATCGACAATCTCAAACAGAAGTCACAATTCCGCCAAGTTCTGCAATTGATTTGAAACAAATTTTGGGTGAGATTTAGCTGAAATTGGGTGAAAAATCCTAATTTTAGGTCAAAATTCATCAAAAACTGCAAATTTTGACTTAAAAGTGTGAACCGGAAGCTTCCGCTTCAGCGTACACGTGGTTTACTATGATATGGCAAACGTCATAGCAATCCGCATGCCCGCTTACGCGGAAGCTTGCGGTCTACACTCGCTCCGCTCGAAAACACCTTCCAAGTTTATTTCTGAAATATCCGATAAAAATCTGAAAACTGGAATTTCAGAACAAATTATGGGACGATATAACCTAGTTTCTGAATCGTCCCTTAATTTGTGCTGAAATTCCAGCATTTTCAGATTTTTATTGGAATTTCAGCGGAGATGCGGAAGCTATGCCCAAAATTCGAGCGGAGCGAGTGTAAACCGCTAGATTCCGCGTCAGCGACACTGTCTTCCGCTTTAGCGGCCACGTGGTTTACTATGATATGGCAAACGTCATAGTAATCCGCGTGGCCGCTTACGCGGAAGCTTCCGGTTTACACTCGCTCCGCTCGAAAACCCCTTTCAAGTTCATTTCTGAAATATCGAATAAAAATCTGAAAACTGGAATTTTCAGCACAAATTATGGGACAATTCAGTAACTATAAACTAGTTTCTGAATCGTCCCTTAATTTGTGCTGAAATTCCAGCATTTTCAGATTTTTATTGGAATTTCAGCGGAGATGCGGAAGCTATGCCCAAATTTTGAATTTTATTGGAAAAACTTGCGATCTTGCGGTCTTATGAGTTAGCCTAACTCCCAAATCTTACAGGCGAAGCTTTCACTTATAATCCTGAAGATGAAGAAGAAGATAATGAAGAAGTGTTCAATGTTTCAATGTGTTCAAATTTATCAACTAGAAGACGACTTTTCTCCGAAAATCAACAAGAAAATCGAGAAAATGAGGAAGATGAAGAAGATGATGGAGAAATTACGAATTCTTCGATGATTTCTGGAGAAAATTTGAATGATTCACAGAGATTTGTGGGTTTTAGGTTGAAAATTGACGAAAAATCGTACAAAAAGCTTATAAATACAATATTTTCAAAATTTCAGCTCCAAATCCTTTTCTGAAATATCTGATGAAAATCTGAAAACTAGAATTTTCAGCACAAATTATGGGGCGATTCAGTAACTATAAACTAGTTTCTGAATCGTCCCTTAATTTGTGCTGAAATTCCAGCATTTTTCAGATTTTTATTGGAATTTCAGCGGAGATGCGGAAGCTATGCCCAAATTTTCTGGAATTTTTCGGGGAAAATCTCAATTTTCAGCAAAAAAATCTCGATTTTCAGAACGATTCTCTGTCTCCAGTTCGAAAAGACGAACAAATGGAACAAGATTTGTCGATGGTCTCAAAATCGCAAATCTCACAAATTGCAATCAATATTTCGGTATTGAACGATTGTATGATGCATTCGTTGGTGAGTTTTTTGGAAAAATTGAGCTGAAATTCGAAAAACTTGGGGGAAAATGAAGGTTTTTCTGGAAAATCAGCTAATTTTAAGCTCCAAGTCCTATTCTGAAATATCGAATAAAAATCTGAAAACTGGAATTTTCAGCACAAATTATGGGACGATTCAGTAACTATAAACTAGTTTCTGATTCGTCCCTTAATTTGTGCTGAAAATTCCAGCATTTTCAGATTTTTATCGGAATTTCAGCGGAGATGCGGAAGCTATGCCCAAATTTTTCTCGAGCGACTCAAGTCGCGAGTGTAAACCGGAAGCTTCCGCGAAGCGGCACTATCTTCCGCTTCAGTGGCCACGTGGTTTACTATGATATGGCAAACGTCATATTATTCCGCATGGCCGCTGCGCGGAAGCTTGCGGTCTACACTCGCTCCGCTCGGAAAATACCACTTCGAAGTCCTATTCTGAAATATCTGATAAAAATCTGAAAACTGGAATTTTCAGCACAAATTATGGGACGATTCAGTAACTATAATTTAGTTTCTGAATCGTCCCTTAATTTGTGCTGAAATTCCAGCATTTTCAGATTTTTATTGGAATTTCAGCGGAGATGCGGAAGCTATGCCCAAATTTTGATTTTTTTTCTGAAAAACTTGGAATTTTTCAGAGTCAAGAAGATCCGGATGAAGAAGAGGAAAACAAAGAAGTCGAAGCTGAAGAAGGAGATGAGGAAAATGAAGAAAATCGAGTTTTTCATCACAATATGCGTGAGTTTGAGGGCTCAGGTCTAAAAATCCGAGATTTTTGGCCCTGGGCTCAAAATATCCCAAATTTCGCCAAATTTCAAATTGAGCCTAGGCTTATCTAGACTCAAAAAATCCCAAATTCCGGCCTTAATTTGGGCCTAACCTCATTTAGACTTTAAAAATCCCAAATTTTGGCCTAAAATTGAATATAGGCTTCATTAGGCTCTAAAAATCCCGAAATCGGGCCTAAATTTGGACCCAGGCTTATTTACACTCAAAAAATCCCAAATTTTGGCCTAAACTGAGGCCTACCCTCATTTAGACTCAAAAAATCCCAAATTTCCAGACCAAAACGAATATTCTTTACACGACGAATCAGAAGAATGCTCAAAAACGCCACGTCACGAAGATCTGGACCGAACTCCGCGCAGATATGCATTTTGCTCCTCCTCAAAAACCCCGTCACGAGTTACGCCATCTTCATCTGGCTCCGGCTCTTCCACTCAAATTTCGCGCCAAAAAATGCGTCAATTCATGTTCGAAATGTCGCCAATTCATCCGAATAAGCGATTCACACCGCCTAAACCATTTTCCTGAAATTCTGCTGAAAATCCTGTATCGCCTGTCAAAAAATGTCCACCACCAACAATTTTCCACCCTATATTGATCTTATCAAATAATTCTCCTGTGCTTTTGTGATTTGCGGCTTGGTTTTGGGGGCGTGGCCTAATTTTTTTTGCAAAATTCTGAGCTCCGCACGGTTTTGTGGGCGGAGCTTGCGTTTTCCTATGAAAATGCAAGCCTGGCATGGTTTTCTGACCCATTTTTCATCGAAATTGCAAAATTTAGAGCTCCGCATGGTTTTGTGGGCGGAGCTTGGGTTTTTTTGCAAAAATGCAAACCTGGCACGGTTTTCCAATCAATTTTCCAACGAAATTGCAAAATTTAGAGCTCCGCGTGGTTTTGTGGGCGTGGCCTAATTTTATTTTTGAAATTTCATATTTACTACACTTTAGAAATGCTAAAATTAGGCCACGCCCACAAAACCGTGCGGCAATTTTGCAAAGAGATTTTGAAGCAGAAAAATTAAGCCACGCCCCTAAAACTGTGCCTTGCTCTAATTTTTGCAATTTTTTAGGCCACGCCCACTTTTCCATGCCGCACATTTTTTTGTTTGTTTTTTCCCATCTTTTATTATAACAGTATTTTCTCGTATTAAAATTTTTTCAAAAATTTTCAGGTTTTTTTTTGGTTCATTTCCGGGTGTATTTCTTTCTTTTTTTCTCTCTGTAATTTCTATTTTTATCGATTTTTTTTTCGCCGAAAAAATTGCTTTTTTTTACTCGAAAAATGATGAAAATCTTGTAATTTTTAGTGATTTCTCTATTTTTTCTTGGAATTTTCAAGCGTTTTTAACGCTTTTATATCTGTTTTTGTTATTTTTCAAGATTTTTTAGCTGAAAATCTGAAAATTTCATCGAAAATTTGGGATTTTTTGAGCCCAGGCTCGAAATTTTCATTTTCAGACAAATTTTTGGCTGAAAATTAATTTTTTTTGCAGATGAAACTTTTGACCCACAACTTTGTTTCTTCTCGATTTTTGAAAGATGTTAAAGGAGGATATCCATTGAAATTATCAGCTCAAAAAATCGAAACCAAAGATGTTGAATTCAATGAGGAATTTATTAAGAATATTATTCCGAAGGTGGGTTTTTAGCCAAAAATTGGGGAAAACCATGAAAAATGATGAATTTTGAGCCAAAAACCATGAAAAACGACGAATTTTGACTAAAAATAGCAAATGCGCTCTATTGAACTCTCCCCGTTTTGATGAAAAATTCAAATTTTCATTTTTTTTGCTTGATGAGTTTTTGACCTTAAATTTTGAAGGAAAATACAATTTTGGAAAAAAAATCAAGAGCATTGCTCATATTAAAGAAAAATTCTCAAATTTTGAAATTTCAAACTGAAAATTCATAAAAAATGATAAATTCTCAGCCTAAATTTGAAGAAAATTGGAAATTTGTGAAAATTTCTCAGAGCATTGCTCATGTTAGAAAAATTTGAAAAATTTAATTTTTTGACCTGAAATTTGAAGTTTTGTCCGATTTTTCCATACAAAAATTCAAAAAATCGAAATTTTTAGAACTTTCAAGGGCATTGCTCATATTAGAGTAAATGCTCAAAATCTTGAAAAATCTGAAATTTTAAGCTGAAAATTCATTAAAAAAATGATAAATTTTGAGCCCAAATTTGAGGAAAATTTGATTTTCTGAAGAGCATTGCTCATGTTAAAGAAGAATGCTCGAAATTTCCAGAAAAATTTCTCATAAATTTTTGAAAAAAAATTCAAAAATCCATTAACATGAGCAATTATCCTAATTGTTATTAAAATAAGCATTGCTCATATTAGAAAAATTCTCTAATTTTCTCAATTTTCAGTGTGATTTCTCTGCTCTTCGCTCAGCTTGCGAATCAATCAACGAAGCCGCAAATTTGCCACAAACATTGCCCGAAAATTGGATTGAAAATGAGGAATTGTTGAAAGAGGTAAGCAGCATTGCTCATGTTAGAGTAAAATGCTGAAAATCTGGAATTTTCAGCTCCACCGCCTTCTTTTCTGCATCGATATAATTGAAGGCGAACTTCAATGTCCAGATACCGCAAGAATTTTCCCAATAAAACAAGGAATCCCGAATTTGTTGGTCGAAGATGAACAGGTTAGAAATACTTCGGAATCAGGCTAGATTTGCTGAAAATGAACTGAAAATCATGAATTTTGATAAAAAATGAGCTGAAAATGACGAATTTTGACTAAAAATAGCAAATTCGCTCCATTGAACTCACCCCATTTCTAGAAAAAATTCAAATTTTTATTTTTTTTTTCCTGACTAAATTTTTGAGCTGAAAAGTGGCGTTTTGTCTGTAAATTTGAATTTTCGAGCAAAAATACTGGAAAATTCGAAATTTTGACCAAAAAATTGACTAAAAACAGCAAATGCGCTCCATTGAACTCTTCCCGTTTTCATGGAAAATTCAAATTTTCATTTTTTTTTTCCTGACTAAATTTTGAGCTGAAAAGTGGTGTTTTGTCTGTAAATTCAAATTTTCGAGAAAAAGACAGGAAAATTTGAAATTTTGACGAAAAACAGCAAATGCGCTCCATTGAACTCTCCCCGTTTCTATGAAAAATTTAAATTTTCATTTTTTTGTCCTGATCATTTTTAGCTCAATTTTCAGCAGATTTGGCTGAAATTATCCAGAATTTCCCTTGAAAATCCAATTTTTGCAGAAATAAACTTGGCGTATCTCCAAATCTTCCAATTGTTATAATTTGTTGTTGTGTTGTCCTCTTTTCTGTCGATTTTCTCCATGAAAATAAAATATTTTTCGAAAATCAATATTTTATTGCACAAATTCAAAAATTCCCATATTTTGTCAATTTCCCGACGAATTCTCTTCATCAATAATCCTATAAACCTTCCTATTGATATAATATTTCTTTCTCACTTCTTCAGCAATCACTTTTGGTAAAACAATTGCAAAAAGAATGAAAAAAACACTGAACATGAGAACTGAAAATCGTTTTTTGATGTGGATTTTCGAAGTTTTTTGAAAAACTTACGAAACAATAAAAATATGGCGCATAAAACAGCTCCAATAAAATTGTCTAAATTTGCAAAGGGACAGCGATGGGTTTTGATGTACCTGAAAATTCTAATATTATCGAAAATCTCACACGCAACGCAGACCGCGTCGCGCCACAACACAAACAAAAAAGGGAGGGAATTTGAATCGTTTGTGTGTGTTGTGGCGCGGCGCGGTCTGCGTTGCGTGGATTTTCGAACAAAAACAAAAAAAACTCACCATTTTATAGAATACACATCAAATTTCAGAACATAATATACTGGAATTGTAATCAATAACCATACAAAAACCACCGGTAAATACATCAGCAACAATATTTTCCTCTCGTTTTTCCTCGCCTCAATTTCTTCCCCATTCGGTTGTCTTGAAGCAGTTTTCAATTCCATCGCGCAAAATTTACATTTCGTATGCGAAAATCGTGTCAGCCACAGCTTTTCCATGCATGTTTTGTGGTATTTTTGGCGGCAGTTACAATAACTTTGGGGTTTTTCGTCGAATTCTTCATTGCACATTCGGCATTTTTCGATTTTCATGGTTAAAACTTAAAACTAGCCGAGAATGGGAAAAAAAGCGAGAAAAAAGAATATTCTTTTTTGAATTCCAAACTTGCCGCCTTCTCATCGCTGCGAGACCCATTTGCGATAGAGCGCGTTTGGAGTTGTGTACTTCTCTCGGACTTCTTTTTGTTTTTTTCTCGATTTTCATGGTTAAAACTGGCCGCGAAACGCGACAGAAATAACATAATCCAAAACATTTTTATTTTTCAAAATTCTTCTGAATCTGCTGAAAATGAGCAAAAACCCGTGATTTTCGAGCAAAAATGAGCCAAAAACCATGAATTTTGACGAAAAATAGCAAATGCGCTCTATTGAACTCTCCCCGCTTTCTTGAAAATTTCAAAATTTCATTTTTTTCCCCCTGATCATTTTCAGCACAATTTTCAGCAGATTCGGCTGAAATTATCTAGAATTTCCTTTGAAAATCCAATTTTTTTTAGAAATAAACTTGGCGTATCTCCAAATCCTCCAATTGTTATAATTTGTTGTTGTGTTGTCAATTTTTCTCACATGAAAATGAATATTTTGCAAAAATCTTCGAATTTTCGAGTCATCAATGTTCATGTGACTAATTTTCGCGCCATTTTTTCCAAAATCAGAATAAAATGAAAAATGTTTTCAAAATATTGTTTCTTCCTATTTAAAAATCGACAGACGCTCGAATTTTCAACAAAAAATGAGAATTTTCCTGATTTTTGGCGCGCTAGTTGCACTAACTACAGCCTATCCGCTTACTTCGCCAAACACCGATCCAGAAGCTCAAAAAATCGTCGAAGACTTCTTGTTCACTTCTTTCCGATATTTTCTACAGGGTAATCTAACCTTCCTGGATAATGACTTCTATTTGATGGATAATGAGGGAAATAAAGCTACGAAATGTAAGAACTTGGAAATTGCAAGCGGCCACGTGGATTTTCTATGACGTGGAAACTGTACTGCTAGCTACCAAGAGGTGTATCAGTATAGTTCCCACGTCATAGCAAAACCACGTGGCCGCTAAAGCGGAAGCTTGCGGTTTACACTCGCTTCGCTCGAAAAATTCAAAATTTGGGCATAGCTTCCGCATCTCCGCTGAAATTCCAATAAAAATCTGAAAATGCTGGAATTTCCCTACAAGGGATTCCAGTTTTCAGATTTTTATTGGATAATTCAGAAAATGGACTTGGAAGTGGTGTTTTCCGAGCGGAGCGAGTGTAGACCGCAAGCTTCCGCGCAGCGGCCACGCGGATTAATATGACGTTTGCCATATCATAGTAAACCACGTGGCCGCTTACACGCAAGCTTGCGGTCTACACTCCCTAGAAGTTGTTTCAGATCAACTAGAAATCGCATTCGGACCACAATTGACAATACTTCGAGAAAAATATGAGAATGATGAAGAATTTCGAAAGCAAGTTGATGAACTTTTGAATCAAAAACGTGATGGAGATTGGAGCAATTGTGTGATTCAATTCATAAATAATCGATTTATCGAAGTTAAAATGATCAAAGATAATCTATTGGTTGGTTATATTATTTTGAAACCAAATGATAATTTTGAGGGAGGTTATAAATTGCATCGATTGGTAATTGTTGGAGAGCTTCAAACTGACTAATTACTTGAGAATAAATGTTTTTTGGAAGAAATGCGGGTTTCGCGCAAAGACAAAAATACAAATTTGGGCATAGCTTCCGCATCTCCGCTGAAATTCCAATAAAAATCTGAAAAATTCTGGAATTTTCAGCACAAACTAAATATGGGACGATTCAGGAACTATTTATATATAGTTTTTGAATCTTTCCAGGTCTATTTGTGCTGGAAATTCCAGTTTTCAGATTGTTATCAGATATTTCAGAATAGGACTTGGAAGTGGTGTTTTCCGAGCGAAGCGAGTGTAGACCGCAAGCTTCCGCTTTAGCGGCCACGCGGATTAATATGACGTTTGCCATATCATAGTAAACCACGTGGCCGCTAAAGCGGAAGACAGTGCCGCTTCGCGGAAGCTTCCGGTTTACACTCGCTTCGCTCGAAAAATTCAAAATTTGGGCATAGCTTCCGCATCTCCGCTGAAATTCCAATAAAAATCTGAAAAATGCTGGAATTTTCAGCACAAATTAAGGGAGCTAGTTAATAGTTACTGAATCGTCCCATAATTTGTGCTGAAAATTCCAGTTTTCAGATTTTTATTAGATATTTCAGAATTACTAGCTACTTTTTATCATTCACATAATTTTGACAGACGATTCAAATTTTTTTCTGACTAATTTTCGCGCCACTTCATCAAAATCAAAACAAAATGTTTTCTTCTCATTCAAAAATTCTACATTTCTGTAATTTTTTTGGAAATGAAAAAAAAAACCAGATTTTTAAATTAGAATTTCACGCGGCTTCACGTTTGTTTTCCAATTTTATCATCATTTTCAAAATTTTCCGAAACGAAAAATGGTTGAGGTCAAAATTTCTGGTTTTCTAAATGGTGAGTTTTGAGTTCTATGAGTTTCATAGCTGAAAATCAAGCTTTTCTGGTAAGAAATCGGACTTTGAGGTGCTGTGAGCGAAAAATAGCTGAAAATCTTGTTTTTCAGTCAGGTCTTGATTGAAACACTTGAAACTGTCATTTTCAGGCGTAGTACTAGATTTTTGGTCGTCTAAAGCACCAGCTAATATTCAATTTTGAAACCCCAAGAAAAATCCACCATTTCTCGAATTTCAAAAACATCTCTCAAGGTCGTTCGGCTGATGTTTATACAAAAGTTGTCTCGAACAACAATATATCAAAAACCAGGCCGGCCGACAAAAAACAACGATTTTTAAGTGTTTTTTCAACAGGCTACTAATACTATCATCTCAAATTTGAATCAGGTCACCCCAACTTTTTTATTCATTTTCTCCTTCCCTTTTTCGGTACTGTCAAAAAGGAAAAACCGAATGAAAAGAGAGAAGAGAAGAGGGTGAGAAATAGGGAGAGACGCAGGATAAATGAGAAAGAAAAACGAATAGACATGTCATTCTTGATTCAAAGAAGATTGCCGACAAATCGACGCGCGCGTCCTTTTTTTTTGAAAATATTTAGATTTTTTTGGGTTTTTCTCGATTTAGCCTAACTTTCGAGGAGCTTTACCGTAAGTTACCTTGAATTTATCTTATTTCTTATAATATTTTTCGAGGCTTCTTCTTTTGAAGCTTTTCCTCGATCGGAAAATGAGGAACTTTTCAGCTATATATTTTCAGCACAAGCTTTTTCTAGCTAACCTCATAATTCTACTTAAATTCAACCCGAAAAAGCTTCACTCAAAAAACTTGGCGGCAAAAACCCAAAAAAAAACAAAAGTTGTTAGATATTTGCCGCCTCTCTTTTTCTACCTACCCGCCCGCCAACAAAAAAAAGACAACAAAGTGTATATTTATACATCTATCTATCTACACAGTCTTTAATTAGACATGTTTAGTTCTTTTTTTATGAGATGAGACGAAAATCAAATAGTAACTTTTTGCGGTTCCTTTTTTTGAATATTATAACTTGGAAACCTAGTGCTTTAGAAGACCGAAAATGTTTTTCTACGTCTAAAAATGACACTTTTCCAATGTTTCGGAAATTTCAATCAAAATTTTACTGAAAAACAAGATTTTCAGCTATTTTTTTGCTTACAGCCCTTGAAAACCTCTCTATGAGTGCTTTAAATTCATTTTGGATCACCCTAAAGCCAGGAAAACCTCGAAAAATCCATTTTTCTGCAAAAAACTTGATTTTTTCATTAAAAACATCCATTTGTCTCCCAAAAACCTTGAGAATCTCTCCAGAATTCTACATTTTCCTTTCAGAATCCTCTGAATTTCATCCGAACTCTCCGAAACTTTCGAAAATCCAATTTTTAGGCCGAAAACCCCGAAAAAATAAAAATACGTTTTCAAGGCGCATAGAATTTCGCAGCCGGGTCTCGCCGCGACGTGTAGTTCTCTCGGAGGAATTTGAATTTTTCGGCTGAAAATTTTTTTCTTCGCAGTTTTTCAGCATTTTCATCCGGATTTCTCGGGTTTTCCATAGTTTTTCAGTTTCAAATACAAGTCCAAGGTTCCAAGTTTCAAACCCAATCGATTTTTCACCCAATTTTTCGGCGTTTTCCTTTCGATATCATTCATTACATTTTTATCATCACTGCGTTCATTAAATGAGCGCCTCTCTTTCATTTTTTTCTTCGTTTCTCTCCAATCAAATCGGCCAAAAAAACGCATTAAATTTATTGTTTTTTGCCTACTGAAACCTTTTTTTCGTCAAAATAAAAGGAAAACTTGGAAAATTTGCGATTTTTCGCGGGGAAAATAGAAAATCCACAGATAAATCTTGTGTGAATTTGGCCGGCGGCCAAAATGATTAATTGACCAAGACATTTTTTGGCGAGCAACAAATTTCTGAAGAGAAAATATTAGGCCCTAGGCGAGAATTCGCTATTTTTAGTAGCTGAAAATCGAGATTTTTTCGTTTTTCAATAGAAACTTCCCAAAATTCCACTAGAAAACAGCTGTATCGATTTCCGCCGCCACAAAAACACCATTTTTTGACTAACACCCTGCTCTAAAATTCCGCCAAATGTGATAATTAGCGGCGGCTTTCTTTGATCTTCTGAAAAGGGAAGAGAAAAGGGGCGGAGCTTGGGAAGATAGGCGTGTTTATTTATTTTATTGGACTAACTATCCTTTATTTATGAACACTTGTAAAAATATCATGTTTAGTTAGTTAGGCTAACAAGTTTGTTTTGGCCGGAAAAACAAAAAGATACTTTTTATTTTTATTTATGTTTATTATTATTGCTCTTTGTTAGTATAGACAAAAATCATAACTTTTTTGGCTAAAAGTTATCGTAACCGCAAGCTTCCGCTTAAGCGGCACTATCTTCCGCTTTGCGGCCACGTGGTTTACTATGATATGGGAAACGTCATATTAATCTACGTGGCCGCTGTGCGGAAGATAGTGCCGCTTACGCGGAAGCTTGCGGTCTACACTCGCTTTGCTCGAAATATCCCACTTCCAAGTCCTATTCTGAAATATCTGATAAAAATCTGAAAACTGGAATTTCCAGCACAAATTATCGGACGATTTAGTAACTATAAACTAGTTTCTGAATCGTCCCATAATTTGTGCTGGAAATTCCAGCATTTTTCAGATTTTTATTGGAATTTCAGTGGAGATGCGGAAGCTATGCCCAAATTTTGAATTTTTCGAGCGAAGCGAGTGTAGACCGCAAGCTTCCGCGTAAGCCGCACTATCTTCCGCTTTAGCGGCCACTTACGGTGGAAGTTAGCCTAACTTAGCCGCTTCGCCGAATTTTCCGCTCGAAATATCCCACTTCCAAGTCCATTTCTGAAATATCTAATAAAAATCTGAAAACTGGAATTTTCAGCACAAATTATGGGACGATTCAGTAACTATAAACTAGTTTCTGAATCTTCCCATAATTTGTGCTGAAATTCCAGAATTTTCAGATTTTTATTGGAATTTCAGCGGAGATGCGGAAGCTATGCCCAAATTTTCTAGAATTTTTCGTCCTTTTTTTTCGTCGTGCTTTTTTACCAAATGTTCCTTTAAAATCGTATATTTTTGCAGAATGGCGACAATTTTTCGCAATCTATTCCGTAACAACAAAAAAGCGAGTCGCGAAGAAACGCCAGAATTTTCGGACCGCGACTCAACGCGTCGCTCAATCCGTTCCGCGTCCAAAAATCACCGCTCGACCCGTTTTTCCGATGATAACATGCTTCCCGCCACCGCCGCCTATCACACTCAAAATGCACCAAAACTACGAAAAGGTCCCCAGAGCTGTCCGGGAGCATATGTGGAAGAGTTAGAGGAAGTCGAGCAGCCGCGCAGAAGCTCTCGCCAAAACTACAAAAGCTATCATCACAATTCGATTGCGGGCAGTTCGTCGGGGTCTCGACGCGATTGGGAAACATCGGAATACGGTAGCGAATCGCCACGTCATCATCATTATCAGAATTATACGAGACAACAACAGGGACATCGAAATCATTATGAATCGAGATTGGATGATGAAGATGATGAGGAAGAACGAGAGGAATTGGATTATGAACATAAGAAATATCAGGTTAGCGAGGGGTTTTTGAGGGATTTGGAGGGAAAATTTGGATTCCACGTGGAATTTTGGTCCTGGGACATGAAAATTATGGTGCAAAAGGTCGGGGGATCGATCCCCGGTGCCTGCGGTAATTTTTAATTTTTTTCGATTTTAGGCTTAAAATGAAGCCCAGGACCCGGGAATTTCGAATAATCACATTTTGTACGTGGATTTTGACCCGGAAATTATTGTTCAAAGGGTCAGGGGATCGATCCCCGGTGCCTGCGATAATTTTCAATTTTTCACAAATCTTCCAAAATTTATATTCAAAATGTAGCCCAAACCCTTCCGATTTCAAATTTATCAATTTCAGGACCTAAAAATGCGCTACCGTCGACATTACGAGGATAAATTGAACGATTATGAATGTAGAAGAAGAGATGATCGGCGTCGAATCAAAGAACTCGAAAAAGACAAACAAATCATTGAAAAAGAGAAAAATGATGTTGTCAAAATAATGATTCAACAAAATGAGAAAATGGAAAAAGAGAAGCGAAAAACTGAATATTATAAGCGGAAAATGTTGGAAATGGAACAACAAATCAATCAATTAAGAGGCGGATTTGCCGGATTTGGTGTATTTCCACCAGCTACACCACAGATTTTTGCGAATGGCGCGTTTGGAAATTCGTCTATTGGATCAGGTAGGAATTTTTGGAGTGTAGAGTCTACACTGTAGACCGCAAGCTTTCGCTTCAGCGGCCACGTGGTTTCTTATGATATGGTAAACGTCTTATTAATCCGCGTGGCCGCTGCGCGGAAGCTTGCGATCTACACTCGCTCCGCTCGAAAACCCTTTCCAAGTCCTATTCTGAAATATCTGATAAAAATCTGAAAACTGGAATTTTCAGCACAAATTATCGGACGATTCAGTAACCTTAATTTGTGCTGAAATTCCAGCATTTTCAGATTTTTATTGGAATTTCAGCGGAGATGCGGAAGCTATGCCCAAATTTCGAGCGAAGCGAGTGTAAACCGCAAGATTCCGCGTCAGCGGCACTGTCTTCCGCTTTAGCGGCCACGTGGTTTACTATGATATGGCAAACGTCATAGTAATCTACGTGGCCGCTGTGCGAAAGATAGTGCCGCTTACGCGGAAGCTTGCGGTTTACACTCGCTCCGCTCGAAAAATTCTTTCCAAGTCCTATTCTGAAATATCTGATAAAAATCTGAAAACTGGAATTTTCAGCACAAATTATGGGACGATTCGGTAACTATAAACTAGTTACCATAGTTTGTGCTGAAATTCCAGCATATTTCAGATTTTTATTGGAATTTCAGCAGAGATGCGGAAGCTATGCCCAAAATTCGAGCGAAGCGAGTGTAAACCGCAAGCTTCCGCGTCAGCGGCACTGTCTTCCGCTTTAGCGGCCACGTGGATTACTAATACCTGATGCTAGGCTTGTTTGGTATCAAAAAAATCCCCGCACAAATTGCTGCACTTCGCCTAACTTCCTCTAATTTTCCAGGCGCCAACTCAGCTCGTTTCTCCTCATTTTTGTCCAGCTCAATTCGCCCCATCTCCTCTTCAAACACCCCCACAACTTCAGCAATGGACACATCTGGCGGTGGCGCCCCAGGTGGAGCCGGCGAATCTCTCGTCCCCGCCTCCGATCTTAGCCTAATTCAAATTCCACCAATGGCACCAATCATTGATCTACCGCAAAATGTGCCAACCGGAGGCGTGATTGGCGCAAATTTTGCGAATGATTTTGAGGATATCGAGGAGGATGAGATCAAGAATTTTCGAACTGCCGAAACACCGTCGATGAGTATTGAAATGCCACGTGTCAGTGATATGTCCGAAGGGGAATTGAGTTTTTTGAAGGAGAAAATTGAGGTAAGGGGCGGAGCTTGTTAAAATTCATTTTGCAACTCCCGCACGGTTTTTTCCCGCTCCCAAAAACCCCATTTTTTGTTCCAGATTCGCGATGAGGGATACAGTACTACACCGGATGAAATTGTTGCTCAAAAATCCTAATTTTTTAATTTTTGAATAGCTCCAAGATTTATGTTTCCCCCTATTTTTCATTTATTTATTTATGTTAGACAATTATTTTGAACCTACTACTTATCTACTTATATTTTCTAAAAATACGTGTATATTTTGAATTTTTTGAAGTTTTTAGAATGAAATTTATGTAATAATACTCCAAGACAGAAAAATTTTCATTTCTATTCAAAACTCGATTCACCACGGTGTTTCAGGTTTCCTCAGCTGAAAAATCGAATAAAAATTTGAAAATTTGCTCAAAAATGATCACTTATCCCTAGGGCGCATTTTCCTAGCTAAAAATCGATAATTTTCAACCTAGATTAACTAATAATTTGAAAATTTATTAGAAAAAACTGAATTATCATTGGAGCGCATTTTCTGAGCTGAAAATCGATAAATTCATCAAAAATACGTCAAATTTCTCATTTGAGCGCATTTTCTATGTTAAAAATCGATCTAAAACCACTGAAAATTTGAATATTAATTCAAATTGCCAAATTCTTATTGGAGCACACTTGCTAAGCTGGAAAATATCGATAATTTTCGTTCTGAATTGATTAAAAATTCAAAATTTGCTCAAAAATGATTTTTTTCATTTATTTTCACACAAATAAATAAAACAAAGCACGAAAACTGCCAGAATTTCAACGTGACCTTCCGCATTTTTCGCTGCGTGATGCGGTGGCGATAAACATAATTATCTATTTTCAATTTATACGTTTGTGGTAATGGCCCTTCGAGATATGCTAGAGGAAAGCGAAAAACCAAATTTCGATAATCTCAAATCTAGAGCATCTAAGGCTAGTATCCTCGCGAAAGTAAGTCGTAAAAACATATTCAATTAATAGAGCATATTTTTATAGTTTGATTTATCGACAATGATAATCGACAAATTATATAATCAAGATGAAGTTATTACCTTCACTTATTTCAAAATTTTGAAACAGTTCTGTGAAAATTGTTTATCAGGTAAGCTGAAAATGAGAATTAGCTGCAAAACATTAGCAAAACTAATCTGAAATGTGATTAATCGATAAGTTTCTAGGGGGAGATCTGTTTTTCATTAATTATTCAATGTTTCATATGTTCAGGCAATTGTCAGTCTCAAAATTGATTAAACACAACTGAGTGCATGCCAAACTTTCAGGAGGTTTTTTATATTAGTTATGAACATATAAAAATGATGAAACATCCGTCTGTGCCATCATACTTCATGAAATGTCTTATTCCATTGTGGAATAAGAACTCTCTTCACTTGATTCTTGAATTGAAAAAAATAATATCCACTAATGAAAGTCAACTACAATCCTTTCAATTTTATAAATCGCAACTGCAATCAAAAATAAAAGCGGGTCCACTTCAAATGGAATTAAAAGAAAAAGAATGTTTGCAGATTCAAAGTGGCCTTATAATTCATATGATTTCTAAACCAAGAAATGATAGAAAAGATTTCAAAAGATTTCTTCAGTAAGTAAAACAATCCAATACTTGTCCCCCCAAATTACTTTTTTTTTCAGTGATTCTACAAATTCATTCCGAAACTATACTTGTCATGAAATAGTAACTGCATTCGAAGAATTTCAACGAAGTGGAAAACCTCTTGCTTCAAAGGCAAAAAAGAATCGTTGAAAAACAGGGATAGTAAAAATGAAGATCTTTTTTCTGAATCATTTTTGCCTTTCATAAATACATCTCACAAATTTTCCAACGGTCCATTCTTTTTCTATTGTCATTTTGAGCCTGAAACAGGGTTTCGAACTGGGTCGGTTCTTGGGGCAGATCGGGTCTGGTTCGAGTGGGTTGGACCCAGATCCAGAACAAAGAAATGGATGAACTACCCAGAACCGAACCCGAAAAAACAGTTGTGGTTCAGACTCGACCCAAACCCGACTCGAACCAGGCCCACCCAGAACCAAACCTATTTTTGGAGAACCAACCCAGACCCAGACTCGATGGATCAGACTCGGGTAAGACCCAAACTCATTCGAGAATCAAAAATACCCACCCGAACCAATTCAACCCAAATCCAACTCAAATCCAAACCATGTGGACTCGGGTACCCGGGTAAAAATGATTCTGAAAAAACAATTCAAATTTATTCGATAATAAAATTATTCACCAGTTTTTTTCCAGAAATATTTTTAAGAAGTTTGATGTCGATATAATTTTATTTTATTATGTTTCGCAAATTTCAGAAATTTTTAAAACCATAACTAGCGGGTATAGGAAAAAAAATTTCGGTTTTTTGTTGAATTTTTTTCAACGAAAATCAAAATTTCGAAAAAAAATTCAACATAAACCGAAATTTTGATTTTCGTTGAAAAAATTCAACAAAAAACCGAAACCGCACGGTTTTGTGGGCGGAGCTTAGAAATTTTAATTTTCCATCAAAATTGCAACCACCGCACAGTTTCCTGCTCTCAAAATAATCCATTTTCTTTCAGATTCGCGATGAGGGATACAGTACTACACCGGATGAAATTGTTGCTCAAAAATCCTAATTTTTTAATTTTTGAATAGCTCCAAGATTTATGTTTCTCCCCTATTTTTCATTTATTTATTTATGCGTGGCCGTTATTTTGACACCTACTACTTAGATATTTATTTTTTCTTCAAAAATACGTGTATATTTTGAATTTTTTGAAGTTTTAGAATGAAATTTATGTAATATTTGATCGCTTTAACTTCTTTCCAAAGTTCATTTCTGAAATATCTGATAGAAATCTGAAAACTGAAATTTTCAGCACAAATTATGGGACGATTTAGTAACTATGTTTACTAGTTCCTGAATCGTCCCTTAATTTGTGCTGAAAATTCCAGCATTTTTCAGATTTTTATTGGAATTTCAGCGGAGATGCGGAAGCTATGCCCAAATTTTCTGGAAGCCGTTTCGCCCCGAAGATTTCCCAATTTTACACGGTCTAGACTCTTTTCAGCTTAAAAGTCTCGAAAAAATTCGGAATGTGATTACATCGATAATTTTCAGATGATTAGTTTTCAGATTTTTATGTGTGCAGCAGTCGACCAATTGAAAACAACCGTTAGAAACCTATTAGTAAGACACCCAGCAAAAAAAATTTTGAAAATAAATTATATCAAAATTTTGAAACGTATTTTTTTTTGTTTTGTGAGAATTGTTTTTAAAAAAAAGCTGAAAATGAGAATTTGAGCTGCAAAACTAGAAAAAACTTATCTGAAACTTTGAAAATTGAAAGTTTCTAGGGGGGAGATCTGTTTTTCATTAAAAAAGTGAATGTTTCAGACTGCCTGAACATCAGAAACAACCTGACAAAATCGAAAAGCCATATATCCATTAAGCATTTTCACCATTTTTATGAAAATTGTTCATAACTACATATAAAAAACCTCCTGAAACTTGGCATGCACTCAGTTTTTGTCAAAAATCAATTTTGAGACTGACAATTGCCTGAAAACGTCTGAAACATGCACTTTTTTAATGAAAAACAGATCTCCCCCTTAGAAACTTTCAATTTTCAAAATTTCAGATAAGTTTTTTCTAGTTTTGCAGCTCAAATTCTCATTTTCAGCTTTTTTTAAAACAATTCTCACAAACAAAAAAAAATACGTTTCAAAATTTTTAAATAATTTATTTTCAAAATTTTTTGTTGATCGCACTGTTGTGTTTAATTTTTGTATTGCAGCGCACATGAAAATGGAAAAATTAATCATCTGAAAATTATCGATGTAATCACATTCCGAATTTTGCTAATGTTTTATAATCATTTTGCTTATGTACTTGATAATCTGGTTTCACAGAAATGTTCACAGAAGTTGTTCTCGCTCCACGAGATAATTTCCTCTTGATTATACAATTTGTTGAAGATCATAGTGGACAAGTCAAACACTCGCGCTTAACGCGCTCGATTCAAAATTTGGGCATAGCTTCCGCATCTCCGCTGAAATTCCAATAAAAATCTGAAAACCTTTTTTTACTCAACACTTCAAACCTTGATGAAATTTTGTCCATAGGCAGCTTTCGGGGTCATAAGAACACCCTAAAAATTTTAGTTACCCAATAAACCTCTGAGCCAAGTTCTGGGCTCTCAAAAGTTCAAAAATTGCCAAAATTGGCTCATAAAAGTTATCATAGCTCTATTTCAAAATAATTTTTGGGAGAAATAAAGTTTCAGATATTGATCAGCATAGTCGATTTACTAAAAGTACATCAATAAAAACATTTTTTCAAAAAATTTTGAAGTTTTTTATTTTCCGGCTGAAAATTCATGAAAATTCATATGCTCATTCTTTTTTCCAAAATCAACAATTTTTCTGAAAATTCGATTTATTGATGTTTTTTGGGTAAATCGACCACGCTGATCATCATCTTCTACTCAGTTTTTCATAAAAATGATCGAAAATTGAGTTATGATGTGTTTTATGAGCCGATTTCGGCAATTTTCGAACTTTTTGAGAGCCCAGAACTTGGCTCAGAGGTCCATTGGGTAACTAAAATTTTTAGGGTGTTCTTATGACACCAAAAGCTGTCTATTCATCAAGGTTTGAAGTGTTGAGTAAAAAAGGTTCCCTTGTCAGTTTCATCATACTTCATAAGAATTCTTATTCCATTATGGAACAAAAGCTCGATTCACTTGATTCTTGAATTGAAAAAAAATAATATCCACTAATGAAAGTCAACTTCAATCCTTTCAATTTTATAAATCGCAACTGCAATCAAAAATAAAAGCGGATTCACTTCAAATGGAATTATCTAAAGGAGAAAGAATGCTTGCAAATAAATAAATTTTGAAACGTATTTTTTACTGGAATTTTCATCACAAATTATGGGACGATTCAGTAACTATAAACTAGTTACTGAATCATCCCATAATTTGTGCTGAAAATTCCAGTTTTCAGATTTTTATCAGATATTTCAGAAATCGGACTTGGAAGTGGGATACTTCAAGCGAAGCGAGTGTAGACCGCAAGCTTCCGCGCAGCGGACACGCGGATAAATAAGACGTTTGCCATATCATAGTAAACCACGTGGCCGCTAAAGCGGAAGACAGTGCCGCTGACGCGGAAGCTTCCGGTTAACGTTTTGCCACGTGGATTTTCATATCCAAAGAAAATACACCAAAAATCAGAAAAATCTTCATTTTTATCCAAAAATTCTAGAATTTTCGATCTACCACGGTGTTTCAGGTCTTCTCGCAATCCAACTTTTAATCGCTGGCAAATTCTGCACCATTTTCCGATGTTTCAAAACATTTTTGAATTTTTCCAACGCCGCCAAATCTGTATACAATATTTGCTCGATATGTTGAGACAACAATAAATCGACCCAAGTCAACGAATTTCCCACCAAAAAACCGCTCGAATTTTCTTCGAGAATTCGCTCGAAAATTGAAATGTGCTTGTCGATTGTTGGCAAGAAAAGTGAGGTTCGAAGTTGGATTGGATCTCCTGGATAAAATCCGGATAGGGCCATTAGATAGGGCCGGGCTTCGAGAATATAATCTGCGAATTGATCAGCCAGCGAGTTTACCTGCAAAATTTTGATTTAGGTTGAGTGAAAATTCGAAAATTCAAAAAAAATGTGAAATTCTCATTAGAGCGCACTTGCTGATCTCAAAATCGATAATTTTTGATCGATATTCCCTAAACATTCAAAATGCTCACTAGAGCGCACTTGCTGAGTCAATTAAAAATTCAAATATTCCCCCAAAACGCCGAATTCTCATTAGAGCGCATTTTGTGAGTTCAAAAATCGATGAAAAATTTGAATTTTCATTGAAAATGCCCAATTTCTCATTAGAGCGCATTTCGTGAATTCAAAAATCGATTGAAAATTCGAATTTTCATTGAAAATGCCCAATTTCTCATTGGAGCGCACTTTCTGACTGTTTTTCTGTGGAAATTTGAGATTTTTGATGAAAAATTCAAAATTCTCCCTAGAGCGCACTTGCTGAGTTAACTAAAAATTTCGAAAATTCACCAAAAATTCAAAATTCTCATTAGAGCGCATTTTCTGAGTGTTTCTCTGTGAAAATTTGAGATTTTCTAGTGAAAAATTCAAAATTCTCCCTAGAGCGTACTTTCTCAGCTAACTAAAAATTCAAAAATTCCCCCCAAACGCCAAATTCTCAATAGAGCGCACTTTCTTTCTCCCTATTCACCTCCGCTTTTTCCCACTCATTTTTTCCGTTCAACCCAAATTCATTGGCCAAATATCGTGCAATTGCATGCGATTGTCCAAGAACTTTTCCATCAACCTCTAAAATTGGCAATTTTCCGAAGGGAGTTGCTGAAAAATCGATATTTTTGATTGTGCGATGGGGCGCATTTGTGATTTTCAAACTTTTTTTTAACGCCGAATAAAAACGACATAGCCTAGGGCAGAGAAAAAAAACGTGCGTGAAATGACACAAAAAAGATTTGTTGTCATCATTTTTAGCGTCATTTATCCTAGAAAAATGGGATCGTTTTTATCAATATTCAACAGAACAGAACAAAGAACAGGATGGTTTGATTTGCCATATGAAATTAGAAGAATGATAATTGATTTGATGGATTTGGAAGGAAAAGCAAGATTGGCTAAATGCTCACTCGATTGTTATGAAGAAGTTGCGCTAAGTCAAAATTACATTGAAAGAATTCTTCTAACAGATGGCGGAGAAGCAGAAAATCAATCTATGCACATTTTTCTGTATTCAAAAAATGAACAATGGATTTTCCTTATGAATAAATCATCATTATCTGGATATTATGAAGTTTGTTGGTGGTTGAATCGAGAAATCAATTCGACAACAAAATTTGATTGTGAAAATCAGGATTTGGTCGAACTTTTTTTCAGACATTTCAATTGTATTTTGAGGAGAAATTCGAAAAGTTTGAAAAGTATTCGAATTTACATGGTGAGTTTAAAAAAAGAAAAAAAATGACATGAGTATTTTACAGGGAGATTTTCCGTGTAATCGAACAAATATCAATAATTTGAAAAGTCAAGAATTAGAAGAATTGATATTTTTTGAAGATAAGAAGCGCTTTAGCGGTCTAGTTGAAGCGAATTTAAGCTCAGGCGTGGCCGCTAAAGCGGAGGACAGTGACGCTTCGCGGAAGTTTGCGGTCTACACTCGCTTCGCTCGAATTTTGGGCATAGCTTCCGCATCTCCACTGAAATTCAAAGTTTTAAGTAATCCGATCTTTTCATTGGATGAATTCGATGATTTCGTGAGACGACTTTTGATTGAAGAAGAAGATGAAGGTGATGAATCATCACGGATTGGAATTAATATAGAGGAACTACTAAATATGCGCTCAGATTTGATTCGAATTATCGAAAAATATTACTTGGAAGAGGGAATTGAAGATGAAGAAGAAGGAGAAGATGGATTTAAAAGTGTTACGTTTTGGAAAAATTCGAAGAAGTGGCCATATCGAGAACATTGTTTGGTTATTATGAAAACTTGGTTTGTATATTCCACAGATGAACTCGAATTTTGATGTATTTTAATGAAAATATTGATTTTATTCATCATATTTCCGCAAACCGCGCAAGAAACAAAAAAAAAACAATATTGTCCACGAGAAATACACAAAAATGCAAGCGGGATTGCGGAGTATCGTTGTTTTATTTTCAATTTCTCAACGAAAATTGATTTTTTAATGATTTTCCATCAGAAAATCGAGCGCCTTGCTCAAAATCCCCACTCACAATCCTTGAAACCTTCCCATTGTTCCATGGGAAGTCGAAAATCGACATAAGTCTGCCCGGCAAACGCAAAAATTTGACGAATAGTCTCAGCAGCTCCGCGAAACGGAAAATATGTTAATTTGTAGTGAACCATGCCGAAAAGAAACGGAATAATGTGTAGGTTTTTATCTTTTTACACTAAAGGCTTAGTTTTTCTTATCATTTGTCATCATTGTGTGAAGAAACGACAGAAAAAGAGCACAAAATGATGGTTTTGTGGCCAGTGCTCCAAAAATTCAAAAAAAAAATCCGTGTACTTCTCTCGGACAAAAAAACAATAAAACGAAGATTAGAAAATCATTTTCCAGATTTCTGGCTGAAAATTTTATTGTGCCTAACATGAGCAATGCTCTCGAAGATGTGGAATTTCGCTAAAATTTGAAATTTAAGAAAAATTTTGACACGTGGAATTTTCATATAGAAAATTGTCAAAAATCTATTTTTTCACCAAAAACTTGATTTTCTCCAAATTTCAAGAGCAAAAATTCTTCAAAAATACATCAAGATCTTTATTTAAATTCAGAAAATACATTTGAAAATTTACAAATTTCCGGGCGAAACTAGAATGGAGTTTGTGGTCTGGTTTCAAGCCATTTCTTCAAATTCGCATTCGAATGAACCTTTTGTTGATGTGCCTTGAATTCGGGGAATTTATCGAAAAGCGACGAATCCGCAGCCAATAAATCGCTAGTATGTTGAGCCAAATACAAATCAACAAAAGTTAGGCTATCTCCAACCAAATAACCACTCGCATTCGCCTTCAAAATATTCGAGAACAATTGGAAGTGTTTGTTGAAAGCTGGAAGGAAAGTCTCCTCTTTGAGTTTGGCAGCATCTCCTTGTGCGAATCCCATCAAAACAACAAAATATGGGCGAACTTCCGATTGATAATCTTTGAATTGATCGGCGATTGCGTTGACTTGCGCTTCTTCCCACGCACATTTGCCATTCAAACCGAATTGGCGGGAAAGGAAACGAGCAATGGCGTGAGATTGAGCCAATTGTTTGCCGTCCACTGTGAGAACTGGCAATTGACCGAATGGAGTGGCTGGAAAACAACTTTTTTGAAGGTAAAGCGTGGCGGAAGTTAGTTCCGCTGACGCGGAATCTAGCGTAGGCCGCCACGTGGATTTGCGATGGTACAGTTTCCACGTCATAGCAAATCCACGTGGCCGCTGAAGCGGAAGACAGTGCCGCTTCGCGGAAGCTTGCGGTTTACACTCGCTTCGCTCGAAAAATTCAAAATTTGGGCATAGCTTCCGCATCTCCGCTGAAATTCCAATAAAAATCTGATAAATGCTGGAATTTTCAGCACGGGACGATTCAGAAACTAGTTTATAGTTACTGAATCGTCCCATAATTTGTGCTGAAAATTTCAGTTTTCAGATTTTTATCGGATATTTCAGAAAAGCACTTGGAAAACGGCTTTTCGAGCGGAAAATTCCGCGAAGCGGCCAAGTTAGGCTAACTTCCACCGTAAGTGGCCGCTGAAGCGGAAGATAGTGCCGCTTCGCGGAAGCTTGCGGTTTATATTCGCTTCGCTCGAAAAATTCAAAATTTGGGCATAGCTTCCGCATCTTCGCTGAAATTCCGATAAAAATCTGAAAAATGCTAGATTTTCTCTAGTTTTTCAGATTTTTATCGGATATTTCAGAATTTGACTTGGAAATTCGAGCGGAGCGAGTGTAGACCGCAACCTTCCGCGTAAGCGGCCACGCGGTTTAATATGACGTTTGCCATATCATAGTAAACCACGTGGCCGCTGAAGCGGAAGACAGTGCCGCTTCGCGGAATCTAGCGGTTTACACTCGCTTCGCTCGAATTTTGGGCATAGCTTCCGCATCTCCGCTGAAATTCCAATAAAAATCTGAGAAATGCTGGAATTTCAGCACAAATTATGAGACGATTCAGAAACTAGTTTATAGTTACTAAATCGTCCCATAATTTGTGCTGAAAATTTCAGTTTTCAGATTTTTATCGGATATTTCAGAATAGGACTTGGAAATTCGAGCGGAGCGAGTGTAGACCGCAACCTTCCGCGTAAGCGGCCACGCGGTTTAATATGACGTTTGCCATATCATAGTAAACCACGTGGCCGCTGAAGCGGAAGACAGTGCCGCTTCGCGGAATCTAGCGGTTTACACTCGCTTCGCTCGAATTTTGGGCATAGCTTCCGCATCTCCGCTGAAATTCCAATAAAAATCTGAAAAATGCTGGAATTTTCAGCACAAATTATGGGACGATTCAGAAACTAGTTTATAGTTACTGAATTGTCCCATAATTTGTGCTGAAAATTCCAGTTTTCAGATTTTTATCGGATATTTCAGAATAGGACTTGGAAAAGGGAATTTCGAGCGAAGAGAGTGTAGACCGAAAGCTTCCGCGCAGCGGCCACGCGGATTAATATGACGTTTGCCATATCATAGTAAACCAGGTGGCCGCTGAAGCGGAAGCTTGCGGTTTACACTCGCGCTCGGCGCTCGATTTAAAATTTGGTTATTTCGACGAGGGACTAGATTTTCTAGGTTGAAAATCTAGTCCCTCGATTTTCCCTTTATAAATTTCAAAATTTTTATCAACTGCGCTCTACCGCAAAAAACTCACAGCTCTTTCTAGCTGGCCATTGATCTTGTGGAATTCGCTCATCTTCGAACTCTTGTCCGGCAACCGCGAAAATTTGACGAGCAATTTCTCCGGCTCCACGAATTGGGAAATATGACAATTTGTAGTGAACCATGGTTTTTAGCTTGAAAATTGAAATTGAAATTGAAATTCAAAAATTCGAGTATTTGTTCTGGGCACATGGCCACCTTTTTATACTTTTTCGCCTCGATTTCTCTGCGTCTCTTTTAGTCATCACTCTCGCGAGAGAGAGTGTGAGAAATTGGGAGAGCGCAGAGAAATCAACACAGACCACAAACTAACAAAGGGGAGGAGCGATTTTTTGAATTATCATCGTTTTTTGAGATGACGATGACTAAAGTGTAGTTTGTTGTCAGCATTTTCGAGGAAAACACACGTTTTTGATGATTTGGAGAAATTCGAAATGGTTATGACGTGGCAAAAAACGTGAAAATCTATTTATAAACTCATTTCTCACCAAAATTCGTGACTTTTGTCAAATTTTAAAATTTCTCACAGAAAAAAACAAATTTGCTTTTATCAAAATCGTAAAGTTAATGAATCCGATAAGAAAATTGGTCTTCAAAAAACAAAACACAAAAATTTTTGACAAAAAACATATTTTTCTGTTTTTCATCGAAAATAACAAGATGTAGGTAAATAAAAATGTGGAAAACACGATTTTGCAACAATGCATGGATTATTTTAACGACTGAAACATCAAAAACACTGGAAAATTGGGGTTTTTAGGGGAGAAATAAAATTTTTTTGCAAAAAAAAGAATTCAAATGCAAACGGGTCTTGCAACGAAGAGCTACAAAAGTTCAAGGAACACACAGAAAATTGAAATGGTCTCGAAGCGACCCAAAAAAACGTGGCAACATTTCTTGTTTTTTCCCAGTTTTCAGCCATTTTCAGCACGACAACTTCGGTTTTTTCCAGCAGCAACCATGCCAAAAGGCGGGAGCTGTGCAATGCTGCCAGTGACAGCTGGAGTCGCTGATGATTTGAGTCGACTTCTTCGCGTATTCATTGCTGGTCGAAAATATCAGCACGCAGACTTCAAGGAACTTTTCAAAAGAATGAATATGGTCACGATTTTCAATGGAAGAGATTATTCAGCGGAGATTATTGAGGTAAGGGCAATTTCAAAGAAATTTCCAGCAAAAAATCTTTTTTTTCAGTTCAACGAATCACTTCTCGCAGAATGTGTTGTGTATTTGGAGCCATATTCTTCGCCACAAGTTAAAAGATGTTTTGAAGAGCGGCTTTTTGGTTTATACACAATTCACACTTTCTTTTATCTCCAACAAATGGACCATGTTATGAAAATTCGTATGGATCCAGATATTTATCAACATTTCAATTGTTTTGTTGAACAATGTCGAATTGAGGGATATTTAGATGCTTTTGCATGTGGAGCACAATTGAAAAGGGATAAGGCTTTTAAAATTGTGGCTTTTGTTGGATATGTGAGTGCCTGAACCTGGAAATTTCCCCAATTTTTTGAAAATTGGGCAAATTTTCAGGTTCTGGCGCAGCAAAATCTATTTCTTCAATAAAATCTGGTTGAACCTGGAAAATTCCCCAGTTTCTCAGGAAATCGGGGAACTTTTCAGGTTCAGGAACCTGGAATTTTGCCAATTTTTCAAAGATTGGCAAAGTTCGGGGTTCTCGAAAAAATCAATAAATCAAGAAAAACTGCCTGAACCTGAAAATTTCCCCAATTTTTCGTTAAAAATGAAAAATTGTGGAAATTTCCGGGTTCTCGCGCAGGGAAATCTATCGCCAATTTTTAATTTTGATTAAGAAAAATGCCTGAACCTGGAAAATTTCCCAATTTTTCGTCCAAAACGAAAAATTGTGGAAATTTTTGGGTTCTCGCGCAGGGAAATCTATCGCCAATTTTTAATTTTTATTAAGAAAAATGCCTGAACCTGGAAATTTCCTCAATTTTTTATTAAAAACGAAAAATTGTGGAAATTTCCGGGTTCTCGCGCAGGGAAATCTATCGTCAATTTTTAATTTTGATTAAGAAAAATGCCTGAACCTGGAAATTTCCCCAATTTTTCTTTAAAAATGAAAAATTGTGGAATTTTCCGGGTTCTCGCGCAGGGAAATCTATCGCCAATTTTTAATTTTGCTAAAAATTGTAAAGAAAAATGCCTGAACCTGGAAAATTCCCCGATTTTTCGTTAAAAATGAAAAATTGTGGAAATTTCCGGGTTCTCGCGCAGGGAAACCTATCGTCAATTTTTAATTTTGATTGAGAAAAATGCCTGAACCTGGAAAATTCCCCAATTTTTGATTAAAAACGAAAAATTGTGGAATTTTCCGGGTTCTCGCGCAGGGAAATCTATCGCCAATTTTTTCTCTCAAAAATCAATATTTTCAGCACGATCCAGTCTACCACCGTAATTTCGACACTGAAACAAATCTCAAAAAACTGCCAGCCGCCGTAAATCTCGATGTTCCTTTTGCGAATCTTCGAAATCTTCTGAAAACCGATAATTTTCTTCTTTTGGATGCGATGCATGAGAAATATGTGAAAATGAAACGAGATTTGGGTGTAAAATTCGATGGACCTTTGGAAAATCCGGTTAGATTTATGGAAAAAGATTTGGAGAAGTTAGAAGATGAATATTATGAGAAAAATCGAGTTAAGGATATTGTTGAGGTAAGGAGGAAAGTGCGCCCCACTGAAATATCGATTTTCCAACTAAAACCCGAAAAATAGCAAATGCGCTCTATTGAAATATCAATTTTCCCTTAAAAAGTCAAAATTTTTCTTTAAAATGCAAATGCGCCCCACTGAAATATCGTTTTTTCAATGAGAATTCAAATTTTCCCAAGAAAATGCAAATGCGCCCCATTGAAATATCGATTTTCCATGAAAAATTCAAATTTTCACAAGAAATTGCAAATGCGCTCTATTGAAATATCGATTTTTCTTTCCAGGAACCCGCCGCAGTCCCCGAATCAAATCGCAATAGATTGGATATCAAACATCAAGCCTATACATCAGATGTGAACTTCTCGAGGACAAGAAGACATCGAAATGCGCAGGGTAAGAGAAATATTGATTTTTTGGCTAGAAAATCGATAATTTTGAGCTAAAATTCATGAAAAATCAATAAATTTTTGCAGCCGTCCACAATCCTTCACAAATGTTCGATTTCATCAATAATAACGAAAATCCGGCGAAAAAATTGAAAAAATCTGAAACTTTGATGGATTTGGCTGCTGAAAATGATGAAAAACCCGAAATTCCGGCTGAAAAACCGAAAAAATCACGAAAAGCTGAAATTTCAGCCAAGAAATCGAAAAAAGCTCAAAATATAGATGAAAAACCGGAAATTGATGATTGGCCTGTGATTCCACCGGAAAGTCCGAGAAGATCTTCGAGAATTGCTGGAATTTCTGCGAAATCCAGAATCTGAAAAAATCGATGAAAAACCTGAAATTCAACCAGAAATTGCTGGAAAAACTGTAAAAGCTCAAAAATCTGCTGAAAAACGTCAAAAATCATCTGGAAATTCGAAAATTTCACGAAAATCTGCTCCAGAAGCTGAAAAAGCTCGAAAACCTATTGGAAGACCAAAAAAATCTGTTAGAGCTCAAAAATCCACTCCAGAGCCTGAAATTCACGAAGAGAAGCCTGAAAATGCTGAAAATTCATCAAAATCCACCCCAGAAGCTGAAATTCAACCTAAAAATGCTGAAAATTCATCAAAATCCACCCCAGAAGCTGAAAATGTGGTCAAAAAGGTTGGAAGACCAAGATCGAAATCTGTAAGAGCTCCAGAATCTGCTCCAGAGCCTGAAATTGCACCAGAAGCTGAAAATTGTGAAGTCAAACTCGAAATATCTGAAAATCCACAAAAATTGGCTGAAAATGTTGTAGAAGTGAAACTGGAAATTGAGGAAGCGGAATTTTCGAATTTTGAAGTCAAAATGGAAATTGAGGAAAATGAAGAAGCTGAATATCCGGGAATTTTGAAAAAAGTGAGTTTTTTGAGCTGAAAATTTGTGATTTTCAGATTTTTTTGGTTTAGAAAATGTAAAATTATCTGAAAATTTGAAATTTTCAGATTTTTTGGGTCTGGAAAGTTCTGAAATTTTTATTTCTACTGAAAGTACTGAAATTCATAATTTTCAGCTTAAAATTCAAAGTTTTTAGCTGAAAATTTGAAATTTTCAGATTTTTTGGGTCTAGAAAATGTGAAATTGTCTGAAAGTTTGAAAATTTAAGATTTTCAGCTTAAAATTCAAAGTTTTTAGCTGAAAATTCAAAGTTTTCAGATTTTTTGGTCTAGAAAGTTCTGAAATTTTTATTTCTACTGAAAGTACTGAAATTCATTGTTTTCAGCTCAAAATTCAAGGTTTTTGGCTGAAAATTAGAAAATTTTAGATTATTTTCTGGTCTAGAAAATGTAAAATTATCTGAAAATTCGAAAATTTCAGATTTTTTGGGTCGGGAAAGTTCTGAAATTTTTATTTCTACTGAAAGTACTTAAATTCATAATTTTCAGCTCAAAATTCAAAGTTTTTGGCTGAAAATTCTGAAATTTTCAGATTTTTTGGGTCTGGAAAGTTCTAAGATTTCAATTTCTTTTGAAAATCCTGAAATTCATGATTTTCAGTTCAAAATTCAAGGTTTTTAGCTGAAATTTTGAAATTTTCAGATTTTTTGGGTCTAGAAAATGTAAAATTATCTGACAATTCGAAAATTTTAGATTTTCAGCTCAAAAATTCAAAGTTTTTGGCTGAAAATTTGAAATTTTCAGATTTTTTTGGTTCTAGAAAGCTGTAAAATTGTCTGAAAATTCAAAAATTTCACAAATTCGCATTATTTTTACTCAAAAATCTTGTTTTTGGCCTGAATTTCATGATTTCCAGCATTTTTGTGTCTGAAAATCTCAAAAAATCAATAATTTGTATTCCAGACTCCATCTTCTCTTATTCGAATCCCAAAAATTCAAAGTCGACGAAAAAGTGTGCAATTTGCTGCTGAAATGACTGAAATTCGAGAATTTACGCCAACTCGTGAGAATTTTCGAATTTTTGACTGAAAATCTGAAATTTATCGATTTTTTCCAGCTCAACTTTCACCCGAATATGCTCAAAATGATGATTGGGATTTTGATGAATTTTCAGCTGAAAATTTTCCAGAAATTGCTCCAAATCCAGCAGAAGAAGCTGAAAATGATTCAGATTCTGATGAAAATCCACAAGATGCTGAAATTGGACTGAAAATTGATGAATTGAGAGGTATTTTTGAGAAAAAACCTGAAAATTTGGCTGAAAAATCGATAATTTCAATTTCAGTTCCAAAAATCGAAGAAGAATCACCAGAAGCTGCTCCAATTGGTCGTTTTCGATCAAATTCAGAATTAAATGATTGGATGGAAGATGACTCAGATTAGGCCACGCCCACTTTTCTAGGCCACGCCCCCTTTTTCCGTATTTTTTGATTTAAAATCATGTAAAATTTGTTTTTTCTCTGTTTTTCTTTATAATAATTATGAATTTTTGATTTTTTTTGGAATTAAGAAAAAACTGTATTCAAAATCAACAACAAAAAGAAACAATAAACAACAAAAACAGTGAAAATCTGAAATTTCCAGTCAAATCTCTAATCCTCATCACTCCAATTATCCAAATCTGCAAATTTATCTGGAATTGTTGAATCGGCTTTTTTGGCAGCTGCTCCAATTTTTGCTCTTTTTCTCGATTGTTTTGGAACTGTCGGTTTTTCTTCTTCAATTTCTTCATCTTCGTCACTTTCAGCCTGAAAATTGGGGGAATTTCAGAAAATTTCAGACAAAATTCAACTCACCGCTTTTCTTTTCTTATTATTTCCAGATTTCGCTTCTTTTTCTCCACTCTTCTTCTCCAAAATCGATTTTTTCTGAAAAATTCAAAACAATTTTGGTTTTTTTTGAAGGAAGGATTGATCATGTTAACAACTTCTAATTGAATTTTTTGCCCAAATTTTTTTGATAACTAACTCATAAAAAATCTTCAATTTTGCTAGTTGTTTATCTATTTCCTTTTTATTGCATTTTTTCCCAATTAATGTGTAATTTTTTGTTTATCTTTGATAATTCCAAACATAATTTCTACTCATAAAAAATTTGTGATTAAATTTTTTCATTTTTTTTTTCTTGTTAAAATTGTTGATGCCGCCTAAAAAAGATGATCTTACAAAGAAATTCGAAAAATTGCAAAATGATAAACTGGTGAGTTTATTTATATAGAGGTTATGACGTGGCAAAGAACATTTTCAGAAGGAAAAAAAATCCTATTGCTATTTCTTTTTACGTCCTGTTGAAATCCAAACAGCCTTGGACCCTGAAACTTTTCGAAAAATGATATTTTATATTGGACGAGGAACTGATGATCGGATTTGGAAACATATCAACAACATTCGGGAAAAAACTAAAGAACGGGACGAAGTGGTAGGTGGCTTTTTTTGAAACAAAAATTGAAAAAGTTAGCATAAAATCTTTGCAAATCGTCTAATGTTTTCAGATGTCTCCCAAAATGAATATGGTTCTGGAATGTTGGGAAAAATATAAATATTTTTACGTTGTCAAAGTATTCAATGGAATTCACAAAATCGATTCAAAATGTCGTGAATCTGTGATGATAACAGCTAAGGGGTTGAGAAATTTGACTAATAAAATTGTGAGTCTCAATTTTTCAATCTTAATTTTCAAAAAAAAAACAAAACATTTTTAGAATGGTTGGGAAATCGCAGAGAACATTATCAGCTTGGAAGATCAGAAAGAATATGGCGAACGTATGCTGAAAGCGTAGGTTTTGAGAACTTTATAACAACATTTTCTCGAGTTTTCAGAGCATTCGAGGAGGCTAGAAAGAATGAATGGGACAGGGTTGAGAAGGAAGAGTCGAAAAAGGAAAAAATGATGAAGGAAATGGGGGTGCAGCTATTTCGATGATCAAAAATAACGTTCTTCAACTAAAATCACATTTTATCAATTTATTTTCACTTAGTCAGATTTGTTTGACACAATTCAATTTTCAATAATCATCAGCTTTTTTTAAAATTCTGTTAAATATTCCTTCTGGTTTAAAAACATGAAACTTTGCATTTCCAAAAATGTTTTCTCAAAAAAACTGTATTCAAAATCAACAAAAAATTCAACCAACAGAAAGAATAAAACAACAAAAACAGTAAAAATCTGAAATTTCCAGTCAAATCTCTAATCCTCATCACTCCAATTATCCAAATCTCCAAATTTGTCTGGAATTGTTGAATCGGCTTTTTTGGCAGCTGCTCCAATTTTTGCTCTTTTTTCTCGATTGTTTTGGAACTGCCGGTTTTTCTTCTTCAATTTCGTCATCTTCGTCACTTTCAGCCTGAAATTGGGGGAATTTTCAGAAAATTTCAGACAAAATTCAAGAAATTCAACTCACCGCTTTTCTCTTCTTATTATTTCCAGATTTCGCTTCTTTTTCACCGCTCTTCTTCTCCAAAATCGATTTTTTCTGAAAAAATTCAAATTTTCAAAATTTCCCGCCAAATGTAGGTTCAAAAAATGCGCATTTTTCGCGCCAAAACTCACAATTTGTTGTCCAATCGTCTTTTCCTTGGCTTTCCATACTTTTTTCCCATTGTCTATAATAGGTTTTGAGCGGGGAATCGGGATTATTGAGCTCAAATCGAACCGCACGCTGAAAATTGGGGATAATTATTGATTTTTGACTGAAAATTCTGAAAATTTGGCTGAAAATAATCAATTTTCAGCTAGAAATCATGAAAAATCATCGATTTTGATCCAAAAATAGCAAATGCGCTCTATCGAACTCTCCCCATTTTTAGGGAAAATTCAAAAATTCATTTTTTTTCTCTGATGATTTTCAGATCTCAATTTTCAGCCCAAAAACTCACAATTTGCATTTCATCATTCAATCGAACATCTTTTCGCGCCAAAACATCCAAAACAAATTTCGAATGTTCCTTTAATTTCGTTTGAAGACCACGGAACAAATGAGTGTAGTCGCTGTTTTTCACATTTTCCAGGATGGACGAGATCTGCAAAGAAAAAAAAAAATTTGAATTTTTCGAGAAAACGGGGATTGTTCAATGGGGCGCATTTGCTATTTTGATCAATTTTAGCTCAAAATTCATTGAATTTTCCAAATTTTAGGTTCCAAGTGGAAAAGTTTGGCTTAAAACTCGTCAGAACAAAAAAAAAATTTGAATTTTTCTTCGAAACGGGGAGAGTTCAATGGAGCGCATTTGCTAATTTTAGTTAATTTTTAGCTCAAAATTCATTAAATTTTGATTTCAGGGTACTTTTCCTTGAAAATTCACGTTTTTTGGCTCAAAATTCTTCAGAACAAAAAAACCAAAAATTTGAATTTTCCTTGAAAACGGGGAGAGTTCAATGGAGCGCATTTGCTATTTTTGGCTCAAAATGGCTCATTTTTCACGATTTTTAGCTCAAAATTCATCAAATTTTCCAAATTCAGGTGGAAAAATGCAATTTTAGATTAAAATTCGAGTAAAATTATGTTTTTGGCTCAAAATTCTTCAGAGAAAAAAAAACTAAAAATTTGAATTTTTCTTCGAAACGGGGATAGTTCAATGGAGCGCATTTGCTATTTTTGGCTCAAAATGGCTCATTTTTCATGGTTTCTAGCTCAAAATTCATCAAATTTTCCGAATTTTAGGTGAAAATTGCAAAATTTCAGCTCTTACCCTATGATTAATCGGCAAAATGACATCGGAAAAAGCGGCATTGCTGGACAATAAATGTGCCGCTTGAATCATAACACGAAATACCGATTCGCACGCGGTTTTTCTCCATTGTGGTAGATCAGTGAATTGTGATGAGATTTTCAAAGTGCATTCGATATCCGGGATTTTGACAGCTCCTTTTGAGGGTTTTGGTTTGGTTTTTAGTTCGCGAACAAGTTCTTCGAGGGTCTGCAAAAATTTTAGGCCAAAAATGATGAATTTTGGTTAGAGAAGGTGGTTTTTACGTCAAATTTCAGCTCAAAATGATGAATTTCAACAATTTTAGGTTTCAATTATTCAAATTTCATAATTTCTGGTCAAATTTTGGCTCAAAATGCTCCAAATCCCATGAAAAACCCAAAAAATCAACTCACATCACACGAAAATTGCAAAATTGGAACATAGTTAGTGCAACTCGCTTGTAATTGAATCAAAAGTTGACAACAATGAAGGCGGAGTGGCAAAAATGTTGGAGCATTGCAAAGTCTAGAAAAAAAAATGAAAATTTGAATTTTTCCGAAAAACGGGGATAGTTCCATGGAGCGCATTTGCTAATTTTGGCTCAAAATCCATCAATTTTCATGATTTTAGGTCCATTTCAATCAATAATTTGAATTTTTCAGCTCAAAAACTCCCAAAATTCATTTTGAAAAAAAAATAAAAATTTGAATTTTCCTTGAAAACGGGGATAGTTCAATAGGGCGCATTTGCTATTTTTCATCAATCATAGGTCAAAATCCATCATTTTTCATGATTTCTGGCTCAAAATTTCGCGAATTTTCCATTTTCAGCCCTAATTTCTCACCTGAAAATACCAAGAATGACTTGAATAAGCGGATAAACCAATTCAGCAATCGATTCGGCTCCATTTACAGAATGTGATCTTGCGATAACTCGAACCCAAATATACATACATTGCATCATTTGCCAATTGTAAATCGAGAAAATCAAGTCCTGAAAAAAAATGAAAATTTGAATTTTTCTTTAAAACGGGGAGAGTTCAATAGAGCGCATTTGCCTATTTTGGGTCAAAAATGTCCATTTTTCTTGATTTTTAGCTCAAAATTCATCAAATTTATCAATTTTTGGCTCAAAATGCTCACTTTTCTTCCTTTCGCAATCATCGCATTTCTCAAGTGTACAGCAGTTTGTCGAATATAAACAAATGCATATTTATAGGCTTCATCCGGGTATAATAGGGTTAATTCGGCAAAAGTTCTGAAAATATTGAAATTTTGAGATAAACTGGGTACTGTAGGTTAAAAACTGGGATTTTTGGTGAATTTTGATCTGAAATTAATTTCAGGTGGTTACTGTGGTGCTGAAAATCGTTTCAAGACCCAAAAATTGATTTTTGGGGTACTGTAGCTTCAGAAAATCGTCCCAAGACCCAAATTTCTCAAAAAATCCAAATTTTCCACCTACAGTACCCGAAAAATCGTCTCAAGACCGGATTTCAACGAAAAATCCAATTTTAAAGGAACATCATTCGAAAAATCGTTCTAGGACCAAATTTCGGGTACTGTAGCTCTAGAAAATCGTTCCAGGACCCAAATTTCTCAAAAAATCCAAATTTTCCATCTACAGTACCCCAAAAATCGTGCCAAGACCCAAAAAATCTTACCTATGCATAAATTGCAAAAGTGGCCAAGTTTCATTGGTGACAATTTTCGAGTTGGCAACAAATGAGACATAGGCTGTTTTGTAGAGCAAAACAAAATGTTGCGGATAATTTTTGACGAGCAGATTCATGCAAACAAATGCAGAAAGACGACATTCCAGGGTTTTTCGGCTCCAAACTCGAGTTATTGACTGAAAATTTGGGATTTTTGAAGAATTTCAGGTCTAATGTCATTTAGAGAAAAAAAAAATGAAAATTTGAATTTTCCTTAAAAACAGGGAAAGTTCAATGGAGCGCATTTGCTATTTTCACTCCATTTTTGGTCAAATTCAGATGAGAATTCATCATTTTTCTATTTTCTGACTGAATCTGTTGAACTTCGGCTCAAAATCCACCAAGGAAAAAAAAAGAAAATTTGAATTTTCCTTGAAAACGGTGAGAGTTCAATGGAGCGCATTTGCTAATTTCAGTCGATTCTGGGCCAAAATCCATCATTTTTCATGGGTTTTGTGTCAAAATTCATCATTTTCAGCCAAATTTTCAGATTTTCAATTAGAAAAAGCTCACCTTGATCAATAATTTGGTCATTCTTGCAAAATGTGCATAAACATCGACTAATCTTGTAATTGCTTTCAAACTCGAACTGATCACATCAACTGTTTGCACTTCGTTCAAAAACTGCAAAAAAAATTAGGGAAATCTAGAAATTTGAATTTTTCGTGAAAACGGGGATAGTTCAATGGGGCGCATTTGCTATTTTTCGTCAATTTTGGCTCAAAATCTATCATTTTTAATTGGAAAAAATGATTTTTATATCAAAATCGATTGGATTTTGATGAAAAAATGTTTTTTGGGTAAAAATTCAAGAAATAAAAAATGAAAATTTGAATTTTCCAGAAAAACAGGGAGATTTCAATGGAGCGCATTTGCTATTTTTCGTCAATTTCAGCTCAAAATGGCTCATTTTTCACGATTTTTAGGTCAAAATTGATCCAAAAAATCCCAAAAATCTTACCACAATCATAGCATGTAAATAAGTGCGAACACAATTTTGATACTTCTTGATGGCCGTTTTCGAAAATGCAATTTTTCCAGTCATCTCATCTTTTTTGGCATTTAAAAGACGGTGTAAAACATGTGGCATTGCTTGAAAACAAAGACGAATTACAGCTTCGAATATACTTTGCTCATTTATAATATATTTTGGTGCTTCGATATTTGCACCAACTCGGGCGACACAAGCAACAAATACATCGATTGCCATTTTCGCGTCAGATGCATCGATTGGAGTATTCTGGAAGCGGAAAAATATAGTTTCCGCGTGTCGGCTGCGCGGAAGCTACGCGGAAGTTACGCGGAAAAACCACCCACCTCATCTTCCAACGCCAAAACTTGTTGTAAATATGAATAAACCGTCGAATCGACAATAAGTCGTCCAGTTGAATGATCGGTTTTTGCTTTTGGTTTTCGGACTGCAAAAAATTTTGAATTTCAGGTCAAATATGTGAATTTCTGGTGAATTTTGACCCAAAAATTATTTCCGGGTCAAAAATCATCTGATAGAGAAAAAAAAAAAAATTTGAATTTTTCTTCAAAAGGGGGATAGTTCAATGGAGCGAATTTGCTATTTTTGGCTCAAAATCCATGAATTTTCATAATTTTAGGTCATTTTTAATCAATAATTCGAATTTTCAGCTCAAAACACAAGATTTCCAGCAAAAATTGCTCAAATTTTCGAAAAAAAAAAGAAAATTTGAATTTTCCTTGAAAACGTGGAGAGTTCAATAGGGCGCATTTGCTACATTTAGTCAATTTTCCCTTGAAATCCATGAAAATTAAGATTTTCAGCAAAAATTGCTCAAAATTCATCTGAAGAAAAAAATGAAAATTTGAATTTTTCGCGAAAACGGGGAGTGTTCAATGGGGCGAATTTGCTAATTTTAGTTAATTTTTAGCTCAAAATTCGTTAAATTTTCCAAATTTTAGGTTCCAAGTGGAAAAGTTTGGCTTAAAACTCGTCAGAACAAAAAAAAATGAAAATTTGAATTTTCTCTAAAAACGGGAATAGTTCAATAGAGCGCATTTGCTAATTTTAGTTAATTTTTAGCTCAAAATTCATCAAATTTTGATTTCAGGTCACTTTTCCATAAAATTCACGTTTTTTGGCTCAAAATTCTTCAGAACAAAAAAAAAATAAAAATTTGAATTTTTCTTCGAAACGTGGAGAGTTCAATAGGGCGCATTTGCTACATTTAGTCAATTTTCCCTTGAAATCCATGAAAATTAAGATTTTCAGCAAAAATTGCTCAAAATTCATCTGATAGAAAAAAAAATTGAAAATTTGAATTTTTCTTCAAAACGGGGAGAGTTCAATAGGGCGCATTTGCTCTTTTTAGTCAAAATCCATCATTTTTCACGATTTTTTCACAAAAACCCCCAATTTTCCCACCTTTTTTCTTCTCCTTTCCCTCAATTTCATCATTTTCATCACTATCCTCATCATCTTCCTCATTTTCTTCATCTAATTCCAATTCTTCATCTTCCAGATCTTCTTCATCAATTCCATCATCGTCTTCTTCTTCTTGCAAATTCAACAAATCCGCATCTTCTTGTTGCAAAAACTTGAAAAATTCCGGATCAGTTTGAGCGAGTCTGGAAGAAGGGAAAATATGTCAGGATTTTTGACGGCCAAAAAATTGAGGTCGGGTAGGTATTGGATGGTGTGATTTCGTTAGAATTTGGGTTAGGGTAGGGAAACTATGGTGTGATTTTTGACACCCTTTTAAAATTCGACTGTAGGAGTTTTCCGGTGATATTTTCTACCAAATAAACTGAAGCTAGTCAAAAATCACACTATTTTTCTCCTACCCAACCCAATTTTCTTCAAATTCCACCATTTTTTCACCCAAAACTCACTTTTCCAAATCCAATTTATGTTTTTTCATTCCACCCTTCTGATTTCCAACAACTTCATCATCATCACTTTCAACTTCAGAATCTCGAACTTCTCCCTCGATTTTTTCAGCTATTTCATCTGGAACTTCTTCTGGAACAGTTTCAGCTACTTTTTTCACTTGTTTTTTGACAATTCCAGCTTTTTTGATGCTTTTTTTGAGCTTCATCTGGAAAAATCGTAATTTTGAGGATTTTGGTATGAAAAATCAAAATTTTCGAGAAAAACTGCATCAGAAAAGTTACCCTAACTCTAATTATGCCAAAAAGTTAGGATAACTAGAAATCAGGGTTTACAGCAATTTTCCTAGCTCAAAAATCAAGATTTCCAGCAAAAATTGCTCAGATTAAATTTCGAAAAAAAATGAAAATTTGAATTTTTCGCAAAAACGCGAAGAGTTCAATAGAGCGCATTTACTATTTTTAGTCAATTTTGGCTCTAAATCGCTCAATTTTCATGATTTTTAGCTCAAAAAACTCAATTTTTTCCCAGAAAAGCCAGATTTTCAGGCAACTTGTATAGTTCAAAAACAGGTTTTCTTCTCGATTTCAAAATCCCGGCCGAAAAAGTGAAAGTTTTCGATTATTTCGAAAAATGTGTTTCTTCTTCTTCTGTTTTCTTTTTTTCTTTCCGAAATATCCCTTTTTTCGGATCGAGGTCAATCGACTTTTTATTTTCTATTTTGTATATTTTTTGAATTTTTCGCCGAAATTTTTTGTTTATGAAGTTTGTATAGAAATTTATTTTGCAAAAAATCGATTTTTTTTTCAAAATTTTTAACTTGAATCCAGTCGGAACTTCAAAAATAAGATAATTTTCAAGTTTTTTTCATTTTAAAAAATTTTAAATTTCGATTTTCAGTTGAGAAATTCAGAAAAAGCCTAGAACTTCAGAATCTGGCCTAGAAATCCAAAAATAGGCTTTGAAATCGGATATTTAGCTAACAATCTCATAATTTGGCCTAGAAATCCAAAATGAAGCCTAGAAGCCCAAATTTTGTCCCAGACTCGTAAAAAATGGTCTAGAAGTCCTAAACCTGGCCTAAAAGCTCAAAATTCGGCCCAGAGCCCTGACACTAGGCTTATGAGTCCCAAATTTAGCCTGGGAGCCCAAAAAAATTTCTAAACCCCTAAAACTTCCCGAGAAGTCTAAAAATTCCAAAATTTCCCTCCGAAAACTCTGAAAAATCCCGCTATTCTCAAAATTTCAAGTTGTTTTCAAAAAAAAAAGTCTATGCAAACAAGCTTGTTGATTATTTTTGCCATAAAAACTACACTTGACCTCAACTTTTATCAGTTTTCATTATTTTCATGTTCAAAAAAACACATTTTGACTAGAAAATGTTTTTTTTTCTAAAGCCTAAGCCAGTTCTTTTTATTTTCTCAGAGAAAACTTGATTTTCTGGTGAAAACCAAGAAAAAATTGATGAGATTTCCTATATTTTATGGGCTTGCGAAAGGTTTAGACTATACATTTTTATGGTTATTTTAAAGGAACATACAGTACTTCCTCAGAAGTACTGTATGTACCTTCAAAAACATATTGTTTATCCTAAACTTATCTAATTTTTAAAGGGACATACAGTATCTTCCATCTCTCTGAAACTGTCTGAAACAGGATTTCAGACCCTTCCAGGTCCCCAGAAGTACTGTATGTTCCTTTGAAAATTCAATAATCGTAAGCTTATATATTTAAAGGAACATACAGTATTTCCTCAGAAGTACTGTACGTCCCTTTAAAAATCCAATTTATCCTAAACGCATGTAATTTTTAAAGGAACATACAGTATCTTCCATCTCTCTGAAACTGTCTGAAACAGGATTTCAGACCCTTCCAAGTCCCCAGAAGTACTGTATGTACCTTTAAAATCCAATTTAATTTGAGCCGAAGCTTATCTATATTTTTTAAAGGAACATACAGTACTTCCTCAGAAGTACTGTATGTACCTTTAAAAATCCAATTTATCCTAAACTTATCTAATTTTTAAAGGGACATACAGTATCTTCCATCTCTCTGAAATTGTCTGAAACGGGATTTCAGACCCTTTCAAGTCCCCAGAAGTACTGTATGTTCCTTTAAAATCCAATTTAATTTGAGCCGAAGCTTATCTATATTTTTAAAGGAACATACAGTACTTCCTCAGAAGTACTGTACGTCCCTTTAAAAAATCCGATTTATCCCAAGCTTATCATTTTTAAAGGAACATACAGTAGTTTTCCATCTCTCTGAAACTGTCTGAAACAGAATTTCAGACCCTTCCAAGTCCCCAGAAGTACTGTATGTTCCTTTAAAAACCTTTTATTTATTCTAAACTTATCCAATTTTTAAAGGAACATACAGTATCTTCCATCTCTCTGAAATTGTCTGAAACAGGATTTCAGACCCTTCCAGGTCCCCAGAAGTACTGTATGTTCCTTTAAAATGCAATTTTTTCAGAATGTTCACATTATCCTACACAGCACACACCGTGATTTCGATAAGTTTGCATTTTATCGGAATTTTCGTCGGACTTTTTGTTTGGTATTTATTCCCGAAACATGTGAGTTTGGTGATTTTCAGCAATTTTCAGTGAATTTTTGGCTTAAAATTTCAGTTTTTTGGGCAAAAATGGTCCCAGAAGTCCAAAATTCCTCAAATTTCCACTCAAAATCACCTAAAAACACCCCCAAGTTACCCTAACTCCCCTAATTTTTACAGCCAACTCGTTCAATAGTTCAATTACCACACGAACGTATTGCATTAGTAATCGAACCATCTACAGTAATCGGAAAACCCGAAAATATGATATTTTCGTCGGGCGGAAGTGATAAACTTATCGATTTTGATACTTCGCCAGTTTCAGCTATTCGAAATTATGGTTAGGAGAGGTGTAATTGCGGAGTGTTGTTGTTAGGATAAGAATACGTGTATTTTTGAGTGGAAAATGAAGATTTTTTGAATTTTTGCATGAAAAGAGGTGTAATTGCGTAGTGTCGTTGTAATTTTTGAGATTAAAACTCACTTTTTGAATAGAAAAACAGTTAGAAATGATAAAAAATCGATTTTTTTCGAAAAAAAAATAATTGAACGTGGAAAAAAGGTCACGCTGAATATTCAAATTTTTAGGATAGAATTTACGACACTCCGCGATTACGCTACTAGAATTTCAGCTAATTTCATCAAATTTTAGACGGTTCTAGGATTTTTGAACCGAAAATCTCGAAATTTCCGATTTTTCATATATATTTTCTGTAAAAATCAGGATTTCAACAGAAAAATCTGAAATTTCAAGATTTCTGGTTCAAAAAACCTAGAAGCGTCTAAAATTTGATGAAATTAGCTGAAATTCCGGTAGCGTAATCGCGGAGTGTCGTAAATTTTAATTCAAAAAAATAAAATCAATATTTCACCGTTAAAAACGGAATTTTCTCAAAAAAATCAATAAAACACATGAGAACTTTATATATAACAGAAAATATGGGGTAATAAATTAAAAATCACTGGGTTTTTTGGAATTAGGTCAATTTTAAAGCAAAAATTGGGAAAATTACAGTTTTTGGGTTAAAAATTGGCCATTTTTCATGAATTTTACATCAAAAATTATATTTTTTCAGCTGAAATTCCAGTAAAAATTGAAATTCCGGTCGAATTATCCGCCAGCCAATCGAATAAGTTCATCTAATCCAGTTGGTCTCCAAACAAATTCCTTCGGGTCCATCACAAAAACCATTCCTGAATCGATGTACATTGAAACTGTTCCGAACCAATAAACCTGCAAAAAATTGGGGGATTTTAGGTCTGAAATTTGAAATTTCAATAGGAAAAGCTTGAATTTCAGCCAGAAATCATATTTTTAGGTCAAATTTTGAGAAAATTGTGAGATTTGGGGATTTTAGGTCTGAAAATGGCCTGAAATTTGAATTTTCATGGGAAAAAGCTCAATTTTCAGCCAAAAATCAGATTTGGGGATTTTTGAGCTTCAAAATGGTGTAAAACACTTTTTTTTGTATTGCTCATGTTAGAATTGGAACAAAAAAGATTGCTCATGTTAAACTTCAAATTTTTTAGCATTGCTCATATCAGAATTTCACCAAAAATCTTGAATTTACCATCAAAACACCCTAAATTTCAGTCTGAGCTCAAATTTTCAGCCAAAAATCATATTTTCAGGTCAAATTTTGAGAAAATTGTGAGATTTGAGGATTTTTAAGCTTCAGAATGGTGTAAAATTTGAATTTTCATATTTTTGCTGCGAAATTCAATTTTTCCCACGTGGATTAAATTTTGACGTAAACATTCTTCAAATTTTCTCTAGAAATTCGAACTTTTCATCAAAGCCTTTGAAAATCTGGCATTGCTCATGTTAGATTTCAAATAAACAAGATTACTCATGTTAAATTTCAAATTTTCCATCGCAAAAGCATTGCTCATATCATAATTTCACCATAAATTTCGAATTTCCTATCAAAATACCCCAAATTTCAGCCTGAGCTCAAATTTTCAGCCAAAAATCACATTTTTAGGTGAACTTTGAGGAAATCGTGAGATTTGGGGATTTTTGAGCTACAAAATGGTGTAAAATTTGAAATTTTCATATTTTTGCACTTGCCACGTAGATTTTTGATGTGAAAACTTACAAAATTCTTGGAAATTGTCTCACAAATTCAAATTTTCTTTAAAAATTAAAAAAAACTCATTTTTCATCAAAATCTCTGAAAATCTGGCATTGCTCATATCAGAATTTCCCCAAAAATCTCGAATTTCCTATCAAAAAGCCCCAAATTTCAGCCTGAGCTCAAATTTTCAGTCAAAAACCATCCTTACCTGTCTTCCATCCTTAAATCGATCCTTTTGCGGATGATAAGTGAATCCATTCCGCGCAGCAGTCATTTCAATCGCATCTTTCAATGATATTTGTTGAACTTGCGGCCTTGGCGCGAAATTTGGTGCCATTTGCGGCTGTTGCGGAAGCGGAAGCGGAAGCGGCAAATTCGAAACCCGCTCGCCTTGCATCGATTTTCCAATACAAATCAGTGATCTTTTCAACCAATCGGTTACTGTAGGGAATTGCGCAATTTTTGGGGGAATTCGATTTTTCCATTCTGAATACCACATTTTCACTTCGCCTATATTTGCATTTGGTGAATCCAGCCAACGACACAATACTTCGATAAACTGCAAAAAATTGGAAAATTTTCGAATTTGGCGCCAAAAATCCACGTTTTTTCCGGGAAAAAATTTGAATTTCTAATATTTGGCGGCGAAAATCAGCGTGGCCTAGTTTTTAGCTAAACTCGGCCACGCCTATTATTGGCGCTAAAAATAGAAATTCAAATTTTTCAATAAAAATATTTTTTTTATTTTTTTTTCGAAAAATGTACGAATTTTTCAAAATCTACTGCATCAGAAGTGATTTTCAGCATTTTCAGAAAACAAACCAGATTTGAAGCAATTTTCAATTGAAAAATGATAAAAATCAAGGTTTTCGACCAGTTTTTCAAAGAAACTCGACAATTTTGGTTTGAATTCGTTTTTCCGCAAGCTCACAAGTTTTCAATCAATATTTTGCGATTTGAAGTCGGGGACTAGGTTTTCCAAAATTGGTTTTCTAGTCCCCGCCTCAATAAATCGCGAATTTTACATTTTCTGGTGTTAAAAACGACAAAAATCTTTAATTTTTGGTCCAAAATACCCCAAAAAGCCCCATTTTCAAGCCTAAAATCAAGATTTTCATGAAAATTCTCAAATTTCGCTCCCAAAACCCCGCACCAACCCTTGGAAAGAAGTGTTTCACGACAATATTAACAATAGGATCTGGTGGTTGAATAAATTCCATCCAATCCATCACCGCCTTCCATTCTTCATATTCTGGATTCAATCTTTGGATTCAGCTCCATTTCTTCCAACGATTTCGCCAATTTCGGTACAATATTTTGTGCCAAAAAAGCGGAAAATGTTCCCGTCGACCAAACATCTTTCCACGGTCTGAAAAAACTTGATTTTTGTATAATTTTAGGCCATTTTTTCATCAAAATTAATATTTTCAGCTCAAAATTCATCAGGAAAAAAAAAATGAAAATTTGAATTTTTCGCAGAAACGGGGAGAGTTCAATAGAGCGAATTTGCTATTTTTCGCTCAAAATTCTTTAATTTTCATGATTTTAGCTCAAAAATTGATTTTTTCCTACAAACTGGGAGTGTTCGATGGAGCACATTTGCTAGTTTTAGCCAATTTTGGCTCAAATCCAATAATTCTTGATGATTTATAGCTCAAAATCATGATTTCCAGCAAAAATTGCTCAAAATTCATCAAGAAAAAAAAATGAAAATTTGAATTTTTCCCGAAAACGGGGATAGTTCAATGGAGCGCATTTGCTATTTTTCGCTCAAAATTCTTCATTTTTCATGATTTATAGCTCAGAAATCGATTTCTAGTGTTCGATAGAGCGCATTTGTTCATTTTAGTTAATTTCCCATTAATTATTTACCTTAAAATACCCATTGCACTTCGATCTTTCGGATCCCATAACTTCAGCGCTTTTTGTAATTTTTGTCGAATTGGTGGCATAACAATTTGTATTCGATCACCTAATATAACCAACCATGGAATAAGCCAAGAATGTATTGGAATTGGATCTTTTGTTGGATCCCAATTATTAACTCGTTCATTTATTCGAGGTATAATTAATTGTTCCAAAATATTCTCTTTTATCCAATTTGGTAATAAAGGAATCCAAGTTTCGATTAAATTCATCATTTCTTCCATTTCATCTCGCGGATCCCAGGAAAGTGTTGATTTTCGAAGAGAAGGTAGCCAACCTTCCCAAATTAATCGATCATATGCTGGGATTTCGTCTGAAAAAAAAATTTTTTGAGGAAATTTTGAAGTTAGGGGAACTTTCTGGACCTAATTTTGAAGATTGTTTCGATTTTCCCCTCAAAAATCCCAAAATCCACTTACCAAAACTACTTTTATTCATTCCAAAAGTGGATTTCATCGATTCTCCTCCTGTCAAAATCTCATTCCATTCTCTCATCAATTCAACACCATAAATTACATGTTCCGGATCCAAAGGACGCCAATTTTCGAAGAATTTTTGAAGCTGAAGAAAAAAAAAATGAAAATCTGAATTTTCCTTGTAAACGGGGTGAGTTCAATAGAGCGCATTTGCTATTTTTCGTCAATTTTCGGTCAAAAATCATGATTTTTCATGATTTTCAGCAAAAAATTCGTTTTCTGGGTCAAAAATTGATCAGATTTGAATTTTCAAAAATGTGAGCAGAGTTCAATAGAGCGCGTTTGTTATTTCCCGTCAATTTTGGGTTTAAATCAATCATTTTTATGAATTTCAGCTCAATATATACATCAAAAAATCGATTCCTAGTCGAAAATTTGCTATTTTCAGTCTATTTCGGCTCAAAATTCATCAGTGAAAAAAAAAAGAAAATTTGAATTTTTCAGAAAAACGGGGAGTGTTCAATGGAGCGCATTTGCTATTTTTGGGTCAAAATTCATCATTTTTTCACCATTTTCAGCTCAAAATCCATAAAAAATCACCCACCAAAGGTAAAACCACAGGAATTGCCACAGATTCCAGGCTATAAATCCGATATTCATTCGGATATTCGTTTCTCAATTTTCTCATTAATTCTTGGCATTCATTCATTCCAGCATTATTTCCAGCTGCAAATCCATTGATCAAACTATAAACATTCTCAATTTTCTTCTGTTCATTTTCCTCATTTTCCAATGCATTTTTGATCTGTTTTCGATCATATTCCAATGCTGTTGTTTGATCTTTTATTGATATTATTTGTTGATTTTTTCTTCTTATAGATTCTTCAGTCAAATCAACTAATAAATTCAAATTATGAATTAATTCAGGAACATCAAATACTTCTCGTTTTTCATCATCTTCTAATTCATATTCGGATTTGGTTTTCATTGAAAATGAATCATAACCTGCAAAAAAAAAGAGAAATTTGAATTTTCTTTGAAAACGGGGAAAGTTCAATAGAGTGCATTTGCTATTTTCAGTCAATTTTGGCTCAAATTCATCATTTTCTTTGATTTTCAGCTCAAAAATCATGATTTCCAGGAAAAATTGCTCAAAAATTCATTTTCGAAAAAAAAAATGAAAAATTGAATTTTCCTTGAAAACGGGGAGAGTTCAATAGAGCGCATTTGCTGTTTTTAGTATATTTTTGCTCAAAATCCATATTTATTGATGATTTTCAGCTCAAAAATCGATTTCTAATCAAAAATAAATATAAATTTTTGTGAAAAAATGTAATTTAGACTTCTGATTGTGTCCAAAATCAACTCATGGCCTAGAAACCCAATTTTTTTGATTTCTAGGTCATGAAGATTTTTCCGCGGACTAGAAAACCAAAATTTCATGGTTTTTGGTCATTGAAAACTCGTCCGTGGCCTAAAATACCAAGTTTTCATCGATTTGATCGAAAAATCTAGGTCCCGGCCTAGAAAACCAAAATTTACAAAATAAAAGCTAGTCCGAGGCCTAGAAAACCAATTTTCCCAGAATTTTTCATGTAAATTTTGTCATGGCCTAGAAACCCAAGGAATCAAGGGAATATTCAATTTTTCACGTTTTTCGTCAAAAATCAACAATTTTTCCGGAATTTTTCGATTTTCTAGTCAAAAATCGGCGATTTTCATGCAAATTTCCACATCTAGAGTGAAAAATCCCCGATTTTTCCACATTTTTCTTCCAAAAATCCCCAAAATCTCTAGACATACCCGAATAAACCCTCTGCTGTGGTCCAGTCATATCAATAACTTTAGTCTGCGCGTGTTCCCTCGATATTTTCGCAGAACCTCCATTTCCTCCCATTTTCTCCTCCATCACATCTTCCATTGTTTTGTATCTAGTTTGAACCCTCTGCGATTTCTTCCATCCTCCTTTAATCGATATTTTCTCTGGTTTCTCTTGATCATCTTCCTCGAATTTCCCTACAGAACCTCCAGAAGCCAAGCGTTTTTGCGCATCAGCTGCGGATTCTCCAAATTTCGGGCCCGTCATCTCTTTTCCATATGCTCCAACAGCTCCGCGTCCTTTCCGCAATGCCGCCTGCACTGGCTCAACAATTCCCTGTCCTTCCGCACCCAATCCTTCTCCTTGTTTATATCCCATACTTTCCATCATTTTCATCACAACACTTCCTTTTCCATGTTTCAACCAATCGCAATATTTATTCGGATCTATAGTTCCTTTTGTCGCGGAACTCCGCATTCCCGCAAACACTTCCGCGCCGTTTCTTCCGCTTTCTTTGGGTTTTGCGCGTTTTCCGAAATCGATTTGAATTGCACCGTCTTCTGATGTTTTTGATGAGGAATAAGTGGCTTGGGATACGGTATCCGGATCATTTTTATCGGGTTTTTTTGAGGAGCCTTGTTGAATTCCGCCACTCACGAATCCAACGGGAGCCGTGTATTTTCCACGTTTGCTGAAAAAATTCAAAATTTTCATCGGCCAAAGAAGTTAGAATAACTTTGCCTACACTCGCTCCGCTCGAAAAAAATTCAAAATTTGGGCATAGCTTCCGCATCTCTGCTGAAATTCCAATAAAAATCTGAGAAATGCTGGAATTTCAGCACAAATTATGGGACGATTCAGAAACTAAATTATAGTTACTGAATTTTCCTATAATTTGTGCTGAAAATTCCAGTTTTCAGATTTTTATCAGATATTTCAGAAAATCACATGGAAGGGGTATTCGAGCGGAGCGAGTGTAAACCGCAAGCCTCCGCACTATCTTCCGCTTTAGCGGCCACGTGGAAACTGTACGGATAGTAAACCACCTGGCCGCTAAAGCGGAAGATAGTGCCGCTGCGCGGAAGCTTGCGGTATACACTCGCTCCGCTCGGAAAAATTCAAAATTTGGGCATAGCTTCCGCATCTCTGCTGAAATTCCAATAAAAATCTGAAAAATGCTGGAATTTCAGCACAAATTAAGGGACGATTCAGAATATAAACTAGTTTCTGAGAAACTAGTTTATAGTTACTGAATCGTCCCAAAATTCGTGCTGAAAATTTCAGTTTTCAGATTTTTATCAGATATTTCAGAATGGGACTTGAAAAGGGTTTTCGAGCGGAGCGAGTGTAAACCGCAAGCTTCCGCGTAAGCGGCACTATCTTCCGCTTTAGCGGCCACGTGGTTTACTATCAGTACAGTTCCCACGTGGCCGCTAAAGCGGAAGCTTGCGGTTTACACTCGCTCCGCTCGAATTTTGGGCATAGCTTCCGCATCTCTGCTGAAATTCCAATAAAAATCTGAAAAATGCTGGAATTTTCTCCAGTTTTCAGATTTTTATCAGATATTTCAGAATAGGACTTGGAGGTTTGAGCGGATTGCTATGACGTGGCAAACCTGCAGCACAAGAATGCCACGTCATAGAAACCCACGGTTTCCATTCAAAAATCTTGAAAAATGATGTATTTTCGTCTAAGTATGCTGAAAACCGGTGAAAATAGCGCTAGAACCTTTTAATTTGTCTGAAAATCAAATTTCAGCTGGAAAATTACAATTCACGTCATTTTCCATCTAAAAATTCGATTTTCAGGCAACCTAAAAGCCCCTAGCGCTATTTTCAGCGATTTTCAGCACATTCACACAAAAACACATCATTTTTCAAGATTTGCGAATAAAAACTTTGAATTCACAGCTTTCCGAACAATTTTTCACAACAAACCAAGCTTTTCTTCATACTTACTTCACTGGTCCCTTGGAACTTCGTTCATCTTCATCACTTTCATCGCGAGTCGACCAAATTCCTGAAAATCTCAAACATTTCACAAATTCCCAATATTTCTGACCCCTGCGCAACTACACTATATTCTATTTCTGCAAAATCTATCAAATATCGCCCTCACCCCACCATAAGTAGCCTGTTCCTTTGACTGAAAATGTCGTCGTCCCGGATTCATCGCATATTCCAAATCCTGATCATTGATCTCAAATGACTCATTTCCCTCGTCATCCTCGTCCATTTTCCAGCGATTTCTGCCCTGAAAAACATATTAATCTTATCTATTACACTGTGCGACGAGACAACACGTGCGTTTTCCCTAAAATCATCTTTTTAGCGATTTTCTCCAAGTTTTTCTGATATTTTCTATAAAACCTCAATTCTCTAGAAAATCCCAATTCTTCTACAAACAATTTATTGCATCAAAAAAGGTGAGAAATGAAGAAAACAGCAAAACGTGAACAAACAAAAAAATTCGAAACAAAAATAAAACAACGACATTCCGCTTGCCCGTTGTTTAGCAGCGCGGCATTTCAAACAATAATTATTTTTTTCAGAAAAATGCGGATTTTATCGATTTTCCTGGGGATTATCGTGATTGCTCATGCCAGAGTCAACAGAACTGTTGGAGCACTTTGGAATCTTGAAGAAGTCACCGAATGCGAACTTCATTATAACGCTTTGGTAGGGTTTTATTGATTTTTCCTGGAAACAATGAGGAATTTCTAGGTTTATAACAATTATGGTTGTTGGTGTGGAATTGGAGGATCTCACGAACCTGTGGATGGTATCGATGAATGCTGTATGCATCACGATAAATGCTATGACGCGGCCGTAGATCAAAAAGTAAGAATTTTATTGATAATCTGAAGCAAAAACGCTCTATCGCACAGATTTGCCCCAACGTGGAATTCGAATACGTGGATGATTACACGTGGCATTGTATTGATAACGTGGCACAATGTGCTGATACCAACACGGGATGTAAAGCAGCAATGTGTGAATGTGACAAAAAAGTGGTGGAATGTTGGGGAAAATTCGCGAAACCTGAGAAAAAACCGAAATGTAATCGAACAAATTGGGCGCGACAAACTAAACATTTTCAACATTGAAAGAGAATTTGCATGTTCCTTTAAAAGTCTTTATTATCAGCATAAATTATACAAAGTTCACGGTAGTTTATCGTAAAAACCGACTACTGGACGGCGTTCCAATGAAAGTGTTGGCAAATATGGCGAATAGAAGAGTTTCTGCAAGAAATTACGTGTTTTTCTCTGCGCTCTCTCTAAAAGCAGCACTATTTTTTCGTTTTTCTCTGCGCTCTCTTCAAATAATACATAGGCGCTGCTTCTTTTTAAAAGGGGCGGAGCCTATTTCTCTGCGCTCTCTCAAAATAAAACATAGGCGCTGCCTAGTTTTCTCTGCGCTCTCTTCTAATTAAGCATAGGCGCTGCTTGTTTTCTTTATAAAAGGGGCGGAGCCTGTTTCTCTGCGCTCTCCACTTATTCTACACTATTTTTCGCTGTTTTCTCTGCACTCTCTTCAAAATCCACACTATTTTTCGCTGTTTTCTCTGCGCTCTCTTCCAAATCCACACTATTTCTCCTACCTCTTCCATAATTTTCCTTGATCTACTCGTCAAATTTCCCGGCAAATCCTCATCTTTCACCAAATGCACCACATTTTCCATCTCATCATCATGTTCCTTTAAAAAATGGGGGTACTGTAGAGACATCATTTCGCTGTAAGACCCACCTCTTCTTCACCAACTGCCACGTGGGTACAGTACTCGATTCCGCATTGTGATTGGGATACTGTAGCTGCGGGAGGTGCTGTGACACCAACCACCAAACGCTTCTCCGCGTGGATTTCCGAGATATTGGTGACACGTGGCGATTGGGGTACTGTAGGTATTGTCATGGGCGGTACGTAACGTGGCATTGGATGTGGCTGAACTTCGGGATGACGTGGCAAAATCTCGGCTGCGTTTTGAGCTGGAGTCGAGAAATAGTGCTCTATCGAGGAGAATTTGGGTCCTGAAACGATACATGGGGTACTGTAGATGGGGGTACTGTACCTTGAGAGGGTTCCGGAGGGTTATGACGTGGCAGCGGGGATTCTAGAAGTTCTACAGATCTTCTAGGTGTTTCCGAAGGTGTTACTGGTCCAGTTCGGTATTCTGGATGGTTATGACGTGGCAGAGTGGATTTTCCGAGTTCAGTGGATCTTTCAGTGACATCTAGGACTTCTACTGATCTTCTAGGTGTTTCTGAAGTTCCGGTATATCCTGGATAGTATTCTGGATGGTTATGACGTGGCAGTGTGGATTTTCCGAGTTCAGTAGATCTCTCTGTGACCTCTAGAACTTCTACAGATCTTCTAGGCGCTTCGGAAGTTCCGGTATATCCTGGATAGTATTCTGGATGGTTATGACGTGGCAAAGTTGATCTTCCGAGTTCAGTGGATCTTTCTCTGTGACCTCCAGAACTTCTACTGATCTTCTAGGTGTTTCCGAAGGTGTTACTGGTCCAGTTCGGTATTCTGGATGGTTATGACGTGGCAGGGTAGACTTCCCAACTTCCGAACTCATCTCTAGAACCTCCACAGATCTTCTAGGAACATAGCTCGGAACTTCGACTGATCTTTTCTCCAGCAAGATTTCGGTATTCTGGATGGTTATGACGTGGCAGGGTAGACTTCCCAACTTCCGAACTCATCTCTAGAACCTCCACAGATCTTCTAGGAACATAGCTCGGAACTTCGACTGATCTTTTCTCCAGCAAGATCTCATGTCGTTTCGGACCATCGGAGCTATGACGTGGCAAGCTTGAACTCTCAAGTTCTACTGATCTTCTAGCCGGCTCCGGAACTTCTCTAAATGTTCTAGCCTGATATTCTGCATGTTGATATCTAGGAATCGCCGATCTTCCAACTTCTTCCGATCTTTCAAGTGGAACTTCAGGATGAACATCTACTGATCTTTCAGATTGAACTTCAGTGGTAACTGGACTTGTAGAATTTTCAACTTCAAGATCTCGAATTCGATGATAACCCGAATTTTCTTGCTCATATTCCACGGGTACTGTATCATACAATCGATTTCCGCCAACTGGTTCGAATTTCAAACATTCTCCATTATTTATATCAACCAATCGATAAAGCTAAAATAATCTACAGTAACCCGGATTACTGTAGTCTCCTACCTTTTCCAATTTTTCCATCGGAATTGGGCTGTGATGTTTGAGTTGATCGTAGTGGCTGAATTCTTTGTGTGTGGGTGAAGCGGTACGGTAGGCGTCGATTATTCCGCCTGCGGAAAAAGAGTACTGTAGGGGGGTACTGTAGTTATGATCTAGAGAACATTTTGGAACTTTTTTGAAAAGCTTCAGATTAGGGTACTGTAGGTGGGGGTACTGTAGTTTTGATCTAGAGAAAATTTGGAACAATTTTGTGAGCTAAAGATTTTTTTCTAGTTTTTGGAAAGAAAAGTTTCAGATTAGGATACTGTAGGAGTACTGTAGATTTGATCTAAAGAAAGTTTGGAACAATTTTGTGAGCTAAAGATTTTTTTCTAGTTTTTGGAATGAAAAGTTTCAGATTAGGATACTGTAGAAGTACTGTAGTTTTGATCTACTGAAAATTTGGAACTTTTCTGAAAAGCTTCAGATTGGGTTACTGTAGGTGAAGGTACTGTAGTTTTAATCTACAAGAAATTTCAGAACCCTTGTTTAAATTCCAGATTAGAGTACTGTAGGAGTACTGTAGACTCTTCCTAGACCAAAATTTCACGTAGATCACGAATTTCTGGGTAACTTACCGTGTTCCGCTTCATTTTTGATGCGTAATGATTCGAGTTCCGCACCCTGCCTGCGTAATTCCTCTTTCCGGATCCGCTCGCGGAGCTCATCTTCCCGCAGATCGAAACTCTGCAAAATATTTGAATTTTGTGAGAAAAACCGCGACGCTTAGCCGCTCCGCACTCGAAAGAACTCATTTTTCTTATAAAATGGCTCAAAATCCATCAATTTTCACCATTTTTCCCCGAAAAAACCGCTACGCAGCCGCTCCGCACTCGAAAGCACTCACATATACGGTATCGGTGTGATGTTCCTTGCTGATTCGTCGAACTCCTCTCACTGTTCCCGGATTTTCCGAATCCACAATTTCGACGAATTTTTCCGGATTCCGCAAATCGTACGATTGACTGTGGCCCATTTTTGGAAAATCTGAAGAAAAAAATGTGAAAATAAAAATGTTATCGGAAGTTTTTAAATACCAAAAAGTTAGATAAGAATCTCGAAAAAGGGAAATTTCCTGTTCCGGAAAAAAAATGATCAGATTTCAGATTGAAAAATTTTTTTCAAATTTTTCCTCTCATCAAAAATGCATATTTGTTTTTGGCCAAAAAAAATGAGTCATTCCCCTCAAAAAAAAAATTTTATAGTCTCAATAAAAATTGAAAAGGTAAACAAAACAAAAATACACTACAGTAGGACAAAAAATGACGTCACAAGACCCAAAAAAAAAGATGGAGCTTCAAAATGAGGTACAGTAACCCGAATCTCCTCAATCTCAAGCTAAAAATCCTCATGTACCTTTAAAATCTACAGTACTCCTTCTCTCTCTCTTTCTTGTAGAAAATTTGTCGGGATATTTATAATAATAAAATAAAATAAAATGACATAAAATTTTGTTTATGATTTTTTTTTTGGATCCTCGGATAATTGTATTATACAACAAGACAGTAATAAATCGGAACCAGCAAAAAAATTTGATGTAAATTATAAGAAAAAAAGGAAAAGCTTGTTTTATTTAAAGGTTACTGTATGTTCCTTTAGGCTCTGAGAGGAAGCCGGGAATTTTGAAAATTCAAATAAAATGAATCGTATAGTTCTGGACACTCACAAAAAATCGTAAAAAAAAAAAAATATTTTCGGTGTCCAGAAACTTCGAACGCTTATTCAATAATCGAATCAAATATGCGAGAATAATAAAAATAAAAATATCATTGATAAAAAAGAGGTGTGTGCCTCCCTTTAATCATAAAATAACGATGACTCATGTTAAGCACACATAAATAAATAAGGCACAGTTTATTGATTTCCTATGTGAATAAATAAAACTGATAAAACTTATAGTGAAATATTGTGAGGGTCAAAAATGGGCGGAGCCTTGGAAATTTAAAAATATCATGGGTTACTGTAGTCTTTGATCGTTTCAGACTGCAATGAGTACGGTATGTGCAAACTGCAAATATTACTGTTCAAATAAAATTTACATCCTTTATTCACGTGACCCAATTTTTTTTTTTGAAAAAATACTCGCAGAAAAAATCATGTCAGTTCCAAAATTAGTAAATGAATAAAGAAGCAAATTTCTTAGTGTTATTCCTAATTTTGAATTGTTTTATAATTTTTTGTGCTGGTGGTAAGTTCAAAAAATAAGTTATCTCAAGAGTTTGGGTAACTTTTTTGAATAGAATTTTTTCTCGAAAATCTCAGAAAAATATTTCCGTTCTGATAGTCGATTCAAAAGTTATCTTAACTCGTGAAATTCATTTTTTAGTCAATATTCAAAATGTTCATAGGACCCCACTGTCTTCATAGTGAAGTAATTCTCAGTGATTGGTGCGATGATGATCATTATAACGTTGAATATTATGATCCTGCTAAAGGGGGATATGATCCCATAAATGGATGTTGTGGTAAGTTGTGATTTATAAAAATGTTCCGAAGTGTAGATGTTCTTTTGAGGCTCTATCGCAATATAAGGGTCCCATGGAAATATAAGGGTCCGTAAAAAATATAGGGGTCCGTAATTTTGTTCAAGGGTCCCAAAAAATATAAGGGTCCGGTTTTTTTGAGGGTCTATAAAAAAAAGTATTTTCAATTATTTATTTTTGGTGATTTTTTTTTTTTAATTTTTCACATTTTTTTAGCCAGTCAGTATTTTTCTAGGGGGTTTACTAAGCCTAAGCCTAAAATAATAGAGAAATTTTGAATCCTCTGGTAACTCTATTTTCGGCTTTTCAGCTTCAGAATTAGGCTTAGGCTTAGTAAACTCCCCGAAAATACAAAGAATCGTCAAAAAATCAAAAAATTAGACCTATGAAAAAAATCACGGACCCTTATTTTTTTTGGGACCCTTATATTGAGATAAAGCCAGAATGTTATATAAAAATGATATTTTCGAAAAATATTTTTTTTTCCCAGCTCTCAATTCTATCAAATGTCCTGGAAGCGACAAGCATCCAAAAAAGGGATGCGCCTACAGTGGAAATCATTTATCCATAATATTGCACCTTCCCTCTTCTGACAGTGTGTGTTGTGGTGAGATTTTCATATTTGTATAAAAAGTTGTATAAAAAGTAAACCCCCCTCTTCTTTAGAAAGGCAGAAATTTCTTGCAGATCTCAATTGGTACAAATGCCCGGCCGGAGAAGCACCAACACGATGGCCGTGTGAATCTGAAAGATATGAGTATGATTTACTTGGGAATGGACAGTTTACGTTTTGTTGCAGTAAGTTAATTCGTTGATGAATTTTTTATCCCATTATTCGACGTCCAAAAATGAAAAATGGGAGGAAAAAAAGAACGTTTTCTGTCCAAAAAAACAAGGCACATGCTGAAGTATGGTACAACCTGCACATCTAACTCGGTTACTGAATGGAAATTGGACAGGAAACTAACAAAAATATTCAAATTGCATAAGTCAGATACGCATGTTAATTCCGTGTAGTACGGTTGTTCCCAATCTGTTCCTTTAATCTGGAAATCCTAATTTTATGCATTTTGGACAAAAATTGTTCTATCTCTCTCTCTTTTTCTTTCTGGACGCCGCATAAAAAAGCTGTGTCCCAAAATATTTGTCCATATTTGATTTCAGCGCTTGCTCAATTTAAATGTTATGGTGGTGAACCGGCAATAAGAAGAGCACCATGTACATATTCACAATATGAAATGAAAATAGACGGTCACGATTTATGCTGTGGTAAGATCAGTGATTTTAACAAATACTTCTTAACTTATTGTAATTTTTGAGACCTTGGTAACCTGAAATGTTATGGTGGTGACGCGCCAAGAAAAAGCCTATCGTGTTCAGATTCAGAATATGAAATGAAAATAGCCGGTCACGATTTATGTTGTGGTAAGATCAGTGATTTTAATTTTTTTAATTAGGGCTGCACGATGGGGCTTGGGGGCGGCCCCTTCGCCCCCCCCCCACACGGGGCGAGAGCGCGAGCGATTTTTGCACCGGGTAGCTGTTTATTCATAAATATAAGATTATTATAATTTTTCAGATCTTGATAAATTGAAATGTAATAATGGAAAACCACCAACGATTTACCCATGCACAGAAAATCAACATGTAATGATGTTATATAATGATCCGTTCTGTTGTGGTAATGAAAATATAATGAAATCTATGTAAGAATTATCGAAATTTGGAATTTCAGGATTCGAAGAACTGATATGTCTCAGCGGATCTAAGCCAGCTAAGTTCAGACACACAAAACCGTGCTCAAGTTCACAATACAAAGCACATTTTCCGAAATATGGTTATTTTTGTTGTGGTAAGTCAAATACACCAGGGGGGTGGGGAACCTGGCCTCATGTTGGCTTTTGTGGGTTCGATGTTCACCTCTGAACTGGTTTTTATTTTTCACGTCCGCCACATTTTTCAACTTTGACAATATCTCTTTGAAGATATTGGTGGATTGACATGTATTGATGGAAAATCGCCAACAAACTTGCCATGTTCAGAAAAGCAATATGAAAAGAAGTATAATGAAGATTCATTGTGTTGTGGTAATGAAAATACAATGGAAAAAAATAGACAAAAACTGAAATTTCAGGGTTTGACGAGTTGAAATGTTATGGTGGAGATATGCCAACTAAAGAACCTTGTTCAAATTCCCAATACAAAACAAATTTTCCGAATTATGGTGATTTTTGTTGTGGTATTATCAAAATAAAAAAATTTGGCAAAAAAACGGAGCCCACAAATTCAAATGACACTCTTCCCAAGTACGGTGTTTCTTTCAGTCGCTGCGAGACCCATATGTGCGTCTTTGACTTTGTTTCTCTGCCCAATGGTGTGGTCTCGAAACGGTGTTAGTGACGCAAAGGAATACCGTACTTGGGGAAATTGGGATTTGAATTTCTGGCTTCTCTTTTTTGCCAAATTTTTTTACTTTTGATAATAAGTCGAATATAGCCCAATTTGTTTTCGGTGGCCTAGGATCCGACTCGGTTATTTTTTTTCTCACCACAATATTCGTGAATTTCAGGGCTTGATGCTTTGAAATGTATCGATGGAAAATCGCCAACTCATTTGCCATGCTCACAAAATCAATATGAAAAGAAGTTTAATGAAGATCAATTTTGTTGTGGTAATCAGAAAATTGAATGAAATCTATGTTTTATCGAAAATTGGAATTTCAGGGTTTGACGAGTTGAAATGTTATGGTGGAGATATGCCAACTAAAGAACCGTGTTCAAATTCACAATATAAAACAAATTTTCCGAATTACGGTGACTTTTGTTGCGGTAAGTAAGTCAAATACAGCTGGCGCCAGGCCGAATTTGTTTTCGGTGGCCTAGGATCCGACTCGGTTTCTTTTTTCAGGACTTGATGCATTGAAATGTTATGGTGGAGTTATCCCAACTCATGAGCCATGCACCAATTCACAGTACAAATCGGCTTTCTCGAAACTTGGTGAATTTTGTTGCGGTAAGTCAAGCGCTTTTTGAATTTTATAAATATCAAAATTTTGAAGATTTCGACAAGCTGAAATGTGACAATGGAAAATCGCCGACAAATTTGCCATGTTTGGAAGAAAATCAATATGAAGTGAAGTTCAACGAAGATCAATTTTGTTGTGATTTTGAAGATATTGTGTGCGCAGATGGTAAAACTCCATTATCCACTTCAAATGATCACGAAATGTATGAAAAGAAAAAATTGGTGCTCACTGGAGCACAAGTTTATTGTGGTAAGCATTTTAGGAACCCAGCAAAACCTATATATTTATTTTCAATTTCAGAACGATTCTTAGAATGTCCAAACGGAAAATTGGCTGAAAATTCGAAAGATTGCTTAAATAAAATAGTATTTTCTTTGGATTATAGTAATTTATTCGAAAAAGATTTAGTTTGTTGTGGTAAGAATTCATTTTTTTTAAATCAATCAAATTGTTTTGTAGAACCAACAAAAAGCTGTCAAGTTACTGGATCTTCTTTCGGTTTCAAATCAAAAATTGATGGAGAATTTGCGATGGAAAAGGCGAAATTGAAAAATTCGGAGAATTCGGGATATATTCATCAAGTTATCAAGGGAAAACAAAAATATTTGTGTCGTGAGTTGACTTTTCGCGTCGCGTGCGGCTGTGCGTTGCGGTCGGGAAAGACCGCGACGCACAGCCGCACGCGACGCAAAATATAATAAAATAATTTTTTAAGCGATTCCAATTGGTAGAATTTGGTCAAATATTTATAAACCGATTGAAAATCAAACAATTCCCTCGAAATATTTGCCAAATGATTTCAAAAATATGAATGAAAATGGGAAACCGCTGAAAATATGTGAGAAAAATGCGGATTGTGATGGATTTTGTGATGATTATACAACATTTGCTGAAGATCAAACTACACACAAATTTTGTTATGATTGTGGGTTTTTTTGAAGTCGGGGACTGGTTTTCATGATCATAAATCAATTTCGATTGATTTCGGTCATATTCATTTGAAAATCGTGAAAATTTGACTGAAAATGCTCAATTTTAGGCCGAAATCCTGATTTCGACCCAAATTTTTCAGAAAATCATGAAAAACAGGCTATTTTGAGCAAAAATTGACTAAAAATAGCAAATGCGCTTTATTGAAATATCCCCGTTTCTTGAGGAAAATTCAAATTTTCATTTTTTTTTGCAGATCCAAAAGTTCCATTGAATATTTCGAAAGATTATAAAATATTGATTGATTCACAAAAAACCAGCTTGCAATTTTGTAATTCAAATGAGCAATGTTTGAAATTGAAATCGAATACAAAATGCCTGAAAAATGGAGAAAATTGGAATTTTAAAGGAAAAAAATATCAAGGAATTTGTATTGAAAAACTTCCGGTAATTTTTTTTCAAATATTTTCTTTTTTTTTCGAACTTTCAATTTTCAGCAAAATTCCAATGAATTTCAAATTTTGGCTGTAATTATTCCAATTATAGTTCTAATTATTTTAATCGCTGGAATCACTGGATATTTTTTGTATGCGAAGAAATTCAAGAAAAATCGAGAAAAACCTGAAAAATCGGCTGCAAGTCCAAGTTTATCGAATTCAAAAACTCCGACGCAAAATACACCTATTTGAAATTTTTTTTGTAAATTGAAAATAAAAAAAAATTCATAATTATTATAAAAAAAACAAAAAAACAGAGAAAAAACAAATTTTACATGATTTTAAATCAAAAAATACGGAAAAAAGGGGCGTGGCCTAGAAAAGTGGGCGTGGCCTAATCTGAGTCATCTTCCATCCAATCATTTAATTCTGAATTTGATCGAAAACGACCAATTGGAGCAGCTTCTGGTGATTCTTCTTCGATTTTTGGAACTGGAATTGAAATTATTGATTTTCAGCCAAATTTTCAGCTTTTTAAAAAAATACCTCTCAATTCATCAATTTTCAGTCCAATTTCAGCATCTTGTGGATTTTCATCAGAATCTGAATCATTTTCAGCTTCTTCTGCTGGATTTGGAGCAATTTCTGGAAAATTTTCAGATTTTTCAGCTGAAAATTCAGAGAAAAAAATGTAGGTTACCATCAAAATCCCAGTCATCATTTTGAGCATATTCGGGTGAAAGTTGAGCTGAAAAATCGATTTTTGGCTTAAAATTTCAGTCAAAAATTCGAAAAATCTCACGAGTTGGCGTAAATTCTCGAATTTCAGTCATTTCAGCAGAAAATTGCACACTTTTTTGTCGTCGTTGAATTTTTGGGATTCGAATTAGAGAAGATGGAGTCTGCAATAGAAATTATTGATTTTTTGAGATTTTCAGAGTTATCTATGCCATAAAAAGTCAAAGTTTCAGATTTTCTCGATTTTTTGGCCGGATTTTCGTTATTATTGATGAAATCTAACATTTGTGAAGGATTGTGGACAGCTGCAAAAATTATTGATTTTTCAGTCAAAAAATCAATATTTTCCTACCTCATTGAAAAACCGATATTTCAATAGGCGCAATTGCTATTTTACGGTTTTTGGTTAGAAAATCTGTAATGGAAAAGTGTGAGTTTTCATTGCACCAAAATATATAATTTTTGAAAAGTATCTAAGTTTTATTGATTTGTATAATACAAGAATATTTATGGTGAAAATATAAAATATGGAGAACGGGGGCTTTTTAAGTGTGTAAGTGGGGGCTTTAAAGTGTATGCGAACAGGGGCACAAAATTGGGGATATTGTTAAAGATAAAAAATATTTGATAAGTCAAAAAAAATAGAAAAAAAAATAAAACGATTATGGCACAAAGACGATTGAAGAGCGATGTTGAAGTGATTTCTTTCACTTTTTCTTCTCCTTTTTCTGCTTCTTCTCCTCTCTTCGTATTCCTCGAATCTCCTTTAAAAAATAATTTTTGATCAAAATTATAAAAGAGTAATTTTTAAACTCACATCAACAATATTTGACGAATTTGTGTCCAAACTCAATTTATCCAGCCAGAAGTTGACTTCATCGAACAGTTTTTCGTTGTACATGGGCGCTAGGATTTTCAAAAAGTCAACTGATATAATATAGTTGGCCGACAATTCAATCAATTTTTTGCGGAATGTATCATCCGATTCCATGCGCCATACATACCACAATCTCTGAAAAACATAAATATTGCGAATATTTTTCGAAATATTGTACACTCACGTCGAAAATGTTATTTCCTAATCGCGGTTCGAGGTCGACATAAAGCATTTCCTTGGGAGTAGAATCCGTTTTTTCAGCAACCGAATTACATTCTTCTGAAAATGTTTCTTTTTTAATTGACAAAATAAATTTTGAATCGGGCCAGGTCCAAAAAATGTATCCTGGTTCGATTCAAAAATCCCAAACCTCACCCAACCCCTGGAATTCCAGATGGGCAATTTTTTTTCGAAAAACCTAGGTGGGCAAAAAATTTTTAGGGTCTTTAAGGCGAGCCTCAGGCGGGCAAAATTTTTTTTAGTAGGTGGGCAATTTTTGTAATAAACCCAGGTGGGCAGTTTTTTACCCAATTCTCCAGGTTCTTGGGTGAGGTTTGCAAAAATCCTTCTAAATCAGATTCACGTAATTGAACCTGGCCCAATTTCTTCAGACCAATTCAAAAAATGGGCACAGTTAGTCGAAAGTGAACTCACTTTTTCAGCCATTGTTGCTCTTTCATTAAACAACTTCGTGAACACATTTATTTCCGCATTTTGGTTCATTTTTTGTTCCAATTTTTCTTGCACACTCATATCCGGCCGGACAAGCGATTCATAAAACTCTTGTTGATACAAAATACCGGAACCATTTTCGATTTTTGGGACCTGCGCGACTTCTTGATGTTCTTGCTGCAATTCTCGATTTTCAGCAGAAACTGTGGCAAGATGGGCCAATTCTTGACACGCCGTTTTGAATTTCGGCCAACTCGTTGACACGCATTTTCGAGAATTTTGAATTTTTTTCTGCAAATTTCGAAAGATGAGATGAGAGTTGTATATATAAATATAGGAAAACTAACCAATCTCAAATTATTTTGCGGCACAAATGCTCTTTCTTTCTTTTCTCCTAAATTTTTGAGGCGATTTGCAAAATCTTCAATTTTGAGAAGAATTTCGTGAAGTTGAATCGACATTTGAGCAAGATTTGAGAAATATTTGTGAAGTTGGCTGGAAAAAGCGCAAAAATTCTCCAAGCTCCGCCCATTTCCACCCGGACCTACCTGATATCTTTCGCTGCATACAATCTACTATTAGTCTTCTTCTTCCATCCCAAAATCAATTCCATAAATTTTCCAACCGCCGATTTTTCCTCATTATTGATCCATTCTCCATGAAAACTTCCCAATCCAATTGAAAAACGAAAATGTGCAAAAGTATGCAAAACCACACATAATTCACATGAATCAATCGATTGTTTTTGTTGTTTTTCGAGAAGTTTCATTTTGACACTTTTTTTTCATTTCCATTTTCTCCACCAAACTTTTCGAATTTTTTCTTCGAATAAAAATCGATTCGTTTCTCAAAAATCCTTTGAATCGCCAATTTTCCATCAAATTTTCTCGAATATTCCTTTTCAAAATCCAATTTCATGTGTTGAATGTCAATTTTGTAGGGTTCCGTGAAAAGTTCAATCGATTATTGGAGTTCTTGTTCGAGTTTCTGATTTCCGCCAAAATTTTCAATCAATTTTTGAAATGGTTTGGAGAGTTTTGGTAATTCCCGAATATCCTGTTTCGCTTTTTTGCGAGCTTCTTCTCGAATTCGATCTTCATCTATAGATTCATCTCTAAACTCCGAATTCTCATCGGCCATTTCAATTTTTCGTCTTTTTGGTGCTGGACTTCCTTCATCTTGATCTTCTTCGAAATTTAAATTGTTTTCTTTTTCTGGGGGTTTTCTGGAAAAAGAATGCTTCGCAAAATAAGTAAAAAAGCTGTCTGCAAACACCACACACACCGTCGCCCAAAAATGCACAGGCGGGCGTTTGAATTGGGTTTTTTCCAGCAATAGGAAAAATAGGTACAAACCTGAATAAACTTCACAAAAATCTCATAATAATATTCAATTTTCTTCCATTCTCGATTTATCCAACAATAATCCGCGGCCAAATTCGTTTCTGTTGTGATAATTCGCAAATTCTCGGTGATTTGCAATTTCTTCTCGCGAATCATTCGAATTGTCACATTTTTCGCATCCGACATGATTTGCACGTTGAGATTTCGACGTTTTTGAGCCAGTGAGTGATTTCCAGCTGCAAAAAAATTTGCAATTTTGCGGCACAGTTTTTTTAAAATACAAAAATAGGGTTATTGGATATCCGCTGCCCCCACACCAAAAAAAAAAAAAAATTTGAAGTCTGCGTCTCACTCTCGCACGCTGATTATTTCGTGACATTTGGCCGTCAATGGAAAAAGTTCGGCCCCGTGTGCGATAGAGCACACATTCATTTTTTCAACACGGCGTTTCAAGTTTTTTACTAAAAATCGCAAATTACATCCCTAAAACACGCTGAATGTAGAAAATTTTGACAGAAATAGGAAAACAAATCCATTTACTCGAATTTGCAAAGTTGAAATTCTCGAAAACCTTGTAGAATGAATAGTTTTACTTAGGGCTTAATAAGTACATGGTTTCGCTGACTTAAAGCTCATTCTTAGACATAAAAGAATCGCAATTTAATTCTCTACGTTTCCATCATTCGTTTTTTTGGTAAAACGGCCTGATAGCTGAGAAAATTGTATGTTTCAAAAAAATTCTGAACAAAAAAACGAAAACAAAATACATAAAAAGTAGGCGGAGTCTGGCCGTGTGACTGCCCGGTTTGGTTTCCTCGGCCAAATGTCACGAAATAATCAGCGCTGAGTGAGATGGAGCGCGTTTGCTGCACTCACTTTTTTCCATTGAAAACAACTTTTTTTTTTGATTTTTTCGTGTTTTTGGTCGCCACAAATTTTTTCTGCGCCAATACGAAGCAAAACATCAAAATAGAAGAGATTTCTCTATTTCTCAACAAATCTAAAATGACCAGATTTGATGATTTTTGGCTTTAAATAGCGGGATTTTTTATGGGTCACGCAACAAAAAACCCTGATTTTTTACGTTTCAGAAAAACGTTAAATAATTGGCGCCTTCAACATTTTTGCTCAAATAATCATCAATAATTTTTTGATCGAAATTCTTTCCAAGGTTGTTCGCACATTTCCAAGGGTGCCTTTAGTCTATCTTTATGCGTTTTGCGTAACGCCTTTAGTCTATCCTTCTGCGTTTTGCGTAACACCTTTAGTCTATCTTTATGCGTTTTGCGTAACGCCTTTAGTCTATCCTTCTGCGTTTTGCGTAACGCCTTTAGTCTATCCTTCTGCGTTTTGCGTAACGCCTTTAGTCTATCTTTCTGCGTTTTGCGTAACGCCTTTAGTCTATCTTTCTGCGTTTTGCGTTACGCCTTTAGTCTATTCTTCTGCGTTTTGCGTAACGCCTTTAGTCTATCTTTCTGCGTTTTGCGTTACGCCTTTAGTCTATCCTTCTGCGTTTTGCGTAACGCCTTTAGTCTATCTTTCTGCGTTTTGCGTAACGCCTTTAGTCTATCTTTCTGCGTTTTGCGTAACGCCTTTAGTCTATCTTTCTGCGTTTTGCGTTACGCCTTTAGTCTATTCTTCTGCGTTTTGCGTAACGCCTTTAGTCTATCTTTCTGCGTTTTGCGTTACGCCTTTAGTCTATCCTTCTGCGTTTTGCGTAACGCCTTTAGTCTATCTTTCTGCGTTTTGCGTAACGCCTTTAGTCTATCCTTCTGCGTTTTGCGTTACGCCTTTAGTCTATTCTTCTGCGTTTTGCGTAACGCCTTTAGTCTATCCTTCTGCGTTTTGCGTAACGCCTTTAGTCTATTCTTCTGCGTTTTGCGTAACGCCTTTAGTCTATCTTTCTGCGTTTTGCGTTACGCCTTTAGTCTATCCTTCTGCGTTTTGCGTAACGCCTTTAGTCTATCCTTCTGCGTTTTGCGTAACGCCTTTAGTCTATCCTTCTGCGTTTTGCGTAACGCCTTTAGTCTATCCTTCTGCGTTTTGCGTTACGCCTTTAGTCTATTCTTCTGCGTTTTGCGTAACGCCTTTAGTCTATCCTTCTGCGTTTTGCGTAACGCCTTTAGTCTATTCTTCTGCGTTTTGCGTAACGCCTTTAGTCTATCTTTCTGCGTTTTGCGTTACGCCTTTAGTCTATCCTTCTGCGTTTTGCGTTACGCCTTTAGTCTATTCTTCTGCGTTTTGCGTAACGCCTTTAGTCTATCCTTCTGCGTTTTGCGTAATGCCTTTAGTCTATTCTTCTGCGTTTTGCGTAACGCCTTTAGTCTATCTTTCTGCGTTTTGCGTAACGCCTTTAGTCTATCCTTCTGCGTTTTGCGTAACGCCTTTAGTCTATCTTTCTGCGTTTTGCGTAACGCCTTTAGTCTATCCTTCTGCGTTTTGCGTTACGCCTTTAGTCTATTCTTCTGCGTTTTGCGTAACGCCTTTAGTCTATCCTTCTGCGTTTTGCGTAACGCCTTTAGTCTATTCTTCTGCGTTTTGCGTAACGCCTTTAGTCTATCTTTCTGCGTTTTGCGTAACGCCTTTAGTCTATCCTTCTGCGTTTTACCCTTGGAAATGCGCGATCAAAAAATTATTGATGATTATTATTTAACGTTTTTCTGAAACGTAAAAAATCAGGGTTTTTTGTTGCGTGACCCATAAAAAATCCCGCTATTTAAAGCCAAAAATCATCAAATCTGGTCATTTTAGATTTCATCTGAGCCACCTTCGGTTCCAGAATCCAAATCAAAAGAACAAGAAGAGCCGCACAAAGAGCACAGTGGAACAAAAATCAAAGAGAAAAATATCGGATTTGAGTGTGAAGACACCAACAGCGGTGACTGCGACCAATTCGAAAACATCGACAACGACTGAGAGTACGATTACTCTGGATGTTAAACAGGATGCGTTTGGAACACTTGATGTAAGATTCGGTTGAAAATTGAAGCTCAAAAAAGAATATATATATGTGGCCGAGAAATGTCGGGAATTCGGCCACATATATTTTTTGTTTGAATTTTTTGAAAAGTTTCAAAAAATGCTCATAATCTCTGGGTGAAAACGAATGAGTCATAATTTTACAGGATGAGGAATTTGAAAAAGCCGCCGCAAACATTCCAAATCAACTCAACGATGAAGACGAAAAGGATATCCTCCGCCTTGCTCCAAAAATCCTAAAAATCGCCAAACGCCACAAGGCAATGGAGAAATGTCGAAGACAGCCGAAGAGAACGAAACGCTCGCCAAATTCTTTTCGGGCAAAAAGTCGTTGACTCCCGAAGTTTTGGCGACACTCGATGTTGGTCTCGATAAAATCATTGATCATCTTCATAAGAATAATTTGGCGATTGATGAGGAGACGAAACGAATTATTAAACATCGCGATAAATTGAAGGCGGCGATGATGAAGGAGTTTTTGGTGTCTCCACAGTATTTGCCGAAGAGTTGGACAGCTAAATTTAATCGTAAGTTTTGCAAACGTGCAAAATTTCCTTGCTAGAAAGATAATTTTCAGAATGGAAAAGTGAGGCTGAAAATCAGAAAAATGGTGTAAACTGGTTCCGAATTCTATTCGCCTATCCAAAACATAAATCATTTGATGATGGACCAGAAGACATATTTGGAAATTTTAATAAAAGAGATCGAGGGCTTTTGATTGGCCTTATTCTTGGACCTGGAGATGTCAAATCATTTGAGGAAACTAAACGGGAAGACGATTGTCAGGGAATGTTCCTTGATACAAAATTGATTGAGCACGCTGGAAATGAGCCGGATTTGACGAGTGCAACGAAGACTTATGTGAATTTGGAGAAAATGGAGAAGCAAGCGTCGGAGCCGAAAATATCGGCGAATTTGAATAATAATAAGGAGAAAGCGGAGAATGAGAAGAAAAAGAGGATGTGAAGGATAAAGCCAAATAAAAAGTTTGTGGTTTCTAATTTTTTGTATGTATTTTCTCCGTATTTCTCCTGTTTTCTTAACATGTTAAGAAAATACATGATAATGAAGAAAAATTTGGGCGTATCAAAAATTGCTGACAAGGGAAGTGCATAAGGTTAGGTTTTGAACTTTTTTTGCAATTTAGTACACAATTGAAGCGATTTGAAGCACAAATCACTTCAAAATCACTAATTTATCAATAAAACTCCTCCTGTTTTTTTCTCCTTCTGTTTTTTTGGTTGAGAAATTAATCTGAATAGCCCCATAACTAAATCGAATATGAAGAAGTCTTGTAGAATTTCAAATATTCTAGCAATTGTCGAATTTTGTTCACCTCGCATTCAATGATTCGAAATGGTTTGAATTTGAATTATGCAATAATTAAGTCATTTTTAACCAAAATGGAACTTACCACGATGTTCCTCATACCAAAAAACACAAAATCTGAATTTTTGGGATAAATATTTTTTAAGTCCCACCATCCCTACAAAAATTCATAATTATGTATTATTGAAAAAAAAGAGAAAAAACAAATTTTACATGATTTTAAATCAAAAAAATACGTGGAAAATGGACGTGGCCTAGAAAAGTGGGCGTGGCCTAATCTGAGTCATCTTCCATCCAATCATTTAATTCTGAATTTGCTGGACTTTGGAGCAGCTTCTGGTGATTCTTCTTCGATTTTTGGAACTGGAATTGAAATTATTGTTTTTTCAGCAAAAATCCCAGATTTTCATTTTTTTTTCTCAAAAATACCTCTCAATTCGTCAATTTTCAGCCCAATTTCAGCATCTTCTGGATTTTCATCAGAATCTGAATCATTTTCAGCTTCTTCTGGTGTATTTGGAGCAATTTCTGGAAAATTTTCAGATTTTTTTTGAGATTTTCAGAGTTATCTATACCCTAAAAAAGCATGAAATTTGAGCCAACAAGTTTTTCGGGTAAAAATAAGTAATAAAAATTTGGGAAATTTTAAATTTCCGGATAATTTTACATTTTCTAGATCTAAAAAATTTGAAATTTCAAATTTTTAAATAAAAATTTTGAATTTTGAAATGAAAATCTAAAATTTTCGAATTTTCAGATAATTTTACATTTTCTAGACCCAAAAAATCTGAAAATCACGAATTTTCAGCTCAAAAAACTCACTTTTTTCAAAATTCCCGGATATTCAGCTTCTTCATTTTCCTCAATTTCCATTTTGACTTCAAAATTCGAATATTCCGCTTCCTCAATTTCCAATTTCACTTCTACAACAAATTCGTCATCCCCTTTCTCAATAATCGTCGGCGCCTCATCTTTATCATCCGCCTTCACCATAATCCCGCGTTTCCGCATTTCCTCCCGTTTCGCCATTTTCCGCTCCTCCGCAGTCATTTGTGGTTTTTTGACAACATTCTGCAAAAACAATCCGGATAAATGAATGTGGTTTCGCAAACATCTACTCACCTTGTGATCTTTGTTTTTGAGAAATGCATTATATTGATCCTGAACTAAATTTGCTGTAACCTTTTTTCCAACATTTGTTCCTAACATCTCTATTTTTCAACAAATCTAAAATGACCAGATTTGATGATTTTTGGCTTGAAATAGCGGGATTTTTTATGGGTCACGCAACAAAAAACCCTGATTTTTTACGTTTCAGAAAAACGTTAAATAATTGGCGCCTTCAACATTTTTGCTACTTTTCTCAATTCAGTGATACTGAAAAACCTTGAAATGTTTATTGTAAAATCAGTCAGATGCTGACAACAATGCTGACATTTCAATTTCCATCTCAATTTCAATTTCAACTAAAAAAATGCCATCATCCGTTTTGCCAACCACAGATCCACCACCCAACAAATCATCAAAAACCTTTTCAAAATTACCGATTTATTTGGTTTCTGCCATCATCATTGTATTGGTGATCGCTGTTTTTTCGACATTTTGGCTAAGTTGAAATGGCGTGATCGAGTTCCACATTCTTTTTTATCTTTTCCAGGGCGGCTAAAATGAATAGAAATTTTTGTATTAAAAAAATACGCTGAAAATACATACCTCGAATTTCGAACAAATGATATAAAAGCAATTGTCAAATTGTCTATATAAAGCATTAATTGCGAGCAAAACGTGGCTCTGACAGATTGTTCCATTGGTAAAAGATCCATTCTTTTTACAAATGTATCTACACATTCCATAGATCGACAATTTGACAGTTCTCTGGAAAAAAAAATGCATTTTTTGGATATTTTCCGGAAAAAATTCAAAATTTTTGATGATTTCGAAATTTCGGTGAGATTTATGAAGAATTTTTAGACTAAAAAATTTTTGAACTGAATTTTCGGGAAATTTTCTTGATTTTTGTTTTCATTTTAAAAAAATTCTAAAATTCAGAATAACACTTGAAATTCGACATTTTTAATGATTTTCAGATGGAAAATATATTTTTGAGCTGAATTTCAGAATTCTGAGACTAAAAAGTTTTCCGATATTCAATTTTTTAACTCAATTTACGTGATCTATTTTTTTTGAGCACGCGGCAAAAAAAAAAATAAAAACAAAATAAAACCCAAAAAAATCAGTTCTCGATATTTTTATAATGGCAACTACTAGCGAATATTTAAAAATTGATAAAAATCAAATTTTGTCAATTTTTCCAATTAGTCTACTTGAAACAAATAACTTTATTCACTTGTTTACTAGAATTTTTGAAAAAGAAATCGAAATAATTGGAGATTCGAAATTGTATTTGATTTTCGAGGAAAAGAATAGATCGAACAAGGAAGTTCAGATTTTGACGGATTTTGAAGGAACTTCTGATGAAAATGGGATGAATGCGAAGATTATTAGGATTGCTCCGATTGATTTTATGCTCAAGATTTGTGCTCAAAATTCACAGTGAGTTTTTAAACATCAAATTGCGTTCGATTTGGCACCAAAAATGTGTATGCTAAAAAAAAACCTTAAAATCTTTAAAAATTACAGAACATTGAAAAATGCTGGCATTTCAATCTTCTGGACTTCGAAAAACGATCATATTCAACTCGATTTTTACTTGAATCCCAATTTCATAATTGATAACATTTTCGATTTTGAACAACTCGAAAAATCGTGCAAAAATGCTCAAATCCTCAACAAAATCTTCATCGAAACATTTACCGGAAAACCAAAACAACTTCTCAAAACATTTTGGAGTTTTCCAATTTTGGCAAATTTCGAAACAAATCGTTTTTCGTCGCATTTTTCGAAATATTTGAAGTCGGAAATGAGAAATCAGCGGGTTCCGATTGATGATATTCAATTATTCTATTATCCATCATTTGGAATGTTTTCGCGCAAAAAAATCGATAAAATACCAATCGAATTAATGGCAAAAGGTGGAATTTTGGCGGATGAAATTGGACTTGGAAAAACTATTGAAATGTTGGCATTGATTGTGTCGAATCAGAGAAAATTCAGGAAAATTGCGGCGAGGAATGAGAAGTTTGAACGATTGAATTGGGAGGAATATGTGGATGTGAGATATATTTTGGTGCAATAAAAAACTTACACTTTTCCATTTTTTTATAAAAAACCGAAAAATAGCAATTGCGCCCTATTGAAATATCAATTTTCCATGCAAAAGTCAAAATTTTATAAAAATATGGAAGCTCTTCTAGTTTTACAATTGCATCATTATCGAGCCAAATTTCGAAGATTTTAGTATTCGAGAAAAAAAACCCGCGAAACTGAAAATACCGCGAAATTAAATAAGGCTGGCAACCAGCCAACTGTTGGGTCCTGCAGCGATAGTCCAAGAATTCTGATTTTTTAAAAATTTCGGGGGTTTTTTGTGTCTGCGTCGTGTATTCTCTATTTGTTCAACACAACACATGGTTGAAACAAAGTGCTTTAATTAATTATCATCACACATTTGAATTGAAAGGAATTTAATTGTTTAATGTTGAAATTCTCAATCCCAATACATTTTTGCCAATTTTGGATATCTGACAAACATCGCACGCACAATTCGCTTTCCAAACCTTCGGAATACGATGCTCTGCAGAATGAGCATTTGTACAATGGTTGACCACGATATAATGGGACAAAATTGCGAGAGCAGATTACGAATGGATTATTCTCGTCGTAGAGGAACTAGAAAAAATTGAAGATTTTTGGTCGAATTTTTTGAAGTCAATAGTCAGCAGATGGAACATTTTTTATGATTTTTTGTGTAAAAATTTGGAAATTCGGATTTTTTTGATGAATTGTTCCATTTCAAAATTTCACTATAATCAATAAATTTGGAAATTTTCAAATAAGAATTCCGTACAAATTTCCGTCTGAAAATTCAGGAAAAAATCCGACTTTTTTCTCAAAAAAGTCTGATTTTTCAGAAAAAATGAATGAAATTTGAGCCAACAAGTTTTTCGGGTAAAAATAAGTAATAAAAATTTGGGAATTTTTAAATTTCCGGATAATTTTACATTTTCTAGATCTAAAAAATTTGAAATTTTCAAATTTTCAGCTCAAAAAAACTTACTTTTTTCAAAATTCCCGGATATTCAGCTTCTTCATTTTCCTCAATTTCCATTTTGACTTCAAAATTCGAATATTCCGCTTCCTCAATTTCCAGTTTCACTTCTACAACATTTTCAGTCAATTTTTGTGGATTTTCAGATATTTCGAGTTTGACTTCACAATTTCCAGCTTCTGGAGCAATTTCAGGCTCTGGAGCAGATTCTGGAGCTCTAACAGAGTTCGATCTTGCTCTTCCAACCTTTTTGACCATAATTTCAGCTCCCGGAGCAGATGTGCGAGGATTTTCAGCATTTCTAGGTTGAATTTCAGGCGCTGGAGCAGAATTTGATGAATTTTCAGCTTTTCCAGATGATATTTGACTATCTTCAGCAATTTCAGACTTCGCCTCATTTTCAGCACATTTTTGAGCTCTAACAGTTTTCGATCTTGGTCTTCCAACAGGTTTTCGAGCTTTTTCAGCTTCTGGAGCAGGTTTTCGTGAAATTTTCAAATTTCCAGATGAATTTCGACGATTTTCAGCAGATTTTTGAGCTTTTATAGATGTGGATCTTGATCTTCCATCCTTTTTGGTCACAATTTCAGGCTTTTTTTCATCATTCTCAGCTTCTGGAGCATATTTTCGACGATTTCCAGCTTTTTCAGCTTGAATTTCAGCTTCTGAAGCAGATTTTGATGAATTTTTCGATTTTTCAGCTTTCTGACCATGTTTTTCAGATAATTTTCTCGAAATTCTTGTAGAAGATCTTTCAGGTGGAACTTCAGGCTTCTGATCATCAATTTCATAAGCTGGACGTTCTGTTTGAATTTTGAAAACAACCATTCCGTTGTCATGTCCGGCGGCAAACATATTCAAACTTGGATAAGCAGCAACGACCCACAAGCGTTCGTTCTCGTGTCTGAAAATTTGAAAAGTTGGATTTTGCTCGAAAAATCACAAAATTCTGACGATCTGAAGACTCGAGCTTATGAAACTTCAGCTCGACGTCACATTTTTTCCAGAAATATATATATATATATATAAGTAGATTTTCTTTCTCGAATTTGAGATATACATATTTCTGCACAAAATCTCAAAATTACCTGAAAACATGAAGTCTTGTGCGTTTTTGCATATCCCAAACTCGAATACGTTTATCCACAAAATCAACTCTGGATTTGGATAGAATAATACGAATAGATGATATATATATATATATATAATATGTATTATAATATTATCCTCGATAAATATCAACTTCTCAAGCTTTTGTCTCATTATATCTTCACATTTTATAACTTGTCTGAACCAGAAACAACAATTATCATTTGATGATGGAATACAACCCAATTTACATCACCAACATGTCCTTCGAGAACTTGTTTGTTTCACAACACCATCAGATTGTTTGGAACACCTCCTTCTCAAATTTGTTTCTTTCTCAATGATTATGTCCGGTTAAAATAGCAATAGAATTTCGCGATTGCCAATTTCAAATACGAAAAGATTGATCATCAGAGGCTGATATAATCAATCCATGGATATTTATTGTGAAAAAATGTTGTTGGAATATAATTCAAATGTCCTAAAAGTGTGAAAATGCATCGTTTCTGCTTATAATTCCAATTCCACACTTTGATCTTGTAATCATCACCACCACACACAAAAATCAGTTGTTCTTGATGGAAACAGATTCCTCGAACTGGTCCGTCATGCTCATCAAACTTCTCGAGAAGTACACACATTCGATAATGTCACAATTGAATAACATCGCTGTGAAGAGATATTACAATCCATGGTCGAGACGGGTGGAATGAAATTCCTGGAAAAAAAACCAATTTTTGAAAAAAATATATGGTTTTTGATAGATTTTACACCGGGAAAATTGAAAAATCAGAGTGAATGTTCAAATGTTCCACTCGTTTTGATATTTACAACAACAAAAAATCAATTTCGCTGCAAAAAATCTAACAAACCTTTCACTATCGCGGATTTCGACTCAAATTTGCATTTCCCCTTTTCAGTGCATTTGTGCGTCGTCGTGTTGAAACACTGCGACGCACAAATGCACTGAAAAGTGGAAAGAAAAAGGAAAATGGGAGAAGGAATACTGTATTTCGATATTGGCTAGTACTGGAAGTAAAAACTATTGATAGCTCACCAATTGGAACTGATAGAATATGAAATAAAAATATATGAAGAGTTTAAAAAATGTGAGAGAAAATATTTTAAAACATTTAAGAGATCAAAAGACTAAAAAAAAGAGCCAAATTTTATTTTGGAAAAAGATTTCTCAAGTTTGAGAAATCTGAAAAAAAACGGAATTTTTAGAAAATTACAGAAGAACAGAAAAATATAATTACAGAAGAAAAATCAATAATTTCAACAGAAAAATACAAAAAACAAAAAATACAGTACTAATGTATATTTGTTGGAAACCTTGAAATAAATTTCGGCTCTCAATCGTTTTTATTTTAGCTTGGAATTACTTTAATCGCCAGATTTTTTCCCAGTGTTTTGTTTTTTTGCTAAAGTGAAAATAATCCTACATTTTTAATAAAATAAAATAAAACAAATCACAACAGGAAAAATACAAAACGTGACATTTTATAAAAAACGTAGCAGTATAAAAACTGGAATTTTATCAGTTTTGGTCAGTTTTTAGAAAGGAAGATGGAGCATATCGCTAATAAATCTCAATTCGAAACAATCATTAAACTTATTAGAGGAACATACTATTGGTTAGTTTAGGAAAAATTTCTAAAATTATTCAAATCGGTTTTTCAGGGGAGAATGGAGCATGGAGAATGATCAATTCCATTTGGTAAAGATGTCGTCTGAACAATTGGATTGTCAAGGATCCAAACTTATTGTCTTAATGGAAGAATCATTGAAAAATCTCATTGGAGTTATTAAAGTAAGTATTAAGAGTTATTTATTCTAGAAAAGAACTCATTATATTTCAGATTGATCCAAATATTTGTTATGAAGACAATTCAAAATTTGTCGATAAATGCATGCAAGTGTGCGATCATTATGAATTGATTATTGAAATGCACCAAGATACTGGATCAACATTATTCAATTCTGATGAAACGGTTCGAAATCCGGTACGTTTATACTTTCATCAAAATGTTTAATAGTGCATTTTTTGAAAAATCAAACCGTCATTAGAATTGAATAAAAAAATTATAATATTGCAACAAATTTCCAACTTTCTAATTTTCCAGTTCTCACTTTTCCAATACAGGTCGGATGTTTAAAAAAAACATTTGAGACTAAAAATTCAAGATTTTCAATGAAATTGACATTTTAAAATTTGGAACATTTGAAAATTTGGAATAAAACTACAATTATGAAAAAGAGCAATGTTCCGTTTCCCATCCGCCAACAAAATCATTCATTTTCCAGACATTGTTATCTGCAATCGAAAGACGTGAAACCGTCCAGCCAATTGAACAACAAATTGGACAAATTGACAAAGAAGAATTTTATGCATCACTTGTTGATCGAACTATGAGTGTTGAACAAAAATTGGAGCAGAAATTGAATCAAAACTCGGAAATGGATAGATTGAAAAAATTATTCAACCAAAAAGCAACAATAGCGGAAAAAGTGAGTTTACTTTCGAATAACTATGGCCATTTTTTGAATTGGTCTGAAGAAATTGGGCCAGGTTTAATTAAGTGAATCCGATTTAGAAGGATTTTTGAAACGAACCATGGTGAAATATTTTCAATACATTTTTTTTGCACCTGGCCCGATTCAAAATTTATTTTGCCAATTAAAAAACAAACATTTTCAGATGGATATTGTTCGGATGTTGAAGAAAGCGGATTGGACTCTAGAGGACATGGTTTATGTCGACCTCAAACCTCGATTGGGAAATAATATTTTCGACGTGAGTGTACAATATTTCGAAAAATATTCTCAATTATTATGTTTTTCAGAAATTGTGGTATGTGTGGCGGTTTGAGTCGGATGAAACATTTCGCAGAAAACTCATCGATTTGTCGACAGATTATATTATTTCAGTTGATTTGCTGAAAATAATTGCGCCCATGTACAATGAGCAATTGTACGATGACGTCAATTTTTGGTTGGACAAGTTGAGTTCGGAGACTAATTCGTCTAAAATTGTTGATGTGAGTTTAAAAATTACCCTTTTATAATTTTGATCAAAACTAGTTTTTTTTTAAGGAAATTCGGGCTTTACGAAGAGAGAAAAGAGAGGAGAAGCAGAAAAATGAGAAAAAGCCGAAAAAGGAGAAAAGAAAGTGAGTGAAATCACTTCCACTATTCAATCGTCTTTGGGCCATGATCAATTTATTTGCTCTTTAATATTATTTTTCGTGTTTTTAATAAAACTTGGTCGCTTTTCAAAAAAGATTTAAAAATTAATTATATATTTTGCAATAAAAAAAACTTACACTTTTCCATTACAAAAAAAACAAAGAATTCGATGTTCAAACATAGTTAACTCGAAATCGATCGAATTCCGCATCACAGTCCTCAAGAACTTGAAATTTTCATATTTTTCTTCAAAATCTCCATCGTCTCCTTCATAAGTGTCCATTTTAATCTATCTGCAACAGAAAATAAACTTAGAAAAAGCTATTTCTCGAAAAAAAAACAGAAAAAAACACTTCTCGAAAGAAAAATAAAAAATAAATTCTTGTTCGAGAGAAATACAAATGTGTGGTTTCCTAGGCCACGACCACGTTTGTGTGAAGTGACACCATGGCTTATTACGATCCTGTCGTTTTGCGGCTATTTGCGGCCCTCAAGCCAGCTTTTATCAGTTTTCCCTGCAAAAGTCAAAATTTTTCATGAAATAGCAAATGCTCCCCACTGAAATATCGGTTTTTCAATGAGGTAGGAAAATATTGATTTTTTGACTGAAAAATCAATAATTTTTGCAGCTGTCCACAATTCTTCACAAATGTTAGATTTCATCAATAATAACGAGAATCCGGCCAAAAAAATCGAGAAAATCTGAAACTTTGATGGATTTGGCTGCTGTAAATGATGAAAAACCCGAAATTCCGACTGAAAAATCAAAAATATGGAAGTTCGGTGAAATCTGCACAAGAAGCTGAAAATCAGAAGCCTGAAGTTCCACCTGAAAGATCTTCTACAAGAATTTCGATAAAATTATCTGAAAAACATGGTCAGAAAGCTGAAAAATCGAAAAATTCATCAAAATCTGCTTCAGAAGCTGAAATTCAAGCTGAAAAAGCTGGAAATCGTCGAAAATATGCTCCAGAAGCTGAGAATGATGAAAAAAAGCCTGAAATTGTGACCAAAAAGGATGGAAGATCAAGATCCACATCTATAAAAGCTCAAAAATCTGTTGAGAATCGTCGAAATTCATCTGGAAATTTGAAAATTTCACGAAAACCTGCTCCAGAAGCTGAAAAAGCTCGAAAACCTGTTGGAAGACCAAGATCGAAAACTGTTAGAGCTCAAAAATGTGCTGAAAATGAGGCGAAGTCTGAAATTGCTGAAGATAGTCAAATATCATCTGGAAAAGCTGAAAATTCATCAAATTCTGCTCCAGCACCTGAAATTCAACCTAGAAATGCTGAAAATCCTCGCACATCTGCTCCGGGAGCTGAAATTGTGGTCAAAAAGGTTGGAAGAGCAAGATCGAACTCTGTTAGAGCTCCAGAATCTGCTCCAGAGCCTGAAATTGCTCCAGAAGCTAGAAATTGTGAAGTCAAACTCGAAATATCTGAAAATCCACAAAAATTGACTGAAAATGTTGTAGAAGTGAAACTGGAAATTGAGGAAAATGAAGAAGCTGAATATGCGGGAATTTTGAAAAAAGTGAGTTTTTTGAGCTGAAAATTCGTGATTTTCAGATTTTTTGGGTCTAGAAAATGTAAAATTATCTGAAAATTCGAAAATTTTAGATTTTCAGCTCAAAATTCAAAATTTTTATTTAAAAATTTAAAAATTTCCAAATTTTTATTACTTATTTTTACCCGAAAAACTTGTTGGCTCAAATTTCATTCATTTTTTCTGAAAAATCAGACTTTTTTTGAGAAAAAAGTCGGATTTTTCCTGAATTTTCAGACGGAAATTTGTACGGAATTCTTATCTGAAAATTTCCAAATTTATTGATTATAGTGAAATTTTGAAATGGAACAATTCATCAAAAAAATCCGAATTTCCAAATTTTTACACAAAAAATCATAAAAAATGTTCCATCTGCTGACTATTGACTTCAAAAAATTCCACCAAAAATCTTCAATTTTTTCTAGTTCCTCTACGACGAGAATAATCCATTCGTAATCTGCTCTCGCAATTTTGTCCCATTATATCGTGGTCAACCATTGTACAAATGCTCATTCTGCAGAGCATCGTATTCCGAAGGTTTGGAAAGCGAATTGTGCGTGCGATGTTTGTCAGATATCCAAAATTGGCAAAAATGTATTGGGATTGAGAATTTCAACATTAAACAATTAAATTCCTTTCAATTCAAATGTGTGATGATAATTAATTAAAGCACTTTGTTTCAACCATGTGTTGTGTTGAACAAATAGAGAATACACGACGCAGACACAAAAAACCCTCGAAATTTTTAAAAATCAGAATTCTTGGACTATCGCTGCAGGACCCAACAGTTGGCTGGTTGCCAGCCTTATTTAATTTCGCGGGTTTTTTTTTCTCGAATACTAAAATCTTCGAAATTTGGCTCGATAATGATGCAATTGTAAAACTAGAAGAGCTTCCATATTTTTATAAAATTTTGACATTTGCATGGAAAATTGATATTTCAATAGGGCGCAATTGCTATTTTTCGGTTTTTGATAAAAAAATGGAAAAGTGTAAGTTTTTTATTGCATCAAAATATATCTCACATCCACATATTCCTCCCAATTCAATCGTTCAAACTTCTCATTCCTCGCCGCAATTTTCCTGAATTTTCTCTGATTCGACACAATCAATGCCAACATTTCAATAGTTTTTCCAAGTCCAATTTCATCCGCCAAAATTCCACCTTTTGCCATTAATTCGATTGGTATTTTATCGATTTTTTTGCGCGAAAACATTCCAAATGATGGATAATAGAATAATTGAATATCATCAATCGGAACCCGCTGATTTCTCATTTCCGACTTCAAATATTTCGAAAAATGCGACGAAAAACGATTTGTTTCGAAATTTGCCAAAATTGGAAAACTCCAAAATGTTTTGAGAAGTTGTTTTGGTTTTCCGGTAAATGTTTCGATGAAGATTTTGTTGAGGATTTGAGCATTTTTGCACGATTTTTCGAGTTGTTCAAAATCGAAAATGTTATCAATTATGAAATTAGGATTCAAGTAAAAATCGAGTTGAATATGATCGTTTTTCGAAGTCCAGAAGATTGAAATGCCAGCATTTTTCAATGTTCTGTAATTTTTAAAGATTTTAAGGTTTTTTAGCATACACATTTTTGGTGTCAAATCGAACGCAATTTGATGTTTAAAAACTCACTGTGAATTTTGAGCACAAATCTTGAGCATAAAATCAATCGGAGCAATCCTAATAATCTTCGCATTCATCCCATTTTCATCAGAAGTTCCTTCAAAATCCGTCAAAACCTGAACTTCCTTGTTCGATCTGTTCTTTTCCTCGAAAATCAAATACAATTTCGAATCTCCAATTATTTCGAATTCTTTTTCAAAAATTCGAGTAAATAAGTGAATAAAGTTATTTGTTTCAAGTAGACTAATTGGAAAAATTGACAAAATTTGATTTTTATCAATTTTTAAATATTCGCTAGTAGTTGCCATTATAAAAATATCGAGAACTGATTTTTTTTTGGGTTTTATTTTGTTTTTATTTTTTTTTTTTGCCGCGTGCTCAAAAAAAAAATAGATCACGTAAATTGAGTTAAAAAATTGAATATCGGAAAACTTTTTAGTCTCAGAATTCTGAAATTCAGCTCAAAAATATATTTTCCATCTGAAAATCATTAAAAATGTCGAATTTCAAGTGTTATTCTGAATTTTAGAATTTTTTTTAATGAAAACAAAAATCAAGAAAATTTCCCGAAAATTCAGTTCAAAAATTGTTTAGTCTAAAAAATCTTCATAAATCTCACCGAAATTTCGAAATCATCAAAAATTTTGAATTTTTTCCGGAAAATATCCAAAAAATGCATTTTTTTTCCAGAGAACTGTCAAATTGTCGATCTATGGAATGTGTACAGGGTGTCTCATAAATAGTGTTACAACTTGCACAGTCCACCCTGGGAAAGGCAAAAGATCAAAACTCAATTTTTTTGACAGAAACATAGCCGAACGTGGTTATGACAAGATTGAGCCAACAAGTTTTTCGGGTAAAAATAAGTAATAAAAATTTGGGAATTTTTAAATTTCCGGATAATTTTACATTTTCTAGATCCAAAAAATTTGAAAATTTCAAATTTTTAAATCCTGATTTTTTACGTTTCAGAAAAACGTTAAATAATTGATCGATGTTGTTTCATAATTATTGCATAATTCAAATTCAAACCATTTCGAATCATTGAATGCGAGGTGAACAAAATTCGACAATTGCTAGAATATTTGAAATTCTACAAGACTTCTTCATATTCGATTTAGTTATGGGGCTATTCGGATTAATTTCTCAACCAAAAAAACAGGAGGAGAAAAAAACAGGAGGAGTTTTATTGATAAATTAGTGATTTTGAAGTGATTTTTGCTTCAAATCGCTTCAATTGTGTACTAAATTGCAAAAAAAGTTCAAAACCTAACCTTATGCACTTCCCTTGTCAGCAATTTTTGATACGCCCAAATTTTTCTTCATTATCATGTATTTTTCTTAACATGTTAAGAAAACAGGAGAAATACGGAGAAAATACATACAAAAAATTAAAAACCACAAACTTTTTTATTTGGCTTTATCCTTCATATCCTCTTTTTTCTTCTCATTCTCCGCTTTCTCTTTATTATTATTCAAATTCGCCGATATTTTCGGCTCCGACGCTTACTTCTCCATTTTCTCCAAATTCACATAAGTCTTCGTTGCACTCGTCAAATCCGGCTCATTTCCAGCGTGCTCAATCAATTTTGTATCAAGGAACATTCCCTGACAATCGTCTTCCTGTTTAGTTTCCTCAAATGATTTGACATCTCCAGGTCCAAGAATAAGGCCAATCAAAAGCCCTCGATCTCTTTTATTAAAATTTCCAAATATGTCTTCTGGTCCATCATCAAATGATTTATGTTTTGGATAGGCGAATAGAATTCGGAACCAGTTTACACCATTTTTCTGATTTTCAGCCTCACTTTTCCATTCTGAAAATTATCTTTCTAGCAAGGAAATTTTGCACGTTTGCAAAACTTACGATTAAATTTAGCTGTCCAACTCTTCGGCAAATACTGTGGAGACACCAAAAACTCCTTCATCATCGCCGCCTTCAATTTATCGCGATGTTTAATAATTCGTTTCGTCTCCTCATCAATCGCCAAATTATTCTTATGAAGATGATCAATGATTTTATCGAGACCACCATCGAGTGTCGCCAAAACTTCGGGAGTCAACGACTTTTTGCCCGAAAAGAATTTGGCGAGCGTTTCGTTCTCTTCGGCTGTCTTCGACATTTCTCCATTGCCTTGTGGCGTTTGGCGATTTTTAGGATTTTTGGAGCAAGGCGGAGGATATCCTTTTTCGTCTTCATCGTTGAGTTGATTTGGAATGTTTGCGGCGGCTTTTTCAAATTCTTCATCCTGTAAAATTATGACTCATTCGTTTTCACCCAGAGATTATGAGCATTTTTTGAAACTTTTCAAAAAATTCAAACAAAAAATATATGTGGCCGAATTCCCGACATTTCTCGGCCACATATATATATTCTTTTTGAGCTTCAATTTTCAACCGAATCTTACATCAAGTGTTCCAAACGCATCCTGTTTAACATCCAGAGTAATCGTACTCTCAGTCGTTGTCGATGTTTTCGAATTGGTCGCAGTCACCGCTGTTGGTGTCTTCACACTCAAATCCGATATTTTCTCTTTGATTTTTGTTCCACTGTGCTCTTTGTGCGGCTCTTCTTGTTCTTTTGATTTGGATTCTGGAACCGAAGGTGGCTCAGATGAAATCTAAAATGACCAGATTTGATGATTTTTGGCTTTAAATAGCGGGATTTTTTATGGGTCACGCAACAAAAAACCCTGATTTTTTACGTTTCAGAAAAACGTTAAATAATAATCATCAATAATTTTTTGATCGCGCATTTCCAAGGGTAAAACGCAGAAAGATAGACTAAAGGCGTTACGCAAAACGCAGAAAGATAGACTAAAGGCGTTACGCAAAACGCAGAAGGATAGACTAAAGGCGTTACGCAAAACGCAGAAGGATAGACTAAAGGCGTTACGCAAAACGCAGAAGGATAGACTAAAGGCGTTACGCAAAACGCAGAAAGATAGACTAAAGGCGTTACGCAAAACGCAGAAAGATAGACTAAAGGCGTTACGCAAAACGCAGAAGGATAGACTAAAGGCGTTACGCAAAACGCAGAAAGATAGACTAAAGGCGTTACGCAAAACGCAGAAAGATAGACTAAAGGCGTTACGCAAAACGCAGAAGGATAGACTAAAGGCGTTACGCAAAACGCAGAAAGAATTTTATTAGAAAATTCGAATTTCTAATGCTAGGAAAAGCACAGAAAATCGAAATTTTTAGGAAAAAATTTCACAATTTTTAACTCTCCCCAAAGAGGCATTTTCGAATGCCTCCGCAAAATGCCTTCGCGCTACCAAATCAAAAAGCCTCCGCGAATTCCAAATGACTCCGCGCTCGATATTTCAAAAATGTCGAAATGCCTCCGGGGCTTCAAAATGACTCCGCGCTATCAAATCAAAATGACTCCGCGGTAAAACTTTCAAGAATGTCAAAATGACTTCGCGAACAAGGTGTACTTTTCAACACATTTTTGGCCAAAAAGTTGATTTTCAATGAGAATTATCATTTTCAAGGCGTTCACTAAACCTGAGCCTAGAAACTTAGACGATAGTTTGGTTATACAAGTTCGGATATTAGGCTTAGGCTTAGTTAAACGCCCAGAAAGTTGCAGGAAACATTCAAAACCACATTTAAATACGTTAACTAAGCCTAGGCCGAAAGTTGGAACTTGAACAATCAAAATATTGAAAAAAATTTCTCCTTTTTTAAGACTTAGAAAAAAAATCTGGAAAATAACAATTGAAATTTGTAGCTCAAAACGTGTTGAAAGGCCTTGTTTCGCGGACCCATTTTGACAGTCCCCAAATATTCACCGCGAAGTCATTTAGAATTTGCGGAGGCATTTTGATTCGGTGGCGCGAAGTCATTTTGAAACCCCGGAGGCATTTCCACATTTTTGGAATATGAACCACGGAGTCATTTTGAATTCGCGGAGGCTTTTTCGATTTGGTACCGCGAAGGCATTTTGCGGAGGCATTCGAAAATGCCTTCGGAGGCATTTTGCGAACCCATTCGGTATTTGCCCAAAAACCCTTACCTGGAATTCCCAAAGTCTTTGGATTTCCAATATGAACCGCTGGCAAAAACGCGTTTGGAGCCCCCACCTACATTCAGGGCCCCAACACTAGTTTGAAAGACCCACCCATGTCCCCACCGATAGTAGGTGGGGGTACATACAGCATTGGGGACTTGAAAAAGGTTGGGGGGTTTTCAAAGTGGTGGGGACATAAAAGAAGTTATGTGGGGAGTCATGATGCTTCAGTTGTAATGTGAGTGGGGGCTGATTCCACGTTTTGCAGGCAAACGTGTATTTGAAGCCCCCAATAAGAGCTTTTGATGGCCCCTTTGGTGTGACGCTATTCGAAACCCCACCAAGACCAGTAGATCAGCCGACCACCAATGTAGATCAGCCCCCCACCAATGTAGATCAGCCCCCCACCTATGTAGATCAAGTCCCCACCAGATTCGATCAATCATCCCTGGTGTGGATCAGCCCCCCACCTATGTAGATCAGGTCCCCACTAATGTAGATGAAGCCCCCACTTTCGTACTCGTGTCAACAGTTATACGGTGTAAATTAGTCCCCCACCCACAAGTAAGATCAGAACCTCATTTTCATTTACTGCCTAAGTACCCTTTGATAAAACCACACCTTGCTAACCGCTTCATTCAGCTTTCTTCAAAAATCCTGCCAGTTCTCTCTGGTTTTTGGATAGAATAGACATTAGATAGAAAAAATAGATTAGAAAACAACCGTTTTCTATTTCGATTGGAAAAATAAATGAGTGATATGAACAGAACATTTTTTTTGGCTTTCTCGAACACGTCATCTAGAACACGTTATTCAGGGCACGTTCTTTTTTTTCAGAATTCTCTTTTTTTATTTAAAAATTAGTACACGTAAACACATTTTTATTTAATTTGAAAAAAATTTCGGAAATGTTTTGAACATTTTTGAATGAGGGGTTTTGTAACGCTTTATGGTGGGGTATCAAAACACGTCATGCCGGTGGGGGCATGTATTTCTTATGGTGGGGGGTTAAAATGCAATTTACCCTGAACCGCTTGTTCCAAAGCTTTTGGTTGTCTCAATTTCGCCGAAATATCATCTCGACTACAAAGTGCAAAATTCAAAGCCTCAGTCCATCCAGCAGCAGCGATTTCAATTCTCAAATTATCGCATAATTTATTGATTGGAAATGCGACAGCCACCGTATTACTTTCAGGTAATCTCAAAACTAGATTATTATAACCATAGGCGACTCCAACATCTTCCGCAATATCGCAAGCGTGTAGAATATCGTGGCGAGTTGGGGGAACTACGATTTTGAGCGTTTTTGGTGAGACGACTTGAGCTTCGAGCGACATTTTGTTGAGAAGTTATGCCATTGTTTGATCGTCCAAATTTATTCCGATTTTTGTGTTGATTTCTGGAGTGGTTACGGTCATTTCGCGGTAGGAGAGGAGCTGCAAAAATGGAAATCATACATCAGTATCCCCGGATTTTCGTCCGGAGGGGGTCTGGCTAACTTTGGTAAAAAGGGGTGGGGACCGGGTAACTTTTTGAAAAAATAACAAATTACACCCCAAAAACCAAGTTTTTCTCTCTATTTTTGAGGGGATGTGGCTAATTTTTGTATTTTCACATTTCGGGGGTGGCTAATTTTGAGGCCCTGACCGGAAGAAACTGATGTATGATAGAAATTTAGAAATTATTGAAATTCGGAAAGATAGATGAATTTTCATCAGGAATTTAAAATTTTTGGCGCAAAATTTGAATGTTTCAAATTATTAATTTTGCCACCAAAATCTGGATTTTCAGCGCGAAATTTGAATCTTCACGAAAAGTCGTAGGTCAAAATTAGTTTTTCGAGTTTTTCAGCCAAAAATGATGACAAATCGATATTTTTCAAGCTTCTGGAGTAGTTTTTGATGAAAATTGACCTTGGAATTCACTTTCCAGAAGGTTTTGCTGAATTTTCGTGATGAATTTCGAAAAAAAATAAAAAAATAAAGCAAAATAGGATTCTCGAAGCTTATTTTCATCAGAAATCATTCCAGAAGCTTGAAAAATATCGATTTTTCATCATTTTTGGCTGAAAAACTCGAAATACTAGTTGTTTTTTCGATATTTTTTGACTTTTCGTGAATTGATCTTTTAAAAAACCATTTTTCAACATTTTTTCCTTCGTGAATCAGCCCTCACATTTCGCGATGAAAATCCAGATTTTGGTGGCAAAATTAATAATTTGAAACATTCAAATTTCGCCCCAAAAATTTTAAATTTCAAATTTTCGGCAGTAGAAACAGTTTTAAAAATTTGAAGGCACATAGAAATTTCATATTTTCTTCATTTTTCAACTAAATTTTCACATTTTCAGCCAATAAATACACTTTCTAAGCAGAAAAACCCTTTGAAAACTCACCGGATACAATTCCTTTTCCCCACTTTCCTCATAAACAACTTCAACTTGTTCAACTTCAAAAGGTTTCGCACAATATTGCGAGAAAAGTGTAACAATCGTGTCCAAAACAACAAATGCCTTCTGTTTATCAGTGGCGGTGGCCTCAATTAAAACATTTTTGGTATTCAAAGTGATTTTCGAGTGTTCTCCATTAATAATTGGTGGCATCGAGCAAACAACTCCTTTTGAATCATAAATAACTGGATATTTCGGATGGTTTTGAATGATTGGAAGATAGGCTTTCAAATGTGAATCACTTGAATAAAGTGTCATTAATTCTTCAGCTGTATATCCTTTTGTTTGATTCAAAGGCCTGAATTTGATATCTTTCGGAGCTTCCGCACGATATTCAAAAGGTCCTTGAATAGTATCCAAATCATGCGTTCCAATCGCAACCAATGTTCGTTTTCGGCAAATATTTTGATGAAGTTTGTCTTGCAAATCGATGAAACTCGCATAATTATCCGCGTCAAATTGAATATTTCGCAAAACTGCGCCAACTACAAATGAGCGAATTGTTGCTGTCTCCTTTTTCACAATGATTTTTTGCAAGCCAGATTTTGGAATTGGCGCGAAAGTGTATTTTGGAGGTGGGATTTCTTGCTTGAAGATACGAATCGCTCGGGATAACCCTTCTACACTTAGCAAATCATAGCGATTTGCGGGGATATCGATTTTATAGACTTCTTGGTCGTTGAGATCCGTGGCAGCGTTTGTTCCCCGCTCTTTTTCAACCGCAGCCTTTTCCGAGGTCTGAAATTGTTTTAAAAACATATTTTTCTTCACAAAGGCCCAGGACTCACGATTTCGTCCAACTCTAAACCATATTCAAAGCACAACTCATCGAATTCCTTTTCCGCTGAAAAAAATTGTTTTTTGAGAAAATATTTGTTTTCCCTCAAAACCTACAATAAATTCGGTTGAAATGTTTGTCCAAAAGGAGCTTTTTGATTCCCACAGTCGGCATTTTGCTGAAAATTTGAAATTTTTGGCTGGAAATCGGGTTTTTCGCTGCAAAAACTGCAAAACGCGAAATAAAAATGCAAAATGTGTGTTGGCGTGTTTGTGGTGCGCGTCAGTGTTGTGCGCGCTGGCGTGTTTGTTGTGCAAAGGGGGAGGTTTGAAAATGCTTTTTTTTGTGGTTTTTGCGGAAACTGGCACGCTATTTTAAAACAATAGAAAGAGGGACAAATCGAGAGTTCGAGAGAGGAAAAAGAAGCTAGAAACACAGCTGAAATAGTGCTACAGTACGCCATTTTACCATTAGCTGGCGCACAGCCAAGTGTGGTCTTGGCGCGATTTCTCTGCACTCTCTCTTTTTAGTGGATTCTCGATTTGTCCGTTCAAAATCAGCGTGTTTTTTTCTGTTTTTTTTCGAGAAATAGCTTTTTCTAAGTTTATTTTCTGTTGCAGATAGATTAAAATGGACACTTGCATCATTTTGTGATGGTGAAACGATGACAAAATATTGTGTTGTTTTATTTTTGCGAAAATTATGTTGGAAATCGCGGTGATCAGGAAAAAGATTCTTATGAAGGAGACGATGGAGATTTTGAAGAAAAATATGAAAATTTCAAGTTCTTGAGGACTGTGATGCGGAATTCGATCGATTTCGAGTTAACTATGTTTGAACATCGAATTCTTTGTTTTATGTAATGGAAAAGTGTAAGTTTTTTTTTATTGCAAAATATATAATTAATTTTTAAATCTTTTTTGAAAAGCGACCAAGTTTTATTAAAAACACGAAAAATAATATTAAAGAGCAAATAAATTGATCATGGCCCAAAGACGATTGAATAGTGGAAGTGATTTCACTCACTTTCTTTTCTCCTTTTTCGACTTTTTCTCATTTTTCTGCTTCTCCTCTCTTTTCTCTCTTCGTAAACCGCGAATTTCCTTAAAAAAAACTAGTTTTGATCAAAATTATAAAAGGGTAATTTTTAAACTCACATCAACAATTTTAGACGAATTAGTCTCCGAACTCAACTTGTCCAACCAAAAATTGACGTCATCGTACAATTGTTCATTGTACATGGGCGCAATTATTTTCAGCAAATCAACTGAAATAATATAATCTGTCGACAAATCGATGAGTTTTCTGCGAAATGTTTCATCCGACTCAAACCGCCACACATACCACAATTTCTGAAAAACATAATAATTGAGAATATTTTTCGAAATATTGTACACTCACGTCGAAAATATTATTTCCCAATCGAGGTTTGAGGTCGACATAAACCATGTCCTCTAGAGTCCAATCCGCTTTCTTCAACATCCGAACAATATCCATCTGAAAATGTTTGTTTTTTAATTGGCAAAATAAATTTTGAATCGGGCCAGGTGCAAAAAAAATGTATTGAAAATATTTCACCATGGTTCGTTTCAAAAATCCTTCTAAATCGGATTCACTTAATTAAACCTGGCCCAATTTCTTCAGACCAATTCAAAAAATGGCCATAGTTATTCGAAAGTAAACTCACTTTTTCCGCTATTGTTGCTTTTTGGTTGAATAATTTTTTCAATCTATCCATTTCCGAGTTTTGATTCAATTTCTGCTCCAATTTTTGTTCAACACTCATAGTTCGATCAACAAGTGATGCATAAAATTCTTCTTTGTCAATTTGTCCAATTTGTTGTTCAATTGGCTGGACGGTTTCACGTCTTTCGATTGCAGATAACAATGTCTGGAAAATGAATGATTTTGTTGGCGGATGGGAAACGGAACATTGCTCTTTTTCATAATTGTAGTTTTATTCCAAATTTTCAAATGTTCCAAATTTTCAAATGTCAATTTCATTGAAAATCTTGAATTTTTAGTCTCAAATGTTTTTTTTTTAAGATCCGACCTGTATTGGAAAAGTGAGAACTGGAAAATGAGAAAGTTGGAAATTTGTTGCAATAATATAATTTTTTTATTCAATTCTAATGACGGTTTGATTTTTCAAAAAATGCACTATTAAACATTTTGATGAAAGTATAAACGTACCGGATTTCGAACCGTTTCATCAGAATTGAATAATGTTGATCCAGTATCTTGGTGCATTTCAATAATCAATTCATAATGATCGCACACTTGCATGCATTTATCGACAAATTTTGAATTGTCTTCATAACAAATATTTGGATCAATCTGAAATATAATGAGTTCTTTTCTAGAATAAATAACTCTTAATACTTACTTTAATAAATCCAATGAGATTTTTCAATGATTCTTCCATTAAGACAATAAGTTTGGATCCTTGACAATCCAATTGTTCAGACGACATCTTTACCAAATGGAATTGATCATTCTCCATGGTCCATTCTCCCCTGAAAAACCGATTTGAATAATTTTAGAAATTTTTCCTAAACTAACCAATAGTATGTTCCTCTAATAAGTTTAATGATTGTTTCAAATTGAGATTTATTAGCGATATGCTCCATCTTCCTTTCTAAAAACTGACCAAAACTGATAAAATTCCAGTTTTTATACTGCTACGTTTTTTATAAAATGTCACGTTTTGTATTTTTCCTGTTGTGATTTGTTTTATTTTATTTTATTAAAAATGTAGGATTATTTTCACTTTAGCAAAAAAAAAACAAAACACTGGGAAAAAATCTGGCGATTAAAGTAATTCCAAGCTAAAATAAAAACGATTGAGAGCCGAAATTTATTTCAAGGTTTCCAACAAATATACATTAGTACTGTATTTTTTGTTTTTTGTATTTTTCTGTTGAAATTATTGATTTTTCTTCTGTAATTATATTTTTCTGTTCTTCTGTAATTTTCTAAAAATTCCGTTTTTTTTTCAGATTTCTCAAACTTGAGAAATCTTTTTCCAAAATAAAATTTGGCTCTTTTTTTTTAGTCTTTTGATCTCTTAAATGTTTTAAAATATTTTCTCTCACATTTTTTAAACTCTTCATATATTTTTATTTCATATTCTATCAGTTCCAATTGGTGAGCTATCAATAGTTTTTATTTCCAGTACTAGCCAATATCGAAATACAGTATTCCTTTTCCCATTTTCCTTTTTCTTTCCACTTTTCAGTGCATTTGTGCGTCGCAGTGTTTCAACACGACGACGCACAAATGCACTGAAAAGGGGAAATGCAAATTTGAGTCGAAATCCGCGATAGTGAAAGGTTTGTTAGATTTTTTGCAGCGAAATTGATTTTTTGTTGTTGTAAATATCAAAACGAGTGGAACATTTGAACATTCACTCTGATTTTTCAATTTTCCCGGTGTAAAATCTATCAAAAACCATATATTTTTCAAAAATTGGTTTTTTTTCCAGGAATTTCATTCCACCCGTCTCGACCATGGATTGTAATATCTCTTCACAGCGATGTTATTCAATTGTGACATTATCGAATGTGTGTACTTCTCGAGAAGTTTGATGAGTATGACGGACCAGTTCGAGGAATCTGTTTCCATCAAGAACAACTGATTTTTGTGTGTGGTGGTGATGATTACAAGATCAAAGTGTGGAATTGGAATTATAAGCAGAAACGATGCATTTTCACACTTTTAGGACATTTGAATTATATTCCAACAACATTTTTTCACAATAAATATTCATGGATTGATTATATCAGCCTCTGATGATCAAACTTTTCGTATTTGAAATTGACAATCGCGAAATTCTATTGCTATTTTAACCGGACATAATCATTGAGAAAGAAACAAATTTGAGAAGGAGGTGTTCCAAACAATCTGATGGTGTTGTGAAACAAACAAGTTCTCGAAGGACATGTTGGTGATGTAAATTGGGTTGTATTCCATCATCAAATGATAATTGTTGTTTCTGGTTCAGACAAGTTATAAAATGTGAAGATATAATGAGACAAAAAGCTTGAGAAGTTGATATTTATCGAGGATAATATTATAATACATATTATATATATATATATCATCTATTCGTATTATTCTATCCAAATCCAGAGTTGATTTTGTGGATAAACGTATTCGAGTTTGGGATATGCAAAAACGCACAAGACTTCATGTTTTCAGGTAATTTTGAGATTTTGTGCAGAAATATGTATATCTCAAATTCGAGAAAGAAAATCTACTTATATATATATATATATATTTCTGGAAAAAAATGTGACGTCGAGCTGAAGTGTCATAAGCTCGAGTCTTCAGATCGTCAGAATTTTGTGATTTTTCGAGCAAAATCCAACTTTTCAAATTTTCAGACACGAGAACGAACGCTTGTGGGTCGTTGCTGCTTATCCAAGTTTGAATATGTTTGCCGCCGGACATGACAACGGAATGGTTGTTTTCAAAATTCAAACAGAACGTCCAGCTTATGAAATTGATGATCAGAAGCCTGAAGTTCCACCTGAAAGATCTTCTACAAGAATTTCGAGAAAATTATCTGAAAAACATGGTCAGAAAGCTGAAAAATCGAAAAATTCATCAAAATCTGCTTCAGAAGCTGAAATTCAAGCTGAAAAAGCTGGAAATCGTCGAAAATATGCTCCAGAAGCTGAGAATGATGAAAAAAAGCCTGAAATTGTGACCAAAAAGGATGGAAGATCAAGATCCACATCTATAAAAGCTCAAAAATCTGTTGAGAATCGTCGAAATTCATCTGGAAATTTGAAAATTTCACGAAAACCTGCTCCAGAAGCTGAAAAAGCTCGAAAACCTGTTGGAAGACCAAGATCGAACTCTGTTAGAGCTCCAGAATCTGCTCCAGAGCCTGAAATTGCTCCAGAAGCTGGAAATTGTGAAGTCAAACTCGAAATATCTGAAAATCCACAAAAATTGACTGAAAATGTTGTAGAAGTGAAACTGGAAATTGAGGAAGCGGAATATTCGAATTTTGAAGTCAAAATGGAAATTGAGGAAAATGAAGAAGCTGAATATCCGGGAATTTTGAAAAAAGTGAGTTTTTTGAGCTGAAAATTCGTGATTTTCAGATTTTTTGGGTCTAGAAAATGTAAAATTATCTGAAAATTTTAGATTTTTCAGCTCAAAATTCAAAATTTTTATTTAAAAATTTAAAAATTTCAAATTTTTGGATCTAGAAAATGTAAAATTATCCGGAAATTTAAAAATTTCCAAATTTTTACACAAAAAATCATAAAAAATGTTCCATCTGCTGACTATTGACTTCAAAAAATTCCACCAAAAATCTTCAATTTTTTCTAGTTCCTCTACGACGAGAATAATCCATTCGTAATCTGCTCTCGCAATTTTGTCCCATTATATCGTGGTCAACCATTGTACAAATGCTCATTCTGCAGAGCATCGTATTCCGAAGGTTTGGAAAGCGAATTGTGCGTGCGATGTTTGTCAGATATCCAAAATTGGCAAAAATGTATTGGGATTGAGAATTTCAACATTAAACAATTAAATTCCTTTCAATTCAAATGTGTGATGATAATTAATTAAAGCACTTTGTTTCAACCATGTGTTGTGTTGAACAAATAGAGAATACACGACGCAGACACAAAAAACCCTCGAAATTTTTAAAAAATCAGAATTCTTGGACTATCGCTGCAGGACCCAACAGTTGGCTGGTTGCCAGCCTTATTTAATTTCGCGGTATTTTCAGTTTCGCGGGTTTTTTTTCTCGAATACTAAAATCTTCGAAATTTGGCTCGATAATGATGCAATTGTAAAACTAGAAGAGCTTCCATATTTTTATAAAATTTTGACTTTTGCATGGAAAATTGATATTTCAATAGGGCGCAATTGCTATTTTTCGGTTTTTTATAAAAAAATGGAAAAGTGTAAGTTTTTTATTGCACCAAAATATATCTCACATCCACATATTCCTCCCAATTCAATCGTTCAAACTTCTCATTCCTCGCCGCAATTTTCCTGAATTTTCTCTGATTCGACACAATCAATGCCAACATTTCAATAGTTTTTCCAAGTCCAATTTCATTCGCCAAAATTCCACCTTTTGCCATTAATTCGATTGGTATTTTATCGATTTTTTTGCGCGAAAACATTCCAAATGATGGATAATAGAATAATTGAATATCATCAATCGGAACCCGCTGATTTCTCATTTCCGACTTCAAATATTTCGAAAAATGCGACGAAAAACGATTTGTTTCGAAATTTGCCAAAATTGGAAAACTCCAAAATGTTTTGAGAAGTTGTTTTGGTTTTCCGGTAAATGTTTCGATGAAGATTTTGTTGAGGATTTGAGCATTTTTGCACGATTTTTCGAGTTGTTCAAAATCGAAAATGTTATCAATTATGAAATTAGGATTCAAGTAAAAATCGAGTTGAATATGATCGTTTTTCGAAGTCCAGAAGATTGAAATGCCAGCATTTTTCAATGTTCTGTAATTTTTAAAGATTTTAAGGTTTTTTTTTAGCATACACATTTTTGGTGTCAAATCGAACGCAATTTGATGTTTAAAAACTCACTGTGAATTTTGAGCACAAATCTTGAGCATCAAATCAATCGGAGCAATCCTAATAATCTTCGCATTCATCCCATTTTCATCAGAAGTTCCTTCAAAATCCGTCAAAATCTGAACTTCCTTGTTCGATCTGTTCTTTTCCTCGAAAATCAAATACAATTTCGAATCTCCACCAATTATTTCGAATTCTTTTTCAAAAATTCGAGTAAATAAGTGAATAAAGTTATTTGTTTCAAGTAGACTAATTGGAAAAATTGACAAAATTTGATTTTTATCAATTTTTAAATATTCGCTAGTAGTTGCCATTATAAAAATATCGAGAACTGATTTTTTTTGGGTTTTATTTTGTTTTTATTTTTTTTTGCCGCGTGTTCAAAAAAAAAATAGATCACGTAAATTGAGTTAAAAAATTGAATATCGGAAAACTTTTTAGTCTCAGAATTCTGAAATTCAGCTCAAAAATATATTTTCCATCTGAAAATCATTAAAAATGTCGAATTTCAAGTGTTATTCTGAATTTTAGAATTTTTTTAATGAAAACAAAAATCAAGAAAATTTCCCGAAAATTCAGTTCAAAAATTGTTTAGTCTAAAAATTCTTCATAAATCTTTGCTGAATAAATATAAAACGCATAATTGGAGCAGCTTCTGGTGATTCTTCTTCGATTTTTGGAACTGGAATTGAAATTATTGTTTTTCAGCAAAAATCCCAGATTTTCATTTTTTTCTTCTCAAAAATACCTCTCAATTCGTCAATTTTCAGCCCAATTTCAGCATCTTCTGAATTTTCATCAGAATCTGAATCATTTTCAGCTTCTTTGGTGGATTTGGAGCAATTTCTGGAAAATTTTCAGATTTTTTTTGAGATTTTCAGAGTTATCTATACCCTAAAAAAGCTGAAAAACATGAAATTTGAGCCAACAAGTTTTTCGGGTAAAAATAAGTAATAAAAATTTGGGAATTTTTAAATTTCCGGATAATTTTACATTTTCTAGATCCAAAAAATTTGAAAATTTCAAATTTTTAAATCCTGATTTTTTACGTTTCAGAAAAACGTTTTTACGTTTCAGAAAAACGTTAAATAATTGATCGATGTTGTTTCATGCATTCCTTTAGTTTTCAAATGCCACAAATAATCATCAAGAATTTTTTGATCGAAATCTTCACAATCGAAATTTTCGCGCATTTCCAAGGGTAAATCGCAGAAAGATAGACTAATGGCGTAATTTGAATATGTTTGCCGCCGGACATGACAACGGAATGGTTGTTTTCAAAATTCAAACAGAACATCCAGCTTATTTTGTCAATGAGAATCTCGTTTTTTATGAAACAATTGAGATAACTCGATTTCACCACAAACTTAGTTTTGAAGAAATATTGGTAGTTTTTGCTCCGCTGATCATTATTTCTCATATTCAAAGTTGATTGATAAGATGTTCTTGATTCTCCACCAGTTTGTAAATTTGTAAATTTGAGTGGGAACAAGTTAATCAATCGCATTGTTAGTTGAATTCCAAATATAAGGTTGTTATTTTCTTTAAGCCAAAATTTACAATTGCGACAAGTTGAAATTGAAAATCTTTTTATTCAAACGTTTCGACGTATAACGTCATCATCAGGGATAATACTGAAAAAATAAAATGGGTTATTTACAATATATAAGTTACAAATTTTTGAAATAAACTTAAAAAATCAACAAATCTCGAAAACCAACAAAAAATAAAATAAACCTGCTAAAGTGCGGGTAGGCGGAGTGTTGTTAGTACTTTAGGAGAATTTTATTTTGATTTATTTTTATTGTGAAATTGAAATTGAAATGAATTTAGATGAGAATTTGTGTTTTTTTGATGTTAATTAGAAAGAATTTGGTATTTGGATTGTTCCAAGCCTTGTGATCATATCCGAGAGTTCCTCTTTATTGTTTAATGATGGATTGTGATGTTTTATCAAAACCCCTTCTCTGATCTTCCGAATATTAGTATTGCGCTCGACTTCCAGAATATCAACATCAATCACCAAAGCCTCTCCACCATGTTTTTCCTTAGAATGTTGCGTTTTGCGTAACGCCTTTAGTCTATCCTTCTGCGTTTTGCGTAACGCCTTTAGTCTATCCTTCTGCGTTTTGCGTAACGCCTTTAGTCTATTCTTCTGCGTTTTGCGTTACGCCTTTAGTCTATCCTTCTGCGTTTTGCGTAACGCCTTTAGTCTATCTTTCTGCGTTTTGCGTTACGCCTTTAGTCTATCCTTCTGCGTTTTGCGTTACGCCTTTAGTCTATCTTTCTGCGTTTTGCGTTACGCCTTTAGTCTATCCTTCTGCGTTTTACCCTTGGAAATGCGCGATCAAAAAATTATTGATGATTATTATTTAACGTTTTTCTGAAACGTAAAAAATCAGGGTTTTTTGTTGTGTGACCCATAAAAAATCCCGCTATTTAAAGCCAAAAATCATCAAATCTGGTCATTTTAGATTTCATCTGAGCCACCTTCGGTTCCAGAATCCAAATCAAACTCAGGTAGCAGCTTGCCCATGGACTGCCCTTAGGAAAGCGGTTGCCCCATAATCGCACCTTGGGCAAGCCCTAAGGGCAAATTTTTTAATGGGAAAAATACATTTATAGCTATTTTTCATAACGTGACCTAGTTTTGATACGTGTCCTGTTTCGAAATCGGAATTTCTTCTCATTTTTGATATTCTGTTAGCCAAGAAAATAGCGAATAAATCAAACTATTTCGATAACGCTCAAATATCGACTTATTAGAGAAGCAGTAACTTTATGCAAAACACTGTGAGCAAGTTATCAATTAAAATATAGTGAAGCGGATTCTGGGATTGTCACTGTGATTTTTGAATGGATTTTTATGAATTAGATGTTCCAAACCATGTATAAAATTCTCAAAAAAGTTGTTTTGGATCAACTGCTCCAACAATTGCAGCTTTGAATCATAAAATTTCGGATAATAAATTATCAACTTATGTGAAAATTTGATTCTACAATGAGAAGCAAAGTATGATCAAGCTGAAGTGCATCTATCTCTCCATGTTATTTCGTTTAATAAAATTTTTACCTCTAGAAAACTTTTTTTACCTCTAGAAAACTTTTTTTACCTCTAGAAAACTTTTTTTACCTCTAGAAAACTATCATGATTTAGCCTTCAACTAAATACATGATAATGTTTTCATGTGTTTAGTTAATTGAAGTCAGTTTTGATGAAGGCTGCCTTCTTTTTGATGAAGGCTGCCTCTCCAAACTGCCCCATTTTGGGCCTAGGCTTCATTTTTCCAACCTGAGAACAAGAAAAATTAGTGAAAATGCTTTTTTACGTGGCTTGAATTAATTTGAATTTAAAACGTGATGTTCTTGTTTAATTTAAATGCCCAAAGATTGCCCTTTGAATGCTCCAATGCAGCCCTTAGAACCTGCTCTAAGGGCAGAGTAAGGAGCAGTCCATGGGCAAGCTGCTACCTGAGAAAGAACAAGAAGAGCCGCACAAAGAGCACAGTGGAACAAAAATCAAAGAGAAAATATCGGATTTGAGTGTGAAGACACCAACAGCGGTGACTGCGATCAATTCGAAAACATCGACAACGACTGAGAGTACGATTACTCTGGATGTTAAACAGGATGCGTTTGGAACACTTGATGTAAGATTCGGTTGAAAATTGAAGCTCAAAAAAGAAAATATATATGTGGCCGAGAAATGTCGGGAATTCGGCCACATATATTTTTTGTTTGAATTTTTTGAAAAGTTTCAAAAAATGCTCATAATCTCTGGGTGAAAACGAATGAGTCATAATTTTACAGGATGAGGAATTTGAAAAAAGCCGCCGCAAACATTCCAAATCAACTCAACGATGAAGACGAAAAGGATATCCTCCGCCTTGCTCCAAAAATCCTAAAAATCGCCAAACGCCACAAGGCAATGGAGAAATGTCGAAGACAGCCGAAGAGAACGAAACGCTCGCCAAATTCTTTTCGGGCAAAAAGTCGTTGACTCCCGAAGTTTTGGCGACACTCGATGTTGGTCTCGATAAAATCATTGATCATCTTCATAAGAATAATTTGGCGATTGATGAGGAGACGAAACGAATTATTAAACATCGCGATAAATTGAAGGCGGCGATGATGAAGGAGTTTTTGGTGTCTCCACAGTATTTGCCGAAGAGTTGGACAGCTAAATTTAATCGTAAGTTTTGCAAACGTGCAAAATTTCCTTGCTAGAAAGATAATTTTCAGAATGGAAAAGTGAGGCTGAAAATCAGAAAAATGGTGTAAACTGGTTCCGAATTCTATTCGCCTATCCAAAACATAAATCATTTGATGATGGACCAGAAGACATATTTGGAAATTTTAATAAAAGAGATCGAGGGCTTTTGATTGGCCTTATTCTTGGACCTGGAGATGTCAAATCATTTGAGGAAACTAAACGGGAAGACGATTGTCAGGGAATGTTCCTTGATACAAAATTGATTGAGCACGCTGGAAATGAGCCGGATTTGACGAGTGCAACGAAGACTTATGTGAATTTGGAGAAAATGGAGAAGCAAGCGTCGGAGCCGAAAATATCGGCGAATTTGAATAATAATAAGGAGAAAGCGGAGAATGAGAAGAAAAAGAGGATATGAAGGATAAAGCCAAATAAAAAGTTTGTGGTTTCTAATTTTTTGTATGTATTTTCTCCGTATTTCTCCTGTTTTCTTAACATGTTAAGAAAATACATGATAATGAAGAAAAATTTGGGCGTATCAAAAATTGCTGACAAGGGAAGTGCATAAGGTTAGGTTTTGAACTTTTTTTGCAATTTAGTACACAATTGAAGCGATTTGAAGCACAAATCACTTCAAAATCACTAATTTATCAATAAAACTCCTCCTGTTTTTTTCTCCTCCTGTTTTTTTGGTTGAGAAATTAATCTGAATAGCCCCATAACTAAATCGAATATGAAGAAGTCTTGTAGAATTTCAAATATTCTAGCAATTGTCGAATTTTGTTCACCTCGCATTCAATGATTCGAAATGGTTTGAATTTGAATTATGCAATAATTATGAAACAACATCGATCAATTATTTAACGTTTTTCTGAAACGTAAAAAATCAGGATTTAAAATCAGGATTTAATTTGAAATTTTCAAATTTTTTGGATCTAGAAAATGTAAAATTATCCGGAAATTTAAAAATTCCCAAATTTTTATTACTTATTTTTACCCGAAAAACTTGTTGGCTCAATCTTGTCATAACCACGTTCGGCTATGTTTCTGTCAAAAAAATTGAGTTTTGATCTTTTGCCTTTCCCGGGGTGGACTGTGCAAGTTGTAACACTATTTATGAGACACCCTGTACACATTCCATAGATCGACAATTTGACAGTTCTCTGGAAAAAAAATGCATTTTTTGGATATTTTCCGGAAAAAATTCAAAATTTTTGATGATTTCGAAATTTCGGTGAGATTTATGAAGAATTTTTAGACTAAAAAATTTTTGAACTGAATTTTCGGGAAATTTTCTTGATTTTTGTTTTCATTTAAAAAAATTCTAAAATTCAGAATAACACTTGAAATTCGACATTTTTAATGATTTTCAGATGGAAAATATATTTTTGAGCTGAATTTCAGAATTCTGAGACTAAAAAGTTTTCCGATATTCAATTTTTTAACTCAATTTACGTGATCTATTTTTTTTGAGCACGCGGCAAAAAAAATAAAAACAAAATAAAACCCAAAAAAAATCAGTTCTCGATATTTTTATAATGGCAACTACTAGCGAATATTTAAAAATTGATAAAAATCAAATTTTGTCAATTTTTCCAATTAGTCTACTTGAAACAAATAACTTTATTCACTTGTTTACCAGAATTTTTGAAAAAGAATTCGAAATAATTGGTGGAGATTCGAAATTGTATTTGATTTTCGAGGAAAAGAACAGATCGAACAAGGAAGTTCAGGTTTTGACGGATTTTGAAGGAACTTCTGATGAAAATGGGATGAATGCGAAGATTATTAGGATTGCTCCGATTGATTTTATGCTCAAGATTTGTGCTCAAAATTCACAGTGAGTTTTTAAACATCAAATTGCGTTCGATTTGACACCAAAAATGTGTATGCTAAAAAAAAAACCTTAAAATCTTTAAAAATTACAGAACATTGAAAAATGCTGGCATTTCAATCTTCTGGACTTCGAAAAACGATCATATTCAACTCGATTTTTACTTGAATCCCAATTTCATAATTGATAACATTTTCGATTTTGAACAACTCGAAAAATCGTGCAAAAATGCTCAAATCCTCAACAAAATCTTCATCGAAACATTTACCGGAAAACCAAAACAACTTCTCAAAACATTTTGGAGTTTTCCAATTTTGGCAAATTTCGAAACAAATCGTTTTTCGTCGCATTTTTCGAAATATTTGAAGTCGGAAATGAGAAATCAGCGGGTTCCGATTGATGATATTCAATTATTCTATTATCCATCATTTGGAATGTTTTCGCGCAAAAAAATCGATAAAATACCAATCGAATTAATGGCAAAAGGTGGAATTTTGGCGGATGAAATTGGACTTGGAAAAACTATTGAAATGTTGGCATTGATTGTGTCGAATCAGAGAAAATTCAGGAAAATTGCGGCGAGGAATGAGAAGTTTGAACGATTGAATTGGGAGGAATATGTGGATGTGAGATATATTTTGGTGCAATAAAAAACTTACACTTTTCCATTTTTTTTATAAAAAACCGAAAAATAGCAATTGCGCCCTATTGAAATATCAATTTTCCATGCAAAAGTCAAAATTTTATAAAAATATGGAAGCTCTTCTAGTTTTACAATTGCATCATTATCGAGCCAAATTTCGAAGATTTTAGTATTCGAGAAAAAAAAACCCGCGAAACTGAAAATACCGCGAAATTAAATAAGGCTGGCAACCAGCCAACTGTTGGGTCCTGCAGCGATAGTCCAAGAATTCTGATTTTTTAAAAATTTCGGGGGTTTTTTGTGTCTGCGTCGTGTATTCTCTATTTGTTCAACACAACACATGGTTGAAACAAAGTGCTTTAATTAATTATCATCACACATTTGAATTGAAAGGAATTTAATTGTTTAATGTTGAAATTCTCAATCCCAATACATTTTTGCCAATTTTGGATATCTGACAAACATCGCACGCACAATTCGCTTTCCAAACCTTCGGAATACGATGCTCTGCAGAATGAGCATTTGTACAATGGTTGACCACGATATAATGGGACAAAATTGCGAGAGCAGATTACGAATGGATTATTCTCGTCGTAGAGGAACTAGAAAAAATTGAAGATTTTTGGTGGAATTTTTTGAAGTCAATAGTCAGCAGATGGAACATTTTTTATGATTTTTTGTGTAAAAATTTGGAAATTTTTAAATTTCCGGATAATTTTACATTTTCTAGATCCAAAAAATTTGAAATTTTTAAATTTTTAAATAAAAATTTTGAATTTTGAGCTGAAAATCTAAAATTTTCGAATTTTCAGATAATTTTACATTTTCTAGACCCAAAAAATCTGAAAATCACGAATTTTCAGCTCAAAAAACTCACTTTTTTCAAAATTCCCGGATATTCAGCTTCTTCATTTTCCTCAATTTCCATTTTGACTTCAAAATTCGAATATTCCGCTTCCTCAATTTCCAGTTTCACTTCTACAACATTTTCAGTCAATTTTTGTGGATTTTCAGATATTTCGAGTTTGACTTCACAATTTCCAGCTTCTGGAGCAATTTCAGGCTCTGGAGCAGATTCTGGAGCTCTAACAGAGTTCGATCTTGCTCTTCCAACCTTTTTTGACCATAATTTCAGCTCCCGGAGCAGATGTGCGAGGATTTTCAGCATTTCTAGGTTGAATTTCAGGCGCTGGAGCAGAATTTGATGAATTTTCAGCTTTTCCAGATGATATTTGACTATCTTCAGCAATTTCAGACTTCGCCTCATTTTCAGCACATTTTTGAGCTCTAACAGTTTTCGATCTTGGTCTTCCAACAGGTTTTCGAGCTTTTTCAGCTTCTGGAGCAGGTTTTCGTGAAATTTTCAAATTTCCAGATGAATTTCGACGATTCTCAACAGAAGAAAAATATGAAAATTTCAAGTTCTTGAGGACTGTGATGCGGAATTCGATCGATTTCGAGTTAACTATGTTTGAACATCGAATTCTTTGTTTTTTTTGTAATGGAAAAGTGTAAGTTTTTTTATTGCAAAATATATAATTAATTTTTTAAATCTTTTTTGAAAAGCGACCAAGTTTTATTAAAAACACGAAAAATAATATTAAAGAGCAAATAAATTGATCATGGCCCAAAGACGATTGAATAGTGGAAGTGATTTCACTCACTTTCTTTTCTCCTTTTTCGGCTTTTTCTCATTTTTCTGCTTCTCCTCTCTTTTCTCTCTTCGTAAAGCCCGAATTTCCTTAAAAAACAAGTTTTGATCAAAATTATAAAAAGGTAATTTTTAAACTCACATCAACAATTTTAGACGAATTAGTCTCCGAACTCAACTTGTCCAACCAAAAATTGACGTCATCGTACAATTGTTCATTGTACATGGGCGCAATTATTTTCAGCAAATCAACTGAAATAATATAATCTGTCGACAAATCGATGAGTTTTCTGCGAAATGTTTCATCCGACTCAAACCGCCACACATACCACAATTTCTGAAAAACATAATAATTGAGAATATTTTTCGAAATATTGTACACTCACGTCGAAAATATTATTTCCCAATCGAGGTTTGAGGTCGACATAAACCATGTCCTCTAGAGTCCAATCCGCTTTCTTCAACATCCGAACAATATCCATCTGAAAATGTTTGTTTTTTAATTGGCAAAATAAATTTTGAATCGGGCCAGGTGCAAAAAAAATGTATTGAAAATATTTCACCATGGTTCGTTTCAAAAATCCTTCTAAATCGGATTCACTTAATTAAACCTGGCCCAATTTCTTCAGACCAATTCAAAAAATGGCCATAGTTATTCGAAAGTAAACTCACTTTTTCCGCTATTGTTGCTTTTTGGTTGAATAATTTTTTCAATCTATCCATTTCCGAGTTTTGATTCAATTTCTGCTCCAATTTTTGTTCAACACTCATAGTTCGATCAACAAGTGATGCATAAAATTCTTCTTTGTCAATTTGTCCAATTTGTTGTTCAATTGGCTGGACGGTTTCACGTCTTTCGATTGCAGATAACAATGTCTGGAAAATGAATGATTTTGTTGGCGGATGGGAAACGGAACATTGCTCTTTTTCATAATTGTAGTTTTATTCCAAATTTTCAAATGTTCCAAATTTTCAAATGTCAATTTCATTGAAAATCTTGAATTTTTAGTCTCAAATGTTTTTTTTTTAAGATCCGACCTGTATTGGAAAAGTGAGAACTGGAAAATGAGAAAGTTGGAAATTTGTTGCAATATTATAATTTTTTTATTCAATTCTAATGACGGTTTGATTTTTTCAAAAAATGCACTATTAAACATTTTGATGAAAGTATAAACGTACCGGATTTCGAACCGTTTCATCAGAATTGAATAATGTTGATCCAGTATCTTGGTGCATTTCAATAATCAATTCATAATGATCGCACACTTGCATGCATTTATCGACAAATTTTGAATTGTCTTCATAACAAATATTTGGATCAATCTGAAATATAATGAGTTCTTTTCTAGAATAAATAACTCTTAATACTTACTTTAATAACTCCAATGAGATTTTTCAATGATTCTTCCATTAAGACAATAAGTTTGGATCCTTGACAATCCAATTGTTCAGACGACATCTTTACCAAATGGAATTGATCATTCTCCATGGTCCATTCTCCCCTGAAAAACCGATTTGAATAATTTTAGAAATTTTTCCTAAACTAACCAATAGTATGTTCCTCTAATAAGTTTAATGATTGTTTCAAATTGAGATTTATTAGCGATATGCTCCATCTTCCTTTCTAAAAACTGACCAAAACTGATAAAATTCCAGTTTTTATACTGCTACGTTTTTTATAAAATGTCACGTTTTGTATTTTTCCTGTTGTGATTTGTTTTATTTTATTTTATTAAAAATGTAGGATTATTTTCACTTTAGCAAAAAAAACAAAACACTGGGAAAAAATCTGGCGATTAAAGTAATTCCAAGCTAAAATAAAAACGATTGAGAGCCGAAATTTATTTCAAGGTTTCCAACAAATATACATTAGTACTGTATTTTTTGTTTTTTGTATTTTTCTGTTGAAATTATTGATTTTTCTTCTGTAATTATATTTTTCTGTTCTTCTGTAATTTTCTAAAAATTCCGTTTTTTTTTTCAGATTTCTCAAACTTGAGAAATCTTTTTCCAAAATAAAATTTGGCTCTTTTTTTTTAGTCTTTTGATCTCTTAAATGTTTTAAAATATTTTCTCTCACATTTTTTAAACTCTTCATATATTTTTATTTCATATTCTATCAGTTCCAATTGGTGAGCTATCAATAGTTTTTATTTCCAGTACTAGCCAATATCGAAATACAGTATTCCTTCTCCCATTTTCCTTTTTCTTTCCACTTTTCAGTGCATTTGTGCGTCGCAGTGTTTCAACACGACGACGCACAAATGCACTGAAAAAGGAAATGCAAATTTGAGTCGAAATCCGCGATAGTGAAAGGTTTGTTAGATTTTTTGCAGCGAAATTGATTTTTTTGTTGTTGTAAATATCAAAACGAGTGGAACATTTGAACATTCACTCTGATTTTTCAATTTTCCCGGTGTAAAATCTATCAAAAACCATATATTTTTTTCAAAAATTGGTTTTTCCAGGAATTTCATTCCACCCGTCTCGACCATGGATTGTAATATCTCTTCACAGCGATGTTATTCAATTGTGACATTATCGAATGTGTGTACTTCTCGAGAAGTTTGATGAGTATGACGGACCAGTTCGAGGAATCTGTTTCCATCAAGAACAACTGATTTTTGTGTGTGGTGGTGATGATTACAAGATCAAAGTGTGGAATTGGAATTATAAGCAGAAACGATGCATTTTCACACTTTTAGGACATTTGAATTATATTCCAACAACATTTTTTCACAATAAATATCCATGGATTGATTATATCAGCCTCTGATGATCAAACTTTTCGTATTTGAAATTGACAATCGCGAAATTCTATTGCTATTTTAACCGGACATAATCATTGAGAAAGAAACAAATTTGAGAAGGAGGTGTTCCAAACAATCTGATGGTGTTGTGAAACAAACAAGTTCTCGAAGGACATGTTGGTGATGTAAATTGGGTTGTATTCCATCATCAAATGATAATTGTTGTTTCTGGTTCAGACAAGTTATAAAATGTGAAGATATAATGAGACAAAAGCTTGAGAAGTTGATATTTATCGAGGATAATATTATAATACATATTATATATATATATATATATCATCTATTCGTATTATTCTATCCAAATCCAGAGTTGATTTTGTGGATAAACGTATTCGAGTTTGGGATATGCAAAAACGCACAAGACTTCATGTTTTCAGGTAATTTTGAGATTTTGTGCAGAAATATGTATATCTCAAATTCGAGAAAGAAAATCTACTTATATATATATATATATATTTCTGGAAAAAATGTGACGTCGAGCTGAAGTTTCATAAGCTCGAGTCTTCAGATCGTCAGAATTTTGTGATTTTTCGAGCAAAATCCAACTTTTCAAATTTTCAGACACAAGAACGAACGCTTGTGGGTCGTTGCTGCTTATCCAAGTTTGAATATGTTTGCCGCCGGACATGACAACGGAATGGTTGTTTTCAAAATTCAAACAGAACATCCAGCTTATTTTGTCAATGAGAATCTCGTTTTTTATGTCAAAGATAAACAATTGAGAAAACTCGATTTCACCACAAACTTAGTTTTGAAGAAATATTGGTAGTTTTTGCTCCGCTGATCATTATTTCTCATATTCAAAGTTGATTGATAAGATGTTCTTGATTCTCCACAAGTTTGTAAATTGGAGGAAAATTGACGATTGTTGGCGTCGGTTCGTGAAGCATTTGATGCGCAATTATTTGGAACTTGAAGGAGGAGTTGATAGAGAAGCTGCAGCGAAAACTGGAGGTGTTTAACCGGCTGCTGATGTAAGTTTAGGGGGAAAATCTAACATTTCCTTGAAATTTCAGATTTTTAGCTAGTTTCTAAATGACTTTCTAAATGGCTTCTGTAATTTTCGAAAAAATTCTGATTTTCTGCTCAAAATATTTTTAATTCTCAGTTTGAAGCGAAAAATCAAGGATTTTCAAGTTACATAATCGAAAATATAAGCCGAATTCTAGTTTTGCTCAAATTTTCGCTCGAAAAAATAATATATGTGCTATAAAATAATGATTTTGTTAAATTTTTCTTCATTTTGGATAAAAGTGGGCCTGATGGTGCTTGGGGTGATGATGAAAATCTAGATTTTTCAAACTTCCACTTGACATTTCACCTCAAAAATTTCAATTTTTACAGGATGTTGATGGTGGGGGCTGATGATGCTTGGGGTGATGATTAGTATTTGATTGGCGAAAACGGAGAGTCTGAATTTGATAAAGGTGAAGGTGGAAATGGTGGAATTAGCGAGGATGACGAAGAAGGCAGTTGGGATGTTGATGATGATTTGGCAATTCTTGATATCACTGAAGATGGCATTGGAAACGGCGAGGAAGAAGATGAAGAAGTTGTCCCAAATGCCGCTCCAACAGTTTCTTCCGAATGGCTAAATATGTTTTTGCGCGAGTTTATGGAACTTCGAGATTATCACATTGTGGATGGGGAGGATTGGGACCAGTTGGACCGATTTATATTCATCATTCGATTCGAAATTATCAAGAGGAGAAGAATCCATTATCAGTTGTTGCGGTCAAATTGTCAATTTTGGCAAAGAAATTGCAAAAGTCTTATAATTTGACAACTTCTCGAAAATTCGGAGATGCGATTGTAAAATTGCGAGAATCTCATCTTGCTATCTGTTCCACTTTTGATTGTATCATCGAAACAAAAAGTAGCAGAAGCTGAACAACTTATTAAAATTATTCGAGAATATTTGGCAGCTTTGCTCTTGGAAATTCATTGACAAGATGCGCCAAAAGCAATTTCGGCGGATTTGAAAAAAAAATGACGAATTGGCTGCATATTCATATTTCACATTAATACATTCTTCAAGATGATTAAAATGAGAACTTGTGTTTTTTCATGCAAAAGATTGTTAGAATTGGCGCCAAAACCTGAAGTTGGTGTGCAGATTAGAAAAAAGTATTGATGGCTGCGGAGAAGGATAATTCCGATGCGAAGAATCAGGTAAATTTGAGGATAATCTGGGAAAATTGGGTTTCACTTTGATTTTCAGATGGAGATTCAGAATTTCCAGCTCCCCTTCTTGAATTTCATGATTTTTCAGATAACTTTCTTCTTTCCCACAAAAAATGGCTGAAAATTAGATTTTCAGCCAGATTCTCTTTTTCTAAAAAATCAGACTTTTTTTGAGAAAAAAGTCGGATTTTTCCTGAATTTTCAGACGGAAATTTGTACGGAATTCTTATCTGAAAATTTCCAAATTTATTGATTATAGTGAAATTTTGAAATGGAACAATTCATCAAAAAAATCCGAATTTCCAAATTTTTACACAAAAAATCATAAAAAATGTTCCATCTGCTGACTATTGACTTCAAAAAATTCCACCAAAAATCTTCAATTTTTTCTAGTTCCTCTACGACGAGAATAATCCATTCGTAATCTGCTCTCGCAATTTTGTCCCATTATATCGTTGTCAACCATTGTACAAATGCTCATTCTGCAGAGCATCGTATTCCGAAGGTTTGGAAAGCGAATTGTGCGTGCGATGTTTGTCAGATATCCAAAATTGGCAAAAATGTATTGGGATTGAGAATTTCAACATTAAACAATTAAATTCCTTTCAATTCAAATGTGTGATGATAATTAATTAAAGCACTTTGTTTCAACCATGTGTTGTGTTGAACAAATAGAGAATACACGACGCAGACACAAAAAACCCCGAAATTTTTAAAAAATCAGAATTCTTGGACTATCGCTGCAGGACCCAACAGTTGGCTGGTTGCCAGCCTTATTTAATTTCGCGGTATTTTCAGTTTCGCGGGTTTTTTTCTCGAATACTAAAATCTTCGAAATTTGGCTCGATAATGATGCAATTGTAAAACTAGAAGAGCTTCCATATTTTTATAAAATTTTGACTTTTGCATGGAAAATTGATATTTCAATAGGGCGCAATTGCTATTTTTCGGTTTTTGATAAAAAAATGGAAAAGTGTAAGTTTTTTATTGCATCAAAATATATCTCACATCCACATATTCCTCCCAATTCAATCGTTCAAACTTCTCATTCCTCGCCGCAATTTTCCTGAATTTTCTCTGATTCGACACAATCAATGCCAACATTTCAATAGTTTTTCCAAGTCCAATTTCATCCGCCAAAATTCCACCTTTTGCCATTAATTCGATTGGTATTTTATCGATTTTTTTGCGCGAAAACATTCCAAATGATGGATAATAGAATAATTGAATATCATCAATCGGAACCCGCTGATTTCTCATTTCCGACTTCAAATATTTCGAAAAATGCGACGAAAAACGATTTGTTTCGAAATTTGCCAAAATTGGAAAACTCCAAAATGTTTTGAGAAGTTGTTTTGGCTCGGTAACCCTGAGGCGGAAATTGCGGCGGGGAAGTGACTCGGCAGTTTTTGGGCAGGAAAAAGGCACGAACCGCCTTCATTGGCAGGTTTGAAGCATGACAGCGGCAAACCCGCCAGTTCTGGCATCGCCTCTTGAGCTGTAGGCGGAAACTGCCTTTTCCCGCGGCAAACATGCCGTTTAATTTCAAACAAAACTGCGCTCATTGCCTGTTGTTTATTTCGAATTTTCGAAAATATTTTCTATTTTTTCTCCTAAATTTTTTGTTTTTTGCCTATAAATGGAGCACAACTTCATGACGAAGAGAGAAAAATCAATTATCGAGTAAGTTGAAATGTGTCTTCAATGAAAAACTATATATTACAGACCGCATTACCTGGAAATCGTTGAATTTTGAGAAGAAACATTCGAAAAATCAAAGATGTGCGACAAAATCAAAGAAGTGCGACGTAGATACTGGTATAAACGATTTCTTCATTTTGACAACCGGTATGTTATTTTCAGGGACTTGTTTCGAAAAAAAAACCTTGAAAAAAAAAACCATGTTCTTAACTATTTTTTCTGACAAGGGAACCGTATTACTGAACATTACGAAAGTCAATAGAACTGTTTTGATATTTCATGACTTTCTGGGCTAGAAACACAGCCTAATGCTGTGATGCAGTGTCATTTTTCTAGTAGGTGTAGACCCTCTGATCACAATTCTGTTGTCGAAAACTCAACTCCTAATATGATGTGATGAATTCTGAAGTTATTTTTCTTCGTTCTCGGCTTTCAAGTGCGAAATTTGCCCTAAAAACGTTTAATTCCGCAAAAATTGAGCAGGGCTGATTCAAAAAGCTGTTCATTGGCCAAATTTCCTTAAGATTTGACGTGTTGTGTGAAAAATGATCCCTTGTCAGTGAACAAAGTTAATTTA